CTTTACATTTTCTATTTTTTTTTATAACTATTAAAATCTTTTTAGCTTATACTAACTCTTTTTTTATTACTTTTTTTTAAAATTATTAACTTAAAACGCTTAAGTAAAGTAGAAAAGCTTATTTTTTATTTTTTTATTTTTTTTAAGTTAGAGTTAAAGTAATTCTACACATAGCAATAGTTTATAATAAGAAATTTACTAAAATAATAAGCAGTTACTAAAAAAACAGTAAAAAAGCTTATATATATACTTTTTTTTTTTTTACGCGCGCTCTACGCGCAAAAATAGTTTTTAAAAAAGTATAAACTACTTACTTCTGTTTTTATATATAAATTTAAAATACTTTATTTTTTTTATAAAGTTTACTTAGCCTTTTATATTTGTTTTGCTAACTAGGTTGTAGATAATTATTTTAGTTATTAATAATTTATACTTATTTATTTTAAAAAGTATAGTAAATACATTAATGCTTAGATAAGTTATTATAAAAAAAAAGCTAAAACTAAGTATATTAACGCGCGTAGTAGCTATATTAATAGTTTATAGTTTACTAGTAAGTAGATTTTTAGATTTTATTAAATGCTAGTACAAAACTTAAAAGATTTTTTTTTTTAATATATAGGCGTGCGTAAAGCAGCTATTTTATTAAAGTATTAATAATAAGTAGAAAGTTAATAAAAAAAAACTCTTTTTTATAAATAGGCGCTAGCGCCTCTTTTAGCTTTTACTAGTTTTTTTTAAGTATTATATTTCTAGCTTTTAGTGCTAAAAGTAAAACTTTTTTTTAAAGCTTTTTATACCTATTTACTTTTTATTTTACTTTTTTTATTATTATTTTTTATATAGAGACTACTGTAACTTTTAATTAAAAAAAAACGAACTTTTACTAAACTAAGTTTTACTTTAATACTATATAAGCTTTATTATATAATTAAAAATAGTATTATTATTATTTTTTATATTAATAATATTATTTTTAAGTACTGAAAACAAATACTATAAAACTATATTTAAACTAAAAAAGACTTATGTAATAACTAGAAAAAAAGACCTTTTTTAGTTTTTAAGTATAAAAGTTATTTAAAACGAAAAGAAAAATACTACTTATTTATTTTAAGTAAGCTATATTAATAAAATTAGTAAGCTTATTAATAACTAATAAATAAAGTATAATATACTAATAGCTTAAATAAAACTATATTTATATAAAAACTTAGCATTACTATTAAAAATAAATAAGTTTTAATATAAAATTAAATCTTTAGTTTTTACTATAATAAGTATTAAACTAAATATTATATTTTTAATATTAAAACTAGCTTAGTTTTTTATAAATTTTTTGCTAAAGCACTACTAAGCTGCTAATTAAGTTTTTTTTTACTTATTAAAAATAAAAAACTTATTTTTTAAGCTTAAAAAAAATTTAAAGTAGTAAGCAACGCCTTTTTTATAAATAATATAATAAATTAAAAAAGTTTTTAAAAATATATTATTAAGCTATTTAAAGAACTAGTAGCTTAAAAAGCTAATAAGTAAAATATAGTTACTATTTTAATAACTAAAGTAAAATTACTTGCTCTTGCCTAAGTAGTTAAAAAAATAATATACTTTTTAAAACTTATAAAAAAATTAAGTATTAATTTACTTAAAATAATTTTAATATAATATTATAATATTTAAATAATTTAACTAGTTAATAAAAAAGTTATAAAGCTAGTTACTAAGCTTTAATATATTAATATTTATAACTACTGAATATAGTAAAAAGTTAAAAAAAGATAATTAGTATTACTTATACATTAACTAATAAAATAATTATTAATAAACTTACTAAAGCACTACTTTATAATAAGTAGCTAGATTTTTTAAAGTAACTTAAACTAAAAAAAGTAAAGTACTATATAATATAAAAAGCTTATAACTTATTTTAATTAAAAGACTTAGTAACTTAGTGTAATTTAGCTTAAGTATTATAAATAGCTTAAGCTAAAGAAGTATATTAAATTTAAGTACTAAAAAAAATAACTTTAAAAAAAGTTTTAAAAAAGTAATTAACTTTTAAAAAGTAAATTTAAAGTAAAAATTTTTTTTTAAAAAAAGCTTTTACAAAGATAATAGTTAAGCTATAGAAAAACTAAAGAAATTATATATAACTTATTTAAAAAGTAATGTTTTCTGCTAAGCTAATAGATAGCTTAAATTAATTAATAATATGAATTATTAATTAAGGCACATAAATAAATAGAATAAAAATATTTTTTATTTTTTTATTTTTTAAGTTAGAGTTTAAGTAATCTTACACACTATAATAAGCTTATAATAATAAAAATACTAAAATAATAAGTAATAACTAAAAAGACTAAACAATTTGCCTTTTTTTAAAGAAGAAATTAAAAAGCACCTTTAGAATAAAAGTATATTTATTATTTTTAAACTAAAAACCTAACAGTAATAATAATAAATAAACTAAAATAATAAGTAATAACTAAAAGAGCAAGTTAAAAACTTATAAATAACTACTTTTTAAGCTAATTTATTAATAAAATATAAAGTATAAAAAAATATAAAAAGTTATTTATTTTTTTAAGTTAAAGTTTAAGTAATCTTACACATAGCAATAAGTTATAATAATAAATAAACTAAAAAAATAAGTAATAACTAAAAAAACTAAAGTAATTCTATATATTATAATAAGTATATAATAAAAATATAACTAAAATAATAAGTAATAACTAAAAAAATAATAAAGAGTTATAAATTAAGTAATAACTTTAATAATAACTAGTAAACTTTTTTATAAGTTTAGTCAATTTTAAAAGAATATAAACTAAGCTAATTTATAAGTAGTATAAGCTAAATATTTAAAATTATAATTTACTTAACGTAATTCCCGGGCGAGTAGACACCCTAACTAAGTAGACACTTTTTGCTAAGACTACACTAAAATAACACTACCTACGTAATGCTTTAACACTAAACCTCTAAAAAACACTTAAACAAAGCTAATATATAACTTGCTCTTTAAGCTTTTAATTAAAATGTAAAACTCTCCTTAAAACGCGCTGCAGACATATATAAAGTGTCTAAAAGTATACTCTAATAATAATGTGCTAGTACCTCTTCTTAACGCAATACTACGCCTAATTTAATAAAGATTTTTCTAACAAAAAAGAAAGTAATTGTTAATTACATCTTTAAGCTAGATGTATAAAGATTTCTGCCTTAAGTTACTAATATAAAAGCTATAGCTAATTATTTACTTGCAGAGCGCAACCAGCTACTTATTAGTAAAAACTAGGCTAGCACCTTTATTAACTGCTAAGAGAAGCTTTAGATAAAATACTTTTAAGTATATAACTATAAAAGAGCTCTCTGCAAAGATTCTAAGGTTATCTAAAACTAGTTCTGCCTAGTAGAGAATACTAAAGCTAAGTATAGCATCTCTAATAAAGATATATACAACTTTAATAAATTTAGCTTTATAATAGGCAAGATATTAACTGCTTTTATTATTACTAGTTTAGAATATAAAGCGCAAGCTAAACAACTACAATAGAGCAACTAAGAGTAAGTTATAGTAACCTAAGAAATTAACGCAATAGAGTAGGCAATTCTACTCTTTCTTATCTTTGCTAGCAAGAACCACCTCTCTGCCTAGTATAAAAAAGAAGGCCTACCTAATAACTAGGCTATTGCTATCTTTAAAAACAGCTAAATAATAAATAAGCTTAGAGTAGAGTAGCTAGAGCACTTTAATAAGTATATAAAAAAAAAAGTAGTTAGCACTTATTAACTGCTTATTCTAGACAGCTATAAGAGCTATAAGTTAGTTAAATTTTATAAACGCTATAAGAAAAAGAAGATTATTCTTTTATGCATGCCCTTACACTTGTTATATTTCTTCTAGCTACTTAATATAAGTTATTTTACGCTGTTAAAGAGGGCATATAAGCGCTAAGCTAAGAACCTAATGCGCAACTAAATTACTTATATTACTAAACTTAAGTTTTTACTATATTTTAAAGCAGCTTTTTTTAACGCAATTACTAAAAGCAATATCTAAAAAGGCTTTAAAGGTGCTAGGCTAGTTCTATTTAGCCTAGAGGCTGTAATATTAAAGCTTAATATAAAGCTAAAGACGCTAACACTACCCCTTTTAAGCAAAAAGCTCTAAAAGTCTAAAACTCTAAGCAATACTTTTAAAATTAGGTTTTAGTTAACGCTAGTAAAGATAAGAATTTAAAGGCATCTAGATAGTTTACTAACTTTAATAGTTAAAGCTTTTAAAAAGCTTGCTAAAGGTGCAGCTGTTATAGTATATAAGCTAGCGCTAGCGTAAAAGAAAATTACTAAGCTTTAAGCTATAAATAAAGCTGCTACGCAACGTAAATTGCATAAAAAAAAGTAGATATAGATAAAAGAAACACTTATAGTTAAAGAAGGTTAACACTTAGTAGCTTTAAGAAAGTTTAGAGTACGTAGTAATAAAAAGAAGGCGTTAAAGAAGGTGCGTATAAAAAAGGCTAGTTTCTTTTAAAAGCACTGTAAAACCTGCAGCAAGACTAAGCATAACTTGCAAATATGTTAAAAAAGTGTGTAAAAACTAAGAGAGTCTTTAAAAAAGTTTTTTAGAAACTATAATATAAGCTAGTGTTGTAATTTTTTGTTAAAGTTGTAGTTTTAGTGTAGTCTTGGCAAAAAGTGTCCACTTGGTCGGGGTGTCCACTCGCCCGGGAATTACGTTATAAGAAAATAAGAAATTTATATTTATGTAATTTATAACTTTAGAATACTTGTCTACTAGTTTACTTAGTATATGTGATTAGAAGGTTAACTAGTAGCTTTAAGGTTCTATGCTACTAATTACATGTGCAGGTAGCACAATTACAAGTAACAGTTACGTGAAAACTAAGCAACTAATCAGACTCCCTTGCTAATATATATACCTACCTTATCACATCATGTATCATCAGACAACCTAGCCAAGCGACTCTGAGTACTCTTCACTACTCAACAGTCATCCGCCAGGCTACTTGTTCTGAAGTTCAGGGTTCCACTGCGTTATGTGACATTGGGAAACACAATCTATCCCCATTACAAGGCGTTATCGAACATCAAACCACACACCATGGGTCATCGAGTCCCAGCAGATACTGTCCTAATTATGGGAGCTGGCGTTGCTGGTCTGGTTCTAGCCCAAGGCCTTCGCCTTCGTTCCATTCCATTCCGGCTCTTTGAGCGACATCCTCCGTCGCACCAAGCTCAAGGCCACCGATTTCGTATCTCAAGCGAGGCGCAGATGGCTCTCGAGCGTGTTTTGCCTTCTCAGATCCAGCGCATTTTCGCAGAAACTGCGCCAAAGAGAAATAAGTTCCAGCCGCAATATGTTTCTCATGATATTCATGACGACGGGGTCTTGGTGAGCTTTGCTGATGGTTCCCATGCGCGTGGACAGCTGCTAGTCGGTGCCGACGGAGTCAAAAGTCGGGTTCGAAAACAGCTACAGCCCACTCGGCAGCTACTGGATCTAGAGCGCTGGATCATGTGGGGTCGTACACCCGTAACGGAATCACTGAAAGAGAATATCCAAGATGATCTTCTCAGCTGGTCTATGTGCATTGATCACGAAGCCAATGTACAGACAGTAGTAGAGCCCATATTGTGGCCGGAAAAGATATCACAAGAATCGGATACTCGCGTGCCTGACTTCTCCGATTATGTGTATTGGGTCATGTGTACTGCACCACTCCAGTACGCTGACAGCATGCCAAAGACAATGGAAGAGAAGAAGCAGTTCTTGGAAAGAGCTGTACAGCACTGGCATCCCTCTCTGCAACATCTGCTCCGTGCGGCCTCACACGAATCATCTGCATGCTCGCTGGTATTGTCAAGTAAGCCAGATATATGCCTGAGTAATGGGAGATCTGTCACACTTGTTGGAGATGCTGCGCACGCAATGAGCCCGATGGGTGGCTCCGGCGCGGATACTGCCATCCGAAACGCTGCCGATTTGGCGCAGACTATTGCGCAAGATGGCATCACGACTTCAAGTATAGCAGATTTTGAAGTGAGAATGGCACAGAGGGCGAAAGAGAAGATCGAGCATTCGTTTCGTGGTGGGCAGAAGTTTTGGCGTGGGAGAGAATGGTATACATATAACGGAATCAACCTCTGACGGGGCCCCCCTAATTTTTTTTAATAAATAGCTATATGTAAGAAAGCTCTCTAGACCTGCTCTACAAAGTGTGATGTTCTAGATCCAGCTGAGTTTGTGCGCTTCTTCTGCAAGCGTTTTGATTGCCTTTTCTGTGTTGCTGGAGTTTCTGCTGCTTCTTCAGGACTGGGTGGGGCAAAGGTACCCGGCCGCAGGATTTCAAATCCTGAATTGACCTTTCGTAGCACTTGGTCACTGCGTGCATTATTCTGCTGGGTTTGCACCTCAATAGGAATCTCATCGTACGAAGGCTGTTGGCCGGGACCGCGAGGTTGGTAGACGTCAGGAAGATAAAATGGACGAGCAGCATAAGTCTCAAGCAACGGTACCGCTTGCCGCTCATTATTAGTGGGGTGACTGTCTTGAGTAGAGTGAGACACTGATGAAATGAAAGCTTCCTTTGAGGTTGTAGTCGGCGGAGGTGGAGAAGGTGGCTTCTGCTGAGGTACAAAGTAATCGACGCCGTTGGCGGACGCAATCTCAGGAGGCGCGCGCTTGTCGGCTACACTCGCCCACTCGCCACTGTGGCCTGGTCTTCGCACTCTTGGTGTGAGCTGTCCTGTTTCAGCAACATGGGACATCCGATGACTTTGGAGCAGATTTAAGTCGGTACGAGGGTCGCGAGGCGCAGGGTATGAGAGCTGCCGTGAGCTAATATAAGCGGCAGGGTATGGCAGCCCTTCTGGGAGAGCATTGTAATCATCCGATTCATCACTAGCTCGGCGACTGGATTTGCTAGAGCTGTTGCCGGACTTGTATACGGTGGGGTTTCGATCATCAACAGGTTGACGACGTGCTGTTTCGGCATTAGTCTCAGATGAATATGTTCGGTTAAGGAACTGACCTGAGGACGAAGCGGATCCGTTATATGTTCCTTCCAGAGTCTGTAGCGTCGAGTTCCTTGCAGATCCATGGGGCCCATGGTTGACATATTGATCACCATGACGTGCGGGGGAAACCTCGCGTGATTCGTTGGTGCGTATACGCTCGGCATTGACAGCAACGTCAAAGGAACTGGGTGGCCGTGAGCTGGCTCTACTGGAAGCGTTTACGGGCAGCGGTTGCACTTGGGATGGCATTGAAGGTTGGGGCTGAGACGGCTCGACCCTACTGATGGACGAGCGGCTGCTGCCAACTGGGGTGTTACTACGCGAGATCCATACGCCGTCGACTTCTATGCCGCTTTCTATAGCTCGAATGCCGAATGGGATATCCTCGTCGTGTTTGGCAACAACCGTCTGAGCCTCGAGCATCTCGGGGGTTTGCTCCGTCTTGCCCTTGCCCTTGTCCACTTTTGAGTACTTGCGAACTTTGAGTGTGTCATATCGTAACTTGCAGAGACCAAGCATGATTGTGGCAACCTATGGCAATCAGCGTGGGTGATATACATTGGACATGGGAGGAACATACGATTCCGCAAGCTAGAACCTGGCATACGAAGTTAGCGACAAGGAAATGACATGTGTAGATTGCGCGTGGAGGTTTGGAGACTCACAAAAGTCATCTGCTGCCACAGCTCCCATCCCGTGAAGAAAGCCTTGCCCATGGTTGCAGGTAGATGTTGGAACCTCGAGTGGAGTGATGGTTGGCGACGACAGGATGGAGGTCCGTTTGTGAGTGAGTGGGTGCGCGAGTGGGCAGGCACTCGGGACCGACGTATGCTGGCCTCGAGACGGCGGAACCAAGAGGCAGGCACAATGCGAATGGCGCAATCGACAGGATAGATGTGCGTGGGAAGAAGGCCCTGGGTCGGGCAGAGGGAAGGAACAGATTGAGGACCAGGGAATGCGGGGTGGGGAAGGGATGCCGAACGATGGACGCTTGATCAGAGAAGGGTTGCCATAGACGATGCGTGTTGTGGCTGCTGGAGTTTTGAATTTGGTGGTGTGTGGAGGGCCGGGCGGTGGTTGAGTCTGTTGCCGTCACAGTCACAGTCACAAACACGAGACGCGACTGTCAAACCGGTTCGCAAGTGTTGAGTGAGTGCGTGAGTGAGTGAGTGAATGAGTGAGCGAGGAGGCGGAGAGAGAGACGAAGGGGGAGATTAGGCCAGAGTGTGTGCAACGCAGGTTGTCATGAGGTGGCAGTGGTACATGTAGGTAGGTAGGTAGGTATCAAGGTAGCGAAAGGGCCATGTGGTTACGGGACCGGGGGCACAATGCATGCGGCGGCAGGGCTTTTATGATGTGTGATGGGGGTACCCAGATAGGTACATGGGTAGGTACCTAGATAGATATATGTATGTACATGTACGGGCGGCCGGGATCATGGGCACAGCAGCAAAAGAAAAACTTGAGGTGCCTAGCCATGTACTTACGTAGGTATGAATGCAGCGGTCCATCCGCCGCCTATCGATACAGCAGCGCAGCCCCACCCCCCAACATGCGACGCGGCGAACTATTGGATGTACACATGGAGGCTTTGCAGTCCAGCAAGTGCCTAAGCAACGGGGCAGGGCTACGTGGGGACTAATGGGCAAGCAAGCAGAGGCGGACGACGAGGAGTTGAAACTACACGGTAGGTTGCCAGACAATCAATTGTCCCAGATGCATCCATCCGATGTCCATCACGCACCCACCCCCATGTGTCCCAGGCCAGCCGATCAGGCGCCTAGCTACCTTCCTAGCGAGCGGCACAGCGGGCGGGGATGCTATCCATCCATCCATCCACCAACGTCGCTTGCTAGTTCCAAAAACGAAAACCATGAAGACGAAGAGAAACAAAAACCGGCTCCGTGCTTCATGTCGTGTCATGGCATATATGTGGGGCCTCGAGAGGTACTAGGTGAGGTCGTCGCAATTAGGAAACATTCCGATCGATGCCGCACGGGGCACTCGTCTCACAGTCCACTGACACAGCAGTTAGTGAGTTACATGTCCAAGTAGTAATTAGTACGTACTGTACAGGCACCGTAAGCGAGAGGATTCTACACAGTACCCAAGTAATGGTAGAGACAGACAGGCTGACGGGGCGCTCAGCTTACAGGGTCCACGAGCAGCCACAAGAATACTTCGCCAACACTCATGTACAATATGTACAATGTGTATGGGACCGGACGGCATGCCCGTCTGTGACAACAGTAGAGAGCAACGGCACTGCCAGTACAGTGATTGGGCTGTACCTTACTCCACCATGACGGGCGCCGAGACGCTGCCGGACAGAGTCTGCAACCCTCCGCCCCGGGGTATTCCTCACCTTGTGGTGCGCCACCACCTCATCACATTAAAAAAGTGGCGGCAAGCAAGGCAAAGGTGGGAACGCGAAACAAAGAAATGAAGATCAAGAACAGAGCCTTCGCAATACTGTCGTGCTGTCGTCTGTGAAACTCACCCTCACCGCTCCAGCCGGGACACCACGCTACACCACACTACACCCATACGTGCATGCATGCATGCTGCTGTCTTCTGTCTGCTGTCCGTCCAGAGCCTCTTCGCCGTGGCCTTGGATTTCTCCTCCAGCTTGCATCTTGATACATCACGTTTCCATTCCCGGCAGGCAGAGTTATTGAATGGCATGGTGCCAAAACCCCAAGACCGGGCTAAGGGGGCGTTGTCAATATTGATTGCACTAATGCCGCGCATGCATCGAAACAGAACAGGTCCACCGCCGCCGTCTCCGCTATCCACCTCAAGCCTCGCCATCTGAAACCCTAGGAGAAGCTTTCAATTATTATTGTTTGGGCCCGTGTCAGTTGCACGCGTGCCAATTATCGTGGTGCCAAGGTCCCTGGACGAATGTCCACATGTGGATACATACATATATATATATATATATATATGTATGTGTGTGTGTATGTGTGTATGTATGTATATATATAAAGTTATATATAGGCACATCGGGTAAGCCCTTGGCCAGGTACCGGTGGCACGCCAGCAGGAAGTAGGTAGCACCTGAGTAACATGGGCGTCTTGGGCTGAGCCACTGAGCACGTTGTTTGACTTCACCAATCGTGCGTGCTCAATTGAACATTTCAATTGACAACATTGGAATGCTCCCTCACTCACTCGGTGCCGTGCTTGTTGTTCCTGGCACGCAGTCCAGTGCACATGTAACCTGCAGCAGCTTGCAGTTAGCCGCTAGGCGGGCTGGACTTGGTTCTTACATGGCAAGTGTGGCTAATGACCCAACCCAACCTTGAACACCAAAAAGTCGATGACGACGGCTTGTGGCCCTTTCATCTCGACATCTTCTCTCATTCCACCAGCAGAGTGCGTACCGCCTTCCGAAACAGACCCCCTCTCCACACAGGCACAATCACACCAGCCCATCCAGGGTCTCTTGTCGTTGCACCTGAGCCAGCAATGCCTATTCGCAATCCCTTCCGTCGCGCCGGGGCCGCCGACTTGCTCGAGGACCGGCCAGCCGCGGAACGTGCATCCCAGATCGATATAAACACTGCAAGCACAGGCGCGAAGCCACTGCAGAACAAGGAGCCTGCCGAGTACAAGTTGAGCGAGATCAACGACAGCGGAGTATATCTGCCAGTACGGCTCCCATCCTACTCTCCGTGCCATGTCCACTTGCAAAACCCCATGCCTCTAGTCACGCCCGCCTCCTCTGACCATGCGCTAGCCGTCACCCACACAGGAAAAGCCCAGCTTCTGGCACTCCAAGTCAAACACGTCCACGACATCCTCCAATCACAGGAGCCTTTTGAGCGAGAATGAACCCTTCAGCATCTCTCGGGAAAGCTTCGAGTCCTACAGGAGATCATTCGTATGCCGCCGCTTCGCGACGAACCATCCCGTTGACATGCACTCATGACAAAGCAGGACATATCCGCTCGTTCCCCAGTCCCCGAAAACTTAGATCAGTACTCTCGCGGGTCGCTCGATGCTCGGAGGTCCATGGACGCAAAACGCTCTCTGGATATACGTCGTTCAAGAGCTGTTCCACGGTCTTCGTTGCAGGAGCGACGCCCCGGAACGGCTGCGGAAGTGACCGCCGAGCAAGATTTCGAAGATGTGGGGTTGAATGATGAGCCCAAGATAACCAAGAAGCGCGGCATCTTCTCTCGCTTTGCAGATAATAGCGACAATGAGTCCAAGGAGGAACGACCCTCGTCAGGTCATCATCACTTCGGGTTTGGGGGTCGGAAACGAGCGCAAAGTGGTAGCCAGGGCTCAGAGATGAAGAGCATGCCGAAGGATGCCCCTCCTGCCGACACACCTGTCGAGACGCGGTGATTGAGGCTGTTGGCAATGGGGGAATCGTCGATGAGACTGCAGGTTTCTTGCCGGTGTTCGCTGCAATAGCGTGCGTTGGGATTATGAACCGAACTGGTATCGCACCACAATCGCTACCTATAATGGAAATGACAGGTCTATCTGGCGCATACACACATAATGACACGGAAGCTACGAAGATGGGAACCTCACAATACATTCCCGAGTACAATTAGTTATTCTATCTGATAAGCACTTTTTCAAACACCAGTGAATGATGGATGGCTAGACACAGTCAGCATTCCTTCTAACCGTTTACCCATATACGAAAGAATTATCTTTGGTATCAAATACTATGCACGCTGGTGGTGCGAACACAACGACCGGGAACAGCCTATATTAGACGCCTGATGTCCACGAATACACAAGATTGCGTTGGTCATTCTGTCGTTGTATTCGTGAGAAGGGGAAAAAAAGGTGAGAGAAGCATATCGTACGACATTGTTGCTGCGAGCGTGGCTTACTCCAAGCCACGAGGGTGATACGGATTTACCCGGAAGACCATCACATAAGCGACAAATTGACTATCAGGGCTAAATGCACCCTGATTTGAAGCTCAATGGCTCTGCAATTTTACTCCAGAATATAGAGCGGGGATCATAGCACCGACGCATCGGCAACACCTATCGGTCAATTCAACGTTCAACCAGTTGCACAGCTGCTGCATGTGCAATCAACGCAGGGCTATTCTAACAGGCTTCAGGAATTTGCCGTCACTTTATTCTTACCAGGCAGAGGTCCATCCTAATGGCAAATTCTGCTGTTGATAAGCAGACAGTATATATATCCACAGGTATCCAGCCATGGGCGTGATTCAGCACTACACTCTCTGCTCCACAGGTTCGAGAATGAGACCAACAAACTTCCCCATTTTTTTCCTCTTGGTGGTTGGGAATGCCCTAGCAGCCGACTGGAAGGGGGAGGTCAAGAAAGTAGACAACGCAACGTTTCATTGCAAGTGCTACTCGGACCATTCTTGCTACCCCAAGGCAGCGGAATGGGCAGCGCTCAACAAAACCGTAGAGGGCCGCCTGCAGCTAGCATTTCCTCCGGGTGCGGTGTGTCATACTCACTTGGGAAATATATCTACGTTTGATGAAGCTGCGTGCGCCGAGTACAAGTCCCATTTCAACGACGAACAGTATCTGTAAGTTGAGAGCTTTGTAGCCAGCTACGGAAGCTTGCATGGCTGACGATGATGACTCCAGCACGGATGACGACGTTGCTGCGCTCTGGCCGCTCTACACCAATAATACATGCATTGTAACTGACAACCCGAGCGATCCCTGCACTCAAGGCTTCTACGGAACTTATGTCGTTCTAGCGACCAAAAAGGAGCATATCAAACACGGCATTGATTTTGCACGGGAGAAGAACTTGCGTTTGATCATCCGCAACACCGGACATGATTTCTTGGGACGTTCGACAGGCTACGAGTCCTTGATCATCAATACGCATAGCTTCAAAGACGTTCAATTCTTGGAACAATATGATGGTCCAGGGGACTGGACTGGTCGTGCCGCTACTGTGGGCGCTGGCATCCAGGGCCGTGAACTGTTCCGCCACGCGTTCGAACAAAGCCCGAAACAGGTGATAGTAGGGGGAGAGTGCCCTGTATGCAACAGTTTTCCTCCATAGCGCAAAGCAAAACTGACTGTGAATAGACTGTTGGATGGGCGGGCGGATATATCCAAGGGGGTGGCCATGGTGAGTGGTTATCCCTCAGGTTGGAAGTCGTCAATCCTTAAACACTTTGTGACGTACTCTGCCTAAAGATGAAGAACTTGTCGAGAATCCATTGCTTGAAATTAACTCATTTCAACAGGGCCACTTACCACGATATACGGAATGGGCGCAGACAGCGTGCTGTCCTTTGAGGCGGTTACAGCCAAAGGCGAGTACGTCACAGCAAACGCGGAAGAGAACCCGGAACTTTTCTGGGCCTTGAAAGGCGGTGGTCCAGCATCTTTCGCGGTGGTTACTTCAGTTACAGTCAAGACATTCCCTGAGATGCCCACTGCAGGTACAATCCTGAACATCAATAGCACGCATACCAATGATAGTGCAATCTTCAACCGGGGGTTCGAGATATTCCACAACCTTTCCAACCATTATACGGCTCATGGAATGTTTGTTTACTTTGAACTTTCTCAGGGAAGCCTTCATGTTGCACCTTTCGTGGCTCCACGCATGAACGAGACTCAGCTCCATACTGCACTGCAGCCTCTCTTCGATCAGCTCGAGGCTGCAAATGTTCCTTACAGTAGATATACTAAAGACTTCCCAACATTCTTCGAGCTCTATGTCGACCTTTTCGAAGACGAAGCTTTTGCTGTACAAGGGAGCTCCACGGTTGGAGGGCGTATATTCACGCAGAAGGATATCGCGGAACGGGGGAGCGCAATCGCCCGAGCTCTTCTATTCGCTAACCAGCCAACAACCAAATCAGTAGGTCTGTCAGTCGGCCATATAGTTAACCCGGGCTATGGGGTTCCAGTGGCCGATAACGCAATCAACAATAAATGGAGAAACTCGTCCAGCTTCACCCTGACCAATCTTTTGATGAGTGGCCAGGAGAGTTGGGCAGAGAAGCGGGAAATCGAAAGAATCAACACAGAGGTTGTCGGCAAGGCGCTGAGGGAAGCGGGTCCAGACGGTGCGGCTTACGTGAATGAGGTGAGGGTCCCACGGCCAACAACATGCAAGAAGCTGACCAGACGACATCCAGGGTGATCTCAATGAGCCCAACTGGCAATTCACTTACTGGGGAGACAAATACCCCAAGCTCTTGGAGATACGCAAGAAGTGGGACCCGGAAGGCGTGTTCTATGCGAAGACAACGCCTGGCACAGAGGATTGGACGGTCCTGGAGACAGGAACGAAACTTGTAAGTATAAGCGTGACCTTTCCTCTTGCTTGTGATGCTGTACTGCTTGGCCAAACTTGCGTACTGACTCGACATGTATCAGTGTAAGAAGGTAGAAACAGCATAGTAGGTGGCAGAGCAGTGTTTGCGTGCATTTGAAGTCGGTTCGCGTGCACATGGTATAACCATGCATTGAGTAGGGCGAGTATTTGCATAGCCATGCCCAGAGAATGGATTGTTTGCTGCTGTAGTGGCACCTATGAATTGACTACGGTATATACTGCATGTATAGACGCTGAAAACGAGGGGGGAGTCGATCCTTAGCGTCCGCGGCCTTGCCGCAAAAGGCTAGTTGCCGTTGGAGGCAAAAGCCAAGCCAAGCGGCGTGTGGTGGGATCCCTAGCATGTACAGTACAGTACTTACTGGGCTGGATAAGTAGTGTTCACATTTGATGGTGTGCCTCAGCACTTGGTTGCTTCTCTTTCGTCTATCCATCCGTCCACCCATCCATTCATCCATTCCATCCATCACTTCACCCCCTACCCACCCACTCATTCATACGTAGCATTCGCACGCGCACGCGCCCAGAAGATATACGTCCATCTCTCCGCCAAGTTTGATATCCAGACTACACACTGCAGTCGCCTACTTTCCTCCGCCTCATCACCCCCGTACAACTCCGCATTCCGCGCTTCGCTCCGCATCCCTCCCACTTTCCTGGCCTCGTGTCTCGAGGACATGGTATGGTGCCGGTCGGTTCATAACTAACGCCCTCGAGTTCTCTGCCAAGTGCTGCATCCTCTAGGTACCTTATATGTCGGTTGAATGCCTCCGGTTTTGAACCCCTTCCTGCGGGCCTTCTTCCGCAGCACTCTCCCCAGCCAGTGCTCACCGCTGCAGCACCACGTCCTCCTTGTGCCCACCACAGACGTCCTCCTCGGTTCGCGCGACCGCGACACCAATGCCTCTTACGCCGATCTAAGTGGCTCCGAAGAGTTCCTTGCCAGCCATGTCCTGCGCATCCCCGGTGGCGTGGGCCCCAACAATCACATCAAAGATGGCGCTTCGTTCAGAGATAGTCGGGGCAAGGCTAAACAGTACTCTACGGCCAATGGGAGGACCGTCATCATCAAAGATGCCTATGTATACAGCAACAAAGGCTTCAAAGCATTGAACCAAGCACAGCTCCTGAACGACGTCATCTTTTACCCGGATACCTATGAGCAACAGCCGTGGTTGGTTTATTTCATCTCAAAACCACTCATTGGCACCTGCGAATCGTCGCCAATTATACCTGCCAGCTTGCCTCACCGTACCCATGGCCCGCCCAGCAACAATAACAGCAACCACCAGGCAGGCCCATCTACAAGCAGTTCCACCGCATCTATGCCCCGGAAGAAAGAAGTTAGATCATTTGGTGACTTGCTGAATCACTTCCCCATGATTGCGCGCCAGATGCAGCCTGGCCTCGATCGCCTGTTCACCGAGTTTAAAAAAGAACTGAACAAACCGCTCCCAGCAATACCCCCCCAAAAAACGCCCAAGACATCCTCATTAAGCTCGCGGCGGAGAGGTTCCATGTCTTCGTCGGAAAGTTTGCCCGTTTCCTACCATAGCAGTATATCTGGGCCAAACGACTTCATCTCCGAGCTAGAAATAGATGAGGAAGAGGACCTAATGCGAAGATCGTTGGAGACAGCCGTTACTGCGGCCATTGATCTCTTCCAGATGGTAGATAAACAGCAGCTATCCCTGCTGGGTGCTACAACAGACTTGACTGGGCCGATTGTGGAGCGCATGATTGAGAGATACATCACCGAACAGTTGCATGATTTCCAATTCCCACGTCTACGTAATATTCGCCGGACCGATGATGCTGAACTAGAGTTTCGCATGCGGCAGATGGTAGATATCGACATTTCCCAAGTTGGTATCGATATTGGCCATGGTCGGAAGGGCAAACACGAGCTTTCCATCCGGTTGTCAAAAGCAGGAGATATCTTCAAAAAAATGGGTGTGGCAGGCAGCCCACAGGAGATGCTGGAGATTTTGCTTTCGGTACAAAAGAGCATTACTATGCCGGATGCCCCAGCGGAGGATGCCAATGGGTCTCAAAGGCAACCTTCGCTTGACGGGGCTACATATTCGGAGAAGACCGACCCTCTGCTCATGATCAATGCTGACACGCTGGTGTCCCTGCTTCTCATTGTTGTCATTCGTTCACCAATCCGCTACTTGCAAGCGCGATTATCGTATATGCGCCATTTCATCTTTATCGATGACGTGGAAAGTGGAGAATTAGGCTATGCATTGAGTACCTTTGAAGCTGTTCTTTCATATCTGACTCGAGACTCGGCTGGTATCCGCAAAGCTAGTCGGCGTAACAGAGTCCTGTGGCATGCCACCAAATCTGGCGACATCGCTACCATGCAAAGCGTGCTTGAGCCCGACAAGTCTTTTCATGAGGACTCATATCAATCTTCCGACAATGAGGACAACATTCCGCGACCAAGACCAGTCAGGTTTGCAACAAGCATTTCAGACTCATCTTCTCTAGGCGGAGTCACGGCCAATGGAGATTTCGAGTCTCGCATGCAACAACGACATTCCTCGAGCAGAAGGCATGGTGGGCAAGATGGGCCATTGGCTCATATATTCCCTTTCCAACGTGCACCAACACCACCACCATCAGACCGACCCAATGCCAAAAAGCGTGTTTCTATGGATACGCGAAGCTTGTCCAGCTCCTCGGCCGTCTCATTTCGATCACGCACGACCGTTGACTCACGCGGCACGGGGTTGGAAGGTGATATTTCGATAGAAAAACTTGCAATGACTCAAGGGTCGGAAGGCGAATCTTTAATGATGATGGCTATCGAGAGTAAGCAAGACAAGGCTTTGCGGTATCTCCTCAGCTTGGAAGAACACTATACCTTTAATCATGTGATCGATGACCGAAACAACGAAGGCGTGACGCTTCTCAGCGCTGCCATTCAATCCGCCCACGCCAAAATCGCCGATACTCTTCTAGGGTACCTTCTCGAGCACAACCCTGATATCGATTCAATGAAGAGATATTTTGCGGTCCAAGATTCGAAAGGTAGATGCGTGGCACATTATCTTTTCAATCAGCCCCGCCTTATTGAAAAGATAGGATATCTCGTCCCCTGGCGGCTGAAAGACAAGAACGGTCAAACTCCAGTTTTCGCACTCTGCAGGTCATATGATCACGACTTGTACTATGACATGGTAGACAAAGCACTTCTAGCCGCAACACACGCACAAGAAGATGGACAAGCATTGCACCTTGATGAGCATATTGACAACAAAGGAAACAGTCTGTTGCACATCGTCACGGATTCACAAATTGCAATGAAGATGCTGTATCGGTGCGATTCGGATCCAAATGCACCGAATGACAAGCACTTCACTCCTCTTATGGTCGCTAGCAAATACGGACGTACCGACCTTGTACGGACTCTATTCCAAGACGCAAGGGTAGATTTATCAGCCAAAGATATCCGAGGACTTACTGCCGTAGAACTCGCTAAAGACGACGAAGTTCGGAATCGGATCGACGACCTAGTCTTACTCTCCAATGAACCAAGTCCTGACGGGCGTATGACAACTGTAGTTCGATCCTTCTTTGTCGAAGATGGATCGATACGACTTGTCGTGAAATCTGGGGCTCCCAATGGAAACTCGACGGTCACCGTCACTACATGCCGTCGCTCGCTCCAAGACTTCGAGAATCTCGCCAAATGGCTTGCCCAAGAACACCCAGCGTCGTGGTTGCCTGTGATCAGCAATCTTGCATCGCCCTTCCTGATACCTTCACGACCATCTCGCTCAATATTACGTGACATTCAACTTCGCCTCGACGCTTTCCTGAAGATTTTACTCAAGCACCCCACGTTTTCGACGCATGAGATGGTATGGGAGTTTTTCCTTGTGCCAGACATTGATCCAAGCATGCTAGCTGAACGCTCAGCCCGAAAATCCGAACTCCGCGCAGAGCGTGTCAGAGAAGAGTACGCTCCAATATATGATGTTCGCGAAGTGGAAATTTTTGTTCAACATGCTCGCGAGTCAGTACGCTCTCTCCACCACGCCTCCAAGTCCGTCCTGCGACGCGCAAACAGGCTGAGGTCTGCGAATTCGGATCTGATAGATGCGGCGCGGCTGTCCAGTACAGCACTTCAATCGTTAAACTTTCTTCCAGGGACACATCTCCAAGCCGTGGAACGCTATACGAAAACGCTGACCCAGAGCGAAGCAAACCCCCTGGCTGGTTTTTACTACAGCATCCATGCTATTTCGAGCACCACGACCGCTATCCTTACTGCGCTCAACCGCCCATCAACGCTCATCACCTCTATGGCAACGACTCAAAAGTCTATCGACCGCCATCATCTCTCTATTCGTCGCTCTGATCGCTGGCCTCTCGGACTACTCGATGATGCCAGGTCGCGGATGCAGCGTGATGCGCAGGATAAGATGGAACGTGCCACAGATGAGCTTTCCGGCTTCGGCAAAGAGTTGAGATACACCCAACAAGTGGTTGCTAGTGAATTGGCAAGTTGGCAGGGTAATCGAATCGACATGGGAAGAAAAACATTGAAAGAGTTTGCGAGACGTATGGTGATCAGTGAACGAGCAAGATTAGAGAGCATGAAGAGGGCAGTCAGAGAACTGGGACTTTCAGGGCAACGACTGTCTAATGATGGGGATGATGGTGACGTAATGTCCCCTGATGTGACATTCTCCGAAGAGCTGGTCCGAAGAGGGAGCATTGAGGACGTCACGGATGAGGCTGACGGGGCTTTGGTGGTCGAACACAATGGCGACAGCAATACTCACGACGACTCTGAGACTACAAATGGGTATAACGAAGAAGACCAATCATCATCTCCGCTGCATCTCGATCAAGAAGACGAAGAAGAGCGAGTGACAATGCCCGAAGCCCTGTCTCAACGTGCTGATGAAGCCCAACCAATTCTCGCGAGTAATGACCACGACTAGACTTGGCAGTTTTGGTTCGAATTTCAATTCTTGTGTACATATTCCATATCTTTGCTGTTGTTTCTTACTAGACAAGGTTATAATGTTGGCGCAAGACACCACATTACACATGGCACATGTCACGGCACAGGCTAGATGGCACGGCCATGTACAAACCAGCCAAGACACCTTAATCTGTATATCATATGTCCAATGCTGCTCTCTACGCGATTCCTTCTCAACTGTGTGATGCAGAGAGTGAGTGAGGACCAAGTCGGCTAAACACTAAAAGACCCAAACTGTACTTTTGCAGGACGAGCCACGAGACGGCTCCCAAGACCTACAAGACGAGTCGAAGATGCGCAGGTGCAAAAGATGGGTCATCCTCTTCGATTTTATCCATACAATCCAACGTGCGCAGCGCTATTAGTATTTCAGCATTTCGTTAATTCGTACGCCAGGATCATGAAGTTTATTGTATCCAAGCGAAGCTATCCAGAGGCACTACACTCTCCAGAACAATCAAAACAGTTGCGTTCGTCACTCTGGGCAGGCGAGCCTACTTCGCAAGCCTTGGCCGGCGTGGATCGCTAATCTACAGTGCATCGTAGAACACATTACTCAAAACATGTCTCCCACCCAACACGCCCTTCTGGTTCGCCTTGCACACTGTATTTGGTGCTCTAAATCCTACTCTCTTCCCGCTCAGCGGACTGGTTTCAGATAGCTGGCACGCAACTCGTTTGCTCTTCAAGGGTTGCACGTTGCGGTTGCCACCCGCGCTCGCATCAGTGATGTCCCTTAGAACCTTGCGCTTCTTAGTCGGACTAGGTGTGGGGCTTCTGGGAGCTGCAAGGACGCGATCAGACTGCCGCATGACAGAACCGGGTGTTTTGCTCAACTGTGAAAAGCCTTCGTCGAATGCATGGCCATCCAGCATATCTCTGTCCACATCGATGACCCATCCTTGGCAGCGACAAAGCGACACCATGTCCCGGAGCAGGTCATTGGTGGAGAGCGTCATCTCGCTACCCAGAATGATGAGCTTACTCCGTGCCCTAGTGAGTGCGACATTGATCCTGCGCCGGTCCTTCAACAAATCTCCCACTACACCGTTTTCGTTGCTGCGCACACAAGACACAATCACCACTTCTTTGTCTCGACCTTGGAATTTGTCGGCCGTGTGAAGTTCCACAGCCGGAATCTCGGGACCTGTATTGGCTGTTGCAGAGTCACTAGTTTGCGTTTTAGTGTTGGCAGAGCTCAGGGAAGAACGCAAGAGGGCCAACTGGCTGCGGTAGAACGCGATGATGCCGACCTCGTCGGCGGGAACGCCCAAAGACAAGAGTGAGAGTGTGAGCTGTGTCGCCAAGCGTGATTCTGTGACGTTCGTGATGCGAGATCCAGATTGAGCTTCAAGGTGAGTCGAGATCGAGTCCGTGTTAATGAATACCACGGGAGCAGACGGGGATATTGACCGAGACAACCAGCATACCGTAGACGTAGGACCAGGGCACATAAGATTGAGAAGAGAGTTTGAGGAGTGGTGCCTCTGATAAAAGTGGTCGAGCCCAAGTCCATTGGGAAGACTCAGTTGTCGTGATGCAACGGAAAGTGTCCCGCATTTGAGTCGGCCAGAGTAAATGAATGTGTTTGAGAGGAGCATAATATCAGCACACATGCGATACTGGTGCTCCAGACTAGTGACAGCGCCGGGATGAGCTTCGCATAGTAGTCTGAAGAGGGAGATGTCGAGGCCTCCTTCTTGGGCCTGTTTGTTTTGAACAAGTGGGGGGAGCTGGTAGTGATCGCCAACGAGAACGAACTTTTCGGCCATACGGATCGGCCCTAAGCAGACAGGTAAAGTGATTTGGGATGCCTCATCGACGATGCAATAATCAAAAACGCGTTGGTTGAATATTGGGTGGTTGATAGTCAAGCAAGTAGTGGCAACGACGGGAGGATCCATCCAAGAGTTCTTCAGCTCCTGAAGGCTGTCTTTCGAGCCGGCTGCCAAGGTGGCAAACTCGCGCACCTCTGGGTGTATTTTGGTCGGTGCCCCGAGACGTAGGATATCCATTTTGTCGTTACGGAGTTTTAGTAGAATGTTATCAACTGCTGTATGTGTATACGATGTAAGGAGCACACTCTTACCCTTAGCTACAAGCGTTCGGATGATGTGCGCAATTGTGGTCGTTTTTCCAGTTCCAGGCATACCAAGAATGAGGGCATAGTCATTGGCTGACATGACCTTCGATATCGCAGCGTGTTGATCTGCATTCATGTTGTTCCCGTTTGAATGTGAAATGGTCTCGGGTTGAGTCTCGAAAGTTGGCGGTCTGCCTTCGACGATCAAAGAGCGGAGAGTTTTGGCCTTGTGAACGCTATCATCCATGATCTGGATAAGGTTGTTACGAGCAGCGGCCATTCCGTTACTAAATTCGTCTTTGTCCAGCCGATATGAAACCGGCTCCTCGGCTACGTGAAATTCTGGCTGGGTGGCAACGTCTTTCTCGACTTCCATGATGCCGGCGAAAGTCTGATTTGTCTCTGAATCAAAACCTGGCAGTCTAGTGCGGGTGTTGTGCAAACGTCTATCAACGGCAACAGTGATACGACGCTTCCGTACATTGGTCACATAGCCGTTAGCGAGAGCAAAATGGCCTTCCTCGTCAGATATAACAATAGGTTCACCTATGACGAGTTGGGACTCTGTGAACGAGAACCCGGGTTTTACTTGCGGCTTAATGAAGGTGTACGTGTATCGGTTGATCTTCTGGCCGTTCTTTTCCTCATGTCCAGAACCAGGCTCCAAGACGACATTAGCAAAGCAACGGCCAAGTTTTTCACGTTCAGCGCTGAGCATGCTCCACAGCTCCCGTCTGAACTTCATCATATCAGACTCCTCCTTGGTAAGAAGCGTGTCCCACTTCTTCATGAAGGCCTGATCGGACACCTTGAGAGACTTGACAAGCTCATCGAAGCGCTCTTTTGCCTTTAGATTTAGACTTTCACCTTGACCATCTTCGACCAACTTGTGGTATAAGAAACATGACTCCTGAGCGTAACATTTCTGGCATTTGAAGTCTTGGTTCAAGAGAGGTGGTAGCTCAATGCGATCCCTGACGTAACACGCAAGCTCGTTGCGTTTGATAATCATATGGATGATATCTTCGCGAATGGTTGGAATGCGGCTGGTATCGGATGATTCAAGATAATACAAAATACCATAAGCAACATTGATATCTGAGGAATTAGTAAGCGAGGGAGCCATAGGAATGTGTTGCAGAATACTTACCATAACGATTAGATAGTAACAGACTGTAAAGAGCAGTCTGCGCAACATGTGCAAAATTTGCAGAGGCTCTTCCCGTCTTGATCTCGAAGGGTACGGTAAGAGTTCGCTCCCCTTGGTCATCTTGCACAGTTACCTGTACAGTTGCATCGATATTGCCTTTCAGCCCATACATGGGAGACCAAACGTGCTGTTCCACATCCAGTAGTTTGTTGACACTCAGTATTGACTGTTTGCCGCTTCGTTCGCGAACGATAGCATCTTCCTATTAGATTATTAGCACCAGCTCAGCAACTCCAGGGAATAACCTACCTTGGGTCGCGCGCGGACGAAAAGCTCAGCCCATGATTGCATCTCAGGCAGCTTGCTGGCTAGATGTGCTTTGACTTCTTCACAACTAGAGTCAATCTCTAGGATGGTCTCATATTTGCTGGGTAGCAAGCGATCGATGATCTCCAGAAAAAACTGGGTATCCCAACGGTTCTCCTTGAGAGCTTCCTGGAACAATTCGTGCAATAGGGTTCCATACAACATAGGGGGGTTAGCGTTACTAGTTGCCTTGATACGGTCTTGGAGAACCGCTCGCCTGAGGCAGCCGAAGGAGTCCGCAACCACTGTCGCCGAAATGAGATGATCGGGGTGAAGAATGATCATGTTGTGATTGTTGTCAACGACGCATTCACCTGCGTTCGAGAATTGCCCAATGACGTGAACGAACGAGTCCGGAGTACACGGCGTGTCATACCAAGCTTCTCGCAAGACAATGATTTTGAAAAGTTTCGTCCTCTCTTCTTCGACAAGAAGTATCTGCTTGGTGTCAGCAGCAGCATCGGTAAAGGTTTTAGGGCGAGAAACTTCCGCACCTTTTGGGGTAATTTGATGTTTCTCTCGGTTACCCAGAATCTTTCATCCACTGATTTAATCAGATATCGCTGGATAGTTCTCGTATCATGCTGGCTCTTGATTATTAAGCTTTCATTCGCGGTTCTCATCATCATGGTCTACTACGTACAGTGGTAACAGGCGCTTGGGTAGCTGCAATCTCGGCAGCAGCAAATTCGTCAGCGTCTATATCATCTCCAAATTCATCGTCATCGTCTATCAGAGAGATGACTGGCGGAGCTGACACAGTTTCGCTAGTAAACATATTTTCTTGTACATTCAACACCGACTCGGTCTGAAGTCTACCCGGTGAAGCTTCGGGCCTACTGTCATACAATGAAGCAACGTGTTCTAGATCTGCAGCCAGTATCTCTTCATCTAGCCCAAATTCGTCGTCATCGCTTGGGTCGTCCACTACAGGAGAAACCATCACGCGAGAAGATCCAGTATCCAAGAAATTATTCTCAAGCTGAGCTTGGTGGTGAACCTGATTGTTGAGAGGTCGGGGTAAGCGTTGTGTCGAGGTATCCAGGACATTGACCATAACGGCGTCCAGATCCGGATCTCCGAAATCATCTGAAGAAGAACTGAAGGACTTCTGCGCGACCTCTGTGCTGCTCTGAAAATCGGGTAGGACAGTCTTGCTTTCTGCCAAGGCCTCGGGTTGGGGTTGAGTGGGATGATTCGGGTTACAAACAAATCGTTTCAAAGGCGAATCGATAGCAGTCATTGCTAGTCGGTCAGGATCAGGGAGCGGAGAGGAACTGGAGGGCATCTGCATACAATCTCCTATGCGAGGAGAAGGTATCGTATCGCGCATCTTTTGCATCATGAGGGCCAGTTTCGACTTCTCTGGTACATTGCCTTGGCCATTGAAGGCTCCATCTGAGCTTGGTTGACCAAAAACATCTTCGCGAAGTTCTTCCATCGGCTCAAAAGTGCCGACTACCTTCCGCTTTTTCCTGGTTGACGTTGGGAACTCCAGGCCACAGCTGGCCCACCGACGCAAACCACTCACGCTCCCCGCCGTTGCAGAGGACCGAGGCGAAGCTTCACTAATGAGATGGGCAAAGGCGACGTTCCTCCTGCTCGGGGTGTCTCTAGTGTTTGTGTAGCGGTTCCATAGTTCCAGAACGGGGTCGGCTTGGGGAGTGCGCAATTCTCTGAGGGGCGGTTCCTGCGGCCTCTGGTCATCCTGGGACGGTGCGACGGGTGATGAGCTTCTAGCCCTCTTTTGCTTGCGCGGCAAGGGGGTATGTACGGGTTGGGAGCCGCGCCAGCAAAGCTGCTCCTCTGGTGAGACGGCGTGATTGCGGTTGTAGCGATCGGAATGGTCAACGTTGCCTATCAATTCGGCAAGCGGTAATCTCGTGGCTGGGGTAGAGGGAGGAGGGCCAATCTTGAGAGATGCCGTCTTTGGATCTGGGGTTCTGGCAGTGTTTTTGGCCGTGGAGTCCACAGGTGTATCGGTCTTTGACATGTTGTGGTCGGGCACGGAAAGGCTGGGGACAAATTGGAATTTGTTTAGTTTGGCGCGGGTCTGGGAGGAGGGCAAGATGGGAGGACCGGACACGACGTGACGGTCAGGAGGGGCGCCGTTACTGTAGTTGCGCTGGCGGTGCCATTGGTGCTTGGAGTGCTGTAGGGAAATAGAGTGTCAGCCACCAATCAACACATGTAGGTAGAGATGTGAAGACGGTTCGGATTCAGCAGCGTGTACAGTAGTAGTATGTGTGTATAGCTAAGTACATGTATGTGTATCCAACGGCATATGCAATCGAGGAAGAGGACAAGCGGGGCGAACAAGTGGGGTGTATGTAAGTCAACAAGTACATGAGTAAGTAGGTGAGTGAAGGAGTGAACAAGTAAGTACCTTTTGGTGGTGGAGTTGATCAAAAAAAGACGTTTGACGCGTCATTGAACATTTGCGTGCATTGGGCGGCGCGTCGGTCGAGCGAGATGGAGGGAAGCGGGCGGGCGAGCTGGAGGGAAACGCGCCCGTGGAGCGCCATTGCCGCAAACGGCTTAGCTGGGCGCTAGCGGGGCTAGGGAGTCTTATCGATTGACGACTCGAGCCAAAACGGCCTAGTGCCATCCCACGTTCAACCCGCAGGTCTCGTGTCATGCCCGTCAACCGCCTGCATACTTAGGTAAGCACTGTACTTGGTACCTGGAGTACCGGCCTGCATACTACGGATTACTACCCAGGTACACAAATTGTTACTACCTCTTCTTCCGCCTGTCCTCCTTCTCTTCCTTCTTCCCCTCTTCACCCCTCCTCCATCGGCCTTTTTCGTCCCATTCATCATGGCGACCGAACCGAAACCTCTTCCTTTCGTCTACCAATTCGCCGCGGGTGAGTCGTACTGAACCGCTGCTCCTTGTCTGGCAGCTCGACACCCACTTTCCATGCATCCATGTATGCATTGAGCTTTCACTAACAAACCCGGGTGGGAACAGGGGCCGTTGCGGGCGTGTCTGAAATATTGATCATGTATCCATTAGATGTAAGCTCAACCCCCCATTCCCACATCATAGCACGTACACCTTGCTGACAGATTATACAGGTTGTCAAGACCCGAGTGTAAGCCATTGCGAGTCGCTCACTACTCGACAACGCTCCTAACCGTTCAGACAATTGCAGACAGGGAAGGGCACGTCCGAGGAATCATACAATGGCATGGTAGATTGCTTCAAGAAGATTATCAAAAATGAAGGGTACACATAGATTCACTTCACCCTCTGCCATTGTCTCGCACTCTGAACTGACCCTGTTCTTCAGTGCTTCCAGATTGTACCGCGGCATCTCCGCGCCCATCCTTATGGAGGCTCCCAAGAGGTAGGCAGTCGAGGAATTCACCTACCGGTGCCTCGTCGTCACTTAATAACCGTGGTATCCAGGGCTACAAAGTTCGCCGCCAACGACTCCTGGGGCGCTTTTTACCGCGATCTCTTCGGCCAAGCCAAGATGAACCAATCGCTTTCCATCTTGACAGGCGCAACCGCTGGTGCCACCGAATCTTTTGTTGTCGTGCCTTTCGAACTCATCAAGATTAGACTTCAAGACCGCGCCCAAGCCCACAAGTACAATGGTATGGTGGATTGTTTCACCAAGATTGTGAAAAACGAGGGTCCTTTGACTCTCTACCAGGGACTTGAGTCAACCATGTGGCGACACATTCTTTGGAATGCTGGATATTTTGGTTGTATTTTCCAAGTCAGAGCGCTCCTGCCCAAGGCTAGCGACAAGAAAGGTCAGATCACCAACGATTTGATATCCGGCGCCATTGGTGGCACTGTTGGAACTATCTTGAATAGTAAGTCAAATTAAAATTTTGGAAATAAATCCACCCAGTCAAAGCCAGAAGCTAACAATGGACACAGCGCCGCTGGATGTGGTACGTGACAACATGCTTTTCCGTTGAAGTCGGATGAGCTCGGCTTGCTGACTTGGTCATTGCAACATAGGTCAAATCCCGCATTCAGAACTCCCCCAAGATTGCCGGAACCGTTCCCAAATACAATTGGGCCTTCCCTGCGGTAGGAACTGTGATGCGCGAAGAAGGGTTCTCCGCCTTGTACAAAGGTTTCCTACCCAAGGTACTCAGGCTCGGCCCCGGCGGAGGTATCCTACTTGTCGTCTTCACGGGTGTCATGGACTTCTTCCGGCAAATGCGCGGTGAAGCTGTCTAGGCCAGAAAGAAGAGATGTCAGCTTTGCTTTTGGATGGAGAGAGAGAGAGAGAGAGAGAAAAGCCATATTCGGTGGGTCTGGGCGCTAGCCAAAGGTATATAGACTGTACATGCTGTGTGCTCAGCTGTCTGCGAGGTAAATCTAGAACCGATTGAGGACTGAACATCCCAGTCCTCAAACAAGATCCCAATGATAAGCTCGTTCTACCTACCTATAGGTTTTTTTTTTGAAAAATGGTGAAAATTTTACACCTCGGATGAACAAAAGCAGACAATTTCTTGTATACATGAAGAACCCACATGACGATTTCACCTAGCAGAACTTTTGATTGGGCGTTCCCCAGAGGCGGTGATCCGACCCCGGCTTAACCTACAAGTACATGTTGTCTAAAATGCAGCGTGTGGATCTATCTCGAGTACAGCAGGTTCTCCAGCGTACGTACATCAGAGCCCGTGCTTTTATGCCGCAGTCCGGTCGGGTAGGCTCATTGGACCAGAAAACCTGCTCTGCAATTCCGCAACAAGGTTCGCCTTCTCCACCAGAATGCCAGCCTTATCCGCGTGACCGTCCGGCAACCCCATTTCTTTGATTTTGACCTTGCCATCTTTGAGTTCATCTTCGCCTAGAATCACGCACCAGGGAACCTTGGAGTTCTCCGCTGCCTTGAACTGGTTCTGCAGCTTGGGCTTCACTTTCCACATGTACTCTGCTTTAATGCCCGCATCCCAGAGGGCCTTTGCAATTTCCATGCGCTCAGGCAATAGACCCGTGTAATCCTTGCCGCCGAATGCCATGACAAACACGTCGACCTCGTTGGGTCGGATGATTTGATCCGAGGCCAGGCGCGATTTCGTGATGGAGAAGATGCGATCGACTCCAAAAGAGATGCCGACACAAGGAATGGGTTTACCGCTGAACATCCCCACAAGCTCGTCATAGCGTCCCCCTGCTGCAACGGAACCCACGCCTATTGTAGGATCGCTCGACCGGTCCTCATCTGGATCTGCGCTCTTCTTCTGTTTCTTCTCCTTCTTGGCAACGTCTTTTGACGACGCTGAAGGTGCCGAACCTTCTGTTACCACTTCGTAGATTACCCCCGTGTAATAGTCCAAGCCACGGGCTAGTGACATGTCGATCGAAAGACAAGGGAGAACGTCGAATATTTCCAGATAGTCGCAAAGGGTGGCCATTTCCTCCAAGCCTTTGCTTGCAGACTCATTGGCCTGAACTTCAGGAATGCCTTGCAGCTTTGTAACGACTTCGCGGCCGCCTTTGAGTTGCGCAAAAGTCCAGATCTTGTCGGCGACATCGGGCTCTAAGCCTTTGTCCTCGACCATTTCTCGTCGTACCTCTTCCCAAGGAGACTGCCAAAGTTAGCGACCGTAATTCCAGTATCAAAAATAAAGACCGACCTTGTCTAGTTTGTCCACAGCACTGCTTATCGACCGTATCTTGTCCTCTGGAACGCCGCAAATCTGGAAAATTCCATCAAGAATTTTCCTGTGGTTGATTTTGATTGTGAACTTTCCCTTCCACTCGGGTAGCTCCTCGAAAACCTCCTTGACAATTCTAAGGATCTCAGCATCGGGGAGCATGGAGTCATACTGGCCCGCGATATCAAAATCGCACTGGTAGAATTCTCGCATACGCCCCTTGGTCATTGCCGGCTGATCTCTTCGATAAACTTTGGCGATGTGGTAACGCTTAATATTCTGGACGGCATTCTGGGCGCAGAAGCGTGCGAAGGGAACAGTCAAGTCGTAGCGCAACGAACATATTTCACCACCTTGATCTGCGAGATCATAAATGAGTTTGCTATCCTCGCCGTATTTGCCTGTGAGGGTTTCTTTCAACTCGAATACAGGACTGTGTGAAGTCAGCGGCAGTGACCGAGGTGCGATATCGAGGGCTCCTACGTATCTATCGTTACGCCGCCGTGGCGCCTGTGTTTGTAGCTCAGCAATCAATTCCATGAGGAAGCGAAGAGGTTCAATCAACGTACTTGAAAACAGTGGTAATAGCAGTGAAGATGCGCTCACGTAGAACGACATCGGTTCCCGACCCTGCGCGTCAATCAGCACAGGTGCGACGGAGAAGCGCAACAGCTGGCATACAGTCCCTCGTGCCCTTGGGCGTCTTGAGCTGGAAGTTGCCTTTGCCTTCCTTGCCCTTGCCTTCCTTGCCCATGACGGCGTTGGGTGGTGTATCGTGTGCGGCACGTCGAACCGCAGTAGTGTGTAGTCGACTCTGGTGAGATTGGGCGACAAGCGTAAAAGGATGGCGTGGGGTAGTGGCAGGTGCACGGAAAGGGAGCAAAGATGTGGAATGGCGAGGAAGTGAAAAAGGTACGAGCGTGCCGGCACGACGCAGAATGTTTAGGCAAAGCACTGGATGGTGGGGCATGGGTGGATGGCGGGGGAGGTGACTCCAAACAAAAATTATGCTGACTTCGCGACCTCCTCGTTCGCGCGCCTGGATTACGTAACCGCGCCAGTCTCACAATAGGCACTGTGCATAGATACCATCTTTCACTTCAAATGCTGCTCTCCTACGGCATACATGTGCACACATGTGTCTTGCAATCATTACATGTATCATTATACTATTTAAACAGCACATACATCCTATGATATTGTGGCGAAGGTTGGTCACTATTGAATACCTAGGTACTTGCTTGTCGTACCAACCGCTCCCATCCCAGAGTCCAAAATAATAGCAAACATCGCTGAATTAATCTACATAAACTCCATCGCTTATGCACTGGTATATATCCACATAATAGAGACCAAATTGTAAACCAACTGAAATTATGGATTCGAATATACAGCGCCTTCGCAACCGTACCGAAGCCAAAAAAAAAAAAAACGCAAGCATGTTTGTCGACGTGACTATTGCCCGTAAACAGCAGAGTTCTGGCGTGTGCTGGCAGCACTGTTTGATGAGGTAGGGGTATCACTGCTCGGTGTAGCTGGCTCGAGTGAAAGTTGTGCGCGTAAAGCCATGATCCAGTCATGCTGTAGCAGCTCCACCGCCGAAGCTCGCTGCGCAGGGTCGCGTTCAAAGCATCGTTTCAGGAAGTCGATGCCTTGATCGCTGAGTTGATCCTTGGAAGGAAGCTGGGGAGGGTCGCCTTGAGCAATGTGGTACATGATCGCCCATTCGTTGTCCATGCTCGCCCAGGGTCGCCGACCCGTCGCCATCTCGAGGATGACGCAGCCCAGAGACCAGATATCGACTGCCCCGTGGCGGCCTAGGCTTGTGCCACGAATCACTTCGGGAGACATGTACATGGGCGTTCCAGTCATCGATCGCTGTCGCCCCTGCCTGGCAGCATCGTGTTCAGCAGCCAAAGTCCTTCCTTGGCGTGCAATTACCTTGGCAGCGCCAAAATCAACGAATTTGATGACACCGTGTTGATCGAGCAGGATATCTGTGTGGTCTTGGTCAGTAAAATCATTGAATTGGGCAGGGAGCCGTTTCTTACTTTCGGGCTTGATGTCCCTATGGACAACAAGCGAGTCGTGAAGATATGCGAGCCCTTCCAGCATTTGCAGAGCATACACCTGGATGACAGTTTCGTCTTCGATTCTGCCGTGCTCTAGCAGCCCTGCCAGCGAGCCTCCAGAACAATACTCCATGAAAATATATACCTTATCTCGATGGGGTTCGATTCCATAGTAGGAAACGATATTGGGATGATCCAAAACCTGTAGCACACCCATCTCATCTCTGATCTGGGCAACAATGGTAGGAATCAACTGGGGGTCCTGAAGGCGAATTTCTTTGACGGCCATGAGATGACCAGAATCGAGGTTCATAGCTGCATACACAGAACCGAATGTGCCACCTCCAACGAACTGGCCCTGCTGCCACCGCACTGTCACATTGGAAGCAGACGATGATAGATAGGTCAGCGCTCTGTCTGCTTCATTCGAGTCTTCCAATACTCTCCCCAGAGTTTGTCGCTCGGCTTCCTTCTCCTTTCTGATCACGTCGATTTCTTCCAATCTTTGCATCCACTGCTCTTGAGTCACTTGGATCGATTCTTCATCGTCCTTCATGTTCTTGGGATCTAGAAATGACTTCCCGGCAAGTGCATTGAGTCGTTGCCTTTCGGCATGGGCGGCGATCGTAGACCTAGCTCCCATGATATCGAAATGAGAGATCAGTACAGACATGCAACCAGCAACTTTCAAGCGAAGTTTCGAGTATTCCTCGTTACTAATGGAGAGTATGTTCTGTCCTCTGGTCATCATCATCGCAAACTCCAATGCAACCACCGCCCATCGGAATGTCTTGCGGTCCGACGCAACGCAGTCATCACAGATGAAGCTGACCCAGTCCAGAGCCAGTCGGGTCAATTTGATGTTGTTCATGGCACGTCGGTTGTAGTCCATGTAGAGCAACGAGCGTTGCCCAAACTCGGTAGCAAATGCGAAACAAGTTTGAATAAGATCTTGGCAATCGATTCCAACCGTCTGATTTCGCACAATCTCGACGCTATCCATGATAGTGTTGGATAGCTTGTACGCTGTCTTTTTGATCTTCTGCAACTCTTCATTGACACGACGAAGATTGGCTCTCTGGTCGATCAACGTGTTCAAATCCGTGCCGATTGCGTGCAGAAACGATGCATTGGCGTTGGCGAGACGCTGCTGAGAACCGTCAGCAACTAGTCGAAGCCTGCCAGGCTTTACGTCAAGGTGTGGGGTTCGAATGTTGGCGCTTAGCTTCTTTCCGGTCCAGTACATTGACTCTTCGGGTCTGATGATCAGCGCGTACGGGTTGGATGGGTCCTCGGGATTCTCCTCTGCGTGATAGCAGGTGGTCAGTAGTGACTGGATGTCTTTTGGGCGGTCCTGCAGAGCAGGTGAAGCGATGATATATAGACCAGAATTATCGCCTCCAGATGTTTCGACCAGGAAATGGTCGGTGGCGATCAGCGATTCATATAGATCGTTGAGCTGCTCCTGATCCAGATCGATATGATTGATGTTGTACTCGGTGCAGTTTTCGAATCGCTGAGTGAGAATTCTGGAGAAACGAAACAGCTTTCGTTGCCGTACACGGACAGAGTCCAAGATTTGTTTATACCTTTTTTTCATCTCGGCACCGTTGAGTTCATCTGGTCTGCGTTGCAGCTCCTTTTCGAAATGAGCCGTCAAGCGTGCTAGAGACTTGGAAGTCAGCGAGCTGAATTGCTCGGCTGTCTCTACGTCACCCCCCTCAAGTTGGCGGCCGAGCTTATTGGAAAATTCCCATTCCTGTTCCAGGATCTCAGCTTCTTTGAAAGTATTCTTGTTTGCTGACAGTTTCCAGTTCAACATCTTGAAGTAAAATTTCAGGGCATCCAACACTACGACATCAAAATTCTCTTCGATGCAGGGGGGCAGGTCCCACCCAGGTTCGGGTCGAGATATGACAATGTAACTCTCTTTGATTTTGCCAGCGAGTGTGAGGAGGATCTGGAACTGCGAAATCATCTGCTCTGCCATTAGGACGCCTTGCTGAGCAGGATCACGAATCTTCTTGGCATATGACAGTCGCATGCGAATGATTTCCTGGAGAAGTCGAGAAGGAAAGTTGATCAAGGTGAGCAACTCCTCGATATATGGTGGCAGATGGCGATCGACAAAACTCTCCGCATTGGCAATGAGGGTAGCCTTGGCTTTGTGAATCACCTTTTCCAAAGCAACCAATAGACTTCTTTCGCCCTGCAACGATTTAAGGCCGTCCTCCTTCAGGATGCGATCGATGAAGGAAGAGTCATCTGTGAGGTGGTGGTCTTGCGATGATCTGGCTCGAGGCTTGGAAAAATCCAGTTCGTCGTTGCCGACCCATTTCTTCAGAATGGACATTTCGGTGTTTATGAGATCGGTGGTGTTGTTCCAAGCAAACACGGCGTCGCACGCGTCTTTATAGGCCTGCGAAGCTGCTCTGGGGTGAGCCAACTCTAGAGCCTGTCTTGTGGGGAACAGGCTCTCGATATTGTCAATCTTCTTGACGACCTCATTCACCTGGGCGGCCGCGGTCTGACCGGCCTCGGCGGCGCCTTGCACTTCGAAGGTGATTATACTCTCCAGCTCTGTGCGAATTCCCGCCCGCTTATCGTCGACCAGACGCCTCTGAGACTGCACCGACCTTCCGGTGACTTTGGCGCGAACTCCCATCCATATTTCCGCTTTGAGTGTACTGTCACCTTGTTGCTCCGTGCTGCCGATCAACCTCTTCTTCTCTTGTTTGACGACATCCCCAGTCAAAACACTAGCCAACATGGAGTGCCACTCCAGTCTTTCCCGGTTCGCAGGGATCTTGAGCTCCTCGACAGATGGCTGCATGTCGTCGTTGCCATAGTAGAGCAACGTCTCTTGATCATAGGGGTCGTTCTCGGCATAGTCGGCCGTGGAAGGAGACTCGTCTTCCTCGGAATCGGTATCCGTGCTATAGCCGCCCAGGCTCGGGGTGCGTACATCGCTAAAGAAGTCTTCCTGCTCGTTTTCCTGGCGAATACGCTGCACGTAAGCCTTCTCCTGAGCACGATACTCGGCATTGGGGTTGCGGCGGGCGCGATTGGTCGAGGGGGTGCGATGGCGATTGGAAGAGTTGAGACTGAACTGCTGAGGCCTTCTGGCAGGAGCATATGCGTTGCTGGGCGTTCGAACTGCAGCGGGGCGAGGGGTGCGGCCGCTGCTCATGCCGTTTGTCTGGATGGGGGGTGGTTCCCGCGGGCGAGAGGACTGGCCTCCACTCCAAGTGTAGGCTGCGCCGGTTTCTGGGGCTTCCTCGATGGGCGTCGAAACGGGGGGAGCAAACGAGTACTCGCCAAGGCGTTGTTGGGACGCGTCCTGATCGGATTCTGACTCTGGCGACTCGGAACCAGACGAGTCGTTGGCGACAGGCCCGTTTATCACGGTAGGGATCATTTCGGCGGCAGCGGGAGCGGGAGCAGCGTTTCTGTCCAGAAAGCGCACGCCTCTGGATATGGGCTCGTGGCTCATGGAAAGATGCGAACCAACATGTGGCGATGGATGATGGTCGACTGGTGGTTAGTTCCATGGCATGCCACTAGCGGCCAAGATGATCCAATCTGTGGCGTCGGGCGTGTGGCGGTGCGCCCTCTTCCTTGATTTGACCTGGAACGTGTACATGTGTACTTGGACACAGCATGGTGTGTGAGAGAGAAGAAGAGATATGAATCAACATGATGGATCCTACCTTGCTCGCTCCCGGCGAAAGACATGAGACGCAAAACCGACAAACACGATGCGACGCCGCATGCACTTGATGGCGTGTCTCTCATCATCATCATGTTCCGATTCACATTGGTTACTTGGTCGAAAACAAATGAATCAGGCGCGAATGGGAATGGCTACAGGAACCGGGCAAGCAGGCCAGGAGGTTGAACGCATGAAGGACACATGCACGTCTTGTCGCATTCCGTGTTCAATCCGAGATGGTTCTCTATTCCATGCAGGTTGTGAGACGTGACAAGGGCTCAGCTGCTACCTAGATATGTACCTACTTGGCCACCTACCGGAAAAGTAAAGAACAAGATGAACAGCGCGACAGGCACGAGAAAGGGGGACCAACGGGATTCTTGGATGGAGACAGGGCAGGCTGCAACGGCATGTAGCAATTTGATTCACCTGCCTGTGCGAACCGTGTTTGCAGATGGCGCCGTCCGCCGTGTAGGGTCAATAGATTGATAGATGTGTAGTTGTCCCAACGGTCAGGCGTGGTGGTACGAGAAGGTCGAGGACTTGATTGTACATGGGTTATGGAAGCACTGCAGCAGCCAGAAAAACGAGAAGCAGTCAATGAAAGAGCAGATAAGATTGATACGGGCTGGAGCGCCACGGCCCAGTCCAGAGTAGGGGCTGGCATGGGGAACGGGGATTGCCAGGCTCGGCCGGCAGGGATACTGATAAGAGAGGCGCAAAGGACAGGCCCACACAGTCTCGCGCCTTCGTATCCTTTTCTGTGTTTGATTTGTTTTACTTTTTGTTTTATTATGCCAGCGGCGAATCGATGATGATAGCGGCGGCGGCGGCGGCCGTGGTGGTGGTGGTGGTGGTGGTGGTGGTACCAAGTTTGTGTACAGTCTTGAGTCGATTGATTGCCCCTGTTTTTTCTTTTTCTATTCCATCGGGGCGGGGAAACTGTGAATGAGTGGATACTTGGGAGTGATCATGTCCATATACGTATGCATATATACATGGAGGAAGCGAGAAAGAGAGAGGATTGAGCACTTGGATACATGTAGTTCTCTGCATGCAGCATCATCAATTCTCATTACTAGCGCTATCATGATTCTATGATTAGCCCATGCCTAAACCGGCCGGGAGGGGGCCAAGAGTGTCCCACGGCGGCGGTTCCCAGTACAGTACAGTACAGTACAGAACAGACGAAACCCCCAAACATCTCATCCACACCCACTCCAGCCTTCCTGGGTGCTTGGACATCCCACACGCGCACACGCCGTGGCTGGCTCGCATCATCCGTCTGGGGCATGCAGATACTGGTCTTGGGTCCTAATGTCCGCCGCCCCCCCGGCTTATACACAACAGTACATCAATACCTACATACATACATAGGCAGGCACTCAGTCCCCTGCTCGGTCTTTGCGTCCTCCACCGCGACCCCGATTCCACTGCTCCCCTACCGCCCTCTACCACCCTCTATAAACCGGATCCACCCTCCTCTGCACCCTCACCTCTCCCCGCCAATCTGTCCGTCGCGACGTTTTCTTCCTTGCGACAGTCATCATTGCCAGCCCTGGAATGTGAAGTGGCCTTCCCCTCATTCTGTCCGCTCTCTCGTGTGCACACACATCTCCGTTCCTTTTCATCTCTGCATTGCGCTGCCGACCGACCGCCTTGATTCTTTGCCTGTTCGCGAAACCAGCCTGCTATAGTTCTACTTCTGCCCGTTCCGCCCTTCCGTCTTGGTTTTTTCCCATCATTTTTCTCTCCCCCGAGTGAGATCGCAGACAAGAGAAAAAAAAACCCCCAATACGCTCCTACCATCAGCATCATCATGGACCCCACAATACCCCTGGAGCCGTACAATAACGCTACTGCCACTGGCGGAGACTCCAAGCTGTACAATCTAAACGTCTTCTACAATGTAAAACCCCGCTCACCACTCCACGTTGGCGCCGTCGACCACTAACATGCCCAGGCTGGCGATATCGCGTGGATGCTCACATCCACCGCTTTGGTGCTTCTCATGATCCCCGGGGTTGGGTAGGCAAAACAATCTGTTCCAGACAATCCATCTCAGCTAACAAGCCCACAGCTTCTTCTACTCTGGCCTGGCTCGCAGGAAGTCTGCTCTGTCCCTGCTGTGGCTGTCCGTCATGTCTACAGCCGTGGTATCTTTCCAGTGGTTCTTCTGGGGCTATTCGCTGGCCTTCTCCCACAACGCCGGCAAATTCATCGGCGCACTTGACAACTTCGCCCTGCAAGGCGTACTTGCTGCTCCATCAGTCGGAAGCGATCGCATCCCGGATATCCTCTTCTGCCTATACCAGGGCATGTTCGCTGCCATCACGTAAGTTACCAATCCGTCTCGGCTACCGCTTCCGTGAACTGGTCTGACTTCATTGCAGCGTTGCTCTGGCTGTGGGCGCCGTTGCCGAGCGCGGTCGCATGCTACCATGCATAATCTACATGTTTGTCTGGACCACTATCATCTATGACCCCATCGCTTGTTGGACCTGGAATCCCAAGGGCTGGGTGTATCAAAAAGGCGGTCTCGATTTCGCTGGTGGAACGCCCGTCCATATTGCGTCTGGCTGCGCTGCTCTCGCTTACTCCTACATGCTCGGGAAACGCAAAGGTCACGGCACACAGGAGCTCAACTATCGCCCACACAATGTCACCCACATCGTCACTGGGACTGTTTTTCTATGGGTAGGTTGGTTCGGCTTCAACGCCGGCTCTGCTCTGTCAGCCAATCTGCGCGCTGTCATGGCAGCTGTCGTCACAAACCTTGCAGCTTGCGTTGGGGGCATCACCTGGTGCCTTGTGGATTACCGCCTGGAGGGTAAGTGGTCAACGGTAGGATTCTGCAGTGGTGTCATAGCAGGACTCGTTTGCATTACCCCTGGATCAGGATTTGTTCCTGCATGGGCAGCCGTCGTATTCGGCGTTTGCGGAGGCATCATGTGCAACTATGCCACGAAGCTCAAATATTTCCTGCGCTGTGATGATGCGCTCGACATCTTCGCTGTACATGGAGTCGGCGGGTTTGTTGGCAACATCCTAACCGCCTTCTTTGCTGCGTAAGTTTACTCGATGCGTACTACTCCAAGTGTAGCAGCTTACCTGCGCCCAGTGATTACATTGCGCATCTTGACGGCTACACCGAGATTCCTGGAGGCTGGCTCAACCACCACTATATTCAGCTTGGTTATCAACTTGCCGACTCTGTCACCGGCGCCGCATACTCTTTTGCCGGAACCTGCCTGATTCTTGCTTGCCTCGATATGATTGGAAAGTTTATACCTGTCTTCAAACTTCGTGCTAGCGAGGAAGAGGAGGTCTTGGGCATTGATGATGTCGAAATCGGCGAGTTTGCTGTAAGTGGCTTTACCATCCTCATCGAGTTACCTTTCATTGACACATCATAGTATGATTACGTTGAGCTCACTCGGGATGTCGAAATTCCCGATGATGTTGACGAAGGTCTTTCGACCCACTCCCTCGAACCCCACGCTTCTGCCATGGGTACACACGAGAAGACTCAAAGTGTTGACTCTGCCAATCAGCTTGCTGAATGGGCTCACCGTCCATGATGCTGATAACTTTCGTCCTGTATGATTTAGCGCTCGTTTTATACCATTTTGCCCTTCTTTGTAGGGGTTGTAATTGCAATCTGTATCTGGAAATATATAGTCAGTCCATGGAGATGAATCTATGAGGTTTATGGAAGGGGAAAAACGTGGGAGGAATGAGGTTCGGGGCCTTGTAATATTGCCTACTTACTTTATAGGTATCAACGAATTTGATGCAACTTCATACATAACTGTATGCATTGTTTCTGTGTCGTATCGTGCCTGAAGACGACCAAGAGACGTGCTGTTGACAGCAAGGATATTATATTATGTGATCGCTGTTGTTATACCCCATGGGATGAAAGATCAGCTCGAAATGCCAAGACTACGATGGACATCACTCGCATCAATCCACTAATCGGAACTTGCATTCCGCACCACCCACCACCGCCACCACCTCTTCTCACCACTCACCACTGCTACCACCGCAACAACCCTATCCACGCCTCACAATGGCCATTCTGGGAACAGGTCTCAATGCCATAGGCCTGATCTTTCTGACGCACGCGTAAGGCTAACCTGTCTCGCACTAAACATACAATGAGCAACGGCATTACCCGTGTACTTTGCTAACAGCAGATTGATAGCGTCTACTCCACTCACGAACACACCACTGCCTTTGCACATGCACCCCTCCCCCTCGATGTTACGATTGAACTTCTGATATCGATCATGATACTCTCCACCGGCATCGTCATCTCCTCGCCTCAGCTGAAACCGATACAATGGGCCAAGTGGGCTGGAAAGATACAGCGCGAGGGCAGAAAGGCAGAGGGACGCTGGACAAAAGAGGGCGAACCGATTTTGAGCGAAGGCGATCCCTACGCGTTCTTGGGTTTGGATGCCGGCATTGGGGGGAAAGCGGAAGGTAGAAGGGGTTTCTGGGATATCAGGACCAAGAGACAGGAATATGCTGAGTGGGTGAAGTCAGGGGGGAAGAACTAGGTGCCATGTGGTTGCGCAGCTCCTTAATGTCAAGTTGTAAGAGCTGGGGACACGAGGAAGAGGAGCGAGAAAACAGAAGCTAAATTTCCAGGATCTGGAACAATGAAGATTTTACCAAAAACCATTGTCCAGCTTGCTATATGTCAACGGTATACGGTGGAAACTCATAGCGTGGAGGTCTTGATTGAATGCGGTAGTTGCAGAACAGGATACGCAGCTATGCAGTTTGTTCAGACCAAACTACACGGTGAAAATGGTTGCCTGCATTCTCATCCCATCCTTTGCACACACTCAGACTACCCCTTGAAATTGTCCAAGCCATTCACGTGTATCCAGTCATCTTTTCCACAGCCTTGGACCCACAAGCATGTGTTCTGCAGGCTGTACAAGCGCTCTGTGCTTCCACATACTCTTGTACGCGCGTATCAGAATCCCGCTTCTCAGAGCCGACCTTCTTCACGTCAATGCCCGCGACCCACCACACTGCGGCCGAAATGATTTCCACGGCATGCTCGACCTCTTCAAGGTCCCGGGGGGCATAAATCAACATGAACTCCCGGGGAACAAACTTTCTGCACCAGCCTCCCCTCGCTAGCGGGTGACGCTCGCCCCAGCCGTTCTCCAGGACAACGTTAGCGTCAGCGGGGTGCAACGTCATGTGCATGGAGCCGTCGGAGGGGTGCGCATGGCACACTTCCCCACCGCAGGTACGCGTGATGGGCTCGCTGGAGAACAGGCCGGAGCTGTTCTTCTCGAAACAGCTTGTACGCTCCAGCAGAGCGTTTGCGGGGTCCTCGATCAACCGACGCATGCTCCCGACCAGGCTCCTATACACGTCCGACGAGGACTTCTCTGTTCGTTGTCGCTGCGGCGCTATGCCTTGTACCAGTGGCCGTTTTCCGGCTCGCGCAGGGAGGGACGATAGGTATCCCTTCTGCGGTCGAAAGTGTGGGGGCACGGAGAGCGGCCTTAGTGGATCTCGTAGACAGATGAGAGAGAGCAATTTGATCTTTGCGTAACCAAAGGGTGTTGACGGAGTGCCTCCCGGTCCCAGGCTCAGCCAGTCGTTGTAGTCGTTGCGAATGTAGAAGAGGGTGAGCACAGGCAAGATGATGGCCGTTAGAGTCATGGCCAGGCTGTTCATATCCATGTCGACAAGAAGGCTCATGCGGTGGGATTGGGTATCCATGATTCTTTACGAATATAATCGAGGTGGGAAGTACAAGATGCACTCGGAGTATGGAGGGGAGGTTGATTTGGCTGATGGCAATGGACAAGAATAGACCGGGCTCCGTGGGATATGTTTTAAAGCAATCAAACTGTGCCAGATGGTCACAATGTCGTGGCCGCGGATGCGGTATGCAGCGTGGCCCCGAGTATTCAGTCGGGGACATACGAGAACTTGCAGTGAAGATTGGCGCTTGGGCGGCGTGCGTCTAGGGAAGTCGCATACACGCAACTCGAAGAAGGGCGTGGAAGGACAAGGACGCAATTCGCACATCCATACCAAGGCTGACCAGACGCAGCTGTACACTGAAGGAGAAAGGGGATGCTGAGGGATCCTTCATGGCTGCAAGATGACGGCTGTTTGATGCAATTGCACCGTTGTACCATTGACTTCCTTCTCTGACCACTTCGGTCCCACCAGAACGTGGAGTAGCATCCCAATCTGGAACGAACCCAACTGCAGATCCCTTGTATACATGTACCTAGGTATCCAACTAACATTCGAACGCACCGTCCCTTCAACGCCGACGTTGCTGCGCTGCGATGTGATACACCACGGCCTGCCGTAATTCCCACCTCATACGCACTTCACTGCACGACAGTTGGTCACTCAGCCCGTGATTGGACAGCACCCGTTCCAGAGTCAGTTACATACCTAGGTACATGTATACGTGCGTGCGCGTGCGCTGCCTCGTGACTGCAAAGTGTGCAACGTGTGTGATTCTCGTCACACCGCATCTTTTCCCTCCTTTGGGCACTGATCACTGTACGTCGGACAAGTAGTCATGTCCGTTTCCATCTCATAGATAGGTCCAGGAGGCCATGCAACGAATTGTCTAGAGACGCTCTACAAACGTGTTTCGAGGGGTGCTGAAACCGGGGTACAGTCGAATATGGCTTTGTGGTCATAGTTTCATTTTGTTCCCATGACATTGCTTAGCCATCTACCCCATCAAGACATCAAAGCTCGTACAAACTACAACTTTCTACTCCTAACCAGTCCTGACTTGATACCCGTCAACTCACCCCCATACGCTGCAGCACCACTTGCCCGTTTACCCGCGTCAAACACCGGCTTCATACTCTTCAATTTCTTCTTCTTGGCTTCAAATGCTAGCTTCTTCTTGACTCTGGGGTTCCTCACGCTCTTCTTGCGGTGAGGTGTGAGGCCCTTGTTCTTTTCAATGGCGTACGTGATTTGCCGACGTCCATCCTCGCCGATGATCTCCTCGGGAACCACAACACCGCCCTCTTTCGCAGCTAGAGCATACGCCGCCGCACGATCCAGCTTCGTTTGTTTTTTAGCGGTGCCACGGGCAGCTACCATATCGTAATAGCCATCATCGCCTTCAAATTCATTGCTGTATGATTCACCCTTGTCGTTTTCGTCTTCTCCGCTGTCATCGCCTTCGCCGAGGGCTACTCCCGGTCCTTTATCAACATTCTGGCCTTTCTTCTCTGCTTGTGCTTGCAGTCGTGCCTGTCGGTCCTTGAGGCGTTCGCGGTGGGGAATGTCGGCATCGCCACCGTAGTCTTTGCCGGCAGCATCCCTTCTATTCGCCTTCTGCGTGATCTGGGATGTGTAAAAGCGAAGAGACTTCTTCTTCCGTGCCTTCTCTGCAAGCTCGTGAGCCGTGAGTTCCGTCTCTTCACCAAAGTCCGAGTCCTCTGGATTGAGCAGGTTCAGCTTGGACTGTTCAACCTTCTTCGCCTTCTTGCCACTATTCTTCCGCACATTCGCATCTGTAAGGTTCGTTAAAGACGCAAGTTCCTCCTCAGTCTTCCGTAGCTTCTCGGCACGCCGTGCGTCTGATTCGATTCTGGCCAATTCGGCCGCGCGCTGTGATTTGCTCTTCTTCGGCTTCTTTTCTTTGGTCTCCGCAATCGAAGGTGCCTCAACCTCGGAGCCTGGAGACACTTCCTCGATTATGGAAAGATCATCGCCGTAAGATGTCTCCACCATAGGGTCTGCGACTGGCAGACTCTCTACTTTTGCCCACAACTGCTGGCATCTCAGTAGACTTTCCATTACAGGGTGATCGTGAAGTTCGGCAGGATCCAAAGCAATGGCCGGAGACTCGGTGTCGTTGGCAGTAGAGCCCATAATTGCAAAGTACATGGACATAGCAGCGAGATAAGTCGCACACGCACGGTACTTGACTACTGCTACAGGAGTCGGGGGAATAGAGTGAGTCGTGCTTCCTGATTTGGCGATGCGCGATTTGATCAGGCGTGCGGCGGCGTTTGCGGTGGCGGCAAGTTCATCGTGTAAAGGTTGAAGTCTTAAGAATTCACTGGCAAGGTGTTCGAATTCAGGATATCGATCCCGGAGTAGTTTCAGTTTTTCTCCGTCTGCCAGCCCGGTTGGAACGTGCCACTTGGGCAGTTGTTCGCTAACAACTCCAGTGTCTGTGGTGGACTGTTGTCCATCTCCATCTAACCATTCATCTTCGTCGAAACCATAGTCAGCAGCAGTCATAGCCCGGAGTTGCTTCTTTTGAATGCGTCTGGCCTCAGCCTCTTCATCCAGAGCATCTTGTTCGGTTTCGATCGCGTCGGCATTGTAGTAGTCTTTTTTGGACGGGCCCCAACCATCTGCGTCTTCGTCGTCGTCGTCTTCGGCTTGGGGTTCAGCGTTTTCACTGGCTTCACTGTCATCGTCGCTCAGCTCTTCGTCGTCGTCATCATCGTCATCGTCGAGACCGCGGTGGCCGAGGACTTCTTCGTCGGATTGTTCGAGAAATGCATCTGTGGACAGAGGTTAAGACGGGAATGATGCATGGAAAGGAATCCAGAGGCTTACCCGCTTCTTTCCACTTCCTCAGTCTTTTGGCGGCGGGGCCTTCGTCGAGCAAGACCTTGTCGCGATTGATGTGGAAATCATCTTCGGAATCTGCGACATCTTCATATGTGTTGATGGCCAGCTTTGCATCATCTTCAGCGCCCTCGGACACTGCTGCTGGCTGCCCATGGCGGCCTCCGGCCTTCCTTTTTTTACCCATTGCGCGAAATGTCAGAAGGCGATAAAACGGTGCTGCTGTTTGGTGATGTTGGGGAGATTTTTTTTTATTTGCCGAAATTTTGGCGCCGCGGGGAAGCTCGGACCCACGAATGTAGAGTGGTGGGTTGGTTGGTTGATACACTCAAATATGTAGGCACATAGGTCCGACCGGTCAGCATTGGCTGTCTCCTCCCTCACTCACTCCCTCAACGGCGTGGCAGTCCTATCCTCCCCGTGACCAGCCCCCTACTCGGCTGTTTGTCCTGCGCACTGAGCGGTAGCGATTGCGTACAATTCCTTTCCTAGAAAACGTGCCCCTGTTCCGCCCACAGGTTGACTTTCATTGGCCACCTACAAAGAGGCAGGCCGTTCCAACCCACTGCCTTCGACACCCTTGCAAGAACTGACATGTTCTGAAATGGATATTTGGGCAGTACTGATCGCAACCTTCTTCATCTCCTTTGGTTATATTGCACTCAGCAGCATGGGTCTCTTCTCCAGAAACGACCAATTTAAGGTGGATGGCCTGGTGAGAATGCCCTGAAACCACCCACCTCTATCAGAACCTTTGGCCCCTGACATCCCCACCACAGACTGTCCTCCTCACCGGTGCCTCGCAGGGCATGGGCTTGGAGGTAGCCAAGATACTTGCTCAGCGTGGCGCTCATATCGTACTTGTGTCGCGCAGCACGGAGAAGCTCGAGACTGCAAAGGAGCAAGTACAGGCCGTCGCCAAGTATCCCACCACACAGCGTTTCCACATCATTTCCGCCGACGTCACCATTGAAAGCGAGAATGTGCGCATTCTCAATGAAGCTACCGTCTGGAACAATGGCCGGACTCCCGAGATTGTATGGGCCAACGCTGGAACGTCCACCCCGGGCCTTTTTCTCGACACCAGCATGGAGACCTTGAAGGCGCAGATGGATATCAACTATTGGGCCTCCACCTACCTGGCACACCACACAATGAAAGCATGGTTGTATCCCGAGTCGCCCTACAAAACAGACGATCTCAGATCGAAGCCCGAACCCCCGCGTCATCTGATCTTCACATCCTCAGTTCTGTCTTGCATCAATGTCGCAGGGTACGTCGGATATTCCGCTGCCAAATCGGCTATGAAGTCTCTCTGTGACGGCCTCCGCATGGAGGTCAACCTCTACAATGGAGCACGTCACGCTGCCAAGAACGCCGATGGCCAGCAACCCGCTCCGTTTGATGTCGTTGTCCAATGCGTGTTCCCTGCGACCATTACCTCTCCTGGGCACGCCATTGAACAACTCACCAAACCGGCTGTCACCAAGAAAATTGAGGAGGGAGATGATGAGCAGACCTCTTACGAAGCAGCAATGGGATCTATCAAGGGACTAGACGCTGGTCAATACTCGGTAGCAACCACCTTCAAAGGCCACCTTATGCGTACGAGTGGCATGGGTGCTGCGCCACGAGACAATTTCATATTCGACACGTTGGTGCAGTGGCTCTCGAGTATCATCTGGATCTTTCTAGCCCCCAGCTGGGAAAGTACAGTGTGGAATTGGGGCAAGGCAAATGGGATGGAGAAATACAAACCAAACTCGATATAGCTGGCCGTTATTGGTGGATGTTGGTCGTCACAGAGAGAAGGTCCAAGGCGTACAGGAAGGATGAGAGAAGCCCTAATAGATGGAATGCACATTGATATCCCAGTCATGACAAGGTGCAATGTTTGCGTTGGCCGGAGATGATGGACGAGGAAAGCAGGTTTGCAGGCTTCGTTATGAGTTTGTCCCGCAGCGGGCTCGACCAGGATCCATGTGCACCGGTCTGGTAAAGATTGCACTGCACTGCGCTGCGCTGCAGGGCGCATGTAGACATATGATGTTGTCTCGCTGTACGAAGGAACACGGCATGTACGGGGAGAATAGTGAGAACCCCTGCATCGGATGTTTTCGATGCTAGCTCTGTTTCATGGAAGCGAAACAAGACCAAGTCGACACTGCCACCATCGACCCGCGTTCGCTCACCGAATACAGCCTGCATGCACAGGGCGGACAAAGCAATGTGGTTGTTGGCGTTGCGCCGTACGGGCAGCAGGCGCTTGTCACTGGGCAAAGAGCTGTTCAGAGCAGAACCAAGTACATGCACAAGACCTGTGTACACTCGAGCATACCTGCCCAAGTACCTGCAGACGACCCCAAGAACGTATACAGTAAAGTAGACAGAGCAATCAAGCCATCACCAGCTGGGCAGATACATGTATTATTATTATAATAGATGGACAACTGTGCAATCTCCTGTTCCCTACAAATGCACCGGTTGGTGCATCCACTCCAGATGCCTGCACGGATTACACGGGGCCCCGGTCGCAGCCCTACGCATTCCTCCCGAAACCCGACAGCGAGGCGAAGGATCTCGCATGGGCCCCGGCATCGTCACTGCAAACCACAAGTCCGTTATTGCAGTTGGTCAAGAACAGCGTCTATTGGTGCCGTTGTGCTCGGGCGCCTAGCTCTGTTGCGACCGCTAACAGATAGATATAACATACCTAGGGGGGGGGTTCCACGGCCGCCATGAACCCCTCCAAAAAACACCATGAAGCCATGACTCTTCCTCCCTCCCCAGCCCAAATGCCTCTCTTCATTACTTCCAGCGCTGCTGCCCAGCAACCAACAATGCTACACGCACCCCTCTCGCCCCTCGCCAACCATCCAACTCAATGGTCCCCCCCATCTACCCGCGAGAGCGACATGCCTCTCTCCAGTAGTCTGCTTTTCATCACCGGCACCACTCCAGCCGATTTCAAATCCAAGAAGAACATGACAAGGATACGGAAAAAAGCCATGGGCAGTTATTTGACGAGGGAGAAGAAGCCGGGCGAGGGACGAGCGGATCAAAAACAACAAACGAGGGAGATCTTGTCCCTTCCATGGACAGACAGCGATAAAGATGTGCAAACAAACCCCCTGGACCACGAGCTGCCCTCGGAACGGATCGAGCGACGCGGGACTCTGGCCAGACCGACGACTTCAGCAACAGATGATGCTGAGCATGCGATATCACCGTTGACCACAGTAGCAGTAACGAAGCCAGTGGCCAATTCCGTGGCGGTGTCGCAAAGAGAATCCCATCTGCATCAGATGGCTCGAGTGCCAACTGAGTTCATCCTCCCTAGCGCGCCAATTGTTATCCCGATGCGTAGTACGCCCTACTTGATCTACAACTCTTATGCCCCTGGCCCATTCGAATCCATAGGCAAACCCTTGGACCCCTTTGCGACCATCTATCAGGCGTCAAATCCCCAGGTATCGGTCGAAAGTCTCAAGCATCACTGTACGCGCAGCTTCGGAACTCGAGCCATGGGAATTCATTGGATCCCCGCCGTAGTCGACAGTCCACACGCCTTCCTGAGTACGCTGTGCATTGCATCTGCGCACTTCGATGCCATTCATGGGCAAGCGATCGAGAGCGTGCAAACTCTCGCGTTACGACAGGAAGTCATGCACTTGATCAGCCAAAGCTTGGTGAATCCGCAAAGCAGAACAAACGACTACAACATAATTGCTCTCACGCAACTGATGGCCAGTGAAATAGTGGCAAGCCAGGAAATCGCCTTATCGTTTCATGAAGCAGGGATGGAAGTCATGATCAATCAACGAGGAGGCCTAGAAGAATTGGGTCTCAAAGGGAGACTTGCTCCTGTAGTGACCTGGGTGATGTTGGAATCCTCCGTACTACAGGAAAGAACACCCATGGCCTCGTATGCGAAATATGCAGCAAAACATTCCTCCATAACCCATCCGAGCACAGCAACAATTCCTGAATCGCCGCTTTACTGTCCCAGGGGCGAATACGAGACACTGAAGAGATCAGCATCGGATGTGACACCGCGCATGTTGGACCTGCTGAGGGACGTCAGGATGATGATCGATCTGTTCCTCCACGAATCCAAGCAAAAGAAGCACAATTCACTGTCATTGAAGAACATTTACAGAAAAATAATCGAACAGTACCCCACGGTCGCAGAGCTCCAAAGAACAAGAGCTCTGACGATAGAGGACTGGAGGTATGAGGCCATGCGCATCACTTCCATCATCACAGCAACAGCAATCATGCGTAGAGTTCCGCTTTCCGAGGCCCTTCAACTCGCTGCAGAGTTGGATATCCTGCAGTTGCAACCCGGACCACTACCTAGCACGGAAATTCCAATCTCGCCCTTGAGCAGTCGCCACGACTCCCCAACTACATCGTACTCGACCGCAAGCTTCAGCCCTACACATCCCCTGTCAGGTTCTCATTCAAACCAATTTTCTCGCCTCCCATCTGCCTCTCCAGTCACCACCCTCCTTTCGTATCTCCGATCAGTACTTGAAGCAAGCAACCTTTCCCAGTGCTGGTCTGGACTGGGTGGCGTTCTACTCTGGATTGCTCTTACTGTGGGGGCAGCGAGTCGACAAAGCGATGTGGTGCTCAAGAAATGGTACAGGGGATTAGCTGTGAGGATTTCCATCGTGCTGTGCTTTGAGCATCCAGAGGCAATGCTTGCCACACTGATAAGGATAGGTGAGTTGGTAGAAAGGGTGGGAGATAATCCCGATAATGGTGATCGCAGCGCCACTGGGGAGAAATCAGAGGTGGGGAAGAGCAAGGCTGATGGCCAACAAAGAGGAGCCAAGAGAAGGAGGGCCTGATGGGCTGTGTTTTGGTGTGTACAACTGGATGCCTCAGGCTATGAATAGATGTCATTGGAACGTTAACTCGCAGGCGGCATTTTTCGGTGTTTTTTTTTTACAGACTTCTTTTCTGTCCTTTCTCTTTTTCGCTTCGATATACTTGTGGCTACTTTTTGTCTCATATATTGCTCGTAGACCCTTTTAGTTATTTCAAGTTCATTTTGTAGGATACAGGGGAGATACTCATGGGCCTTGGAGTTATCGATGCTTGCTTCTATAGATGTTTTTTTTTCTCACGAATATGACTTCACACTGCATCAATAGTATCAAAAACCATAATCATTTACTTGCTACCAATACACTCTCCCGAAACATATTTAAATCATGTCATATCCCTATCTTGACATCGTCCGCCCCATACATCCACATCTAGAAGACTCGCATCACATGGGGTCATGGACGCCCTGGCAGACAGCCCCGAGCCTTGTTCCTCAGTCAATGACGCGATCTCCCGTATGTGTCCCAACAAGTGCTTTATCCGAATTTGACATTTTTGACGGTTCCCGACTCGTCGACGTGGACGTTCAACCGATCGGGCTTGAAGTCCATGGTAGCCATGCTATCAGGCTGCAAGACGCGGTGCTCCTTGGGTAGATCTTGCTTCGCGAAACACTACGGAAACCATTAGCACCATTATTCCGACGTCGACAGACACCAAAAGGCGGCCGTCCGCTGAATTCGAGTATTGAGGACGGAGGAGTTCTTTACCGTCTCGCTATGATCATCTCCCAGTGTTTTCCCCATGAGCTTGCTGCTCCACGCATCGATGTCATTGCCGCCTTCGCTCTGGATTCCGGGTACGACGAGAGGCATGTTGAGTGGGTTTGTAAATGTAGCGTATGTGGAACGGAGTCGTGGAAAGGAAAGAAGAACCAACAAGTTAGCTGCTCTACCACGCATATGCAATCTGGATTGTGAGGAGTTGGAGGTGTTTGTGGGTAGAGGCAGAGCCGCGGGGGTTGACGGGTGGTTAAATGCGGTGGAGGCTAGTCGCGGTATGATGTAAGTGGGGTTGCTGGAATGGAGAAGGTGGCGGGCTAGGCCCCGAGTTATTTGTAGACTAGCTACCTAGGTAACTACTTGGTAGGCACATGACTGCCTGCTTAAGGCAACTGCCTGCTCGTATAACGACTCTAATAGGCTGTCATCATACATTGAGTCTACCCTGAACTGTACACACAAGTTTCTTGGTCTGTATAGACTGTAACAATCAGTACGGGTATCAGGACTTGGTGTACCAGATGTAAACATGTGTAAAGTGCACATGGACACAGTCCACGCCCGTAAGTTGCTTTCAAGATCTTATCAGGAATTTCATCTTGGAAACATGGCGAGCACTCTCCATGTTGCTCCATGGGTGTATAGCAAGCTTATCAAACAGATAGATCAGTGCGGTCAGGACCATAACGGCATGTGTTTGCTCGTGCGTGACGTCATTACCGTAGCAAACCCCGCTGGTTGGTCCTTCATTAGCACCAAAGACGGCCACGAAGTTTCAAGATAGCGCACATGATGATTCGGGAGATCCACTTGCACGCAGTCTGTCATTGATGGAAACTTCCGGCGCAACACAAAATAGCCTGCGAGGTTGCGCAAATCAATACCAGCGAGTCTATTGTCATGGCAGTATGCCCTGGTGTAGGAGGTATGAAGACCATCTACATGTCTACCTACCTAGGTACACTGTGTAGGTAGGCCCTCACGTGCCATGCACCGTCAACATCCATGTGTACATGTGATTGGCCAAATGTTGCCATGGTCACCACCACTAATGTTCATGCAGTCCACAAGATGCAGTCGTGCGAATAGCAAACGATAGATGTTGTCAATGTATCATATTTCATAGCCATCCCATCCATTGAGTCTAGTGGAGGTATACCTTGAAAGGAACCTGCACTCATTACTATCCATCCTACCATCCACTCACCCGTCTATCCACAAGAAGAATTCAATTACTCCAGTCCCAAAACAAAGGAAATAAGAAGATGGAAGCGAGCGTGATAAAGAGAAGTCAATAGAAATCGTGAATAATCATTTCCGTATTTCCTTTCCCTTCGGCTGATGGAGAAAAGAGTGGTTCGAGGCAAGTTACGCCTTGACCTTTGTGTTTCCGAGTCCAAGCTGAAAGCCATGTTGCGTGGGGTATATATATCCTCGACCGAAGGAACCAAAACACAAGTCAAAGTAACGAAAGAAAAAGAAGTAAAGAAAAAAGTGTAAAGAAGAAACAAGAAAAATGGAGTCGGCAACAGCACACCTCAACTTATTGAGGGCAAGGTATCATCGATACATCCATACACGGTCATCAACTAGAAATCTTCGTCTTTCTCTTTAGATCCGACCCTGGCTCAAGACCTCGAAAATGCCAACCTCGACACCGCCATTCCTCTCTCCAAGACTGAGCCTCGGCTCAAGACACTGGCCAACCTCATTACCAAACAAGCACCTCTCCTCCTCAAGCTCGACCTCCAAGACGCTGGGCTGGCGCCTCAACCTGAGGATATCACGGATGCTGCTTCCCGTGCTGCGGTGGCTGTCTGCGGGCGATGAAGTGCGCGAGGCCGGGAAAGCGTCCGAGGAACGGTATGTAAGTGGCGACATGGAGGAGGAGCTTGTGGAGTCTGGGCTCGCGGAGCGCGAGGGTGTGGAGTTGGAGGGAGTTGCAGAGCGCGAAGGGGAGAAGGCCGTGCGGAGCCGGCGGAGGGATGTGGTAGTGTTGCGGATGGGGGTGAAAGAGGGGGAAGAGAAGCGGTTCTGGCGGGGGGCCATCTTTGCTAGTTGATTGGTTGGTAGAGATAAGGACGTGAGTTGCGTTGAAGGTTGGTGAGAGAGTGGATGGAAAGAAATCTGTGATGTCTTTCGTGTCGGCGTGAGGATTGCTGGATGACTAGGGTGAAGCAATTGTTGTATTACAAACGATTGCTCTCAAGGTTGAAACTGTAGAGAGAGAGAAAATAGACGTGTCGTGCTCAAGCAGGCCTGCGGCAGAGCTTTTTCAATTAACAGCTGGCTGGCTAGCTAGATCCACAAGAGGGATGCTGGAAGAGAGCGAGGGTGTGTGAAAGTAAAAAAAGACTCGTGTCGAGACCGGAACGGTGTCGAGATGGTCGTGAGAGGGTGAAGAAGCGACTTTGGACGCGCTTAATCGTTTGCTGTCTGGAATTTCGCGGGAGAATGACTAGACCCTAATGCAAGTCTGGTGACACAGGCTGATGCAACGGATCGCTGTGTATTGACTGAGGAGGAGAACAAATCGCGGCAGTTTGCGTGGCGGTTGGCGAGAAGTTAAGTTTATCTGAAGGCAAAGTATAATAAGCTCTAGTGCTGTTCCAACTAGAGTGAATCGATGGTCTTTGCGGCGTGACAAGCGTGTAGTCCAATTTCAATAAAGATAGATAAGATGATGGTAATGGTAGCAATCGTCGACGACGCTGGAAGAAACGAAAGTAAGGTAAGGGATGATTTGGGGGAAAAGCAAACACACCAGGCGCGCAAAGGTCAAGAATTGATTACAGTTGTTGGAAAGGGAGGGAGAGAGAAGGCAAAGCGAGGGATTTCAGACTTTGTTTAAGGGCCTCACAGCAGGTCTGAGAGATGTTCGCTTCCTCGCCGTCTGCAAGTCGTGTGTCTCAGGACAAGGGTTGGGTGAGGTCCGGACGCCATTTCACCCTCCCTGCATCCCTGTCACGCTGCCTTAGCGCGACGTCTTCTTACAGATTTCGCAGGCGACGCCGCAAAGGGCAGGTTTGATCGTCTCGTGAAATCAGATGGCGTTGTATGTGTGTGTGCGTGTGTGTGTGCGCGTGTGTGTGCGCAGCCGGGTGGAGAGGAAGCATGGAGATGGCCCATCGTCCGCTATACTTGTATGCCTTCTTCTTGTGCCATTGCTGCATGCGGTGGTTGATGGATGGGCCATTTGCAACTTGGATACATATCCATCACACAATCTGCATTGCGTTTGGACCGGGCTACCTAAGTCAACCACGATGCTAGCTTAATGTTTAGTTAGTTGGCAATAACGGCTACAGCTGGATAAGTAGGGCGGCATCTGACAAGCCATGGAACGCTCGACGAAACCCCTAGTCTGCGGGTAGAAAGTCTAAATACAGTACAGTGTGTGTCTCGTGTTCTCATTCAATGTATCCACAATTGTTTTGAAGTCGAGTTTGATCTTCCTCATCCAGCCTTGCTTATGTACACGGTACGTACCCGCGTATTCGCGTGTGTGTGAGCAAGGGATGATGCCCTACGAGCATGTTCAACTTCCAAGCCGCCCACATCCATTTCCATTCCCCATGTACTTCAAATGTCTCCAATAACTAATGGAAATTAGAGCAAACCCCTCGCCCTTCTCATCTTCTCATCTTCCCACCAAACACGGACAAGCAACCGTAGCGAGCAGACCGAAAAAGATCCCTTCTCGCTGCCATCTCCTATTGTCACACCACATCCCGTCTCACGGATTCTTCTTCATACGACTCTGTCCACAAGTAGAATGGTTCTGTTTCTGCCCGGCTCCTTCTTCAGAAAAGAAAGGGGGCGCTGCTGTCGCGGGTCGCGCAGGGTCGCAGATAAGGCCAAGCCGTCAGAGACCCACGGGAGGCGAGTTTCATCAACCACCTCTCTAACACGCCCACCTCCCCGCTTATCCATCCCGTCTTTCCATCGCAGGACGCGGGTCCACCACATTGTGACTGCGATAAAAGTAAGACAGGCAGACAAGGGAGCCTGGGGGAGCGAAGAGGAAGGCAAGAGCTATTGTCTGTGGTAACATTCTACTTCCTTTCTCCCCAGCTTCACCTCTAAACACGCGCAAACCTCCCCAGCGTCAATTGATAATTACATGGAACACAAGTATACATATGATAGTGATAACCAGTCTTCCATAACTAAAGATGACTGTTACATGCATGAATCAAAGCAGAAAATAATACGTATGTGAATATCGATCAATGACCAGGCATGCAAAAAACACGCACAAACACAACTCCCAACCAAGCGCCATTCGCTATGCTCTATCTCCAACCCAATCCAGTTTTTTAACCATCTCAAAATGAAAGTATACAACAGTAATAACAGAATAAAAAAAAGGCATAGAAGAAGGAATAGCAATGAGATATTAGTCCTGTACTGTACTGTGACTTCATACGCGACACCCCCAACTCAAATAAACACCACTTCAAAGGGAGACTCCAAGGCCACATCGTCGCATCATTGATGAGGTCCACTGCGTTTCCCTCCCCCGCCTCATCTCATCCTTTTCCCAGTTGTAGATTGCAGGACATTGTCGGATGCAGGAATCGCGATGATGATCGATAATCATGATGTTGCTGCTGGCAGACAGACGGGTGAGGTGTGCCGTTGGGGGCCGGGAGCAACATCCCAATCCGGTCACCTCAGACATCAATGCAACCACGTCTGTATGGCGCACCCCTGCTCGGCTTCTACCACCCGCAAACCCAGTTGTTTAGGGGCCTGTTTTCTGCTGTTGCTTCTCCTGTGTCATCTTCTTCCATGCTGCTTCTTCAGTTTTCTCCCGCTCCATCTATATTATCGCCATTATCATTGTTGGTGCCCTTTTGGGCAGGCTTTGCATGCGCTAGACACTGCTTGCTTGAATACCGGCAAAGTATGCCGTGGCGAACTGTTTGAGTATCCGTGTTCTGACACGTTCGGACAGTGTGGTATGACGGATCTATCGACCGCTCGATCGGCGTTGAGTGAAGCTTCGGCGGATACTTTCTCCCCATGCCGAGTTGTCCAAGACCTCGAGAACATCGGCCGCACTGACCGCGCTGTTTTGTCTGCTGCGCGTTGACGTAGGTTCCGCGAGTCCTGCGTCGTCTCCCGGACTAGAGGGGCGGCTGAGAGCTGATGCGAATTGCCATTCGCCATCGTTGAAAGGTGAGGCATGTGGTGAGGAACGAATCGGAGACATGGGTGTTGTTCGTACGGGCGAGCCCAATGGTGTCGTTTGGATGGAGTTGGCCCGGCTGCGTAGTGTCATGTCATTTGGTAAGTTAGGATCACGAGCATCACTTCCTGAAGCTCGCCAGTCTCCATGATCTGGCGGGTGCATATCGACAGGCGAGAAGAGCGGACTTCCAACTGCCGATTGATGTCCGCGCTGCGCCTCGGTGATATCTTCGTCGTCGACAAAAATCTCGGGAACAGTGAATTGCGGTACAGCTGTCATACGTCCAGACTTCTTTTGATCCAGAGCTCGCCGGAATCGTCGCGACCAATATAGAGTGTCGAAGAAACCCTTGACAACATTACGCCGGACAGCTTCCTCGACTCTTTGCAGGCGAGCTCGGCGGCGGAGATATTCTTCTAGTCTGTACTGCACGTTAGATGCGCCTTTGGGTGAAGTAGCTATGGGGACGGGGAGGCATACCTCAGACTTTTGTTGTCATTGATGACTTTGTGATGAGCTAGAATCATGAGCAGGATAGTGAACTGAACACCCTTGTCTGGATCACTCGAAACTAGAACTTCTTCGTAGAATGTGTTCATGCGTTGTCGTCTACGTCGAATCTCGGCGACTGGGAGACTGTTGAGGGATTCATTCAGCTTCTTAAGATCAATATCAGAGGTCAGATCATGGTTTTGTGTGACGGGCAGGCCCTCAGAGTATCTTCTGCTTGAGGAAGCGCACTTCTCGCGCAGTCGGTTCACGGTGAAGTCGCCGTCATATATTCTCATCTCAAATATGCCAGATAGTTCCTAACCACGTTAGTCGCGTCGAGATAAAAGTGTAGCAAGAAGACTCACACCAAGCAGCCTTGGAAATACATCTCTAGAGATGTATCCGGTTCCGTTAGGATCGAATTCTGCCCATGCTTGTTTAAATCGCCGGATTTCCTCCCGGCTGATGACGGAAAGCCCGCTGCTCCGCTGATACACGTAACTGAAACTTTCGTATATCAGAGAAACGAACAAGTTTACGAAGATGTACATGCTCAAAATGTTCCAACTGATGAACAATGCGCGTGCCCATTCGGGGCTTCCACAGTCACTTTCGAAATACAATCCCCCATCTGTGCAATAAGGATGGTCGACAGTGGCAAAGTCTTCCATCAGCTCATTCCAACCTTCGCCGGTACTGGTGCGGAAAAGCAGTATCAAAGCTTTGGGTACACTGCGGAAGTTGATGTTCCCTGTCTCATTTTCGTTGAATCGGGTCAGACCAAAGGTCTGCGTAAGAGCGATAGCATACACTAGAAAGAGTACGAACCAGGTGGCCAACAGGTTCAGAATGGATGCCAAACTTGCCGCAGCAGTCTTGAATAGTTGGTCGAGTTGATTGTTCCTTGGTATCAGAAGGAGAGCGATGGATACCAAACAAAGCTTATGCAGCTGCACAATAACTCTCTGGCTGGGGCTGGTAAGGCGCAGAACCGATGTGACGAAGGCTCCTGATACCGCAAACAAAGAGAAGACATCCCACGAAGCTTTTCGAAATCGGTGCCATGACAGACCGACGATCCGAATAACGATATTGGCGATGAAGACGACGGTGATGACGAGGAAAATATAGATCCTTGCAAGTTCCCATGCTTCTTCACCAGGGTACCACTCAAGGCAAAGTAGCAGGAGATGTAAAATGAGTAGGCCAGTGATGAAACGTTGCCATTGCCCTGTCTTACGGACAGCGCGCCGGTAGCACCACTCTTCCCAGGTCTCTCTTTGTTTGGTAGAGGATGGCCGTTTGGATGGCGAAACCTGCCGGAGCAATTTGCGCAGCTCCAACCAAGAGCGCTGGTCCGATGTAAGGAAAGCCACTCCAGTCTGTTCTGTGTAATTGCGCATGAACACAGAGACAAAAAGGGTAAGCACGAAAACTGCCCCGAGCAAGTTGAAAACCACGAAGTACACTGCATTTCCTTGCGATGCAAAGGGTTCAGGTTGAGTAAAGGTGCCGGTTATTGACTGCGCCTTTGACAGGCAATCGGTCCAACCTTCTTGAGATACAATCTGGAAAAGGATGAAAAGCGATCCCCCAAAGTTGTCGAAGTCATAAAATGGGTTGCTTGCTTTGCGAGGGGCAAGGACATCCCAGTCATAGGGGCTACTGTTCCATTCCATGACGCAGTCATTCAAGTCGGATATGCCAGAGCCATCATCATTGCAACTTTGCAATTGACCTACGAAAAGATTAAGCCCATAGATGGCGAACGGGATGAGCAGGCTCAGGGACACGAAGGCAGCCTGCGTACGATCCATCAGAATTGCAAATACTCCACCAGGTCGGAAGCAGACTTACAGAAATGAGTTTCCACCAGCCACGAACAATGAGAGAGTGGAAATGATCTCGAGCGCTATCACTGATGTTGAGCAGTCTAAGAGCACGAAGCGCCTTGAACGCGCCTACCGTGCGACTTATCTGGCCTTTGTTGAGCAGGGAAGTTGCTACGTTGACCCAAAGAGTGATCAAGACTACGCCATCAATAAATCCCCAGGATCCTCGGAAGTAGGCATTAGGCGTCCAGAAGAATCCATCAGCAATTACCTTGATCAAAGCTTCTGCGGTGAAAAGCACGGCAAAACCCATATCAGTCCAGACGAACCAGTTCTTAACACTGAATTGATGATCCAGGAAATATTCTCGCTGGTAGAGTGGGGTGGTAACGCATGCTAGAAGAACCATTGCAATGATGGCAGCATAGATGAAGGCTGAGAACGAATACCACAATGGCACAGATGGAGCCAGGCCTTCTATACGTTCGTTTCCGCGTCCAGGGCCTACCAATCTCTGGCAGAATCTCCTGACATGGTTACTAGGCCTAAACATGAAGAGAGAGACATTGTAGTTTGGGTGCGTGCGCAAGTAGTCCCTTTGAGCCTTCTTCCGTCTCTCTGTTGCTGATACGACTTCCTTGGCCATTCGCCGGGGATCAAGCTCCTCGTAAGCTCGACCATAATCAAGGGGTGCATAGAATGGGTTTGGTTCACGGTGGGTGAATTTGCGGACTATGCGCTGCCACCAGGTGGACGCCAGGCCAGATCCAACAATGGTCGCCGCTGGCCGGACTCCAGGCTGTGGTTCCGCCTCACGCCCGTCTGAGGCCTCTTCATCATCGTCGAGAAAATCCCGGACGACCGCATCTTTCAAAAGCATTTCAGCGGCGGCGGAGCCATAATCCAGAGGGTCTTTTCGACTGGCTTGGCCGAGTTTGAAGATCGATGACAACGACAGGTTTCTGTACAAGTCAATTTCCGTATCATCCTGAATTTGTGTTGACAGCTTACCCATAGGAAGCATCGATACCTTGTTCTTTCTTCTGAAGGAATGCCTTGACCTGCTGCAATCGCTTCTCATCCTCTGATACATCGAAATTTTCTTGGATGACCGCAATAAACATGTTCAAAACAATGACTAAAACTAGGTCAGCAACGAACAACAGACAAAAGGAGCTATACTGACAATTTGCGACGATGAACCACAGAATACAAAAGGAAGCCCCAATCCAGGAAGACGAAAATTCTACCGAGTAGTTGGTAATGTTGTACATGATCGAAGTCCAATTTTCGCTGGAGAGTATCTGATACATTCCGAGGAAAGAGTTCCAGATGGAAAAGAAGGAAACATCCAATGTCTCGCCTTCGTCATCTTCCGCCGGTAGCTCACCGCGGAAAAGCTGAGAGGCAAAGATGGATGCGAGGAATGTAAGTAGGAACACGAAAAGGATAAGATTAAGCAAACCGCTAACGTTGCCCAGGACGATCATCTGTAATAGTTTTAGCAAGCCTCTCCATTGAATGGGGGTATTGTTGGCCTACGATGAGATCCCTTGTCATGGGCACCGCTAAAACGACCCGATATATTCGCATGATTTGAAAAACGGTTAGCCAATCGTAGGCACGACCGTCGTGGGAGGTCTTGATTGAGGGAATCTGTATGACGGTTGTGATGATAGCGATCCCAAGATCAGCGATATTGCGTTTGCTGTGGAAAAAATGTCGCCAGTCAACTGCAAATCGGACAAGAATCTCCCCAAGGAGGACGAAAGTGACGCCAATCTCGGTCGCATCAATAAGACTTTTCCGGTTGGGGCTCATATCAGCGCTTTTGAGGGCCTGGACTATGAGTCCGAAAGTAATGACCAAGGCCCAGATCCATGCTGTCTTATCATAGAGCTTTTTCATGGAGCTCACACGTTTCTTTGGTTGGTCTTCTGATTCGGCTTCTTCGATTTCCTCTCCAGTAAATGCACTGGTTTTACTTTCCTCACGGATAATCTGAAACGATGACGTGATGACTGCGATCAACAAGGAGATGAGCCACAAGTTTAGAATCAAGATACCAGCGGCAAAGAAGAGTGCGCCGATGAGATAGTCACTATCCGCGATTGTGTAGAGAATGTCGGTATAGGTGTTTCCTGAGATCATGACGAACACGAGTTGCAGGGACTGTAGGATGTTGTCAAAACTTTGTGTTCCGTTGAAAGGGTTGTGGAGTTCTTGACACGTCGAATTCCTTGGACATATGAATCCTTTCGGGCTTCCAAGTGGGTCATTCAATGCGCCAGGTTTGACAAAGCCCAGCGAGCGTTGCGCACCGAGACTTGTATTCGGATTCAAATGACCACCGCAGAACTGATCTTCGTTGATGTAGGTGTCGTTGGGATCATCAGGATTAGTCCAGACGCATCGCCTCCTATAGCTTGATTTGAAACTTTGGACCCCAACGATGCCGAATAGTAACCAAAAGAAGCAGATGAGAAAAGCGACGTTGAGCAGAAGTGGTGCTGCCTTCTTCAGACTACGAAGTATGACCTTTGACATGTTAATTACTTGGATCACATTGGGAACAGACGAGACTTACAGCTGTACCGCTGGTCATGTTGAGAAGACGAATGATACGCAGACAACTGAGCATCTTGAAGATCAAAATGTGTTTTGTGTTTTGAACTTTGGTGATGGCGAGAATGAAGGCGATCCAGAACGACACGACGGCGACAAAATCAGTCCGATTAAAAGAGTGCCGTAGATAGGCTCTATGAGCAAGGCGGAACCGTTGCTGCGAGCGAGCGTCCCCAACACCAAACGCGGGGTTTGTATGGGCGGGTCCCATGGTGAAGGTACGGAGAACAGAGGGCATCTGCGGCTCCATTGCTGGAGTATCGGTACGTTTTACAGACGTTTGTCGATGAGGGTGAAAGGCTTTCTGAAAATTATCGATGGCGGCTCGTTTTAGGCCTTTCTGGCGGTTGATGGTGCTATATTCGGCTGGATTCACAATGAAGCCAGACACGATGACTCGAATGATGGTCTCAATGGTATATATGACGAAGAGAAACAGTAAGGCATACTCGATGAAACCACCCCATTCTTTAGTCTTGAATTCTTTATCCTCGTGCACGTCGTTCGCAGCATCAACAGCTAGCAGAACCGTTTGGATGACAATCAGGAATAGGAGGACGGGTTCGACAAAGGGATTCACGAGCAGATCGCACAACATCAACCTTATCTTGTTGTCGGGAGGGATAAAGCCCAAAGTTTTACCGCGGAGAGGATTTGAGGCCTGCTGGCGCTGAGCTTTTGAAAGTGTATCTGGGACAGGGGAAGGCGGTTTCTCGATGGGGGAAGCTGGGACGGGAGGAGAGTTGGCCTCGGGGATATATTCCGGCATTTCTGGAAACGAAGGGGGCCCCTGGAGGCGAGCATGATGCAGCGAAGATTTACGGCGCATGGTTCGTTCGGCGACTTCAGGTTCATTGCTGATGTTGACGACTCGCTGCGACATGTTCCGCATCATGGTGCCTGCCCGATGTAGCGGGGAGTCACTGCTAGCTGGCGAGAGCGAGCGCTTGCGCTGTGTGGGGGTGCGGAGGGTTGCATTCGCAGTTTCCGCGTCGCTCAGATCTTCAGTCCTTCGATGTGCTGGCAAGGAACCATCTGGGGTCAGGAAGCGCACGCTGTTGAAACTCGAACGGTCCTGGCCCGCGAAGGGCGGCGCACCGGCTATCGGCTGCAGACTTCGATCGTCTGTCAAACGGGCAGTGTCTTCATATGCAATAGGCGAGAAGAAGGAGTTGTCTTCGGAGGGACCTCGAGCGGCGTAAGGGTCGGGTTGGTGGTGGTGGTTGTGTTGGGCATATGGAGGATGGTTTGAGGAGACGGCGGGGGGCGAGGTTTCTCCCTGGAAGCTCAATCCGGAGAAACCAATGGCGGCCTGGAATGCGCCAATGTCAACGGGAGAGAAGTCTCCATCATCTTCTGGTGCATGCCGGCGGTGGGATTGTGCTTGTGCCGTGTTGAGTTGGGGACGGGGCCCGTTGCGCGTGGGACTTGGTGAGGCCTTGGGGATGGGCGCATACTCTGGGTTCCAATGCTGACCAGTCGCCAGCTGGGCTGGGTGTCTCAGCAGTTCGCGCCCTCGATCACTGAGTGTTCTGTGGTGGTGTTGCGGCTGCGGCTGCGCAGCCCCTCCTTGGGTGTAGCCATGCTCGTGGTAATCGGGTGGTCTGTGGAGGTCCCGCAGCGGTATTGACTGATTCGATAGGTCTGTTCTGCTGCTGTGTTGATCCGGGTTGGACATTGGAGCGGGTTGGGGGGGCGAGCGCGACGCGCAATCTACATTGATTCCTTCAGCTCTCCCGAGCTAAGCAAGCAGGTAAGTAGTTGGGTACGGAGGAGCAATGTTCGGGGAGTATGCAACTAGGGGTCGGTTTCGGGCGGGTTAGAAATAATGGGCGAACGAAGTGGTAGCGAGCGGAGGCAGGAGGGCGGATCAGGAGGATATAGGCGTCGGTGGCAGATCAGAGGGTGTCGGTGGAGGGGAGAGGGAAAAAAAAGGAAAATGCACAGCAGGTGAATGAATGTAGCCAGTGCAGACTGACGGTGGTCGTAGGTCGTGAGTTAATTAACGGCAGCGGGCGGCGATCCGAGGCGCGTCCCCCGTTCCAGCTTCTAGGTTTCGAGATGCACAGGCAGGCAGGCACAAGCACAGGCACAGGCACTGGGAGAGGGAGAGAGATGGGGCCAAGCCGGCAAACGGTCAGTCAGCAAAAGGGCATCTGTAGCCTATGTACGCTCCACTTATTCGGTGGAATTGGGAATTGGGGCTGTTTTATCTTGGATACTGCTCTGACAATTACGCAACGTGGCGCTGTCGGATGTTTGTACGCATACTCAGGTGTCCATGTGGCATACCCAAGGTGGGTTTGTATACAGATATGTATATATTTATATACATATCAAGTATCCAAGTCACCAAGTACCAAGTACCTAGGTAGATACCTACCTAGGTACATAGGTGAATGTTGTCGAGACGGCTAAAAATAGCAGAGGTTTGCGCCACAACTGCGTGCTCCGCCTCCAACTCAAGCCTCAAGCTTTGCCAATGTCTGGTAGCACACGCATACTCAGCGTATATATGCATATATATAACATATATATAGCAGTGCAGCTAAGACGAGATTCCATCTACATAACATAAACCTAGATTTTGGTTCTCCTAGCATCCGTGTACATGTATACATGATGGAAGATAAAAAAAAAATTTGGGTCCATCTTGGGCCGAGACAGATAGGTGCCAGTATACATGTACATGTAGATACCTACCTAGGTACGTACTCCACGAACAGATTGAAATTCCCCGTGATAGGGGGCAATCCGACGAGTCGAAAAACGTTGCAAGGCTGTAAGCACTTGAGTCATTCGTCCATCCAGGCTGGATTAGATAAGCTTCCGGTTCACACGAGAGCGAACACATCAAATGGCGCTTGGTGGTGAACAGTACGAGGACAGACGTTGCCTGTGCATATTCGCGGGGTGGCAGTCAGTTCCATCCAGTGAACGGATTGGAAGCCAACAAACACGATGATGCACATGAAATCAAACTCACGGTACGGGCAGTGGTGTTGGTGTTGAGCCAAATGGCAATGGAGGAATGTCGGAGTATTACTTTGTCAGATAGGTAGAGGTGCGATACGTACCTACTTAAGTACATACGATACCGACTAGCGCGCATTCTGAATTCGTTACGGGAAGCGCGACTGGGAGCTCACCACTCACCATCACGGCCCTGACGTCTGCTTGCTCCCATTCACGCCAACCCCCCCTCGCACCCGACGCGCTTATTGTTAAACATTGCACTCTCGCCCTTTCGTCCTCTCGCCCCCTCCTCTGCCGCTTCCAGCGCACCTTCGCCTTCCCCTGACGCGTTGTCGCTCGACGGCACCTATCGCCAACATGTCCACCCGAAAGCGCGCCAGGGCCGAGATGGAGGCAGAGACGCCCGTGGAAGAACCCAGCACTTTACAGAAGCTGCGCAACATGTGGCAATTCGCGAATCTCGCCCAATACCTCCACCTGTTCAGAGGCCCGTTGAAGCTCACCGGCGACTTCACCATCGAAGTACTTATGCCCTCGCATCGCATGCGCCGAGAAGTGCGTCCATGCCGCAATCGCCAGCAAGCTGACAAGAATCCAGGAATTGGAGACGGAATGTCTTCAGCCCCAACCATCGGACAAATTGGCCGAAATTGGCCTCGCTCTGCTCAAACACATTTCATCGCACAAAGGTCTCAAGTACGTCTTTCTCATCCACAGCTCCAGCACACAGCTGACAAGGCCAGCCTGGACATCTTTGACGAATACACTCGCCGCCAGTATGTCGCCAAAGCTCCGCTGCGCAATCCCTTTGGAACAGATGAGGACCCCGTCAAGTTTAATTCTTTCGACGTCTTCACCAAAATCCGTATATTACAGCAGCTGTCCATCTGGACCCTGAACAACCCAAACACTATAAGGGAGAAGATGAATGCCACCGAGATAGAAACAACTGATTGGGTAAGCAGCCCCGCCCATCTATAGCCTCACTAGCTGACAAGATTCTCAAGCGCTTCACGCCGTTCGGATGGGACGCACAGGAGCGAGAGCTTTATGTCTTGGATGACTTCCGCATGTATCGCCGAACCGAACCTTCCCAACCTAAACCTAAACCTAAATCAAAGTCTCGCAAATCAAAAGCGAAAAGGAGAAAAGTGGCGGCATCGGATACAGAGGAACCTGCTGAGGCGGAGGACGAGTCCAAGGAAGACGATGATGGATTTGGAGGTGCAAAATGGGAATGTGTCTGCATCACACTAGCCGAGTATCAGGACTACATGGCAGGTATCAGGCGGAGCAAAGACGAGAACGAGAAAAACTTGTACGTTCGTCTTGAGGAGGAAATCCTGCCCGAAATGTCCAAGGCTGTTGAAAAACAGGCGAGAAAAGAAGCCCAGAGGCAGAAGGAGTTGGAAACTCTCCAGAAACTCGCGACAGCCAAGCGGTCATCACGCATCTCAGCCAGACAAGAAAAATTAAAGGAAAGCGAACAAGCCGAGGAAGCGGAACGCAGGCGAAAGGCCGAACTAGCAATGGCTCAGGCTGAACAGGAGAAACAGAAACACATGGAAGAGGTCAGTACATGTGGAGCAAACATCGTGTGGTATGAGCTGACGTCTCCAGGCGCAAGAGTCTCGCAGGCAAACACGTGAACAGCGTATACGTGAGCGCGAAGCAGCCAAGATCCTGGAAGAGGAGAACTTGCGCAAGCTGCAAGCAGAGGAGGAAAAACTCGCCTCGGGAGAAGCTCGACGATCGGAAAGGTATCTCCGAGAGCAAATGAGGAAGGCTCAACGGCAGCTCAAGAAGCTCAAGGAGAAAACAGAGTGGACTTTCGACTGTGAGAAGTGTGGTCTGAGTGGAGTTAACTTGGTATGTTTCTACGTACGACAGTCAGTGGACGCTTGCTAATCTTCACCATAGAATGACGGTTCTCACCAGATACAATGCGAGAGATGCGAAGTCTGGCAGCATAGCAAGTGTCACAATATCACCCCCGAGGAAGCTGACAAGGACGAATATGTATTTCTGTGCTCATCCTGCAGGCGCAAGTCACAAGGTGAGAATGAGCCGAAGTTGCCTCCCTTGAAACTTCGGCTCACTTCCACCTCACCAGGTTCACATACCGCGTCGCAGCCCAATGGAGACTCAGGGCGAGTTCTCAATGCGCAATCGCCACCCCGACCGGTCCAGACATCGGCTTTGATGAACGGGCCGAGTCTGTCACCGCGAGGTCAAGCACTCGGTCCGCCGGGTATCCAGCGCTCAGAGGCAGCGTATGGCTCGTCCATGAGCTATGCCAATGGTGGTAGCTCACCCATCCGTCCTTCTCACTCTCGAACCCAAGGCGGAATAAATGGATATCCGACTTCGTCCCCTCCCCGGTATCAGCCATCCAGTCCATTCACCAACAACTCGTCTTCTGTGCGGAACGGCGGCTCCTTTCAGACCTCGTTCAATGCCTCACTCGGAAACAGTTTCAATCGCCCGGCTTCTGCATCCGGACTGGCCGGCCCATTCCACTCACCCGTCAAGCAATCTCCAGCACCATCTCCCCGCCCGTCAAACGGCGTACCGAATGCATACAATTTTAGCAACAGCCCACACTCGTCATTCCCTCCAAATCCAATACAAGCGTCTGTCCCTTCACCCACAAAGCACAGCTCCCCGCCACCGCACAGACAATACATGTCCTCCCCAGCGCCAGCGCCCATCAAATTCGCACCATCGCCTAGTCAGATGCCCGCACAGGTCCTTCCCGATCCCATTCCGGCCCCTTCCAAGCACGATGTCGCTCGTCCCGTCTCCAGCCAAGAGGTCCAGGAAAAGATGGTTCTGCCTCCGGTTAAGTCCCTGCCACCTAGCACCCCATTCCAGGATCTCAGTCCTCCGATGAAGAAGACCTCGCCTACGCCTGAGAAGCCTCAATTCGCTCCCATTGTCAAGGATAGCTCTTGAGGTGTGCTTCTGCTGGGACAGCCAAGCTAGAGCTGATATGGAGCTTGGTGTCGAGCAACTAGGTATTGTGGTAACAAGTTGGGTCTTGCTCATCATAGTTGGGCCATCGTGGCTTCGTTGCATGGTATTCATCATTCGATGCAGTGTGCGTTTTGGCAAGGTGGAGACACGGCAGGATATATCCGAAAACTTATCCTTGGTTTATCGATGCCACATGGAAGATTTCTTATCGAGGAAAGTGCATCGTTGAGACTTGCATAGGTTTTGCAGGACTGTGCCCCTTTGGAGGCTATGTAGTAATGCAATTTGCTTCGCCGGCTGGGTCGCGCATCTTTGTACCATCATATTCGGCGTTATCATTGTTACACAGGCTATAATATCGTGTATGGCACCTCTGTTTGATGGAGGTGTGAGAAACAATTCCACCATCTTTTGCTAGCATTCCTTCTTACGCCTGACAAGAACTTTGCAGACAATTACGAGTGATTTGGAAGCGTGCACATGGGGGCAGTACACCATGGATCAAGGCAAGTGACTTCTGGGCATGTACACAACAAAAAAAAAGCGAAGAAACTACGCGTCTGTACCACCACCGCTCCAATCCAACCGAAATCCATGCGCCTCAGTATTCAATACAAACTCGTCCAAACTCAACAATCCTGTATCCGCAAAACAAAGATAAAAATACTTCAACGTCTCTGCCACCCAAAAACTCTCCATATAGTCCGTCTTCTTCCCACCATCTGGCTGTACCACATCTTCAATGGCTGCATTCGCAATATCGGTTTCGGTAGCCTTCACCACAGCCTCGAACATACGCCACGCCGTGTCGCGCCACTCTTCCTCGCCCGTCACGCGCCACATGATGAAGACGGACTCGATGGCCTCGGGCCGTAGGATGTACCGCGGGTCCTTTGCCGTCGTGAAGCCGAGAGGCAGGTCTTCACGCCACTGAGAACGTTTCATTTTCTCCACGTCCCAGGTGGCGGCGGACCAAGGGCAGGGTTTGTGCGGGTCTGGGCATTTGACCATGTTGTAGCGCTCGGGCATCACGCCGGAGGGGAATGCAGAATACGCGTATGCACAGCCACGGGTCAGTTTTGCAGCCGTGTCCAGGTAGGTTTCTGAGGAGAAGATGCGGGCCGAGAGGGCGTAGAGACCGCCTATGAAGCAGGAAAGGTGTTCACTTTCCGGATCAAGAGAGGGACCGGATCCCAACACGTCGACGTTGCCCGAGATGAGGATTTTTTCGGAATGCGATGGGATCATGGGGTGGAAGAAGAGATTTGCTTGCGCAGTGTCGAGGAACAAGCGCGACATTTCTTCGTATTTCTTTGTCGAGGGGGAGGTACTACCGAGGAGGTGTACAGCTTTGGGGAGATACTCGTAGAGAGAGTCCGCGTTGCCGCCGATGGTGAATTGGTAGCCTGAAGTTACGTCTGGAGTTCGCATGTCGACCATCATAGGCCACATGCCCGGGAGCTTTGTGTCGTTCTGGTGAGTCGCGAAGACGTCCATGACGTGCGAGACGGCAGCGTAGTATTTGGAGTCGCCTGTGATCTGGCTGAGACGTGCGAATTCGAGGGTTATAGTGCCTGGAGAGGCGGAGACCACACCAGGTTCAATGGCAAGAAGAGTTCCTTCTTTTGCGCGCGAGAAGTTGATCATGTCGACGGGCATGTTGTTGGCCGTATTGAACGCTAGGTAGAGGAGGTTTCCGACTTCGACAGCTTTGGCTTTGAGAACCGGGTGGTTGCTGAGGTCGTACGCAGCAAGGAGCCCACCGAGGTAGCGAATGTTTGTTTCGAAGGTGTTGACAGTATAGGAGGTGCTTTGGCCAAAGTCAATAGAGGCAGTTGCTTCGACGGCTTCGTAGAATTCGTCGCGCAGACCCATGATCCACAGAGTATCGAGGCTATCGACCAAGGTTGCTGCCCATCCTGAGAATTGATCGACAAAGTTTCCGCTCGTCGGCTTGAGGGCATCCTTCATCCATGCGTGGTCCTTGTAGCCTGCCCATGCCTTTTTGGTGACTCGAAGCACCTCCTGCCGTCGCTTTTCCTGCTCCGCAGCAACATGCCGTGAATCGGGAGTAAATTGATGTTGTATGCGCGGCCGTTGTGTGACTGGTGATGGAAGTTTTGGGGTGAGCTCGGGTGGGTTGGATAGCTCCACCGTGTTCCAGGCGAAGCTACTTTGGTTGGCGACTATCCGAGGAACATGTTTGGGGTCGTTCATGTAACGCGCGAGCTGTACGGTCCCTGCATTTGGTGCAGCAGAGAAAGAATGCGGGAGATGCGGTAATGTCGAGATATCGTCGCTAGGGAGCATGTGGTATAAGAATACAACGAGGAGGGCGCAGAAGACGACATGGCGGACGCGTATTCGAGCCATTGCAGCGAGGAATTTCAGAATTTTAGATGAGGATGTTCGTTGGGCGCTTCATCATACTGCACGACCGCATCGGGCCGTGTACGAGGAAGCAGAGGTGGTGTCGTGGATGAGACATGATAGACGACGGGTAGTCAATCTATTTATGTAGTGGTGGCAGTATACCTACAAGGTAACGTATGCGGACCAAGTGTGGGACGGCATGGACGTAGATGAATCGTGGGTTAGGCGTGACTAAGCCACCCTACATCAGCATTCAAAAAGTAAGACGGTCAACTCATGCATAGTAACGTTTTTTCATGGGCTACTGATCTATCTATCGTCTTTTGGATTCGCACAGAATGTCAAGATTGATCATAATTAAGAGAATATTTCTTTTATAAATATGTACCTCAAAACCTGCACCATTGCGTCGCGCAATATTAGCACCGACTGGAGTCGGCAGCATTGTTGATTTTATCAACATCATCTTGTCCCTGGCTTGAGTGCGAACATCATCATCGTACATCCTTGTGTCTTGTGGCCAAATATAACTCCACATGTCTCAATACCCATTCCTCTCAGGTACAATAGAGAAACACGGCCCTCCTTTCTGGAACATCTTCTGCAGATCCCCTGCAATGACATCTGGCCTTTCCCAAGCTGCAAAGTGCCCGCCTTTGTCATTGTCGCTCTCGTACACAACCGAGCCTGTTCACTCAATTAGTTGCATGCAGTCTTACGGATTGGGTGGAGACTTGGCAAATGCACATACCCAAAGTCCTACCCCAAATTCTCGGCACAACAGTCAGCTCTTTCGGAAAATGCGCCAGCCCGAGCTTGACTCTGTCTACCCACTCGCTCGCTCGTCTTCGGCTCGGCACTTCAGGGGTGGAGTTGTGCGCTGCCTCGTAGTATATTCTGATGTGTGCATTTGGGCCCGCGGTACTGAACCAATAGATGCTCACCCAGGTCAAGATCTCATCGTCGGTCCAGGGATATTCATCCGTCCAGTCCCTCAATTTCTCGTAGATCCATGCCAGGAGAGCAACTGGCGAGTCTGCAAAAGCGTACCCAAGCGTCTGAGGCTTAGTACCTTGGAGATTCCGGTATCCTGAACCTTCATTCTGGAACCAGTCCGATCGCTCGAGCCCTTTCTTCTCGGCATCGCTGTAAGGCGTGACGCTATGCTGTAACGCAAGTACCGGATTCGATGAGAATGTGGGCGGCAGCGCGCGAATCATGTTGATGTGGCTCGCAAGCACATGATCGGGATACAAGACACCCATGATGCGCGTAACGTAGAAACCCCAATCTCCACCTTGAGTCACATATTTGGAGTATCCTAGGTCGAGCATCAAGCGATGAGCTGTTTCTGCATACTGCTTTAGCGCAAAGCCAGGTTTGCTGATTCGCTGACTGAATCCAAAATTTGGGAGTGAAGGCGCAACGATGTCGAACGTGGGTTTGTCTTCGCTAGCATATCCTAGTAGAGGGAGTATTTTCTTGACCTCGATGAATGAACCAGGCCATCCATGGCAAAAAAGGAGTGGGATGGCGTTCGGTTTGCCACTCTTCTGCCATACAAAATGCACATCCACGTCTCCGAACCCATCGACACTGATCTTCTTACGGTAGTTGGGTAGTGTGTTGAGTTCTGCTTCGGTGGCCCGCCAGTTGAAGCCCTGCTGCCACCGTTCTGCCAATCTCCTGACGTCGGATAAAGGGGATCCGTAGGGCCATTGATCTGCTGCGTCAAGTTCGTCGGGGTAATCTGCGTCTGCGAGTCTACGCTTGAGTTTCTCGAGGGCAGCGTCTGGCACCTCTATATTGTAAGGCTGAGCATCTGCCATTTATAAGCGAATCCTCGATAGAATCAAATGGCTCTGATAGCACGAGTATGTATCATCAATCGGTGCTGCGGGGTGGTGAGAGACAGTGTGAGTCTTATATACCTTGATGTGATGGCCCTTCTGCCCTCGCACATGACGACATGACGACTTGCATTTGAAATCAAGACTGTGTTACAACCCCTCGTCTTTTTCCACACCAAAGTAAGGTATAGATTGACATGATTGCATATTTAGTGGTTTGATATGGGCGCCGTTACAGATAATTAATAAGCTCAAGAGCTGATGTTCGCGAGCCGCGCGCAGACGCTGCACCCCTTGATTCCCTTCTAGTCTTTACTGATTACATATCAATTGATGTACGCTGTATCTATACTTGGCACATAACCACTCAGGTACCTTTTTACCACGGGGTTAGACAGCAGTTGTAAAGATAATACCAGAAGACACGCCTCGATTAATTCCAGACGAGGCCGTGTCCAGCATGAACTCCTCACATCCATCAGAATGCGTCCATCTCAATCCCTCGTCCACGGCTGGCCTACGCGATTTGTGTCTGTGCGCGCGTCACCTATGTAACCGTCTCTCCACATTGCCACTCTAGCTCCATCATGCAACTGTACCGTGATCCCACAGGCAATAGAAATAAACGAATACACATTACTCGGTTTGCTACTTTGTCGAAATAGCTTGTGAGATACAGGCATGGATGCCATGATCGATACCATGTCAGCAAACGACCGAATGCAGTTTTTCCGGGATCAATCGACAAAGGAGGACTGAGAAACTTTTCAATCTTTGGGCCAATTTCATTATCAGGTTGATAGCAAAAGTGGAAGATACATCGGGCTTAAGTAATGAAGCACGTGCAGGCCAGATCCCGTAGGTTTTGGAGCAAGATTTCAAGGTAATGAGATGGTTAAAAGAAGATTTGCATAAAAAAATACTATACCTTGCTTCATGTTGTGTGCTCGAACATCGCATCTGCGTCTTTCCCTGAGGATTATACATTTCCCTTTCATGTCTGCGTATCAGGAAATGATAGTATGTATGAAATTCATCGTTTTTTTTTCTCGATCTCAGCCTTTTTCTTCGCATAACAAGTTTTTAAGTTTTTTTGATTGGAACTTACATTGGTTCCTACACCTAAAAGGGCTGATAAAAAAGGTTCAGCAAAAAGTAGACGGACACAAAAAGCTTCAAAAAAGGAGTTTTGCTTTCAGCACTGGGCCAAGGATGCAACACCCGATCGCATAACAATGTACTTCTCATGTAGATCATTCGCTTGATTTTTGTGTTTATCGTCGTAACCCATCGCTGTGTGTAGGATCACCTAAACTTCAACTCAGAGAAAAAGAAAAAGTAGATCATTCATAGTTTGTTATTATCACTCATCGTTTCGAAGGTTTATCTTCCTAGCTGGACATACATCCTCTGGAAAGCATATGTATTATATCAAATAAGAAAAATATTGGTATTAAAGATCAACTGAACCCCATACATGTTGTACTGACCGTCGAGCGGTAGTCGAAGCTAAATCGAGCGCTCCAGCTGATGTAAGATTTGGTATAAATCTGACAAAATCAGCTGTCATTGCTGATATTCAAGGTTTTCCAAGACTGACATTATACGCTTCTCCGCTTGACGTGCTGACCGCTGCAGTGTCTCCATGTCAGTGACCATGTAGTGAAACGTGTGTGATGAGATTGAACCTGCATTTTGCTGGAGCCTTTTGTAGAGATGTGGGATACTAAGATTTCTCGAAAAGACACTACTACAATGACTGCATGACCGGCCGATTGCTCTTCCACATCGATTGTGCTTACGGTGATCATCCAGAAGCGCAATGTCGTCGCTGTTGCTTTTAGCCAATATATCATCTTCAACAACAGTTTGAGCACTTGCGCGTCGAGTGACAGCTTCTTCCAGGAAGTTCCCCAGTAACTGACGTTTCGAGGGACCGTCTTTTGTAGTAGATAGTAGCCGTGAGTCAAAAATCCATTGACGGCTTCAATAGCGGTGATAGGATCTTGAGCAGGACACAGTTGAGACTGATCTTCTGCGTGGTGCTTAGCCCCATTTCACTGCGCATCACAAACAATAGAGAGCAAAGAAACACAGTCTGCCATCTCTTCTAGCTAGATTCTGCTGCCACAAATGCTTTTGCACGTAAACAGCTCCCTGGAATGGAACGAGTAGGGAATCTTCCCTGCGAGCACGGCTGTGATACTCGCGTGTACATGTACTGTCTGTCTCTTTGGAGTCCAAACACCTTGAAATACCTAGGTTCATATGCGCTGTCTACTAAATACTATGCTTCTCACAGATATAAACAGGAGAAAGTTATTCGTCTTCCATATCTGCTCCTCGTAGTGTCTATTCGGCATCCAAAATATCCAACCGAGGGATCCTCTTTTTATGCTGGATACCCAAGTATGCGCCTTGCCGAAGAGGAGGAGAGAATGAGAGGGGCTTCTGGATACAACTGCCCACAAACACACAAAGGCAAGCACGAAGCCAACCGATGAAAGCAAAAGCAGCACAGCAATGGAGAGCATAGCGCAGCATCTGCTGATCAACTCCGAGATTACATCCCTCAAGGACATGGGTTGCGCAAACGTGATTCCTACCAACAACTAGTTGATGGTTACATGACACACATGTACGCACATGGCACACCTACTTCAGAATGAACCGAATTCATCAATCAAAGGCACAAAAATTTGGGGTTCGTTCTTGATTGTTATAAGTATATACATGAGCGCCATACTTTCTCCACAAAACAAAACCAACTCCAACAAGCCCCCCTCCTTCCCCGAAAAAAAATTAAGTGGTTTGATTATTAACCTCTTTTTGTTTTTGTTTGCAGCAAGCATGATTCGCGAGCTTGGCAACTAGTCTGACCTTTCCCTCCCCCTTCTATTCATACTACGGCAGACAGGAAGAGAGTTCGGGACAACAGTGCAGATAGAAAGTAATAATAATATGGGTCAAAGGTTGCGGGTGATCAAGACCGAAAACCTGGGTATAGAACGGAACAAAATAGCCATCGGCGATTGAGTGTGCTGTAGATCTTTGGTGGTATCCTCGAAGGGAAATATGAAAGGTGGGGATCGTTGAGCAGTGTATGAAAAAGGTGGGAGCGTCTTCCCAGGAGGAGTTTGAGTCAATGAGCGGACAGGAAAGCATATGCCAACCAAAACGTGGGTCATCGTGAGCGATGATGTGAAGAAGAAAGGTCGTTAAGTGATGCAGAGTTCTCGAGGTATTACGATTAAGTTCGTTCAGGGGGGTATCGGGACGACAGGGTGCAAATGCCGGTACATGTGTGCGCTGAGAGTGAAATGCGGGGGATGCGGAACGAAACGGGTATCAGAGATCCTCGAAGCAGGAAGCAGAAAGAAACAAAGTCGATACACACTCGAGGTGTGTGGGCAGCCATCATCGTGTCGCGTTACGGAAGAGTCAAAAGTCAAACGATAAGAGTGCTCGTCTCGGATGAGAACATCCTGAGCTGCGAAGGTTCAGGTGGCGATTGAAGGCGAGGCCGGGATCGCGCGAAGGCCTCGAGCTGGATGAACGAGACGGCCGAGGACGTGGGAGAAGCGGCTGGGTCATGTCAATACAACAGAAGGACAGCTGCGTATTAAGGGCTGGGAGGTGGCCGATCACCTCGACTCCCTCCTCCCATCTCAGTGCTGTCTCCATCTATTGTTCTTCGCCAGTGCTGCGGTAGGCACACGCACACCAAGGGGAAGGCCTTGATGTCACTGTCGCTCTCCGTCTTGGACTTCCGGCTCCCGTTGCTGACGCCAGAGTCGCGCTGCACCGCTCTTCTCGCTTCCCACTCTTCAGCCGTCTCCGAGAGTTTGATGCCTGTTGCCCATCCATCGTCCCAGATACCCACAATCTTGAGCATATCTCCGCGCTCGAGCTCGAATTCGTCGTTGGCACGCGGTTGGTACGCCCAGAGGGTGGCGACGGCATCGTTGGGGTGGATGTCGTCTTGAGAATAGTAGTCCTTGAAGAATTGAAGCTGCTCCGAAACCCCTGACGCGACACCATCGGGACTGGAGAAGTTTCGATCTGGATCGGATCCGGACAAGGGCGACGTATAGCCGCTGCGGGCTCCACCGAACCCCAGCTGTGAGTGGCTCGACAGCGATCCTTCACGCTTGGGTAAGTCTGCCCCCAATTGATTTCTTCGAGACACTGGAGTGTCATAAACATCAGACGAATCTCTATAGGTCGCAAGGCCACCGATAGCAGGAGAGCTGGGGTGCTGTGATGAGTTGGAACCTTCCAGCGCAGACATGCGTGCCACTCTGGCGCCAGGCAAGGGCATGGCAGGCGAGTGGTGACCATCCGCCGCGTATGTCATTGGGGCTGCTACCATTGTCTGGCGCGTCGGTGATGGAGTGTTGAGCAGACCACCTTGGTGACCTTGCCTACGTCTTCGAATGTAAATACAGCCCATGATGATAGCACCCAGAATTAGCGCAGCGCCTATCAAAGAGCCGATGACGATTCCAGCGATGGCACCTGCAGAAAGGCCAGAAGAGGGCTGAGGTGAGGCACTCGAGCTTGAACTTGGGGAACCGGTAGGGGAGAATAGCGGTGGCATGGACGAGGTGGCTGGCAGCTGAACGCCTTCGCAGCGGGAGTTGACGTTGGAGTTGACGCAGCAGGAATCGGTCGAGTTGGGAGAGCTCAAAGCGCAGTAGGAACACAAACCGCCCAGATTAGGCCCGAAGCCGCATTCCTCCTTCTCGTTCTGCGCAGCCATGATACATCCGGAAGAAAGTACTTGTGTGGGAAGCTGGCATCTTGACAGGTCGGCACGGATTTGATCATTGGCATTGGGACCGGGGTTGCCGCAGATGGAGGGCGTGGACGCTATATGCTGTTCGCTCAGAGCGAATTGAGCCTGAATTTGATCAGCACAAGGCTGTGAAGAAGGGGATTCGGAACATGGTGTAGATATAGTAGTGGTGGGGGGGAAAAGCAAGCTTACACAGGAATCGGCACACAGGGGCTCGGACTGCTCGGACGACAAAGAGCAGGGCTTGATCGAGGCCTGGACAATGGAATTGCAAAGGAAGGACGTCGTGTAGCGAGCATACGTCTGTGTGGTGTTTGTGAGGTTGACGCTGGAGCAGCCGATGATTTCTTGGTACCTGTAAGGGTGGAGCAGATGTTAGCGGATGGGGGGGGAGCGAGGGGGTTGAGAATGGGCATTACGTACTTCAAGCGTACATAGGTGGTTGAGACGTAGTCGCGTAAGCGGTTGTCGAAAGAAGCTACATCAGATACGAAGGAGAGAAAAGAGCTATAGTTCAGCTCTGGTTAGCGATTGTGCATATACGAAGGCGTGTCTGACGTGAGGTGACACATACAAGTCTCCGGATAAGCTGGTACTGATGGAAGCATTGCGGAAGGCTGGACAGGCGGTCGAGTCCTGGAGCGAGATGCAGGACTGGGCGGCGGCGGCGGGCACAGAGGCAGCGAGGAGGGCGAGGGCGAGGGCCGATATGCTCTTCTTGTTGGCCTTGGTGTTGTTGTTATTGTGATGGGACCGGCGAGGGCTTGGGGCGAAGGGGTGCTGCATGGCGGAGCAGATAGGCGGCGAGAGGGTCCTGGAAGTGGAATTGAAGAGACGAATGGCTTCGAAGAGTCGGCCAGCAACAACAGAGCAGCGGAGCAGAGCAAGGCGTTCACGCGTCCGTCGACATGTAGGCGAGATGGGGCGAGGCAGGAAGGTCGGCAGGCAAGGGGGGAACAGGCGGTCTGTATATAATAGCCAGGCCAGTTGAGCGACGGCAATATCAGACAGACCGACAAAGTTGACAGCAGACGGTGTTGGGAGAAGTCAGGCAAGCAAGCAAACAGCAGGGCCTGAGGTCTAGAAGAGTGAAAAAGAGCGACTCCGGGGTGAGGTAGATGCGACGGACGGCCGTGAGGGAAGGAGAGAGACGAGAGCAGAGAAAAGAGGATCGGATCCGCAAGCTAGCTAGCAGCAGCAGCTACGGCGTGGGAGGCAGGCACAGGCGGGCAGGCAGGCAGGCAGGGCAGGAGACAGGGCAGGCATGGGTTGCATGCATTGGGGGAGGAGGGCATGGGCCAGATGAAAGAGGAAAGAGGCCAAAATGGTCTCATCTCTCTCGCTCGGCAGTCGCGACCAGGGCAGCAGCAATGATGCCCCGATCAGCTACCCTGGCCTAGCGCGCGCAGGGACCAGCGCTAAAGGGCCCTCTGGCGCGTGGCGATTGGCCGTCGCCCGTGGCTGCGAAATGAGCTTTGCCTGATCGAGTCAGTCTCTTTGCACCTTATCCTGCCGTCTGCGTCTATAATTATAATTGCTGGACCTGCAAGTGTTTCATCTTTTGATCTGTTTCTGTTTCTGCTGCTGCTGCTGCTGCTGCTGCTGCTGCTGCTGCTGCTGCTGCAGTAATTATGCCATGTTGCGTTGCGTTACATTGCTCTGCCTGCTGCTGCTCTTCCAAGTATGCACGCAGATATATTCATATATTCATACATACATAGACACGAGCTCTCACCGATGCACCATGCCGCACATTCTGCTAACCCGTAAGCACCACCACCATCGACATCATGCAACTCGTCATCTATCGCCGCTCGTGTTCGTAGACTAGACTTTGTCGGCTCACTCCAGCCTGCAAGCGTACCGCCATCTTCTTCCATCCATCTCTCGACTCTGGCTTTCCCCAGACGGGCTGACGCAACTCTCGCTTCCACTAAAACCCCGTCTTGCCGCGCTAGCCCCTTTGGCCGCGTACCTGGCTAGCGGGTGTTGCACTTGCGCTTGCACACCAAGTACTTACCTATGTACCTCTATCCCTAGTAGCTACTCGGACTGCATACCAAGAACACTTGAATGTACTTCAGCGTATACACTATACACCACCTCATCCACAATCACTTTTGCATCCAGCCACAAGCCACAGCTCCTTCTCAAATGTTCGCACAAACAGTGTAGCAGCATCCCAACCATAGGTCGTCTCGTAATCCTCTCCGTTCCATCTTTGTTGGTGCCCTATACATAAACAGCAACCTCAAGGCTGCCTGTGTTTCGATGCCTCAACCGCAAATTCATGCACTCGCTTCCTCGGCCTCGCGCAAACACAACTTCACTGTAGCCCTGCTGCCGTAGTTTCTCACATCCAACTCCGACCCGGACACGTCGTTCCTGAGCGTAATCAGCCAACGCATGGCGATCCTGGGCTTCTTGTGGCTTCACATGCTCTAGTCTGTTTGTGCCAAACTTGCCGTTACCTCAGATCCTCCAGCTGATCCCCCGCCATCCTCCTCGCCGGATTATGCCATGTATGTATGGACCTCTGCCCCTCCCACCGTACAGGCACTGCTACCCGTCACGAGGCGCCCATCACCCCTCCAGACGTTGTTTGTTTGAGCCTACGGACACCATACACCGACCCGTCAACGCCCATTCTCCAGTTTCCAGAACAAGCGTCTCGGATCTAAGCGGTGACTAATCCCCGCTAATCGACATCGGTACCGAGAAACGACCAAGAAAAAAAGAGGCTCCACCTCACCCACCTCACCCGGTACATGCTCCGCCGTGGATACATCCTCCGTACCCCAAAACCAACAATAAACACAAGCCACACTCAAACACCGTCACATTTGCTAGCTGATCCAAACTTTTTTGATTCCCTAAGAATCCAAGCATTGTTTGAAGGCTTACCTCTAACCCAGATTTGGGCACCAAACAATCCCCAAGAACGCCTTGTCAACTTGTAGCTTCATATGTCTGCTGTCTGCAAAGAAAAACAATTCAGCCACACGTACATGGCATTTCCCCCAATACAGCCACCCTCAACGAAGCCTTCCTTCCTTGCTTCGATTCCTCTCTGTTTTCCTCTCGAAGAAAACCAATGATACTAGCCCCACTAGTGAATCCCGACTCTCAACTCCCCATTTATCCCCAACGCAACAACCCGCACCTTCATCTCCCCACCTCTCCTACATCTCCATCAACATCAAAATAAATCCACACGCGCCTTTTTTTTTCTTTTCTTTCCCGGTCTTATTTTCCTCTTCTCTAAACATAGCACCATGCAAGACGCGCTCCGCCATCCCGCTTTCCCCCGCTTCGCTCGGAACCACAAGTTTCCGTGACGCCCCAAACATGGTTTGATTTTCTCACCACCTACTCCACCCATCCACATATCCGTCCATCGATACATCGATACATATATACATATCTACTCATGTATGGGTATGCACGGTCTGGACCCCGCATTCCATGCCGATCTTCTCGTTTTCTCCCTCTCTAGATCTGCACTACCGTAGATCCCCTTAGGTTTGGCCCGCTCTTGTTGCTTAATATAGCATTTCTTGAAGAACTTTTTTTTCCCTTTCTTTTCGGGTTTACTGGATTGGGGAATCCTTAATCCGCTTTTTTCTTTTCCCTTTCTTTCGCGGTTGGTGTGGATATGGGTGTGCCAGGTGCGAGTGTGTGACGTTGCGTATCGTGAAACAATGTCGACTTCAGCTATCTGTCGAGAGACTGAGAACTGTGCACAGCGAGGGCTTTCTTGATAAGAGATTTCTTTCTCTGAAAACACCCATTCGTGATATTATAAGAGCTATAGGATGGTTGAACACTTCTCTACCCATTTCAATCTTGTCGCGAGTATAGTTTGTCTTCAACCATTGTCACTCGAGGACCAGCAAGTAGCACAACACAATAGCCTCCTTTTTTCATTCGCAAAGACATATCTCTCTTTCTTGTACAACTCCCTTCCTCTGAGATACTATTACTCCGTCCCAGTATATACAAAACCTGTCCTTCTCCCAAAATAACCGGTACATGATCCAATCGTATAAACAGTGCACCTCCCACACTTTGTCCTTCCGTATATACACCCTTGCACACAAAATAACTACATCCCTTGCTCCCTGTCTCTGACAATAGCTACAATATCAAGTCCATTACAAAACACTACATACAAGTTATCCAACAAAATACCAAGGCAGGGGGAAAAGGAGAGATTTCATCCTCCCCATACCCAAGCTGGGAACCCTTTACTCTTGGTCCAACTCCCGGGCGCATAAGGGTTATTCACGTTGTCATTGCTGTTGCTGTTGCTGTTGGAGTTTGAATTGGTGTTCGAGTTTGCATTCGCATTTGCATTCGCATTTGCATTTGCAGTAGGCTGGACATTAGCATTCCCGTTGCGGGTGTTACTCCACGGGTTATTGTTATTGCTCTTGCCGTTGGGCTTGGACCATTGATTATTATTATTGTTGTTGTCGCTATTTCCACCGGATTGTGTCCATGGATTGTTGTTCGAAGAGGGGTTATTCCACGGATTCGAGTTCCCGTTATTACCGGGACGCGAAGATGGGGACGGAGAGAGAGATGTAGGTGCGTTTGACTGAGGAGATATTGGACGAGGGGGAGGAGACTGCGACACAGACGAAGGTCTCGAGGGTCCGGAAGGAAGCGTTGAAGAAGGTAGGGACGAAGGCAATAGAGACGAAGGGGAAGCCTGGACAGAAGACGATGGGAAGGAAGAGATAGGAAGGCTCAGGGAGTTAGAAGACGCAGAAGGAGGGAGAGGTTGAGACGACGATAATAGAGAGGAAGAGAAGATGGAAGAGGCAGAAGGTTGATTAGCAGGCGGAGACGATGGCCGAGCAGGAGAAGGACGAGAGGAAGGAGGAGGCAGCCCATTACCAGGCGACTGCGCACAAGACGCGCTCAGGGATACAGTCGTCTTCTTAGTAAATGTAGCTTTGATCGTCTTCGTCTCTACACTCGTCGTATACGTGACCACTACCCTCGTCTGCGTAGGCGTGGGCAGCGTGACTTCGTTGGTGTAGATGCCTGAGCGCACCGTAACAGGGGGCAAAGTGGTGGTTGTAGTCTGTGTAACGATGCTGAGCACAGAAGCTGTGGACGGAGCGCCCGTATAGGTAACTGTGGTGTTCACCGGCGGCGATGCCGTGCTGGTGACGGTGGCCGAGTCGTAGCCCACTTTGGCGACGGGGAGTGTGGCTTCTCCGGATGTTGCGTCACGACGGCGTTTGGCGGCTTCCATACGGGCACGCACATACGCGACGTCGACAGCACGATCGGCTTTGCGTACGAAGCGTAGGGGTTTGGCGGATGCAGTTGGGGTGACAAGTGCGGCTGGGTGGATCGCGGTGGGTGAGTATCTACATGGCTTGTCTTGCTTGACAGATGACAACGTTGTGCAACTGGCGGTCACAGTTTGGGTAGTGAGCGATAGTTCCTTGGTCCAGGTATATTCTTTGTGAGTGACTGTGCTCGTGATGGTCGTATTGACTGCAGCAGGTGTGATGGTTCGCGTTTTACTCGCGGTAGCTGAGGGGACGGTGTATGTCGTGTTGGGACCCACACTGGACGTAATCAAAAGCGTCGACGAAGATGTGGTAGTCACCACTGGGGCTGAAGTGATGTTGAATGTAATTGTTGGAGTTATAACAGACGTGGCCCGCTTGCCGCAATCAAGCTGTAGATCTGATAGAAGATGTCAGAAAAAGAGTGTTGCAATGCGAGAGAGCCAAAAATACCCCGCTGCCATGCATATGGCTGGCCATTCCCATTATTTCCTAGGATCAAAATCATGTAATGACCAGAAGTCATCTGGCTTTTATACACGGGACAATTGGACAATTGGGCAGTATCATCTGGCAGAGTTGGGATCTGAGAGCAAAACGTCTCGTCGCCAGCGGGGTCAATGAACAAGACTTCTGCCTTATCTTGATTGCAACCTTCAAAGGTAGAGACGCATGTAAAGGTGTCGTTAGACCCAGTGTTTATGAAGTAAGATCCGTCATCCACGAAATCTACTCCATAAGAGTAGCAGATGGAATCAGGATTGGACGTGTCGTTGCTCGCAGCACTGACCAAAGCGAGTGAAAGCAGAGCCGTGAAGGCCACACCCTGGGGGAAACGAGAGAGCACCATGATTCTGGGAAATCACAGCAAGAAACGAATGATAGCTAATCTTGTTGCTTGAAGTCTAGGAGAGGGGAAACATGGTCTTTAAATATGGCATCTTTGCAGCCGTGATTGAGCATTCAGGAACACTGAGCGCGACTCATGCAGTCATGGCATGTAAGCGGGTCAATAGCCCAAGTGCTGCATTAGGATGGGGCCTTGATAGTAGATGAATTTCCAATTGTTCATGATTTGGTGATATGCCGGTGTTCTTGAGCAAACAGACACCGGTATCATCACTTTGGGCCGCCGGATACAATGGTCTGATGGATCCCGACTGCAGTAGCTACAACATCGGCCGTGTTAGCTAGTACAAACGAGTAAGACGAAGGCGCTTACATGGAAAAATCCTGGATGTTAGACAACAGCTCAAGTAAAACATTCATCTAGCCGACCAATTGGGTGGCACTGGTGCAACGGTAAGGTACTGAGACTACGCTACGCTTCCCCGCCCAGAAGTCCGGTAGACTTCTCTCCGAGAGCACCTGGCTGTCTGTACACGGAGACACATGGAGTTCTGTGGCTCGATACCATGGCTCAACTCTTGTGAACTAGCGAAGCGGGTCAATGACAGCGTCGGTACTGGTCATCTTGAACGAACTGGTGGAGATATGGCGCAATGGCTTGAAATATTGTTGTTCTAGATGCGCGCACGACACACGTGCTTGACACATAAGAGACATTGTTCTATGTTTGTCTTGGGTTGTACCCCAGAAATCAGGTTGATGTGGACTCTCAAGGTTTGACTAGAGACTTCTGTGGAGTATTGGAAGGCATCAGCTATTCATAGTGTTGTAGTATAGCCGTTCCCGAAAGCAATATACCTTCACGTCACTCCAAGCGGCATCTAATGTTGTGTACGGCTGCCGTGTGCCATTGATCTTGGCAAAAAATATATAGCCGCATCGAAGGAAAACATATTCAAATAAAAACAAATGGGGTCTGGAAAGTATTTCATTGGAGCGGATTTTGGGAGAGGTGTGATGTAGGAAATCATTGTGCAGTGGCTGTTCGACTCCGACATGGTCTGAGGGGTTCCGGAAGAGTGGATCCATCCCATCTGCCATTCTGGAAGGGGAAAGATGAGCGACGGGTGAGAAGCGAAGCGCGAGGAGCGGGGCTTGCCAACAGCATGAAAAAAAAAAGAGCAACAAACCCGCTTGCGCGTTGTCATTCACCAGCAATATAATATTATTAAGCAAGAGTTTTTGGTACCTGTAATGGGTCTTCATTGGAAGGTCAATCGTGATCCACGCATGCTTTCCATTTTCTGCTTGAAATGAGCCCAGTTCGAGTCCGGTGGTGCTCATTCCACTCGCTTGGGTAACCAGCGAATTGCTGGGAGGGCCTAAGCCATGACTTAATCACCAGGGGAGCAATCCTGCAATGAAAGTTTTGTCATCGGATGGCGAAATTGGATTACTCGTTTTCGGCTTGGCAAGCAATGTGTGGGATGACTGTTACCGACCTTTATTTTGTTTTTTTATTCGTATGACTGTGTGTGGAGTTGCGCACTTAAGAAGGCCATAATCTAGATACTGACGGTAATAGATAGGGGGTCTTTTTATCTTTGATGGCCAGCGAAGAAGGACAGCAAAGAAGATATATGCTTTAATTCTCCCATGAACATTATAGGTACTATTTATCCATCCTCAGCCAAAGACCAATGGATGGCCCGGGTATTCAAATCATGCATGTATAATACTAAAGAAGAGGAAGAAGATATTTTTTCATGATCCAAAAGAAGGATGCAGGATTAAAACAGAGAGAATGCAGAGCAATCAGACAAAGAGAACATCCTAGCCCACAATCCCAAAAACTCCAGAATTATTTGGTAGCTGTGCGCGGGGTGATTGATCGATTGATTTTTGCTTTTTGTCACTGCTCCAAGATCAGTGTGTTTTCTGCCATTCGTTTGATTCGCATGTCTGTTTTTGCAGCATCATTGCTCTTTCTTGGTTACATTAGCGTAAGACATCTAGGGGACCTAGGTCTATCAAGTAGCTATTTTTTATCGAGTTACAGACCTCTTCTCATGTATCAATTATGCCTAATGTATACAAGTGCCACATCTCCTGGCATGTCTTTGTGCATGTAGACAGAACTACGCTGTCTCTGACACTCATGGATCAACGAATAGCATCACGTTATCATACAACCTACACACGTGTCCAATACATACAGAGTATCATGGTCATGGTCATTTCCCCGGGGGTATTCTCTCTCCGTCTTCATAAAAATAACAATGCAGCCAATACGTTTCTTCCAAGTAACAGATAGGACGCCACCGTAAAGCCCATCCAAGTCATCATGCAGCTATCCGTTCCCCTTTTGCCGTACATACAAAAACAAGCAGATCATCTTACCTGAGTTGCTGGAAAGGGTGTACAGCCCTTGTATGCACAAAAATCATAGGAAGTATTCACCGCGGGTACCTCTTCCTGCAGGCACGGCGCGTTTGTGGTCGGGAACAGCGCTGAAGATTTGGAACTCGGGCTTCAGGTCCTCGCCTAGATTCATAATAGACGCAACATTTCCGCAGCGGTAACAATAATTGGGAGCAGACCAAACGGTAACGACGTCTTTGTCTTTGAAGTGATACTAAAGTCGTGTGAGAATGCAAATCGACAGTAGGGATACAACTTGAGGGACGTACCTTGTAACCTTCGTTGACAAGCTGATGCGCTCGCGCAATCAGTTGCAGGCCATTGACGTGATTGAACTCGGACGAAACCTTGTCTCCGAACAGCCAGCCGGCACCACGGGGAGATACAGCCCAGGTGTCGACTTCCTCAGGGTCACTCCAGACCAAGTCGCAGAAAGCACCTTCGTGTGGAATCTCCTGGGCTCTAGCCACGACGCGTATTTGGTCCAAAGTTCGAATCTCAGGACTGAGACCACCATGCACGCACAGAACCTTGCCGTCTACAATGGCGGCCAGGGCCAAAAAGTCAAACACTTGACAGCAGGCTTTCCATACAGAAGCATTGCCGTATTTCGTCTGGCATTCCTCGTAGAAACCATATACCTGGGTAATTTGTCGTGATTCGTGGTTGCCGCGGACCAGCGTCACTCGATCGGGAAACCTGATGCGTTAGAATTGACTCGCGAACTCGAGCAGCAAACACTTACTTGGCTTTCAAACACATGAGCAGAGTAAATGTCTCGAGACTGAAATAGCCTCGGTCTACAAAATCGCCCAGGAAAATGTAGTTCTGCTGGCCATTGCCAGAAGGAACGTTTCGCGTAGATCCAGCAGTCGATTCTTCTTCCGTACTCCTCCTGGCACCGATGCTTCTGCTCCGCCCTCTCTCCTCCTCCTCTTCCTCTTCCTCCTCGTCCTCATCGCCAGGGCTCGTGGGACCTGTGTACCTTTCATCGTGTTGAAACCTTCTCTTCATCTTCCGCTTTGCACGGGGGTCTGTAATGGTTGTGGGTGGTTCAATATCCTCAGGCTTGATCGTAGGGGGGATTGCGGGGGTAATTGGAGCGGTGGGGGCATCGCTGGGCATGCCGCCAGCGACTCGGAACAGCTCTAGAAGATCGTAGAATTGACCGTGAATGTCACCACATACTGTGACAGGAGTTCGAACGGGCTGGATGTTTGACTCTAATGGGGCCATGTCAGTTCTGTGCAACATGGCAGAACAGGCCCAATTCGAGGAGGGGCAAGTCGGGCAATTTCGACGTAGCGGGGTCGTCCGATGCACTCACCCTCCATCAGACATTCCTTGACAATCTCACAAAGGCGCTTCATTTCAGCTTCGGGTAGGTATTTGCATTGCTTTGCCTGCTCCAACCATTCATCCGGCCCCGCGCCTTTGGATAGACGTGCAGCCCCCGGCTGCGGGACATCACCGTCTTTACCCATGATGTACGAACGAGTAGGATTTGCGGCAAACTGGGGCTGAGAGCAACGGCAGCGTCTAGATATATAGAGGCGGTAGCAGTGGTAGCTGGAGGGCAGACAGTCGTGTGAGAGAGGTGGTGATTATCAAGCGTGACGTAGCGAACTCTGGCGGTACCGTGGAGAGGTGGACACGGGCACGCGAGGGCAGCAAGGAAGATGAGGCGGTCCTGGTTGTATACAAGGCTGGTTTACGGGCGTCGGTGGTGGTGGTGGGCATGCATGATGAGGTGGATGGTTGGATACTTATGTGTGTATAGGGTGGTACGTCTCGGCCTGCTCGCTGCGGGCGGCGTGGGCTGCAGGCGCTCGGTGGTGGAATTGTGTCCCACTGTCCCACTTCGGGAAAGGCGGTCAGTGCGTTCTACAGCAATCAATCCATCGGCCACTCTCCGTCTCAACATCACACGAACAAACGTTCACGTTCCTGCTACGCTGCAGACCATCGCCCTTGCCGCACATTCACCTGGCCTCTGCGCCTCTTTCCCCTTCTCATCCGTCGAAGTGGATGCGTTTGCGCCCGAATTTGCCTCGATCCAGGATTGATTCGCCTTCCAATGTCCTCGTCTATAAATTGCCGTGCTCCCCTCTGCCACCAAACTTCCGCACCACCACCACCCTCATAGCTCAACCCCGTCCAAAGACGCCCTACATCTGCCGTCGCTCGCACCCGCCTCTGCGTCTGCATCGCCCATGGCGCCCCCAGCCGGAGCCAACGGCATCATACCTGTCACGGCCATCCAGCAGAAAAACTCCCCCGCATCAGCGCCCCGCGGTCCCAAAGCACTTGCACCGCGACTGAAGCTGGTGCTACGCCGCCTTCCTCCCGGCTTGACCAAGCCCGAGTTTGATACGCTGTTGGGTGACGAGTGGAAAGTCGGCGGCGGCAAAATCGACTGGCTCACCTACAAAAAAGGCAAGATCTCTAAAGAGTATGTCCATCGCTTGCCCTGGCTTCACGGCAACAAGTAACCTTCAATCAGTGTCGCCAAACCCTCGAGGCCCTCTCGCGCCTACATCCATGTGACCCAGAATGCCTACGTTGCTTCCCTCAGCGACCACGTCCGCGAAGTTACATTCCACGATGCTGCCAAGTCTTTCTCTGACAATGCTCTCGTCGGCCCACCCGTGTTGGAATACGCACCTTATCCAAAGATACAGGGAGGTAGGCGTAGGAACGATGCTCGCCAGGGTACTATCGACCAGGATCCCGAATTCAAGGAGTTTCTGGAAAGCCTGACGGCCCCTCTCACTAAGCCTGCTGTGCCAGAAGCCGATGCTCAGAAAGAGGAGAAGGTCAAGACCACCCCATTGATCGAAGCACTCCGGGAGAAAAAAGCGAACAAGGACAAGCCTCAGGGCAAGAACAAGGGTCGTGGAGAGGCTAAGGAGACAGCTGCCGAGAAGAAGCTCCTCACCAAATCTGGGAAGGATACCGCCCCCGCTACCGGAGAGAAGAATCGCAATTCGAGCAAGGCGGAGAAGGAGAGGGCACAGAAAGAAGCTGTCAAGGCTCTTAACAAGGAAGCAGCTCTACGAAATGGAGCTAGCAGCTCTTCAGCCGACAAAACCACAACACCTGCTCCCGAGCGCAAACGCGGTAATATGAGCATTGCAAAGTCCATACTACATCGCGATCTTGGCCTGACTCCCGCTTCTTCGAACAAGCGGCGAGGCACCAAGCGAGAAGTCAATCCTGTTACGCAAGAAACTCCTACTCAGAACGAAAACACGCCGTCCAGCAAACAGAAGGGAAAAGAACCGGCCACAACCGCCGCTACACCTGCAGCTGCAACTCCAGAAAAGACCGCGCCTGCATCTACACGAAAGGAGCGTCCATCGCGTGCCGAGCGTCGTGCTTTTAAAGCTTCTCTGGCAGACAAGGCGAGCTCGAAGACTGAGGGAGACGATGCTAAAACTCCTGCAAAAGCAGCTGCATCGGCCCCGACCATCCTTAAAAAACCGCAGGCTGCACAAAACCAGGCGCCAGCCACTACCTCAAAAGGACCCTCGGCAGCGCGGCCTCCTACTGAACCCTCTGCGGCAAGGAATGCGCCAACCACGCCGCAAACCGCCCCAGCCCGTCCAGCAAATCCCACGCCTGCTCATGCCTCGCAGACTGCTTCTAATCCCACCCCTACAGGCAAACAGGCATTCTTGAAGCACGCCAACGCATCCCAGGGCATCACTGAGACGCTGATTGAAGAGGCCCTCAAATCTTTCGGCGCCATTGATAAGGTGGAGATTGACAAGCGCAAAGGTTTTGCGTATGTTGATTTCGCTGAGACCGAGGGGCTGATCAAGGCGATTGCAGCTAGTCCAGTCAAAGTTGCCCAGGGTGCTGTTCAGGTACTTGAACGTAAAGAGAAGGTTGCCCGAAACCGCCCTTTTACTGGACCTCCAACGGGACCTGCATCTCGCGGTCGCGGTGGATTTGGCCCACGTGGACGTGGTGGACGCGGCGCAGGTGCCAGAAGTAGCGCCTCTGGTGCGACTGGCGCTCCTGATGCTGCGAGTGCTGCAGTACCCGTGTCCGCACCTGCTGTGTCTGCTGGTGGCGATGCGACGACATGAACGTTACGGCTTTCTTCATGATATTCGATCTCCCAGTCCGGGTCGCAAAACCAGGAGTCGACGACGACCCTAATCGAATCGGCACACAATAAGCATGCTACCAGTTCAACATCGACTAACCTACTGTATCTATCGATATCGGCGGTACCCTGTTAAAGACGACAAAGTTTGCTGGGCGATGCTTGGATAGCTCTACGCTTGGGCTTTGGCATTGAGACGTGATTCATGATCGTGAGTGGAATACCTTATTCCCCCCGGGAAAAGTGTATTCAGCGATCTTATGTCTTGGTCTTACGAACAGGATGGATGTTGAGCGTGATGATTAGGATGGAGTTCCATGTCTTTAGTTGTAGACAGAGAGGTATTGATCCTTGCGAAGGAATGAGGTCCGATCCGAATCGGATGGAACGCGGATGGACGCGAATCATTATGTATGCACAGACAGAGGTTAGCGGACCAGTTTGGTTTCTGGGGCTGATATCTCATCGATAATCAATATGTTTGCCTCTGACCATCTCATATTGCATGAACATGTACCTGCTCATGAATGGTGTGATTACTTATGAGCAATCGTGGCTCACTGCACCTCTAGATCGTTGGATTGGTAAAATCACAATAGTGCACATCTGAGAAGGGTATAACAGCTGTGAGATGTATGCGATGCTTTTCTAACTTAGCTTTCTCTATAAAAAAACCAAAACGCAGTAGCAATGTACAAGATGCAACCGACCCCTTAATCTCTCCATCCATGGAAATCAAATCATGAGGAGGTACATGAAAAGATGCACCATACTCCTTCCCCAAGAAGAACGCCGATGCTGCTGAGTATATTCTAAACTCAAACACTAAACCGCCCCTGGATCCCAAAATTCGCAACCTTGACACTTCCCCCCAAATTCACTTATATGCCAAGATAATACTTGCCACGTTCATACACGTAGAAGCTGGTAGCCGACATGGGTATGATCTTGACATACCCGATTGTCAGGCCGATGAAGAAACCGCGGAAACCGCTAGTCAAATAGATGCGCTTCGCGACCTCTGCTATACCGAGTCTATGGCCGTCTCCCACCACACCTCCAACTTGCATACGGCGACGAATGACTTCGAGTGGGTACGATACGGTCTGGGAAATCAACCCCGCGAAACCGCCCGCGCTGAGCTCGGCCCAGTAACGGAGTTGCGCAGGTTTGTGGGAGGACGTTGTGGATTCGGTACGAGCGGTGTGGGGGAGGGTGGTGTAGTCTGCGACGAGGGGTAGACGCAGGAGATCGGAGACGGTGTCATGAACGAGGAAGGAGGCGCCGGCGTAAGGGATCATACCGAGAAGAGTCGGGGTGAAGCCGCGGAAGAAGTTGGCGAGACCTGTGCGTGGCGCGGCTTTCTCTGCGACGGTAGCAGCGGCCGCTGAGATGGCATTGGTGGGGTGATGTACTGGAGGCGGTGGGTGCTCGCTGTAGATCATGCGGCAGATACTTCGAAGTGTGCTACGTTGTTGTGTCTGTGTTTCAAAGGCGAGCCGGACGCGGATCACTTCTAACGGGTATGTGAAGAAAACACTGACTACGCCCGCTAGACTACCGGATGCGAAACGTCGTAGCGGTGTTTCCTCTGCCTTGTTTTTGATAACGCGAGTACGGATCTGCTCGTATGCGAGGAACTTGATTCCAGCGTAAGGGAAGATACGAAGGAGGGTCGCCGAGTGGCCTTTGAAGAGTCCGCGGGAGCCATGCACACTGTAGATATCACGGATGGCGTTGGGCAAGCCTGTCCAGTGTCCGGCGTACTTCTGGAAGTTTGGATTGCTGGTTTGAAGGAGGATCTTGACGCGATCTAGAGGGCCAACCACGGTTTTTCCCTGTACATATTACCATTGTCAGATTATTGTGCGCTTTGCTAAGGGTGAAGGGAAGCTTACAGCACAGCCAGCTAGACCCCCTGCCAAACCGCTTTTCAGCACGTACTCAGTACTCCGCCTATCCGCCTTCTTGCCGGCCATCTTCGTTTCCGAACCAGCAGCTTGGTCATTGGGTTTATATGGCGGCAGTTGTTGGCGGTTTGTGTGCGCAGGCAATGTTTGCGCGGGAGTTGTCATGATGGAGGAACCTTGTTGGTCTTCATGGCGGAGAGAGGGCGAGGACATCCGGCAACTCTACGTTCACGACGACATGTGGAATGTGTCTCTGGCAGGCTGTTCACTTGACTTGGTAGCGATACACGTGAATCAAAGGAAAGGGTACGTGCAAGTCTGAAAGAGTTGTGGAGGATCTGCCGCTTAGGATGACGTTGGGTTGCCGAGGATGACGGTTCCGGGCCGTCGATTGGCCGGCGATAAGCGGGCCCTTTGGTCCAGAGATTCCGACAACTCCATCACTACCCAAAATACTTTGTACACCAGATTGTGGGTGTCGAAGTCCATTGCGAATCTGACTGCACCGAGGAGAATCGCACTATCCACATACCCTACTGTACACTGACGAACTAACGTTTGTTTACTAACTTCGTAACACAGAAGCAAGCTAACGGCGGCGTAGATCAGACCCGCCCAACGGACAATATCTGATTTCCTTAACGTTCTTCTGTCACTGATCGTAGTTCCACGATTCTACATACTGTTCCAAGTCCAAGCTTTTCTTTATTACGAAAAAGTCATGGCAGTCTCCAGCGATGGCCATGATCCTTTATCAGCCATACTGTATCAAAGTACGGACGGTAGTATCACACTCATTGACATTCCAAGGTCCATTGCTGTAGCTCAGGGTCGTCCGGGCACTCTCCTGTCAACGCAGCCACTGGAAACCCCTCTAAAACTAGACTATGAACCATCATCTACAAGAGGAAAGGCTGCGGATGCGCAGCATCTCTCCACCATCATGATCCACTCGGAATACAAGACGCTTATCGAGCTGGCGCTGAGAGAAATAGGCACACACTTGTCCAGGCCATGGTGTCAACCACGCACTTTGATAGCCCAAGTACCCAAAAGTACAGATCCAGACATGGTCATCGACGATCCGGAGCAGGAGCTTCAGGAGCGGCTTCGCGAATGGGGTCAAGTGGTTCAAAACAGGGGTGACGATTTTGCGTTCGATTTTCAAAAGATGATGGCCTCCTTCGGTGCGACCGATGCACTCGATGCAGCTGCCAACAAAAACGTTGCACACAAATGGCGTATGTCGTACAGTTTGGCACGCGAGATTAGCAGCGATGCATTCGACACTGTGGAACAGCGGGAGCTAGAACGAGTGGAAGAGTCCTGGATGTCTTCCTTTCACAATCCGGAAAAGTGTGCATTGGATCTTTCTATATTCGAGACTGCAACCGGGTTTGACCAACAACCGACTTCAACGTATCACTTTACCATCCCTCCCAAAGCTTCGTTCTTTCTAGGCGACACCACTCGCTCGGATGTATTCCGTGCTTCGTTTCGCGAGCTTACAGACGAGTACAAGCTTCCGCGACATTTTGATCTGGTGTTGATTGACCCGCCGTGGCCCAATCGATCCGCAAAGCGGAACAAAGGGTATGAGCAGACGGGCGGCATGCCTTATATCAAGAACATGCTTCTGAACATGGACATCGATAGCTATATCGAGCACAACGCACTGGTTGGTGTGTGGATAACGAACAAGGAGGCCTTGCGCTCCCACGTCCTCGGCGCAGGTGGGCTATTCGAAGCGTGGAATGTTGGTTTGTTTGAAGAATGGATATGGGTGAAGACGACGACTAGCGGAGAGCCCATGTTCGATCTTGACAGCGTTACAAGAAAGCCCTACGAAGTCTTGCTCGTTGGACGAGCTGCGCCGAATGCATGGACTACTATGGCACCAGCGACTATCATCAAGAAGAGGGTAATTGCCGCTGTGCCTGATGTGCACTCGCGCAAGCCATGTCTGAAAACCTTACTGGAGGAGTACATGCCCGACAGGAATGATTACAGTGCTCTCGAAATTTTCTCACGCTACTTGGTCAGTGGCTGGATGTCTTGGGGCAATGAAGTCCTCAAGTACAACAACGATCAATACTGGAAAGCAGCTTGAAGAAGCGTGATGGACGTTCCTCCTACGTGAACGTTTCCATCTTCCTAGCAATCGAGTCGGAACGAGCTTCCGGATCTTCAATTGCTGCAAAACATGTGCTCACTAGAAAATGATGGATGAATCTGGGGTTCATTGCAACAAGATCAGCGGTTGCTATACCGATCCAAAAAACCCGGTCGGCATTATCCTCGAGCTTCACATAGCCGCGGGTAAGTAAGGGCAAATAACGTCTAACGTGTACTTATATTGGTTTCCAACACACGCCTGCTATATTTGATCGGGCTTGATGTGTCTTTCTCTTCTTCTCGCTGTAGATTAAGTCTCGTCAAATCAATCGTGTTTTGTCCTTAAAGTGCTCTCTATCAATAGAGTATGGTACCCGAATATGTCGTGCATAACCCCCCAAGAACTCGGCAAGTGGGATGATAATGACAGTGCCCATGAATACACTGGTTGTATATCAGCCTTTGAAGATATATTTAATCATTGGCTCAATTGCATTCATTTGTATAGCTTATGTATTGTATACTGACATGTCTATATGCATGCCTCCGGATGTCGTCTTGTGGAAATGTGTATTCCGTTCTCCGAACACCCTGAGAGATCGTCACTCGCAGATGCGATTCTACCGTCGGCTTATGCCTCACTCATCCAAGATCGTCAAGTTATTCATGCAGGGTCTTTTTTGAAGGCGCAATGTCCATCATCTGCCGGGGGGGCTCCACAATCTCGGTCCTTGGTATCTTTTGCAGCTTGATTGCGAGTAGCAGGTGGGGAAGGGCGAAGGAAGAAATCGGAACGCAAGTGGGGTGTGAGGGGCGCGTCTTCTTCTCGACACTCTTCATCTAAACACACCGGTGCTACTACCGGGGCGTGGGGTGGGTATATTATGCCAGGTAAATGAAGTCTACATACACTTCTGCCGTATGTGGCCGAGCGTTCTTGTTTTTTTGCTGCCTGGTCTTGTTTGAGCGGAGTGGAGGCTTGTTGGTTTCTGCGATGCCTAATGGCCCTCAACAATGCCGCGCGCAGCTCGGCATAGTACAGCGATATCAACAGATACCCACAGCTTCACACTTTTGAATGCATGATGGCATGGATACATGTGGCTTTCAAGACTCGTGACTCACTGTTCTCCTCTTCTTGGCTTCTTGCAAAGATATGGGTGTTTGAACCCGAGTGGGGATTTCCAAGTGATGTGGCGACGATGTCTTGACGTTACATTGACTTCGTACCGCTAAAAGTATACAGACCCGTGATGATGCAAGCATACCTACATCCGAAGGAAAGCAAGTATACATGGGAAAATGATCGGCATCCGTGAATGATACAGAGTACACTGACTTCAGAGGCAACCGCCCCAACCACGAATGTTCTCGTATACAGATACGCATGTGGTGTGAGTTGTTGTGTCCTGTTACGTGGGTGGCGGCTTCCACACCCGCACACGCACAGCACGACATGTAACCACGAGGGGTCAAAGGATAAGGCGTACAGTACCGTGGTTTTTTGGCAGCGCCAGCACATCAAAGACAACAGCCACCTGCCATAGTCACCCAGTATCGTGCTTTGGGGACGGATCTGCAAACCGCCCATCGATGAACATTGTCGCATCACTCTCTTCCGCGGTTTGCAGGCCCGTTCGGAGGACAGCGCATAGGTTTATTTCGGATGGATGACTCTGAATTTACATCAAATGTATGTTTATTCGTGACGGACACCTTGCACGCACGCGCGCCGACCGTTCATGGATATACGTGTCCACGTCACAGATGACTGTGGGAACAGCAGCATTTACTCATCTTTGCTTCCTCTTGACGTAGGGATGTTATCGTGTTTGTTGTCCTGCGAAAAAAAGTGAGGTGGTGTGTAGACGGGTACATGTATGTGGCTTGCAGGTCGCCTAAGCATGTACTGCAGGCTGCGAGGTTCGGATAGCTGCGATGTACGAAGGGGATGCGGCAGGATGTGCGATTTGTTTGCACTCTAGTTCACCGCCGGAACAGGGGATGCGTGCAGATGTTGGGAAATGAATGATAGGGAATGTCTGCGATATTCGGACGCAACTCAGAAGCCACTTTCGCATATTACCAAAAGAGGCATGCAAGATATTCCAAAACTTTACTTGGAAAAACACGAGGATTGTTGCGAACTTCGGAGGTGGATAGGATTTGCATACATGCATTGACGGTTGATGGATATGCAAATGGGAATGTGAGAATCAGACCGTACATGTCCATTCGACGAATTGTTTCTCGAGCAACGCGTCCAGTGGATAAACTTCTCCACAGGGTCTACCTTTCTGGGTCGGCGCAAAGACAACAGTCTTGCCATCACTAAACCCACCTCAACAGCATCGTCTTGCCCAAAACTTAACAAGAGGATGAACAGGATGTGATTCCACATCAAGAACGAGAGCTTTCCCTCTTGGCACAATCCCCGTTGCGTTGCTGACGTGATTCGCATTTGCTCAAACGAGTAAACTTTGCCCAATACTGCTTGTCCTCCAGACCCGAAGTGATACCAAGTACGGAAAATGCACAGCAGGCGAAATAGAGGCGATGGGGATATTGCTTGGTGAGACGACAAGTGATATCACATCATCTCGTTCGCATCCATGTGCGAGAGCTTACCCAGACATGCACTCGCTCATCAACACACCCTCACGGTAGCTGACTACCCCTCGCTGGGTGAACCCCCGCCGCTGACGCCGCCGGGCAGCTCGTACGTACGTACGGTACGCGGCGGTCGGCGTCGCACAGTTACAGGTGAGATGTTCGATGGAACCGTTGCCCGGACTCGGTGGCGGGTAAGTATGTGAGTATGTGGGTGTGTGGGATGAGATAAGATGGCATGGGGCGGGGGCGGCGCGGGGCGGAATGGGGGTGGGTGTGCTTATCGATTCTGACTGAGGCGTGGGGAAGCAGCCTTCACTTCGCATCACGCATCCGGTTCCAAGTCAAACACTGAGCAGGATTCTGGTGTCGGGGTATTGATAGTCCGCGGTATCCCACCTTACCCGCTTCCCCCCTCACAGATAACGGTATTGTATTGCTTTTCTTGCTCGTGTTGTTGGTTGTTGGTTGCGAGCGTGGGTGGGCGGATTCGGGTAGGCTTCCGGCTCCGTGTCCCTCATGGAGATGTGGTTGGTTTAGGTAGGTCGGTGTATTGAGAGTTCCAGGCCATTGTTGATCCCTCTTCTTCTTTTGCCAATGTACTTATTGGCATTTGTATTGGAAGTCATTAAGTCTAGAGCGATGGATCGTCGCTCTGGATAGTCACTGCGCCATGGAGGGAAGCGGGGAGCGACGCACTGCATACTGATTGACCGTACAGCACTTGCACCAGGAAGCCAAAAAGAAAGAGGGGAAAGGAAAGGAAAGGAAGACAGCACGCATTCGACAAGTTCATCACACTGCCTGTGTTTCGAGCCATAGACCGGCGGACGCATCGCGCCGTTTCAGAGCTCATGTAGCTTCGCGAATGATACGCGCAGACATGGCGAGACGAACATGTGCATCCCACATGCAAGCGCACATGTTTGTTCGGTGAAACGTTACGGCGGTGTAAAAAGCAGCAAGTCTATCCAATCCATTCTTGCTCGCCTACAAAACCTGTTTCTAGGTTTTTTTTCGAGCTACAGATGGAGTTTCGCACGCATGCGGCCTAAGTTTTCCGACTCCCCCTCTTCGCAGCAACTGGGCCGAGAAGCAAGAGTGCTACCCAGCCAGTATTCACATGTACTCGAGACGTGGAATCTCCCGAGGATTTCCCACAACCGCGCGGGAGGCGGTCGGGACCGTTTCCACTTCTGATAGCAATAAGATTGGGCGGAAGAGAAAAAAAGCGTTGTCTCATCTCCCTGGGTTTTTTTTACTCTTCGTCCCATGCAAAGTGCGCTAATTACCACCACGTTTTTTTGCCTGGAGATTTACTCGATCGAGTCAAGTACTGGTTGGCTGCCGGCCGGGACAGGCCAAAGTGGAGATGGTGTTCTCTAGGCGGTGGGGAGCGAAACAAACGCGGAAGAAAAAAGAAAACAATTTTCTTATTTTTCATGCATGGAAGAAAAACCTGATTCGACAGAGAGGACCCGGTTTTTTTGTCATCTTAATTTCTTCATGCTCCTTTTGCTCGTTGGGCGCCGAAACGGGAGCAAGACACTAAAAGCGATGAAGCAGCGAGCCGATCTTTTTTGCATCACAAGAATAAAATTTGATGTTTGGAAGAAGTCGGACACGAGGAAGCTAATTTCGCGTGGAAGGACAGGTTGCCTTCCGCGGGAGTGACTGAATCGCAGGAAGAAAGGAAGCTTACGCCACACGAAGCCATGAGTCGTGCTTGTTACTCGAGGATCCGGGGAAGACAAACCCTGCGTCCCGGCAACTCTGCTTCTTTAATTTTCCCCTTTACGCATCCTTCTAGAAGAAAAAAACTTCAACAGTGGCTGGTAGAGTAGAGCGCTACCTGTCTGAGCAACTGCAGCGTGCACAAACCCCGATGTTTTTGGCTCAATGGCAGACTTTCTCAAAGTGCGACACTCAGGGTCTGCTTGCACTATGGGGCGCGGTTTAGCTGATAGTGTTGCGTTAGGGGGCAAAGTGGGCTTCACATGTCGAACGGCGCCTAGAAGGCACGAAGAAAGTGCTTTGGACTCTACTCTAGCCGCGCCAGATGACTTTAGCAATTCCATAGGCAACATAACAAAAGAAACGCGAAAACTCAGGGTCTCGCACCAGGTGTGTGGACCTCGTCATTTGTCGCGTGGGAAAAGGAACGGAGGGAAGCGGTCGGAGAAGCCGAATTGGGTAGGTGAGCATCACTGCATATCTGCCTGAATATAGCAACGACCGTCTAAAAGTATTCGAAGGGACTTGGACAGGAGATTACGGAAGCATAAGCGTTACTGCTCGGGGTAGCATTCAACCTGACATGACTGCAGCCGTTTGGTTCTGCGCATTCCAACGGACATCGTATGCCCCTGCTTGCTCAGCCTTGCGATGATTCCGGTGCGAGTGTGCCAGGCAGGCGGGCTGACAGGCCGCCGCAGCTTCCAAGTTTTTTCCCGCATGCTGAACGATGATGACACTATGGACTCGCAGCCAAGAAAGAGTACATGTAATTCCACATACTTCTCATAGACTGCCCTATTCGGGCGTGCGCAAAGGAGCGACAAGCGGCGTCTCCCCTCTTCCTCCCGGGTGAATGTTTTTCAGCCAGAAGCCGCGGCTAGAATTTGCAACGGAAGGAAGGATCCTCTTCTAGTGATGTGCTAAGGAAAACTACCGGTTGTGGAAGACGAAGGAAAAGCACTGGACCCTGGGATCGTCGTCGTCGACTTGGTCGCTCGCCTCGAGGCATGTGAAGAAAAAAAACCTGGGGCTAATGTACCCCAGATCCAGCCGGCTAAACAGTCGTGACACTCGGACTATGCCAACGGTCAGCAGCAAGGTTTGCAAGGTGTTTCGATTTGTGCACGCAGTCTCAGCAGCGTGCGGCGATCGGCGTAGGTCGCATTGTTTGTTGCGATGGGGGATAGATAGCAAATGACTGCCGGGCCATGTGCCATGAGGGTGGAAGGGTGGTGGAAACACCGACCACTCTGATCAGATTGGGGCTGTTATTGGGGGTTATTGGGCTCAGATGGAGCGACATGGGGGTACACAGACGCACAAGGCGGAGCTGCGGGTGAGCAACCGGAAAGTGACAGGCAGCGCCCCCAATCCCATTTCTGGCAATGCAAACGTCCGGCTGAAGGGGTGGATGAGCTCAGACACTGTCAGATAGCCGACGCTTGATCGCCGACGCCCGCTCGAGTACCTCATTTGGGGGGGGGTGTATCACTGTACCAAGTACGACTCTGCGCCTCGTGGGGGAGCGTGGGACGCACGGTGCGGTGCGGTACACGGTACACGGTACGCGGTGGGGAAGTGCTGCCGCATGCGAAAGTTGAGGCTTGCATTTGCCATCCCAAGGGAGAAAGGAAAAGAAGGTGTGTGTGCATGCGTGTCATGACGCAGATGGAAACAAGAGAAGAGTCATGAGAAAAGGAGGTGTAACAGCAGGCTTCTCAGCATGACACTTGGGTGAAGGGCGCCCGAGACGAGACGCGACGAGGAGTCATCTCTGCCAGTTATTTTTTACTGTGGTTACCTGCCGCACTATGCCACCATCTATGTAATAGTATCAATGTATGTACATTCAATAATGCGAAAGGCGGTCTCGAGGCCCGGGGTCCAGGGTAGCAGCTGGCGTGCAGCTGGCTGCAGCGGATGACACGGGGCTGACGGGAATGGGCTGCCTCTGGCTTGCCTTTTTGCGCAAGCAGCAAACAGCGGTCAAAGCGGACCCAATCCCCTTTGGCTGCTCGAAGAGGCGGTCACTCACCGACACAGCGCGCAAAAGAAGCAAACAGGCAAATCAGGCCTCGCCAGCCCACTGCCTGTTTCATGCCCCCAAGAGCCCGAGGGTGGCGTCTGGATGTGCCCCCGGAAGATATAACGCCGCAGTGACCACGCATCCCACGTCCAGACCAGATGATAGATGCTTTTGTCGCGAGTCGAGACATTCACTCACCTTGCTTCTGACTCGGCCTCCTGATCCGCCTCGCCTCACATCCCCCATCCATCCACGCCCCCGTGCCAGACGCTCTTCTTATATGTGCTGTAGCCGCCGCATCATTCCCCAGACATTCTGACTCTCCCATTCTCCGGTTCCCATCCACCGAAGCCATTCCACCTCTACACACACACTGCAGACTGCCTAACCCGCCGTCCGCCTCATCCACCCGAATATTTATCGTCACTCCCGCGGCCCGCCCACTTGAACGTGGATCCTCGTCACTAGTACCACACTTCAGTCGACTACTCACTCACCCCCGGAACCGGATCCGATCCGTCATCTCGTCATATTCCCACTTCTCGGCCGCTCTTCGCATCGGCAAACCTACTAGCTGCGCTAACAGCCCTGACGTACGGCCACGCGAAATTCGACGCTTGCATTATCGGCCAAAGCTCATCTTCATCCCCACTAGTGTTGGGCTCTCGCAAACAAATAAACACTCAGGCGCCCTCTATATAACCAAACCCGGCTCCACATTTTCACTCCCATCATCCAAAGATGCATTTCGAATCCTCACCATCATCCTCGCCTTCCAAATCGATTCCAATCTCCATCGGCAACATGTCTTCACCCACTGGATCCCTCTACAGCAACTACTCCTCCAGCTCTTCCTCTTCATCGTCCAACAACGGCTCTACCTGTGCCTATCCCTCCTGGCCTACTGGTAGCTCGCTCGGGTACCGCAGCCCACCCAGTTCCTTCATCAGCGACGCCGACCTCTTTGGTGACGACTTGGATGACCTTCTCGAAGCACCAGCTCCTCCACGACAGCCGACCATGTCTCAGGCACTTCCTTTCTTGCCACCAATGTACGCCACTGCGAAGCCCAAGAAGTCCCAGCAGCCTCAGCAGCAACGAAGGCGCAGCAGTGGCCGCAAGCAACGCCGCTCCTCCAAGCCCATGACTCCCATTTCCGAGTCACCCGAGGCGCACCGCGAATAGAGCAACAGAGTCTTAAACTACTTTGCAACAGTTATTTTCGTAAGTTTGCCTCATTAGTCGTCAACATCGTGCAACATCTAACAGTGGTTTAGTATTACACATCAAGCGTATTTCCGCTTTGAGATTAGTGCGACTGGCATCCATCAACCATCTCACGTGATCGTCCCTCACAAGGGATGAGACGAGACAATAAATGGTAGCCATGTATCGCAACCTTTGGCGATAGGTGATCACCATCATAGTGATGGTGAATTACCTTCGCGCCCAATCTTTTTGGTGTTGAGCCAAATGATTGGTCCTTGGCGAGTGTGTTGAACACCGATCACAGCAATCACATCTCAGCACCTCAACAACACAGCAACTCAGCATTACAACCCGCGGCATCGGGATATCTTCCTTTGCCTGCTTTACATGGCTTCGCGACAATACGACAAGGGGTTGCAATCCAACATTAACAATCAGCTACTCCCTGTCGCTGTCACTCCGCGTCAGGGCTGACCGAGCGATACCCTCAGCCAGCCATTCACCTTCCACATTAGGTGTTGTCCGAATACGCAATACCTCGATGACTAGTCGAGGTTGTTTGCGTGTGGCGCGGACATGAACTGGATATTCCGGTCCGCACCTCGAGGGACGGGAAGCGGATAAGCGACTAAGCGAGCCTGTGGCTTTCTTGGTTGTTTGTTCATTGGAGGGATTACTGTGAAGACCATTCTTCCACTGCATACTGCCGGCGTTCTCATTGATTTATCGGATCTTTCTTCATTCTTCGCTATTGATACCCCCTCTTCACCTCCGATCATCGGATGGTCTTGCATTTTTGTTTCCCACGGGGTTTTGCATCTGCATCGGTAATTGGTTACCATCTTGATACCCCCCATATCCTATATTGGATACATCGTTCATAGCATAGCTTAGCATAGCATGAAAAATCAATCATGCCTTTTCAACCAAACACAATAATCTTCCTCGTCCCTTGAAGTGTGAAACGTGAAGATGTATCTACCCAATGCTCAATGACTTATCGCAGTACTCTAGTGCGCTTGCCAGAAAGCTCAAGCACGAGAACCTTGTCGCCACATAACATCCATCTGATGTTGCATTTCGTTTGGTGAATTCCCATCATGCCCAACCCCACCTCGCCTCACTCCGCACGTCTCAGCTGCCCACTTACGCGCCCCATATCTATACCTTACCCTTTCCGTCGTTGTCACCATCGCATAGACTGCCGCATCACACCGGTCACTCGTTCTACCCCTAGCGAAAGCTCGACCATGTTCATTGATAGGAGAATAGCGATCAAATCAAAGAGAAGCCATCACTATTGTTGAGGGGCAGTTGGCAAGTATTGGCAGGATATCACACAGCAGCCATTCAAACCTTGATACACTGTGGCATCGTGATGAGTCAACTACCACGACGAATATGTGAGAGTCACACAGGAAATTTTCACTGTACACTTATCTAATCCCCGAAAGTCTGGCTCCTCCCATCGTTCGCCAAAAGCCAATTAAATCTACCCATCTTGAAGTTGAGTGAGGCCATGACGATCAATGTGACCTGGCATTATTCAATACAGATAATCACTTCCTCACACAAGATTCAAAATCAAATAAAACATATTTGCATACCTTATAGTCCATTATGCCCAGCACGATATACAGCCGACCACCAAACCATAATATCCAGCAGCACATTTCTCGCCTCCCCCCAATGCCTCATCTCATTCTTTTGGACACTCGGCACATTCTCTCCGTGTTCTTTCTGAGATCTCTCTTCCACCTTTGCTACCTCTTCTTCTCCAGCACGAGCAAGTGCTCCTGCTATATGATTTCTACAGCCTTCTAGGTAAGCTAGTGCTATTACACAACAGCTGACACCATGTCAAATTCTGTGGAACGCACAAGAAAAGGATCAACGTGCTGGACGCCGAAGATCCCTTGTTGCAGTGAAGCAAAATATAGAGTCATTGAGCAAAACCTTGTCTTTTGGCAGAGTGTACCACAACTTCTGCTGCTGGGCGAGCTAAGAATGGGGGCAAAGAACATATACACCATTTTACGTGAGTATTAAGATAGAGTGATGTAGGAGAATCGTTCTTTGCGTTATACTTCATTGGTGAGAGATATGCAGGGCAGCATCTTTTTGACACAGGATGGGTACCAGGTTCTGTCTAGAAAAAGGATTATCTGTAGTATGTTTTGTATGGATAGCAAACATAGCATTTAATTCATAATTGGTAAGCACTATCGAGCTGTTCTTGTCGATGCCATGCCGCCTCGGTGATGTCCAGTGTATCATCACCGATGAGTACGTTCTGATGAACCCATTGTGTGAACACTGCTGCTTCTTCGTCTGGGAGACACTTTCTCGGCTTGTACTTGGACGTTTTTAACATTTTCTCCAGGGAGTGCTGTCTATGGTCGACTGTTGTTTAAAAGGACCCATGCAAATGGAAAGTATCTAATGCTTGAAAACTCAGCGGTCGCTTTGACCCAGTAAGCAGCAATTCCGAAATTTTTGATCTTATCCTCTTCATCCTGATAATCAATTGGAGTTTGGCAAATGCCTAAAATGCTCACATCACACGAGGTATTTCCTGCGTCACTTGTTGGCAAAACTGTTTCTGGAGGGATTTTGAACCTCCACTCCTTCTTGCTTTCTGGATTTCGAGATCTTCTTAGCAAATATAAGAGTTCAATGTAAAGCAGATGCATTTGAAGCACTGGTTGCAAGGCTGTGGTCAGTGTAGTCATCATCCATAACTACACTGAGATTTGATATGCTTCCATATCGAATTGATGAACTAGATCTGAAATAGAATCGTTGGTCTTATTCGATCTGGCTTGGCCGCGAAAAATTTACATCTTCTTTTTTTCGAAGTTGGAGAGGGGTGCTCCCATTGTCCACAGAATTCCAGCAAACAGACGCTGGAAGACATTGTATGTTTCGCGGTTGTACCTGATTCTCTTCATATCAGTGGCTTGTATATTTACACAGCATTAGTTTTAATTTACAAGTCCAACTCTCTTGTTAATTTCCCTTTCTTGTACCCTTTTCCACCATTTTAGTTGTTTCCTACTTTCTGTAACCTCATCTTACCAGCTTTTTCGAGTGCAAGAAACACTTCAACTTGCAAGTCCTTTTCTTCTAAAAGAACTAAAAAAGAAAAAATGTATGCTTTCAATGTTCTGAGTACCTTAATTGGAAAGGGCTGTGAGCTTTAAAGGTGTCGTATATTGAATCCCAAATCATACCATTCCTGTCCAAACAGTCATAAAATGTTACAGATAAGGTTGGAAGAGGTATTGCGCTCCATGCCAATGGCTCTACGTTTCAATCCACCCCTGTCTTTAGTTACCGCCCTTTTCATTTTAGTCTAAGTTCTTTTTTTGATTGGAAGTTAAAGTGTTTCCTACACTTAAAAAGGCATATAAAAATGTGACAAAAATCTTTTTAGTCTATTTATCGTCGTAACCCTTCGCTGTGGGCAGAATCACCCAAACTTCGACTCAGAATCAATCAATAAAATCGAACCCAGATCTTTGCTTCACTGGTGATGACGACATGGATTTCCGTATCATATTTTGTGTACTCTAGAAAAAAGATTCTTCTTGGGACTGGGGGATCTTTCGGACAAGGTCCATAGTTGTTACCCCATGTTCAGCAAAATGGATAAAGAATGTCTGCGGCTCTGTTATCCGGATGTCCGACCCCAGAAAGCAGAAAGACGCCTGGCGATAGGAATATATCTGCCTTAAGCTCCTCTACGTCTACGAGCAACGGCCCGATCAAATTCTTCTTTGTCTGCATCGTAGACTTGCTTTCATTGAAGAAAAGATTTGCAGTGTAACGTACGTTCTCGATTTCCATGCCGGAGAAGCCCTTAGTTCCTTCGGATACTGACGTCGATTTGAAGACCTTAATCAATTTTCCGTCTATTTTAGATGCTAACGAGATGTATATTCACAGTGCGAGGCCAAGAGACTTGTCAACTCCGCGACTTTGCGGGAGATGACGAACTTTTCTCTTATTGTTCTAATGTGTCCTAACCAGTCATTTCTACATTGTTATCAGCTTTTGTGGCTCGTCGGAGTGTAATAAGCACTACCATGAGAACTGAGGGGCACACAAATGTATATTTTCGCGGAATAAACAAGGTCGAACTTGGAGTGAACAGATACTGCGTACAATTTTAAAGCATGGGATAATAAACTTAGAAACAACAACCGCTTGTGATGTACGCTTAATTTTTCAAGTCTCAAATATTTTTGTAACAGCTTAGCAAGAAAGTCTACTATCAGTCCCCAATGAATCGAGTGCTTTTGTCACTGCAGGATACATTATAACATGAGAAAAGAGTGAAAATGATGCGCAGAATTGCGTTTCAGCCAGTCTAGTTATTTGAATGCAGAGTCGCATGCCATGCTATATGTCTCCCATCAGAGGTTCGTTCTGCCTTTGTAATACACGCAGACGGTATTTCATCTTGCCTCGTCTGTTTATAACTCTAACGTGACGAGTTTCAGCAAATTTTGCTAGGAAATCAATATGCGCATTGCATTTGACGTGTGGATCCAAGTGACTCAAAGATAGTCGTCATATAGTGCACTTTTTGTTGTAATGTGCTTGACGGAGGATCATCCATAAGAGAAACAATACAAATTATGATCAAAAATGCATAAAAGCGTTTCGGGGTTAAATCGCAAATTTTCATGCCGTCCTAGGAACCTTGCGGCAGATCAGCCAGAAACGCTACATGTTTCTTTTCTGACCACGCATATGTATGTTTTACTCGGATCGCTCGACACTGCATGTCTATTCATCTGTTACAGGTGTATGTTTCTCTTTTTCGTTCCCCCGCCTCAAACGAACTTGAGTGCGCTTTGTGTGACAGGATGACACGGCCCAAGGGAAGCGGGAAAGCAAGGGACGTATATACCCAATCTAGAAATGGAAGAACGGGACAAGGAACGGATGATCTGGAAGGATCCTCGTATTCGGAATTGGCGGAAGCTGTGCGGTGAATTGGTTCGCATCATGCATCTACAGACTTATAGAAGGGATCGGGATAGAATAGAGCAGCACACGAGAAGAGAGATGACTGGAGAGGAAGCTATTCCGTGACAACATGTCTCCCTGCCAGCTGTAGGGAAGGACGAAGGGGGAGGAAGAAGGAAAGAGATTGGGGCGTCTACAGCAGCAAAAAGAATGGAGGAGGGGGCACGGGTTGCGTTGCAACGGTATGGTGTTTTCTCGTTGCAACTACAACTATGCCTAGCGTTTGTGTTGCAGTTGACCTACTTGATATAGTAACGCGATGTGTATGTAGCATGTAGGTGTGCAGGGGCATAAAAGTAGGGTACAGTGAGATGCGGGTAGAGCGAGCAGGGCAGATGGGGCATGAGAGTTCTTTGAACGTGGGGTGCATTTGTGAACTGGCGATGGTTGGAGGATGGACGGCTGGGTGGTCGGTGTAAGAAGTGGGCAGGGGTAGGGTGGGAGGGTAATAGGGTAAGGGTAGGTAGGTAGGGATTGCTAGTGCAGGCGCTTAACGCGAACGTTTACTTTCTTATGCTGCTGCTTTCCTTTTCCTCTCACACACACTCTCTTATTTCAACACATCGTGCATTTGCCACATCGCTTTGTTGTTCTTTTCTACATCCTGGGGGTGTGACTCTTGGGGATGTTGGGTATCAATGGCAGTACGGTGCAAACCATGCCGATTGTTCAATTAAGAGGAGGAATTGAGTTTGCGGATACGAGGCACGATAACGACAATCCCTGCCTAAATCTGGGCCTTTTCTTCTCTCTGGTGTCGCTTCAATGTGATTCCTCTTCGATGATTGTTGCTATTATGGAGTAAGTTGCAGCAATGTTTAAATTGAAGCCCAATATTTCATGCGCAATGCATAACGCGACGTGGTCCCTGATACGAGGGAATATGCAGATGATATAGACATGGGGATGGAGCGCATTGAGCAATGAGCGCTCTTCTCCTTTGCTTTTACCTTCCTTCTGCTATTGCGGATGGACCCGAGGGATTCTACGAGCTTGGGCGCATTGTGGTTGATTTATGTAGGTCACAACGCTGCGGGAGGTGACGAAGAGAGGGTGCGGTGCAGAAGCGTTCCCGTTTTGCGGCGTCTGTGCATAGCCCTACTCTACATTGGTTCATGAATTGCGTTCATCTGCCGAGCGGAGAGCAAACGGACAACAAGAGTTTTGATATGTCTCTGACAGAAACCATGTTATGGCCCCTCTCCGGCGCCGAGTTGTTCCTGGCAGAATGCGATCGTGTTGGTACTATAGGTGCGGTAACTGTGTACATGATGTATGCACGCATGGACGGATCCGTAAACGAGGAGGCTGGTGGTGTGCGGATGGGAGGGGCAGACACGTCGTGGCTTTGGGATACACGGGGCTGGGTCCTGGGTGTGGTGGGTAACGACCACAGCATGGGGTTTCTACCTCATCTGCTGGCGGTGTCTCGGATGGAGTGCGTCGCCCCGGATTTGAGGAGCGGAATGTTCCATTTGGATCACGGGAGCATGTGGACTCGGTGGTTTCTGAATTGCAGTGAGAGTCCGAGTGGCACCCTGTGTGTACCGATGGCCCTGTTCGCTAGATTGTTGGATAGTACATGTGCTGTAGCGCAATACCAGCGGTGTGGAAGAGGGAAGGACCGCAGCAGCCTGGGGGCACAGTGCATCATGAAAGGGTATGGCAAACCAATCTGGATGGAGTGGAAGACGAAGTGGAGACTTTCAGCCCCCCTCTTCTCGAGTGCCTGCGGAGTTGGGCCTTCGGACAGGTCGATCCGAATTGAGAGCAACGATAATAGTAACAACACAGCAAAGTAAAACAATGCGCAGCGTAGTGCAGCAGCGCAGCACAGTGCATGGCGATGCATTGGACGGGAGAAATAAATGAGGGAGCGAGTGCAATGGTGCTAGCATCATGCGATTGGAAAGTAGGGCAAATGGGCATTCTATGTATGATTCAGGCCTCGGAGGGTGCTATACCAATGGCGAGAGGCTGCTCGACGGCACAGATGATGGCATGTACATGGCGAGATGGGATTGATGATGGCCATGTAGGGTCTACGTCTACGGTGATTCGGAGCTGCGGTCGGGTGTACTATTTCTTTTGTTACATGCTCACGTGATTATTGGGGCAGGCAGGCTAGCCGGTAAGAGAATAGCCTACGCTATCACCTTCTTTTAGTATACTAGCGGGGCGCTTAGTATACAGGTGCACGCAGCGATTGGGCAATACACGTGTATCGGTGCCCTCCATGTGCGCGCACTAGAGGAGCGGAGATCCCTGCCGCGGCCCGCTCCCAAGCAGCACGCTGCGCTTCGTGATTCGGTCGAGCGGTCCCTCGCCACTCTCTGGGGTGTGATAATCTGTGATTCGGCTTGCCTCAAATCACTACCAGCCTGGCCAATCACAGTGCCGCACACCTCTCTCCCTCTCTGTCTACCCTCGCCCTCGCATCCCATGATGAGCCCGACGAGTGCAAGCAAGAGGCCGCGAGAGAAGGCAGGCACCGCGCTTTCTGCGGCGTGGAACCCTCCAGGCTCTGCTACCTAATCAACGGCAGCAGACCGACGACGATATGCACACCCCAGGCCGTTAGACGCCTCATTCCCTTCCCTAGTCCACCCCCGGCTCTATCATACCAGGTCTTTTGTTCCTATTCTGAGCAAATATCAAATTCCTCCTGCACTTCTAAGCGCCGGCCCTTGATAGGCCCCAAGCCTCCCACTGCTTCGACTCTTCTCTCTCTGCTGGCTGCTCTTTCCCTTCCCTCCCTCTTCATTGTTCTGTCCTGCCTGCATTCCCCTCCAGCTTCGTCTGTCTCATCCACAAGTGTTTCGTTTGGAACCGCCGCATTTTTCCTTTGCATTGTTGTTTCCAAACGGGCGCATGCAGCTGCCTCTGCCATTGTCCCTTACATCTGACCCCAGTTCGGCAGGCGGGGCTAGAGTATACCACCCTCCCCCCCCCTCCCACATCGAGGGGACCAAGGGACCCAAGGGAACAACTGCACTGCTTCTTTTAGCGCGCACGTTGCTGTAAGAACATTTCAATTCCTCTGCCCTGCATCACGTTTCATCCACGCTCCTCTGGAAGCCCCTGAATTGTGCTCCCGTCGCCTTTATCCCATACTCAATTCCCCCCGAGATGCGCCGTGTGCGCGCGTCCGCCAGACTCTGACTGACACAAGACCGCTTCAAAGGCCCGCCCCAGAATCATGTCGACCGGCGGCCTCACACAGCGCTCCGCCTCGCGAGGCTCATCATCGGTGCGCTCCGACCTCAATCAGAAGCCTCCGACCCCAAGCATCACTCCAGGAAGCGACGAATTTGCCTTTGAACCTTGCGCTGCCACAGCTTCCTTCCTGCTCTATGCCCAGCGAAACGTCATTCTGTGCCTCCACCACGATACTCTGGCAGTGGAAAGAAGATTCACCAGGCATCGCGAGGATGTATCATGGATTTCCGCCGACACCGTCAGTGACCGCGGTGCAGGCCGATTGGTAGTGAGCTATGATGCAGGAAGCACTGCCATTGTGTGGGATCTTCTCACGGGCGATGAAGTCGCTAGGTTCGCTTCTTACGAGCAAATCCGCGTTGCTTCGTGGATGCGAAATGGCAATGTTGCGTTTGGTGTGTATACTGTGTTGCAATTGGGTCCTCTGATCTAACTCGACGACAGGAAACGCTCAGGGCAATGTGATCCTTTTCGAGCCCTCGACCTCCGAACACATTGCGGCGAGGACGATTTTCGATCCGATAACTGCTCTTGCCCCTGCCGCTGACTGTAGAACTTTTGCCATTGGGTGAGTTTTGAATCCGCAGGATTTCTCACGTGGTTATGACGAAATCCCATACTGACCCATCCCAGCTATCTCAATGGCTCCATTTTGATTGCGACGCTTCAGCCATCTTTTACCATCCTCCACACACTTACCACGCCAAGAGCCCCTTCCCCCATATCTGGGCTTGCGTGGCATGGATCGTCCTCCAAGCAGAAATCGGAAATGTTAGCCGCTCAGGCTTCTGATGGTGATCTTAGGGTATGGAGTGTTCCTAAAATCCCCCACGGTGGCGATGCACCGTGTGTGATACGCATCTTGAACAAATCAGACCAAAGAGAGCCCGGTCCATGCTGGTTCGCTTGGTCAAAGAACGGCCGTATCATCCAATACACTGAGGGGTACGTAGTAATCACCTCTGACGCCTTGCGCCCCTGCATAAGCAGCCCCACGGCGCTTAGCTCCCATCACGCTGACCTCTGACCACCAATAGTCAAACTTGTGCCTGGGACGTACGGACTAAAAGGGTAACGTATGAGCCCGTCCCTACTGTCGATAATGTCGCCGCCATCTGCAACTTCGGACCCACCGCCACCCTCTTCACCATGAGCCGCAACTATGGGGTGCAGCAATACGACCTAAACCCCAACGGCACACCAGCCCTGGTACAGAACATGCAGCATCCTCCTGCCAACACTCCACCATCGCCCCCTCGCTCTCTGGATGAACACGACAAAAACGGAAAAACTCCTCTAACAGCGTTGCCCTCCAAGAAGGCAACACATGGTTTGATTGAATCTGAAAGCAGTGAAGGTGAAGGTGGCTCTGTGCTCTCTCCTTTGCAGAAGATTGCTCAAGAGATGGACCAACTAGAGGAAGAGCGCCGTGATCATGTTGGCCCATTGAGCCCTGTATCAAGTAGGGGTTCCCAAAGCTCGAGATCGTCGGGCAGTGGCCGTGGCCCAAGATATCGATTCGATAAACCGTCGGCCAGCAGCAGGTCCAAAAGCTCAGGAACCACTGTGTTCTCTAACAGCAATACGTCCTACATGGGAACCTCGCGCGAGAGTGTCTCCATCCGATCGACCTCTTCGACCTCGTCTTCCCGCTATGGCTCCTCTCATCTCCGTAAGGAGGTCCTGCGGAGCCCAGATGAATCAAATCGCATGAAGAACATGGACCTTTTCCCCTTCACCAAGGCTCGGCTCGGTGACGTTCCATATCGTAACACACAACTGGGTCCCGACCGCACACCAGACGACCTTCGCCAGAACATGCTCCGCGTCGTCTTCGGATGGGAGAATGATATCGAAGAGTTGATTCGAGATGAACGTAAGTTGTTCCTTGTTCACTTCCGATGAAGCATACTAACATGTGCAGTTGCTCGCCACACCCCCGGCTCTGCGGCCGCTGTACTTCTGTCAAAATGGCTGGGTGACACTGGTGCCGACCTGATGGCATCCATGGTCGGAGCTGAATCTATGACTTCGGCTGACTGGATGTTGCTTGCTTTGAGCTCTATGGGCCAAGGTACGCAAAAGAAAGTGGGCGAGACTTTTGTTCAACGCCTGTTGGAGAAGGGAGATATCCATCCAGCTGTGGCGATTCTGCTCGGCTTGGGAGAGCACAATGACGCTATCGAAGTATACGTGTCTTGTAAGTACTACATGGAAGCTATCTTGCTTACTTGCCTCATGTTTCCCACCGACTGGCAAAGACAGTCTTTCCTTGTCAGGAAATGGGGCGAGTCTGCCGTCTCACACGGCAAAGCGGAACTTGCTGTGAAATGCTTTTCCTGCATGGGTCTCGAGTCGTCTGAGCCATGGTTCTCTCCTCGCGCACAAGATGCGGTGTTTGTGGCACAGAAGCAACAGCTACTCGGTTCTCAACTTAGTCCTCCACTTTCACCTCCTTCAGGTTCCGGTAGCAGGATCACCGCCAAAATGGCTTCCTTGAAGTTGGTTACCGACTTCGGTGCGGGCCCACTTCCTCAGCAGATGGTTCCCGAAGATGATGAACAGACGCCAATGAATGTTGGAGCGACTCCCATTGCTGAATCTGCCATGAGCCCAGCAGGCGGAAAGAATCCTTGGCTCTCGGCCACCACCGCCAGGGCTGCACGCGATCCGTCTCGTGAACCTTCGTCCGCCAGGACTGCAACACCAGGAGCATACAGGCGCAAACGGTTCCCTTCACAGTCAGGAGTCGATCGTTCTGCTACGAATAACGAAAATCTCGCCTCTTTGGTTGTCCCTAACCGTGGTCAGCGTGAGCCTTCTGTGCCCCGAACAGCCGTCGACAACATTGGTCGGGAAGCTGAAACACTTCCTTTCTCTACGCGCCGTGCTGCATCTACAGGACCCGAACAAAATGAGTTCCTTCTCAGTGCATCTACTTACACCCCTGGTTTGTCCAAGGATCAGCTACCTTCTCCAGCTGCAGGCGTTTTCGATACTTTGAAGGAGAAAGAGGCCGAATCTCGCAACAGCTCTCGTAGCCGAAATCGGCAAGATCTTCATTTGCATATGAATGATATGATCATTGAACAAGGCCCAGACAGCAGCTACAGCAACAACATCAGCCCACCCTTGACAGGAGCCAGTGTCAAGAGTGCAAAGGCGCGAAGCATCGATCAATATATCAGCAGCCTGGGAGAGGCAAGCCACCACGCAAGGAAACGCGCTGATTCTCGTACGGACGCTCGTCCTGCCGAAGCCCGACCAAGCAGTCGCACAGCCAGGACACGTAGTCGCACTCGCGACCCATCCGAGTCACGTGGCCGATCTGGCGCTCGCTACATTCAACGTGCGAAACGTTCCCCCTCTTCGCCAGTGCCCATGTCCCCAGAGGATGCAGGAATATATGCAAAGTCTAGCAAAGAAGCCGCCACCAATACGGAAACCTATGATGATGAGCGATACTACAAAGTTGATGTTGCCTCTCCTATCGCAACGGAATCAGTGGGCAGTAGCCGCACCAACCGAAGCCGCGCCAGGGCTGGGTTGGCAAAACCTAGGTCTTCTTCCAAAGCAGCACGTAGGAATGAATCACCAGAAGCTGCTCCTCGTGCTCGAAGCCGAGCAACCAGCCGAGCTTCCAGTCGACCTGCTGTAGGAGATCGTGGGCGCAGTTCAAACAGAGAAGATGGCTCCAACAAACGCTCGCCTAGATCTCCTCAGCCAATGTTCCGAGATGACGCTCTCACACGCGAGAGCTACGAGCCAGTTCGCCCCCGTGAGCGAAGTACAAGTCGCCGACCACCCGAGCGTGGAACAAGCACCCAACGAGAGCAGTCTCCAGATCGCCGCTTACCCCGTGATCGTTCAATGAGTCGCAAAGCTCAATCTACTCTGCGAGAATCCAGTCGCCCACGTGGCAACCTTCGAGAGGGTTCGCTCGACCGTATGTCAGAAAGGGTCCCAGAGAGCAGACCCGCGTCTCGTCAATCGGATGTTTCCGGTCGTTCAGGTAAATTTTCTCGACCAATGACCATGTCCAGAAAAGAGCTTGCTGCCAAAGAACTGGAAGACAGGAGGCTGTCGCTCGCTCGACGCCCTTCGGCTCCCATGATTCCCCACCCAGGAGAGCTGGCTCATCGTCCCATCAACGAGCGCGCATACACTGACGGAGACTTCCTTCCTCCGTATCGTGATCCTATCCAGCGCAGTCACACCGCTGATCCCGAGATCTCCAAAAAATACTCGCCAACCAACAGGAACCACGTCGGTGCAACCTCCACTGCATCCGTTCCAATCGGACTACCTGCCACGCCACGTGCAATGCGCCACACTCGATACATGAGTGCCGATCCGAGCGAAAGGGAAGGCATTCCAGCTGTTCCATCAATTCCGAATAATCTCTTCACCACACCACAGGTGCCTCAAGAACCTGCTCAAGATGAGATTGGCCCGCTCCTACCAGCAACTACCTTTGGCCAACCCCCTCCTCTAGCACGTGCTGCCTCAGCTCCCCCAGAGGATTTGTCGCCTGCAAACATGGCGCCACGTATCTCTCCAACTTATCCTCTAGGAAGGCGTGGATCTCTAGGTGGCAATCGCGGCCACACCCGCCAGAGCAGTTCCCAGGATCTCTCTTCAATCAACAACAAACGTGTCAGCCCGCCCCCAATCACGGCCAGCATTGCCGAAACCATCCACGAAAGCCAAGTTGTCATCCTGGAACAGGACACTGCCCCTCCAGTCCTCGCCGAGCTCCAGCATCTCGCAGGTCCTCCACCACCTCCACCCGTCAACACCAGCCCGAAGAGCAGCGTGGGCATGATCAATATCGCCATCGAGGAAAGCGCAGCGGATAAATCTCACGGAGCCACATCGCCCGTCGCGGGCCCCTCAGCCGCCTCCTCCCCAATTTCCCACCGTCGCGGCCGAGGAAGCGTCAGTGAGAACATCGGATTAACATTCAAGCGTGTCACAGAGCGCATGCGCAGCAACAGCCGCTCTCGCAACAAATCCCCTCCCATCTCCCCACCTCAGATCCCAGCCTATGAAAGCTTCACTGAGTTCGCGTTCCCACGCAACAACAGCAGTAACCACGCCATGTCCCCCGTCGAAGGCCACGGAGGTGTCGAGCAGTTCAGCAACATGTCGCCGCCCCCTCCCCCACCTCCCCCTGTTCAACCTATGGAGCAAGTCGTTTCTCCAACCGAGGAGGCGAAGAACCCGCAGTTCTACAAGCACCCTCGAGAGGTTCGGGCTAATTTGCCTCCGGCTATGCTTCAGGCCGGTGTGTATGAAGGTCCCATGATTTAGGAACCCTCTCTCACCTACCTCTCCTCAGCATCTTGTTGTTGTTGAGCACAATTCTTCTCTCCATTCCTTGCAGAGTTATACGTAAATATCGCTTGTTTGCTTTATTTTACCCCTCCAACGAAAGTTTACGGCCGCCGTCATTCATCAATGTTCGCACATATACATATATGCACTGCACACGTTCCACTTCTGCCTTGTTGGAAGCGTAGCATTCTGGTTTTTTATTCCTAACCCCCCTATTATTCTCTTTCTATCGTTTTGGAACATCATTAGCGGTACTTGCCTCCCCTACTTATCTCTCTCTACTCTCAAAGATTTTTGGAATTGCGCTTCGCGGCGGTAAATGTCGATACCCTTCTACTTCTTCTCTCTGCTATCACCCTCCTACTTCCTCCCTACCTATCATATGCTCGTATTACTTGCGCGGGAGGCGGCGGGGGTGATTTTTATTTGGTTGGGTCCCTTGTTTTCTTCCTCCCCCATAACGGCGATGTTAATATGTGTTGTCTTGGTTCGGCGGGGGGAACTGGAAGGGACTCGGTGTTGTTGCTGAGCGGGCGTTCTGTTTTGTGCTTTTTATGTGCTTTTTTGTTTCTGGGTTTAGTTTTGATTTTTTTTTTTGCATTCTGAGATTTATTTGAATATTTTTGCGTTGCTCATTCACTACTTCTTCTTTGACTCGGGGAATGATTGGCTTGATGTATGATGTATGGTTTTTGTTGGTGCGTGGAGGACTCCCAAGAGATGGGATTGTTTTTTGTGATAGTGGGAAAAAAGGGGGAGGGGGAAGGGGAGGAAGACTGAAAATAAAATAAGATGTTGAGATAGTTCGCCCTGCTTTTGTGTATGGGCAGTAGCTAAATTTGAATAAATGGTGGAGGTAGATCGAGACAGATATATTTGTTGTGCCTAAACGAACGAGATCGATTGCCCTTCAGTAACAGTTTCCAAGGAACCGATCAATAGAAAGGGGCTTCGGAATAGCTCAAAGTCCCCGATACTCGTTTTTTGACTCCACGTATATATATAGACACAACCTAATTAACCTTGCCACTTGACCCTCTTCTGCCTGAACAAACTCACCATCCCAATAGGCAGCAACTCGGCATCCACAACATTCAGTCCGCCAAACCGCTCCACCATCTCCGGCCCATACATCTGCGCAACCCACTTCCAGTACGGCGCCATACTGTACCACGTGCTCGTGATACTCTTCAGATTCCCCTGCCCGCTCAACCCTTTGATAGCCTCGTCAATCGTCGAACTGATATCGATGCTCTCCTCTACGGGGTGCGTGAGTAGCGCGCGGTAGACGCGCGTGAGGTCCGCTTTCCCGCTAGGATAGTAGTGCTCGCGGTGTTTTACGAATTCCTCAAAGGAGAGGAACGTATCGGGGTTATTCGCCGGTTTGAAGGAGTGATCCGGGTCGCGGGGCTCGATGCGGGACCCCAAACGGTCGAAGCGGGCTTTCGCATCGGCGTAGTCGCTGCGTTCGTTTTCATCGTATTCGGTCATGAAGTCGCGGGGGTTTTCCTTGACGGAATCGCGGATCTGGAGGAGGCCTACGAAGGGGGATTGGAGGTCTAGACCGCCGAGTTCGACGGGGAAGAAGAGGAAGCCGTCTGGGATGTTTTCGACTCCGAAGCGCTCGCGGATGATGGTTTTGAGGAACTGTGTTACGTTTCCGCCGTCGAAGATTGTTTCCTGGACGCGGCGGTGGGTTGCAAGCATTTTGTCGACGTGCTCGCGGCCGAAACAGTTTGCGGCTTGGCCGAAGTTGGAGCTCATAAAGGTTGCTGCGTACGTGTTCCAGGCTTGGATCCAGTCGATGACGCTTGTTTTTTTGCCTTCGAGTTGTTTTCGGAGCTCCTCGATGTGCCCGCTTACCATTGTGTCGTCGATTTCGAAACGTCCTGTTGTGTCATCTAGGTACAGGAAGCCCCATCGGATTTCACCCGTTGGAAGACGGTCATCGATACTAAGGCTTTTTGAAGAGTCACCGGCGATGCGGACACTCCCTGTCTTTCTTTCGTTGATCTACGTAACAGTTAGCCCCAGTCTCCTGTCAAGTCACTATGGGTTGGTTAGAGAGCACATACCTTAGCGCCCATAACCTCCGTGAACTTAGTGACGCGTGCCCAGCCCTCCGCACATTTTTCGTAATCTTCCGACCAGAACCAGATGTCATCGTACACGCGGTGCAGCAAGCCACCTTCTGTAGCACGATGAACTGACAAATCAAGGCAAGCCAGCACCGCTTCCCCAAATACATCGCTCAGCGCATGCGACCCCGGCATACCGCGTCGGCGAGCTCGAGGTTCGGCCGAGACATCATCCATAAACTTTAACGGCGCCTCCAAAAACTTTTTGAAGAACGTGCGCCATTTAGGTGAGACACCCAGAAATTCAAGGACGCCGAGTATAGTGTCGTGGGGCAGGAGAGGATTCCAGGAATCAAAGACAGACCGAAAACAGGAGAGCTCGCCGTGTAGATGAGTGTTGAGCACAATCTCTGTCGATAGGAGATGAAGGAGGGTTTGCTTGGCCTGCATCGGTCTCTTCGGCCCTCTTGGTGGGTATACTTCCTCTTCTTCTTCATTCCGTTCTTCTTCATCTCCCTCATCGGAATAGTCAATAAGGTCTTCTTCTTCTTCTGTATCCTCATCCCGAAGAAATCTGTTTGGTTGGGAGGGAGCACTCATTCTCGCAGCTTTTGAAGCAAGCTGCTTTCTTGGGGCTTTACCACCTGTTGATTTACGAGCAGTCTGCTTTGTGCGCCCGCCAAACGTTTTCTTCTTTTTTTGTTGAACGTAATCCTCGAAGTCGGCTTCTTCTTCACCTTGCTGTATTTCAATCTGCTGGTCTGGATAGTCAAGAAGTTGGTGGGAAAAGTAATCCGTTCGGAACTTCTTGAACCGTTCACTTCGAAGAGATGGAGCTGTCCAGGTCCCTCGTTTCCCAAGATAGTACTTGCGGTGGAGCTTGTCGGCTTTGGTGGAGACTTCCGGCTTATTGAAAGGGGCTGTCTTTCGTGTAAAAGTCCTGAAAGCATTCTTGAAGAAGGAGGACCATTTAGCACCAATATAGTGCAAGAAAATAGCCTGCAGAAGATCTTCGTGCATATGAATGGTGTAACTGCCGTTCAAGCTGCGGCGTTGCTCGAGAGGTACGAATTCGCCCCATGACCATCGACTCAAAGCGGCCATGCGCATATTCAGCACATCTGATATCTCGCTGAGAATGGTGTCATTGCTGAGGAAGTCCTTCAGAACTTCGCGTTTCTCATTGGTCAGGAGATCCGAGGACTCAACACCATCGATGACCCAGCGCAGAACATCAACAGTGAATTGCGACGGGGTACTGAAACTCTTCTCGAACGTCTCGACTGACTCTTTGAGCTCGTTAAAAAACTTTGCATTCTCCTTGGGGCCTCCAAGAAAAAGGTCTTCAAGGTACGATTTCAGGCCTGCCACGTCGACCTCAGCAGGCTCAAAAACCATCTTCTCCCACTTGGAACGAGAGTCCATCTTCTTGACACCCGGGAGTTCCTCGAAACTATCTGTCATTTTCACGTCTTCATCATCCGTCAAAGCCGACTTTTCAGAAGTCAGCCATTCGGTAACAAGCTTGCCATATAAGTCGGCATATTGATATTTGGCAGACTGGATGGCAAGGTATTGCCTAACAGATGCTTCCCAGTCCTGTAGAACCTTGGGCGAGACCGAGGGGTCATAACGAGCCTGCTCCAGGAAGCGGTCGAGATTCTTGAGGTCGGTCTCCAGGCGAGTGTTCCCCGTTGATCCGATGATGACCCGTCCACGTGTACCGTTCTTATCGTTGGCCGTCTCGACTCGTAGAGAGGACTTTGCACCTTCCACGAGGACGAAGAGTCGCTTCAATGCATCTGGTTCCGAGTCTGCCGATTTGAGCAGAGCCGTATATTGCTTCTCAAATGCTAGGCGGTGTTCTGCAAGCTCCTCGAGTTTGGTTGTGGTGATTGTTTGGAGCGTTTCAGAGAACACACTGCCAGAAGACATGATTTCTTACAGAGATCGGGTCCGACGAATTGATATTGAGTACTTTGGTCAGGTGATCGATCTCTAGTCTTGATGTATCTGAGGTTCGGTAGCCGAGATTAAGTAAACCTGAGGTGGGGTGTTGAATTCAAAAAAAGATGTTGAAATGTCACTGATTGAATCTTGGTGAAGTAAACAATGACAGAACAGTTTTTCAGTGTGGGGAAGATATATGGTGATGATATACTAGATGGCTGGCGTGGCGACAGTTCCAGGCAGCAGGGGCTTGGCAGGCGGCCTCAGCCTCCCCAGGTGTAGACCGATGACTCAAGCACAACGTCCTCTTTCCTAATTTTCGAGTTTTCAGGGATGCCCCTGACAGCACTACGTATTACATCATAAATCTCAAAAACGTTGTAGTTCTTTTCTATATGACTGTTTCTAAATGCTTTTATGGGAGAAAAAGTTTAGTTATATAAGAAGGATTGACTTAAAGCCATAAAAGGGGTATCTGTAAACTCAGCAGTTTCTGTCTGTGTGCGCCCGAATCAAGCCAGATAGTCTCAACATTTGTCCTACACAGGTCGTCTTTATCAGGTCAAAAAACATAATTGTCAACGAATTATTGCTATTAACTAGTTTACTAGTCATGCACATGAGCCTCTATAAGCCAACCTCGCCAAAACGCGTAGAAGACGTAATTCATGCTGTTTGAATTTGATGAAATCTGACGACGATAGTATTGTAAGGTAGACCACAGTCGTAAGCGCAGGGTGGTCCGCAAATCATGGAACATCTTTGAGTTTGAATCTTTTCTATGCATCTGCTGACTTGAACGCGGAGGTACTCCAACTCGAGGGACTAGTCCTCCTATGAAAATTAACACTCTGCAATCTGACAAATCCACTTTGCGCGGTCGCTTTAGCGTCGTAAGCACCTAGACTTTGCATAACAACGAGCCTGGGGATCTTTGCTCGAGAACCTCAAATTACCATTAGTGCGGTTCTATGTCGAGACATTTGTTATCACACGGCTCGAAACATGGCCATCAGTGGGCAGGCTTTCTGTATATTCGATTCCATGACAACCAACGAGTGAATTTGATGACTCGCATCACGCCTCACCTCTGCTTTCATCTCTCTAGGTGCAGACTTTACTGCAGAAGTCCTTGTGGCAAGCGGTATGTGGAAGTGGAGTGTCAAGAGTCATGCAGATAATTGTCTTTGGGCTCTACGTATCCGGCGACAACAAGCTTGGTAGCCGCAGGTTAATGAAAAGCCATACTGTGGGCACAACTCATCCAAATCAACAGGGAGTAGTGGTAAAGTGACAGACGACGCAAGACGAAAACTCATTTCAGTGCTTGAAAACCACTATGTAAGGCGACAAATATACACGGAAATTGAAGTAAAGGCTGATTTGTATACTTAAGATCTGTAATATGGACTACAGAAAAATGGATTGAAAAGTCGAGAACTTACATTCGAGAAGACATTTAACGCAACGTAGCACCTGTTTCCGTCAACCCTACTACTGTCTACATTGAGATTCATACATAGATACGCAGCCCATCAGATTGTTAGAAGCTTGTATTAGCAAACATAACAAGATGTACTAGTACTGTTGAAACAAGGTTTTCGAACATAAGTAACTGACGAAGTACCAAAAACAGGCGATTAGTAGAGATAAAAACATTGCAAATGATGCTTTTCAAAAGAAAAGGCTTGCAATAAGCACAAACTGTGACTAGGAGGCGACGTCTTAAAGCGTTACAGTAAGTAGGTGTTTTACCAAGTTAATCATGTGTACCAGTCTTTCAAGGCAATTATGTAAGAACCTCCATTTTCGCACGAGAAGAGAGCGAGCTCTCCAAAATGCCAACTATCTGATAAATATATCATAATGTCATGATTTCATACTGACTCTTACGTGCCTGCTTGCGGATTCAATTGACCTCCTCATAATGCCGTATGATACGCCCCGCTATCCTTTTAGGCGCTCATGTGACTGAGTAATTGAGCCACCTGGCATGTCTCGATACCGAATCTCGTGACGTACGAGGTAAGTGACGGCCATTAATTGCGCATTCAACGTAGTAACGCATATAACATCTTAATAATCTACTAGAGATTATAGATTTGAAAGTTCTGTAGGGTTAAGGTAGTTAAAAAAACAACAGTACACTTGCTGCCTTTTGCTATTAAAGAGCAGAGTTCTCACAAGGCTTTCTACTTCTATTGACCCTGTCCTACCCAACTCACTATGGCACCTAGGTACCCTCACACCGACGCCGCGCGAGTGACGGCCGTTGCTTTGTTGGTCGCAATTTTTCCTCACTAAAGACATAATCAGTAACAGTGAACGGGAGTGAATACAATCCAACTTACCAAATCCATCTTCGCCACATATGTTAGCGAGATTCTCAACCTGCCGTTCGGTAAAAATGTAGCCCCACTGGGTGTCTGCGGGGAATACGATGCCTCGTGCTTCGAGCCCAGCAACATCTCTTGGGTCCGAGAAAGTTGCCGGATGATTGTTGTTGATTTGGTTCCACAACAATGCTCGAGCCTGGTTTACTTGGCTACCGCCCCGGGGACCCTCGGCCGCATTGGGGGCATTTATGACCGGTGGTATCTGGAAGCGGTTTGCTCCACGGTCTTCTCGATTATGTTCTTCGATGTTTTGGGGTGGAGGAAGAAGTGGATTTGGGTTTTGCTGGGCTCCGAAGAGCCAACCCAGGGCGCTTCCAAGGTATCGCGACATGAACGAAAACGTGGGAGAAAGCTATTATAAGAGTTGGAAGTAGCTGGTGTTGTAGGAGAAAAGGATATTAGTTGGGATATCAAAGAGATTTGAATGTGGCAGACAGCTGAACACGCTAGTGATAAGTAAAGGTAGACTGGGAAGCAGTCAGCCTTCGCAGCTCAATGTCGGGGTGAATTTACTTAATGATAAATTGTGTATTTGCTTATGCCACTTCGAGACTAAGGTCAAAAACATCGTGAATGACATCACCGCATGCACAAAAACGATTCATTCTTGAGTTAGGTGGTGCATAGGTAAGGGTAAGGGTAAGAGTAGGGTCGCACAGATTACTTAGGTATAGATGAGGGTAGGTAATAGTAACCCCTGCACGGAAACTTAGGTAAAATACTTCACGCCACTCTCACCCTCATCTCACCCGTGGGTATACCCCACCCATTTATCACCCAGGCGTTGAGGGTAATCTTTGCATCCATGGTGTTGGACGGACTTACCCACGAATGGAAAGAACGCTACCGATGAACAGACTCACCCGCGAATGGAAAGAACGCTATTGACAGACATACTCACCCAAAAATGGAAAGAGAGCTACTCTGATGGCAAGACCAGACGCTTCGTAGTATAAGAGCGACTATCTGGTGTTTATGCACCACTGGCACGCTCACAATTCAACCACAATTCACACCTCTATACACACACACACATATGTCTACGATATCAGATCTTACACACGAAGAAGAAGCACTCCTCATTGAGGAGGCACTGATACAGCCATCGACATATACGGGGAAGCGAAAAATATCGACACAGCTACTATCTCCGCCTGAAAGTGATGAATCCACGTCGGAGTCGTCCTCCCCTTCGGCGTCGATTTCTTTTCGCGCCCAAAATCCGCTCAAAAACTGGGTAGAAATCCCAGAAAAATGCGACAGTGTTGAGGGGCTAGAACATATTGGCTTTACAAAAGAAGCTGGTACAAAAATATTCCAACAGTTTAAGCAGAACGCAGAGCAGAAAACAGAGACATGTGCGCTACTAGAATGCGCAATTGCACATGTACAGGGCCAAAATCCACTTAAGACTCCAACAGACACAATGATTGCGCTCGGAATACAAACTCAGCTCCAGCAGGATATCCTCGACTCAGAGTTATCGCAGATTTTTGAGACAGAATCACTAGAATACTGGATATTGGATACAATTGTCACAAATTATGCAACTCTACAACAGCGCAGGCACCTTATAAAGACAGAAGCGACCAATTTACTATCCCGAGGTCGCAAGAAAAGAGCAAAGGTCGAGAACCTATTTACGCAACCGCAGCCCCGATCCCAATCCAACATGTCGCGTACAATTATAAGGAAGGAAGGGGGGGAGGTGGAGGGTCGTACGCCGGGAGGACGCATATTGCGAGGTTAGACTGGACACTGTTTTTGTGTGGTTTTATACGATATCACCAGTCTTTCGGATGTGTCACGCTCGCCTCAGATGGCCGCGGCAGATGGAAGCTTGGAGCTGTTTAGCCAGTGTGGCTTTTGTTTGGGGGAGTGGGAAACCGAGATAGCTCGAGGACTCTATTTATGGCACTAGCACTAGCTACGGGGGCGTCGTACATCTGAACGCTGCATTTTGGGAGGTTAGTGTATGGATTTGCTTCCAACTCATCAGTATTCCATGGAGGAGACAAATTTGCGTATATCATAAGTCGAAAAAAAAAACAGAGTTCTAGGCACTTTATGTTGAATCATCGCATTTCCATGCGGCGCAAATACTTTGGTGACAAACATACATACATACATACATACATAACATAGATCCCAAGCCGAAATTCCATCCATTGATTAACTATCCAGATTACCTCCTAAATTCTTCCCTTTGCCCGTCATAACAAAACCATAAATCGTGATATATCGCTTTCATCATCCAACGGGCCGTCAATAGTATCTGTACATCTATCTATAACAATCATCAAATAGGAAATGCGTAAAAAACAAACCCTGAAAGTTACCCAACTTTTGCTTTTGGAACGAGTCGGGCGAAGCGGCGACTCCCATATAAACAATCGTCGTCGCTGTCGCGCCGTGAACCACGCCCCATTTTTTCTTTTCTTCGTATATTATTTCCTCCTTCTATTGTTGCTACATTCGTTGCAGCCGTGATATACATAATGTCGTTCGAAATGTGTTCTTCTGGTCAAGGCAGGCGATCAGATAGCATATCAGTAATACGTATCGACGATATCCTGCCCCGCCTGGACAGCCCACTCAACGAGCTCCATGCCACTGAGTGCGCTGGCCCAAAAACTCTTGTTGCAGCCCTGGAGGCGGTTGAACCTGGCGTATGCGCCATTCTTGAGCGGTTCCGCGTCAAAGTGCGGGAAATAGTCCCACTTCCTGAATTCGCGGATGCTATTGGTGCCGAGCGGATGACCTAGTCCAGTGACGTTCCTCGGATCTTTGTTGAGGGAGGAAAGGGTGGTGTTGAGAAGATCGCGGGCTGTGGATTGTGCTTGGTACTCCCCATACGGGCCCCATGACCACGATGTCGAAATGTTGGATTTGGGGCTGAGACGCAGCACGGCGACGGGCTGACCGTTGTTTGGCGGGGGCACTTCAGGGGACGAGGAGTTTGCGATGTAGGACACACCGAAAGGGAGCTCGAGCTCCACCGCGGACGAGTAGTAGTTCATGATGCCGACGTCTTTGAACACATCGTGCTCTTCTTCGGTTAGATCTAGACCCGTCCTCTCCAGATTTTCGATGGTGGGCGGGAATGCGAAGATCAAGGAATCGCATTCTTGTTTTCCCCATTTGTAGAAGTTTCCATGGGGCTTGGTGTATTTGATGACAGGATTTTTCTCCGAGCGGTCTATGCAACGCACTTCGTGAGAAAGATTGATGGTTGTTTTGCAGGCCTTTTTCTTGACCCATTCAGCGAGCATCTTGTGAAAGTCCATGTAATAGACAGCATGCTGCCCAAGAAATCCAGTGAGCAAGTCGGGTGTGAAGTACTGCAAGATATAAAGCTGCATAATAAATTAGCAAATGTGTAGAAATGGGGCTAGTACAAGGCTTACCGCTGGAACCGCTCTAAGATCCCCGTATCCATACAAAGCAAGTGGATTGACCAGAACGATGGGTAGGGCCGTGAAGTTGTTGGCTCGGAACCATTCCGAGCCGGATACGGTAAGATTTTCGGGTACACCTTTCTTGTAATTCGCAGTACTGACAGGCGCAAAATGTTGATTCCACAGATTAATGTATCGCGGTATTTCGGCAGCAACCAGCTGTTGGAATGCCACAGTCAACGGTGGCACAGGTTCAGTGGCGCCCGTAGAAACATTGAACAAGAATTGTTGTCTTGCGCCGGCAAGCGCAAATTCCTCAAAATGGACGCCGGATTCAGTGGCGAGCCTTAGTGTGTTGGGATGAGATGCATTCGAGAAAAAAGCAGCGCCAAGGGGATGGAATATGCCTCTAGAGCGAGCGGGCGAGTGGTTAGCTAGCGGCATCAACGGCGGGTCGGTCGATCTTAACGGTGCACATAGTGCAACGGCCAACTAACGCGACGGTGGGAATTCAGCAGTTGGAATGTTGCTTACTCTTCGTTGTAGTATGATTGACATTTCCCGCCAAGTTCGGACTGCTTCTCGAATACGATGGCTTCAATTCCCTTTGCCTCGAGGCGGCCGGCTGCAGATAAACCTGCTGGACCTGCGCCGATGATGCACACTGGAGGTTTTTGGGGTTTCGCGGCGGGCAATGCCAGCACTGAAGGGTTGGAGTGTAGAAGCGACGGCAGCAAGACGGTCAATTGCAGAGATAATTTCATGGTGACGGGGGGGTTGGTGGTGGGTAGATTGAATAGCGGCAGGGCTGAGACGAGGCAGGTTCAGGTTAAGTAGATATAAGAAATGCATTCTCCTGGTGGCATGGACCAAGAGGCTCTGGAGATCAATTCATGGCAGAGAATGGATCGAGGGCTGCACGGTGCGCTGGCAATGAGTCGGATTCAGGAAGGCTAGGCGACATGGTGGTTGCTGTTCCAACGCCATCGAGTGGACGGAGAAGGTGCCATGTTGGAAGGCTTCTATCATCCTATTATGACGTTCCCGTGTGAGCCCTGTCGCGGGACTGTTGCTTTTTGGTGTTAATCTGGGAGAAATGGGTAGCCGTGCCCCTGAGGTCTGGTAACCTGGGGTTACCGTGGATCAGAATTGTTGGCATAAATAGCACAATGCGTATTTATTGAATTACACAACGGCTGGAGCGGACCACGGTTGTCCTCGAGGCGAGTTGGCAAGGCAAACGGCAAGAGGGCAACCGATCGATGGTGTGTGTGTGTATGTGTGTGAAATGTCAATTGCGGTGAAGACGACTGGCGATGGGGTCATGATGCAGATGACAGCTGCAGGTCTCGAGGCTCGCCTTGCCTTGCATTGCATAGGACAGAGGAGAGGATCCGTCCAGTTGGGCGGGTGCCGAGGCTCCCACTCAGCCCTGCCCGTTTGGGACGGCCAAGCTAGTCAGTCACCCACCCAACCCAATGGCGCGGGTGGTTACGAAACGTCCCATCTTCTTCTTTTACTTTTTTTTTTTCCTTCATTGCTTTCTTTTTTCTTATTATTGCTCCCCTTCGTACATTTGCAACCCCCTCTGCCCACTTGGAGAATGTCCATGGTGCCATCAAAACCTGAGTAATGGCGACATGTCAACGTCATATCTAGGCGGCCGCGGCTCGACACCAGCCAGCGCGCGGCACAGCGCGACAGACAACTCATCACTCTTCAGCCACAACCGACCAGGTTTCATTATGGCGGCACGATTAGCGACAGGGTAGAGGGGGGGGAAAATCAGTAAAAAAATATCAAAAAGGCGACATACCTATGGATGATTGTCATGGCGAGTGGAAGAGATCGTAGCATGACATCATAACGCACAGACAAAACGACGTCGACAAGACCAAATAGAAAACAGCCGCGAGGTGCCATCGCCGCACCATGCTCGTGCAAAGCCATCTTCATGCTTGAGCGTCGGGGCGATTCCCCTGACATCTCAAAAATCAATGAAAAGACCTGGTATCTTTTGCAAATCATGTCCGTCATTGTCAAGCGTCCATGACTGATTTTGCTGCTGGACAAGCTTCAACGCTTGAATAATGCTGCCGGGAGCGAGATTAGGCTGTCAAGGCCTAGGAGCACGCGCGCCTATTCGGCTGCATTGATATGACGCACCCGAGTGAGGGTGTAGCTGGATATTGCCGATATTTCCTATGAGTAACGATAAAGCAGTGACCTATGTAGGGCACACCAGGCAAAACGACATCATCAACTCACTGCATTCCAACATGATTCATTTGATCATCCATAGAATAGCATTGCATGCATGAACCTGAACACCGCTGCTAGTACAGGAAACCCAAGGGGGATATCAAACATCCAGAACGACTGAATGGAAAGTGGAAAAGGCCGCCGATAATCATCATACAAAGATAGGGAAGATTTTGAGCGAAAGTAGGTGAGTGGAGGTGATCGCTGACACGATACCATCCAGCGACAGTTGGACGCGTACATGGGACGCGTTGATTAAATTAGTCGACGAGAAAGAGATATTACAAGGATAGGAAAACGAGGAACAAAAAGCTCATATCATGTACGACTTCTGCTGTTCGACATCCAGGTCGTATCGGCTCTTGTCTGTCGCTCCGCTCATGGGCCGCAGACCATGGTCGATGTGCACGTGTGCTGTCGTAGACCGAGACTCGTCCTCGGTCAGCTTTCGGGTATCCATCTCGACTTGGTCAAGCACCGGTGTGACCTTCTCCTTCCTTCGGCTATGGTTGGAGCCGTTGGCATACCGCGAGCCTTGGTTGCGGGCGCGGGCGGGGAAAAGCAGAGGTTTGAGTGCAGGAATGCACCCGCAGATGACTCCGACATTGGTTTCAATGGCCGTCCATAGCCAAATTTCGTAACCGTACCAGGTAGCGTCGTAGGTTTCGAAGAGGACGTAGTGGACCCAGTACGCGCGGAAGCTGCCTGCAACCACAATAATACCACCGACAGAGAAGAGTATGACGAGACCCACACGCTGGATCATTGGCAGGGTGAGACCGAAAAGAGTTGGGATGGGGAGCGCGTAGATCATGAAATCTGTAACCACATTTACGATTGTTTGGACAACGAGAGGCGGACCCTCGGGTATGCAGTCGCCATCACCAGCAAGCAAAGTCCAATAGCTTGAGATGGGTCTACCAAAGGGTAAGTAGGTGGCACATGAGGAGACAAGCTGGATTACACTTACATGCACTGAAGCCAGAGAGCGACAAGGAAGGTTACAAAGGCGGCGGACACGATGCCGAAAGTAGCCCACACGAGTTTGCGGATCAGGGTTTTCCTCGGTGCGATGCGAAAATAAGACACGAGGATGGACATTTTGACGAAGCTGGAAGCAATGACAAACAGTGACTGGCCAGCCATGGACGCCTGTACGAACCGAAATCAGCTGAAAGGCAACGTTGCAACCCTAGCACAAGACATGCACGTACCTTTCGACCGTTTTGAAGTGTGACAATGGGTGCATCCCATACATGAATATTCCAGCCGTACATTGTGACGGCCATGATTACGAGAGCGGTGGTGAGACAGGAGAATATCTGGTACCTGTCAGCATCTACCCGGTTGCCACAACCGCGGGTTGAGGGGTCGGCAACTCACCATGGCCACGACCATGAGCCAGTCATCCCACCAACTCTTGTGAAGCCATCCGATGCGTATCCATAATCGTAATATGACGACGATGAGAGCAATGGGAACCAAGGTCAACTCGACAATCATCAATCCAGGGCCACGGGTAACGGGGTCGACGTAGTTCGGTTTGGGCCACGATGCCCGCACAGCTGGGGGAGGCGACCTCATGGTGTTGATGGAAGGGGGTGGTGGGAGATGGCGGTCCAGGCGACTCCCCAATGTCGGAGAATGGATGGCGATGAAACAATCGAAAGCAGCATCGTGAGAAAAAGCACGACAAGCCAGGCAGCACCAGATAGATATATGAGTGGGAATTCATTTCTTCTTCCTCTTCCACTACCGTACCCTAGCCCGTGAGACGGGAGGTAGCTACCGTGATCCGCGTGCCCCAGCTTAGCTACCTTTACCCACTACGCCGCCATGTCAGGGTCCGTTCTCCACCATGGCAAAAACCGAAGCCAATGCCATGAGGGAACCAAGAGACTCAGCACAGCATGCTTGGATTCGAGGTCCAGCTTCTCGACCCTCAGTGGATCGCAGGCTGCACACGCTACGCTGCTTTCCGCTTCGCCAGGCAACCTGGGTGGGAGATGCCGCGACTGGCTGACACAGCTCCAGGTACCTTCCCTGTGCCTGCTGGGATGTACAATATACAGAAGAGAGGGCATCAGTGGCTGGCGAGCTGTGGGCCAGGGACATGGCAACTCGTTGATGCAGCGTACCGTTGGACAGTCGGGAAACGCGATGGGGGGCGGTGCGGGCCAATCAGCGGCCGTAGCCCGGGGTCGATGGGTGGCGGCGCTTTTTCTTGTCGCGCTTGGGGGGCAGTGGAACACGCGCTGCCATGCCTGCTTGGATGGAAAACGTGATGAGCAGCACCTCTTCGTTTCTTTGGATGCTAGATTGAGCCCAGATCTTTTTCCTTTTTGCTTTTCCTGTTGAGGGATCGTTATTTCATCAGGTGAGGGGACTGTGCTCGACTCAACTTTTGAACCGACCCAACATTCGAACTGGACCTCCCTCGCTTCACGTGGCGTACCTTTGAGTAGCCCGTAGAATCGGGTATACATGATCACCATCTATGATGGTCCTAACACACTTCACTACAGACAGGTACCAGATACTTTCTTTTCTCATAGTCACATGGAATTCAACAACGTGGATCATACCTCTGTACAAGTTACAAGTTACCTTTCAATGCTCAATCACCGCTGCTGACAGCTCGCCTGCTATTCAGCCAAAACCCCAAGATGTGAGATCTAGATTACCCTTTCCGATACTAGCGCCACAATAGACGAACCAATCACCGCCACCACCAGCATTGTGATGGTCCTACACGTACGAGCCGGAAGGCAGACACACCACAAAACGGGCGCTTACAATATTACACGCCTTCTCCTCGTGGTCCTCGTATTCCCATCGTTCAATCAATCAATCAATCGATCCGCACGAGTAAATAAGTAGCCAAGTGTCCACATTCCACATTCGCACACAATCTCCAAATGACGGAATCCTTCCCTCGCCTAGCTAACCTCTGTACCCTATCTTACCTACCTGTCCCAGTATCCGGACGAGCGTCCCTTGTATTCCAACAAAAAAAAACCCCCCCGTCTCATCCCCTACTCAACTCCACTCGACTCGCTCCAAATTTGGATGACTCTGCAGGATGGGAAACGAGACTAGCGAATCGGCCGGCCTGTCACTCATGCTCAGTCACCAACGCGCCTACGCCGTGCTGTTGGTTGGAGGGCCCAAGGCTCTGGAATCACGTCGCCATTTGCATATTTCCCCCTCTTCCCTTCCATGACTAGTTGCGACTTGCGCAACTATCGAACGTTGCGGCATGCATGTCATTGCCTTTTCGTGGAGCCGGTGCTTTGAGGGGTTTGATTGGGCGGATGGGAGCACGCGCTAGAGGGGCGTAATCTATGCGATGTGATGTAGTGAATTGTTATCTGAGGGAAGTGAAGGGCTCTCAGTCTGGATGGGCGAGGAGCGCCATGTGGATTTGGGATGCGGAAGATCGACGCGGCATGTATTGCCGGACTTTGGATGGGTCCAGGTAAGTAGGTACGTACGTACTTACCCATTCTTTGTTCAGATGTGTTCTCCACAGATGCGTAGGTAATCGGGAATTCGGGACCCAGGGATCGAGGGGGCTAAAGCTCAGGGAGTATCCCTTCTTTCTACTGATATGTGTCTGGGAAGTCGATGGACCGCGAATGCAACGTACTTTAGATGCCTGCAGGAATCTGACAGAAGTCTTGTGTAGATGGAGTGATTATGGTGTCAAGTTGTACCTATTCTATTGCCTCTTGCTCCAGTTCATATCAACTCCGCGTCCATTTGACGGTTAGACATCAAAAATTGCTATGCTAGACTCGCTTCAAGAGAGTACCAACACCATCTCAACCGTGACTCGCAAACCCTTTGCACCTTCTATTCCACCCCTGGCATCTCCCTCCGTCCTCCTCTCAGCTCGTAAACAACATTTAAATACCTCCGTCTCCACCCCACGTTTTTTTGCTTTTGACATGTATTTTTACATCTTCAAGAGAGAACAGCCTTCCTTCGCTTAATCTCGCGCGTAAACAATCCATGGATACGGATTGCGCGCTGAACATCTATCATATGGCTTGCTGACTGCCTGCGTGCGGTAATTCCATCTTCACTCGCGCGAACATTCGCTCGCGACAAAAAACAAAAAAAAAGGAAAGGAAGGAGGAAAGAGAACGAGAGGGGGCGCGGGGTGAGACAGCAAAGAAAAAGCAAATACTCTGTTTGTGATGGGAACACTATCGTGCGATAGTCATACAATCTCCGCATCACATATGCACCTACCCCCATTGTCGCTATCTAAATCCATACATACCTAGGTATACTTCTCATAAAATGTGTACATAGCATGAGGGATAGCCCATCCCGAACTGCAGATATAAACCCCTCTTCCTAAAATCTCCAGCATATCCCTCCTATAACCTCACAGCGTTCAACCTTGACGGTATACAGCATACTATCCTCTTTCTTTTAGCGGTATACATATCAACAAGGTTGATACATGCACGATCCGAGATGATGTGCAGCTACTGTCGTCACGTTGTGTGGGTCTCGCCACTCGCCTATTCACCTAGGTACAAAGTAGTCGATGTTTTTACTCGCCCAAGATCGGGTGCACCGCCACAGTAGACTCTGCAAGATTTTTTTGCAAAGGTCCCTGTACAGCTGAGAATGTGTGGCGGGTGGGACCTTTGTTTGGGTCGTTGTGGGTGAACAGATGTCTACGTGTACAAAATACATGCATTGCATGCATGTCGCGAGTCATAGAGGTGTTGATCACGAAGAGAGCATGACTTGGTGGGTCTCTTCACTCGAAACAAATTTTATGGAAACGTCTTGTTTTCTGAATCACTAGTTCAAAGTCTTTTTTTTTTCTCTTTCGAAAAAATAAGGCTTGATATTTGAGTTTGATTTGGTTGCAGATAGATGATAGAGAGGGACCGTAAATGCTAAAAATGGCGATGTATACCGTGCCCGCTTGTCTCTTCACTATCACGCAGTTTCATGTATACCGGAGGGGGCGTCTAGCACCAGACAGTAGCTTCTACAAACTATCTTTAATGGTCTAATAACTATTCTTATTCTTAACTGAATTTTCGCTCGTGATTGAAGAAAGTAATTAACCTAGCCAAAGTGCGTGCAATGTTCGCAAATCAACATGCAAAAAGACATTCCTTACGGGTGTTGTACCACTTCACCTTCTGCTCTCTTCACTGGGTGATGTTGCTGCACCTGGATTTATATATTGAATTCCCAATCCATCTTGTGTAGGCGGACTTCCCGGGTCGGAATTAGCTCTGGTATATCTGTACACAGAAGCGCGCTATTAGTGGACATTTCAAGGCGGTATTTAGGAAATACATACCCCTGGCGGCTCTGCATACCACCCATTCCTTCGATGGCCAACAACGGGCGGAAGGTAGGTCGCTCATCATGCAGGTCAACCGGTGATCCCAGCCCGTCGCTGCCATGCCACATATCGTCGTCTACAATTGCGGACTCGTTATAGCGCGTAGAATCATGCGGATGTGCCGTGGACGGACGGCGAATGAGAAAAGCTTCAGAATCGTGGCTTGGACGGTGGAAAGTTGAAGAATGTGGGCGCACCATCGAAGCATCGCTATCATCTCTTGGTCGGTGCCGGGGAATGGTAGGTGGGAATAGAGAGTGTGCCATTGCAGGTGTTTCGTTTGACTGGTGTGATCCATCGCGTTGCATTGGGGTCGAGAAGTCGTGGAGTTCGAAGGATGGGTATCCACGGGTATGTGACCTAGGAATTGGTGTGTGAGAGTCGGAAGGGATTTTGGGAATCGGGTTCCATGTGTGCTCCTTGTGCCATAGAAGTGTATCCTGGGGCTTTCGGATGATTTTCGCACGGTATGCAAGGTCAGATGCTATGTCTAGGGTGTATCTCATTACTAAGCGGGAGATTGCGCGGAATATATAAGTAAAACGTCGATAAGTCCGCGTTCTTCTGAGGCCATTTAAAGCGTCTACGTAGATTTCGGTAGAGAGGAACGACTGCTGACACCACTATGAATATAGGTTAGAATAGCATAATTGGAGAGAGATGGTAACATACCTCTACTGTAATGTAGATCATGGAAAGTCCCATGACCACGGAAGCAACTAGTGTTCCAGATACCCAATAGACATATACCCACTTTGTGGTAGCGATGTCTTGCACAACAAAATCGAGGTATCCTCCAGCACCGCCCCAACCACTTGTGACACAATCGCATGTCTTATAAGATCCGATTGTTTGTGCTGTAATAATATACATCTGAGATGAGTTAGTTCAAGTCTTGGATCGCACAATAGAACGCTCGCACTTACCAGCCAGACACTGTTGAAAGCTTCCATGGGTCGAAAAAAGAACCACTCCCATCGTTTACGAGCATCCATCGCCCTGAACCTCTTCAGTAGTATATCTATTGAACCTTCCACTTTCTCCGCCATCTCCGCTTTATCGTTCCAAGGGTACAGAATAACGATGCTGATGACTAGGCGTATGCACCAATTCTGGGTTGCACGCAATAGACTTGACGCCCGCCTTTTGATATGAGACCACTCGTGTTGCGCGTCATAGCCCCATTGATCGAACGTAGCGTTGTTGTGTAGATAAGTCGCAGTGCGAGTGACCAGCTGCGGTTGGTAGGACGAAAGTACCAACCACACAATCATCTCTACGATCAGCAAGCCTAGCGATATGGTAAAAAATATCACATAGCCTCCACTGCGACAGCCCAACCCCACCGTTGGCGTGAAGAAGCTCAGAATGAATGCACCTCCGCAGCTCCCACCAACAATGATGATCGCAGAAGCGACTTGCCAGTACTCACGGATATCGAACCACACTAGACCCTCATCGTTGACCGGCCCGAGTACCAGATTTGTTCGCGCTTCTTTCTCATCCGCAAGCCAGTTTCGTCCCTTACCAGCGATGTAGCATCTCTCGATATCGGAGAGAATCGGGTGAGCAGCGCCATAGTGCCATCGTATGCGCGCCTGACCCGCGAATTCGACGAAAAATTCGTCCATGTACTCGGCCTTCTTTGCTATGTTTTCGACCTTTTCTTTCAATACATGGAACTCGGGCTGATCTTTGAAAGATTCGAGAAAGTTGTTTCGATGTTGCTCATCCAGTAATGCGTGACGAACATGGTCAATCAGAGTGTTGATTTTCTTTTTGATCGCATTTGCGGCAATAGGATTCCGATCCACTATAGACGCCATGATCAGGATAGGAAACCAAGCAAGTAGACAACCCATAGCCAGATCATGCGCGGTGCGATTTTGGCCGACATCGCCAAATGCCGCTTGAATAGAGAGCGCGAATGCGAATAAGAACCACAGTGTAGATATGAACACTTAAGATGAGTCAGCTTGTTACTTGCTCTAGCCATGTGTCGTCACCTACCTGGCACTGCACCGCGCCTACGCATCTCACGCAGCTCTCGTGCAAGGATTCGTCTCATCTGCCGCAACGACTTGTCTGTATCAGTCAACTTCAGATCCCTGCTGAACAGAACGATGCGTAGCAACCCTTCCGCTTCCTTCTTGTGAAGTCCTGATTCTGGCTTCATAGTGTACTGATTCATCGCCAGAAGCAAGTACATGGAATCCCGGATACTCGCAAAATCCGTTCTCTTTTCTGGAAATCGATCAAAAGGGACTGACATGTCGACCATGAGTGCTGCCTTTGCCGAAACCTTGATGTTCCACAATACGTACGAGAGCGACGCGATAGGCGACCCCACCCAGCGCGCAACCGCAAACACCGTTCGCCTGAACGCATTACTCTCGAATGGCGCCTGCAGTAAAATACCGACGATCGGTAGGATCCAAGTCGTGATGGTACTCGACACGTCATTCCAGGGGTAGTAATCTGCTCCCGCACCGCAGATAGCGTAACAACCCTCTCTAGAGATCTGGGTGAGAGGGCTTCGTTCGATGCCGACGAGGGAACCGTTCCAGCCCCACTGCCTGCGCAGTTCTTCGCCCTCAGCTGTTAAGGCTGAGAAACGCTGCCCACATTCGCTGAAGTTGGCTCGCATTTCTGGGCCGGATGCTAGCGGTGCTAGCGATGCAGTGAATGCTGGCAACGTATGTACAGTTAGTTCAGGGAGCACATTTGGTGGGACATTTGGTGTTTCTTATAATAGGTTGGGGGCGCCACAGCTCGTATCGCTGTTCGCTTTCACCCTGTGCGAAAGTCTATTAGGATAAGTGAGGCTCTGCCTGAGCCTTTCGATTCGGTGTAGGATCGAGCTTAGCGAACTCGCTGGATGACCTGAACTCTCCCTAGGCAGCACCCGTCGCTGTAAGTTGTCCAGCGCGTGATAGTGTTGATGCCGAGGCTTATCGGGACGCCGAGCTCTTACAAGAATTGCTTACCGTTTTTCAGCTTGATTGTTTCATTCATGCTCTGGCGATGATAACCCAGGCGCCGATAAGACAACCTTGTAACCAGGTCACGAGTCACGTGAGTCCAGCTGGCATCCATTGTTCGGGATAGCGTGGCGGGTACGATAGACGTACATCCGTTGTTAATACCGTATGATCTGGCATTTAATGGCAGCACCATTGCAATCGCAAAAACAGCCATAGCGCTGCCATCGAATGCTAAGCCTACGATACCTACAGAGGACGCGTGAAAGCCAGAGACAGAGAAGCTTTTTTTTGTCGATCTACCGAAGCTTTCTATCCACAGGCGCACTAACCCTCCATCTCAAAGAGCAGCTTACAAACGTCTCGTCTCAATCACCTCGATAAACCAGCTAGCTGAGTCTATATTAGCTAGTCTCAAGAGAAACGAAAATCGACGTCACTCTTATATTAGCATCCTCAGTAGACGCAGCGCCTTGGCCTAATTAGGGTAACCAGATGAATGCCCTGCATACAAACTTCGCTTACGTTATCGCGCAGACCTCCCATGAATCCACGTTTGTAACCCTCAATAAAATGTTCCATCGTTTGTCGCGTCTTCATTATATATACTTAGTTCGCTGACCCCTCTGTCGTGCTCATATGTCTTCATCCGTAACAGTCGTTGAATTTCGAGCCAAAGACCTTTCATCGCAAACTCCAATTTTTATATTGATCAAATAGCACACGCACACATGGCACCGACTTTGCTCCACCTGATTCGCCATGGCCAAGGTGACCACAATCTCCACGAGAATTATAATCTACCAGACACTTCTCTCACACCTGAAGGCGAACGACAAAGTCTTGCACTTGCCCACGAGATTCCAAACATATCCTCGATTAGTCGAATCTACGCATCCCCGATGCGTCGCACTCTCTATACCGCACTTCTCGCTTTTCGAAAAGTACTTCAGTTGAATCCCAATATCCGCATCATTGCACTACCAGAGCTGCAAGAGACTTCGGATTTTGCATGTGATACGGGGTCATCGCTCGCGCAACTGCGCGAGGAGTTCAAGGGCCAGCCTATAGACCTATCGTATCTATGTGAAGAGTGGAACGATAAGAAGCAAGGGCGTTTCAGACCAATGACGGATCTGACGGAGCAACGTGCGTTTGAGGCGAGGAGGATCATCCGTGATGGATTAAAGGGGACCGTAGCTGTTGTCGCACATGGTGGTATCAATCACTATTTTACAGGGGATTGGGAGGGTAGTAGCAGCGGCTCTGGTAAGTCACCACCTGTTTTTCGGTATCTATCCTCGCTAATAGAAAACATAGGAACTGGCTGGAAGAACTGTGAGTACCGAACATATAAGTTCGACAACCCCTCAAGCGATATGACCGAGCAGGCCGCCGTTGTCGAAACCGAAGATTCTGTTCGCCGAAGATTTCCAAAAGGGGATCACAAAGAGCTCACTGCAGCCGAACAACACGATTTGCGTGTTAGTACTGAAATCTCTTGGGCCGCAGACGGGTACATCTTGTTGAGCGAGACGAACCATTCCCTGGCCAGCAACTCCACTGGTAAAGGAGATGAAAAATAACTTCCGCGGGATGAGAAGGCGAGGCGAGCTGACGAGTTTCTGGTCAGCGAATACAGGACATATTAGAACACGTCTGTTTTCCAGACTTTTGAACACGTTCTCGTAGCCGTACGACAGCGCATGATTTGTCGCTCTCTCTAGCTAAATGGAGAGTTCCTTCTTCCGGGGAGTACAACGGCTGTATACGTTAAGACGAGCTGGTGGATATTTAGCTATTCTTGGAGTACATTGTGCTCGAATGTAATCTCTCCTATACGATAGATCACATTCCTAATATCAACTCGCTGCGTGAATCAACGATTCTTATTACTGTATCTGTCTGTATATATTTGTCCCACACAATCTCAAGCCAGGCCATTGGAGGATGCAAACGGTCCTGGACTCAGAAAAAAGTGGTCGTAGTCTCCAATTAAATATATCATTTATTTTTGGAGGGTTCTCCACGCAGCATCGCCATCTGCAGTTATGCGACGTATCTACCTAGGTAGGATTCCGTCATAACGTGTCGGTACCAATATCTCGGATACGAGATCGATTGCCACGCTTGAACTGAACTCACGTTCGACAGCTTTGCGATAAAATTTGCCGTACACAAATGCCGTACGCTTTAGCTCGGGCCGAGGGCTACGTAAAGCCCGAATCATCTACTGGGCTTTCTGACACTCGCCGCCCAGCTATCACGCCCAGCACAGGTGCACATGGTATAGGGGAGCTATGAGCAGTTTAGCTTGTGTTCGGGGAGCATTAAACCGAGATAACCCGAGAATGTTATATCACAATCTTGAATTTACTTACTTCCCGGGCCTTTCTAGTCGTTGATGCTTGGTATTCACGGTCTACCCCGGATTACCCCACATTCCGGTCGTCTGGTAGTGTTTAGCTCCAAATATCCACGATGTTTAAAGACAAAAGATTTTGCAATGGATGATGGGTGTGCGCAAACAAGATCCTCTCTTACCAAGGGACCGCCACGACCACGATGGGTTTGATGCATCTATATGTTACGGCTTCGACATATATAACATGCACATATGCGTCAGTAAATTGGAAAATGAATTATTCAGGCCGCTAATATGAATGCGCAGATTTGTTGATTATGGAAACGTTTATCCCGTCGCATATTATTACAATAACTTGTCGGGTTCGAACGATAGGGTCGAATATGACAATAACACTTCTATAACTTTGTCTCCGTCTACGCCAACGGTCACCCTGGACTACGGAACAGAAGTCGCAGGTTTCCCATTCTTGAGAACCACTACGGGTGGTTTTACTTCATATGTCGAAGCAAAATACGCCGAGTCCTTGGCCTCTCTGTCGAACAACAACGCAGATGGTCCCTGGACGTTCTCGAACGGACTAGCTAACTCATTTCGAGTTGAGACCTTTGAGACCAGCAACTCTAGCTATTTGGAGAGTTTCTTCGTTCAGGGAGGTCAACGATGGCAATCCCTTCGCTTACTCGGCAATCAGTCAATTACTGTCACAAATGTTGGTTTCCGAGCCACCAGTCAACATACGGATGTTGATAAGTTACCAACATATATGACAACAAGCAATGCCATGTATAACAAGATTCTGGACCTTGGAGGTCGTGTAGCACAAGTAGCTTGTGTAGATGCCGGCAATGCGCCATCAACATGGGAGCTGACCGATGAAGGCGTACTTGTCCGAGGCCAGACAACTGCGCAATCCGCAAAGGGTATCTTGATGAAAGCTGCAAACTACACCATTGAATTCTCAACAAAAATACTTCGCGGCGGGACTGGATGGAGGATCGCGAGTGATATTGCGCCATCTGGGCCTCTTTTTGTCTTTACATCTGACTACCCGGACAACAACACACCAAGCAATACAAACAGGACGCTTCTGCCACCCAACAACATAATATTCAATAGCGGATGGAGTATCGTAAACCAGTCAACTCTGGAGACACCAGCAAATTCGTACTTCTCCATCAACACTACGCTGCAAGAAGGCACATGGTACCGAATCAGCACTTCTATTGAGCAGTCCGGCTATCGCATTCGATTGGATGGAAACGAGATCGCGTTTGTGCCGCTCCCACCACCAAGTGAAAACCCACGATTCAGCTCGCCGTCTAGATATGAGGGAACTTGGGGATTTGGAGGTTTCCAAGATCACATTTCCATGTTTGCCAACGTATCAGTCAAATCCCAAAATGGCTCACAGATCTACGAGAATAACTTATTATCAGAGGATATCCTGGCCGAATACGGGGTAGCACCGCTCAATCATTCCATATGTCTTGACGGCGCAAAGCGCGATCGTCTTCTTTGGATTGGTGATTTTTATCATACAGTTCGAGTGCTGGCCCAATCCAGCGCGCGTTGGGACTACATAACAGGCTCGTTAGATTATATCTTTGACTACCAGGTCGCTTCTGGTCCGTATGCCGGTTTTGTTCCTATCTCACCAGGGATGGGGACGAGGCCTGAATACTCAGCTGCGGATCCTGGATGGGAAGGGCTGGTCGATTATCAAGACCTCTTGCTCGCTGGTATAGGAAAATATTTTGAATACACTGGTGACGTGGAAGGCTTGAAGAGGTACTGGTCAAATATCAAGAGCCTCGCAGAAGCCAGAATGAAGTTCATTGATCCAGTTACTGGTCTTGTGGCTGGTAGTTCCGAGGTTCCAAACCCGTTCAGCTTCAACGGCCCTGCGAATGGGAGCGCTACCTCGGGAATGCTTGCTTTCGCATTGAAACAGCTAGTTCCTGTTGCTCTTGCTTTAGACGAAAAAGAAACTGCTGATCGTTTCACGTCTACCGCTTCAAAATTGATCGATACCATCAATGATCAACTGTGGAATCCTTCTTTGGGCACATACTCCTTGTCCTTGGACTCACCGGGGAACTTCTCATACACGGGCGTTGCATGGTGCATTCTCGCTGGAGCAGCAGATCGCGATCAAATCCAATCATCCCTCGCGAAAATCGAGGAGCTTCGTTTCGGTGCAGGATACAGAACAATATCTTCCGATGCCGAGTCTCCAGACTACCAGCTTGCGCCAAATCCCTCTGGCTTCCTTCTTGAAGCTCTGCTCCAAGCATATCACGAACACGAAATCGACAGCACAACATCTGTATCCCATCTTCTTGATGGCCTCTGGGGTAGTATGGTCAACGACGATAATTACTACTCTGGCGCGAGCTGGGAATACGTGAAACCGGACGGCTCACCTGGAATTGATGCTTTTACGAGTTTAGCTCACCCGTGGGGCGCTGCTCCAACCTACGTACTGCCAGAATATGTGCTCGGCATACGACCTACTACGCCTGGTTATAAGTCTTTCGTGGTACAACCAGCGATCGGATTCCTCGGCTTGGAGAAGGCGGAAGGCAGAGTCGCGACACAGTTTGGTACAATAAACGCGAGCTGGTCTGTGGAAGCAGATGCAGCTGTGATAGATGTCGAAGTTCCTTCGGGGGCTACGGGATATGTCAAATTATCTTCGACATGGAAATTGGAAGGGTCAAACAATGAAACTGGTCAAGTCGCGCTGCATGAGGGAGGTAACCGCTTGTTTCTCACGTTGGCTTGAAACCATGCTCAGAATTTAATCTGCATCAACTTCACTTATACAAAATGAGCGACTCAACGCATCCATTCTTCATGAGAGCTCAAAAATAATCAATGTTTGCAATGCTTTGATCACACCCACACGTGTAAAGCTCTTGTCGGTAGCAAAGCTGCACAGTAACGTGCGGGCTATTTACTGTCTAAGAAGGCACTATGTGATATCACTAGGTAGGCAAGCAACAAGAAATTTCATTCATAGGAAATCTATATACGGGTATCTAGTCTTTCAGGTATCTGGTATAAAACTGACTAACAGAAGATTGGAAGACTCCGATAAAGAAACAAGAAACACAAGAAGTAGACAGACTAAAAGAGTGGATGTGGTGGGAAAGATTAGATAAGAGAACTAGAGTTTGAATAAAAGAAAGAGAAATGGATCCCAGGCTCATCCACCCAAAATGCCGTTTCACTATGGAGCTCCCAGGGCTTTGAATGGTTAAGTCCCAAGTGATGGCACCGCCGTTCGTTGTATTGTGCTTCCCCTGGCCAGTGTATCGTTAATGCATTTGAAATGGCACCCACGTTAGATGCGTCAAATCAAGTGTCGAAGATTGTCTAGAACCAAGCGCTCTGATCAAGCAGTCTTGCTCTATATTGTCAATTCCTGTGGGGAGCTTCGCAATATCGAATGGCGTCACTTCTGGCGATTCTCCGGCTTAGGAGAGTTACCAGGTGCAGGAACAAAAGAAGGAGAACCCCTAGACTCCTTAGACGGTGGTCTAGGTGGAGGTGAAGGCCCACCCATACCTCCCACTCCAGGCGCAAGCAGATTCGGGGATCCAGATTGGGACCTGGGCGGGGTTGGGCTCGGTGACGGTGAGTAAGACACGGATGACCGCACGGAACTCTCAATCGAATTCTCGCGAATTGATCCCCCTCCTTTCGTGAAGTCAGATTCAGGTACGGATTTGCCTTCGACTTGAACCGTCGGAACGGAACCTTCCACTGAATGAACCACGTCTTTGGCATCGATATCCCCATAGGCCTTGAATTTGGCGATCTTTGTTGGTTTGCCAGTGTTCTGAGTGGATCCTCCTCCAGTGCTCTGACCGCTGACGCTGGGACTTCGGCTCGCTTCTCTCTTGAGGCCCTGGGAGGCTGTGTTGTCTTTCGAAAGCATGGCGACGATCTTGCTTTCGGATCCCGGTATAGATGTCTAGATTTTGAATACTGGCTTTCCGGGTGGTTGTATGCGGTTATTTTTTACTTTGTTTTGGGTTGAAGTCGTGGCAGATAGGTGCTGCAAAGCTGGTTGATGATGGCAGACCGCCGCGGACGTAAGACCTGTATGTTGAGAGTGTGATCAAAGGAGCAAGAAGGAGAGTCGTAGTCGCAGGCATTCTTATATGTCTGTGAGGAACAGTTGTGAGAGTCAGAAGGAAGTCATAGGCCAGTCATATTTTGTGCTACTTTCAATATTACACATGTACGCACGCACGCGCCTTTATGACGCACAGCACGCTATCTATATCGAGTCACGTTTTGTGTGGGTGCATTTCAAGGTTCTATGACTACGAAAGAGTTACACTATCACACTTCTTATGTTTCTATAAGATCAAATATGCAAGACAAGATTAAACTATATTTTTGGGTACCTGAAAGTGTGTAAACTTGTTGAGAAAGATAGAAAACCAAAATTTGGAATTTGCCAATATTGAAAGAATAGGAAGATATGGTTACAGAAAAGCAGAAAAAGGAAAGAAATTATGAATGTTGAACGAAAGGAAGGGATCAGAGAGAACAGAAAAAGCTTGCTATTGAATGAGAGTATGAAATCGCTACAAAAAGGTATGCAAAAACAAAAGTAGTATGAGAAGAGGAAAAAGGAAAAGAGAGCCCATCGCTAAGCCATCCAACAAACTGACCGTTCGACTGCCGCAATTGGTGCGTCAATCATCGCCTCCAACTGCTTTGCCTGCGCTTAGACCAGCCAGATTCGGCGACTGTTATCCCGTGATTTGCACGGATTTGAAGAGGCCCTGGCTTTGCTGCAAGAAGAATATTCCATCGGATTGAGCACCAAGGCCTTTCTCTCCTCGGAGCAGGGAACGCACAACCATTTGCTCGCTTTGTGTTTCTGGTCCTCAGATAGAATAGCCGGCACCCTCACCATTCCACCCTTTCCATCACGTCCAGTAGATTCTCTGAAGACCCATTTGCAATTTTTGCATTGCTGGTAATCTGGTCTTCCATTTATGTACGAACTGCCTACATTGATGTAATTTACGGCACCCATCTCCAAGCATGCCCTACATATGTTGTCGTCGGTTTTGTAGCTATGATCTTTCGAAGTGAGTTGATTAAGCGGTCTGGAATAGATTAGTCTGACTAGAGTAGGAAGAACACCAGACTAGCAGAAAATTCTCTTACCCTCCGTTCGCATACTTTATTTTCTTGAAGCGGCTGTGTAGATGATTGTTGCGTAAATCTACCATAACTTCAGACTCCTCGCTCAAAGAAAGTGAGGCTGACTTGGTCTTTCGCTCCGTTGGTGGGCGAAGATCCGGAGCCGAAGGCGGGAAGGCGGATGGAGGAGACCTAATAGCTTCTCGATCCTTGTGTTTCGATTCGTAGTCTGGGATGTCATCGAGGAACCTGACTCTAGGCCCCTCGCTTGGGAATCGTGAGGCTGGCTCAAGCTCTGACTCCGTTGGTAGTCGAAGATCCGGCGCTGACGGCGGGAAGGCGGATGGAGAAGACTCAGCATCCTCCCAATCCTCGTGTATCGATTCATAGTCTGAGATATCATCGATAAACCCAACTCCAGACACGCCGAACTGATGCTCTTCAATGTAAACGGCCTTTTTGGGGGCTTTCGGCTTCTCCACGCTGTCCGGTTTATCCGCACCGGTACTGGAGCCACCGCTTGATTTGAGGGTATGATCTCGGGCTGAGGCGCTTCCATGGGTTCCAGTGGTATATTTCGATATTTTATTTTCCAAGGGCGACATATTGATGGTTCTGAAGTTAGGCTGTAGGTATATTTATGAAAGAATTGCCAATATGATGGTCATACAAGAATGGTCAGAAATAGGCGAGTAGATGTTTGGTTGGTATAAGGACTTAGTTTATAGAGGGAGTAATCAGAACAATCACAATGAGGAATGTGGAGACTTTAGAAAGATGTTGTGGGGAGGATGGAGAATATTCGTGGTTGACAGAGCATTTAAATTCCCCTAGCGAAAGACATTGAACTATCTATGAGTAATTCGCGGAGTCATCAATTCTGAGTAATTCTTTCAAGAGAGAATATCATACTGACTCTGAATTCAGTACCAGTCGTATGGCGATGAAAGCACTGATGGCCATTCAAGTGCTGGAACGTCTTCTGTCTTCTTTCAATATTTGCCCTAGAAACACCATTCATAGACATCAGAATGAATGATTCGTTGCTCAATGTGATCAGTTTTATGACACGGTTGACTGTTTCAAACGAGTATCAAATCCCTCGAATTGGAGTCCGTGATGCTATAAGTCAAAATCTGTACTGTCATAACGCTCAAGACATGTGTTCCCATGCAAAACCGAGTCTGAGTGCCGCTCTAATTATGTCCCATTCCGTCATGAACCCTTTTGTTGTCGCCTGCGTGATTTTTTGTCTTTTATAACTATGTTTAGTCCTTTAAGATGGCTCTGGCACGGGAGCTTGAAAAGCGGAGATGCAACCTTAATAAAGTCTAGGAAGGATGCAATCATATAATGCAAAAGAATATGCGTGGGATCAATGAGAAAAGGCAATTGTGATACTAGTGTCAACGATATTAAATCCCGCATCTCACGTATCTTGCCACTGTCATTGAGGTTATAGAAAGCAAGATCTTATCAAGCTATGAGGAATTAAACACACTCGAATGATAATACTAACAATTTGGATCGGAAGGAAAGTAGAGAATAGAAGGAGAGAGAAGAAAATAAGCAAGTAGTGAAACACTCTAGTCTCCATTTCTGGGACACAAACTCGAAATTTCTGAAATAGACAATTTAGAAAAGGAACCCACCAAAATGAGAGACAAAAATGGTGGGAAACAAGAAGGAGATATGAGAGGCACTCTGATTCACCACATACAGACACGGAGGCCTGGTGCCGATTAGAACCCAGATGGTGACTTTAGTGAATATAGGAGACAAAAGAAGAGAATTCAGACCGGGCAGAAATCTGATATTGGCTGCATGAGCACCGATACCTGTCGTACTGAGTTGTCTTCTCGCCTAAAGCAGCAAGATACCATGGAATTCCTTGAAGCCGCCACAACGGCCCCCGAGCCGCTTACAACACTGCGCATCTAGGTGATTCAAGACTTCTTTCTTCGTGGAGCTTAGACAGCTAGTGCAAAACCATTTGGTTGCCAGACTTTCTCGGCCTTGTGGAGCGATTGGTAGCATAGCCTGTTCAGTGAGAGAACCACTTCCCTTCCACTTACCGTCAACTATATTGAAATTGATTAAGCACCGGGGGCATTTTCTTTGATCGCCCTCTTTCGGATCTCCTATGAACTGATCCTTTTTAACTATATGGACAAGTTCGTATCCATCGAGATGTGTGCATCCTCTACATAGGAATTCGGAAGCGATGCGTATCTTGGCTCTAGTCGCAACGTGTGAAATCATAGGCCTATAGACGAGTCAGACAATATGAAAAATAGAGTACACTTCTGCTTCTGGAGCATGTAAATAGAAATTCTCACCTTCGGGAAATTCTCCATGGCTTAGTGAACTGGTTGATACCAGGCATCGGGATAGGGACATCTGGATCATTAGAGCTTAGAAATGGCGGTGGTGGCAGTGGTGGCAGTGGTGCAGTGTTTCCAGACACAATTCCTTCGGTCTTTGTCTCAGGAGATTGGCTTCGATATCGTACAAGACCATCAGGTGGGAGGATCTGTCTGAGTGACTCTTCCTTAAGGTGAGGTCTATATGAATCCAAAGGAAGCAGACGCAATTGTTGATTAATCGCCTGGGGTATCAAAGTAACACGTGGGAGCTCACTGCCACGGTCTGCTGCAGGTTCTTGTTGGCTACCTTCGCGCGCAAGAGCAGGGTCATTGAGAATATTATCTACCAATTCCTCGGAGATAGGAGACTCTCTGTCATTGCTATGCCCTGTTGAAAGTTCCTGTTTTTCAGCTTGATGCTCAGGGGTAGGACCAGCAAGAAGAAAGCTCAGGGTGTTCGTGGGGAGAGAGTTCAGGTGTTCGTTGACGAAACTTGAATAAAACGGGTCGATGTAAGCCTCAGCCGAAATGATTTTGTCTGTGATTCTCCACAGTTCTTGTTGAAGTTCTGGAGACGGAGAATCATGTTGAATTACGGATGGGTTAGTGGATTGGGGTGCTGATGGGTTTCTAGGACGAGGGAGAGGTGGAGGTGGCATAAGATTTCTGCTGCTGGAACTAGATGGTGCACCCTCTTGCCGCTTGCCTTTACCCTTGACGTTACCGGTAGACATGGCTAAGGTCGTGATCCGAGGTATTGGTTTTGAGGCCTTGTTATTACGTCTGTCCGGAAGATTGCTGAGTGAATATGGTACAATTTTGGGTATTAAGAGTAGGGAAGAATGAATCTGTGAATCCCACAGAAAAAATATAGACCGAGTATGAATGTAGAAGCAGAGAGTGAGCTGTACAGAAGTAAAGAACCACCCCCATTGGCATTTCTTTATACCTTTTGTGAAGGCTCGAGCGTCTTCGAGCGCCTCATTGTGAGAGTCACGATTTTCCCTACAATTCTTACAAACCTCACTGGGTATTCATGTATTGTTGAACATCTGCCCCAGAACCCTTGCTGATTGGGTTCCACAGCAGAATTGTGCTTCTGAAGGAGCAACGCAAAGAGAAGTAGTACTCCGTAGAACAAGACCGATGGGCACTCATCGCCCATCAAAATTGGTGCTTGCGAGTTTTCACAAATTCATATCGGTCGCCAACTCTGCCGTTCCCTAGATCGACAGTGTGCGCAACAAGGAATGAATACATCCAATAGGAAAGCTCAAGACGAACTTGCCACGTGCTGCTAGGAATGAGCCTAGGGCAAGTCAATCCGATAAATCTGTGTAACTTGCAGTGTAGACTCAGCCCTATGGTCGTGAGTGCTACCGATGCACCCCCACCCACGCTGTGTCTGTGAGGAAGAGCACACGGCTGTGCTGCTTCCATGAAGCACCAAAATCTGACAACAGCGTAACTAGTTACATTTTTCTTGGAGACTCGTTGATACTTATACCATTTCTATAAACACTTAGCACGAGTGATACCAATAACATGATCAGTGAAATCAGTGAGCGGAACTTTGACACATCGACCGACCATACCACTATATCCTCCCCAATCACAATGTTTCCCAGACGTGACTCGAAGTTATTGAACAAAGGGCTGCAAGTGCGGCTTCATCGCTTCTAGATGTTCCTATTTCCATGTATCATGAATCTTGTGCATCCCTCACGCAAGCCACGGCAATGTGCCGAACCGTGGCGCTGGGTACGATCGGAAGCAGGAGCGCTACACACAGGAAAGAGTCACCCCGGTTATGTGGTGTCACTACGTACATACGTAGGTATTTATGTATATACGCTTCCGAGTCTCACTGCTGAAGGCGCATCTTCAGCGAGGTCTTCGACCTAATTCACTGCATCTGCCTCATTTTAGATTCTTCGTGTTTACCTTTGCGTGCGCCTGCTGAATCAATATTTTGAGATCTCACCCCTGTGGTTTCTTCGCTAATAATCAGTTGATGGTATATTGATTTGGTCATTTCATTGGTACATGGATCTGCATACCAGGATATTCCTCAGCTTTGAACTACTGTACCCCGCCATACATGTGCACATGGATCATCATCATGCACAGAGTCGCATTGGCGCAACCCACAACCATGCCCATAATCATTCCCGCCACGTGCTTGTACTCACAAACATTGTCACTACAACAATAAACACATCAATACCAAGTACAACCACTGCATCATATCTTCGAACACAGTTATTACACAACATCCCCGCTTCCCCCATAATCTAGATATTGGCGGGAAAGAAGATGAGTCAACCCGTGGCATCATCCAAATCCGAAACTGCCACTCTTCCCCCGCCTTTTCACACCATACCCAATGTACCCAACTTTCGCGATATAGGTGGCTGGCGTATCTGTCCACCTCAATCAACAGGCTCTTTTCTCGTCCGCAAATCCCTAGTCTTTCGTGGCGCCGACCCTACACGCATCGCACCCTCTGGCATCGCCAAGCTTCTCGACTTAGGCATCGCAAAGGACTACGATCTACGTAGTCCTACTCAGATAGCTAGGCTAGGAGGAGAAAAAGGCATGCATGGAATTGAAAGAGTGTCTGTGCCGCTGTTCGAAGGAGAGGATGGTGAAGATGAGGAAGTGGCGACGAAAAGGAGGTATGAATTATATGCTGCAGAGGGTACCGATGTAAGTGTTTCTCCTTTTAATTTATACTTTCGTCCACACCATCTCGGCTCCTGGTTGGGTGTGTGGGATTTGGCGGTTGGTAAGTAGATGTCACGACATATTGGTAACATGACACGCGAATATATGTAGGGAATCGTGGAAGCTTTCATCGCCATACTCCTTTCTTCTGCTGCGGCGTTTCGCGCTATCCTGCTTCCCTTCCTCAATCAACCCACTCCACCAGCTCGGCACGCGGCGATCTTTTTGCACTGTACGACAGGGAATAATCGTACTGGCGCATTGATCGCGATTTTTCTCGCACTTCTGCATGTCCCTTACCGTATCATCGCGGAGGAGTACGCGTTATCGGATCCTGGGATGGCACAAACGCGGCACATCAATGTCAACCGGCTTTTAGCGAAGGGGGCATTCGCGGGTTTTGATGAAGCGGAAAGAAGGAGGAAGTGTGAGAGAATGTTGACCGCAAGAAAAGAAAGTGTAGTCGCGTTGTTAAAGGAGGTAGAGAGGAGATGGGGTGGCGCAGAAGGGTTCTTCAGGGAGGTTGTTGAGTTCAGTGAAACAGAAATTGAAGGGATTAGGAAGTGTTTCACGATGCAAGAGATGGCAGATTATGAGTTGAGGTGACGGAGAGTTCCTTAACAGTGAACTGATTCTTGTTCAGTAGGTATAAGTGATGTGAGATTGGAATGGGTTTCCCTTGGCCAAGCAAGTAAAGAAAGTGAAACAGATAGTCAAAACCAAAAAGAGGAGACAACATAACCTTTCCAGGGGGACAAGAATGTGTCGATAATGTGCCAGCCACTCCCCCCTAGATGCACGTGAGATAACACTTCCTAGGTACCCAACGTCATCTCTTCATGCAGGAGCTGAACCCTCACGGACCTCCAAGATAGCTGCAAAAAAGTCCAAAAGCATCCAAGCTCAAAGCATATCGCGCACCACGACCAATCAAGACCATCATCACGCTCCAAGTTAATAGAACTCTACCCAGATCACGCATCACGAATAAATACCAGATAATCAACTCCATGGCCACCTGTAGGTATCCTCGTTCATCTTCCCACTCACTTCCCCCGGGGCAAGTTCGTATCCAACTGCGAACTGTAGCACTCAGAACGCGAGGAGTACCCTCCGCCACCACATCCATCTCAGCGCGACGATAAGAGAAATGACTACCTCTTTCTTCCAATCGACCATCGCGCACGCGCACAAAAAGCGCTTCCAGCGCAGCGCAACAGGACCGCATCTCTCTGTTCCATCTTCACCTCTCCGCTTATCTTCCTCATCTTCTGATCACTACGACTCGGCGGCTTCGACACCAGCGACTTGCTACACGCCGCCACCATCACTGCCACCGTCTTCGTCGCACAGCAACTCCACGATGCCTGCGACAATCTCTGCCTTCCCAATCCCGCCTCAAACCATCCACTCTGTAACAACTACAACTACAACGCCCCGTCCAAACCACACCTACACAATCATCTCCCGCAGCACCTCGCTCGCTCTGACCTTTCTCAATGGCTGCATAACCCTCGTTCCGCCAGGAAGTCTCGGCACTTACCGCTGGCGGTGCGTAGAAACGCCAGACGGGTGGCTGGGATTCCAGGACCCGGCGTCGGGTATGTATCTAGGGTACGATGATCATGCGTGGCTGCAGTGCACGGCGCGGAAACATGGTGAAAGAGAGTGGGTTTGTCCTAGAGAAAGGCCTAGTGGGGGGTGGGTTTTGCTAGTTGTGCTTGAAGGTGGGTGTGCGTTGCCTATTGGAGTTAGGAGGAGGGAAGGAGATGTTGGCGTCAAGATTCGGAGGTGGAATTCTGGAGGGATTACTTGGGATTTCATGCAGGTTTGATTGTTTGGGGTGGCGTGAGGAAGTTGGATGTGTGGATGGGGGATGTTCGGATAGAATCTGGAGGATTGTTCATGGGTGTGGATAATATTGGAGGAATGTGAGAGCGGGCTGGAGTTTGGCGTTTTTGGGAATGTAGTTGGTGTTTTCGAGGGAGTTGTTAGGTGTCTGCATCTTGTACAGATATGTTGAAGTTAATATTTCTGTTATATATAATGTAAGTATCCAAATTGGCTGTACCATATCGTGGGCCTGCAGACCTACCTATATCTATACACTGATTTTCCCATATCGTTATTATTCTCACGAGGACGAGATATATCCGAGAACGATGAAGAGGAACAACCCACTCAAACTGATCACCATCGTATGCATGCATGCCTTCACCAGGCACGCACGGATAGACCAGCCTTTCAAATTTCAAATCCAACTGCCATCCATGAACTCCTCTCCTTCTCCATTTCAGCAACCAGCATTCTTCCGCTCAACCACGGCACTTTGATACGCGTCCAAATCAACATTTCCAGCGTCCCACACAGCGACAGCTTGCACACAAATGCACGGTGTCCCACTCTTCGGTGATGGCTCCACATGACCTATAACATTGATCCAAGTGCCAACGTCGACCTCATGGCGCTTGATGGATTCGAGAATATGCTGAATGTCCACGTGAGCGACTTTGGGCGGGCGTGAAGGAGGATAGTCGTGGACCAGACGCAGGGTGGCAGTTTTGGTCAGGTACTCATCTACACTGAACGCGAGAAAAGGTCAATGTGAGAGTGTCACATGGAAGGTAGAGGGAAGCATGGATGGTCAGGATGACGGGGGTTATGTAAGCGAATGAGAGGGATGTCGACATACCACCCCAAAAATCGCACTTTCGTACCAGTGGGTATTTGATCGAGGTCGTTGAGCAACGTGAGATTGGATGCAACGGGGCCGTTCATGGTTGAATCTTTTGGGTTGGAATCATGGTTGATGGTTTTCACTTGGATATCTGGATTTCTGGATGCCTGGGTGAATTAAAAAGAGCACGTGCTGGGCGACAAATGGGGTTAGCGCCAGAAATGGACCGACATCATCGCAGCTCGGGCCAGGCCATACAATGATGCCGACGCTTCAATCTTTAACCTGTTGCCTGCCTTCTTTCTTTCCCTTCTGCCTTACCCATTCCCTCACAATTCAGGAACCCACAAACTACTCACACAGGACACTCCACTTAAACATATTCCCACGACTCAGCCCTCAAACACCAACCCTCGCGCCTCCTGTGTCGGAATCCCCCCGCCTTTAGCGTCCGCCTGCTTCTCCATCATTCCCCTACCCTGTTGCTATCTCGCCCCGCCTCACGCGTCGCCCGAGGACCTCTCACTCAACCAATACTCCCCCACGCCTGTCGTAGGCCCCTCCGAATATCTCTTTCACTTTCTTGTGCACGCCCGGTATCATCATGTCCGGCTGGGGTCTCGGCTGGTTCGGCGGTGGTCAGGCAAAGAAAGATGCGCCCAAAAAAGCCATCCTGCAGCTGCGGCAGCAGTTAGAACTGCTCAACAAACGGGAGAAGCATCTACACAACCAGATGGAAGAACAAGATACGCTAGCCCGGAAATACGTTACAACGAACAAGACCCGTAAGTGTTCTCCACGTCTTCACCTTTGCCCCTCGAGGGCACCCATGATGCGGATATTGCTGACCATTCTTTGCGCCGATAACAGTTGCCAAGACAGCGCTGCGGAAGAAGAAGAACTTTGAGACTGCGGCAACGAATACGAGTGCGCAGATTATGACACTCGAGGAAGAGATCCACAGCATTGAAACCGCAAACATCAACAAGGAAACACTCGACGCTATGAAGAACGCATCTACCGCCATGAAACACATACACCAAGGCATGACAGTAGACACTGTCGAAACCGTCATGTATGTCTCCCTCATCCCTATTTCCCCCCCATCATCATCCTCACCGCAAATACTAACTCTTTTTTGCCAACAGGGAAGACATCCGCGAACAGCACGAAATCGGCCAGGAGATCAACAACGCCCTCATCGCTCCACAAGCTGTCGTCGACGACGAGGAACTAGACGAGGAGTTGGCAGAACTGCAACAGGAGCAGCTCGACGAACAGATGATCAAGGGAGGCAGCGTTCCCGTCAGCGATGCTGTCTCTCTGCCCACCGCCCCTCGCTCCGAGGTCGTGGGTAACAGGCCGGGTAAAGCTGCACCCGTGGAGGAAGACGATGAAGAGGCTGAGTTGCGGAAGCTGCAGGCCGAAATGGCGATTTGATTTCCCTTTATCTGCAGTAGTGGCGTTAGAATAGAGCGGGGGATGAGAGAACTCGTATTGTCTGTCTGTCTGTCTGTCTGTGTATCCTTTGCTGCCTTCGGCTTATTCGGTTTTTCCTTTCTTTTTTTCTCTTTTGCATGTTCCTCTCTCTTATCACTTTGCAGAAATCTCGTCGTCGAATATGGATTTTTGAGATTGTGCATTTTGGAAACTCCTCTTTCTTGGTGGAATATGAGATTCAGGCGTTCTCTATATCATCATCAGTCGTCAAATCATCATTTAACATCATAAGCATCATGATTCTCATCCGACTTCTTTTTGGGGACCTCGTTTATTTTTGAAGAGCCAGATACCTCATCGTGTTTTGTAGCATACTCGGTGGCTTGCAGTCGGGCGCTACAATTAACGCACAAGCGAATAGGGGTAAAGATACCTACAAATCCATGACAAGAACATGCAAGAACAACCAGAGCAAAGAAGAGAGGCCGCAAGACAGACGCTCTTCATGATCCATCCATTGAATTGTATATATAGATATGCACGCAAAACAAAGACTACCGCCCACTACATAAAGAAAACCGCAAAAAAAGTACTATGCATGCTAAAAAAACTTAACCATTGACCGCGACATATCATCTTGATAATGTATAAAACCCGACTTTTGTGTTTCCCATCCTATGCCATCCTTACCCTAGATAAGAGAGAACCGATAAGCGCCGATCATCTAGAACCTAACTATCCTTCTTTCTCACTCGTGACAGTCGTATCAACAGGCGTTGCTTTCGTCTCGGGTTCAACAGGAGGGGGCGGCGCACCACTCACAGCATCATCAGATGCAGGCTTGGGAGTGGTTGCAGCAGATACGGGAGCCGAAGTCTTGATCTGCGGAGTATCCTGAACAGCTGGAGATCCGGGAAGGGGAGTCAATGGCTCAACGCTCGGCCTCTGCGCCTGCACACGCGCGGGACCCGCCGCCGCCGCTATATTGGTGATGACTGTTGAAGCGGGAGGCTGCGTAGGGGGTTGTGCGGGTGGTTGCGGGGTGTCGCTAGGGGCCGACGGAGCCTGCGGAGTCATATTCGGTGTGAACTTGTGTGGCTCATTAGCCTGAGGGGTCGACGATGGTGTGGTGTTAGGCACGGTATTTGCAGCGGCGACAGCGGCAATAGCTGCGACAGTAGCACTGGGTGCTGCTTCCTCGACCTTCACGGCGGACTGACCCACAGTAGCTGTTCCATTTACAGGCGGTGGATCTGCTCCTTTGCCAGGGATAGGATCTTCTGCCTTGTCCTTGAGTTCCTTTAGCTTTGGAATGGTCTTGATCGATTTCAGCAAGTTCTGCTCTGGGAGCGTTAAACATGCTTCCAGCTCTGGCATGACATAAGCACGGATGGCATTGTTGACTTTGACATCCTCGCCCGGCTCGATCCGTGTTTGAAGATATACCGTCCTGAATGCCTCTAGGTGGCGAATGACCTCGGGATTGATGGATACTGGATATCGGCCGGAGGGATGTGGAATACTATTATCATGGTGGTGGTTTTGGCCTTGCCCTTGCGGCTGTGAAGAAGGTGGTGGACGGTGGGCCGCATTTGGAACAGGCGGCGACGGTGCTGTGGAACTAGCAGGCTGCGGTGGATATGGCATATACCGATTCGGAGGAGGCGGGCCATAGGGACTCGGGCCTCCCGCAGCATAGTGATTTCCATACGCGCCAGCAGTTGCTTGATTTCCATAAGAAGCGGGTGGAGCAGATGTTGGAAAAAGGACGCCGTATTGTCCGCTAGGATGCGAATTTGGCGGTGGGTAGGGGCGCGGGTGATTTTGGACTGGGGGACTGCCCGCAGTGCCTCCACCGCCAGCCCATGGCGAAGCATATGGCGAAGGTGCGGGACCTGTTGGTGCAGCGGTTGCTGCGCTCGATCCCACATTTCGGGCCATGCTGGGAGGCAAACGAGGCTGAGGAGGCTCGCTAGGAGGTGGGCGAGGTGGACCAGCAGGCGGCATGCCGTGTGGAGGCATTCCTGGATAATAGCCTGGCTGGCCATAGGGGGGATATGCGTTCGGTGGGTGATAGTAGCCTTGCCGTTGTGCATGATTGGCCGTCGGTGGAGTAGGCGCCCTCTTTCTGCGTTCTCTTTCGATGGAAACATTCGGGTTGATTCTCCACATGTAACCTTTGCCCTCTTTGTCGCCTTTAACGAAAGCATCGTGCTGACCGAGATTGTGACGCACACTAGACTGCCAGCCACTTGTTGTCGTTTTGAATTTGTACCAAGGATACGTCTTCTCGATGTAGTTGTAGATTTGCTGCAAGTTCATCTGTCCGGACGCGGAGGACGAGATGGCTTCGTGGATAAGGACAACATAATTCGATGTGGGTCGTGCCAGCTGCTCTTCCGTAAAGTCTTCGATGCGCAATTCTGGAGACGGTGTGCGGGCGGGTTTGGTTAACTTGGGTGGTTTCTTGTCGCCAGGAGTATCTGGGGCGTCTGTTCTCTCTGTGGTTTCCCGCACATCCTCGTCTTCGGCATTGGACTCCTTTCGACGCGGCGGTTTGAGCTTCGCAGGAGGTTGAGGCAGATCGGCTGGATCGATACCTGCTGCCTGTGCCCTCTCGATTTCTTTGCCTCGCTTGACAAGCTGCGACCTCTGTCTCTTGGACATGACACCATCCTTGGGAGGACGACCAGGACCCTTGCGCTTCTCTAGAGGCTGTCCGATCAGCGACTCGGGAAGATTGTGGCGCCTGGCGATCTCTGCGGTGATGATGCCTTCCAAATCGCCAGCCTCCCCTACCACCAGGTCGAGCTTAGCCAGATCGGGAGTGCGCGTGGCAAGAGGGCTTTCGGGTTTAACAGACGGCGTCTTATCTACACTTTCAGCATTCTCGATCGGCGGGCTGGCGGTCTTCGGCGCCTCGTCTTTGATCGGGCTGGGAGCTGGTTCCTTTGCTGGTATTTTTGCAGGAATTTTGGTGGGTGCTTTGGAGGGGATCTTGGTGGCTTTGGATTTCTCCTTCTCCTTTTCCTTATTCTTTTCCCTTTCCCTATGCTTCTCTCGATCCCTATTCTTTTCCTTATCCCTATGCTTTTCTCTGTCCCTGTCCCTGTCTTTCTCCTTCTCTCTTTCAATCCTAGAATGATCCTTATGTGACTCCCTGTGTGACTCCTTTGTCTTGATTTTGATCTTCTTTGGAGGGGGCTCATCTGGCGAACGGTCTCGCTCTCTGCGCTTGTGGTGTGCATGTTTTGACGAGTGCGCATGCTTTGACAATTTGGAGTGTTTGATTGGCTTGGGAGGTGGCACAGGTTTCTTCGTCTTGAGTTTGATCTTCAAACTAGGTCGAGATTTGGGGCGTGGGACGGGGCTGTATTGATCATCGTCATCGTCATCATCGTCTAGGTCGTCTAAGTCGTCATCGTCGCCCATGACCTCGTCGTCCGAGTCATATAGATGGGGCTGATGATATACGTGGCGAGGGTTGATGCTCATCTCGCCTTCGCTGGCAGAGTCATCCATGTCCTCGCTCTCGCCTTGACCGTTCTCAAAACTGAAGCTCATTGGGCGGGACTGAGAGCCCGATCCCTGCTCCCGATTGCGCTGTTCTTCGGTAAGGGCGATATCGGGGAGGAAAAAAGTCATTTCCACCATGCCTATGAGGATGGTATCCCCATGACCGAGCTCGACCTCCGCATTCTTGTCCATGAACACCCCTTCATGATGCAGGCCATTGGTACCAAGAACTCTTAACCGGAAGTGTCCCTGGTCAAAGTCGTAGAAAATTTTGGCATGCTGTCTGCTAATACCTTTGGGACCATGCGCGCCGGTCCGATCGGTGATGTTCTGAGGATGTATAGGAACGAGTGGGCAATCTTCGGGGTCCTCGGGCACGTAGTTTTCGAACTGGTCGGGCGCCACGGGAAAAGCCTGCATGATGACGTCCTGAGGAACGTGCTCCAGCTCTTTGCGAGCTTCTTCATTGGATGGATGGGATCCGGTGCTGGGGGCTTGGGAGGGAACGCTTTGGTGGCGCTGGCGATACTCTGCGGGCATCAACTTGATGGGCGCATTCACAATGCCTCCGGCCTCGCTAATGACACTTTTGGGACCGTCGCGGGTCTGTTTGCGGCGCTTCCCATTGAGCAAGGCCTCCGCTCGGTGAGGCTCGCCTTTGGCTTTGAGTTGATCGGCCTTTGCGAAACGGCGCATGTCCTTGTGAGCAAGCTGTACATTGCGACCCAAGATGATCTGATAAGTATGCATATAGTAGGAGCCGTCGTCAAAGCGCAGACGAGCAAATGCGCTTAAACGCTGTTCACCCTGGGGCGGCACGAAAGCGCTCATGTCTATGGGCATGTCGGGCATCATGGAATATTCAGGGGCCATGCCCATCATGTTTTCGGGTAGGGCAATTGGCGCATCGAGAGATGGCATGACGGGGGCCATCATCGGCATTGCATCGGAAGCGGTAGAGGGAACAGGGACGCTCGGTTGGTCAATTGGAGCGGTTGGGTCGAGGGGGAGAGCGGTGGAGAGAACATCTGCGGCAGGCTCGTTGACGGGGTCGACTGATTCAATGGGGAGTTCGGGGAGTTCGGGTAGTGGAGCAGCAGGCGCAGGCGCAGGCGCGACTGCTTCGGCGGAGGTGTTGGCAGCTTCCATGTTGGGGGATTTCGAGGAAGGCGCGGAGGGCAGGTGCTGGTCTTCGAGGAGGGCGGCATCGTGATGTCGAGGAAGCGCAAGCTCGGGCTCGCGGGCAGCTACGAGCATCGCGCCATGGCTAACGCCAATCTCGCAGTTGGTAGAGGAAGAAGAAAAGGGTAATTGAAAGAGAGAGAAATAGTCGTTGCCGCTGCTGTAGACGTCAAAGTTTGCGGGGAAGCAGACGTCTGGCGTGGGTATCGCGTTAGTTGGGGGAGGGGTGGGCTGGACGTCTGGGGGCGGTCAGCGATGATGAAGCGAGGAAGGAGGCCATGCTGAGGCCGTGGTTGCCGTACAGTAGTCGGAGAGCGAGCGAATGTGGGAGGGAGAAAAGAAAAGGGAGAGAAAAAGAGAAAGGGTCTATTTACGCAGCGGGGAAAGCCTTGCTGGGGAGGTGAAGGTGTGGTTTGCCGCTTCGCGCGCGAGGCCTAGGACGGTGTAGGGTTGCGCGCGGGGAGCAGGGCGCGTGAAGAAGTGGGAGCCGATGCGACGAAGCTGCTCTGTAGGGCTCGGAAGCCGGTGAGGATTGTCGTGCTGTGGCTGTTGGTGATGCGGCGGCCGGTGTTGGCGTGGACTTGTCGTTGTCGTTGTCACAGCGAAGGAAACATGCACGAAGCTGCCGCCGCCGCCGGGCCAATCGCCTGTGATTGGCTGAGCGGCTCCACCCTCACTAGCCGCCATTGTCGGATCAAACGACGGGATGAATGGACAGCAGATGGTATCAGCCTCAGTTGACAAGAACATGAATATATGATCAATAGAGAGGAACGGGGCCCATTCTCTCTGCCATTCTCTTTGCCGGCTGGCTTCTGGTTCTTGGTTGCCAGAAAAAAAAAAGGCATCCATCGCGAATTCCAATGACCCTTAGAGAAAGAGACCCAGATCCATCCACTTCACCACCAAACCGTCGTTCACGTCTCCACTCCGCCTGACAGCCAATATAATCACACTGTCCCATCCGACTCGCTGCTCCGTGCATTCCAATCAGTCGTCGCACTTCTACTTCCATCCGAACATATCTCGCATCCATCTTACTCATCACCCTCGATCCCATGGCTCCGAACAAAAAGAGGGGAGTCTCGACCCAACCTTCTTCCACCACAACCCCATCATCGTCCACCAAAGCCCCCCCTCCCAACTGGCCGCCCTTTTCACCCCTCATCCCCGAAGCTCATCTCTCCCTCCACTCTACTCTTCCATCCCAGATCGTCACTATCCCCAATTTCTGGACCGCCTCTCTGTGCAAAACCTACGTTTCCTTTCTGTCCTCTCTGCCGCTCACGACTACACCTGGAAAACCGAAAAAAGGCGATGCAGTGCGCGTGAACGACCGTTTTCAGATTGACGATGCCGCCTTTGCAGAGCAACTCTGGAGTGGTACATCGCTGAAGAGCCTCGTGCTGGGTCAAGATAGCTTGGGCCTAGATGACGCGCAGAGAAAAGAGCACTGGGGTGGTGACGTGGTGGGTCTTCTCTACTCTCCACCGTGAAGCAACATTTGCATTTACAACTCACCAGATTGGCTTGAATCCCAACATTCGCATCTACCGCTACACCAAAGGCCAATTCTTTGACCAGCATTATGATGACTCTAACAACATTACATTACCTGGTCCGCCAGCTGTAGCTGCCAAAACTACGTGGACGTTGCTGTTGTACCTCACGTCCCCCGCTACGGGCTGCGTCGGAGGCGAGACCGTCTTCTACCCAGAGCCCGAACCCTCACAGAAGAAGAAAAAGAGCAGGGAGCCCCCGCCCGAGCCCGTCGTGTGCGAGCTCGAAGTCGGGATGGCACTGTTGCATCGCCATGGCGCGCAGTGCATGCTACATGAAGGTCGCGAGGTGCTGCAGGGTGAGAAATGGGTGATTCGCAGTGATCTCTGTGTCAGACGCTGAGGCTTTTGTCTACATATTTGACTAGTACACGAGGGACTGCGCAACATCTTATATCATATACGCATATCGCATTCAGCCAAGCGATGTCGAGGAACGGAACAATGCTTAAGTCAAACTAAGCCTCCGCCACCATCTTGAAACGTTTTCCGTTTGCTTTTCCGCGTCTCCCTACCCCCAATCGTTAGCGCTTCAATTGAAACAAGACGACAGCACCAGCCTCCGTGTTTGATATCACGATGCTTCAACAATGCGCTATCGAGATACAACTTCAAAAAATAATGGTTAATTGTGGCATTGTACATGAGGCTACCCGACAAAGAAATGAGCCATGGTGAATTACTACCAACACAAGCCGCCAATGAATTTCGAACGCAGCCAACAGTGCAGCACGCCGCCCCTCAATCTTTGAAACAAATGTTCGAGTGCATGCTGAAATGCACCCCGGCCCCTAAACACTAGCCTCCCCAACCACTACTGTTCAAGCACACCAAAACTCAACGTGTTTGACAGCAGGCGGGTCCCATGCCGTGACATTCCACGATAATGCCGCCCGTCAAGGAGGCAAGCGCTCGACGTCCTCGCTATAACATGTATCTGGACCCCCTCAGGCTACTTTTTTGCTCTTGTTCGTCTGCTAGGAGGTTGCAGGTCTTCATCTTTCCCTTCACTTCGCTTCATTTCTTCTCTTGTTGTATATTCCCTGGTCCCTTATAATATTCGTTTTTTTTTTGCTAGAGCGGTGCGTTGACCTGGTGTTGACCCCCTCTATTCTTTTCATCGTATATATCTTTGCCACATAGTCCGCCAGAAGACAGGATTAAATACGAAAAACGGCATCCCATCAAAAGAAAGAAGCAACAGCGCAACTTCGCAGCGGCCATGATGTCTCCAACCAAACAGCACAAGCACTCCTACAAGGACCTCCCAACATCTCACGCACGTACATCTTCTTCCTCCTCTTCCTCCGCCACAGAAGTCGAATCGCTCATTGGCGACGACAACGATGCCGAGAAGCAATGGTCACACAACCCATATGCCCGTCGCCATCAGAGCGAAAGATCATCGAAACGCGACAATATGTGCATGCGTATACTAAAGGCATCGAGATGGATCGTGGTGATTACTTTGCAAATAGTAATCGTAGGACTATTGGCAAAAGAACAAGGGTACTTTGCCGCCCTACCCAGCTTCGGCTTCGGCTCTTCAAAAGAAGCTGCACAGCGAAGCACAAGTAAAGAAGAAGTCGGTGGCGACATCACGGGCTGGGGCCCACACAGTACGTTCCGCACTACCCTTCTCCAGTTCCCCTCTCCAAAACCCCTTTCTGCGTCTCAATATAATGAACTAGAGAACTAACCCTTTTCAAAGTCCCTACTCAAATAACCCAATTCCACATCAACCAAACCTTCGCCCCTTACAACACCTCGGAGTTCTTCTCAAACCCCTCCACTATGCACGCTTGGAACGACCTGATGCCAAAAGGCATGGGCTTCCAAAACATCACGGATCCCTGGAACCCAGCGTACCGCGACTTCCCCACCCCCATTGTCTGGGACGAAGGCCAGACCGTCTTCACCACATCCATGACGCATCAACTGCACTGCCTTTTCGCTGTTGTCCGCGTCTACTCCGGGCTCACGAGTAACCACGAGCTGCCAGAGGATCACCACTGGCATATGATTCACTGCTTCGACTACATGCGTCAAGCTATTCTTTGCTCGGCTGATATGGCGCTGGAGGGTTTGGAGACTACCTTCCCGGATCACAACGGTGGGAGTGATGGGTGGGACAGCAAGCATGTCTGCAGGGATCCGAAGGTTGTTCGGGAAAGGCTGGAGAGTGTTAGGGCTTATGACGATCAGGAGATCTTCTAGTGCCTCACTGCTTTTCTTTCTGTAACAATCAGTAAGAGACTTGGCTGGAATAGAGCAAGTAGTGTTCGTTGTGGCTATGTGGCTGTGGTATGAACTGGACATATCCACTGTCGTTTCGTTTCGTTAAATACTTTGTTAGTGTAAGGGCTGTTGTATATATGCCTAGATACAAATCAATGGGGACTGAACTCAAGGATAAATACACAACATCTGTTTCCGTCCAGTCATGATTATGCCCAAGTATCACAAACCCCTCAAACCCCTTCACTTTCCTCGCCGTTCGAAGATGGAATCATTGTAATAGTAACATGTGCCATCTGTATTATCTAATGTCTTCATTGTCCGTGCTAGCAATGCCTTGAACCACTACATAAGTGTGGGTCGCTCAAGTGAGTCCCAAAACGCCAAAAAAAAAAACTTCTCCTCGCACCTCCAAAGAGAAAGCAGTGGTGACGGGCTGCTAGTAGACCAAGCCGAGCAGATCGTACCGGCATGGTATACAACCCGCCCGCTATAGGTGTGATCTTTCCACGGCTGCTCTAAGATGATTACCTTGCATAACATATCCGAGGTATTGTGTTAGCATTCTCCACTCTTGCTCGTACTTTCACACACTGTGTTGTTGCATAGGAAATGTGCATCAGAAAATATCGAGAGTACAATGCATTGTATGAATTCCTGGGTCTTGTTGCATTTGAAGATGATATGGTAGTGCGCTACGTGTAGGATGGCCGAAGAATGATCTCGAGTGCTACAAATAGTGATCTTGAAATGTACCGGACGCGCGTGTCTCTGAGCCGCAACGCGGTTTTATGTATAACTAATATTGTGAAGCGGGTTTGTATGGTAGCACCAACATTAGTCCACGTGTACTACAGGTTTCTTTGAAGAAATGGTCAGATTCATGGAGTGCGAGTAGATTATTTGATCGCGACTGTGATTGTAGAGAGTGTTTGTGCTGGTAAAGTGCCTCTCGCTCTGTTGCAGATCTTCCCGGTATGTCACCGCTGATACCCGACCAAAGTATAATGCTTCGAGAATCATTACAATTAGCAATTCAGAGATAGAAACAGTGGATATCTCAATTCATCCTGCAGCTTCCCGCTACGACAGACCTTTTCCCCAAACGTATTACTAGCTATTGCATACGCTTTTGCGGGTGAGTCCTAAAAGGGGAATGCTTCCGACGGATCGTAGAATGTACGTGTAGACTAGACCCCACTACACCTATCTCACTCATCCAAGATTGTTTTCCGTCACGTCTACATGTCCAGATATATTGATATGCAGTGTAACTCGCTTGCATTGTAGCCGCATATATTTCTCAATTGCATAGTCCCCAGAAAAAGAACTTATAGAATAAGCTTGGGCCCTTGCTTCCAATAAAGATCGTGTCCTCACCCACATGCTTCTCGCACCTCTCCACCCATCACTCCTACTTCATCACACATAAACCAAGCCAATTCGCTCACAACTACCTTTTCATCTTAAACTCACCACTTTATCTTCATAATGGCTGAGCCCACAATAGACACCTCCTCCCAGCCCTCCACCTTCCAATCAACCTGGGTCAACAACGCCGACCCCACCGCGCTCCCCTTCCCCCGCGACAACCCACCCTTCGCACTCACCGCTGTCGACTGGCACCAACTCAGCATAACCGACGCCGAATTCACACCGCACACGTGGCAAGACCTGCACGAACTCATCGCATCGCACCAGCTCGACGAGCTCAAGCGCTGGCCCTCGTTCCTCAAAGCATACCTAGCCTGGACCGCGCACGTAAAGGCAAAATACGGCTCCGTCACCACGTACCTCCTTTCGCAGCGCTTGTTCTGGACCCCGCTCAACGACTCCGGCGCGTTTGAGTTCGAGGTCAAGAGTCCCGTCCCCTTTGCGGATCCCCACGATTATAAAATTCTCAGGAATGATTGGACGTATGCTGTCACCGAGGGGATCTCGCACATTGTGGTTTGGAGTCGGACGCGGTTACCGGTTGATGGAGAAGGTGCGTTGACGGTGGAGGGGAGGAGGTTGGTCGAGGAGTTCATTGCGCGAGAGTTTAGGAACAAGGCTGGGGAGGTGGTGGAAGGGGAGAAGGTCATGTGGTTCAAGAATACGACGAATTTGCAGAGTGTGAGGAGTTTGGAGCATGTGCATGTTTTGGTTCGGGATGTACCGGAGGAGGTGTTGAAGCAGTGGATGGTTTGAATAGGCAGGGGGGAAGAGTAGATGTGATTTCGTTTCGCGGTGACAACGGGTCGATGTTTTGGATAGATGGACGATGTAGAGCTATACACTCGATAACTTTCCGTCGAAAGTGTTTATTCTTTCTGCTCTGTTTTTCTATTTTCGGGTTAGATCAATTGATTTGCAAAATATTGGGGACGTGTGCGTAGCATAAAGAAAGACACTGCACTGTTAGATACGTAAACAGCGTGATCAATCATCTCTCTCGTTGACCTTCTACTACGAGAAAAAAGCATCTCTCATTGTCGGAAAACACCGAATCTCGTTGTCTACCACTCCTGCGTCTTTTGTCTGATTGATTGCCTCATATTTTGTATTATACCAGCTCTGGCGAATCGTAATGGCCTAAGTCTTATAAATTGTCATGACCGTAAGTACGATTTTGAATTCCCTGTGCGTCAAATTCCAGAACATTGTATCTGTTCCTGAAGGCGCCCCTCGAATACCGTTAGTTTTCTACTGGGAGACTATGGAATTGAATGTCAATTTCTAGGGTCACCATGGGTGGTTGTGAACCTGTCTTGACGGAAGAGGGAAGAAGCAAATACATCTTTCGCTTCCAGGCAGTGCTCTGCCTGTCCACGGCCAAGTTCTAACATAGTAGGTTTGGTTTTGCTCTACTGTGATTCTCTTTGAGAGATTAGAGATGGAGAGACCGCCGGCAGCCGGCTGTTATAAAGTCCTGGAGATTGCATTCCTACTCATCCCGTCTGACACCTCCAACGGCTCTAGTATGTGACGAGAAGTGATAACTATCAAGGATACATGACACGCTTGCTACGCGTATGGCTTAGATAACGTGGGGCCAACACCCTGAGTCGTGTATAAGCACGCCACACCCTGGAGCTAGGCTATCTCTTCAGCGATTGTGGATTTGTGCAATGACTGTGACACCAAGAGCATACCACAGCAGCAATTTCGCAAAGAATGGATCAATTGGACGCCTAACACATTGAGTGCGCGCGCGTCTAGGCTTCTCCAAAATCTAGGCCAGGTTTTTGAAGACTTGACTCGTCAAACCAACACTCACTTGCACTTTGATAAGATTAGTTTACGCTCTGTTTTTAGGTCTTACAGGCTCCAAGAGATCTGGGCTCGGAGAGGGAATTGTTTTCAGCATAGCATCTAACACGAGCGGGTCTGGAAAGACAGGAAGGTTTTTTTATGCCCAAATGTGCATTAGAAAAAATAGCGGATATTCTTCAGAGAAATGTAGACTAGCTCGTAGACTAATGTATCGCGTTATTCTCCGTTATCCAGCCCCAGAACCTGGGTTGGTGGAAACGTCGAAAGCCATTTTCGTTAAGTCGCAATTGAGCGCACGACTGGACAATATTGATGGATTTTGGAAAAGTCGATGATGGCTTTCCCATTGGATGAACTTAATCTGGCAATACAACACCTGCACTGCGCATGTTCCATTGGGAGCTGGACGACTTCGGTCCGATCGTGCATATATTTTTGAACAAACACGAATCATCGCATTGGAAAGGGGAGTGACGCGTCAGGCACAATCAGCTTGAAAAAAAAACTAGATTTTTTTTAGGATTCGACAGAGTGGAAATTGAAGATTGTGTTTGTATGAATCAGAACATCTAATCTCTCGTAAGCTGTCACGACGGAACGTGTCACACCCCTGTAGAATCTCCACCGGCCCGTCGTTCATGCACTTACCTGTACCCACACTTCCATTGCGCAATTTCTTGATGCAGACAAAACACCGTTTTGAACGAAAAATGGATCAATTGAAGACGAATTGCCAACACGACTGGCGGCTTTGAGGGCAATTGACAATGGAAAGGGGGAACTAGAAGGAAAAACGTCATCAGCACATGAAAAAAGACGATTCACAAAACAATGCATGAGGTGAAAAGATGCCGACGAAGCGAGAACAGAATCGAGGAATATATTCGTCCTATCATCTATTTCCCCTCTTCCCAGGCGCCCAACGGTCGCCGATCTCCACTGTGCAAAAAACCAAAACGGCCCCTAAGTCAACTCGCTCGACAAGAAAAGTCAACAAAGTCCCCAGCCACCGAATTACAACAAATATCCCGCAACGCAACGCAACGCAGCCCCATTAGATTGAGTTTAATTGCATAGGCACAGTGTTCGTCGACGAGCCGCTGTCACTGTGCAGCACCTACCACACCTTCCCACAAGCTCGGGAGCAAGTCAGTGCCTGAATCAAGCAATGCACGGCGCAACCCCTGGTGCTGACTACCACCTACCCCGCCCCTCAACATGGCCCCCTCGTGGTGAAAGCAGTGCAAGCGTCGGGGATGATGCCCTGTTCAGGAACGCCCACGACTTCGCGGGTTAAAGCGTTGAACTCATCGTTGGGCTTTGGAAGGATGCAGCATTCGCTGGAGGATTTTGCTTGGGCGTGGTGCGGCGTGGTTTTGGGCGGGCGGTGGCTGGACTTTGTTCCCGAGGTAGCTACATACCATGTGAAGGCGGTGACATGCCTACATACAGGTACCCGAGCATACATCACGCGACCTTGAATTGCACCAGATCATCAACAGGAAATCATGAATTAGGACTATGGTAAACAGGCTTATGCTTTCATCAATGTATGCTAGGAGGGAAGGAAAACCGCTAACGCTTCGGCGAAGAAGGCGAAGGTGCAAGTGTCTTGTTGAAGAGCCAATTCGCAATCTTGACACTCGGCTCGTCAAACAGCTTCGTCGCCACTTCCGCGACATACAAGGTGGCTGGGAGGATGATCAGCTGCGGGACCCAGAACGCCAGTTGAAAGCCCATGGGCCCGCTCCGGGACAACGGGAACTTGTTGACCCAGTCCGGTAAATGCTCCTTGTGAGCACCCCTCTGGAATCCTGTGGCTGCGTAAAGCCGGTCTCCCAATATCCAGATGAGAGGGCCGTGGACCAAGTACAAAGCAAATGAGATGCGGGCGAGGTATTGGCAGATGCGCGATTCGAAGAAGCGTTTGAGGAGAGGGAGACGGGGGATTGCTGCTACGGTGAACGTCGCGGCCCAGAACAGGAAGAACCATTTCTGGTCGAAGACAGCCTGTGGTTTGAGATGGGCTAGCCATCGCCACCCGGGTGACATGGAGTAGTCGGATTCGTGGCCGGGGAGATCGCACGAGGGGGCTCCGGCGAGGTAGAGCCCGAGGATGAAGAGGTGGAAGAATATGAGCTCCTTGAATGCTGAGAGCATGGAAAAGATGCGCGGGAGCTCGTCGTCTAGCGCAAGCAGGTCGAGATCGCACAGTAACATGCCGCACATGAACAGTGAGGCGTACCATCCATCGGCGATATAAAGGAAGTAGAACACGAGCCCGGCCTCGCACCATAGACGGGCATTTTTGGTGCAACGGGCCAGGGCTGAGAGCGCAATATAGGTGACGATTGATCCTCTGAACTCGACCGGAATGGACCAACTGTACGGCAAGTAGGTTCTGGCGAAGTCGTAGTAGTTACCAGTGAAGATGAAGCTGTAGTTCTTGAAGGTGCTGTAGAAGTTCCACATCTCTTCTCGGAACGTGGGCTTGAGCTCGCCTATGTCAACCCATATCTTTCCCCATCGTAACACGAGGAGGTAGATGAAGCTGACCGCGACGACCGGAATGTATAGCCTGAACCAGCGACGGAACAGTCCAGAGCCTACGGTTTCTGATGCTTGTTGATATTGGCCTTTTTGGATCAGTCCGAGCGATTTGACAGACAATACGTATCCCGAAATGACGAAGAATATGGCCACGGCATAATGGCCGCCAGAGAAGAAGTTTCGAACAAAAGGTAGAGCAGCGAAATATCGTTTGCCTTTGTATCCAAAAGCGTTCTCGAACACTTCGTTGCCTTGCAGCTCGTTGGCCCATAAGTGGTTATGGTGGAGATAGACTAGGAATGCTGCAAAGCCACGCAGTCCATCTAACCAAGCTGTTCTCCTCACGGGCTTGTTTGGATTTGAGGGTCTTCGTAGAGTGGTGTAGAATTCCGGGCGTACAAGATCGAGACTCCATCTTGAAGGTCTCAATGGTCTCCAGGTGGCCGACTTCAAGTCAACGTCTTCAAGACGACCATTGTCTAGCAGTCCCTGATATTTGGGCGCCATGATTCAGGTCTTCTGGATTCAAAGTTTGTTGGGAGTGCTGGACTTTACGGCGTATCTATCCCCATTGAAGGGCAAACGAACTGGAGAATTGAATTGAGGATGATTGTTGCCGTCTTCGCTATCTCCCCGCAGTAAATGTCGAGCGACGTGCAATCTATCAATCGGAACAGAGGACCTCTTTCCACTGACAAGCTGACGAACTTGTCAATGCATTTCCCTGTCTAGCTCGCAGATTGCTCCGAGTCAATAGTAAAATAACGGCAAGGATCTTCTGCAGAATGCGGGGCAAGGGTGGGGCGAACGTTCCGGTGCATGGTCGACGATGGCGATTCAACATGACGAAGTTCACATGCGTGTCACGGACCGAGGAATTGTTCTCAATGTGGTCGAAGAGTACCCCTGGCTATGTACTGATGCATGCTTAATCACACCTAGGAAACTAGGCGGCCGACCGCGTATGCACGCACGGCAACTACTGCCTACATAAGCTTTATCTTGGCTCGTATTCCAGGCCTCTTTCGTTCTCCCTGTGCAAAGTATCATTCGCAATTGGAGAGGCACTCGATGAACCCCCTTGTCGAGAACAATAATTGACCTTCCGAATCTGTATATATTGGCCGTGAGTAGATCTGTACTAACACTACGACGTCATGCTGGAAGCCCCTCCGAGGTCGCATGTGGAGATTAGGGAATTATGGAGCCGAGGGACTGAACTTAAACAAGGTATCGAAATGTAGATTAGCTTGTGCAATTTCATCTCTGCGTTGATGCTGGAGAAAAGGGACGGGTAGCCGCGCTGCAGAACAAAAGCTTCACTATGCGTACTCGGTCGTTCAGACCACCTCGATTGAACCTGCACCTCGACACCAAAATGCCCGCCCATTCGCCCATAGCATCGCATTTCCGAAGCAGGTTGACGACACAAGTTAGGAGAGTGCTGCCCGCTTACCTTGTGCTCGTCGTCTTGATCATCTTCTTCGCCAACTCACATTTCTTCGCCACTCCCATTCGAGCTGCGCATAAGTACAGACGGGAATTGAAGTATCAAAAGCCGTTACAAACGGCTAGGGACTCGGTGATTCCAAGGAAGATATGGCAAACATGGAAGATTGGCCCGCTTCAATTCGAACAACGCGACTCCGACACTGCGAAGACGTGGGGGGCGAAGAACCCAGACTATAGGTACGAGGTGTTGACGGACGACAATGCCTTGCAATACGTGCAATGGCACTATGGAGTGCATGGTTTCAACCGACCAGATATCGTCGACCTGTACAAACAAATCAACATCACCATCATCAAAGCCGATCTGCTCCGATACCTCATCATGTACGCTGAGGGCGGTGTAAGCAAATTCCTTCCCCACAAACATACACTTCAAGACAGAACACTAACACAAGATAGGTCTACGCCGACATTGACGTGGAATGCCTCCGGCCAGTATCAAGATTCATTCCCGAGCGCTACACAGAAACTGAAGTCGACATGATTATCGGTATCGAAATCGACGAACCAGCCTACATCAACCACCCCGTGCTGGGCTCCAAATGCCAATCCTTCTGCCAATGGACTTTTGCCGCGAAACCCCGTCTCCCAGTAATGATGCGGCTAATTGAAAACATCCAAGAATGGCTGCAAGAGCTCTCGCACAAAAAAGGCGTCCCCATCTCAAAACTAGAACTAGACTTCAACGAAGTGATCAGCGGGACCGGACCCTCGGCATTCACCACAGCCGTGCTGGAGCAAATGACGGCCCAAAACAAGGGCAAGAAAATAACATGGGATCTCTTCCACAACCTCGCCGAGTCCCGGCTCGTGAGCGGCATCCTCGTGTTGAACGTCGAAGCGTTCGCCGCGGGCCAAGGGCACTCGGATTCCGGGAACCACGATTCGCGCGGCGCGCTCGCGAAGCATCACTACCACGCTTCTGGATGGCCGGTGCTGCACCCGCGCCGCAATCACCCCATGTACGGGGAAGTCGAGAAGTGCAATTGGAAGACCGAGTGTGTGGCCGAGTGGGATAAAAATGTTGCAGAGTGGGACACGCTTTCGAAGGAGGAGCAGGAGAAACGACTTGCGGCGAAACCTCAGCCTCCCAATGGGGGTATCCAACTGCATTAGAGCTTCCCTTTTCTTCTTCTATTGTTATTTTTCTTTGTTTTTGGGTCACAGGCGTAGAGTATTGCATGATGGGTTGGGACAGGGTGAACAGTGTGTGCGAGCATTGAGGCAGAACAAGCTCGTCACTCCCTCTGGGTGTGTCCTCGGAGTTGACGTTGGCGAGATAATTCATCGGAGTCGCCGTCGGTCATGGCAGACTCTCGACTCGACGAAAAGATGGGAAGGATTATGGACGCGGTCACTACCTATCAAATGTCCTTGCACAACCGCATTCGCTCCCCTTTTGAGGCGCGAGGAGGAGTTTATCGGCGTTTTGGAAATCACTTGAGCGATCCACACATACCCTTTCGAGGCATCGCTAGCACGGCTACAACAAATACACGAGATATTTATTAATGATACATACGTTATTGTTATGACTGATTTCTGCTTTTCCACTTACGACGTCTTTCTTTTCAGGTTGTGTTGAGAGTTGGGCAGATTGCGGATCGTGATTGGACGAGACCCACTTTGCGTAAGCCTGGACATTTTCTTTCGATTAAGTATCATGGTTTACTTTTTATCTGGGCACCAACAACACTGACATAGAATTTTCGCTTTTGATAAAGCATCTTCACTGTTAGGTAGCCTGCTGAAAGGTGTCTTGACCTCAGAAGGGCAAGTAGCATATCTCTGACTCCATGTTCATACGGTCGTGTACACGCAACAATCAAGCTAACCAAATTTTTGGCGAAACAGTTCAGCAATAAATATGTTCAATCTGTACTACGACCCTAGGCCTTTGTCGACTTTTCGGGAAGAAATTTGATTTTGTCTACAACATTATTAGCGACTAGACAAGAATGCGCGACGTAAGAGAAACAAACCAGCGACGACCAAGAAAAATCTCAGAATACCATCTAGATTGAAGGGTTTGGTCAGGTTATTGTGATCAAGGATTTTTGTGCGGATTGCGTCGGCGTCTTAGATCCATAGCGAATTGGCGCAAGGTGATAGGGCATGAAGCTTCAGCTCATTCACAACCCATTTGCTGCTTATCCCTTGTCGTTCTTCACTTTGGGACATTAATTGAACGAAGAAAAATTCATGAGCCTAGACATAGAAAGGTAACCACTAAATGCGGCCATCAAAGGTGAAGTTGCCCGCGAAATGCCACTGTCGTCGACTGCCCAATCGGGCAAAGCCGCGATAAAGCGACCGTGGAAGGTACCACCAAACCCCCTTCGTTATCAGCATCCATGTACGGCAGCAAACTTTGTCCTACACACGCCGTTGGATCATGTGCCATTAAGCTTTTGCCAGCTTTCGACCCAAGTCGTCCATCCGTTCCATCAATCACTTTGATCCTTATCAATCCAGTCTTTCCCCAGTCTTATCAGCACCCCGATCGTGCTTGCCCCGTCTGCAGCCACCGCTATCACCACCTTCACTTTTTTTGACGCACACACAGATCGGATTCTCTCGTTTTCATGTCATCGTGAATTCATTAATAGCAGTCGAATCCATCTCGATGGCGTCGTCTAGGACTCGGACACTCCTCCCCACAACAATCTCTTTCATCCTCCCGCTGTCGCTCCGCCTCACGGGCATCAATCTACATCCTCTGCCAATATTCATTGCAATCGGCATCTATGCGCTGGTCTCGGAGAAGGGATATCGCTACTCGCTAAACCGCTGGAGCCCCGAGTTCTCAGAATATACAGGCCCGTTCTCGCATGTCGGCGTGTGCGTACTCGCGCATATCTTCGTGGAAGGGGTTCCAGGATGGCGCGGGGAAGTTGTGTTCTGGAGCGTGTTTGTGAGGTGGGCAGTGGGGTTGAAAAAAGTGCATCGAGAGGGTGTCGATGTGAGTGGTCCTTAGCCATTTTTGTTGAGAAAGATGAGCACGTGTTGAAGTGGGTTTGAATCGATAGGTCTACAGAAGCGCTTATGCTATGCACTTTCGAGCAGCGCGTGTGAGGAGACTGCATGCTGTGCTGGCTGCTAGTGTTTCTACGGCTTTGCTGTATTCGAAGAGCATGGACTGGATTCATACGGCGGTTGTGTGGTTGCACTTCTATCACAGCATGGGGTATATGTTTGCTCTGGCGGTGTACTTGTAAGTTCTCCGTCATGCCTTGAAACCTTGGAGTCGGGGCTGATCAAGACAAAGCTGCTGCCCGGACTGGCGTCGCGACCTGGTGGAAGAGTGCAGGAAGAGGGAGCTGTATTGTGAGTTGTCTGAAAGGTTCAAGCAATACAGAACAGTCAAGGAGGCTTAGGAAAAGGTCAAGAGTTGATCGTACTCGATGTTCATGTGTCGATGAAAATTCAGGTCTTCTGCGTGCGTGCGGATACCATTTCCACCTGCGAGCCACATCGAGTTTCAACCCGAACTTGCTGACTACATCCCCAATCTCTCCTCTGCTGCTCTATCACTTGAGCGTTTTCTTGGTTCATTTGAAAGGACCCGATTCTTTCTCTTCGCCGAATAAGTTGAAACCACCAAGTCCTCAAGCATTTTCCTGATCTCGCGATTACTTCTTCCTATCCTCACGCTCTTGAATCTGCTTCTTGACCAATCTAGCATAGATCTCATCATACTCAGCATCATCACGCGCGCGAGTGCTTTCCAAGCGCGCAGCCCTGGCTTGCTCCCGTTGCTTCGCAACATGATCGACTGGCGTAAGCAATGTCCGGTCGTAGACTGGGTGTTGGACGATCGCGTTGCTCATGTTATTCAATCTGAAGGACTTGATGTGTGCGCCTCGACGGACTACCTTTCCATCAGCTCCGGTGATGATGATTCTAGGGACATAGAGACGGGGAAACGACCTTCTGTGCAAGTCCTCTACCTTGCCAATCTGTTCTTGCATTGCCCCGAGGGGCTCTGGTCGTGCGGGGAGGTTGAATTCGCATATGAACGTAATGGCCTTGTAGATCAGGATCGCGCTATACGTGTATATAACGAGTATGCAGATCCAGAGTTTTGTCGTGTTGATACCGAATGTGGATGTGTTGACATTGTAGTAGGGCCGGAGCGCAACTGTGATACCCAAAGCTAAGCACAAAGAGAAGAGGCCCTTGTACAAGACTATAGGCTTGCATGCAAATTTAGCGATGAGTAGATCCTGATATTTAATATAAGGTTAGCGTCATGAGCCATCTATGAAGTTATAAAAGTGCCAGAAGCGGTCGCTGGTAAGCCACACGGGAAGAAGGCGAACAACAACGTAGCGGGTGAACCAAACGTACCTCAATGGCTTGATCCAGATTGGCAGGCAAGAACCAACACAGAGCAAAGTTGAAAACAAACGCATACGTGAGGGCAATCTGCGATGGTGCTCCAATCACGATGTATCGCGCGACCCGCGATGCAACGAGGGTGGCATTGAACGCGAGAAAGAAGCGGAGCACCTGCATCTCCGTGAACAAGTGGCGTTGAGTGACTGCAGCTTGCAAAAGCAGAACCGCACCAACGAGCACGCAGAGACACACGCTCTCGAAATTGGCGAACTGCATGAAGACCGGGAGGAGCAGGGCGAAGAGCGCACCCACGGTCGTCATGATGAGCTGGGCGGACACCATCGTGAGGGTCGTCGAGTCGGCGGTAGCGGGGAGGATCGAATGGGTTGTCTGTGGGTGGAACTATTTCTTGTCAGTTTTTGTTTTTTTTAAATATGCTACTGAGGGGATGGAGTGGGTTAGTCGCCGAGGGAAAAGTGGCGTGGAGGAGGGTTGTTTGCCTTTTTATCGACGGCTCGCTGCGACTGGGGCTTCACGGCTGGCTGGATCGCCATTCACCTTGGATTGACTGCCAGACAGTCACATTTGATGCCTTTATGATTATATAAGGGAACGGATCAATTATACAGCGGAGACCGACAGCAGCAGACTCAATGCACTTGTTGATGGTGATGTAGAAACCCACGTGATGCGGTAAGGACTTGATATACAGTCTATCGAGCAGATCCAACGACGAATTGAACAAATATATGACTCACTGGGACTCTTTCTCGTTAGGCTCATTATCTTCCTCACTCCTCATCATAAAGCTCCAAGCAAGCGCACACAATGCCACCGCTAACATCCAGCTCCACCAAACCACTCCAACAGCCCCGACATCAATGCCCTTCGCGAGGAGCACTCCGCCGACAGCAGGACCCACCGCGCTCGCAAATGCACCCAGCGTATTCCCCGCGCCATGGACTGTCCCCATCACACTCCGCTTCGGCGCCGCGTCGGTCAGCAATAGGATGCTACTCGGAATTGCCATTGTCCTCGCAAGAACCTGTAAGAACAGGATACCGCCAATCGCAGGCCATCGCGCAATTTTCTGGGTAGAGATGAGAGAGAGAAAAGGAGCGAATATGTAGGCGAGCGGAAATATGAAGTTTGCGAGGCGAAATACACCAAGGGTGCCTAGTCTTTTGTGGATACGCGGGTAGAGGAAGAGCTGCAGGACGATGCCAAAGATTCCAAAAGCGGCGAGGGACAGACCGACGGTTGGTGGTGAGAACCCCAATCCACCTGTAGAGTTTAAAACGGTTGAATGGTTGTCTTCTTGTATCGGCATGCTGAGAAAGACGGGGAAAATATGGAGGAATGCTGTGTTGTGAAGAGGCAGGAGGCCAAATGATACTAGTGCTTTTACGAGCCTCCTTGTCCAGATGTCTCGAAACTTGGTCTTTGGAGAAATTTTTGGAGGTGGAGTGGACGTAGCAGGGTCCAGATACGGTGATGGGGTATCGAAATCGTCTTCATCTTGTACGACAACATATTCATGGTGCTTCTTTCGAATCATTCTCTTCCTGAAAAAAGCAGTAGCTCGTCTGCCCAGCACAATCCCCAAATCCCTTCCACCTCTTCTCTCTTCTAAGCTCTCTCTTAATCCAAACGTGGCAGCCCCCAAGCAGACCGCAAGAACCCCCGCATTGAACAATGCAGGAAGTGCGTACGGGTATTTTCTCAGCCACCGTACCCCCTCCTCCTCACCCTGGAAATTGAAAACTCCATCTTTCCCAAAAGCCCACTTCATATGCTTCACCGGATCTGCCAGACACCCTCCCACAACAAGTGCAACCACCCTCCCCATGTTGAAGACCACCGGCATCGCCAGAAACGCGCGAGCATTCCACCGCTTCTCCCGCACAATCTCCGTCGTCATTGTCCTCATAACGCCTAGGATTCCATTCGCCATGCCTGCTACAACCCGCCAAAATAGCAAAGTCGCGATAGACGTTGAGAAGCCGAATGCAAAGTTCGCAATGACGCTAACGAGAAGGCCGATCAATATGGCGGGTTTGCGTCCGTAGATGTCGGAGAGCTTGCCCCAGACAATGCTGGTGCACATCTGCCCCAAGGGGTACGCTGCTACTAGGAGACCGGTTTGCCGAGTAATGGCTTGTGGAGAGGGGGTGGAATTCGACGTGGTAAGAATACTTGAGACGAGCGGGTAGAGGTAAGGTAGGAGGCAGGCATTCGAGAGAGGCGTAGACAGGCGGCAGAGCGCTAGTAAAAGGAGTTGATTTTTCTGCGGAAGCGAACGCCATGTTGTTTTGTCTTGTGTCCCCGAAGCATGCGATGAGAGGGCTTGGGGCTGTTTTTCATTGTCGATTGCACTGTTGGCGGTCGGTGCTGCGACAAAAGTTAGGCGATGCTTTTTGGGGGGTAATTGAGACACGTACGTTTGAGTAACCCCATCTCTTCTTCTGCTACTGCGTGGATTTTCATATTGCATTGATGAAAAGAAACGAATTACGAGTCGAGACTTGACAGGAAGTTGTATCTGGGCATCTTTCTTTCGACGAAAATGTTATGATTGCATGCCTTGCGGCAGGTGCCATAGACTATGAACGACGCAAAGAGGGCAACCAAGCCCTCCTATATGCGCAAACGCACATTCCTTAATAGCTCCTACCTTACGTCAACATGGAACACAAGCGTCGGCACTTAGGAAACCCAATTAATTGCCCAAAAGACCTTCCTAGAAGCACGATGTTTGTCTTGGTATGGCCCACTTTATAGATGGTAGGTGCAAATTGGTACATGGTACACAAGGGCATAGCCTGCGGGTAAAACACCAGGGCGGTCGATGTGATTGGCTGTGGTGGAACTTTTATTGTGATTGATGATGGATGATCGGCGGTTGATTTATGCATGTTTGGAAATATGTAAATGTTCCGAGGCTAGGTGTTGCGGGGGTTGGGGGGTACATGGTGGGGGGTTTAGAACGTGCGCACGCGGTGAAGTTTGTCAGACATGTGTATACATAGGTATGTAACCATCTTGGTGTCTTCAATCGAATTTACATGCTTTTCGCGAACTCCTTGGCGTTATACTTGTTTCATTCTTGACAGAGGCCTCATCGTTCTGAAGGCTGTATGGGTACGAATACCCTGCCCCGATCTGTGTGATAGTCACATTACGCCACCTCACTTCTTACCATCAATATTAACTTCTCGGCTCAGATTTCTAGGTACTTGTATGCCATACCTGTTAGAAGAGGTAAGTCATACGTGTTCTAGATCAATGTCATCACGTGATCTCTGAAAGCTCTGAGTGTTCGAATGTTTAATCAAGTACACGTTCTAGGTGTTCTCAAAAGCACGTACAAACAACAATCTGCTCTCTCCTACTAAATCCGCTCTTGAACTGACTACCATAACGCATAGAGTTCGAGCTCCAGAATATGACCGAGGAATAAAGGTAGTAGTACCATCACTTCCTGCATTTGTGTTGCAACTCCACAAAGTCAAGCGAAGTGAAATCAGTGTTGTACATGTAGAAGTACTTCGACAAACATCCTGGTGCGAAGTTGGGCCTCTGATTCGCGGCCTACCATCACGAGAAAAACAGCTCTCAACATGCGGGACCGAACGCCACCTGCGTCTGCAGGAAATCGTCACAAACGCACGACTTCATCTATGTCATCGACCAGTTCTACGTTAAGTTCTCGGCTATTAGAATCTTCACTTAACGACCCTACTCGACCCCTGTGCCCCGAGTCCGCCGAGATGGCATACTCGACGATAGTGGCTACGGCCCCTCTTCCCAGGAAAGCTTCTGCCCGCCTGTTGGGCGTCAGCATGTTCTTTGGGTTGGCTTCATTAGCATGGGGGTAAGCTACCAATCTGAAGATGAGTACGTATATCTGACAGCAGCTCAGATATAATATCGGTATTATGGCTACAATTTACGTTCATCCTGGTTTCATCGCGTCGCTTCATAAACCGTCAAAAGCAATAACAGGACTGATCACCTCCATTTACTATGTTGGAACTTGGCTCAGCTATCTTTTTGTTTCGCATCCTCTAGCAGATCGGTATGGACGGAGAGTCGCTGCTGCCACAGGTGTGTTCACGACTGCCGTTGGAGCGGCTGTTCAGTGTGCCGCCCAAGGTAAAAATGGAGTCGCGCAGATGGTGGTAGGGCGGATCATCTGTGGATTTGGTTTGGCTATCGTTTCGACGTCGGTCCCGTTATATCAAAGGTATGCCCCGAATGACACAAATGAATGCATCCTTGCGCTAACGCCCTTGAAGTGAAATCTCCCCTGCAAAGCATCGTGGTCGTTACGTCGTCATAAATCATGTCGGTTTAGTCGCCGGTTTGGCGGTCGCGTTCTGGTAATTGCTGTCCCGAATAATACTATTCACATTGGAGATGGACTAATTTTTGAAAGGGTTGGCTACGGAGTTAGTCACTGGGAAACTGATCGCGGCAATTACTATGGTTGGCGCATGTCGATGGCTCTGCAATTTGTTCCCGAGGCCATATTTCTCCTGGGAGTTTTCCTCTGCCCAGAAACGTAGGTCTTCCTGAGATTACATTTGGCCTAGGCTGATAATTCCAGTCCCCGGTGGCTCGTGGAGCATAACCAACACAACGCAGCACAGAAAAGCCTTGCATGGCTGAGAAGCTCGAGTCCTAACGATGAGCTCGTCCTAACAGAGCTCAAAGAGATTGAGGAAGATGTCGCGCAACGTCGGACTACGACTCAACAAGATTGGACGGTACTATTCACCAATCGTCCACTTTTCAATCGTCTATGGCGTGCTTCGTTGTTACAATTCATGGCACAGATGTGCGGAAATACGTCCATGAAATACTACTTACCATCCATATTCATGAGCCTTGGAATCGAGCGCAAGTTGACACTGATGATTGGAGGCATCGAAAGTACTTTGAAGATAGGATGCACTGTCATCGATACTTGGCTGGTGGATAGATACGGTAGACGCGTCACACTCGTCGCCTCATGTTTTATTATGAGCCTCGCATTGCTGGTTAGTCGAGCTCCACCAAAAATCGCAAATACTTCCACTGACATGACATGAAGCTGAATGGATCATTGCCAATTGCATATCCAAACAACACTAACCATGTGGCTGACTACGTTTGCATCATCTTCATCTTCATCTATACTTTCGGCTACTCCGTCGGCTTCGGTCCTGCCGCATGGTTATACGGGGCCGAGGTGAGTGAGCTGTTGCCCGCGCGCCTTTTCTCGATTGGCACGATACTGATGAGCACAGATCTTTCCGACCAACTTCCGCGCTCGCGGCCTCAACATAGCAGCCTCGGCTTCATCAATTGGTTCCGTCATCTCGTCGCAAACCTGGCCCATTGGCATGAACAATATCGGCTCCAAAACACACTTCATCTTTATGAGCACGAACTTCGTGTCTGCTTTTGTGATTTGTAAGTTTTCCGGCATGATCAATGTTTTTATTGCATCCTTTTCAATTTACCGTTGGCATATCCGCTCCCACTTCATTCTTTTGCTGCTGATGCTTTCTACTATAGGGTTTTTGTACCCTGAAACCACTAGCCGTACCCTTGAAGATATGGAAGCTCTTTTCAACAAGGACTATCACCCTCGCGAGTCTAGCTACAATCATCGAGGCCGTTATTCCGATCGTAGCGAATCAGAGGCCGGCGGGAACGGAGCTCGTGCGAGCTCCCCAGGAGCGCTGGCGAAAACCCTACCTAACCGCAGTTAAAGGAGTATCTCAATCTCAAAGGCGGTAGTTTTCATCTTCATCTCGAATCGATCTTTTAGACAGTATCGCCACAGGCTAGCTGCAATGATTATTGGAGTTCTATGTGCACAGTCTTGAGGGATAAATAAGAATGATATAACATTTACAGAGAAAACTAAGTAAAGAACACATTGTGAAGACTTATAGAAGTATACAGGAAAGAAAAGGAATTTTAGTACAGATCAAGAAGCAGATACAACAAAAAGAGTAGAAAAACAGAAATCAAGGGAAACCAAGAAAGAAAGTTCTCTGTGAAAGATAGCAGGAAAAAAAAAAGAAACTAAAGAAAAAAGTGGTAGAAACGCGTTGGAGAGACCCCGATAGACAATTTAAGGACACCAGCACTCTGGATCACATCGATGAGCCAACGTAAGGCATCACCCCCCATTCCAGCACTTGAACCGCAGCCCATTCCTGCTGAGTTCACTTGTAACAGCGGATAATATTAGGCTGTTTCGAGACGCGAAGCACCAAGATCTAATCCTGAACTCTCTAATGAGGGTGGTCTAGGTTCGCGACGAAAGAGACAGGCTTTTACAAATCCCAAGGGCGAGATTTCTTTGTCGGCGGTGGGTTGGACGCAGAAGCAGCTGCCGATTCGGCTTGAGATTCGGCTTGAACTTCGGTCTACAATCAGTTATTTCCCCTATTAAAATAGATGAGATCTTACCAGTGGGTTCAGGCGAAGGTGCCATGCGCTTGTTGCTGGCCTTCTTGAGAAGCTCTCCAGAACCTGGGAAGAGATGTATAACGGCTAGAAACGTCCCAACACCAGGGTCCGGCTTGTTTTTTTCGTTCACACCTATTATTCGAATGCACCTTCCGCAAGTCCATGGACTGTGATTTCCGTGATTTCCGCTTTCAATACATACACATCTGGTATTAGATACTTCGAAATTCGGATTGAAAACGAGCCAAGACGATGGGATGTCCTTAGCCGGACCACATGTGCAGCAGTGAGCGTATACAGTTTGTGATTGCCCGGGTGGGTACTGGGCACGTGGCTCAATTCCATCCCCATACATCTGCTTGTAGTCCCAGTCGTACATTCCAAAGTCTGGATGTATTACAAGGCCACCTCGTAAGCGTCGCAGTATGCCGTCAAAAGCATAGTGCAAGAAGTATTTGGGGGTTTTATGCCTGGACACTTCACCCACAGTGAATTTGCAGAGGTCACAGGTGGTCAGGGTGTGGCTACAACATTCTGGATTACATGATTCGGAATTGATTGGCTTCCAATCTTTACTTTGCTGTGGGAGTTTGAACGTTGGGTCCCTGTCTGGTAGGCAGCATTTGTGGCAACGAGCATGCACATGGGTGCGCGTTGACAAATGCGCCCAGAAAGGATGTTCTGTCTTCCTGAGAAGATGGCGGCCTAATCCAAGTGATTCTGGGTTCGTCCAAACATCTTCAAGATCTGGGTAATCCGCGGTTTCGCGTGCGCCGAAGACTTCTTCGTACCAGGGAATATCCATCACCTCTTCATCGGTCTTCAAGCTGTGCCATTTTTCTTTGTAGATCACATATCGGACTCTATTGAATTTGTATTGTGTGTAGTTTCCCTTGTCAGCCATACTAATTCTTCACGTAGTCGTTCTGAGGCAGAGCCTTCCTATCAATGGCTACTTTTTCGATTAATCATGATATTAATTGTTCGTGTTCTGTCCGCAATGGAAAACTTACAAACTGGATACTTGGCGCAGAGATGTGTCAGATAGCGTGGAGCTAGAAGCAACTATGAGATATGGCAGTGGATTATAGGAAAGCAGAAGAAGAGCTACTCTCAATAGTCTCTTTATACACCTTATGATTGGACTCATTGACTATTGCTGACTCACATAAAGCTCTAGGAGTCAAACATTGGTAATAGGTGTCGCATATGTGATTAGTTGTTGAATCATCACATCGCAAGCAATGATAGTAACGCAATTATTAGTCAATAGGGGACACTCGATCTATTGACTAATTCTCTATCGACCCTGTACTACTTGCTATTCCGCGGCTGCGGTATGGCCATCAGTCACAATGCGATACTCATCGATTACTAGTTTCTGTTGTTGAGACATCTGAAAAACCTCATGAAGAGCTCGAAGTTATAGTGATCGATGATATCTAACACAATCTGAGTAACTATTCTTCGCATCAAGACTAGAGTCTTTCATAAGGCTGGTATTTTTCCAATGGGCTCACCATTCATCCTCCGACATTCTCTTCGACGGGGATGCTACAATTTCTACTAAACTCCAACCCGTATGACTACGAGAGATTGCATAGCATATTGTCAGTAAATCCATTTGTGCCAGGCGTTTTCATCTCAAAACTCTAAATCAGGGGGATATATCACGATATCTATGTGAAAGTCACTATATCCTTCTAGTTAAACGTGTAGAAGCATAATTAACCACAACTTTCGAGCATGGAATTTATGCCATGAATCTTGCGGTTCTCTTTCTTGCTAAATCTTCTATGACATCAGCTAAGACTCACTTGACTGCAGTTTAAGTAGACATCACTAAAATTCGTAGCCTCCTATCTAGGTATCAAAGTTCATGCCCGAGATGGCGCGGATCATCCGCTATAGTTAAACATCAATATGTCAGACTCTATACCTCCAGTCTATATGAGATACCGAAAGAGCAAACAAAAAACAAATGACAAAGGAACACAAGGAAATTCGAACCACTACACATACAGATAAAGATAAGAGACAGCGAAGATCGAAACCTAATTACAGGCTAAGAGCTATGAAAGGAAAATACAAAACAAATATTTGACAAAGAACATGAAAAAAAATCGAGAGAAACCAGAGAGCCGAAATACAAAAAAAGTGATGAGGAAGTACCAGAAACTGGGTTGTCTAAACCGCATCTAAAGCAATGTCGCTGACCCCACCAGGCTAAACAGGGCACTGCTTCTCAAGCCTTCTTCTTACCCTTCCCTTCGTAAGTACGCTTCACTGAAACGGGAGCTTCCTGGGTCTGAGAAGGATCTTGAATTGATGATGCGGGCTGTATGTCACTTTGCTGCTGTAGGGGGAACTGCTGGTAGGAGCTTGATGGTCCTGGAGCGTACGCTGGAATCCCGGAATCGTCCCCTGGCTCAGTTGTACGTACTTGTTTCCTTCTCTGATCCCCTTCGGAGAGATCTGATGATGGGTCTGGTTCAGGGCTCGGTGTATTGAGGATTCCAGCCTTACTAAGAGATGCTCTGTCAACACGATCACGGGAATTTGCCGATTCTATAAACAGAGGGTATCTTTCCCTGATCTCTTTCCTTTGTTGGACGAAAGAGTCCGGGAAAACCCACATAATAGATATGTAAGTATTATCGACGAAGAGACGCTTGCTAGCTGCCCATACGAGGGCCAGCATTCGAACACAAGCACTGCATTCCCACTGGTTATGATCTATGTGGCTGGCTGCACAGCCTTCCGTTGAGCATGTTGTTTTTTTAAAATCTTCCTCGCTATTTACTCCTGTTTGGTAATAAAGCCATGAAGTAGGGTCATCTTTCTTTCGGTTGCATTTACAGCAGTGAGCCAGTAAAAAGGGATGGTCGCCAATTTTCTCTTGATAGTCGAAAAGTGCCGGTTGAGCTTTGGGATCGACTCCCATTCCATACATCTGTTTGTACGAATACCCAGGGTTGCCGTACTCCTGATCAACAACTATCGTCGGAGATTTCGCTGGTTTTCGTTTGATACCGTCGAATGCCTCCACGATTGGAATACGCCTGTACTTGGTTCTGATCTGTTTTTTATTCACCACGACTATCTTACACTTTATACACTTGTGAGTGTTGTGTTGACACTTCCTACAATTTCCTGATACAGGGTTTGTTTGGTAAAGCAAAAAGACTTGCCAATCAAATAGGTCTTGCTTGAGCTTGAGCAGCGGATCTTTTGGTGCTGGGTGACACTTGCAGCAACGAACATATGCCCTGTCATCTGGTTTCCAGAACGAATGAGTGTCGTTATGCCACGGTGTATCTCCAAGACCGGTGAATGCCTCATCTATCCTCCAGTATCTCTCATCTGGCCGCTCCCCTAAAAGTTCCTCGTATGACGGGATGTCGCGCGGGTCCTTCTTTACTTTTTTACCTCCTTGCTGGCTCATGATGTACTCCAAGTCGGTGATACTCGATGCAATCTCTCTGCGAGATGTTTGGAGCTGGCTAGTGAAGTTTGTTGCTTGGTTTTGAGCTTTCCGATGATGTCGTAGCACTTTTGAGAGGTCTGCGTCTGACGAGCAGTATTGTTTCAAGTAAAGATATTGCTGTAGTATTCTGTATGAAAGCAACAGAAAAGCTTCATTTGAACCTCTATTTATACCCCTTTAAGATACGACTCAGGGGCACGACTATTGACTCACTAACAGTTCTGGGAGTCAAAGGATATTCTTCTTGTCACATATGTGACATTTGTTAACGTATAAGGAGGTACCTTAGCGACAGATGAATGACTCTATCAATCAACAATATTTCCTGTTTGATGACTGCAGTACTACTCCCATAATTAATCACACAAACATTTGACTCTAGTCAAGAGTCCTTTGGTAAGCTATAGTCTAACAAAAACTAAGATATCTAGCATACCTAGCTACACTTTTATCTTAAGTGTTGCAGTAGAAGGCCTATTTAGGAGCTAAGAAGATGTAGAATACTAGATAGAAACTATGTATTAGTTACATAATCTAGGATTCTTAGGATTAGCGCTTAGAAATACGTGCTTCTAAGCGCTTTATATATAGACAATATTTCTTATGTTTAATACAACAGATTACACCTTATTTTCTACTCTCTTAAATAGTAATTTACAAGCTTTACATTATTGAGTAATTAACACGTATTAGTAAACGAAAGCTGGGACTAGATTGTACATAAATACTAGAAGCTTGTTATTCTTGTTGTCATCGAAAGCCATGAATCGTGAGATGATTCATCAAGCGGTCGCAACTCAGTACACAGGGTTATATTTTCGTAGATTCAGGAACACTAATATATACTATTTCTCATTTATATCCAATTAGTAACCATTAGATTACGTTGCACAGCTTTCATATGTGTAGTAAGGAAGTTCAATCATCAATATACAGCAAGATGCATCTGTATCATAGGATCACGAAAATGAGTTATGAGTTTGTATGATCCAACGAAATATCTATTTAAAACCTATATACACCTTTCTAGCTCAAAAGTAATGCACAAATACGGTAATGATAGAAAACATAGCAATTCTATAATACACAAGGCATGCAGAAGGAAATGTTACACGCACATATCGCAACTCACCATCCGAAACAAAATCTAATAGTAATGACAGTCTGTAAAAAAGATGGGCATTGAATGAAACAAAGAGGTGTTCCCCAATCCCTGCTTTTGCTTATTGCAATAAGCTTGTGTGAAGCGATTTCGTTTCAATTCTTGGTTATCGCTCGTTATTTTGGTCTATTTATCGCTCTAACGCTTTGCTGTGTGTAGGATCATCTAAAATGCAACTCCAAATCAGTGGAATGTGTGAACTCCGAGTTCCTGAAATAGTTGCCGTTTTCTTCTCCTGTATTTTGGCGTGTCAAAGCTCTTCACTCGTCACGAAATCAACTCACCACAAGTGAATCATCAATGTTTTCACAGACCCCACTATACAATCATTAAATCTGGTCATAAATTCAGCTGTAAGATTCTTGTAGAAGAGAAAGGCTAGTTGTCACAAAACTACCACAATTACAAAGAAAGAAAAAGAATAAATCGGAATTTCAACACAAAACAGGAAAACAGTCCAGATGAAAACCATAGCCAATGACAAACAATGGGGGAAAAAGGAAAGAATATACGCAGTCTCGAGGGGATAAACGAATGTAATAAGAAAATACAGGTGTAGGGACAGGAAACACCGTTTCTACGCTTCCGCCTTGAAGCTCGACTAGCTCTACACGCCGATCATAGCTACTTTTTCTTCTTCTTCATCTCCTTCCCCTTGTTCTCAGGGCGTGGCTCTGATATTTTTGAGCTAGACTTTAGGGCTACAGTATGATGCACTGGCGGGGGGTTGATTGGGGTAAACGTCGGCGGGGGATTGATTGGAGTAAACGTCGGTGGGGGATTGATTGGAGTAAATCCTGCCGTCGGCGGTAAGTTCTCTGCAGCTTGCAGATGCTTTTATTTAGAAGCACTTTGGGAGTGTGCAGTAGATCCCGATCCCAGGTTCTGCCGCTTGATTTCATGTTCCTCCTCAGGCGTTGCAGATCTGGTCGTCATGGTGTTTCCAGGGAGTCGCGGCGTATGTGTCCGTTTTTTGGTACCAGACCGGAGCTGATTGCTGACAGAAGCTTCTCCGCTCTCTTCAGGAGGATCTTCGTAAAGATCCCAACTATCGCCCGGATGAGGCTCAGTCGATGGCGTGACTTGCGGTAGTGAAGGGGCCTGATCGGACGAAGGTGTATCTGCAACCTGATATTCGTCCCATAACTTCGCGGAAGCTTTGAATAGAGGAACAGATAAGCCGGTGGACTCGCCATCCCAAATCGAATACTCTGTAATCTTGTGTGGAGCCGTTTTACCATCCCGTGGGTTGACAACTGCGTCATCAAATGTCCAATACTCCGCCTGTCTGTCTCCAAGAAGTTCCTCGAAGAAGGGAACCCTACGTGGGTCTTCGGAGGGGAGCAGATTTGGCAGTATATTTGATGGTGCTGTGATGCTCGACTCGGCTTGATTGCGAACAGGCGCCTTTCCCTTCCATTGAGACATGTCACTCTCTATGGCCTGTTGTGAAGAAAAGGCATAGGAACCCTGAGAAGGGGCTTCTGTGATGGAGCTGGAGGTTTCTGGGTTCTGAGCTCGACTGGCATCTTGCGCAGGAAGCTGCGCGACCCACTGTTCATAATTATCTTTATCCCAGAGCTTCGCAGACACAAGAAAGGCGAATCTGTTCTCCCGCAACATCTGTAGCCTTAGTTCTTGACGTCCTTTTTGGAAGGAATCGGGGAATATCCAGCGGATGCTTATGTCTCTGGGTATGTTTTCGTTCCACGGTGATTCGCCTAAAACTCGAAGGCAATCCTTGCATTTCCACACTCTATGCCCGCATGTACAATGAAGCTTGTTTGTGTACGCATCTTTTTTGAAGTAAAGCCACGAGGAAATGTCGTATTTAGGTAAGTTGCATGCACAGCAATGAGCTAATAAGAACAGCCAGGAGGATCCAGGTAAGTTTGGTTTCCAGAGCTTTCTCATCGCCGTGGCCGATTTAGTGTGATTGGTTTGACAGGGGACAATTGAAGCTCCAAAAAGAGCCTCATAGCTCAAGCCAGGATCTTCATAATTTTTATGTATCGTCACGCGATCGTTCAATTGGTAACGATTGATTCCGTCGAATGCCCCCAACACGCTGAAGACTGATCTCACATGGTGACGCTTCCCCATAACTATCTTGCAGTTCTTACAAGACTTGAAGTCGTGATTGCAATTCTCTGTACTGCATGTTCCTTGCGTGCTCATTCTTGACGAGCTGGGGATGTACGATTGCCACATCTCGGAGCTTTGCTTCAACTTAAGTAGTGGATCTTCAGGGTCTGGCTTTTGACATCGGCAGCACCTTATCCCAATCTTCATATCCGGTTCTGCATATTCATTCTTCTTTCTTGGCACTGTCCAATCCCCTATTTCATCATCTCTCTTCCATGGCCGATAAGCATCTTCTGGTTTGCAATAAGACCCCCTTGGGTCAGGACCAAAAACTTCTTCTATCCATGGGACCTCAAGGCCACGCAATGGTATAATCTTCATCTCGATACGAGCTGGAACTAAATTTGCGGACCCAATATTCGAGGGTACGCAATGTAGGGCCTTTGACTGAATTAGAGAACCTTGGTTCTTTCGAGACTTTTCCTGAGTTATCGGTGATGGACCCGCGGCTAAAGCACTCGTTGCTTATCGTATGTGACGAACGCCGAAAATCGTGGACGTTGTACTCCACAAAATGCGGGATGAGCTGCTGAAAGATAGGTATGAAATAATGAACACTGTAGCTTGAGCCGATATTACTTTGGAGTACGTAAAAATCGCAGTCGTCTGTAGATTGGAGGTGGTTGTCTGTTCTCGCTGCCTGCAGCGAAGCTGGGAGGGATTTTGATTTGAAGGTATGTGATTTGGTTGATGAGACCGAGAAAAGAATAATCAAAAGAATTCGGTTTGATTGTCTTGTATGCTCAATGAGTAGAATATCGAATATGTATGTTTGCTTGAATAGTGGAATTGTGGAGAGTGAGTTATGGAAGAAGTCTAAGAAGCCGTCGAGCCTCTGCTTTATACCTCATTTTTGCCTACATGACTCTACGATTTATCATGGGCCGTTATCAGCGGGCACAAAAAGACTCATATTCGATGAGTTTTCTGCTGTTTTTTGTGATTAATCGCGGAACTTGGGAGTCCCCTTGTCGCGAAGAACAGTCAGAAACCTTGAATAGTTCATTATGAAATTTCGATCTACTGTATCCTGTTGGGGGTAGAGTACTAAAGCCGCAAAGGTCTAGAAGAGTGTGATTCTCAAATATTCTTGACTGTTCGACTGGTGCGGAAAATCAGTGCAGTGCCCTTGAACCGAGTGCTATGTTACGAGCACAATGTCTCGTTATCGCGCTTTGAGTAACACAAATCTCATCAGCGGCTGAACACAGCATTAGAAGTTGCTCATAAGTTTTTACTGCGCATCTGCCCACCCAAAAATATGTCTTGACATTTTGTCACGACGATACACGTAGTCACGTTTTTTCGTCATCCACAAGTATCGCCACGCCCCCGGTAACCTAGACTGGGGGTCATGGCCCTCGACATTGATCAATACCCACGTGTTTGTCGATTGTGCTTTGACGCATAGATGAAGACTCAAAGACCTCGACTACAGGATTGACGATGCAATAGGAAATTCCCATGACCACTATTGCCACTGGAACATGCCTCCTCACTCTTACTAGGACAATATTCATGCAGTATCAGTCATAGCGACTACTTCATGACTTTTCACACTGGTGACTTGTGCTCTGCAGTCGAGTGACACTATGGTAACATTGCTTTCTGATACTCATGTTGACACAGACCGTCCAGCGTCCAAGTCTTCCGGAGTATCCTTCACCCCTCTGTTACTACCGCTCTACCCTCACGCGTTTTGTTGCGTTTCTGGGATCTCATTGCCCAGACCGATACTCGAAGCAAATTTTAATCATCTCGATGCTTTCAAAATTTAAAATGAAAGCTTCTGTTGATATCGTATTCGTAAAGAGCATGATCTATGTTCATATTTTGTTGCGCGGGGGTATTAGTGGTGGATCTAGAAGCAGGGCAACAAATGACGTCGCGGTCCCTGTCGATCCCGCAACAGCTTTCTTTTCGTCGACACAGGACTACTGTCTACCACCACCTTCACGTACTATCATAAAAGGACTATTAGAATACACGAGAATTTCCGACAATCAGCTACTTTAAAATCGACAAGTCGTTTCTCTATCCGGTTACCTGCGCGAAAGTCTCCGCTCACCTTCTACCGCTCCACTCTTCACTTTGTGTGACCTGAGCACCAACTTCAAACAACGCCTACACGATTGTACCTAAATCACGATGGCAACCTCTTCCTCAACCCCCGCAACGGCAGATCAGCCCACTAAAAACCCCGTCTCAGTCCTCTTCGTCTGCCTAGGCAACATCTGTGCGTCCCCTCTCAGTACCCCGCCCTTTGCATTTAGCTCGCTGACTATGCAAAATCCCAGGCCGCTCCACGATGGCGGAAGGCGTCTTCCAATCACTCACATCCCCCTCTCATCCCCTCATAGCGAATATCGACTCCTGCGGCACAGGAGCCTACCACGTTGGCGACTCTCCCGACTCCCGCACCCTCTCCACGCTTCGCGCAAACGGCATAACCAACTACAAACACGCAGCGCGCAAGTTCTCGCCTTCAAAGGACTTTGCGGCGTTTGATTACATCTTTGCGATGGATCTTTCAAACTTGCATGATCTGGAGCGGTTAAGGGCCAAGGAGGTGAGGCGAAATGGTGTGGAGGAAGGTGTGGGGAAGGTTATGTTGTTCGGGGCGTTTGGGGGACATGTTGGAGGTAGGGAAGTCGTGCAGGATCCATATTATGGTGGGGATGAGGGGTTTGATACGGCGTATGAGCAGTGTGTGAGGTGTGGGAAGGGATTCTTGGAGTTTTTAGAGAAATAAGGTTGCGAGTGATACCCTCTCTTAATTCTTTTGATGGGATTGATGAGAACGCGCTTACGAGGAAACGAGGGATAGATGTACTGTAGGAATCAGCGATCAAAGAAGCCTCGGTTGCTTACCACATGAGCAAAGCTATACTACCACATATGCTTCATCAACAATCAGAGGTTGAGTGCCAGTCTCGATATCAACTGACTATACCTCGTTCAGCTACTGTACTATGCAGCTAGGAGCAATTGAGGCTTTCTTAGTTGCTGACGTTTAGGGTAGAGCATACGAGGTTCAAGCGTTCATCAGCACTTGTACCGGTCATGATACAAGCCCAAACGATTATAGCTCACGTCACTAATCTCAACCGCCAACATCTTGTCAGCACATGAAAGACAGAGAAGAAGGCCGTCGTACATAACGCACCAGAAGTACACCGGAAGCTCATTCAGCCGCAGCGTTCAGCAGAACGACCGCCATGGCGTCAATTCAATGTTACCCCACTCCCCAAAAAGACAAGAAAAAAGAAAGGAAAACACGAACTCGAATCATCCCCAGCCCTCGGAAAACGAGTGTTCTACGGATGAATCTCAGAAGGGCAGTTCAAGTTGTCGGTTTGAATGAGCGTCATGGACCCAAAATCCTTTCCCTACGCTCACTCCAGCATGGACATGCGTTCGTACGTACCCCACGTACGTAAGATAGGAAATGAAACCACGCAAGCCGGCCGACCGTTGCCGTGCTCCGCAAGGCTGGTGTTGGGGGCAAAGATTCCGGTATCATATGGGGGCTTAGTCTGGGTTAGCGGCGAGTTCGAACACGATGGCCGCGTAAGTAAGCGAGGGATTATTTTTAGACCGCAAAGCAAGCTATCTGATTGGTTGAAGAGATGCGGCGGTGCATGCTTGGAAGGGGTAAGTAGTGTGCAAACGCTTGTGGCGCAGAGGCGCGGGTCATTGGATGGATGCATGGTTGATTGAATGAAGAGAGGCTGAGAGGGAAGGATGAGGGGAGGAAGGGCTGAAAAGTTTCCTTCGTTCTCTCTACGTCTTGCTCTTCTCTTATCATCTCTTTCACTTTACAACCTTTGGTTATTGCCGTGTTTACTTTCAACAAACCTGGTACTACCACTCCACGTTTGATTACAACCGTCGAGTGACGTCGAGAGAGGCACGGACGCCTTGTACTTGTACTTGGGGCGTTGCTGGGTAAACAAGCAAAGAACAAGCGCGCTACCTACCTTACACCTAGCTCTCCACCATACACCACCACCAAACCCATCTGAAACCTCTCCCCTTCACTTGCGCAGGAGCGGAAGAACAGCTCCCATCCGTCGCCGTTTCGACCAGCAGCGAACAACCCTCGACTCTCCGATCAAGAAGATATTGTGGTGAACTGCTGCGGTCGTTGCTAGGAAACTCGGAAACCCACCCGCCAGTATGTCGGGCTACAATCGTTTGGGTATGTTGAACTGGTTGAGTGGCTGTTTGCATTCCGCACACTCTTCCATTTTCCTTCTCCTGCACTTCTCTGCTTTTCACCATCTTCTGTTCCGCACTCGCTGTGATTTGCGTTCCTCTTTTCCGCGCCACTGCTGCTGCGCACGCACCTAGAGACGATCGCGCCTGCGCGCTGGCTTGCTTGCTTGCTTGCACTGCCGACCCGGGTTACGCCATCGTCACCGGTGCTGGATAAGACCATTCCAAGAACAATATATCCAAAACGTCTTCTTCCGCGGGTCAACCGTATTCCATCCTCACCAACCTTCGCTGTTCACATTGCGCTCGTCCATCAATCTATTCTTCACACTCACTCATATTCGCGCGCGCGCACACCTCACCACCATTGATAGCCCTCCCCGCTGACCACTCTCCACTCCAGGGCATGATCGTGAGGATCAACACTACTCACCAGCCATGAATCCCCTCCGCACAAACCGATCGCCATCGCCTGGCCAACCTTTACAAAACTATCAGCTCGAGGACCACTATGTTCCACAGCCGTCAGGCGCCCTCGAGATTCCCATGGGGCCAGGCCCACTCGCCTCGAGCGACCGCCTGCAGCTGCAACCCAGCGTGCGTTTGCTCCTCCGCAGAAACAACACCCCCATGCTGACCGCTCCTAGTATTCCGTCGAGAACATCCCCTACGGTCCCGGCGACTACCACGATGACTACCGCCCACACCCACACCATACCGCAAGCGACTACTCGCTCGATCCCCAAGCACATCACGATGCATACTATACCCAGCCCTATGACCCTTCGCCGCTCGATGACGGCTCCCGTCCATACGCCGCGCAGCAAGATCCTTACTACCAAGACGATGAGGTTGGGGAACCCATACTGCACACTCAGACCTCATATGGCCCCGACCCGCATCAAGACCCCGAGAACCCATTCCAAGACGATGAACCGCTGCCAGCGCCGAGTCCTGCTCCCACAGCTCCCATAAAACGATGGAAGACGGTCAAGAAGGTCGCCCTGTTCCGTGGCAATTACGTCTTGGATTGCCCCATTCCACCGCGTCTGCTCAACCAGGTCAACCACGCCCAACCCCCTGAGCGTGATGAATTCACACATATGCGCTACTCGGCCGTGACTTGCGACCCCAAGCACTTCGTCGAGGAGCGCTTTACCCTGCGCCAAAAGCTATTCGCGAAGAATCGTGAGACTGAGCTGTTCATTGTCATTACCATGTACAATGAGGAGGACGAGCTCTTTGCGCGCACTCTGAGTGGCGTAATCAAGAACATTGAGCACATGAACAACCGCCCCAACAGCAAAACATGGGGCAAAGAGGCCTGGAAGAAGATCGTGGTCTGCGTCGTGAGCGACGGTCGTAATAAGATCAACCCGCGCACGAGAGCCGTGCTGGCCGGTTTGGGTGTCTACCAGGACGGTGTGGCCAAGGAGACGGTCAATGGCAAAGATGTGACGGCCCATTTGTACGAGTATACGACGCAAATGACTGTCGACATCAAGAAGAACGTCGTCAACGTGAGAAAGGGAAACACACCGGTGCAAATGCTGTTCTGTTTGAAGGAGAAGAACCAGAAGAAGATCAATTCCCATCGATGGTTCTTTCAGGCTTTTGGTGACGACCTGGATCCCAACATCTGCGTGCTGATCGATGCCGGAACGAAGCCGGGTAAGGACTCCATCTACCAGCTCTGGAAGGCTTTTGATCTAGAGCCCATGTGCGCCGGTGCTTGCGGCGAGATCAAGGCTATGCTCGTACATGGCAAGAAGCTTCTCAACCCGCTCGTGGCGACACAGAACTTTGAGTACAAGATGAGCAATATCCTGGACAAGCCTCTCGAGTCGGCTTTTGGTTTCATCACTGTACTTCCAGGTGCTTTCTCTGCCTACCGGTATTGTGCTCTGCAAAACGACAAGACGGGGCAGGGACCTCTCCAGAAATATTTCCTGGGCGAGGAAATGCACGGCACCAACGCTGGTATCTTCACCGCCAACATGTACCTCGCCGAGGATCGTATTCTTTGCTTCGAATTGGTCTCCAAGAGGCAGTCACGCTGGATCTTGCAGTACGTCAAATCGGCGACTGGCGAGACCGATGTACCGACAGAGATGGCGGATTTCATTCTCCAGCGACGAAGATGGCTGAATGGCTCCTTCTTTGCTGCTGTGTACGCTCTCGCCCACTCATTCGACATCTTCCGTAGTGGCCACACGTTCCTGCGCAAGATGATGTTCCTGGTCGAATTCTTTTATCAAACCATCAGCATGCTCTTCGCGTGGCTCGCTCTCGGCAACTTTTTCCTCGTCTTTCGCATCCTCACCGCATCCCTGGCTACTGAACTCGGCACCGTTGGAAATGTCCTCTTCATAATATTCGAGTGGCTGTACGTGGCAGTGCTGATATCTTGTTTCGTCCTCTCGCTGGGTAATCGACCGAATGGCTCCAATCGACTGTACATGACCATGGTGTACTTTTGGTGTGTCATTATGGCCTATCTCATGTTCGCTTCCATCTTCATCACAGTTCGGTCAGTGCAATCGCAGATCGCAAAGAACAACGGATTCAGCGTCGGCGATATATTCACAGACCAAATCTTCTTCACTCTCATCGTGTCGCTTGCATCTACATACGCTATGTGGCTGGTTGTGTCCATCATCTTCCTCGATCCCTGGCACATGTTCACGTCTTTCATCCAGTACCTCCTCTTGACGCCAACGTACATCAACATTCTCAACGTCTACGCCTTCTGCAACACTCACGATATCTCGTGGGGTACCAAGGGCGACACCAAAGCCGAAAAACTTCCTTCCGTTGCCACGGGCGCTGATGGTAAGGCCGAAATCGAAGCCCCGACCAACGACGCCGATCTCAACACGCAGTACGAGGCCGAGCTCGCCACGTTCCGCACTAAGTGGGTCGAGGAGAAGAAGGAAGACTCTGCGCAGGATAAGCAAGAAGACTACTATAAGGGATTCCGTAGTTCCGTCGTGTTGTTTTGGATGTTTTGCAATCTTGCGCTCGTGGTGGTTGTGTTGCAGAGCGGCGGATTGGAAGTTACAGTCAAAACACCCGAAGACCAGGCTGCCAGGCAGGATCGCGTCGCCACGATTTATCTGGCAGTTGTACTGTGGAGTGTGGCTGGGTTGAGTGCGTTCCGGTTCATCGGTGCCATGTGGTTTTTGGTTATTCGCATGGTAAGTTCTTTCTCTTGAAGCTGTTCAATTTTTGATCGTTTACTAACATTTGTTGAACAGTTCCGTGGTGTATAAACACGACACTTGTCGCTGGTTTGGAGAATGCGGTTGAGGATTCTCATCTTCTTTCTTTCTATTGTCTTGTTCATCAGCCTTGATACTTGGGATGCACGAGCGAAGCGTTCGTTGCTTATACCTTGGGAAGCATGGAGGAGGGGGGTAAAAAAAAACCGCCCTGGCGTTTAGGTCTGCGTCCTTTTGCTTTGCAACGGGAAACGTGTCTGTCTTGTCTCTGTGTTGTATATGTATCGAAACGATTACGATCACATGCTCGCTTTTTTGTACTCTTGTCTGCGACCACCCCCTTTCCTGTATGCGTTGGAAGCTCATCTAGCTCCTGGGATAGTATGTACCTAACGATACCGAACATGTTGATGAAGTCAGGAATTCTGCTCTTTCCCTTTCTCTTTTCTCTTTTGATCTTGGAGGTTACATGACGTGCATTGAATAGATGATATTGTGATGCGAGTAACTAAGCATTCCGTTTTGTCTGATTGCAAGTCGCTGTACCAAGCACTTGATCGTGGTTCTCTTGCCACCACCCACCAATTCGCGTAGCCATGAACAGGACCAAAAGATCGCATAAACAAAGCATTTGAGCAGAATTCTCCATTCCTGTAGTATCATTGAAGGATACAGAGCGCATACGCCCCTCATCTCTCTCTCTAGAAATTAAGTAAAACACGATATGTGCAAATGTAAACCAGGATCTCGCAAGTACATTATCCTCCCTCTTCCTCTCAATATAGAAAACCGACGGTTCGAATCTTTCCCCTTCTCTTTTTGTTCAAGAAAATAAACACCATTCATTCTACCTCGATCTCGCACGCAGTTTTACCGTATGATTCTTACACCAAGTGTGTGTGCCGCATGGAAATGGGTGATTCAATCAAAGGCCCAGAAGTGTCCAGTCTAAACGATACATGTCATACCCATCTGACCTCTTTGTATATATTCGTCAACGTATAGAGAGCTGATCGACTACTTGCAGCATTTTTCCGTGTCTTCTTTTCTAATCGGCGGGATGAGAGGAGGGGAGATGAGGGAGGGTTCGGGAAGAATCCAAGGGTACGGTAAGGAGTTGGAATGGAGTTAGTTAGTCGATTTTATAGGGGATCAAGTCCAGAGATACCGCAAAAGACAAAAGGAAAAACACCGTTCAGGAATGAAGCACGATGTCGGTACAGGAACTAACTATGTATCCCATGTATACAGAGGACATGTCTAGTATCCGGATGTTTATGATGTGTAAGTTGAATTTTGGGTGATCCTATTATATGTGACGGCAGGTTTTTATCGATGAATAAACCAAAAAAAAAAAAAAAGCCACCCAGGCGATTACCAAAGTAGGAAAAAAACTCTTCGAATAGGGTTTATTTGGTAAACTTAGTCAAAGGAGAGATATGGGGGCTATACGATTTGTGTGTATAATTGGAGTTCTCGGCCCACAATTGATCGAGAGGAATCGCGTTGCTGGGTATTAACGCGTTACGTATGGACATGTGTAACATGTGTGTGTTTGTTCTCGTATAATCGGGCGGGTAGTTGATGGTGATGATATAGATATGTGTGTAGACATAGATTTATGTGTGTGTGCTGCTCTGCTTTGCATTAAGTTGTCGATTTTTTATTCTGTCATCGCTCGTGTTCTGGGGCACTTGTCTTTGTAAATCGCATGTCTGTGTGCGGGAACACCCGAAACCCCATCTTATAATTAATTGCATTGGATTGAGCAGGTCACGGTTGGGTCTCAAGACGAAGGACTATGGAAGTGGGGGTAAGTTGATAGGGTGCGTAAAGGAATCAGAAAGACGAATCACATACATTCACGAAGCGTGGCAAAATGGAGTTCCGTGTTCAAGACGAGTAGTACAAGACATAAGTAAATATGAGGTAGCAGTGGTAAAAAAGCTCGCTAGCTAAGCTAAAATAAACATAGTAAACTAAAAGAACAAAGGAAAAGGAAAAGAAGGAATAATAAGTGTGAGAGAGAAAAAAAAGAGATGATACACACACACGTAGACACACACTATTCGTCACCATCTATCCCCCAAACTCCCCCTTTCCCTCATACAAGATATTTACTGCACAACTCTCCGTCCAACCAAGCCCCCCGTCGCCGCATTGGCATACTTACTAACCGGTACTTCAGCATGCTCATACCCGTCTCCAGTCTCTCCTTCCTCATCATCCTCGACTATCCGCGTCGGCACATCAGGAACGTCGTCCAACCCGCTGCGCTGCAGACTATGCCGATCAGGCGTGGTACTCTGACTAGCCATGCTCATGCTCGTGGAGCTTCGATGCGTGAGATCCGGTGTAGGAGGGATACTCATCATACTCGAAGAGCCACGACCAGGTCGAAGCATCGACTCATCGTCTTCGGCGTACTCGGACGCCGAGCGGGTCGACGACGCGTGGGATACGCGACGGTGATCCGAAGAGTGTGGGAGGTCAGAATCATCCGCCTGTTGCGCCAGGTGAAGGCCTTCTACAGCGGCGGCGCATTGTTCCGAGATGTTGCGGATGATGTAGGCAATTGCGTCTGTTTTGTCGCGGAGGTGGCGGTCTGCGACGTCGACCATGGAGGACGAGGAAAAGCGTTTTGAGGAGCGGGCTGAGGAAGTACCGGCTGCGCCATGGAGGAGGCGGTGCTCCATGTCTGGGGAGACGTCTTCGCCGTCGAGATGGTTGTGATATTGTTTGCCGTCAATAGTGGAGTTTGAGGCGCGGGATTCGGTTGCGCGAGGGGTGCCGGTGCGGCTGGAGGCGCGGGTGGGCGAGGAGTTGTGCGTGTTGATGGCGCTCTTGTACGACATATTGTCGGTTTCTTCGTCTTCTTCGGGCACGTCTTCGAAGCCTTCTAGATAGTTGTCCGTAGGGCTGTTGAGTGATTTGACAATGTGCTCCATGTGGTGGGTTTGACCGTCGATGAGGGCGCGAAGGTGGAGGACCACGCGCTGTGTCTCGTCGCGTTGGCGGGTGAGACCGTGGGCCGTGTGTTGAAGGTCGGAAATCTCCTTTGCGTTCCTCTTGCGTTCGCGCTCGAGTTCCTCGGCGATCTCCTGTTGCAGAACGAGGGCCTCGAGAGCGTCGTCGCGCTGCTTCTCGGTGCCCGAGAGGCGCATCGATAGGCGGGCAGCATCGTCCTTTTGTTGGTCGATGAGTGTGCTGAGACGGCGGTTCTCGCGCTTGTGGTTCTCGATCTTGACCTTGAGATCTTGCGTCTCCTTGGTGAGCTGCTCGGCAAACGACTGGAACTTGAGGAACTGCTGCTTCCAGCTCTCGAGCTCCTCGACGAGGAAGTTGTTTCGCTTGGAAACCTTCGACAGCTCGGTATCCATGCGACCCTTGAGATTGATGAAATCTTGCCAAGCCTCCTGCGCATCGCGAGAGTATTGGTTGCGTTCTCGCACAATCTCGTTGAGGTGACGCATAGAAACCTTGGTCATAAGGGGCTTCTTGACAGCACCTCCAAAAATAGCCTTGACGCCCGTATTGCGCCCCTGTTACACTGATTAGCTTTGAAATACGAGATGTTCATATAGAGGGAAATGGCATACCAGCTTCTCGCACACGTGGTCCATCACTGTCATGATAGCATCTTGGTTCCACCACTCCGGATCTTGGATACTCTCCACCTCGCCGCGCATGACAATGATTTGGCCAGCGGGAATGAGCTTGCCGCCACCGTACGCCGATCGTAGATGCTGTGGCACACCTGTAGGCGCCACCTCGGTGTTCAAAGCCTGGGTCAGACGAGTGATCATCTTGGTTCTCTGTCCAGCTGTGAGCGCGGATGGCGGGCTGGAAGTAAGCACGAAATTGCGGTCGAGATCAACCACCAGGGCATCGTTGGGCGCAGTAAATAGCGAGCGGCATTCTGAAGTCGCACCAAGAATGTATGGCCCTGGTTCCTGAACGAGATCCTTGATGTGACGTGCGTGCACCACAGGCACATACAGACCGCTCCACTCGTACACCCTTACGCAGTATCTGATTGTCTCGGCAGCAATGGTAAGTATGGCGGGATAGTGGCTGACAAAGATGATTCGGCGAGTTGGTGACACGGCAGCCTCTATCACGCCAACGATATTGGGGATAGACAGACATGTGAAAAGGGGCCACATCGCGAAATTTTGGAAGCCGGTCGGCGAGGACGGGAATTGGTAGCACAGTGCGTAATCTTTCATGTCGATCCTGACCAAATCATTGAGGCGAGGAGCGGGAAAGCTCAGAATGCGGGACACTTCTTCGGCGTGGAACAAATTGGTGGCCTTGTTCCAGTGGATCCACATGCCCCGCAGGTAGTCTCCAAGAAGGTTGTACAGAGGATAGCGTGAAAGAAAACTCAGGCAGTAAGGGATCCAGTAGGTTTCATCGCTGTTGTCGTAAAAGTCTGGCTCGATTCGTTTTCGTAGGTCACGGATGGTCTCGGCCCTCTTCTCGTCGGCGCGGGACCAGACCCGGAGAGCAATGCCGTAAAGCGTGTGTGAAGAATCCTGCTGGAGGACAAATGAGTGGTGTACACAATGCGGCTGGCTACGACCTGTGCATATCTCGACGTCGTGGGGAAAGCAAGCCTAGAGATTGTGTTAGCTTTGATGGGGTGATTGCGCCAACCGTATTTCCACTCACCCGCATAGCAGCGTGCAGCGACCTAGCGATGTCGTTGTCCTGCTCCAATCGAGGACTGCTGCCCAGGATCTCAGGAAGCCAGAATGTGCCAACAGCGCCCTTCATATGTCCAATCTTTCCCTGGCTGGGAGCCGGTGCTTTCACCCATTGTGATGGTTCTCGGCCAACACCACATACCATGTAGGCGTGGGTCAGTGTCTTTGGAGTTTTGGCGCCCTGTCGAACATTGAGGGTCGAGGGAAGCGGCTGTGTGATGCGGGAGTGGAGCGATGAGGTTCTGCTGGGTATGATGAGACTGTGGTCAGTCTGATCCCTCTGGTCCCTGGTGGGGGGTCGGTCGCTGGTTCTTGGGCGGAGGCTCAGAGAGGGTGCCATATTGAAAGTAGGGCTGCTTGGAATAGCTGGTGGGTATTTTGAGTTGAAATCTGAAGTGTGGCCTCCGATAAATGTAGGAATAGGCGAAGAAGAAAGATACGTAAGGAAGGTTGTTGAAAATTAGGAATCTGGGGTATTACAAGTCGCTCAACATTGGCGTCAAGGTAGGTGTGTGGGACAAAAGCCGCAAGGGAAGAAGGAAACGAGTAGACAGATATATCGCAAGGTGCCGCAACAATTTGACGATTCACAGTCTCCAGTGGAGGTCGGAACAGGGAAGCAGTTGCAAATTGCTATCCAGTGAGATGAGTCCAAAGTCGGTCCTGGGGAGACAGCGCGAGTAGTAGCAAGCGGCGGCGGCGGGAGGATATCGGTTTCCTTTGGGGAGAGGTAGACTATGAACAACAGCTTGGATGGTGGAGCCACGAGCTAAGCCTGCTATGAACCGAGCTAGTCCATGGTGCATGGAGAGTACAGGGTGGGAAAGCCCCCGGGAACGGCCCTGCGCAGCCGTCGGGCAGGGATCATCTACTTTTGCTATCCTAATGGTCTGTCTCCACCGTTGAGATAGCTGGCTCTTGTTGGATACGCGAGATGAGACGCCCGCTCGCCCAATCGGGCTATGAACAGGGGACAGAAGAGCTTCTGCACGGAGCAGTCAGGGGCGTTGGCCGCCCACGCCGCCTGCAAGTCTTTTCTGGAGCTCGTCGAATGGCAGTACGCAGCAGTACCAGACTCTCGATTTGCCTCTGACGACGACGACGACACCAACGACAACGAATCCATCACTCATGGACGTGTGCGAGCGAAGCCGCCGAGAGGTGGAGACGTGTCTATCACTGTGAGTGGCGTATAGGGGCGTGCAGAAACGGTCAGAGAGGAAGGGTGTTTGGGCCCGTCCTGTTCCCGTTCCCGTGGGCGGGAGACGAGGAAATGAAAAGAGGAATGCGGCCAAACGCAATCATCAACACCGGCACGCATCCTCCTCCCGCTGCGTGTGATGAACATTGGTAATGAACATAAACCAGGTTTTGTGCAAGCAGTATTGCCTCCCAGCCCCTCGTTTGCCTTGCACGACTCGCGACCTCCGCTGCTAGATATTGTGCGAACGTTTGTCCGGACCACCGAATAGTTAAAGCGTGCCCTCCGATTCATGGAAGTGAGCTGTTTCGTGTGCATGGCGCGTGGGCTATCAGTTTGCTGTGTGCACCATTCATGCAGCCGATTCATAGTGTATGCACCGCTATGCACCGTCGCCAATCCCCCTCCCCAAAGAGCGAGCGGGACCCTTTTCCCCTGAACATCGAGGTTGATCCAACCCTTCCTCGGCCTGGCGGATTGGGCACCGACCCATGGGCGTTATTTGCTGGGCCGCCCGCTTTCCAGTGTCTTGACTACACACGCCACGTTTGATCACCAATCCTCTGGCAATGAAAATTCGAAACTCGGAATTCTCTTGCTCTCTCGCGCACGAGAACGAGATCCTCCCCAGATGGAAAATCAGACGCAATTTGGCCGACCACAATCCCCGGTTTTCATGACTTGGCGCCTGTTCATCTCCTGTTGCAGACTTGTTGGAGTTGTCCACATGTGCAGGGTAACTGCTGGTTCATGTACGCGCGGAGAAGGATCAATTGCATGAATTGGACGCAGCCCGTCGATCCTTTCTTTAGTGTTGAGAAATCATCCAGATCTCCAAGTAGCATTGTCAGGTGCGAGCTGTCTATCTGCCGGCATGTCGCATTTTGCATTTTGCATCTTGCATCTGGACATTGGTGGTGGCCTGTAGCCTGTGACATGTCTGTATAGTTGGTACAGGTTAGCTCCGCCCAGTCAGTTGAGGCGGGCCACGCTTCCACGCTTTACCACAGTGGCACACCGTTACGTCGTCTTCTCTTTTTTTGGACGCCTGTCAAAAATGTAAACGCATCCACCCGTCCGCGAAGTACCGGCTGGTAACACACACCTGCTGGTGTGCGTTCAGCCTGCATGATGATGGTTGAGTACATGTGTACTAGGTAGACATGCGTGGAGGGCAGCGGCTTCTGTATCACGTGCCTGCCCAGATTGGATCGGCAACATCGAAATGCGCTTCAGTCTCCACTTCCACGATCAATCTCGCAGAACAGTCCAGTTCCCACTTCAGCACATGCGCATTGCGGTTCCGATTCATTCATAGCTGCTGTTGCCGATATCCACCGCGCTTCTCTTTCATCGTGCGACAATTAACATGGCTGACGATGCTCTGCTGAGCCAGCTGTGCAGTATCTGGTGCGTTTGGTTTTTTCGTACATCCACGTCTTTCCCCATTGGGATATCATTCCCCATCTGCCACTAAGTAGTCAAACAAGTCACGGCATCCCCCCTTTCCAATGGTTATGTTTGCAAAATCATCATGTACAGTCCGAATGCGAAACTAATCTTGATGTAGCAATATATCTCCTTTCAAGTACAAGTGTCCCGGCTGCAGTGCCCACACCTGCTCACTGCCATGCTATAAACGACATCAGCAATGGGCACAGTGTAGCGGGAAACGTGACCCTACCAAGTTTGTTAAAAAGTCTTTGTTGGAGACCCCTGCAGGTATCGATCATGACTTCAACTTCTTGATCAGCGTCGAGCGGGGGTTGCAGAGGGCTGAAAAAGTCGAAAATGCCACCACCGGCTCTGTATCGGGTCTCCAACGTGGCGCCAACCGCCGCAATGTCAGCAATCAGCAGCTCACAGCAGCAGGCGTGACTATTGTTCGGGCGCCACAGGGTCTCAGCAGGCAAAAGCAGAATACCACGCATCGTGGCAAGTGAGTGTCTTCCCTACATGCCAAGACTAAGCTGGCGTCCTAATCGTATCCCAGGTCGGGTCATATAATATGGACCACGGAATGGATCAAGGACGGAAATTCCCATACGTTCACAGAGTGCAGTGAGGTTGAGACTATTCAACGACTCGACCCCTTCCGCAGCTCCAGAAAGAGGAAACGGGCCGCAGCAGACCATGTTTCGAAGTCTGACGAGATGCAGACGGAGGCACGCTTGCAATCCGAAGAACACCCCAATGAAGAACCTCCCTTACCTCCCGCTGCCCAGCCAGGAGGACAACACACCACCGACGGCAGCGTCATCCCCCAACCACAGTCCATCCAAGTGGCGCATTCTGATGATGCAAGCCCTCTCATGCATGGCACAACCCCCGAATCCCTTTCTTCCAAACACACCTTCTTCCTCCTGATGCCAAGAACCAGCTCCACTCGCAAAGTGCTCATCCCCCTCGACTCACAGGCCACTCTCACCGACTCTCTGCGTGGCAAAACCGTGCTCGAATTTCCGACCATCTACGTCTTTCCCGAGTCCACGGCCCCTCCGCACGAGACTTTTATGATGGAAGAGGCGTATTTACAGCAAGAGCGCGATGACCATACCGAGCTTGAAAACGCACTCAAGACTGTCGATCCTGAGACTCTACGCAAACTTGCCGCCGAGCAGGGGGCTACCGATGAGAATGCAGGTGGCGAGATTGACGACAAAGCTATTCTTGATGTCTTGAAACGCGATCTGGGGGCAAAAGCGAAGGACCTTTGATCAAACTTGTGTAGAGTTCACCAGCATACGTACCTAAGATGCATATTCCACATTACAACTTCATACACTGCTTCGAATTGTGATGCCACGCTAGAGGTGGAAAACTATATAACATATTCAACAGATACGCCTGCTCCCACTGCATGATCCCGTGCCGTGCGAAGAGAGATCGCTCTGCTTTATTTTCTCATCATGCCACTTTCCAAGCCCTTTTTGAAAAGACACTGAATACACCGTCATTCTCCAACCCTTGTCCACCTAGCTAGACACTCCTTAGCAGAGACATTAGCGCTGTCTCGCCAATTCTGCAAGCTTAACCCTCATCGAGGGGATCTCGAATAGCAGATGAGCTCCGCTATAATCTAGACGAAGCGAGATAAACGAAGGTGCGTTAAACTTGACAGCCTTAGTGCCGTATCCGAATAGTCGTTTGTGTGTAAACGGCTATGTAATCGGTGGGGACTTTTTGCCTTACTTGTTCTTGTCTTCGTTCTTCTTGCTGCTTCGATTTCAGGCGGCCAGTGTAAGTGGACAAGTCGGTAGGGCTAAAAATAAGGAGATTATTCAATGTTAGTGTATTTGTGTAGCGCGATGGCTGAATGAGAATCCACCACTCAAGTCTTGGAATCAACATGCAGAGTTTGAAAATTGACAGCAGCAAAGAACTACCAGTGATCAAGGCGTCCACAGCCTAAGCAAAGTCAGAATACGAAGACCTTCTCCCACAAAGACTTGTCCGCGCGTCGTTGCATCGATGACCGAGAATACAGGTACTCTCCGATACCGTTCCGTCTCCCCACCACCCATCGTCCTAACCGATCACAACATCCCAGACCCACGTTCGCTCAAAGGCATAACGGAGCTGAAAGAAAGAAAGATCTCCACTATTCCTAACTCCCCACCTCAAACTCCGCCTTATCGCGCAATCAAATCTCGAATTCCCGTCCCGTCGATTCCAGACCCCGTGTGTTCTGTGCCGCGCGCGTTTCGCATTCGCGTCCTTTTTTTTTCCACGACTTTTCATCCATCTCTTCCTTTCGAGGCCCACAATCCTCGATTTGCCTTAAGCGGGGGTATCTTGATCGTCTTTCCTCCTCGCTTTGGATCAAACAGGCATATTCCTTGCACGATATGAACCACAAGCGAGACCCCACTTACTTCGCCTCCTCCGACACATCTCTCAAGAGCGGACACCTGCGTTTGAGGAAGAATGGGGGATGTAGGCGTACCCTTGCGGCAATTAGTATATTCCTAGTAGTTTGACCTCTATGATCCCACCTTTACGGGTAAGTATTCCGATCGGTCTCCATTGCTAACTTGCAGTGCTAGCTTTACGGCACAGCTGCGCTTCACTATATCTAGCGCGTGTGTAAGTGACGATGCTATATGTGGCTTGTCTATAGAACCCGTGCCGCGTTCCAATTTTTTCTTCTTTGCGAGAACGAATGCTGTTGTAGAGGATTCTTTTCAACGGGTGGTATAGCTTTTCAAGACTTTCAAGTAGGCATTCCCTGGCTACTTCAATGTGTCATCAAAAGATGATGGAACATGTCACATCCGTCAGACCCTGTTTCGGCAGTTGCATTGTTATGCAATGCCTTCTACCTTTTGAATTGCTGCTGCGATTTCCCATGTCGACGATCGTTTTGGTGTATGAGGGGGGACGTTGGTTGTGAGGTGAGGTTGAAGTAAGGATGGGGAAGGTACGAGAGAATCCACGTGCTTTCTTATTGTTATTATCGCTGTGCTTTACCCATGTGGGAGGTATCCTGGGCAACCACGTGAGTCGGTAGTCGAGGTTAGTGCGGCGTGTGGTTCACGTGATGAGTCTGCCCATAGCGTTTAATCAGACTTCATCGCGTCTTTGAAAGTCGGCATGGCAACCGATTCACCATTGTCAAAACCATGGCATATCAAGTATGTGTGCAATCGTCGGCCGCTATTGAGATACGATTGTGATTTCTGCGCGCTTTGACGCTTGACTGCCCAGGTGTGTAGTGCCGCTTCTCACGAGTAATTCACCTTCGCCACCAACCGATGCGTGATGTTTTCTTGAGTCGTGCTTTCAATGGTTGTTTCCCACATATTAACTCGATCTATCTACTTCATTCGACGGCGCACCTATCACCATCCTCATCCAATCTGCCGCTCAGCTATACAGCACATCATATAACCAAATGTATCTCATCAACAAACGCTGCATGCTATATCTAACATATTAACCAAATCTATCGTATCTATTTCCCGTTCAACCACATCCTCCCGCTTGCCCTGGTCAATTTTGACACAATCATCAATCCTCGTACCGAGTACCGAGAATCTGAGCAACTGTTGGCGATCACAACGACCTCGTTATTTATCCACATAGTATATATTGAAATCGCGCAGCCATAGCGACCACGTCCACAGTTATCATATACCATGTTCTTAGCTCGGAGGGTTTTACTCCATAAGCGATATGCAGCGCGATTGCGCAACCTAACGTCTCGGGCCCGCAGTCTGCTTTTCGACGATATGTCATTGTGATGTATTGATATGTGAGTAGTTCTATAGACACTGTGGGTTGTTTGATGCGGAATATGTTGCTGTTTTGTGTGTAGTGGTTGAGCTGGAATTTCGGTGAGGTGTGGCGCGCCCCGCTCCGCTGAGTGGATCGGTCCCCGCAACGAGTGAAAATTCTATGTCCTGATTGACTTGACTCTCCATCATGAGACAAGGTAAAGGTTAGGTTGTGTCAAATATCGGCTCAAAACTAGACTTGCGTGGGAATGCTGCCGTGCATCTCGATAGTTTGTGATTACCACGTATATAATTTTTGAAAACTAAAGTTCTTCCACAAGCACAACAAGACCCTGAAACTTGCGTTTCAAACAGTCGGTTGCGTAGTGTAGCTGGTCATCACATCGGATTCTGATATCATCAGACTATTCCGGGGACCTGAGTTCGAATCTCGGCGCGACCTGTCATTATTACTGTGCATGTTCTTTTTTGATCATATTGATCACGTCTGTCTCTTTTTGCTTTGTCCTCTGGATTCAGTGAACAGAATTGACATTTGCCTTCGTGCCCCGTTTCTTTTTGGTTCGCATTTGGCCGATTTTGGGACAGCAATGAAGTGAGATGTGACGGACTTCACACATGGTCTTGTAGACTGCAGTTCTTGATACAGGCTGATCAATATTGCAGTCACCGAATACATTTTATTTGTCATTATATAGCATCACTTCTCCCGCCCTGAAGATATGGACTTTGTGTTATTTTCAATATCAACTCCACCGCTTTTGGTGGTGGATGTGTGCTGCATGTCAGCTAGCGTCCATGTTAGGCGAGACATTTGTACTGGGGACATTTGTTAGGTGCTCGTTGTGTCTCAAAACTTCATGTTCTCGTAGTTGAATCGTAAATGCGATGATTGGCTCATTTGCAAATAAGTAACATGGTTCCATTGACCAGGAGCCGACACTGACGAGAAACACAATATCAAATACACTTGTGTTGATTCGTCTGCATTGATACATGTTGTTTTGTGAGGGGTAACCCCTCCCTGCCTTCGTTTTGCCCCACCCCTCAAATGAAAGACTTTGTCCCCATTTTTGCTTCAGCTATAGAAGCCAAAATTTTCTTCTTCATCGCATCTAAAAAGAAGTCCTGTCTTCTGCTTGGTTCGATGGTGTAGTTGGTTATCACGTAAGCTTAACAAAAAAGGAGAGCAGCTCTTTGAGAGCTGTAAACTCCCGAATGTTATCGCTTAAGGTCTAGAGTTCGATCCTCTATCGAATCAATTTTTGCCCCCGTGGGTGGCTGAGATGCTCCTTGTTGTCGCTGGTTTGGTCAAGGATGGAATGGCTTTTTCTTTTGCAAGTTATAAGAACGTTACGTTTTGATGCATTGCCTGCACATGTATGCGCCTTGGGTAGGCTGTCTGGTCTGGGAGGATTCTAATGAATCCGATTGCCCCCTTTCTATTTTCGCCTATCAAGAGACTCAGGTATTTAGATTATGAGTTTACCACCCTGTTGTAACACATTCCATCTTTAATACCGTCAATGTATGTAGGCTGTCTAGAAACTATAAATACGAGACGTAACCAGGCACCAATGCATGATGGGAATAGAGAACACGATACTTGTTTGACTCTGAACGTAGCAATTAACAGATCTGGCACCGAAGGTATGCTGAGTTGCTGCTTGATAGTATGCTGATGTAGAAAACGCGGTCAATGCTCCATCCAAAGGTGCGTCGACCCCTGTAATGCAGTCAAGCAGCACAGTATGGAAGTGATTCAGAATTATATTCTCAGTTTTGCGGATCTCGCAACCAAGAAACAAACCACTGGACTTCTGATCGGATATCGCAAGCAATTTTGCTGCAGCCCAGAAATAACTAAGCTGAGAATAGGAGACTCAATAATTCAACACGCACTGACTGTTATGGAAGGGGGCCAGAAAGATGCATTTTCAGCTTGTCGCTTTAATATCTAAAACACGCAAATTGATACCACTGGATAGCGATCGCCGACTGATCCTACGCAATTTCAAATAGGACAAGCGTGCTGACAGACTACGCCGCAGCACCACAATTATGGCATTCAGGAAGGCCGAGGCCCATTAAACAGCACATTAACAGCGGCGTAGTTGTGTCTCACGGCTGATCGACGAGCGATGGAAAAATGATAAAGATCACTTGGGGGAGAAGCCCGTAGTTCACTCACGCTTCCGCCCATTCTCGTTTGAATATGCAAGAGGCTTGACCGACCAGCCAATACTTGGTTCAAGTTAATTCGTGCCTTGACTTACTCCTCTTTATTTAATTCCGTTGTTCAATCAGCCATGTCCAACGTCCACCAGCCATTTCTCCCGTCCCAGTATGACGAAGAGAAGACAATTCGAGCGACTACCTCTACCTGGAACAATTACGCAAACGAAGAGCCCAAGGAGGCATTGAAAAGGGGCTTAAAATCCTTTCCAATAGTCGAAGTCATTGTCCACGCCCTTGCAATCGGTACCGTCGGGGTGCTCATATGGCTGAACGTGGTGAAGATGCCCTGGGTCGATTTCGTGATTGACGACGATACCGTGGAGACAGGATATTGGCAGCTTGTCGCCAAAGCGCATGAACTCCTAATCACGACTTCTCTCTCATACATAGCATTTTATTACATGCGCGCGATGTTGATGGGAGAGCGGGGCGTACCCTTCGGCCTACTTAGTTCGACGTACCAATTTTCCAAGCCCACCATGCTGTACAGACACGGGGCGTGGATTTCGGCAGTTTCGCATCGCGCGATTTTTGGGCTTACACTGCTGGTTTTCGGCGTCATCTCCAATCTGGCAAACCCGTTCTCTGCCATTCTAATGATTCCTACTCCCGGTTGGGTTACTACAGGCGAGCGAATATCAGCGGACGCCTCCACCATTCACATACCAGGCTCTAAGAATTTACTGTGGCCGAGTGCATACAATGAAACCTTCAATTCAGATGGACAGCTTCCTTGTAACATGATGGACGATTATGATGATGTCAGGTATCAATGTCCCGCTTTCGGACACAAGGAGATATTGAATTGGGTACGTCGCTCCAATCAATTCAATGTTCACTGCTAAATGAAATTATTCAGTTTACATACTACATGGGTACGGGATCGTACACAGATGCCAGTTTCGCTCCCTTGATGGGTGGAGCGAGGCGAGACGCTGTTGTCTCCTGCACACAAGAGAATTGTAACGACTCTAGTGAAGCGTACAGCACTGTCATGACAGAGCTAGAAACAGTGTCTATTGGCTCTTATTCAGGATGGGCCAGGAATCAGAATCTGGGAGGAATTAGGGATGTGCCAACATCCAAGTTCACCGTGTCCCAACGAACGCCCTCGTATCAGCCAGTCGTTGCAGTAAATTGCAAGGCAGGCAGTTGGAACGCGGGTAGAGAAGGCATTGACATAACGTTTCCCGATATTCAAAGTAAATGGAGCCCATCTGAAGGACCCGGCAGGCCTCCATTCACCACCTACCTGAATCAAAGTTACTCGGGCGCAAACGACTTTCAGTGGTTCAAAGACACACAGGACAACTCTTCCTCTATCTTAGCACTGGCCATATTACCTTTAGACCTTGAAAATCCCGAGGAAATAGATAAACAGACTAACCTATACGTGGCGTGCGCAATCGATGCCCGGTGGTTCGCAAATCTGGCCTGGTACTCCCCGAAAAACTCAGCAACCGTACAGAGCAACGTTACACGTAACCTACCAAAGATCCTAAGATCTAAAGACGTACTATCCCATACTGCGCTGGGTATTTCAGCTAGTCCCATCGACATCTCACTCGACGGGGCCGTGTATCTCAACCCAACCAAGTCATTTTACGATAACGACACTTACGACACTGCCATGTCGTACAACTATTCACTCTTGGGTGATTTCCTTGATGGCTTGCAGACACATAAAGATATCAGTAGCACATGGCTTCGGCCTGCTGAAAAATTCGTCTCTTCTCTCCTAAGTCTTGTCGTTGCAGATGGCCTTGCTCGTAGTGCCTCGACATGGGCTCGAAACCCGCCATTCCTCGACATCCACGATTCGAACCCTGTGATATTAGGCGCGTCAGATGCCATTTCGAAGGAAGCCAGCGAGGGATTACTGGCCGAGAATGCCAAATCTGACCAATATCTCGTTGAAATAGAAGTCGAACGCTATGTCTACGGCTGGATACCTCAAGGCATATCGTTTTGGTTTGCAGTGGGCATATTCCTACTGTATGCCCTGATAGCGGCCGGTCATTTGCTATACATACTGTTCATTTTCATTTTCTGGAATTCAAAGTACTGTGGAGGAACCTGCTGGGACTACATGGGCGATTTGGTAGCCTTGGCCATGAATTCCAGCCCAACACCCAGATTATACGGAACTGGTGCCGGTATCAAGAAGTGGGACATTTGGAAGAATTCTGCCAAAGTGCGGTCTTTCAATGGAGAGAGGCTCGAGCTGTGCTTCTTGGACGACGGCGAAGAGGCTGGGGAATTGATCCAGCCAGGGAAGAAGTATTACTAAATCTGTTGAGATCAGATTGCCCATTATCTAGTTACTTAATCACCATAATATCACTCGATGCTCAAGTAGCATCATGAGAACTACCAACGATCTGACCTCGGACAGAGTTTTGACTTGTCTCTCAATCTCCAGAGAACGAATAGCAGGGCGACAATAAATTTCGGACACTTAGCTGTCATATACATAAATATTATTCCACATTCCACATGCACAAATACGTCCACAAGACCCCACCATCAACCCCGGTTCATCACTTTCGGATAACTACATATGACTACATATGCAATTATGCAAGCTACCCACGTGCCAACGGTCACTACCCACATATGTACATTACAGCTAGCTCCATGATACTCGATGATATGACAGCATCACCACACAGATCTAGCACCCCACCCCACACAGCAACAACCCACTCAATCCCACCAAAATGCAACTCCCTCATACCCCATCACCTCGAATCCCACAATTTCCGTCTCAAACCCTTCGACCTTTACAACACTCCACCTATCAACAATCTACTTAATCCCACCAAATGCAACTCCCTCAAATCCCATCACCTCGAAATCCCACAATCTCCAGCATCACCAAAGGACACCGCGTCTCAGACCTTCACACATCCATCCCCACTCATCCCTCACAACGGCAAAACTCCAATCCCACCAACCCATCCCCCTCAACGTCAGCAATCACACTCGGCAAAGACCCCCACCACCACGCATAACGCCATCACCACCCAATAAAAGTACTAATAATAATAATCAAAAAGAGCAATAGCGCAACTAAAGCCGTTTGACGAACGCTATCGAGAAGAAGTGCGGAGATTCGCGCCTTGCCAAACCCCACTCCAGGCACAGGCACAGGCATAGACAAGGGGCAAGCTGCAGAAGATGGCACAGTACTTAAGCGAGTTGGGTTTGTATGCATGCAAGACCGTTTTTTTTGTCTTGCTTAGGTACCTTGCTTACCTTGCTTACTTACCTTGTTTGTTGGGGAATGGTGATTTAGTGGGGACCTTTTTGAACTATTATGTGAGGGGAGGGAGGGGTATATTGGTTCTATGTGGGGGGAAGGAGGGGGGGCTGGGAGGAGAGGTGGATTATCGTGTTATGCAGATATCATAATATGTACTCATAGTTGGATAGATGATTTTGAGCTTCAAGCTTAAGTTTTGTACAACGTGGAGAGGACATTCGAAAAAAAAAAAATCCAATTGAATATGGAATTGATTAGTGAAGAAAGATGAAAAAAATGTTGCTTGCGATTACGAAGCTTGAGCGGGGATTTTGAAGAGATTTGATTTTCTTCTCTTGCGTTTGGTTCTGATGGAAGAAGAAGGTGTAGGATGTACCTACCTGGCAGTTACATGTACAAGTAGGAGCAACGAGCAGAAAAACTTTGTCCTTCCTTCATGCCAAGGTTAACCGAACGGCTTTTCCAACCTCGCAGCGAACCAACGAACGAACGAACGCCTCACTTCTGCATTCCATGCAACTCACACCACTTTGTTCTCCCTCTCTAATCCAACACATAGCTAGCGTAGCGAAACATTACCAAATCCAGAATGCAACAAGAAAAAATAGAAGGAAGAAGAAGAAAGTGACGAAGCTGCAGCCCCGTGCAGGAGAAAAAAGAAAAGGCTATGTTTCCTTTGACCAACGCCTCATATTTCCCAAATAGGAAGGATTGATCGGCTAGACATTCCAATCGCTCTTCCTCACGTCCTCGGCTCTAGCCTCGATCATAAGGGATTGGATCGATGGAGTGAGTTGGATCGATGGATCAATGGGTATTCCTGCGCTACGGTGCAGTGAGTGCGCGAGACATGTGAGATGGGGAACAACAACCTTTGCAGCACGCGCCGATCCAACAACATACAAAGCTCACATGCTGGATCCGCACAATGCTGATGCTGATGCTGCTGCTGGTGCTCCATAGGAACAATTCCTAGAGGCGGTGACCAAGGACGTGTCTACACCGTCTATCCGAACAAGTCACACACCCCCATAGCTACTCGTACTAGCTCCGGTGTGGCAAACTCCCCCTATGGGTATGTGAGTGGCAACTGTTCATGCAACATGCACGATAGCATCAATCAATCTCGAATCCAAATGTTGCGTTGCCTCGCATGGCAGGGCCATCACATGACATTTGGGAGTCGTGGTTGACGCTTGACAATGACTCTCTTTTGTCGCCCCCCTTCTAAAAACAGATGGGATATGCATGCAAGGCCGTTTTGTATCATGTTCAACGGGGGGAGTGGGATGAAACGCGATAGCTGCATATCCTAAGGTTTGTCATGGAGGGTTTTTTTTATTATGGGTGCGGATAGGGATAGGGAGTAATAAAGAAAAAAAAAAGGATCGGGTAGGTAGAATCTGTGATTTCTTTCTTTTTTTCAATTCAATAGACGGATAGACGGATAGATGGATGGAGAAGGGGAGGTTGGGGATAGAGTAGTCACGGAGGTTTGTTTGGGCAAGGGAATTCAGGGAGGTTGTGGAATTGGACCCTGAAAAAAACAAAGGACGGCGAAAGAATAACCGTTTTCACTAGCACAACAGTTTAGGGGTCTCCCGCAAAAAGAAAAGGGAGAGAAGAGAAAGAGAAAAAGAAAAAGAAAGCTAGAAAACGCAGGAATACCGAAAGCAAAGCACACATCACACGAGAAGAAACAAGGAACACAGAAGGAAAAGAAGATTAGACTGCAGGCAGCCGATGTGGTGGGCACGTGCACGGGGATGGCAAACGACACGGGCGGGCGCGACGCCGCATTGCAACTGTGGGGGATGGCGAGTGTGTTTTGCGTGTCAGTGATGCCATCCCCCCTCCCCCCCAAAACAAATTTTCATTTTGGTCGCTATGTTCTAGGGAGAAGGCGAAATGAGATTGCGCAAAAGGCATTGATTGCCCAAACACGCGTTAGAGGATCTGATGGCATGCATTGCACGTCGCGAGTATTTATATATACCTAGGTACCCCCAAAAGATTCTCTCCGGCTATTGCGTCTTCGGGAGAGACGGTTGACGCGTCGCCAACAGGAGACAGGTCGGAAAGTTTGAAGAATGGCAGCGCACGGGACAAACGCCAAGAGCCAAATCACGGAGGATTTTATTTCTTCTTTCTCTTTTTGTGCTTCGATTGAGACTGTCGAGTGGTCGGCGAGGGCGGTCTGGAGCAAGTCATGGGAGAGGGCTGGAGGGCGTAGCAGTGGTGGACAATTTCCGCAGGCAGCGAATGGAGCGTGGACAAGAGATGACATGGCGCGGTAGCGCGGATGGTGCGAATTGGGCCACGCCGTGAGGAATCCCGTGTGCTCTGGTTTCCCGGCCGCCCGCTCGAGCACGCACCGCAACGCACGAGGTGCGGGAGCATGGATGCCTCGTTGCGACCGGGCACGCACACGACGTTGGCCATGGTTGCCCTCTGCTGTATGGGGATGAATATTGGCCGCTGATGATCAATCAGTCAATCAGTCAGTCAGTCTCTGTATCAATTGAATGAGTGAATGAGTGATGGATCCGTTAGCTGGCGGTTCCTTGCATGTGGACTTGTGCATTGGTAATGGTGCATTATTATATACACCAGAGTGCATAGATTATACCATGGCGCGGCCGTCTCACACGCCGGATGGGTGTTTGCTCATCAGTACTTGGTCGAGCAACTGGGGCAAATTGAATGCTTCAAGGGGAGAGTAGGGAGGGAGAGAGAGGCTTTTCAGCTCGTCAGTGACCATGTATGTACCAAGTCATGCAATTGTACTGTCCTCCATCTGCTACCGAGTTACCGAAGTCCCGGCTTGCGCCATGTGTAATCTATCTATGTACCGTGGCATCGGAAGGCAAACGACAAGACCTTCTGAGCTGCATTTTCTTTGGAGGGGACCACGGGTTGCCGTGTAGAGTGAATGAATAGTTGCATGCAAACACTGCCCTCACTCTCTTCTTCTCCTTCTTCAATTTCAAAATGTATCATCTGATGATTCCTAGCTCTATATTCACCTGCACGTTAGCATTCAGCCCAACGGGAGGCTGCTAGTATAGTACGTGAGATAGTCGTGCGTGCAGCCAACCAGGGCTCCCCCGTCTCCCGTTTCCCCCTGCTTTTTCCCTTGGACAGCCAAACGCGACATGTACAGACATACATTATACACTACCAACCACCACCACCACCACCACTACCACTACCTCCCTATTCGTTTACCGCCCTGCCTGTGCCTGCTGTACCCTTTTCACACCTCTCTGCGTGTCGTCCCCTCTTTTGCTGGATGAAGTGACCTGCTTGCCCGCCTGCTTGCCTGTCCAGCCTAAACTCTCTTGGTCCCGCGCGCCTTACCCTACCCAGACATACACACCACCACCCACTCACCTTCTGGTCCGCCCGCCGACCAACTCACCTACATACTCCTCCCTCCCTCTCCCTCTCCCTCTGCACACCGCGTGCACATAATAATAATACCCCCCACCCGACTCCCCTCAATTGCGTATGCCGCCTCTTTAACCCCCTCGCCCGCACTCACGGCTGCCCTCCGACTTCTCCACCCCCCTCGTCGCCCTGGTTGGTTGCTCCCCACGGGCTGACCACTTGCGCACGATCCCTTCCGCTTCCACCCACGGCATCGTTGCCTCACCACAAGTGATGGCCTCGACTGCCTCGCCGCCCGCATCGCCGCCCGGTGCTTTGCAGCGCCCCATGAGCGCCATGATCCGCTCCAATCGCTCCAGCAGTAGGATGAGCATGAGCAGCAAGCAAGGCGGGTCGCGCGCCTCCGACGAGGACTCCAAGACGGCCGTCAAAGTCGGTATGTCTCACCCTCGACCCTCCATCTCGTCCTCGACATCCTTTCCCTGCTAACTGACCATCGTGAAGCCGTTCGCTTGCGCCCGGCGCTGAAGCCCGAAGACCCGGGCTACGAACTCATCCCCCAGCGTTTCCGTCACTCCACCGTTCAACTTACCTCGCCGTCCAGTCTCGCTGTCGATGCATCCAACGGCCGCAAAGTCTTCGTCTTTGACCGTGTCTTTGGAGAGGATATTGATCAGGAGGGTGTCTTCGAATACGTCAACGAGAGCGTCAACTCCTTCGTTCAAGGTTACAATGTCTCCATTCTCGCATACGGACAGTCGGGTGCTGGAAAGTCGTACACCATGGGTACCACGGGCCCAGGCGACCAGAGCGACGCACGCATCATGGGTAAGAATTCAACATTTGGTCTTGTACACGGAGCTCGGGTTGCTGACTACATTCTCCAGGTATAATACCTCGCGCTGCTGCGCTACTGTTCGAGAAGCTAGATGGCCCAAACAAAGCTGCCGGCTCTGGCATAAGAGCACCCTCACGTCTCTCCGGCCTCGGCTCTGCCCAGGCCATGCACTCCAAGTCGTCGGCCAATAAAAATTGGCAGCTCAAGGCAACCTATGTAGAGGTAAATGGCAGGCGCCCCTACTATGTTGGGATACCCCGCTAATCACTCCTTCCCTTCTCAGATTTACAACGAGCAGCTTCGCGATCTTCTCGTGCCCGAACACACTCCGCTGAACGAGCGCCCCAATGTCACCATCCGCGAGGACACCAAGGGCCGCATCCTGCTCACCGGCTTGACGCAGATCTCCATCAACTCCGCCGAGGACCTGCTCAATGCCCTCAACTTTGGGTCCTCCATCCGTCAAACCGACTCCACCGCCGTCAACGCCAAATCCTCCCGTTCGCACGCCGTCTTCAGTCTGAACCTGGTGCAGAAGAAGAGCGGCTCAGCACCGCTGACCAAGCGCGAGAAGCGCATGTCCGTTCCCATTGAAGCCATGTCTGGCAACAACAGCGAAAGCATGGTCACCGTGGACAGCAAATTGCACTTTGTCGATTTGGCCGGTAGCGAAAGGTTAAAGAACACTGGTGCACAGGGTGAACGGGCAAAGGAGGGTATTTCCATCAACGCCGGTCTCGCTAGCTTGGGCAAGGTCATTTCCCAGCTGTCCTCGCGCTCCCACGGCGCTCACGTGTCATACCGTGATTCGAAGCTCACCCGTCTGCTCCAAGATTCGCTCGGTGGTAACGCCATCACATACATGATTGCATGTGTGAACCCTGCCGAGTTTCACTTGAGCGAGACCCTCAACACGGTTCAGTACGCCCAACGCGCTCGTGCCATCCAGATCAAGCCGCAGATCCAGCAAGTCAACGATGACAGCGACAAACAAGCAGTCATCGAGAGGTTACGGGCCGAGGTCTCGTTTCTGCGTGACCAGATTCGACTTTCGGAGCGCACCGACCGCAAGAAGGCGAGCCCCCAAGAGCGGGGCGAACGCCAACAGGAACGCGAAATGGAGCTGCAGAACTCGTTACTCGACATACAAGAGAACTACAGCGCTCTTAGCGCTCGCCATGCGAAGCTTATCTCCGAAATAACAAAGGCTCGCGACAACGACTCGGCCGAAACACCCGTGCTCAAGGACGCTATTGGCGACTCTGCGCTAGAGCGACTCAAGCGTTCCAACTCGTTTGCCGAAGCCGTGGAATCCGTGGTTCTAGAATACGAAAAGACGATCCAGAGCTTGGAATCCTCATTATCAAACACTAGGTCTTCTCTGTCCACCAACGAGAGCGAACTTTTGGAGAAGGAGACTAGAATCGCCTTCCTGGAAAACCAAGCACAGCAGCTGCAATCCCGCATCCAGAAAGCCGTGGACCGCGAACAGAGCAACGAGGAATACGTCAAAACCCTCGAGGCACAAGTGGACAACTCGACTTCTGGAATCGAGAGGAATGATACTACGATTGCCGATCTGCGAGAGAAGCTGCAGCGTGCACGCGAAAATGAATCGACTGCCGAAGACTATATTTCCACCCTTGAGGAGCGCCTCGCTGAGAACGAGCAGGAGGTAGACCTGATGCAGAGAGAGATTGAACGTTTGAAGCATGTCGTCGAGCGACAGCGCAGCATCGGAAAGCTGGACAATCTTCTATACGAACTGGACAGCATCCGACAGACTGAGCCAAAGGGCGAGGAAGCGCACCTCAATGGCCATTCCAAGAAGGCCAGCGAATCTTCCATTGAGATGCGGCCATCGGATGAGCACAAACGCCAGTTCAGCACTAGCGTGGATGCCATTGCAGAGGAGGAAGACGGAGAACGTCCGTCTACGCCACCTCCAACTGATCCTGTTGAGACGGATGGTGTGGCCGAAGACGATGCCGAGGAGAAGCCCGCTCCGGCCGTTGCCACCAAGGACCTTGCACCGGAAGAGGCCATCGACATGCCTCAAAGCCCTGCACAATCGAGATTTGTCGAGGACAAGCTAGAGAACGTCACTCAAGAGCTATTCGACCTCCGTATGGAGCACGAGGCAACTCTGCAAGATCACGATAGGCTGGCGAGCAAATACCAGGAGGCCTTGCGCACGCTTGCCTCTCTGCAGGATGCTGTGGAGGAGGCACGTCATCGACGACCATCTCTTACCGAATCGTCTCGGCCAACATCTTTTTTAGCGGACGCGGGGGTGAACGGCCTAAAAGTAGAGGGTGGACAACCATCATCCTCGCGTACATTGTCTGCGGAGTTGTCCTTGGTCGAATCGCGTACTACATCTACGAATCCCGAGAACGAGGATACGGAAGCGGGAGCAGCAGCAGAGAACTCTGAGGCACCAGAGGGTGTGACTGAGTCTCGCGCTGTCACCCTCGCTCAGAATGAGGCGACTTTGTTGCTGGAAATGGAAAGCCTCAAGAAGCTGCACGCTGAAAAGGAGCAGCGTATGGTCGAGCTCAACCAAAACTACGTCGAGCTGGAAGACCAGCACCAGAATACGCTCGACTACGTTGAAGAGCTCAAGACGGAGATTGCCAAAGCTCAAATGCATCGCCCTCAATCGCCAACTGCGCACATCATCCGACGAAAGTCCAGCCAGAGCACGGTCGCCGTTGATCGTGCGAACCGCGCTTTTGCTTCGCTCCGCAACATAGCCATGGACAATTTCGAGGAGCAGCCCGAGACTGTCGCCAGCTTCGAGCTCAATCTCAATGCCATCATGAACGAGCTACACGCCAAAACCGAGCGAGTGCAAGACCTGGAAACCGATGTTGCGTCTGTGCGCAAGGAGATGGAAACTAAGATGACTTTGATCAGCGGTCTCACAAAGGAGCGGTCGAGTCTGAAGGCATCGTCTCCTCTTGACATTTCTGTGGTCGCGACCATGCAGGATAGGATCAAACAGAACGAGGATGAAATGAAACAGCTCCGAGAGGAGCATTCTAAGCGCGAGAAAGACCTTCTCAATCAGGTTGCTGAGCTCAAAGCATCTGTAGCGCCTGTGCAGTCTTCCGAGGAGCCCTTATCTCCCCGCCAGATCGCTCCGGCTGTTGCATCTAAATCCATCGACGATGTTATTGTTCCTGAGGGTGACGATGCCCGCCAAGAGCAGCTTACGAGACTGCAGAGCGAAGTCGCGGAATGGCAATCTAAGCACGTCCAAGCAATTGAAGCTACCAAGGCGTCCGAGAAGCAGCACGTGGAAACTGTGCAGAACCTGGAGACTACCCTGAAGAAACTCGAGTCCGATCACTCGGTTCGCATCGCTGAAATGGAACAGTCACAGAGTGCGGGCGTCGAAGCGATGCTCAATGAAGAAAAGGCCAAGCACGCCGAGCTCGTGGCTGCTCTTCAGAATCAGGTTGACGAGCACAAAGCTACCGCTGGTCAGAATGCTGCTCGTCTTGCTGAGCTGGAAGAGTCGCACGCCAAGATTGTTCAGCAATACGAAGAGAATTATGAAGCAGCCCAGCTCAAGGAGAGGGAGCTCGATACCCACAAGTCGCTCTTGCTCAACCTCGAGCAACAGGTCGAACAGCACAAAGCTGCTGTCGATTTCCACGAAAAGAGCATCGAGAGTCTGAAGGAATCCCACTCTGCTGACCTGGAGAAGCTCAACAAGGAGATTGCTACGCATCAAGAGACTTCGCAGACTTTACAATCTGAGTTGAACCAGGCGAAGACCGACATGGAGAAGCTGCTTGCAGATGTGTCGACCGCTCTAGATGAAGAGACCGACATGACCCAGATTCAATCTAGACTTCAAAATCTGGTCGAAGAGCGCAAGTCTCTCAGCTCCAAGATGGAGAAGGCTGTGGAAGATCTCAGCGCGGCGAGGAATGAGCTCACCGCAGCTACCAACACCATTAGCACGCTCAAGGGCAGTATGAAGGAAATTGAAGGCATCAACGCCGACCTTCTCAAGGAAATCAAGCGTGTGACCGACAAGGAACTGAAGAGCTCCCGACTTGTGCAAGAGCTCGAAGAGCAGCTAAGCCAAAATTTCGACCAGCATGCAGCTGCCACCAATCGCCTGTCGGCTCTCCAGACGGAACGCAGCAAGGAGCTTCAGAACTCCATCACCCGCAAAGAGGAGCTCGAGAAGGAAGTTGAACAAGCCCGTATTCAAGTGGCCCTTTTGGAGGTAAGTCTTGTTTGTTATATTGGTAAATTTGAAATCCCTGCTAACGACAACAGTCTCAACTCGTTGACGCCAAGCGCCAATCTAACCGGGAGTCTCTCGTTGATCCTCGCGAAAACTTGCAGAGGTCCAACTCGAAGGATTCAAACCTGCGCAAGAGCACTTCCCACAACTCTTTGCCTTCACCTCCTCCGGCCATTCCTCTTCCCCCTCTTCCCGGAAGTCCTCCCCCCACTTCGCAGGCCAACAACGCACCTTCCCCACCCACATCCCGCCACCAGAGCAAGGATATTGCCCATGCTCAGCTAGTCGAGGACCAGGAAGCTCGCATCCGAACCATCGAGAAACACTTGTTCGCCGAGAAGCAGCTCACAGCCACGCTAGAAGATGCGCTAACGGACCTGGAACTATCAAGCAACAAAACCAAGTCCGAAATCGACAATTGGAAGAAGAAGTGCAGCAACTTGGAAGAAGAGCTTGCTTCTCTCAAGAAAGAGCGAAGCATGGCACGCCACTCACTCCAGGCCGTCGAGGAAGAGCGCAATGCACGCCTGCGCGTCGAAGCCGAGCGTGCGCATCTAGAGGCCCGCATGGCCGCCCTCAACAACAGCAGCAAAAAGAAGAAGAAGGGTGGCTTGAACTGCTTCTGAGGCAATCTTCTTTCCCAACCTTTTTCTTTCCTCCCTTTCTTTGTTTATTATCTGCCGATACCCCCCTTCTCGCCGGCTCCTGTACTCGTCTCGGCTTGTACCACCCGCCATCTCCCTTTTTTTACATACCAAAAAACTTCTTCAGTGTAAACAATTTAACCTCCTTGTCCTTCTGCACAAATTGCTTGCTCTGGCTTTTGGGGGAGGTTTCGACGAGCGTAAGACGGGTCGTGAGCCTTCCTGCTTTGCCGTCCTCTTTTTCCCTTTCTCCTTTACCTACTTACTTACTCTCTTCGTATACTTACTTTACTTTTCCTATCTTGTCTGGTCTGTTGGTCTGGATGGATAGGAAGAAAAAAGACTTGGGGGGAGGAATGGCCTTGATGATTTGAGAAACTCTTTTTCGTGGAATGTTTTGGAAGATTTGTTTCTTTTTCTTTGTTCAACATTGTGTTCTTTTCCTTTCTTCCTTTTATTAATGTTTTCTTCTATGAGGTAGACGGGGTAAGGGGGGAAGGGAAAGACAGAAGGAGCCTGCGAAAGGTTGATGGATGGATGGATGGAAGACGAGACGAGACTTTAACTCTTAAGTTCGTCGTTTTGCTTTTGCTTTTGCTACATACCCCCGATACACCAAATGTCCTTGTTTTATCTGACCGTGTTCTTTCTCTCTCTTCTTGTATGCTTGTGTATGTGTGTTGTGTCTAGTCTATGAGTGTACGTATGTCAGTCAGTGTGTGTGTATTCAATCAATCAATCAACCAAGCAATTCCATGACCGTTGTATATAACAACAACGGTGTCTACCTAAATCATTTGATGACCATACAGTCCTATCCCAATCAATCAGTCAGTCCTGTCCTTCAACCCAACCTCTCGACTTTTAGTCTACAAGGGCTCCACTCCTTATACCCATTCCACGCATACCACGCAACAAGAAAAGGAGAGAAGAAGAAGAAGAAGAGGAGGGAAAAAAAAAAGACTTATAACCAATAGACATGATCCAATTCTATCAAAAATCAAATTCCGAATCTAACCCACACCATCTAAACACGAACCCAAGATTTATAGAAAAGGAACGTAGATCAAAAAGTCCCACTACTAGAGTCTAGAGTCAATCAACGAGATTATTACATGTACACTTACTATATCTATTTTTACTTTTTAATCTTTACTTAATAATCTTATATAAAGGTAGAATTTATTTATTTCTTTTAGTTATTAGTTATTATTCCAGTACTTTTATTGCTGTAGATTATTCATTTATATATAAAATTACTTAAACTTTTACTTAAAATTAATAAATTGATTTATTTTATTTGTTTTAAGTTAGAGTTAGAGTAAAGGTAATCCTACACACAGCAATAGGTAACAATAATAAATAAAACTAAATAACAAGCAATAACTAAAAGAACGAGTAAATATATTACTACTATTAATTAAGATAAAAGCTTTATAAAGCTATTAATTTTTTTTTTTTTTTTTTTTTTTTTTTTTACATTAGCTTTTACATGTAGCAGAGACAGCTTGTTAATAATTTTATTAAAATGCTATACTAAAGCAGTACAGAAAGAGTAGCACATGTTTCTATGCAACAAACTACAGAACATGTGTCCTGCCTAGAGCTTAAAAGCATTTATTGTGTAATTTTTTAATACCTAGTGTTTATGCCGCATGGAAATGCGATAAATTATTATTACTTTTAGTTTCTATGTAACGCGCGGCGTTTTTGTTAGTCCATCTTTTGCATAGTGTTTCCTTTATACATTGAGTAAAGTTTGATGTTGTTGGATGTTGGGCTCTCTAGTCTTGTGGGTGGCGTTTGCACCTCGCTTTTCGAAGAAGTAAGCGTGGTGCGTGAGTGAAGCGTCATTCAAGCTGGAGATCAAACCTCGCAAATACAATTCTGTTTACTTGGATTTCGGGTGAATCAATGTCCTGATCGGTCATCGAAAAAGGGGAGCGAGTCACTGAGCTTATCCTTTTGGATTCGGCATGCCCAGCATTGATTCCACCTTTCACGTTGGGCTTATTGGAATTTTTTGACAGTATAGACCGATTTCATGGGCCGAAATCTGATAGTGAGTACAATATAGATGTCGGCCGTCCCGAAAATACCAGCCAGAACCGGGATAAGAAAATGAGTCATCGACATGTACTGGGAACGTTGAGGAGTTTGCATTCTTATGAGCCCCTGCCCATACCGGAAGGTAAAGCACCACAGACTCTGCTAGTATGCGCTCAACGAGGTGTCGATGGATCGAAGAAATTGAAGCGTCCATCGGTGACACCAGAGGAGAAGATTGTAGTTAACTGGGTGTTGGACGATCGCGGCAGTTCCGTGAGAGACACTTTTGGTTGGAACCGTTTAATACCGGACGACGAAATCACCGTCGTTTCCGTGGAGGGAAACCACTTCTCTCTCATGACGGAGCCATCTGTATGACCGCCAGTTCAGTCGAAGTGCGTGAACATTTTGCTAACTTGTATGTCGCAGATTAGTCTTGTACGACAAGAAATGGAACGCTTTCTAGGTGCGTCAAAGTAGACAGCTTCGAGCGGAAAAACACTGATACTCAATTCGAAGCCCGTAAATCCCGGACGCCGAGGGAAGAGCTCGATACTTTGCTGGAATACGCCTTGAGACAAGACGAAATTGACGCCTTGAAGGATGTTCGACATGAGTTCTTCATACCTCACGCTCGAAATCCTGGGAAGGAAACTGGTGAGTGATCTTATACTTTGAGCACTGACCAGGTGTGCTCTTGCATAGTCCTCGCTAATACCCTAACGTAGAGTCTCTCCAGGATAACGAGAAGATGATATATCTGGTTGGTTCTGGGATTGGATTGCAGCCGAAAAATATCATGACCCGGACAAGCTCGTTTCTCAATCACTGGGCGAGTCAAGGCATGCTCGCCGCATTTTCCTCCTCGCCTGACCCCGAATGCCCTACATGGCTTGATGCGGAACAGCTGGTAGCACGACTAATGGCACCCATTGTCGGGGCGCGCGACGATGAAGTCGCCATGATGGGCTCGTTGACAGCGAACCTGCACTACTTGCTGGCTACGTTCTACCGCCCACATGAAGGAGGAGGATGCCGAACTCGTATTATCATTGAAGAGGGAGTCTTCAATAGTGACCTAGTGAGCCATACCACAAGATAAAATGGCTAGCCGTGACTCACCATTGGCAGTATGCTGTTCAGTCGCACGTTGCGTGGCATGGTCTCGAACCTGCTGTCGAGATTATACCGGTCGCCCGCAATAGGCATGACTTCCTATCGACGCAAGCAATTCTAGAGACTATAGATGCACACTCTAATACTGCGGCATTGCTACTATTGTCTGGTGTTCAGTTCGACACCGGCCAACTACTTGAGATACCTCAAATTACAGCGTATGCTCGGGAGAGAAGTATTCTAGTGGGGTGGGACCTTGCGCACGCCGTTGGGAACGTCGAACTTCGATTGCACGACTGGAACGTCGACTTTGCTGTTTGGTGCTCATACAAGTATCTGAACGCTGGCCCTGGGGCGACCGGCGGACTATTCTTGCATGGCAAACACGGAACCAGTGAAGTAAACCCACGGCTGTCTGGTTGGTGGGGTATGCCTGTGTCGCAAAGATTTACTTTGCAGAAGCGTAAGTGATGCCCTGTTTCTAGATCACCGTTTCTTTCCAATTCAATCATGTCTAACGCTTCGCGAGCTATCACACTCTGCACGAACTGCTCGTCGGATAATTCAAGCTAATCACGGACATCGGTACAGAATATGTTCCAAATGCGGGCGCTTCAAGATTTCAGCTTTCCAGCCCATCCATTCTCGATATTACAGCCGTCACCGCCTCACTTGTCATCTTCGAGAAAGCTGGCATGCGAGCGATAGTTGAGAAATCTATAAAGCTGACGGGATATCTGGAGACCCTACTCGATTCTCTTGAAAATCCCGGCTTATCAGCCTGGCCATTGTGGACTATAATCACCCCACGGGATATAAAATACCGCGGCGCAATGCTAAGTCTCCGTTGGTATGAGCCTGAGTGTCTTGAGCGGGTAGTAGGGTATCTGAAAGTACGTGGGGTTTTGGTCGATGTGCGAAAACCGGATATTATGCGCATCACTCCAGCCCCTTTGTACAATACATTCGAGGAAATCAACCATTTCGTGGAGGAACTCAGAAGAGCCGTAGCCGAAGCTTGACAGGAGACGCAGGGATGTAGTACAGGTGTATGATTAGAAAGCTTTCCCTGGCAACCATCTTTGGTGGAAAAAAATAAATTCATTCAATCTCGATGGACTGAAAAGCATTCACAAAAGCCTTCACCAGACTGGCAAAGATGGAGAAAAAAGTAACACAGCTGAGAGCAGTTTGTAGACGGGGACTCCATGAGCAAATCGTTGAAAACATTCGCCTTGGCGGTCTACACCCAACATGTGCATACCTAGGTACATACATACATATGTATATATGTAGTTCCGACATTTCCCACGTGACTTTTCTTGTGGGGTGCATGATTTTCTCCCCTGCGACTATGGCAGATTCGCCGCACTCTAAGGGAGAACACTGAAGGCCCTAGAGAGAGAGTAGCCATTAACTATCACGATTTCGAAGACAGTGACGCGACTGACGCCTAAAGTATTATCATTATTACTAACAGAGGAGTGAAGAAAAGTAGAGTAGCCTACTTGTATTAGGCGGCAAAAAAGAACAAGGGGAAGAGGAGAACATGCATACGTTCATACAATAGCATATACACATGTCGCATGGGACATTCATCATGAACGGACGGTGATATTTCATGATTTTTTATTTCTCAATCGTTGTGTTCTGAGCTGATTCCCACTTGCTCGCTCGCCGTGTATATCTAATTACTCCGCCTCGGCATTCACTTCCACCCGGACCGACAAAACGAGAGCAAGAGAGAGGGAAATGGTTGTTGAAGAGGGGGTGAAAAAGCTCAAAAAGCGAGAGCTTGAGGCACCAATCGTCCAGCTGCAAAAAGGAAAAGGAACAAAAAGTTGAAGCAGAAGAAAGAGAGATTCCCGAAGAGAAGTCTAACACGTTTGCGATCTCCAAAATCCTGGGGGTATTTTTTTGGGAGGAAAGCGGGGGATAAGAGGAGGGCGTAACCGGATTATTCGAATTTTCTTCATGCGAAATCGGCCGAGTAGGAGAAACCGCGGAACTCTTCTTGCATAGCTTGCGAAAGAACTGAGAGAGCCGAGGGTTAGCCAACAGTATATAACCACAAGTGACAAGGGCAATAGACTTACCAGACTGTACAGGGGTCAAGACGGGTGTGACGCTTGTGAACTCGGTATCGAAATTGCTGGTATCCGTTGCGCTCGTGATCTGCGGAATGAAGGGCGCCGGAATCCTCTTGTGGTAGACGTCGTCCCAGTTGATGTTCCTGAAGAAGGCGTGACTCATGATTTCCTGCGCGTCGGTAGGTCCAGATCCCAATCGCAGCTCGGGCTCGCGCGTAAGAAGTTTCTGGAGGATAGAGACGCTATCTCGAGGCATGTGAATCGGGTACAAGGGCTCATCAGCGAGGATGGCATCGTAAATCTCGTCTTCGTCTTCTCCACGGAATGGCGATTGCTGCAGCAGCATCTGGTAAATCAAAACACCAAAAGCCCACCAATCTACCGCTCGACCGTACTTCTTGTCGAGAAGAATCTACCAAAGGTCAGCAACCACCACAGGTTAACATTGAAAAGACGACAAGACCTACCTCTGGGGCCATGAATTCAGGAGTACCACAGAAAGTGCTTGTAGTCGAACCATACCACATCTCCTCTTTGCACAAACCGTAATCAGCAATCTTGATATGTCCGTCCAGTGTAAGGAGAATGTTGTCAAGTTTCAAATCTCGGTAGATGACGCCGTTCTCATGGAAATACTTTAACGCAAGGCACACCTCCGCGGCATAAAATCTAAAGCGAAATCAGCAACAACCACAAGCGACGGGCGCAACTTGACTTACTGGGCTCGTTTAGTCCCGAACTGGCCTCGCTGAATGTGCAACATCAAGTCTCCACCACTGATGTATTCCATGACGAAGTACACTCTGGTTTCCGTCTGGAAACAAGCATGGAGATTGAGCAGGAAGGGGTGGCGTTCCTTGTTGGCGATCAGGAACACCCGCTTCTCGGACCGAGTGCTCTCCACTTCATCATTTTCGATGATGAACTCCTTCTTCAACACCTTGATCGCATAAAGCTGCTTGGAGCTTTTCGTTTCAGCCAACATGACCTTACCGAAATTACCTTTGCCTAGTACGGCAAGGAAATTGAAATGGTCCAAGCCGATCCTCCTTCCGGTCCCTTGGGTGTTGGCTGAAGGGGTTACCTTATCCGCTGGCGCCTTTGTCAAAGCAGATGTAGGCGCTGGGGCCTGTGACTGTGACGGGGGTGGCTGCTGCTGCTTCATCTCGGCCTGATGCGGTGGAGGTTGAGGCTGTGCCTGTGCCTGCGGCTGATGTTGTGGTTGTGTTGGGGATGTGGCCGGAATCTGAGGAAGGGGGTAAGATTTGCTTGGCGGCTGCTGCTGGTGGTAAGGGCTCTGCTGAGCCTGGTGAGGGTGCGTGGGGATGTTCGCGTAGTCTTGGGGATTATAACCCACTTGTGGGGGTGCCTGCTGCTGTTGGGGTACACGCTGGTCTTGAGGGTAACCACTGCCCGATGTGCGTTGCTGCCCTGAAGGAGGGTAGTCGCTCTGTGAACGGTTGTACCCGGGAGACGTAGCCTTCATGGCCGCCGCTGCCGCCGCTCCTGCTGCTCCTGCTGCTGCTCCAGATGGGTTCTGGTGTGACTGCGCGCGCGGACCGGAGGGGGGTCGTTGAGAAGTCGGTGAAGTAGGAGTCGGGTTCGAACTAGAGGAGGTATATGAGCTGCGAGCCGCTTCGACCGATGTCATCGAGGGACCATACGAGTGTTGGGAGTACAGCTCAGGCTGGCTAGGTGCACCTGAGCTCGCCGACGCCGGGTATGAGGAGGATCCTGATGGAGCAGTGGAAGAGGGTTTGGATGGTCCTTTTGGCTTCCTAAGCGTAGCTTCAGTCATGCTGGGACCAGAAGCCGATTTTCCTCTGTTGGTTTTCTTGATCTCCATCAGAATATGATTAGCAGTCTCCATCGACATGCCGCAGAAGTCGGGGACAAAGTGAACACATCCAGCGTGGCAGAACAAGCCACATTCTGTCAAGATCAGTCAACGTCGAGGCAATTTGCTAATGGGCATATAAGTACTTACCTGCACATTTTTGGCTCTGTTTACGACCAAGTGGCAGTATATAACCACAGTGGCAGCACCAGTTGGCACCCATGTTGTTGTAGTTGGTGAAACGATGAGGGATGCGATGGTTCAGCTTGGCTTCGTCCGGATCCGTCTCTGCGTTGGACTGCGTGATGCACTTGGTAACCACCTTGGGATAGCACTTCTTATGACATGTGTACTTGCAGTCTGAGCACTGCATACCAGCGGCGTACTTGAGAAACTCTCCACAGAGAGCACAACGCATGATGTTGTAGAACTGTTGCTGCATGAACTTGTGTCCATACTGCTCCACGATCTCCTCCTTGCGCTGGCGGATGGCGCCTTTTCGCCCAAGACCGGCGTCAAAGGGCTGCTTGTTCCTGGCATGTTTGACTGCGAGAAGTTAGATTCCATGACTTGCCTCGTCGTCAGGATGCTCTTACCGAATGCCATTGTCAAATGTATACGCCCAACAGGCTCCAGAGAAAACCAATCGTCAATGAAGACGGGCCCTGATTGTGGCTGCGCGGCTCCCATGCCACCGGGACCAGGAGGTCTCATACCTCCACCAGGGCCGCTGGCGCTGGCTGCAAAATTCTGGCCTGGAGGTGGTTGGAATTGGATGTCGGGCTGTGGTCCGCCGTCACCACCCATTCTATCAGCTGAGACCCAACCAGAATTCTGAAGCTCGCTTTCGACTTTTTTACGACGCATTTCTTCGGCGATATCCGAGATCCGGACCCAGAACATGCCTATTGGAAGTGGATTATCGTTGGTCTTGTCATAGACGGTGATCTCAATCTCGTTTGCCTTGTCAATGTCAAATTCGTGGATCTCGTCGAGCCATCGGTCGTTCCTGGTAGGCTTAGTGCGTCCTTTGATGCTGTCTTCCACTTTAATATTAACAAAGGTCTCGGGACCTCGACTGAATCGGCCTGTCGCAGCATGGTCGACATCGGCCACGGCGTGGACACGCAAGGACAAGTGACCACTGAGAGGTTTCCTTTGGCTTGGCACGCTCAAACTATCATCTGTCATACCATTGTCAACAAGCTGAAACGCAGGGAGTCACGGGGGAAAAACCCTTACCATCGCGGTCGTCCGAGGTATCAATATCCACGTGGAGGTCCTCGTAGCGCTTCAATGACTGCTTAAGGAGCTGGATCTTTTGGTTACTCTCGATGCGCTTAGCCTCGGCGTCTGCCTTGCTCTTGCGATCACCCTCCATTTGGTATAGGCGGACCATCTTCTCGATTCCATCCTTGTATTGCTTCTCCACACTGAGCTTGAATTCGAGCTGCGACAGCATAAGCTGGATGCGGGGTCCGAGATGCGGGGTATTATCTTTGATCAAATCTGCGGACAGTTGTCAGCCAAGAGAACAGTGAAGGAGGGACTATTTGTCTGTCAAGAGGCGTACCGAGTTTGCTGTAATTTGCACGTTTTGCTTGTTTATCGCCCGGGCCTGGGGGTGCAAACGGGGCTCGCGGGGGCATCAGGCCTCGACCACCGCTCGGGTTACCATGGCCTGCCTGAGGGTCTCCATAACCACCTTGATCCGGGCCAGCGTAGGGATCCCAACCATCCTTGGGGGGAGGGGTGAGAGGGTTGTTGGCCTTGTTGCCGGGCTGCAGGCTCATGTTGTCCATGCTGGACTGTGTTTGCTGCATGGCAATGTCGCGCAGTTTGGACTCGAAGTACTCAATGTTGCGGCGGCCATCGCGGATCTGGCCATCGAGTCGTGAGAGAACGGCGGGATTGTTTGTCGACTGGCGCATGGCATTGGCGGCATTGATTAGGGCCTTCTCCCTGTTGATCTTGCTGTGCACAGCAGCAACAGTCTCTTCGAGGCTCATGGCGAATTAGGGCGGCGCGGTGCCAGGGCTAAAGCGGGAAGTGAGAAGGTGTCGCAGCAGGGAGGGAGGTGGGTGAGAGTCAATGTTGGGCGTGCGAGGGCGTGACCATCTACGGACGAGGTCGAAGCGGGGTGGGCGCGGGCGGCGTGCAACACACAAGCGGGCGGGCAGGACGGCAGGCAGGCAGCAGAGCGACAGGCTCGGACAAGAGCCACGAAGCGAATGAAAGAATAGGCAAGTACCTGTAGAAGGGTGTGTGAAGGGGGGGAGAGAAGTGCAGCGAGCCCTGGAAAGAATAAAAGGCCGAGCGTGTGGTGCGGAGTGGTGGTGGTAGATGTAGTGGTGGTGGTGTTGACGAAAAGTAGCGTGATGAACGAATCGCCTTCTTTCAAGGTGGTGGCTGAGCGTCGGTCGTCGCCAACCAAGCAGGCCCCGCAGCAGAGCAGAGCAGAGCAGAGCAGAGCAGAGCACAGCACCAGCACCAGCACAGTACAGCAAAGCAAAAGGAGCAAAGCAATTTGGAATCAACGGGCGCGGACAGGTAGCTACTTGGTCTGTCACGGACGGAGGTGTCGGCCGCGGTTATCTCTGGCTCCCGAAGCTTCCTTGCTTGCTTGCTGGTTTCAAAGCTCGTCGGTGCAAAGTGCAGCTAAAAGAGCCTCCGCCGTTGGTAGTGCGTGTCTTTGTGCAGGGGAGAAGGTGAAGAGAGAGTGAGAGTGAGAGAATCTATGTACCCGGCAGTAGGCAGACAATCATCAACCCAGCATAAGGGGCTGAGAAACGCGGGTCCAGATGTGGGAGATGTAAGAAGGTAGAGGACAGAGGACGTTTGCAAGTGTACTTGCGTGTGTGTGCGTGTGCAGCTGGGTACTGTAGTGGGATCACGGTATGACGGAGTGTGTATTTGCAGTGCTGTATGTCTGCCAGTCTGTCCATCCGCCTGTCTCCTGTCCATGTGGTGATGGATGGTGGGGTGGTTAAGCTGTAGTTAGGTGGGGGATAGCGGAGTAGTACCAGCACAACAGCAGCGAAGGGAACATCAGACGTACACACACATGCCCATGTCTATCTGCACTTTGAAGATGGGTGAAACCACGACAGCGGCAATGACCAAGTATGTATGCATATCTGAATGCAACGCGTGTTTGTCTGGAGCAGGACAACGTTGATGGTTGGCCTGGGTGACGGTAGACCATGCCGCCAGCAAGCCATGTCTTGCTGCGTACATATGTGCGTGCGCCCATGTATGTCTATATCAGTACGTGCGTGGAATAAACCGTCGTTTGTTTGTTTGTTCGTCTACCATAGCAGTCTTTCGTCTGTGTTGCGTGCGAGGCTTGCGTCTTTCTTCACGCCTCTCTATCAAAGGACCGAGTGCCCTCCATGCTAGAATCACACGATAAGTTTCCAGATAATATAGAATACGAATAAGCATTAAACAGCTCAGCTATAATAGCTACTACAGATAAATTTATAAAGACTATTAATTGCACTTTTAACTAAGATCTACTTAATTGCGTGGCGATACAGGCTTGTAGCTTAGAGATTGTTGGATTCCCAGCGACACACGCTCGTAGCTTAGAGATAGCTGTAGTTGTAGCAATACAAACTTGTCTAAGCTAGAAGTTTGTATTGCTACAACTATAGTTATTTCTAAGCTACGAGCGTGTGTCGCCAGAAATCCAACAATCTCTAAGCTACAAGTTTGTATCGTCATGTTCGTCAATCTATACGAACAGGCTGGTCAGCCTCATGCACCCACACCTCCCCGGTTCTGCTCCGTACAGCAAGCCAGCCATGTTGATGTTATACATCATGTACATGTATACGTATGCCAGCCGTTGGAGCATGTATGCATGCATGTATATATGTATGTAGTCAGAATAGACAATGGCCCGATGCAAACCCCCTAACCTGACCAACGCACCGTGGCGGCTTGCAGTGCAGTGCTTCGCCGGCCAAGTGCCGTTGGATCAATGCAATCACACGCTGCTGACCCATGTCATCCATCTGTGCAATGGATAGATACATGCTGTTACAAAGGTACCTGGAAGTCTGGGTGGGGTGAGCAAGTAATCCCGATTGACATTAGCAATCAACTCCAGCCAAGGACCCACCATCCAGGCTGATTGCTCGACCGGTGCGCACGCACATGCGCATCACGTGATGTACAGCTCTTGTCGCACATGCACCAGGTGGATCCAGCACGGTCGAATACGACCAGACGGACCTCGTTCAAGATGCATTCTTTGGTTCGTTGCTTGCTGATTTTCCTGATGCAATCAAGTCCTTCGTGTGTGGTGAGACGGTCATCGGTGGTACGAAGCAGAGAGCAACGCGGTGTTCTGAGGGTGGGGGATCGGGTCGCGTTCATTGGCACGACACTTGACCGATCGGGGGAAACGGCAAAGTAGAGTAGAGTGAACTTGGTGAAGCACATGTCCATTCCTTCACCGCCCGCTCAGGCACATGAGAGGAAAAAGAAAAACAAACGGTCAACCGGTCCAGGGTGGTGTAGGCGGCGACCTATCTGCCCATGGATCTCTGTGTATCGCATGAGATTGATGCAGCGTCGTTGCACCGGAGAGCGAGCAAGGCGAAACAAGACGGGGGCGACCAAAAGGTGACGGGGAACGTTTTTGCGCAGAAGGGCTTCGAAGCGAAGTGTCTGTCTGCCGGGATGGTCGGTCTTTGGTTGATTAATTGAGGAATGCCCCTCACCAGAGCCGCCATTTGTACATGTCTCTTTGCGAGGTGGATGTGATACCCCCCAGTAGCTTGCATATGCATCTTGTGGCGCAACACCCGCCAGGATGGGATGGCGGCGTCCACGATGCGGCCGTTTGCTTTTTCTCTCTCGTTTGTCGCTTCTGCCGCCTTGGTATCTCGAACCTTTTTGCATGTTCCTTTTTCCTTTTCTTTTCCTTCATCATCGACATTTTAAGGTTTGAAGATCGCGCATTTTGGTGAGTCGAGGCGAGACGAAGGGACGGATTCTCAGGCCGGACCAATTGTTCCTGTGCTTGCCATCATCATTCATCATCATCATCATCATCAACAGCATTGCCACTGCTGCTGTCGTCACCCTCTGGATGCTCAAGTGCAATGGCACGCAAAAGGCGATGGATGCAGCTGGGCACGACAGACAGCGTGGCGGCTGCATGGCTGACTCCAACCTGTCAGGGGAACGAGGTCGTTCGAGGGCTGCATGGTTCGTCTGGACGGTAGGCAGGTAGATAGGGTGCTATTTGCCGTGTTGCTGTAGCCGCGTGGGGAATAGCGGAGGAAAGGATGAGGGTGAACGGGCGAGACCACGAGACGGGGAGAAAAAGAAACGAAGAGAGATGAGAAAAGAGAGAGAGAACAAGGCGTTACAGGACATGGAAGGGGATCCTGCCTGTCTGTCAGTGTGTCGAGGGGGCTTGCCAGGCTGGATGGCACTGCAGTGTGCAGGGCAGCGCAGCGCAGCGAAGCGTTTCGAGTGGTAGTGGTGGAGGTTATACAAATTTACATATGGCCGGATTGGGCGGATTGCAGATGGCGATGGTGCAGGTAGGGCTTGGGGAGTTTAGGCATATTATTGCCAGAAAGAAGGGTGTACACATATGTACCTGGAGAGGGAGCCGTGCGCGTTGTGTGTTGTACTTGGGTGTCACAACGATTGACCGATCAAGGTGACCGACATATGTACGTCTGAAAGGCTCCCAAGCTCCGTAGGGCGCTGGTATTTCTACCTATCCTCCTCTCCTGCTGGCACACGCAAGGGACGCACAGACAGATTGACTCGATCCATCCATCCATCCATCCATCCATCCATTCCGGTGTATTTCTCTTCGTTCGTTCATCCATCCATCATCAGCACCAGCAATCCTTCCTTCCTTCCACTGACCTCGTCGTCGTCGTCGTCCTTGTTTTGCCCTCCAGCCCGTGCCCTCGACCGCCCACCATGGTGCCATGACGGCGGATCCTCTCCACTTCGCAACAACATCGACGCTGAACAGCCTCGGATTGTCGGCCTGCGCGACCGTGGCCGGGCAGCCGTAGCGTTCGCCGCCCGCCCCACCCCCCGCCTTTTCTTTCCTACACTACTCTACCTCGACTACCTACAGTACAGTACAGTGCAGTACAGTACTGTCATCATCGTCTTGTTTCCATCTGTCAGTCAGTCAGTCTGTGTTCTGGGCCGATAATTGTTTCTTAGCGTCTTGTTCCTCTCGTGCGTGTACCTTGCGTACATTGTGCATCGTGGATAGCCGCGCACAGCGCCGACCTTGCTTTTGATATCGGTGCATTGTATCCCCGCATTTCTCTCTCTCTGCCATCCCTCGTCCTCTTCGGGCCACGCCACTCTCTGGGGCGTCCTACCCACCCACCCGCTTGCTTACCTCTTCTACCTTCCTTGCCGTCTCATTTCATACGCCCGACGTCTGTGTACCTCCGCATCGCATCGTGGAACTGGCCCTTTGAATGCTTCCTTGCCATCATCTCTCCGTCTTTGATCATCAACCGTCTTCGTCGTCGTCGTCGTCGTCGTCGGCATAAATCAACACCTGCGGCTGTTCATGATCCATCCTCTCCCTTGCCGTTGGTTGGCTGGAGCTTAGTGCTTGCTTGCCTGCTGCTGTTCCCACCCGATCGGCCTGCACCTCCTCCTGCTCCCGCGCCCAACATCGACCTTCTCGCCTCCCGACCCTCGCCCGTCGGCTGTCTCTGTCTACTTCCTGTCCTCCCTCTGGTCTTCCCTTCGGCATCCCTTTCGGTGGCCCCCCGACCACCACCACCGCCGCCAACATTAATATTCCAACCAGATCAAAGGGCGCCGCCGACGGCGCACAATCGCCCACGCTGGACTCCTCACACCCCGGCCAGCAGTCGCGCGCCTCTGCTGCCACTGCTGCTGCCGCTGCCGCTGCCGACTCCAGCCTGGTCCCTCCCTCTCTGGCCTCTTCCGCATCCCCCGTTGTAAAACAACAGCCCGCTTCCCCAACTCTGCACCTCTCCCCATCAACCGTACAAGCTTCACCACCCACTCATTCTCGCCCTCTCTCCACCCTTTCCGACAGTGTTGCTGATCGCCCTGCCCATCTCAAGAGGACTGCAGAGAGCCGCCCCAGATCCTCCATTGCATGCGCCTGGTGTCGCAGGAGTAAAGTCAAATGCACCAACAAGGGCCAGAATACCGTTTGCGATACATGCCAAAAAAACCGCAGAGAGTGCGTTTATGAAATACATGTAGGCAAGGACACTGCCTCCAAGAACGGCCATGATGCCTCTGCCGAGCGCTCCAGCGAGGTAACCATGCTTCCTTCTTCCCACCCTTTACTTGCACTGACCATCATGCCCAGGCTCCTCGTCCCAAAAAACGGAAAGTTGTCTCTTCCTCTGATACCGTTTTTACCGACGGGGATTATCTAGACCCCACCATTCTGACTCCAACCGTCTGTCTGGACTTGTTCAACATTTTTGAGCAGCATTTCGCCATAGACTTGCCTTTTCTGCATGCGCCGACTTTCAAGAAACTTTTGCGCAACGGTAACTTCAAGCAACTTGATAGCCCTGGGTTGGTCAGAATATACGCCTTTCTTGCTCTTACGGTTCCCTTCCATAAATCGTTTTCCAGAGAGGCGCGAGACGAAGCCGACCGCAACCGTGAGGCTGCGAGGGTCGCCCAACAGTATGCCAAGAATGCCCATACCGCGCTTTTTGACGTAGAACAACCAACTCTGGAAACGACTCAAGCTCGCCTCATGCTCACTTTGCACGAATGGGCCAACCGCCAAGGCACAAAGGCATTCACAACACTGAGCAGTGCCATTACACATGCTCAACTTCTCGGCTGCCACATGCAAGCTGATTTCAATCCCAAGGTCTATCCCGTGTGTGGGCAACCTGCAGGCCCCAGACATCGCCTCCAAGGACACGAACGATGGATTGAAGAGGAAACCAAGCGGCGTGTGTTCTGGAGCTGTTACATCCTGGATAGCTTTCTTTCCAGTTCGGACGCGCGGAAACTGAAAATCGATGATGATGTCCATATCCAGCTGCCCTGTACCGAGCGCTCCTTCAAGCACGGGAAGAATGTTAGGACTATGGCGTTGCACGAGACAAATGCCCAGTTCAGGGAACGGAAAGATGCCGTCCGACGTGATGCCGCAGAAGCCGATGGCAAATATTCAACGCACATGGTTGATGCCAAGGATGCCAAGTGGGAAGACGAAGATCAACAAGAGATACTTTGCTGGTATATTCGTGCCCTGGGTAATTTCAGGAGCATCACGTACTGGGCTGTTGTGGATTCCCGGCGGTAAGTACACATGTCATCGCAGTCGCTACAGCAGGTGCAGCCAGTTTACTTACTTTTTTACCCCTCAGTAACGAGCAATTCCCACCTTGGGATAGCAAAAACTCAAAATTCTACAAATTGAGAGCGAAACTCGAAACATTCATAGATAGACTGCCTGATGAGATCAAATTGTTCCCTGAGCAGATAAATACCCACATAGAAGACGGAACCTCACGAAGCTATACGCATCTACACTGCGTGATATCCATCTGCGAGATCACGTTGCATCGCGAGTGGCTACCCTTTGCGCCGTTTGGGAGAGACAAACCAGAAGGTCCCATAGATGAACCTTTGGTGAAGGAAAGTCCTCCTCCCCATGATCCGGATTATTGGGACAAGAGCGCACAAAAGTGCTTCAATGCCGCGCGCAACATCATTGAATTGATGTGGTTGTGTCACCAGCACGGAGTCATGGTCAACAATCCACTATCTGGATTCGCCATATATAGTAGCTACTTCACGGGTGCGTTTGCACTCTCATTCCCATTCTCCCAGACAAGTGCTAGTAGCTGACCTTGAGCAGTTATATGGTGTAAATTCTTCCCTAATTTCGATACCGCTGATCATCTGTGTACGGATGCGTCTACAAAGGATATGCGCATCCAAGAGTATGCCCGGCGGTTGAAATTGATGCTTGAGGAGGCTGCATTGCACGTGAGAATGACGGTGCCTTGGCTAGTAACTGTCTCAAAGTTGCACAAATTTCTAGGGGATGCCAAAAAAGAGTATAAGAGACATGTGGAGCAGATCGGGTCGCCTGAGAGCAACAGCAGCGGCTCTGCGGATATTGCTCTGCCTCCTTTGCCAGGACTTGACGATTACACGGACCGATTCGAAAGATTCCAGAAACTGATCTTTGAACATGGCAGTGGTTCTCAAGACGACAGCAATGATAGCAGAAAGAAGGCCGACATCGACTTTCGTGACGGTCTTGAAGTACACAGCGAGACTTGCAGTCCAGCACCCCTCAAAGTCGACGATGACGAAAGGACAGTTGCAGGGTCCCCCGCAAATCAACCACAAAACATCGGGCCACCGCCTTCAGCCTGGAATGCCGTCAATTCATCGAAGACAGAAAATGTAATGTCCAATCCGCCGACACCAAGGCTCGATGTGAATGGAAACCCAAGTTCAACCCATTACTCAGCCCCCAGCACGTACTACACCCAACCACCCCCAATTCCATCTGCTACACCCTCTCACTATGCTTCTATTCCTCCCGCTATCTCGTATGGACCCATGAATGGGCAGCCGCCCATGCCCCCCTATGACTACCAGATGCCGACACCACAGCAACAGTACGATTCAACAACATACATGAATTTCAGTGAGTTCGGTCATAGCGAGGGCCACCAGATGATCCACTTCACCGGCGGCAACGAGGGGAACGTTACTGGCGCTGTACCGTTTACTCATCCATTGTATCATGCTACCGAAAATGACCTCTATTTTGGCCAAACCTTCCTTCCTCCTGAGCAGAACAATTGAAAGTTGGCAGCATTCAGAAAGGGTGGGTATCTTGTTTTGGAAGATGAAGCAGGAAGAGACCAGGGTATATGTGTTTCTTTTCATGGTCTTCACGGCGGGATATTTTGATGTTTTCAACGGCGACATCATTTACGGTGCGGGCAACCCATGGAGGTCTATTTGTTGCTTCAAAACGGTTCGACTGATGCTTTTTTTCTTTGTTCTTGTCGTAGTCGAGCTTCCTGTGGGGCATCACATTGTGGGTATGCACACTTCTAGTGTTCAACTTTTTCGAGCGCATATCCCTTGATTGCGTCTCATATTGTTTTGTTTATATCATGATATACTTGCATATCGGCAAGCCAAGTCAAGTCGAATATACACGTATTATTTTTTCTCTCTGTACAGTTCCGGCGGTTGGACATAGATTCAATAATGCGTAATCGGTGGATGACTACGGATTGATTGTTCCTGTGCAATGAAGGTGGCAATGTATGTTAATCATATAAATCAAGTCTCAGTCATCGTTGTCTTTCTCTTCGGAGCTATCTTCCATTGTTTCAGTAGAGTAGCTCTCCTAATAAGCTCCTTCCCTCTCCACATACCTCTCCCCCTCCACAATCCTCACCTTCTCCTTCCCACTCCAAATCACCCCTCCATCAGCCACCAACTCCAATCCACCCAACGCCGTCCCATTACCCCCTCCAACACCGGATTCCTCAAGAACCCACACCGTCACACCTAGGTAATTCTCCCCCCGGTAATCCAAGATGCCCTCGGGAACAGGGAAAACAGTCTGCGGCCCAACATTGGAAACAAATTTGCCATAATGAAACCCGTTTACAAACAGCTGCGCACGGTACGCAGTCGACGACGCATTGGCGAAGACAAAGGACAGCGGAACGTCGTAGTCGTCTGAGATGTCGAGATCAAACGTCGTCGCGAAGAACGAGATCCCCGGTGCATTCGCCGACGCATTCCCCGTCGCCGAAGAAGAGGAAGAAGAGAGAGGTGGACCAGACTCGACCCACGGCAGCGAATCCCTCGTCGCCGCCAGCGCACCAGGGAGATGCAACCCCATCCGCTCAGCCCACAACGCGCCTTCATTCAACGGCCCACGCAAAACATCCTTATACTTCTCCGCGCCCAGATTCCCCGTGATCTTCCACGCCACCTTTGTGCTGCTGTTCCCACCCGCACCAGGGAACGCGTAGTCCAGGATCCCCCGCGGGTTCTTCATCGTCTCCGTCCCAATCGTCCAGTTCTCGTCCAACCCCATGTTATCTATCACAACCGTAATCACGTAGCTATCGCCCTTGATGAGTTTGCGCGGCAGCGCGTACGTCCCGTTCCCTACAATCGCGGCGTCGTACCCGGTCCAGCTCCCTACGAAATCCTGGTTCAGGAACACAGAGTGTCCGAATGCCGAACCGCCCTGCGTGGCGATGTAGAAACTCGTTTCCTCGCCCGTCGCTGTGAAGTGGCCCCGGAACACGAGACTGCCCGTGTGGAACCCGTAGTCGGCGCCGTACAGCGAGGTCGGTGTGAGGAGCGGTTTCAGTGTGTTTGTGGTCGTCGCTAGATCCGCGTCGACCCATGCGGAGTCAGAGTACGAGGCCCCTAACTCCGGGAGGGAATCGATTTTGTACCACTCTAGCTCTGCGAGTTTCGGGATGGTGATGGCTGGTGGGGTGTGCGTGAGCGTTGTTTGGAGCGAGTATGACGTTTTGGGGGAGATGGAGAGAGGGAAGGGGATGTTGTTGAAGGTTAAGGATGTGGAGTTTGCTGTTGATGGAGGGAAGCCGATGACTTCTAGGGGTGTGGTTGTGGTATTTAGATCGCCGGTCAGCGCGATTGTGGATGTGCTGGACAGGGAGGCGGTGCGGACTAGGTAGCCTGCTTTCAGGATCAAAGAGCTTGTGGTAGTGGCGTTTGTGGGTGATGAGGACGAGATAGGAACGGTCCAGTAGTTGTATGCTTCGTTGCGGTCTGAGGACGTGATGTTAGCCTTACAGTGACGTCTAATTCTCCCCTTTCCAACACTGTACTCGGACAAGTACAAGTGTAGACAGAAGACCGGAAACAAGAATAAACTCACCAAGCATATACACATAAATATAAGGCGCCGAAACCCCAACCCTCGCAACCTTCCTCTTCCCCGCCTCGCTCTTGAAATTCAACAGCGTATACCCGCGCGTCGAGATACTCTTCACCTCGTCCTTCCCTTCCAGCACCTCGAGCCCCGTCACAGCAAGCACAAGCTCATGCGTCTCCCCAGGGCCCCCATACACGACCAAGACAGTTTTATCCTCGTACTTCTGCCACGTGAAGATCTCGGCCGTAGAATACACCACCGTCGCACCACCGACATCGTAATCCGTGACATGGACTTTCGCGTCCCGCCCGTTCAGCGAGAGCGCCTCACTCCCGTTATACTGCGGGATCTCAATGTCGCCGAACGCAGACGTCTTCACTGTCAGTTTATACTGCGTTTCGTCCCGGGAGTTGTACGGTTCGTGGCGGACAAAGTAATAGCCTGACCCGTCTTTCCCGTATGCGGGCGTCACGGCTAGATCTGGGGAAGTGGAGTGCGAGGTCGTGGAGGCGTTGCCGCGCGTGGCGGTGAGGTAGGAGGGGGACACTGCGAAGAAGTTTGCTTGGAGCTTCTGCTCAGAGTACTTTTCGCGGTCGACCAGGCGGTTTTCGCGGATGATGGCTGCGTAGTCGTAGGATGTGTAGCCGCCTGGGTGGCCCTGGAGTGGTTGGAACGATAGGGGTCAGCTGGTGTCGTTCTTGTGCTGCAGAATAAATAAAAATATAGAGGCTGTGGAACGAGAAAATTCCCACTCCAACAAAGTATTTTGTTTTCTTCATCTTGTTGTTAAGAAGTGTCGTTTCCCCCTTTTTCCCAAATAATAATAAGAAGAAAAAAAAGGATAAGGATGGGGAAAAGAAGAGATGGGGTTGGACTTACCAAGTTCCCCCAATTCGTCCCACCCCACGTCATGTAGAGATTCAAAACCGTGACGCCAAAGCTATACAGCTGTTTATAAAAAACGCGCTGGAACTCGGCTCCCACAAGCGTCGCGCACTTTTCGAACCCAGGTCCCCCCCAGGGATCAAAACTCCCCGCCTGGAACTCGAGAATCGAATACGGCGTCGTGGGGCTCTGCTCCTCATGCAGATCCCGCCAATTCGTAGGTAACTTGCCATCGGGCCAGACAGTGGGGTTCGCGCAGTCGAAGCCCAGCGGGTATCCGTCGTGGCCGTAGATGTCGACGGGGGCTTCCTGGCCGGGGGCGTTGTAGCCCTTTGGCGAGGCGTCGTTGCTGATCAGTGGTACGACGATGCCTGCGGAGCGCAGTTGCGCGTAGATGTAGGTCATGTATGCGGGGTCTGGGAAGGGTTTTATGGAGGAGAGGGCTTGGGTGTATTCGTTTTCTGGTTGGACGAGGATGATTGGGCCGCCGTTTGTGATTTGCGCTGAGGCTATTGTTTTGCCGATTTCGGACATGTAGCTGGTTGAGGTCGAGGAAGGTCGGTTGTCAGTTGAGAATTTCATGTTTGGGGGGAGGGAGGGTGTTTTTCTGATGAAAGGTGTATACTGGAATCCAAACATTTATTCCTAGGGGGTGTGCTCGAAGGAAGAGAACTCACAGATCGGTAGCGTTTAGAAAGTCTTGTGCAGCTGTTCTCAACGTGCCGTTGATCCTCTGAATCCAGCCGGGGAATCCACCTCCAGATACTTCAGCATTGATGTATGGTCCTGGTCTGGCAATAAGCCAGATTCCAGCCTTTTGGGCGGCATCGAAGAAAGGCTGGAGATCGAAGATGCCTTCAGCGCGGTATACTCCAGGCTCGCCCTCGAGCAGTGCCCAGTCGACGTAGAATGAAACGCAGTTGTATCCGAGTGCTTTGATTTTCTGGAAGATGTCGAGGTGGAGATCGGGAACGGGTAGTCTATGTCAGTTAGCTCCCAATTCCTGTATGATTGTATGATATCGTAAAGGGGAATTGGAGTGTGAAATTACCGGTATGGATGCACTTCGCCACTGTACAGGAATACTCTCTCGCCATGAATGAAGATTGAGTCTTCATCCCAAGTCACCTGTTCGTAGAAACCCACTGTGATTAGCGTTGCCTTTTACTCTTGTCTATGGCGCGATGTAGACGAATCTTCCGAAAGACTAACAATATCTTGCAATGGCTGCTCATCTCTGACCATCAACCCGGAAGGCCTTCCTCCACGAAGACTCATTCCCTCAACTCCCCCAGCATTCAGCAGTGAGCAAAGGCCCCATGCCCAAGTGAGAGCAACAGAAACTGCCCTCATTCTGGTCTCTCTTCAATTCCCTTCAAGGATCGTGTTAATTGAAAATCCGAATCTTGAACCCAGGTTTTGCGACCCGTTGGTGTTGAAGAGAAAGAGTAGAAGAGCGAAGCAAGATTTTATTTGCAAGGTAATAACCTCCTGCGTTTCTCTTTCGTCAATTGGAAATCGATTGACAGGGTTTCCAAAAGATCCGCGTTCGCTAAACTCCCCATTGAGCAATCAATTGAGGGGGAAGATTGCCCGGGTAAATACCAAAGATTGAACCGAGGCTTGACGATGCGATTGTGATGGAGCAACAGTTATCGCGAACCCTGCCTGGGGAGTTGGGAAAAAGTAGATTTTTTTAGGATTGTCGTCGCGAGAAAATTGATACACAAACCTACATACATCCATTGAAATCAATGACAATCTTTATTCGCGTTCAGTCGTCGCGAGACACAGTTATTCACTAAGGTCAACTCATTCTTACCCCTCTATTCCCCCGCAGAGCTCCACAGCGTACAGGACCTATATTAGCGATGATGCAATGAGTGATGTATGTACATCTGCAAGGGCCCGAACCAAGCAAGCATTCCACCAGGGACGCTTTTTTCCGCCACTCACAATTTTCCGCCAATGAACGACCATTTTATTCTCCAGTGGAGTATTGTTTGTAGCTAAGCTGTCGCATTGGCGGGTAATCAAGCTTATTGGTGGCAGAGAATCAAGCTTCTTGCTGCTAATGACTTGTTTGGAGAACCGTTGGTTACTTGTTACGTTGAGTTGACGGTGCCGAAGTACCGATTTGTGCTGGATGTACTGTAGCGCCCGTACAACCTGTAGATAGACGGTATTCTTGGTGATGTACCTCGGTGTTGTTTACGTTCTATCTCTTCTGCCGTAGAAATTGACACATACAAATACCTCGGTTGCTCTTAGCGCATGGAAAGGTAGCTAAATTAAAATTGAAGCGTTAATTCATAATTAGCTATCGTTCAGAATGGATTATAATCTGGACTTGGAGTGATCCTACACACAGCGATATAGTTATAACGATAGAGCAACTGAATAACAGGCGATCCTAGAAGATGTAACAGCTATTGTTCAGTGACGACAAATTGGAGATGTTCGACGTTCAACAATGCCCCAACGCTAAGAGAAGCCGATGTTTTCGCATGCGTCGATTTCCACGGTATTTCTGAAGCTCTTATATATGATATGTGGTGTTGTAAACACAATTCAGAATCCTGGATTCCTAGACAATGGTGAATTCCATCCATCCATCCCCGCCTTTCTCTGTCCACCACCTCAACTTTTCCTCGTTCCAACCATGCCAGAAAATCTTTTCACTCTCGGGATTACATTTAGAAATAATTGCAGAGCATATACCTCGCCTTTGGTACGTCTCCGAGTTTTCTTGATTTGGTGCTAGAATCATGAGATAGAGAACGCTAAAAATGTCGTTACCTCCCGTTCCAATTGCCACCACATACACATCTGTCTCTTCTTCATGTTCGAGAAACCAGTCTAATTGGACGGATTCTATATTCATGGTGGGATCTAAGAATCTCAAGGAGCACCATGATCTTTGCGTTGGCAGTATTAGCGATGCGGGCGCTGCTTTCGCTGCTAACTTCAAATAGCCGCTGGATACTTGACCGGTTGGGTCTGCTTGATTTTTAGGTGTGCAGTCTACATCTATTATCTCCGCCACAGCGTTGTTGATATTAATATAGGCAATCCCATCGCCAATAGAATCATGGGCCCAAGACCATGAAGGTGCTTGATACTTTCGAGGCATTGTGAAACACTTCGGTCCCCTGAACCGGTACCAACAAAGGTCGACTGTCAGAGTGTCTCTCCAAAGACCGGCTAGATATCGATCTTGATGTAGTGATTGCCATCGAGTTGCTAGACCGGAAAGTGCAGGTAGCGTGTCCATATCGAAAGTCAGGTTCATATCTGCGTAGCGGCTGACGATATCCATCCACCTGAAAGTCAAGTCACCAGGGGTCATGCTTTCCGCCTTCAGGAAAGGTGTGAGCTGATTCTTCCGTACACCAGGAATTGTGATTGGCTGTCGACATTCGCATCCTGAAGCTGTCATGCATTCCCAGATCAATTCATGTTTTGTGAAGTGTAGTAATCGCCGAGACAAGCATCTTTCCTAATATAATCGTCAATTACTAACAAGACAAGCTTAATACAGGGGTAGGGTTGACAAACTTGAAAAGCCCATGCCCGCTTCATAAGGGGTAATGGTAGGTTTCTAGGGTTGGATATGGGTTCCCAGGGATGCGACGTCTTCAGACGAACACACAGAGGACCAGAACCTGAAATTTGAGGATTCCATGCCTCTCTAGATATCTCATGTACAGTGGGTGAACCATATCCAAACCTACACAATCCATCGTGGGGTCCAGAAGCATCTGTAGCCGCTATTGTCAAAAAAGCGTTCCGATATACCTCTGCCATCTGACCGATCTCCTGTGCGCAGTCTTGGGCGTCATCTTGGATGATACACAGAGCGTCTATCCAGATATACCCAATCTTCAATTTACGAGTAAATAGAATAGCGTCTTGGAACGTTTTAGGCAATCTAGACCAGTCTATCTGGATTCTGAAGTCGTCTAAGCTTTCACTCGTCGTTTTGAGCATTGGAGATGTACCCGATTGCTTTCCCCAGCAGTAGCTGAGACAAACATATCGTAGTCTCTGATCTTCAGGCTCATGGAGATACAAAGTTGGTTCCTCCTCTGTGCCTACATAGATAACTCTGCTTGGTGAAGGTTGTTCTAGGTCACTTCCGCAATCGCCATGCTGTTGGATGCAATGTGTGATGCACGATAGGACAGATTCTAGACTGGTATCGGAGAATCTATCTACCTGGGGTATTCCGCCGAGATACTTATTGCGAATTTGAGACCATGATGATCGATTGGATCCACCGAAGTATATGTTTTCTTCGTGCCTCTTGGCATAGAATGGGTTGATGGGGTCTGCTAATTGTGAGCGGATAGCAATGAAATATGAGTATATGAGAGAGTTTCAAATGTGATATTATACACATAGGAGTGTCTCAACTGATATTTACTGCGATGCGAAGTTTAAATGCTTCGGGGAAGGTACTTACAACAACCGTCAGAAGGGAAAGGCGCAAAAAATTCGAGTGCATAGCCTGGGTCAGATATCATGTTCACATTGCGTTGGATGTTCGTGTTATAGCAGCTCGTGATATCGTGACCCCACCAGTCTATACTATAAGTATTCGGCTTCAAAGCCACTTCGGGGGCGAAGTGGAGAATGGCTTCCTTCCGTGAATTGCAATGTCTGCAGTCCGATCTAGACTCTGCCATAAAGTCTTGGAACGTATTGGTTGGGCTAGGTATGAAAGAACATGCAGGGCCAGATGGACTATCTTTTCCATCAAGATCTGCATGGCTTTGGTTTTCCAGCATGGATTCTGGAACGGAATCATGAGCTGGGGACGCAAGAAGCGGTGCATCGCACGGATCGGCGTTTATCCCATTATTCTCTATCGAAGACTGCATAGGTCCGAAGTACAATTGTATTATAGGCTCAAACCAAAATCAATCGCCGCAATGGCCACATAAATTCTTTAAAAAGAGTTTGGCAATGTATGGAAACAGATTGGGGAGAAGAAGGCTGAAGATGAGGGGATTTTGGCAGGACTGATGTTACACAAACCCCACTATATCCGCCTGACCAAGCATCTTCCAACTCTTTCGTCATCTCATCCGATGATTAGGAGGCTTTTTGGCCCCCAAAAGTTTGAGTAACCTCTCGAGGCGTCCCAAAGTTGATATAGTAGACTCGAATTTCTAGGAGGATCTGCCTCTGTTCTGTATACTTTTATTAATTTCAAGTACTAGAACAGAAAGAATGGTATTGTCAAATGCTCGGTTTCCACTTGTTGTTTGGCATGCAAGCCTATGGCAGAAGGGTCAGAGAGGTGAAAGAGAAGCAGTTAGTGTATAATCGAGTGTACCAAATTTTGAGCCAACGATTTGAGAAGGATGACGAAGTTACAACGCATTACAAGAAGATACCACCAGAGCCAGGAATCACGAGGAATGAAGCTTTACAGCATCCAAAATCGAGTCAAGAAAGTAGGTTCGTCCCCACATGCTCTCTCGGAAGATGGCGTCTTTGCAAAGCAGCTTTGGCTAAACCCGTATCTCGCTTCGAAATTACGATTTTTCGGAATAATGGAATTTCTAGAACAGTACAGCACTGCTCAAAAGTATTGATTTCCTGCAGCCTGGAGAAGTTCTCGGGATCGGAGCGGATAGAATTCTGAATCCGTCAGTTCCGTGCCGATGTCAAATCCTCGTATCTGATCAGGCTATACTGTATCTGGAGACAAAAGAACTGCTTCTTGCATCCAGTGGTCTGCATTCTTACTATACAGATATTAACCATACGAGAAAACTCGTGGCGTCACAGCATGTTCGCTACTACATACCTTTCTAGTACAACTATTTCTCTTGGATCCGTTCTGCCTGAGTGCATTGATTTGCGTTGCAAAGTATGTATATAGAGCTTAGGTTCCTACTTTAGATAGAATATTCTCGTTATTAGGTAGTCACAAAATGGCGAGACTCACTAAGACTACTTATTGGTTTACTATTGTCGCCCTTTTGGGGGTGGCACTTGGTCGTAGGTAACATCCTCAATCCACCGATGGCTATGCTAATTTTGATTACAGAAACTACCACGACCGAGCCTACCACCAGTGAATCCACAACAGAAGTCTGGCCTCCTACGACACCAGCACCAACTCATCCCCCCATCCCCACTGCCAGTGCTATACCTCTCCCCACAGAATTCGCCGACATCCCTAAATCGGCCGTGGAGTGTTGGGACTCACTGATTTCGTTTGATATCACCCGCAGCTTTCTCCAAGATCAATTGAATAGCGGTGCGGTATATACGTACACCGAATTCCCAACCCCTATCACGAACACCTACACCTACGGCTACTCTCTCGAAAGCTGCGCCACAGCCTTCCCCGGACTAACCACACTCTGTGACGGTTATCCGCGTGCAAGTGACTGCATATCAGAGTGTCAATACACAGGCTACACATCATGGACCGACGTTTATACAACAAGCGGAACAGGCCGCTGGCTCACCCCAACATGGTCCACCGAGCTCGAGCAACTCCCCACTCCATCTTGCACCGTAGCTGAAGATCTAAGCCCAGAGTGCTCCCGCCTCGCGGAAGCATATACATGGCGAACCTCCAACATCGACCCAACAGCCTCCATCTCGGCACCCCCATGCGCAATCTCCCTCCCACCAACTCTCACCCCTTCCCCACCTGCCCAACAAAGATGCTCGCTCAATGCCGAATCCTACGAAGCGTACTACTGGCCAACGCCATCTCCAACAAACACAAACGCCTTCTGCAACACTAATAACGACACGATACCAACAGCTACACCAACTATCCCAGGCCGCCCGAATACAGCAGTAGTATCCGGTCTAACATTCACAAGCCCTTCCATCTACCACATCCTGCACAACGCCACAGTCTACAGATACATTGGCCATCAATCCACAATAGGATGGGGCGACGATCACGCAGCAATCTACGAAATCTCCACCCAAGTACCAACCCTAACTTTTGCGCAGCCTTCTACATCCATTCTATCGCAGTACAAACAATGCCGGAAACCGAGTCCGCATGGCGCAACGCGCTGCACCATCTCTTATCAACCGGATTTCAATGTCCAGGATGTTTTCACGGTGAACGCGAAGGCGTATTATGGGGAGGAACTGGCTACGCCGACTACAGCTACGATATGCCAGGCTAGTTATGCGGCGACGATTGGACTTCCGTTACTTGAAGTCGCGAAGCAGAATCAGGTTGGGGAGGAGTGTGAATGGACGTTTACGCATAGTGGGAGGACTACGTTGTTGGAGGAGAATATGTTTAGTGTGGCTGGAGTTGGGGCAAGCGATTATCATGCTATTACTACTGTGACGGGGGTTCCACGGTCTGGGTTGACTACTGTTGCTTCTTCTCCTACTAGTACTCTTTCTAGTTGAAGGTTGAGATATTGAGTTGGGGCATGGGTGAGGGACGATAGCCTCTTGAATGATATATCAATGTTCTACAACTTTAGTGAGACGAGAAGATGAAGTCATACACGTGAAACCATTCTCAGCTCAAGTGTATATATGTATTCTGATCCAGGAAATCCCTCCTCCAGTAAGTACAACTATTGAGTCTACGAAGCCCCAAAATCATCTCAAACCTAGTCATAAAGTATCATAAATTCTTCTCTACATCAAATTAAGCTCTTCATGACACATGGCTCGGTTGCTGCTATACAGAAGTCTAATACTTCTGCGATAAGATTATGTACAGTTATGATTGTACAGTTACGAGAGCTTAGGGTCTCTGGTTGACATCTGGATGTTTACATGAGCAAACTTAATAATGAAAGCAGTTATGAACGCACAAAACGTTATTCCAAGGTCAAAGTGTATTGTCATTCGAGCCCACCGTACAATTGAGATGTAAAGAAAAAACCACCAAGAAGAGAAAGAGGAAGAACAAGAGGAACATAAGAGCGACTGCAGAAGTACGAAGAATACAACAAGGATAATAAAGCGATAATCCTTCAAGGTACAGCTCAGCGAAGCTAGACCCCCAATCTTTTCTGCATATCTGAAGACGACGGCATCCTATCCAAGGGACTACGTCCCCAGATACTGCTCCCCAGCGATACTAGCAGGTCTCCTAGTCCGCCTCTCTCTCGCTGTATCTGTCGCAGTGGCTCCGACATCACCCCTACTCCCTTCCTTCTTCAGCCGCTCGCGAACACCATTGATCCCAGCCACACCTTCCAAAGATCCTCCCTCTTTGCCCCCAGTCTTACTGCTGGCGTCCAGATCAGTACTAACCGGTCTTCTCCTTCTGACCAATTGATATCCGCGATCCAATTCCACTTCGACAGCGCATCGTACTTTCAATGCGCCTACAGCAGGCCAAACGCTACGCTCACCTCTCAGGATCCAATTATCGAGAGCCTCTTTTGTCGGGTTTTCGAGCAATTTGAAAAAGTCGCCGCCTGTGAGCTCAGGAACAAGAGTTAAAGATGTACCTGCAGGCACCGACTCATCAAGGAGGAAGCGCCGAATGGATGGGGGTAGAAGACGAAGCTCGTTTAGTTGGTGGAGGCGGTGTTGTATTTCCATGACGATGAGTCGCAGGAGGGGGAGTGAAAAGGAGGAGAAAGACGACGTGGTAGATGAAGATGGATGAGGATGGTGTAAATCTGAGCGTAGGAAAGGTGCGAGGTACGGGCGAGCTTGTGAGACGATGAAGTGATTTACATTGAAAAGCTCTGCTATACGGTGCAGAGGAGAATCACGCGAGTCGGCATACGAGGCGTGAGTCCATGGGTGGAAGGTAGCTTCGCTGGCAGGTGACCAAGGGACAATGTTATCGCGGTCGTCTTTACAGAGGAGCGTCACTGGGTGATATAGGGTAGACGCAGAGGCGTTGGAGGCCAGGGCTGCAGACCAGATGAGAACGTTGGGCGCAGTCAGGTAGTTGAGCACGTTGGGTACACCGCCCCGACCCGTAGTAGAGACGGTGATGTTGAGCACGCGCTTGGTCTTGAGATAAGCTTCTTGAAAGGTAAGGTCTTCGACGTTGGCACGGACAACTTGCTCGAGCACACCGACATCGAGAAAGTAGCCCTCGCGGATGAAGCGCTTGATGCGCCGCACTAATGTTTGCCACCATGAACTAGGTCGGTCTGCTTCTTTGCCCGCGGTAGACTGTTTCGCAAAGGCTGTCAAGTTGATGCTGCTTCCCTTCAGAAATTCAAGAAGCTCATCCTCGGTATGGACTCCGACGAGCGCGGCGATCAGAGCGCCCGTGGCCGTCCCAGCAATGATTCGAGGAAGGAGACCGCGGAGATGCAGAGCCTTCACGACACCCAAATGGCATAACCCAAAGATTGCTCCCCCTTGAAGCACCAGTACTGATCTACCAAATGCTTGACGGGTATCATGCATGACATCCAGTTTGGTTTGGTTCGTCAGGCCAGCTGAATTGGACACGGGATATCTAGTCACGTGGTCGATGGCCAGTGCGACCTGAGTGATGTAGTCCTCGATCAGCAGTTTGGTGCCCGCATATGCCCGATTGTACAGTCTTGGTGCCGTTATGTTGCCCAAATTCCTGACGAGGCCACTTCTGAGTAACGACACCAAGCCTAGGATATCATCTTCCTCACGGGCCTCGATAATGGCTTGCAACCGTTCGTAAATGAGACGGTAGTCATAGTATTTGGAAGTAGGATTCTGCCGCCATAAATCGTAACCGAGGATTTCATCGAGCTGGAAAGCGGCGGCTTCCCATTCCTCGAAGAGATTTGCTGCGCCGAGGTTTTCGAGGAGTGCGTCGCGTGGAGATTTCTTGATCCACCAGTTGTAAAGTTTCTTGAGCATGTTCAGTGTCATGACTTCATCTCACATGCAAAAACGACCAAAACCTTATTCATCGAGCTCAAGTTTGGGGATTGACAAACGAAGGAGAGTATGATAGTGGATATGACCACTACAAGAGAGACGAGAAGTAGGAGTATGTAATACCGAAGATGACGATGAAAGAAACATGTGCAGCCAAGACAAGGATAGGGATACGACGTACCAACTGCCAAAAGAAAACAACATCGAAGAAACAGCCGACGAGGCTTGTCAGAATGGCGACAGCACGGGACGCCCCCCCTGCTGGCGTAGACGAAGGCATCATGCCGCGCGATCAACCGGCGCCGTCTTTGATGGATTGAGCAAGCGAGCGGGCATGTGGCATCGGGACAATCAACGTTAAGTTAGGATTAGCCGTGATGAGGTGGCATTGCATTTGATTTGGTTTGAGATGGGAGGGGGACGGGGGGAGGGGGTGTTGGCCGTCATGGATGGAGACAAGGTTGATGCGCCTTTCACATGTCATCCCGTTGCGTTGCGTTGCGTTGAGTTGTACCTTCCTCCCATTATCGATAAGAGAAGAGAGCTGTAGGACAAGGAACACTGGACGGAAGGTTTAAACGTTGGCCCGTGCGAGCTCCACCAAAATTTCTCGAATCCAACACCACCACTTGATCACATCTCGGCGTTGCAATCGATAATTTCCGCACACCAAAATTCCTCAATCACTCCACCAATACAATGATACGCAAACAGGCACGCGAGCGTCGCGACTACATTTACCGCCGAGCCCTCACCCTCCGCGATGCCGAATTAGCCAGCAAACGCGCCGCCCTCAAAGCCTCTCTTGCCTCTGGCAAACCGCTCCCCCAAGATGTCGCAAATGATGCGGAACTTCGCCAAGATTGGAAATATGATGAGAGTCGTGCGGATCGTACTGTTGAGGAAGAGCTTGGTCTAGATGACGAATACTCTCAACTTAGCGGTGTTGTAGACCCCCGAATTCTCGTCACCACCTCGCGCGACCCTTCTTCACGGCTGGGCACATTTGCGAAAGAAATTCGTCTCCTCCTCCCCACAGCGATCCGTCTCAACCGCGGTAATCTTATCCTCAACAACCTCGTCTCCTCCGCTACAAGTAGTGGGTTGTCCGATATCATCCTCCTTCACGAGCACAGAGGAACCCCCACCGCTCTCACAATCTCCCACTTTCCGCACGGCCCGACAGCGTCCTTTTCCCTGCACAATGTCGTTCTCCGCGCTGATATTCCAAACGCTTCCCGCGGTACCGTCAGCGAGAGCTACCCTCACCTCATTTTCGACGGCTTCACCACCAAGCGCGGCGAGCGCGTAGTCCAGATCTTAAAACACCTTTTCCCGCCCCGTGATACGTCGAATCCCAAGTCGGGCAGTCGTGTAGTCACGTTTAAGAACATAGAGGATACAATCGAGGTCAGACATCATGTGTATGTGCGCACGGGATATCAGAGCGTCGAGTTGGCGGAAGTTGGCCCGAGAATGAGTATGAGGCTGTTCGAGATTCGCGCGGGTACATTGGAGAACAAGGAGGGGGATGTGGAGTGGCATTTGAACCAGTACACCCGGACTGGCAAGAAGAAGGACATACTATGATTTTGCGTGAACCGATTTTGCCGGAAAAATGTACGAGTAACGACAACAAATGGGACAAAGGAAGAACCCGCTTCATTTTTGAGTGGGAGTACCCCCGGGACGAGAGGCGGAACTATCATATGATAATCGGATATCTTGCATGTCCAAGTCAAGTTAACGAGGAGGAGAACAATCTCATCGATAATTTGCGGGAGCAAGAGGTGATCTCAAAAGCTAGTCACTTACAGCAAAGAAGGGATGCGCCATTCTTTCCATAGCCACCGAGAGTGGGGAACCTTGGCGGGTTGATGGCTACATGCCTTGCTACAATCTATCTCAGAAAATATGATTACAGTCTGACAAAATCCTGTTAGGGTTATGTCAAGAGTCTTCCGAATGTCTGCATCTATATGCAACATCACATAGCGTTCTTTGTACAGTTTTCTTGTGGTCTCTCAGTAGTACGACACTGCTATCGAATCAGTAAGGAGACACAAAGATTGATCTGATTTGCTATCGAATAAAAACTGGCATGGAAGCATCAACGTACTATACATTGATATATCCAAACTGGCACAAGTATCAAATCAACATTTGATTGCATAGAAGATCCCGCGATACCCACGCTGCCCCACCCCTGCAAGAACGTCGGCGTTTCCCACCCCCCAAACGCCGATGACCCCAAACTTTTTTCCTACAGCTACAACACCTCATTGACACCACGCAAAACCCTGTCGCAAACCACACCACACCCTCAATCGTACCCCAAACGAACACACAGCGATGGTGCCTATCAAACCGTCCTCTGAAGCCTCTCTCTTTCACCGCGAACGAGTCTCGCAATACGTCTCACTCCCCGCGGCATCTCTCACCTCCGCGCTTCCCTCAATCTGCGCCAACGTCTTCAGCCCACTCCTCCTAACCTACCACCCGCCAGTTCGGGGCGTCGTTCTCGCCTACACAGACGTATCGCTATCCTCCTCGCAACCAACGCTTTCCTCCACCTCCTCCTCTCGCAAAAAATCCCGCCACAACACCGCATCACACCAAGAGGCTTTACAAGAGGAGCACAACGAGAACGGCACCACAGTCCTGCTCACGCACATCGACGAATACACATCTCCCTTTCTCTGGGCCACCGCCACACTCCTAGTCTGGCGCCCGTCACAGAATGCACGTATCCCAGCGACGATCACGCACCAGAGCAGTACGCACATGACGCTTTCGTACCTCAACCTTTTCGCTGTGACGGTGTTGCGCGCGCATATGCCGGAGAATTGGTCGTGGCATGCTGAAGGCGCGAATAAGAAGCGGAAAGGGTGGGATGGCCGTGTGGAGGATTTGGGTGGGTGGTGGGTTGATGGCGATGGCGTGAAAGTTGGTGGGGAAGAGGGCGAGAAGAAGGAGCTCAGTGTGCGGGTAACGGAGTGGGATGCTCGGCCGGGAGTTGGCAAGGGGAGAGGTTTTTTGAAGATTGAGGGGAGCTTGTTGGAGGAGAGTGAGGAGGCGCGTGAGACTGCGTGAGCGTTGAAGGGATAGAGAGAGTTCCTTCTGTGTCTATTTTGATTTCTGTTTTGTTTCTTTGGGGAGTGTGTGATCGCCTTCCGTCTGTTCTTTTCACTTGCCCGATTTTCACATTGATTTGGGGGTCATTCTTCTGTTTCTGCTGTATCAAACTTGCATCTTCGGGTTCCCACCTCGAACTCGAAAAGAAATCTGGCGTTGGGTAGACATCAAAAGCCGGCTATCCCGGCGAATCGTTCCAGTTGAAGAAAAGCGTCTGTTGCCACTCAGAAAACCCATATTCACATCTTACATGCAATCATACCTAGGTATATATGTACTGCCAACGACAATACACGAATCAATGGGTAATTGAGAGGGCCGTGTGACATACTCATCATTCAATATTCCTATCAAATACAAGACGTCCTCCCCTTGTTATACACATAATCATACATTGCCCATTCCTCCCCTACATCCTCCCCTCCCACCATACCACCATCAACGTCTTCCCAATCTACCTAAACTTCGGCGGCGCAATCGCCCCCCTCCTCCCCACAGCAAGCGCAATCCATCCCCCAATCAAGCAAACCCCACCAAGCGGTGTAACCGGCCCAAGCGCCTTGAACCTCTGCGGATCAAGTACCAGCAAATAGATACTACCCGAGAACATCGTCATGCCAGCGGTGAAGAGGCCCATGGCGAGGGTATTGGTGGGTGCGGCAACGGTAGTGAGGGTTAGCGCGAGGGAGTGCATTAACTATATTTTATGGATTGTCAGAGTGAGCTTTGAATAAGAGGGAGAGGGGTAGAGAGAGGGCGAACCTGGTACTGCGATGCTGTGCTCCAGTTTGCGAGGCGCGAGGGGTCTGCTATGCGTGATTTGAGGCCGTGGGCACCGAATGCGCCGATGGCGACGGAGGTCGCGCCGTAGAGGCAGCCAATTGTCCAGAAGGGAACGGGCATGGTGCACTTATCGGATTGTTTAGGGGATTGAGGGGTGTGGGATTGCGATGAAGTCGGATGAGGTCGGATGGGATGGGTGTGGTGGGGAGCTTGAGCTTGGGTGCTAAGTCAACAGCGAGCTCGGCTTCGCGGAGTTTCGGAGGTGCGAGGGTCTGTGCGGTGAATCATTTTTGGGGAGGGTGGGTTCGAGAGTGGTATTTGGATTTGTCATGGAGGGAAAAGATGGCATTGAAAATGATTCACTTTTTGTGGCGATCGAACAGTCGCTGTCTATTAGGGTAATAATGATCAAGAAGACTATGGAGCGCACTATCACATCAAGCAGCCGTTGCTCTTGCTGGAGTGCAAGTCTGAGACGCCTAGACGTATCCTTTGCCCGTTCACAGTCATGAAACTTTCGACTAGCCACTCATACCATACTCTCCGATCGTCAGTGTGTCTCCACATACTGACTTCAATCTCAGACCGCGAAGGGAGGTGCATGGGTGTCTGTTGTAAGTTAGTTTGAAACAATCAATTATAGCAGAAGAGAAACGCACCTTGAGTGGGAAGAAGATGGGAAACCATGATATCATGTCCTTGCTCTTTTGATCCATGGTGACCGGGTTAGTGCTGAGTTCTATAGGTCCCTCTGTCCCGCTATACAGGACGGTTTCGAAGTAGCCACCCAGGCCGTGGCATATGCCCTGTTCCTGGATGTCAAATTTGATATTGCAAAAGCGATAGTTGTGCTCGTTGGCCCCATCTCCTCCGGTAAACCCGCCGCTTCCGCCTACCGCAGAACCACCACGACGTAGCGATGATTGAGCTAGAACCGAAGGAGGTAATGGGTGCGAGAACTCCCAAGCCGTGTGGACAACAGGAGCGAGAGGCGGTTCGAGATTGAAGTGGCTCATTTTCGTGCCATTGGAAAGCTGGAGGGGAACCTCTGGCTGACCTGGTTCGAATGAAAGGTAGTCAAACTGGGAAAGCATAACCACCCAAGGGATTTCGAAAGCAGTGGGGTCCACACTTGTGCTTCTCGAGTACAGATCCGACCAGATCCTAGGTGTTGCTAGTGGTGTGAAATGCGCCGTATAACTCGAGGGAATCGAGATTCCATGGTTAGGATTGAGAACATGTTGCACACCGTCGAGGCATTCAGGCGAGAGTTCATTGTCTGCAAAACTTCCGAGAAGTTCGCTGACCAATATATCTACCTTCCCAAAAGTGCCGTCGGATTGCGTCGGACCTTTCCATGCACGCATATCGGTCTTGACCACCGTTACACGACCACCCCAAGTCTCTTTATTGTGGCGGCAGAGCAAAACATAGGCGTTGGGATTCTTTTCGATGGCGTACACACGAACCGGAATACCGGTACTCTCGCTTGCATTGAGCGCACGAGTGACGAGCGGTCCGCGACCTGAGCCAACCACAGCTATGACAACGGCACCATCCTCGGAGCTTGTCGTCTTCTGTAGAGCTTTCCAGTCTCGCAAAGCCTGGGCTACGGCCTGTTCATACCATGCGTACTTGATAGGATCTTTTTCAAACACCTCGTAGGTGATGGACTCCAGGTTGTCCGTCAACGGCTGCAGAGGGCTCTGTAGATAGTCCTGAAAGCCGCCACCAAAGCGTTCAAGCTGCGTCTTGGCGGGTTGATTGCGCTGCAGAAATCGCAGATAACTCAGGTGAGGAGTAGGGTCGTTGAAAGCGCTCTTCTTGCTCGATTTACTAGCCATTTGAGCAGCTTCAGCGGGTGTCGGGGAGGCCGATTGAGACGCGCCCGGACTAGGGGCATCAGCAGCGACCTCTGGGGATAGATGTCCGGTAGAATACGACATGATCATATCCGGGTCATCAACACCCGGTATGGAGCCTATGTCAGCAAGAAGTATCCATGGAGGCGACTTCAAGCGGAGGCAGCGGAAGATGAAAAGTTGATGAGATTTAGACAAAACGAAAGATCCTCGAGTGTTGACCAAAAACGAGGATGCAGGGATGTTAAGAATGCGTAGAGGCTCAGAATACCAACGTGACTGGAGTGCTGATGACGGAAGCCGTCGGGGGAGATCGAGAGCAACTGAGAGTCTACTGTGATATTTACAGATAGTTCTGATCGTGTTCCACGCATCCCAGGTGCTGTACGGATCCGGACTCTTCGGCTTCTGGGCCTCTGTGATGTATTCTGGTCGAGCGAATCGTGCGAGATCGCCTACATCTTCATCATCACTGTCAATTTTGGACCCATCCATGGGCATCAATACGTGGAGGTGAAGGTAGCTTCCAGCAGACAAAGCCTCTTTGACAGCACGAGCATATTGAGAAATTCCGTTTGAACCATTTGATAAGCGGGGTCCTGGAATAACGACAGTGGATGCGTTTAGAAAGCCAGCATATGCGATCTCCCTAATGAAGACCTGTCTAGATAGATGGGCAATCACAGGGTCGGGGGATCCCAAGTCAATCCAGGAACTGGTATAGTAAACATACTGAGTGATCGTGTCGCTTGGAGTAAGTGGGGTATCGGCATCCTCCAAGGCAGGGATCAAAGGAAGAGCTTGCACTTGAGAGGAGCTAGAATCCTCCTCAACAGCTTGATTGTACGACCGTAATAAGCTCAAAACCCGGGTTTGGAAGTGTGAGTTCGTGATGGTGGTAGTGAGCATATCATACTGCGGAAACCGTTAGTTTTCTAGTAGTCTGTGCAGCTAATTATAATTAATCACACTCACTCCAAGATCTTGGACATGATTTAAAAGCTCGTCGGTCACAGGATGGAGCCTTTTGGTGTTGTGCTCTCCAATATACCAGACTGGTAAAACCTCGGCCAGGCTCTGCGGGGAATCCATGGTGGAGTTCGAGTGCTGGGAATCGAGGCGCTGGAGTGGGCTGATCAGATGAATCAAAGGATCTGAAGGTATGAAGAATATATATGTGCCAAGGAGCCACCGCCCCACGGGAACTTTTGAAGGCCAACGCGCTACATGATGGTTGGCGTGAAATTGTTTCTCACGTGGTGCGGTGGTCCTCTCACCGGATCCCTGCTCGGAAGAACGTTAAACCGGCGAGCCTGGTTAGGTCAGCATCTTTTTATTTTTCCCGCATCCTCCGCAACTAGCATCGTCGCCTCGCATACTTGCATCGACATCGATCTCATTGAGTCGCCATGGCTACCAAACGCGAATTCGACAACGAAGACGGCTATCAGGCCAAGCGCGTCAAGACGGAGAACGGAAATGGCAAGGTGGATGCTGCCAACAACCCATACTTGGCGCACTGGAATGAGGATTCCTCGTACCAGAGTAAGTTGCATTTTCAACACCTACCATTGGTTCTTTTGGCTGACCCTCGCTCAGACGACTTCTCCGGCTCCGGCGATCTTTTGACCAAGTTTACGCGACACGCGACCACGGCGAAGCAAGCACGAACTGCTGAAGATGGGCCCCAGAATCCCTTCACTGGCAGGGGACTGTCTGACAAGTACATGTCGATTTTGAAGAAGCGGAGAGAGTTGCCCGTGAATACGCAGCGGTATGCCACCAATCACATCGCCCAATATCCCCGCTCTGACGGGCCTTCTGTGCAGACACGTTTATTCCTTCGTGGGCTCAAGTCCTGTTCGGAACAGGATGCCAGTATGCGCCCAGAGGCAGCGGGGGTAATAACGACCATGTTTTAAGGCTAATGTTTTCCAGTGATGAGTTCCTCGACCTCTATCAAAAGCATCAGATCCTCGTCTTTGTCGGTGAAACCGGTTCCGGAAAGACCACGCAAATTCCCCAATACGTCCTTTACGATGATCTGCCGCAGCAAAATGGAAAGATGGTCGCCTGTACCCAGCCCCGTCGTGTCGCCGCCATGTCCGTTGCGCAACGTGTAGCTGAAGAGATGGATGTAGAACTTGGTGGTCAAGTGGGTTACAGCATTCGTTTCGAAGACAAGACCAGCCAGGACACAATCCTCAAATACATGACCGACGGAATGTTGTTGCGCGAGGCCATGAATGATCATAACCTCAGTCGATACAGCACTATCATTCTCGACGAAGCCCACGAGCGGACACTAGCTACAGATATCTTGATGGGTCTCCTGAAAGAAGTCGTTGGCCGTCGCCCAGACTTGAAACTCATCATCATGAGTGCCACTTTGGATGCTCTCAAGTTCCAGAAGTACTTCAACGACGCGCCCCTACTCGCTGTGCCTGGCCGTACCCATCCCGTCGAGATCTTCTACACCCCAGCGGCGGAGCGTGACTATGTTGAAGCTGCCTTGAGGACAGTATTACAGATTCACGCGACCGAGGACGAAGGAGACATCCTTCTGTTCCTTACTGGAGAGGAGGAGATCGAAGACGCTTGCAGAAAGATCAATCTTGAGGCGCAGGATCTGATTAGAGAGGATGCTGCTGGACCGCTTGTTGTATACCCGCTGTACGGAAGTTTGCCGCCTGCACAGCAACAAAAAATCTTCAGTCCGGCCCCGCCACCAACAAAACCTGGTGGTCGCCCTGGCAGGAAGGTTATCGTGTCGACCAACATTGCTGAAACTTCTTTGACGATTGACGGTATTGTCTATGTCGTGGACCCCGGTTTCAGTAAACAAAAGGTGTACAATCCTCGTATCCGAGTCGAGTCTTTGCTCGTGTCACCTATCTCGAAGGCTTCTGCCCAACAAAGAGCAGGTCGTGCAGGTCGTACCAGACCAGGAAAATGCTTCCGCTTGTACACTGAGAAGTCATTTAAAGAGGAACTAATAGATCAGTCATACCCTGAGGTCCTACGATCCAACTTGTCAAGCACTGTTTTGGAGCTGAAGAAACTGGGTGTGGACGATCTGGTGCATTTTGATTTGATGGATCCGCCTGCGCCTGAAACTCTGATGCGCGCCTTGGAGGAGCTGAACTACCTGGCATGTCTGGATGATGAGGGTGAGTTGACAGTCCTGGGAAAGCTCGCTTCAGGATTTCCATTGGACCCAGCCCTGGCAGTGATGCTCATCACCTCGCCCGAATTCTATTGTTCCAACGAGATCTTGTCGCTCACAGCGCTACTGTCTGTCCCCCAAGTGTTTGTGCGCCCCGCCAACAACCGCAAGCGCGCAGATGAGATGAAGGAACTCTTCACACATCCTGACGGCGATCACCTGACGATGCTCAACGTTTATCACGCATTCAAATCCGAGCAGGCTCAAGAAAATCCCAAGCAATGGTGCCACGATCACTTCCTTTCATTCCGCGCACTTCAGCAAGCAGACAATGTGCGTCTGCAGCTGAAGCGCATCATGGAGCGTGAGGAACTGGAGCTCATGTCGACTCCATTTGAGAACAAGAAGTACTACGAGAACATCCGTCGGGCTCTCGTGGCCGGCTTTTTCATGCAAGTCGCGAAGCGCGAGGGCAGCGGCAAGACCTACATGACGGTCAAAGATGACCAGAGCGTGCTGCTACACCCCAGTACGGTCTTGGCACAGAGCGACGAGTGGGTCGTCTACAACGAATTCGTTCTCACCACCAAGAACTACATCCGCACCGTTACCGCAGTGAAACCGGAATGGCTATTGGTAAGTTTTGATAGTACCCTCATTGAATATTGTCTTTCTCGCGATGTACTAACGCTTTCCTAGGATATTGCACCAAACTACTACGATATCTCTGCCTTCAAGAAGGGCGACATCAAGAGTGCTTTGCAACGGGTATCCACCAAAGTTGCGCGCAAGGATGCGGAGAAGGGCAGGCGGTAAAGTGGTATGAAAGCAGCATCGATGCTTTTGTATCATTGCATAATTCTGCATCCAATGCCTTTCTCCCTTTCCTTCTCGGTGCATTTGGGGTCATCTCCAGGCCAACTGGTACAGAATGAAGATTCCTGCTTGTTATCGGGAATTCACATGGCGTATCGACTCATCACGAGCACGATTTGGAATGGGTTGCTGGCAGACCGATGAAGCTCGTCGACAACATTTCCAGTTCAACACTCTATGTACACAGCAAGCATGATAGCGTTGGTCTAGCCCTAGCCATCGTTATTCGGCCCCATTCGTCTTTGGGAGGCTTCGGGGATGTTTTTTTCTTTCATTCATGAGCATTATGATGGCGACAAAGCGACTCTTTTTGCCTGACTGGGGTGTTTGTGCATTGTCGGTCTCGGAAGTGGAAGAGTGCGCTGTTAGTAGTCACAACCCGAAAGCCATGAATGTATAAGAGTAATAAGAGATCGTCGGTGATCTTCGGGGTATAAATTCAGGATAAGGGGGGACGTTATAGACGGAGAGGTCATTATCCCAAGTGCAAAAGAAACCACCATTTCCTCCCAGCTTCGAGCCTCAAAACCAGCTGCCTCTTGCCCATGATGACACCATGCACAAATAGTCAGCTAACCAAGCTAGTAATTCTCCTTTTTCTAAGCCGCAGCCTTGACACTCTGCGGATTCGAAAACACCTCCTTCGGATCAACCTCCTTCTTGATCCTCTGCAACTTGGGCAGATTGTCATTCCAATACATACTGGGGCCCTGCTCACCCAACGCACGATCGACGTAGCCCGCATAAGCACCCAGCTCTTTACCCACACCATCCGTAACAATCTTGTTCAAGCCAGTCAGAAAATTCCGGATCTTGTCATCGACACGACCAAACAGATTGACCGCATACGCTTGGTGGTAGAACAGCGCGTCGCGGTGGCCGTAGGCCGTAGCGTCCGGAGCGTAGTCGTTGATCTTGCCGCCTTCCAAATCCCAGATAAGGAACCACACCGGGGTGCCTTTATCCACTTCGTCGACATACTTGAACAGTTTATCGACTGTTTCATCGGAAAGGAGGTCGTCTTTGGTGTATGCTGCGGATTTGGCGTAGAAGTTTGATTGGATCCCCCCGACGAGCTCGAGCGCCGTGTCTTCGGCCCAGTGTCCCACAACGCCTAGCCAATCGTCCAGCACGATGACGGACTCGGATTTCTGCGGTAAGCGGGACGAGATGTCCAGGCTGTCGAACTCGGATTTGGGGCCGAAGTAGGTCCCGGTTATGATGAGACCTAGCTCGGTCATGATGAACTGCGTCGCGAATTTCCGGGATAGATCCGGGTCCGAGATGAGCTTTTGCCACTGCTTGAACGCATTCGCTTTCGCGGCCGCATTTCCAGCATTGATGGTATATGTGTAGAGAGTCGACTGTTCGGGCTCCGCCTGCGTGCGGACTTTGAACTCGGTGATGATGCCGAAACTCGCGCCCGCGCCTTTGAGAGCCCAGAAGACATCCGCGTTCTGCGACTCGGAAGCGCGCACGACCGAGGAATTCGCGAGGACGACTTCGACTTCTTCAACGTGATCGAGGGCCGAGCCCCACATGCGTGAGGAGGGACCTAGACCGCCGATGGTGGCGTGGCCGCCGATGCCGACTTGAGGGCAAGTTCCGTGGGCCATTGCGCGTTTGCCGTTCTCGTGGAGGCGCTTGGTCACGTCGCCGAGAAGAGTGCCGCCGCCGATGGTTGCTTGCCAGGTTGTGTTGTCCATGGAGAATTGCTGGAAGTTTTTGAGATCGACGACGATGGCGTTGTCAGAGCCGCCGATGCCTTTGGGGGATCTGTTAGATATCTTGGGGGCGAAGTTTTGGGAGGAAGGTTCAGTATATACCATAGTTTGCGTACGAATGACCGCCACAGCGAGGTTGGACTTTGAGATTGTTATCGACGGCGCATTTGACGACCGCAGCTACCTGCTCCGAGGTGGATGGGTAGGTGACTGCAGCAGGATTGACGGGGATATCCAGATTGTATGGCTTGACGTGGGCAAGCTGGTATGCGGCGGTCGATGAAGAAGCAAAGTTCTTTGCTCCCACAGCCGACTCCAGACATTTCTGGACGGCAGAGCTGTTGGTATTGCCCATGATCAAGTACTCTAGCTACTTTCTTCTTCCCAAACTGTGATGATATCTGTTCCAGTGCAAAGAAGGCGGTGGACTGGAATGTAGCGAACGACGGACAGCAGTGGAAGTACAAGAAGTACGGGGCAGCAATCCAAGACAGTGACCACGACCAGAACAATCACATTCTGTAGCACATGAAGACGATGAATGCAGGCGCCCGGTTCTCCGCATGGTCCAGCCCAGGGAGTACCACTGGACGTCGATGGTGGACAAACGGGCTACCAAGCTAGTTTGGCAGCTGCCCAATACAAACACAAGGCGGGGATTTCGGCGGCGAAACAGGCAAATGACTGGGGATTTCGGCAGGGGAGTGGATATTTAACGGTCCTTGGTATACAAGGGAAGGCAAACGCGATTGACCAGTCATGTGCGTGTTCCGTGTGGCGGTGATGGCAATGCGAAACTTGAATGGTGGGTAGCCGCTGGGGCCGGTAGATTGCAAACTGGGGATAAACATGGGGTACATGTGGCGCTCGTGAAATCTGATTGCGTAAAAGTTGCAACCTTCCATTAATCGTAAGGGACCAACGGTGATGGAGGAGTGCGCCTTGGAGGATTGAATGGATATTGGGCAGGGGTCACGGAAAAGTCCGTCGATGAACATTGGCGGACGTTGGCAGACGTTGAGCGGGAATGATTCGCGCTGATTGGTCGGTGCATACTGTGACGATGCACCCTAACAAGACATACCAATGCAGACCTTCAACATCCTCCCATACTAATCTGCATATTCACCTGTTTTGGCCTAAGACTTTACTCTGTAAAACACTGGGCGATTCAAGAGATGACAATGGTCTGACCGAATTCTCACGCCTTCAGATGAGAATCATGTAGGACTACAATGGGCGTACGCAAGCACTTGATGCCTAACAACGCCCCACAGAGAACAGGCAACATGCGCCGCGTATTTCAACCACTTACAGCAAAACATCAATATAAAACCCCATAATCGCCTACCTGCATGAAAGATAGAACTACCACACAGTTCCAAATTCATCTTTCCTACTACTTCTCAGCCTTCACTCTCGTCACTCATCAATTCCTCATCATGGCCGTCACTGAGATCGCCCACCTCTCCCTCCTCAACACCTCCCTCAAAGACTCGCAGCTCCGCCAAAAGCTCAAACAGGCACAGCAAAGTATGCAAGCTTACACCGGACGAACCTTCTATCTCATGCGTCGGCCTCTCAGCAACTCAGTCGTCTACATAATCGGCGAGTGGGATTCGGTAGACCATCACAAGGAATGGCTAGTCACGGACGAAAACCAGCGTCTTCTACAGTTGCTGAAGGACGATGTCGAGGTGGATTGGATGATCCACATCGATGCACCTCACGAGGCCTTACCGCTACCGAAATCGCTTGGACATGTGCATGGGGGCGACGAATCTGCGGTTATCTATAGTTTTGACAAACATGCTGTTGTTGAGGGGGAAAAGCATAAATACGAAGAATTTCTCAACTCCCGCAAAGAGAGCTACGAAGGTTCTGCAGGGAAGGTAGATGGAGCCACCGTAGGTAGTGGATGGGTAATCGAGAAAGCGAATAGCGGGAGAGATACGTTTTTTGTATTGGCGGCTTGGAAAAGCTTGGATACGCATAAAGCTTGGCATGATGGAATAGTATATTCAGAACACAGTGCGGCGGTAGACGACAGCGGTTTCTTGTTGTTGCTCAGCGATCGGATCGAAGAGTTTGTTGTCTGAATTGAGAAAGTCACGTGGTATTGGTAGAGTGGACCCAGAGGTTGCCAGAGATGTAGTCAAGTTCGCTGTTTTCCAGGCTCTCGACTGCAAGTTGTAGCTGATGTTGTATCAAGGAGTCGATCTTTGTGAGTCATCTGCGAAGTAAGCTTGCGCCCTATGGGAACTGAGGTGGGGTATCTAAATCCTCCATTTCCTTCATCTCTCGTACGACCCAAGTACAACCAGATATCTAAACTACAAAGGCCAACGACTCCTCATAAACGCTCAACAGTCCAACAGAGTTGAAACGCCTACAGCAAATAATACAAGAAACCAAAGAGATCAAACCTTCTTCGGCATCTTCCTAACAACCCCACCCCTGTCCCGACCATCTCCCTCAACCCATCCCATCCCGCCCCCATGTGAGCCCCTCAAAACCACCCAAACTTCAAACCCACCAACAAACACCCTCCTCAAAAGCTCAACCATGCCTCTAACACTACACCCCCTAACCCCCGCCGACGCCCACTCCTGGACAAAAATCCGCTACCTCGCCTACCTAGGTCCAACCCACAAAGTCCTGCACCACAACGCGACATCCCCACTCTCCCCCAACACCCTCCACAAAGCCGCGCTCGACAACGCCAAAAACTTTGCGAACCCGCACTTCTGGGCCTGGAAAGTCGTCGATACGGATCTCGCCCCCAGCGAGGAAGATCCGCAGGAGAATGGAGGGAGATCGATCGCGGTAGGAATCTACGAGATGAAATTCAACGATATCGAGGGAACTGGTTCGCGGAAAGAAGGAGGGGGAGAAGGGGGGAAGGAGAAGGAGAAACCGTTTATCCCGCCTGAACTCAATCTTCCCGCTCTTCTGGCCCTTTTGACGCCGCTCCGTGAAGCACAGGCGGAGATCATGGCGGAGCATGCTCGGTATCTTTTTCTGGGGACGCTGGTTACGCATCCGGAGCATCAGGGGCGCGGGGCGGCGCGGATGTTGTTGGATTTGGGGATTAAGAGAGCGGATGAGGAGGGGTTGGATCTGTATTTATCTGCGACGAAGGTTGGGCGGGAAATCTATGAACGAAGGGGTTTCGAGCTGCTTAGGGAGTGTTGGTTTGATAGGGGAGAGTGGGGTGGAGAGGGGGTGGATTGGCATGGGTGTATGATTAGGAGGAAGAGAAAGGGTGATGAGAGTGAGGTGTTGTAGTTATGTTCCTGGCTATTCTTCGGTTTTGGAATTGGTTTCTAGGAGAGGGGTTCTGTTAGTCTTGAGAGTGTTACCTATCTATATGAGGTGTATTGATCCTTTTTTTTTCTCCTCAGAACAACTCATCAGCAATTTTACTCATCTCCTCCACCCACAGCCCCATCCAGACTGTCGAACAATCCCGTCTCAAACCCCTCCAAATCCGGTCCAAGGAACGTAGGTGAAAGGTCACCCTCTCCCCCATTCAACCAGCCCCCAAGAAGAACGTCCGCCTCCTCTTCCACAATACTCGTATCTATATCCTCAATCCTAGTCTCCACCTCTTCAACCTCCGCACACCTCTGAAAACAAGTCATTCTAGCATTCAACCTCAAAAGCCCATACCACGGCATCCGAATCTCAAAGAATCTCTTCTGCCCACCTTCTCCCTCCTCCACCTCTACATTAATCTCTCCTTTTTCCCTAACGATCCCACCTTTACCCACGCTCCCCCATCGCCACACCTCCTCCTCAACACCAAGCAACTCCTCAAGAACACGCAACCCCTTCGCAGACGTCCCCGAATCTTTCAAAGAAAGGAAATGTACGAGCCGTTCCACCATCGCGCGGTCGCTGGGCCGCATGTGCGCGAGGATATGCGGAGTGGAAGAGCGGTGACGCCAATAGGTATCGATGTGAAGTGTCAATAGCGTCATGGCGGCGATGAGGGTGAAGAAGTCGAGGAAAGTGTAGGCATATGATACAAGACGCAGATCTTGCATGAGAAGGTAGCGGGAGAGAATTTCGCGGCTTGCGGTCGCGCAGGCGATTTTACTGGGGTCTGGATCGTATGGGGTCGTGGATGATGCGGATTTGCAGGAAGAAGTATGTTGGAAGATATAAGGGAGGTGCGTTTGGTTGATGAGGTTGAAGTGGAAGAGTTGTAGGGCGAGACGACTGGTCGCTAGAAAGCGGTCTGCGCGGGAAGAGGTAGATGTTAGCGTTGGTAGGAGCCACCACGAGGTCGGGGGTATATTGGCTGCAGATTGGAGAGCCTTTTCGATGGCTGAGGTGAATGTAGTTGTATTTTCGTGTGTTTCGAGTTCGTTTCGGGAGAGGATTTGAGAGGCTATGATGCAGTGTTCCCGTTCTAAGTGTTCTTCGAAACTCATATTGAGGACTGCTGTGGGGTTTGCGAATTTGATGTCAGACGACCCTTGGGGTACGCCGAGAATGAGACAATACAGGCGATCGAGGTAGACAATCCTGTACCACATGTATGCTGCGTCGAATTTTGGAGCCTGATTGTCGATTTGCTGTGGGCCTGCCTGATACTCATGGCGATGCAATCCCAGAAGCTGAGCGAGAGCCATGGCTCTCCTGATCGTCGTAAAGGCGCGGCGTATGTTTCCGTTGTTCCAATGGAATGTGGCTTCCAGCATTAGACACTCCAACCCTTCAGCATTTCCCATAAGGTGGTCTTTAGTCATGATCATCTCGATGACAATGTTTGCCAAATCTTGTATCCTGGCTCTACAGCGCATGGTAGACTCTGAATCATCGCCAGAGTATTGACTGATACACGCTAGGATCAGTAGTCTCTGTGCTAGTAGGATTGGATGTGCAGATGGTGGTGGGGGTATGGCGAGTTCCGTTCTAGTCAAGACAAGCTGTGGGGGCGATTTGAAAACCTGCAGATAGTTCCTTGAGAGCAGTTGCTGGAAAAAACAAGGAATGTAATCAGAATTTGCACAGACCGTCCGGCACTCTTCAGCAGAAGGATGAAGCTCATACAGTTGCTGTGAAAGCGTTATATTCGGCCCTGGATGATGTGAGGATTCCACTGAATTGTTTGCCGTCCCAGCTTCATCCAAGGCCATTGTAGGGGGAGAGACATTTTCTGAAGTAACGGCATCCTTGTTTCCGGTTCTGCCATGACCGCCTTTGGAGTTCAGTCCTCGCTCTTCCATCAATGCCTCCAACATGAATTCAATACGTTCCAATCGCTGGTTCGGAATCTTCGTCTCCCCTATGCCCTCCCGATTGTCCCATTCAGGTTCCTCATCTTGACCCATACACAGTGTACCTCGATGTCGGCACCCGATGCATACTCCTTCCACAGGGCTCGCGAATACACATCTTGCTTTTCGCCGCTTACACTCCCTGCAACTATGCGTACCCTTGCGCAGTTTGCGTCTTTTGGATGCTTGGGTATGAATCGTAGACTCCATCGTCATTACCAACTTTTTGCACAATGACTGAGAGATGACAAAGTTTAGGGCAGGTTGTGGATACCGCCGTAGCGGCGGAGTGAGAGTGATACGCTTTGTCATCAAGACGTACTCTGATATACACCGGGACACAGTATATATCAGAATGTTGTCGACGCTCCCGCCGTCGCGGCGGAGAATATGCATGGCTTATCTTGATTTTAGACGGGGCGCTTAGGAGTTGCTCGAATCAGTAATTGTTACGAAGACAAGGATGAAAGCCATGGAGACTCCTCTGTGGACACTCTTAACCTAGTTCGACTTGATACTTCCTCCGCTACGACGGAGTACCCTAGCTTCGAGGGGTGGAACCTGTTCCCATACCATCGTATAAAAGAGAGAGCCATGCCTGCAGAAAAGCATAACACAGCAATCATCTTTTCTTCAAATAGCCCGGTTTCTCAGCATTTTCTACGTTTGGCACTTGTCGTTCATCGTTAACAATCCACCATGTCGTCTAAACCCATCACATCCAACGCCCCAGAGGAAGGGCAAAAGCACACCCCTTCCCAAACCAAACTCTTCAACCCTTTCCAAATCCGCGGTCTCACTCTTAGAAACCGTATAATCGTGGCACCGATGGGCATGTATAGCTCACCCAATGGAAACTTCACTGACTTCCACCTCATGCACCACGGCCACTTCACCTTTCGGGGCGCAGGCATGAGTATCATTGAAGTCAGCGCCGTCACTGCGAGTGGACGCACCTCGCCAGAAGATGCTGGACTGTGGGACGACTCGCAGATTCCGGGGTTGAAAAAAGTGGTGGATTACGTTCACGCGCAAGAAGGCGGTGGCGGGAAGATTGCGATTCAACTGGGGCATGCAGGCAGAAAGGGGGGTATGACGCCTATCTATCCAGGACGTGAACATCATATCGTGGCCAAAGATGACGGTGGGTGGGAAGACGAGATTTTGGGTGCGAGCGCGGTTCAGTTTTTGCCGTCTTATATCATGCCGAAAGAGATGAGTGGAGAACAGATCCGAGAGGTTGTCGTTGCTTTTGGGGCTGCGGCGGCTCGGGCTGTGAAGGCTGGTGTGGGTAAGTATTGCTTTGAATCCCTTGTCAAGAAAATGCTGATGAAGTTGGCAGATGCCATTGAGGTCCACGGCGCCCATGGCTACCTCATCAGTTCGTTTCTCTCACCTATCGCCAACTTCCGAACCGATGCTTATGGCGGCTCTTTCGAGAACAGGATACGCATTCTTCTGGAAGTCGTCCAGTCTATTCGTAGCAACATCCCAGATACAATGCCCCTGTTCGTACGTATTTCAGCGGTAGACTGGATGGAACATGAACCGAGCACACCGCAGTGGACTATCCAAGACTCAGTCAAACTGTCCCTCATTTTGAGCGATCTAGGCGTGGATGTCATCGATGTATCGTCAGGAGGCAACAACCCCGAGCAAAAGATTCTTGTCACCCCGTACTATCAGATCAATTTTGCAGCAGCCATCCGAAAAGCGTTGAAGGAGGCTGGAAAAACTATGCTGGTCGCGGCTGTTGGGTCGATTGACAACGCGGCATTGGCAACGGAAGTTTTGGATGAGGAAAAAGCCGATATGGTGTTAGTTGCGCGAGAGTTCATGCGGAATCCGGGTCTGGTATATACGTGGGCTGAGCAACTGAATGTACAGCTGCCATGGCCACGACAGTATCTTAGAGCCCCTCGCGATTCAAAGCTACGTGCTACCATATAAGGTAGGGACGTCGATACGTATGTAACCTAGAGGATCGCAGCACTTTATTTCCAATAAAATTTCTGCGAAGCAAGTGGCGATATAAAGCAGCTTACACAAGCTGGCTTCTGTGAGCATAACTTGATGTGCTTGATCATGGGAGTGAAATGGACATCTCCCCTCTTCAATTTCGAAATGTCCCGAGTAGAAAAGGACCAACATACCTGTGGTGGTGAGTAGGGCTCATCAATCTTGTCGAGCCACTGAAAACACAGTCAGGACGACCTCAAGGTTCCCTCCTCTTTCGAAGCATAGGATGATGGAAGTGACGATATCTCATTGACTCAATACCAGATACTACGGGTTCTGTGATGTGGAATTGCTTCTTCGCCCGCCTTCTCCTTCTCCTTGGCCAAGTCATAGAGAAAAAAGTCAATTAGAATAGCGTTCACCCTCGAATCAGGCTGCAGTTTGAGAATCTCTCGACGAAGAAGTTCGATAGCCCAGATGCTACACCCGCGGATCTGGAGTTCCCAAGTGTGGCCAGAGTTGATAATATCCCCACGTCGTATGTGCGCATCCAACGGGGGACAGTAAGATATAACGCCGAACGAATGGAGCATCTGGGGAACGCGATAGTCGGCGAACATCGTGATTTTGTCAATATCGTTGAACGAGCCATAGCCTTCGCCGTCAAACGCAGCCCATATATCAGCGACGAAAATTTGGGCTCGTTTGAGAAATCGGACTTTCTTTCGCTCGAAAGTTCCTTCATCTCTAAAACAGTTGAATCGTTCCGCTAATAGGTTGACTAGACCTGCCGCCGAGCCTTTGGCATCTTCTATAAGTGTGGCAACGCTAGAGTCAAAGTCCTAGAACGTCAGTACATAGAACTTCAATGCCTAATTGACTGCAGCCTACATCTTCCAATATAAGACCTGCTTCTCTCAAACACTGCACGCGCTGGTCGAACATGGGCATCTCTTCCTCCGTCTCAGACCGGAAGACATTTCGCAGGACCTCCTCGGTGCACTTCTCCTCATCAACCCAGAACTGAGGGCTGGTGATCGGGATATCATCATCCAGTGCTCTCTGCAGCGCAGCGACCAGACTCCAATAGCCTGTCCACCTTTTGCCTTTGTACTCGACAGCAAAACGTTCCTCCTCTTTCTTTTCGCTCCAGAAGCTGAAATTAAGTAGATCCATGGTGAAGATGAAGTTTGCAGTGCTTTCATCCTTCGATTTCGGATGCAGTTCATGTTCGGCCCATGCTTTTGTACTATAATCTCGTTTCTGCATTTCCTCGTGAACAGCTATGGCAGCAAGTTTTGTGTATCGCATGTCCAAGGCCACATCAGTGCTGTTGTCGACAATGAATTCTGCGTTCTGAAGCACCTTTGTCTCTGGAGGTGCATTTGGATCTGATCCGTTCATCCCGAATTTTGCTCGTAGCAGAGCCACGAGTTCGTGGTCGACTTCATCGTCAGACATGGTGGGGAAATCGAGGAGCCGAAAGTGAAAGTGGAGAAAATTGCGGTTCACTTTTTTTTCTCGTTTACCATTGAGTTTCAGCACACTTCCCTTTCACTATTTCCGGTATGGCCGTCGAAGAAAAGATGAGATGGCTGTCAAGAGGTCGGATGGAGCCGTAACCCAAAAAGAGGCTCTAATGATGTAGGACTACCGTAACTGCCGCCGCGTATTTTACCTTTACCTAGCGCGTCGTCCGCCAAGACCTGCAAGGCTGCGGCTGCTTTACTTTGCCCGATCGGTCGCTGACGTCCTTCAACAACCTCATCAATCGCCTCCAGGTGGTTGGCAACCCCGCAGATTTCGCTCTACGCATGCCACAGCTTCTTCTCCGAGCCCATTGAATCATGGCGACAGTTGCCGGACGCGACCGATACGCGCGCCAGAGCCTCGGCGGCAATCTCCACGCGCGCATCAAGCAGGTACCGAGCATCTGGAGACTGTTTGAGTTCCGGTGATAGCGAAACTAATCTTTTATAAAGGCGCGTGTCTTGATGGTCGGCGCTGGCGGAATTGGCTGCGAGCTACTTAAAAACCTCGTTCTTACCGGCTTCGGCGATATACATATTGTTGACCTCGATACCATCGACCTGAGCAACCTGAACCGTCAGTTCCTATTCCGCAACGAGCACATCAAGAAGTCGAAAGCTTTGGTCGCCAAAGATTCCGCTGGAAGGTTCAACCCCAACGTCAAAATAGAGCCATACCATGACAATATCAAAGACCCCAAGTTTAACGTTGCCTGGTTCAAGACGTTTGAGATCGTCTTCAATGCGCTGGACAACCTGGACGCTCGGCGGCACGTGAACAAGATGTGCCTGGCTGCTGATGTACCCTTAATTGAAAGCGGTACGACGGGATTCAATGGTCAAGTGCAGGTCATTCGCAAGGTGCGCATCGCCTGTGACATAACGCATCGATGATTATGGCAAGCTGACGGAATCGCAGGGAAAATCGCAGTGCTATGACTGCACGCCGAAGGAGGCGCCAAAATCGTTTCCTGTGTGCACCATTCGAAGCACGCCCTCCCAGCCTCTCCACTGCATCGTGTGGGCCAAATCCTACCTCTTCACTGAGATCTTCGGTACCTCGGAAGACGAAGCGCCTGAACTTGATTATAAAAAAGACTCGGACAACGCGGAGGAGCTGAGCAACTTGCGCAAAGAGGCGCAGGCTTTGAAGCGCATTCGCGAATCGATGGGCTCCGCGGACTTTCCACGCCTAGTGTTCGAGAAGGTGTTCAAGGAAGATATAGATCGGTTACGCAGCATGGAAGACATGTGGAAGTCAAGGAAGCCGCCTGTTGCTCTGGACTTCGACAGACTTTCTACGGAGGCGCTTGGCGTTGGTACAGCAACTGCACGGAAAGATCAAGTGGAGTGGTCACCAGCAGAGAATTTCGTCGTATTTGTAGACAGTCTACAACGGCTTAGTACTCGACTTGAGGAGACGCGAGCGAATGTAGACACCGGCAATTCCCCGCCCATCTTGACATTTGATAAGGATGATGAAGATACCTTGGATTTCGTTGCAGCAAGCGCAAATTTGCGGTCCATTGTCTTCGACATTGAACGAAGGTCCAAATTCGATATCAAACGTATGTTGATTATATTGTGCTTCCAAAGTTCTCCGCTAATTTGCAAATTTAGAGATGGCCGGTAACATTATCCCTGCCATTGCAACCACAAACGCGATGACGGCATCTATCTGCGTCCTACAAGCATTCAAGGTCATGCGTGAGGAACTATCTAAAGCCAAGATGGTGTTCCTTGCACCGAATGGTACGGAGCGACGCCTCATGACCGAGTCCCTAGCGCCTCCAAACCCAGAGTGCCCTGTCTGTAGTGTCGCCCAGGCTGTGGTAGAGGTCGATCTCAAGCGTGCTACACTGAATCATCTGGTGGAGGATCTCCGCGCACAGCTAGGATATGGTGAAGAGTTCAGTATCAACAAGGACGCCAATATCCTCTACGACCCCGATGAGGATATCAATCTTTCCAAAACCTTCAGCGAGTTGGGACTGGAGGACGACACGTTCTTGACGATCATCGACGAATCCGAGATGGACAAGAAGGTCAACCTCGTTCTCAGCATTGCGGCGAAAGAACTGCAAGAACAGCCTGTTCACTTGCTGGAAAAGGTCACCGTCCCCACCGCTCCGAAGAAAGCTGCTGCGCCCGAGACCAATGGTCACAATGGCCATGCGCACCCGGCTACGAACGGAACTACCATGACAGTAGTCACCAATGGCAACAAACCTTTGAAGCGTACAGCCGATGACGCAGGTTTGGAAGACGAGCTAGTCAAAAAGAAAGGCAAGGTCGCTGCCAAGCCGAACGAGGACTCTGGCCCCATTGAGATTGAGGACTCAGGCGATGGTGCCATAATCATTGACGACGACTGAATGAACACATTCTGGCACTCGCCATTAGCGATGGCATCCGCTTCTATGGATAGATCTTGGATTGTTCTCCATTTCTTTTGCGCAAACATTAGAGATCCAAGTCCGTTCGATAATCCTCTCCACTTTGCGCCTGGAGACATTCATCACCTTTGGCGTTTTGTTTCTTTTTATTACATGGAGGGAAATACCCGGCAATTTTGGGGTTTGAACTGGCATGCTTTCTGGCCGTGGGTTAGGTAGGGTAGGGTAACAATCACACAAGCCACGGAGCTACATTGGGATGATATTGGCGCGTCTTCCGCAACTCTCAAACACAGTCGTGCTGAACGGGGTGTTTTCTGTACGCGGCTTTAGCGTTACTTGGTGTAATAACTTTTTCCCTGTCGGTTCACAGAGCGGATAGTCCGCCGTCAAGGTTAATGACGCAATTATGCGCGTACTCATTCTGTGCGAGGAAAAGCGCCGCCGAGGCGATTTCTTGTGGTTTTGCGAAACGACCGAGGGGTATTCTGCGGAGGAGAGAGCTATGGTCGAGATCTGTAGCGGAAGGTTAGAATGCAATATAGAAATCAAAATGATTATCCCTGTACAATCTTTCGTGTCCCGTTGGATTTACGTCGAAGGGAGTTGATGTACTTTGCTTACCTTGCGTCATATCCGTCTCCACATACCCAGGCACAATCGCGTTGACCCTCACCCTCTTCCCTCCCAGCTCCGTAGCCAACGCCCTCGTAAACCCCAACACCCCAGCTTTACTGGCCGCATATGCAACAGCGCCAAACCCGCCACTAACTCCCATCAAACTACCAACATTGATTATAACGGGACTATGTCTGCTCTCCCCCTCTTGTTCCCCATTCACTTCCCCTTCTCCGGGACCCCCGGCATCGCCACTACTTCGACTACTCCCCGTAGAAGAGGAGGGAGAATAAGCTTGTAGATAACGATTCCTAAGCAAAAACCGCGTCCCCACCATCATCGCAGTTAAATTCGTATCCACGACTCCCCGGATCTCATCCTCGTCCATCCGAACAAAGACCTTCTCCTGCGAAATCCCCGCGCAATTCACCACGACATCGAAGCGCGTGGTGCGGGCCCGCACATCGCTGAACGTATCCGTCGTCCAGAACGACGGCGATGCGATGTCGCCGGGAATAAAAGCGTGGTAGGGTTGGGAGGAGGAGGAAGAGGGCGTTGGTGGGACGTGCAGGGAGAAGACTGCGGTTTCGAGGGTAGATGGGGACCGCGAGATTAGTGTGCAGGCGTAGTTGTTGCGGGCGAGGAGGCGGGCTGTGTGGAGGCCGATTCCGCGGCTTCCGCCTGTTATTAAGGCATGTTTCAACGGCATTTTGGAGGGGAAGGCTGGGAGGTGAGGTGAGGGTCGGTTGTTTTCAATTGCGAAAATGGTGGTGAGGTCGCGCGCGGAGGTTTGCGGGGATCTCTGCGGGATTGAGATGGTGATGGGAACGAGCAATTGTCAGGTTTTGGTGTAAAAAATTTTCTGTGTGATCCAATCTGAAATTGAATTAAGTTGACTCTAAACTATTAGAGAATTCATGAGATTGGAATTCAATTGAAAAAAGAAAGGTTCACGTCTCTCTGCGAGTTCGAGTCCCAAAAACCCGCTTACATCATCTTCCATCAATCCCCCGAGTTCGCGAACGCCCGTGATCACGCGCCCGCGCGCCATTCCATTGTGCCGCCACTACTGCACCCCACAACCTCCCTTCATACTTCAACTTGCAGATCAAACCGCACTACCCAAACTCGCTTTCCTGTTGCCTTGCTCTACAGATAGGAACTCGGAAAAAAAAATCATGGCAGACCAAACCCCCACAGACTACATTACGCTGATAAGCAACGACGGCTTCGAGTTCAAGGTGCTGCGCTCCGCAGCGTGCATTGCGACGACGCTCAGGAAGGCCTTGGATCCGCAATGTACGATAATAACTTTCCCGTCACCGCCATCTATTTCCCACATTCATTGTACTCATTGAAAAATGTGTTTTGAATATGCTAACTCCATCCAAAAGCCGGGTTCCGCGAAACAACAGAGAACCGCGTCGAGTTACCTACCATCAAGTACGTCTTCCTTTCCCTTTCTTTCTACATTTCTTCTCTCCCCTTGACCACTGCAAAAGAGCAGCAACTAGAACGAAATTATGTTCTAACATAGAGGTCGTACGTATAGCGGTGTAATCCTCGAAAAGGTCTGCGAATACCTTTACTACAACCAGAAACACGCCGACGCCAAGGAAGTCCCGGATATGGATATTCCTCCTGAGCTGTGCCTGGAGTTGTTGATGGCCGCGGATTATCTCGTCGGTAAGTTTTCAGATATATTTAAGCATATTCTTCTTTTATCTCTTTATCTTTGTTCTTACCACTCGTCGGTTGGGGGAACGTTGGAGCGAAGGGTGTTATTCGAGAGCCTGAGTATCAGGACTGACATTTCCCTGCGTAGTCTGAACAACCCACACATAAATTAGTCAAATCAACAACAAAGAATACCCTGTGTATTGGAACTCAAAAACTCCCTAGTATATTGACTCTAGCATTATGAAGGCTACGACATATTCAGCATTGTGTTCAAGGTCTCTGTTCAGCGTTACATAGTTATATCCTCTTGCACGAATGATGCAGCGAAAACCTTGTGTCTCCTCGTAGATACGCACTGCACGCATGCACTGACGGAATATATGTATATACGGCTGTTATGAGAAAGGCCCACATGATTCGCAATTCTTTCTGGGTCTAGTCAGGTCAGCCGACACACAATGCGTGGGATGTTTAGATGGAAACAAGCGTCTAGACTTAATCGACGGATGAATGAAGAACTGCATTAGTTGCATCAGTAACCATGGATATTTCTACATGCACAACCTCCTTTCACTAGTGCAAAGCTGTTTAAGAGATGGTAGTATATCACAGTGACAGATTGCCGTCAAATGCGAGCGCTTAAACAGTTTACAGTAAGAGCGTCAAGCACGAAACGATCATAAAGGGTGAAGAAGAGTGAAGTTTTAGGGTATCATGTCGTTCATATCTGTGATCTTCACGTGCACTGTGGCACACAAGGATACGATAGGTAAAGATAGTACAGACGACGTATGGTCCCTACTATCCATCCCTACTCACATTCTCGCTCAAACCCCGCTTGTGAAAAGCGTCTGCTCATGCAGATTCCATTTCTCTACCTGAATGGGAGTTCTCTCCCTCAAACTGATCACATAACCGCCGCTTACTATTCCCACTCTTTGAAATCAAGGGAAGATGCGCGAAAAATCTCAACCGCGGCGTTCCTTCGACGCTTTCTTACTCGTAGGACGAGTGAAATTGGTCATGTTGGCGAAGGCCATCGCGTTCGTATTCGTGTGCACATCGTCCACAACGAAGATCAAATCGATGGGTGGGTTCTCGTGGTTCCCTTCTTCGTCGTCGTACGCATTAAGCACGACCACGTGTGAAATCCACTTGTTTCCGAGCTGTTCTTTGTGTGAAGAGAGGAAATAGCCCCACGTGTATCCGTTTGGAGAGCCTTTTAGTGAGAAGGAAAGGTTAGTCGGTAGGTTCTGAGGGCTGCTCTCGAAGTACGGGGGAAGAGGTCACACGGGAAGTTGAAAGAAGGTCCGTGTCAAGGGTAGGGTAGAATCAGAGCCGGACATAGAAAAAAGAGCAGTGAAGAAGGGGTAATGTCTTACCTATGAGAGCCTTTGCCTCGTCGGAATCACCGTCGAACTGGTGACCTGGATACATTTCCAAATTCGGCTGGTTGGCACGGCGAAATGCATAGGCCACTATGTCGCTCGTCTGATCATTCAGGACATCTTGTACCCAGAAGTACTTGATATCTTTGACGTTTGGGTTATTGTTAATCCAAGCGCCCCAGAAAAGATCCGACATGGTCCTAAGACGAGGGAGCAAATTTACATCCACAGGCTCTCCTATATTATCCTGTATTAGTCGTGATCTTTATGAGAATAAGAGAGCGCGCCTGAATATTAGGCGGTTTGCCGGTAACGGCATGGTGTATTGAGATGCTGAGACTCAACCTACCCCATAACTCTTTTGCTTCATGGTAGGGACTACCAACGGATTGCGCGACTAACGCTAAACAAAAGACCATTAGTAAGTCTTCATGCAAAAACAGAGGGACAGGTGACTTACCACCCCCTTTAAGGTTGGTAGCGCCATCGTATTCACCACCGGTATACTGTTTCAGTTATGTCAGCTTCAGCTCTTCAGTCTCCGTCTGTATGATAAGGGCACTCTTACCAAGTATTCCTTGCCGTCTACCACATATTTTGTTTCCATGTTGTTAGTGCTTTTGTGTCGCATGCTGAAGCATCGCATATCGCCGCCTTCGCCCACCGATTTGCCATTCCACCCCAACTGCTTGAAGGCTCGGTCATAGTCGTATCCCCCGTCGTTGGTATAGTCGCACATGGAATCATCTACCGTGACGTCGAACCAGCCCCATTTTTTGAAGTCATCTGTAAAATGACATCGTCAACAACAAGTTCTATGCATAAGCGGTGGTTCTTTCCAGAAACAACTTACTTTTAAATTCTGAATCTTTCCATTGACTCTTCAACGTAGGAGGATTTTTGTCCCAAACCTGTCCGGCTTTTGTGTCATCCCCTTTCATTGCTTCGACATGTCGAGCACCTTTGCAGACAGCTGCATTCCACTGATCATCGCTGCATGTGCGTTTGGGATTAAAACCACGAGTTTCGAGCTCTGAAGAAGCATGACGGCGAGGTCGGCGCTTGTTATCAATCACATTCGAATTGGTAGTGGGCTCCACGATATCGGCGGCCGTTGCATTCGCACTGCTCGTATTAGTGTTCCCTCTCAATTCATTCGCTAGACGGGATTATAGGCATTGTGCGAAGTACTCACATGAGCTTCAGCTCTGTGTCGGCGGTGAACACAGCAGCATTGCCATCCCCATCAGATGGTGCGTCCTCAACCCAGAACAACAACTCGATATTAGGTTCAAAGCTCTCGTACTCTTCTGAATCAAAGACTGTGACTTTCGAGATCCACTTCCTTCCAAGCTCTTTCTTGTGTGCTTCCAGCATATGGCCCCAAGTCCATCCATTGGGAGACCCTGTAGTAATTGCCAGCCACTGGTCAGCAAACAAGAGGACTATATGTTCAAATAGAGGATAATCACGTACCAATAAGCGCTTTGGCCTCATCAGAGTCATGTTTGAATTCCGTTCCTGGCCATGGCTTCAACTGGCCCCCGTGGTTCATGATGATTCGGTTGACTAGTTTCTCCGTGTCGCGGTTCACCACATTGTTCACCCATATGTATTTGAGGTTTTTGACGTCCGGGTTTTCCAGGGCCCATTGACCCCAAAACACATCTGACATGTATCGAAGTGTGGGGAGCTCTTCCGGTGAAGGTTTATAGCCGAAGAGCGTGCGGAACGAATTCGCAGGACTCTTCACGTTGAACGCCATGATGAGCCCATCTTTTGCGTTTACACCGCCGAGGTACGACGCCCCAGTCATCTTGTACTGCTTACCATTCACCTTATAAGTTTGGTCTTTTATGCGTGGCAGAGAGGGATCATCCTGATTGGACACTCCATGTAACCACTCGAAGCACCAATTATTTCCGCCGGCGTGCTTAGGTTTGGCACTCAAATGGAGTTCTTTTGGGAATGCGAGAATTGAGAAGTCGCAGACTAAGTCCTGGTTCACGTGCTTGACCGACCATCCCCATGTCTTCATGTCCTCTAAAGCACAAAAAGTCAGCATATACTCCGAATAATACTTTAATTGATGAAACCTGAGCATACCTTGAAACTTATCATCTGAGAACATACTCTGCATCGACTCACGGTCTCCATAGATCTGTCCCGCTCGTTTGTCGTCTGCACGCATCGTCTCAAGCAATTGCCCACCTTTGCATTTATAGTTTTCCAATAGTTGATCGTCGGCTGGGTCATCGGGGTCAAAGCCACGAGCAGCTAACCTAGATGAAGTACGCTTTTTCTTCCTGAGCTCGTCCATAGCGGGAGAAACGCCAGATATAGAAGCCAGATCATTTACTGGTGTAACCTTGTTTGGCTGCTCTACATCTCCAATAGCTGTTGATGTTTCCAGATTTGACGTCTTTTGCAGGGCATCATTACTCTGGGTCGAGTTGGCGAGTATTCGAAGATAGTCGGTGATGGTATTTCTCTCTGGGGGAGGGGCATCCTCAACATGGAAGAGTAAGTGCGGCTTAGGCGATACATTTTGTTCGAACCAGTCAGGATCCATAATGATCTGAATCCGAGAAATATATTTATTCCCAAGCTGAGCCTTGTGTTGCAGAAGAAACCATGCGATGGAGGTACCCTCGTCGGAACCGATTAGGATATTCCCAACTTCGCTGCCGGATTCGAAAGTCTCAACAGGCCATCGCCCAAGCTGATCTCCAGTCTTGTCGAGTATACGGGCGATGAGCTTCATTGTATCCTCCATGACTTCTTCCACCCATATATAATTGATGTTCTGCACGTTTGAGTTGTTGCGAGACCAATATGCCCAGAGGATGTCAGACATTGTGTTCAGCAAAGGAAGTTCCTCTTGCTTGACTTCGCGGCGCCATTCCTCCTTTGCTGCTTGCGACAGAGATTTCCCATGCTGAGTATAGATCAACCCAAGACCATGACTGAAGCAAAAGAGAAAGCGTGCGCCAGTGGCTCGGTACTCCTGGCCATCCACACTGTAGTTTTGCTTTGATGGGCTAAGCAGGCCGCCATCCGAGTCTTTCTTGTTCGGGTCCAGATGCTCGACCTGGTGAATGGCAACTTCGGAATCCAGTATGCCATAATGGCGCGTTGTACGCAAGATATTCTCGAGGATACCCTTGTCAGGCTGAGAATCAGACCAGTACCATTTGCGGAGGTCTTCTGCATGGAGTCAGTGCCCGCCCGTTTGTTTTACGGGGGCAGTATAATAATATGCAAATGAACGTACCCGTTAGATTGCCCTGCCAGACACTAGCTACCGAAGGTGGTTGACGACTATCTCCCAACTGTAGACCAGCTTCCTTGTCCGACTCCTTCATAGCGGTCAAAAGAAGTTCGCCATCGAGCAAGGTAGTCAGCCACACGTGGGTAGGCTTGAAGAGGGGATTCTGCTTGGATTCGAAGGTCTTTACCGAGTCATCAACGCGAGGAGGACCATCGCGGTCCAGTCCATGAGCGGCAGACAAGGTATACCCAGCAGTGCGTGCGAGCGGAGAAGCTGCAACGAGCAAAGGGACAAAGACGGCGACGACTGAGACCGCCGCTGCCACGAGCTTCATGATTTCCAAGCACGACCAGAGAATTGGGGCTGTGATCGGGAAGGTGTCTCGGTGAGGGTGAGGGGACGGTAGGTGGGAGGCAGCGAGGTAAATAAAGTGAGTGCGTGAGCACGGACCCATCAAGCGTTTGTAGAAGGCGCGGGTCCGCTGTTGGTATGAGATAAGTCGTTGTCACACACGTGGGACTAGTTCGATCAGCGACTAACCACGATAAAGGTATCATCTGTCCAGCTGTTTTGACGCTGTATCATTAGGATGTGGCCGTCATTTCATCAAGATGGTAGCGGCCCAGACACTGTAATACACGGGACAAACAGCTGCCCCGTTAAACCAATGAATTCTATGAATACATGCGGACACCAATGCTTCTTCGCTATTCTGATTTATTTTCGAGGAATCTGATCATCTCTTTTGGATACCCCATACAAGATCCCCCCACTCATTGGAGAGTGAAAGCCCCTCTGCAAAACGCCAACCATAATCCCCACTACAAGCATGCTATGCTCAAGAACCTCCATAGCAGTACATCCCCTTTCAAATCATGAACGGGCCCCATAACTCTCTCGAGTCTCTCACTCCGGCACTCCTCTGACCTTTTATCACACTCATCAGCCAATTATTACCACAAACTCGAGATTATTGGTCGAGTCAAAGTAACAAACTCACATATAGAAGTCGGAATCTCACCTCTCCCTCATATCATAAACTTCTCAAATGGTGGAACCCCAATACACTGTGGCTCACCCGAATTTCTTTCTCGGTGCCGTGCTCAACAACGATAGTTTTGAGGAATTACCCATGGAATCCCGACCTGGCAGAATCTGCTACGCTTAGAGATCTTGGAAAAGAAGATATAACTATCCCGTTGATTCATGTCTATAGGGATATGGCCTTGGCCGCCAGTGTTACACGCGGTGAAGTCGCCGATATAATCTACGGGGCTTTTGCGTCGAAATCAGCATGAGGAAAGCCAATAAGGTGGAAGATCTTCAAAGGCATGGTGGGCGATCGATCTGAAGTAGTAGCAGCACCAAAATCCTTCATGCGGATTGAAGAGGATCGCGTCATAAGGGGTTTGCGAACATGAGTAAACGCCGCCGACCATGTGAAATGTTCACGATGCAAGACTTGTGGGGGCGTGCAGGACTTCATGGCGGTCGCAGACGATGTGTCAAGGCTTTGGAGATTTGCACAATGTCTGGACTAGTAGTACGTGTACGACCGGGAATGTCACTGTCATTTGCATACAGAAGTGGTGCAACTTTTGTATTAAGCTACCCAATCTAGCTGGAAATTCAATGGGAAAACCAGCTACCAGATATAGACTGAACCACTTTTACCATCATGACAAACTTAGTATCGTCTAGCTCCGTGTCTGCCCAAATCAAAGACAAAAGATCGCAGTCGCTTTCAAGTGTCGAAGACCTTGATATGGGTATTCGCAGCACGACCTACAATAATAAGTAACTGCACCGCGCAACAGATAGTTCCCACATACCCCACTAGAGCTTCTGGCACTTGTAGCTGATATACCCGATGTTGTTCTCCATGTAGTGGAAAGCGCCAGTCGAGTTAGGAGCAGCATCCACCACCTCAGTATCAGGATCGCAAATCTTGGTGCTACCGTCCCCAAATCAGCTCCCTTAAAACCTCTCAAGACATTTTTAATATTACAAGGACGAATACTCACTTGAAGAATGTGCAGTGGCAGTCGGGGTTGATGGTGTACTTGACATCGTCTTCGGTCCCAGGAAGCAAGACGCTACGACACTTGTTGACCTTGAGGTTGTTGGGATCTTGGCTAGGCGAGAAGCTGGGCGCGATCCATCCGCATTGTTTGGGGTCGGCTGGGTTGGCATCGCGGGCGGTGCGAGGGAGGGAGTATGCGACGGCCATGAATACGTATATGACCCACTGGGTGAAGAGAGTCATAGTTGTTGCTGACAGGTGACTACCTCGGCGGAGCAGAATCTTGAAGTTGGGGTTGGAGGGATTGGTGGAGCGGGTGGAGAGAGGATATAAAGAACTATTTGTTGTGTGGGCGAACGAAGAGAACGTGCTTAGCGTGTGTAACCACAGAGCTGCGTACCCGGTAGGCAGACAAAGAGGAAACTAAACACAACAAATCGGGTATTGCATCCCTGGCCTCTGGTGCTGAAAGCAAAACTCCTTTTTTTGAACATTTTTGTACTCGCCTACTTTTTGTCAAATCATTTTTATCATTATTTTTAAGTGTAGGGATCACTATAACTTCCAATCAAAAAAAAAAACACAACAAATTTTTTTTCCAGAATAGAGTGGATTAGATTCTGATTGGGTATAGTTGAATTTGTGACGGGAAGGAATTGCACACATGTAGAAGTTCGAGTTTGGTTTTGGTTGGATTGATCAAGAATGCCTTTCATTCATTTGATTCGGTTCCGCAGTAATGAGAACCCGATTTTGGTGATAAGGACATTTAACAGAACTCGACATGCCGAAAACCCCGATGTTTACACATCCGCAATGAACCTCAGTGATTCAGTAATCCTAGGACAGTACCAAGAGACAGCTTACGCTGCACCCTCAACTATCTCAGCAATGGCGGCCCTAACATCAATCCTCTTTCTTCAAGCACTGGCAATACGAAGGAGGGTAGACAATCTTCGAGACTTCCTCCCACTTCCCACGACGCGGACCCTCAATATTGACCTTGTACGCAGAAATCGCCTCAGAGTCTCTACATCACAACGTCAGCTTCATTTCCAACAACTCCCTTCCATATAAACATTCCTCGGAATATATTACTACTTACCACCAAAAGGCGCAATCACAGTAGTGCCAGATCTGGAACATGTTGAACTCAGGATGGTAGAAAGGGGCGGCGCCGCAGACGTACAATTCAGGGCACCTGTCTTTCTTATCGCCGTATTGGTGCCAGGGTGCGCTGTATTCGGCCTCGATGGTGCCGGCAGGCAAGGTGGAGACGATTAGGTTGGATTCAGGGGCGATCGGGGCGCCGCCGACAAGGCTGATGCCTGCGACGAGGAGAGAGATGAAGAGTTTGGGAACTTGCATCGTGGAGAATTGATTGGGGTTAAGTGAATGATGATAGAGTTAGTGAGTTGTGGTGAGTTGTTGTGATAAGGTAGTTGTTTTGGAATGAACGTTTTTTATATGGTAGTCCGCAGTTGGTGGAGCAAGCGGAAAAGGACACAAACCTGGAAGCAAACACTGTGAAAGCAAACACTGTGGGTGAAAGACGGTGAATGATAGTTATATTCTGCTTGATGTCCCGCGTTTGCTAAAGTCAAAGCGGCGCTCTGTTTTGCGATTAACCAGAGGGTCAGCTAGATCATTATTTTTGCATTCGAGCCGCGTGTCAACGTTGGGCAGCTTCAATGGAATACTCGAATGACTTCTAAGGTAATGTGTCTAATTAGTTCTATGGTAATATGCATAAAGATCCCACCATCGCTGATGCAAAGATTCCGATTGAGTGTTTCTTCCTGAAATCCAAGACAAATCTAAGTCGTACAAAAAAAGCTGCACAAAGCAGTGCTCGCTTCTACCCAATCATGGTATTATGGTATTATTTCCTTCTTCTTTCATGTTCATCATAACATCCAAATCGAATCCTAAGTCGTTGGATGTGTTCCCTTATGTATCCACATTACACTCGAGTAACGGGCATAGGCAAAACAGCGATTTTTTCCCTGGAAGGCTGCGCCAAAACGTCTCTTGGATGACAAGCTCGCACTAGCTTTTCGTAATGCTAGACATATAGTATTGTAGACCCAGTGTTCTACTCTTCGTCCTTTCCAGTGATGATACTGATTCGTATTCCGAGGCCGCTTCCATATGTTCGTATTCCAAGATCTCAATGGGTATTTGGGCCACATGCGTCTTCATGGGCTTCGTTTCTGGATAGTCGGCCTCTATGTAGGCTGGAGGCCACCGATGCCCCTTTACAGGGCTCAGAATAGGGCCATACCAACCGACAGAAGCCAACTTCATCGGTAGGAGAAGTTCATTCCATCGGTGCATTGGAGTGGGGGTGCGCGGGGTTCCTTTCGTGACCTATCATTCGATGAAACCTCAAGGCCGGCTGGCCGAGAAATCGTTGCCGACATAGGCCAGACAGACTATCCGAAGCTTTTATCGCGTCGAGCGCTTCTAAGACCTCGCCACCGGGGGGCATATTGCTGCCGTAAGAATGGCGAATACTATATTTTTATAAAAAAAAAACGTTTCAGTTTTTCATATCCAGAGCTCATCGCAAGTCCTTCCTGGGATCCACATGAGTCTCTTCCGGAATCGCCAAATCGACCAGTGGGTGATTAAGCTCGGAGTCCGCAGGGTGATAGCTCTGGTTGCTACGACGAGTTGTTGATTTTCCTGGCTGTCCATAGCTGCCCGTATAGTAAACGCCGTTTGTGCGGTCGTTTGGGTCTTTCTTGCCCCTCAATCTTCGATACAAGGGGCGCAATGTCGGTAGACATCCTAAGACGATGAGAAGCGTCACTTCGAGGCCGTTCCATACGTATACCCAAAAATAGTCCCAGGTGATGTCGGGGCGGCGTAGCGATAGTGCGTGCGTTTTGATGGAGCTGACGATACCGGTGATCTGGACAACGATTAGTGAAACTTGCGCGGGGAATTTTGAAAAGAGATTTGAGATGTGCTACGCCGCAAAATGTGGAGTTTGCTAGACCTGGTATTGGGAAACACTTACCAATCCACAGCCAAGAAAAAGGCTGACGGCAATCTTCTTTCTCCAATCGAGAAGTTTGAGACCCCAGACAAGATGCATAGCCAGCAGCGCGAAGTAAAAATCAATCCCCGTATTCCAGCCTGCGCATTATAGTCAGCATATCTGATATAAAGCGAGCACCGAATTTCTTCAAGGTGTACGTACTCGAAGCGTACATCGCGAATTTCGTTAGAGGGGCAGGATCGACGCATTTGGTGTGAGATTTCACTGAGGGATCCCAAAGCGCTTCAGGATTTCTGCACTGCGAAAAGTCTGTGATAAGTACGCCGACACAGTTCACGGCTGTGATGATGTTGGTAATGTGTATCGACCATCTGCGCCAGCGCGACGTGCGCTCCAAGACACGCAAGAGTAGGAATCCGATGGAAATTTTGCCGATGCTCAGGGCAAAGTAGCCCATTGGTCTTGCGATCACGTTCCATTTGACAACGTATACGGCGTTCGCGGGGTCCTCGAGTAGGTAATAGAGATGCCGGGTGCCACCTTTGACCGAGAAATCGATGGTTATGCAGGTATTCGGGATGCTCAGTATCTGTAGGACTGTCAGAATCCCGCAGTTGGACGAGGCTGCTCGCTTGATGGCACAACGCAGCCGAAGAACGGGTTTACAGGAACGTACAGTCGCAGCCAGCATGCACCAGTCATCGATACCGAGAGCCTTGGAGATTATGCGAGACCAAAGCCTCAAACCCATGAACAGAACTCCAAGCGCAGTGCCAATCACGTAGATGACCACAATCTCGACGACTCTGTTTTCATCAGGTCCGGGGTATGGCAACGTCTGAGCAGGCGGAGGGTCCCGCGTGCCGATGCGATGGCCGCGCATGCTCAGTGGGGGCTATCAGTCAGTTCGAAGTCGAAGTTCACCCGCGTCAGTCATCCAACAGTAGACGATGGCCTTGTGGAACATGGTGGTATATAGACCGAGATGCCAGAAAGCAAAACCCCGCGAGCGCAATGACGGTATACGAAGTCTCGCAGAGTGGTTCAGCATGGGCTCCAATCAAAAGTCCTTGGCTTTACGGCCCCATGCACCCTGTTCACGTAATCCGGTGCGGTTGTCGTATCGTTTATTGTTGTGCATGTCAATGTTGTCAGACTGCGCTGTTCATGTAGATTTGGTATGCTTAGCTGACTGAACCCATGTCAGGAACTAGGTTGTTCGGGGACCAAGAGCAGATCACCGTCTCCATTAGGCAGTTCCATGGTGGGATCATGTTGCGTGTTGAGCACGGTGTAGGGAATGTGGCTCACATAGGGTTGCAACAACCGAAATGTCGCATTGCACTCTAAAACCTGCAGGACCTGAGTAATCTTCTTCTCCGATCCTTCGCCACTCGAAATGTATACATAGTCTCAACGGGCGTCGCATGTTTAAGATAGAGCCACCAACAATTTAGGCGTCGCTCACTAAACATTCCGCAATTAATCCTCATCATGAAGGCCACTCGGATCCATCCACAATACCCCATGTGATCAAATGATTGAGGTATACGACATGTATATATAGAAAGCCCGTTGACCGCCCACACGGTCAGCGACGTATGCGGTAATGTACCCGTAGTAGCATCACAGAAAGAATGAGCAGCCATCTCGTTCGGCTAGCCATGTTCCGGACTTGAACCTCAGAGTCGGCGATTCACCGTACCACCTACCCGCCACCGCTTTTTTTATTTGGCCCCCGGCTGATTAGGGCCGTAATGTTTTACTGTATTCGAGTTAATATGAAGCATTTTGCCAGTCCAATGCCACCCTCCCAATCCACTTTCGCGCATAAAATAAAGCCCAACTAACCAGAGCTGAGCTTGGGGGTCCGTCGACGCTAATTTCTGAGGTTTGAATAGGCAGATGTTGTAGACCCTGGATAGCTTTAGGTAATACACTGTGGACATTATTTGGTCCTATTTGGAATGATTTCTCGCGTAGCGCTGTGGAGTATATAGCTAGGCTTACATAGAGCCCTTAGGGTTTTTTGCGACAAAATTGAGAAATGATTGATTTGCGTTAGACAATGTTTGTTTCTCGACGAACAAGTAACGTTTCTCGAAGTTCTATCTATTAGTCCCCATCTATAATCTGGCGGTAGAACACAACAAGTAATACATTCATCTATCGCCCACCTGTCGTACCAGTCACCTATCTTTCCCCTGCAATCGTCAACCAAGGGACCGCCCCCATCTCTCCCATAAAAAAAAAACTTGGTCCCCTCACAACTCCATCCATTCCCATTCTCAAACCCTCCTCCTCCAACTCCAATGCTTCTCAACTCCCTCCTCTAACATCCCCTCCCAAATTGCCAATCCCTGACTAACCCCCCTCGCATCCTTCAACAAACACGCCTCCCTCGCCTTCTCCGCAAACTTCCTCGCCATCGCCTCATCCCCAACACCACTATACGCCAATGCCGCAAACCCATACGGGACATCCATGAATCCCTCAAGTCCCTCCTGGCGGTACAGATCCAGCAAATGCTCAGCCATGGCAGGGGAAGCAGTGGAAGTGGGCGACCAATCGTTGAGAGAAGTCTGGTAGGAAGCGACTGTGGCGAGGGTGGTGTCTGTTGAGGAGGAAGTGCAGCGGGCGCAGGAGCATTTAAAGTGGAAGGCATTTTGCAGATGGGACTGGCGATGAGAGGTTGTGTCCAAAGGTGATGTATCTGTAGGTAAGTTAGGTTTTGTTTGGAGTAGTGTCAAGGAAAGCATAGACTTACATGCGATTGTGATTTCCTCGCCTTCTTTGATCGGTCTCGTGACGTGCACAAAGTGTGTGAGAAGGTCCGGATCGATGATGTATTGCGCACTGTATATCACTTGTCAGTCATTTCAGCCCTCGACATCCTCCGATGCTTCTGTTCTCAACTGATCCTTCGGGCTCATCATAACGCTTTCCGCTCACCCACCCACCCACCCCCCAAAAAAACACTCCAATTCAGAGAGACTTACTTAGGCGCACAGTCATGATTGAACCTCGACGTCTCAGGAAAAAGCGCGAGATGATTCCCCCCACGAACCTCAACCTGAAAAGCATTCGCCTTAACCACATCCTGATACTTGACACTCTCAACCCCATACAGCGTGGCAAGCCCCTCATACATCTCCCTCGTCTTCTTCGGAAGTCTCTGCACAGCAGCCCTCCAGTACTTCTCGCGCTCCGCCGTGCCCAGATCCGTCTCCAGGAACGCCAAAAACGCCGGCGTGTAAGCCGTGACGCGGTCTTTGAAGACAAGCGGGCGGGATGCGAGCATACCTATGCCGCGATTGGGGAGGTGAGAGGTTTGCCATGTGTTTGAAGGTGTGTTTATGGAGTTTGAGGTGAAGACGGTGGGGTCTTTGAAGGCGGGGAGGTTGGCGAAGGAGAGAGCTAGGGATGGTGTGGTAAAAATTGAGATGCCGCGGTTGTTGCTAAAGGAGGTATTTGTGTAGATGCAGAGTTTAGAATTGATGGATGGGAGGCGAGGCGTGCAGATTGGGGGATGCGTCCATGGAAAGTCGTCGTTGGTGTCGGGTTGATACAGTGATGGATGAGTACTTGGGGATTCGGGTATTGTTATAGGGCCATCTAGCCTCTCGACGACCTGAGTATATCCATCGGCAAATGTGAACAGATTAACACTCTGTAAAATCCTCTCGTGCCAGCACTGCTGACTGAGAAGTACCTGAGACGATGTAACATGCTGAACGAAACAAAACAATGCGCAATAGAAAGAAGACTTGACGTGGGCCCGCATCTTTACAAAAATAGGAAGGCGCAAGGAACTAAAGAGATGTTATTATGAGTAGCGAGCATTGTGTAGTTCCCTTTCACGACACCTGGCTATGTTTCCTCAGCTCCATGGTGCCAAGTATGATGAGACAAGAGGTGTGTGAGACCGCGGGAGCTTGTGGGCCAATGAGATGGTTAGTCAGCATCCTATCAGATGTTTAAATGTGGGCTGCAAAGATCAAGCATCAAGACGGAAAAGGGTATATTGACATGGAATAAAACTACATTATAATATTCTCTCAATCCGAGTCGGCATCAGCATCAGTTGACTTCCTCTTTTTCTTCTTTTCCTTTTCTTCGCCCTCTTCCCGCTTGCGCTTCTTCTTTTTCTTCTTCTCCCCGTCTTCTTCAGGCGCAACGTAGTCACTCAATCGATCCTTCCGCTTCTCCTCCATTTTCTCCTTCATCTTTGCCTCTCGTTCCTCCTTAATCTTGCGCTCCTTAGCCTGCTTTCCAAGGAAGTACTCTCCGCTCTCAATCTGCAAATCGACCTTGCTCTTCTCCTGTGCTGGTGGGAACGGTGTGTAGGTCTTAGTGGTTTTGTCGGTAACCTTGTGCGGCACACGACGCTTGCTCTGCGCCTTCTTCTTGAAGTTGGGCAAAAATCGGTCCTTTTGAGTGTCAGTTTTAGTTAGTCTATAATGCCAGAAATGTGAACTCACCCATGACTGGTCGGCAAGCTGTGGATCGGCCGCCAGCTCCTTCTTGATCATAAGCTCCTTGATGCTGTAAATTGGGTGAATATTGGCCATCGTGTCTTCGACTATTCGTCGAACTTGTTTCAGTCCTTTGTACGGTCCCATCACGGCGACGGTATTTCCCTGTACCAGGATATACGTTTCAGTCAAAAGTTCTAAGGCCTTTAACGTCGAACCTATAGTTTGAAGTAATCAGCAATGTGCCAGTAGGTTGATTGACGTCTCAACGCCGCACTGTTCCGGCTGGGCATTCATACCATTGGGACCTAATATGCGCTGTCTCCTTTTCACAAACCGATCCTTGTTCCCCACAAGATTGCGGATCTTAATGATATCCGCCGCTAGTCGTATTGTCAGCACAGTCGTACTTGTTATGGGGACCTGACTTACCGATATCGTCATGGAATATCTCAACTGCTTTTGGAGCTGGAACGGATCTTGCTAGAAGCTTGAGGAGGTCCCTCGCATTCAGGATAGCAGCTATTTATACAAAGTCAGCTTATATAAGTATATTATAGAAGATCATTCTGATACGGTGTTTCCAATTAAAAAACTAGAACCCCCATTTTAATACGTACCAGGATCCCACGTTTTCCTAGTCGTCCACACAGACATTGAACCTTCAGTCAAATCGAGCTCGCACCCAATACCGTGCTTTGCAAGAGTCTGCGTTACAAATTTCCAACAGCCCTTGATGTATGCTTCCCTGTACTTCGGGAGGAGGGTAGAAAATCGACTCTCTTCTGTAAATGTTCCGCCGGCATTATCTTCTGGTTTGAAGGGTTCGATCTTCCATTTATCAACGTCGCCAGTGTCCCAGGGCTTTTCGGCGTTGTGAGTGCTAGGCATGACGGCGGACGCTCGAGCGCACGAGTCAAAAGTACGGGTTCGACGGGTTCGGTATACGGGTGGCTCGTTGTAGGTGCGGATTCGGAGGGTGCGCGGATGCGCGTTGCTGGAATTGTATGGCGCTGTGAGATTGTGAGTAGGATACAAAAAAAAAGGTGCTAGTAATGTTCAAAAGCGGTGGGGCGCGGCAGAACTTTACTAGCGTCCAAAGGCCAGCGTCCCGCCTACTAGCTTATCGGCCAATCACAAATCGTATCTCTCACGATTGCCATGTCCTCATATCGATGCAAAGATGCATGTCAATTCGAAAGCCATGCTCTAGTCAGCAATGCCAGGCTGGAATATCCCCAGTCAGCATAGCCCACCCCATACATATTTAAAACCAGACGCATGGCTTTCACTCACAGCCAGGATAAATAGAGTAGTTATGTGTATGATTGATTTTTAATATGTACATCATAATGCTCCCAGCGGGCAAGTGCTGGAAAAAAGAAGGAAAAAGTCCATGGGTATCAGTAGTAAAATCGGTCGTCCGGCCAGATGCAAATCGTTGAAAGTAGTAGTGAGAACGCCAAACAATGCAAAATTTCAAGGGAAAACATGAAGAAGCACACGACAGCATATAGAACTGTGTCGTGGTGCTTCACAGCTTGACCTTCTTCTTGGGTTTCTCCTCATTCCCCTTCTCCGCCCTAGCGCGCTTGAACACGCTCTGCGTTTTCTTCACCTGAGTCGGTGGCAGGGCTGCCTTGGTCTTCAGACCAAAACTGATTTTGACAGGGGCAGTCGGAGCAGCAGTTGATGCTTCCGATATTTCACCATCATTGGTCTTGCTAGTAACATCCGTATTGGCGACATCCCCGCCGTCTTTCTGTACGTCCGGAGGAGCGGATGGTGACTGGCCTTCAGCTGAAGGGGGCGCAGAGTCTGACTTCGCGGGTGCGCTTCCACTCGCGGCCTTTCTCGCCTCCAGAATTCTTGCCTTCTCGTCGGCTTCCTCCTGCGCCCTCCGCGCCATTTTCTTGAACAGCTTGTCCTCATTTGCGCCGCTTCTGGCTTCAGCAAGCTCCAGTTCGCGGATTTCCTCTCGTCGTTTGGTGGCGGCAGCGCTAGTGTCCCTCCAAGCAATCATCATGCCGTCCTTCTCATCCTCGCGAACGGTCACGATACCCTCTCGGCCGAGGTACTTGACAAACTCGGTCAAACTTGGCCATTTGGTCGAGTTCATGTGGGTGTGCTCTTTGTGCCTGATAACTTCTTGATAAAACCGGTTTGCGTTCACAGCCTTCTCTCCATGAGCTGTCCGTAGGAGCGAGAGAAATTCGTTTTGGAAATCTCGGCTATAATTCTCGATAACCTTTTGTGGATTCTCGGCGACCAATGCCATGTTACGGTTGTGGCTCTCACTGAGGCAGTGTTGCTTGAAGCCGTTTGCATCTCGGGCTTGCTTTTCGCATGCCTGACACCAGTAGCGAAGGCGTTGAAGACCCTTCGCCTTCATCTGGTTCGACAGATGCTTGATGCTTCCAACTTCGGCGCGCGGCATCGTGGGCGACGTGGATCTGTGACGACAGTATGGAGATTCGTAGGTGTAGGCAGAAAGTCAAGATAGACCTCGTTTGTGGGTGATAAACTGTGCTTGATGTGTTGTGAGTGTAGATTGTGATGTAAAGGATGCAGAAGAGCGACCGAAATCGATATCGATATGCAGGTGCTTTGGCGCTAGTGGATGGTGCTGACTAAATGAGCCCCAACATTTGTGGCGCAAAGGAAAAGCAGCCACTAATTTACACGCCCAGACGCCTGGGCTCAGAGCACTAAAGGAGTGTACTAACCAACCATCACTCAAACCGTTTTGAGTGTATCATCATCATCAACATATATCAATTGGATTGGTCATCATATACATACACCGCCTCTCAAATCAGACTGAAATTAACCCTCCACCATCCATCCCACGTCGCGTCCTGGCTACGCGGTACATCATACCGACTCGTCATGCTGACCACCCAATTAAAACCCTATCGCATTACAAAACCCTCCAGCCCATTGGTCCAGATATCAATCACATGGCACTACGGTTGCGAATTGCACGACCACCCCATAGTTTCAACAGCACAAACCGCAAGTCAAATTTGAACATCTCCGGATTGCGTATGCTACTATATTGTTATTTCTCAATCATTCTATCTATCTAAATCTATATATATTGGTTCATGAGGGTTCGTCACTACGCAAAAGGTAGGGTAAAGCAAAGCAAAGCAGACGAAACACGACAGACAAATGAGTGAGACGAGATCTATGAAGTGAGAAAATGAAAATGCATGAGAAGATAACACGCAAACATATGGAGATCAAGCAGCAGCAGTAGCAATGGTAGTAAACGAAAAGACTAAGATCAGTAAAGTGGGAATAACAACAGAGAGAACGCTATGAAGGACCCAGAACCACCAATGCCAGAAAAGAAAACAAAACAAAAACAGCAAAAGAATAGAGAGAGAAAAGGGTATATCCACCACGTCCGCCATGTCCACCCAATGGTAAACATAATCAATAATCTTACGATGAAATCTCAGCACCCTGCTCATCCATCACTACAACAGTAGCAAAGCTAACAAGTTTACTCGCACCCGCAATTTGCGCTCCAATCTCACTCAGGCTCTTCAAGCCCATGACATCGAAAACGCTGACCTCGCTCTTTAGTTCCTCCCTCACCCAACCTTTGATCTGCACCGCGAGGAGAGAATCCACACCGGCCTCATGCAATGGCTTCTCGGGATCAACATCGTCCTCTGGGATCTCAAGGTCTGTTGCGACTTTCCAGCGCAGACCGGCGACGGCAGCGGCGGTAGCTTCTTCGGGGGAAGAAGCAGCGCGCATGAGGGTTGAGGCACTGAAGCGCGGCGCGGAGGCGTCTTGGGAAGTCGTGGGCTGAGACTGGAGGGAGGCGCGATGGGAAGCTGAGTGGAGGAGATGGCGGAAGATTGGGCGGGAGAGGAGGTTTGAACGTGGAGGGCTAGGATTTTGCGCGTGAATGCCAATGGCAGTGTTATGGCGCTGATGAGCTGTAGGAATGGAGCGGAGATTGGCGGGGGAGCAGTGGTAGTCTAGGAAGCCGAGGAATTCGAATTCTTCGACGGGGCGTACGGCTTGGAGGCTTGCCATGCGGCCTTGGATCTCTTGCGATTCAGCGACGGTGCCAGCGAAACCCATCCAGCCAAGGTCGAGAGAAACGATAGGGAGGTAGGGTGTGGAGTAGTATGCTGCAAAGGCGTCGAGGTAAGTGTTTGTCGCTGCGTAGTTGGCTTGCGAGGGCATGCCCATCAAGCCATTCAAGGAAGAGAGCAGAACGAAGAAGTCCATGGAGTGCGGAAGGACTGCTCGTAGATTCAGTGTGCCCGTGACTCGCGTTGAGATTGTTGCCGTCCATTGTTCAAATGCCATGGTCTCGAAAAGTGCGTCTTGAAGGACCAATGCACCCTGGATGCAGCCTCTAATAGGTGGCATTTGAGAGGCGTACGCAGTGAAAACATTACTAATCTGGGTCGCATCAGAAATGTCGCAAGGCGGACACTCGACACGAATGCCTCGTGTAGCAAGTTTGGCAAGCAGGTCATATGCAGCGGATGAAGTTGGACCGGACCGTGACAATAAGAGAAGGTTTCGGGCTCCACGGTTGACCATCCATTCACAGATGGTGCGGGCCAGACCACCAAAACCACCTACAACAACATAGGTCGCCTCGGGATCCAAAACACAGGCGTTTTCGTTGTCGAGAGTGCCCATAGAAGCTGTTGCAATAGAGGTAGACGTTGCTGCAACGGATGCCATGTGTTGCTCGACTGCAGGGGCAGGGACCATACGGCAAACAGACATCTCTCCGTCGATCTCCTGGTACTCCGAATCGGCATCGCTTTCTTCTTCCGAAGCAATATCCTGTACCAAACGCAGTACATTTTGCACAATCTTAGTTTCCGGCGTATTTGCCGACACACTGTAAGACACAAATCTCTTACCCAGATTCTCCGACCTGAGCACCCGGAAAAGACCTTCACTGAGACGCGCAACCGGAGATCCACTAAATGTGTTTTGTACCCAAAGCACACTCTTGGCCGTGACCAGATGCTGCCGTACCGCGTAGAACCTCGCTTCATTCAAAGAGATCAAGCACGGTCGAACGTATTCCAATAGACTTATCACTAGACTCTGAGAAAGATCACGCACGCCTGCTTCGCCAAGAGGCAGAATGACCACGTCCGCACATCCTGCGCGACGAAGTTCTTGTGCTATCTCTTGAGCAAGCACCACTTCCTCGCAATCGTCACCAATGACGATGGAGACAGCCGGAGCGGACTTGCCGAGTTTGTCTTCTCCAGAGACAGCTGTAGCGACAATGACACTGCACACTCGACAATCGGGATCGTCGGAGCTGTGGATGACCAGGTCAGTTCCCGAGAATCCGTTTTTCTGGAAAACTTCGTTCCACACTTTGTCGGTCAAGCAGGGACCGGAAGTACGGTAATCGTCCTCGCTGAGCCACCATCCAGGAAGAGTGCCGAAGAGAATCTGTGTCATCCATTGGTTTGCTGTAATCTCTAGTAGGACCAGCTTTCCGTTCTTTTTGAGCAGTTTCCGAACGTTGGAGATGGTAGTGTTGAGGTTTGCCGTTGCATGGAGCACGTTGGCCGCGACAATGAGATCGTAACTGCCAGCTTCAAATCCTTGTTCTGCTGGATCTCTGGAGCAATCGAACACGAGATAGTTCATAGTCGCAGTAACGCCTTCAAACTTTGTTTTGGCAGCTGGGAAGAAAGATGGCGAGACATCCGTGAAATCGTAGGTAGAAATTGCTGACAACTCTGCGCCGTCTGCGCCCCAGCCTTGTGAGACGGCATACTGCAATACATGCTGTGTGGTTGACCCAGTTCCGGCACCGACTTCGAGCACCTTTAAACCAGGCTTCTTGAATGCAATGAGCTCGATGACGTGTTTTAGAGCCTTTGCTGAGTCATTGTTCATCTTCTGGTAGCAACTCTCAGCCCATTTCGATTTGAACAGAGTTTCCACGGGATCGATAGTTCCCAACAGGATACCACGGATGTTTTCTTCGGCTAACATAAACATCTGACCATCGTCGCTTTCCGGGTCTATAATATCAGAAAGGCAAAGTGGCTTCCGGTCAAGAATCATGGCACTATCCAGGCTTGGAATAAGCAGCTCAGAGCTTGTTGGGTTAGCTGCTAAAAACTCCTGCATCCATCGGTAGTAGATATGAAGATAAGGCCGCGAGGGAGTAAGATCTTCAAGCCTGACATCACCTAAAATCTCTTCGCAAAGATGCGCAAAGAACTTGCAACAATTAGCAAAGTGTTCCCTCTGAGCCTGCTTCGAAGCCAAGCTTTGGAGATGATCGGGAAGTAAATGTTGCGGCGTAGCGTCACCGTAGTTGAGGAAGTCGATATCGCGATCCCAGACGACCTGGTGACACAAATGCTCGTCAACTTTGGCAGTTGAATCTTCGACGACTGCATCGACAAAAGTGGTCTGTAGACCGTTGACCACGACAAGAAGCTTGCCTTCGTTGTTCCACGCGGAAGCATTGGAAGTTGTCGTTCTCGTGTTTCTTTCCAAGACTTGCGCATACGCCTGTAGGGATGCGGTTTGGGGAGCGGCTGCGCCTTGGCCATCTATGTACAGTTCTTCCAATTTGGTGGGTACGGCAGTAGGTGCACGTCTTCTGCCTCCTTGAACGAGAGCACCTAGAATTGTTTGAAAGATGCCATCCAAGGTAATCGGGTGAATCACATGTTCCTGGCGTGAGCTGGAGGAGTTGCCAGTGAACGGGTATGCGCTGACAGTAGAGCTGGCGTTTTCCTGGTCGCCCGTTGCAACAAATGTGAGGCTCTGGAAGGTTGGTCCGAAGCCTAAACCCATTGAATCGAAGAAATCATACAGTGTTGTTGAATGCACGCCGCGAGTGCAGGGTGCTCTGTCGGTTTTTGTCTCCATACCTAAATCTTCCCCGTCGACCGTGTACTCCAAGCAAATGCTACCCGTGCAATTCTCGACCCACGTATCATCCTGTAGAGTGCAAAGCATGAAGAAGTACTCTTCAGCATCCTTGGAAGTAGATTTCACAGCCGTGAGTTCAATTTGAGATTCCACGCCCTCTTTGTTATCGGGTACGAGAAGCGCCTGCCTCATCTGAACATCAGTAAGACGAAACGCCTTGATTGTTCGACCGGGATCTGCGCTTTGTTTTGCCGCTTCAATAGCCATGGTTATCATGCCAGCAGCTGGGTACAGGACGTCTCCACTGACAACATGGTCACGCACCCATGGCGTCTCTGCGGTTCGGGTGAATTTGCGCCATCTCTTGGACATCTTGGAAGGACCATTAATGATCATGGGAAGGCCGAGAAGATCCAAGCGAGGTACTTTGCGCTGAGCCAGAGCGTTATAGGTTTTGCTCTTGTGCCATTGGGCTACGGAGTGGTCGAATGGGTAGGCAGGTAAGTTATCGATCATCTGGATTTCACCCTTGTTGATTCCATGAAGACCGTTAGTGGCTAAGAGATCGACGGACCCACCTAGACAGTGAAGGCGCCCGACTGCGCTCAGAACCGAATGCGCGGGATCAATGCTGCGATCCAGTACGGTGTCATATCGAAGGAATCTATTCTCGAGACATTGAGCCATGATGTTCTTGATGGGGCCCTTCAAGGCGCAGTGGGGTCCAATCTCCAGTAGGTCCAGGTAGGCTGCGGAGCCCTCCGTTCTTGTATTATGATGCGTTTTGATGATATTGCTGACAGCTTCACAAAAGCGCACCGGTGATTCCAAGTTCTTGACCCAATATTCTGGATCAGCCAGTTGACTATGCTCCACAACCTGGTTAGTGACGGAGGAGACCATAGTGCATTGGTAATTCGACTGTCGTCCCTCGATCATCGTGGCTTCAAGAAGAGATCGATACAGCGGAGACACCTGCTCGACGTGTGGCGAGTGGTATGCGACCGCGATGCGAAGTTTACGTGCGAACATGCCATCGTCTTCCAGTTGTGTTCTGACAACCTCGATAGCCTCATCATCACCAGCGACCGTCACACTTGTTGGGCTGTTGTTACAAGCAATGACGATCTTGGCTAATGGATTCTCCCTTCGATATCGATCCAGGTACACATTAGTCTCATCCTCGGACAAGCCAACAGCCATCATGGCGCCTCGAGTGTCTGCTGCACATAGCGCGGCGGCAGCTTTGCCGCGCAGATATGCTACCGTTATGGCAGACTTAGCTGAGAGAGCTCCTGTCGCATACGCAGCGCCGATTTCGCCTGAAGAGTGACCCACAACCATACGTGGGGTAACGTCGAAGGACGCAAGAAGGTCTACGAGAGCGACTTGAATAGCAGTACACAAAGGCTGGCTGAGCTCAGGCTCATTGACCCGGGTATTTTCGTCGGTCTTTGATATCTCCTCTACATGCAGGTTAGCATTGCGAAGCGAAGCAAGTGAGGAGAAGACGTACCAATCACATTCCACTCACAACCGAGTTCTCTCAGGCAGTCGTTTAACTGTTCTACGCTCTGACGGAAAACCGGATATTGTAGTAGGCGTATTCCCATACGGCTGTACTGAGCGCCTTGGCCGGTGAAAACAAAGCACACACCCCTCGGTTTCCGTTCTTTTGAAGGGGTCGATGATAATTTACTCAGGCGAGCCAAGTCAGACGGTGAGTCCACAACGGCAAAACTTTTGGACTGCAACAAACTCCGTCTTTCTGTCAAGGTATATGCCAATGAGTCCAACGAGAAAGAGGCATAGCTTTCGGCAGAGTCGCCGGCAAAATGATGCTCAAAAGCCTGCACAACCCTCTGTACCCCTTTTTCGTCCGATGCTGACCAGGTGAGAAGTTTAGGGAGCGACGTGGAATAGCTAGGATCCAGATCTTCCCAGCTTGTCGGAGTCAAAGGAGTTGACGCCCCCGATCTCGGTTGTGAAGGAGAAAAGCCCATGAACAGATCCGTATCGACTGACTGATGGAATCCTATCTGGTTATGTGCCTTCAAATAACCACAAGCATCGTCAATTACTACGTGGGCGTTGGTACCTCCAAAACCGAATGAGTTCACCGAAGCTCGTCGTATTCCGGTGGATGGCCACGGCACACACTCTGTGGGGAACTACAGTCGGGATATCAGTAAAAGCCAGACCGTTACCAAGTGAAATTTCCTACCGTGATGTTCAATGCAGAGGTATCAATGTTTGGATTGACGTTCTCGAAGTTTGTGTTGGGTGGGATCACGGCTCGCTCGACGGCAAGGACAGATTTGATCAATCCTGCAATACCGCTTCCTCCCTCAAGATGCCCAATATTAGATTTTACAGCACCACTAGCAGAAATGTCAGCCTATAGTCGTCACCGAGGAAAGGTGGCAGGAAACTTACATATATACAGGCTCGCCGGATGGACGCGCAGCGCCAAAAACAGAGCCGAGCGCGCGAGCTTCAATGGGATCACCAACGGGAGTGCCTGTCCCATGGGCTTCTACAAAGGCCGTATCCTTCGGGTCGAGACCAGCAACCCGGTAAGTGTCTCTAATTAGTGCTTCCTGAGCATCTTGGTTGGGGGAAGTTAAACTGGGGGTCCTGCCGTCCGAGTTTATACCGGTCCCGCGTATTACCGCGCGGATAGTGTCGCCGTTCTTCAAAGCGTCGGAAAGCTTTTTGACGACCACGAATCCGAATCCCTCCCCTCTTGCGTACCCATTAGCTCGATCGTCGAAGCTATATGACCGACTCGACGGGGACAGCATGGAGAGATTGGACATGAGAAGGAATATCTCCACCGACGATAGCACGTTGGACCCTCCGACTAAAGCCTGAGATGATTGATCAGTTTAAACATTAGCAACGTGTATTGATCATTTCACCACTTACCATGTTGGCTTCCCCATTGCGGAGTGCCTGGCAGGCCAAATGCAGGGCCACCAAACCACTTGAACAAGCAGTATCGACATGTACACTGGGACCTCGGAAGTCGTACCACCAACTCAGCCGATTTGCAAGGATAGACCAGGAGGTAGCGCTTCCTGAGTGTGAGGAGAAGAGTTCAGGGTCCTTCAAGCTATGCACACGATGATCATCCGAAAACGAGGCCGTGAAGACGGCAGTTTTGGAGCCCGCGACGGATTTTAAAGGAAGTCCAGCTACAGAACGAATTCGTGAGATTTTGTTCATTTCGCAGGATGAGACTGAGGAAAAGGTATTCTCGTACCGTTCTCTAAAGCGTGATAGGAGCTTTCCAGCATCCCTCTCTGCTGAGGATCCATGGAACCTGCCTCGGCAGGACCAATGGAAAAGAACGAGGCATCAAATGCGCCGAGTTTGCCGCCCATGAAATGAGCACCTCGTAATGATAACTTGATTTTTTCGTTGTCAGTTTATGAAGAAATCTCATGGGTGATGGGGATACCCATGCATGACGTAACGAGATTAATTCAGAGAATATGGGGAGAAGAAAAAGGAGCTCACAGTGTCATTCCGCAAGGGATCTGGGTTGTAAAAAGAGTCGATATTGAAACGATCCTCAGGCATCTCCGACATGACGCAGCGCCTCTCCTCCATGATGCGCCAAAAGGCTTCGGGAGTATCCGCATCGCCCGGAAGGCGGAACGCCAGGCCAACGATGGCGAGCGGCTCCTGTTCAGCCATGGCTATCTTCAAGTCTGTCTAGTATGGGAACGGAAGATGAATCGAATCACACCACAATAGAAGGTGAGGAAGTCGTGATTAGAGCGATCATAGGGGGAAGGAGCTAGTAAAAGAGTAACAGTGAGCAGTAGTTTGTTTCGGAATAGGGTAGGTAGGTTGTAGGAGTGAATCAGTGACAGGATAGACAGCGGACACAAGCAAATAGCCGCCTGCAGGTTACACGAGGGACAGGCAGGCAAAATGGGGACGGAAACAAGAAGGCGGGTTTTGCGATTATATGAAGCGCACAACAGCAGCCTATGGACGGTCTAGGTGAATAATCGTTCCCGCCATGTTCCTTGCCAGCAGATGCATGGAATCCAGTGCCACCCGGACTTCCCTTGCCCCAAGGACATCAAACACACGTGGGGAATGCCGGATAGTCTCGGCGCGGCTATTTGGCGTCGTCGGACGCGGCCCAACCAAGCCCACGGGAAGGGGGGAAGGGAAGGACAGGACAATACAGTAGCAGACAAGTGCGCGTGCGTGCATGCATGGTTGCAATTCTCCATTGATATTGAAGAGTGGAGGGTGGACACAGAGGGAAGACGTTCGTTAAGGGTTCAGACGCAAGGGTACCATCAGGGGCCCTTGGCAGCGCTAAACCCGGAATAGATGTAGCGCCCTCGCCCAGCGTCATCCCATGTGCGTTGGGTCCGCGCAATTTCGTGCGGAAGCAACAACAACAAAACACCACCAACCACCAACATCCGCGGCTAACGCTCAGGCCCTCGCCTGTCTCGATCTATTTATTCACGAATCCCTGAATGAGTGAATGGGGATGAAATCAATGGGACCATGCCCGACAGCCAGCTGGCGCTCCCGCACGCCACGGGTGACGGATGCATGCAATCATGCAGGTGTTCACTGATATTGACAGACGACGCAGTGGCAGTGCCAATTGGACGACAGGCATGGGCGCAGTGGACATCACAACACCACTCCAAAACTTCAACATGTACATGGAACGTGGCAAACAGGGGTTCCGCAATTGCTAAGCGTCATAAGGATAGCGTACAATTCCTCAACCAGTCGCGCTCCCGATCCTTCCCCCACTCCGCTAATCCTTTACCATCGCGGCCTTTCCAGCTCGTCGCCCGTCCATTGAGGCCAACTCCCTTCATTCGACGGGAGGGGTGGCGTCCCCATGTCCGCCATTCGGAGAGGATTTGCGTCCTCGGCAGGCCGTTCGTGCCGTCAGAACACGTGGAGACCGATGCTCATTTATATTAAGTACAGTCTTCGTGTAACACGGCTGACTTGCATCTTGTTTCGTGTCAGCGTTGCCCCGTCTTGGTGTATTCCTCTTTGGTTGACTAAGGGCGAGCGAGGGAGAGAGCCAAGAGTATGCGACAGTTACATGAATTGCGTACACTGAGATTATCTTCAGGTCGCGCAAGCGGCGGCACTGCCATTTACCCGCGCTTATCCAAGACGCCCAGATTGACCACTCTATACATGTAACCAAGTATATCGATATACTATAGCGACTCATGCAGTTGGTAGTGTTGCCAGCGCTGTACAGCAACTGTGCCGCAAGCGCGCGTGCAGCACTATAGACAACTCCTACATCCAGTTAGACACCCGAGAGTTTCACGCAATCACCGATCGCGATCGCATGTCAGAATGACTTGCTCCCCATCGCTGTCCGTTGATTGGATTTGGCCGTACAACGCCCCGCAGTGGTTTGTTTTGGTATTCGGTCGGGTAGGTGGAATATGAGAATTCATTGACGGATTGTGCGTTGTCCAATCCAATGTCAAACAATGTCATCCCTTCCGTGCTTGCCGTCCTCGTAGCTCCGTCAATGAAGGGATGGTTCAGCGATAAGAAGGGGAGAAAGGATTCAGAGAGTTTGTTCATTGTGTTCCAGAACACCAGCCGCTCCCGCTCCACGTTGCCGAATTGCTCTGAATCCGATCAAACGCAATCCACACCTAACAACAATAACATCATGTTGCCTATTTTTATTTCTCCTTTCCCTTGCGTCCCAGATTGACCCAATGTTCCGGTACACCGGTTCCCACGTTTGAACCACTGACACGCATACTCACACATATGCAACTACGGGACAATTATTGATGTACGAATACGGTAGTCACCTCCTATTATACATGCACGCTGTATAATGAGTACACCATCTACGTCCCAAGCACGCAGGACTAAACCAGGACACACCACCTGCACGCACGGCTCACTCCATCCAATCGTCAAACAAAAACCAAAACCCCAAACCTCCCCCGCGGCGTTGACACTAGCTATACCCAATGTGCATCCTCTCCACTTTATGCTGGAGAAACCCCACTCGTAGCGCATCAGACGTCCAAGACCATGCGACATCGAGCCCGCGGCCCCGCTGCCCATGCTCTACCCGAAGCGCAATGGGGGGATTCTCACACTACTCGATACCATACCAACAGCTATCCGCCCATCCACTGGCCCACTCCGATAAACGGCCTTCGCTACCTGGCAGAAGAACCACGGGCAAAACTCCATTTATCTCCCCAAGATGACCCAACTTCCGCAGACACCACAAACAGGAAATGTACAGGCAAATAACGTGTGCCCGCCAAGTTTTGCCCCGAGAGGTTAGCAATGCCGGTCCGCTCGCCAAACATGCAATGTTGCGCTTTGCCAATGTTTCCGCAAAGAATGCCAATGCTGCAAGCCCGAGATTGGGCGTCGCGGATGATAGGAAGGAAGAAGGGCGGCCAGATTACCTACTTGCTGCAATGGTAGACTACTGCGACAGTGTGATGACGAAACATTGTCTTGGACGTATCCGCGTTTGCTAGCTTGCTCCGAGCGTGCATAGCGCATACAAGCAGACGAAAGAAAAGCAGAGAGCACGCGGAAAGGGGGAGTCCCGGATATCGTAAGCGATACGAACATCCAAATACGTACAGAGGGTGTGTGTCCGGGAAGTACGAGATGCGAACATGAGGCGCTGAGCACAGCTGCATTGCGGAATGGCTGATTACCATGTACGTAGGCGCTTGGCGTCTTTTTCCTGATCTTGTTATAGTCGCTGTGCAGCTCGTTTAGGTGGGTAGTTGGGAGGGGACGGCCCGGGGGCGAGAGTTCTGGTCTACCTCAATACGGATTGCGGGAAACTCCTTCCTCGATTGTTATTGCAGGCGGCGCAGTTCATTTGGGGATCCGTAGATACGTTTTTTGCCGTAACGACGTACATTTACAGGGTAAAGTGAGGGGTTGAAATCTTGTGGAAGAAAGAATGCATGGGAAGATGCTTGACTTTCACAATGATAGAGCAGGATGGGTAAGTACCTGCGTACTTGGATATCAATTGATGCAGTAAACACACCAACAACACCATCGAAGCGGTTATCATTCCCACATCTCAAAACCATGTCTGTTACAACCTCAACCTACTATAAAGTGCTACCCTATCTCTTCATTTCCCTTTCATAGTATAAAAATGGAAATATTCATACCGACACACTACTAAAGCTTTCTCTATCACCCCTACCGTATCCTATCGTCTACACAGTAGTACGTGCATAGTACATACACCCTAGCCTCGCCAACCATCGAATCAATGTATGCACCATGTAGTCATAATGGCTCCACATGCATCTATCGACCCATCCAACACCCTACAACGTCCACGCAACAAAGCAAAGCAAACAACATAAATAAATGCCGCCAGGTTTCTTCAGCCACACCGCGCAACACGAACGAATCAATAAGATACGAAACACAGCTGCATCATCGATCTAGCTACTTCCTTCCCAATGAATCCATTTATTCCTACAGCCTCACGTAATGCCGGGCGTTGTATACCTAACAATCAACAATCTGAGACATACATGTATGCATACCTACTTAGGTAAGTACCTAGGTATGTAGATAGGAAGTATATAACTTTAGCTCATTAGCGCCGGCGCAGCAACACGGGGAAACACAGCCACAGCCACAAACCCCCATAGAACTACCAGAACCACTGTTCAATATCCTTACTTCGTTTCATCTATGTATAACCCCCTCCTATCGATCTTAGCATTGATTCCTTTGGGTCTCTCTCAGCTCTGCGGAGTATGTGTGTGAAATGTATTGTTATCTGAGCTTCAAGCCTCAATCGCTATAAACGAATAGACGAGGGGGTGAATGAATGAACGAATGGATGCATGCATGATGAGACATGCAGACGCATATGCAGAAACTAGGAAGGAGGAAGGGGTGGAACGGAATGGCCTGAAGCTATGACAGTTATTCTTGTTTGCATTTCGTGCGGGAGTACGTGAATAGGTAGCTTGAAAATTTTCCAAATGTAGAAGTGCGGCGCGGTTGCAGGTGGTTTAGTCTGGATTTAGTGTAGGATATTGAGGACTCTTGGAGTTTTCTTGTGCTGTTGTCTAGGACGGGGAAGTGGGAAGCAAGGGTGAGGAGAGTTGCTCCTCTCGTTTTTCTCTTTCCCTTGTGAAACGAAGAGGGAGTTTGCTTTGCAACTGTGCGGGAGCATGCTACGTGATGACGAGAAGATTTGAGTTGGTGTTTGAATGTGGATTGGGCGGTAGTTAGTAACGGGTTACAGAATGGAAGGTACGCTATCTTGACTACTCTTGCCTTAGTCTACATCGTCTAGCCTACCTGGGTACTTAAACGCGTTGGTGAAGGGAACCAAAGTTTGCTAACTTCATACTCTTTTTCAGTTCTGGCACAAATCACCGACTTGACTTACATACACACGGATTGTATCCAGACAGTTCCATTCCGAACAAGCCGAGCGTACACGTAGGTATCTCACCTCCCACGATACTTCACATATCTTGACCGCTTCGCTATATAGCCCTCGCTACTACCTTCTTGCGTCAAAACTGCACAAGGAGCGTCAACATGAAGCCAACCATCGTCCTCGTCCCCGGCGCATGGCAGCTCCCGTCTTTCTTCACACCACTCTCGCAGGCCTTCACCGCCCTCGGTTTCCCCGTCGTCTGCAGACTTCCCTCTAGCTATCCAACCGCATCTGCCTCAGCAGCGACGCCACCAATCCTCAACCCCGACACGCTGTTCCTGCGGGAGCACGTGCTACAGCCGCTTCTGGACGAGGGCAAGGAGGTAGTGCTCCTGATGCACTCGTACGGGGGTATCTACGGACCCGCGGCGCTCGAAGGCTTGGCTAGGGGTGCCCGCGAGCGGAACGGTTTAAAGGGTGGCGTGATTGCGTGTTTGTACACGGCGGCTTTCGTCGCCAGGGCTGGCCAGTCGGCTATGTCGGCTATGGGGTTTAGTGCTGGGAATCTTCCGCCATGGATCCAACATGATGTGAGTGCAATACCCAACACCCAGAAATTTTGACGATGGGCGCCTGAAATATGGATGGTGTGGTTGGGTCAAGAATCCAGCTAGCCAGCTTCCGGGTGGCTGGGTTGGTTCTGGGTCGAGAGAATCGCATGATCGGTACATCGATGATTATGGATGGCTGGCTGACGCGAATCCTTCTTCTTCCCCGCCTCGTCTATAGAAGACGACAGGGCTTGTAGGTTTCAAAAAGGACCACGCAAAAGTTATGCTCTTCCACGACCTCCCAGACGCAGAGGCCGACAGTCTCGCTGCCGCGCTACCTCAACAGCCATACGAATGCTTCGCGCAGCCCGTCCAGTGGGATCCGTACGACGACGAGGCCTTTCGAAGTCGCTTTGGCTACATCTACACTGAAGCCGACAGAATTCTACCCATGCGGGTTCAGCAAGGCTTCGCTAAGGCTGGTGGTATTCAGCACACCATTGTCCTAAAAGGCGCTTCGCACTCCCCGCACATTGAAATGCCGCACCGGTTAGCTGAGACTGCCGTTTCCATGTTGGAGACATTGGCTGCGTAGCTTGGCTGGCGGAGGTTCTATCGCGAATTTTACCACGTGGCGGACTAGTTCATCTGGGTTAATCGTTGGGTAGTCGCTGGTGATTCGCTGGCTATTCGTATCACTTGGAACCACCAGTGTTCTAATCTTGCAATGTAGACTCGTGTTCAAGCATGCTCAATTAGCTCAGCATAGCGCGGTTGTTCCAGCGTCAGGTGTCGAAGTAGACAAGAGGTTCTAGATGATTTGAACGGAAGATAACGAGCGCCAATGCATGGCTGCGTAAGGCGAAGTCGGATTAAGTCAGTGGTGCAGATCAAGTGTTGGAATACCCCTGGTAAATGGCGATAGGCTGAAAATTGCGTTACACATCCAGACCGATTGGCGTTACAAGTTGAAGCCGAACTATCGCGAATTCGACCAAGTTCGCTAACTCACAACTCGCTGCGCGAATACTAACTTGTCACTGCTCAGTAAGCAATATGCATGCGACGCCCTGACTTGCTAGTGAGAACGCCATGCTTGATATCTTCGGCGCAATTGACCGTCAAACTCTAAAGTCGCGTGGTTGTAACTCTAAGGCAACCGCATCCAACATCCCACGACCCCGCTTGAGTCTTGTATAAAACAAGATGGATTCCTAGTCTCTGTTGGGTCGGCGACTCTCTCACGTCTGAGGAAAGACAAGGCGACCCACCGAGACAGACTAGTTTACGGTCGGACCAAAGCATGCGATGAGGAACCTCGTCTGCCGAGCTTAGCAGGCGTTCCACAATCTTATGCCATGCTTTCAAGGCCATTAGCTGCGTTGTGCGCATGTTGCTCGTTCTCTTCGCAATGTCATCTTCCTTTAGAATAGAGCTGAGTAGTCAGGCCTCGACGGAGTAATCGGAACATAGCGCGATAATTTGTGGCATGTGTCGCGCCCATTAGATTGAACAGGAATGTAATACGTAGGAGTCGGATTGGTCTCGTTTGATCAGCAGCGGAACTGCGACGCACTGACAATGTTGGTACGAAGATACGTAAGACTATTATGTCAAAAGCCGATAGCATCAGATCGTTCAAATCGAAGCGTCGCAAAAACAGCATGTCTAAGCATGATGGGTGACTGCAATTGAACAAAAATGCATTATGGGCCGTTGGTGCGGAAGACGCGGATCAAGTCTGCGAAGCTTCGATTTCTTCCACACGAGCCATTATTCCGGCCTTCCATATTGTATATTCTTCGCGCTGCCGTGCACCCAGGTAATCGGTAGCATCCTGCATCATGGTGCCTAGACCAATGTAGTCGCTGCTTCCAGCCCTCAGTTCCCCTATGTATGTAGTTTTTGGTTTCGGTTTTGTTGCCTCGACGCCTTCCATTTCATCGCCGCCATCTATCAGAGCAATATTCGAGAACCACTCCATCTGCAACCATCCTTCTTCTTGCGCCATTAACAGTAGAGACTCGATTTCGGGCTCAATGTCCGACGCCCGAAGGTGCTGACCGCTCGGCGTGTTGATCAGCGTGGCGGTTGCTTTATCTTGCCACTCCACTACAATTTCGGGCGTTATGTCCTGATCCCAAATGCGGGACATAATATAGAAAAGAACAACGGTGATAAGGCCCATGATACGAGTTTCAGAAACCTCGGAGGACGATGTCGTCGCAGCTGTGCGGCGTGGTCGTTTGCTGGGGGTTTCTGCTGCCGCTGCTGTCATGCGCTCAAGCAATGGTAGAATGGATGCAACGCCACTGTAGACATGCGGCGCCGCATTCTGGCAAGAGAATTCTTTAACAAGGGCTCGTATGGCAGGCATCACCCATTCCGGACACTCTCGAGCCGTGTGGTCATCTTGACGTCCAGTCCGCGGTGTCCTTCTCCCACTCTGGGGGGTCTTCGGTGTCGTCCTGCCCGACGGAGGAGCGCTGCCTGTGCCTTGTTTACGGGGTGTCTGAGGTTCACGAGGCGTTGCAGCGGGCAAGGCGCTTTCGAGATATTTGTACAGCTTCTTGTATACGCGGGGTGGGCACGGTGCGCGAGGGGTGATGGCTGGAAGATTGAGTCGCTTTTTCAGCCTGGGTGTTTATCAGTATAGCTTCGTTGATATAGTGTATGTGTTCTCGTACCTTTCGCAAGCTAATTGAGCGCATGCGTATGGTCTCGCGATCTCTTCTTCTGACTTCAATGAATGGGCAACGCTGCGTGAGAGTGCTAACAAAGAAAGCGCGAGATCCACAAGCTCCGCTGGCAGAATCCCGTTGAGTGTAGGTACCAGTCCATTGAGAGACTGCTCTATAGTAGCCCGGCTCATTGCAGAAGGAAATTTCAAGTAAATATTGGGGATGATTGCGTGAAGAAGTTTCGAAATGTTGAAATGTTCTGGCGCCGTTTGAAGCTCCCTCGGCGCGTGGCGCGCAGTCACGTGTAGAAACGCTAACCCCAATGAAGACTTCAATGTTCTTAGATTAAGCCACCAGTTTACGTTCTTTACGACCATCGTTCCTATCGACCGGTTTTGATATTCGAACCGCATCTCGTTTCGTCAGATTTATCGTCTCTCACGGAAACTCGGATCTGGAGATGTACCCGGAGGAGGAGTCGTGATGAATGCTCGTATGCCGATTCGGAAGCACTTCTCGCGCCCTATGTCTTGGACAAAAAATATTCATATTGCTTAAAACAAGGCCAGATACAACCTCAAAGCCTGCATCGAGCATAGCACTGTTGTGACAAATGATATCCATGGTTCCAATGACACAGCAGTAAGTGCCAATGGAGTACATCCCAGATAAGCATCTCGACGACCACGAAGACACTACCGCGCTTTACAGTTGACTTTGCTCTAATGCAGCGATACATGACGACTCCTCCTCGCCTCGCAGTGATTTTCGCAATCATTTCAATCATCCCCACCATGAATACATAACGACCTTCCACCTCCGGTAAAGCGGCTAATTGTAACTACCCATGACGCAATGCGAAACTTGATGTCGCGATATCGCTATCTCTTGGAAGCAATGTATAAAGACAATCATGAATCACATCAATGGAATACGAATAAAGTTTGAATATCTATAGAAACCATCATACATCAAAGCTCAATTCAACATGCGGCTCTCCACCATTCTGACTACCCTAACAGCGGTACTCTTCACACCATCAGCTCTCCCACACCCAACATCCTCATCATTATCAACAGCTCTCCAAAATGCATCAAACACAACTATCGGCCCCGAAAATGGACATCTCGTAATTGTAGGAGGCAATCTTCAAAACCCACTCATCTACCAGAAAATCATCACTCTCGCCGGCGGACCAAACGCCTCTATAATCGTCATCCCCACCGCGGGCGGCGATCCTACCTACGACCAGTCCTTCCCAGCAGCAGCAACTCTCCGCAGTCTCGGCGCGACAAACGTAACAGTTCTCCACACCTACGACCCGTCCGTCGCCGACACCGACGAGTTCGTAGCCCCGCTGTTGTCTGCCAGTGGGATCTTCTTCGGTGGGGGTCGCCAGTGGCGTCTCGTGGATGCGTACGCAGGTACGAAAGCTGAAGCTGCATTTCAATCTGTGCTGGATAGAGGTGGTGTCCTCTCTGGTTCGAGCGCGGGCGCGAGTATCATGGGTTCATTCCTAGCCCGTGGTGATACGGCGAACAACCAGATCATGGTTGGTGATCATACTGTTGGTTTTGGGTACCTGAAGAACGCGGCGATCGACCAACATGTGCTTGTTCGCAACCGGCATTTTGATCTATTCGATATCCTGAAAGTAGAACCGGGCTTGTTAGGCATAGGTATTGACGAGGATACGGCGCTTGTGGTTGCTGGGAACGATGCGGAGGTGATTGGCAGTACGTATGCCTTGTTTTACGATGGTGGGTTTTGGTCTAGAGAGGAATTGAGTGAGTTGAAGAATTTGCCGCCGCCGGAGGCGCGATTTTACTTTTTGAAGGCAGGGGATCGTTATGACTTAGGGCAAAGGAAGGTCGTGGTGAGTGCAACTCTGAGTGGGGGTGGTGACGAGTTTTGATGCGAGGGTTATCTTGGAGGAAGTAAAGGGGCAAGGACTGGCGGGAACTTTTGATTCTGCAGGACTTTCCGACGATAACAAATTTATTGGCCTGGTTCGAACTGACTCGAACAGCCATTCCAAAGAGGATTTCAAGGAGCTGGCTGAATTAGCTAAACCACCCGGTTATTTGTCTTCTCCATGTCGTCCTATCTGAAGTGTGCTCTCTATCGATACTCATAATCATATTATGCCAGTCTTTTTACGCAGAGATAACAACATTTCACAGTCAAGCTTCGATATGTAACCCATGAAATAGAAAGAATGATCAGAGTCCCGACCAGGATTCCCCCTATTCCCAACGTAGGTTCCTCAGCTTACCAACACTATATGAAAAATCTACTGAGAGTTTTTGAATCACACACGACACACTACGACAACAACCAGATTCATTTGCCTTTGACAGAGCAAATGTAAATAGTACGTTGTCAATACAAATCCAACTCTGGGAGCTACCACAGAACCACTGGGTAGACTCTTCGCAAGCGCGTAAAATGAAGGAAACGCAGGTTTGTGATAGCCCATCCACTTGACCCCTTTCATCATGCTCATGATCACTTAGTATCGATGCCCCAAACGATACAAGTACTTCACCGCCAGTCGAAACATGTCTTGGTCTTCGACAGCCTAGAGTGTCATACTACTTGCTGACGGAAAAATCAGTGGACAAAACCAAGTATTGAGCGGTCTGGATCACAATGGAAAAATCATCCCATTTGTGCATCGAACATGCCCGATTCTAAAGATAGAACATACACATTCGTGGAAGGCGAAGAAATAATGAGGCACTGTAACATTGGCGTTTGGACAACCTAACAAGCAAAGGCAGACGTGCAGAAGTGGCGGTAAAGTAGATTCTAAACAAGCCATGTGGCACTCCCACATCCATCATCGCAAAATGGTCATCACATGCCCATGCGTATTTCTCGTTTCTTCACACCGAGCCTATTCGCATCCAAACACCTCACAGCGCCCCCGCGAAGCTTCAGACCGCTTCTTCCTTACCATGTACCCGACCACCCAGCAGCGCATAGTGACAGCGCATACCAACATAAACTATCGATCTTGTGTGCCTTTTCTGGCACGTTGTCTACCTAACAACCATCCTTCGAGAAAGTAGTAACATATTTTCAGCCTCTAACGAGGTTGCTTCCCGACGGGTGCTACGCTCTGCCGGATAGCTTGGCGGATTGGAATGAATGCCGAGAACAGTGGCAGCGGCGACAGAACCAGAAACAGCTCGAAAGCGACCGTTACAAGCTCGGCCGAAGAAACGGAAGAAAAGAGTACTTCTGCTCGTCATGGCTGACTGACATGTTGTTGACCACATCCGCACATCATCCCACCGTATCTCTCTTCTAGAACATCTTGTGCGAAGTAATATGAAAGGTGCATAATCTGTCCCTCAGAGATGGAGGGATCTTTCACCAAATGTTTCAGTTCCCTTTCTCGAATGAGATGCAGATAGAAGCCACCTCGGTACTTCGTCTTTCCAGCACAAAGCACATTGTACCAAGTGAACATACCGTCGTCATCCAATAACATCGCTCCTACTCGCTGTCGGAGAGTAGCGTGGAACAATATCACACACAAAATTCCCGATTGCGAGAGAGGCCAGGCACATCTAGGTATAAGTCGCGCGAGCCGTGTTCTGTGCATCGCAAGAAGGTGGCGATGGGGAATACAATGCTGCCACGAATCGGATACACGAGTACAACGTGAGCGCAACGACTAGACCGCTGATAGTTATGGTGCTGGTAGTACCTGTATGGCGTAGTTTTCTGGGTCAGGAGATAGAGTGTAGAATGGACGACGGAGTGAGGTATTGCCAGTTGCCACGTTGAGAAACAAGTTGAAGGCTTTAGATCAGGTGAAAAGAGGAAAGGTAAGATGCAATGCGTTTGTTTTGAATTTAGTGCTGGCGAGGCGGCGTTTTTTGATCTGGGCGGCTGCAGCAGCTTGGGTATATATATCGGAGGACTTGAACGACTTCGTTAGAGGGTTGTTTGGTCTGTAAGTCGGTGCTTCTCCTTTTGAACTTTGATACATCAATTCATTCCAATTGCTACAGTTGCTGCTTTCTCGACTCCCGTCCTCGACCTACCAATCACGCACAGCCGCATCTTGTCGAACCTCTTTGTCGAAAACATGCAATTCACGAAGCTCGCCATTGTTTCTGCTATCTCTTTGGGATTCGCGTCCTCATCACCTCTTGCGATCAAGGAGGTAGTCAATCCGTATCCACAGTGCGGCTTCGTTCGGTTCGAGGTCGATGATCTCTGGATGGTAGGCGTGTATACTAGCTCCAAGTGCGAGGTCATCTGGAACGAACGCCGGCCTAACTATTACCGTATCGATCGAGCTGGATGTAATTGTCGGTTCTACGAGTAAGTGCATGAGTTCCCTCGGGAGGCGTTAGTGTTTCCCGGTTCACTCAATGCCGAGCGTGCGTTTGTTTTTCCGAGTTGCTCTTCACTGACTGAATGAATAGATCGAGGGAGTCTTGTGAAAGAGGGGATGATGTGCCACTGAGAACTGGGCCGGAGCGTTTGGAAAATGCATTCGAAGGAGAAAAACCGGCATACGTGCTGTGCGTACCCAACAAGGTGTAGAGAGAGAGAGTAGGGAGACGGGTTTGCGAAAAGAGACGATTGACCAAATATTGGGTACATATTCTGTATGTCGTATGTCTGAATTGATGTTATGTAGATCGAATCCAGTGATCGTTTCTACGCAAATTGGCCAACGCGCCTTCCTCAATCGCCAACGCTCACCAGCTCACGTGTTTTCACCTTCCGTTTGTTCAGTATTAGCTCCCCCGCTCCTGCTGCCTCGTTCTCTCACTCAAATATTCCGGGCAATTACGTAATCGCGCTCTTGCCTCCTCTTATAAGTAACTGTCTCTCTTGCTCTCCACCTCCACCTCCACCTCACCTTCTCTACCGCCACCTACTTGCCACCTCCACCATCTGCTCTCTACAGCTGACTTACAACATCGAACGATCTCAATCAAACCCTCAACTTCCTTACTTGAATCATCATGATTCTTTCACTTCTCCTCGTTTTGGCGACTGCCGTCTCCAGCACCCTTGCGGCTGCTGTAGCTGTGACTGTTCCCCACCCTGTCGTCATTCGCGAAGCCTCTCTTGTCAAGGATGAGGCCATCGTCATCCCCACACTTCTTCCTCGCGGCCCTACTGCCGTCGACAAGCGCGATAACTGGCCCAACCACGGTTACACCAAGGTCGGCAAGGACGATCGGGAGATCAAGATGAACGAGCCCGAGAAGGAGATCTGGTGCTGGTGGCTCGACGACACCGACAAGAAGGATAAGAAGGCTGGCAGCAAGTTCAAGGTCAAGAAGGGATCCATCTGCTATTTCTACGAGTAAGTGCTGTCCGCTCCCGTAAGTGACTGCGGCAATTACTAACATGCATGACCAGATACCCTTGCGACCCAAGCAAGGGCAAGGCCTTCTACGCCAAGGGCAATGACTCGGAAACCAACTATCCCAGCGACAAGTACATGGGATTCGGTTGCGAGAAGAAAGACTAAATCTGGATGGCCGGTCACAAGGCGTTCTGTCTACAAAGATAGAGCAGGAACAGCATTGCGGCACAAACACACACCTGCAGGCATGTGGGGCCACTAGCTTAAGGGATTGAGCGGATGAGAATGATTTAGCTAGCTTCAAATGCATCTTGCAAATCAAAGGATGTTCACACTTCGCATGCCATCCTTTATATGCACCATTAGTGTTGCCTATCTCGCCCTTGACTTTATCCTCTATATATGCACCCAATTTGTGCTGTGGTATCTGTGCCGATTGATCAATGGGGCCAGTATGATTGGTCGCAAGGCTCATACGTACATACCTAGGTATGCTTGTGCACTGCTAACGCGTGCTCAGGTTGTACCACAGGGACACGCCCAGCTCGTACCCGACAACCTGGGTCTCGTTGCTGTTCACCGATTACCCATACCAACATATATATTCATAGAAGACTGCCTCGCCAGAAAAGAAGCTCTTATGAATTTGAAACGCAACATTTCCCCCGACGTGAATTAAGCGCCCGCTGCGCCGCGAGTTGGCTCGACGAACATATAAACCACATCATCGTCCCACTGAGATAGCCTCCAAACTACAACTTCACTCTTCCATCACGAGAAAAAATGCAGTTCAGCAAGCCGTCCCTCTTTCTCTCCTTGACCTCCATTTGGTCTCTTGCTACTGCTGCCCCCAAGTTGCGCTGGCCTACACCCTGCGGTACCATCAACTACGTCAGCAACGAGCATGGGTGAGTAAATATGTATATATTAAGTTGAAGAAAGCATACAGCTCTTCAGTCATTGCCGGCCTGTTAAATAACATGTAACTGATCCTCAATTTTCAACATATAGTGTGCTACCACTACTGGTGTATAGGGATAACTTCTGTCACTCAGTCGTTCCCGAACACGTATACCTTGCACAGTGGAACTTCAGCCAAGATTGCACCTGTACCTTCTATGCGTGAGTCATATTGAGAAAAGAGCACGACAGATATGATGGCTAACTAGCGCTATAGCGATCCTGATTGTAATCCGCAGGGCACTTCAGAAGTGAGAACGGGACCAGGCGAAGGAACGTTTAGTGGAATTAGGCTTGCATTCAAGTGTCACTAGGCAACGAGATCGTGGTTCGCACGAAATGCCTGTTGTGAGCGCGTCTCTGCCGCTGCAGGTGGTGTGGAAACTTGCATTTGTGGCGAATCGTAACTAGCGGAGTCATCGGCCGTCCATAATATGCATGCTTAGGTCGAGTGACCTATTTGGTTCGTAGAATGTTTCTAGGTTTGGTAGTTGGATGTTATGTCTATACATAGATACACGTAGATGACGGATTGTACATAGTCATTCCTCAACTGCTTGCCTCTACATTGTTGCTGCCAACTAACACCACACAATCGGGTCGGGCAAACAGATAAAATACCTCTTCAGTTTTCATATATTCTCCCGGGAACAATCGTTACACTTGCGTAACTGACTACACAGTCTGAGCCTTCAAATGTTGTTTGCCGACGGCACGGGAATACACACAATCACCTCTACCGCTTTCACCGTAACCGAATGCGGTTAGACTGGACGGGCGGGAAACTCAATAATTGTCAGCGACGTGGCGTTGATAGAATCGATCCTGTACTGGTACAGAATTTGAGAATACGGTTCCTTTCGGATGATATCGTAGTATGTGGAGGTGGGTGTCATTGTGGATACAATGCTGGAATGCGGGGAAAGTGTAGTGTTTGTCACCAGCAGTCAGTCGGAATCCTACATATGCGCCTCCGGGTGTAAGGCATATCGACGGCATGGGGAAGGGTCTAGCTAATGGTGTAGTGGCGGCAGTAACCGATCATCGTAATCATGACGTGCATTTGAACAACCACCTTTCGTCAACTTCATCCGATGCTTCATGACGACGGATGTTACTGCCATAAGAGAGCTGTTTATCATGCCAGCACAAATACAACACTGCCAACGCATGTTGTGAAGCTTTCCAACATTCGATGACAAATACCAAAAGCTATGTGACAGTTGACGAGCGCGATATCAATTTGGATCGCGCAGACATCCACCGGAAAAGTCGCATCGAACTTCCCCAAAAATCGCCCGACTCTTCGAATGACCACCGTGAAAACCAAGATGAAGAAGAAAAGAGAAATAAGTCGACCCTACACCGGGTAAGAGTATCCGTGAGCGAAAAAAAACACGATACAGCAGTCAAGATCAAGAAAACCCTCCACATCTCCAAGGAAGCCGGCACAGGTAGTAGGATCATTGATGATGATCTCCAGAATGATGCATCTGCTCTTGCAAACCCCGTTCCCCAGAAATCGGATTCCAGGCTGAAGGAGAAGCTACCCGTGCCGGAAAAAGCCACTGTGAAGGACTTTCTACATAACCCCATCGATATCACGAAGAAAAAACTGAATGACCGTGGAAACTCGGAGGCGGCTGCCAATTTGGCAGCGAAGGAAATTTCGCATGGCCAGGAGGTCGATCTTCTGCACGCGCACGACCAATTGCAGAACGCGAGTACTGATGCGGAGAAAAAGGAAATGACTGAGACGTTTGGAGAGTTGATGAAGGAGAGACAGAATATGTTTGTGAGGTGGACTGCGGACAGACATATCACGAAGGTCAGAATTCTACCAAAGACAACGTTTGTGAGGAAGAGCATGCAAGAGTTTATGAGGAAAGATCCAGGGGGAAATGTTGCTATGGACTGGCAGGCGTATGTTCAGCATGTCAGTATACTTCAGAGTTTGAACTCAATCGTTAGCATTGCGTTACTGATATGATAGTAGCTTCTGGAGTACAGTGCCCAGCAGTACGGTGGGCAGTATATTGGAGCTGGCATGGATCACCCCAAGCCTTCGAAGAAAACTATCATGCCAAATATCGAGCGACTCGTTGTCGCATCGGCTCCTTTTCAAGAGTTCATCATGACTACTCGCCGCGTCTATCGGTGGGAAAACCGCTTAGAGACACTCAAATACCTCATGGTATACACTGCACTTTGGTACATGAATCTCGTGTTTCCTGGAATAGTATGTTTATTGTTGCTCAACATGCCACCACTCAATAAATAAGTAGTGCTCGGCTTACACAACGATTCCAGCTTTCCGTAGTCGTCTACCTCGTTATCCACCGGCAATGTAGCCCGAAAACCATGGAAAATCTCCGTCAAGATATCGAGCGTACTGAAGACCGCCATCAAACCGCCCTAACCTTGACCGAATTCATTGAGAAAGAAGGATCCGAAGAATGGGCGGACAAGATCATCGAGACTGTCGGACCATGGCTGATGATTCAGTTAGCCGACATGGCTAACCTTTTTGAAGTCATGCGAAAGTAAACTCTCGCCCTCTTCCTGCTACCTCACCTACTAGAGTTCTTTTTCTGACACTCATCGAACAAAACAGTTTCTACGAATGGCGCGTTCCTAACCGCACTCTCGCCACCCTCTTCATCCTCATCTTCGTCATTCTCGTTTCGACGTTCGTCCCCGCATGGCTCTTCATCCGCGGTCTCACTTTCAGTGCCGGCGTCACGTTCTTCGGGCTATTCCCAATCTCAGCGAACCTACCAGAATACAGACTTCTCGCATCGATCCCAAAGCGCTTGTTCTGGGATATCCCAACACACGGTAAGCTCATGATTCCATGTATTCCTCTTATTAAACAAAAAGAGCTGTTGTCGCTGACGCAAAGAACGTGAAAGGTGAATGGGCCATCAAAGCAATCCAAGCAGAAGCAACACGCTACGCTGAATCTCGTCCCCTCTCACCGTCCTCCCCTTTTAAATCTCAGGACCACGACTACAGTTCTTACACCGCAACCCATAACTCAACCTCGGGTCACCTCATAATCTCACAATCATTCCTCCGCTTCGTCTCACCCACCACCACCATGTGTCGCATTCTGTACACACGGCTCGACCGCGTGGAGAAAGTCGATCGTGTCGTCGACAAAAATATTCCGTTCAAAGGGAGGGGACATAATGGGAAGGATTTGAAGATTGTGGAGTTGATGGCGGGGACAAGGGAAGAGAGGAGGGAATGGCTTTTTGAGAATATGGCGGAGAGGGACCAAGCTTTTACGCAGGTTCTGGGGTTTGGTGGTGGGGTTTGGCAGATTGTTTGGTAACTGTCAGGAGAGGGGATTGTGGGGGATGATGGATGTGCTCTCGCAGATGTGTTGGAAGAATATCATAGGATCGAGAAATACTACATGATCCTACGAAAATTCGGAGATATCGGCTGGAAGTGAACATTGGAACTACAATTCGCACGAAGCCAACAAATTATCATGGTGCAAAACTCATGCATGCGTAGCTGAGCGAATACCTACCTACCTAGGTAGGTAGGTATGCAATGCCATAAGGGTCACGTGCCTTTGAAATCGCATTCTATTTACTTCAGGCGAGCTCCTTCGGACCAGTTTGATGCGATAGATTGTATACGCAATGTCTATTGACTGCGCATTCTACGTAGTGACGTATACGACGTCCCAACGATCCAGTGGAGATGTACGGATTTGAGATATGTGTGGTGTTGAGGGTGTTGAAGAACCATGGCACGCTCGTCGCCCTCTGCTATAATAGCTACAGCGATGCCTATGATACATATAAGCATGCACGTTGCTGGGGTCTGCGTGCATGCTCGTCATCAGAGGTTCATTCGATATAATGATGTATGCATCATCACAAGTCCACGCAACTAAGTGAACATATTGGGTACTTTTGTCATGCAAATATGCTCTCGCATCGTCCAAAATGGAATATTTCCCCGTTTCTCTACCTCCATGTGGAAGGTTGACGATACGGTGGTGTTGGATTGGTGGACTTCCATTGACAGTACCTCACCGCCATCCCGGCAGCCGTTTAATGTACATACCTAGGTATGTAGTCTGCACATCATGCACTAGCCTTTCTAGTGGCCTTTGGCTATTTTAAAGCTGTGCTCCGAAAGGATTGACCGATTTGGGATTTCCAAATTTTCGAACGTCTGGGGTAAATATTGGAGGGACTGTTTCGTCCACCGGTACTTGGTTTCCCTGTTTCAATCGTGCTTCTGCTAAAGAAAGAATCAGATTGCATTCGTTCCCTCTCAGGCATGCTCACTACCTTCGAATATATATCATAGAACGAGTTATGTCAATTCCTATCTAGAGACTCTAGATAGCTGTGGGCTAATCGTCACAAACGGCGTCGAAGTCTGAAATGGACCAGGACTTGTGTAATTCGATTATCAAGTTTATACGCAACAACTAACCTGGAAGCGATCCAGTAAAATTACCCTAACTTCGGGCAGGTACCTGTGTCATGCGCAAGTGACCAAAGGAAAGGTATTGGCAAGCGCGGAAAAATACATTCATCGACGATGATGCTCGGCACTGTGCTTTAGCGATTCCTCCCGCATGTCGATCAGTTTCCTACGCACATCCACTAAGCTAAGTTTGGAGTCTGCTCCACCTTCCTATTCCGATCGTATTTGCTTTCTACAACAATGGTATTGAAGCTCGCTCTAGAAGTTCGGGCCGCATATACGATATTGGGCGAGATAATGTTGCATAGCGATACAGTTTGTATCTAATTTCTAAACTACTTTGTAGTTCCAGAACATTCATTGAGTTCGACAAATTCAAATGCTTTGCAATCAGCGTTTGAAGCTATTTGGCGACCTTCTTTACAATAGCGCGATTTTCTTCATGGTATCCTATAAGTGAACGAAACTAATGCTGGGAACGAGGAGACTTACCACCAAGGAGGTCCACAAAAACACCGTTACCCTCGGCTATCATACCTCCTCCTATCCCAATGTCAGTTGAAACAAGGGAACACTTCCCCATGCCAAGCACATACCGCCGAACTGCAGCTTTTGTGATTTGTCGTCTTCAAGCGCAGACACTGCATGGAGCTTCTGAGCGGCTTCCGGTTGGCTCTTGAACCAACAGAGTTTCTTTGGCCCCATACTCCTGTCTTCCATCAAACTACGTCCAAGTATCCAGTCGCCCGAGATGAGTTGGCCACTGCTAAGAGTGAAAATTGCCGCTTCCGTGCCAAGTTGAGCGTGGATGCCGTCTTCGGCATTTTCGCCAACGGCTGCGACGGGTTTGCCATCGATTTCAATAGTAAAAGGCGTTTCAAGTTTCTCCATGGCAACGGTGGTTGGGGGTGTGGAGTTGGACGAAGAAACGTAATCAGATAAGAAGGCAAATCAGCTGAAGGTTATCAATTGTCCGAGACCTGGAATACGATGGGATATGATTTCGCAATAGATGCAGATAATGCAGGAGGAAACGAGGAATGAGGATATGGCTTGGCTTATCGCGGACACGCAAGGCGCCATGAGTTGGGAGCTTGGCACCTGCCGAGTACATGTGTCAACCCCCTGCACCTTCTTAATTGAGTCTGGATCCCCGCGCAACAATCTACCGAGAAAGCGGAGCAGTATACTTACAGCCTCTTCTGACCATGCCCATACACCTATTCACCTGCAGTAGTCTCCATGGGAAAGTAGTCACGATCAAGATAAGGTGTACCTAACCTTCCGCGTTCGCCTACACCCGAAAGACTGCCAAGATGATCATCAGAAGTGTACTCACATTGTCCAATCGGAGACTTGTGCTGGGTATAGATGCATTGTACTATATTTCAAGTCACGATTCGTGGTCTACTGAAAGTGGAAGGACGTTCAGTGGCATCGGTTGATTTCCCTTGAATCTGTCAGTGGGATAGAGCTAGAACAACGCATCCAGTAGTCCAGGAAGGGCTCTCTCTAATCTTGAGATTCTATAAGAATGGGACAAACCGCACTCTAAGAAGATCATCGAGTCACTGCATTCGCTTCAAGACCCTCCACTATCATTACTAGCCGCCAGCCTTCGCCATGCAGTTCAAGCACCTATCTCTCGCTCTCGCGCTCCCCGCTTTGTCGGTGGCTGCTCCCACTCCCCAGGACTCCTCGATCCAGATCGTTGGTGGCCAGGCTGCTTCGGCTGGTCAGTTCCCATACATCGTCAGTATTCAGGTCAGCGGTCGCCACTACTGTGGTGGAACTCTCCTGAACGCCAACACTGTCCTCACGGCTGCTCACTGCGCGACTAACTCGGCTTCCTCTTACACTATCCGCGCCGGATCCATTGTAAGTTATTCGAATGAATCATCTTCCGTGAGAGCACTGATCTGACATACCGACAGCAATGGGCCTCCGGAGGTGTCACTTCCAGGGTTTCTCAAGTTATCAGGAACCCAAGCTACAGCGGCAACAACAACGACGCTGCCATCTTCAAGCTTTCGACCTCCATCCCCGCTGGTGGTAACATCGCCTACGGCACCCTTCCTGCCTCTGGCAATGACCCTGCTGCTGGATCTTCCTCTACTGTCTCTGGATGGTAAGTCATCAAACATCTTGCTCACTGCCAATCACGAACTCGAGACTAACTGAAATCAGGGGAACCACCAGCTCCGGCGGATCCGCTCCCGCTGCTCTTCGCTACGTCACTGTTCCCATCGTCTCTCGCTCCACCTGCCAGGCTCAATACGGCACCTCTTCCATCACCACCAACATGGTCTGCGCTGCTGAGGCTGCTGGTGGCAAAGACTCTTGCCAGGGTGACAGCGGAGGTCCCCTTGTTGTCACTGGAACCAGCACTGTCGTCGGTATTGTGTCTTGGGGTAACGGATGTGCTCTCCGTGGATACGCTGGTGTTTACGCTCGCGTCGGCACTCAGCTCTCTTTCATCAACCAGTACTTGTAGATTTAATTCTTCGGTGGCTGGATTGAGGCTGTACAATGAGGTGGGGGATGAATAGGCTGTGGTTGGAATGAAGTGGAAGGGTCTTATTTTGATGCGTTTCGCATGTTGAGATATTGTAGCAGTGGGTAAATCCACTTAGCTACTGATAGTGCATATGAATATATGAGATATGAAGACGATCATCGTTCAAACATCTTCGTGAACTTCTGGGTGACCTGTACATATTTAGGGCAATATGCCTATAGATGCGATTAATCGAAATGGGATCAAGGTCAACTATGACAATAATGGCGAAGAGAGTTTCTCGGACAGGAAGGCTGAGCTGTAAAGTCGGAACATCAGCGGTCCGTTTAAGCTTCTTGATGTATAATAAGTGTATGCGGCACTAGAAAATTGATGAATCTTGGAGTGCATATAGTGCAGGGACCTTACACTAGTTGCATGGTGCTCGGCGATCAATGTTGATAATCTGCGATGTAAACACGTGATCTTTTCGTTCACGGCGCGCCAGCGATACGCTTGACGTCGCGGATATCAGAGCGAGAAGTGCTTTGACCATAGGCAACGGGTAAATGATTTGGATTAGTAATTTTGAAATCGTATTTCTCAATTTGTGCAATTTAGATTTCGTTGCAGCACTTGAGGGCTCTCAGTGGTCAATTGATGCCAGCATTAGAGAATCACGTGATAAGCTGCAAAGTTTAACCAGCCTCCTTCTGCTTTGCGAGCCCGGCACATACATCGCAATTTCGAGATAGAATTAATCAAGATTTAATATGAGACTTCTCAACCTCATTAGTAGCGCGTGTAGTTTGATTCGAGGATTACAGTACCAGACAGTACTCCATTCCTCTATGATTGAATGGTTGTGGTAATCTCGTAATTACAACAGCTGCTTTGGCTTGGTCTACGTCGATCTTTGATGCGGGGAAGCAGGTACCTTGGTATTCGACGACCACATTCCAGCAACAACAAAGCGCATTACCTACAATTACCTGCATAAAGAGACAACACCAACCATGTATCCACTTTTTATATGTCCTGTGTTCGCAGTACTTGTCGCAGCTTTTGCGCAAGATATGCAGCAGGCGCCTAAGAATGTAGTTCGCGACGAAGGACCTTTAGCATACCAATCGAATAGTACACTGCAGGTAGACTTGGGGTATGCAATATATGAAGGAATCGCCAATACCTCTACCGGGCTAAATACATTCAAGGGGTGAGTGACCAAGCTGTATCATGTAGCACTTCAAGCTGATAGCTCATAGTATCCGTTTCGCCGCCCCACCAGTAGGATCACTGCGCTGGCAACCGCCTCAACCACCAATTGTCAATCGCACTTCCATTCAGAAAGCAGGATCCTACAGCGCACAATGCCCCCAAAGCTTGGACGCCGTTCCCGGCCAGAAGTATCTGCTTGGTGACGAAGACTGTTTGTTTCTGAACGTATATGCTCCCAATAACGCTGTTAATCTACCCGTACTAGTATGGATTCACGGTGGCGGTTATGGGTTTTTCCATGGAAAGCAGGACTTCAGCGAGATCATAAACACGAACAACAACAGTTTTATTGGCGTGGGTATCCAGTATCGAGTACGTGGACACATATTTTGATGGCCTCTGTTCATGACAAGTTCGCTAATTATCAGTGCAGCTCGGCGCATTTGGTTTCCTATCATCCGACGAAGTGTTCCGATACGGTACAGTAAATGCCGGTCTTTTGGACCAGAACTTTGCTCTTCAATGGATTCAGAAGCACATCTCCTCATTTGGAGGTGATCCCTCGCAGGTAACAATCTCGGGTATCTCAGCAGGCGCTGGTTCAGTGATGCTGCATGACATATCATACGGAGGAACACTGGGCACTACTTTATTTACCAACGTGAGTTGAATCTATCGAAGTTCAAGGATCTCAAGTAGCTAATCGGTCTTTCTAGTCTATCACCTCATCGCCGTACCTTCCAACACAATACAAGTACAATGACTTTGTTCCTACCCAAGCCTACTACGCTTTCGCAACCGCTGCGGGGTGTCCACCCACCTATGCTTATGGCCGTAATTCACAAACGATATTTAACTGTCTTCAAAAGCAAGACACGGAAATTCTGAAACAAGCTTCGCATAATGTTTCCACAACTGGAGGGTCCTTCGGGTCATGGGCCTTCCTCCCTGTAACCGACGGGAATTTCTTGCAAGAAACACCTAGCCAAGCGCTTCTCAAGAGAAAAGTCAATGGGCTCAGACATCTCACAGCTGACATGGCGGAAGAAGGACCAGCCTACACCCCTCAAAGCATTAGTACCGAAGAAGACCTCAAAGCATGGATCGAACAAGCATTTCCACTTCTAACCTCGGAAGACGTGCAAAAGATTCTCCAACAGTACCCCTACACACCGCTAAATAACGGAAACGATACAATACCCGAATATCCTACAGCAGGGGATTCCGGTGCAACCTCGATAATGACAAGTCAGATAGCTTCAGGCCACACTCAACGCGCCAACGCCATCCTCGGTGAAACAACTTTATACTGTCCAGGATACTGGCTCGCAAGCGCATACAGCTCTTCGACTTCGTCCAATTCTCCCCCCAACAAACAATATCACAGCTGGAAATATCAATTCTCAGTTCCCACCGCACTTCACGGCTACGATCTAGAGGCCTACTTTGGCCCTGCACGACAGAACCAGGGTCCGGACCTCACTCGCGCCTTGCAAACGGCATGGGGTAACTTCGTACGTTTCGGAAACCCTTCTATACCTTCATTTCTTGCATATGGCGCGTCATCTTCCAATTCTACAAACTCTTCGCATCCGTTGGCGGATTGGCCTGAATACTCGAGTGCGAACCCGCAGATGGCCAATTTCAATCAGTCGGGTGGCACCCCGTATCAATTTCTGGCGGTAGAGACGGCGACGCAGGGAGGCTTGACTGTTGTTGGGAAGGAAGAGAAGTGGGTGACGATATATGGGGAACCGGGGCTGAAGAATGATTTTAGACTTGTCGATGCATGGTCGTGGGAAGGCGGTAGGGGGTCGAGATGTGATTTTTGGAGATCAATCGCGGCGAATGTGCCTGAGTGAGTGGCCTGATATTGGAAAGGTAGGGGATGAACATATGATAAATATTGCGGTGTTCGGAACCGCTTAGCAAATGCAGGTTTCGAATAAAAGAACCGTTTGTTAGCGAGTTTGCGAATCGACGAGTGATAAGATGCAGTTTCGACAGATGTTATGTAATTGAACTGGCGACATTGAATGACCATGAATTTGGCCCTTCTATCTTCGATTGCGCCTCTTTGTTCGTCACAAAAGAGAAATACATGTGGTAGGCGCAAATCAGATGTTGAAAGCCTTTTCAATAGTATCTTCTTCCCAATATCTCTCTTGACTGTCAGGATAGAGTTTGTCAGTTACGGCATACCTTGGATAAACACCTTGTTATTGATATAACTCTGAGGCTCACATATGTTCTCGACAACACTGACATGCCCATCTACGCCACTAATCCATTCCTCTATAGTCTCGGACATGTGCTCATATTCTTCTTGATGACTACAGCTTCTTGTCAGTCTACCATTTCGTCCACTTTGATTGGGTTCGGCATACCGATGTAAGTGCGTCCCCAGATTGTGATTCGCCATGGGTGTTGGGATCTTCCTTTTGGTAAGGCGGGGGCGGATCGGCTACCGCTTCAATACCTCTCGTCTCGATCCTTTCGTTCTCATCCTCTCCATTATTCGATTGCGCCTGACGTTTTTCAAAGTTTCTCTTCTGATAGTATCTAAAAAGACTCCAGCTGGCCCATACGATCAATATGGTTGTAGGGATGGCGACTGCGAGACCAATGGCAAGAGGTTGTCGATCTCTTCCCCGGCCTGGATACCCCCCGCGAGGTTTTAAAGGTAGCATCCTTGCAACTCCGATATTGGTGATTGGAATTTCATGCACTTGAAGCTTACGTACTGAGCGCGTCGAAGACAGTTTACGGAAAAGGAAAGTAAGGATGATGCTGTTATAATAATTTCTACAGACACCAAGTGAGCTTACATATGTAGATCCCGTGCCAACGAGTTATTGTAGGCCTTACACTACACTCTTGGCTTCTCTTTGCATCACATCGCTTAGGTAGTTCACTCGACTTTAACACGTACCATGCCACACGTAGTTAGACACCAATAACCCCTTTAGATATAATACGCCCAAAGTTCCGTTCTTGGTACTCCGTCAACATCACATGATGAACTCGGCTAAGACGGCTTCGCGAAATGCTGGAAGGAGCCGGGGGCCAAGAAATCTGTGAGCCTATGAGTATTGACGGTCGATGAGGAGATCTTGTACTTTTTATTGGAAAGAAAAAAAAATCAAATGAGGTATTATCGATTGTGTACTCCGACCAGGAAGATGCGCCTCGCATTGTAACTTTCTACGTTTTTGGGTCATGAAGAGGATAGACTGACACAGATTCCATTGGCATAGATCCGAGGGAGATCCGAGTAAAGAGCGAGATCCTTGAGAAAAGGTGAAAAGCGACTATCCTCCAAACACACTCATAATCAGCGCCATTGCAATTCTGATGCATCAAGATAACTCTGGGGCCTATTAAACATCGGATAGAACTGATAAGTCTGACAGCTGCTCTATATGTTATAGTTGTCAGCTTCGATCTTTGATGAGACACACGCTGTTTCCTCGAGCTGGGTTAGCTCGGTCGTAATCGGGGCTCCGATCATATTCCGGTGGTCACTCCTCAGTCCCCTTACTGATTTTAAGGCACCGTAGCGGTATTGAGCTCGACGCCCGTACAGAAGATGTGTCTTCTCATATATCTCGTTAGTGCATCTCGACTTACAATGTTGATTCCACGGTCACCTCGCAGACCCCTTGAAATGATGGTATTTGCTGAGCATGTGGAGATGGCCTGTCAAGGTATTCATAAAGTAGGATTTGGTCTTCTACATGCAAAGCACTCAGCCGAGTTGATAAGTCTCTAAGCTTGGTTTCACGGGTAGGAGAACCTAATTGTGAAGAAGTGCCTCATCCCACATCAAGAAAAAAGAATTACAAGCAGGTGATCTCTCGCGTCATGCCCAGTTGCTTTCACTCCTAAGGACTCATTGAGACACGCGACTCAGCTGGGGCGAGGTACTGAGCTCGGTACTTATGGAGAATAGAATACTCGGATCAACCGTCATATCCTTCAAGCAGGTAAGGAGAGTGTAGCTCAGAAATTCCTGAAATTCCTGAATCACTACACCGAAACGAAAAACAGGATATCTGATGGGTCTAAGCCTGGCTATACAAAAGCATAATGATTCACCGGGCACCTCACAGATCTAGTATTTGAAGATCGCATACTACATAATCGCCATTGCAACCCATTTCGTGACTTGCTACTGACCAGTACAGAATTGCTAATGTGCCTAAACAATACAAGACCTGTCTAGCCAGACTGGATTGCGAGTAGCCATTATGTCCTTCTCTTTTGTAATCAGGCACCAGAAGAAATATTTGGATCAAATCGTGTCTAGAGCAAGGGGGCGAAGCCCTCAACTGTTGCATGGATTGCACTCAACTTCTGTTCCAGCATGCCTCTTCTGTCGCGCTAGTCTCAGCCCAAGATCCTCAGCTCTTATTCACCATCCACTGGCAACGGAAAATCCACGCTCATTTCCCTTCGGCGGTATCGTGGACTTTTTTTCGGGAGAATGACAACCGCCGGCATGTTGCCCAATCTGTTGCCCCCTCGGCCGATTAGAGACATGCGGAACATGACCTCATGACATCCGTGCAAATGAGCAAATGTTGGGCTGCTAGCACTTGCGATAAAGATAGCAAGATCGGTTAACGAAGCTCCGTCATCGTTCTACAATGCTCCAATAGAGAGCCTGGAGATCTTTCAGTTTCCACAAAAGCGAGCTCCTCAAGTCTACCTACCGTAGCCATATCTCAAACTGCGAGTCGCATCCGTCTATCCTGCGCGATATTTCAAGTAATTCGCAATGCCGCATTTTCCAGTCGAGCAAAGCCGCCCAATGACATTGTCGCTATCGCCTTCGGTTATGTTCTTCTCTTGGCCTCGGTCCGGCGCAAGTTTCAGATCGGAGGGCTCTGTATCCACCTTTGGCTTAGCCTAGCACCAGCAAGCCACATGCGATGAAACGTCCCATTTTTTTGTGGCTGTCAAAGCATAGAACTGCGCGAAATGACCAACGTTTGAACGTTTTTGACGGCTGATTGACATTCTCTGTGACATTATTTCTGGAGTTTTCTGGAACGTGTATGAATCAGGCCAGTGCAGTGACCTTATACACCGAATCCCCTCAGAGTGGGCAAAGCGTAGTGGAGATACACTTTAGCGATATCCCTGACACAAACCCTTTACCCCACAGGAGGTGTTGGAATACAAGTACCATATACTGCAAATCTTTAGCCCCTAGCAGAGTTTGAGGTTATGAATTGGTGTTGGACTTGAATCCTGTGAATGTGTAGAACAATTTGCACATATCATGGAGTATATACTGAGAGATGCACGTGCCAAATTACTTCACAGCGCTCTATTCTGGTAACATACTCGATTCAGCTATGGCTTCCTAAAATAAACAGCGCATGAAAAACAGCTCACACTGAGTGAACTATTGTGGGTTGCAGCTTCCTCGTATTCCTATCTTTACGTTCTTGGAGGTTTGAAAAGGTTAGCTCAGATCATCCTGAAGAACGCAAGGTTCACTTCGGCTATCTGAAACTCGTTCATAGAGCAAGTCACATTCCCTGGGTGAAACATAAGCAGTATCCAAATCACGGAGTCCTTTCTTTTCTTGTTGGCTTTCCATGTCTTGATGCCAGTCACTAGGACAAAAATCGACGACAGAAAGGCAGACTACTCTATACAGACATTTATAGAATCTCCTTGGACGCCATTTTGGGACATTTGGGCGCCGAAGCGATGGCAAAAGATATCCCTATGCATAGGATATTAGTGCAGTATGTATGTGTAGATTTATATATCTACGTAGCTACGCTTCATACTTGTGATGTGCGCGCGAGATACACTCCTTTGTTCTCACATTCTTTCTCTGTTTTGTTGCTTTGCTGCTTCCAGACAAGCCTGTCAACTTGACTTTCTTCCTTTTTCCGCCACACTCATTACTGTTTCCCCCTATACAGTTGAGTTCGCAGTACAGAGTCTCTTTTTCCTATATACCCAAGAGTTTTCTTTTTCCTTTTTGTTTGGACGATCTTTTTTGTTTAGGAAACCCGCGGTTATCGCAAACATGCAGATCTTTCTTCTTCTACTTACCGTGGCCCTCGCCTCAGTCGCTGCTGCTATCCCCCTTCAGCCTCGACAATCCAACCTACAAAATTTTATTGGCGGCCTGGGCGACATATCTGCACCGCCTGTCTTGTCATCAGACGATCGGCGACGCCCTTTTGATGTCGAAGGGAATACGTTCGTTCTCATTGTCGAAGCGATTGAGCGATCGTGCGATCTGCAAGTGAATCTGTGTGCAGACTTTGTAAATGGTTCGGGGGGGACAGCAGGATTCAGCGTGGAGGACTGTACAAACCAAAAAGGTAAGTTCGTCGACTCTATTTTTGCGATCCTTAGAAGCGCGAAGCGATGTGAAACATGTGCTGATCCTGGTGTAGTCGATTGTGAGCGTCAGTTCTAAGTCGATGGAACAGAGAGATGAGCGGGACTCTCTGGCGAGATGGTTGAGTAGCGGAGTGAACAGGCATTGATTGCATTGTTGCGATTCATTGACCCTGGTTGCGATGCATGCAAGATGCTGGAAAGTCTTCCGCGCCATGGGCAATACACTGAACGAAAATGACGGGCAAGTCCCAGCCTTTTGTGGCACGATGCTGCTGGGAAGCGAATCATGATGACTTACGATGGTGCTGTGCATCTTTTTTCTTCAATCCCCAGAAATGGGAGTACTATAGAGTGAAACGAACATAGAAATGCAGCTCGAAAGAATAAATTCGCAGGCAGTTGAAAGGAACCAAGAAAGATAGAGCAAGAGCTTTCTGTACCTATGGCCTCTTTAGACCAAAGAATCGGTAGATCAACGCATCAGAGTCGCTGACGGAGTTTTACCTCTTCATGTTCTATCTCTGCATCATCGCTGGGTCTTCGTCGGCAAGAGATTGTTTCGGTCAATATATAGAGATCGTACGATAGGAGAGGCGTGGGGTCGACCCTTCGGCGAATACGAAATGGCCAAGCGTCTTGCATGCGAGGTTTCAATGCGGATACGAATTGATGGGTGCGTCTCGAGCCCTCCGTATGCACGCGCATTCCAACATGTAGCTGGGCACGAGTCCCGAACTCCCATACTAAGAAGATGTTGCACCATTCCGAACCACTCATTTTGCGCAACATCTTTTAGGCGTCCGTGGAAGTGTTTCTCGTCAAGCTCTAATTCAACGCTGTCGCGTGGCATATAGGCGATGAGTTAATCCAAGACTCTAAAGCTTGGTGTTTTCAGGCATTGCAGGAGTGCCCAACATTGCGAGCATCTCGCACTATGATTTCCCGTATTCAGGAAGTATTGAGGGAAGTTGGTTCAGGATGCCGATAGTAGATGCTGGATAGTCTCGCATAGGCCGGCCTCTGAGGCATTGAGTATCCCATCAGCTTGTCGACACAAAAATACTGATTTCCATTATAATTGCGATCAAGAAAATCGAGAAGTTTGATACCACCATTCTTAGCTGCTGCGCTGATTGGTGACCCAAAACGACTGGTGACATGATCCGCGCTAAGCCCCTCCTCAAATACTCGAACGCCTGATTAACGGAGTCCTCTGGAGTTGCACAGCTGGGGTCATCATATTGGCTTTAACTCGTACCAAAGAGGCGAAGTGCGTCCCGTCAAGATGTCATCGACGAAACAATTGGCCTCCCGCCTTGTATTAGGAATGATGTGACATAATTCCTTCACCATAGCCTGAGTATTTGCCACTAAGGGGCTACCGGCAATGTTACAACAAAATTCTTTATCTATGCCGTAGATGGACAAGTATGTAGTGGTGGTTTTCCGATAGTATTTTTGGAAAATACTAGATTTCAAGTAGGAAGAAGGAAACATGAGTTAGTTATCGGGCATTATGTCCGCGTAGTAGTCCATCAGAAGGCAGTCATAAAATATCGCGTAGACAAATTAATCATCATCAGATAATCAATTCGGTCAAATACAACAGAGAAACCTCAAGACGTCAGACTGCAGGACATGTGTAGAGACAGCATTGTCTGTTTTCAGAGTACAGGAACAAACGCTAGGCAGCTCTGATCAATAGGGTTTGAATTAGTAATCAAGTGGTAATTCAGAGCTTATCCCCGTTCCACAGACGTCATTATGTACCTTCTCCATTTTTACTTCTGTGCGCAGGACGTAGGATCGTCAGTACCTTCATTATGTTAGCCTTCACGAATTCATCATTGACCCTTGCTCAAGCGTGCTTACCAATCACAAGCCACTGTATAAAGTAACTCCGTTCATTAACTTGTAGCCCAACGTAAAAACTCCATTTCTGGTCTCGTACACTGCTCTACTGATTCGTTTGTTTTTGGCCAATCGCAGACTCATCTCTCCACCATGTCCGTTCAGCGAGCAATCCAGATTCAGGGTCCTAAGGTGGCCACAGTGGTCACTGACGCTCCTATTCCTCCCCTCCGACCAGATTACATCCAAGTCAAGACTGTGGCGATAGCTCTTAACCCAACTGATTGGAAGCACATTGACTTTCGTGCTGACAAAGGAGCTATCAACGGTTGCGACTACGCCGGTATCGTGGAGGCAATCGGGCCGAATGTTCACCACGGGCTCAAAGTCGGAGATCGCGTCGCTGGATTCGTGCACGGCAGCAACGAGTCCAATCATGCGGATGGCGCGTTCGCTGAGCACATTATTGTGAAATCGCAACTGTCTACCAAAATCCCGGACAGTCTTTCCTTCGAAGCAGCATCAACATTAGGGTGTGGACTCACAACTGTTGCACAAGCTTTGTACCAGTCGCTCGAGTTGCCATGGCCAACAAATCCTACCAAGAACCGATTCCCCATCCTCATCTACGGAGGCAGCACAGCGACCGGTACCTTGGCTATACAATTTGCAAAGCTCTCAGGTTTGACTGTCATCGCTACATCCTCGCCTCATAATTTCGACCTTCTCAAACGTTATGGTGCAGACCATGTCTTCGACTACAAATCTCCAACCGTTGGCCAAGATATCCGAAAACTCACAAACGACAACCTCAAACATGTTCTCGACTGTATTGCTTTCGACTCCACAGCCGCCATATGCGCCGAAGCTATAAGCTCCAAGGGTGGAAAGTACAGTTCTCTGTTGAGCATCGCCAAGTTTCCACGAGATGATGTGGTTAACGCTGCTACTCTCGCATATACCGGCTTTGGAGAGTCATTTACGAAGAGTGGTAAAGATTTTCCAGCGCTACCAGACCACCTAGCTGTTCAGGAGAGGTTTTGGAAAATGGTTGGGGAATTGTTGGCCCAGGAAAAGTTTCAACCTCATCCGCATGTTGTGCGAGACGGTGGGCTAGAGGGTGTTTTACAAGGTCTTGACGACATGAGAAAGGACGCTGTCAGTGGTGTGAAGCTGGTGTACCGTGTTTGAAAAGGGTTTGTCTTCTCCAGCATTGCGACCTACACACAAAGTTACGGTTTCAGGTAAAATTTGCGCTATGGGATTTGGTCTATCCTCCATACTACAATCGTAAATGCTATCCTGTCTGGGCCTCTTATTTACTACTCTCGACCCATCTGAAGTTATGGAAACTCGATCATAAATCATGAATTAACAAAAACGCGTGCAAACGTGGTATTCTATGCAATAGCCAGTGTACTTGAAAGTAGTCTCTCCTGTCATTGCAGCCCTCTACAATTCCATGTCCAAATGAGAGCTGCTGATACTCCTCAGCCCGATTCTTGAAAATTGAGACCGGATTACTAGTTTATGATTTGAACATATGTCAATCACGTACTGGATACAATGCGCATGAACTGTTGATAAGATTATGCTTAATGATCACGATCTGCCTGGATGGATTGGACTACGCCTCTTATTCCACCGGCGTAGTCAGTGAATTGACTAGTAATATCATCTAGACATTCCGATTCCTAAGCAGATTGTAGACTTCTAAACTAATGTGGTGGCATTGAAGCTTTGTTGGCAAGGCGCGCTAGCAGGAATTGCCCCATCCGGATATAGCTTGTCTCACATCTCCGCCAACATGGCGGAGTTATGACGGAGTTCCACGCTAGGCACCGAGATACTTATCAGGCATCTATAAACAAATGAACATATATAACTCCATATACAATTTTCTGATCGAGGATTAGATGATCATAATCATCAATTCGCTGCAAAAGTTTCCGCCATCATGTCGACCTACTTCGTAACTGGATCCTCGCGCGGTATCGGCCTGGCGCTTGCAGGCTTGTTGGCGTCGAAACCTGATATCTCAAAAGTGTTTGCTTCAGCACGTAGCGAAACCGACAGCGTCAAGAAACTCGTATCTGAATCGAATGGAAAAGTTACATTTGTAAAACTCGATGTAACGTCGGCCGACTCGATCAAGGAAGCCGCTTCGCAAGTGGGCAAGGCTCTGGACGGCACGGGCCTTGATGGTGAGTGATCTCCGTCCCGCCAATTCTGATTCATGTTTTCTGATCATCCAACCGTGCTGCAGTACTCATTAACAATGCTGGCGTCATGCCATTCACACCAAACGGTCTCGAGACTATGAATGATTTGGATGAAGTCTTCAAGATCAACGTCACCAGCGTGCACAACACGACTGCCGCGTTCCTTCCGTTGTTGAAGAAAGGGAATCTCAAGAAGGTCATCAACGTGTAAGACTTTTCGCAGAGTCAATTTCCTTTGAGGTGTCATAAACTAATGACTATTCAAGTTCCACCACACTCGGTTCCATCGCTAAGGCGCAAGACTTCGCAGTCATGCCAGCCCCGGCGTACAAAATAACAAAAGCAGCGCTCAACATGCTGACTGTGCAATATGCACTTTCCTTTGCGAAAGAGGGATTCACATTCGTTGCCCTGACTCCAGGAGTAAGTGGCTCGCCTTTATGAGTCTACGAGCAGACTCATTTTGTGTGTGACCTGGCTAACGATGTAATTTGCAGTGGATCAAGACTGACCTGGGTGGCTCACACGCTGATCTATCTATCGAGCAAGGAGTCAATGGCGTTTACGATGTCGTTGTACGTGTCAATAAGGAGGATAACGGGAAATTCTTCAACATCCATGTCCCTGGCTGGGAGAACGCAGATGGTCCCAATCAGTATGACGGAAAGGAGGTTTCGTGGTGAGGAAGTTTGGAGATAGATACCTTCGTATTTGACATGATCAAGATTGACGGGGCATCCTAATGATCTCATAGTTTATGGCGTAACAATATATCTTCTGCTTAGCCAGATCGATGTAAAATTTTGAATCTGATGGTTATCAATTGATTATCAGTCGCATAAGCTTGCGTGTTTGACACTAGATTTGGACAGTTGCCCAACCTATTCCAGAGTCGATAGATGGCCAAGCTATACCACTTGACAGTCGGAGGAGAGGTGTGTTCAGTGACTCAGATCTACGCTGCAACGTCAAAAATACCAATCACTGCGTTGTAAGAGTCTTGTGGTGCACGCACCTGTCTTCAATGACTTGCAAGCTGCTTGCAGAGGCCTCCAGTCACCTCGTTTTGTATATAAAATCTTACAAGATCGCCTATCTTCTTCAATTCAAAAAATTCCTCTTGCACCAACAAGCATCTACTGGCGACAAAAACACGCACTAGCTATCGAAACATTCACATCATCGACAACGGTCCCGAATTCTAATCGAAGCCTGGTATATTTTATCGATTGGACAATACCATGTATATCCTGTACTGTTTTTTCTTGATTGTCTTTACTTTCTTATCAACGCTCTTCCAAATTTCCCTAGCCGATGACATCGGAACAGGAGTAGGATACGTTCTGAACGCCAAAGATACATCAGGCTTCAAACACCTCCGTTTAAATGGTCAGACCGAATATTGGTACGACAATTTTTGCGGTCAGACGTTTGCAGCAGAAAAAACCGGAGATGACAAACCGTCGTGGATATTTGCCAACAACACATGCACCAATGGCACCTCCAGTAACGATCAGAACATGCACTCCGCTCGATTACATTATGGCTGTGTATGCAGCTTCCATACGTACGTTCCCTCTTTTATTTTGGGTGGATTCGGAGAGAAAACATCATATACATGGATCACACGATGCTAACGCACTTCGTCATTATATATAGAACAGACAAATGTCAGGATGAAATGGGCCAGACATCTGTCGTGATCGCTCACATTCAAAATGATACGGTGATGACAAGCAACGATTTTCAACACGACTGGAACATAAGATGGTATCGATGTGCGCGCTTCTTGCAACCCGGTTCGCCTCCATCGTCAAGCGCTGCTATGCCGACAAGTACAAGTGCTTCAGCAAGTACGAGTGCTCCGGCAAGTACCAGTACCTCAGCAAGCGCGTCACACACATAAACGTAGACGGGTTCGGCATATTGCATAAGTGCTGTCAACCACTGTCTACCCCCGATTCGACACTGACACATGGGACCACTGCGTCGAATCACATCGCCAATCGGCTCCTTTTGACATTCGCTGAACTGTCCGGGGTTCCATCAGCTCAAGGCCAAAAAAGCTGATTCGTTAACATTCAGCCAAATTCGGGGCGGCTAAGTTGTTAATCGGGAGTGGATTGAATGTTCGGAGGGTTCTGACACTCATTATTCTTTTCGGAACGTTTTGCTATTTCTGTGCGCGATCACTAGAAGTTGTTGTCACATTCATTACTGTCGTTTTCTTGTTGTTGGCTTTCATTCATACAGTTTCAAATCTTTCGTTTCGAGACTTTCATGTATTTGCTTTTTTCCTCTTGTGTTTCATAGCGGAGTTATCTAGAGGTGTTAATTTCGGACAACTGTACATAGCTTCAGAGTCACTACTGGTGTTGGTTCAATTTGATTATTTCTGTCGATTCCCAACTTTGACGATCTTTGAACAGATTTTCTCGATGAATCCCAGCTGTCTAGTGAATATCCTAACTAGTTTTTGAAGCCCATTACTTACTTATGAATCGTTGAGATTGTTCGCATCCCTGCGGCTCATACACCCGGCATTTTTGAGACTCTGTTCCAATATAATAGGTAAGCAATTGTAGGATGAAGCCCGAGATATGAATGCGAATAAGTCAACGCTACATATTCTTTTCAACATCATTTACCCTTGCTAGCAGTGCTTATCGTTATGTAGCAACTAATTAATATAGAGATGGGATTGCACCTAAGATTAATCTTGGCAGGCCAAACCCTTGCATGCACCCTTGCATGCTTTTCGCGGGAGAAGTTTGGCAGGTGAAACCAATTCTGGAACTCTTGTAGGCCATGCACTGACATGACACTTTGTTAGGCAAAATAAATGCTTCTGCTGGCAGGAGATAGTTGCTTTCGCAATTTTCACAGCCAGAAAATGTATGCTCTACATGGGTTCATATTTTCCATCATTTGAAAGCTGTTGACTGTACCAATGTTGCTACACGAAGACTCGCAAGCGCGTGCGTCAGACTCACACATTGCTTGTCGTCCATGTTGTTGTACTATCTCCGAAAGTCACACAGACAATCCGGGTTGTCAACGAGCCCCAGAATCACATATGTCATGCCGCCATGAACTCTGAGTCTTAAAGCTTTGAGTCATTACACATCATATATAAAACTTATAAAAGCCTCCCTCAGTTTGATGTATACCTTCTATCATTATACACACATATTGACAACAGTGCTGATTACCATATCATAAATTTTGCGGTTCACAACCCAGCAATAAAAGTTCCTTTACCATTTCCCTTACATTCCGCGAACATGTGCTTCTCGCCCACCTTGCACAAAGTAGCATTCGTTCTCGCTTCATTGCTCTCCCAGGTCACTTTCGCAAATACAGAGAACGCAACATACGGATACATCGTTCATAATCAACTTAATGTGGAGTCTTACGTTGCCGGCGATTCGTTTGACCCTTATTGTGGCACTGCATCCACCCTAGCCGTTTCCGCTGGCTTTGCAACAGCAGCATTTGCAATCCTTCAAAATACCAATACATGCACATCCCTTGTTTACAATATGTTCTTGGCCGAGGTAGTAGGGGGTTGCCTTTGCAGTTTTTATCAGTGAGTCGAATCTGTTCATCTAAGAATTGCGCGTGGGAGGATAATTTCGGGACTGTACTGACCGGAGGGTTGGATTGGATCTTCAGAGACTCCAAATGTGACCAATCGAGCGGAAACCATACAATGGTCGTAGCTTCTTTAGATCCGAATGGCGCAACCGCTCAGAGAAAAGCCGATCCAGCCTGGTCTATCCTCTACTATCAATGCATGCGCTTCAAGGGAAAGCCATCGGAACCGCCAATGTATACAGCAACGATATCACGCTGATCAACAACGATTTACCCACCATCGCAACCTTAAGCCCCAAACCACATAATCGTTGGTGCTCTCAGCCCGATACAATATCAATTTTTCGTCAGTTCTCTCAAAAGGATGTACTCTTTCACTAGGAAATGACATCATCAACGCGAAGACACTGAATTTGGCGGTCTAGAGTGGACATATTTAGGGGGCCAGGTTCATGGCAGCTACATTCTACACTCATGTTTTTCCTGCTGGTCTTCACTTTCTCATCTTGTTCTTTAGTCATATCGTCGTGTACTTTGATGGGTTTTTTTATCAAGCCTTTTTTTTTAGCTCTGTTCTGTTCGCTTGTTTACGGTACTGTGCATGTTTATTGATTAATTCTGAATTGGAGTTTGGGTGATCCTACATACAGCTATAGTTAGGACGACAATTAGACCAAAAAACGAGCGATTACCAGAAATCCAAGTATTGTACATGTAATGAATCTGTTTGTCTTTGGAAGCAGAGGCTATGAATTAGGATTCTGCATATAATTGGCTAGCTCTTCCACTCGTTCACCAAGTTACATGTTCCTTGTGGTGGTCCACCATACAAAACCTGACGGAAATGTCGCTCCGAGCCCTCATTCGTTCAGACTATGGTCAATATATATGATGGATGTCACAATCCGCTACAACTTCATCCTCGCCAATATAAAATGAGTAGCATAAAACGACTGAAAATTATTTAGGAAATTCCCGCAATAGTTTATATACTACGTTCCGTATAGGTTTCATTTTATACAAATAGTGTGTAGAGATTTATACATTGACATATACCCAAACATTTCAGTGCTGCGCCCAAAGTGTATGTCCCTCTCGCAAAGAACTCGTATTGCTTTCTCATTACTGGTATCATAATATACACTCATCTATTCATCATGACTCGTAAAACTGTTCGTAGAATAGGCAGAGCTGAGTGAGCTGTGTGTAGTGCGTAGGTGGGCTGCATAGACAGGGGAGTGCGGGCAGCACAGGACAGTCAAGCCGCGTGCGACTACTACCTTGACTTTGAGTCATCATACCTATATATCGTCTTGATCATCGTACCTAGAGTGCCTAACCATTATCCTACACTTTCTCAGAATACCATCGCCATCTTCCATATCAACATCCACATCGAACATCAATCTCCTAGACCAACTTCTCAAGCGTACCCCACATCCTCATACACAACAATGCACACTCTTCCACCCCTCCATCTCATCATCCTCTTCCTCTACCTCACCCAAAAAACCCTCTCAAAAGTCCCAACCGGCGGTGCATGGGGGGAGCTTCCCCGAATCACCAACCTCACCGAGCAAGACACCCGCTACGGCTACACCGTCATGAGCGCCGCCCACAACAACACGGGGAACAACACCAGCACCGCCAACCTCTCTTCTGATGTCCGCATCAGCGCCTACACAGTCCACGACAACAACACCGCCTTCTCCCCCCTCAATTTCACAGCAAACTGCGGCGAATCATCCACCATCGACCCCGTGCCCAAGGAAAATGCGCCGCACAAGTGGAAGAACGGGAGACTGTTTGGATATAATACCTGTGTCGGGGGCGGTGTGTATTATCATTGGTATGTGAATGTGTATCCGGGGTGTGTATGCAGTTTCTATTCGTAAGTTCTACCTTTCGAATTCGCGCAGTCTTTGTTTGGGGGGGGGGGGAAGTTTGCTGACTAAAGGAATGTATATTTGGGGGGGTGTAAACAGGAATAGCAAGTGCGATGAGCAAACTGATAATGGCACGAATACTGTTATATCGAGCGTCGTGGCGGCGCCTGAGGCAGGCGTGAGCAGCAGGAAGTGGTTTGATGAGAAATCGAGATTAGGATGGTATCAATGCGTGCGGTTTGGAAATTGGGATATCTGGAGTTAGAGCAGGGGGGGAGATGGGTTTGAGATGTGGCCTTTTGTTTTCTTGTGATGGGGAGGGGGGGATGTAGATTTCCAAGTCCCGGGGATCCATCAAGTGAACAGGAATCACTCGAGCAGGCCGTCAAACGAATCGCAGCCAAAGTGCGACACTCGAGGATTACCATGAATGCTGGCTTTACAGGCGTTCAGGCATCATGTTCAGAGTCGAAGACACACACCCACTCACGTACATGCAGAACGAACTCTGATTCTACACCTTACTACATCTTCAACTAAGTCACTCAAGGGCGCCGTTCATTAATTCATCGACGGGAGCAGTCAAAAAGGAGAGAAATCAAAGAATCGAGAATTGAGGGTATCTATATAAAGGTAACTGAAAAAGGAGAAGAATAGCAAAAGGGTTGTGTGTCTTCGAAAATGCAGCCATCTTTCACAGCTCTATAATTTCCTCTTCCTCTTCGTCCTCGTCTTCGACGTCATCATCTTCCTCTTCCTCGTTCTCAAAGTCTGCAACGTCTTCGAAATCAATAATCTCCCAATCATCGTCGTCATCTTCCACAGCCCCAGGAGGAGCGTCGACACCAGAAAATGAGGAAGAAGAGCAAAAAACCTCTTCGATCTCCCTCGGATCCATACTCCCCACAAAAGCGCGTTTAACAAAAGTAAACCAAACAGATTTCCTCAACTCTTTATCACCGTGCTTCTTCTTCTTCCCTTTTTTATGTTTCCTTCCCTTCTTCCCTTTACCACTCACATCAATCTCGCTATCATCATCATCTTCTTCCTGTTCCTCATCTTCTACTTCTCCGAGAGGAATAAGCGCGTTCTTATGCCTCTTCCCATCCTGTCCGATTCTCCTCGCAAGGTTGACCCACTGCCTCACCGTCAGATCCCGGAGTTTATACCGCTTGTCGTCTCTGGTATCGTACTCGATTTCGAATGAGAATTCCTTGGGGTGAGGTTCCGGTCGGGGTTTCTTGCCCTGGTGTTTGTGATGTTTGCCTTCCTTCCACTTCTTCGGTTCGATTCTCGGTCCAGAAGGTGAAAGCTTGAGCCCGAAAATCGTGCGCGGGGCATCTTCGTTTACAGATTGTGACATGCTCCTGCTACCGGCGGCGACGAAGTCGTTGTTGATGCGGGTGAGGTTGGCAAAGTACTGCGTGTAGCCGAGTAGTGTGAGCGGCTGCGGAGAGTATGCGGGACCTGGAGGGGAAGATTTGGAGGGACCTTCTGGAACCTTGAATTTGTATTTCCTGCGCTTTCTGCTCTTTTGGAGGGATTCTTTGTCCTTTTGTTTGCGTGCGAGGGAGGTGGTGATGTAGCGGAGGTACGCGCTGTCGTCTTCTGGATTGTCGGTGTCGAAATCATCGGGAGATGGGAGGAGGGGGCTCTGGTTATGCGGTGTGGAAGAAGAGGAGGATTGCGTTAGCGGTAGTGTGGAAGCGTCGACCCCATCCTCGAGCCCAGTAGTGTTGTAGGTGAAGATTCGGATGGTAGGGAAGTAGTTGGGTACGATAGACGGAGATACGAGGGACACGCTGTAGCGTTCCGCATATTTACCGCCTATTTTTTCGAGGTACGATTTGCCCTTTTTTGGTTTCTTGCTTCCGCCATTCTTCCCTCCGCCTTTCTTTGATCTTGAGAAGAGATTCCCAAAAACGCGTTGCCACGTTGAAAGCTGCTCCTCTTCCTCTCTCCGCTCGCTGTCCACCTCTTCGTCTTCGTCCGAGAACTCGCCAAAGTTGGCACTCGATTGCGGCGATTTCTTTGCAGGCGGAGACGGCAGTTTGGCCCACCTCTTCCTCAAATCCAAAAGGTAGTCCGATGCGCTGGCAACCGTAACTTCGCCGTCTTCCAGAAAAGTATTGACGTCGGCTTCCTTGCCCCTCACTCGCTTGCTGGCCATTTTACCGTTCTTGGTGCTCTTTTTGAGCTGTTTGGAGTCTTGGAGCATAAAATGGTCCACATTCATATGCCCGAAAAGGGAAGTCACGATGACATCGCGAAATTGCCTCTCCCACAGAGTGTATTTTTGCCAGCATGTTTCCTCCCAGCTTTCTTTGCTGTTGACGCGGGCAGGGGGTACATGGCCGATGAGGATGGCGGAGACGCCGCGGTCGCGCATGAGCTGAAGCTGAATGCGCAGCCATTCGAATTGTTCGTAGCCGGGTTCGTGTTTGTTGGCGCATCCGTCGACACCTGGATTGGAGGTGAAAAAGTACCTAGAATTTCTAGTCAGTATACATGTGACTACTTCCTGCTAGAGCATCCGACTCTCCCCAAAGACAGCGCACAACATACATGGTGTTCAAACTGATGACAGCCAGCTTCCCCGGTATGACCTCGACCCAAAACCAGCCACCTTGTTGGAACTGGTGCTTCTGCGCCTCGGGTACCAGATCCGTCCATATGTTCAGATACTTCTTAGTCCACTCATTCGGGCCTTTGAGCAAGATATTGTGTGGCATGATATCGTTGTTGCCAAACGTAGGCACGATGGGAATTCTAAAAGCGTTTTCTGAGCCCCCATGGCCACCTTTGTTTGTACCAAAGACCTCGACGAACTTTTCCACCATGAGCTCGTTTTGCTGGACAATCTGGCGGCGGGTTCGCGGGTGTCCATCGTCATTGTCGTGGCGGGCCGAGTCGCCGGTCCAGACGACAAAATCTATGTCGTCGGCGATGTTGTGCTTGATCCAGTCCATGGTCGCATTGACGAGCGATAAGGGCGAGTCACAGCCGGATGTTTCGGCGCCATAGTAGCCAGCGGGCCCTCGTTTGCGGTGGCATGCAGCATTCTGTGCTGTGCTCGAGTAGGTCTTGTAGAAAGGATCGGGGTGGAAGTCTGCAGGCGGAGCGGTGGTCAGAAAAGAAAACAAGGGGGAAGTTTGAAGTGTGACTGTTGACTAACCAGTGATGTGCAAAAAACGGCCATGCAGTCGTCGGCGAGCGGTTGGAGTCTGGGTGTGGTCGAGTCCTATCGTCCCCGCGTTCGCTCTTTGGCGGACCGGATGGACGTCCAGCCTATGGCCATCCTCGAGGGCTGCAGCAGCGTCAACCCCCCAGCCGGCGGCGCAGTAGGCCAGGCCCCAAAGCACCGCGTATCGCATAGATAACCGGTACGCGTCGTATAGCTCTCGGAGCTCCGCGTCAAAGGTCGCACGTAGAATTAAAAATAAAGTGAAATGTAAAAAAGAGAAAAGGAAGAAGGAAGAGGGAAGAGGGAAAATTATCAGCGAGACATGCGCGTCGAGGAGTTGCCGCCTAGAGCGGGACGATTGATGATGCGACGAGTAGGAGTGCGGTAGTTGACTATGAAAACGACGGATTCTGGGCCGAGCAAGCTGGATGGTGATGGCGACGCTGGCGGAAGTTGAAGCCAGCAGAACAATTTGCAGCCACGAGATCTGACAGCGTGCCGGCGCGGCTCCCTGCCATTGGCCCTCCGTACGTCATCGCTTCAGGCCTCACAGGTACTCACACTAAGTCGCAACCTCTGTGAGCGACATCGACACCAAGTCATCTCCCTGTCCCGACCCCCCCAACATGTGCATCATCGCCAGGTGTATCCTTCACACAGATGCTCGCCGATAGCTCCAATGAGTTTGCTGTGTGCCCACCTCTATTCCTTGTTGCGCTCCCCTCGTGCTCACCGCCCTTGTCCACCGCCCTCGATCTGCGCTTGGAGTCGCCGGACCATGGGTCGCGTGCTATACCCCAACTCCTCCTCTACTGCATTCATGATACCCCATATGCGCGCCTTGCGCCCGAGACCCTCTATGTGCTTTGCCGCGTAGTAGAGTCCGTGGCTTGCAAACACCCTCAGCGAATCTGGAAATTCCGAAATCGCAATGTCGCCGATGCACTTGGCTTGGTCCTGCACAAAAGGTATGTGTGCTTCGTCTTGCAACACAGGCTCGGCATAAAGGAGTATCCGTGTTACGTGGTACCAGAATGTTCCTGCGGCTGTTCAAAGAAATATTGTTAGTGTCATGGCATGTCATCCGACTAGAACTTATGAACAATTGAACATGGCGAGGCTCAACACAACAACGTACCAGCAGCCGTCACAGTAAAGCACACTTTTCGAAATCCATCCTCGTCGTGCTCGCCGTACGGGATTCCTACAAACGTGTGTAGTTGCGCGTTCCGCCAAGTCTCCAACTCCTGATGCAATCCCTCTCGTCTCTGCCGTTCGTCGTGTCTCTCCTCGCCATAGATGAGATTGATGACGCGCGCAAGAATCCATAATACTTGATTGCCCTGTACATCCTCTCTTAGCTCCTCTGCATGCCACATTACTCCCCAATCCATGGGATCTAGCATAAGTGGCCTCTCTGTAGCCAGTGCAACGCCAATTTCGTGTCGGACGTGGATCCAGAAGTTAGCTCGGTCTTCACCCGTCGACCGCGCGCTCAACTTGTGATATTTGATCAGCATACTTTGGCCCAGGAGATGCTTACGGTGGTGCTCCGACGCGATACCTGATGCAATCTCGTAGCTTGAGAGCAGGATGGTCGACGAGATGACATGTTCGTGTGAAGATTGGTTGAGAGCACGTATCATAAGTTGAAGTGCTTCGCCATAATGTGAGCTTGCTACATTCTCCCACGTGGAGCGTAGCTGCTGCGAGTTGCATAGAGACAAATGTCTTGCTGTAAAAGCGCATACAGAATGGAACAACAGCGGTGATGATAATATGTATCGTGGTATGCGGGTTTGGTACGTGTTTTCGTGGTCCATCAAGTCCAACCACGTAGCCACTGTTCTAACGTATTTGTTAAAGAGGAACGCAGTCTCGGGAGTTAGAGTCACATGTGGTTCCTCGGGAAGAGGTAGCATAGGCGCAGGTGGCGATAGAAGGTTCAAAGACGTAAGGACCTCATTGGGCGGTGAATCATCTACAAAAAGATCGAGACCTGAGATTCGCGGCCTGAAAATGTCCCATGTTGACGAAGGCGTCTCATTACCAAGTAGCAATGATTGCATATCGTGTGTTGCTGGCACAGGCGGACTCGGCGTTTCATTCTGGGTTGTACTGATGATATTCCAGGCCGAGGCAGAGATGAATTCTGAGGGTTTGCACTCCAGGTTCAACCGCTCACAATTACTGCAAACAGGCTTCTTCTCGTCGCAGCGGCTGTGTCTCGTCTTACACGTGTGACTGCATAATCGTCAGTCGGTCTCGGAGAACCGTGTTCAGCCATGTTGCCTCACCATCCTAAGTCCATAATCAGTCTGGATCAAGGGAACAATTTCTTGGTCAATTCTCACCAGTTTTCCGGCGCGTCCCACTCCTTCGCTTCCTTTTGGCATGGTTGAATTCCGCCATCCCTAGAATGAACTCTGGTCCACCAATATCGATATTCTTGTATGCAGAACGGAGCGTGACTGGAAGCTGTTTGGGCTGGCATACGATTCTTGCTGGCTTGATGTAGCGTATGTAAGATGTCGAACGGTGAGTCACATTCTCAATTCATCAGTCGTGTAACAGCGAAGTTGATTTCTAGTGGCAGCTCCATCAGCACGACATCATATTCCAAAAATTGTTCCATGTGGGAGAGTACACACACACACACATGAGGTGGTAAGTAGAAGCCGGAACTGCGATTGTGATTCCGAACGTGGAAAGCGCGCAATCACGTGCTGACCGTGGTCCCTGCATCGTGATTGGAAAACGCAACCTGGTACTTTCTGACTATGTCAGAACCACGGTGTTTCGAAGCCGCAATTGAGTTCCTTATAGGCATAACCACACGCGAAATCACCGGCATGGAAAAGGATGCAAATATGAATTTTGGTAGTTTTCCATTCAATTCGCCTCATGAACCTAGCCAGCAACACAGCTGAATGCGTTACCAAGGCCTGTTCTGAAGCTACTAATCCGAAGATCTAGAAAGACGTCCTACTCATGCATACCACTCTCTCGCACAAAAAGTTTCTATACCACTGTCGCAGCGTTTTTTCCTGTCCACGTTGGATGCAAACAAACTGTTCCTCCCATAGTACCGGGAAACCCTTGGTAAATGCTCAACAGAAACCACCATGATGATATTTCATGGGATGTAATGCGCCGCCAATCCAGTAGATAGCCAAGCAGTAATAGCTTGTAGAGAAGAAGAAAAAGATATGCGTAAAAGCCAGACCAAAACACCTTCGCTATGCTCATGATGATTGTATGTTTGCCAGACTTGATGTATGGCTGAATATTTGACCGGGAAAGGAGTCAATGGAAACAGACTTTTTCGACGGTTATTAGTCGCAGCCTAGGCTCCATTGGATTCGATCTTGGACAGGGCAGGTGGCGAGCCCTGTCCATTTGATATGGTATTTGATTTCTCGCCGTTAGTTTCGGCGCTTGTAAGTTTGGCGCTCTCCGCCTGAGCAGGCTGCTTCCTAGCAGCCGTCTCGCCAGCCAGCATCTTGGTATACATGCCCTTCACTTGGCTGAGAGTAACACCAGCGCGGGGCCAATATGTGACAACAATGTAGCTCCTGGCACGATATTAGTCTACTTTCAGTACTTGATGCCTCGGCATAACTTACCAGATACGGTCTTCCAGCTCGGGGTTACCGCGAGTCTCCTGGCGAATATAATTGCCAATGGCGAGCAACTCAACCTTCAGAACCTTGATGAGCGTCTCTTTGGCAGGATAGTTCTTCGAGGTCGCCTTCTTAAGTCGGCTCAAGTTGTCTCGCACCGGGCGGAGCTTACGCTCCAAGAATTCGTCGGTCTTCTTTTCCTTGCTTGGAGTCTGCTCTTTGACTACTACAGGAGTCAAATCAGCACTTCGGCGATGAGCATGGCTCTGAGCAGACTGCAAGTCTTCCTTGGGACGTGGAAGGTCGGTCTTGGAACGAGACTTGTCGACATCGCCACTGGTCTTGCGGTGCGCTTCGGGAGTGCTGCTGTGCTCCAAGTGAGGGCGACGATCAATGCTCTTTCGACTGCCTCTGTGGTCTTTTCGGTGACCATCAGACGGCTTGTCGCGCCGATGGCTGCTCGATTGCTTATCTTTGCGGTGGCTATCCGATGGTCGATAATTGTCGCTCTGTCGATGTCTACGATCCGGCGAATCATGATCTCGCTGCCTGCTTTCGGGCCTCTCCGAGCGACGGCTCTCACTGTTGCGGTGTGATCGCTTTTCCGAGTCTCGTGCATTCACCTTTCGGGCTTGTCCAGCGGGACGCGGACTAGCTGATGAGCTTGGGCCCTGTTCAGCTTGGCGGGCGGTGTCGAGATGGTTCTTCTTGTTGTTTCGATGGTGATTCTCCATCCGTCGTCGTATTGCCGGGTCAGTGCTGCGTGAGTCTTTGAGCACGGTGAAGAGATAATTGGCCCGGCGAACGAGATGAACAGCACCAGGCGACTTAGCACCCTTCTCATCGCCTTTGTTGCGCTCCTCCTTCTTGTCAACACGCTGTTCTTCCAAAAAGAGCTTGTCACTCATTCCGAGCTCGAGATCATCACGAATGGCAACCCAAGCACCATATCCATGGCGCAAAATACCAACCATGAGCATGCCATCTTCTCGAGCTTTCCATTCGCAGGTATACGCCGCACCTTTGAGGGCGCCGAGGACACGGAAGCTTCGCCAGTCGGGCATCTCTTCGACGGCTTGTTTCAAGATCTGCATCTCGACCGGGCGATCAAGTATCGTCTCTGCGTTGATCTTCTTTACGCCCTGGTGGTCGAACAGAATTGCCTTCTTGTCTTTCTTTGTGATAGCACGGCTTTCGTCGGTTTCGAGACTCCTGAGCCTGTCGCGCTCTTCCTTGACCTTCTGTCGGCACAGATTGATCACTTCATCCAAGGCCGATTTGACAATATCTGCATCCCGGCCGACCAATCGAGCATCTCGGATGATCTCATCGCCACGGTCCTGGAAAGAGCCATAGCGTTCATACGCCCTCACCAACATTCGAAGTTCTTTAGTATCCAAGGGTCGCTTAGGATCAAGATTGCGGCGGCGATCGACGCTCTCTTCCTCGTCATCAGACAACGCATCATCGTCTATATCGATGTTCCTAGTGGCTTCGCGGGCTCGCTTCTTCGCTGCTCGCTGGGAACGATCATTGTCGTTTGCTGCCTTTCGCTTTCGAGGCGCGCTCTCCTCTAGCAGCTTGCGGGTCTCTTCTTCATCTTTGCGCTGCTGAATACCAGCTTTGACCACTTCAAGCTCATCTTTGGGAATGATTTCATCCCATTCCAAATCGATTTTGACGTCAGTGTACTCGAAGTTCTTGAGAAATTCGGCACCACCGTCGGATGTAAGGCCTGCTGCCTGCTCTGTCTTGTGTTCTTCGGCATTTTCCAGGACGGAGTCGATGTCAAGTTCTTCAAGCTTCTTTTGGTTGCCCGATTGTTCAAACATCTTTTGTCCACGGCGCTTGAGGATGTTATTGATGTCATCCGCCGAGGTTGGCTGCTCGACTGCGCGGTTGATCTTATCGTTTATCTCTTTCTGTTGACGATCTGTCACACCGCGTTGAATGGTAATGAACTCGAGCATGCGCTTGTTTCGTGCACGTTCCAGAATCTCTTCTTCGATGGTGTCCTTAGATACAAGGCGATAAACTGAGACAGGCTTCTGTTGGCCAATGCGATGGGCTCGTGCCATGGCTTGCAGATCCGCCTGGGGATTCCAGTCGGAATCGAACAAGACCACAGTGTCGGCCGTCATCAGATTAATACCTAGCCCACCAGCACGGGTGGAAAGGAGAAAGACATAGTCCTCACTCCCGGGAGCATTAAAGTGTTCGATGGCAACCCTTCGCTCAGCCGCAGGAACAGTACCATCCAGTCGCTGATACTGATAATTCCTGAGCTTCATGTAGTCGGTAAGAATATCCAGCATATGAACCATTTGACTGAAGATCAAAACGCGGTGGCCATCGGCTTTGAGTTTGCTAAGCAATCGGTCCAAGAGCATCATCTTGCCACTAGTCGTTATGAGTGCTTTGAGCTGCTCGTCCTTGGGGGCGTTAATTCCGAGGATTTTAGCCTCTGCGTTGGGGAATAGCATGGCGTGATTGCTAGCCTTCTTCAGTTCCATGACGATGTTGAGGAGCGACTGCTTTTGGCCGCTGCCACCCTCATTCAGGGCTTCATAGTTGCGCGTGAGGATGTTCTTGTAGTATTCCAGCTGAATATCCGACAACTCGACACGCAAAATCTTTTCGGATTTGGGTGGCAGGTCATCTTCAACCTTCTCTTTGGTACGCCGGATCATATATGGCTGAATGGCATCACTGAGTTCAGCAAGCTTGCGGCTCGCATCTTCCGAAGCCATATCAACATCCTCGTCGATCGACAACTCGCCGGGCATCAAGAAATCCATGAGTGCAGACAGCTCTCCCAGTGTATTCTGGATAGGAGTCCCGGTGATCAGGAGCCGGCTAGGGGCTTTGAAAAGAAGCAGCTTCTCATATAACTGAGACTCGCGGTTCTTAAGACGATGAGCTTCGTCCACGGCGAGGAATTGCCATTCAATCTGTGATAAGAAAGCCGAGTCGGCCAGAACGTACTCGTACGTGGTTATCAGAACGTTGAACTTGACTTGCCGAACGTTGCCACCAACCAGGAGTTCTTTGTCGCGAATCACCTTGCGTGCATCCTCACGCCCGGTGTAGATGACATAGTTGACATCCGGGCTCCAGTTGTTGAAAGTATCGGCCCATGCAGGCATTGTGGACAGTGGCACGACACAGATGAAAGGGCCCTTGTGTTTTTGCACTTCGATAAGCCAGCTGATGAATGTGACAGTCTGAACGGTTTTGCCCAAACCCATTTCATCGGCCAAGATGACATTCTGCCGCTTGCACCAGTTGTGTGCCAGGAAATTCACACCCTGGACCTGGAAAGGCCGGAGAGCCAGTTCCTTTTTCTTGATCCATGTGGGCTGGGGTGATAGTTTGATAAATTGGCGGGCTGAGCCTTTCGTCTCTTTGGGTTTGGTGATGGGACCCTGGCGAAGACGATCAGAGAACCTGTCGATTTGCTCTTGTGCGAATTCGCTGACGAGGGTTTTCGATTCCCAGGTGCACATGTCGTAAGTTAAGCCTTTCCACTTGACGAAGAGCTCTTCACCTTCGTCACCATGGCGTCGGTCAATAACACGCTCAACGACGTTGAAGTCTTTCAGCGTTTCACGCTCAGCCTCTCGTGCCACCACGTGTTGTTCGTATTCTTCGGGCTCCTGGTCTTTCCGAGAATAAATGTACATGGCCGGAATGATAGTCGTCTTGAAGAAATTGTCGACTTTGCGGTAGCCCTTGTATGATGCTATCGTCTCGTACTCTTCCCAGGTGGAGTGGTAGTGAGCCTGATCTTGCCATTTGATCAGATATTCGAAGTCTTTCTTATTCACCTCATAGGGGTCTAGCTCTATGCCGTCCTTTGCGCGATAATCAAGGACACGGTCAATGGCGGGACCTGTCTCCTCCGGAGCAGCAGCCCAGTAGTTGGGTGTCATATCATCCTCAGAGGCTTCAAAGTTATCGCTCTCATCCTCATTGTAATTGGCGACTTGCTTCGTCCGACGTGATGAGAAGCGGACTTCGGCGTGAGAAGGAGGCAGTTGGCCCTCGGCAATGAGCTGGCGACGATGTCGCTCCTTCTTAGTGGGGACGTTGCGTCGAGCGCCAACATAGCCATCTGATTCTGAGTTGGAATCTTCAGACTGATAAGACTGATAAGCGGGGGTTGGTTGGTTGGATGCTGTTGAGACAGTCAGTATTGGCTTGCGCCGTGATGAATCTTGGAAGGTCACATACCTTTGCGCGAATTCGGTCGTCGGCGCTTGTTCACAGGTGGGTCAGAGTCAGAGTTGTCATCTTCATCACTGCTGTCAACCTGCATAGATAATTAGCTAGATTGATCAAGTGCGAGAAATGGAGGCGGAGAAAACGTACCACGCGGCGTGTTGGGCGAGCGCGACCCTATACGACATGGTTAGCTACGATTTGAAATGGCGGGGCCGTCGATTGGTACGTACGCTACGGCGGAGACCGTATAGCTCCGGATGCGCCGCAAAGTCGTCTGCAGGACTGGCTTTGCGCTTGGGGGCTCGTCTCGACTCTTGCGATGTGGAACTGCGGCCACGACTGGAAGGGGCACGCTCTGGTGGTGGGGTTTCGGAGTCATAGTCTCCATCTGGCTCGCCCTCGGCATCCACATCATCATCAGAAGAGTCTGTAGCTTGAGCCACGGCATCATCCTCATCGTATTCCTCTCCCGGAGCGTCTTCGTCTGATGAGACCCCGTTGGTGATGGGCTCATGCGCGTCGGAGGCGTCGGAGGCATCGCTCTGGCTAGCGGGTGAAGGAGCGGACGACGACTCCATCTGAGCATCATCGGGAGACGTGTAACCGTTGGTGTATGAATTGGAGGCCATATGGCCGGGGGTGGTCGAGGGCACCATAATGGACGGGGCTGGCAGCAAAGTTAGCTGAACAGCTCAACGCGTAGACGACGGTTTTGAACGAGAGCAAATGCGTTGGATAGAGCCGTTCCCCGCGACTCAGACGGAGCACAAGACGGAAAAGAACGAAGGGTAAGTCGAGTGCAATCGAGGTACGATGAAAAGGGACCAGGGTTGGATGGCTAAAGATGGACAGTGGAGGGCTCTGCAGGCGGGGCTGCCAGGCGATGGGCCGAGCCAAATGACGCGCGGGGAAGTCGCGAGGAATGCGGAAGAGGCAGATAACAGCTTCGAAAGAGCGATAGAGGCCATCCGTCGATGGGCAGATGAGGCGGGATGATGGGGGGATGGTGTTGAGCGCGGCGGGCGGAAGCCAACCAAGTCGCGGGCGGTTTGCTGGAGAGAAAAGACGAGGGGATTAAAAAACAGAGACGCGATTGCACTTACAGTCCATGACAACTACCCTCGCAGCAGTCGGAGTGGTGGGGAACCCTGGCAGTGGAGGTGGTGGGAGGGTGTGGAGGTTCGGATCTCGAATTGCATCGAGACTGGCGAACATTGGAAGGTTGTCTATCTAATGCCGGGGCGCTGCGCTCTGGGCAAGCGCGCAAACGACGGACGGGGCCTGCGCACGTGACTTCCGCTAAGCGAGCCACTGGGCGTTCCCGCCGTCGACTGTCCAATCGCAACACGCCCGAACTGGCTGACCTCCATCATCACACTCACAAGTGGGATAGAGACAGTATGGATGATGCTATACATTCGCTTTATGTATTCTATATATACAGTCTCATGAGAGGCATTTCGGAGCACTGGGGCCGCGTCATCATGAGATGAAATATCCTCGATTCTCACAATATCGGCTCGGACTGGGTTGCACTGCATGTGTGTACTCAGCCTTCCGCATCCATAAATACCTCTACGTGACCGTCCGTCTGGTGTGCTCGAGACAAATGTTTCCAGCAACAACAATCGATTTCCTACAAACTGAGGGTATTTGTTTTCTCTCAAATGCATGAACCTGAGCATCTTAAATTACATCGACTGGAATTGATGTTGCTGTGGTGGGCAGTAATACGCATTCCTTGACCCAGCAAGCAAGCAAGCAAGTACATGTAGCCAGCCAACCAACCCCACTAAAACAATTTCAAAGACCATCCACACCACCGCTCTCTCCACCAGACTTCTTCCGTCATCCACCACCCACTCCACTCTACCACTCCGCTGCCGCCGCCGCCATGTCTGACAAGCTCACCCGGTATGTCCTGCCAATCTCCCCCTCCCGTACCACAGATGTACTGATTTTGCCAGTATTGCCATTGTCAACAGCGACAAGGTTCGTTCCCTTCTACCCCGCCATACCACATCTACCCAGCCATCATCATCATAACACCTCCTCACTCCTCGTCCATGCCCGACCCGCTGTTCAGCCTCGATGAACTGTTTTACTAACCTCGATGCTCTTCTGAACTACAGTGCAAGCCAAAAGTAAGTCAACAAATTCCCGAAATCAATCAATGCGAATCTTGAAAGTTGACCCGAGCCCAGAAATGTAGGCAAGAGTGCAAAAAGTCCTGCCCCGTTGTGCGCACCGGCAAGCTGTGCATCGAAGTCGATGCCAGCTCCAAGATCGCCTTCATCTCCGAGCGCCTGTGTATAGGTTGCGGTATCTGCCCCAAGAAATGCCCATTCGATGCCATCAACATCATCAACTTGCCCACGAACCTCGAGACCCAGGTCACCCACCGCTACTCCGCCAACAGCTTCAAGCTACACAGGCTTCCCATGCCCCGCCCCGGTCAAGTCCTTGGTCTTGTTGGTACAAACGGTATCGGAAAGAGTACTGCCCTGAAGATTCTCAGTGGCAAGCTCAAGCCCAACCTCGGTCGCTATGATAACCCACCTGATTGGGAGGAGATTCTCAAGTACTTCCGTGGTTCTGAGCTCCAGAGTGAGTCGCCGCTGCATGAGAATTAATCATCGGGCAATGCATATTGACAAGATAAAGACTATTTCACAAAGGTTCTCGAAGACGACCTCAAGGCTGTTGTCAAGCCGCAATACGTCGATCAGATTCCTAGGGCTATCAAGGGTCCCGACAAGACAGTTGGTACTTTAATCAAGGGCCGTTCGCAAATGGACAATTTGGATGAAATTATCAAGGTTTTGGGTGAGTCTGCTCTGATCATCCCCCTCTGTTCCATAACTGACCAATTGTAGAACTTGAGCACGTCTACGAACGTGATGTTACTCTTTTGTCCGGTGGTGAGTTGCAGCGCTTTGCCATTGGTACCGTCTGCGTACAGAAAGCCGATGTCGTAAGTAATTTGATTCCTTCTGATAATGTCATTTTCTGACCAGTTATAGTACATGTTCGACGAACCTTCGTAAGCCTCCATGACCTACTAAGCGTATCTCTCAAAACCTAACCTCTCCTAGTTCTTTCCTTGATGTCAAGCAGCGTCTAGCGGCTGGTCGCATGATCCGAAGCTTGCTGCGCCCGGATGATTATGTCATTGTCGTCGAGCACGATTTGTCCGTTTTAGATTATCTCTCCGATTTCATCTGCGTCTTGTACGGAAAACCTGCCGTGTACGGTGTCGTCACTCTTCCCGCCTCTGTCCGTGAAGGTATCAACATCTTCTTGGATGGTAACATTCCTACGGAGAATTTGCGTTTCCGCGAGGAATCTCTACAGTTCCGCATTGGCGAGGCTGGCGAAGAGTATATTATCGACAAGTCAAACGCCTACAGCTATCCCACCATGGAGAAGACCATGGGCGATTTCCACTTGACAGTCGAGAAGGGACAGTTCACCAACTCGGAAATTCTTGTCATGATGGGTGAGAACGGTACCGGTAAGACGACCTTCTGTAAGATGTTGGCCGGTGCTCTGCAACCCGACGGCGGCAAGAAGATTCCGCCCATGTCTGTCTCCATGAAGCCCCAGAAGATCACGCCCAAGTTCACGGGTACCGTCCGCCAGCTCTTCTTCAAGAAGATCAAGGCTGCTTTCCTCAGCCCCCAATTCCAGACCGATGTGTACAAGCCTCTCAAGATGGACGACTTCATCGACCAAGAAGTGCAGAACTTGTCCGGTGGTGAATTGCAGCGTGTCGCTATTGTGCTCGCGCTTGGTATGCCTGCCGATATCTACCTCATCGACGAGCCCAGTGCGTACCTCGACTCCGAACAGCGTATCGTTGCTGCCCGCGTTATCAAGCGCTTCATCATGCACTCCAAGAAGACTGCTTTCGTCGTCGAGCACGATTTCATCATGGCCACTTATCTCGCCGATCGTGTCATTGTCTTTGACGGTCAGCCTGCCCGCGACGCAAAGGCCAACACCCCTGAATCTCTTCTCACTGGCTGCAATAAATTTCTAAAGAACCTCGATGTAACGTTCCGCCGTGACCCCAACTCGTTCCGCCCGCGTATCAACAAGTACAACTCCCAGCTTGATCAAGAGCAGAAACTCGGTGGCAATTACTTCTTCTTGGAGGACGAGGCTTGAAGTAATTTTCGACCAGTGGAAATCGCCCCTCTACCAGCGCCGCCCGCATGGGCATGTGCTGACGAGGGGTACAAAGAGGGGCTGTAAGAAACGTAGCCTGAGGGCCCGCGTGCTCGATTTGTTAGACGAGGATGGCGGGGCCGACGAGGAAGATGAGGAAGAGGAGGTGCTTGGATCAGCAGCGGCGTTTCCTCCTGCGCTACATTATGTACCTCCCTGCTGTAAGAGAGGAATTGTGCCATCTTTTAACATCTTTCTTCTGGCAGAATCAAGGCAAATCTTGTGGTCCGGGCCAAGTTAGGGAGCTGCTGCTCCACTTAGGTAGCTATGAGCCTTGCAAAGGCACTCTGTATGCATGCGTGTAAAGCATATTGTCTGAGGTTTCACCAGGCCAAATGCAGAGGAAGAACAGAGGGAGAAAAAGTCTTGCTTTAATCCACCTTTTCTCTTATATATACTTCTGAATCCCTATTCCCTCTTTCCCTCTGTGCCTCCCTTGCTAATTCTGTGAACCATCTCGCCATTCGTCGTGGGACTTGACCTTGTTTATCTTCTCATTCTTGTCCATGTCTTTTCATACACCCCTTTTTTTCCATATATCATTTTACCCCTCTTTTCTCTTCCCTTCCCTTCCCTTCCCTTCCCTTCCCTTCCCTTTGTACATGAATTCTAATTTAAAGTCAGAGTTAATCCTACACACAGCGAATGGGTTTATTTACAACAACAAAAGGAACCAAAAAAATAACAGGCAATGTTCCTTCCCTACATTCACGTCAACATTTCCATCAACCCAATTTCATTAGTAGTTATCTGCTAGAGTACTCCGTTCCGTTCCCTTCTCCGCTCTGAAATTGCACGCTACTTCTACCCCTACTACACCTGCTTCTCTTACTCTTACATAGCAAGTTCCTAGCTTTAAACCTATGTATGTTCTCCTGACCTGAACATATATAAACCTCGACTTACAATTCGTGAATATTAAAAGAAAAAGAGGGGTTCGATAGGGTGTTGGAAGTTTTAGGTAAGTTAGGTTTATATATATATATATATATATATAGATCAGTATGTGTGTGTGCGTGTGTGGGATTCGTGGGGTGTAGAGACATCAACTTAATATAAAACTTTTTTAGAATTGATAGGATTTGAGGATAGGGTGATGGAGGAATAGATGATGGATCATGTGCGCTGGTTTTAGTAGGCGGAATAGGAGAAAGAGAGGGGGGTTAAGTAGATTGTAGGTAGCGTGTGTGTGTATGTGTGTGTAATTTTTTGTTTCTTATAAAATAAGAAAATATTAGAAAGTCAAAGTGTTTCCCGCACACCGCAAACGCATAAGATCAAACTAGTACACAACAAGATGTAGGCAGGTTGATTTTGATTTTGAGTAGGCAGGTTGATTAATGGTAGATTGCCATATACAGTTCCCTGTATTCCGTTATTTGTTCGTTACGGCATATGTATTCAAAAGTTAAGTTGAGGGACATACAAAGGGGATCAAGGAATCCATTTATAGACAGTTGTGTTTTCGACTCGAGGAAGTATGTGATTGTATTTTCTTTTCTTTTCCGAGAAAAAGAAGTATGGATATATAACGCGTACACACGAACAAAGACAGCAAAGGAAGCAAAATTTACGCAATACAGAGAGAACAAAGCATAGAAAAAGGGAAATCTCAGATGGCGAACCAATGCCCCCACCCACACGTACTCTATGTGGACCTGACCCAGCCCCAACCATTACCCCAGTGTGCGCCTATTGTGCTTCAAAGAGCGAGCGAGAGGAAGGATATCAACAGAGAATAAGAGATCCCTCGCAAAGCTGGCACAAACACACACAGTCAGGAAGCCCGACCTTGCCCGTTCCCATCCTATTCCCAATTCCATCTTGCCCTCGGATATCAACACGACAAGAACGCCATGACCATTTTTCTAAAAAATTTGGAAGCAAAGTATTTTTTGGTTTGTTTTTTTGTTGGGGGGAGCCCAGCTGCGATCCCGACATTGCAAAGGAAGAAAGAGAGTCCGCAAAAATCGGCTTCCTTCTCTATATGCAAATGCCGAAGATAAAAAAGGGTGCAGGGGCTGTGAATAGGAAATATCCACGGCCGTTACTTTGAAGCAAAACAAGACAAGGATTACAAAAGAGATAATGGAACCCAGTCTTCTATATTCTGCCCCTTGTAAAGGAGCGAACAGAGAACGGGGAGAAAGCCGGAAGACGATGATCGAAGAGATGAATGAACCAAGAAGTGAAGAACCCGAAAGCGTTAGCGCTGGATTTTACACAGCAGAGGTAGCAGTAGCATTGACATCAGCGGGAGCAACGGCACGGCCACCTCCAACGAGCTCGAGAATCTTGCTGGCAACAGCGGTAGGGTATCCACGCGAGAGACCCTCGTTGACAATAGCCATAGCAGAAGCACGGTCGTCGACGGACATGAAGCCGCGAATCATGGCTTCGTACGTGCTGGGTTCGCGCTTGTCCTCGCGGACAGACTGGTAAATGGCTTTCGCCTTTTGGATGTCGTGGACGAGGGCCCAGCCGTGGATCAGCGAGTTCGCGATATAAGGGGTCATTTCGACGCCGCGGGCGCGCATGTCGCGGAGAACGGGCTCGGTGTCGGCGATTTGGTGGTTGGCGACCATGGCTTCGAAGAGGGCTTGGTAAAGGCAGGCTTGCGGGCGGATGCGAGAGTCGGAAAGGACTTCGTCGAAGAGTTTACGCGCGCCGGCCATGTCGTGGAGGACGCAGCCTTTGGCGTGGATCAGGGACGAGTAGTGCACGGCTTCGGGAATCGCGCCTGCGGTACGGATCTGCTCCAGCACTTTCTCCGCTGCTTGCATGTCGACAGGCTCAAGGGTGGCATGGGTGTCGATGAGGAGCTTGTACGTGTGTGTAGTGGGCTCGATGCGCTTGGATCGCATGCGCTCGTAGTACGCCAGAACCTTGCTGCGGTCCCGCTTGGTTGTCAAGAAGAATTGCATCATGCTGTGGTAGGGCGCAGGTCGGGGCTTGTAGTTGGGCATGCTTTCCATTTCCTCGAACAGCTCCTCGGCAAACTTCTCGTCGCTGACACGGCAGAGAGCATTGACAATGGTACCGTAGGTGACACTGGTAGGGCGAATACCAAGGCTGCGCATCTCTGAGAAGTAGAACAAGCAATCATCGATACGGCGGGCTTTTCCAAGCTTGCCGATCAAAGCGTTGTAGAGGAACGAGGAAGGCTCCACACCTTCGGCTTTCGCACGAAGGAAGATCTTCACAGCCTCGGTGGCCTCGTCAAAAGTCTTGGTAGACTCCTTGAGCGTGGTAATGTAGAGACCGAAAGTATTTGCGGTAGGAGCAGCACCCATATCGAGAAGATCCTGGTGATACTGAGCCGCAAGATCGCGACGACCAGCAGTGAGTGATGCAGCAACCATGGCATCCAAGATGGTAACCCAACCGTACCGGACGATGCGGTACTGCGGTAGCAGAGGAACATCTTGTTTGGCGAGGTTGAGGATATCGTGTGCGAGGTTCAGGCGATCTTCCTTTGCAGCAGCGGTGATGAGCTTAGCGTAGGTGAAGAATCGAGGATGGCGTCCAGCACGACGCATGTTCTTGAACTTCATCAAAGCCTCATTCAAGTGCGATGCTGGTCTACCATGCGTCTTCTCGAGCAACTCCGTGATCGCGACGGAGCCCTTGTTGTCGGTACTGGCCGCATACGGGTCATAAGAATCCTCAAAAGAGGGAGCAGCCGTCACCACTGGCTGCTGCACCGGGTACGCCACAAACGGGGCCGGAGAGTAAACTGGCTCCGGAGCCGGGTGTTTGTAGCTATACCAGCGGTGCTGGAGGTCTCCACGATCAAGTCTGACCAGAACCTTCTCAACCAAACCGGATGTCGCTTTGTTCACGGGCGCGCCTCTCGATGTAATAACTTCAAGTAAGTGGGAAAATCGGGCGGTGTGAGCAATGTCGACTTCAGTAGAGTTGATGATGATACCGGACTGGACTTGCATCAGGAGAGTAATATCGTCGAAGCTGAGCTGGGCAACAGCTTCAGGGCCCATGCCCATCAGGATGTGATGGGCAACGGGAGTAACGAGGCCACCATTCTCAATCATGGTCCACATGAGTTCCATGCTGGCCCTTGCAGGGAGAACAATGCCACGCTTCATCATGAACTGGCCAATCACCTCGATGGCTTCATCGATGTGCTCGACAGTCTCCATCTTGGCTTGGTTGGAACCGGATTGAGAGTCACGGATGCGAGCAAACATCTGGCGTCCCTGGCGGAGACCACGCTCAGACTGACCCCTGCCTATCAAAGCAATGCTGTGCATGGCGGTGGGCTCAATGAAGTCAGCCTTGGTGGGCGAGAGCTCGAGCATCCTCCAGAAGATGTCGGCAGCCTCGATGCTTCCGTTACGAATATGCATCGCACCCATTGCCATGGCTGGCCGAGAGAGGTCCATCTCAGCGGGGAGGGCATCGAATGCCTCGGTTGCAATCTCAACCACATTGTTGTCGGCGGCCTTGATGCAGATGGCTGCCATGGCGAGCTGGCGCGCTTGGGGACTCAAGTCATTGGAGGCGTGAGCGAATGCTTCGTGGAAATCCCCTCGCTTGAGCCATTCGGGCACAAATGCCTTCAAGCTCACAATGTCTCGGATTGTGGTGATTTCCTGGGAGGAGGTGAGGTTCGCCTCGATCTTGGCAAGAAACTTGGAACCACCCTCCAAACGGCCGCAGATGGCATAAGCCTTGACCAAAGCAGCGTAAACATCGTTATCTTTGCGGGACAGAATAGTTTCCCCTGCGTCATTCGAAATAGCGAGTGCCTTGTACTCGTCATAGCACTCTACTGCACTCTTCAAATCACCTGACTTGCCGAAAGCATGGATCATGGGGACGAACATGTCGGCAGCAGGAATAACACCTTGCGACTCCATGTGAGCAAAGATCCGGACCATGTCTTCAACACGATCGCCTTCGGCGCAGGCGGTGACAAGCATACGGTATGTCTTTTCAGAGAAGGATCGCCCAGATTCGGTTCTGAGTGCAGCATCGAAGAGACGCACAGCAATGGAAAGTGAACCGTCCTCGGAAAGAATCTCGTAGTCCGTCTCATTGGAACCGAGCATGAACTTGCCCTCCTCTTCCAATCCTCCGTATCGCAGACGCTTCTCTTCAAGAACCTGCTTTGAAGAGACGACTTCGAGTGATCGCCGGGAAAGCAGCTCAATAAGAGTGGTGTAGGTTGTGGTGTCAGGGGCAATGCGCCGGCGAAGCATATCGGAGTAGACATCCAGAGCTTTGGGCACAATCTGGTGCTTCGTCTTGGGAAGGTTGATAGCGGCGGAGAGGAGCGCATTGTAAGCGGGAGCGGAAGGCTTCACACCAGAGCGAAGCATGGCCTCGAAGACAGCCGGAATTTCGGCATACTTTCGATCGTCGGCAAGCTTCTGGAGTTGAGCAAGGTGGGCATCGACAGTCTCAATGATAGGGCTGGGCAGAAGGGTTGGCTCCGTACGGATCGAGGCAGCGGAATCGACGAGCGTGCTTGAGTTCGTGGCGGGTGACTCGGATCGGGTCTCTTCGATAGGCGACAGATTTTGTTCCTCGTGGACGGCATTGGCCTGGTGTTCGGCCCTGATCTTCGCCTTCTCTTGAGCAATTGCCTCGTCCACTTGCGCCAGCGCAATATTTTCCACCTCTTCATCGCTGATGGCGTTTTTGAAATCTTCCACCTGGCTGGTGCTATAAGCACGACTCAGGCCGGCGCGAGATGGGATAACATGCTCATCCGCATCCAGATCTTCCACAACAGCATTGGTATCCTTGGACGACAGAGGCTTCCACTCTATGAGCTTGCGGAACTGGAACTGAGACCACTCCTTGTCTTCGACGGAGCGGTGCTTCTGCCAAGCGGCGTAGTAGGCGGCGAGACCGGCATCGTGAGGGTCGGCGGCAGCGAGGGCCTTGATGGCATTGGCTGTGGAGGTGGAGGCGAAAGCGAGCTGGTTCTGCTGCTTTACGCCGTGTTGTTTGCGGAAGCGATCATGTTTGAAGGTGGCACTGTTCTGGCTGACACCAGCAACAAGACTCTGAGCGTAACCGTGGTTGAAGCCTTTGGCGATACTCTGACGCGCGAGGTTGATGCCTTTGAAGTTAAAGACCATTTAGGAGATGGAGGAGCCCTTCAGGTTGGAAGGGTGAGACTGTGTGGTGGTTAGGGGAGAGTCATGGGCACGAAAGATGGGGGAGGGTGAGTCAAGACATACTGTTATTCTCGGGGCGCAAAAGATGTGCAGGTTCATTTGACGACAATGGCCGTCAAAGAACGCGCGTGAATGGGTATTGTGTAAAGGGGGGAAGGAGGGGGTTGTGTGTGAGAGTGTGGTGGATGAGATGGATATCCCACGTCAGGCGCAAAAAAAAAAGATGCGTCCGGTATTAGAAAAGTATAGGAAGAAGGGTGGGAAGAATAACGAAGGGAGAAGAGGTAAAGAGGGGGGCTCAAGGGTACAAGACAGCGGCAGGCTGACTAGCTGACTCGCAGAGGTGTTGGAGAGTGGAGGGAGGAGGGAGGTGGACGGGGAGCAGGGGAGCAGTTGAGAAGCTTCTCGTCGTCGTCACGATAAATTAGAGTCACAGATGCAGAGGCGCGACCCGCATTTCTTTCGTGGGCCGGTACCTCGCAGCGAACCGCGCGAATCCCTCAGCCCCTTAGTCGGGACAACGCGGATCTGAGGCGTCGGTACCGGAGACAAGGAATTCACCGAAGCGGCCTCACGCGACCCTCTGTTTGGTCCACCATGCGTTGGAATCAATTGATACTACCCAGCACCATCTCAAGCAGCATGGATGACTCGGTCTTAACGGCCCTCGACGGATGCACCCCGCGAGCCTCCAAGGACGAAGACGGGACCGCCGAGGCCAGATGACGCGTTGGAGAATTCATCTTCAGGCTGAGCTGCAATCGAACAAACTTTGTGCTTTTCCTTCTCCCTGTACGTTCCGAAAGTATCCATTCACTGCCAACCGTATTGTTGTTTGAGGAAAAAAAAAAAAAGAACCATCGTCACCAATCTAGCTGGCATCATTGGCAACAGGAGTAGGCCACAGGAGCCAGGCAAAGAAGAAAAAATTTCCTCCCCTGCGAAAAGCTGATGTGGTCATTGGCAGCTGGCTAGCGCACGTGAAACGACTTCCCGCCTTCCCCGGCAGCGCGCTACTCTACTGAGTCTACTCTAGCCTCTGCCCATCATGTAAGCAACAATTCCGCTCACAGTCATCGCTAGAACATGTGAGAAACCGAGTCCAGTGTCAAGTGGCGCTTTGAAGAGGCAAAAGCGAGGGTAGAAGAAAAAGACATGCTCATAGACATGCGCTATCTTAAGCCTACTTACGCCTATACTCGGAGGCGACATCAGTAGTGGGTTCTCGAGGTGCTCTTGCCAGCTGTCCACAGTCCGCTCCAGCATTTTCAGATGATTCATCCTAAGATCCATTTGTCCTCACCACCCTCCAGGGTAAGAAACATACTATGCTTGACATCATTCGAGTCCAAGCCAAAGCCACAGCCATGATTGGTCTCTCATAATACATGCACCACGACTCCTCGGTCTTTTCCCTTTCCAGCATACCCACATTCGTCGTACGTCCATGGCGAAGACCGTAGCGCACTTCTGAGCACCATGACCGTAACTCACCGCACGTCTGGCTCCAAGTAGTCCTCCCTACACAAACAGAGCTACCCCACCCCCGAAACTGATATACAGGTACAGCTACACACATGCCCGTCATCCCACGACGATCCCCCCTCGCGAATTAGCAAAAGGAAGAAAAATATCCTTTGTCCCACATACCAGAAATAGCACATCATTCAGGAACAAATAATTCTACTTTGGAAAAGATTTGGTTCACCGTCTAAAAAAGAGGAGAATAGCAAAGCAAGAAAGAAAGAAGCTAAACTACCACTCAACGACCCCTCCACCAACCACACCCCTCCCCCTTCTCCTCTCTCAAAAAAACAAAACTCAAACCCAATCTGTCCCAAACAAACACCTCAAAGAACGAAAAAGAAGAGAGAAACAATGTCATCCCCCACCCAACCCCAACACACCCCCAAAGCCGTCTCCGCCCCGGGAAAAGTCCTTCTCGCAGGTGGCTACCTGGTCCTAGACCGCGCCTACTCGGGTCTCGTCTTCGGTCTCGACGCCCGCATCCACGTCGCCATTGAGCCCATTCGCACAAAATCCGGCGTGTCTCTCAGCGAGATCATCGTCAGGAGTCCCCAGTTTCTCGATGCCATTTGGGAGTATGGCTATAGGCTTACCGAGGGCGGCGGCGGGATTGTCGTCTATGGACTACGAGCGTGAGTCTTTTTTTTCTTTCAACCTTTTGAACTCTTTCCTATTTTCTTCTTATGGTTTTGGGTGTCTGTTCATGTTTTTGGGCTGCGGGTGGCGCGTTTGTTTGGTCTGGTTTGATCTGCTAGATTAACTTTTTCTTTTCGATTGCTGTCACTTGGGCTTGATCCCTCATCTCCAATATCAACGTTCCAGCTCCCTACTTCTTCTTCTTCTTCTTCTTCTTCTTTATTTCTTAGTCATTCCGAGTTCCTTTCGTTTTGGAAACGATGCTCCACCCACCATCCTATGCTCAATCTCCGTTCCAACATGAAGCTCAAAAGACCTTCACACCAATCCCATCAAACCAAATGATCACATACTATCACTATTCCCACCCAGCCCTTCCCAAGACACTAAGCCACACAATCATACGCCCCCAAAAACTAACAGAGTCCATACAGATCCCACGACTCCAAACAATCCAAAAACCCCTTCATCGAAACAGCCCTGACCTACGCCCTAACATACATCTCGTCCCTGCTGCCAAACACCCCCATAGCACCAAGCTCAATCTCCATCCTCGCAGACGAATCATACTACTCAAACCCAGGGACTCCACTCTCGGTACGTCCATCCCCATCCCACCCTCCAACCCCATCACCAAAACTAACTCAACCCGCGAAATACCAAACAGCCAACCTCCCCCTTCAAATCCTACCCGCTCCCCCTCACCTCGGCCCACAAAACCGGCCTAGGTTCCTCCGCAGCACTAGTAACCTCCTTCACCGCCGCCCTGCTCTCCTACTACCTCCCCCCCTCGCTCTTTACCCTCTCCTCCCCTGAATCCCAGCGCATCCTGCATAACCTCGCGCAAGCCGCGCACTGCGCCGCGCAGGGCAAAGTAGGGTCCGGCTTCGACATTGCGTCCGCCGTGTACGGATCGTGTCTGTACCGGCGGTTTTCGCCGGCGATTCTGGAGCATCTACCGGCGCCTGGCGCGGAGGGGTTCGCGGCGCGGCTGAGCGACGTTGTGCAGGGGGAATGGGATGTTAGTGTTGGCAAGGAGGTTGTGAGGATGCCCGAGGGCCTGAGGCTCGTCATGTGCGATGTTGATTGTGGGAGTCAGACGCCGGGGATGGTGAGGAAGGTGCTTGCGTGGCGGGAGGGGGATCGTGGGGAGGCGGACAGGGTGTGGGCGGGTTTGCAGAGGGCGAATGAGGGGTTTGCTGAGGAGTTGGGGAGGTTGGCTGAAGGGAAGGGGGAGAGGGGGTATGAGAGGTTGAGCGAGGTGATTGGGGAGGTGAGGGCGTTGGTTAGGGAGATGGGTGACAAGTCTGGAGTGCCTATTGAGCCGCCGCAGCAGACGAAGCTGTTGGATGCTTGCGCGGAGGTTAAGGGGGTTGTGGGTGGGGTTGTACCTGGGGCTGGTGGGTATGATGCTGTTGTGTTGTTGTTGGAGGATAGGGACGAGGTGGTTGCGGACCTGAAAAAGGTTCTGGATGGGTGGAAAGGTGATGATGCGGGAGGGGAAGGGGTGAAGATTGGGAAGGTGGGCATTTTGGGCGTGAGGCAGGATATGGTCGGTGTACGCAGTGAGGATCTGACGCTGTACAAGGGGTGGGTGGATTTGTAGACTCTGTAGATATGCAAACGGACGGGCTGCCTGTGTTGAAACCGTGTTTTTCATAAGTTATCTTCGCAATTCATCAAATCGACATGACTGCTCCCGGTACAGGTTACAATTCCACGGTCCGTCTCATCTCAGGGCTTCATTTCACCGACACAATTGACGTTAATCATTTTTCATTACGCATCGAATGAGGTATGAACTTTTTTAATTCATGTTGATCTTGACATGGACGCCGTCCCGTTTCCGTAGAATATCGCCCTGTTCCTGGCTCCCATATCACCCGCCCTCCCCCTTTTAGATGGTATACGGGTACATTGGTGAGCACTAGCTGGAAAAGCCCCGGCAATGCAATGCTTCAAGTGAGAGAGAAAAAGAAAGACACCGCAACACCCATTTATGCCTTGACGGCGTACTTTCGCTGGGGGAAGTGGATCTGCTTCTTCTTCTGCTTCTCGGTGACGAGCGAAGCCTCGTGCTTGGTGAGTCGCCGGCGGATGGCGCGGGTCTGCTTGGGTCGGAGATCGAGAGGAGCGTACCTGACACACGTGTTAGGCCTGTGTCGAGAGTTTTGCGATGGGTTCATCCTAGGAATACGCACTTCTTGCCCTTGTAGAACAGACGGAGCTGCGCCCTCTGGTTGGCGTTTATGACGGTAAGGACGCGAGCGATGCCTTTGCGAACATCATGGATGCGAGTGAGCTTGCCGCCGCTGCCGGTGACCTTGCTGGTGCGGAGTGCGATCAACTCCCTTTCAATCAATTAGCATCCTGCTCCATGCCTCAATTGTTTGCCTGGTCAACCCACGTCTTAAGCTCCTGCAACTGAGTGTTGAGGTCGTCCTTGCTCTTGTTCCACAGCTGGGCAGTCTTCTACGGCGGGTGTGAGTATGATGCGATCATGCGACGGAGTCAGCGGAGGGTACGTACGACTTTGGGGACGGACTATAGGTATTGAGTTAGCAAACAGTTTTTTTCTCAGAGGCAGCAGCAAAGGTAGCGGCGTGAGGATTCCAGTTGACGTGCAGCCACTGCGGGCTACACAACCCCCTCTGTAGCCATGATGCGACATGCAGCGGGCTCACAGTCTTGCCCCAAGAAAAGAAATTGCCATAACGTACCATTTTGACTGTAGAGTTAGTAGGACCGGGTGGTGATGTTCGAGGCTACCGCGTGTCGTCTGCAACTTTCAGAATTGCAAGAGTTGTGGGAAGGCCAAGCCCCGTTTGTGCGCTATCTCGGCTAATCGATATTCCACTCCCGACACTAGTTCATCCCACCTCCATCTAGTGCATAGGCAGCATCTTGGACTTCTGTTACTTGCACCTTTTTTTCCTTATATATGCTTCTCAATTAACCGTTTCCTTGTCGTGGGAGATTCTTTTTCCTTGGGATGTTCATTATCACAAAATACGAAGATTTCATTGACGCAAAAAGATAACTAGGAAGCAGGCAACGGGCAGGTGATAGCCCAGAGTACTGTCCACTACGTAATCCTCAGTCTTCAACATATTGAGCCAAACTTTAGGGCCCTTGAAAGTTGCTATCCCCTTGATTACACGTATACGCGGTCACGACAAGAGAGTACCAATTCTGGTGTTTGTTGATTATCTCATCAATCCAGCACTATTCATTTATATTCAACAAGAGGCAGATACTAGGCAAATAGTCCACAGTAACTTGGATCGCATTTTCGGCGCAATGCACCTATAGTGATGGCTGTCACGCCTGCTCGCCGTACTTCTTCATCACAGCTGTACTAAGATTCTGGGGTATGTTGGTCCTTTCTTTATATCCAAGGTATTGGCATGCGCTGTGATTTTTCACCGCATACTGCAACCAACTCCAGTATCCTGATCATGAATTTGGTGCCGGAGTTAATCTTGGAATATCTAGTTGAACTGTGAACTCTGATAAATATATCTTGAAGGCATGCGTGATCAGGTAGTCAAGGGAGTCGCACTCGAGTACATGTGCCATTCCAGATGTCCTCTCGCTCCACAAGACGGCCACTTCGCCCCGCTTGTAGCCGAGCTAGTGATTGGGTCGTGGTATCTCAAGATACAAGCACTACCTTCCTCCAACTGCGATCTAGAAAGTGCAATTCGCATGCTTAAATAATAATCATCCTCGTATAGAACAGAGAAAGTGTATTCGTGGAAACGAACTGCCGCTAGCATTTGTAGATTACCGACACATCGGGTAGGTAAGGGTCCGAGCTGCACTTGGCAGGCATTGCGTTGCGTTGCAGCTACGGACGGAAGATCACCGTCTTTATATCATTCAATCTCCAGTCCGGCATCCCACCCGCCTTACCCCAATCTTCCTACACAACTCTCCATGTCGTCTACAGGAGGAGGCTGGGCGCAACTGCGCCAACAAGCTCGCGCTCTCGAAACTCAGGTATGCTGCCAGATAAATCGATTGGTGGACCACTGCCTAACAACACCGTACAGACAGAGACACTCTTCCATACATATTCACAATACGCCTCCACTCCCAACATACCCACAAAACCCTCCGAAGAAGAGCTCCGAACAGAATCACAACTCCAAGATGTCCTCGCAAAGGTACGACAACGATCCCGACTTGAACCCGCTCCATTCCACCAAATCATGCGTCAACTGACCTCCACCTCCAGCGAGACACACTTGTCAGCCAACTCTCCCGCCTCCTCGACTCCGAATCCACACATTCCTCCTCCGCCGTAAAACAAAACAACCTCGCGCGTCACCGCGAAATCCTCTCAGACCACCGCCGCGAGCTTTCCCGGCTAAAGTCCACAATAACAGACGCCCGCAACAAAGCCAACCTACTATCCAACGTGCGCTCCGATATCGATGCCTACCGTTCCGCCAATCCAGCTGCAGAGGCGGAGTATTACCTTGATGAGCGCAGCCGCATCGATAATTCGCACAACATGGCCGACAGTGTGCTGAGCCAGGCCTATGCTGTCAACGATAATTTTAGGGTGCAGAGGGAGACGCTGGCGAATGTGCAGCGCCGCATTACCGGGGCGGCGAGTCAAGTCCCGGGGATCAATAGTCTGATAGGCAGGATCGGAGCGAAGAAGAGGAGGGATGGGATTATATTGGGGGGTTTTATCGCCTTCTGCTTCCTGATGTTGCTTTGGTTCAGATGATAGCGAGGTGTTTTCAGAAGAGAATGGCAGATTGGGCATTGGTTGAGTTGGCGTTTTGGGAGTAGTCAGGATATCCATGGCTATGATTCTTTGCTGTGATTTATATCTCTGGATTATCTTTACATGTTTTGGCTTCTACTGATGTACAACTATTCTTACATACCCTTATGATCATGGGCTTTTGGTATCACACATTCAATCTTCCGCCTGCTGGCGTTCTCTCTCTATTAGAAAGCAACAGGTACTGGGACAGGTAGAGGCTTGTCCGCCTCAGCCGTCTTCTCCTCGCCATTTTCGCTTCCAGCCAACGAATCCACCTTGACCTCCTTCCCCTCCTGCGCATCCTCCTTAATCAACTTCGCAAAACCCCTCGTCAAATCATCCACCTCTGTCCCCTCCGCATCCGCACTCCCCGCCCACCGAATCTTACAGTCCCGGTCCAGCAGATAAACATAACCAACCCTCCCATTCAACAACCCAATCGTCTCCCTGATCCTCTCCGTCACCCCCTTCCTTACCACGAAGTACTTGCCCCAATCCTCCTTCTTCCTCTGCCGCCTCAGCGAATACCGAAACACCCTCAACAGCACCGCCTTCATAGCATTCTCCTCGATATTCACATCCACCATCTGCGCCTTATCCCCATGCTCCTCCAACAGCGCATGAAGCCCCGGATTCGCCTCCCGGGACGTAAAAGTGCCCACCTGGATCTCGCCCCAATGCGAACTATACACCTTGACCACGCTCGCCTTCCCCGCCAACACGCTCGTCGTATCCGCCACTCCCCCCTCCAACGTCGCACCCCGCAGATTCGGAAAGTACAGCGCAGCCTCCCGTTTGAAGATGCGCGCATTCGCCATAAACGTCTTGCCGCTGCGGTATTTGCGGATGTTCTTGAAATCCCGGAAGTAGTTTGTGCCGAATTTCTCGACCAGGTCCATGCGCTTCGCCATGTTGCGTTCGGAGCGCGTCATGGATTTGTATTCTTTGGGTTGCGGGGTCGAGGTGCCCGTGTTTTGGCCGGGGAGAGGCGGGGTCGCGAAACCGATTGGGCGGCCGAGGGGCCGGGGGATGAAGGTTTCTTTTTTGGGGTCATTGGGTTTTTCTTGTTGGGAGGCGGGGGGAGGGGTGTTGGAGGTGCGGAGGGCGGGTGCGGAGGTGAAAGGTTGCGCGTGTGGACGATTGCGGAGGAGGAGAAGTGAGCGGTGGATATGAGGAGATTGTTGGTGAGAGAGGCGAGATTGGGAGGTGGGATTAAGGAGGGCCCGGCGGAGGGACGATGATATTCGCGGTTGGAGCATGGTTGTGTTGTTGTGGATGGGAAGTTTTGGTGTTGAGTTGAGTTGGGATGGGCGGCTCAAATGTTAGTTGCATGGATGCTGCGGTGCATCGATGTGATTGGCTCAGCGTTACTATCTTGTATATTTATCTTCCAAGTCCATAGTACATGTACCGATACATGCATTTGAATAGCTCAATGATCAAGGCTGGACAGCTGCAAGGTCAATTGGATGTACTTGCGTTACTGCTGTTCATGTTGGGTTTGCCGCTGAAATCGCGTACACATAGGTTTGAGCCATGTTGGAAAAAATAAGAAAAAAAAAACAATCGGGAAGATGTTGTACTATGGTCTTAGGGCAGTTACGCAATTACACTTTCTACAGCTTAGAAGATCCTTTTGGCCTCTCCATAGCCTTCGTCTTCGCCTTGAAGTTCTTCACCAGCTGTCTCACTCCCAAATCAAGCATAACATCTTCACTTCCACCAGGGATCCTTATGCCTGGAGTTTCGCGGTAAATTCCTGCAATCAACAGTTAGCCAATTGCAATACAAAAACTCTGGGAGTTTCAAGAAGCACTTACGTTCCACGAGCTCGCCTTGCCCACTCTTCGTGTACCCGTTGCCTCCGAACAGCAACTGCGCAGTCTGCGCACACTCATTCAACACCATGCCAGCCTGTGCCTTGACCATGGCAGTTAAGCCACCCAACTCAACATCCGCAACATCTTTGGGCAACTTGGTCATTTGATACACAAACTGCTCGACCCAAGCCCACTGGCTCTCCAACAACGCACCAGCTTTAGCCAACCGATGCCGCACCACAGGCTGCTCAACCAACGGCTTCCCAAACGCCTCGCGCTTCATCACGTACTCGACGGCCGCGGAGAGCGCTACGCGCGCTTGCCTGGTAGCTCCAATAGCGATCGTAAGGCGCTCGTGGTTGAAATTCGTCATGATATATCGCATCCCCATGCCCTCCTTGCCAATGAGGTTCTCAACAGGCACCTTCACGTCGTCGAGTTCGATAAACGTGGTTCCAGCCGAAACCTGCCCGCCCACTTTCAGCCGCCGCATACTGACGCCTGGATATCCCTTCAACGGCACAACCAACATGCTAAGACCTGTGGGACCGGGTCCGCCTGTACGCACCGCCATGGCCGAGACGTCAGACCAGATGCCGTTGGTGATCCACTTCTTGCTCCCATTGACAATGTAATGTTTCCCGTCCGCGGTCTTGGTCGCTGTGGTGGTGATATTGGCGACGTCGGAGCCTGCTTCAGGCTCGGTGATGGCGATGCAGGTGCGTTTGTTTCCTAGGAGGAGGTCGGGGAGGAAGCGTTCTTGAAGTTGGCGGTTGCCGAATTTGAAGATGGGGGGTACGCCGAAGGCCATGCCTGTTGTCATGCTACCGCTGGGCCCTGCGAGGCCAGTACGTGCCATCTAATTTCGGGTGTTAGATATTGAAGCGCTCACTGGATCTTCTCCTGGAGCGTGGTTCTGGTATACCTCGTCGCTGTATATCATGCTGTGTAGGTAGTCGAACTCCTCCACCTTGACAACTCCTAGTAGCTCGTGGATCCCGACTTTCTTCAACCATTCCACCGGGAGCGGTGCTGGGAGACTGGGAATCAACATTCCGCGTTTGGCAAAGGTGGTGAAGACATGTTCTGGCACCGTTTCTTCGGTATCCCATTCGAGCGCTTGCTCAAGAAGATGTTCGGATATGAATGCGCGGCATGCCTTTTGCCATCGCAAGTGCGACTCGCTGTAGTATGGTGACGGTAGTCCTGCGATATAGGGTGGTTCGGAAAACGGTATTACGGGATTGGTGAGGCTCATGGTGGAGAGAAGGGAGCTGCTTTCTAGAGATCCTGCTATGTGGGTACAAAGAATCTCTGAATTGAGAGTCTCAGGATTCAGGAACGGATGAAGAGATGTGGGATGAATGGGGAAGACCCATTTGTATTGGAATTGCTGACATGGCGGCAAGTCTGCCTTTTGTCTCTGAGCACTGACTCCTGCTGAAAGGTTGGGGTGAATCTGGGGAATCGCGGGGATGAAGTTACCGAGGTCCGCCACGCAATACCCAGGATGGTCGTTGCGTTGTGAACATTATTACCGTAAGATCTGGCATTTGATGATCCAACTACTACTCTTCACTACATGATAAGGTGGCTATTACAAATATACGTCCTTTGAGCGATCAGAGCTATTAAACATCTGGAAAGCCTGGGTCCACCAAGTAGCTACTCTTTTAGATTCTAAAGAGCTCTCCATGTGTATGCTTTATATCTAGCACTTGAGTATTACGAGTTTGTGATACTATGGTGCAACCACGGATATGAAATGCTAATAGTTGCTGTATGTAGCAAAGAACTTGCGTGTTCAAGTAAAAACTCCAGCTAAATGCACCTGATAGACGCGTGGAACAGTCTCTATTTATACTCGGATTTTCTCGATCACCTTGGAAGCATTCAAATACCCAAGCAACAGACTGTTGTCGATTCTTAGGTCACACGGGTGCTTCGTACAGGAAATATTTATTTTTATAGGTTTTACGAAAATCACTGTGCTGTTGAAGAACGTGCATCTGAAAGAGTGCTCAAGTGCATCAGTTCGAGTCAGCGAGAAAGATTCATCAATATATACATATATATATTTCCGAGCCCAATGCTTATCTTCAACATGTGCTCCACATGCCGAGGATCTTTGTATCATCTCGTGAAAAATTGCAGAACGGCATTTGAATTGTATTTTTCTACGATCGAGTTTGAACTGTACCCCAGATGTTCGTGATCAGACCGAGACACCTTATCAGTAGTCATCAGCATTCCACGCCATACCTCCTCAGTGTGCTCTTCCCCGTAGTGACTTTCATTCCGATTCTACAAATGTCAGTTTCGTGATACATGCTTACAGTGAACATATAAGAACTTACCGAGCATCCAAATCGTAACTTTCCCACCCGCTGACTTCAACCAGCCACGTCTTACACTCTTCCAACATGTCTGGATGCTGCTCTGGCTTTCCGTTGATATCGGCTTCTCTCCAGACGCAAGCAGCCATCTCGTATCGTGCAATGGGCGCAGTCCACGAGTCCATATTGTGCCCCTTGAAGAGTTGCCTGTCTACAGAGATGATCTCTTTTTGGAGGATATCCTTGGCCTGCTGGGAATCGCCTTTACTTCTCAAGGTTGCCGCCCGTAGAACCGCCAGGATCGCCTTCTCGTCTAGGCCTTCTTTACCCCAGTGCGGGTTCGATGCGCTCTCGCTCCACGCGAGGTTCGCAAGCGATTCATCTAGATGATCGTCTCTCATCCGCTTGAACCCGTTCCAGAAATAGATCATCTCCTCAAATGGGCTAACGCCCACAGCATCGATCAAATCGCAGGACCACTCCTTTGCGCGTTCCTGCCATTTGGCGATTTTGCGGTTTACAAAGACATCAAAGGGGAGCTGCCGTGCCATGAAGCGTTTCTTGCCCGTGTTGGGCGCCACTTGCTCAAAGTACTTCACAGCTTGGGCTTTGTAGACTCCTGCAGCACCCGGATCGGTGTCTTTGAACTTACGATACAACTCGACCTGTGATGCGGCAGCAATATAGTAGTAGAGACCGTGGCTCCAGTTGTTCAACGTGATGCACTTGATGAAGGATTTGGAAGTTTCGGCATAATCGTGCATGTACATGGTGTTTAGAGATCTCTCAAACCAGCCGAGCGCTTCTAGTTGCTTGAGCGGCGACTCGCCGGCTTTCGCCATGAAGTCGACGGCTTTTTCCAATTCTTTTTCTGTGGCAAAGGCACGTGCTTCTTCTAGGAGCCACAGATGACTTTTTGGGTACCTCTGTCGCATTTCTGCGAGGAGCAAGCGGCATCGCTCCTTAGGATATGAGCCTTCTCCAGAACGAGGGATGATGTCGCAGAATCCAGTTATACCGTTATAATAGCCGAAGATGACCTGGATGCAAAATTAATAATTCGAGTAAGAGAAATGACAACAAAAGTCGCATAACATCTACGATAGGATCACGATCACGTACCAGACCAGCCATTGCGCCATGAATGTTGTGAAATTTGGTGGCTTGCCAGAGCATCTGAATCCCGCGTTCGCGATCACCCTTGAAACCGACAATCTTCAACAGCGTCGCGAAAGCAGGTGGAACCAGTGACATGATGAGCAACAAGATTCCGAAACAGAAGTTTGAGCCCGAGATTATGAAGGTATCTATAGGATGGTCACCGTATACCGAAATATCCTGGTTATCCTTTACAGTGTTGGTTAGGGTTAGTGCATCGAAATCTTCGACCACGTCAGGTACTGACGTAGTGGGTGGTGCATCCCTAGAAGGCAAATCTGGTGCGGAGCTTGACTTGATGTGAACGTCCTTTTTCGTGTTGTCAACGCTGACAGACCCTCCGTTATCCGCCGGTACGTTGAGATGGCCCATGTATTCCATTGGAGTTTCCACTTGACGGTCTTCATCAGCGTCGACGAAATCGAAGTCATCGTCATCATCGTCATCTACTTGGGGCTTCTCGTCCTTCTCTACGGCGACTTCTTTATCTTTGGCCTTTGGAGACTCTCCAGTCACTGCCTTCAAGGCTGCAGTAGCTTCCTTTTCCGACGAAGAAGGTTTCGGTACTGCGGAACCTGCGCTCCTGCCTGAAGACCTTGACAGGGGCCTCGACACTTCTTCCGAATTGGTGGAGCCCAGACTACTCGTACTCCTCGTCTGCAGGAATTTCTTCTCTGCGTCCATGATCCCTTCAAGCGTCAGATAGGCTTTTCTTAGCTTATAGAAGCTCTTGATAGCCTCGGTCAAGGACTCATTCAAAACGCCCACAATTGCACTCATCAACTGAGCCTCGGCCAAACACACGGCATACTCTGTTCCTGGAGGGTATATTGGCGAATTGTAAACGCCAGCAGCCCGGTGAGCACGACGTTGGCTTTCGTAGGCAGTATTTTCCGCATCGGCGAGGGTGGCAGAAGCTGCATAAGACGTTAACCAGGGAAACTTCAACAGAGCAAGCTCTGTTCATTTGAGAATTACCTTCGCGCATGACATCCTGTTCGAATCCAAGGGTGGCCCGGATGAAGATTACTACGCCCTTCCCTAACTACACGTATATGAGTCTATCGTTGCGTGGGCCGGCGCATCCGGGAGTCTTGCGCACCTGGTGGAACGGCGAGCTGCCTTTGCTGAGATGCGCCTCGGCTTCATCGACGTTGTCGTTCATGATATGGGTTACCGCTGTGGTCGCGTGATGTCAATATTCATGCATATGGCAAGGGAATACCAAGGTAGGCTCATAGCGTCGTACCAGACATGGCATCCTCGACTGGAGTATCATTGTTAGCTATGGTACTCGAAAGGATCAGCGAATGGTAGAGATTTGGCTAACATACTCTGCGCAATCTCATCCAAAGCATTCAAGCTTCTTGTCTGGCCATGAGACCTTTTCCCAAAAACCTTCAACATGGTTCCGTTGCGGTTCCGCGAGCTCCGCAAAGTCGCACAGGGAGGGGGCAAACAACGAGACGCGGAACCGTTTAAAAGGCCGAGAACAAAAGGTACGTAGAAACGAGCGGGAGAAAGAAGGAAGAAGTACGAAGAGTGTCCAAAGGTCTGGGAGCCAGCTGCAGACAAACCCCACGTCACAGATCGTGGGCTAGTTTAAGTCTGTATGTTGGGCACTTGGATTGCGGATAGCTACACCGAAGTAGAAACGATTATTTGCACTACGTAAGCTGGAAATTTCCCAGCTAGCTAGCCTTAGGCCTCGATATTATCGTGTACGAAAACATCGGGATAGCAATGGTTGTCTTTGCGCGGAATAGAGGGCGAGACGACCGAAATCGCCAACCGACGTCATTCCTCTCACTCCATGCCAAAAGTGAGGAGGGCTGCAGCAAATCGCGAAGAAAAGAAACCCCCCACCCAGCCTCGTCGTGTGAATCCACATTACTCGTCCCCCGCGAAGCAAAGATCCTTGAGCGACAAGTCGACCAGTGATCTGCAAGGGTACATGGGTTAGTCAAGAGCCCAGGTAAAGCTTGAGTAGAGCCTCTCACGTGACCCTATCGCCAAGCCCTCCCTCTCACAATCGGCATTTCTGTGCTCCAATCCACCGACGACTACCGCTGCCCGCTGCCCGCAAGCTTCCATTCAACACCACCACGACGCATCATCTCTCACCACCACCACCGCTCACACGCTCAACCTCGACTTTTCACGCCAACCTCAACCTCGATTTTCCAAGTTTCTCCCCCGAGGAATCACCCTACTCGCCATCATGTCCGGCGCCACCAAACCCACCGCGGAAAAGCCCACCGCCGCCGCAGCGGACAAGGATACTCCCGATGCCACCACCAAGCCCGCCGCTCCGCTCGAAGAAGACGACGAGTTTGAAGATTTCCCCGTCGAAGGTACCGTCTCCTCTTTTCTATTTCCGTTTCTATCTTCGTATCTTAACTTCCCTGTAAATCGCAACATCAAGTCTTCCCCTCCCCCATTTGGTAGCCACCATCTCTACATCCACAGCCCCCGAAAAAGAAGGGAGGAACATGAAGAAAAAAAAAATCAAGACGCTAACTCGAGTGAATCAAACCCTAGATTGGACAGAGGAAGAATCCCAGATCCCCGGCGGTACAACACATCTTTGGGAAGAGAGCTGGGACGACGACGACACGAGCGAGGACTTTGCGGTGCAGTTGCGGGAGGAGCTTAAGAAGCTTGGGCACTCGAAATAATCAACCAAGAAAATAAAATTGAACTGATTTCGGAATTCGGGATGGAGTGGAGGGGCATATAAACTGGTTCTACGGACAGAGTGTACAGGCGAGAGTATGCCGGTTGAGGGAGAAGGATGGCGAGACTGGGTAGACGAACAGAGAGTAATTATGGGAAAAGCGGTCCCGGAGCGTTTTGATGCCCGCTAACGAGGGGGGTCATTGCTGTATGAGTGAGTGTCTGGGGAAAGGGACTTCGCCACCTCCCGACCTTTTGTCTTGGTTTCGGTAGGAGAAGAGTATGTCGTGTGTATGGTGCGAAACATGCAACGCAATGCAGATGGGAGGAAAGAAAGCATGCTCAACAAGGCATCACACTTCGGCGAGACCCTCGAACCCCACCACTCAAATCATAAAATAATCTGAATATCAATAACAAAAAAAGAAAAAAGAACAATGACTATGAAATCATCTAGGCCGCCTACAGGATGATGACAGCAGTGTGAATAAAACACGATAATCCTTATTCTTTTCAATTCTCCCCTGAAATGGGATATCCATGTAGGGCTTTGGTCGTTTACAGCCTCGAAGAAGCCACTTTCTCGTAGCCATCTATTTTTGCTATATCACCCACCAACAAAACAAGCCACGCTCAGCTTGAAATCCATGAATCTCGACTAGAAAAGAGAAAAGGGGGGAAGTAAAACAAATACGAAAAAGCCAGTCATACACAACAAGGAAGAGGCAGCAGTTCTAAGAACAGCATACCTTCGAAAGAGAGAACCGAGAATGTCGTCTACTTACTCGACAAAGCCGAAACACCAGGGAGATCTTTGCCCTCGAGCAACTCCAACGACGCACCGCCGCCGGTCGAAACGTGTGACAGCTTATCCTCGACGCCGTACTTGGCCGCCACAGTCGCAGTATCACCACCGCCAATAATCACAATCTTGCCGTTCTGGGCAGCGGCAACGGCGGCATCAAGCGTCTTCTTGGTGCCATTGGCGAAGTTGTCAAACTCAAAGACACCGGCGGGGCCGTTCCAGAGGATGGTCTTGGCCTCATCAATGGCTTCCTTGTAGAGCTTGATGGATTTCTCGCCGCAGTCGAGACCCATCCAGCCATCGGGGATACCGTCTTTATCCTCTGCGTAGCCGACAGCAGCATCTTTGGCGAACTTATCAGCAGTGATGTAGTCGACTGGAAGAACAATCTTGACGTTGTTCTTCTTGGCCTTTTCGACGAGGTTGCCGACCGTCTTGGAGCCCGCTTCGTCGAAGAGCGAGGTTCCGATCTTGACGTTCTCGAGCGTCTTCTTGAACGTGAAGGACATGCCGCCGCAGATGATGAGCGTGTTGACTTTGTCGAGGAGGTTGTCGATGAGTTGGATTTTGTCGGAGACTTTGGCGCCACCGAGAATAGCGAGGAAGGGGCGGGCTGGGCTTTCGAGGGCTTTGGCGAAGTACTCGAGTTCCTTCTTGACGAGAAAGCCAGAGGCTTTCTGGGGGAGGTCGATGCCGACCATGGAGGAGTGAGCGCGGTGAGCAGTACCGAAGGCATCGTCTGTGGGGATAATATGTTAGCACAGACATATTAGGATACGCGCATATCGTCACTCGAGTACGTACTGATGTAGATGTCTCCGAGCTTGGTCAAGCCCTTCCTGAACTCATCCACAGCTCCCTTATCCGCCTTGACCTTGTTGCCCTCGGCGTCCTTGGAGCTGCCCTCCTCCTCAGCGTGGAATCGCAGGTTCTCCAACAAAATGACCTGTCCATTGTCTGCCTTGTTGACAGTCTCCTCGACCTCCTTGCCTACGCAGTCATTGGTGAAGATGACGCTCTTGCCAAGGAGCTTCTCTAGCTCGGGAACCACGGGCTTGAGGCTGTACTTGGAGTTGGGCTTGCCATCAGGACGACCCAAGTGCGACATGAGGATCACAGCTTTAGCGCCCGCATCGATAGCATGCCTGATGGTGGGGACGGCACCGGCAATGCGTTGGGGGTTCGTCACTTTGGCATTGGAGTCGAGGGGTACGTTGAAGTCGACCTGATTCAGTGTTAGAAAAGAAGAAATGGAGAAGTTGATTTGGCAGGAGCGGATTCCGGAAGTGAGAGAAATGAAGCCGATGCGCTCCCGACTCCCACAGCATCCGCTTTCACGAGAGAAAGCGACTAAGGAAGGTCATAACTTACACGAACAAGAACACGCTTGCCCTTGAGATCGACGTCAGAGATGGAGAGTTTGTTGGAGAGAGACATTGCGGTATCTTGAAGCAGTGCTGTTTGTCAAAAAAATGCGAATGTAGAGGAAGTGGGCACTGGTGCAAATGTTTGTTGGGCCTGGCTTGGGGTTATATCATAGAGGGGTAGCAGATACAGTAGCTGTGGCTTATGGCGCTCGAGCTTTGGTGGGGGTGGTGGGGTGGTTACCAGGTTGGATGACGGATGCTTTCGTTTCTGATCTTCTTATCGACGACGGCCAGAAAAGTATACGACTATGACAAGTCAACTGGTGTATTTCCAGGCTTATAAATACTATGCAATGATATTCGTGTATTGCATCCCATGAATGATGAGGAACAGCATTGTGAATGCTGTGAACACACCACCACAATAACCATCACTCCATCACTCCATCACCACCACATCCCAATGGCTCGTAGTCAACGCATTAGCAATTGAAACTCACTCCTCCAATGCTAACATCTCAACCAATACGCGCATAAACGGAAAGCACCGGGTATCCGGACAATCAAATGCGCAGAAGATATTCCATAACTCGTGTGCGCCCGGAAACCGTGCTTGGTATAAGAACATAAGCATATGGCAACCGCACCAAAGGATACTGACGCCCTCGGGCAACAACTTGGCCGGAGGAACACGTTCGTTTCGCGAACCTAGGCGAGTCTCCAATGTTTCCTTTTTTTCTAATGCTCTTCCTGATCACATCTCATCTCCGGCAAATGGGGGTCCCGTCCATCATCCCGCGGCCGAGAACACACACTTGCGCATCACTCCACTCCATAGCGTCACTGCACCTTTAGACCCCTCGGTTTATGACTGGATACGATTGCTTGCTGTTCAACAAATACACATAGGATAATCCAACTCAACCACACCATATCACAACTTCAATTTGATCAGAACGCCATGCATTGCAGAAACATCGCAGAAAACGCCAGAACCAAGCCGTCGAAACTTGATATGCAAAAACACTGATGCGCAAAGCCCAGCCTGCGACCCGGGAATGTCAAACCAAAACCTTTTCTATGCAGCCAGAACCTACGGACTAGGAAATATGACACAAACAGCTGTTCAAGCCTCTTCGGCGGAGTTGGTGAGGGAGAGGTAGGCGGTCCAGGCGATACCGATGGTAGAGACAAAGGGCTATGAAAGTTAGCACCCACAAGATCACCAAGATGGTAAAAAGGCTCAAACGTACAATCTGGAGCTGGATAGGCATGATTCGGAAGTTGATCATCTGCACAGCTGGCCAAACCAAAAAGTTGGCTTTCAAAGCCGGGACATAGATGTCCTGGAACTTCTTTTGTACAGCACGTTTCCCACCACCCTCGGCAACGGTCATGAATGTGAAGAAGCACGCCAGACCTGTAGATTGTCAGCTTGCGCCAGCTCAAATTGACCAGAATATATCCATACCAACAGGGGCGAAAAGAAGTTGATCAAAGGCAACTCGCTTAAGCGCAGGAACCATAGCAGCTCCCTTTGAGATGGGAAAGGTGCTATTCAAAAATCCAAACCACTTGTGCTGAACAGGCGCCATCAAGAAACCGTACGACATGAATCGTGTGAGACGCTCGAAATCGAAAGGCGGAGGGAGCTTCTTCGAGTCGGGAATGAGGTCGCCCGGCGGCCAAGGGTTCTTCTTGGCAATTTCATGGATCTCGATCGCAAGCAGGTCGTCCTTGTCGCCTTTGTGGGCAGCGCGCTGCTTGATGGCAGTCAAGGACTGCGCTACTGTGTCTGCGATGCCACCCAACACCTGTTCATCGCAATATCAGCATACATGTTGTAGTTGGTCGATCGAAAGAGAGCGGTGAGTGACGGCGCGCATGCTGTGTGCACATATAAATCGGGGGACTGCTTTGTGGGCGGTGACGGCGACTGGCAAATAACGCGGTTGTTTGGGAAGAAAGGGTCTGCCTTACAGCGTTGGTGATCATCGTAGTCAAGACTGCACCCTGATCAGCATTGCATGTCCATCAAAACCCTAATCTCCAAAACTCACCTGGTCTCGAGGCATAGTAGGAATTAAACTTCCTCGTCAAGAGAGAGACGGCGGCCATCTGTAACAGGAAAATGGCTGCGTGGAGCAGCGGCTGAGAGGCAGAAAGAGAACAGATAAGCAGGCGCTTTTAGGTGTGAAAGAAGGTGTAAAAAAACAAGGACAGGCGAGTGTGAAAGGGGGAAACACACCACTTTGCCGTAGATCCACCTGGAGTTGAGAGTGTAGAGCACTCGTCTGCGAGTTCCTTCTATGGCCATGTTGGCTTTCTATGACGTTCCCGCCGCGTAACGAGTCTGTAGTGGCCGAGAAAAGAGGGCCCGGGCACTCGAGGCTATCTATTCCTGGAGGGCGTGCGCGCTGTGTGGTGTCGTCAGGACTTATCGGCACAGCCGTTGCTGGGAGCGTGGTGGGAGAGAGGTGAGAGGGCGATGCGACGACGATGGCGGAGATGTATGAGGTATGAATGTACGTATGCAGTCCGTCCGGAATCGCTTGCGATGGATCTATGAATGGTATGCTAAGTAAGGCCTGCACCTGCCTTGACCCTCGCCCTCCTTCCTTCCCGGCTATTGTGGCGGAGCGGGGAAGCCCACCGCCAATCATGTGCCAACACCCGACATACAAAGCTCCAGAAGTGAAGCACGGAGCATCGGCCATTAATCACCTTCCATGTCATCACTTCCATTCAACATGGTGCCGCATCTTTATATTCGATATTAACCCTCTTTTCTTTCTGGCTTGGTACGAGAGTTGGCCATCATGTTGTTGTGTTCATGCAATCACCTTCCTCCCCATGTATCCAAACCTGGCCAGCTACTCCCTCATTTGCCGCCCTCCTTGCCCGCAGCGACCACGGCAGGCAGGTCGCGGATATCGATAGTTTCATTTGTCGCCAGGTCGATGATACGCAATCCTTCCACCGAAAGTACCCCGGCGCTTAGTGCTATGAATTTGATATCTGCCGTGTAACATGCTCCCGGTACTAAGTGTCTATACGTATATGTCAGTCATGAGAGCGAGCGGTGTATAGACACATGATACTATGCTTACCCTATCCGAATATCGGTCGTTAAGCACACCAGGTCCGCAGCCTCCAACCTGGCACCCTTTTGTTTTGCGTAAACAAAATTCTCGTCCTCCACCGCGTTGGCAAGCAGAGCTTTGCTGTCACCGTGACGCCCTCCCGCCGACGATGTCGAAGGGTGGGATCTGTGCATGTCGCGTTTCCTCTTTGGCAGTACCAAAACCGCCAACTGCCTCGTCCTGTCCGACCGGTTGAAAATGAAAGCTTTCCATACAAACGTTTCGCCAACTTGCACTTTTGGTGGTCCTGAGATGGTGAATGTGACCTGAATGGCTCTGTCAAAGTTTCCTTCGCCAGCGTCGGGGGCTGGGAGCGAGTCTGGGCCGACAGATCTGCGTTGTTGAACGCTAGTATTGCTTGCTGTGCTTAATCGATGCGCTGCTTTGATCAGATTCGTGTTATGGTCTGACATGAAATCGACGGCTGTGTGCCACGCGATGTTGACGACTGGCTGGCAGCCTTCCGACACGAGTACGTTTGCTTTGATGTTAAGGCCCAGAATATGTCCTTCTTTGCCGAAAATCGGCGTACCATCTGCACCAAGTTCTGGGGTGATCTTGTAGAGATAGGTCAACTGGTCTCCAGGTTTATGCACTAGAGAGGAGTCGTCGAGACCGGTGATGACTGTAACGTCTCCTCCTTCCAAGGAGAGGCTAATCTCCTGGATGTTGATGCGATAAGCCGTGATATAAGCAACTTCGAGATCCAGCGCTGCCATCAGTGATAGGTGGCTCAGGGAAGCTTGGATCTTGGAATATCGTATCCGCCAAATCAGAGCCGGCAGGGCCCGGAACAGACGTCGGTGTCCAGTTCGTATAGGTCGGGTCATTTCTCTGTACACGGGTGTAGAAGGCGCGATCTTGTTGATTCTCAATGCCGAGAGTCGAGGGTTGATGCCGGCCAGAGCTGGATCGCTTTCAAACGATTGGAGAAGGTTCAATGCCGCAGGCATGCCACTCGGTAAGTACTCATCATCCACGATGCTTCTCTCAGGTCGCTCGGCAGGTTTCATTGAGGCCGTGGGTTGGAAATATATGGCCGGTTTGTGAAAACGTCCTCGCGGGCGACCTACTCTGTTTAGAACCAGAAGGCACCAGGTAAATCATGGAAAGAGTTGCTCTCACATATAAATACTTCTATCCTCCAAATGACATAAGTGTATGGTGTACCGTCTTCATGACGAACAATGACAGGTTCTGTGGAGGGTTTGATAGTCTCGCCATATATCTGCTCTTTTGGCGGTGGAGTCTTGGCGTCTTGCTCTGATGAAGGGGCAGTACTGAAAGCAAATGCATCCACATTGACTGCCAGCCTCGCGAGGTATGACTTCAAAACATCTTCCTCTACAAGAGGCGTACGAAAAACAATATATACGGGGGCCAGTTCATCTATATACCTATGCATAAGTAAGAGGCTGCTTAATCGCCGGGAGCGCAGCACCTACCAAAAAGAAGTATTTGGCGTTGGGATAGAAAGGGCAGTAAAGAGCCTGTCTCCTCTTCATGAGTACCATCCCATGAGCTCAGCTCGTCCTCGATATCAACTACAGAATCCGAGGGCACTACAGCTTCGAGCACTGAGCTTTCCACGAATTCGGCGCTCGCACGAGGCTCCATCGCATGCTTTGTGTCGCTCAGAGCCACGGCGTAGATCCAGAACTGTGATATTGCAGAATGAGAAGACACACAGTACAATTTGTTATACAAGGTGAATCTGCGAAGGAGTTACCCGCAAACACGTGGATGGGTATGAAGTTGGGTCTTGGCACACACGGTCCGAGCTTAGAGCTAGCAGATCGCGCGCTTTCCATGCGACTGCGACAACTTTTCTCTTTCTTCACATCATCACACGACATCGAAATCCACGAGATCCAGACGATGAACAATTACCCACCTCCAACGGGAATGGGCATGGGCCCGCCGCCTGGCATGCCACCGCCATCCAAGGGTTCCTTGTGGTCGGCTGTCAAAGCCGGAGACAAATACTACTATGTCAACAACAGTACAAAGCAAACAACATGGGAGAAACCTGAGGAGCTAATGACGGATGAGGAAGTACGACTTTTCCAGCTTGGTCATGACCCAAATGAGCATTTTCAAATCACCTACGATCCCTCTATTCCAGAATGCTGTTTCTACGGCCCGTCCACTCCAATGGTGACATATCCGCCATATTTGGGCTATGTCTCTATCACCCAGTTTTGCTTTTCATTATTGAGATTGTATGCTAACATACCATAACAGCGTGCGCTCGCGAACACCAACTATGTTGAATATACCTCAGCCAATGGACAGAAGTACTGGGCGCACAAGGAAACGCGGGAAACTACCTGGACCATGCCAGACGAGGTTGCCGAAAACATGAAGCGCATCCAGGCCCAGCGCCCCCCACCTCCCACAGGGTAACCAAACCTCCTCATACAGGCGTAAAGATGATTGCTGACTCAATTCTAGCAGCAATAATGCGTGGGCTGCAGGACCCGCTATGATTCCACCCCCGTTCGAGCAAACTCGCAACGCTGGCGATCGCCCCATTATTCCTAACCCACGTGAACGTTACATGCCCGACCGACCAGACCGGACCGATCGACGTGACCGCGACGACCGCGACTCCGGCTACGCTGGCGAGCGTATGGAGCGACAGAATTTTGTGTCTGCATCCAACGAACTTCAATTTCCTACCCCCCAGGATGCCGAGGCCGCCTTTATGAAAGTCCTCAAGCAGCTCAAAGCGCAGCCGGATTGGACTTGGTCGCAAACCGTTCGTGCTGGTATTAAGGACCCACACTGGCGCGCCATCCCAGACCCTGATAAACGCGAAGAGGCCTTCAGGAAGTACTGCGACGAGCTTCGTGCACAAGAGAAGAACAAGGAACAAGATCGCCAGAAGAAGCTCCGTACGGATTTCATGGCCATGTTAGCTTCTCACCCCGAGATCAAGCACTATACCAGGTGGAAGACGGCTCGTCCCATCCTCGAAGAAGAGACTATATTCCGTTCGGCAAAGGACGACGATGAGCGCCGCCACTTATTCGATGAATACATTATGCAACTCCGGCGCTCCAACGCAGAGAAGGAAGCTGAAGAAAAGAAAACAGCTCTTGATGACTTGGCGAAGCTGCTTCAAGACATGGATCTGGAACCATTTACGCGCTGGCAAGCCGTGGATCAAAATCTCGACAGGCTTATTGCAAATCACGGTGATAAATTCCAATCGATCCATCGCTTGGATGTGTTGACTACATTCGAATCTCACATCAAGCAGCTACAGCGCGATCACAATGAGCGTGTCCAGGCCGAGCACCAAGCGAAGCGTCGCGTTGAACGCAAGAACCGGGATGCTTTCAAAGACCTTCTTGAAGAGCTTCGCCACAGCGGCAAGCTTCGATATGGAACGAAATGGAAGGACATTCACGATGACATTTGTGACGACCCTCGCTATATTGCCATGCTCGGTCAAAAAGGATCGTCGCCTCTTGACTTGTTCTGGGACATGATTGGTACGGAGGAGAACAAGTTCCGCACTCTGCGCCGCACTGCACTGAATGCCCTTGAAGTGAGTGCACACGATACCCCCTACCAATACGCTTGCTAACAGGCACTAGGAACAACAGTATGAAGTCACAACTGCAACTCCCTTCGAAGAATTCTCGAGTATTATACGCTCTTCGTCTCGTACTGCTAATATTGACACCCAGTCGATGAGGAGCATTTATGACTATGTTCTTGCTAAGGTCAAACGCCGTGAAGACGACGATCGCCGTAACGAGGAGATTGACGAGCGTTGGGCTTTGGACAGTTTTCGCTCCATGCTCAAACGTCTGGAGCCTCCAATTATCCTTGCAGATGACTGGGAATCGGTACGTCCTCGCGTAGAGAAGACAAAAGAATACCTCACGCTAAAGTCAGATTCACTTCGTCAAATCGGCTTTGATAAGTTCTATCGCCGTCTCAAGGACAGGGAAACGGATCAACCGGGTCGTGGCGACCGCCCCAGGCGTGAGCGTGAGCCTCGCGATCGTGAGAGGGGCAGTCGCCAAGAAAGGGATCGGGAGCGGGAGCGGAACAGGCGAGACCGCGATCGTGAGTATCGAAACGGAAACTCCGACTCTCATCGCCGTCATCGTACGCGCACTCGCTCACCTGAAAATGATCCTTACGCTGCAGAACGCCGCCAGGCCCAACAAGACCGAGAGGCGCGATACAGGAATAATGACAGTACCGGCTTGTCCCCGCAACCACTTCGACGTGAGCGCGAGCGCGAGCGTGATATTGATCGCTACTCTCGTCGAGGCAGCAGTGATCACTATGGGCGCGAGCGACGTGAACGCGAGGTGGAGCGTGAGCGTTCCTTTGTTGGCCGAGGAGATCCTCTCAGTAGGGCTGATCCTCGCGAGCAGAGTGTGAGTGAACTAGACTACGGAGATGGTTCAGGTCGTCCTGCGGCTAGTAGACGTCGACGAGAGAGTGACGAGAGCAGTGCTAGGCGTGACAACAAGGTAAGCATACCCTTTGCCCAGACATCATGTACTCTCCACCGCTAACATGAATATTAGCGCGCTCGCTTCTCTCCACGCCTCGAGCGTAAGTCAAAGACTCCTGTCCCTGAAGCAACCAAGGAAGTAGATCGTGCTATTCGATCTGGTAGTGAGGAAGGCGAGATCGAAGAGGATTAGGCATCTCTTCGCAAAAGCCCCCTACTTCGTCATGACCTGCCTGTGCACACTCTTTCTGAGGAACCCAATCATCACTCTGGCCAATAGTGTCCTGCAAACTTGACGGGGACGTATTAATACCTCGACTTGCATATTCGCCTAATTGTAGCGGTTTTAATGCTCTTCTGCAGCTGTCAAACTGACTGAACCTGCAACTATTTGGCGCACGGCAGTTTGATTGCTCGTTTTTGTTCCGAAAGAGCCCCTGATACTTCTTCGCTTCTATGAACATATCCTTCATGAAGTATCGAAGCCAAGAAAATTTGAAGACGAGGCATGAGATTGCTTTCGATTTGCTTTCCAGATGTACCATAACCTACTTTTCCATTCGCCTAACCACGGATGACTTTTACAGTTATTGAGTGGTCCCCTTTTCCCTAATACATTGCCCTTTCCCTCAAAAGTAGCCTTGACTATCATAAAATAACCCCAGTTGGTCAAAAAAAAATCGATGTCTGTCATAGATGAGTGCTTCTTTTTTTGTAAAGTCGATTTGCGATATCTAGCTGAGTACAGACCCACGTGTGTGAAGTGTGTGTGTGAAGTCAAAAGCGAATCGTTTTTGCTAGGTCATGTAAGGGAAAGACGGTGTCCAGCGTTCCACTACCAACCAGATCTGCGGGTGTTGGTTTGTGCATGGCTGTATTTCCGAGCATGGAGGGGAACCTCGGAAAGGACTCTTAGATTCGCTTTCAGGCTTTGGAAAGCTTCTTTGATGATTACTATACATCACCTCAGACGCCGCATCATCACCGTCATCACGCTCACACACAATTCGGTTGACGACACTAAACTACTTGAACTGCATATGCCGGATTTCACAGGTTGATCTTCTTGTATGGTAGATGTTCCAATTGTCCACACAGATGACCGCATGTAGCTGACCGTTACAAACCTAAGCAGAGCTCTCACGGAGATAATCGGTGTCATTCCGCTTCACAACAATTTGGGAATCAGAGGTGCCGAACTGCAAATACAAAAGAAAAGCTCTCAAAGGTGAAAGAGCATTGGCAACATCGAAACTTCTGTTTACCGCGACAGCCATAACGGTATCGTGGACGGCATATTCATACCTACCAACCTACCCGTGAAACAACATCAATCACACACACAAACATGTCCAACAAAAACAACGCCACCACCACCCCCGAAAACTTCCCTGCCGCAGGCCTCGCGGGCGATGGGTGGTCTACAGATGACGAGGCCACAGCAACATGTTACTGCGGCGCTGTGCAACTCAAATTCGTGAGCTCCTCCAACCCCCTGTCCCAAAAGAGATAAACACAGGCTAACATATGATAACTCCTCACAGCCAACACATGGCCCGGGTCTCGTGAACACATTCGTCTGCCACTGTACCGACTGCCACAAAATCACCGCATCCATGTTCGCGTCCAACTTCACCGTCCTGGACACGCATCTCACGCATGTAAGAGGCAAAGAGAACCTCAAGGAATTCGCGCAAAACGAAACCATTGTGAAGAACCATCTGATGACGAGTTGCGTTCCCTCTTTTCTATCCCTCTCCTCTTTCCCCTTACTCCACTATCTATATACCTCACAACCACGAAGAAAAAAGACGGCTAACCAAACCCTCGATCATATTTACAGATTATTTCTGCGGAACTTGCGGAACGCTCATGTACCGCGTCGGCTCGGCTTTCCCGGGCCAATCCATCCTCCGACTCGGAACCGTCGACGATTTCAGCTTGATGGAGACCAAGTTGCGGCCGAAACACGAGGTCTTTGTAGAGAGCCGCGTTAGTTGGATCAGTGGGGTGGAAGGGGCGAAGCAGAGGGGAGGTGCTGCTAGGCAGGCCGCAGATATGTTCGCGAGAGAGGGGAAGAGGGATGGAGGCGAGAAGCTCTAAGTGATTTCGATTGAGTGGGCAGTCTTATCTTTGCTTGCGGGTGGGATGGGTAGATAGACGTGTTTATATATAGACATATCTATCTAGTTTAGTGGTAGAGTTTTGGGTTGTGCGATGCTATGCTGTTTTGTATCATCATAGTCCTGAACGTGGTATCCAGTAAGAGAGGAATCGGATTGATGTACTGTCCAATTACATGTCTGTGTACAATGTTCCAAATCAACTAACACCCATCTTTCTACCAATGGGCTCGCACAGTCAACGGGCCAATCACAATCCCACTCGTACTCGTACTCATGCTTGTAAAGAGCCCTCAACACCTCCACCAACAACAAAAAAAAGTGCAATAAAACTGTATGCGCCCAAAATCAGCGGTGGAATACGATCCGAAAATGGGCTTGAAAGTATTCTAAATAAATCCTACAGTGTTGGTGTAATTCCTGGGTTTTGCCATACAAACAGACGACGAAGACGACGAGGAAACAGGTGCGGATCCTAAATGGAACTCGTGCGGGGAGTCCGCCGATCAATTTGCTTGCTTCGAGGCTGAGTTGGAGACATTTCGAGGCTGACGGATAGTGTGATTGGTGTAGATTGCGGCGATGCAAATAGAGTGGGAGGGAGGGAGAACTGGACATGTTGGATACGCTAGTAAGTTATAGGTATGGTCGTTGAAACGCCTCGTGTTTGTGCGTATATATGTGTGTATGTGTAATTGGGAGGCATGAGATCACTCACTGTGTAGGTTACATGTCTAGCAGATATGTTTGTCCTGATTTGATGATTGAGTTATCATTTCGAATGTAAAAAGAGCATATTTTATCACTCTCGTCTCTACAGAACGATTATCGACAGTGTGATATAAGTATGGTTTGAAGCCAGTGATCATAACTGAGCATTACGATTCTCTTCCTGACTAACGGACTTTAAAAACCTACTTCGGTACACCCACGGGACACAGAAGTTTCTATATATTGTCAGCAGTCATTCCCCACTTGTAGGCACAAACCCAAACTCACCATAATCTCCGACACTCTCTGCGAGGTATCGTCGTCTTTGAAAGCCAGACCAAATCCACCTCTCGCGAGTTGCAGTTTGCGAAGCTGCTGCGATTGAACAGCCTAGTACCGTTAGTTCTATCGATGGGAAACGCAATCGCGATATGGCAAGGGATGCAGAATATACCTCTTCAACTGTGCCTCTCGCAATATATCGCACAATCCTCACAGATCGCTCCTGTCCTAGACGAAGCACGCGCCCGATGGCTTGGCTTTCGACAGATGGGTTCCACTGCGGTTCGAGGATGTGTATGCAATTCGCTACCATTAACTTATTGATGCTGTTTTGAAAGAAGAAGAAGAAGAAACTTTAGTAGGTGTTTGGTTGAAGGGGATGAATGGATCTCTTACCCTACTCCGCCCGTCCCGAACGTTACGAGGAGAATCCGCGCGGATGTTGATTGCTCGAATTCGACCAAAATTTTAACTCGTTTGGCCGAAGGAATGCTGCCGTGGATCCGGAGGAATGGGACGTTGAGGGCCTCTAGGCCGGTGGCGACGAGGTCGAGGGTTCTTTTCCAGAAGGAGAAGACTACGCTAAACGGTTGTCAGATGCACCGAATTCTTCACGATTCGAATAGGCGGTATATCGACTCACCATTTGTCATCAGGTCCCTGAGTTTGAAGGTTTTCCAAGAGTAACTTGAGCTTACTAGGCATCTCCTCAGGACTCGTTGGTGTATCAGCGGGATCTTGAGCCGATCCGATGAAGAACGAATCACGCGCCCAGCGTCGCCCACATATCGGACAAATAGCGCGACCCTCTTTAGTATCGTTGTTCAAATCCGTCTCGTAGATTGGCAGACAATCGCCACAAATTAGGTGTTCGCAGACAGTCAGTGTAGCCGAGCTCCGGTCATCTGAATGGTACATGCTTTGCACCTCACAGTGACATTGCGCACAAGTTGCTTTGCCGCATGTTTGAAGATAGCTCAATGCGTGATCTGGATCGGATGGCAAACCGTTGAGGCTCTTCTTTCCTTTGAAAGCTTTTGGTCCTTCGTTACAGAATAATCGCATGCCGAGTATTGTCTGGATAATATGGTGATTTGCTTTCTTGAGACTGTGGCCGGATATCGCGAGGTCGATTGCATGCCTGCAGCTATCTCCGAAGTCCTGATATGCTTCCCTTTCGGGTGCTGATAGGTCAAGCATATGCGTGTGCGTGGTCGGTTCGGGAAGATTAAGCAAGCTTTTTGTACGTCGGAGACATAGTATCTCGAGAAGTTTGCGCAAGTTCCTGAATCTGACAGATTTCCCCGCTAGTACTGGTGCTATAATGTGATTTCTGAAAGTCTTTCGATCGTCCAAGATAGGAACGCGCAGGAATTCTACTAGAGCGCCGAGATCTTCAAGGGAGTTCTGAATGGGCGTACCGGTTAGACACCAGCGAATGTGCGAGGTGATGGAATGTATGGCGCGGAACTGCTTGGTTGCGGCGTTTCGTATTGTGTGTGCTGCTTGGGTCAGCCTCTGCCTTTGTAGCTATAGATAGGACGTGTACCCTCATCAAGCACTATACGATACCAACTAATTCGGTTGATCATACTTTGGCCTCTACAGAACTCAGAGGAGATTGTAGCGTAGGTGGTGAGTACAATATCGCATCGTAGCAAGTCCGAGATTTCGATACGCTTTGAAGAACCGTGGTAGCGATAGAAGCGGATTGTGTTCCGTTGGATATGTCTGATGTGGTCAGTCAGAACAGCTTATAATACGTCTACGATGAAGCCGCACTACTCACCGTTCTATCTCCGTCGCCCAACTATCTAGCAATACTGTATCGGGAATTATGAGTTCACGTTTTCTTCAATTGGAGAAAGACCTTACGCGAGGAAGGTACGACGACAAGCGTGGCTTTAGAAGGTACGGTCTTGTGCCACGTATCGATAGGTTCTCCAGTTCTTTCACGGGCAAAATCTAGAGCTCTATCAAGCGATCCCACAATGACAGCTAGGGATGTCAACGTTTTACCAAGACCCATATCGTCGGCTAGAATGCCACCCAAAGGCTCCTCGGGTACGTTGTTTCTGGTATGCGTGATGACATTTTCGTAACTACCACAAGTTAACAATGCAGACCCGATGTTTTCAGAGACGATCTTACAAGGATGCCTTATTTTCGGAGGAGTGAGATCTCCAAAAACTCATGGAAGAAGGTAGTGAACCTAATTCCCTTCTGGTCATGAAATCTAGAGCTTCCTTTTGATGCCTACAACCAGTCAATAGTCGATACTTGGACCACACATAGTCTGTCAAGGTCTTACTTAACCAATTCAGTAGATATACGGGCATCTGCAGACAACTCTCTAAGAAAACCGTGTTGAGGCATGTGATCTAGAATTGCTTCAATGTCAGTGCGCGAGGCTTCCTGAACTCGTTCTTCGATGCTTTCTTCCATAAGCGTGTCGAGGTGTCGAAGATAATGTACATCAGCAAGACCTGGAAGCTTGAGATGTTGAGGATTATCATATACCAGACCTCTTGAATCGGACGTTGGGAACTGCAGAAACAGTTGAGAAGATGCAAGAGCATCACCTGCCGCTTTGGCAGAGTGAGCATGACCGTACAGATTGATATCGACAATCAGATTTGTGTGAAATTTGGATCGATTTAGTGACTCGCTGGCATCTGTGATCGCGGCAAATTTCACAACGCCATCATATTCGATGCCCTGACATTCGGAACATGCATGCGTGAGACTGCGCAGACGACTCAACCCTTCAGCCATCTTCGTAGTAAAGCATCCAAAAGGCTCACCGTCCCCGATTGTGACCCAAAATGTTTCTTTGAGTTGGATGATGTTTAGGATCACTAGCTCGTCGGTTTTGCGATCTTTGGCCATTGATGCTACTGGGTCATATCGAACTTGTATCGGAATCTCTCGTAACTAGTACATTCAGCCGCATCTCCCACATTTTGACAATAAGACTTACTGTTCCAAAACACACCAACGGCGCTGATTCCTGTAAATCGTAAAACCCTCTCGTGACTTGCAAATTCTGCGTATGATCTGCGTTAATTTTAGAATATGCTTGACCTAATGGTAAATGTTCTGAATGCGATGGAATTGTGCGGGGTACACTCACGTTCATCATCACCGTCTTGCATACTTTGTGACCACGACGCCGGCCTTTTAATGCCCCTTGCAATATCGCCATTCTCAACTCTTACTTCCGAAGTCATCCTCTACTGTCATTCGAGGAAAATACTGTTCGAATTTGCAGTTTGCATCCCTTGTCAACAAGGCATGACTAATGAAGAAGGGTGGCTTTAAGTATTCGATTGTTTCATGGAATCATATCCTCTTAGCGTTAACGCAGAACCAAGACAGAGCTCCTCATAAACAACATGAACGTGAATTTCACTCCCGAGTGGAAAGACTCAGGAGTGGTCGTGTACAGGAGGACCGGTGAAGACAAGGAAATCAAGTTCAGCCACGAGTGGCTGTGCAAACGTCGACGCGAGAAGGTCGCAATGATCCTCAGCCTTGCTCGAAACCTTCAACACCAGACCTAAGCAGGTCTCCAAGAGGAACATGGCGAGCTCTATGCCGCCTAATACTATTTTCGATGTGGTGCTCAAGAAATTCATATCCCCCCTGACCGACAAGGAAAAGGCCGAATTCGGATCCACCACGTTCCACGAGCTGCAGCTCTCAATGGCGAGGATCCAAATGCAACAGTCGTCAAAAGGAAAACAACGAGGTATGCATCGACTAGAGGGATTTCTCGAAGCTATGAAGGAGTTCGATAAGGTCATTCAAGTGTTCGTCAACAGCAGTGAGATCCTTGCCTTCGTGTGGGGGCCGATGAAGTTCCTGCTCCAAACAGCATGCCATTTCTCGGAAGCTTTCGACGCTTTGATAACTGCGTACCAACGCATAGGAGAACAGCTTCCACTCCTTGCGCAACACGAAACCCAATTTCGGAACAAAACACATCAGTCGCGTATGGAAAAAGTACTGAGTCTGATGTACAAGGATATCTTGGACTTTCACTGGAAGGCGATGAGGTACTTCAAGCGGAGGATGTGGAAGCAACTATTCAGCGCGGTCTGGAAAAACTTTGAGACAGAGTTTGCTGAAATTTTACGGAATCTCCGCGAACATCGTTCACTGATCGAGTCGCAAGCGAGTATTGCTCAGCTTCACGAAATTATCAGGACTCAAGAGATGGCTCAGACAACCTTGAAAATGCAGAAAGAAGAAGAAAATAGAAGACGTCGAGAATTCTGTATACAATGGCTGGCTTCAGCTCCATATGATGTCGATCAAGACGCGCATGCCAAAGTTCGACACACTTATCCTGGGACAGGACAATGGTTACTCGCAAACAAACGATTCATGTCTTGGTTTGACAGAGACATGTCGTCCAACCAGTTGTTGTGGATGACTGGCATTCCTGGTGCAGGTAAGCTACAGTGTTGTTTCCGCTTTCCCTATACTTATTGGTTCAATAGGTAAGACGATTTTGGCATCTTTAGTCGTAGAAGAGACAAAAAAGCTTCCGGATGTCACTGTCGCATTCTTCTATTGCAGATACGAGGACTTGCAGCGTAACACATTTGTTGCAGTGGCTCGCGGTCTCCTTTCGCAGCTTCTAAATCAAGACGAAGATCTTCTTCCATATCTTTACGAGAAAGCGACCAAAAGTGGTCAGACTAGCCTGTCTACAGACTCACTTGCCAAACAGCTGTTAGAGACGGCCATCAAAAATCACCGAAAACTCTATGTCATCATTGATGGGATCGATGAATGTGAGAGAGAACAGAGAAAAGAGATCGTCTCTACCCTCGAGTCCTTCTGGGAGTCATTACCATATACTGACGCAGACTCGCTGAGATGCTTATTTGTAAGCCAGGATGATAGTGCAGCTAGGAAAGATTTTGCGCGAATGGTCACGCTGAAAATTACTCAAAGCGACACAAAACAGGATATCAGTTCGTATGCTCATACCTGGAGTCAAGAGATCAGAGCGAAGTTTGGGCTCGATCAAAACCACGTACAGTGCATAGAAAACATGATTGCGGAAAAGGCGGAAGGTTCGTCTCTCGCCCCGAATACGTATTACTCGCTTACAACCTGTAGGCATGTTTCTGTTTGCTAGGCTTATGAGCCATTATCTCCATGATCAAGGCAATGTCGGAGAACTTAACAGGGAACTGTCACCGGCCACTTTCCCCCGAGGCCCGCTTAGACTAGAAGACATGTATGTCCACATAGCGCGACTGAAGTTATGTTCGATCGACTGATTCGTGTAGCTATGGGAAGATAACGCGGAAACTATTCGGAAGATCTGACGCTATTCGGTCAGATTCAAAGAAGTTGTTGAGTTTGATGATCTGCGCTAAGAGGCCGTTGAAGTGGAGAGAAATTCAATGCGCTGTATCCATCGATATAGACGAAGAAATAGTCAATTGGGAAGAAAATCGGTTTCCGGTCGACTCCAAAGATTTGTGTGGATCGCTTGTTGAGATATACTCGGATGGCACTGTAAACCTGGTCCACCACACTGCTAGAAGGTAACTGACATTCACGCAACACGATACGCGAGAACACTGCTGATTTGGAGTAGGTATTTAGTAGACGAACAAATAATCGATCTTGCAGTCGAAGAGATGTCGCTCACACTGCTCTCAATCGGTTACTTGAGCATGCAATGCTTTGACTCGAGTACTTCGGACGATGAAGTCAATCTCTTCATCTCGCTGGGATACTACGGTTTCCTCGATTATGCATACGCTTACTGGTCCCGTCATCTGGAGAAGTCGCTCTCACTGGGCCAGCCTCAAGAGTCGATCTCTGAGCTTACAGAAGCTATTCAACAATTTGTGGAGTACAACTGGATAGAGCCAACATCCAAGCTGAACGTGCCCAAATCGCTTTATGATCATCTGAAGCCTTTGGAAACGGCGAGTAATTATAATGACGTCGTTTCAGCTATTTACCTCGCCAGGAAGCAACTTCATTCATCTGCGAAATCGATTCATGATGATGATAACTTCAGACTGAAGGAAGCCTTGAAGCGAGTACGCGATTGCTTGGAGGGAGAAATTTCTGAAACTACCACCCCCGAAACCTTCAAGCTGATGTATGGGTCTCAAATCTTCAAGTGTCCTAGGCCAAATTGCACTCTCTTTTATAACGGATTCCCTACTAAACAGCTTCGAGACGAACACGTACCGAAACACGAGCGCTTATACTTTTGTTCCTTCTCGGGATGTGCCATCGCAACGATAGGACGCGCAACACTGAAAGAGCTCCAGAAACACGAGAAGGATGCGCATGGATCGATAAACATAGACGACGAAGACGAGGACGAGTACCCTGAGCTACCACCCGAGATAGTATCCTTCGTTTGTGAGATATGCAACGCTTCTTTTACCCGTAAACATAATCTCAAGAACCACACACGCACCAAACACAGCCAAGGAACCGGCAGTCAAAACTTTATATGCCAAACTTGCGGAAAAGCATTTGCTAGACAGGGAGATTGCACACGGCACAAGAGTACCGCGCATTCTGCAACCATGAAGTTCAAGTGCGGAGGCACGCTTTCCGATGGTTCGGCATGGGGGTGCGGGAAAGAGTTCTCGCGCGGTGATATACTCAGTCGGCACTGGAAAAGCGAAAAAGGTCAGAGATGTTTTTTGCCAAAACAATTGGATGACGAACGAGGAAACTCTACGCCTATCACTGCGACATGATCATCTTCCATACTCCATGCAATGGAATCAAAGCTTGCCAGTCATCACTCCTCTCAGTTCTGAACAGAATATGATGACCGTTGTTGCAATCGCAAAGACAAGCTTGAATGAATGAATGAGTCGTTCGTGGAAGCAGGAGGATGATATAGCAGACCAAACAAATGGTAGATGTGGAGTGTATCCAGTGCTACCAATGGCAAAACGGCGACCCTGACAAGCTCTACTCATGGTTCATGTACGAGGCGAAGGGCATCTATGCCGGGCTTGCGAAAAAAGGGCCATGGTGTCAAATGCGACGATTCCTAAGCATATAGAATCAATCATCATCGATTTCCACATGTAATATTCTTCGAGGAGGTTGTGTATAGCGTAAGGAGTGAAGCATCTCGAGCAAGAACAACTCCAATGAATGGAAACGAAGTAGCCTTTCTGGAGCAATTCTGCTTATAAAGATGAGCACGTGAGAGATACGCTACTCTGCGGAAGGTTAGACCAAGCATGAAAATGGATTAGCTTACAACGTCTCCGTCTCTCGTCTTCTTCATATTTGCATCGCCGCAATCAGGTATCGAATTCAGGCATGCGTACATTTGAACAGCCAATCAGGCACCTGAGGTAATTTGCACAGACCACCGGACATCGTGAGAAGCTGCACTGACCGATAGTGGAGCGACACGACCGGTGGCCACCTCAGACACTGCTGACTTTAGACCTCACGACTACTACTTTTTTTTTTTTTTTTTTTTTTTTTCCGTTGGAGTTTAGGTGTTCCTACACGCACGATGGTTTGTAACGATAAAATTATGAAAAAAAACGAGCGATTACGGCGAAATCAGACCATGACTACTGCACGCCCTTTTGCAAAGCCGTATGCTCTGAATGTGTATAGATAATCACGCTTGATGGAAACATTGATCTACAATTCATAATCTTAAACCGAGGTTGTTGTGCACTCAATTCTCACGAGCTTACTGGCGTGAATACGCCTGTCTGTAAGATTCATGTTATTGGACTCCAGATGTCATTGGTAAAAAGGTGGCTCACTGCCTGAACTAAGCCACTTTAGTGGGACTGCCTAAGCCAAGTGTTGATGACTCTCGTCTGTCGATGTACAGTCATAGTTCAATAATTTGGTCTTCAGACCATATAAAGCTAGAAACGCTGGCCAAAATACTACCGCAAATCTAATTTGTTGCGCGTGAGCCTTATACGTCATGGAGGAAGCAATTCAGAGTGTGCGCATTGCTTTGCTCACAGAGCAAATGGCTGTACAAAGGTACGAACCACTTAAACATCAGTAGTTTCCACATGATCCCTGAACGGTTACAGGAAGCTCGAATTAGAACAAGAGGAGGAGAATGTCTACAAGGCAATCTCGATCTTGCAAAACCGCTTGCACAAGATTCATCAAACTCGCTCACGAATCCCAGAAAGCCATGTAATGACAGGGTCCGTTCAAATGCTGCCAATGCGCATAAGAAGGCTATTTCATTGACATGGTACATAGGACCCTTAAACAAGCTGCTGCTGCACACAGTCGTCAACTTTACTACGAGTGGAGTCGAAATTACCATTGGAAACTGCCGCGAGAATTGCGAGACAGCATATACAGATACGTGACCGCAGACAAACGCACATATGTGCACAAATACTCAATTTCGTTCAATGCCTGGGGTGTGAGAAACCAAGAGAGCTATACCGACTATATACAAGGGAGATTCGAAGCATGGTTCCGCAAACCAAAAATCGACTTACTATTAGACACGTCAAAAGGGAACAGGCAGGTCATCCAAGAGCTCACAGAAGCACATATACAAAGAATTCGCTTCCGGCTCGAAGGCAATGCACGCAGCGACGACAAGAAGATCGGCTGCGAGGAGCTCATTCCCGCTCTGTTTTCCGTTAAGCCGTTTGGCATCAACGTAGACCTTTTCGCCAACATGCAACAATTGATCATTGAGTTCGATGTTCACTACGACGCAGGATCGTCGGTCTTGAATAAAGAATGTCTGCATCTTCTACAGAATCTCCGCTGCAAAACCGCCATAACCATTTACATTACACGTTTTGGAATGACGAACGCACCTCAAGATGCCTTCCTTATTCTGGATCATTTGTCGGATTGGTACTTTTACATGAAAGGACTGGGATTCGAGATTCGTATCAAGATGCCATTGAATAGGCGCGGCGCAATGTACGAAGGGGATGAAACGGTGGAACTCCATCGGTTTTTGGGTGACGATATTGGATATTACGAGAGTTGGAAAGCGACATGGCCGAAACAACAGCAGAAGTCAAAGACTGCGAAAATATTTTTCGAACAATTGCTGAAATTACAGCGTGAGATGGGGCCTACACTGGGAACGGGAAAGGTGGTATTGTAACGCTCCAAATGATGCTATGTCGAGATTAGACCTTGAAACTGTGAGCCGTATGTGATATATCCTAGATTTTGTATGCACCGAAATCGTCATTTGGAACACGTAGTCGGTTGTAGATCATCACATGATTTTCCCTGTGACAAACAACAACTAAAACTTGGTAGAGTTGTGCAGGCCGCTTTCTCCACCGATTACCTGATCGGGCTAGTTCAGGGTAGCAAATCCTCCCAACGTCCTACAGCATGCAGCATGCCTCCCGTCTCCCGCGCCCGAAATGCCCGACGGGAGTCTCAAACTGCATACATACATAAATAGTCTCTTCCCTCAGATGCCCTGATTCGCAAGACGACAACTACGATGCTCATTCCTTTGCAATAGAAGGAATGAAGAAGAGCGGAACCTCTCAGATCCCCAACCCTTAATACGTCATAACACAAGAATAGCAACAATGGGATTCGTTAGGTGCCACGCTATGGCACTAAACACACCTCGCGCCCAGAGGATGACTTCAGGGAAAGCAAACTAAGCCACAAGCCGATGATCCGGGTCATGAAACATTGATTGGCAATTGGCGTTAGGCATTCCTGGCCATCGTTTTTTTATTGATCATCACGCCAGGTCCTTCCGGTGTTTATGACATAAACAAACCGCACATCAAGGACAAACAAACCAGTTTCCCACCCACACCTTTTTCTTTCTTCATTGAACAAACATCGAGGAGACTTCTTCGATTATTACGCTTTTAATTACCTGTAAGTCTCTGGTCTTTGTACTACCTCACATCCCTGTTCTCCTCCCCAATCCACATCAAAACATACCACAACATCATCCTTATCAAGACCCTCAGATATCTCATCAGACGCAAACCCACCGATCCGAAAATCAAAATCAGAATCCACAATGGCTTCCGTCCCAACCACCTCCATCGCCTCAGCGTCCCCATCCGCCTCCGCAAACGCCGCCTGCGCAACCCAAAACTTCTCCGAATTCCCCACCGCCGACTCGGGCTGCGCCGTCGGCAGCCGACAAGGCATCCCATCCTCGTACAAAGACACGCTTCAGAAGTGCTGCAAATCCGCGCCCGTCGAATCCTGGGCCGACGACTGCGCAGCATACTGCCTTGCCGTCGACCAAACCGTCGCAGACCTCGTCAAGTGCTTTCAAGACGACAAAGTGAACCCGTCGGAAATCTTCTGCAGTGGGAACAATACCGCGACGGCGACGGGGAAACCGAGTTCGAGCTCGGGATCGGGGTCAAGCAGTGGGAGGCCCGGTGAGACGGGCGGCAGTCAAGGAGATGCTCAGCAAGGGCAGAATATGGCGAGTGTGCAGGGTGTGAGTAAGGCAGGTTTGGGGGTTGTGGCTATGGTGTTCACTTCTGCTCTTTTTGGAGCGATGTTGTGAGTATGGGGGTTTGAGAGAAACAATTCGTCGTCGTTTTCAGCGGTCTTTTTGGGGGAATTGAAGAGTAATGCTAGGGCATGTGGACCCTTTGAACTCGAAACTTTGTGGAGGGGTTGTGTCCCTTTTGACTCTCCCGGCTTATACTTGATGCATTGATTTTGGAAAATAATATACCTTGGAAACCAAGGTTAAAGTTGGAAGTAATTCACAATTATTTGAAGTACTCTAGAATATACAAATCCACTCAGCGTTTCCTAATCAAGCATCAAAAGTCCTTGAGTAGAACGCGATTGTTACTACCGTGAAAGGGTTGTTTATACTGATAAACACGTTCCAATAGCCAAGAGAGATGGACCTGTCATCTACCCCATAACAAGCATCACGACATGTCGTACTCCAGAACGAATACACCATCTCTTCATCATCTCCCGAGAGAAAAAAAAAAGTTCAATATCCTCGAAAACGAACTCAATGTCTCCTTCCTTAACCTATCACCTTATACAAGTCTCTTCGTTGTAAATCAGAGATATATGTGAATATCCTATAGTATGGAGATGATCAGGTCGCCCTGAATACAAACAAAACACTGTCATTGTAGAATCAAAGTCATATGGGGCAATGCGCGCAAACAGGCACCATGCCATTCCAGCTAAAATCTAGTCTTAGCGAAAAGCAACATTCGAATGGTTGGTGTGAGCTGTTGCGCGCAGTTTGCGCAGTAGAGACCACAACATATACACATACACACACCTATAGAAAAAAAAGATCGGTAATCATTGACCTACCACATGCTGGATACGCTCTCTCATTGGTGCATCCCCTTGCAGCCACCCCCCAACCGCTCCCTCCAGTCACCACCACATTGGCCGCCACGCCTTCCGGCCCGCCCGGGCTACCCTCTTGGCTACAGGGGAATTGGGGAAGAGAGAAGTTCACCGGCGCGCTCCGGACATGGTCGCGTCGCGTCGGGATAAGGCCACCCGCCGCAGCATCTCGCGTCAGGCCAATCACCGTTCCGGAATACTACCCTTGTCGCACGTCACGTGAGCACGGATTGCGGCGATGCAAAGTGGAAGAAGCGAGAAATCGAGTCGTTGGATGGCGCTAGGCTAGAAAGAGGGCGGTATGTGCTCATGTAGGTGTTTGTGTGTATGTGGGCGTTTTGCTGGAGTATGAGATCGTTTCCGCGGGCCAGGGGACTTGGTTACCCGTAGACGTTATCGCATCGAAGGGTTGATTGTGCGTGCTATCTTCTGATAATTGGATTTCCTCCGTCACGCTTTCATCACAGGCTTGTGCTACCAAGTAGCCTCCGTGCCCGTTTCTTCGTTTTTCATCCTGCTGTGGTTGAGCAGTGCGGTTTCCAGTTTATGCACCTCAGTACCTTCTTAGAGAAAGAGGGAGAGGAAGGGGCGGTAGAGGCAGAGAAAAAACGTGGCGACGAAAAAAAAAGTGAAAATCAGACATGCGACTTTTCCTCTCATGCCCTGTTTCTTCTTTTCTCCCCGGGATAGTTCTTATCACTGACTTGATAGTACGCGCATCTTGGCGTGATGTGCGATATGCGTTACATTTCGACATTCTAACTTTCATGTTTTTAACACTTCAACGCCCACTGCACTTGTACAGGAAAACTTCATTTTACCTTTTCATTCTTCGTCTGGAATTCACTGATCTGAAATAAGAGCCATCAGCGCAGTGTGGCGAGTATAGAGTGAGGAATGCCTCGGAGTGCGTTGGGGACGGTATCATCGTGTCAGACGTTTGTCTGTATGTGATCTCCACAGGAAGTTACGACAGTAGCTTCGATGTGAGTTCACCTCTTCATCGAGATCTGCTCAAAGGCTCACAACCCATAGGAAGCTACACTTCAGTATATCAGGACATCCACATACGTATGTCATAGTCGATCGCTTTGACGATTCGCAAGAGCGATGGAAAAAGCATGCAGATGACCGAGAACGTAGCAGATCTCAATCTCGTCTCAGTGGCGCGGAGAAAAAAGTATCGAATAGGGGCTCGGGTCGAACAGCAATATCGACAAATCATACCGCCCGGAGCTTCAAGGACATTTCCATGAAGATCGTGCAAGCTGTTTTGCTCAGAAAAAGCGATGCTTACAACTCACTGTAGCGTACTGCCTCGTACTAAGCGACTCAACAACTGACTTCAGAACCGAGCTATACCGTTAGCCCCTGCTTGTCTTCCATTCGTATCTTTGGCGCGGCGCAGTACATATTCGAAACTTAGTTTCGGAGCTGGTTCAGAATCTGGCATGCAAGATCTGCTGCGCAGCATACATAGCTGTGTCACTGGAGGGATTCATACACGACGTCTCTGCGGCCTCTCCTTGCGAAGAACGGTGTGCCGAGACATTGGACTTGCGGGACATAGTTGGCGATCAATGCTCGCCAACTCAGCCCAAACAACTATGGATACTGGACTGTGCTTCGGGCAATCCATTGATCCACACTCTTAATCCGCGTCCGAGCGTGCCGTCTCCACAATATATATCAAACTTTGCGGGGTAAAGAGCAGGATTCAGGCGTAACTCGAAGCTGAAAATCGATACTTTGTAGGATCGAATTCCACCAACCTCCTGGAATCATGCGCTGACAAGGGTATAGAAGTGGTTCGAATATGACGTTGGCATAGGCACATGCTACCGAGGAGCCACTGCCAGGGCCGAGAACACTTCATATTGCCATGCCACTCGTCAGTTTGGAGTTGATGGATGAGCGCCTAACCTACCTGTCGCCGCATATCGAACCGGAGGACTGTGAATCTCTGAGCGACTCATTGCTACCTGCAGGTACCCTTCGATCTAGTGGGCAGCATGAGTTCCAAGTAGCAACTAAAAGATCCGAATGGTCTTGTGCCCATAGTGCAATGATGTGGCGTCCTGCTGCAAGGCTTCAATGGGTAGCAGCCTAGACGACATTCCTGCACTAGGTCGACCTAGTAGGATCGTCTCCAGCCATGTCGTTCTCGAATGGCAGCTCTTTTGAGCTGTTGGCTGAGTCTACTTCCTTGCGCGGTTCGGGGTAGTATCCCGTAACGGTAAGGGTGAATGCGGGGTTTTATCGTTGTCCAACCTGCCTGTATTCCAGATTGTTGTTGCGCATCTGCTAAATTCACTCGAATCTGTGTGTTCGCTGATTTGAGTCGTGATGCGCTCGCGCAGACTTCGCGAGATATGCGCTGCTTGGTGGAGAACGACAAAGGTACTTCAGGTACCTGAACGTCACAGTCTGTCGTCTTCCACCCTCCACCTCCCCCAGATTTTGGACGTTCGTGCCTTGCCCGAATTGGTTCGCTTCCGAGGCGAGAACGGCGATCGGCCCGGCTCCCACCAATCGCGTGGGACAGGTGGCGTCCGGGGTATGGAAACTTGGCTCTCTTTGGCACGCATGCCTAACCATCCCATGTCCACCTCTCTAAGAGTTACGTCGCCGGCCCGCAATGCATTCACCTAAAGAGACGCCTCATCAGCCAATCGCTGGCGAGACCACACCTACAACTTACTGGAAACAATATTGATCTTACAGTGAGACGCCTTGGGCTTGTACTCCAAGGGCAGTTCCTCCTTCTCCATCTACCAGTGGTTTTATGCGACCATGTACTTTCTCCTCATGCGGTCTACCGCGGTTGCAAACAAGGTATTGTCTAGGATCTTCGTCAAAGACTCCCCGAGCAGTGTATGCCTGCACTATCCTCCACATGTGATGCCGAAAAGCAAGGCCCTGCGTCTTGCAGTTGCTCCTGGCAGCATACGGCATGAAGTGATATAAGAAGGACCGGGGCGGCTCTGCATTGTACAGCCAGCACGCTTCCGTTCAACATTGCCTGTCAATCGATCAAGTCTCTCATCCAACTTTCGTTACCGATATACTTGCTTTTGCATCGTCAATTCCATCCTTCATCATGAAGACCTTCGCTGTTGCCGCTCTCGTCTCTTTGGCTGGTGTTGCCACCGCCCAACTCGACAACATCCCGACCTGTGCTGTATGTTTGAGCTCATAGCATCGAAGTGAATCCATCGACTAACTCACTGACAGCTGTCTTGCTTCTTGGGACCCTTGAGCTCTGACGGTTGCTCCGAGCTTACCGACTTCAAGTGCCACTGCGAGAAGTTCGACACTCTCGTTTCCGGTGTCACTCCTTGCGTCCAGAAGGCTTGCGAGGCTTCCGACCAGGAGAAGGTCATCTCCGGCGTTGTTGATACCTGCGTACGTAGTTCCCAGAACCACAGTGACTCACAATTCCAACCAGTGTGGCGTTTGAGACTCTGATGCCCCTTCGAACGTACTGTAACTGTACTGACTTTATATGCTCTCGTTTAGAAAGCTGCCGGTGTCTCCGTCACTCCCCCGACCCTCTCATCCAGCGCTCCCAGCTCCTCCGCCGCTCCCAGCAGTGCCATGGAAAGCATGACCAGCATGACCAGCAGCGCTATGGGTTCCATCACCACCTCTGCGTCCCTTCTCCCTACCTCCGTCGGCAACTCGACCGGACCCGCCCCCACTGGTGGTGCTACCACCCCTCCACCAACGTTCCCTGGTGCTGCCTCCGGTTTCGTTCCCGGCGTCGGTGCTATCGGTGCTGCTGTCCTCGCCTTCTTCGCTTTGTAATAATCGAATCAGCGGGCTTTCTGAGCGTGGATGGGTGTCAATGTGCGCCCTTGCGTTGCTCTTCGTCTTCATGGATACTGGGAATGGGTCTTAATGTTTATGTGGGCTGGATGTTTAATGTCGTATTGTATATAATGAAAAGTAGGTCTACATGACTACATGACAGAACACAAATCAATGTTTTAATTGATGCACACGTACAGACCAGTATTGTTCGTAATGAGATGTGATGCCTCGCGGATGAAGGTACTCCTGTCTTCGCCATCGCTATATTGCGATCTATCAATCGACCATATTATGTGAAATACGAAGCTGGTCTCTATCCGTCCGTCCAGGTTACCATCCCTTATACGCCGTATCCAACATTGACCCCGACCCACCATGACCATTGCTCCTTAAGCCCGTCAAGGACATAGCATTTCATACTAACGCACGTCTAGCTTAACCTTGAATCAGTTACAACAGACGACGCAAACACCAACTCCTCACCAAGGCACCCACTCAACACTCTCACACCACTCGCCATCTTCGCGCCCATCTTTCCTTCTCCAAATCACCACCTTCGCCTGCGCCCCATCTCCGTTGACGTCTATATCCACGTTATGCACCCTCATTCCCTCGGGGATATCCTCTGCCTTATTCAGCACCCCAAACACAGGCTCCTGCTCGTACTCTTGGCCCTCCTCGATTTCCACTATCCGCTTCGCGACCGCTGCCTGCAACGCCATACCGTCTAGCGTCGTAGCTTCGAGCAGCGCAATCGCATGCCGTCGCAAGCGGCCGTCGCGGCATTTCAGCGCGGTCCAGTAGAGCGAGAATAGCGTGCCGCAGTCGAGCACGTAGGACGTCATTCCTTTTCTGTGCGGTTTCGTCGGGAGTCGCGGGGCTGGCGAGTGAGGTGAGCGTGACGGGGTCGGGGATGCGGAGAGAGTGCCGTTGCGGGAGCTGGTGGTGGTGGTGGTGGTGGTGGAGTCGCAGTCGTCGCCTGGGATGTCGTCGGGGATGTCGTGGCAGCGTTTGAACAGCAGTGTGATGTAGTTTACAATGTCTTGGAAGGCCCAGTGGTATGTGTCCAGGAAGGTTTCGGTGCCGTGGAAACTCGAGCCGAGGAGTGTGAGTAAGGTGCGGTGGTGTATGCGTAGGAGAAGGAGTCTGTCGTGGTCGCTGACATCTGGGAGTACGGCGACTAGACTTTGGGTACATCGGTCCCATTGGAGTAGTTCTTCGTATAGAGCGAGTCTCTCTGTGTACGACTCGAAGGAATCGGCTGTAGATAGGTGGACTGTGTTCCATCCCATGAGGCTGGTCTGGTCAATTGCGTGGCTCACTAGCAGTGTGTAGTTGGGAGGCGTTTGTTACTTACCCATGGACACGATTTCCTAGCCAAAAGAGATATTCCAGTGACTCAAGCACTGATGTAAACCCCAGGCCTATGATATCATCTGTACCCAGACCTTGATCCGGATCCAGCAATAAGGGCTTCCGACCTCGAGGAGGCTGTGGCACTGTTCCGGCAAGTAGGCACGCCTCCCTGTCCAGCAGGGTGAACATCGGAATGAACACTCGCATAAAATAAGCCGTGGTTTCAAGGTAGTCTTGCTTGAGCGAAGCCATACCCACTTGACTCCTCACTTCCTTGATGATCTTCAAGCATCCATCCAGATGGTGTAGAGCAGCGGAGAAATTAGCTCTGACGGTCTCGATTGATATGAAAAGAAGACCGCACATGAGGGTTCGTATCCGCGACTCTTGCGTGTTGTCGTTTGTTTCTTTGATCAGGAGCTTGATGGATTTTGAGTACTGCTGGGCCGTGTACGCTTGGTATTGTCCATAACTCCCCGCGTCTACGTGGTGTCGATGCGAGCAACTTAATGCAATGACCGCATGTCGAACTGCCGGGGAACTGTGCGCTTCTTGGAGAACCAACTTGCCCCATTGTTTCGCGTCGAAAAATCGCGATAGTCGGTTGACGGCTTGATTCCGGAAGTAGTCGAAATGTAGTCTGCTCCGGTCATCTTCGAATCCGTCCGTGGGTGGAGGTCGTGGAGGTGCGACGACAACGACCCACTCGTGGTTTACTTTGTAGCCTTCGCATGTGCGGCCAGTGGTGATGCATTTTTGACATGCAGGTTGTTGTTCGTCACATTTCACCCGTCGTGCCCTAGCAAAGTTATTGCTTGTCAACTCTGAAGCAAAGAAAATTCGGTCTGCGACGACTAGTGAGATATCAAGACGATCTCTACTTACTTGCAAGTGTGGCATCCGGTCCTAACCTTCGCGTGACTAGTTCGTGTACGCTTCTTCGGTTGCATAACTTTTTTTGTGCGCTGAAGAAGGGATTAGATCTGACTGTATTGACTGCGTGGATACCCTCCTCCAACCAGGACGTGATCTCAAGCGCGCCTCCACTATTTTATGTCTTGAGTTTGCCTGAAAAGCACAATAGAAGAAAGAGAGGAAGTATAACGACGTAAATAGTCCGCTGACCAAGATTCCAGGCATCTACTACCTGCGACCGTTCACAAACGACGTTCGGGGAGCGGAAATAGCTGGCGGCAACGGCAGACACATCAAAATGACCCTGCTCACTGCCGCAAAGCATATGCAGAGCCTCACCGACAGGGTTCCAGCTGAGCGCGCAGAACACCAGTGCATCTGTTGTCCCGGCCGAGGTCATGATAAGGCCCTGGGGGCGATAGTAAATTCTAGGCATAATTGTACAAACTTGTAGTCATCTAAATGATCATGTAGAACCCAGTGTCATGAACCGCTCTCGCTACATGACGCACTGTGTTTTTCGTGGCTCACTAGCGATGAAAGCGGGCAAAGGGTACGAGCAGCCCAATCATAGTGTTGGATCCCTTACGTCTTACATACCTGAAATAGACGTGTACATGTGTACTCGCATAAGCTGGAGACAGGGGTCAAGAGGGGGGAGAGGGAGATTTTTTTCTCTCTTCCACCCACCGCCTAATGATTAACAAACGATGCTGATTCTGGAACATAAGCTGTCTACCAATGAACTGTGATTACATACATCGACGGAGAGTTTCAACGGATTCCAGAAAAGTTCTATACAAACGAGGTGATCCTCAGACGGACGATCAGAATCCCCGGATGAATATATTCCCCCGCGACAGACGCTGTCCAGACACCCTGTTACTCCATCAAAACCTGTCGGAACCCAATCTTGGCAGCTGAGCGGCCCCAAGATGCAATCTCGATAATCTTGAGCTCGGTTACGTGCTCGGGGGCCAATACGCAAAGCGGCAACGATACACAGCGGCAACAGAAGGCAGCAACATCAAACAGAAAAACTTGAAATGGTTATACGTCATGAGGCATGGACCGGTCAAATAAAATTTCAGCCCCCCATGTTTCGCCTATTCTCTTGCCTATTGGGTACATCTCATTAACCCAGTATGCTTCTCAGGACCCAGTTCTACGAGCTCGGCGGATCGCAATCCCAGTGCCACGGAATGACTGTAATACTCGAAGAGTGAGAAGTGATCGGCGAGTGTGTGAGCTTCTAGAAGATTGCCATGGTGTAGGTGCATATACGATTAAGCTTCGGTCAAGGCGTACCCCGTCAGCTACCAACTACACTTGATGCGCCCGGTGGAGAAGCTCCGGATGTAACAACAACGCGAATAGGGAGACAGATAGTCGCGAACTTCGTAGCTGCGCTGAGCTCAAATAGCTTGAACATATGGAGTCGCACACCAAAGCAGATACGAGCTTATAATTCGAATGTAAGAAAGGTAAATTGAGTGCAGAAATGCTCTCGTTCGGTATCTCAACTTGGAAGTCGAGGCTAAATTTCCAAGAACCCCTTTATCATCTTCCAATATTTGTTTCGTCTCCGTACCGAAATGTATGTACGCGATATCTGATTGTCAAACTATGAGCTGGAGTAGCCCTGGTAGGATGAAATTTGTTGTCAAAAAGTACGAACTGGATAATTGCGAGCTCAGTGCTGCTCTCTCCTCGGCAGCAACCTGATACTCCTGTCTCTTTGGGAGTATGCCAGATCTGGTCACAGATCTACTTGCTGCATAGTAATGTGTTGTTAGTGCATTTAACGGCGTTTGGACGACGACTGACGGCCATGACAACCAGCTTGCAATTCCGTTCGGACATGGCAATGGCTTCGACTTCAGCCGCTGCTAAGGCATATCTAAGTCGCGAGAGTTTCTATTAGGTGTCGGGATACGAACAACGATCTGTTATCCCGTACTCTCTGGCTCTGGCAGCTAAGTGACCTTGTTGAAGTTCGCAAGGCCTCTATCTTCAAACACCATTGAAGCGCGATGGTCACCAGGCCCTCGTACCCTACGGCGAAGGCGACGAGCTGTAGGGTCAATATCGTCCAAAGGGTCATTATCAGAGTAGCTCGAATCGCTTTCGATGGACTGATTGAGATCGCGCTTGTTCATTCCGGCTAGGCGTTTGTTCGTTCCGAATAGGCTCTTGTACGTGCCGTATAGGCTCTTGTTCGTTTCGACTAGGGTCTTGAAGATTTCGGGTGTGCGCTTCCTCATGTGAGCGATGCGCGCTTGTTCTTCTTCATCCGAAGAGTCTTCGAGAATACTCAACGCGCTGAATTTCTCGAGTGTAGAAACATCCGTGGTGGGAGTCACACGGGTAGTTAAGCCGGATGCTTCTTCAATTGATTTTAGTCGAAGGTTTGAGGTCACGGCTGTCTCGCCACCTATGCGCTCGCGCTCTTCCTCCGAGGAGTACTCAAGTATCTCAATATCATCGTGCTTGGATGGTTCGTATAAATCAACATCCGATCCTGTTATCGATTTACCTTCGGATTCGGACTCTGCAGTGAATTCACTGTCGGTTTCTGTAGTTGGTCCTTGGATGGGTGAGTTTGGCCGTCGATCTGAGGAATTGATGACTGTTGGCGTGCCACCTAGCTTACGCGTCAGCTCCAGGTAGTCTGCCATCTGTTAGATGCTTGACAATCGGTCATATAAGATTGACTTACGCAAGCCACATGTGTTACATAATGTTCCCTCTCCATCAGGACCACGCCTCCATTTTCGGGTGTCGGTTCGATTGCAGCTGTGGCACCTTCTAGGCGGTGTACTTCCCTGATCATCGAGCGAGGAAGATTGATCGAAAATGTTCTTGTGAGCGTGCTGGAAAGTAATGTCAGACTCTTCTTCACAATGAGGTGCTATATAGCATACCAATTTGTGATCCTGGAGACCTTCTTGATCGTCGAAGGCTTCTTCACAATCGATGAGAGAACATTTGAGTGGCTTCGAATAAAATATCTGGTTGATCAGTTGTATTCGGCGGAACTTTCGCATATTAATTGACATGGAATCCTCTTCTCGTGCCTTGTTTTTTGGAGGTCGTGCTGGCCCACGCACTTGAACTTTGGACTTGTCTTTGGGATCACTTTCACTCATTTCTGATACAATCTCGAACATTTCCTCGATACGACGGAATATTGAACCACATACAATACTATAAATGTTTTAAATGAGTTGACTACACTACAAAGATGGTGAAGATAACTCACCATGTGATTTCCTGTTCCGCTGCCTCTTGCTGGATTGTACCACAGCTCGGACACGATGACTTAGCATCTTTTAGTGGCTCTTTGAAAACCATGCTCATCGCAACTTTCTGCCCCGGAAAGAAGCAAATATCCCATGGCGCTGCGAGATCGACTTTGCGTCGCGTTCCCAACTCCTCAATCGCAAACTCTCCGCGGTCGATCATTGCTGGACCACAACCAGATTCTTTAAGGTTGATCTTGAGTATAGCCAGCAAGGCCTCCGGCGACCGTACGAATTCCAAATGAAACGGACTTTCTTTGTTATATGGATCGGTAAAGTATACTGGCTGCTGGCGTTGTATCTGACCAGGTAGTTGGAGGATGAACAGATGGATATTGTGCACAATCTGAAAGATGCGAAGATTCGTATGAATGACTTGCGCGCTCGATTCAAGCAGCGCTTTGCCCTGCTGTACGCTCTGAGCAATTTGGCTGGTGATCGCACTCAACGCACTTATCGCCTGGCCGGAGAAACCTTGTATCATAGTGGCGAGGCTTTTTTGGGATGACTTTTGTTCGCACTTTCCCGCTGTAGTTACTCGCATATGTAAAGTTAATAGCAGAATCGTGATACTACTCGTGTGTCCTCTAATTTCGGCTCTAAAATTTTCCACGTCATCCTTTTTGCATACAGCCCACTTGACTTTGATCCATGCATCTTTGACTAGAAGCGCGAGTCGAAAGTTAGCGGTAACTTAAAAAAAAGCTTACTATGGAAATACCGACGGTTTAAGAAATCATATGAGAATCGTCCCACATATTATATCATTGCCATTTTGTGTTTGGATCATACATACCTTTTGCCTCCGTCCCGCCTTGCTGTAAATGAGGCTGATCTCTCTTCAGCTTCCCATAAAACGAATCAATCGACCGACGACATTGCGACGCCGCATGCTGAAGCGCAACCTGCTCAGAAGTATGACAGATGTCAGGATCAAGACGTTTGACGTGAAGCAGCGCTGTTTCCAACGCATACAGCTCGTCGATCAGCGAGCGGAACGAGGAGCTCGCGTGAGAGGAATCGCGAAGGGCATCTAGAATCGTAAATCCAAAGTCAGTACGATTCTAAGAAACATATTTCGATCCCAGTCTATCCTCTCAAGCTTCCGCAAAGTGTGTGCAGTGTTATCGTAAGTCATATTTGCAAGTAAACAGGTATACATGCCAATCACGTTGCCAATGAGATTCAAAGCTGCCAGGAAATCGCCCACGGAGAAGCCAAAACCCGCAGACATGGCGTGCCACGGGGGAGAGCAGGGAATGACCGTGCTCTTATCCGATATCTGGTATCTTTCCGGTCGTTGTTTGTGGAGGTCGTGGCCTTGTTGCGAAGTTTTGCACGTTGTTTGGATTGATGGAAGTAGCCATGAGGGGTGGCGCAGTAGCGAGGCAGTGGGGGATAAGGTGGTGTTCTGCCTCATATCAACTTGTCAATACGAGGTATTCGCTAATCATGTACGACACACACAGAACAGCATGTTTTCCATGCTCTCAAGATATCGTACTGATAGAAGAGAAAACTTGAGAATAACGACACCTTCATGTAAGACACCAAGCTCCTATCTCTTAGATATAAATGATTTTCAAAGCTATGAAACTAGATATCGACGAAGGGGATGTCAAGCATATGAAGATACTTTTGTTACATTGGTGTTTGTGTGTTGAATAGCGTCCTCTCTATCACTGGGCTTTCTCATCGCCGCCTCTCTTTCGGTTATTTCTACTTGCAGGAAATATGCTTTGGTGGACGGATAAGGAATACATTAATTACCTTCACTGAATAACAAAGTGTGTTCCATTTCACAGAGGCCTCGAAAGCGATATAAAGACTGCTGGACGATCGCTAATATATTTCTTATATTGTGCCAGCGCGTTGATTCCCACATGAGCTCACCTTAAGGTGTCGTTATATCGCAACCGTTTCCCAACTTCCAACATGTTGCACTTACATGTCTACTATATCTCTATACTTCAACAGAAAAGTCTATTGCAATGCATAAAATAATCAGAACAACAGCAACTCCATTTCTCACCGAAAAGAGTGTATTTCTACCTTAGAATAGCCCGCATCACACAACTTTAAAAAGTTAAGCGGGAATAGAGGAAGTAGGAATGCATAATACACAAACCACAGACTCAAATAACTTACTAATTTCATTCACTTTATAAGCTTCCCCCCTCCCCGCTTGAGTAGAGAGACAGCAAACCTTGACTCTTCTATCTTCTACAATGGAGGGGTGTATAGAGTACATCAAAGCCATGTATAATCTGTCTATACACACATATCTCTTTCTTACTTCCTGGTTGAGGCAGATGTTGGGGAAGGTGCCCAACGACGAAGGAGAGAACCTCTCTTGAGTGATCCGATCAAGTTAGTTATAGGCAGGCAGACATTGAGCACAACATAACAACGAGGGAATCCACGAAAAGCTCAGCAAATTCCCGCAAAGGTATGAACAAGAACGTGAAATTTTTATATTCTCTCAAACGCCCCCTAAATGCAGCAATGAGAATGAGCAAAGCGTATCTAACACCACAGCCTCGACGTTCCATCCGCACCAGCACTAACACACCACGGCTCCCTAGGATGCCAATCGACATCCATAACGCCCAGCCTACTCTTAACCTTGTGTCCCTTGAGCACCTTGAGCGGCACAATCGTCGCGTTCTCCATCATATCGCCAACAACCTTGCCATGGAAGATCTGCATACTACCATCATCACTTGCGTCTGCGAACAAGGGGAGTCCGCCTTGATGGTACCGCACAGCGCGGATAGCAGCGGTGTGGAAGCGCAGGGTCTTGTATGGTTTGGTGGAGAGGTCGAGGTCGTGCCAGAGTAGGCGTTTATCGTATGTTCCAACGAGGAGGTTGTCGCCACCTGGGTGGACGTCGATGGATGAGATCCACTTAGCGCCTGGTTGGAGGATCTTGACGAGTTCCTGTTTCGCGAGGTCGTAGCTGCGGATGGAGTTTTTGGTGGCGACGAAGAAAATTGCTTTGGAGGGGTGGAATTGGGCGGTTTGGGCGATACCTTTGAGGCGGCGGAAGGGAAGTTGGGTGAGGTGTTTGGAGAGGGTGTGGATGGCGACTGCGGTGCTTTGGCCGCGGGGAGAGACGGTGGCGAAGTAGTCGCCTTTGCGGTGCCAGTTGATAGTTTTGACGGTGGAGCGGACGGTGACTTGAACGAGGACGCCTTTTGCTTCGATGCGCGTGCCTGGTCGGGCCCATTTGCCTGGGGGTTCTTTGGTCTCTCCGTTTGTGTTGGTGGAGGGTTTCGATGCGGCGTATCCCCAACCTGCGTCCAGGATGTCCCGGCTGGCCTGCTCAATATCGGGAGATAGAATGGTGAAGGGGATTATCATGTAGACACTCTCTCCTGCAGCGGCAGCCAGGATGGAAGTGTCCTTGTCCGGTCTCCACTTGACGGAATCGACGGCTTCTTCATCTGAGAGCTTCACATTCCAGACTTGACGACCTGTCAGAAGCTCCCAGATGCGGACATAACCGTCATCTCCACCACTGGCAACGTAGATACCGAGAGGATCGAATGTTACGCTGCGGACACGGCCTTCCTGACCGCGGAAGATGGCCGCGCACGTGGTAGGAAACGGTTTCAAATCTTCAGGGTTAGGAAGTTTCGGTAGCAAAGACTCGGGATCGATGTTAAGTTTATTCCTCCGCACTCGCGGTGCGAGATAAAGGTCCAAACTCCGCTCGAATCGCTCCTTGACAAAGTTTTCGTAGCCTGGGACTTTGCGCAATGCCTCATGGTTTCTCGGTAGGAAGTCTCGCTCACGATCCTCCTCGTCCTGTTCTAGCCACGCAGCCTCCTCCTCTTTATCAGGCAGATACTCTGGTGGTGGGTGGTAGCTAGCTTCATAGCCAGGTGGCGGAAGCTTTGGCGCGGCGATGTGCATATTCTTCTCAGGACGCGGTTTCTCATCAGCCCACACATCGTAGTGTATCTGCTCGTCTTCCTCTTCCCGCTCCTCTAGAGGCTTGTAGGGCTGAATGCGACCTTCCCTAATGGCCTTGACGATCTTCATGACGCGCTTGGCTTCATGTTTAGATGGTACAAAACGACGCTTCGGTTCGGGCGCAGCGCTCAAAGGCATGATTTCCTTGACACCAGAGAAATAATGGACCATTTCTGGATACGGGTCATACCCATCTTCCAAGACCTCGTTCCGGGTTAGTCGCTTGAGAACATCCAATTCTTCAGCCGACAGATTGAGAGGCTTCCCGGTCGTGGGATCCGTGAGACCCGTCCATCCCTTGGGTATGTCTATGCTATCCAGCAGGGCATCCAATGCTTCGCCCTTGGCCGGTCGCATAATCTTCTTGCCATTGATGTCGTACCCAATATGAGGATATTCGTCGTAGTAGGAGAGGTCAATGTTTCCTATCGTGTTGGAGACATCGGCAGCGGAGTCGTCCGAGTCGTAGACTGGATCGATTTCTTTATAAAGGTAGCGGGGATTTCCGTTGGCATCGGTGGTGACTGTGTAATTGGGCTTCAAGCTGTCGTCTTGCTCTTCCAAGCCCTCTTCTCCTCCGTTTTCGAAGTCCATGTTGGTATCGTGGTGGTGGGAAGAGGAATCGGAAGTTTTGAGCTTGCGCAATTGCTCGCGGATATCTTGTTCTTCATCTTCGGATTCGAAGCCTGATTCGTCGTCTCCTTCCTCATCCTCGTCGGAGAGACCTTCAATCACGCTGCTGGCTTCGCTATCGTAATCTCCTTCGTCATCATTGTCATCCTGATCCTCGTCTGAGCTGTCTTCGCTGTGCGATAGGATACCGTCCAGAAGGCCATCGGCCAATTCCTCGCCAGAATCACTCGCTGGTGGGGGAGCTTCGCGAGTGACGGCCTTGCGCTTCCTTGGATTTGTGTTGGGACCCATTTTGCAGGAGTTGGGAGAAAAAGATCAGGAATTCCGCCTTCACCTCTACAAGAAACTGTGCATGGTGGTCGCAGAAAAATAAAAAATAAGTGGGACGCAGCTCAGAGGTGGTCAGAGCGTTGGGTCTAGCGCAGGCAGGCACGAACCCGGGCGCCGCTCCCTCGTAAAGCAAACGCCTGCAGCTTCCTCAAACCTTTTACCTGTGACAACCCGCACAACACAAGACCGACAGCCACAAGGTGCCAGAGCGACACCATCCGTCAAGGCTCGACATCTTGCGCATTTGACGACGCTGACTACACAAGCAACTTCAAATCCCCGTGCCAGTATGGCTTCCCGCCGTGGCTATGGCGGCTACGACGACCGCTATGCGGGCGGCTCTCGTCGCGACGACAGGCGAGATCGCGACCGCCACCGAGACCGATCCCGTGAGCGAAACCGAGACCCCGATCACTATCGGGACGAGCGCACTCGTGAGGATGATAGACGTCGCCGTGGAGAAGACCGCTATTCAAGTGGACGTGATAGAGATAGAGACCGATATGACGACCGCCGCCGCCGCCGAGACGACCGGGACTACGATCGCAGCCGCAATTCCCGTCAGCGCTCACGTTCTCCCCGTGACCAATCTAGAGATCGACGAGACACTCGAGACAGCCGTTACCGCGACCACGACCGGTATGAACCCCGCTCTGAACGCCGATTCCACAGCGATGGCCGCCCCCGCAGCTCCCATTCGGCCGCCTCTGGCGTAGACTTGAGGCCCACCTCCCGTTCTAGCAATCTCTCCAGGGAAGAAATCAAGAAGCGTGACGAGGAAAAGAAGAAGCAAGAGGAGGAAGCCAAGACAGCTGCCAAACTTGCTCGTGTGGCAGAGTGGAAGAAGGCCCAACTCGCTAAGAAGGCCGCCGCTCAAGCTGCAAGTGCCGCTACAGCGTCCTCTACACCCACCGCCTCTGAGCAGGACAAATCAAAGCCAGCAGCAAACGCGAGTTCTGAAAAGAAGCCCGTTCAGACAGCCCCCTCCTTTCAGCTTGACCAATCTGCAGCGGCGCGCCCTTCTGGGTTCAAGGCTGCCGCAAAGCCAAACGGCGCTGGTCTTTCTGGTCAGTCTCCCACAGTCCCGTTAGCAAACATGTTGCTGACCGTTACAGGTTCCGCTGATGTGTCTCAATCCACCGTCACTAACATTGGCGCGTTCGGACTCAAGAGCAAATCAGCCAAGGAAAATGATGCGCCTGGCAACAAAGCCCTACTGGATGATGGAGAAAAGTCCGGCAAGCGCTCCCTCCAGCCACTGGCCGACTTGAACCCCGCTGAGGGACAAGAGCCTGATGCTGTCGTCGCTAACAATGGCGAGGACGACCCCATGAGCGACATGGCGAGTCCCGAGGGCAACAACGCCGAACTTCAGGCCCAGTTGGAGAAACGTCGCGCCGAGATTGCGCAGGAGAGCACAGAAACGGAAGGCACCCCTGCCATGCCCAACGCATCCAGCGAAAAGATGGACGTTGACGATGCTGCAGGCGAACAAGCCGAAGAACAAGAGGAAGTTGACCCCCTCGACGCTTTCATGGCCAACATGAATACAGATGAACCCCAAGCTAGAGCCCCCCAGGGTCAAGCCATGTTTGGTGATGACCTGGAGCCTACCTTCACTGCCGTCGAGGATGAAGACATCATGGCCCTCAAGGCATCAAAGAAGAAGAAGAAGGAAGTACCTGTCATCGACCACTCCAAAGTTGAGTATGAGCCCTTCACCAAAAATTTCTACAAAGAGCCCGCCGAAGTCGCGCAGATGACCCCCGAAGAAGTCGCAGACTTACGCCACGAACTCGATGGTATCAAAGTCAAGCCTGCCAACGTTCCCTGTCCCGTCATCAAATGGGCTCAGATGGGCCTACTCCAACCTACATTGGACGTTTTTGCAAAGCTCAAGTATGAAAAGCCGACGCCTATCCAATCCCAAGCAATTCCCATTGCGGAATCTGGCAAGGATATGATTGGTATCGCCAAGACTGGTTCCGGAAAGACTCTCGCTTTTGGGGTCCCCATGATCCGTCATATCCTCGATCAGCGGCCCCTCAAATCCTCTGATGGCCCGATAGGTTTGATACTTGCTCCGACCCGTGAGTTATGCACACAGATTGTCAATGAACTCAAGCCTTTCCTGAAGGCATCTGGGCTGCATATCGCCGGCGTGTTCGGTGGCCCCCCAGTAACGGAACACATTGCCCTCGCGAAGCGCGGTGGGAACCATGTTCTCGTTGGCACCGCCGGTCGTCTTATTGACCTCATGCAGGCCAATCAAGGTCGTGTTCTCAATTTCAAGCGCGTAACTTACGTTGTTCTCGATGAGGCCGATCGTATGTTCGATATGGGTTTCGAACCTCAGGTTCTTAAAATTCTGGCGAATATTCGCCCTGACCGTCAAACCATCATGTTCTCAGCCACACTCCCTAAGAATATGGCATCTTTGGCTCGCAAAGAACTCACCCGCCCTGTTGAAGTGACAATTGGCGGCCGTAGTGTCGTCGCTGAAGAGGTCGAGCAGATTGTCACGCTCCTTCCACCATCGTACGATCGCAAAGTCACTGAGCTCATCCGTGAATTGGGAATCCTATTTGGCAAAAATGACAATGCACAGGTCCTCATCTTTGTTGAGCGCCAAGAGGCCGCCGACGATCTACTACATAAGCTTATGAAGAATCGCTACATGGCTGTAAACACTATTCATGGTGCTAAAGATCAGAATGATCGTTCCGAAGCTATCAACGATTTCAAGCAAGGAGTCCTTCCCATTCTCATTGCTACTTCCGTTGCAGCCCGTGGCTTGGATGTACCAGGTCTCGCTATGGTCATCAACTTTGATTGTCCTACTCATCTAGAGGACTACGTTCACCGATGTGGACGTACTGGACGCGCTGGCAACAAAGGTACAGCTATCACTTTCCTTGAGAATCCCGGCCAAGAACGTTTCTCCCTCTTCATCCGCAAAGCTTTGAGGCAGAGCGGTCAAAAGGTGCCAGATAACATCCGAGAGATTGCCGAAGCTTTCGACAAGAAGATCCAGAGCGGTGAAGAAAAGTGGTTTGACCCTGGATTCGGTGGTAGAGGTATCGAGAGGTTGGATGCAGCCCGCGCTCAAGAGAAGCGACGTGAAAAGCGCGCCCACAAGATCGAAGGCGAGGAAGACAGCGAGGATGAAGCGGAGCTACCCGACGCCAAAAAGTTGAAGGCCGGCGCTGATGCTCCAGCCGATGCTGCTGCTGCTGCTGCTGCAGAACTCCCGTCGTATATGCAGATTCTTACTAACAAGATCGTTGTCAACAAGACGGAACGCGTTGTTGAATCTGCCCCGAAGAAACCAATGACTGCCAAGGAGAGGGCCATGGCTGCTGCCAACAAGGTCGATGGTCGTCTCAGTAGGAAGGGCATGATCCACCATGGCCAACCAATTGATAACAAAGGTCCTGATGCCGGAGCATTCCACTCCACCATCGAGATCAACGACTTCCCTCAGAAAGCCCGCTGGGCAGTCACTAACCGTACAAACGTGGTCAAGATTCTGGACAGTACTGGTGTCTCCATTACTACCAAGGGCACCTATTACCCGCCTGGAGGTGTTCCTGCTGAGGGTGGTGAGCCTAAGCTCTACATCTTGGTCGAAGGTGACACCGAGAACGTAGTCACTTCTGCTATGATGGAGATCACTCGTCTCCTTCGCGACGCAACACTGAACACAGAGGAAGCCCCGGCACCCCGCGGTGCTACAGGTCGCTTCACTGTTGTCTGAGCCATGTCAAGTTCGCTCTCAGTTAGGTACGTTAATATGGTGCGTGCCACATGTTCTATCCAGCTTGCCACTGGTAGGACTACTTGCAGTCTTCTGCCTTGCCCTTCCCCCATTCCCCCTGTACTATATGTTTGCTTTGATCGACGAGAAATATTTTGTGCGCTCTGCACACATCCAAAATGGCGTTTAATGGCGGTGGAAAATCTGGCTGGTCTGCATTGCGCGGCGTAACTGGTAAGTCGCTGATCACCCTTTCCCTCCATTTGAGTTTGTCTCACTGAACGTCACTTTCTTTATAGGTTTTTCGGGGGCATTTTTCAACTGTAAAAGGCGTGCTTTATGATGGGACTCTCGGAGGACTGATGGATGCGTTTATCGGAGCTCGGGTACTTGCATAAGCGATCGTTTCTCCGTGTGATTGATGGACGCGTCGTTGTCGGGAATCCGGGAATGCTTGCTCATAGCAGCCGATTTCTTTTGGGTGGCTGAATGCATGGATTACACTACGGATTTTCTTTTTGCGGGAAATGTGTTTTTATCACTTTCTCCGGGGAATGGGGTTTGATCATTTGTCTCGTGTCTACGAGGCACGCTCACGGGCTGGCAAATACAATGAAAATACACTACGATTACACAAAAAATCCATGACTGAGTGCAGTTTCCCGTGACGAACGTGTATATGACTAACTACCTCTAACACAAGAACGACGAACTGCCTACTCTCTACAACTTCGCCTTCCCCACCTTCTTCGGTCTCGCCGATTCCCCCCAAGCCTTCAACTCCTCTTTATGCCTCTCCGTCAAGACCCTCCTCTCAACCCCCTTCCTCCCCGCCCACTCTGCCTCATCCTCCCTCTCCCAAACCCTCCACCTCTCAATCTCCCTCCCAATCCACCGCGCCGCAACCTCGGCCGTCTCCCCAACCTTCTCCATAGGAATCAAATGCCCCGCGCCCTTCACAACAACCTTCTCAACTCTCCCTTCCTTCGCTCCTCCACTCCCGCCACCACCCGTCCCTGTCCGTTCCATCTTCTCGTCGATCATGGGCCCCGTGAAAAACGAGGTCTCGCCGAAAATGTAGAACACCGAGGGACGGATAAAGGGTAGCATGTGGTGCAGCATCATTGACTCGCCGCGGTAAAACGGCGTCTGTGGGATTGTAGTTGGGTAGAGATCTGGGTGGGTGCGGCGGTTGATTGCACTAGGGTTTGCAAGGGAGTATGTCGATGAAGAAGGGGTTGAGGGGTTAAGAGGGGCGAAGTTTGGGCGTAGGAAGGTGGATACTTCGTGGTGTTTTGTTGTTGTTAGAGTTACTTCTGGGTCGGAGGGTGGAGGAGGGGGTGCGGATGTTGGTTCTGTGGAGATTGTTGGTGTTGTTGTTGTTGTTGATGATGACTGAGAAGAGGAAGAGGAGGAGGATGAAGAAGGGTAGAGCTCAGTTGGTAGATCGCGTAACCCGAATGCCACCCATCGGTCGAAAACGCGTCTGTCCCAAGCTTGGTAGAATCGATTCTTCAACATGCTTGTTGCGGCTTCGTTGCGCGAGGGCCAGCGGTCGCGGCGGTTGACGGAGGCGTGGGCCGGTGAGACGTTGCCGGAGAGGGAGATTGTTTCCTGGATGACTGGGTCGATGAGGATGAGGGTTTCGAAGAGGCGGGGGTGTAAGAGAGATAGATTGGTTAGTTGGGCGCCGCCCATACTGTGACCGATGCCGATGATGGGTCGGGGCATTTGGGCGCGGAAGGTGTTGATCATGTGGAGGAGGTCGCGGCTGTGGTCGAGCCAGGCCGCTGGAGGAATTCGTCAGATCTTTTTGCTTCTCGTGTTTTTCTAGGAAGTATAGTAGGTGTGTGTATACTTACGGTCATCTCCTAGTTTGGTTTCGTTGAGGATGCCGCTTTGGCCTTGGTGTACTACGTCTGCGATCCATATCCCACGAATGCCGAAGTTCTGCTGCTGGGAAAGTTTGAGGAGATCGTCCCAAAGTGGTTCGTATAGTTCCTTTGCAATTGTTAGATGCGAATCACAGAATCATACTAATAGAATACGATTTTGCGTTTGACCAAGTCGAAGAAGAAACGTAGCTGACTTGTTCTGGCGCGAAACCACTCCACAATTCTTGGATATGGAAATCAGAAGACAAACCTTGGGGAAGGCGTTTGCATGCGCGGCAACAATAGTAATATCTCCAGGCTTCGGATTGGTATTGTTCAACGGCGTGTATTGCTTGATAGCCAATCGCAATACCTCTTCCTGGGATGTAGCGGTTGTTCTGTGGAACCCTCGGATATGTGAAGCCTCCAATACATGCTCGTCGATGCGATAATGCTCGGACGACATTGCTGAATCGAATGCGAATCTAGAAGGATTACAATGACGTGGTGCGTGTATACGCCAGCTTATTTTTCTCACGCTTTACGAATCCTTAGGAACACAAAGTTGGTGATATGAGAATGCGATCGGGCGGCGTAAGTTACGGCGACATGCAAGTAGCAATGAGATGAATTGCCGATGCATGGACAGTCGAGCGGGCCGAGGTAAATCCCCCACTCTCTTGACCTGCGCTAATTACGTTGGGAATTGTGTAGTTATTATGTAGGTATCTAGACAATTGAAGGGGATTACTTCTACGGAAAAGAGAACACAATGCTAGCTTTTCGGTTTTTATCATCTTTTATTTAAGGACAATCCGTCCTGTTGTTGTGTACAAACTTCTAATTTGACAGGTCAATGGCTCATTGTAAGTGCACATGTGGCTATCGTTTTTGAATATGCTATCGCACCAAATGGATATCTCGGGAGAAAATGCATATTGTGTTGTAAATGAGTATGGTCTCACGAGGAAAAGTGAGATAATGCAATGCAAATGCCTAGTAAAAAAGTTCAAGAGGGTGAATGGCGCGTGCAGGGGTGCTTGATTGAATGTTTGTTAGGTCACGTGCGACGCGTCAAGGCAGGCGCGCTGCATCGTCCCTTCAGGTACAGTCGAGGCTAGCGCGACTTAAACTGAGCTCTCACCACTCCGACATTCAACCTACACCACAACATTGTGGCCGCACCAGCACCATGGAGGATACAGCTATGCCGGACTCGTCGCCGCCTCTCTTCCATGAGCTCAAGTTCAGTATCATTCCAACATCACTTGAACAGGACTACGTCCAAGAGGTATGTTCACGCGTCGCTGTCTTGATACACACAACTGCTAATAACTGCGTAGCTAACACAGAACATTGAAAGTCGCGGCGGCAATGTTATTCCATTCGACGCGTCCAAAGGTCGCATGAACCACCTCGCTGAAGTTACCTACATCATCTCCACGACTACCGACTTTCCCGACTACTACGACGCTCTCGAACTCTTGATAAATGTTGTGAAACCCAAGTTCATCGACGACTGTCTCGCAGCGAACAAAGTCAAGAACCCTAGATCGTACAGTCCAGATACCGCGCTCTTTATGAGCGATGTGGTTGTGTGTGTCGCAGATTTACCAGAGGGTGACCAGGACGCCATCGTTGGGGGTGTTCTAGCTATGGGTGGGCAACACGCCCAAGGACTGTCAAAGGCAGTGACGCACCTCTTTGCGCTCAGCATGGACGATCAGAGGTGTAGGCTTGCAGTGGACAAAAGACTGGCTCTCAAGATTGTACTTCCCCACTGGTAAGTCTTGCTATAGAGCTGCTGTCTTAATATGCTGCTAACACGGTGGAAACAGGTTCGACGACTGTCTGAAAGTTGGTCGGAGACTCAATGAGCGCCCGTATACCCTACCCGATCCTGAGATCCTGAACATAAACGCGGGCACCATACGTGCGCCAACCTTGAATGCGAACATCGTAGACGCGATCAATCCGGAACCTACGAATGACCCCGCTACCCCGTTTGCCCACCTAGAGGACCCTCGCGCGATCAAAGCCTTCTCCAATAAGCAGGTCAAAATTGGAGAGGACCTCAACATCAACGACAGGCTCAGAGGAATCATAACCGATGTAATCGAAGCTGGGGGTGGTTTGATGACTGAGGACATAGATGAGGCAGATATTTACATCTGCAATTATCGAGACGGTGAAGATTACATCAAGGCATCACAGAAGAAGATAGATGTGGGCAACCTGAGCTGGCTGTACTATCTCATCACACACAATCAGTGGACAAACCCCATGCGTCGCATGTTGCACTACCCGCGCCCACGACATGGCATCCCCGGGTTTGAAAACTTCAGGATCAGTATTTCCAGTTACACCGGCGAAGCGCGCGTGTTCATCGAGAATCTCATCAAGGCATCCGGCGCAGAATTCACCAAGACTTTCAGACAGGACAACACCCACCTGGTTGCTGCGCACAAAAACAGCGAGAAGTGTGACGCAGCCGCCGATTGGGGTGTAAATGTTGTCAATCATCTATGGATAGAGGAGTCATATGCTCGCTGTAAGATGCTGCCGTTGACAGACACGAGGTATACACATTTCCCTCCACGTACAAACATGGGAGAGGTGCTTGGTTCCACGGAGATTGATCGAGATGCTGTGGAGCGCATGTTCTTTCCAAAGAATCGCAAACCACAAATAACCAAACGCGATTTGCAAACCGAGGACCAGCCAGAAGATACTCCAGAGGGTGTGCCTGCATCAAGTGCTATTACAAAACCCGGCAGGCGCACAAAGTCCGGGGGGGCTGTCGCGACACCAGTGGCCAATCGTCATTCCCTGGGCAAAGAGAATGAAACACCAGGCACAAGTGGCAGCCGTGGCGCCAAAGATCGAGCTCTTTCAAAACTCCATGAGTCTGCGCCAGACATTGCGAAGTTCGAGAAGGAGATGAAACGAAAGGGCGGCGTCATACATGGGGGGCGACGACCGAAAGAGGTGAACCACGACCGAAAAGATCGTGATTCTGGAGCAAGCAAACGTTCAATTGACGAAGTGGAAGATGCTGGTGATGGAACTACTACAGAAGAAGACGAGGCTACAGGACCAGCGCAGAAAGGCAAAAAAGCCCGGAAAGAGAGATTGGGACCGATTGACTACCGCATGACGGTGACCAAAGACCCCCGATGGATGGAACATCCAGAAAAACAATCGAAAGACATGGCCCGCATGCGCGAGCTGGGCGTGTTTATTGGCGACAGTCACAAGAATTGCAATCTGCTTGTTGCACCGAGGGTGGTACGCACGGTGAAATTCGTGGCCGCTATGGCGTCTGGACCTACACTTCTATCGCCAGAATATCTCGATCACGCACTCAAGCACGGTAAACTCCCGCCATTAGACAAGTATCCAATGGATACGTCTGAGTACGAGAAGGAAAACAACATCAACATGGCAGATGCCATCGCTCGCGCCAAGCAGAACAAGCACCGCCTTCTGAAAGATTGGACCATATTCTGCACTAAGAATGTTAGCGGCGGATATGACACTTTTCAGACCATTATTGCTGCCAATGGCGGTACCTGCCAGGCCTGGACGGGTCGAACCACCAAACCTACAGCGACGAGGCGGAAGATTGAGGCTCTGCCCGATGAGGTCTCGCAGAACCTGCTCGAAGATGAAGGCGATGTACTATACCTGATCTCCGAGAACAAAAGGAGCGAAGTTGGTCTGTGGGAGAAGTTTCGTAAGCTGGCGGAAGAACATGAAATGACCCCCCGCATTGTCACCACAGAGTGGCTGCTTAGCACGGCTATTGCACAGAAGATGATGTGGAAGAAGGAATACGAGCTCACGGAGGAGAACGTGAAATAGAGCGCCTGCATCGTTTGCCAGTAAAGCTTGGCGGGCGGTGGTGTCCACTGTCACCCAGTTCGATGACAGCTTACGAATTCATGACTAGTATATTGGTTTAGGGTTCCGGAGTCACTCTCTCACGGGGTTGTTTGGGGTGTCTGGGTGGTCATTTCGGAGAATAGTTTTGTCTCTGCATCTTGTATAATAGAGTGTAGGCCATGATCATGGGCTATTCAACTTGTACAGTCGTTGCACCTCATGTCATTGTGATCGCGGAAGGGGTGGTGATGGGCCCTCTTCATCTGGATGTAGTGTTAGCTACACATCTCGAGTTCCGCATAGGCCAGCATATAAATATAAACGCGCAAGTGCTGGCATATCAATAATAACATTTTTCTTCGTAATCATGACTCTTTCATATCGGTACATCTATACCATGGTATCCCCACCCCAGAAAATCTTAAACTCTAAACCCTATATCCATCGTCCTTTCTCCCCGACCCGAAGAAAAAATCCCTTTACATCCATCCCCCAACTAGAAGAACTTGACGCCCTCACTCCCCTCGCCACCAAAAATCTGCGCCTTCCCCCTCTTAACACAAATCCCCAAACTCCTGACCAACAACTCGCTCTCCATCCCCCAAAACTCCTCCCGCCTCGTAGCATCGCTCTCGACAATCTCATACAGCGTCAGCACAGTCCCCTTCTGGCCCGTCCTATCAACCCACTCCTCCAGCACCGCAGCCCATTCCTCAGGCCGCCGCCAATATATCCACGCCTTCCCCCCTCCAGCTTCATCTCCCGCGGCGCCGGTCTTCTTAGCAGTAGAAGAAGAAGAGGTAGGGAACCATTCGGCGCGGTTCCCGCCTTCGGGGGAGGCCATGAAGTTGAGGACGGCGCGGGCGTCGCGGAGCGAGAGCGAGCGCGAGATGGTGGGGTTCGTGAAGAGGGAGGGGGTTGGGAGGGCGTCGATGAGGGAGAGGGTGAAGAGGCGGTGGGAGCGCGCGTAGGATTGGATGTGCGTGGACCAGGAGTGGAGTTGGGAGGAGCGCGTTGTCGGGTTTGGTTGGAGGGTGAAGAAGGGGGGGAAGGAGAAGATTGTTGGAGGGGTGTAGGTCGGGTCTGTGGGGGAGAGTGGTGTTGCTGCTGTTGATGTTGGAGGAGTTGATGTTGAGGAGGTTGTGGGAGGTTGTTGCGAGGGTGGTGGTGGTGTTGATGTTGCCATGTTGTTTATGTTTCTTTGGCGGTAGAATGAGAGGGTTCGAATTGGTTGGGGTGGAGATCGGGCAGTTTCGTGAAGTCGTGAGGCTGTCTTGTTTGTTCTTCGATTTGCGAGAAGTGCAAGGTATCGTGAGGCGCGGATGTATGTATGAAGAGTGGGTTTGGAGGCTCTGTTGACAGTGTGGGGTACAGTTCTCGTATTCGGAGGGAGCTTGGACGCGACTCAACCCCACTCAAAACGTCACTTTCCCTCTCTCAGCCCTATCGGTCGTTCCTGGATATTCAGGGCTCCTCGTGGCTGATGCAGGGTATTGACGCGTCCGGAGCCCACTCTACTATAACCATTCTATGAGCAATCGAATTCAGAAACAATAAGACTTTTTGAGAATGCTATTTATGCTAATGCGAAATGAGGTCGTGTATCTACATGCAGGTTCTTGCCGCTCAACGAAGTCTGACAAGCATGTTTTCTATATGTTCCAGGTTGATGCGAACAGCCTCGGCACACCGGGCAGCCATTGCTCCATCAACAACTCGATGATCCGCACTCCAACTAAACACGCATTCTTCCTTCTTCACAATCTCTCCATTTTCGCCAAACGCGGGCACCGTCTTTGTCCTTCCTATCCCCAGAATGCCGACCTGAGGGGTGACGATGACAGGGGCAACTGCGGTCCCGCCAATGCTGCCGATGTTGCTGACGGTGAATGTTGCACCGCTCAAGTCAGCCGATGTGAGTTTTCCGTTTCGAGCGAGGGTGCTGAGGCGAGTGAGTTCTGCTGCGATTGCTTCTATGGACAGCGATTGGACGTCTCGGATGACGGGGACGAGGAGGCCCGAGGGTGAGTCGACTGCCACGCCGATGTGTTGCGAGCCTTTGAGTAGGAGCTGGGGTTTTTCGGGGTTGGTGGTCGTGTCGAGGTGTGCGTTCAACAGAGGGAATTGTTGTAGTGCCATCGACACGGCTTTGATGATGAATGGGAAGAAAGTAAGACGGTCGGCTTTCTCCTTTTGAGCGTTAAACTTTTTGCGCAGGGCGTTGAGCGCTGTGAAGTCGACGTTGTCGGTGTAGAGAAAGTGTGGGATCGATAGTGAGCGTGTCATCTGTTTGAACATGGCAGATTGAATCGGTGTTAGGGGTTTGGCCTCATCCTTTGCCTGCTTCGTGACAGTGGTTGCAGTAGAAGGCACTGTCACATTGCCAGTGGTCTCCTTGGCTCGCATGTGTATTTGTATGTCTTCCTTGAGAACCCGACCATCTCGGCCTGTTCCTTCTATGTCTTCTATCTTTAGTTTAAATTCCTTTATCATGTGCCGTACTGCAGGTGTAGCTAGGGAAGCATGCGTCCCCAGTTTCCGCCGAGGTTTCGGTTCGTCTGTCGTTGGCTCGGCGGGCAACGGTTGTGATGGTTGTGGAACTGGTATGTCCTCTGCTACAACCTTTGTATCATTCCTTCCAACCTCTAGTTGTTGTTTCTGCGGCTCAGCCTGTTTGGGTGCGTCCTTTTCCGCTTGTTGTTCCGATCCGTCTTTCAGCAGGGCTTCGTCCGCTTCCGAGATCTCGCTTTGGATGTCAATGTCTACTAAGGGCTTCTCCTGTGAGTATAAACACTGTGTTGATTGGAAGAGAGTATTACCTTTCCGACTTTGGCCATGTCGTCCGCATCGTAGTATAGCTTCTTTATCACACCATCGAACCGTGATGTGATCTGGTGCTGTGTTAGAGATTGTGCCTTCTTACATATGTATCGCCATATTCTTACCTCGACAGACGCTTTGTCAGACTGTACTTCGCAGATAGGATCGAATTGCTCAACACGAGCCCCGGGCTTGACAAACCACTGGATGACCTGACATTCCGTGATACCTGACTCGATCAGTATATACTCTGAATAGTGACATGGAACAGCACTTGGACACTTACCCTCCCCAATATCCGCCAGCAGATAGGGCTTCACAACTTTCAAACTTCTTGAGCCATGAAACCCCCTCCTTTGTTCACGCCTCGGCAAAGCCGTCCTGCTGAAATGTTGACATGTAGAGCCGGCGGCGGCGATTGGCGAGCGATTCACCGCCGTTGTGGCCGACCGACAGAAGAAACGAGCAGCTTCGCGAGACATTGAACTCATCGTGGCAGGGTCAGCAAATTTTCAGACCAAGACATGATCAGAGAGGGACATGGACGAGTACATAAGCCCTTGGAATGTTTGTGGGAGTGCCTGTAACTCCGAGAGTAACCGTTCGGTACATTATCTGGGGATCACGCGCTAGACTGCAATCGGGATGGTTTGATCTCGGCTTAGTGCGACTCGCTGTGGCTTGCTACGACGGCTGTACGAGGCTTAGGATGGAGTTGTTTGTGGGTTAGATAAAGCCGTTAGAGGTCTTCTCTAACGATGTTGTTCTGGAAAAAACCCAGCTTCGATACCCAAAACACTACCTACCGTCAGTGCGGAATGGCTCGTAATTATCCCTCCGTGCTAAGCGGGGACGCCAGACCCCAGCTCCCTAACCCCGCAAATTACCATTCGAGCGCTAGCAGTCATCTGCACGTGGTGAACGAACAACATCTGAATGATATCATCAATTGCTGCTCATCAAACTGACCGGAGCGAACCAATTTGATACCGGCAGCTATCATGTATACGCCTCCCAGTGTACCTTCAGTTCAACATGGATTGTTCAAGCAACCCTTCAAATGTTACTTCCTGGAGCAGGCACGATTTCTGACCACTGAGAAAAGAGGCATAGTGTTTGCCTATGACTGGAAATCAGGATCGTAAATCCATCATAGCATTTAACTAGTATAATCCATTGACGCCAAAAACAAAATTCTCGAAATGCTGAACCAGCATGGGTATAAAGACACTGCACCACCGTCCCCCTGTAATCCACCTTCAATCGCCCTCGACACTTGAACGATTCTCGAATTGCACATGATCAACATCCTCCTTGTGCACAAGTCACGGCTGATGAAGTCAGAGCTTTGAGAAGCGAAATGGTCCCGAGTTCCAGCATCATGCAAGCTCGTTTAGGAGATTATCGACCACTTCCGCCACCCGCTGGGCCACCTGCTCCTGCGTAACTGAAACATCGATGATCTTGACATCCTTGATCTTGTTGATCTCATCGTCATCGGGTTCTTCGAGGTCCTGGAGCTGGCTCAAGACCATGGAATCCTTCATGTAATGATTCTGGCGAGCAGCGACACGAGCCAGCAAAAGCTCCTGGTTCGCCTGCAAGTAGATGAAGTGAACGTTGGCATTCGGGTTTTCGTCGTATAGACGGGCCGTGCGGATGACATCTCGGTACTTCTTCTTGAGAGCGCTGCAAGTCACGACAACGCCTTTGGCGCCGCGTTTGAGGGCCTCGAGCGCCGCATCTCGAAGGAGAATCAGCCAGTCCCAGCGATCGGCGTCGTTCAATGGGATGTTTTCGCTCATTTTTTGGACGTTGGATTCGGGGTGATACTGCGGGGTGTTTAGGGCTAAGCTAGGTTGTATACTTGGGATTTGAACTCACGTCGTCGCCTTCGATATAGTCAAACCCATAGCGGTCAGAGAGGCCTTTGGCCACGGTACTCTTTCCGCAACCGGCTGGCCCGGTCACGATCAGAATGTGGTGATGATTGATGATGGACATGGCGAGAGGCGGCCTGGAAGTATTGTTGGAGATTGCAGCGCTAGACGGAGAGCCTGGTGAGGAAATGGGTGGTGTGGGTGCAGTGGCATAGTGGGCTGCTTTTATCTGCGCTGGCTCGGGTGTTTGGATCATGCTGAGGCCGGCGGCCGCTGCTGGGCAAGGTGGTGGAATATACGAGATTAGGGGAGGACAAAGATGTGCGCGTGGTTTGAAGAAAAGTGGGAGTAACAGAGGACAGCAGCTTTGTGCTCTGTCAAGGCCGGTGAAATGGGGTTCTTAAGCAGGTAAGCAATGCAGAGCAACAGACAAGGTAAATGTTGAGGGGTCAATGTAAACAGGGAGGGCCACGCGATGCCGAGACTGAGGCAGTAATTAATATATGGCATGTAACTATTTGATAGGGGCCGGGGCACGACTTTTTTTAAGGTACACGCTCCTCCACAGTTGCCGGGCTGCATGACGGCAAAGGTGGGACTAGAAGGCGGCCAAGGTTTGATGTCACTCGATGCAATCAGCTCTCCTACCCGCCCGACAGGCTTGACGGGCCCGGCAGCCGTAGGATGGGCTCCTCGCTAGGCGCAATTCGGCCATCGGCCTCGATGCATATGTACAAGTACGGGAGACGAGTCTAGCGTGTCGGCGTTTGAAAAGCTGCTATGTGGCCGACGGTGGTACGTGTGTGTGTATCGAGTTGGTTGCTTCACTGTCAGAAACCACCCCCCGCATTTTCCATGTCAGCCAGCCATCATCGTCATCAAACACCCAGCATCGTCTCTTTTCCCGGCCTGCCAGCACACACTGTCTGACAGCGAAGAGGGGCTTGTTCCAAACGCGCAGGGGTTCTGCCCGGTTGTTATGCAGTGAGACAAACCTCTTGAACAAACCAAAGCAGAGGCGTATTGCGGGTGAGGGGTCGAGGCGAGCGGGAGAAAGGCATTCGAGTATTGAATAATAGCGCGTGGGGGCACATGCGACCGTAAACTGGTCTTTCGGACCGCAGCCGGAGTCTCACCGCCCGTCTAATGTTGATGTCTGTCGTGGAGCGCCAGCCAGCGTTCGGCAAAAACAAGCGGCTCTGCATCTTGACCGCTTGCCTTGTATCAGATTGCTCGTGTGCCACCCACCTAACAGCCCTGTTGCCCCTCAAGTTGGTGATGTGGATGGTGAGTTCCGAGTGAGAGCGTGCATATGGACCCTTGGCACTGATGTAGATGTGACTGCCGTGAAACATTCGGGACGCAGTTCACCGTAAACATCGCGACTGCTGATTGTTGGTACTGACAAGCGGAGGAGGTGGAGTCGCAAACAGGGATGGCCTTGAAGGTTCAAATGTGGCTGACTCTTCAGCCTCAGATGACTAAGCGCTCCCCTGCCATGCTCTATCGTGACGACGCTCGTCTGGGCCGGGGTACCTACTCCGCAACGGCGGACGAGCCTCAAACCTTCGAACCGCGTCATCAGCCGTCACGAACCTCCCGGCGCACGCTTCAGATCTTCGTGCGATATGTCCTATTTCTTTTCCACCCCGGTGGATATCGATGTTGTCCTCGAGGAATTCGACGAGCGCCAGGCGGTCGACGTCAAGCTCGACAAGAACCGGAAAGAGAAGGTACCGCTGTATCTCGATGGCGAATCGGTCAAAGGTCAGGTCACAGTAAGGCCCAAAGATGGAAAGCGATTGGAGCATACGGGCATCAAGGTCCAGTTCATTGGGACAATCGGTGGGTCGCGCGCGCGCTCCGGGTGCCATGATATCAGGCACGCCACTACAAAGCTCGTATGCTGATCGTGTATGCTTGCAAAGAGATGTTCTTCGATCGCGGAAATCACTATGAATTCCTCTCTCTAGGCCAGGAGCTCGCTGCTCCCGGTGAACTCCAACATCCCCAGACTTTCGATTTCAACTTCAAAAATGTCGAGAAGCAATACGAGTCATACAATGGCATCAATGTCAAGCTGCGCTATTTTGTGCGTGTCACAGTATCCCGGAGGATGGCAGATGTGGTCAGAGAGAAAGACCTTTGGGTCTACTCGTACCGCATACCGCCAGAGACCAACAGTTCAATCAAGATGGATGTCGGCATCGAAGACTGTTTACACATTGAATTCGAATATTCAAAATCCAAATATCATCTCAAGGACGTTATAGTAGGCAGGATATACTTCCTTCTAGTACGGTTGAAGATCAAGCATATGGAGCTTTCAATCATACGGAGAGAAACCACGGGCGCAGCGCCCAACCAATACAACGAGAGCGAGACTCTGGTCCGCTTCGAGATCATGGACGGTTCTCCTTCAAGAGGTACGGTTGGTCGCATTGATACGCGATCGTAGCTTACCTATGTCTAGGCGAAACCATCCCAATCCGACTCTTCTTGGGCGGCTTTGACCTTACTCCCACATTCCGGGAAGTGAACAAGAAATACTCTACCCGGTATTATCTTAGTCTGGTACTCATTGATGAAGGTATGCAGCAACCTTGGCACTTGATGTGTCAAAGTGCCCATTCGTTTTTACACAAGGACAAAACTAACGAATTCCCAGACGCACGACGATACTTCAAACAATCCGAAATTGTTCTCTTCCGACAAGCTCCCGAGGGATTGACACTAGCACAGGAACAAAATAAGTTGATGGCAGTGTCATAAAACCCACGTGGTTGTCCGCGATAGGCTCGCAAAAGCGATTGCGCGAGAATTGTTCTGCATTTCTGGTTACATTCCTAGTCAGAAACCCCAAGTATCGATGGTTGTAACGCCTCAATAGTTAAACAACTCGCAACTAAAGGACAGGGGAGTATTGACGTCCCCTATCCATAGCAGTGTAGAACCTATGGTGTAGAACATGTAGAGTAATGGAAATGTTTGAAACACCATGCACTTTTCGTGTATCAGGCGGGTACGCTGCCTGCTCCATAACAGCTACAAACCTTGTGAATTTTAAAAGGGACGTTAGCCAATATGCAACAGGTGTGGATTGTGGCGTGAGCAACTCGGGATGCAAAACTCCCAGTGAAGATAGAGACCGCATGATGAGGAGAGCATCAGTTCGTGGGAAACACAGGCATGGAAATGCGTTGTGAAGGGCAGAAGGAAAACACGCCCGGTGGAACATCGGGATGTGTACTCTGGATCTGGTGGATGGCACTAAAAGGTATGCAGGGAAGCCGTTTTAGGCGAAGACCATCCCATGCGCGAAAAAAAAAATCGCCGGGTGAAAAGCATATCGAGACAACAAGTTCCTATATTGTGTTCGACTTTGCTTTTCTACACCAAGATTAATTCACAATGACGTTGTAGTGATGTTGACGGTTTCAGCCTGATATATTGCCTTCACCGTTGGCTATCCACTGTCTATTATAAATTCTTACGTCGAGTGTAATAGCCAAGTACGAGGATGGCTCCAGCTGTTGCTTGTGATCCTTGGAAGTACTGAGTTTTAGTCAAGTGAGCTTTTTAAGGAGGAAAAAAATAAAGAGTCGGCATGCAATTCCCTGGTTTTAGCAGGGCAAGGTGTCTTTGTTGACCGTAAATGGAAAAATTGTCCCGCATGGTACCAAACCAGCAAAAGTAGAGGCATGCCAGTGTTCAATGCGCTTGTTTGCTTTTCGAGTAACCTTATTAGCTACGCAAAAGTGCCCACAAGTATGACGTGGGAATGAAGTTAAATGGTACGCTAGTAAATCGGTCCCGCGCTCAAACAAAACATGGCATTCTCTGAAAATCCCATGATAACTGCCATACAAATCCTATGTTGGCTTCTTATTCCTATTCATTGCCACAACTCTCGAGGTCCCACCATCTCTAGCCATTACAACCATGTCCGCACGTGGTAAGTTCGTGTTCTATTCTTCTTTCAAATAGTGTGGCCCGTAGTTACGATTTGTCTTGTGCCTTGTCTGTTTCCACGTACCAGGAATCATCATGTCTAACACTTCATAGAAGAGCAAGCAGCGGACGGCAATCGTCCTCAACAAAGACGAACCTTCACATCATCCAGCCGCAACCAGTCCAATCTTCAACACCGCAACTCTATGAATTCCACTAGACCTGCTCGGCCAGAGAGACAGACCAGTTACGGAAGCTTCCAAACCCAGAATGACAGTGAAGCGCCAAACAATAACAACAATGTTCCGAGCGCACAAGAAAGCAGGTGGGCTCATGCCTATGCCAACAGTCTCTCGAAGCAGCAGACGGAAAAGAAGACTGACAACCGCTTTTATGTCGACAATGACTATTTCGACTTGAATCCGTGGTACGATGAGGAGCCGAAGAAGCCCGTTTTTGGAATGGGTCGCCCGTTCCCACGGACCGTTCGCCCGGGTATGCTGTGGGGTCGCAGCAGAGCTCAGGCGGCTATGAATGAGCAGGGCAAAGAAGAACAGGGCTCAGGTTAGTACCACCTACTGGCATACATTGTGTAGTGCCAGGTCTCATTGATCGCGATGGGCTTAAATCACATAAGTCAATGTCATGCTAAATCTGGCGCAGACTCTACTGCAAATCGGCCCATACTCCACATTCCCATGAATGAGAATGACGAGTCGCCCCCAGACGCATTTGATGCTGAGATTGGGGGCAACTTTTACGAAGTGCAACGTAGGGAGTCTAATGAACAAGGGATCGAGGACGACAAGTTGTCAGCCGGCATCGATCGCGAAGATCATGCCCCGGATAACAATCAGGGCTTAAACCGTCTGCAGTCTCAAACACGTAATCGGTATATCTCGGGTTACTCTGGGGGTCTTCCACCGGTCGACGAAACAGCTTCGCTGCAGTCTTATGAATCGTACCAGACGGAGGCAGATAAGAAGCAAGCACGCCAGCATGATGAACAAGCTCTTCAGGATTACTACAACAACTACCGGAATCCTTTGGTACGTACCTAACACGACCCCACGTTCTGTCACGCTTTGTGCTTCTAATAAGGCATTATGAACATTCTGGATGACCTCTGCTAACAACCCACCTTCATCTTCAGGCCCGACTGCGAGCCAAGTATCCAGAAGCACCTGCGGAGTTTCTATGCACAATGATATACGTATTCTTCGGCATTACAGGGAGTCTCTACTCCACGACATACCCAGCTGCTCAGGGCGATTATGCAACTCAAGGGTGGGCCTGGGGGATGGCAGTCATGGCTGGCATCTATGTCGGAGGCGGAGTCTCAGGAGCGCACATGTCACCGTGGATCTCGGTGTGCTTCTCAGTCTTCCGCGGTTTCCCTTGGAAAATGACAGCCGTCTATTCGGCCGCACAGATCCTCGGGGGCTTGGCTGCTGGAGGGCTGTCATGGGCCATCTACCGAGATGGAATCATGAACGTTGATCCACAACTCACGCCGACCAAATCTGGGATGGCCTTTTATTCGACTCCACCAGACTATGTATCCTTGGCTACTGCTTTCTTCAACAATTTTATCTCTGCAGCGTTTTATGTCTGCATTGCGTTCGCCATCGGTGATGACGCCAATACACCACCTGGAGCTGGTATGTTACCCCTCGATTCTTCCTGACCAATATACTGACATCGATAGGCATGACTGCCTTGATCTACGGTTTATTGACCTACCTTCTCACTATCACAATGGGCTGTACGTATCATTCGGGTATCAACATCATTCAGAACTAGGTATGTACTAACCTCTAATACTAGACAACGGCCTTGGTATTAGTCCAGCACGAGATCTCGGTCCTCGCTTCGTCGCTTGGTGGGCTGGATATGGGTCCACCACCTTTTCCACGGGCTGGTGGGCATACGGACCTGTACGTATATCCCAACCACAAGACACTGGCATTGTAGATCACCACGATATTTCAACGATCCATCCATAAATTCCAGTTTGGACTATGCTAACATTGTCCCCGCGATTAGATTCTCGCCGGACTATCCGGTAGTCTCGTTGGCGCGCTCGTCTACGATGTTCTCATCTTTGCAGGCGGTGAGAGTCCTGTCAATTACACCTGGCCAACCACACAGGATGTCAAGAATCGGATTCTGTCGCGAAAGGATGAAGCGAAGCAAAAAGCACAAGAGGTGTCTGTCTGACTATCGTTCGACGATAAAGGAGGAAAACGGTAATTGATGAAGGTGTTAGTGTATTATTATCTTTGGTTCATTGTAATTAGACATCGCTATATCGGTGTTTTTGCATCCAGGTTTAGCGAGTGTTCTCTCCTTCGAGTTTGGAGATCACTTCGTCTTGGTGGGTTCGTATGATGCTCGTCTCGGCTTACGCTCTTCGGTATACCCGGCTATAACGAGACAAATCAAGGCGTCCCCAAGCAAGAACGCTGCACTGTCCAAGATCTTCTTCATCTATACGATTGCGCGAATAGTTCTGGTGTACTATCAGAATTAGCAGTAGTTGGACTGGTCGTTGCTCACGTCGGACTCTTGAGTTGTAGTCTATTTCGGTGTTCTTATTCCCGGCGGTTACACATATTTGCCAGAGAGGTCCTCCTTCCCTTTGCGCATCGCCTGATTCGCATCCATGTCGGTCCGGACCGTTAGCGGAGTGACTGAGCATAACATCATCCTGCATCCAATACTTTTTCATCAACAACAACAACCACCACCACCACCACCACCACCGCCGCCGCCGCCTTCACCTTCGTTTAGTGAGGTAGCCCAGCCACATGCTTTCCCCCCTCATGTTCGAACTTTCAATTGGTACGAGATAGTCCGATAGCTACCACTCGTTAAGCTAGGGCTGGGGCTTTTCTTAGGGTGCAACATGAGTAGCGAGGAAGAAAGCGACGAGAGAGGGGTGGAGGGGAGAAAGGTCGGGATCAGAGATAGACTGAGACATTTCACTTGGGCGTGGTTTACGGCGACGATGAGTACGGGGGGTCTTTCAATTCTGATTGCTGAGACACCACATAAATTCCGCGGTGAGTGGCAATGCTCGTGACCTTCTCACACCCACCAGCTATGATCTTGTACTCGCATCACCAAAACAGAAAAGCATACATGCTTTCATCAAACAAACACTCCTAGGGGAGAAGCAATGCGCTGAAACGAAACACCATCAGGCCTCCACGAAATCGGTCTAGCAATCTTCATCCTCGACCTCATCCTCTTCCTGACTTTCAGCACATGCATGACGCTCCGCAGCATAATCGACCCCCCTCGCTTCAAGCAATCCCTCCACCACCCCGCCGAATCCTTCTTCTTCGGCGGCTTCTTCCTCTCAGTGAATACCATCCTTTCAAACGTCCAACTCTACGGCATCACCCACGGACCTTGCGGACCCTGGCTCATCACCACCCTCTACATCTGCTACTGGATCTACGCAATCTGCTCCTTCGCCACGTCCGTCGCGCTCTACTGGATGTTCATAGTCCGGCATAACCTGCACCCCGTCCCGTTCAGCCCGTCGTGGTTCCTAGCCGGGTACAGCGCCATGCTGACGGGGACCCTCGCCGGCATCATCGCGGGGAGCCAGCCTGAGGAGCGCAGGATGGCCGTGTTGGTGAGTGGGGTCACGTTCCAGGGGTTTGGTTGGATGCTGTCGTTTCTGCTCATCGTCATGTACATTTACCACCTCGTGGAGCATGGCTTGCCTCCGCCGTCGGCGAGGCCCGGCATGTTCATCCCCGTTGGCGCCGCGGCGTTTACAGTGTTGGTGCTGGTTAAACTCGCTGATGCGATTCCCGTTTCGTATGGATACTTCGCGGGGCATCCCGGTGCGGTGGAGACGCTGCAGACGCTGGCAGTGTTCACTGGTGTGTTTTTGTGGATGTTTAGTTTTTGGTTGTTTGTGCTTGCTGTTATGGGAGTGGTCAAGGGGATTAGGGAAATGAGTTTCGTGTTGCCGTGGTGGGCGTTGATTTTTCCGAATGTCGGATTTACGTTGGCGACGGTGAGTTTGGGGCGGGCGCTGGGGAGTGAGGCGATTTTGTGGGTCGGGAGCGTTATGACGGCGCTGTTGGTGGTGGTTTGGCTGGTCACGGCTGTTGCGTGCGTGAGGGCCGTGTGGTTGCGTCGGATTATGTGGCCTGGGAAGGATGAAGATAGGGGTATGTTCAAGGAGGATTGAAACTGGGTCCGAGTCTTCTACTTTTTGTCCTTTTCCATCACAGAGAGAACCCCTTTTTGAATCGATCTTCTTGATATTGCTAATTTCCTTGTCGGGCTTTTAGTCAATGTCACACCGAGCCTTCAAGACGATATACCGGGTATCTGAGTACACAAACCGTCTCTTCTGCCGATGAACGCCATCCAAAGCTTTCCAATGCAACTGAAGAACCCAACCAACCAACTAGCAAATCCGCTCCGCAGGCTCTCTCCAAGGAACACCCAAGATCTCAAAAATCTTCCTCTCACTCCTCCCTTCCACCAACGTCCCCTCATTCAACTTCTCCCGATTCCTCCCCCTCACCACATCCTTATAAAGCCCCCTCTGATTCAGCCTCATCCCCTTCTTGCTTGCCAGCAGTCTAATACTGCGATTGAATATATCGTTACCGGTGAAATACAGCAGTGCAGCACCCATCTCGTAGTCCGGCACAAGCAGCAAATCTAGACGCCGCCACGTAGTCGAGGTAGGAAGACACGACACGCCATGCCACTTTGTGCCCTCGTCGTGGCGCGAAGACGTCGCGAGCTTACATTTTAAAAAGCCTGAGGCTGTGAGGGACGGAACGAGGGTTTCGAAAGCGATGGTGCGGAGCTCGGCGATCGAGGCGTTGGGTTTGCTGATGATGATGTCGATGTCGCCCGAGTCTTTTGCGCCGCGGCGGTAGGAGCCCATGATTGTGCTTTGCATTGCGGGGTCGAGTTTGTGCAGCGCGGTTTCAATGTATTCGCCGTGCGCTTCGACTTCGGCGCGGGGGATGCGTGTCGCGAAGTCTTTGTAGTGGTCTATACCGATTTTTTGTGAGTCTGTGAGTTTAGCGGATGTGATGAGGTCGTTCAACGTTCGATGGCCGGCTTGGATCCATTTGTTGGCTTGGACTAGCCCGACGCCGTAGATTCCTAGGAAGAGGCGTAAGACTTGGTCTGTTGGGTCGTTGCGTGTGCTATCTAGTCTTCGTAGTCGGTCTGTGAGGACAATCTCCTCGATCTTGTCCGCGAGGCGTTTTCCGATGAAGGGGAGCGCTACGGCTTGTTTCGACGTGGTGATTTTTTGGTCTTGCTGGCGGAGAGTGGCAATGGCTTTTCGGTAGGCAACTGGTCGCCATTGATCTTGCATTTGGTCGTAGTACTTGCCCATTTGATCTATACAGAAGGGTAAAAGGTCAGTACAACTCAAGTAGAAATGGTATTATAGGGAATCAGAAACGTGAAAGCCACCGTAAAATACTTCACCAACAACGTGGCACCAAGGATTGACTTACCAAGAATCTCGATGGTTCGAGCATTTGGATTTTGACTTGACTGGCGGCCAGCTGGATTCATGCATGAGAACGTATCGAGTGGCATCTTGCGGTTCCCACTGCCGGCACCATTACTCGAGGCCACACGAGCAGACCTGCGAGGCTTGGGGACTGGCTCGTCTTCTTCTGTTTCTGAACCGCTATCTTCACCCCCCGAATTTAGTGGTCGAGAATCGTCGTCTTGGTCCTCATCAATGGGTAGATGAGCAATAGCTTTAGTCTCTTCGATTGCTGTCGAAAGCGCATCGTTGTATGTCTGTGCGGGAGCTTTCACGTCCTCATGGATGAAGCTGTCTTTGACCACTTCTTCATCCAGATTATTAGATTCTTCGGGGTTAGCATTTGAGCCAGTAAGACTGTTTTCCGAGATCATAGAGTCCTCTACGAGGGGGTGATTCTCTGTTGCTGATGTTGATGATGATATACTCTGTGCAGAGCTCGGGATCAAAACTGAACTTGAGTTTGCAGCCGCACGTCCGAGCTTACTAGCATCTGGTTGGGGAGCACCTTTTACACGGTGTCTACCGGCTGTCGGATCCATCAGCGTTCCAAACTGTATGCATTGCGGTACATAAGGTTCAAATTTCACAATTATAATGTGTCGCTAAGGTCGAAGCATTAGCAAAAGTCAGATTGCGGGGAGAATAAGTACTCACAGGTAGGTCTGTTTTGTTGAGATGGCGCAATAAGTCGGAGTATGTATCGTCACGATTGTCAAATACAATATGCGTGATGTCGTCTCGCCATGAATTGACCCAGATCGCTCCCACCTGGATAAGCTTATGGATTCGAGTACGACGCACCATGCTGATGTCATTGTTTGGATACATATAGACGACTTTGCCTTTGAAGATCTGTCTTTCTTCTGGCACAAGCTTGATGTTAGTCGCTGGCTGGGCCTTCTTTCCATTCTTCAATTCTCGAGGCACAGCCCCATGCTGTCTATAATCTGGAATGTTTGCTTGCACATCCAGACTAGGCATCGATGACGTCCTCTTTGGCATCCTTTGTGATTCGCCCTCGCCATCTCGAGTTTTTCTCCGTTTGCGAGAGGCAATAGAGGAAAATGAAGAATCTGGAGAATGATCTGTGACATCTGAATTCGGCTCAGTCAATGACCGTTTCAGAGGATGGGTAATAGACGGCTTTGTGCTAGATGTTTGGGCTGTTTTGCGTGCCTCCCATTCCCTTCGTTGCTCCTTCATCGTTGGTCCGAGAAAACTACCAAAGCTACGAGGAAGCCTAGGTGGAGGCATAGCTTCGACATCGGCAAGTGCCCGTCCGATGGCTAAGAAGCTTTCATTTGGGGAATGATGCTCGTCATCTGAATGCAGCTCCTGTTGTTCAAAATATCTTTCCTTTTCTCGAAGCTTGTCCGAGTCCATAATAGTATAATTGAAATTATCAATGTTGAGGTATGGTTGATCAAGCATGGAAGGTGGGTGGAAGGGGTTGCGCAATTATGTAGGTAGATATACTCGAGAGTGAAAGTAAGCAAGGTGGTGATTGGTCGCGTAGTTAAGGCAGCAAGGGCAAGGGCATACACGCTTGTGCGCCTCATCACGTGATCTGTACTGATCTGTACTGATCTGTACTAGCGCAAAAACCTATTCTACAGATCAGTACATATGCAGTTCACTTCTTACTTTGCTCTTTGCGTGAGATATATCTTGGCGCGAGTGAATATTCACTGATTGCTCGTAGACTCAAGCTTCACCAAAATGCGTTAAAACTCTTGTTGCAACTTTGCCTCCGGAATTGCGGCTATTTGGACTCCCATTTGTTTGGGCCGGCTCCGGCTCAATAGCTCCAAACTCTGCCGAGTCAAGGCCGCACTTTGTTTTGAGAGCTTTCAGGGTTTCTTTCAAGGGGGACTCGTCCGGCCCTCGAATCAGAGGTATTGAGGCCACGATTATTGACAAGGTAAAAGCACAATAGACCAGCTCTTTTACAGTCTCCTCCGCATTCGTTGTGGAAAAATGCCACTAACAACTTGGAGACAAATTCGACATGCCCCTATTTCCCGAACAGATCTACTCATAAACTTCGACACACCGGACTGGATTCTGTGCCTGTTCCAATTATCTGCTATTGCTCTAAACAGCCTAGTACTGGGATCATGCTCCCAATTCGACGATCCAGATCCAGACTCAATCCGTCCCACGTTAGCAACGAACCATCGTTATTGTTTATGGTGTGTCTGCGCCTCCACCTCCGTCCGCTAGTTTCACAAGCAGGAACCCACCTGTCATTGCATGTGGCGCATCCCTATATGAGAGTGGCGTTCCCCTTCACTTTTTCTCAATACAAAAGTCTTGCATTCGTCCACAGCAAATTCTTGTTCATAATGTTTTGAGGGCGACACACACTGTTCCTACTATTCTACTCTGCGTCCTGCCTCGCTTTTCGGGTTTCTTTCTAACTGTGTTGTATAATATATTTAATTCATCTTCCGTCTGTTCGCTATGGTCGACAACAAACCATCGCTGAGTCGTCTCTTGTGGCCCATTGGCTTGATATTGCAACCAGCCCTCTCAGCTCAATACGCTACATCAGATAGTACAACACCTCACGACAATCTGCAAAACTGTTCATGTTATGTCATAAACTCCGGTTCCGACTCCAACACGCCTTCTTACTTTCAATACTATCGCTTTTACGACTTTCGAAACTTAGCAGACGACTCCGAGCAGCTCACAAATGTCCCCCCTCTCCTCGACACTGCGCAAGGCGCCGCAGATGCAAGCGTAGGGAATGCAGACATTCTCGGTAGCGGCGCATGGAACACGGATTGGAACATTCAGAACTGGAGTAAACCCTCCACGCCAGACTTCCCCATACCGATGGTGAATTCTCCAGCAAACGTTTACATCCAGCAAAATAATGTGAACGATGATGACTTCACGTTCCTCACCCTACGAACAAACCGCGTCAGTGGGTCTCAAATCGCAGCAGAGATAGAAAACATGCAGAAAAATCTAATGCACGTCTCTATGAGAATGTATGCACGAGTCACTGGAGCAAAGGGGGCCGTTGCTGGGTTCTTCACTTTTTACGACGACGACAACGAAACCGACATTGAGATACTGACGAGAGATCCCACCGACACCATCCGCTACACGAATCAGCCTTCAGTCGACAAAGACGGCAACGAAATCGCGACAGCTTCTCTCGCACCTCAGAAGTTGGCAACATGGGAAGAATGGCAGAGCCATCGCATCGATTGGCTGGACAAGAACAGTTTCTGGTACTTGAATGGAAAACAAGTCGCGGCGAACACCTATTCGGTTCCTCGGAAGCCCAGTGGGTTGACGGTCAACATGTGGTCCGAGTAAGCTTTATCCATCTCCACCTGTCTTCATGCAACACGTGCTAATCTAGACACGCAGCGGCGGAGAATGGTCCGGGAACATGACTGAGGGCGACTCCGCAGAGTTCCAGATTCAGTGGATCGAGATGACCTTCAACACAAGTGGCCCAGTGGAGGGCCCCAAAAAGGACAAACGCGACGCGGAGCTGTTACAAAAGAGGAAGAAGAAGGAGAAAGGATGCGAAGTTGTTTGTAAGATCGATGATGTTGAGAAGGTTGGTACACCGGAGATTGTCAGCGTTAACTACAGTATGGCTGGCAGTGTGTCGGTGTCATGGGGACTGTTGGCTGTAGTAGGGCTCGTGTCAGCTTTGAATGGGTTATGATGGATTGACATGTTGGCAAAAATCTCGAAGCCCGATGCACGTATGATGCTTCATGGCGATACAATCTGTTGTGGAATTCAATTCTTGTTTGGTGTTGATTCGCTCTCGTACCTGAGCTGACCCGGGCGTCATCACTAGGAGCTACCCCGCGCTAAGTGCTACCATTGTACGCTTGTGAGCTCTCACTAGGGCCTACTAACACTTTCCCCGCCAAACAACCACCACCCTTCATCCCCAACCTACACAGTAATACCTTACAACTCGATTGCCAACATGACTACTTCCATTGATTCTGAGCTTCTCAAGCAATACCTTGCCGACAATCCCCCTACGGTCGTTCCCCTAGCTATTAAGCCCCACTTTGAAGCTCTCACAGACAAAGAGAAGCTATACGCCCATCACATCTCAGTGTAAGCCTATTCAAATGCTACACAGGACTCTGACTAACCTTCTGAAACAGAGCCTGCTGGGCAGGTACGCGTATCGTCCTACGACAGGTCTCACCTGAGGCTGAAGACATCTACGACTTCATTGTCACGCTCCACAAGCACTGCAAAGGCGACTACTCAGCCATCGCTAAGGAAGCAGGTCTCTCTGAAGATGACCTCGAGGCTTACCTCAACTACTCTGCACAGTTCCTCGGGAACCTCGGCAATTACAAATCATTTGGTGACTCCAAATTCGTACCACGTCTCGATGCTCGACAGCTAAAGGCATTGGCTACTACATCTCCATCGGCTCTTTCACTGTACGAGAAGTTCAAGGACGCTATATACGCAGGGAACGACGCGGGCAAGCTGCATCTGGGATACCCTGGTTCGGGCCATGTGTCAACATACTACCCGGACAGCCCGGATATCACACAAGAGGAGATCGCCAAAATCAGTGACTTCTTGGAGGGCAAGCGGTTGTTGCCAGAGAATACAAGGGTCAAAAAGACATCAGAAGGCTACGAAGTCTTGATCGCTAGTGCCCAACCAGACCCATCGTCAGGGGATCGAGATCTGAGCGAGAGTGAATGGACAATGGATAGCAAGAAAGTCAAGCTAGTTTTCGGTGACTATTCCAAAGAAATGGAGACTATTGCGCATCACATGGCAGAGGCGAAGAAATACGCGGCAAATGAGAACCAGGCAAATATGATGGAGCAATACGCAAAGAGTTTCCGTACCGGGTCATTGGAAGCGTACAAGGAGAGCCAGCGGTATTGGATCAAAGACAAGGGCCCAGAGGTTGAGACGGACGTGGGTTTCGTCGAGACTTACCGTGATCCACACGGTATTCGAGGTGAATGGGAAGGATTCGTTTCTATGGTCAACAAGGAACGGACAAAAGCCTTTGGAAAACTGGTGGATTCTGCACCGAAGCTGATCCCATTGTTGCCCTGGGAGTCTGAATTTGAGAAAGACAAGTTCCTGAGCCCTGATTTCACATCACTCGAGGTCCTGACGTTCTGCGGTTCAGGGTAGGTTCAAAAGGCATCGTAAATAAGTGTTGACATGCTAACCTGTAACAGTATCCCTGCAGGTATCAACATTCCCAACTACGACGACATTCGACAAAATCTTGGCTTCAAGAACGTGTCACTCGGTAACGTTTTGTCAGCGAAAGCGCCCAACGAGTCGATTCCTTTCATCAAGCCGGCGGACTTGGAAGTTTACAACAAATACCGCGATCCCGCTTTCGAAGTTCAAGTCGGTCTTCACGAGCTTCTAGGTCATGGTTGCGGTAAACTACTACAGGAGACATCTCCCGGCGAATACAACTTCGATATCAACAACCCGCCCGTCTCACCACTCACTCACAAACCCATCACAACGTACTATAAGCCAGGACAGACATGGGGATCTGTGTTTGGCACAATCGCTGCTTCGTATGAAGAATGTCGTGCCGAGTGTGTTGCTATGGCCCTTTCTTGCGAGTTCCCCATCCTCGAGCTGTTTGGCTTTGGAAACGGGAAGGAAGACATCAACGGCGAAGCTGGTAACGTACTCTTTGCTGCCTATCTTCAGATGGCGCGTGCCGGTATCGCTGCTCTGGAATTCTGGGATCCGAAGTCTCGCAAATGGGGACAGGCCCATATGCAGGCCCGATTCTCCATTCTCCGCACGTTCCTTAACGCCGGTGTTGAGTTTTGCGAGCTCGAATGGGAGAAGGACGATCTTTCAGATCTTACAATCCGTCTGGAGCGCTCCCGTATCCTTGATCTCGGTCGGAAGGCCGTAGAAGAGTATCTGCAGAAACTGCACATATACAAGAGTACAGCAGATTACGAGGGTGGAAAGAAGATGTACGATGAGATCACGACTGTCGAGCCATTCTATGAGAACAAGGTGCGGCCTGCAGTCCTCAAGAACAAAACACCACGGAAGGTGTTTGTGCAGGCGAACACTATAGAGGAAGGCGGTAAAGTGGTGTTGAAAGAGTACGAAGCCAGTCCCAAGGGTATGATCGAGAGTTACGCGGATAAGGCATACGTTTAGGGTATTTGTGAAGCAACTTGTTTCATGCAGACTTGTGTTTATCGAGCACGCTACATGCGAAATGTTATCACGCAGAAATGCGCTGACGATTCATCTGCTACTCCACATAACAGTTATGTTAGTAGTGTGAACCAATAAAATTTGCTTGGCTCTCCACCAAGTAGAAGATTTGGAATATGTGGTATTCTAATAATTCTTGGTGTTCTTTCTCAATTGATACAGAGAAAACATGTGCCTACGCTGTATCAGAATCGGCCATTTACTCGTTGACCTTCCTTTTCTAGCACGCTAACTACCTAGGTACGTTCTAGTTGGACGGTGAGTCACATGAACAAGTACAAATATCTCTACGGACTCTATGAACCATTTTGATTTTCTACATTTCACACTCTCTGAACATTGAAAATCTCTATATTGGCTTGAAACACGATCAACCAGCACCATGGAAGACTCAACTTTGAAGATTGGTTGGATTGGTCTTGGTTCAATGGGCTTAGCTATGGCGACTAATATGCAGAAGCATTTATCAGAAAAGAGTTTACCACCTCTTCACTACACCAACCGCACACTATCGAGAGGTGATTTGTTAAAGAGCATAGGAGGTATACCGTGTCAAACGGTAGCAGAAGTCGTCCAAAACTCAGATCTAATCTTCATCTCTGTACGTTTCTTCATCCAATTGATTCAATCCTCCTCCCAACCCACGACAATCATATAAACACTATCATCATATCAACCAAACTCACCCTCTAACAACACTAAACAGGTCAGCGACGACGAAGCCCTAACCACAACCATAACCTCCATCATCGCCCCCTTAACCCCTCTAACAAACAAAACAATCATCGACACCACAACCGTCCACCCAACCACCACCACCAAAGTCTCCACCCTCCTCAGTTCTCTCAACGCCACCTACATAGCAGCCCCAGTCTTCGGCGCCACCCCAACGGCGCGCGAAGGCAAACTCCTAATGGCCATCGGCGGCCCACCCTCAGCAATCCCAACCATCCTCCCCTACCTAACCGGCGTCCTAGCCCGCGGCACCATCCCCGTCGGCCCCGACCCCTCCCAAGCCCTGCTCCTAAAATCAACGAGCAACTTCATAACCGCAGGCCTAATGTACCTCCTCAGCGAAGCGCACGTGCTCGCTGAATCCGCAGACCTCCCTTCCTCGGTGCTTGAATCGCTTATTGAGCAGAACTTCGGCGCTTACGCTGCTGGTGTGTCGAAGAGGATTACTTCGGGGAGCTATATCGCGCCGGAGGGTGAGCGACCGAGCTCTGGGTTGGAGTTGGGGATTAAGGATGTGGGGATTGGGGTGGGGATTGCGAGGGAGAAGGGGGTTAGGTTGAGGGTTGGGGAGTTGAGTTTGGAGGGGATGGAAGGGGCGAGAGCTTGGGGGGAGAGGGAGGGGAATGGGATGGTGGAGAGGTTGGATAGTAGTTCGGTTTTCGGGGGGGTTAGAGTGGCGAATGGTTTAGGGTTCGAGAGTGGGGTTGTCAAGGAGAGGGATGGTGGAGTAGAGAGGGAGTGAGGAGATCTTGGAAGAGTTAGGAGATGTGGCTGGTTGGTGTTAGGAATGAATCTGGGGAGGCCTGCTTGAGTTATAAGTTATAGATTGCTGGGAATCGATATCTGCTGGAGAGGATATGACCTACACGAAGGAGAACTTGATTGCGCTGCATTTAAGACCCAAGTTCATGCGCAACCATGTGATTGTATAGGAGTAGAGTGAGTCGTGAGATTTACGTCGAAGTCTCCCCGGAATCTTACTTTGAGATAGGTGTATTTTACATATTCATACATGTTCCTGGCTCCTCCGTCTAGGAGCTGTTCCTGGTCTAAAGAAGATCGACTTGCCCCAACCAAGTTTCTCCGCGAACCTCCATATCATCAACGTATATACACATATACTCTTACATCCCTCCATCTAGAGTACACTCACCTCATGACTCATCTACACCACCCAAAGTATTACTCGCCCACTGATACGAGCCCAAGAAAATAGCACCACCCGCACTAATCCACCCAATCCTCGGTCCAATCCCAGAAAAGAAAGCCCTAGGGCCAGCTTGCCTCAGAATCGTCCTCAACATATCAAACATGCCCACCTTTTCCTTAGCCAGCATCATCCTCGTCTTCAGCACATCCAACGGTGTCGTGACACCGGCCGCCACAGCCCCAGCAACACTGCCCAAAAGCCCACCTTCCAACCCAGACACCTCGCTCTTCCCCGTAGCACTCGTGCGCCACCGCTTCAGCACCTCCCACAGCGGAAACTGTATCACGGTGAACGGCACTTCCCGGATAATCGTGATCCCCCACCCGCGGTACAGCTCCCTCCACACATGCGCAAAACCCCGCGTATGCCGCTGATTCAGAATATACGTGAGCGCAGACAACGAGCTAGGGTGCTGGCTAGCCTGCGCGCGCTGCTTAACGACCTCAGTGGGGACACGAACAGCGCACGCCGCGACCTCGCCAAGACTCGCTGCCAGCATGTGCACGCCTGCTTCTCTGCCCGTGTTGCTCTGGTGTTCTGTGTAGAGTTTGCCCTCGGCGTTGCGCGCGGTGGTCGGGGGAGCGGCTAGGTGCCGTTTTATGGAGTCGTAGGTTATGAAGAAGAGGGCGGCGCCCGGGGCGGATCCGATGACAGCGCTGCCGACGCCCCGGTAAATGCCTGTGAAGCCGCCGCTTGCGGCGAAGCCGGCGGAGGATTGGAGGCGGGTTTTGAGCGTGTCGAGGGGGTAGAGGGAGAGGTCTACGGTTGTGCCTGCTAGACCACCGGCCTGGAGAGGTTCATGTTAATTTGGGTTGCGGAGTATAGTGCTAGAGAGAGAGATAGCATTGTATCGGTTCGGATATGCTGCGAAGTCATGTCTGAAGTTGGTGATTCTGCACTGACCCTGCAATTCATTTGTCGGGGGAGGAGGGGAACGTAACGAATACCACGAATTGATGGGTATCGTAGGTGTAGCAGAGGAGTGACTTACCATGAGAGACCGCATGTACGGCGACTCGACCCACGCGTTCCCGCGTTTGGGGTCGAGGACGTTCTGCATTGCTGGGTCGGAGGCGGTCGCAAGGACTTTTGGACGAGAGACATGGATAGCATCATCGCCCCGATTTACTTTGAGATAGCTAGCTACATTTTGGTGGTCCGTGCGGAAAGCTCCCAGCTGTTATAACTACTTACGCTAGCAACACCAACTATACAACTACCCAAACTACGCTGATGAATATATACGTCTAGGGTGAAAACCCGAGTGAGCAAGAGATATTGAATGGGGAAGATTATGGGCATTTTTCAATTACCACAATGAGCGTTTCAAGTCTTCGAGTCGGTCGGTTGGCGAGCACTACAGCGGCTCCGCCAGACACACCCACCCAGCAAGAACAAAACATGTACGACGGAAACAATGAAGACGAGCCCATGAATCGCCAAGAAGAAAGTGTGCGACAAAGCGCATATTCTGCAAATTGCGAGGACGCGGAAGAATCGAGCAACAACACCAGTGATGACGACGAAGAAGAGAGCGAGACCATGAGCTCCTCCTCCTCCTCCTCCTCCTCCTCTTCCGAAGAAGATGACGAAATCCCTACAAATCTGTCCACGATAAACACAAGCTGTATAGAGGAAGCGCAGCTCTCGCCAGATGGAACATGCATCTTCACCACCGACCACGCCCGCCGGTTCTCCGTCTACGCTATGCCCACAACCACCACTACCGGCTCAAACCCTGCAAATCTAAAACCCTACGCACAACTCCAAGCCACAGATCCTATCTGGGCGTTTGCTTCAAATCCATACTTCGACCTCTACGACAGCAGCACAACCACCGTCCTCCTCAGCCAACGAGACCACTACATCACACTTCACAACGCGCTCTGGGATATCTCCAACACCTCCCCTACTCCTCCTCCTCATGGCGGTCCAATTAATATCTCACCTATCCTCACCTCTTACAAACTTATAAACTCGCTCACAGAAGCCTACATCACCCCGCTAAGTCTCACATACACACACAGCGGAACTCACTTCTACGCCGGCCACCAAAACACAATCTCCATCTTCGACGTCGGGGAGTCTTCCGCGCCCATATCGAATATCCCTACCATCCCTTCAAAGCGCTCTATTTTAAAGGGTGGAGGCGTAGGCTTCAAAGGACATATCACCTCCCTCTCCCTTTCCCCCTCGTCCCTGTACGCCCGCGATGGGATACTAGCCGCGGGATCCCGCACACGCTGGATCGGGCTGTACGATTCACGCACCAGCGAAGCTGTGACTAGTTTCTCGCTCCCCGGCGGCTCGCGCTCTCAAGAAACCACCAGCGAAGCCGGAGGAGCCGGAGGAGGCGTAACACAGCTCAAATGGATGCCCGACGGCAACTATCTCTGCATCGCTGAGCGCCGCTCAGACACGCTTCTCTTCTACGATGCTCGAAACTACAAAATAGCGGTTTCATGGTGTACAGATCGTAATGCCTTGACGAATCAGAAAGTAGGGTTTGATATCTGGTCGCCCGAAGACTCCTCCATTGTGGCCAATAACGCGTTGGGCGCGGGCGGGAGACGAAGTGGTGAGGTGTGGGGTGGAGGGACAGATGGCAGCGTGCGGGTCTGGACCGAGCCGTGGAATAAAGATGGGGCGATGCAGCCGGACAGAGTAATCGATGTTGATGGGGTTTTTGGAGATGATGTACAGAAAGAACGATTACCCGTTGTTTCTTGCCTCCTGGGCCGAGGTGGAGGGATGGCGGTTGTCGCGAGAGGGAGACGCGAGGGGAGTAAGTGGGGTGGAAATAGTAGGAGTACGACTACGTCGCGTTCCCTCGATCTCGGACGTCTCGATGTTTTGAGTTTGGGCGGTGGGTGAGAGGGACTTGCCCTTCTGCTCCAACTCCCCTCACTACAAAAGACGACTCGCTCGTCTGATTTGACTAACCCAAAGCGATCATCATAATTCCGCCCTATTCCTCAGAAGTAGATCTTTACTTCAATTCATCCATCACGCTTAAAGAACGTAAGTAAAGTCCTCCATCTCAAGCCAATCCCTGCCATTATCTATCACCCACGCGTACACTACAGCCCCCTCCATATACACAGTACCCTACTCTATATATATACACACAAACTCTCCCTCTCTCTCTGTGAGTGTTGAGAGAGGGAAGCCAAAAGCACGAGAAAAAGACTGACCATTGACAAAGTCAATGTCCGAAGAAACAGGACGAACGCGAGTACAGCTCTCACTCACTCAACAAACAAATGAAGAATTGAGAGAAAGTGTGAGGAGATAAAGGGGGTAAAGGGGGCATAGAGAGCTCTACCGTGCTCACATGTGTTGGTTAAATGCCTTCATACATATTATACTTTAAGCTCAAAGGGAAGAAATCATCAATTAATCATAACTTTTCTTCCTTCCATCTTTTCCCGCATGTTGGATGCATCGTGTTTGATATGTCTCCTGGCACCGAGTACACCTAAAGTGGTAGGGACTTTCAGGTACTGGTGGTCATCTGCGGTGTAACCATTCCCTTCAACAGTATCATATCATCGGCACATATTATTTACTATTGATACAGAATATAGTCAAATCAAGTCGCAAGATGTAGTTTCGTTAGTAATTGGAGGGACTGCCACCCGTACTATGTATAGAAGAATGTAAGACGGTGATCTTCGATGCGTGAAAATGCTTCCAGTCCACTAACACACCGACCCCTTACGACTCAACCTGTCCATATCCTATAGATCTCCCCGAACTATAGTATGTCTCCGCATTGAGAACCTGCAGATTCGCGCCTAATTACCCATGTTCTCTTTTTTGGCTATGACGAAACAATCCTTCCCGTTCCACCAGTGAGAGCGCAGAGATTTACCCAGGTTGATTAAACATCTCCGAGCCATCTAGGTCGATAGATTGCTATAAAGGTCAAGATGAATGCGCAACTGTATATTGTCCACACTTTTTCAAGATGAGATTCAACTATCTAAGTTTCCTTATAGCCTCACCAGCCTCGATCCTTTCTGTGGTCAGAGCTACGCCCACCACCGCGGCCTTACCAAACACTGCCACCGTCAATCTCAATAATAGTATTGGCGCCACTAAGTTTCTCGCTTCTGGTTTCATTTACGGATTTCCAGATAATGGGACAAATGCACAAACATCTATTCCTGATTATTTGATCAAGGATATCAAGTTCGGAGCTACTCGTGCAGGAGGAGCGCAGATCTCCGCGCCAGGATGGGCATCCGGTGGTTATGAGGGTGGTTACCAGAAGCGATTCGAATCAGCCTTGTCGAACTACAGGTCTGCGCGGAAATACGGCGGGGCTTTCATTCTACTGCCACATGATCTTTGGGGTGCCCAAGGAGGCGGGGCCCCGCAGTTCCCTGGAGACGATGGGAACTGGTCCGAGATGGAAAAATTCTGGAACCAGGTCATTGCGGATGTGAAGGACAACGATATGCTGGACGGGCTTGTTATTGATATCTGGAATGAACCGGACGGCTCTGGATTTTGGGCGAGATCTTGGGCGCAATATGTCGAGTACTATGTTCGCACAACGAAATTGATCAGGTGAAGTCCAAAATATGCTAGCGGAACTGCTATTTTCCCTCAAAATGCTAACGAGTGAAAAAGAGCCGCACTTCCAGACGTTCTCATCAGTGGTCCGTCTACAGCACATTCCCCATCGCTAGACAGCGAGAATTGGAAAGCGTGGATGTCGGCTGTAGCTGGGAACCAGACAGTCCCCGATATCTACTCATGGCATCAGATTGGCGAGTGGGAACGAGAACCAGACTCGACCGTGCCAGACTTCAACAAATTACGAGCAGATTACGGCCTACCCGAGAAACCCATCGACGTGAATGAGTACGGCTGGAACACCGAGCAGAATCCCGCCAATTCCGTTTACTACATTTCGCAACTGGAACGCCACAACATCCGCGGGCTCCGATCAAACTGGGCATCAGGTAGCGATCTACACGATTACATGGGAAACCTAGTCGCGAAAAAGAATGGACAATACGTCCCCAACGGCGACTGGCAGCTGTACAAGTACTACGCAGAAATGGTCGGAGAAAGGCTGGAAACCATAGCAGCCAGTGATCCGCAGTTCGACGTCTTTGCGGTGAGGGAGAGGTTAGTTCTAAAAGTCATCGCGGGGACAAGGTCTTTGCAGCGCAACGGCACCATCACCATCACGGGTCTCGAAAGCCTGGGCTTCGCCAGCTCCGACCTCATCGGCGTCCGCAGGTACCGCTTTGATTGGAATGGCCCGCAGGCCGAGGTTGGAAAGCCTGTGGATTTGGCCTTCATTACGTACAGGTTCACTGAGGGAACGGTGAGTGAAAGCCGTCCTGAGCGGCCGACTTCTCAAATTACACTGAGCGCTGACTACCCAAGATCAATATACCATTCGCACCTCCAACCAACACTACGGCATTCTCTTATGAGATTGCGCTCCGTAGATCGTAACTTGATATATGATTTTCATAGTCGCTGTTGAAGGGGTTTAGAGGTCATCACGTGATACAGAATGCACATGATTTGGAGCCGGACTATTGCTAAAATCTTGAAAAGTAGCTCTCTTTGCAAAAATTATCCTCGTTTATCCAGAATACTATTACGGATGCTCTATTCCTACCCAACTACATGATTCAACCTTTGTACATAGTGCTGTTTGGCTTAAGCCAAATCTCACCAATCGCGATGGCCTTATATCCACGCAAGCAGTATTTATGATTTGAAGGTTCCAAACGCAAATAATGTACAAGTTGATTCGTTGATGATATTTTCCCTCTCAATATATTATTACTATAATATGAGTAGACTATTGAATTGACTACACGTAGAATATGGAGTGGGAAAGGTGAAAGGCGGCGGCAGGCACGCGTCCGGGCAAGGGGCGGGGGTGGTTGCTTTCTTTGCCTGCACATTCACACAATCCATTATCGAAGTCATAACACATGACGCACCCGTATCAATTTCACATTAGTAGTTACCCCAATTACTTGCATAAGTACATTTCAGTGAATTGACGCCATCACCTCAACAACATTTCCAGAAAATAGTCGTACGCAGGTTCTACTCCCTCGTTCCATTGCCTTGATCCAGGCTTCAACAGAAGATCGTGAAGGTGCTCACTATCCTCTAGTTTGACGAACTTGTGTTTGACACCGGCTTCGCTGAGCGCAGAAACAAACCTGTCTGCAGAGTCTATACCTACCACTTTATCCGCTTTGCTATGCACCACGCATGTTGGCGTGCCAAAGGTCCCCTTCCTTACTTGAGCCAGTGGACTGATGGATTCGATTCTCGCCGGGTCAGGGCGTTTGAAAATCGTTTGTCCTTCACCGTTGGGTTGAGGGATTCCGTCGAGGATGAGCGGAAGGCCAATGCCCTCTTTGAACATTGACAGAACTAGAGCGGATCGCGGATCACTCGGGCGCACATATCCAACGCCGTCAAGGTATTTTGCATCTCCCTTTGACTCGTAATTGGTCAAAGGTTTTGGCAGGAGCGCCGCCCTGATATCGTGTATTGGAATTGTTCGTTCCGGGAAGTTCCTGTCAGCATCGATATCTTCGGATTCGAAATCTGTGGGGGCGTAGAAAGACAGAATAATCTTTGGTGGCTGTATCCCCGAGGCTCTTGTTGTCCAAGCACTAGTCAAGGCAAGATGACCCCCTGTAGACCAGCCGATAATCCCAACGCGACTTGCGTCCAGTTTGATGCCTGATCGCTCTAGTAATTTCGGTAGGGAGTTCTGCACCCATGACACTGAATCGCGCACGTCTGCAATGGCTCCGTCGAGGACGTTGACTTCAGGACAAAGAAGATAGTCAATGCTCACTGGTAGAATCCCGTTTGCAAGAAGATGAGCAGTCTGATGTGGGCGAATGGCCTTGCGAGAGAGTGTCATGTAACCACCTGCGTGGACCATGATAGCTTGAAGATAATCAGCATGTCAACGGTACTATCGTATTTGACGGTAACATACCTATAGGCATCGGACGCCGTGGAACGTCACTGGGCAAGTACACGTCCGCTTCGATATCGACACCATCCTCGACTTTGTAGACGAAGGTCAAACATTTCCCCTGCGCCTGTTTTACTCCATTTGATGAAACCACGATGTTCTTCTGCTGCAACTCAGCTGTGCGAGGATGATTTGGAACCCCGATATCAGCCACTACATCTTCCTTCTTAGCCTGTTCTACTCATTTAGCATTAGTCACCCCATCTTATTTCTACCTCAGGAAATATTTACCTTTGATCAGTACACGACCTTGAGCACTCAGAAGATCAATCATGTCCTGCACCGTCGACTCCAAGCTGCACTGATCGCTGTCAATGCTCACATCGAATGCGTCTTCGACAGACGATTTCAACTCAACAAAAGCTAGCGAATCGACCCCCAGAGACTGTAGAGCATCCTTAGATCGAATAGCATTGATAGGTACACCACAGCTATCTGCGATAACAGCCAGCAACTTATTGTAATCAAAGCTAGTCGAGGAGGATTGTGAAGGAGATTCGGACGTCTCAGCAGTAGGTGTAGCCGCAGATCTAGCAGTGAGCACAGGTTTCGCTGTATTCTTAGGTAGCGAAAGTGCGGTTGTTGTTAATTGAAGCCGGGCTGCAATTGAGTTTACAGACTCATTTCCGATTTCTTCCGAGGGGATGCTCATTTCGAATATCTTCTCAATTTCGTCGACAAGCTCTACTGCAGCCAGCGAGTCGAGACCGAGATCATTTATTCGTGCTTGCTCTGGCAATTTTCCGACATCGATGCCCACAAACTGGGCAATAGTGCTTTTCAAAACATCTAGCTTCTTGTTGGATTCATGCTCCCTATCCCCGTTTGGGACCGTAATATCGGTATCAGCGCTGGTTTCCGATGATGCCTCTTCATCCGAATCAGAGGCATTGTCCGAGCTAGACATTGGCATGTTCTTGGCGGCAATTGGAACACTGTCGATTGCCAATTTTGCATTGGCGGGACGGTTGGCGTTGTCCAACATTTTCTCCAGAGTAGCCACGGGCATCTTTGTGAATCGACAGCCGAGGTAATTCATGATCAGAACCCCATCTTGGTTGAGCACAAAGACATCCCCAGATACTTTCCGGTCGCTTTGTGGTGTGAAAATGGCGTAGACAGTCCACTTGCGAGAGTCACGAAAATCGATACCTGCGGTGACAAATGCTTGATCGATGGCACTAGCAATGAACACCTCGTCAGGCTTGTGCTGCCCGCTGCTATTGATCATCAATCCAACGACTTGGATGAAAACGTCAAGCGATACGGCATCGAAATGCGTGGACACTGTGCTCTCTCCGGAATCGGCATCAGAAGTCGGTACTCTAACGGTAGCCAAAGCTTCGTTACCGGCAATGATCACAGACTCGATGCCACGGAGAACAGGCCCATATATCACGACCCGTGAAAATAGATCATACGCACGAGAGGACCGCAAAGTCTCCGCTCCAGAAGCTTCTGGAATTTGAGAAATTCGACTTGCGACTAGACGTTGGTATGCCCACAGGTCACCCACACCCTTGTGGTCGATGTCTACAGTACCAGCGGCATGTATGACTGGCTTTCCAGAGAGATTATCTCTACTATTACTAGTTACCTCAAAGTGCCAGGAAGAATGCGACTCGAGTTTGCTCAGAGCCACGTCGATGCTACGGGTGGTGCCGAGTCCAAGTGGCGAAGAGTACTCGATATCGGAAAAATTCAAAGCATTTTGTTGTACTTCGACGCCTAAGAGGCCCAAAGCCATGACCGCAAACTCCATATACATGGACGCGGGACATAGCGCTCGGCCGCGGACCGCATGACCTCCAACAATGGCTTGAAATCTCTTGCTCGTACTGTTGACCTCGAACACTTTTTTACGCGAAGAGGATTCAACATTTTTTGGAATGACAAGCATGGGTGGGGCAAAGATGCTCTTATGGCTATTTTGTGTTGATGTTGCCGAAGAGTCGCAGCGCAAGGCTTCAACAACCCGGTCAATATTTGGTAGCCAATGTTTCGTCTTTTGGAACTTGTACGGAGGTAGCCAAACTTGATGAATCCCTCTTTTAGCATTGTCAAAAAATGGAATGTATGTTGTGTCAATTCCTTCGCTCCAAAGCTTGATAGTTGCTGCTAGAAACCCGGCTGTCGATTCCCCTGCGCTGCCTGAATCGACAGGAACGAAACAGTGTGCGTCTGTCTTTTTGACCGCTCGCTTGACCATTGATGTTATGGGCGAACCTATGCCAGCTTCGAGGAATAAGAGACTTTCGTGAGCATTTTCAACGCGTTTAATAGCGTCTTCAAAATACACTGGCGCTCGAGTGTGTTCGCGAATCCTGTCAGATGTAATGACGGTCCTCGGCAGTGATGTTGCGGGCTCGAATGGAATGATAGCCTCTCTAAATACCAAAGTCTTTGCAACAGCTTCGATGTCGTCAAGGATAGATTCGGTAAAGATTGAGTGGAAAGCATGGCTAACGTCAAGGCGTTGAGAACGAATCTGTGGTGTAGTCTTGGCCGACAAGAATTTCTCGAAGTTCTCCACGTCTGTGTCTTTGCCCACGATGACCTGGCTGGAGGAGGAGTTGAAACACGCGATCTCCAGGGACAAGCCGCTGTCCTCGATCAAGGTGGCTACCCTTTGCTTATCCGTATGCACAGCGAGCATAATACCTCGCTCCGGACCCCATTTGGATTGTATCAGGCTCGCTCGTGCAGCAATAAGCCGCATACCGTCCTGCAACGACAGGATACCGGATACAACCATTGCTGTCAGCTCACCAAAGCTGTGACCGACGACTGCTGCAACCGAAAGACCAGAATCGATCCAGCTCATAGCACATGCGTACTGCAAGGCCAAAGTTCCGCACTGGAGTAGAACCACATCGTTGATAGGTTCTTGACTGAAGATGCTAGGAAACATTGATGGATAGCCTAGGTCTGTAAGGGTTGCATCGCACTCGTCAATGTACCTGCGTAGACGCGGGACAGACTGATAGGTCGATTTGTGCAGTCCAACAATCCGGCGGCTCTGGCCTGAAAACACGAGACATACTTTCCTTGGTTGTTCTGGGATCGAGATATCGGTTGCGTTCTTCAACGCGTGTTGCAATGAGTCAGGGGACGACAAAGAAGCCGAGACGGAAGCGATTAGCCGCACCGAGTGGCGTTTCCGCCTCTCGGCTAGGGTGAAGGCGACGTCCGCAAGTCTGAAATTCTTTTGAGCTGGCAGCCTGAGGTAGTGAATCAAGCTTTCGGCGGTTGTGTGGAGACTCTCTGCGCAATGTGCGCTGAGGATGAGCGGAAATCTCTCGTTCGTGTTTTCCACTAACCCCCCTTCAGCGACCTGAGGCGGTTGACTGCAGAGCATAGCCGAGTTGCTACCGGCAGCACCATAACTGTTGATACAAGCTACCTTAAAAGGTACATCCCATGCTTCAGTAGCTGTTGAAATCCTCATGTTTTCAGCTTTCAGAGATCCAATCTTTGGGTTTATGGACTTGAAATTAGCAATTGGAGGTATAGCTTCATGCTGGAGCATGGTGAGGATCTTGCACAGGCTTTGTACGCCTGCTGCCGTCTCTGCGTGACCTACGTTGGCCTTGAGCGAACCTATGGAGAGAGCAGTTGCGCGAGAAGGGCCCGCAAAAACCTCACGCACACTGGCCATCTCGAGTGGGTCGCCAACCTGTGTACCGGTTCCGTGGGCTTCAACATATGAAATGTGTTCTGGCTGCAGAGCTGATTGTTTGAGAAGAGTTTTGTAGAGCGTCTTTTGAGCTGGCGAGGATGGTACTGTAATACTCGGTGAAAGGCCGCCTTGGTTGGTTGCGATGGCTGGAATGACACCAAGAATTTGCTGTCCCTCGGCAACAGCATCTTGTAATGGCCTGATAAGCACCAAACCGCAGCCCTCACCGCGGCAATATCCATCTGCAGTTTCATCAAACGGCTTACATTGACCAGTAGGGCTCAAGAAGCCAGCTTTGGCAAGGTCTAAGAAGTTGTGGATACCAGTCAGAACATTAACGCCGCCAGCTAGAGCCATAGAGCATTCTCCACTTTGAATTGCCTTGCACGCTCGGTTGATTGCTACTAGAGAAGACGAGCAAGCTGTATCAATAACCTCAGAAGGGCCATGCCAACCAAACTGGTAGCTAATTTTGCCTGACAGAAAAGCTCGAATCGTGCCTGTAGACGTAAAAGCAGTTGGCGCATGGACAGCGGTGTTATCAAGGTACTCGACAAAGCTGGCACCAATAAAACAACCAACATCGTCGGCGGACTCCCTGCTGTGGTTTCGTAGATACCCACTAGAATCGAGGGCTTGGTAGGCGACCTCAAGAAGTACTCGCTGTTGCGGGTCCATATTCATGGCTTCCCGCGGGCTGATCCGAAAAAATCCGTGATCGAAACGATCCGGATCATCGATGAAATTACCCCAGAATTTCTTCTTGGACGCCCATTTCTGATCAAGACTTGCCTTGAAACTTCCATGGAGATCGAAGCGGTCGGTTGGAACCTCGACAGCCCTAGATTCCCCGCGTGCCATCAACTGCCAGAGTTCTTCCAGGTCGTCCGCGCCAGGGATGCGGCAGGCGGCCCCAACAATTGCCATGGCGCCCTCGGAATATTTATACTGTTCTGCTTTTCTCTGGGACGATACTTTCTCGATGTACGACAAGACATCCAGTTTGGTGATGTGCAGGTTTTTCGTATAGAATGGTGTAAGAGGAATGCAATCGCCAATTCCAAACACAGCGAACAAGTGAGATTCATGGCCTGTCGCAACGAGATCAGTCGCAGTCTCTTGCAGAAGCGTGTACCATTCACACTTGCGCGCCAGGATGGTGTGTATCAACTCAGAGGTAAGTGGTGCGTCTGAGATGATCTTTCCGTTTGTGTTGGAACGAATTGGTATGCGTAATTGCCGTGAGTGCGGGAGGGTGAGAGACGGCTCTGAGCATGCAAAGTCGTTGAGATCCTCAGCCAGCTCTGCATTTTCAGGATTGTGAACTTTGCCACGCAAATGAATTCCTTGAACAAGAAGACCTTGCTCTCGAGCGTGTGCAGACAGTGCCTCCAGCACAGGAACACTCCCAACAATGCTTATCGTTTTCGGATCGGTGATAGCTGAAACATATGCCTGTTTGCCACCGAATTAGCTGAAAGTCAGATACAATTTCCACATAAATCTAAACATACACCGGGAAATTTCTTCACCAGTTCCTCCCCCTGTTCTGGTCTCTTCAACCGTAGGACAATCGTAGTGGGTCCAGGGATGCTTTCGTCATCGCCAATCTCCCCATACGCACCGATGCCTAGTGCTATTCGCATAGAAGTGATGGCGTTTGTAACAACCTCGTCCTCGTTGCTGGAACATGCAATGGCAACCGCTGGCAGAAGACCACCGCAATATCCTTGGATGCCACCTCCTCGGTTCAGTGACTCTTGGAATTCAGCGTGAGAAACTTGACGCGCTTCTAGATATTGCAAGTACTGGCATGTCTGAACAATGGTCAAGAGAGGCAGGGCGAATATCCCAGACATGTGGCCTGCAATGGGACCGGAGTCGCCCGTTGCAATCCAATCTGTAAATGACTTCATGTAACAAGGGCCTTGCTTCAAGGCCGCAATGTCTTTGCGGTGATTGGCAAGTATTTGCCACGTTTGCTCGAGGCGGCTGATTGCATCAACAAATGGCTGCAAGTACGATGTACTTGTGAGAAATGTGTGAATGCTGTTCAGATATGCAGCTGTGGGAGCTTTGCTTTGTGGAGAAAAGACCCCAACGGACGGCAGGGCGTGCTCGGTTTTGGATGTCATGGCGAGTCAGTTGAGGCGAAGAACTTGGATCAGAAGTATCGCGCGCAGAAACTTAACAAAGAGAACTGCTATGAAGAGTACTGATATGAAGAGCACTCAGAATGTTGTGAGCTACACTAAGAGGCAAAGTATAGATCTATATCGCTGAAATATTTATTTTACACTAGTCCTATCGCATACTTTTGGGGTACGTAGTTTTCATAACCATTGCTTGAGGTTATTTATCTGTATACGAACCGCCGGCCACTTTTTTCGTGCGAATGCCTTGGCTCATTGGACAGATTCTTGTGTTTATTTCGGTGTATTGCAGCGCTCGCAGTTTACTACCATGTGCAGCTTACTACTAAAGCATGACGATGAAGGGGTTGTCCCACCCTCCCCCTGTCTGCTTACCCATGTACTCTTCTGTAGTTGGCTGCTAACCGTATTTCACTGTGAAACATGGGGGAAGGAGGGGCAGTTCATGCTGCCCAGTAATTTGTGCTTACTGTGCAGCACAGCTTACGCCCGGGGTGTCCTTATCATTGATGGGGAGGATCGAGTCCAAGATATTGGATCAGGATGCAGGTCTTAGGGGAGGATCGAGTCCAAAATAATGGATCAGGTCTTAGACTTCGGGTATGTTGGTCCTTCTTTGCAAGCTCGTATTCCGTCCAGTGTGAGAAAGGATCTACACAACCAATCTTACCCCGCCTTCATGTACTGAGTATTCCGTGTTTAATACGGGTGTCAGATATCGGACCCCGAGCTGCTGAGTTGCGGAATGTTCCTTTTGCACACCGATAATTTTTGGTAGCTCTGATTTTGCTCACTCCGCTCCCCAAGTCTCGTTGATATTGCCCATATTCAGAGGATGGCATGACATGAAGCGATGTAAGATGTGCCACTCGTTTTTGCATAGAATATGTGATTCTCACATAATATACTCAGTACCACTCGTTTATCATTAGGGTTTATGTCAGTTTGGTTATCACTGACGGAGGGCAGGAACACGCGAAACACAGGGAGAGCAGACTGTCTCAAGCTCGTTCCGATGAGCACGGGTGATCACAGCGATTTTGAATCGAGTGAATGTTGGAATTTGATCTCTATCGCAAGCACCATTGACGGCGATCGTGCGTTGGGTATATTCAGAGACAATGAGTACAAGTGAAAATGAGAGTTTTAATTATCCACGATTTCAAGACCTTGCATTCTGAGTTTGAGAAGATTCGATAATCTCAGGTGACATCTACATAAATAACTTGGTGTCTATTTGCGTGACACAGCGTCTGGGTGTCGGATCAAAAATTTATGCTGCCGCATTTCCGTGTGGTCCAACTTAGTTTTGAACTCCCCGTGGCATCAACTTGACCTGCAAGGGCGTTGGCTTAAAAATTAAGAATGCCTTCTGGTCAGTCCATTCAGAATCTGATTTGTCAAATATCTGCATGTCATAATTGAAGATTAGGCGTGCAAACGTTACGCGTGCCTCGCCGAGATACAGCTTGCTGCCGATACAGTTTCGTGGACCAACCTGTTCAAAAATGGTCAGATTCAAGATATTGACTTATGAAGTAATGGAGAAGCTTACAGAGAATGGTTTGCTAGCTTCGAGGTTGTCATGACGGAAGCGCTCGTCGAAGTAGTTATGGGTTTCTTCCAACCAACGTTCCGGATTGAAGCCATGCGGATCGTTAAATTGCGTCTTATCCGTTTGAATAGCCTGAGGGCAAATTCCAATGATCGCCTGGAGTTCAATGTTAGCATCTGGAAAGCATCTGAATCTTGTAACGACAAAGTCATTATACTCACCCCACCGGGGATCCATTTGCCCGCGATGGCCAGCCCCTCTGGAGGCACCACTCTTGGTAGCGGAGAAGGCGTTGGATGGTGCATTCTAAGGCCCTCATTGATAACAGCGTTCAAGTATGGCAACTCGAGGGTCGAGCTGACATCGATTTCTCCTTCCTTCTGAAATGAACTCCGTACTTCCTCCGCAAGGCGATCGAAAGTGTTTGGATTCTGTAGCAAGAAGTAGGTGGTGGCGGACAACGCCACAGTTGAGACCTCGCATCCTGCGATGATCATGGCAAGTGTATTGCCGTTGAGCTCGCCCCGAGTAATACCTTTCTCCTTGCTTTCGTTGACATTGCCAATGACAGGAGTGAGGAAATCCCATCGTTCGCCATCAAGACTGCCTTGCTGCAATCTTTCGGTGATGCTGTCGGTGACATATTTCCAATTCTTTGCCCTTTGTTTCCTTGTCAGGCGCAGGAACAAAAAGCCAAAGATTAATTCAAGCGGGTGGAAGCGCGCAAGGCTGGTACGCAAGGAGCCGAAGGTGACGCCCATCCAGAAAGCATCAAGCCATGAGTGCTCATTCTCGTCCTCAAGCCCGTGAAAAGACTTGCCAATTGACAAATCTCCGATAATGTCGAGAGATAGAAATCCGTATAATTTGGTGATATCTAGGGTCGTGCTTTTTTGCACCTCTCGCTCTATGCGTTCCATGAATAGATCCGCGTAGTGCTGAACGATAGGGTTCTGCTGACGCAGAGATTTATCAGAAAAGGCATTAGCCAAAGTTCTGCGCATTCTTTGATGGGTCGCTCCCTGAGCAGTGAAAAGTGTGTCGGCACCATTTAACGGAGGCGTAAAACTTAACGGATCCTTCGGCAATTGCGGCTTCGCTTGATAAATATCCTTCCATGCCTCTGGCTCTGTGATGGCCAGTTCATCCGGAGCAATGCGAACGATGCTTCCATACTGTTCATGGAGGTCGATTACGTATCTGTACATTTTCCCCTGGAAATGGGACCTGATAAGTGGAAGCCTCGTCATCTTGGCAAGGATGGGTCCTGGGAATTCTCGAAGAGGATGGAAATAGACATTATACACCGTCCGCCAAGTGAAGTACTTCGTGGCTCATTAGATATGCTATTCTTTGTTCAGGAAAGGCTAGAGGCAATACACACTATGGCTACTGAAACGGATGCAAGTGCCAGAAATGTTATACCATCCGGACTGAAGCGATATGTCATGGTTGATTTTCTGCGGTGCAGTATCCAAAAATGCAAGTCGAAAAGAGTTTCAATTCAGTGAAAGGCTTCTTCGACCAGAGGAAAAGGGCAATTAAGAAGGCACTTCTAGAGGACATTCATTCAACATTTTTGATATAGTAATAAAACTTTATTACACTAAACTCATCTACCGTCTACCTCGTATTGCTGACATTACCCCTGTTTTAGTGGCCCCACCGACTTTGCCTATGATGGCTATCATAGTAAATGATTTTTACACTCAAAAGGACGCTAGCGATAGATATAGATAAATAATAGACGATGATATCAAGAGGTAGCTGATTGGCACTTGGCCGGTGGAGCAGCCAGGGGCGAGACCGTTGGAAGAATTGAAAGGATCCAAAGGACTTGGTACGACAAGGCATCCCCATGCCATGTATGGGCTGCTCCCCCTCGCCCCCTGTCCTTCTTGAAGGGCTGAGAGTCCGAGACGTTGGCAGGCGCGGGGTAGTTACCGATGTTGACCAGGGTGTTATTGTAAGCCAATTCCTATGGAAAGTACGGCAAGTTTAGAAATGTCAGCCCAGAAAGTCGCGCTCTGCGCAAACAAATAAATCAAGCCTTCCTGTGAAGTTGCAAGCAAGCAAACAAAGCAATTTGATTTATTATCCTCAGCATTTTGTAACCATGGCCGATGCACAAGTTCCAACAATGTCCAACAAACTACCCGAGACGGACAACTTAGCTATTGGGTTTAAGAAAGAAATTATTCTCGATCAGAAGTCCCGTAATCTGATCGAGAGTTATTGTCAAATGCCCTCCGACCAGGTGGTGCCCCATCTCTACGCCGTTGTATGTCACTCCAATACGTGAGAATCTTGCATGTTGCAGTCAAGCTTACTGTCCGGCAGCGCGAAAAAGCATGGAAGGTCTTTCCCTGGCCATGCGTGGGCATGTGGTCCTTCGTTGTTCCTACAATCAACACATTGCCTCAGTATTCCAGCATCATCCTCCGAGTAAAGGAAAAAGGTCAAAGGATCCTTGACCTCGGTTGTGCTCTTGGGCAAGATGTCAGGCAAATGATCGCCGATGGAGTACCCGACCACCTTGTGTATGGACTTGAACTTGAGGCAGGCTTTATCGACTTAGGTTATGACCTGTTTCTTGACCGGGATACACTCAAATCAGAATTCATCTCGGCAGACGTGCTCGAAAAGTCAGGACCCAACCCGAAACTCGCAGCATGGGACGGCACGATCGACATAATCTACAGTGGCCGTTTCTTGCATTGTTTCGGCCGAGAAGACGGACTTGTGGTCGCAATGCGTATGACGAAGCTTCTGAGCAACCGCGCCGGATCTGTCATTGTTGGTGAATGCTTGGGAGGTAAAATTGACCGAGAGGTAGTTGCTCCAGTCGGCAAGCTCCACCTATACAGCGTCGAGTCATTCAAGGAATTGTGGGCCCAGGCTGCAGAAGGGATGGGAGTGGAGTTCAAGGTTGATGTTCAAGCCCACCCAGGCAGTCAAGCGCATATGGCACATTTCGGCGAGGATGTGGTCAGCTTAGTATTCTGGGTGGAGAGATTGTGAGCGTGGGGTATTAGATGCTTAGAATATCGCAGCATGAATCATAGAGCTTAGCAACTCGAGTTTTTGGTCTTTGCCGGACTTTCCGAAGAAATTCTGTTCTGTTTATGATAGTAATACCCTCATGTAGAGCATGTAGGGCCACTAGCACAGTCAGCGCGGAACGGCTTGATGTCATTCATAGTTCTTAGAATTGTGCATGGTATAATATCGACGGCCGCAGCATGGTCTGCATGGTCTAGACTAGGGTGTTATCAGTCTCTAAGTGACGCGTACATCACTGGTGGATATTGGGAAGTGCAACCGAATCAGCTTCGGAAATCCAACAGGTATCCTGGCGGTGATGCAGCGTCAGGCCCGAGGGTTCAGAACTGCATGATGGTTAGGTAGCTTCTCCAGGGGTTTGGGTTGGCACCTCATGCAGGTTTACCAACCTTCGGCTTACTTTTTTTTAAGTGAAGGCGAGACCTTTTCTGCAAAACATCTCTCTTGAAAGAACTAATGGAAACGAGGCATTAGATGGAGCGATCGAGCCCAATTTTACATGCCGTCACCGTAGCTCAAACTGCGGAGGTCAACGAGTATACACGAATTGTTCGGCTTGACTTTGACGCGATTGCAAAGGGTGCAAATGTCAGTATTGTTCCTCTATTCAACTCTACCCGCACTAAGTTGTCCAAGTTTCTACCGGGTCAATGGCTTAATCTTCATCTGAAAAACTCGGGGCTTTCATGTCGGTGTAGTATCATATCAGCACCAAGCGCGGCATTGGCAGCTGAAGATATCACGCTGGGGTCTAAGCCGCACATTGAAGTCATCATTCAAAATGCACCTACCCCACTGATACAGTCATCGCAGGCAGGAATTTTCCTGCCTGTCGGCACGCAGCTAAATATCTCTTTCGGTGGAAGCTTTGTATGGCCACCAAATAGTGTAGGCACCGCCTCCATAACCAGAGTTGTGTTCCTTGCTGGAGGTGTCGGTGTGAGGTAAGTCCGTTTGAACAAGCTTGTCCAGCATATGACTGACAAATTTCCAGTCCACTCATATCTATCTTATCACACATGCTTGAGACAAATACAGCACCAGAAGAGATCCACTTTTTGTATGCCTCCAGTGTCAAAGGGTACTACGATATCTCACATGTTCTTGGACTTGAGCAGCTATTGAGTATCAGCAAGGCACACAAGGGGAGATTCTATCTTTACCTTTTCTTTGGTTCCTATGTCAGTAGAACGTTGATGGAGGCTGCGGTTCCGCGGCAAAGTTTCGAACCACGAGTTATCATGGGCGCAGATGTGCGAGATATATTTCGAAAATTCGAGCTCAAGCATACAACGGTCACCTACGTTGCTGGGCCTCCTGAAATGACAAACTTTTTTGTCAAGCTACTTCAGCAGAAAGTCGGGGTGGACGCCAGCAGAGTGCTCTACGAAGAGTATGAAAGTGAGGTCTCACAGCTATATACGGAAATTTAGTCTTCTACAAAATTGAATACGTGACGAATCTCGTAAGGTACAAAGAAAGGGGGGTATTATGTCTGAATCTGTCAAGTACAATTTCAAGGAAATCGATATATCAGAAAAGGCGTTACCTTTCAAGACTCTCACATGGGTCAGTGGAATATCCCCCATGCTGCCTCACTAGTAAACATCCTTTGAATAATAGTCCTTGGCCCTTCCTTCATTAGCCGAGATCCCGAAATGACCAAAACGGGAATAAATGCTCACTACATACGAGAAACTGCGAGTTGAGTATCGCACGAGATAGTGCGAGTTTATCTTCTTACGAGATGCTGCGAGTTTATCATCGTACGAGATACTGCGGGGTCTGTCTCACGAGATACTGGGGGTTTTGTCTCACAAATACAATTCATTTTGTCTCACGAGATACTGCGAGTTTATCGTCGTACGAATGTACTCCAATACTCGCCTATTCTGTTCTCACCCGCATTCGCCCCACCTCGTATTGCGTCCCTCCCAACACCGGTATGTGAGATCACGATCAGGGCTTGCATATTCCAACACGCGGTCCTCGGGATTCACAAGGACTCCATGCATATAAAAATTGAGTGTGTCAACTCTCCCCTCTTTTCCCCCCGTATTTTTTTTCTCTAACCGCTGCTACTGTGCATGACCCTGCGATAGACCCCAAAGGACACCACCGGTTACGATGTCGTCCTTACCACCAATACCCCAGGTGCCAGATCCATTCGCGCCTCTTTTTATTACCGATGTGTTCACGTACAAGACAGTTGAGGGCACACCGCTTCAGACTGATGTCCATGTTCCCAAGGACATCAAACCGGGGGAAGACTTACCCGTCCTTCTGCTTATGCATGGGGGGAGTCTGGTATGCTGCGTCATCTTTTCCTTGCTATCACGCTTAATTTCCGCTTTTGTACAATTGAGCATATTGTCTTATCATTCCAGCCCCAACATACGTAGCAAATCCAGACTGACATTCACTTCTCAGATTGCCGGTCACCGAAGGATGTGGCCGTTGCTCTGTGGACCTTGGCTGGCTACCTTCACCGCCATGCACAAAGCGATCGTGGTCGTACCCGACTACCGATTGGCGCCAGAGACGAAGACGCCAGAGATTCTAGCAGACCTTGTATCTTTCTGGGAATGGGTTCACGGAGCTTTCCCTTCACTGCTCCAGGAGAAACGCAGTGTTACTCCTGACCTGTCCAAACTAGCCATTTACGGTGAGAGTGCAGGAGGGTGGTGCGCGCTGCACTTGTCGTTACTCTATCCACAGGATATCCGAGCCTCTGCTCTGCCATGGCCCTTGGTTGACACTGAGAGTGAGTGGTTCAGCGTCGGTAGTGGCAACAGTATGGTAATGGGAATGCCGCCTTTTCCCAAAGATCAGACAGAGAATCACTTGGCGAGCATGAATATGGATGCTGTGACAACCCAAGGAGGACCAGACCGTCTTCCCATCGCAATAGGTGGTATGCAGCATGGATTTGCACACACCATCTGGGGGAAGAGCGAGGAGACGTTTGTGCTTCGAGCATTGGAGAGAGGAGGCGCCAAGTTGCCGGAATTCGTGTGGATAGCGCATGGAAAAGATGATACAGCAGTTCCGCTTGAGGGAAGCGAAAAGCTAGTCCGCTTGATCAAAACGAATAGTGCAAACACATCTGTACGGTTTGATGTCAAGCCTGGAGACCACGGCTTTGCTAATCATGTGCCATTTGAGGAGGAGTGGCTTCAAGAAGCCCTAAAGGAGATCGCTGCCGTTTGGCTGGCTTGACGGGGGCTGAGATATGGCGGTTTATATAGACTTTTGCTTAATGAATAAGTCTGAGACCAATTTCGACTCGCTCGATTCTGCACACAAGAGTATCTTTAGTAATTCAGAGTTTACACGGTAAGGCTAGTAGAGCTGTCGCTCGGCCGTTCAAACGCTCAACAGAGATTGTTCGAGCCAAGCCTGTCGTGCTCAAAAACTGTCGGATTAATATCATTCCTACTTAGTTTTTGCTCGAATGCAGATGTTCAAGCTGCTCAATTCAATTGACTCGATGAAGCTATAATTAGATATATTTGGTGGTCATAGTAAGCAGAATGACGCAGGGGTCATTCTTTCAGTCGGGCTTGGAGCCCAGTATTTCTAGGCTGGCAGGCCCGTCAGATTTAGCCAAACTTCGTGCTATCTAAGTATTGCATGCTCCGCACAGCGCCACGCCTTTCCACAGAGCGTGTCCCTAGCCTTCCACTTGCTCGACTGTTCCTCGTGATCTACGCATAGGACCAGGCTGGCGCAATGTCCAATCTCATCTCTGGAAGCTCTGATAATGCCCCCAAACCTCCGTCACTGCAACCACTCGATCCCACCATCTTCAATCAGTCATTATTTACTTCCATCCTGCGCTTCTGGTTCGCGGAGCTTCCCTATGGCGCCACAGCAGCAAGTCCGAAACTGCTGTTCAAGTGGTTCGGCCGCGTAGATGCAGACAGCAAGGCCGCGTTCGATGCCTCTTGTAGGGGGTTGAGCGCGGGCGCTCTCGCATCCATTGGGCCCGATCGCCTCCAGCTGCCCCCGTTCCAGGGCTACGCCGAGGAGCGGGCTCTTGCGCCGCACATTTCTTCACCTTTTCGCGACGCGATTCATCGCTGCAGCAATCTTGGTGATGGAGGCAGTGGCAGTGGTGGTGGTAGTTTACGCCCTGCCGATGCGACGCTGGCGATGATGCTGCTGCTGGACCAGATGCCACGCAATATCTTTCGTAAAGTCGATGAGCTCGGCGTCGTGTACGCGCACTACGACCGCCTCGCACGTGCGCTGTTGTACTGTGTCTTGCATCCACAGCGTGCGGACGACGGCTTTGATGTTTTCGGGCTTGATCGTGGCGAAGAGTTTGGACATTCCCCCGTCCACGGCTGTTTTTTCTACGTCGTCTTGCAGCATTCTGAGGCACTTGAAGATCATGATGAATTCGACCGGCGGGCTTTGCAGCAGCTGGAAAACATCAGGGACGGTGATGTACTGGCCGAGAAGTTCATCAAGTCTGGGATACAGTTTGAGCGGGAGCACAGGGGTCTGCTTGAGAGATTTGGGAGGTATCCCTACCGCAACAAGGCATTAGGGCGTGGGCTTACGACAGATGAAGAGAAGTATCTCAAGGAAGATGGTGAGACTTTTGGTACCAATTCTGGAGTCTGATATAGAAAGCATGTGCGCCCTTTAATCTCATGCATGCGACTCAACGGAAAGAACATATCAACGGTACTGTTGAGGCCGATTGTGGAGAGACAGTGACTTATCAACCTAGAGAGCTCCATAAATCTGTGATCTACAACAAGCAATAGCCCGAACACAGATACTACAAATGATACTAAAACTCTTAACAATGTAGCTAGATCAAGCCCCCTTTTCAATCTCCACCATGCCAAAAGCAACACCGGGAATGCTTTTTACGCTCTTCAACTCCAAGCTCGCATCAGCACCACTCACCAGCGCACCAAAATCCTCGGCCGTTCTCTGCTTGCCACCAATTACAAACATCTGCAGGTCCATGCTCGAGAGCATCTTCATAGCAGTTGTTGGCACACCTCCGTTTGGGGGTAGGACGGAATCGCAAATCAAAAGCTTGCTGCCGGGCTTCATCACCGCTGCCGTATTTTTCAGCAGCTTGGTGCAGTAGAGATCGCTCCAGTCATGGAAGATCATGCGGAAGAGATAGACATCGGCATCCTTGACAGGTTGTAAACCCCAAAAATTGTGGCCTTGGAAGGTAATTCGATCTTGTAGACTCTCGGGAATAAGCGAATCAAAGTTTCCCTTGAGTTCAGGTAGGTCCTGAACTGTGAATGTGAGATTAGGGTGATGGGATGCCAGTTCAAGGGAGACGTGCCCTCCTGACCCGCCGCTATTATCGAAGTCAGCGATATCACGTATTACTCTCCAATACCAGCTCAACTTACATATCAATCACACTCGCGTTACCTAGCCCATCCCAATCATACAAATCATGTATGGTGTTGACCCTGACAGCTGGATTCTTGGTCACATGCTCCATACACTTCCCGAACCTCTCCACTCTCCACTGATTGCCCTCCTCGTTGACCCACTTGAAGTAATTCATTTCGCGATCCTTTGTATCGGGGAAAAAAGTGTACCCCAACGGTGTCTCCGCCGGATACGGGCTATCTCCCCACTTTCTCAAGGCATCCCCAGCATTCATCATGGCTTTGCCAGCCTCGTCCAACATATTGCCAATGGTCGAGCGCCACAGCGGCTCAGTGAGGGGACGCACGGAGGTAGCCGTGTGCTTGATGATGCCGGAGCCGGGAGTCGTCTCCGCAAAGATGCGGTTGGTGAATGCGTGGCGCAAGATGCGTCGTACGGTAGATTCAGAGAGATTGGTCGCGTTAGCGATGTCGCTATAGGTGGCTGTGCCATCGCGGGGAACGGCGTCCCAGAAGTTGAATTCGTTGAGAAGACCGACTACGCTGACATCGTATTTGCCCTGGGGTAAGACAAATGGTTAGTTGCTTCGGCTGCTTACATCGCGCTCCATGAATAGGTTCCGACTTACAATCATCGTGGTGTTGAGGAGATAGTCGTCGGGGCCTTGGACGAGCAGTGACAGATCGTGGAGCGCATCTTGCAGCTGGAACTTTGCGAGCTGGATTTCCGGATCATGGGGAAGTCCTTGAGGCGCGTCAATGTCAAACGAGGGCTGTGGAGCTCCACTCTTCCTCAGAGCTTCCTCGACCTGGGTCGCGGTTGCGGCAATCTTTGCTGCTAGAGCACTTAGAGACAATGCTTCGGTAGCCATGTTGTGCTTCAGTGTATGAAGTAGGAATTGAAAATGCCAATGGACAATTAAATGCTATGTAGTAAACGAACAGTGTGTCTATAGTCACTATAGAAGTTCGGGAATGAGTTTGATAAAAGATGAGCAGTGCCTAGTTCTTATTCTTCACTGTTTTCCTTCTTTCCTCACACTAATTAATCGCTATAGGCGAAGACCACAAAAAACACCCCGCTGCAGCTGGCATGCCAGGCTAGTCTACGTAGTCTAAGCGTCTGCTGTCAGCAGGCGCCCATAGGATTCATGCCCCTAAGACCTGCGTTCTGGGCGAAGTACCACAGTGAGACAGCGATGATAACGACAATGATGACGCTAAGCATTGCAGGGCCGTATACAAAAGACGGCTGTATAACCCTGGCTTTCCTCCTTCTCTCGTGTTTGCTTACAGGGTTTTGGGCATGTGATTAGAGAAATGATTAGAGTAGTTCTGCTTCGTGCGAGAGTATTTTTTTTTTACTCGGTGTCGTGTTGGATCTGACTTGATCGCGGCGTCTCAAGCAATCATTACAATTTCGTGCGAGTACATGTTGGCGGAAGCAGCGCGTGTCTACGCGAGACAAGAATGCGTGCTAGCTTTTTATGCAGCTACGTAGTACTGAAATGTAGTTGTAAAGACTGGCCCGGCGCCTACATTAAAACAACAACTCCTCTTAAAACTTTTTTTTGTAACTGCCTACTTTCCGTGCAACATTTTCCTATTAGCCTTTTGAGTGTAGGAAACACTTTAACTTCCAACCCAAAAAAAAAAACTTTATAAATATACGTATCTAGAGTTTGGAAACAAGTGTTTATAGTAATTGCCTACCTATTGCCATTCCTGCATGTATACCTGTAACAACCGTGTTCTTACATTAAGACTATGCTATTTCCTTTCTTTATTATAATAATTAATTCTTTGTGCAGCAGTTCTAGTTCTTCAAGGTTTAGATTGTGTAGGGAGGGAAGGAGATTTAGACAAACAGTAGTCTTAGGTGTTCAGAATGCAGATGTGTAGGAAGCTCTACAATCTAAAAAGCAGTGTTGCTGGAGCTGGTGGCACTAGTGCGTAAGCAGTTAGCGCTTCTAGCAAGCCCAGCAACTGCCTTGTCTGTCTAAACTGAGATGGTTTGAGATGGTCGAGATGGTTGAGATGTTGTACCGTGGTTCAGGGGGAACATCTTTTCTGGCATTTACCCGTGATTTTTTAGTCATCAGGTTGACCCGCCTTTTTAAAACACCTACTGGCTTTTTTGAAACACCAAGTTTTTTACTTCAGTGCTCACTCAGCACGTAAAAATCAATAGTCTGTCTAAACTATATAAACCTACCCCACCCACTAAAGACCCACCGCGAGAACAGGAGAAAAAAAAAGAGCTAAAAAACATACAACAGCAGGTATTCGCTAGTGGTCACCCACCTAACTACTAATCCGCCGGTACCATGCTTAAGTACAGCTGAGCGGACGGGAAGCTCTGTTTTCATGGTCCTATGGTCGTATGTGATATCAGATGAAAGAAAAGCGGATAATATAGTCAGACTGCACTGGGCTGGCTGCGTTGCCCAGTCAGTACTAAGGAATGAAGCGGGGGAGTTGGATATGACGGCGCGGTGATGATCAGAGTGTCAGAAGAAGAGGAAGGGAGAAGGGGTGTTTTGTATATACAAATGTAAACGAAGAGGAGCGACGACGACTGACGAGGGTGATGACGACGACGACGAGTCGGCTTGGATCCGAAGGTATGGCAGAAGCCAGAGTCTCAAGTCTCAAGCCCCGAGTCCCGAGCGACAGAAAAAAAAGGACATAGACAGGAAAATTCCATATCCTTCTCCGCCGGCTCTCCCGCTCTCGCTAATAAAAACGAAGAAAAAACAAGAGTCAAAGTCGAAACTCCCCGCAACAAGCAGCTATTATCCTCCTGTTTTTCCTTGAGGAGAGGGAGAGAGGAAGTAAAATGCAAACGCGGTCGTATTTGTGTCCGGATTCATGTGCTATAAACAGCCTCCCAACCGAAACTTTCCCTTTGTGAAACCTAGCTAGTTAGTCTGGTTGACTCGACTAGTTATTCCTCTCTCCTTCCGAAGACGATTTGCTTTCGGACACCACGCCAGAGGTGCTGCCGGGAACAAGACCGATTCCACTCGAAGGTAAAGGTTTGATGTCTTTGCGGCCGTTGGACTTGTAGTAGAGGAGAACGTCGCCGCCGCCACGCCAGACGTGGGCGCGGATCGAGGCCAATGTCATTGTGGGGGAGATGAGCTATAGGAGGTCAGTCAATCATGGCTTTTGTTTTGTCTTGGAAGGGGGGATCGTCTGTGCTGTGATGGGCAAGGTGGGGCTTGGGAAAAGGAAGGGGGGGGGGCATACTTGATTGTTGCAATAAAGTTCTAGGTATTCCTCGTGCTTTAGGACTCGTTCCCCATTCTTCTCCATTTCTTCCTGCTCTTCTTTCGTCAAGGCTGGTTCGATCCTTTCGGCGACGTAACCTAGGATTTTTCGGGCCCGTAACATGCGGTTCGCGTTTAAGCGGTTGTTGCTAGTCAAATGGGTTAATACAAATTTCCAACACGAGGTTTTGGAAGGAGCAACACTTACCCGTCCTGGGATATCGAAGGGAGCTGGTTTTGGTATGGTTCCAAAACAAAGGACACTTTGACAATCTCCTTCGCGGGTGTTTGGTTCTATGGTAAATCAGCTTCGTATCTTCAAAGTGTCGATTGCTTCATCTGAACATACCCGGAGCAAAACTTCAGCGAGCCACAGAGGAGCACACTTTTCAATGAGATCAGCTTGTTTGCCTAACGATCCCACTTTGCCTTCAAAAAGATCTGCAACTCCTCCCGCGTCTGGACGATCCTCCTGGATGATGATTGTGGTCGAAGCAGGTGGCTTTAGCACAGGCGTCTCGTTTGGTAAACTGGGCGTGATTTGAGGTTCTAGTTTCTGCGCGCCTGCTATCAGCTGCTCCTCGTAATGCTGCCGTATCTTGGAAAGTGTTCCGGAAAAGTTGTCTTCGTACACCTTCTCGTCTGTCTTGTTGGAGCGAGAGTCGCTATCATCGGCTTTCTCATCGGTCGGGGCGGGCTTCGGGGTTTCCGTGGCTGCAGTTGAAGGCGCGAATTTCTTCATGTTGAAGTTCATGTTGAACTTTTTCCCAAAGAGATTTTTTCCTTTCTTTTTGTCCGTTGGAGTGTCCTCTGCTGGCGACTGCGGTCCATTTTCGGGTGCAGAATCAGTCGGTCCTTCATTGGAAGCTTGTGGTTTGCCGTTGTTGTTTGGTGTTCTAGAGAAGTAATCGTTTGGATCCTGGGTTGAGCTGCGTTGTGTTTGCGACTTTTCGAGCTGCGCACCTTCTTCAGTAGTAGGCGTGAGGGCGTTGTGGTGTTGTCCATGGCCGGCGCTGGGTGGAGCGGCACCTGGTGTAGCAAGGCCTATCGCAAGACCGGGCGTCATGGGCGGTAAATGAAAGCCATTGGTAGCACGGATAGTAGAGCTAGACGCTGGGCCTGATGCCGCATCCTTCCATCCGTTCATCTGTGCTGTTGGTATTTGAATGTTGGAGGGAGGATTGGCCCGGTCCGAGACGCTTCTTTCCTTCAGCAGCGTTTCCCGCACAGATGCATCCCGCTTGATCTCTTCATCGATCAGATTCGAAAATAGATACCGAAGAATCCATTTGCCCAGGTTAACTGTTCAGCGTAAGCACTCAAACACGATAGTTGAGAATATGGAAAGTTTCTTACTTCGTTGGTCTTCACGGAACTCAATATTCTCCTCCAAGTTCAACTCGTCGGCGTACATTTCGGCATCGAAACAATAATTCTCCTCCAGTACGCATGTCAAACTTCCCGTTCTGGTATCCACGGTGCACCAATGAGCGACGGTTTCCCTTGTGTTAATTTCAGGTACCACATCCTCGAGGTGACGTTTGCCGAATGATTTGATGGGCACACACTAAGCCATGTCAGTTGTCATAGAAAAGTAGAGGTAGGGGGACACATACTGCAATCAGGTCCCATAGGATGACTTCTCCAGCAGTATCCAGCGTAAGTACCCTTCTTCGGTCATTGAGCAGATGATGTTTGATGAGACCATTCTGGCCTTCGATGGAGAAATCAGGAAGGTCTCTACATGGAACAATCGCACCATGTTCTGACTGGGCAAGCACATCGGAAGGTTTTCTTGTACTAGTGACCGAGTATAGGGTGGCAGCATCGGTATCTTTGGCGCTGGAGAGCTGGGGGTACGGGGCAGTGTTTGACATCCGCAACAAAGCCTTGAACGGTATCTTGGGCGCAGTCCCATTGACTGGGGGCGAGACCGCCGTGGGTGATGAAGGGTGGCGTGAGCGTACGGTTGCGACGCTCGACCTGTGCCACTTGTATGATTCAGGCAGCGCCACTTCATTTGTGGTGTCGACACTATTCCATCTGTTGATGCTAGAGCTGGAAGTGGCTGTCCATAGGTAGTCGCCTGCTGCTATCACTTTGTTCACGCCTTCGTGCTCCTGACAAACCGCCACGGAGACTCCCTCGTCCCATTCGGTACAGTTGCGTACGTCGCTCTTTGCTACTACACCCGAGCGGTCGGCCGAGTAAAACACAGACAGATTTGGGTCATCCGAGTATAGCGACCACACACTGTCGTTGTGCATAGTAAGGGTGTACATGCATCTTCCCGCCGTCATGGACCACACCTTGACTGTCTGATCGGACGACGCAGTCAAAATGGTATCTCCGTCCTGGGTAATAAGAACATCGCGAACATTATCCGTGTGGCCAACGAACTTGGTGATGCGTTTCCCCGATCTCGAGTCCCATATACGCACGATGCTCTCGGGGCCACCACTCGCTATGATGGATGGGCTCGCAGCAAGGGCATAGACGGATCCTTTGGCGGTGGTTTCATCCTCGCCCACAGCTATCTGCAGCTTCTGGCCAGCGCCGTTCAAATCCCAAAGGCTGATTTTGTGATCCAAACCCCCCGAGGCCACCCAATTCTCATATGGACCGGGAGAGGCTACGCGCTTGACATAGTCGGTATGCAAGCCAATGGTCTGTGGAGGCAGAAGGTCTGTAGCGGCGGGTCGCCATACCTTGACTGTTATGTCGGAGGATGCGGAGACGAGAGCTTCATTGTTCTGGGCGAGGGCGATGTCATTAATCCAGTGGGTGTGGGCCTGGACCTGCTGGCGAAACTGGGTGGGAGGAGGCTTCGAGTCGGTGGCATTGGAATCGGCGAAAGGGTCTTGCTCGTCGGAATCGGGATGGGAGAGGTCGAGATTCAGGTCCCAGGCGCATATGACGCCGTCTCGGCCGCCGGAATATCTGGGTGGATTGTGGTCAGCGGGCGGTGGTGACCTGGAGTGGGTTGAAGGAGGTGGTGGGGGACTCACAGGATGGAATTGGCTGGGTCGACGGCTAAGCCATTGACGCCCAGCCTATGGCCTTGTGCTGAATTCGCAAGCGGCAGCACTGCAGCACGGTTAGCTCCAACAGCTGCTCGGAAGATGGGATGGCGAGCAAAGAAATGCGGGAAAAAAGAAAGCAGCGATTGCACAAGCAGCGGAGGCGCAAAGTGACGTACGTACCATACGAGATGCGTTTCCGCGCGTTGCGCCCCATACCACACGGATTCTAGCGGCGCATGCGTGAGGGCGACGAGGGAGGAAGACGGGGTGGGAGAGCGGAAACGACGAGCGGCGTGCAGTGCAAAGCAAAGGGGAGCGGCACTGGTAGGTAAGTCAAGATGGGCGGATGGAGGGCGGAGTGGAGTGGGAGGAATGGGCGACGAGACGGGGTAGCTCTTGAGCTACTTTACCCACGGCAAACGAGCGGGTCAGGTCAGGGCAGGTCAGGCAATCAGGATCGGTTAGGTTAGAGTAGAACAGAATGGAGCAGAGCAGACTGGGGCGGCTGGGTAAGGAGCAGCAGCAGCAGCAGCAGCATTAGTTAGAGCATGTTGGTGTATGGCCAGGGCCGTCGGACCCCAACCAGACTCGAGTAGTCCGTCCATCCATCCATCAATCACTCTTTTCTCCGTGGCCTGCCTCGTCGTCCTCTGCTTCTTCTTCTTCTTCCTCTCCCGCTCCTCTCTCTCCGCACTAACTAACAAATACGATATTTGCGGCGTGGAGGATCCGAACCGAAGCAGATGCTGGGACCCAACGCTTGGCCGTTGTAGCTCGTGGGCACTTGGCCAGGGGGTCACGTCATCGCTGGTCCCTTCAAACGAGACACTCACACACACACACACAGGGAGAGAGCTCAGGGACGAATAAACACTTTTACTGAACGAACGATATCAGCGACAGCGAAGAGCCATCGCCGACAAGGGGCCGCCATTACCATGTGCGAACAAGGTACATACTACACAGACGCCCATGCCTACCACCACTACAGCCATGTACGGGCAGTATGTACACACCGACCACCCACCCACCTGACATTACATGCGCCGCCCATGTACCGCCGACATGGCGTCGTTGCGTTTCGATACATGCTGCTCCCGACGCCGCGGTCACGTCCACGTGTGGGGCGCACCTAGCCCCCAAACGTTCTTCTGCCATCCCATTACTAACAGAGTTCAATCGTGTTGATCAATTGTCCCATGCATACACTACTGCCAGCTATCCCACAATGACAGCAATAGCTCCCGTTGTTCACCCCATGCCCAACCCTGCCATCCGTGTCGTCTGTATATATCATACATCCTCTGCCAAATTAATAATCAGTCAAACAAGACGCCAGTCCATGCTTATCCAAACTCCCCCATCTTTACTAAAAACACGGCCAAAGTAGAAACATTTTGATACAGAAACCCCCTCAATGCACCCCGTTGACTCGCTCCCGCAGCCCCTCCAGCTCGTCTCGACGCGTCCTGTACAGCTCCTGTGTCTCCCGCTCCCTCTTGCTGACAAAAGAAACTTCCTCGCGCAGCCCTTCCAGTCGTCGACTGATGCCAGATTGCTCAGAGTACTGCATCGTCCGAGTCGAGTCTAGGCTGATCTTCGCCTTCTCCAGTGCCGCCGATGCATCCGCAATCTTTTGCTTGAGCAGAGCAGATCGATTCATGTACCCTCCGTGGTGCGTCGTCAGCTTCTTCTCCACCTTGTTGGCTTGCTGTGCCATTTCAATCATCTTGTCCTGCGTGTTGTTGAATGCTTCCACCATCATCTGATGCTCATCCACTTCGTCTTCTTCATACCCTCCCAGCCCGGGTAGAGTCGACGAGTTATGCAGATTGGTCCACGCGGTCCCGAAGTTCTCGTGGAATGCTCTTTTTTCCTTTTCCGCCTTCGTCGACATCTCCAATGCCAACTCCATCTTGGCCGCGTCAAGTGCCTTGTCCTCGAACCTTTCCACTGGTCGCGAACTGCCAGATACCTTGCCGCCCCCAAATTTCTGTGCATCATTGGCAATTAGGATAGCCATCTCAATCTCTACCTCGCGCTGGACAGGGTCTGAAATATCCTCAGCCCTTCTCAACAGCGCATCGATGTCAATCACTGAGGGTCGAGGAAGCGCCTTTTGAACGACTTGGGTTTGCCGGGCAAATTCGGCACGCTCTGCTGCTTCCTTGGCTAGACGATTCCGTCGATCCCGCTCTGCGGCATCCTCCTCGCTCATTTCCACAGCCACAGTGTCTGCCTGCTCCTCTGGCAACTCAAATTCCCAACTAGTCTCCTTTGGCTTCGGGAGTGCAGCAAGTTTGCTCCGCATATCCTGTCGCTTGGCATTTTCTTGCAGCCGCAGATCGCGTGGGGTTTGCGCAACAAGTTGCGTGCCATCCTCTTGGTTCAAACGGAAGTTATCACGCGGAGTTCGCATAGGGGTCGCTCCGGGTCCCTGACGCATTGGTGTAGCGCCAGCCCCTCCATTGGCCTGTCGGAATGGGGTTGCCAGCGGGTTAGGCGTGACAATTTGGTGTCGCGGGGTTGAGCCGGATAGTGTCGAAGACCCGCTGGTTTCCACAAGGTCCGGATTATCTCCTCCAAGGAGAGCTGATCCAACTTGGGTACGTAGTCGGGCGTTCCGGATCTCGTTTGCAATGACGTCCTCTTCCTTGGGTGCCATGGGAGTGCGAATGGGTGTGTTTCCAACCAGATTAGTGTAGTTGCCCACCAAGCCTTGTGTAGCACCAAGGTCACCGCTACCACTTGCAATTGCACGCTCTCCAGTCATGCCCATTTTAATAATATCCTCGAGTTCGCCGTCTCCAACTTGAGGCGCGGGAAGCGTAAGTGCACGTCGTTTGCTGCTCTGCTCTGCTTCTCGGATCCTCTGCATCTGGGCAGCCTTAGCGTAGGAGGCAGCCAGCCCTCCCGTCTTTTCATTCTTCTTCCGTTTATTGTCTACTTGATCTTCTTGTTGTTCAGCCTTGCGCTTATTTGCAAGTTGTTGTTTCCTTGGATCAAAAGCCTCCCGTTGGCGTTCGTTTCGGTCCAGTTCTTCCATGGTATCGTAAAAGCCAGCAGGCACTTCTTTTTCAAGAGGTACATCGGCATTATAATCCATGTGATTGCCCTTCTTCGCCGTTATCTTGATGTTGATTCCAGCAGCTTTCAGTTCTCGGCGCTTCTGAAGTAATGCCAGCCTTCTAGATTCCTCCAATTGTCGTTCGCGAGCCTTTCGTTTGGCTTTCTTACCACTCACGTTGGCAAGACGCGCCCGCGCTTCCGACAGCATCTCCTTATCTTCTTCATCCATATCGATCGCATCAGGGCGAGCAGGTCGGCTTTCGGAGTATGCATCGACCTCGCCAGGGCGTAAGCGCCGTACATCTTCAGCGGTCGGGGCTGCTGATTCTCCGCCTTCAGGTCCCAAAAGACCCAATTCCCCACTCTCACGAGCTTCCTGCTCATCCAAAAGCTTCTGGTATCGCTCCAAACACTGTGTAGCTGTCCGTCCGACGATAGGGGCAATCGTACGCCATTGTGTCGGAAGTATTTTGGCCATCGTCAACAGCTTCTCGTCATCCTCGCGCGACCACTCTGTCTTCTTGATCGAGGGGTCCAGCCATTCGTTCCATCGCGCTTTGCATTGTTTGGCCGTTTTCTTCGCAAGGAGCGAGGCGCATCGCGCCCATTGATTAAGTCCATACTTGGAGATGGCGGCCTTCAAAACTTCATCTTCGACGTTCGACCATTGGCCCACTTTGGTTACGACCATCTCGGCGATAATCTAACGTACCCGGACGGTCGAGGGTTGAGTCGGAGGCGTATGGCACGGTGGGGTTGTGTTGTCGTAGACCTCACGCGAGAGACAGACGTCGCGGAGACGAAGTTTAACTCACCCTCGCGCTCGAAGCTTGGCGGTAGCCTTAGTCATCGTATGTTGTCCAATCACATTGTGGTAGAACTGCGCTTGCACAACGAGTACACTACTTATCTCTTATATTCTCTTTTCACTACAGAAAAATGCTGCGACTCTAATTCGAGTCAGATACTCTATATTATTACTTAAATCCAAACTCATCCAAGGATAAATCGCCAAATACAGGGTAAGTAATACAACCATGGCCCGAGTGTTGCTCCTTAGCATCCCTGTGGCACTGATAGTCACAACGACGTCAGAGCTCGACCACTGCGCACCCCAATATGCAATGCACAGTTCCAACATCCATTAATTCGTTGCAGCTACTAAAACGCCAAACAAACACTCATCATGTCTCTTTTATGCAAAGCCTCAAGGCTGAACACTTCGGCAAGAATATGCGCCAACACAATCGCCAAGTCTCAGTCACATCAACCATTGCGTTTCGCGTCCAGTAAATCAACCAGTCACACAGAAACCGAAGATACCAAAGCAGTCAGTTCTCACTATCAAAATACCCAGCATTTAATTACAGAGATTGAATGCGATCAGGATGCCAAATCTTCGAATAAACAATCACCACACAAGAAAACGCAGGCCGAGCTAGATAAGGAACTCCAACTCAAGATGCAGGGTCTATCTGGCGATGGTGGAGACTCGGGAGTGGAGTATGAAGATGGCCAGCCCGTCTCAATGAAGAGGAGTGTCAAGAACAACATGTTTCGATACATTTGAGCGATTCCATCGTGGGCGATCTCTTTTCAAGATTCTTTTCGGCGGGTGGATAAAGCACATCAATGGGAACATATGTTGGACTTGTATTTGTACATAACTCTTCTCGTATATTAGAATAACTCCGGAATGATGATAGTACAGCGTGTTTCTGAAAGAACAGCAAGTTCTAAGAGATCGTTCAAGATGCAATGTGTAACGGAAAGTAGAATCGCCGGATGTGTTACACTAGTTCAAATGATTACGAACGAATGTGTTCCGATACACATTTTGACGGGAGTTCCAATCTCGGAGATGATTTGTTCACCCTGTTCGTTTGTTCAGCATGTCTCATCTTTTGAAGCCATAGTAGAAAAGACCAAACATCACATTCGGCATGATCACAATCGGTCAATTATCAGTGTGTGCATTATGCTACCGGTGAACGTGCACCTATAGAATTGGGAAGGAGATGATAATCCCAGCTCCTCTAGACAGCCGAAAGAGACTTTGTCTTCGTGCCCGAAAATTCATGTGTGGTATCTCCCGAATTCTGAAAGCCCGAACGCCTAGGATCCGCCATAAACGCCTGAAAGCACATCTCCTGCTCATGAAATGCCATAATCCTCAGACTATACCATTGCCGATACGAAATTCTTCACATCCCCCGGTATTTAGTCGAATCCCGCAAAGTCTTGAGAAGATAGGCAGTCCATCTAGCGGAAGACAAGAATCTCATGCCTATCCCTGCAATCGGGGCACTTGAAGCTGAAGCTAGCTACTTCGACCTCAACGCCGGGAGCGCAATAGTCATTCCTGTAGTAGTCGTCGGACATCTTGAAGAGGCAGCATTTCTCATCGAGTGGCTGGCCTTGCTTCAGCTTGTGCAACCTCTCCTGCGTAGCCAGCGTCTGTCCGATCGGCGTGTCGTAGCTGTCTACCGCATTTGTGACCAAGAAGTACACTAAAAGCGGGGGTGAGTGAAATCCAGGCAAACATGCTTCCCTATGTGATCAAAACATCACGCTGGGTGGGCTTATGGGATGGCTCAGGATTTGTGCTATGTGGATACGTACCATTGCGGACCATTTGGGAGGCAAAATCATTGCTTGCTTCCTTGGTCGTGGGCTTGTCGGGGCGTTGAATGATCTTGGTGGGAATAGCGGCTTCGACTCCCTTAGAGCGCGGAAAGACCTCGATATCGTCACTGGATCCGTTGACTATCGCGATCATTTGTTAGCTTTCCATCTCCTCAGGTGGCAGCCATCGAGAGACCTGCGCATGTCACGACTTACCGATGAGGCTACGAATGTTGATCAACATAGGCTTTCGGATGCCCAGGGAGCTTAGTTCATCGGGTTGTAGGATCTGAGCCAAGTTCTCCTCGAACTGGACGTCATACTCATTGACTGAGGGTTCATCGTGTCCCTTGCTCGTGAAGTGGTCGGTGGTCATTTGATGAGCTTCGCTGCTGGTCTGACGCAACTGCGACATGAACATGTTGCATATGCCTTGAGCCACGAGCTCGGCCGCACGGGTTGTTTTGGCTGGGAGTGAGGATGAAGTTGGAGGGGATGGCTTGGTAGGGAATGGGTTAATGTCCGACATGTCGGGACGCTCGTCGAATAATAACATCATGTTGTCTTTCCGGGGGTTGGGGAAGGGTGTGGATGGCTCAAAAAGGCGGGTACTTTTACTAACCTCTTCCATTCCTTTGGCAGGGTTCATTCTGCCGTGACCACAGTGTGCTGTGGTGGTGTTGAGTTTTGGTCGAGGAAGGTAAAGGTGTGGAGGTTATAGCGTGGTTGCTTATTTAAGAAGTTTTTATATGCGGGTAGGCAGCCATGCGTTTGCCAGCACAGGCTTGCGCTTGCGCATGGTGAGGGACTGAAAACGACGTGAATGCGACTTTCGTAACCCAATCGCCAGGCAATCTAATCACCTTCACCCTGCCGTCGTGGCCTGATATTGATCTCACTTTCGCTCACTGGTGGAGAGTGAACAGTGAGAAAATGATGCTTATTTCCTGACACCGAACGCCTTGAGTGCTCAAGACTCGAATTGATCTAATTTTTGTCTACTTCGAAGCCTTTGTCCAATCATATCAAATTGACTCTGACATGCCATCTGCCATGCAGTACATTATGGTCTGGGGCAAGTTGGCAAAGTCAGTCATCCTGTACAATACAAGATTACACTCCAACAATCCAATTACGCGTATCTGAAGTGACGCATAATTCAATCCACAAATAGGGGGGGAAAGAAAGCAGTCACGACGCCCTAGTTACTTCGTTGATAGCGCGCGTGTAGAACAGCATGCGGCCCAATTGGCTCTCACAGAAAAAAAAAACACCATAGCACCTTGTCAGGCATTTCCCGTTATATCTCATTTCATGCTTTGGTTTTCGTCATCATATTAAGTGTTGCACATTTGTCCCAAGAGCTTTCCGTGTTTCTAGCACGTACGATGTTTACGAGGACGAGCCACAAAAAAAAAACCCGGACGACAACGGAATTCAACAAAAAAAGCCTTTTCACACATGCTATCACATCGTTGCAAATCAGTAATTGAACGCCCAATGCTTGTTCGTGTTGCATCTCAGTTCTATCTTCTCCGCATAAAGAGTTGGCCTATGGTTCATACAGATTAATTGTATCTGTTTTCAAATTTTTGGGGGGGGGGGGGGGGTTCTAAAAAGAAATTGGAACTTGAGACATACACTCAAAGGGCCGATAGAAGAAATTGACACAAAGCAGGCGGTTGTTTATATCTTGTTCATCCTCCCCCGAGTGCAGACTAAGAGGTTCACTCTTCTGTATCCACTAACCAACATTTTCTTCTTCTTTGGTTGGGATTTCGAGCTTACAAGCTCTTCTAAACACCGCAAAGAATTCCAATTCTTACTCTCCTAACTCAGTGCAAAACGCACTAGAAATCGTTCTTACGCTATACCCAATGAAACCAAGAAAAGGTGCTATACTACGCCTCTTGGGCTTTGAAATTGAAAGAGCTAAAAAAATAAAATAACACTAATTAAGCTGATCTTACTATTGCCTCCCCTCTACTGTCTTGGAATCCGCGTTGGCAGATTCTCCAGCTTAACATCAACTACATCCACGACTCTGCAATCGCAAGCCCGAGTCGCCCACACCATGGTCGCCACTATCCTCCCATTCTTCACAAGAATACCCGCCCCATCAGGCTTACCAAACTCATAGAATATCCCCGTAAGCCGATAGGCAACAGATCCACGGACCTCGCTCGGCGGTCGATGCAAGCCAACCTGGTACACAAAACTCTTGTTGCAGCCAGGGCATCTCGCCGCAATCAGACTTGCAGGCGAATAGCCATGGATACCTCCGCCATGCTCGTCCAAGTAACCCAGCGGTGTGTTGAAGGGATGGGTATGTTTGAGTATGCGTGTCAGGCCCATGAGGTCGACTAAGCGCTGTGCGGTTTCCATGTGCACCATTGCGAACCGCGTGGTGCTGTTGTACCAGCCGTCGAGTATGTCTTGAATCTTTCGGCAGACGAAGAAATCCGCCAGAAGAGCATCCAGGTCGTGTCTATGGAAGTTGTAAATTCGTCCTGCGACCGTTTCGATGAATTGCGGTACGTTTGGCCCCGTGTGGTCGAGTGCAAACATTGCACATTGTAGGAATCTGCACATGTTGCGGTCGGCGAGATGGTGCATCTGAGATGCAAAAGTGACTTCTCCCACGACTTCGAGCTTGATGTTGCATTGGTCGTCGGAGAAGGTCGAGTCCAAGTGGTGCTCGGGGAATCCGTGGCGGTTGCCCAGCCCGAAAGCCATGACATCGAGGTAGCCCGATATCTTGAGTATAGGCGGTAGCTCGGCCTCAGTCACACCGTCCGACCGCGGATTGATCAACAGCGGACTGTAGTCTCCTTTCTTCATACAAGCAACCGCAATCTGTAGCATTGCTTTCCTCCTGTCCTTCTCAATCTCGACATCCTTCAGATCGGCTTTTACGATACCGAGTAAAGCGTGCGCAAAATCCATGTCACTGAAGCACCCTCTCCTCGCGAGAATAGCGAAAGCGTTGGCAAAGTCAATGGTGCCCCGCTTCTTTGCATCAATGAGCATACCCAAGTTCCACGGGACCATGTTCTTTCCAATCTCCGCAAAGCGCTCAAGGTCCTGGACTCTCTCGAAGTTCTTGCGCTCTTCATCCCACACTGCCTGCGTTTTACCGAGGAATACGTACGGCGCATCCTCGATCAGTGTACCCTCCCTCATCATCACTTTGACATCTGAACTTCGGATGAATTCCATGGCGGTCCAAACTCGTGCATACCAACGGGCATTGCAAATACTGGTGACACCGTTGATCCGATCCCTAGTGCTCGTACTATGCCTCAGGAGATGCACAGCATCCGTGCCAACATCGTGTAAATGGACCAGAGTAAACTTGGCGTTGCAAAAGAGGTCTGGAATCACACGTATGATGTTGTCCTTTATCTTCTTTACCCACTGTGGTACGCTGATGTAGTCGTACCAGATCTCGGAGCCATCCTCTACATGGGGAAAGAGACCCTTGCTGATTCGATCCAGTGAATTGAAGATTATTGCCGACACTTGGCGCTGAAGTTGTGGAGAAGCTGCCTCTCCTGCGCGATTTGCATCGCTTACGGCGCCATTCCAAGCATGCGATATAGCAGTTATTGTACGGGCTTTGATGCAGCGGTGATGTCGATCGAAGATCAGGAAATCGTAGTTGAGTCCGTTGATGATGCGAGAGCAGGGCGGTAGCTCCCTCGTCAAGTGCTTCTGTATAGGTCGGAAAGATCGAATCAAAACCTCGTCACCAAGGTCTTGACCGCAAGCAAAGCAGACAATGTTGCCGTTGTACTGGATAGTCCAGAGCTGATCAAGGCTCGGAAGATCGCCCGCATGGTCCATCTTAGATTTGAATCATGAGGCAGCTAGGTCTTCAAACACCTAAGTCTCTCTTGCCAGGTTAAAGTTTTTCTTGAGTAGAACAGAGTTGCTGTTCTATGCATTTTCGACCGCTCATATAGAGCAACAGCTGAACCAAGAAGCTGGGATTGCCTGCTTACGCCAAGACTTGGGTCGTTTATGATCACGGTTGTGGTCGTGGTGGTATAAACATTTGAAGTCAGCGAGAAACGTGCCTCTTCTACTTATTGCTAACTAAAAGTAATAAGCAACACTGTATTTGCCCATACATCCCTGTTAACAAACGCTCTACCTATATAGATCAGCAAAAGACTTGATATAATAGTTTTAACACCTAAGCTGTTACACTTGTTTATTGATCCACTTTGACCAAAAAATACAAAGATTCCAAAGGACCGTTTTCTCTCTCCTAACGTTAAGCATGGGATCTAGTATTAAGGTATCCTTCTTTCTTCCCCCTAAGCTAGAATAGGCTGGCGGGGAAAAGAGAGATTCTGTGGCAGTGAGCGAATGAGTAAGTGAAATGTACGTATACAAGATGTGTCTGTGTCTGTGTGTGGCTGCACGTGCGCAGTCCGCTCGTATTCTCGAGAAGAAAGGCAGGCGAGCGGGCGAGCGGGACGCCTAACAAGAGTGGAAGGAAACAAACAGCAGAAAAAAAAACAGAAACAGAACAGAATAGAGACAAACATGCACACACAGGGACAGGCAAAAGGCAAGGAGGGGGTAGTGGAGGTGGATGGCTAGATGCATGTATGCAAGCAAGGATAGATGGATACATGCATGTGTATTTCCTTCCAGAAGACAAGCGGGGGCATGGTGTACGCCACCTAGCGCAGCGCCAGTCCTGCAGAGCAAAAAGCAAAAAGCAAATAATACGTGTGTTATGGCCCCACCTCCACCAAAGATTGGGTTCCCGTGGGTGTTGTGTGTGTGTTGGTTTGCTCGTGTTACGCGGCAGGAATGAATGCGAAGGGGGGGATTTTTCTCTTCGCTGTTTGGATTTGGTTGGTTGGGTGGTTTTGCAATCACGCATGCGATGCACGCATAACATGCACGATTACCGTATCCGTGCCAACTTGGAAGGATTCTCTCGCAATCATTAGATTGTGGATGGACCAAGATCCCGCGCTTCGGGTACAAGTGCGGAATATGCCACTTCAGAGAGGGGAGAGGGAGAAAGAATGTCGCTGCTTCATTCCAACTTCGTGTTGCGGTCGTGTTATATTAAACCTTCATGCGCAGAGAGGTGCTTATCTACGATGAGAACCCCAGTCCTTTGACTTCGACGTCATCTCCCAACGCGAGCCGCACCTCCTCCTCGGTAACACCCAGTCGTATCCGTCCGACACGTTCTCCATGCCGAGCTTCGATACCAATGATTCCTGCCTGTGCGAGTTCGGCTGCTGCAGAGGCAACGCCTACTGGTCTGGCTGCTTTGCTTCCCGTCTGCCTCAATGCGCTGTCTTTCGATTTGAGGGGTGTCGAATCTCGTGCAACGCGGGCTGAAGAGTTCGTATGGTTCAGCCCCTCTTCGTCCCTCTCATTTGTGGTGAGTAGATAGTCATGCACTGGCTGCAGCTGGCTCATCAAGCCTAGCCTCTTCACTTCATCTACAACATCCCCGATGACTGCTTCACCAATGCCTGTCCGGCGTATGCGCGCCAAGAGCGCCCCCAGAAGCACCTTGGAGACCAGCGGCAAGGCACGCAAGGCATGCTGCAGGGGGCTGCTCGTGGCCTCGTTGATAGCCTGTTTGATCGTCGCTATTGTGACCACGCCCTTCCTGCTGGCGGGGTTCGCACGTTTTTGTAATATACTTCCCGGTTCACCGGTGCCACTGGAAGACGCACCGCCTTTCTGGCCCTGGTTGCGACCGGTTCGACTCGGGGTTGGGGGTTGGTCCTGATCTCCTTCGCCATCTCGCACGACAGCCTCAGTCTCTGCGATTTCAACGGCGCGCCTACATATGTCCAGGGCGCGTCGAGCGTCACCACTGACTGCTGCAACTTTACGGGCAGCGAACTGTACAGCGTCGGGATGCACAATGTTTCCAGGCACTCCTTCTAACCGGGATTGTATAATCGACATGAGTTGGTCATGCGTATACCCCGGGAAAGTGATACGCGTGAGGCCTGTGCGCATTTAATTAGTTACGACCAAAGAATATACCCGAAGGATTGGACGCGTCTTCGACAGGCCAGTGGGTTTGATTTCAAGCGGGGACAGAGTGTGCAACGAAACCTGCTTTGTGGAATTCTGTACGTACCGAGACGACTGCTGATTTTGTTGCTCAATGTTCGTTCGGGCAGATCCATAGTGTTTGCGACGGCGAGAACGATCAACCTACTGTGACGCAGACCTGGCCAGTTGAAGAAGTTGTACATTACAGACTGGTTCTTAGTAACGAGTTGGTCCAATTCGTCCATTAAGACCACGCAAGGCACTCGTCTTGGGCTTGGCGTAGAAAACTCCCGCTCCAGAAGTTCCAGTGCATGCGATGGGCTGACGCGATCTCCTCGCAATGCTTCCCATAGCAAAGAGTATGACTGGTGAGGATCAGTCACCTTCATGCCATTGATCTCCATGAAGATAAAGTCGTCCAACTCTTCTGCCTGTACTGAGGCATGCAGCTGTGCAACGACTTCTCGTACGGTAGCTGTTTTTCCCGTGCCAGGGGTACCGGAGATATAAATGCAGGATCCTGATCCATCTGTGATGGCCGCTTCCAAGTGGCTGTATACAGTAGAGAATTCTTCTTCGCGACAAGGTAGCGCGGCAGGGACGGATGAGACATGTAGTTGGTTGCGAGCGATTTGGAAGGGGGACGATATAGCAGCGGGGGACAGGACGCGGGTGCCGAGTGGAGTGAATTCGAGGGCTTTCTTGACTACGATACGTTTGTGCGTGGGAGTCAAGAATTTGCGTGTACCGGGACTTTTTCTGGAGGTCGGTGTGGTGGCATCGCCCATCTTACGTCGCTTTTTCGGTGTCTTCGGTACACCATCGTCATCTGAATCCGGTACCACAAAATCCTCTTCTGCCTGTTTGCGTGGTCGACCACGCTTGCGGGTTGCTTTGGTCTGGGTCTCCACCAAGTTCATGAGAGCATCAATGTCATCTATACCCTTATATATCTGCTCCCAATTGAATTCAGGGGTGTATGATGTAGTGCGTGCGTTACATCCTCTTCTGCATACAAAAATCTTGCCATAGTCCTTTGAATTCTTCTTGACTTGTCCGGTTGGGTGTAGTCGCTGGAATTCGTCGAGTGATACGATCTTTGCGGTTCCATTGATGGTAGTGAGGGGATTGTTATCGTACGCTGGTGATATGTACAACTCATTCTAAGTTTCCCTGGTCAATTGAGATTCTGGGCTGTGCCTGGAACAAACCACCTACTGGCAGGAAATCGGTTCGTTTGGTGCTCTTGTTTTGAATCTCCTTCTCAGAAAGAAACCACATGAATTTCGCCATCTTCTCGCCCTCTTCCTCATCCTCAAAGAGCTCGCAGACGATGCCCACCCATGCCTGGTTGCCCTCTGCCTTCAACAATACAGTGTCGCCCTGCCTGCAGACGAAGCTTCCCATTTGCGCCCCAACAATGCGCCGAGTTCCCAAGGCAGGTGCAGCTTTTCTTTTCCTTGGTGTTGTATTCTGTTCCGGCGATCCCTGACTTGCATCTTCGTACAGCCATTCCCACGGATGGTCTTCATAGCCGAGTTCATCGTCCGAGTCTTCGCGGGGGACTGCGCCAGTGAGGAATTGCCGTGCTTTCTTGACTCCGGATTTTCTTTGAATCGGGGCCATGGCCAGGATTCCGGGGACGTAGTGTTGATATGTAGTCGAGCTGGAAAAGATTATTTGGCAGCTTACGCAGGGTAAGCAACGAACCGACGCGTCCCCGTGCTTGGCAGTCGCGATGCGCGACTAGTGAGTTAGGTACCCCAACACTAATCAATGGTCAACTGGTACCTACACACCGACGTCATGCCACCGACAACATCACTTCATCTGGTTCTTCTGCCGCAGCAACTGAACTGATATACAAGGCTCGCGGGAGGCAACGATTGGATGGAAAAATAAGTATTTATAATAATATTCGTTCGACATTTATCAACCAAGCCGCACTGGCGCTGGTGATATGATGGCTACGGGCAACGAAGCCTGCCATGCTGGGAGAAGTCTATCCTGTCCCAGTCTTTCGCTAACATGAAACCCAAAATGCTATCTGAGAACGCCAAAGATCCGATGGTCATACAAGAGACCAAGTGAGAGTCCTTCCTTCACCCATATCATCATAATGATGCGCTGAAATGCGAGAACAAGAAACCCCCAAATAACCAGAGGGGACGAGGAAATAATGTACAGAAAGAAAAAAAAAGAGGATCCGAGGATCCTAAGAAGCGAAGAAAAGAGATTCGCGCACCAAAAGCCCTCAGCTTGGACGGCCATCCATGAAAGGATTCGCGCTCACGCAAGCTGCACCAACTCAAGTGGCGGAGTGCGTGGCATGGAATCGGGGGTGACTGGGTACGACATCTCTGGAGATGGCGCGCATTGTTGGGGCAGGAAGGAGTCGAGAAGTGGTGATGTCTGCCACGAGACTGTCAGCGAGTGGCTTGTCGAAGACGAGGCGCAACGAAGAGGTGGGAGCTTCAATGTGCGTAGTTATAGGGTTTTCGGGGAGGAGGCTTTACATGAGCATCGTTTTCAGAATAAGGGTGATGAGGATGAGCCTCCATGCCACCCATGAGTTGGTAACCAGAAGCGAACGGGTGGGGGACGATGTCGTCTTCGGGGTAGTACTCGCTCTTCACAGGCTGCGAGAGGCTGGGAAGAGTGGTGGGGTAGGCAGCAGAGATGGGTGGAAGGTAGCCAGCGTAGGTGGTCATCTCTGGTGAGATGGAGGTGGGGACCGAGTGGTAGGGAGTAGCGGCGGTCGTCGTGTACGGCAGTGGGTAGGAAGCAGTCTCTGGCGCTGGGTAGGTGGAGTAAGAGAAGGGAGGAGGTGAGGTGGAGAGTTGACGGTCTGTGTACTGGCGGCCAAACATGTGCTCCTCGTGAGCGTAGTGGTTGGGAGCTTCCGGGGTCCTACGGAAATCCGACTCTGATGAGGCGGGCGAAGGAGGGAATACTTGTCGAGGAGAACGCTGAGATGCGGCCAGCTGAGCAGGCTTTGGCTCAGGCGAAGCTGAGCTGCTGGCGGCACGACGCTCCAAGTCTTCGAGCCTCTTCTTGAGCTTCTTGCCTGATATACATGTTAGGATCCGCGATGATTGATGATTGGAAAAGAAGAGCTGGGGAACATACGGTAGTTACGCTGGGCAATGCGGTTCTGGATTCGACGACGCTCCGCTAGATCTGAAATCTTGGTCCAGTCTTCGTTTGGGTTGGCCGAGGCGGAGAAAGCACTTGAAGTTCCGCTGTATCGTGTGGGAGCAGGGGCAGTGGGAGCGGCGGGATACTGGTAGGCGGCGTGTCTATGCATGACGACGATGGTGGTTGTTATTGCTGTTGTTGTGGTGAATAGAAGTGGGGATGTGTATGAAGGAGGGAGGGTATGTGGACCAAGCAAGGTAGGTGGTATGTGGGTGAGGTGAGAGGAGCAGGATGAGGGAATGGATGGAGGGGGGGATGGAAGGATGGATATATATCTTGTTGTGGAAAGGGACTCGGGAGGGACGGGGGAGCAGATATAGATAGTGAGTAACTCGCCGGTTGGGGTACTATTTGATGGCAGGCAGGCAAGCAGGCAGCCAGCATGTGCGAACGAGCAGCATGTGCGTAAATAGACTGTGGGCTTAACGTCGTGGTGGTCGACGACGCCCATAGCCTCGACCCCTGCCGCGTTGCACCTGTGCACCTGTCGAGCTGTGCGTCGAGGCCCGCACACCCTGGGCATTTTGGCGTAGCGGTGGCAGGCAAGCAGGCAGCAGGCTCTGGCGGTGGTGCTGCACTGGCCATGGCTCTCTCGCTCTCGTGCAGACCGGAGTTTGGGCGCATCGAGGCACCGCTACGGCCGTCGCGCAGGGATGTCGCCCTATGGAGCCAACCAGCGGAAGCCCCCCATGCACCATTTTGACCGCTACAAGTGCGGTAAGGCTGTACCAGCTAGGGCGTCCCCAAAATTATCTCGCCCGTTCTTGCGGGTCTGGCGGCCTGCGTGACGGCCAGAGGGCGCGCTGCCAGCCCCCGGCCCCCCGTAAATTACCCCAATCCCCCCTACTCGCTCTGGCGGTCAATCCCCCCCCCAAGCCTGCCTGTAGTCTGTCGGTCCCTTGCACGCACCGCACGCACGCACACCATCATCATCATCAATCACCATCTCCACCGTCCACCACCACCACCTCGCTCCAACCCACGCGAAACCCTTCTCGGCATCGGCACAGAAACCGCAGTATGCAGCACCTAGCCACGCCCACCGCACACTCATTCATCCATGGCGGTTCCGCACATTCCGCCCGCCGCCGTCGCCGTTTGCTAGGCCGTGGCCCGGCGAATGGTGCGAACCGGGCAGCGTGATTTGAATTGCCAGTGCTTTGTTTGCATTCATTCACTCAGTCCCTTCATTCATTTTTCAAGTTTCAACTCTGGTGTTGGTTCGGCGTGGTACAACCCATTCCAAATGCCTGCTCTCTCTCTCTCTCTCTCTCTCTCCGCAATCTCAAGCCATCCATCTCTCGGCCGATTGACCCTTGGTGACTAACCCACTAGACGACTGACTACTGTATGTACTGCCTCCTTCTCCGATCACCCCTCGCCAAGTTTGCTCGCTCCTCGCTCCTCGCTTTGGGAGTCGGTCGGTCGTGGCGGACAAGAGCGGCGGGCGGGCGGCGGACGGTCTGCCGGTTAGCAGATCCTCATGGCTGGCTGGCTGGCTGCCTGCACCGCATCTCTATTGATGGATGCATGGCTGGCTGGTGTGTACGGTGTACCGTGTAAATTGCTTTGAATCCATCGACACGGTCGTCCTCTTGCTGTATTCGCTTCCGTGACCGGCCGTCATGAGGCCCCGCTTCGCAGCTGTATAGTAATGCAAATCTCCAGCTCGCAATGGCCCCCAGTCCTCTGGTCGAGCACGTCCTTGCCAGCGTTTGCTGGAAGTGGCATCTGCTGAGAGAACAAAGCCTCCTTGGAGCATAGACTGTCTTGGTCGTGCCCTCGCTTGCTCAATCGCTTCCGACCTGGCTGGCTGGCTAGCCAACTGGGTAAATCGCAACGGCCATTCCTTTGCTTTCCCTTGACTTCCCTTCCTTTCCTATCTGAACCCGTTTCCCCCCTGTCGCGGTGTAGGACGTAGGCGAAATATCAAGTATCCGACCGATCCAGCCGCTAACCCACGGTATGTATCAACGTGGAACTGCTGTACCTATCACAGCGCTGGTTGGACAAGCATCTGACGACCAGCCCTATGCACCATCCCGGCGTCAGCACCTTCGTCCCTCGCCCTGGGAATCGAGTCGGTGAGCGTTCCCCCCGCCGTTGCCGCTATGTAGCTTCCACCACCCCATGTGTTCTGGCGCCAGCACTATCGTACGTACGGACAAGGCAATCCCTTCGTGGAATAATGATGGAACCTTGAGACCCATCGACGCCCAGCGGGCCGCATGGTTGCAATGATTCCACTCCTTCAGTCGTGGAGAGATTAGTACGTGGCCGCTGCGCTCAGCCCTACCCAATACGGCGCGTTGCTGCGCCAGAGAGCAAGAGGAGGCTCATTCGGCAGACATTGTTCCGCACCAGCTCTTCGTTCCTGTATCCGCCTGCGGTATAGTATAGCATAGATGCCAAGGCACAGCTCTCCCTCCACATCAACATCAGCACATCCAGCTAGTGACGACCGTACCTTTTACCTGTTTCAAGCTGCCCATTACAGGCAGCACGTATCAGAGCCAGCTGCATCGAGACAATCCAATCCTTATATCCGAGCCTTTGGAATCATCAGCCCCCGATCCCCAGCAACTTGAAAGTGTAATGTCTCCGACCCGCCAATAAGCTCGTTCTCGGGGCACAGCTGCATTCCGGTCGAGTAGAAGACTGTGTCTCTCTTTATTGTCCCTCGGTTTTACAGTGAGACAAGTGTGTCGTGATGCTGTACCCCAGCTTTCCAGGTTGCACATGTTACTGTATCTCTGTGCACCAGCCGGTCAGAATTCCAACAGTTGGGCTCGCCCTCTCCATAGTATCAGCACCCTAAGTACGGTGATATAAGCGCGGACAGATCCGAGCGGCGTTGATGGTGCTACGAGTATCGTATGCTCAAAAGGCCACGCCATGTGAAGTCAAGTCAAGACAGCACAAGACGGAGATAACACGACGCCCAGGCTCCATGGCGGATGGGACGAGTGTACAGGTGCATGCTAGCCATTTAGGTAGGTGGTTTGGGCGAAGCAATGTGGCAGTACAAGACATCTAACCGTTCGGGCCATGGATGCATAGACACGACAACGTCTGTGCAAGGGAGCCGATGCGTACGCGTTTTGCTGGTTACATGGTGTCGTGATAGACGCACACGATGGCATCCAAGTAGTGCGGGGTGGACATGTGTTGTTGCATGTCGAGCAGGTTGCGGTGTGTCTGTTAGGGCTGAGTGCATTAAACGACGCGCGCAGCCAATGGGCGGGCGCTCGCAATATGGGCCCTCAGCTTGCGCAAGGGATCGGATGGGGAACTGCCTGCTTGGGGAAGCTAAGCGACGGGCGCCACGGGGGGTTCACCGCCGCCGCTGGGCCCCTCCGTTCCATCTCGACTGGCTCTCGCTGATTACCAAAGCAGTTTGCCAACCACCCACCCGCTGTCTACACTACATGTATGTATGCACATACTGTATGTACCTACCCACTATCACGATACACGTACCTGTCCACCACACCATCCTGGCATTACTAAGGGAGGGTGCTGTTGAGTCATAGCCGACCTCCCTTGCTCTCTCTCTCTCTCGCTCTCTACACGGCCCCGCAGCAAGCAACCGTCGGCCGCCCTGAATGGGCACTTGTGCTGTATCCCAATTCCCTAGCCATCGTAAGCTCTGAGGAAACGCAGGCAGAGGCGTATCGAAAACGCAATGCAAAACCGCCTACTGCAGAGCTATCCACCACCAAGCATCGCGGACGCAAACGCTGACGATGCATCCAAACGAACAAGACCTCTTTCGCTTTCTAGCCGCCATCGCCAACCAGCACGTTCCAATTTTATCGTCTGCTCTGTCTTCTAATTTCCTGCCTGTGCTAAATATTCCATCCCAAGGCGCTTTCAACAGAGAGAGAGAGAGATCAAATTAGCTTGTTGCCATGTCCTATATTTAGCTGCCCAGCGCTAGTCCCCTTCGCGTCGCTAGCGCGCCTGTACCCTCTGGGGGACAAACGGCGACTTGGGATGATTTGCATCTCCACCCCTCCACACTGAGAGCAACATCCCCTACATCCCTCCTGTTCCTCCACTGAGCATGATTACACTTGTTACTGACCGTCTTACAGGGCACGTTTCCGTCCTGCCAGCCCTACAGCCTTACCGCTCGCTTTGATTGCACCCTTCATATCAGCCCATATGCGTGCTGATGTATCCGTCTTGGTGGTTTTAAGGCCTGCTTATCCCGTACTATCCTCCATCCAGTATCTGCTCATCACACGCACCCGCCAACTGCCGTTATGCCACGTCCGACACCTTTCCCCATCCCAACAATAAGGGTGTGCCGGGACAGCGGCGCTTTTTGGCAGGGTTGGAAAACGTGGGAGCAGCGCTCTGAATCCTCTCATAGGGCGTTTCGTTTACACTCCATCATCATCACCCGCACCCCGTCACATACTGTGCCACTGAATCACTGCCCAGTGTCGGCACCAATTGCTGTGTGGCCAGTCTGGCTAGCATGTGTCTTTGCATTTCACATCCAATCCACGCAGGATGCGGCACACATGATCATGAGTCTCAGGAAACCGCCTCCTTCCCTGGGTGCGTAACGGGCTCTTTCATTTCAAGACACGTCGATCGGAAACCCAGCCAGACGTTCTGTGACCGTCAGCATGCATACCCAGACTCCTGCCGTCCTCCTACAGGATAATCTTAGGGCCACCAACGAATCCTTCAAGAGGACTCTCGATCAATGAGATGCTTTTCCTAGCGAACCCCTCTGCTCACGAATAATCTACGTACTAAAAACGCCCATGCCCCAGGAACGGGCTTACGCACCCCTTCCAAGGAGTATGCATGCTGGACGGGTGCATTGCATAGTAAATTCACCGATAATATATTCCTGCTAACTGCGTTTGGTACTATAGCATTATAGCAGGTACAATATCAAATAAAGGGTCGACCCGACTTAGTACACTAAAGTCGAGCGGTTCTGCGGGAGGGATCCTGAATCCTCTTACCAATCTTGGAGCGGTGTTGAATCCCTCAAACTGATCGGTGAACTTTTGGAAAGGTCCCCCTTCTCTTCTCCTACCCCCCTAAATCTGCTCATGAGACCCCGTTTAGGTGGCCAAGGTTGTAAATCACTGCCGTTGATTCTTTTCAGCCCATGAAAGGGGACCGCAATGGAGTATATCCGTCTCCGTCAAGTATAGCTCGCCGGAATCACCGATCAACGAGTCTCGCAGCTGTCACTAGAACACCCTGCCATGTCGCTCATTTTGAGACTGGTCAATACCCTATTCGGGTGAAATACATGGGCAGCTAAACCATACATTGCTTTCTACTTCGCATGGAAATTATCTCAAATATGCAGCGATCCTCATACGAAGCGCCAGCCAATCATTTCTGCTTCCGTGCAAGCATTCATCGGCGAGGAGAGGGGGTTTGAACATGAAGTGGTTCCGAAGATATTCGGGTGAATCCTTGCGGTTGAAATCAGCAACTTGGAACCGTCTAGACATTCGTGTTTCACCGCCACCCCTCTCCGACCCCGTTCACCGGCCGCCTGTACAGCCTTTGATGATGAGGGCCGGTGATGATCGCGACCGGATCAGCAAAACTACGCTGGAATGAGCCATTGCTCGTAGACGGGGCGATGACCCTGTCCATTCCAAATATTGTCTTCACTAATGTGATGGATTCATACAAGAATGCTGTAACGAGATTCTATTTCCGTTCTAGGATGGACGGGGCGGAGACAAGCGAGATGATTGGCAGGGTCGGGAATGGAGTGCGTGCGGCTGAAGAATCAATTTCCAAAAGGCCATAGACTTAGCGCTCTACGCGGCCTTCGTAGCATGAGCGGGGCGAGGGGCCTTTTTAGAGACGTTGCGGCGTAGACAGTGCGAATTATAGCACTCCGCCCCGCCCTTCTCTGTCCACAGACCAATGGCGCTGCTGAGCCCCAACCTAACGGTCATTGCATTCGCAGTATTTTGCGGTATCCATCTTTGGCGCCCATGACACTGAGGGCACTCGGGTCATCGTTGTCCCAGGTGAATCCTCCTTCAGGGGGACAAGGTCTCCTTGGGGTCTTGCATTCAGCTATCACAGATTTGTCGTGCGAAGGCGCAAATCCCGTGCGCGCACATGGATTGATCGTCGAAATAACTCTATTAGAACCACTCTTTCCCAAGGACAAAGCAGGAGCCTATTTTGGTGGTTCCGATGCCAACAACAACGAGAAGGCTGCCGGCAGTTATCTGGTTCCAACATGTACAGGACCCTAAGGAGTGATGTCACTGACAGAGCCGAACTTGACAATTAATCAGCAGCGGGAGAGCGTCAACAAGCAGATCGACGGTGTATCGGAAGGCCTCCCCAGGCCTTGCAATGGTCCCTCGCGGGCCGAATGAACCACACAATGAGGTCCATGACTGACACCAGGCGCGGACACGCCGCAACTCTGTCTGTTCATGGAGCCCATTTGGGTTGATTGTGCGCGAGCGCTCTGATTGGCACATGTGCTCTTGCCCTGGTCCACGGATATGGACGGCCTGCATTGCACAACCATTCACGTGTTGTTTGGCGCAGGGCAAGGGGTCTGGGAAGAAAGCACCGACTGAAACGCCCTGAACATCTCTCCTACTCGACGATGCAGCAGTCTCGATGGTGGACGCCTAACTTCTGAAGCGCAGGGAAGTGGCTGTTGTGTTCGTTTGTTACCATCATCGCGCAACTAAGACATATTACGTCTTCAAGGGAGAAGGCCCAAACTCGCGCTCGCTACCCGTGCATACTTGGAAGTGGTACACGGAATTCGACAGCGTATCTACTATGGTGAATACCGTACCAACAACCAACCACGCCCTTTCCCGGACATGTATATATCTAGCGCGTCGTTCGTCATTAGAGAGGATCGCTCCCTCGTCTCCCCTCGCACTCTTCGTTTACACTCTTGTGTTTCGATGCCTGCTGGTAGCCCACGATTCAGACAAAGGGGGGGTCACTGCGCGGAATCCCGCTTCGCGCCGCACTCGATAGCGCCCGGCCAGGAAATAAATCTCACAAAGCTATCCAAGCGGGCAACGCAGCGAACCATTCTGCATGACGCTTGCTTTCGGGGCTAGTCTAGGAGACGGCGTGGTTTTTGTTTGGCTTCGGTGGCCGAGAGCCCGACGGTACTATTTCCACTAGTCTACACGGTATTGAGTCCTCTGTATTGAATCCGAAAGCCTGCTCTTCCCCCCCCCCGTGTTTCAATTCGGGTGAGTGGGTTAATGTGGTACACGTTTTCTTTCTTGTTCTTGTGCTGTTGCTTTTTTGCCCGCGGGATGGGGCTGGCGAGTTCGTTGGCATGCATGCATACGCACGGCATGGCATGGCATGGGGACTTGTTTAGACAAGCTAGCAAGGCAATATGAGGCACAGTACATATATCTCTTTGGTAGGGCAGGGCAGGGCACTGGGCACAGGGCATAGGGCACAGGGCAAAAGACAGGGTAAACCGAACGAATTGCGGCTCCGCTTTCTCTCCCCCCACTCACTATTCGATAATCTGCCTGAGACATGTACCCAGCCCCAAGACGAAAATCACCACGCTGCTTGCTATCTATTGTTTCTGGCATCGCTGGTATATCGCAAGGTTCTTCAGGCTACCGGACAAGTCGCGGAGAAAAGCGGACTTTAGAGTAATGAATCAAGAATGATTATGGGATTTCGTGTATATTTTATCTGATTAATCATCATCATCATCATCACACGATTCAACATAATATCCTCAACTTTTCCAAACTTGTTTTATTCCCGCGCCTTGTTGTTGCATGCATGCTGCACGAAACAAAACTTCTATACCCCCAAAAAATAGAAATCAACGACTCATGACGCTCTTTTTTTCCCCGGGGGAATAAATATATCGCGGCGCGGGAGATTGCAGTTTGTTGTTCTGTTCATCGCATCTTACTTATTCGGGTAATCGCATCGTTGGCGTGGCCGACCATCCCGTATTTCCGGTCAATCAGTGACAAGGCAGGGCAAGGCAAGGCAAGGCAGCAGCGGGCTAAGGGGGGTGGGGGGGACGGAACGCATGCCCCCTCCACGCTATGAATGTGTCGCGAAAGAACAATTGTTTTAATGGGAGACAACAATAACATGGAGAGAGAAAGAACTCGAGAGCAATAGAGAGAGAGAGAGAGAGAGAGAAAAAGAGGTTGGACTCGCTTCCCCCTCCCCTTCCCCACACTGATTTCCCTCCCTCCCCCGTTGATCTCACGTTAGAAGCTTACATTGCGTTCCCGCGAAAGTCGACGAAGGAACTTCTAGAAGAAAAGGAGAAAAGAAAAAAGATAGAGCTTACTGTAGGGCTGGAAAAGAGTTCTGACAGGCCCCGTCACAACGGTTTTTCTTGCTTTTTTCTTCTCTTTTGTTGTCGTGCTGCGTTTGCTTCCATTCTATCTATCTATGTTCCCCTCCCCCTTCCCCTCGGCGCTCGCGCGCGCGTGTGTGTGCATGTGTGTATGTATTTATGTATGTATGTGAGTGCAAGAAGGATTCACCGGGCTGGCTTTGAACGCTGGTCCTCTTGCATAGCCCCTCTTCCTTCTCGTAAACGGGTAAAGAACGAGGGCAGTAGGATGGTTTCGATATATCGTCTGCTTCTACGCCTCGTAATCGGGGTCTCGGGGTTTCGGGGTCCTGTACTCCCATCCCTCCTTCTCCTACTGCTGCTGCTGCTACTGTTGTCTAGCTCATGCTGTGTTGAGTATGTAGCCGAGCTCTCTGTCTCTCTCTCTCCTCATCTCTATGGGTACCAGGTATGGTACGCATGGTTCACAGGATTCCAATAATTCCCTTTAATTCCAAACAAAGAACAAGACCCGAACTGGGCTGTTAGATGTGAATCCGACTGCCATATACTCGCCAAACAGAGAATTGTGCGAGTCTGAGACATTTTTTTGTTTGCATAGTGATATTTATCGTGTGAGCAAATCATGTTGGTTTGCGAACTTGCACCCCCTCAACCCCTTCACTTCCCCCATCCTTCCATTTAGAGACAAAGTGAGCTTGATTGATTCCCGAGCGCCGTTATTGTCTAGGATGGGATGGAATGGGACGGATGCAAGAGCATCAATGCGAGACTCGTTTCTTCTTTTTTTCTTTAGTCCCCTCGGTCCTCATACCCAATGTATTCGAGACGACGAAGAAATACCTCGACTATAGGCGAAATACAGAGGATGGATTCTAGATTCATCGCTCCTGCATGCGTCCCTCTCTTTTCTCTCGCACGAAAACAGGTAAATCATGCGAGAGATCGACGAGCACGGTGACTGGAAGGGAAAAAAAGAGGGCGTTCCATTGTTCGTGCGTCCTGCCTGCCTGGCTGCCTGCTCGCCTGTTGTCGCGGGCCTAAAAACGTGGATATCAAGTGACTTACGGAGACAATCCACAACGTGCTTGCTTGCTTGCTAATAACAGGGATCCAATGAAGGGGGGGAGGGGGAGAGTTGGTTCATGGGTAAGTAATTTAGAGTTTATGGGAAGAAACCCCTACACAGCAACAGCAACAGCACAGCACGTCGCTTCCAGCTGTGATTGATTCGAAAAGGCCCCCCTTCCCATCCCTTCCTTATCCGCTCCCTCGTATAGGCAAGGGTTCGAATGTTCCAAAAGTCTTGTCGCTGTTATGTATTGTTCCCGCGACCCGAGATTCACATGACCCTAATTACGTGCGTTACACTGAACGGGCAACGGTCAGTTACACAATGATGATGGCATCAGCAACTCCGTGGTGGCTTCTGGGCCCAGAGTCCTGGGGGGGGCGCGTGGGCCGCGTGTACTCTCAATGTGTAACGTGTAGCGAACGACGGGCGGGATGGGGGCTGGGGAGGGGACGGCGAATCCTATCATCCTTAACGAACGAGAGACCATTTGAAATCATGGAGCGGTTTGACGAGATTTGAGGATCATTGATCAAGTCTTGAAGCGTTCAGCTGGCTGTTGGGTTGGGTGTTACAGAATGGGGTTGGCCCAGCCCGCCTGCGCCGTAGTCGAGGAGCAATTGGGGGGCCAGAATTTCCGTTACAAACCCGCTGAAGAAGCAGCATCCCTGAGAGAAGCAAAGCGTATCGCCGCTGAACGTGGAGTCGTGGATCGTGGCGTGGTGAAGTGCATGCATACACGCATGCATCTGGAAGACTTCCAAACTGGAAAACCCCGTTACATTCTCTCCATTGGGTAAGGTTTCCGGGGGTTGGAATTCACAAGTCCCCCCTCTTCACTTCCTAATCTTGTTCTCCCGTACGGCGTGCGTACATGATCAGGCCATCCATCCATTCATTCATTCATCCATCGCCATCTCTGTTGTGTGCTCCACGCCCCTCGGAGCTGGGGGCTGCGCGCAATCATCGAAATCTGGCTCGAGAGCGAATCGTTTAACAGGAGATTCCAAATAAACGCATGCACACACATGCAGGATTCCACGATATCCGGCCGCCACACAATCATCGTCATCACAAAAGGTGGGTGAGTCGACAAGTGACCGACCATGCGTACCCTGCACGCACGCGCACGGAGCCCCGTGGAAGAACATTCGAAAAGAAAAGCAAACCCAACACTCGGGAGCGCGGGCGGGCGAGCAATCTCTAGCGTGGTCGCCGAGCAACGGGCATGTATCTCTCTCTGTGTGCGTGCTGTGTGTGCTGTGGGTGGGTGGGGAGGACTTGGGGCCAAAACCCATTCCATCGTCCATCTAGCAACACTTGAGTGTTTGAGAGTGAGTGCTCTAACCTACGTACGTACCTACTTGCCTCTCTTGCAAGAAACCACATTAATACCATGCCTAGATACCCCTAGCATACATACGAGGTATTCGGGGAACGAACATCTCGCAACGGCTAACTGCTTGCAGGTACCCGAGCAAGCGCATAACATGTATGCTATTATATTTTGCTCGCAATATCCACTCTTTTGAGAGCTAGTTTGCGACTACATAACGTGACTTTGTTCAATTGCAACCTGACAGGGCTGAAACCCTTTTTTTCCGCTCTCGTCTACCCTTGCACCGTCATCCAGATTCTCATTCTATACCACGTCACTGGGGGGCCGTCTTGGTGTACCACCGCGAGCTAACTTTCCACTACTCGTCGGATGTGACGCGGTAGGTATCCATTCGTCTATCAAACTACCCGTACTGTACCTGACTTTCCCGATCCCCTTGCCTTCTCTCAAACATCTCCCCACTAGTCTACTAGCAAATCGCATACCTACCGAGTTTCTAGCCCCCAAAGTCGAAAAAGAAACCCCGTGTCGGAGCAAAGTTCCCCCTTCGTTCCCACCCTCGCCGTCCGCTTGCATGAAGTCGTCCCTAACTTTTCAGCAGCGTAGCTGTATACCTAGTTAGTAGTGGGGGCGCTTTTCTAGAAAGAAAGAAACGGGAGAAGAAAATTACACACACACACATGGAACGCCGTAACGTGTGACCTGAAGGAGGCACGGGCGCCCCACCACCCCGCTCGAGCTGAAAACCAACAAAGGCGAATGAGAACGAGAAAGAGAGCAAGAGAGAAAGATTGGATATCCGACATGTCCGAGTATGTCCTTGGAGGCGGGAAGAGGCTTGGACTGTGTGTGTGCTTGGAGGCGGCCTGATTCCAAACGACAACTCGCTCTCTCTTTCTCTTTCTCCTCGCGTACCGCTACGGGACAAGGCAAACGCCAAGATTGGGGTAATGTAGTATCTGTAGTAAGTCACCCGTGGGAAACAATGCGCAAGTCTTGCAGCAGAGCACATCAAGCGATGATGCAAAGTGCCACTGCAGCCAGCACCGCCTTTTTTTTTTCTTTGGTTCTCGTAAAACAGGGAATCACCGTACCCGGCATTGTTGACTTGCATATGTACCTTTACACTTGGTCCGCCGTTCTAACCGTTCGCCGACCGAACAATGTAGTAAGTGTGGGACTTTGGGGGGCTTGGGGCGTGTGCGGCATGCATCATACTACATACTACCACTTACCTCTCTCTTTCTCTGTCTGTGTGTCTTGGCCATGTCTATTACTCTTCTAGGACACTTTCAACGAACTAGATACTCTTTTCGAACAATTAAAAATAACTAATCACGATAAACGGCATCTAATCTGAATCGATCGAAAGAGAACACCAAAAACCTAATCGATGCAATCGAATGTCGTGCGTATGCTTTGCGCGGATTGGTTCTTCTTCTTTCTTGCCAAATTTCTATTTGCGTTTTTACAAAAGATTGCCCCCCCCCCAAATCCTCCCCGATTCATAGTCATTGTGTACTCAGGGTTCATGCGAACGTGGATTTTGGCCTGCTTCGAGGTTAGCGTCTGCAATGCTATTGCCTGTTTTTAGAATCTCTTGTGTTTATTTGTGGATGAGGGAAGAGTATGTGAGTATAGTGACATGCATTCTTTCTTTCTTTCTCCCGGGGACAGAGGCAGGAGAGACGTTGAGAAAGAAAGAAAGTAGTCTGTGTTAGAATTTTGAATGGAGAAGGGGATTGAAAGAACGGAAGGAGCGATCTGGGTGGAAACTTCCGAATCCCTTCACATGCAGTAAACAAATTATAACTATATAAATTTGAAGTTGGAGTTTGGGTGTTGCTCCACTCAGTGATATTGACAGCGATAGAGGTACTAAAACAGTAGGCGATTACCTTGGCCCTTCACATACTCTATTCCTTATTTGTACGATGATATCATCTGCGATTTTAATATACAGATAGTCTAGGCTAGAATGCGACATGTGCATTCGCTACTCCACATGAGTTTTGCCACCTTAATACTACGGACTGGGGTTCGGCCTTGAAGCCTGGGAATGATCGCAGTGTTTCTTGCGTATTATGATGTGACCGATCAGATTGATCGCTACGACCTTGGATATGGGAGGGAGAGGGTGGAAAGATGGCTAGTTTGGCGTGGGTTAAGTTGAAGGGATGGATAGATAGATAGGTGGCTTAAATCTTTCCCTATGCCGTTCTGCTTGTCTCATACGTTATCTCCTTCTACTTATGGGATTTGTCTGTGTGTATTTATGTACATAGCTAGTGAATTAATAAGGGAGTTAGGGGGAAGCCACGTCCACAGCACATACTATAAGGCTTGAGAAGATATTCTTCAGTCAGCTTCTTGCGAACTGACGGATGGTAGATATAATACGTATGCTCATCTTTTTCGCCTCCTTCACTTCTTTATTCCTGTTTAAATAAGATACAAAAACAAGCCTACTCTTATTTTCGCATTCCAATTTCTCAAGGAACAGAATACCCCTTGAAACATAGTAGTAAAATGCTTTGCGGAAATAAATCCCTGCCTCGATCATGTTCCCATGCGTCGCTCTTGTAACCTACAAGTACATACATACCCTACATGAGGAGTAGCATGGATAAGATAGAGTTGGGCAGTTGGAAACTTGAGCACTGAGATGGTCGTCGCTGATATCCATGCCTTACATCTGGGATTAGAACGATTCCAAATAAGGGGGGATGCATGTATGCACTGCCGTTTGGATGGCTTAGTTTGCAAGATAGATTGGGACAGAATGAAAGAGAATGAGGAGACAGTAGGAAAGAAGGTGTAGTTTTTTTAGCAGACTCGAGGATAAACGTTGCTTGATATGTTTCTCTCCCTCCCTCTCTTTCTGTCCACATGTCGCAAAATGTCACTGTAGGAAATTTTCTGTCTTGTATTGTTGTTAATCCTGAGTTGGAGTTTAGGTGATGCTACACGCAACGAAGGGGTTACAGCAATAGATAAATAAGAAAGAACGAACGATAACCAAAAGTTCAATCGAAAAATGCCTTCACGCAAGCTTTTGAGACAAAAGCAGGGATCGGGGGGCACCCTTCTATCTTGTATCTTCTTCTCTTCTTTCCTCTTCACTCTAGATCTAATGTACATTCTATACAGCTTTATATCAAATATAAGTATTTTAGGTATCACGTTTGCAGGTTAAGTAGTGCAAGAGTAATTGAATTCCGAGTTAGAGCTTGGGTAATCCCACACACAGCGAAGGGTTTAAAACGATAAAAGGAACCAGAAAAACATATTTTCTACTATTCACTGGTTTTTTTAATCTACTACTGTCTCACTCTACTCCATACTTAACACCATGAACCTTGGTTATAGAACATCTTATTCTTAGATGAATAGCTGCTTAACTGCTTACAAGAAGAAGAAGAAGATTAATTAAAACACAAAAAACACCCTTATTCCTTTTCTCCCTAGCCTATTCCCTCTTGTCTGTGTAAAGCTTATCGTTGGGTTGAGTTGGGATAGAAAGAGGCATTGAGAGTTGGAAAAAGAGAATGAAATTCACGTATGCCTTTTTGGTGAGAAATTTAGTATGCAGCTTCGGGGGAGTGATAGGAGCGGAGGAGCCTTTGCAATGATTGTTATGTGTACTTTGGTTGCTATCTGATACTAAAAGTGTCCATCTATGCTCAAAGCAACTTCGCACTCCCAAGAACCTCCTCCGTAACACGCCACAGATTCTTCGCCTCCGTCTCGTCATCGCAAAACTCAGTATTCTCTGCTACCACACCAAACGGCATGATGTAGCGGCCCTTGCACGTATCATCGACCTGCTCACTGACCGCGCACCAAAGCGGCGTCAACGCACCTTGAGACGCAGGCAAACTGTTTTTCCATTCCTCTGTATCCACGCCAACCACTTTTGCGAAGCCCGTAGTCAGGATCGAGCCCGGGTGTGGGGCAGTCACGACAATGGGCACGTCTTCTGCGTCGAGACGGCGTTGCAATTCCTTGGTGAAGAGGATGTTTGCGGCTTTGCTGAAACCGTAGCGGAAGGCTGGGGACCACTGGTTTTGTTTCCCGCCAAAGTCGTTGTTCCAGTCGGCGAGGGTGGCGAAGCTCGTGGGTTGAGGAATGATGGAATGGGCGTTGCTGGACACGTTGACGATGCGGACTGCGTTTTTGGGGGTCGATGACGACAAGGCTGTTTTGGAAAGCAGGGGGGGGAGGGTTTGGGTGAGCACGAAGTGGGCGATGTGGTTTACCGCGAGGTCAGCGTTGACGCCGAACTCGTTGATGTCGAGATCGTCGGTCCATACGCCGCCGTTGTTGATGAGGAAGTCTAGTCTGGTTTCTTCTTGAAGGAACTGCTCTGCGCGCTGCTTGACTTGGGTCCAGTTGCTCAGGTCGGCGACAAAGGGGACCAAATTGGCTGGGGCGAGAGAGGGGGAGGTGGTGAGGATGGAATGAATGCCATGCTCAACCCTCTCCGACGAGCGTCCTCCCACATACACTTTCGCTCCGAGAAGGGCGAGCTGGTGGACTATGTTACCTCCTATGGAGTCGAGACTGTTACCTCCGGTGACAATGCCTACTTTCCCCTTCAAGTTTGGGAGATCATTGGTAGGGCTCCAGTCAAGAGGGCGAGAGTAATGAAACTTATCTGGCCCCACAGATGTATTGGAAGAATCCGACATGATGGTGTTAGAGAGAATGTTGCTAATACGGCTTGAAATATGACAATGTTGCAAGGTAGAAAGAAGAATGTAATCTTGTGAAAAGACATTGGACAACGTTTATATAGTATAAAATGGTATGCCGCAGACCCAGTCGGGGGAACTGCAACATTGGAGGCTCTGTATTTTGAAGTCGTGGACCTGATGGGATGGATACCACCTTGGGTTTAGCTCGTCAGCAGGCGCATGTACAAAGTTACTAGAAACAAAGAACCATGTCAGCACCGAGCGATTTGGGTGCAGATTCACGGCACATAGACAACATTCCTTAGGTAGCCCGAATCGAGCTGGCGCGGTGGAGCTTATCGCATGTCAATGACGGAGGAAGAATGTGGTTGTTCCAGGTGGGCACTCGCGTGGCTAGATATGTACTGGACAGCTGCGTGGCAGCGGGAACGTAAGAGTGTAAGCAGGCAGACAGCCGGAAGGATGATGGTCAGTAGCTGATTGAATTCGGAGCCGAAGATGAGAGAGACAGTCGAGAGCAGTACGTATTGTTTGTCGTGTCAAAGGGACTATCCGGACGGAAAGTTTAAGGGAAGCAAGAAAAAGGGTCCGAAGGGCCAATCAGAAGGGGGGGTGGGGGCAGGGTGGGCGGTGAGCAGCGGCAGAAAAGCGACTGCGGGGCACCAACAATTGCCGATGGGCGAAACGTATGAAAAGCTCGTCGCCTTTGCCTCACCCTTCTTCTCTCCTCCATCCCCCTCTTTCTCCTCTCAAATCTTCACTCACATTTTCCTCTTCTTCACTCTCCATCCTACCCTTCTTTCCCTCCATATACCCCCCACACATCTCACCATGTCTGCCCCCGCACACAAGCACAAGGTCGCTGACCTCTCCCTCGCGGCTTTCGGTCGCCGCGAGATCGAGCTTGCTGAGAACGAGATGCCCGGTCTTATGGCCACCCGTGCCAAGTACGCCCAGGAGCAGCCATTGAAGGGTGCTCGTATCGCCGGTTGCCTTCACATGAGTGAGTTACGGTCCTTGTCTCGAAAATGATCCCCTCCATTGTTGACCCTTCCCTAGCCATCCAGACTGCCGTACTCATCGAGACCCTCACATCCCTCGGTGCCGAGCTCACCTGGACATCATGCAACATCTTTTCCACCCAGGACCACGCCGCTGCTGCCATTGCCGCCTCCGGTGTCCCTGTCTTTGCCTGGAAGGGCGAGACCGAGGAGGAGTACAACTGGTGCTTGGAGCAGCAGCTCACTGCCTTCAAGGACGGCAAGCACCTCAACTTGATCCTCGACGACGGAGGTGACCTTACTGCTCTCGTTCACAAGAAGTACCCCGAGATGCTCAAGGACTGCTACGGTGTCTCTGAGGAGACCACCACCGGTGTCCACCACTTGTACCGCATGCTCAAGGACAAGGAGCACGGTCTCCTTGTCCCTGCCATCAACGTCAACGACTCCGTCACCAAGTCCAAGTTCGACAACTTGTACGGCTGCCGCGAGTCTCTGGTCGATGGTATCAAGCGTGCCACCGATGTCATGATCGCCGGTAAGGTCGCTGTCGTTGCCGGTTTCGGTGATGTCGGCAAGGGCTGTGCCCAGGCTCTCCACAGCATGGGTGCCCGTGTCATCGTCACTGAGATTGATCCCATCAACGCTCTCCAGGCCGCCGTTTCCGGCTTCCAGGTCACCACCATGGAGGAGGCTGCTCCCCAGGGTCAGATCTTCGTCACCACCACTGGCTGCCGTGACATCCTTACTGGCACTCACTTCGAGGCCATGCCCAACGACGCCATCGTCTGCAACATTGGTCACTTCGATATCGAAATCGATGTTGCGTGGCTCAAGGCCAACGCCAAGTCCGTCCAGAACATCAAGCCCCAGGTTGACCGTTTCCTCATGAAGAACGGTCGCCACATCATCCTCCTCGCTGAGGGTCGTCTCGTCAACTTGGGCTGTGCTACTGGTCACTCTTCCTTCGTCATGTCTTGCTCTTTCACCAACCAGGTCCTTGCCCAGATCATGCTGTACAAGGCCGGTGATGAGGCGTTCGGCAACAAGTACATCGAGTTCGGCAAGACCGGCAAGCTCGACGTCGGTGTCTACGTTCTGCCCAAGATCCTCGACGAGCAGGTCGCCCTCCTCCACCTTGACCACGTCAACGTCAAGCTCTCCAAGCTCAGCAATGTCCAGGCTGAGTACCTCGGCCTCCCCATCGAGGGTCCCTTCAAGAGCGACATCTACCGTTACTAGATTTTCTTTTCTTGCATCTGTTCACCTGTTTTTTTATTTTCTGAAAGATTCAACACGACGTCATGAATTGGGGGGGATGATACCACATCGAAAAAGTTCTTGTCTTCAACGGCATAGCATAGGGGCGGATTGGGATATCACTGGGAAACATGGCGTTATATTTTGATGCATCATCACAACCTTATCCTTGACCCTTCAACCACGGTCACGGGTAGTAGTGATGTTTATATGTACGACTTCGGTTTGATTCGGTGGCGGAGGATGGCAAGAGCTCAATAAAAAGAGAGTGAGAGAGCGAGAGTGACAGACAGATGTATACACATGCAGGTAGGCATCACTGCCCGCCTGCACGGTAGTAGATAACCCCCATTTGGCATATCCGATTGGGAGGAATCAAGTAATCAAGCAATGTTTGGGTTTCCACACCCGCTTTGTTCATTCACCGGCTTCCAGCACACACACCCGCATAATGCATAATCTGATATCGCAATTTAGCGTGATTGTGTCTCGAATACCTATATTCAAGTGGAAAGAGTGATTCCTCTGCCCCCACCTATAAACTAACCCGGTATCCCTGCATTCGAGGGGCACAGCATACCATGCGTTCGATCCACATAGACACATGCATACACCAATGGTCCACTGAATGTATAAAGTGTGCGTCTTATCGCATGTACCCTTGGTATCATGTATACACTATCACTCATTACCACCTATATACTACTCTACAACCAAACCAAGCTCAGCTTTCTCCCCCCCTTCTTTCTTTACCTACCAAGCAACCAACTGACCAATCCACAAAACAATAAAAAGGGAGGAAAGAAGGGGATATCAATCAAGCAAGCAAGCAAAGTTATCAAATTATGTATATCTTACGAAGGGAGCAAGAAAAGAGGGGGGAAAATAATCAAATGATAGCTCGCTAACTAAAAACCCCCAAGAAGAAGGAAGAAAGAAAGAGGAAAAGGGGAAAGGAAGGGGGACATAAGAAAAAATACCCAATCTCGGCAAGGCCATGGGCTGACTCTTTTCAGCCGTGCAGCCGAGAAACCGTCCAAAATGCAAATCAAACTGATCGGAGGGGGCGGGAAAAAAGCTGTTGTTGTATACGCAAAGAAAAGGATGAGCAAGGAACATGTTCCGGAAGCATGTCAAGTGCACGGGGTTAGCTTCCCTTAACGCAATCCAATAACACTCTGAAGCATTGCAGTTAGTACTGGATTTGAAGAGGAGGAAATTCCGTTGTCGATTGTAAACATACCATCTCGAGCGTCCAGACCCTTCGGATCCACACTTTGAGTTTGCCCTCAACACCTCTGACATTCTCGAGTTCGACGCCTTCCCACCAACAACGACGAGCCGGTTTCCGCCAGAAAAGAAGTAGCTTCTGGGCCATGCCAAAGGCGTTGCTGTTTGCAAGATCATTGCCTTTGATATCGGTCCTTAGGCGAGCGAGCGCAATACTGCAGATGACGGCTTTGTTAGGCTCACCTGCGCGGTGCCCCCACTGATCTTCGTGATTGAAGCCACTAAGCGAACGTCGATTAGCATCCACGCACGTGTAGCCAGAATCTCGGGCTTACCCAGCAGTCAGCATTTCGATGAGATGCTGTTCGGTTGTTCCTGGCTCCTCGCTTTTGCGTAGACCAGAGAAAATACCATCCTGCTTCAACAAGGCCTCGCCGGCAGCTCGTTTGACTTCAATCATCTCAGGTTGAGAGATATCGCGGTGGGGTGGGATGACATAGAAGTCGAGATCCTCGCGAAGGACAATGATGCCAGCACGATCTTGAAGCATGTCCCGTGCGGAGCCATGCATGGGCTCAATGGCATGCGCCTCGGCAGACTGTTCTGGGGTAGCGGTAGGAGAAGGGGGCGAAGCTGGAATAGTTTGTGCTACATTTCGGAAGAACTCGAGCATGTATTGGAGAGAATGAGGATCGTACTGAGAGAAATAGATGTTGTCAGATAAATATAATGCGGGATTGGAAAGGTGGTACATGATCATGGCTAGAGAGTTGGAACGAAGATTGGGAGGAGAAGAAACATCGGGAGCACCAACATCGACTGGGTATACATCACCGTCATATGAGCTCATATGGCCATCGGGAAGTAGGCCGTTAGGAAACAGAGAGAGAAGAACAAACTCTGGGAGAGTCAGGAGCTCATCTCGGGAGAGCGTAAAGCGCGAGCCCCTACGTTTGTTAGTGGAGATTTCACAATGGCCTTACGGCTCTCCATACCTGAGCTCTAGCGTAAGGTTTTCGTCAGAACCTCCTCCGAGCGTGTTGATCGGCGGCCCACCGCTGTGTTGCGACACCTGGGTGATGATACTCGCGGGACCTCCTGCAGATGCCATGACGTAGGTAAAGGATTCGAGAGGACTGTAACCTTCACTATAAGGTGGCGGCGGTTCTCCGTCGTCGATGTCCTTGCTGCTGGAACCTTCTTTGGTGTCGCGAGGAAGGGCAGCTTTAGTCTCGGCAGCGGCAGCAGAAGATGAAGACTGGTTGAAATGGGTCGAGGACGAGAATGCAGGTGGGGATTCCTGATGATTGGGCTCGTCGTCTTGCTGCTGGTTCTCGTTGCCGTCGTTCGGGGGGAAGTAGAGGGAGGAGAAAGGAGGGGGGTAGGGTGAATCGGCGGCCGAGGTTGACGTTGGCGTATCGCTGGCAGGCGCTGCAGCACTGTACGGTGGACGTTGATCGCAGCTCTCGCTCTCGCTGTTCTGGGGAGGCAAATGAGTGACTACGGACAAGCCGTCTGGACTGGAAGCTTGCGTCTGAGACAAGGTGCCGGTGGTCTACGGACGACGATATGGAGATGCGAGGGCTTCCAAGGGGCGTCGACCAGCTGTTTGGCTTGTACAATGGCGGGCGCAGTGTATTCACGGGGAGACCAAGAGCATTGGAGTAGGTACCTGGCAGCAAGATGCGTTCAGGGCGTGGATGGGCGTGAGGGTGAATGTTCGTCCAATATACTGTGGAGACGCATGTGGACCTGCTTTGAAGTTCAAGCAAGCGTGCTCGGCGTCACAACAAGGATCGACGACGTAACCACCTCGGGACTAGCGCTCCTACCCCTTCTCCCTACCCGCTCGCTCTTTCTTGCAGTCTCGTTGCATCTCAAGTGACTACAAATGAATACATACCTAGGTATGTTCCTGGAACAACCTTTTTCCCAATGTTAACGTCAAAGTCTGTGAGATCATTTCGAGCTCTCGCATTGCAACACCACAATAAGCATCAGGTACCAGCAAGACCTACCGCTGTGCACTAGATAAGGCACGTTGTAGACACACACTAAGACCAGCCTCACAACATACTTCAACTATCGTGCAAAACAATTTCTGCAGATCCTAGATTGGCATAGTAGCCTTTGATTTTTGTCTGCCTACTGCTTACTTGGCGTGTTTTTGCACTACTACGCCTGAATCATTGGCCTGTGCCGTGATCCTGCGCTTGTAGTCCTTGACCGTTCCGTCAAAGTGCTCAATCGTGCCATTGTCACACACCCACAGACTCGTGCACACGTTTTGCAACATCGTGACATCGTGACTGACCATGAGAATACCTCCCTCGAACTTGCGTAGTGCATCCGAGAGCGCATCCATGGCTTCAATATCCAAGTGATTGGACGGTTCGTCTAGCACGAGAATGTGTGGGTTCTGCGATGACAGGCACGCAAAGGCAACGCGAGATTTTTGACCTCCAGAGAGAAGTTCCATCTTCTGTAAACCCGTCATGCCCGTGATACCGAAGGCACCAAGATGACGCCGATATTCTTCATCCGTCTTGCCCGGGAATTGCTTGGACATGAAACCTACAGCGCTATCGTTGAGGTCCAATCCATCGACGTGGTGCTGGGCGAAGAAGCCAACCCGCAGACGTGGATTTTGCGAGATCAAGCCTGAGGTGGGTGATAGGGAACCGATGAGGAGCTTCAAAGCCGTCGTCTTACCTGCACCGTTAGGCCCGACGATGCCGATTCGAGAATCCAGTTGCACATCGAGATCAACGTTCTTGAGCAATATGTTATCGGGCTTGTAACCAAAAGTGACCCCGCTCATTTGAATGATCGGCGGTGACATCTTCTCCACTTCAGGGAATTTGAAGTGAACACTGTATTCGGCTTCCGGCGCTTGTAGTACAGGCATTTTTTCGAGCTTCTTGATTCGCGACTGCGCTTCTGAAGATTTGGCAGCATTGTACCTGAATTTGTCGATGAAAGCTGCAATCAATGTAAGCATACGCCCACCTAGATATCATAGTCTGTGTACAAACCTTGCAAGTGCGCACGCTCGCCCATCTGTTTCTCGTACTCGCGCTTGGCTGTCTTGCGGCGCTCTTCCCTTGTCGCGTAGAACGAATCTATGAATGTAAGTGACTCTGTCTGTTTAATGATAACGACAATAATACGAACCGAAATTGGCACCCTTGTAGTAGTCTAGTCGTTCCGAGTGCTGATGGATAATATCTGTCGCCACTTCGTTCAAGAACGCCCTGTCGTGGGAAACAACCAGCAAGGTACTAGGGTAGGTTTGGAGGTAGTTTGACAAGAAAGTAATGGAAGGAACATCCAACATGTTGGACGGTTCGTCCAAAAGAAGGAGATCAGGCTCGCAGAACAGAGCTCTTGCAAGCGCCAGCCGCATTCGCCAACCACCAGAGAAGGTTTTGGTAGCAAACTGCTGGCGCTCTTTTGAGAAGCCCAAACCAAACAGAATGCTGGCTGCTCGAGATTCTGCCTTGTCTGATTCCATCTCTGAGAGTTTAGAGTGGATATCACTGAGGGTGGTGTCGAGACCTTCGCGCTGCTTGTCAAGGCCGGCCGCATCTGCTGATGTGTCGGCCAGCGTTGAACGCTCAGCTTCAAGCGCAGCGAGTTCAGCAGTGATTTTCTGATGCTTGTCAGATTGCCATACAAATGGAGGAGCGCCGAAGAACTTACATCCTGTTCTTTGAGAAGGTGTTTGCGCCAGACATCAGCATCCAATACAGCCTGTATGGCTGGAGTGTCGTCACCGGTAATCTAGATGTATTAGCGACGGTCGAGTTGACTGGGTGACATAGATAGAGCATACTTCCTGTTCCACGTGAAGGATGGAAATGTGGGTAGGAATGTTGACTTCACGACGACTGAGGGCCCTCAAGAGAGTAGATTTACCGATACCGTTCTGACCCACGAGACCATATCTTCGTCCGTATGCTAGAGTCAATGTACTATCTGAAAGGATTCGCTGCCCGCTAATGGAAATGTCAAAGCTATCAATCTTGATATCCTTGCTCTTGGAGGTAGCATCCGAGCCCAGCATGAGCGGGTTGACCTGCATGTAGAACTCTTCATAGCTCTGCGTCTCCGAAGGCAGATTGAGCAGCTTAGAAGCTTCGTACTCGACATTCTTGAACTCCTTACGGTCTTGCTTGGCTTTGAGTTTGCGTTCGGCCTTTTCGAGTTTCTTACGATCTACCCTTGATTCTACTTTGCGAGCATTGGCGGATTCAAGATCAACACCGCCACCAGCCAGACCCAAGGTGGTGGACATGTGCGTCCGCGAGCCCACGTGGATAGCTTGGTCCAGCTTCCTGGCTGATGGTGCCATCTGGCGTCGCTCGCCATCGGCGCCATTTGCGGCATTCAGGCGGGAGATGAACTTGTCAACCAGATTTTGCACGGTGATCTCGTTCTGAGGGGACAGATCTCCAGAGGCGGAGAGCAGCAAAGCGGACACGGCAGCGGCAGCTTCCTCGAGTGGAGAGGGAGCATTGGGGTCCGCGTCGGTGGTGAAGGAGTTGGCAGCATGGGTCAGGTAGCCAACCGAGTACTGGGATAGGATGGGATCAATGTCCGGGATCTGGGCTCTGATTTCAGCTTCCATGTTGCAAGGCGGCTTTTGGGGTGAGCTGTTCTGTCTGTCGCAAGAAGAAGGACGAAATGGTGGTCGGGTGGGCCGGGTGGCGTTGGGTTGCTCGATTGCCTGCGGACTTGATGAGGGCGGCACGGCAAGATGTCATCCAAAGAAGATTTAGTGGGGGTACACGATGTTGCAAGAGGCGCGGCCAGCAAAGCATGTACCGGGTTAGTTAGTCAGTATACGGATGAGAGGTCGACACTGGACAGGTTTCTGGACGTCGGAGATGGAGGCGCGCGGATGGAGGTTTCTTTTTTCGCTCCGCAATCCGACCAATGACAGGCCACCAAGGACCGAGCCCCACGAAATCTCGCACACGAGACTAACAGCACCTCGGGCAAAGCGCGCGCGATGTTCCTCCAGGATGTCCCAGTCTACGTGCATGTCGATGCCGTGTCTCCGCTACCTGCATGGAGAGGGAGAGAAGACGATCGAATTAGGTCGACGAGGAGAAGATGGAGGTGGAGTGAGAGGGAGGAGCGGCACTTTGATCGTCATGATGGTGACTCGGGCTTGTCTGATCATGTTGCTGTCGCACCGAGCCCCACGAATGAGCGGTTTGCCTTGCATCAGTATCTACAGCAGGTACCTACATGGCATGCCTTGCATCGAGTGCTTTGGGTGGGTGGCGTGGATGGCGTCTTCAGAATGTACACTACCGCCTGGGTGAATTGATGGATGCACTACGGCCGTGTCAAACCCACGAATCCCTTGTTCAGACACGGTAGGACGATGCAATGCACATTCCACGCTACACGGCGCTACAAGTTGGTGTCGGTCTGGCTGACCGACGCTGTCTGAACCAAGGCAGTCCTCTTCGTCTTCTAGAATGATGCCGGTACCTATACGAACAGAAGATACGACTCGCTATGCCTACAAAGCAGGCACGCATCATGTGCCGGGCTTGGGCGATTGGAACTACATGTCCATGGAAATCAAACGGTTTCGGAAGGAGACAGGACCCACTGGATCCAAGGCCAAAGCCTCCGTCAACAACCAGTTTCTTGTGAGGAGGTGGAACTCGGGTGGGACTTGGGCAGAGTGGAGTTGCCGTCGTCCGAGGAGCGTTGATCTTGGTCACTTGCTTGAGCTGACGTGCCCGCGGTTTCGTGGTCCAGGATGCGGACAAGGCGAGCCGGCCCCGGCGTGCAATTGGATCACGATACGGGGGGCGGAGGATCACGTAGGCACAAATCCGTACATGGCGATTGCTTGCATGCGGCAACAAGGAGGTGCTCTCGGCTGTTGTTATTGTGGTTGGCGTGTACGAGCGTGCAAGTCACTCCTGTACGTGGACGACAAGACTGATTGCTTCGTCTTTTTCTTTTTGTTTTATTTTTTGCGTGTGTCACTGGTTGCACAAGCACGTCTTGTCGAGCAGAGATGGGATGGATCAATCATGGAGTTTACAGTTTGGGGATACGACGAGCGGATGGGTAATAAAGTGTGATGAGGGCAGCGGTCGGAGCAATGGTGGTACGGCACGGGAGTCGAGGCAGCCAAGTGTCCATCAATCAGTCCATCAATCAACCCGTGGTCGGGCGGAGCGAATGCGAGGCAGGGTGATAGGTAGAGAGAGGTAGGTGTTGGTTGGGAGGTGTCGCGCAATGGCCCAAAGGCGAGCACTGAGAGAGGGCAAACAATCTCCACCTCCCACTCTCGACCGCATTCGATGTTTGTAACGGGCAGGGGGGCGAGTGGATGTTCGCGAACATGTTTTTGCCAATCATGACGCCGGCTAGTCGCACGGAGAGCGGCCAAAACGTCGTCAAGCGTGTCGTCGGTCCAGCTAAATTTGGTCGTCGACACGCGCGGTGCTCCATTCGCTTGGAGCGATCCATCGACTAGATTTATTGTTATTACCTCCTGTTAAGGTTATCCCTACATGATGCATGTATCTATCTATCCATCTATGCACTCGGCCAGTGCCTACTTGCTCAGCTACCGTCAAGAACCACCTGTATAGTGTGTGTATATAGTGCCCTGATACTGTTTTTTTCATGTTGATTATCGTCGTCGTGGGTGGTCAATCTCGAGCGTGCTCCATCTATGTACAAGCAAAGCATGTACGCACATGTACCTGGGTATCCATCCCAACTCACACACACACACACATACAACAGCATCCAGCCGAAGAGAAGCAGCTGCACGCACGACTGGAATCAATAAACACAGCAACCAGCATCAAGGTTTGCGTGCCGGCCGTGTCTCTGTTTTGTGTTTTGGCCCTCGCTCCCTGGCCTCCACTGATTACCAGATCTCGCTAAACCTTCAAACTGCTAGCGCCTCCAAGATCGCTGCTCTCTCTCCCTCTCTCTCCGCCGCCTGCTGCTCGTTCAATTCGATACTTTGGATTGATTTACCTTCGTTCCTTCGTCTTCCTCGCTGCTTTGCTCTCTGCTTGTTGGTGACCAGCTGGTGCTGCCAAACCTATTTCCTTTTCTCCCCCCCCGTTCTCTTCTCTTTGCCCCTTGTTCTACCTCGATACCTTCTTCGCCCGTTTTCCTCCCTCTCCCCCTGCCTGGTTGCTGCGCCCGCCCGTCCGCCAGCCTGCGCCAAACAAAACATACTCTACCAGCGCGCGAGATGCCATAATGCTCCTCGTGCCCTCAGCAGTGCCCCGAGTGAGCCTATCTGGCGACCAGCTCTGTTGATAGTTGAGAATGAAAACGGTTCCAACGGTAAAAAAAAAAGTCCCTTCTTCTCTCCCTGAGGCTCCCATTCACACCGCAGCCCGTGTTTTGTTTTTGCTTGTTTGGTCCTCCCGAATTCCACCCATTGTTTTGTTTTGCCCGCATGTTATTTGCTTTTTCATGTCTCTCTTCCACTTCCCTTCGTTTCCCTTTCTGGGCCTGCATGCTGCCGTGTCTGGCGGTGACCCTTTGTGGTCAGCCCTTGCATCGTTATGGCTCGTCGACGTGTCGACGTCGTGCCCTCGAACCTGCCCCAAGCCTTCCCCAAGAGAGCGCCCACAGCAGACCCACCCCCGACACCTCCCACAAGAATACTGCTTGTCCTTTTATTCGTTTGCGTACTGTGGTAGTATTGGTGTTTTACTAACGCACTGTCGTGATACAGCTTTGTGCAACTGCCACTATCGTCGGTGCTTCTGCCGTTGGCTTGTCATTTGGTCGCGAAGCCCCCCTCGACCCTCACGCAAACAACAAAAGAAAATCGACCCTAGCACGAGAGCTGACCTACAGGCCGATATCCACTCCAGTGCATATTGAGCCTGCCCCTGCGCCCGCCGTTGCTCCTCCTACTTCTACCACCGCCGCCCAATTCCCAAGTGGTCCCCTACCGCTCGTCGCACCCTCTCGCGCGCCAGTGACAGCTCGTCCGAGTCGCGATGGTCTCCCCCAGCGTCGCATTGTAAAAACAAGAAGAAGCCTGGATCATCCTGGACCCCCGCAAACTGCTTCGGCGGCAAACAGGTCTATAGGTCTCGGTGACGGTGAAATGGGCGACCTCCTGGAACCCTCTGCTGCCAGGCGTCCATCTTGGATGAAGCGCCTGTCTGCCATATCCACCTCGCTGCCTTCGAGTGGAGACACCAGCCCAACGCCCATGTCCCCCTCTGTCTCTGTTTCGAACGGCTCAATGGCATTTTCTCACGACGGCTCTACGGCTCCCATGATCGGCGACCGGCCTCCTCCTCCTATGCCGCCCAACAAGCTAGTAAAACGTTCGTCGTCGGTTCACATCACCCAAGCCGCCACATCCCAAGGCACTGGCTCTCGTCTTCCATCGTTCCGCCGACCTGCCACAAGCCATCAACGCTCTGCCACGATACAGCACCAAACCGCCTTGCTGGATATGACTTTGGAGAACCCGTCCGTCCACACACCACCACATCGAATCTCAGATAGCGAATTAGAATACACCCAGTATTTCACTGCCAAGATCATCCCGGAACGATCATTGTCTAAGAAGAAAAATCCAGTGGCATACGTAAAGGGCTTGAAAAGGATATATCCCGACGAGGCCCCTAAACCCACGCTCCTCCTTGCAAAATCTGTCTCAGCAAACAATAATCCAGGCAATGATGACGAATCTACGAGTGAAGATGGAGACAGTGCCGGTTCCTCCAGTCGGCCGGATAGTCCCCTGCCAACACACACCACCCTCAGCCAATCCGGTGCACCTATGCCCAATGACGGAAAACACAACAAGCTGCCATCAGACGCCTTTCAACAGGCCAACACGACGCGGCCCAGACGCTCCTTCTCTATCAACAACCTGTTGCCGCGGCGCTCCAGTTTTCGAAAGCAACGGCAAGCCGTGGTTTCGTCCGGGGTAGGTCTCGCTAGGACTGACAGCCAAAAGCGGGTCATCTCTGCTCCACCTATGTCGACAATACCCAAACGTCAGAGCAGCACTGCGCACGGGGAATCCGCGGCTATCCCGTTACGGCGTGATCCTACGCTTGTTCGACGCCAAATTTCGACTTCAGCTGGGCCACTTCCTCAACCTCGAAATGCACGACATGGGTCCCTTAGCGGCTCATCGCCTTGGCCATTGCCTGCATTGTCGCCTCCCGCTTCGGGAAGAGTTGACCGCGGTCAAGCGTCCATGCGTACAGGCGATGTGATTCCGTCAGCCTCGGCAACCACCAATCACACCCCACCATCCCCGATCCTCGCTCATACGGCAGGACGCCCATCCCGTAATTCTATGGCCCCATCCGAGCAGGCCTCTACGTTGGTTGGCTCAGACAATGAGGCTCGTGGCATGGGAACAGGAGATGAGGACGACGCAGACGTTCAGAGTGAAACCGCCTTTGATTCGTTGCGCACGGGCGCAACCCGAAGCACAACAGGCGCTCGTGGCCCTCGCATCGAGACTATATTTGACGAATCTCCTCCCTCCAAACCAAAAGTCACTGCCCTACGGGACCTTCTTCCAAAGGGTACTTTCCGGGAGCAGACAGCTGATGCTGCTCCCGGACATCAAAGCATCGCCGAAGAAGACGAGAGCATATCCACGCCCGTGCGAACGGTTGTTCCTGACAGATCCCTACGCGACTCGCCTAGCTACCAACGAGGACACAGTACTCCTTTATTCCCGAGTATAATACCATCTTCACCACCGGACATGCCGAAACCGCTGTCTCTCGGGACCTTGGAATGGGATTCAAGAGCTGGAGACGACGATAGCAGCAGCCGTTGGTCATTAGATGAAGACGAGGACGACGCTTCCTGGGGCGAACTTCCTCCCAACCCATCCGCCGCGCGAGTGCCTACGCCAGCAACCCCTCGCCGCCTCAACCTGCGGCTGCTCGCTTCTGGTCCTAGCCCTACCCTAACCACCCCACCCTCTCAAAACCTCGCTCTCGACCACGTAGATAAAGATGCCCGCAGCAGCATATTCGATTGGTCAGAGCAACACCACACAGATAAAAACTCGGGCAATTGTACACCCCCGCGTCCAAGCACAGTACATGGGAAGAAGGATGCCGATCGTCGAGGAAGTCGCTCAGTCGGACGCAGAGTCCCCAGTGGATTACACGCTCGCAGCCAAAGTGTGCCTGTGGTACCAGATGCTACCGGTAAACGTAACACAGTGGTCACCAACAAGTTTGGAACCTGGGGGGTAGGCAGCAAGGGCGTCACAGAGGACTGGAATGATGATTTCGATTTTTCCGATCTTCACGAGGAACCGAATGCAGAAGGCTCGACACAGTCTCGCAGAGTCGACAGTGGTACCGCCATGCTTGTCCCCAAGACCATTCAAGAACAACAGAGCAATGTGCTTGCGAACATCGGCCTTCTACGGGAGTGGGGCTTGTTGATTGAGGAGCTCAAGGAACAGAAAGTGCGCGCTGCGTCCCTTGGCATACTTCACGGCTCACATTCGGGGACATGGGAAGAGGTGGATGCTATGATCGATCTCGCCGATCAAGAAGTAGAGCATGAAGGCGTACCCCGTCTAACACCTCCCTCATCCCCCTTCGATGAAGGCGTTTTTGACGACGTTTCCGGACCCAGTCCGAATGAAACCAGGACGACACTCAAGTTAGGTTCGACAAGTGAAGACGTGAGTCGTAGCAGGAGTGGCGTACACAGACGTACAAGCAGGCGATCTATACTACGATCGCGCCATCAAATCTTCGGACCTCAATCGTCGCCCATACCCCCGAAATCCAACTATGAATCGCCGGTCACTCCTACCCCTACAAAACTAATCGTCAATCGACCCCGCAAAGACTCGGAAGCTAAAGCTCGATCCGTCATAGAAGCCCTTCAACAGAAAAGGAAGAGCACACCCGATGCACTTGCAGACACGCAAAATGCAGATGAGATGAAAAAAGTCCCTTTCGATACGGCAACTCTCCGACGTATCGTTCCCTATGTTAGCAGCTTAACACGGAAAGTCAAGGATGCGTTGAGAGAAGCAGAAGGACTATATTCCAGCCCCAATACTAGTCCTTCGAAAGAGAACGAACCACCCTTCGACAAGATGTTCCAGGCGGAAAAAGACTTGACTACGGAGATGAAGTTAATGACGGTCATGTAGACGAGGAAAGCTACGTCAGAGATGGGCTCGCCTTGTGCCAGCGAGTTCTGATCACGAACCCCATCAAAAATGCTGGGTCGAGCAGACAAAAAGATTTCCTTTTCGGTTCTCTTTCTTTAGTTCTGGATAGCGTTGAAGCGCATAGCTCGCGATTGTCTTGCTTTCATACCCTGTATTTCTTATACTGCCATTGGTTCCCATGGACAGTGTTCCTGCATTCGAAGCGGATTGCATATTCCTGTTTTTTCCTAGTGTTTTCTTCTTCCTTCTCTTCCTTGATTTCCTTTTTCCTCCTTCTACTTCATTTCCTGTTCTTGTTCCCTAGCATCAGCGCCTTTGCATTTGAGAGGAGAAGACAAGGAGTGCGGAAAAAAGCGCTAGATGTGTTCCCCTGGCACGTTGGTATGCAGATGTATTTCCTGCTTTTGATATCAGAGGAGACAAAAAGGAGTAGTGCTTGGTTGCGATCCAGGCATCATTGCATTTACGAGATCCGATTTGGAAAAAGGCCGTGACGCCAGCCGCTTGCGATGCTTGGCAGACGGGCATGTACAAAACGGGTTTGAAATGGCTTCCCTTTCTTCTCCATGAACGACGATGCTTTCTTCCTAGACGATCGAAACAAAAAGAACCAACGTTGCTTGATGGCAATTGTGTTTGGTATGCATGTGTGCATGATGAGTGCGCGTCAGTAATCAGTCGCACGACGAATAATAAAGACACGAAATATAATGTCCTCCTTTCACTCACACACATACCCGTTCAATGTCCCCACATGAAATCGTGACGCCTTTTGAGAGAGGTGGCCTATGATCTAGGATCGTTCGTTATGGTAACAAGTGAGCAGGATTTCCCGGGGCAACCCTGGCCGGCTGCTCCGGTCGGATTACGGTACGACGAGGTTTGGACAGGGAGCAAACGGGATCCTTTGTTTTGGGGTCCAAGCAATCAATAATCAGGATTGATTTCTTTTTAATTTTTCGAGGAAGCTGTTCCATGCTATTTGTCGGGGCAAATGTTGGAACGCAAGCGCTCACGCTATCAATTCATCCATGTTTTCCACCCTTCTCGTATCCTTTGTGTGGGCTCGAGGGTGGTCGAGGTACGCAATGGACATGTTTGGCTAGGTAAGATATGGTGAGATTGCCTTTTGTCCAAACGATTCTCTTCTCTTCTTCTCCACCCTCTTTCCTTCACTCACATGCCACATCTCACAAACATGTGTGCAAAAGAGAATGTTATGTGAGAAAAAAATATACGAGCCCTCACCCCCTGGTCACAGCGGCAAAAGAATAAATACGATAGACGAAACCCATGGCAAATGCACGCATGCACGCATTACATGGTTCAATTGACCGTAATTCCTGTTTTCTTTTTCAATTTTTCCCACTTTTTTTTTCTCTCTTTCGGATTCGATTCGTCTGTTACGTGAGAGCTGAGACACTTTAGCCTAGCGTGCCGGGCGTACAATTAAATTCCTGTGAGCGAGCGGCGCGGTGATATGCTTCCGTCCCATATCAGCTCATTTAGAGACTAGATGGAGTTTGAGATGGCTGGATTCTTGATTGACTTGTTACTGGGCATGTATATAGGCGATTGCATGGCATAGCATGATACATCTACCATACATATGCACAGTTGAACACCGGGCTGGCACTTTGTGTACATAGCTAGGTACATACATAGGCATGCGAGTGACATGCACTCCGCAAAAGCACCCCTCGCTCTCGGCTATCGGACGTGAAGACTGAAGTGCAATACGCTAACCTAGACGGAACCATACATAACAACATCTGCTCCGGGCACAACATCCTATCCAACCCGCAGCCATCGTCCAGTGAGTACATGTACGTACTCGCCGAATCGCCTCTGCTCACGAACGGTTGACGAACCAGCTATCAGTGCCAATGGCTCCCGGTGGTCTTGGAGGCGGTGGTGCGGTATGCTCAGAGCACGTTACGCGGCATTGATGACGACAGTGGGGATTGGCTTGCGGGGAAGGAGTGTGTTTCAAATGGTGGCAAAGTCCCCAGTGCTCTTCTTTTACAAATCCATCCTCCCTCGGAGTCTGACATTGATGACAATTGATTGATCGACCCTGCTTGTGTTTTACATTGAGCCTTTTCTTTCTCCGACGCACAAAAGCTTGCAACAAACACGAGATACGAATGACTGCATGCGCATACATACATACATAACCACCTGCTTGACTGTGTCCTCCCCGCCTCCACCATCCAATCGTAGCTCTTCCGGGTCTAACCTGCATACATAGTAGCCTCCCCGGCTCACCATGCACGTAAGCAACACCCTCCTTCTGGTGCTCCACCACCACATCCTGTGGGCGGGCCTGGTTCGAGCTCAGACTTCATCTTCTGCCACATCCACAGCGACGCCGTGTGCGAGTACAATCGCGCCCCTCAACAACGCCACACCCTCTGTGGCGGCGGGCTGGCAGGCCGCCGTGGTTGCTAATAATCTCGCAAGCCCACGAGGCATCAAGTTCGATACCGAGGGAGGCTTGCTGGTGGTGGAGCAAGATAGAGGCATTGTACGTCTAACTTTTAGTGGGGAGGGCGGCTGTGCAAGGAGCAATGGTAGCGCCCAGCTCGTCATCGATGACCCATCTGTAAGTCCGGAATACACCCTTGATGCTGTGTGGACCTGCGTGCTGAATCAATTCCCCAGTTAAACCATGGATTGGAGCTCTCCGAAGATGGTCGCACTCTCTTTGCCTCTTCAGAGGAATCCGTGTTGGCTTGGCAGTATGATCCGGCTACCGGTCGCAATACATCAGGTCCGCGAACTATTGTCAATCGAATGACAGGTGACGGCCACACGTCTCGGACTCTTCTGCTCTCGCGCGTAACGCCAGGGCAGTTGCTCGTTAGCAGGGGTAGCCAGTCGAATTTGGACGTTGCCGCTTTGGACATCTCAACCGGCATATCCACCATCAAGAGTTACAACTTGACCGACACAGGCAGTCCCAGTAATAACTCTGCCTCTCCGTACAACTTTGCACAGGATGGTGTTCTCCTGGGTTGGGGTCTTCGCAACAGCGTTGGCGTAGCGGAACACCCCATTACGGGCGGCATCTATTCGGTAGAAAATAGCGTAGACAACTTGGATCGGAGCGGTCAAAACATACATCAAGATAACCCTGGCGAGGAGATGAACTTCCACGGATATCTGAATGGGACGACTGTTCCTGAACAGGGCGAGAATTATGGCTATCCCTCATGCTTCGCTGCTTGGGATGTCAACGAGATCCCTGACAATGATGGACTTCAAGTTGGTTCGCAGTTTGCTATTGGAAACCAGAATGCTACCGTGAACGATACACACTGTAGAGAAGGGACAATTCCCCCGCGTTTGACGTTTGCGGCACACATGGCGCCGTTAGATATAGTTTTCAATACGGAAGGCACGGCGGCGTGGATCTCATTCCATGGATCTTGGTAAGAAACTCTGCGAGTCCATCTTCCAGGAGATAATCCAATCAGTACTCGGAAATGGTACGCTAATCTGTGTAGGAACCGGGATGACCCCATTGGTTACAAGCTTTCGGTAGTCGCTTTTGATGGTGCTACTGGTACACCTCGTGCTCCAGCAAACAGCACCACTTCTTACTCTGACATTGTGTCCAACCCTGATCTTTCGAAATGTCCAGATGGGTGTTTCCGCCCTGTCGGTCTCGCGTGGGACTCTTCAGGACGACTGTTCATGAGTAGCGACTCCACGGGCGAAATTTACGTCGTCACCCGCGATGATGGCTCTTCTACGGATTCAACAAATGGGACAGCAGAGCCAGCAAATCCAGACAGTTCGTCGTCGGAAGATTCTGGAGCATCTATGGCAGCCGGCTCAGGTGCTGGCGTGGTATTGTGGACGGCCTTTGTAGCGGTTACCTTGTATTTAACGAATATCTGATATGATCGGTTTGCGTAGTTGGGTGCTTAGCACATCACAGCCAGACGATTGCGGTGAGAATAAGGCACCTGCGCGCGATTATACTTCGCCCGCTGTATTACCTCGCGTCGAGCGCACCTTCAATTACCTCCGCAGCATCATCTATCACGTCCAACAACATGGAATCTGCCTTCACCTGGGAATCGAGGTAAGTGACTATCGGGCTGGGCTTGTAAGTGAGAGGGCTCGTTTGCCTCGCAGTCGTTGCCCTACATAAAAGCCACCTCGACCGTCCTTTTCCTCCGCCTCCACCTGCACCTGCCCCAACTGCTACGCCATGAAGTCCCAACCGGCCAATGAGATCAATCACGATACTGCACCCCCAGCTATGGATCATCGTGGCCCGCCCTCAACATCGACGGCGTTCAATAAACTGCCAATCGAGGTAATCCATCGAGTAGTGAATATTCGTAACGCACAAAATACATGCTAAACAATCATTCTAGATTAACCAGCTAATTGCTAAATGCCTGATTCCTAATGCCGATGATGAGCCACGCGATTTCCGTACAACCGAGCTGGAAGTGAACAAGTACCGTCTAATTTGCCATGCTACCAACAATGCTATTGCAGGCGACCGATATAGTTTCTGGCGTGTGTTGTTCCGCGAGCGTTTCGCGCTGGCACCTGGCGGCGGCGGGAAGAAGAGCGGCGAGTTGGCGGCCATGTACCAGCGGCGATCCAGGTACCTTCGTCGTGCAGCTGCAGGTCGAGATTTCAAGCATGGTGGTGCGATCTGGGAGCAGAAGGCGCTGGAAGTCTTGCGGGACCTGATCAATGGTAAGTGAAGACACTTGGTGTATCTCCTGACATCAACAGTTTTTGGCCCGGAGAACAGAAATGTCTATTGTATGATGCTGACTGTTATACAGAGTCGTTCCATGGACCTCAGGAGTTTGATCAATTCGGCGACCTATTCTGCAAGAATCAGGTGGAGCTGAGAGAATTCATTCGTGACTCCAAGCTCATCTACAACCGCAAGCGTGTTTGCCCCGCTGGTGATGATGAGGAGTGGGGGAATACGTTAGCTGCAGTCCGCCTCATGTGCTCTCAGCTTATCTTCGAAATGGACGGTATTAACAAGGCCGATGTCATCGCCATGGACGACGCCCAAGAGGCAGTCTATGCGCCAACGAACGACGCCCGTCTCTACGACGGACCCAAGAAGAACCGATTGAACGTGAAATGGATGGTCCAATGTTTCGACTTCTTTCGCCGCTACATGGCCTGTCCCCATTCATCAAACTTATACAATACCTTGGGAGATTTGGAGGAGTCGGAGCTTCCTACCGCTTGGGATGCGCCATTGTCCCGTGGATCGTATCCACTCAGCAGGCACTGGAAAGGCACGTACGCATACCTGGAACACCCGATCTTGAAGCGTATGCGTAGACGAAGCAAGCTACGTTCTACCAAGGATGAAGAGGATCTATACATAGACCTCAATATCGACGAAGGCAAGATCCAAGTAAGTCACAAACTCTCCAACCTTTATTCCTTCCTATTCTATCTCAACCCGAGCATTTCGAAATCCTAAACATGCCGGTTACGCGTTTGGTTGGAGGGTTTTCGAAAGCCCTTGATGGGCCCCCCTTTTTTTCTCCCTTACGCACATACAAGTGCATGCTTAACCGTTCATCACGAACCTCGATTTCACCGCTCACCCTGCACCCAGTCTCTCCACCTCAACTTCCTCGAAGAAGGCCACACCGTCTACTGGCCCGACTCCTTCGAAGAGACTCTAGACTCGACCCGCGACACCCTCAACCCCACCACGCGCGCCCAGCACAGCAAGAAGAACGCGACCGCCGACGCAGCTTCTACCCGCAACATCCAATTCACGGGATGGGGCGAGGACCTCGAAGATACCTTCTACGCCACCGGCTGGCTCAACCCGCTGCCCGATCAGTGCGAGATCCCTGGCTGGCAACGCGTTACCTTTATGAAGCACTTTGATCCTGATCCGGCGAATGTCGATGACGACAACTTGTGGGCGTACGAGGGCGTGGTGCTTCCCGGTGGGAAGTTTATCTTGGGGCGGTGGTGGTATGCTAACGATGAAGTCAACTACAACGTAAGTTTCTTTTTTTTTTCTCAGCCCCTTTTATTTTCTGCTCTCCAGTCCTCTTTTTTCTGTTGCTTTGACTGCGATTCTTTCATGTCTAATCCGTTGCTGGTTTTTCTTTTTAGAGCGACTACAACGGTCCGTTCATCCTCTGGGCCACGAGCGAAAACGAAGACGAGTTTCCGGATCTACCCCCCAATAGCGACGATGAAGACGATGAGGACGATGAGGACGCGTACGAGACCTGAAATTGAGTGTCTGGGTGGGTGACTTGAGGTGCTGCTGCTGGCTGCGAGGGGACGGATATTGGATTTCTACTTAGACATCTCTCCCTCCCTCTCTCTCCTTGAGAAGGAAAGGAGGGAAATCGGGGGCTATTTAGTTTCGACTCTCCCTCCATATGCAAAAAAATGGGGGTTTTAACCTCTTCTTTCTTCTATATTTGTGTGTAGCCTTTGTTTATTGGGCTTGTGTGCTTCCCTTGCAATAATGATTTTATCGTGTGGTACCTACTTTGGAGCTTCCATGGAGGGAATGGGGCGGATCAGGGGGGATCATTGAGGTGGGAGATTTTGCAGATATTGCAGATATAATACTGTCTCTGAAAGGGGAGATGTTGTTTATGGGGGTGAATGTGTGTGCATATTCACTGCGTTGGCCTTTTAATTAGCCACGGAAATGATTGTTTGGGTATTATGAGTTCTATTTATATCACAGAAGTGTACGATATCTTTTTTCCCTTCCGGATCGTCCACATGGAATGGAGGATGGTGGAATCGTGGAACCAAAGCGTATCCATAGTCCATAATCAAAGGGCAGAACAAGAGTTTAGCATTCACTGGTTCACTGATTGAACAAGCCATCCTTCCTATGCGAAAGCGAGCCAAGGGGGGTTTTTTTTTGTCTTTCCAATGTGTAAGTGTTTATTCGCTAATATTCTCAAAATCCCAACTCGTTCGATTGCCGACCAAGCTCGACTCGACTCGACGCAAGCCAACCTCCCAACATCACCGTCATGTATTGAACAACAATCAAGCATCGTATCCTATCATATATAACGGCGGTACGTGCAAGCTGTATAGTACTCCCAAGAGACCACAGCTCCCAACGGGATTCTTTTGAAGAAGCAGCGAGAATGACTTTTCTGAATCGCTTCAACATCTACTCCTCAATAGTCTTGACGCACTCCCAACCACCGCTCAGCCTCTCCTTCCACAAGCTGACCCTGTTGTCACCAGTGCTGACGGCGAGGACGTTCCCGCTTAGACTCCAGCTAACGCGCCACGCGACCGCATCGACGTTGAGAACCGTAGACTTCCATTCCCCTGTTACACATTAGCCTTCTACTTCTCCATGGCAGCAGAATCTCAAAGATTGGCTTACGCAAGTCCGAGGAGGTCCAGATGCGCACAGTCTTGTCCTGACTCGCCGACGCAATGTACGACTTGGACAAAACCGTGGGGGACCACGCAACATCGCGCACCCAATCCGTGTGGCCCGGCAAGATCTGCGTGTTCTGGTAACCTCCCGTCTCGGGGCTAAACTCCCAAATCTTGACCTGGCAATCGCTTCCACCCGTCACGAACCTCCGCGCGGCACCAGCCTGGTTCCCGCTCGCAGTAATGACTTGGCCGGGGGAGACGGCGGAGGCCCAGCTCACGCTATTGACGCCCGAGCCGCAAGCCTGGAAGATCTGGTGCGACCAGGCGTTGTCTTTGAATTCGAGGACCGAGACGTTGCCATCTGAGGACGCACAGGCGAGGAGGCAGCCGGCTTCGTGGGGGGCCCAGGCTACGAGATTCACGGAGGCGGTGTGGAGGGATACCTCGTAGATTTTTTGCCAGGAGGATTGTTGTTCGCGCCAGATGAGGACTTTACCGTCGTAGGAGGACGAGGCGAGGATGTTGCCGTATTTGGGGTGTGCCTGGAGTGATGATCCGGCATTAGCTTGGAGCGAGTTCTATGACCATTGCTGCCATGGAGGGGGAGTTCTCACCCATGCAACACACCAGACAGCTCCCTCATGTCTAATTGTTTATTTTAGCCAGGCCGTCTTTTCGGAAATCATATATGGCTGCCCATACCCCTTTAATGTCTCTACCAGCCTATGCGACTCTCCCTCAACCTCAAAGATCTTGATTGTCTTGTCGGAAGAACACGTCGCTAACCGTCTGCCGTAGTAGTCCAAGACAGCGTCATGCTGGATTTCGTTAGTCTCAATGCTGAGCAAATCGACAGCACCACTGTCCATGTTGTCGAACGCCGCGCTTGGAGAGGAATTGTGGATGGAGGGTATTGTGTGGAGGGTTGGAGTAGGGAACGTACCACCATGTCATCGTGGCCAGAATTCGATATAACGTTGGCCTGGAATGCGACGGCGCGTTAGCGGGAGAAGTTCGGGAAGGTACGTTGTACAGCGGGGTGCGGTACTTGCCATGGTGGTGAAGTTGTACAGAAATCAATAAAAAGGGTGTGGTTGGGGAATTCAAGCAAGGAGATCGCTGGTGTAGTGTTAGCGGGACGATGTGCATACAAGGTGTGGTGAGCTTGCCTTGATGCTGTTGTGTCCTCTGAGCAGGGGACAAACGGAGATGAGATAGATTAGATCAGATAAGATTAGATTAGATCTCGGGATCCGAGGATCCTCCATCCTCCACCAAGCGTATCCATCTTGCATTCACCACCATCATTGCTGACTTAATTACCTAGGTACCTTTAGCGTTGATATACTAGGAGAATCACTGAAAACTTCAGGAGCGCGACCATATGTCGTTTCCGGTGAGATTTGGCTCACCAATTTGCAGATTTTACTCAACAATAGTATCGATGCCTTTTACAAGTGCGCGCGGGTCTCTCACGGGCTAAGAAATGTCGCTGTCCGAATCGTTCATCGGCATAGGGCCTTGTTGCTCTGCATGACACTGCAAGCTAATCATACTATGCTATCACTCCACATCAGATGTATAAAATCATTTTCGGTGGTCAAGTTTCATATCAATGTGTATAGAGGTATGTAGTGTACAAGCGAGTACAGACTCTAGCGCCAACGCGTCGTCCCTCCTACCATTACCTTCAACACTTTAATTCATCCTTCCATCTGAATATCTAGCATCAAAAGGCAGCAATCGCGATAACTCCGCATCTGTCCGTCCGAGCGCTGGGCTTTCTATTGGAAGCCCGAGATATTTGCCTCCTTGCTGCCTCGACGCTAAGCCGAAAAGGGCGACGGTGCCTAAACTCCCATCCCCATATCACGAGCCATATACGAGTTGGCTCCCCTATAATAATGGAACCTGGGGATTCCACTGCTCAGTCTTATTTTAATGGGTCCTCTTCTGAATTTCAACGTTCGATATCGCCAAAGACTACCATGAGCGGTTTTCCAGGGAATTTGTCACTTGCGCAGCAGGAAGCAGTGGATGTCTTACAGCACTTACTAGCGAAACTGAAGGAGCCTGGATCGAAATATTATGAGCGGTATGGAGGCCTAGTGGAAAGACATGCGGACTTGGACGAGTTTTGCTTCTCGTGTATCAGGCCTTATGTTTGGCGATTTTTGGAAGGCAGATGGAATCTCGATGCGTAAGTTGCTCGGGTCAACACATGGCAGGCTATGACTGCCATTGGTACAATAAGCATGCTCACAAGATTCACAGACTCAAACTCGTGGGTGGCGACTTGCGATCAGACAGTCGTGGAGTCTATTTCAGCGCGATACACGGACTCGATAAGCAGACGCGGATTTACATTGGCCAGAGTCAGCATCTACGGATCCGGATCGCGCAGCATTGGAACTTTCGTTACCGCCGGGATAATCCATCGCTTCACTACCACGCTATGCAACAGTCCATTTTTAATGTTTTTGGGATCGTTGCTGTGCTTCCTCCTCCGAACGCTGGAAACCACGCATTACCGGGAATGGACTGTCCGGATTTGCTGTTGAACATCCTCGAGATGTGGATGGCCCTTGCATTTAAAAGTTTACCGAAACAAACGTTGGTCGAGTGGTTACCCGAAGGCGCTGGAAAAGACACTCCTTTTGGTCCTCTCAACATATCGAATCCACTGGAAACTGGGGGGAGCGAAAGAGGATGGGTCGATCTGAGCGACTCCAAAGACCTTCTGATTCAGGACTACATTCGTCCGGAGAAGAAGAAGGAAGGTGCTATCGAGAAGATGGACGAGGAACCGGAAAAGAAACCGGATTTACCACCACCTACGGAGAAGAATCGGGCGATCCATGAACAGCTCGTTATCCAGATCTCCAGTCGCGCGATGTTGATTATGGTTACAGCGGCTTTTGTGGGCTTCGCGGTATTTTCACGGGCAGGTGGTTCTGTACCAAAGCCAAATGGGAGATGGAGATGACAGGCGGGCGCTCTTTGATTTATTTAAATCTTTTTCAGTCGGTAGGAAGTCGCAGCAAACCGCAACTTTGTGGAGTTTGGCTAGACCCAGACACACCCAGATTTTCATGTCCAAATAGAGTGATATCTTGGTTTTGAGAATCGAAGACTTTGATTTCCGGTGGTGGTACCACTTTCAGGCTTTGAGGTTCAGCAGTGGCGTGACTCGCCGTATGCTTAAATACGATATCAAGAACGAAGGTGTCGTCACCGAATTGATCTTCCAGTGTCAAACTGGCAACAACAATGCCATCTCCAAGATCTAAGGTAGATTCGCATGATTCGATCTTCTTGAAACCGGTTTCCAGCGGGAGGTGAAGCTCCGATCGGTTAGGTGTTTTCATGAGAGGCGTCAAAAAGACCCCTGGGGGTGGTGCTGTATCGAAGTCTTCAACTTTGTTGGGTAAGATCATGAGCGCGATGAAACCTTCACTATTACTCCTTCGGTCACCAGAAGATGCCCGAGAGAACCATAGAGCGCTGAAATATCCGTGTGTTGTTGCTGGGGCAATCAAGGCACGGTGCTTTAGACTCCAAGGGATTTTTACTTTGCCTGGAGCATACTCCGGCGTCCCATTGAGAAGAAGACCACCGATAGGAATTGCATGCTCAATCTGCGAGGCAATAGCTGCTTCTAGTTTGAATCCATTGGAAGTTGGATAATTGGAGATGTGACATTGGCGGAGTGCGCGTGTGCGGAAGGGCCCGCATTTGTGGATGTAGATTGTCCTTGTAGAAGCAATCTTTGCTATGTCATTGCTGATGGTTCGCAAAGTCCGCAAGTTCCTGTCTCTTGATCTCCGGTATCTACCTGTAGAAGTGTCCATTTCAATTGCAATGGAGATGGAGCTTTCAAAGGTGCTTTCGTAGCGGCAATGCAGGATACAGGAGATCGATTGACGATAAGATGAATTCGAATCGATGAAGGGAATGAAACGTGATTCGATGCGTAAACCGCGATTCGTCATGGCATATGGCTCTAGCTTTGACGCGTACGGGACGATCTGAGAGGACTCGCTAAACGCTCTTGGATGCGTGGCTAAGATACCGTCATTCTGTTGACGATTGATGGATGCTTCCGGTTCTGTCCAGGCGAATAAAGACTCATCTTCAGAATCTTTGAGAATCTCTTCTTGTAATCGGATGAAGGCATTTGCCCCTTCGCCATATAGAAGAGGCATGTTCACTTGAAAGACCCCAAGTAGGCAATAAGCAATGTCTTCGGGTCGGGTTGTTTGTCGGCGCGCCGCCCATGACATACGACGAGCCACGCTCACGGTGGGGAGAAGATCAGGATCCTCCAGTACAGCTCTGTCGATACCAGTGATTGCTGCCAGGTACTTGGATTCTGTTTCCTTGGACCCTATAAACCACCATTGAGTGTTCTCTGGAACAGTACAAAAAAAGTTGATCTTCTCCGAAGCAATCAACTCCTGCAGAGTCCACCCACGAGAAAACCATCTGGCTGATCGTAGAACTTCGAGTTTATATCTTGCGACACCTTCCGATGGCTCTAGATCATCGTATTTAATGTCCTCGAGATACACATAGCAGACAGCTGCATTTCTGTACCACTGAAACATGGAATTAATGGCTTCTGATAACTCTGACGAAGAGCTTTTGTCAATGTTGCACGTGTCAATCCACACCCATTCTAAACCGTCATGAAATGCTTGATGACAGGCACGCTCAATCTTGAAGAAACCTCTCTTTTGGTGAATACTACATTTCTCTTCCCTGCTTATCCAAGCCACCATATCTTGATAGGTGACTTCCTCCGAGCCCCAAGTATGAGAAAGGATCGCATATGGAGGTACCGATTCGCCGTCGAACGATGCAAACACTTGGTTTTGAGTATGTAAAAGTCGCATATTGGTCAAATTGGTGGGGTTATAAGCTGAACACCCCTTGTCATTAAGATGGGAGGGGGAAACTCGCCAGTGAACTTGGCAGACTCTTATTGGTTTGCTTACTGGACCTTTGCACACCACCGACACCTAGAAATAGAATAGAGTGAATCAATTCGCTACCTCAACAACTTAACTAGAGACATAATATTCTCCAAAAAATTTCAGAGTTGCACTTCACAATGAACAAAAAACCTAATTTGCAATATCTTTCTGACAACTTTAGAGGAAACCGTGAAAAAATAATTTTGCATAACTGGACTACACATAAGACAAGCCATTCACAGGTCAGAAAATTATATACGATACTCGTTCCGCAGGTATATTAAAAGTAACTATGAACCCTCCTTTTGAGAAATTTTCACTTAAGCCTAGAGCATGTCAACCTCTTACGAGTTGAAAGGGGAAGACACACTCAGGGTTTCTTCACAGCTCGCGATCGAAGCACACGTCCAGTACCTGCTGGAGGAGAACGAGGAGCAGCTTGCTTTCCAGAAGCGGCTGTCTTCCTAGCAGATACTGTCTTGCGCTCCTTGGATGGAGGTTCTGGCTCGTTTTCACTAGCTGATGACTCCACGAGGGGGCGCTTGCGACCTTTCTTTGGTGCAGCTTTGGCTGGACGACGAGGAGGAACAGATCTCTTCTTCTTTATCGGAATATCAGACGAGGAATTAGATTCTTTGTCTGAGGAGATCTCGATTTCTTCCTTTGCAGGTTGAGAAACCCCCCTTGTGGGACGGCTAGAAGTAGCTCGTTTAGTAGTTGTTCTACTACCGCGAGTACCCTTATCGACGTACGTTTCGTCATCTTCGTCATCGTCTTTGATGTTTTTGAAGATGCTGTGATCGTAGTCGTCATCGTCTTCACTTCCGCTCTCATCTTCCTCGTCACTGTCGTCTTCGTCTTCATCATCATCGTCGTCGTCGCTACTGCTGCTACTACTACTTGAACTCTCGGCTTGCTCCTCCTCGTCTTCTTCCTCTTCCTCTACCACTCCTCGCACCTTTCGCACCTTAACTCTGGGTTGCTTCGGTGAGGGAGTAATATGAGGCGACGAATCGTTCATCTTATCTCCCTCCTTCTGCCTCCTCATGCCTTCTTCCAACTTCTTCTGGGTCTCAATTTCTTTCTTCGTACGCCCAGTCTTCGGGTCTCCCGTCTTCTTGATCTCAGTCTGCTTCCGCGTCTCCCTTCCTTTGTGAATACCCTGCGCCTTTCTGACATCACGCTCTGATGCCAGCGGACCCGCCATAATCTCAGCTGGAGTCTTACCTTCCCACCACGTCGAGGAGATGCCAGACGGGAAAGGCTCTGGAGGAGGTTCGACGCCGATCTCGTAAGTCTCGGTGTCGACTTCGCGGCAGATCATTGTTGCTTCGCCTCTGGCAGCAGCTGCGCGGAGGAAATCGAGCGAGCGTGGGATCTTGAAGCGGATCGTGGCTCGGGGATTGAGGCCCTCTCGGCGCCGAGACTGAACATAGTCGATGCAGCACTGGATGCGGTAGACTTCGTCGTGGACTGGAGGAAGATCTGTATCAGAGGAGGGTTGGGAATTGCCGGAGGATTGAGATTTGTTGGAATTGCTGGGGCTATGGGAAGGTGGTGCTGTGCCTCCGCGAGTTTGAGAACTGGAAGACTCGGGAGCTTCAGAGGGTTTTTGGCTTGTTGAACGGATTGATCTCGCCCGCTTGTTCCTGGAAAGATCCGGCGAGACAGATTCAGAGGCTTGTCTTTTCTGACCTCTGGACATGTTGCACTGTTGGGGTTTGCGATGAGGAGTAATTCGTGTAAGAGGACGTATGAGACAATTGAGCAAGTTTTACCAGCAGATGATATGATTGGAGTGTATAAAGTAGTATACATGAAGATAAGATATCCTTATATGCTGTCCAAAATACTGGACGGGAACTTACGACAGCATTGTCCCATTGTCAGTATTCTTTTGTTACCATTGTTGTCGAATAGCATTGTTCTTTGTGCCGTATTTAGAACAAGAAGCCCTTTCAAGGCTTCAGTAAATATGCATTGTGCAGTCCACGAATCTCGTGGTGAAGCAGACTCTTTGTGCGCTTCAGAAATCGTGTAGAGGGACATGCATTCTGTAGAGCTCATGCGAACCCGTTCACTGTACACCTAGAAAACCACTGCAGACAACGTTTAATAGCTTATAGGGCCGAGGATTGTTGTTACCTGCCCGAGAAGCCTGCGACTGCTCAAGAAAGCGTGCCTTGAAGCTGTGTTAGACAGTATATCCTCGATTTGCTTATAGGAAAAAACATATATCTCCCCATCCTTCAAATCGTACTTTCTGTCACAATTTAAGAACATATGAAAAACTACAGTACCGGTCAACCTTTATAGAATTCCCTGGCCATGTCTCTGGTGGTGTAATAGTCTATCTGGACTTCTGATCACTTTTAGACAAACCTCTCATTGAGCAAGTTTTAAATAAGAAGTATCAATAACTTTGTCTCCGCGATCAGGAATTATTGTGGCGCACATAGTTGACGATCGCAGGCTTTGATAGACCTCCTCGCTCGCCGCCAACAGCTTCTCATATGCTTCCCAGCTTCTCCTCTGGTAGGTAAGGAGTGACTGAATCTTTTCAAACTAGGCAGAGCGGAAATTCGCCCGTGCGTTCTTGTTGTGCAAAAAACTCCCTCGTGAAGTCAGTTAGTTATTTATCTATCGAACTTGATAGGAGGGCAAGCTGTGCCTAGCTAATTCCTCTGGTTATGAGTTAAGAATTACTATTTCTAAAGTTATGATCTAGGCAGAGGCGTAGTCAGCTGCAGCAGGGAGGCGACGGGTTATTCCGCCAGCGAGGTAACATCACAGGCCACATGCATTATACGACGTCGCCATGGCTTATAATTAAAGAATGTCCTCTAACAAAGAGTACTCTTTGTCCGCACCTCGATCTGAATATGAGTTCTTTTATGTCCGCTGAAAGGACTTAGCGCAGGTGTCAACTGTGAAAATCTATATCAATACACTGAACTGACTTGACTGAGTCAAATTGTTCCACTCAATTGAGCAACGAAATTTCCAGCAGATATTTTGAACTACTATACATAATTTGGTCTTTGAGCAACGTCCAGCGTGAGTTTGTGATAAAATAACCCCTTCTTTTCCTTGGCTCCTATAGATGCAGTGCTGCCATCTGCATCACATGGCTGATAGCAGGTATTCGAAATGTGAAATGATGCGAGGGAGAAGTTCCTATTCCAGGTCAGAGTTTAGAAATGTAAACTGACATTGAAATACTTAAGTTGTCGAGTATATCATATTTGTATGGCGGAGAGCATTTGAACTAACAAGTATGTAGGCGTTCTCGAATAAACCGAAACTGATCCTTCGAACCACAGTTCAATCCCACTCCAGCATTTAATCATATCCAGAGAAGGCTGTCCGCGCCATTGATTCGCTTCACTAAGCTGACGATGTATGAGCAGAAAATGATGTTCGCATCAAACAAAAGAGCAGGGAATCAGCAAGTCATTGGTTGCGGCAGATATAGGGTTTATAACAACTACTTTCAAAGGACTTAAAAAAATGGACAAGCACGATCAGTTACAACACGGTCACAAAGCAAGACAGATAGTGAAAAAAAGTAAACCATTTCGTAATTCATATTTACCCAAACGCCTGTAATTCAACAGCCGCCTGGGTCAGTTGGTATGTATGCAAATGCTATGTACGCCAAATCCGGTGCCGCGTTTTCCAAAAACGACGCGCACTAAATGGAAAGACATGAAATATGCCAATGAGGGGCTACGCCGGCCCAAATACTAATCATTCCATGAAGAAAAGGAAGCCAAATTCTCCAATCAGGCTTGAGCATTCAGTGCTTGCATATCTGGGCCATGATTGGAGACATCAATTCCATGTATATCCCCATGCCTAGTAGAAAGAGCGACGGATACGACGAGAGTAACCGCGCTTAGCGATTTTGCCATCTGCGCACTTGGTTCCAGGAGCGACTGGTTGCCAGACGAGCTTTCCGTTGTTGCAGATACCGAATTGAGTCTCACCATTGCAGACGATAGCGCCGTTGCCAGAGCAAGCACCACTACCTCCAGCGCCAGACTCAGGAGCTGAAGACGGCTGGGTGGAAGGAGTATCAGGCGCAGACGGTTGAGCCGTGGGAGTAGGGGCAGGGTTCTGCAAAGTTGCGTTGCCGCCGGTTGGAGCCCCGGTAGGAGCCCCGGTAGGAGCAGTGACAGTGACAAGGGTGCGGATAGTCGAGGTGGTGAGGTCTGATTGCGACGCAGCTGGTGGGCTCGCAGCTTGGCTAGCAGGAGGTGTAGGCTGGCCGTTGTTGGGCGCTGCGGGTGAAGCTCCTGCACCGGAACCGGGCTGAGGAGTAGGTTGTCCATTGTTGGGCGCTGCGGGTGAAGCACCTGCGCCAGATTCAGGTTGGGCACCAGAGCCGCCACCATTCTTGCAGACAGGCACAAACTGACGGCCGGCTTCCTCGTGGCGCTCTACAGATTTTTCCGGGTTGGGGAAGCTGTAGACATTGCCTTCAGGAGTACCGCAAAAAGGTTGAATGTTGGTAACAGCCAGATCGGGTAGACCTTCGAAAGCCTTGGGATCCTCAGAGCCTCCAGAGATACTGACACCCCCGCAGTTCATGTAAAACTCTTTCTGACCAGACATACGGGGAATCCACGTCCAGGCAAAGACAGCTTCACCGTTGGGAAGTTCCTGGGGGACAGGGAACTGGAATGTCGCTGGACCATTGACTCCCGGGCACCCACCCTCAATGGAATGGATGACCTTGAATTTGCTGTCCTTCGTGGGAGACTTGTCGAGAGTAATAGCGAGCTGACAAGAGCCACCGCCGTGTACAGCGCTGCCGGAGAACGACAGGGTCTGGTTCTCTCCAACCTTGAATTGATTCTGTGTAAAATCAATCTGGCCAGCGGGTCCCTTGAGTTTACAAGGCCAGTTGGAGCCATCGCTGGATAGAGGGGAATTGTCAGGGTTTCCGAAGGGTTTGGGCTGTGCCATGATCATGTGTCCATTTACAGCAGAAGCGGCAAAGGCACCTACAAGTGCAAGTTTAGAAAGCAACATGTTGTTCGTTTGGTAGTGTTGTGCGTTTGGTAGTGTTGTGTGTTTGGTAGTGTTGTGTGTTTGGTAGTGTTGTGTGTTTGGTAGTGTTGTGCGTTTGGTAGTGTTTGGTAGTGTTGTTCGTTGGGTAGCGTTGTAGTAAGTTGTAAACTATCGTAGTTGAGAGTTCTGTGAGTTTTGAAGATTCGTAGATGTGGTTGATTGTGGTGGAGAAGTAGAGGAGCTGTTGAGGTGGGAAACTTTATACTGGAGGAAGGGGTGCGTGAGTGAAATCGTTGTAATTGCACAGAGTCTTCACACCATTCGAACAATGAAGGAAAGTGTTTATTGGGTGAATACAATCTGCGCCAGGCAGAGACAGAAAAGAAACAACCAGAAGGAGTGATGTGTTTGCACAGTGCTGTTGTTCTGTGGCAAGGAGGCGACTTTAAGAACATGCCGGTAGCGCCCACAAAAAGCCGGGGTGAAGCATTGTTTCCTATTTCGTGTGCGTGCTGGGCAAGCAATTCATGCTAAAGCATCGTTTAGCAAGGCGAAAGTAGCACAAGGAAAAGCGTAGCTGCACGAAGTTTGGAGTCATGATGCTCGGCGTGTAACCAGTGGTGTAGATTCGCTAAAAGGTGAAACATGAAACACCACTGCCAGCAGCGAAGCGCGCAGCCACTCCACGATGCTGGTCGACTCTGTCAGTGTGTCACGTCCCCAGGGGCAATGGAATTACATATGTATGCATGTCAATGTTTCTCTTGGAATTACGGTTAATACTTATTTACCGGTGGCGACGTGAATAGATGTGCGCTTTCCGTTCTCTGCATCGAAGCATCATGTACGCCGAGCTGGGGATGATGCATGGACTCGACATTGTTGAGAGGCGAGAAATTACATTGTTTAGCGAAGGGGGGGGGGAGCAAATACAGAAGTCATCAAGTTGACATTGACCACAACAAACATTTGTTTCACACAACAAGAACATGTGTTCGAAGATGTCGATGGTGGAGTGAAAGAGGGCGCGTGTGCGCAGGAACGAATAGGTGCATGCGTAGCGGTCAAAGTGTGTTAACCTAAAATGGACAACGCGTCTTGGCAGGTCCGCGAGAGACGGTGCATCAATCAGAGAGTCTATCTCATCATCAAGGAAGGAACGTGTGCCACAGGCCCGATCAAACCGGCGACCCAAAAGCAAGGGGCAGTCAAGCTCCAATTCACCTCCCTCCCGTTGTTCTATCACCCATTTCTTGCCTTGTTGGCGCCCTCCGATTTGCGCGACAATCGTTGCGACGCGTCTGAGCTTTTCTAAGCTTCCTTTCCCATCACCCTTCATCGACACCTCAACACGCGTAGTGGTCCGCCGATATGTTCACCGCGACAGGAAGGACGGCGCCTCCCCAGGCTTTCATCTCAAGCTACGCGCCCCGCCTGCGCTCCTTCGGAAATTCTCTGATATCGCCCATCGTCCCGGCCTCCAACACTCTCCCGCCGCCGCGAACAACCAAGCGCGGGACTGCCGTGGTCAGCTATGCTGAAGATGGGTATGACGATGAAGATTTTGAGGAGGGTGAAGGGCCGCGACGCGCAACTGGGCTGCGTAGCTTGCGAAGAGACGAGTCCACGCTGGACAGGTCCGCCCAAATAGCCGCACTGGGCAAAGAGCTCACTGCGCCCATCGAAGTCCAGGGCATCTGGCGAGATTGGATGGGAAGGCCAAAACACACTCGGACCGAGAAGCAAGTTCAGGTACAAGCGGTCCTACCGGTTGTTCTGATTCCCATCCGCATAGATCTGGACATCCAATCCTTCCGACCGGAAGCACCGCTCCCCATGCCTTCCAACGCCCGCGAATTTGGCATCGACGAGTCTCTGCCTGCTTACAAGCAGCCAGATGTCACTCCTGCATATCGACTAAAAGATTCATTCCTGTGGAATCTGCACGAAGCCCTGACTACTCCAGACCAGTTCGCGAAAGTGTTTGTCGATGAGCTGGATTTGCCAGCCGACCGAAAGCCCCAGTTGATACACAACATTGCTAGCCAAATTCGCACCCAACTGGAAGAATATGCAGGCGTTGCTTTGCACCCACTGTTCCACTCTACGGCGTCGCCTCCCCTGGATGGAACAACAATCAAATCTTTGCAGCCTGCTTTGTCGCAGACAGGCACGTCAACACCTGCGGGAGGAGCCACGAATGGTGTTTCAACTCCGGTGGCCAACGGTACAGCACAAACAGAGGGTATATCAACACCAGCAGCGATTCCGAATGGTATCACTGCAACAGCCACCCCACTACCTGCGGAAGAGCTTCATAACCCGGATGATACGTATCGCTGTATCGTATCATTGAACATCAACTTGATGAATCGCCTTTACAGCGATAAGTTCGAGTGGTCACTGTTGCATCCACCAGGACTCGCCGAAATGTTTGCTAAAGTCACTTGCGCCGATTTAGGATTGGCCGGAGAGTGGATTCCGGCACTCACACACGCTATATATGAAGCTACTTTGCGTTTAAAGAAGGAGGTCTGCGAGAACGGAGGATTGGTCGGGGACGGCGAAATAGATAACGATGCGGCCGATGTAACCAGTGGCGCAGGCTGGAGGTATGATCAAGAGCATTTGTGCGATGAATGGGAGCCCAAAGTCGAAATTCTGTCCAAAGAAGAGATTGAAAAGCGAGAGGGCGATCGTGAAAGAGAGATTCGGAGGCTGAGAAGAGATACTGCACGATTTTCTTCTACGGCAAACATGTCTGGTCAGCCTCAAAACGACTTCTTTGCCAACCCCGAACAAACAGAGAACATGGGGCGTGGCGAACGAAGCAAAAAGAAGAGGCGGTTCAGGAGTCTCAGCCCTGTTGGACGCGATACCCCAGATTCAGGTACAGGCTATGGAGGCCAAGGAAACGGCTTGCAAGAAGGGTACGTTAACGGATGGAGTTCGCGCGCTCTCTCGAATACCGCTAATAAACCACAGGGAACGACTATCTTGGCGATGCGCACACTGCCTAGTGTGGGGCTCCGCTGTATGGGCTGTGCGTGATGGACCAAAAGGACCGCGAAGCCTCTGCAACAACTGCGGCTACCTCTACGAGCGAGACAAAAAACTTCCACCTTGGTCGGAAAATCTCTTCCTCTACGATAGGCCCCACGACGTCAGAATAACGTATCAACGGTAGTTGGACGTCTTACTCGATTCTGAAGGTATTACGTGCAATATCATATTGCGTCTTTAGGGTTGGAACTCATATATCTTGTTTTTACAGCATTTCCCAGCGTGGCGTCAAGGAACTCATTGGTCTACTGTGATGGATATGAGCAGGGTCAGCTGGATAGCTACGTTATACATGTATTATTAACATGTCCTCGGCATGATGACGCTTGCGGCGCGGCAAGCCTGCGTATTAGAAGCTAGTTGAAGCCTGGATAGATGGTGGGTGGTGTGGCTGGCGTTAGAATCACGATGTCCGATCACGATGAGGGACATTCCCACCGGGGACTAAAAACGTGAGCATCACACCAGTCGGACCCCTTACGTAGTAGTGATCACATAACATGGTCTGTTTGTGGTGCTGTCCAGCTCACCCTAGCACGCTCGATGATTCACTCTAGTGTAGAGAATAATAACAAGCTTGCATCAGTCCTTTGTATTGTTGTTGGTCGTACATGGGTCTTGGCGAATCCTATTCACAGCTTCTATTGTACACCCCCAACAGCAACAACAATACGAACGAGCTTGGTTCCCCCAAAATCATCCCGCTAATTGAAATTTCTGCACACAGGCTGATTGCGTTATGTCTTGCGTTACGAAGACAATTCATCATTCATTCAATTCTTCTCGCCGTTCTGGTGCTTGAGGTACCCCTAGACACTTTCGAATGCAGTTCTTCAAATCATATCTTGAGCTTTGCGTTTGTAGATTTGCGATGACAGCGACAGATTCGCCGCTGTGCTACATTGTCATGCGTGCAAAAGTATGGCTGATTGTACCATTTGCTGGCGGGTGTGGTGCTGGTTCATGCGGGCCTGAGATAGAGCCCAATGCGGCTAGCCTGTGAAACTCTACCTTATTGTGATGGATGTGTACAATAGCCGGAGGTTTTCGCATGAGTGCTTGCTATTGTGTGCACGTTTCAGAAACTGTCAATAAGAGGGCGCTGTATATATGGATGGCCCCAGGTTGCCTGGCAGTACTTATCTAGCAGTACCTCGTTCTTCAAGCTACCATCTGCGAAAGTTGAACAGTTTAACACATTGTGCTAAAGGCTGACTACATTGTTACCATCCTACTTGTTATTTACATCCGTTCGCACGGGTTCATTTTCAGGGACAGTGATAGTCAGGACAGTTGCCGTTGGCTTGAAAGAACGTCGCCCGCATACTACTGCCTGCTGCTCCACACTGCTGGAAGCGAATCCCAAACGACGTTCCATCACAAGCACGGGACAGACCTGACGACAAGGAAACAAGCCAACACAAGAAACTGAGATTACCGAATCCACTGCCGACAGCGGTTGAATATAGCGAGACCAACAGGACTTTTTTGTCGTCGGAACCCACCGCCTGTCAAGCATTACGCCCAAGAAACGTCCACCATCACCTGAAGTTCCTCACGCCATCACGCCACCAACGAACCGGTACCACGAGAACTCCCGGGAGGCCCCAAAAAGGTACCTACATACAAACATATACATGGACCCACGCATTGTAGTCCTGCAGAACGCAAAGTTCGATTCTGTCGTCTCCAATTCCCGACAGAACACTCAAGACTCTGTATCAAATTCTGAAATGCCACCTCCGCCGGCATACCACACAGTCATTGATCCCACCCCAAATCAAAACATGCACGCCTCGTATGAGTCCGATGACGCAAAGGAAGACGATGAGATACCAGAGATCAACGTCAACGCATCAACGCAAATCCGAGGCCATGGCAACATCATCAGCATCGCGCAAATGGACAGTGGACGCATAGCGAGCATGGTAGCGATGCTACTATATGGCAATGCACCACAACAACAAACAACACCGCCAGCAAGTCCAGAGCAGGTGCAAGTTCAATCACCAGTGCTCACACCACAGCCTCAAACCGAAACGCCACAACACACCAGACGCATCCCAAAGATGATCATCAACGTCAACTGCGGCGCAACCGTCGTCGGCGATCGAAACATCGTCGGACCTGGTTTGGGAGATATCGCACGCCACATGCAAATCGCTCAGCGGAATCAAGCTCTTGCTCAGCAACAGCAACAGCAGCAGCAACAACAACAACAAAATCAGATGCATGGAACTCGAGCGGCAACAGCCATGGGAGCCAATATCTCAGCGACAACGGCGGCTGCAGTCCCGCCACCACCACCTGGACTTGGGTTCCCGATACACGCGCAGGCTGCTGCTCCCCCGAGCCCGCCTATGAGTCGGTCTCCGAGCTTTGGGAGTGAGGGCTCAGCAGGTGTGAAGAGAAAGAGTGGAGCACCTCTTAAAGAAAGTGCTGTGAAGAGACATTGTTGATATGTCGACTGTGAATGTTCTTCTTCTTTTTTCAATTCGTTCTTCCTTCTTCTGTTTTCAATTCTGAGTGACGGGCGTTGTGGTTTTTCTACTCTTTTCTCATCATAGGGCAGGCGTATTGATATCTAAAACACGATTTAGCCATGGCGGTGGGTGGTGTGGCCTGGGGAAAAATATGTAGTGATAATGACAACGAGAAATGTGTAATCCAAATTCGATTTGAATGTTGTGTTTCCTCACTTTTGTTTGAGGCGTGAGTACTCTTGGTATCGAACGGAGAGATGATTTGCAAGAGGCGGCTATTTGCAAGTGCCGGGGTATACGCGCGGGAACGGGAAATAATAATAAACACGACCCTATAGCCCCATTGCGGAACGAGCTGGAGCAAGGTGTCCTCTTGGGAAACTCGCCACCGAGCCTTACTCGATTCAGCCGTGGGCTCACTGTGATGTGCAACATTCACAGATGAAGGAACAACGAGAGGGAGAGAGGAATGATAACAATCGAGGCCAGATTCAATCTGCCCTAGCTGCCTTGCTAGACTCTGGTTCTGTGTTTGTTCACTCGTGCATAATAGCATTCGTCACTTCCATCGTCCAACGGGACTGACGACTCTAACGGGTGGAAGAAGACCCCGGTTCAGCCTTAGTCCGCTTTTGGAAAGGCGTCTATCGAGCTTCCGCTCAACGTAATCCTCACCACCCTTTGCTTTCTCACTACTATAACCTCTCCCTTCAAGCTCTTTCCCCCTTTCTTTCCAAATCATTCCCTTCTTTTCCAATTCCTACCCCCCTTGCACTCAACCCTAATCCCTCTACACTCGGAACCACAGTCGCTGCACGTTTCCGTCGGCGAGCTGCTTCCCCGTGCGAGGTCCTTAACACCTGTCCCCATTGCGGTCCAGCACCACGGCTCCCTGCATCGCAATTGCCCTCTTCATTGAGTGTAGCACGAGGAACCACCCTTGGTGAAGGACACAATAGCTTGCTAATCTTAGCTGCCCACTCGGTCTTCTCCTTGCTTCCGCTCCCTCCACCTGACTGGTACGCTTACCACCATCACCCACAAACTTGCGACTCAACCTTCCATCGATTCCGCTCGAGTTATTCAAGTTGCGGAACTTGATCGCATATACATTCTCGTTATAAGCAACTGTCGGATAGAGATCACCCAACAACCTTCAGCATGTCGGTGCTCACCAACTGGGCCATCTTTCTAGCCCTCGCTGGAGCCGTCTATCTTATCACCAAGAAGGGCAAGGGCGGCGAGGCTCGAGGCCGTCCACTTCAGCGCGCAGCAAACAACGCTGCCCAATGGGTTGACGACGAGAAGACCAAGTCGAAACCGGCTGCGAAAGCCAACAAGCAGAAGGCTCCTCGCAAGTCAGTCAAGAAGGCTGTCCAGGAAGTTGGAGACAAGGCCGAGGCCTATCTTTCCGCTGCCTCCTCGAACACGGGTGCCGATGCAGATGATGACAACACCCCACCCGCCGCCTCTCCAAAGGTCAACCCGAGCGGTCGCGATGTGTCTGACATGTTGGAGCCCCAGGCCCCTAAGTCGGTCCTGAGGATCAACTCCTCCGACAAGCCTGCGCGCGCGGCTAAGCCGCAGCAACAGCGCACCGACTCTGCCACGGAGACCAAGAAACAGAGGCAGAACAGGAAGAAGAAGGAGGAAGAGAAGGCCGCCCGTGATGCGGCCGAGGAGGAACGCAAGAAGTTGCTCGAGCAGCAGCGCCGCACTGCCCGAGAGGCTCGCGGAGAGGCCGCACGTAACGGTGTTCCAGCTCAAGCTCCCGCCTCCAACGCCTGGAAAAGTGGTGCAGCTCCCGCTGTTAAGCCAGCCGTCATCGGAAACCAACTTCTCGACACCTTGGACAACGTATCCGAAGTCACTCCTAGCCAGGGTGCTACCAATGGTTCGACCAAGTACAGCAACCTACCTTCTGAGGAAGATCAGATGAGAATGGCTATGGAGGAGAGTGCCTGGACCACCGTCCCCAAGGGTGGCCGAAAGAAGACGAAGAAGGACACGGCGGAAGAGGGCAGTGACTCGGGCGCCCAGGAAATCGCCCCTGCCCCTGTCAAGGCTGCTCCCGTCAAGGCGGCCCCGATCAAAAAAGCGGAGAACACTAAGCCCGCCTCCCGCTTCGATGTTCTGTCTCAGCAGGTCCCTGACGTTGGCGACCCAAGAGACTCCGACTGGCCTGTTGTGTAGAGCACATGTCACTTTTAGTCAGAAAAGTGTCTGGGCTCGAGCCCATGGTTTCTCTCATTTTACTACAGTACGTTGCTCTTTTGAGATTTTATGCCAATCCTGCTATCTGGCGGTTCATTTGGGAGGTCGGCGAGGAGCACATGCACCATGGTTGCGGGTATGTGGTTTGAATGTCGTTGTATGGGATCAATGACGACGTGAGGGTGATCGTCAAGGTGTATAACAGCCAGTTTCATTTGTGTCCTGTTCAATCTCTCTTTCTATTTCTCTCTCAAGATCGTGGGGTCCACACTAGGGGCAAAACATTGCATGACGGGCGCGAACAGCGACAACCGTATTATCATTTCCCTCCAAAAGCGAAATTGGTGTTTGGAAGCTGCTACTCTCAGCTTCGAGGCCATTCTTTTGCGTGTTTTCATCTATGTGTAACTTTGATAGCTTTTTTTCCAATGGACAGGGTTCACGGACCACTGATTTCGCTCTGGAGTGTCATTGCAGTTGTGTTGGGCTGTTGAAGCGGTGCAGGAGTATGTTTTTTGTTGTTCTGGCTGGCTGACCGGGATGATGACATGCAGCGTCTTGTGCACCTACATATACGGTCAAGTTCATGTACATAGTCAAGCGTGTGTATTTCAAGTACGTATGTACGTGGGTGATGTACAGCACGACATTATGTGCACGTAACTACAGATTGGGCGCAGGCACAGGATGCAACTGCAAGACAGCGAACTAGCCACGTGCGATGGCTTGCCTTCAAACTCGATTTCGGATTGCGATGCCATATCAAGGACTACTACTACTGCGCGGCGTTGATACATGAGTCGGAACATTAGTATCGGAAGTGGAAATGTCCGAAGAAAAAAAAACAAGATTGTCCGAGGCGACATGCAAGCAGCCAGCAGTGAAGCAGAGAAAGAATGAGAAGGCCAGCAACTGGCTTGAATAGGGTTTCGGTCGCATGCTGCCCCAAGATTGCAATCCCCCCCCTTTGTCAGTGCTTGTCACAGCAGCGGGCGCCTTCTTGGGGAAGCGTGGAATGGCCATCAGAACAATCGACAGCTAATAATTAGGCTTCGCTCCCGCGCGGTGCATCAAAGGTTAGTGATGGAAAAGGCTCGTACCCGGGCTACTCCACAGGGCGCAAAGTGCCAATGATGGCATGCTAATTGTGCTGATTGGGGCCCGTGCGCAGAAACGAGACGGGTGAGGCTAGTTCGGCAATAGGACACCGTTTCTTCACGAGTGCAAGAGAGAGAGCTTCCCATACTAAAACCCCGGCCTGCCCACCACCCATCGAGTCGCTCTTCCCTCCTCCCCTACCGATCTCCACGACTCACACTCCTTTCACCCGTCCACCACCACCATGGCCCAAATACGCGGCACCGCAGGCTATCACTTGGGCAACCAGAGCCCCTTCGGCAACGCCGGTCGCAGTGACGGCTCCAACAACGACCCGAGTCCCCTCGATCAGCTACGGGAGCAAACAAACAAGATTGAAGACTGGCTCGACACCATCTCGGAACCCGTCAAGCCGTGAGTACCTCGCAGAGGCTCCTCGCGTGGAAGCTCCGTGCCGAAGCTCCACGCTGTCCCAACTCGCGAGCATTGCGGCTGACAGGCCTGTGAACAGTTACATTCCCGCAATTGGCCGCTTCTTGATCGTCGTCACCTTCATCGAAGACGCGCTGCGCATAATAACCCAATGGAGCGACCAGCTCACTTACTTGAAAGACTACCGCAAGAGTACGCCCTTGGTTCCTTGCATGATACGGCCATCTGTGAGCTGAAGGCTAACTCGTGCTTGTCTGCAGTTCCCGGTGGTCTCACACACCTTTTCCTCATCGTCAACGTCATCGCCATGGTTTCATGTTCCTTCATGATCATTGCGCGCAAGCACTCGGACTACGGAGTCTTTGGCCTCATCGGCGTCGTCGTCCTTCAGGGTCTCGGATATGGCTTGGTCTTTGACCTCAACTTCTTCCTCCGCAACTTGTCCGTCATGGGTGGTCTTTTGATGGTCTTGTCGGATTCTTGGGTACGCAAGAGGTTTGCGCCCGCCGGCCTACCTCAGCTGGACGAGAAGGATCGCAAGATGTACTTCCAGCTTGCTGGCCGTGTTCTCCTCATCTTCTTGTTCGTCGGCTTTGTTTTCCGGGGCGACTGGAGCGTCTCCAGAATTCTCGTGAGCTTGTTGGGATTCATTGCATGTGTCATGGTCGTCATTGGATTCAAGGCCAAGTTCAGCGCCATCATGTTGGTGCTTATCCTTAGCATTTTCAACATTGTTGTCAACAACTTCTGGACGCTCCACGAGCACCACCCCCACAAGGATTTCGCCAAGTACGATTTCTTCCAGATCCTTTCCATTGTGTAAGTCGAACCCGTCGACCCACTTGCAAGTCACTTCTAATCAGCAACACAGCGGCGGTCTCCTTTTGCTGGTCAACATGGGCCCCGGCCAGTTTTCTGTTGATGAGAAGAAGAAGGTCTACTAGACTGGACACCATGTCCTTACATAATATCCTGCAATACTAGGGAGCCTAGCATGAATTGGAAACGAAATATGTGATATCTGAGCCTTTTTATCCATTCCACGATGACACAAACAACCACACACACACGAACGGGCGATTTTGAAAGACTTTTCTTCTGCTCGGAAACGGCGCATACGATCAACCTTTATGGGAAAGGAGGAGGATGGCATGATAAACCAAAAGAGAAAAAGTTGGGAAATAGCTATTAGGCGATTAGGAAGGAATGAAGGAGTGAGATTGAAGGCCTTCTCAAACGGGCTTCTACGGCTCTTTTTTTTCTTGTGTAGATTATGACATACATCTTTTTTTTGAGACTCAGTTTGTCCCTCCCATCAACAGACATTTGGCGTTGAAAGTAAACAATCATACGTGTTGGAAGAAAATTCAATCAATTGCATGGTGTTTTGCATGCGTGCATTGTGGACACATTTCTACAAAAAAGCAAACGCAGAAGAACGGAATTGGTGGCAATTGAAATAGCTGCTGCGGCGCGGGGTGGGGTTGATCGGGCCTAAACGTCATTCATTCTCCAAATATGTAAATCCACCTTTCATATGCCCGTTCGGCTCTGGAGCGAATTGAGGGTGAGATTAGGACTTGCTCAGAGATTGTCTAGGCTTATCACACATAACTGTTGTAAATATACTTTGTTTTTGGAACAGGAGTAGAAGAGAGGCTTATAGGAGCATATTGAATCTTGTATTGTTATTATACGTTTTGAAGTCAAGATTGTGAGGGGTTGGATACACGTGTATTACTCTTGCAACTGATTCTGAAGAATACTATGTAGGATTGTGAGAAATAGAGCAGTGGAACAGAGTGAGTATGAATGTATTAAAGTGCACATGAGATTGTGGTGTGATTATGGATTAATATAGGAATAGTTGGCAAAAGAGTCGAGGAAAGGTTGAGCAAACGATGGAGATTATTGTTGTAAAATGAGGAGCAATATTTGGACACCCTAAAAATAGAAGGTTCCCTTTCCAAGGTGCTCCCACCAAAGAGAGAGAATGAACTTTTTCTTTCCATCCTTCCATTCATATATAAACAGCATACATACATAAGTAGTGTACAGACCAAGCCTAATTCAAAGCCAGCAATTCTAGTGGGGCCCGGTCCGGTAATCGGTACACACTACCTACCCCATCTCTCCCATTATGTAATGCCCCTCCTTATAGACCTGCCTATCTATCTAGTCAACTTTGTATATCTTCCCCAATCTTCTCAGAGCTCTTGAAGGATACATACCTACCTACACGTGTACTACACGTTTTTCTCTATTCTGTGTTGCACCCACCTCCCCCCCCCCTACACATTTGTAGCTTTTTGTTACATACATTATTATCGCTGTTGTTGTTTTTGTTTTTTGGTCTTTGTTAAGGAAAGGGTAAGAGGGGGATACGTATAATAATGGCGCCGAACCGCATCATCATAGACACAGACCCGGTAAGTTGGATTGCACGCGTACACAGTTACCTGCGTACCGCGGATTTTTTTTTTTTTTTTTTCAATTCTCCCAACCCCCATCAGAGAAGAACCTCCCCGCTTCCGAGAAAGAAGAAGAAAAAAGCCGCAGGAGGAAGATTTCCCAAGAAAGAAAGGAATTAAGAGCAGAAGAGAAAGAAGCTGATTCGTAGCGGGAATTGCATGACGTTGTATAGGGCGTCGACGATGTTCTCGCTATGCTTCTCGCGTTTTCTGCGAAATCCGAGGAGCTTGAGGTTTTGATGTTGAGTCTTACGTTTGGGAATGTCGAGGTGCAGAAGTATGTGGATTCCAACTCTCCCTTTCTTTCTGTTTATTGCTTGTCTTTTGCTTTTTATTTTATTTTATTTTTTCTTTTCTGGCGCGAAGGAGGTGTGGGTTTCATCACCGTCTTTGAAATCCTTTTGACTTTCTGCTTTCTTGTAGGAGGAGAGAGAACGATGTCTCTTTTCCGCGTTGCTGTTGTTCTTCCATTAGCTATTTTGATACGGGGTTTGATGCTGACTCTCGAGTGTACTAGCTGTCTGAGGAACGTTGTTACGTTGTTCCACCATATCGAGAAGGAGAGGGCATGGCGCAAGGAGAATGGAAGACCAGAAGGATTCGAGGCGCTGATGGCACATAAACCCATCGGTAGGCTCTTTTTCCTTTTAGATGGGTCGCGATTTCAAGGGTGGTACAAGTGATTCGAAAACTAACAATCAGTGTACAGTTGCAGTAGGCGCTGAAGAACCACTCGCTGAGCATATGGTGAGTTTCCCTCGTGTACAGATGGTTGGAGAAGACTGGCTGACCGAGACTTTCTTCTGAAGATGGTCGCAGATTTCTTCCGTGAGTCTAAGCATATGTCGGGGAAATACTCGAAAGACTATACTAAACAGATCAACTGATATAAAATCTAGACGGCGTAGACGGTCTAGGCGGCATTCATTCCAGCGTACGTACAAACCCCCCTCCCTATCCACATCCTCACTCTAACTTCTCCCAAGCACCCTCACCTCAGCCCATCCGAAACCTGGAAGTCTCTCTTCCTCCCCGCACCCGAGAATCTGAGCGCAGAAGAGGTAGCAGAGTTGCAGCGAGTCGAAGATGCGCACTCCCTCTTCACCCCTTCTCTGAAACCAGCGCACGAGGAAATGCTGCAGATCTTGAGGGACAACGAACCAGATACTATTACGATTGTAGCGGTTGGACCGCTGACGAATCTCGCAATTGCTGCGGCGAAGGACCCAGAGGCCTTTTTGAGGGTTAAGGAGGTGTTGGTTATGGGTGGTGCAGTGGATTCGCCAGGAAATGTGAGTACTCCCTTCCCATTAATATCTATCTCCTTTGCACTTTTGCTACTCATCCCTCGAAACCACTTTGAAATATACAAAAGAGCCATTCAAATCAACTCCAAACCGTACCTGCCCCTATTATCCCTCACAATTCCCTTCCTTCAACCCCGTAAAAACGAACCCAGCACACGCCCATTAGCAGCCAGCTAATCACTCCCGCAAAACTAGATGACCCCCGGAGCAGAATTCAACACCTATGCCGACAGCGTAGCCGCAGCCCGCGTCTACGCACTAACAAGCCCGAACCCAAAGACAACCATGCCCCCTTCCATCCCTGGCGGGAAGAAGAAGAACGGGCAACTAGGCGCTTACCCAGAGGGCTTGAGCAGGAGGTTGACGGTGAAATTGTTTCCGCTTGGTACGTGTATCTTTGTACCCCTTACCCCTTCTCCTCTTCTCTTCTCCCCATCATTTTTTCCCTGCAAAATTTCACAATGAGCCTCGCCGTTGCGGGATTCTTTTGAAATAGCTCCTCTTCGTTTCCTTGCTCCCCGACGACAAACTCTAATACCAATACTAATGACTATTCATGCTCGTCACCAGATATAACAAACCGCCACACCCTGCCCCAATCCCTCTTCTCTACATACACATCCACGACCCCTCTCCCCACCTCCCCACTAGTCCAATGGACATCCCTCTTCCTAACATCCACCTACCGCAAAATCTCCTCCCTCTCCCCTTCTCCCCCCTCCTCCGAGGACGATAAAGAAGAAGAAGAACCCCCATCCCTCCAGCTCCACGACCCCCTCCCAATCTACTACGCCATGACCGCCGCCTCCTCCTCCTCCTCCTCCGCAACCACGCAATGGCAGTTCTCCCCCCCAGAAGATCTCCGCGTCGAAACGGCCGGCCAGTGGACGAGGGGATGCTGTGTAGTTGATCGGCGCGGCCGCAGCGCCCACAATGTGAGTGAAGGGGATTTGAGCGAGGAAGTTGTTGGCGATGCTGGCGGGTGGAGGGATGCGAGGCGTGGGAATCGCGTTGTGAGGGCTTTGGAGAGTCCGGATCAAGAGGGGTTCGGAGGGTTGCTTTTGGAGAGGGTTTTTGGGGGGTTGTGATGGTTGAGGGGAGGGCCGGGGGTTTGCGTTAGGAGCACATTATATGTCTGTCCATCACCACAGAAAACAATACGCATCATGTTTGTGTTACCAAAATGATGATAATTGTAATTAGTTATACAAAAGCAGCAGCTAATAATAATAAAAAAGCAGACCGCTAGCAGATTCGAATGCTCCCGCAAGCCAAAACGGTTGATGCGCCGCAGCATACCTTTCCTCTTCTCCACTCGGCGTCACGTCCAATCCAATGCATATCTGAACACCCTACCATCTCCTATTCTCATCGCTAAAGTCCTTGCCCTGCCTCTCCCTCTCCAGCCTCTCGTCAAACTCCCGCTGTGCCTGCTCCTGTCCTCTCTGCCTCTCCTCATCCGACCCGGCAAACGTAAAGCTATCCCCAATCGTGGATTGTTCGCGCTGGGCCCGATACGGCGGCCTCCCCGGCCGTGGCGGGGGCTGGATAGGCGGCACTGTGCCTCCACGACGAATCCGATCCCACGCCGATCCCGATGTATCCGGCGCAGAAGCGGGATTCTCAGTCTCGGCTTGGAAGAGGCCGCCGGTTGGCGAGGCGTCATCGTCGGACTGTTGCGATGAGAATGTTGATCGACCCCACGCCTGGGGGGATTGACTGGAAGCGCTCTTGGGAGGGAGAGATCGAGGGTCAGGCATAGAGTCGGGAGAGTGTGCGTGTTGGCTCCATGAACCGTCCGAAGAAGAGCTTGGCCAGGCCTCGCTGCTGCTTCCCGTGGGCGAACTGTCGTCTCCACCCCATCCAGCGCTGTTAGTTCCAGATCCCACTTTGCCCATTCTTCTTCGAATTTCAGCTGCTATGGCCAAGTCGTGCATTACGGTTAATTTTCCTTCTCCGCTCTGCACGTGAGCCTTCACGTCTTCGGACAATTGTGTAAGACGCGAGTCTTTCTTGACAGCTGCTGGGACGGAGGCAGTTGACCGGAGGGCGCCAAGCACGTCTCCAATTGATTGTCCGATCCACATATACAGAGCAAGCCGCCAGCCGTGGCGAACGTACGGGACCAATGGTCCTTTCATGAACATGAATTTGTTGGGATTGACGTTTGACTTCTTCATCATCGGGTATTTGTTCTCTTCCATCGTGCTATACCATCTATAAATGCCGGCGACGAGGCCTCCGAAGGTGATGTACGATCTTTCTTGCTCCGCCGAATATGTATGTAAGGCGAGCGCTTGCGCCTCCTCCCTGGACAGATCACGTCCGGCTTGAAATTGCGTGCGGAGTAAGGCCCTTTGTGCTGAGAAACGCAGAGCTTCCGCGGAGAAGCCTGAAAATGGGATAGGAATGGGATGGGGTAGGATTTGGGGATCGTAGTAGGGTATGGGGCCAATCTTTACAGGCGCATCATTGTTGGTGGATGGGGAATTGGTGGAAGAGCCCCCCGAAGGCTGGTCCAGATCTCGAAGAACCATGACGAGCTCCCAATGGGTTTTGTGGTGTTGCAAGAAGGTCGGATCGTGAGTCGTGAGTGGATGAAGTGCTAAGGCGTCACGCCAGGGTGGGCAGAAGGTCGAGCTTTAGCGATGACGCAGGGAAGGGTTTGGCGGCACATAGTTCTTGGCGTCGATCCTATTGCTCTTAAGTGCTTGTAGTCGAATCCATTCGGGAGATATCAAGGGTATTTGAGCATGTGATTATACCACGAGCAATAATTGCTTGAATCCATACTCAACAACAGTACGATTCATCCTAGACGCAATTTCGCCCACGAAGCATGATTTGCTTCCAAGCACAGATGGCTGAAAGCTTCAAACGCATCTTGTACTACTAACGCCGATTACAATTCGGATATTTAATACGAGTGTAAACATGTTTTCGAGTATGATTCTCTCAGTGTTTCACCACCTAGTGAAGTGCTACTTGTACAGCCAAAGTGAATTCGGCACAGAATATAATGATGGGACATGGAATTTACATTTGAACGCAGGGGCAATGAAATAAACACACAAAGAAAAGATGAGCCCAGGCCCGATTTCCACGATGCTCTTAACGCCGACGCCAATATGCTAAGGGATAGATCGATTCCGCGTGAGCCGGGAATGCTCGTTGTTGAATAAGTCCAACCGCACTAGCCTATAATAAGGACTGTGTGCGTTGCTGCTGACTTGAGTGACGGTAATTTCCATGAGATTTCTTTCTCTGCTGTCATGGCCGCAGACCACGTGACGAATTCAGGAGCCTCCTGGTTAACATCCCGCAATATACAGATTCTCAACAGATCTTGTAAAGCATCCCAGCTGTTATCAAAGGAGCCGTCACACAGAGAACACCCTGACGGTGATTCATCAGTACGAGTGCGTCTAGTGGCTCATAGGATGACGCAGCGACAACCAGCAGTCGCCTCTTCATCTGTATCGCGGCGACTTCCTCCTTTGCCACCTTTTGCATCCTCCTCGTCGACGACTTCCTGCGGTTTTACGGTCATATGAACCACATTTGGTGTTTCCGACTGGAATCGGCACTCTATGATTGCTATTAGTACTGAGCCATAGGGACAATGCGGACAATGGCAGGCGCATACCTTTGAGAGGGATCTTATCTTCCAACATGCGACCGAAATGTATAAGCCGTATTGAACTGGGAGTGGTCGGTCTGGGTTCCCACTCTGTGTATCACGTAGTGTCAGCGTATATGCATGCGGGAGTTTAGTCAGGAGGTGACGAAGGATAGAGTCGCCGATGGCAAGAATCCATGTGAAGCAGATGTACCAACCTTCGCGCCAATCTCGCCATATGAGTTCTTTGAGCGTATATACACTGATGTTGTACGGGTCCATATCCTCCACTGTGACATTGCGCTTCTTAAGGTACTTCTCATCAATCTTGTACGGATGTCGTGCGCCTGTTGTGAGCAGCAGCATGATGACGACGACAGGTCCATTGGTGTTGTCTGGGTTCGCAGCAGGGGTGTCGGTGGAGGGACCAATGGCTTCGGTTTCGGTGCGACTTAAATCAGCGGGAGCAGCGGGTTTGGAGGTGGTCGATACGACTGCGGTGGGGTCTGCGGATTGCGCATCGGTGGATGTTTCGGCGGGATTGGTGATTAGCGGGTCTGATGCTGGCAACGGCTTCATCTCGACGGGGCTTGCAGGTCGTGCTGCATGCTCTCTGCTCGTCGGCCGTGAGCCCGAAGCGGGTTGGGCGGCAGGAGGAGTGGCCGTCGAGGGTGGGACATCAGACGAGGTGGTAGCCATTTGAGCAGGGTAACGCGCCGGTCGTCGAGCGACAGCGGCGAGACAAAGCGACTGACTGCGTGAAGCGACGGGAGCGACGGGGGATAACAGTGGGCGGGTAAATATATAAGTGCTTATGCAGCACAGTGGACGATGTGTAGCAGAACGATAAGGGCGGTGGGGTGGTCAGGTCAGCGAGAGCAGGGTGGGTGGACGGGTGTGGTGTGTGTGTAAAGAAAGAATACGACGGGGGTTGGTGGATGGAGAGACGGAGGAGAGTGGTATAGAGTAGTGTAGCGTGGTGTAGCTGAATCAATGTTCCAGACAATCCGATCCGCGAGAGGTATTAGAGCGCCAAAGCAAGCAAGCACGCACGCGGGATTGATGACAGAACAGGCAGGAAACTCCCGCGCAGACAGACAGACAGAACAGAGAGACAGAGAGACCGACGATGGGGAAAGGACAAGACGAGACGAGACCAGGCAAGGCGAGACTAGGCCGGTTCAACTGTCACCAGTGGAGGAAGATGGGGACGGCAAGTCACGGGTGTTACTCCACACATACGCAAGAAACGATCCGCGTTTTCTCCACACACACACACACACACACACACACACACACACGCATACCCACCAGAGGAACCGAACCGACTTCCTGCTGCTCTTCGTCCCCGGGCCCATGAGAGGTGACGCTTCATCGCCATCAACACCACCGCGTCATGGATGCCCGCATCCTCGTGTTCCCCTGCTGGCTACGAGACTTGTTTTTGCATGAGAGAATGCACATGGCTACTACATTATTGATCCCCCCTTGACGCTGCTCTGCACCTCCCGATATCCATCCAATTCCCTCTTCTTTATCGTCTCCATGACCAAGTTTTCAAACTCATCCGGTCTACGGGCTTTGCCCCTGCCGTTCCCCGCCGTTTTGATTGGTGAGCCGCTTGTCCGGCATTCATTCGCTCCTACTTAGTGCGCTTCCATGTACCTGTGTTGAGAAGCACTCCCATTTCACAGTGGACATCTAGCCCGTGCATCCACCTTTTACAAATACCTAGGTACCTTCGAGCACTTGCATCTATACGCTTCAGGCGATTGCGCTGGCACCGACAATCCCACCGCCACGGCTCGACAAATTGCACTGCAGGTCATGTGGTGGCTGAGTCGATGCACGTCGCGGCATCCAACGCTGAACAGCTGTTGTTGTAGGGCAAATCATTTAGCATTGGCTGATCGGGTGTCGGAATCTCTATCCTACGCCGCTATGCCCTGGGCCCTTCGTAGTGCTTGCCACCAAGCTCACCCATCATCATCATATCCATCATGTGAAGCCTTCTAGCACTTGTAGCCGCACCTCTACTGAGGTCATTGATGCGTGCGCCTTTTCAGCGTCCATGTCTGTCCCTTGGCGATATCCATCCATCATGTCATCCAGCTCCTTCACCAGTTCATCTTCATCTTGGATTCCAATTCGGCATGGAATCCGGGTACCTCGCGAAGCTCGTTGCCTGCATCCATATCGTTAGCTCCACATGTCCCTTGCATCTACCCCTCCTCCGCCTCAGCCCACATTGATTGAGCCTCTCCACACCCGCATAGTACGTGCACTTACCGACAAATACATCCTCCCAGCCAATCTCGCAGTCCCGTCCCTCCAGAATGTCCTTGTGAACTCCGCTAGATCCGCCCAACACAGCCGGTCTCCATTCCCCAGCTGTCGCGATTTTGACTTCCATTCCCCGCCGGATGGGCTCCGCGATACCGAACTGACGCTTCAACATCTCCATCTTCATGCGGTCCTGCGTCTCACGCCATTGGACAAGTCGTGCCTCCAAGGGATGTGCTGACTGGAGCTTGACAGATTGTTTGGAAGGCGCCGCGGTGGCGGGAGTCGACGTTTCGGCAAGGCGAGAACGGAGAGTATCGTGGACACCGGGTGCTGATGGAGCAGACGTTTCGAGCGATGTGTGACTCGGGTGAGCCTTTTGTGGGACGAAGCGAAGAGACTGTTTGCTGTCAGTATCTTGCGTTGCTAGAGTCTGGAAAGAGATGCTTCCTAGTGCAGTCGCAAGTGCGTACCATTATGTAGATTGTTGGATTGTGACGGTAGTCAAAGGTCCTGTCTATGATTCTCTGTAGTTGCGATGGTTTTCAATCTTCGTAATATCCGTGAATCGTCAGGCAATCGAACGGCAGTTCGGAAAGTGATGGGGGTCTGCAGGTAAAGGTGTCGGAATAGGTAGTAGTGGAGCTCAGGCAGCTGGGAGTGACGCGCCGCCGCTAAGGTCTTGGCATTTGAGTATCAATTAATCGGTTGTAAGCAAAAATTAGTGAGCAGTGAACAGCACAGAGTGAATGATAGAGTGGAAATAGTTATAAATTGATATCTAACAGAGCCGACTATATTTGAACAATACTCCCCAGGGGTACGTTCCAGTACAAGCTTGCGGCAACCATGCTCCCCACACTGATCGTGGCAGCCATGAGCAGATTCACGCCGTTGTTGTCCAATATATCGTGACCCACTGTAACCTTGCGGCTCTCGTGGTGTTCATCGGCTACGGCATTTCCACTTGCTCCGGCATTCTGCATAGCGCGGGTTGCCTTTACAGAGGCGTCGGCGCCCGAAGAAAATGCAACATCACTCTGGCCTTCCCCACGGGTACCTAATTTCTTTCGGACATCCGCGGATGACTTGGAGTGGGAAGGGTGGGAGTGAACTAGAACCTTTCTTCCCCCATCACCTTCCACAATCTTCCCCGAGTGTACATCGACCACACTTGCTTGTAGGATAGCTCCGAGGTATGAGTCGAGAATCGATCCACAGAGACCAGCGATGGTAATTGCCTGAGTGTATCGTATCTTCTCGGTCTTTGTCCATTCCTGGCAAAAGGGCAGGAGCAGCGTGGATGTAGCAGCCACGATAAAAGCGCCCAGCATGCCAGCTCCTAAGCCGGTTGAGGTCACCCCTCCATTTGTGCCGGGTGGAACGACACGCCACGGCGCTGTGACGAGGCGTGGTTTTGTTTGTGCAAGTATTCCAAGTTCCGAGGAGAAGGTATCAGCGGCTACCGCAGCATAGTTTGCGACTATGCCAACGACCAGAACATGGCTGCCTCGGGGCCAGCAGGAGTCCTTTTCAGAGAGCGAGGTTTCCTTCTTGAGCTGCCAAGCATGAAGCAAGATCAATATTGATGCGACTAATGAGTTTGCAAGCACTTGGATGTGGTTTCGAGGGCCCTCGCCGCCGGATGCGCCCGTGGCCGATTGGGTGAGTTTTGCCTTTACGTCATGTTTGATCTGGAAGTTGTGTGAGGCTCAATCGAGGATCCAAAGGAATGTGATATGACATACCTTTGTTACAGCAGTGCCGAACAGGAAAAAGACGGTCAGCAGTGCAAAGAAGACGCTCCAAGGATGTATGGCGTGCACCACGGCCGTGATGAAAGCTGTAAAAATACCGGCGGGGGTCAAGGATTTTCGTGAATAGGCTCGGTAGACAAGAGCGGAAACCGCTGGTACAGCTATTTCTGGCCTCATTGCGGATTTGATATGGAATTGGTGGTGGGTAGAAGTGGGAGGATCGGAGTAAGATGACGATGAGCTCATAGGCAACCAGTAGTTGAAAATGCACCTAACGCTGTCCTTGGCGGCAATCTCTCATCTCACTTGGATACAGACTTTTAGCATTCAATAACTGCGCCACTGTTCTTGGCCGTATACAAGTCTATAGAGTAGCTAAGGTCAGTACATTCCCTTCAAGTAACAAGATCAAACTTGCAACACATGATGATTATTTCCAAAAAGCAAGGAGTTGGTGTTGATGCTCATTCGAGAAGGGTCTTATCGCTCAAGTTGCCCGTCACAGAATGGTCTGTGCAATCGAGTGATGCTTTGGACTATTCACGGATACACTGACTAAACAATCGGGCGCCTGAACACTCACTTACTACACCGACGAGCGTGTAAGATGACGACTGACAAGCCGTCCATGAAGATCATTTCAGTGACATTTTAGTACTCGCCTACTTTTTGTCAAATCATTTTATCAGCCTTTTAAGTGTAGGAACCACTGTAACTTCCAATCAAAAAAACTTAAAAACTCATTTCAGTGTTCTATCCGGGCGTCCAAAGCAACTTTAGAAACCATGGCTTAGATCCGAACTGTTCCTGGATTGCAAAAGGCTAGCGTATTACCTGTTTAGGTATGCTCTGCGGGCCTCTCTCATCCCTCCGCCCAAGTGGACCCCAATCGCCGTTGTATTCTGAATGACAAGAGGAGCTTTGAGCTGAAATTCTTCCATTTCACGTACAATGTGAACTGTCTTGTCGACTGTCTTGTCGATTGTGATGGTGAAATCATGCTTCTCACTGTATCAGCCACTGCTGTACCATGTGTACAACAGAGCCTGTATACATTAACATCATTTCAGTGTACTGCCATGTTCTCGTGTTTGGCTGAATCCATGCAGCGACAATCTGCGGCGTGGGTGGGGTCCGCCGGGCCAACGCCCTCAGCCTCTTTCACGCTGAGCTGGCCCGATAAGGTAACTCCTAGTAGTGAGGTAGCTATAAGATGCTACTCCCGCTTTCATGCCAACCTTCCAAGACATTTACTTGGCTCCATTCCAGTCATCAATCAAACATCTTGACTTACTGATTGAGAAACCTCTGGTGATTGGTTCTTGTATCCATCCATCGTTTCAACATGGCCTACATGCTGTTCAAATACATACGCCGGAAGGTCAAGGAGAACAGAGAGAGGAAAGAAGCGTTAGCCACCGCAGACGAGCCCCATCTCGTACCAGAGATTGATCTCGGGTTGAGACAAGAACATGGCGAAGCTGTCCATACGCCAACTGGGCAGGGGGAGCATTCTACCAGTAATCACAGCACACATCTCACACCAGAAGAGCACCAGAGAGAAAAACAGGAGCGAGGACAACTCACCAAGAATCGATGGAAGCTCATAATAGGACTGATACTTCCCAATTTCCTCTCGGCAGTCGATGTTACCATTGTAGCTCCGGCCATTCCAGAGATCTCCTCCCACTTCAGTGAGTAATCAAACCACACCGTCAACACGATGCAGCATACTAATCAAGATAGACCATCTGAGCGGAAGCTTCAACTGGATTGTGGCCGCTTACACCCTTACATTTACTACATTCGTGCCAATGTCTGGCCAACTAGCCGACGTGTACGGTCGTCACTTCGCTCTCCACTTCCAAATGTTTTGGATCCTCGTCGGCAGCATCCTCTGTGCTGCCGCTCAATCATGGACAATGCTTCTATTCGGCAGAGCCATCCAAGGACTGGGCGCTGCGGGCATTATGAACCTCACAAGAATCATACTCTCAGACGGTGTCAGTCTTGCCGACAACTCCAAAAATAACACCGTCTTCTCCTTGATCAATGGAATCAGCTTCGCGGTTGGCCCAGTTATAGGCGGGTACCTCACTTCGGCGAGTTGGAGGTATTGCTTCGTGGTCCCCATCCCCATCGCAGTAATCTCACATGTCCTCATCTTCTTCTTGATGCGCAAAAGTCTTGTGCAAGGCCGAGTCGCGTTGAAGAACAGCGACTCCCGTCGGACAGGATACATCACTGGGCTGGGCATCATAGACTGGATCGGAGCAACAACCTTCATCTCGGGCGTCGGCCTCATCATCCTCGCCGTACAATGGGGCGGTACACAATTCGCATGGGACTCAGCCGGCGTCATTGTCCCCCTCGTCCTCGGAACCTTCCTCTTCATCACTTTCTTTGCAAACGAATACCTCATGGGATCAAACCGCCTCATGAACCGCCTCTTCCCCAAACAAGTCCCCATGATCCCATCCTCCATCTTCCGCAAAAAGGACACCTCTTTACTCATGATTATCAACTTCTCCGCGGGCATGTCGCTAGTCTCAGCCTTCTACTTCGTGTCTTACTACTGGCAGCTCGCAGAGAACTACCCGGCCTCGAAAGCAGGAACACAGCTCCTCTACTACACCCCAGGGCTAGGCGTGGGCGTCTACTCGGCAATGTTCATGTGCAACGTGTGGCCGCGGCAAACCTTCCCGCCTCTCTTCTGGGGCTCCATCGTCGAAGCCGTCGGTCTCAGCGTAATGACGTGGGCCATCTCCGCGCGCCACACGACGCTCGTCAGCGTGTTTCTTGCGGTCGCGGGCGCGGGCACGGGATTGCGCTTCATGCCCATTGTGCTGCACGCAGCGGGGATGTGGCCGAAGCGCATCGCGGCCATCCAGAGCGCGTTGAGCTTCACCCTGCCGCTCGGCGAAACTATCGGCATCTCCATGATGGGATCCGTCTTCAGCAACAAGTACAGCCAGTCTCTGCTATCGCTGGAGCACTTGAGTGGCGCTGCCGGCCTGGCGTCGTCCAGCGGGTTGAAGAATCTGGATGCGTTGAAAGGGCTGCCTTCGTCTCAGCTGCAGCCTGTGCAGGACGCCGCGTCGGATGCGGTCATGTGGGCATTCATTACGATTTTACCGTTCATGGGCGTTAGCATCGTCGCTGCGCTTTTCTTGGGGAATGTGTGGATTGGAACGCCGAGGAAGCTTGATGAGGATGGGAAGGTGAAGAGCGAGGAGACCAAGGGCATGGTAATGGATGTCCCCTACCTGTACGGGTTATTAACTGGCAGTGTGGCTACTTATAGGAGGATTGTGGATCCGATTGTTGAGCAGGCTGAGGTGGAGAGAGAGAAAGGGAGAGAAGGAGTATTTGATGTTGAAGCCCCAGATACGAGGATGGAGGAACGGCCGCCGATGAGAGTTTAAATAAATCGTTTCCTTTGTATGCTTGTCTATATACCATCGAAGCAAAGTATCCTTCAGAAACCAGACTGAATCAAACTCGTTTCTTACCACAAAACTTTTCATCTTCTTTCGGAAGAAGATGAAAGCAATCGAACCTCATTATCCCAAAATCCATGTCAATCCACCCTCCGCTCCAAAACAAGAAAAACAAAAAAACAAGAAGCAGTACACATACTTGTACCACCAAACACCTCGTAAAGAAAAAGAGGAAGTCTAGTCCCACCTCACAAAAAACCCTAATCCCATCCTCCCATCCCCCCACCCAAATGTCCTCCCCATTACAACGCAAAATCAACAACAGCACCGAGCACCAACCCAACCCCCTACCTCCCTTTCCCACCACAACCATTCTCCTCACTACCACGCGGCTCATACCTCCTTCTATCCTCCCGTCCAATCTCGGTATGCTCCCAGAGAAAATTCCTCAACTTCTCCTCATCCGTCTCGCTCTCCAGATCGAAATCCCAATGATGCGGCAAGATGGACTTCGTCGACGCATTGGCACGCTGGTCGCGGATTCCATTGCGGTAGAAGTTCCTCCGGCGCAGCGCATCTTGCTGTTCCTAAAGAGGTGGGGTTTGTTGGTTAGGGTTTTACGGGTTTAGTGATGGAGAGAGGGGAGACCTTACTTCCATCTTGAGCCTCATGTCCGCGATCCAGGCTTGGTCGGTGGGGAGTTGGCGGGGAGGCTCTTTTGGTGCTTTTTGCTGCGGTTGAGGGGGTGCAGATGGAGGTGAGAAGGTGTGTCTGCTCGATTGACGGCTTGACATTTGGATTTGCTGCTCGTAGGGTAGACGGGCTACGGGTCTGTTGGTGTCGCTGTTGCGAGGGGCGGGGACAAGTCTCGGTGGTGGGGTTTCCTCGTAGTGGTCGTAGGATGGGGGAGATTTGGTGAGGCAGTTTCCCATTGTGGGATGTGGGCTTGCGATGGTGTGGTCGTGTGGTTGTTGTGCCGGCGTGGGATTGTAGGCGCGCTGTTGTTTTCGTATTGGGGGTTGTTTTGGGGGTGGGGATGAAAGGGTGTTGTTGTGTGGGCGCAAGAGGCTAAGGAGGGTAAGAGTGTTTGTTTTGAGACTCGACGGCGGGAGTGTATTGGGTGAGTGTGGTTTGTTTGTGGTGTGCGGAGGTGCGAGGTCGTTTGTATATTGTTGTTTCGTGCGGACGATCAAGACGATAACCTGATAACCTCTTGCAGGCGATCAAGAAAGACGTTGGAACTGCTCGCTGCCAGTATAGAGGCTTTATATATTCATTACTAAATAGGAAAGAATGGGTCCGTTGGAAGATAATGTCAAGGAAGGCTATTTTCCCTGTCAAATGTCGGTATACATGAGCTGCCTGCACATAACTATACAGGGTATCCGACTTATCCTGATGAATCCAAAGTCCCCCGAATGTGGTAGACAAACACGATGTCGCCTTCTCTCCAATCCTAGCGACTATACCGAGCTTATACACGATGTTGCAGCGCAGTGACGGGGACAGATACGATAAGATCCCAACTCTTTCAGGCACTGATGGTGCACTTTGCACCTCTCCACATATTCAAGAGATCTATATTTCACGGACGAGGATACATGGAAGTAGATTTCAAGGCGGCTCAGTTTGGGACATATCTTGAGGAGACTGATGTCGATGGATAGGATCAGTTGTAATTCCGCGCTTCATTGGCAGCATCTGCTTCTCGATGTGCTCGGTTCTCGTTTGCAGCTTGCTGAAGCGTCTGGTTTCTAGTTTGCTTTTTCTGCTCTTCCAGTTTTCTTGCAAGCTCGCCATTAGCCGGTTTGTTCGCGCGGGCCTGAGAATGGGCAGCATGTCAGTATCGTCTTGTTTTCTTATGATGGGTCGTAGAGGAAGTGTTTTTGTGGTTGAAGTCATGATCAAATGTTGCGCTGATATGCTTCTATGTTATAAACTACGTACCTCTGCTGCTGCGGCTGCTGCGGACCTCGGATCTTGACTTGCATTCGCACTCCCTCCCAGCGTTTTGGCTGGCCCTCCAACTTTCGGTTTTGAAGGCTGACTACCGGCTTTAGTTGCGACATTCGCAGGGACCGAAGCTTTTGCTGTTGGGGCTGGTGCTGAGGCTAGAGTGCGACCAGGACCTTGGAAGTTGTCATCCTTGGATTGTTTCCCACAAAGATTACCCATTGTAGGCGTGAGTGCTACGTGCAATGTAGTTGAAGTCGGGAAGTGGGTGGTGATGAGGGCGACGAATAGATGAAAAGCGGAGCTGCGTGCGCCAGACAACGTGGGCAGATCGGCAAGACGTCAACTAAGTCACTCAGCCTCTTAGAAGGCGGGGGATTGATGCGCACGGAAGCGCGTTGGTGGAGGTTGGCGCCAAGATATACATCTGCTGGCTTCTGAAAGGGACAGGCATAGCGAACGAGGATTCTCGATTCCGTGAGGAAGTTTGCTACCTTGCAAGTTGGAACAAACATGGCAGTCTGCCGTCAAAGGCCGTCAGTTGGACTGGTCCATGGAGTGATTTGGGTGTTGCCAGTGCGTGCTTGCCCTGCGCATCTCCGGGCCAATCAGAGCCGCTGGAATTTGCCCTCGTACTTGACGGACCCTGCACGTGTTTGCTCGTGCCTTTCTTTCTTCCATGCATGCATACATACATTCCATCCTCCCTCGAATACCCTCCTCAGTTCTTCACACACACACTTTTTCTCTCTCTTCGCCTTTCTCTTGAAGCATCGTTGTTGTCTTGTAGCTTGCAGTCACCGCCTTCGTCGTTGTTTTATTGTCGTTTTCAAATACGCCTTGTCTCTCTCACCTCTACGCCTTGTCGGGTACGCACAGCATCTTCAGCTTGGTGCACTGCTCCATATTCTGTCATTCGAGGCAATGCTTGCTCGATTGTATGACCTCCTCACCCGCACTATTGTCGATAGAGACCTTCACATACATTCTCTGCTCGTCATCGATTGAAGGGGGAGCGTGAACGTACCCTCACTTGTAAGTCTTGCTTGGCATTTAGCACCTTGATGTCCTCCTCCAAAGGCGCTAGACTTTTGTGACTTTCAACTTTTGTACTGCCGCGGAACTTGCCTTTCAGCGCCTTACTCGGCACCATGGCTGATCACGATTCAGCTTACGAAGACGACTTCCTGTCCTCCTGGATGCTTTCCTCGCCTCCAACACTGGTGGGGACGAAACGGAGTGCAGATGGCGAGACGGCGACCAAAGACTGCCAGGCTTGCGAGAATGCTGGCTGTTTCAACACCCTTCACGATGCGCGCCCGTCAAAACGGATAGCTTCCGTCGTCGATGTAGGCGCCTTTCACACCGCTGTCGACGAGGCCGACCTGGGAGGCTTGGAGTCAGGCGATCACTTTCCGGACATCTGCTTTGAAAAGTTCTGCCAGGACTGCAATTGGGAAACCTCATGCGACTCTCCGTGCGATTCTCCATGCAATTCTCCTTGCGTGGTACCGTGTTCCGAACCCGAGTGCGAACAGGAAGCATGCTGGGATCCTCATTGTGACAACCAGTGCGATGAGGTGCAATGCGACCAGCAATACTGTGTTCACAAAGGTCACTGTGATCAACAGCCTTGCAATGATCAATGTGTTGACCCTGAGTGCACCAAGCTATCGGGCACCAACGATCCTTGCTTCTGCCATAGTTGCGAAGTCCAGTCGTGTCCGCTTGGAAAACCGAATGACGAGTGCCATATGGCCGAGCCTGGACTATCAACACCCAGCAAAGATGCCCTCCACTGCTTCGATAGCGCGACGTGTCGTCTACAAGACCAAGGCAGCGAATTACGTCAAGGCATGCTACCATACGAGTCCTATCCGTGTTATCTTACTTCTCACAATGCGTGGGACAATTCCCATAGCATAACGCACACGTCGTATGCCGATACGCCCTCTCTTTCGTGTCACACTCCATTAGACTCGGTGTTCAGTGAGCACCTATCGCCAGCGTCCAAACAAGCTCCCAATACTGGATCATGCTTCTTGAACATCCCAGCGGAGCATTGCCATATTGATAATTCCTGTTGCCATGGAGAAGCAAGAGCTTGTGGGGAAGACCCTACCGCCCCCTCAGAGTACCTCAGTCTTCTCCAGAAATCAATGGCTCCTGGAAATGCGCTGGCGGATAGCTTCACCGACTTCGGATTGGCGTACGACTTCTCTCTGGGGTCACAGCCTTTCTCTCCCGAGTCCATGGGTTCAATTGTCATGGATAAAAGCTTCCACAATACAAACCCAAACTTGGAGGCTACGTGGTTGTATCCGCAGCCTCAATATACAAACCTGATTCCATCCTTAGCGGAAGACTCCGGCACGAAGCTTGATCTTCTTGCCTCTGCAATACAAAACGATGTGTTGCAACCAGAAAGCTCCTTGACGATCCCAGACTCCATGTGTACAGGAGTAGCCACAACTGGGACCGATAACGGACATGGAAGCGTATGCAGATGGCAACATCGCCCAGGCGTACTGTGTCTCGCTGTGTTTGACAGTGCTGAATCGCTACACAAGCACATAAAATCAGTCCATGTCGATAGCTGTAACCAATGCTTCTGCCAGTGGGAAAATTGTGAATCTTCAACAAAGGACTTCAAACAACGGTCGAAATTGTCTCGCCACCTCCTAGGACATGCGGGCCATCGTCCTTATGCGTGTAGTTTCGACGGGTGCGACAAGATGTTTGCTACTAACCAGGCCAAAGCGAATCACGAACGCACCCACACTGGAGATCGTCCATATGAATGCAAACAATGCGGGTACACAACAACTACATATACGCAGCTGCAAACGCACATTTCTGCCTTGCACGAAGGGAAGAAACCGCACAAATGTCGCTTCTGCGATTTTTCTTGTGCGGATAGCTCTAACTTGAGCAAGCATGAGCGCACTCATCAGGTAATTTAGCTCCTTTTACCGTGATCAATTCTGCTACAACGTTGCTCTTGACGACAACGAGTCTTTGTGTTGAAGACGTCTTGAGATTGCCTTCATCATCGCATACCGACAGAACAATGGCTGACCTGTTGACAGACGCTCCGTCCATACCGCTGTCTGCATCCAGGTTGCACCTTTAAACCCGACTGCCGTTGGGAGAACCTCAAGCGTCACCTTCGCCGAGCGGGCCATTGTCCCGAGCTGCTGATCGAAGGAGGGGAAGCACACAAAACCTATCGCGAGGCCGTGAGGCGCGAGATTGACGAGTTCAACAAGAGAGAAGGGGCTGGAGCTGCGGGCAAGGGATCTAGGAGGAGAAAGTAAGGCCTGGGCCTGGTCATTTTGTGGCTGTTGCGTTTGGCCTGCAAAGGGCTTGCAGATAAGATATCTGGTAAATTTATCGTTGAGATGTTCTTGGCGTGAATATGGGCTACATTTAGGTGGGCGGTGCGATGGATTTTATGATACCAGCATGGGTTGGCGTTTAGTAGAGCAGTCAAGTCTGCTGGCTGCTCATATGAGAAACGAATTTGAAAAGAATATTGATGGCATGTGATATGAGGTTTGATGACAACGATGGGTCCATGGATAAGAACACCACGTCGCGAGTGGAAGTTAGTTTCCCCGCCTTCCAGTAGACGTGTATATAACGAATGCCTATCTCGCTTCTTGTTCTCTTTGTTTCAAGTCCTTTTTTCATTTCAAGTGCTCTTGCCAGCAGCTCATGTACAGTGCTGAACGGAAGAGCAAAATCACGCAATCACACAGTCACACAGTCATACCAACACTCTCCGTTCGCTAACTCTCGACATTGCAGTTTCCGGCACGATAGTGATGTTTTTTTTTTAGATGTGTTTAGATGTGTTTTGTTTGTTTTGAATTAATTATTACGGATGGGTACTTTTGTGGGAGCCCTCCTCCTCCTCCTCCTCTTCTTCTTCTTTTTGCATCCAAAAGCCGTCTGTCTGTCTGTCTGTCTGTCTGTCTCGGAGCGGGTATCATATATATGCCGTGCCTCTTCCATGCAATCAAATCTTCGAAACCTGAGCAAAAAAAGGAAAAGAAAAGAAAAGAGGGAGAACTGATGCAAATGCTCCAGCGCAACATGCTCGAGAAGGAAAAAAGAAAAGATAAGCAGATACAACGAAGTGAAGTGTAAAAAACAGAAAAGAAAGGACATGGTCAGTGGTTGCCCACCCCCACCGCCTTTTTACTTGCGACTCAGCGTCCTGCCCAACCCGCCACTGTTCGCCCGACTCCTCGTCGGCCCAAAGCTCTCCCTCGTGTTTACGCGATCAACCTCGTAGGGGTTATCGTAATACAGGTCCTGCACGGTCCGCACGCTTCGTCGACTCTTATTACTTCTGCCCGTCCCGACTTTGTGCAGCTCGCCTCCATCGGCAGCTTCCTTCTGCGTCTTCATCTCGGCGAAGCGAGGCTCGGTTTCGTCTTCATACGAGTAGTCGACGGCACGCTGTTCGGCAACGTCTTCGGGCTCGTGGTGCTCGGCGCGGGTGCGCGAGCTATCAGAGTCGTTTCCAGCGTCCTCATCACCATCAATTTTATCGGTGCCGTTCGCTGCAGCGGCTTTGTTGCGGATTTTTTCCATAAACGCTTCGGATTGCGCTGCGTACTTGCACTTTTTGCGGATCGTCGCGCCGTACTTGTAGAAAAGGAACGGGAACGGCAGGCACGCCAGAGCGAGGAATGCGGGGACCGAAGACGCCCAGTGGATACCGAGTCTGCTGTACATCTGGCTCGTGAAGAGCGGGAACGCGGCGCCGAAGAGCGAACGGATGATGCCGTTTGCAGCGAGGACCGAGGCGGCGAAGATGGTGTATGCGTCGATGAGGTAGTTTAGGATACTCAGGAAAATAAGCACCATGCCGAAGCCGAAGGGGATGCCTGCTGCTACGGAGGCGGCCCAGGGGAGGGAGGGGGAGTTGGTCCACGCGAACCAGAAGAGGCCGATGGGAAGGGCGGAGCCGCCTACGATGCAAGGGTGGAGCCGGGCTTCTGGGGGAGCGAAACCTGATTTTTCTTTTTGCGCGGCGCGGAGGTAGCGTTTGTTGTCGTAGACGATGCTGTAGGTTACAGCGAAGATCATGCCGATTGCGACGCCGATGAAGGGGAGGCCGGAGACGCCTTCGTTCCAGTGGCGGCCGACGCGGTAGACAATTGGGTAGGCGCCGAAGAGGAGGTATAGAGTTCCGTAGATGATGGCCCTGTTTTTGATTGTTAGTTGGGTGTCGGATATATTCGGAAAAAGGAGGATCTGCTTACAAGTAGATGGAAAGTAGGAAGACAATTGGTTCTGTGAAGAGGAGGATCCAGGGTCGCTTGAGACCAGTCGAGAAGGCTTCTCCGAGGGAGGTTTTGCCTTGATCGATATCGCCTCGAGACATGTACACCTTGCCAGTCATCTTAGATAGAGTCTCGGCGCGTCTGCGTAGCAAGACTGGAGGGTATGTTTCTGGGACGACGAGAATACAGATGAAGAAGAGGACGCCGGAGAAGATGGCCATGAGGCCTTGGACCCATCTCCAACCTTCGGTCATGCCCAAGAATCCACCGACAATAGGTCCTAGAACTGGACCCATGAAGGGAGCCATGGAGAAGAGCGTCATGGCAAGACCACGCTCTTGAGCATTGAAGAGATCAGCAACTACACCTCCGGCATTGGTGAGAGGACTCGAGCCGAATGCACCTAGACAGAACATGTTAGACTAGAAAATCAATGACATGGGTATGCTACTATACTTACCACCAAAGAATCGAAGGATGATCAGCGTCCAGATGTTCTGCGAGCCTGCACATCCGGCATTGAACGCGGTGAAGGCCAGGAAAGTACCGCAGAAGACCATCTGACGACCATAAATTTCACTGAAGGGTGCCCAAAGAAGAGGTCCAAGAGCAAACCCAACAACAAACAGCGACACGCCCAAGGTAACGACGATTTGTGAAACTCCAAATTCGACAAGGATTTGTTGGATACCTATTGTTTTCCGTTAGTGTCAAAGTTTGTTGATTGAAAAACGATCAAGCTCTGAGGATAGAGTTGAGGTCGAAGATGACGTACCTCCAGTGAAAGCCGAAGAACAGAAGGCAACTACGAGCGTGGCAAGAGCCATGCAAATCATGCAAGTCCATTTCTTGACGGGATGCCATGTCATGGGGTTTCTGGGATCTTGTTCCATCCATTCCACGACATAGGGATCGCTCTCTGTACCGCTTCCCTCGTATTCATATTCAACCATCTCTTTGGTAACATAGCCCTGATTCAGGATCATGTTGATGTGGGGGATACCCTCTCGACCCGACTCCACATCTGCACCGCCTTGCTGGTGTTGTTTCTCCATGCTGGAAAAGCTGGGGTAGCAGCGATGCTGCCGTCGTATGCAAAGGGATCAACAACGGGGGAGTACTGGAGATATCTCGGAGGATGTGAGTAGTACAAGTCGACTGGTGTTCGGCCGTGGGTTGCAGAAGGAGAAACCGAGGCGGATTAGAAAATATAAGAGAGAAGAATTAGTAGGGGAGATAGATAAGAGGAGAGAAGTCACGAAAAAGGAGCGATCTGCCCAGCTATTATTGTTATTGTACACCAGCAACAGACGGTAGCATGTAGAAAATCAAAGGAGATGGGGTGCACTATGCTAAGCCAAAGTTGCCATAATTGCTAATAGGCTGACGACATGGCCCCAAAATTTGCGCCTCGCTCGGCCGAGGCATCGCAAACAGCACTCTACGCGTGCATGGGGTCGATCAACAACGACCAGCCAAGCCAATCACACTCGGGCAAAGCCGAAGAAATATGGAACCACGCGGCGGGCGGGTGCAGGCATAGAGAGCACTCTTTGCAACAAAGACCATCAAGTGGCCATGATGTCAACCAACGTCTCGGAGGGTCGGACGCAAAGCACTAGCTCCAGCACGACAAACGCCCACATGCCTCGGCATTAACGCTCTTTACGTGAATCAGAGCCCTCGAGTGGAAAAAGAGTCTGGATGGATGTGTCTTGTTCACAAGGTCGGACTTTAGACGCCTTTTCTGACTCCTCCATCCATCCTCCGTCTCATCCATTACGCCTCCACCCATCGTCCGGGACCTCCATGGAACTTCCGCTGTTACCGTGGCGCATCGTCTAATCCACCACTGCGACGCTTTCCACAGCGGGACAACAATTCGACCGTCCGTCCGACGAGAATAGGTGCAGCAGCAGTAGTACTGGCCTTGGTATCAAAATCCTAAGTGCTGGTTCGGAACCCGGGAATACCTTCTCGCTTTCCCATGACACTACAGAAAAAACAAACAAAGCATAGAAAAGAGAAAAAACAAAACTTGCTCGGGTGATACCCGCCTTCCCAACGGACCGATATCTCTTCGCAAAAGCTTAATTCCCTTGCGGTCCCACGCGACGCCACTAACTCTAACCTGCCTTAGTACCCTAGCAAAGAGATTGATAAGGGGACGACTCAGGAGTCCGGAACCTGTCCAAAAGCTGAACTGTGGGTCAAACAACAGGGAAGAAGATCTAGAAAGAAAGAAAAAAGAAGATAAACAATCTTCTCCTGGTGGGCGGGTGTGTTCAAAAGAGGAACATACCTAGGTACCGAGGCTTCTGTGCTTCTCCACTTGTTCTCGTTTGCGTTTTGCGCGCCCCAACAACGCAAACAAACAACGCCACTAGGAACGCCCTACGCAAGGCAAAAAAATGCTATAAAAAGGAAATGTGCAATTATTTCTGGCATTGATTACTACACACAGAGGGGCATTTGTTCTTGCGCAATCCGTCCGCATTGATGGGATGGGATTGGTAATGCGCTTTCTTTGAAACCCCACCTTTGAAATTTGTCAAATCTCAGAATATCAGGCCCTACCTTATCTAACCCCAACAAATACTCCAAACTCCAATCTTGTCCAAAGGAGGGGGTGCCTAACCTACTTTTCAAAGATGAAAACAATAATACATATGCTACTAAGATCTGGATTCAAGAAGGCGAGCGAGCTCCCCCCTAAAGAAAACCCTCCCCAAAAAAAGGTTTCAGCAAATATCGAGTGATGGAAATAACAACCATGGTAGTTAACCCCCGTTCACATGCCAACCACACCGGGTTTAAACTATAAAAAATTACTCTTCTTGATTCTGAGTTGGAGTTTGGGTGATGCTACACACAACGAAGGGTTACAACGATACAGATCAATCCACATACACACATATATACACGTGAATGAAAAGAAAAGAAATAGACAAGCATCCAATATTCTCCACACAAAGCTTACCTGGGAAAATAAACAAGAAACAAATAACCGACCATCATGTAATCATCTCATTTCATCCATCTCTTTATATCCTAGTCTGCATGTACTCTACTCTGCCTTGCATCGTGACATGAGAACACATACCAGTACAAACTATCCGACTCACAACACCACTGCACCACCTACCCATCCCCTTTCCCTCCCTCTCTCCCCGCAAATCCCAAAAAAATATATATATAATCAATGGAATCAATGGAATCAATGAAATCCATGTAAATTGAACTCCTTCACCAAAAGAAAAGTAAATTAAAAAAATTAATTTTAAAACTGGGACGGACGTTCCTGTCTCGCAGTCTCTATAGCTAATTGGATCAATGATCGACTGGACGACACTGTGATTGGGTCGAGTGAAAAGAGTCCCGTGGGTCTTGGACTTTGATGTAAAATTTGTAGAGATAAAAGAGGATATATACATGATCAGGAAGAAGAGGCAAAAAAAAAAGAAAATGTTTCGTGATTCCATGTTTTCCCTCCTCGCCCTAAGCTCCATGAAGAGAAAGAGACAGAGAGAGAAAGGGGAAGGGAAAAAAAAATCCTCAAATCTCCTACTCCCATCAAAACGCCACAGTAAGGAGGAAAAAAAAAAGCCAATGTCGTACAATTTTTGAGAAAACAACTCTCATTACCATCATATCATAGCCTAGACCTCGTTGCTGGGATACTCGACCTTGGTAGTGGGCAAAAACTCCTCCTTGATGGCCCTCATGTTCACAAACCGCGCCAAAAGGTTTGCGCTTCCGGCTTTATCGTTGGTCCCGCTGGCCCGCGAGCCGCCAAACGGCTGCTGTCCAACAACGGCACCGGTGCATTTGCAGTTGACGTAAAAGTTGCCCGCGGCGTCCCGCAGCGCGTTCTCCGCAAAGCGGATGGTTTCGCGGTCCTTGGCGAAGACGGCGCCCGTGAGGGCGTATTCGGATGTCTTGTCGATCTGGGCGCACATGTCCGCAAAAGCCGAGGGCGCGGCGTCGTCGTAGACGTATGTGACTAGGATGGGGCCGAAGAGTTCGCGGGAGAGGAGGGGGTGGTTTGGGTTGGTGGTTTTGTAGATGGTGGGGTGGATGTAGTAGCCTTTGGAGCCGTCGTATTTGCCTCCGACGAGGAGCTCGAGTTCCGGGTCGTTTTTGGCTTCGTCGATGACGGAGGAGAGTTTGTTGAAGCTTGCTTCGTGGATGACGGGGCCTATGAAGTTGGAGAAGTCGGAGGGTTCGCCGATCTTGAGGGCAGCGGTTTCAGCGACGAGGGTCTTTTGGAATTCGGGCCAGACTGATTGTGGGACGTAGAGGCGGGAGCAGGCGCTGCATTTTTGGCCTTGGTATTCGAAGGCGCCACGGACGGTTTGGATAGCGGCGTTGGAGATGTCGGCGCTTGGGTGTACAACGTGGAAGTTCTTGCCGCCTGTTTCGCCAACGATGCGTGGGTAGCTTTGGTATTTCCCATCGGCGACTCCGTTGGCGATTTTGCCGTATAGAGAGCGGAATACGGCGGTGCTACCCGTGTAGTGGAGAGCTGCGAATTGACGGTGGGACAGCACGGCTTGAGTGACCTCGACGGCGTCACCGGGTATGAACTGGATCACGTTTGGTGGTAGGCCAGCTTCGATTAAGATTTGGTAGACGAGCCAGTTGGATGCGATTGCCGCGGGTGATGGTTTCCAGAGTACGACGTTGCCCATGAGAGCTGGAGCCGCGGGGAGGTTACCGCCGATAGCTGTGAAGTTGAAAGGCGAGATAGCATAGACGAAGCCCTCGAGAGGACGGTATTCAACGCGACTTTTCATTGTTAGTGTCAAGTTTCATTCTTTTGGGTGAGCCAGATACGTACTTCCAAATACCGGGCGAGTTGTGTACTGGCTGGTTACCATATGTCTCTTCGGCATACTTGACGTTGAATCTATGTATATCAGCTTGGTATCCAAATCCTGGCTTTCCGCAAACACATACCTGAAGAAATCACAGATTTCCGCCGCAGAGTCAATCTCGGCTTGCCATGCATTCTTGCCTTGTCCCACCATGGTCGCCGCCATTATCTCATATCTGTATTTGGTAGAAATAAGGTCAGCAGCCTTGAGAAAAACTGCAGCACGATCGGCAAATGGAAGGTTCTCCCAAGCGGGTTTAGACTCCAATGCTGCGTCTATAGCTTTCTCGACGTCGGCAGTGCTGGCGTTGGAGTACTTTGCTACTACATCAGCGTGGGAGGAAGGGTCGTGTTGCGTCAGGATAGAAGAGTTGTTGATCTAGCAGATTTTAGCAGCGACTCGAAAAATGTACTCGTGTAAAGTATGCATACCTCCTGGCCTCCCAATGCAAGTGGTACCTGAAGAGGCGTTCGCTTCTTGAGCGCTGCCACTGCATCTTGGAGCTTTTGACGATCGACAGAGCCTTTGGTATAGTGTTGCTGCGGTTTGTGTCAGATTGTAACGCCCAGGATCATATTTGCCAGTCCATCACTTACATTAGGCTCGTTGTTGATAGTGGGGACTTTGAAGTTGGCGATGGTGGCTACGCTTCGTCTTGAAGCTGCTGGCGCATTCGCGTGGGTTGACAAGGTCACAGTCCGCGACGCGGCGCCCAATGGCTGCAAAGTCTTGAAAGAAGCCATGCTGAATGATTGAAGAGAAAAGTAGAGGGGACTGCAAGCTTCAATTCAGAAACTTTTGTATGCTTCCAATTCGCAAACTTAAGTGACGGAGCTTTGAGCTGTGGAAAATAAACGCCGATGGTAGCCGCGGTCAGGTTGGAGCGGAGAAGAAGGTAATGTGGGGTTGCGCACTGGCTCGTTCCGCAGCAATCACTTAAATCGCATCATAATCCAGCTGATTGGGATGCCGATATCGCACACTCGGAGCTTCGAAGCTGTCGATTGGAAGACCTTAAGCCGAGCTTTTGTTTAATACAGTATGCTCGGTACGAGCCAACCGCTTCGAGCTAGTGGAATGGCATGACATTTACTATGTGAACCTGCAGTCTAGGTCAGAAAGCCTCATAGTGCTGAAATTTTGCATTGTTTGCATACTCTTCGAGCTGCAGAAAACCTTGCGGTGCTCATGCTACTGTAGAGAACTAACATCTTTCTTGGTCTCTTTGGTGGAGCAAGCGCTCGAGGTTAAATTCAAAAAAACGGTTCTGACAGATACCACCACCCAAAAGGGTAAGTGAGAACGAGGAACCATGTCCCCTTGTACGCAACGTGCAAACTTCACTCAGATGCTCATTCTTAGCAAATGTCTGGAAAGGTGAGTCTCAATTCAGATTGGTATCATAAATTCGTCCGAGCGAAACTCGAAAATGTCAGGTTGCAATGCCCTTTTTGAACGCCGATTGCCACAACAGTCTCACGTATATACCACACTTTTGTCCAGCGTGCTCCTGCTATGTCTCCATTGCATCCACTTCGGTGCTTTCGTCGTCGCCCCAGAGACCTTCGAGCTTGAACTCGGCTGACCACTCCTTGACAATCTTCTTTTGGTCGCCCACAACGCCTTTCGTAGCAGGGGCTGTCTTGCTGGACTTCACGACTGTAGCAACGTGCTTTGGTGGATCGGTCCATCCTTGGATGCGCCCGTCACGCCAATCCGTCACGACGGCCAGTGCCGCACTGTGCAGGTTCGGTACCCCTCCCTTGCCCAATCGTCCTCTTTTTCTCGCGACTTGTACCAAAAAGTCTGTGGTCGTGTCGCCGTTGACGTGGTGCAATGGGGGCAGATCGTATACCTCCACGAGCTTTGCGAAAAGGTCGGGGGAAGTAGATAGTCTCTTCAATAGCAGGTTGACAGCCGGGACAGGGTCGTCAATTTCTTTAGGTGGGACCGCGTTGAGAAGCACAAGTCTTGCCCGCTCTTCAACCTTGTTGCTTTTGCTACCCTCGGCCTTGTTGGGGAACACAATACCGGGCGAGTCGAGAAGTTTAAGCTTGTTGTCGAGTTTGACCTCACGCAAGCTAGTAGTGACACCAGCCTCAGCGCCCACGGGGCATGCACCAGTACGACCACCCATTCGCAACGCCAATGCATTGATGACTGACGATTTACCGACGTTGGGATAACCGATGATGCCGACTTTGATGGATCGCTTCAATTGCCGTGACTCTGCAAACGTCTTCAGCGCCTTGAACAACGTCTCGGATGTCCCCTTGATGGTAAGTTCCTTGTGGTCGAAAGTTTTAGCGTTTGGGGCAGGCTTAGACGCGCGGAGCGGGAGGGTAGGGAAGGAGCGTCGAAGATGGACGAGCCACGAGCGCAGAACCGGCGGTGGTACGAGATCGATCTTGTTCAGAATGAAAATCATCCTCTTGCTTCCTCCATCAGCAGCCATGACCATTTGCTCCACCTCCTTTGACCGAGTTCCCTCTGGATCTCTGGCGTCGAGCACATAGAGCACGACATCGGAAGCTTCCACCACTTGCTTGTAAACTTTGTCGAAAGCTTTTCTCGACGAGTCTTTTCGAACACTAGCAGCGGTTGTGCCATCCTCCTCTTCACCAAAACCACCGAATTCAGCGTCATCGTCTTCGTCCATAGCATCGCCATCATGCGTTTTCTGCTTTTCAAACTCGGTAGCGCGAGCTTTCGCAGAAGCCAGAAGGGCAGCCATGGGGTTGGATTCATCCTGGTAGATATTAGCGCTCGTCCAACAGATAACGACGATTTCAGACCTACCACGTGCATGGAATCCTCATCCTCCGACTCCTCTTCCAAAAGGTCGTCATCCTCCAAATCGTCTTCTGCGCCTTCCTCTATATCCATCACAGTCTCACCGCGAAGTCTCTGCTCCTTCGCTAGTTGTTTGCGCTGAGCAGCCTCTTCCTCCTTGAGTCTGCGCTTCTCTTCGATCTCTGCAAGAATCTTGTCTTTGAACGGGAAAAGGTTGGGGATGCCGGGATCTTTCTTCGTCTTGGATCGCCATTGGGGATTCTAGGGCTGTCAGCGGGAGCCACTTGGATTTCATCGCGAGGCTTGATCCATACCTTCTTTGCCTCTTTCCTATTTTTCCGTTGCTTCGCTGCAGAGGATTTTTCAATCTTGTTCCGTAAGCGCACGGGAACGCGCTTTGATTTTGGCTCTGCAGACACGGTATTAGATATATTGTAGGCAAATTTCACATTTCATACGTACTTCCGACTTTCATGTTTGCGTTGTGATCAGAGTGTGTCGTGCGGAGACATTCACGGGTATGCGAACTACACTTTTCGATAATTTTCGAGTCGCCAAGGCGCCAAGATTTCGGTCCATAGCGGTGAAAAGCGGCAGAACCTCTTATCTAATCGGGTGTCCCCTCTATACGATTGTGCACCTTTGTACTCAAGTATGTAGCAACATGTCTAGACTGTGCTTTCTTTGACCCCAGAGTCTTCGAAGGTACATGCACGCCTTCAAGTCGATCACTTGATCTGCAGGTTTACACGTGAGCTGAATTTACGATTCACGCTACATCGGGTGACAAACGCAGCTCGACAAACTTGGCAATTCGGCGCGCAAGCCATCGCACGCATCTCGGTCCGTTAAGACCATTGGTTGGGCGGTATACTGGATGTGGAAAGTACCATCTAAAAGTTGATATTCCTTCTTCACCGCTTTCGCCTCTCTCGCTGCCATCACAGTCACTACATAATCTTGTTCGAGATTCATTCGCTTCAAAGGAGGATATATTCAATTGCAACAATGACTGTCCCTGAAGAACCTCAAGCTGCCTTCGATGCGCCACCGAAGAGCATTACTTGCAATGGACTGGCAAGTTTTTTGTTCATATGTTGCTTGACCATCACTAATTGAATGCAGCTCTTCGATATGGAGTAAGAAGAGTTTTTTGGAACGTAACCCCAAAAAATCTACTAATGCTACGCGACAGCGGCACTATAATAGATTCTACAGATGCGGTAGTCAAAAACTGGCAAAGGTATGCGATATTCTCGGAGAAGAAAGGAAGGCTGAGTCTGACACCATCAGGATAGGGAGAGAGATTGGGGTTGACCCAGATGTCATTCTCGCTACTTCACACGGTCGCAGATCGATCGATGTGCTGGAGATATACCAGCCGGAGCTTGCAAACTGGGAATGTAAGTGGGTATAGGAACGTTTGTTGCCCTGTCAGAGCTAATGTTCTATAGATATCAGACGTGTGGAAGGTCAGATACCGCTGGAGTTTGGTCAAGATGCGGTTGAAATTCCTGGGGCTCGCAGTCTCCTGGACGAACTTGAGGCTCATTCCGTTCCATGGTGTATCGTAACCAGCGGCACACGACCATTGGTGACGGGTTGGCTAGACATCATGAAGTTGGCTCACCCTAAGAATATAGTCACCGCCGAAGATGTGGAGAACGGCAAACCGGACCCCGCGGGTTACGAGCAGGGCAAGAAGAAGCTGCAGCTTCAGCACCAGAGCCCTTCCTTCGTCGTCTTTGAAGATGCGCCTGCAGGCATACGAGCTGGAAAAGCAGCGGGCTGCATTGTTGTTGCGCTGAACACCAGTCACAGCCTCGATCAACTCCGAGAAGCTGGGCCGGATGTTATTGTTCGCGATATGCGCTCCGTCGAGTTCAAGACGTGGGAAAAGGCAAAGGGCGAAGTGCAGCTGTTGATCAGCAACGCCTTAATCTGACAACGAGGCATCGGGTCGAAGAGGCTGAGCAGCATCCACAGTCAGACATGTCTAGCGTCATCCCCATGGTTGGGTACTGACACTTTATATAGATAGATCTACGGAGAAATGCAGTCAGATTGCAACGTGCTTCCATCGAGATAGACGGCTACAACGATGATATGTATTGACGGTGACAGTCGCCATCCATACGTGCGCTAGGACGAGGACCCTGCGATATTGGCCGGCTTTACTCGGGGGTCGGCCGCTGGATGATTCGGTTACATAGGTAGAAGGGTATTCATCCTTGTCACGCGGGCAGGCTCGCATGAGGCCTTTGCAATGCCAGTTCAGTCAGGGTCCTCGCTGCGCAGCCTCAAGTGTTTGTCGAATCAGTGCGTTGTGGGCCACAAGATATTATGCACGTCAAGCTTCGCATCGATATCTCTCACCACGCGGCTGGGATTGAGCGGCTGCCCATTCCCATTTCATCCGTACAGCGTTGCATCGCATTGCCGTCTAAGCCACCCCAGGCGCTTCTCCGTTTTCTAGAAAGATGAAGGTTGCAGTGCATGGCTTCGACGTCATTGATGGCGAAAACAAACAAAAAAACATGAGATTATTTTTTTACAGCGCGATGATGAGCAACAATCAGTATGTGGATGTCATCAGCGCAGCTTCGATTGCTGGGTTGCGATGTGACTGAGGTTGGGTGTTGTCGCGCGCGTCCGTTAATGAAGCGAATTCATGCAGCCACGAATTGATGATGGATGGCTTGCCGAAGGATGCCGGTGACTAATCGCGTGCCGGGGGCCGCCATCTCGATAGCAACTGGAGGAAATCAGAACTCCCAGACAGGCTTGAGAAGGCTCACTTGGACAATCTCCAGATGATAATGCCATCATCTATCCTGACATGGTACCATTGGTTCTATAGGGGGCAATATCCAGATGATGATGATGGGCAGCCGTTGCATTGGGATGTCTGCTGTGCGGTGATATTTCCGGGTGATGTGAATGTGCTGTTGTTAGGCGGGAGCAAGATGGACCCGCACGCTTAGTTGGTTAGCTTCACGTATTCGCGTGCTGCAGGTGGGCAAACGAGAAACAAACGGCTTGAGCAGAGAACCAAAGCAGCTAGGTGGCAATCGATGTTACGCCGAAATGGGTTGACTGCGACCATGGTGGGACACTTTTGAGTTTGTCGAGTAGCACCAGCACCAAGAGGGTTGGTGGGCTGCAAGGTACGGTGTTGAATCATGACAAAGGCAGGCTGCGCCTCTTTCCCAGGGCCATTGGGCCGGGCTTGATGGTAAATATGGCATAGGAAGCCATGGCATGCTCGTCCCGCGCGGTTGACGGGCAACTCAGGGGCACAGGAGCGAACAGCGAACGACAGACACGCCGTGTTGCTAGTATTTAGCTCGCCAACAGCAGGAGTGGAGGTGTGGGGAGGGTTGGCTTTTGAGTCGGAAAGGAGCTCGGGCGCGTCCGAGTCCTGTGGGAGCGGCGGCGGCCAGGGCCCCGGCCGTCTCTTGCCTCTGCAAACTCTCCACCGACGCCAGACGGTTGAGCCACATGTGTCGACGGTAGCTCTCCTAGCCTGGAGGCGCCCGTGGATGGGTGGGATGACTGAGTTGGCTGCGAATGCCTTCAGCCTGTATGTATGTTTGCTCCAGCCGAGTGCCGCAAACGGCCGCCGCAGATTTTCTCCGAGCCATGGACGATGGGCCGTTGGCACTGAGGGGGGTTTGCCCATGCGCACATCTCCCGGAATTGCAGACGGTATGACGCTCGCTGGAGGGGAAGGGGGGGCGATTGCGAACAACGAGCGACGAAGAAGAGAGCTCGCGTAACCAGCGAAACGGATCAGTAGGGAGACTTGAGCGGCGAGGGCCAATGAGCAGCGCGGGAGGCAAGAGCGCTCGCCAGTGGGCTGGCTTGACAAGCTGGCTGCTGCCAACAGCCTCGGTCGCGAAACTGAGGCCCACCGCCGTCGCTGCAGGAGAAGCTACTACTTTGCTATGCAAGTGACGGGTGCGTCTCGTTGGGCACTGGGCTGGCTGGCTGGCTGGCTGTATGATCCCACCCATGATATACATGTGTTCGTGTGTGTGTATTCGTGCTGGCAGTCGTCGAGTGCTGCTGCACCACGGGAAAAAGACAGCGCTTGAGCGAGAGAGTTCGGCGGCGGCGTCGGCATTAGGCGTCGGAAGGTGCAAAGGCACGCAAGTACTTAGCCAACTAACTAACCAACTTGTATTTTTCCGCGCCCAAACAACTTCGTCTACCTGTAACTACGTAGATAGACTAGCCATGGGGGCACTAAGCAGCCATGACAGAGATGGATGGATGGATGCAGCAGGAGGTCATCAGTGTGCAACAACAGCACCCCCTGCCCCCTCAGTCCCCCTTCGCTGTCTTCTCATTCCATGGCATGACGGTGACGGGCAGGGTATGAGATGGGGTCATGAATGGGTGATGGAAGGGGACGAACGTTTTGGATTATGCCCACTTGCCGAGCAATGCAGCAGCGGCGCTGATATGCTTCTTCCGTGTGTGCGTGCGGGCCATGGAGGCATGCCCCAATCACCATGGCATTTTTTCTTCTCTCCCTGCTTCTACTTGATGCTTGCTGTGCTGTGCTCTCGTAAGTTTCGGCGGCACGGCGTAGGAAGGAGAGAAAAGCGTAAAGACAGGACAGAGAGGATGCTATGTTTAGCACGCAGGGCCCTACATGATGTATGTACTCTTGCTGCTGCGTGGGGAGTGTGCGCTGTGAGTGGCCGGGCGTAGGCGGGCAGGCAAGCGGGCAGGCAGATCAACGCTGTCAGTAGGCCAGTGCCAGTCATCAAGCCAGGTCAGGCCATCGTTACGGTTACAGGAACTAACACGATTCTTGCTAGGGGGGTGTAGAACCGAGGCGGAGGGAGGCTAATCCTGCATAGAGGCTGGGGGGGGACACTGGCCGTGGTCGCTCCTGCTGCCACTGCTGCTGCTGGCTGCTGGCTGCTGGCTGCTGGCTGCTGCCACTTGGTGTGCGTCTGCGGGAAGGAACGGCCTCCCCTACCCTACCCTACCCTACCCTTCCCTTCCCTTCCCTTCCCAGTACGCTAACAACCAGCCCGCACACAAGCAAAAGTACGGCTGCCAGACATGGGTCGTCCAGCGGGCCATCCATTCAAAACGCCCACACGCTCCAACTCCCCTTTACCTCACTCTTCTCCACTCCTCTCTACTTACCCACCTCTCGCTCGCCGACCACACACACTCGCTCACACTGCTGCTGCTCCTACTACTGCCACCACTGCTCGCTGCTCCTTCGTGCCCGCCGCTGTTCTTTCGTTAACTGCTCGCGCACTTTGCTCTTTCATGGCATGCTAATCACCATCTAACCCAGTCGCTCGCTACTCCTCATTGACTCCTCCTCCTCGCTACCTTGTCCCCGTCTATCCATCTATTCTCGCTGCATTCGTTCCGCCCATCCCGTGTGTGTGTGCGTTTGTGTGTGTGTGTGTCTGTGTGTGTTCCACATCCCGCCCATCGTCACAGCTCCGCCTCCCCCTTGGACTTCCACCTCTCTTCGGCCTACAGCGCGCAAACCTCCCTCTGCACTCGTTCTGTTGCGAAGCCCGGCACCGCAACATCTCCGCAACTTGACAATCAACCTTTAATCTTTCGGGCCAGCACCCTCACCCTGATCTCGCTCGCGCCTTGTCCCGTACGGACGGCGGCACAGCAACTTCCCCGTTTGGGCCTACCCATGCAGAACTTTGCAAACAGCAGCGATGCTGCTCCCCAGCGGCCCTCCTCTCAGTCCTCGCAGACGACTGCGCCGGCCAAACCCGCTGGAGCTCCCCCGAAGCCGCATCCGAATGGCATGACCGACGTCAAGCCCCGCCTTACCAAGGAGCAGCATGACATTCTGGAGAAGCATTTCCAGCAGCAGCACAAGCCGAGCACCAATACCAAGAGGGGTTTCGCAGATAACCTCGGTGTGCCCCTAGACAAGATCAATGTCAGTCGTCTTCTTCTTGTGTTTTCCTCCTTTCCTTTGCACGGGCTAACACGGTATGCAGAATTGGTTCCAGAACCGGAGAGCAAAGGTCAAGCAGGACTTCAAGAAACAGATGAACCAGTACAATATGAGCATGGGTATCTATAGCCAACAGACCATGCCGATGATGTCGTCACAATTCCCCCCGCACGGAGACCATCAGCAATCTCATCTGTCAATCCCCCACGATTACTACCCCGTTTCGGCCGACCTTAGCCCCGCTAGCATGCCTGTGCAGAGTGTTGAAGGCCCATCCGTATTGGACTTGGGCGCTCAAATGTCCCTTCAGCAGCCGCATTACGACATTCACCATTCCCTGCGCTCCATCCCGGAGGCCGATCGCGCGACCGCGTACAACAATCCCAATGCCGTGATGCACTCGTTCATGGCGGCCACAGCCGGTGCGCCGTATATGCAGAACCCAGCCACTCTTCCTCCTCAGGACCCTGGCTTGCCATACGATCCATCGTCTAATATTGTCGACGGCCTGCCTGGAGACATGGGTTATCCAATGCCGTCCTCCCTCGATCCCAATGCTGCACCTTCTCATGCCCCTCTCCAATTCACAGAATTCGGCATCGACTTTGCGGATTTGCAAAACAATGCTGGCGAGATTTCGGACGGGGCATCCCCATTTTCGGGCGCTCACTCAAACGCAACGACACAATCCTCGGGTGTTCCAAATGCACCGTCGGTTGCCTCGATTACCTCAATGTACTCTGGATGGACCGACGAGCAGAAGGGCAATCAAAATAACAAACTGAGCCATGAGCCTGAGGATGTGTTTGATTCTCCTTATAATCTTCCGCAAGCGTCGGTCTCTGACGCTGGGCTTTTCTCTTGGAGTCAAAACGGGCCAAATCCGCCATTCCAGCAAAGAGATATGTATCAGCACTCCAACACGTCTGCGCATGCCGTTCTCTCTTCTCCCGGCCAACACGAGCGCACAGTCAGCGCAGGTCCTTCAGAGTTCGAAAGCCCCATGTTTGGCGACGATGGTTTCCCAAGGAGGAATTCTTCAACCAGCAACTTGGCTAGTAACATTGAGGCGATCAACATTCAGAACCGTACGCCTGACCAGTTCGAGCATCCCGACCAGGCTTCCAGCATCGCTGCGCGTAGACAGCAGAGACCGACCGCTCTCAACTCCAGCACATTAAGGAGTGCATCTTACACTAGCGGTATGCCATCGCCAGGGAACAATGGTGACCACACTTTGAGGAGGATTCGTTCTGGCGGATTCTCTGGTGTTTCGGGCCGCGTGCAGAAACCCAGCTCTGGATCTGCTCAGCGCTCCCCCATGTCTATGACATTCACCGAGGCCGCTTCCTCACCCAAATTCGCCCGAGCATTTTCTGCTTCCAGCAATACCACTGTTGGCGGTACCCAGGGCAGTGGAAGTTTAGCGCCTCCGACACCTCAAACACCGAACGAGACGCCTCGCTTCCCATACTGGCAGAGCAATACCGTCCTCCGGAATCACCCGACCATGCCCGACCACAGTAGCCCTGAAAGCCTCAATGCGAATTGGTCAATGGAGCCTCCTTCAGCTGGAAACTATTCCAGCGGTACCTCACCTCCTTCAACGCCTCTGGATCTAGCGCAAATGAACCAAGCGAGGCTCACGCAGGATGGTCTGTATCATGATACGCCTCCGCAGTCGGCGCCGGCTGCGCAACAAGGCTTTCCCCGCACAAACATGATGCAGCCACCGCAGATGAGAGCCGGATTCCACTCTTCCACGGACCTCACAATCGCACAGCCTAAACCCTCGCATTTCAGGAGGCCATCGCTGCCTGAGCCTAGGCAGGAGCAAACGGATAATTCCAGCATGATGTATAGTGGTGGGTTTGGCAACCTCAGCTACGACGATTTCCGCGATGTCTCCCTTACCGGCATTACCCACAACGTACCTTTTGCCCCTCCCGTTTCGGCCATGCCAGACTTCCTCGTTCATCAATATGCTCCTCCCTCGGGTTCCGGCCCTAACGGGGTCTATGCGCGGCGTCCAAACGAGCCGCAAACGAAGAACTTTATTTTCGCAAACCAGGGTCCAAGCGACTTCCGCTCTTAATGAGCTGCCTTTAACCGATGATATGGGGCGTTTACTTTCTGGATATACAGCTTCTCTTTGGGATATACCCGGTAGGAAAGCATCCTGCTACTATGTTTATTGCTTTCTGGACGAGTATTTGGTCCTTCATCCACCGCCATCTCCGCACATTGTTCCATACATATCCAGAGCTCGACTCGTAGCCAGCGTTCAGGCACTATCGATATGCCCTTCCTCTATATTTTATTGCGTTGGAACATCTCGACTTGAACGACTATATGCGAATATTTCCCTCTCGTGGCCGTCGCCACGGATACCTAATTTTAATCTGGATTGGATTCCCTATATTTCCCTTTTCTTTACTTGCTTCACAACGTTTGGCGCTGGTATTGGGAAAACATGGCCGGTGTTGTTTTTGAGGGTTTTACCCTATGTTTTTATTTTTTGAATCTTTGTTACCTCATTGACGACAGCGCACACTCCTTTCTGTACAAGACCACTCCTTTTATCACGATCTGGGATCAAACATATACATTTTATGTAATGGCTGGGTGGGAGCATTATGATACGCTCCTTGTTTAATGTCTCTCTTAGTTTAGTTAATGCTGTCGTGGCCTTGGTTTGGCCATTGATGACCATCCGTTGGGCGTCAAACAATGCGAATTAGGATGAGCGGGCGCAATACGGGAGTTATTTGTTTTCTTTGGCTGGGGTTAGGAAAGCTGCTTGGTTCTGTTTGGTTGATCGCGAGGGATATATACGCAGTGGGAGACTATTATGTCCTGAGGTTCAGTTCAGGTAGAACACTCGCCTCTTTTCCTCTTTTTTTTCTCCTTGCTCATCGGAAGATGACGAGAGAAAAGGGGAAGAGTGGTGTGGTTGTGGATGAGAGAGAGAGAGAGAGAGAGAGAGAGAGAGAGAGAAGATATAGAGAAAGAGATTTCACTGCGGTGCTTGGAGAGAGGCCCGTTTGGGATTGTTTTTTGCGCATTATTTTGTTCTCCTTTTCCATTTGCTGCTGTTGTGCTTTACTTTCGCTTTGCTTTGGGGTGATTGATGACGACACGAAACATTAACAAAAAAAAGTTACTTGTGTTTTGCTGCATGTGAAATCTATTCTTTTTTTCTTCTTTTTTTTCTACGTACTCTTTCCTTCTTTTCTCTCCCGCGATTCCATGTTTGTGACACTCAGGGGTCTGTATTTTCGTTTTGTCAAATACAATATTTCCCGCGCCACTCTCTGATTTTTCGGTGCTTTGCTTGCTTCATTGTTTGGGTTATGTTTTCCGAGTGTGATATCACCACCGCGGTCATACGGTCTAGCGGATAAGGGAAATCAGGAGCATGAGACGTTGGTCAGAAGGTCGTATTTCATTTCTCGTACGCACAACAGGAAGCAAGGCTACATGATGAGTGTACACGATGGCGTTTTTCCCCATTTATAAAGGATGGAGGGGGGGCCTTTGGATGATTCAAAATCGATCCGAAGATTAACAACGTCGTGATAACACCGAGGACTACCTACCCAAACCCCACAGCCGACTCTCACGTACCAATCCAACTCGAGACAATCCCTCCAAGAAACGAGTCCATTTCAGTTCCAACATCTACGAACCACGATTTATGATTCAACAACACACACACACACAGAACAGTCTACGCCGATCCCAAAAACCCCTTTTCCTGGAGATACTGCATAATCTGCCTCACGGCATCCTCGACGCTAGTCTCGTGGCTCTTGATCAGAATCTCCGGGTTCTCGGGGGCCTCGTACGGCGCGCTGATGCCCGTAAACTCTGGGATCTTGCCCTCGCGGGCTTTCTTGTACAGACCCTTTGGATCGCGGGCTTCTGCGACCTCGAGCGGGATCTCGACATAGACTTCGACGAAGGGGAGGGGTTCGTCCGAGGGGTCTGCGCCGGGGGCGGCGTGCAGCGCGCGCGCGGTTTCGCGGTCCGCTTTGTACGGCGAGATGAACGAGGTTAGGGTTATTGTGGAGGAGTCGGCGAAGAGTTTTGCGACCTGGTTGGGGGATATGTTAGCGTGGGTTGGTCTTGTGTTGGCCTTGCTTTTATTTCCTCTGGGGCTTCTCTTGAGTTGATGGCGTCGAGGGAGGTGTTGGCTGGCCAAGGCGCGGTGGAGATGGCGTGCGAATGTCTCTTGTTCCCGCCATTTGCATAGTGGTATATACACGGAGAAAAGACAAGTGAAGAAGAGGAAGAGGAAGAGGGGAGGAAGGGAAAATTAAAGCATACCTCAGCAATTCGCCTGATGTTCTCATTGCGGCTCTTCTCGTCGAAGCCCAAGTCCTTGTTCAACCCAAACCGAACATTATCCCCATCGAGTCTGTACGCAGCAAGGCCCTGGTGGAGAAGGTGCTGCTCGAGAGCGGTGGCAATGGTGGATTTGCCAGAGGCAGAGAGACCGGTAAACCAGATTGTCAGGCCGCGCTGCTTGCGGAACTTGTTGCGCTCACTGCGCGACAGCGAGGGGTGCCATGTGATGTTGCTGCGGGATCAAGTTGTCAGTATATACATGATTCGTAGAGCAAGGCGGGGTATATAGTGGGGGTTCCAAACTTACGTTGACATTGTGGATTTGGAGGAAGGATTGTGGGGGGGAGGGGAGAAGACTTTGGGATTGTAGTTCTGGAGAGATGGAGAAGGATGGCTAGTGAAGGAACAGGAAAAAGGAGTGAGAGGGCAGCAATGGCCAGATTAAAAGACGGAGAAATGGAGAACGACCGACTTCGCTTTCATATCAGAGCTTGCAATGAATGGGTCTTCTGGGAGAGTTGCTAGCGTAAATGACGTGACGTGCTGCCGCGCGGGCGGGCACTAGCCGCTTGCAAGGGTCTCTCATCTGTAGGGCTGACGATCACTGGATGCCCTCTTCAACCTCACTTCTTCATTTTGATTGTAATGGGTCTAAGTCGAGAAACCTGGCAACGGGAGATTGAGTTCTCGCGAAGATGATGGAATTTGCTCAATACTATGACAAATGGTATAACGAACGCATATCAAAACTAACAAACAAATCATAGCCAATGGCTATCTCCCAATATCTAACGCAGCATACCAACCCCCAGAAGGAGACAAACGCGTATGAAAACCAGCAAACAAATCACAGCCTATGAGATATCCCCGGGTATAAAACGCAGTACATCACAAATCCAAACTCCAAACTCCCATCACAAATGGAACCACCAATGAACACAGAAAATCCCCACTGGACCTATCACGCAAAAGCAGTAAATCAGCAAAACCACAATCCCTTCCGCTCACTTCTTCACCATACTCTGACGCTGTTCTTCAGCAGCAGCATGTACAAAAGGTGGCACTATCATCCCAGCCCTCATCTTCATACACCCATTCTCCTCAACCAGATACTTGTCCCTCGGGCACATCCTCTCCCACGCCCTTATATTCCGGAGTCTCACATCCTGCTCCACGGGGATTTGATCAGGAACAACGGGCCCGCCATTCGCTTCCTCTATTTCTATTTGCTTCTGCCGCCTCATCGCTCTGATGTTCACGCGCGGCGCCCGCGGCTGCATGACTAGTTCTTCCAGCTCGTCGTCGATAGCCGGTTCGAAGAACATGGTGGCCTTGCCGATATGTTGTTCCGCGAGCTCGAGTTTGGTCGCTTGAAAGGACTCCCACGGGTTTATGGTGTTTAATGATTCGCCAGCGTTAAATGGCGCGTCACGGGTGCGGAAGTAGTGGTAGATGGTGTCGTCGCGGTGGTGAGGGCGCGGCTTTGCGTGGACGAAGTCTGGGGGGAGGAGGTTCCGGATTTTCCTTTGTGCGTTTGGGACGTATGCCGTGTCCCAGTGGTATTGGTTGGGAATGGGTATGGGCTTGTTGCGGTGGATGTGGGAGGCGTAGTCTGGGTTGGAGTTCTTCTGTGAGACTGGGTGTGCTTGAATCGGGTTGTCTTGGAGGGTTTTAAATCTAACCCTTAGTTGTTTTGGTGGAGTGGTCTTCTTGGAGGACGGTTTGGCTGTAGGTGGGTTGAGTATAGATTTGACTGGTTTTGGTTTTGGGGAGACGGAAGATCCAGAGACAAAAGAAGGTTCGAAACTTTCGAGTACGACCGAATACTGAGGACTGTTCGTGTGCTGTTCCTCGGTGGGCTCCGTGGCTGGCTCTTCGGGCTCTTCGGGCTCTTGAGGCTTCTTTGACTCTTCAGGCTTTTCAGTGTCTCCGGCATCCTCAGGCTTATCTTCAGGCTCCGCACTGGGGGTTTCGTACTGACTTCCTCCAGGCAGTTTCGCGAGGATAGCAAGCAAAGCCTCTGGCGTCCCGCTACCACCGTTGTACTCTACCCAAGGCATGTTGTAGATTTAGTTTCGACAAAGTTGCAGTGTGAGGTGGTGTGTGTGTCGCGTGGATGATACCTTGGGAAGTCTGAACTGACTCCCGATAACGAGACTTGTACGAGAGAAAGGTTAGATGGTAAAGAAGCTGGAGAACAAGAACTCGACAGAGCGAAGAACACGCTTGCCTTATACCTTGCATCTCCACTATCATGTAGTTTGGTACTGTCTTGATGACCTTCAGTTCTCAAACCCCTTCATCTTGACTCGTCCAAACATGCACAGTCATGCTAATCGTACCTGAAATACTCATTACAGTTCCGTAACAACTATTTATTCAGAAGTAAAGATATTGAGACCATCCAATCGTATAATAGGTTTTATAAGACACCCCCCACAGCTATCCATTCAAACCCAGTGCCGCAGATTCGACGAGATTCATCATAACGAAATCCCCCCCCCCCCCCTAAATATCACCACCCATAATAAACATGACCAGAAAAAATGTCCGTAGATCTCCTCTCTCCACATAAGTAGTCTACTTCAAGAAACTCACAAGTCCCATAGAAAAACCAAGGAAACTCAAAAGACTCCACCTTCTCTCTGTCCACTCAGCGAAGAGGTAATTACACATGTTACCTAACCCGCAGATATACCAATCATGTTCGTTTTCCCTCCATCATTAAATTGCATCTCGTCTTGCCACCAGAAACTACGCGACTTGTCTGATTCTTCGAAGGAACGAAATTCTGGTGGAAAAGAAAAAGCGATTGTTTTTTTTTTTTTTTTGGTATTCGGTATTGCTCCCAACAGCCATCGAAATGTCTTTCCACCAAGCAAACAAAATGATGAGATTGCAAAAAGAAGGAAAAAAAAAACCCCTATTACTGATTCGGTCAACAGCAGAGTATGCCGCGAACGCGTGGAAAGAGAAATCTGCATCATGAACATAACTCCCCCCCCCCCTTTTGCCCAAGTCAGCAAACTAGGAAAACAGAGAAAACAGGACCTTCCCAAAGAAAATGAGAACAAAATTTGAAATCCCCAATTCCACAAGACGACAAGTCGACATTATCTCAAGAAAGGGCTAGTTGGTCGATTCCATGTAAGATGGATGTAACAGGAGAGGATATACGGCAACGAAAAAAAAGTAAATGATGATGAGGATTTATTGAATTCCCATCTACTCTGCTACTATTTTCACCGGCATGTATATGTATATGTACGTGAATGAGTTGGTGTATATGAATAACAGCACGGAATAGAACAGATCTATACGTGTTAGTCTAATCGAATGGCCAGGCATTTGAATACTTGAACCGTAAGGTATACTGTCAGCAACAGCGGAGTGTGGAAAGAAGTAGAGGGGAAGTGGGGAGAAAGAAAGCTCCTTTACAGCACACAAGGAGAGGGAAAGAGAGAGAGAGAGGAAGGAGAAGTATACAGTACCGCAACAGAACGACGATGAACAGGTAAGGGAAGGGGGTATAAGCAAAGCCTGGCCTCAGAAAGGAACGAACGAGTATGAACAACTATCAATGATTTGATGGACTAGAAATCCGTTGGTATAGAGCGCTTCCAAGGCCTGTGATATGTCGCCCCGGACAAGCAAAAAAAAAAGATGTCTACCTTTTTGCACTGTGTCGACTCCCGCTCTTTTACCAGACCTTTGCGCAAGTGTGACGAATGGGAAAGAAACCGTATAGCTTTCGTCCCAACCCGTTGAGATTCTGCCTGCCACTTTGTGAAGTATGGCGCGAAACGCACACCAGGTAATCATCCGCATTACCATGAGAACAATAACATGACCGCCATGCGCAAGCATGCGCGTTGGCTCGACAGCGACACATGTCCTGCTCGGCTCGCTGCACCCCATGACGACCTGCGAGCTCCGCCCGCTTTCTTGTTCCTCCCCGGCCAGCCGCAGAAAAGATTAGAGAAAAGAGGTATAGAGAAGAGAAAGAAAGCAAACAATCCCTACAACAAACCCAAAAAAAAAGGTATTTCCCTCGAAGGACGCAAACTCCACCAAGACAGTATTCCAGAGGCGCTAGAGAAACGCCCTTTGCAATGCAGAAAGAACCAGAAAAAGACTCAAAGTCACCACGCAAAGAAAGATCCAAATCCCTGATCTTAGGCAACATTCCCCCAATCGAACAACCGATCCAGTTAAGATGCTGGCAACTCCAAGGCTTTCGTGGTATGTAAAAAGGCCTGGAATACTGTGCAGGCGTGCCTTGAAAATATCATGCCGGGAACTAAAGTATAAACGCATACGCCATCTTCCATTTTCCTCCAAAGTCAATCATCTTGGACTGCACCGATATGGTCATGATTATACATTGGCTCCAAATCCGAGGGTGGTATCCAGGTATGTGTACAGATGGGGTATGTTTTCAAAGACCCATGTTGGGACGGTTAGGCAGTCGTTGTACATGTCAAATCCATTGAGATAAGGCCGGAGAAGAGGAACATCCTCTTATGTCAGCTTATGATGAGGCCACCGGGTAATCATTGCATGAGATATCGCCCATGTGCGATGTGCATACTCTGTGCGCATTTTAGATCGTGAAATGTCCGTGTTAGTGCTGACGAAACTGCAGTGTCGTGTCCTTTCTTTGAAATTTCTCATTCAATTAGTGGTTTCCGAACGCCGCCCACCATGGCCATACCCAGGGCACGGAGTCCGCTAGGATCGTTGGAACGGACGATGGTAGCCGCGGGTAGCATTGGGTTTTCGGGCGCAACATGTGCGGCATCTTTCGCGGCTTGTTCGATAGCTTCCATCTCTTCCTTGCAGCCTGCGTGATCAAATGGACATACCACAATCGGTTGGCGGAGAAGAATATCCTTTGCTGCTCCCATTGTCGCCTATCACACTGTAAGCAGTCATTCTAATTGCGACGTGTTGCCCTCTGTTACCTTGACTGTTAAATAATACTCTATCTTGTAGAGAGTACCAGTAGTTGTGAAGCCGTTAACAGCGTACATTGGGAAAGCCTTCTTCCCGCGTGGTATTATGCCATCAGAGTCGCGAACATCTTTGGCCGGGAAAACAAGACCGAGATTTGTGAAATAGCCTGCCTCGGGCATCTTCACGCCGATATTTTGGGCCGTCTTGGCCAAGGTTTTCACTTTTCTCGTTGGCTCATCACCCTCGTGATTGAATATGATTTCCTCGTCTATACCGACCGTAATGGATCTGATGGTGACCTTCTTCGCTTTACTCAGCCAGTCCGGATTGGGACTGAGCTTGATATACACCGAAACGGGATCGAGGGGGCCATAGCTCCATCTAGGCAAACTTATACCCAGGGTGACAAGGTGGTCGGTGACGCGCTCTGCGCTTTCAGGCCGATTGTACATGCCAAAAGTGGAAAGAGTATCGTATCGCTGAATGGGTACTGGGAAAGGGTATTTCTTCTGCTCGGAGGATCCTTGTTGTACCGATACGACGAGCTCGTAAAAGGTCTCAGCAGTTCGACTCGGTAGTTGCAGGCTGGCTGGAGGAACCCGGCGCGCTACCTCTTCCCCGCCACGGCCGTAAGGTATGAATATGACGAAAGGCAAGTCCATGGCCATGACGCTGTCGAACTCTCGCCCATGCGAACAACGGAACAGAAGCATTTCCTTTCCTACAATGTCGGTAATCTCTTTCCGGGGGGCGGCCAAGTGTTTTTTGGTGACGGAATCGGCGGAGGGATGTATGGTCTCGCGGCGATGGAGGGCAATGGTAACGAGCGAGATATTGACGGGGGCCGAAACGCCAACAAGCGGGCGAATTTCGACCTTACCTTCTATTCTGGGCTACGAAGTGGTCAGCTACTATCGGTCGCAAAGCATGTCGAGCTTTGGGCATGCCATGGTGGGCGGGGCACGGAGAGAGCTCGAGACGTACCAGAGTCGCGGATATGCCTGGGTAGCCGACCAGAAAGTTGCTATTTGGCGGCCCCGAGACACGCACGAAGGCCGACATATCTTCTCACTGTGACGAAATTGTCGCGCTGGCCTCGGACGGCAGCGAGCGCCCATGGGAGAGGTCGCCTCAGCGGACCGCGGACTGCGAAGTGTGTAGGTAGGCAGACGGACTCGGTACGGACCACAAGGCTGCGGACCGGTGTGTTGCGGGGGTGGGAGTGTCGACAAAGCAGCGAGGACGGGCGGGGCAGTCAGCTAGCACGATGACGCGGTGCAGACAGGCAGCCAGGCAGGCGGGCAGGAGGAGGGATGTATTGGACAATGGACGGCGTGTAGGATGGTAGTGATGGATAGCAGAGCAGCGGCAGGACCACAGGGTGTCGGATGGTAGTGGAGAAAGAAGGTATGCGGTGCTGGGCTGAGAGGATTGGGATGTGGTGCAGCGCAGTGCCGTGCAGCAGAGAGTGCGGTGCGGCGGTGTGATGAGCTTTGTCGCAATGGGATAGGATAAGGCGGACAGCGTGCTGTGCAGTGCAGTACAGCTACTACAGTACGGTACAGACGAGTACAGGACAGGACAGACAGTACAGTGTGCTGCGAGCGGACGGGCGAGCCAACCGGCGAGAGCTAGCGATAGGCAGAATAGGTAGAGATGATGCGGACAAGGAGATGATGCACGGCCGTGTCTTTCACAGGCAAGCAAGCAAGCGCTGGACGGAGAGGCAGGAGAGGACAGGCGGATAGTCGACGTAATGTATTACTGATTGATTGATTGACTGACTGACTGACTGACTGTGTGTCTGACTGACGTGGAGTCAATATTGGTGAGAGTGTCTGAACAGACAGACCGACGTTGGTGGCCTGTAAGATAGATGGGCGGGCGGCTGGTCCGAGGGCTAGAACGGCTACTGGCTGCCCATTGTCTGCCTGGAGCACTTCGTTACGAGCGAAGGATTGCGACCAGCTAACCAGCTAACTCGATTGCTGCACCTCCGCCCCTCGATCATCTCGACGACTTCCATCGTGCACAACGGGGGAGAGATGCTGCTGGGCTCCAACCAACATGTCCGTCACGGTACGCTTGCAACCCTCCAATTCATCTTCTTCTCTGATTCTACCCCGCCCCCTCTGTCGCCGCAACCGTCAAAACGTCGTCAACCCATCCTAACCAATGCGCTCCTCCCATGACAGCTCCACACCACAAAAGGTGACCTCAAGCTCGAAATCTTCTGCGAATCCGTCCCCAAGACGGCCCAAAATTTCCTCGCCCTCTGCGCATCCTCCTTCTACAATGGCAGTCCTTTCCACCGATTGATTCCAAACTTCATTGTACAAACCGGCAGCCCCGCTTCCGACCCAAAGTCCAAATCCTCGACCTCCATCTACGACGACTCGCCCAACCAGCTGTTCGAGGACGAGATACGCCCCGCGTTGCGCCATAATGCCCGCGGCATCTTGAGCATGGCAAACAAGGGTCCAAATACAAACGGGAGCCAGTTCTTCATCACGTTTGCGCCCGCCCCGCATCTCGATGGGAAAAACACAGTCTTTGGCAAACTTCTCGAGGGCGAGGATGTTCTAGACGACTTGGAAAGTATCGAGGTAGACAAGAAATCGCGTCCAAAGGAAAAAGTCGAGATCAAGAGTGTGACCATTCACGCAAACCCACTTGCAGATTGAGACCAACAGTCCTCTCTGCTGCGTTTGCCCTGCCACCACTCCTACGAAACAAATACTTGCGGCGGAATGCGATCGGCATATCACCATGAACATGGCTTAGGATAGGTACATGTTACACGGAAAAGTTCGAGTAAGAACTAAAAGAAACAATAATTCATGGCTGAGAAGCCTTGGTATCTACCGAATGTATCCTTAGGAATCAAATGAGCTCGCCGCTCCCACCTTTTTGTAGCTGAATCAATCTATTTGATTCAGTACGCCATGACAAACCATTAGGGAAAAAAAACTTCTCCTGTGCCACCTATGCGGCTCCCGTGGTCTCGCCATTCGTGACGCCATCCACTGCTGCTTGCTCCTCTTCATAACCCTCCGTCTTCATGTCCCGCAAACCGAGGTCCTCTTCCTCCTCTTCGGTGCGCTCATACTCCTCCACCTTCAATTGAGCATCTGGCTCGGGTGCAGTGAAGCTCTGCACGTAGCTACTGGCAAGAGGATCCGACAGCACCAGGTTGAACTTGATTTCGCCTTCGATGGCCTTGGTAAGCTGTCCGAAGAAGGAATCCCACTTCTGCTTGGTAGTTGTATCCATGGAATCCCCACCCTTATCCGAACCAATGTCATAGATAGACGATCGGAGGTCATCGCGTACCTGTGTCAGGAGACCTTCGATGGTGGTGAAACGGCCACCGAGAGTGCCGGGCTCAACACTGAGCTGGAGTTCTGCACTCTCCATCGCGCACGACTCGGATTTGAGTATGTCTCGCGAAAGATCTTCCTTTTTCTCCACGGCAATCGTGATGCGCCGACCCTTCTCGGGCACTTCTCCGCCGGTCTTGACCTCGTTGGTTCGGTCTATTTCGTTGGTCAGTACATGTAGAGTCGGCGAAGAGAAACTTTGACTTACAGCCGCAGTGGTCGCAGACAGTGCTCATGATGACTACCTGCTTAAAGTGCGGGATGTTCACCATCTTCATGTTGGTCGTGCAATGCTTGGTGCATCCGGGACAGGTGGCAGGGAACGAGTAGACCTGGTTTTCGACAATGTCTTCGTCGACATTGTTGACCATGGGCTGCGCTGGCATGTGTGGATACATTTGGTCGGCTTTGTACTCGGGTCGAATTTCGGTGGAGGGTGCTTCTGTGTTGGGGCCTTCTGATGAATCTCCTAGGCCAAGTGCAGCGTTTTGTTCGGGGCTACGAGGGTATTCGTGGCGGAAGTATTTAGCTGCTACGTCTTGGGGAGAGGGCTCGATGGATGAGTTGCCTGCTGGATCATCCACAGTAATCTTGAATGGTACCTTGGTAGCACCTGCCATCTCTCTAATGGAGCCAATGACGCTTTGGATTTTCTCGTAGATTTCAGGCATGGCCTCTTTCCTTTCTTCTTGCTTTTGTTCCAAATCTTGTGCGACCATAGACAGGATGCCTTCCACATTCGACAGCTGCCCGCGACCTGGTGGGATCTCCAGGTCAATATCCTCTACCCGGAAAACAGCAGTGTCGCTTTTGACAATCTGCCGGGCCAAATCATCTGCGCTGTCGACACGGAAGGTGATCTTAGCGCCTCGTTGTTGAATTTCTCCCGCGGGCTGGACTTCGGTGTTTTTGAAGTGGCAGTGCGGGCATTCGAAGGACATGATGACGATCTCGCGGAAGTACGGTATGCGTGTGAGAAGCAGACGTGTCGTGCCCTGTGACTCGTTAGATCAACACAGTCATTGATGGTGTTTTAAACTCACGTCTTCGTGGCAGTTCATGCACAAACTCTCAATCACGTCGACAATCTTGCTTCCCTCGACATCGTCTTCTTGCGCACTCGCCTCAGCGACTTTCCTGCCCATGTCCTCGAACAGGTCCTGTGCAAGAGTTTTTTCCGCCATCTTGAAAGTTTATGCGTCGCCGAGTATCTTAGTTTTGTCTTTTGTTATATTTCCTTTTTTTTGTGTCTTTGGGGGAGCGAAATGGCAGGGCGGGTGTCGTGTGTTTGCTGTAAAGTGACGCAGCTTAGAAAGTTTTCAAAAGTTTAGCCCCGCGATTTTGGCGGGGTTGTTTTTCTAGTGCTTTCTCAAACCCTGGTCGCCACATATCCGGGATTTCTCATTAATCATCTCCTCTCATTGCATAAAGTCCATCAGATCTAATCCACCAGATGTTGAGGTCGAAGCCTTACTCTTGTTGAGCATTGCTTGCAGACCACCTTTCCGTGCCTTTTTCCGTTGTTTGCTGGTTGCATTAGAAGATTTGACGATTTTGCTTTCTTGCTCCATCGAAGTGCTTGCAGACGCAGGTTGCTGTGAAGCCTGCGATTGGGTTGCTTTGGGTTGCACTCCCATGTGTTTTGGCGGTCGAGAAGGAACTGATTGAGCAGTCTTGCGCTCGCATCTTGAACAAGTATAGATGACTTGCTTCTTGGGCTCCTCCTTCGTGGGTGGTGCTGACTTTGACCTCTTCTTCTTCCCAACCTCAACATGTCGGGATACGCTGCATGATAAGCCAGGTATCATAACGTTCCCGCATCCTCCACAGACATTGCGCCGCAGCAAGCCCCATTCCTTGCTTTGCATCTCAATGTCCTTGTCATTAGCCGCGAGAAGCACTTGGTGGGCAGCCCCGAGGTTTGCAGAAACTGCCGGTGCCGAAACGGCAAGCAAATTGGCAGCTTGACTGAGAAACTGGAGTCGCGATTCTAAATGATCTACGGCCATGCTGATGGACTCGAATTCTCCAATTCACTTATCTGGGTTGTACGGTTGTTTGTAGTGGGTGGGTTGAAGAGGCTATAGTATCAATTGATAGGTTCAATTGTGGAAGTTGCGTTTGTGATGAGTAATCATGTACTGTAAAAGATATCTCGCATCTGATTAGTTGCCGTCTGCTGGCGACGCTAATGAGTGTCCGACTCATAACCTCCGAATACAAACTCATTGGAGCACTGTACACACTCCCCTTCACCTTACAAATATTGTCTGGGCAATTCGTCTTTTTTTGATTCTGTTCCACTGGCGCATCCCTTCGAACTACCAGAACAACAGACGATATGCTCGAGCCGGAGCTGACCACAGAAGGCGGCCTGCGCATAGCCGTTGAGGGTTGTGGACATGGAAAGCTGCATGATATCTATGCATCCGTGGAAAAATCCTGCGAGCTAAAGGGATGGCCTTCTGTTGACTTGCTCATTATTGGGGGTGATTTCCAGGTATGTACCATAACCACAGATGTTGACTAGACATTGACTGGTCTAGGCCGTCCGCAATGCGCTCGACCTCAAGGCTGTCTCTATGCCCGAAAAGTATTACGACATGGCGGATTTCCACGAATATTACTCGGGTAACCGCACTGCGCCTTATCTGACCATCTTCATTGGGGGAAATCATGAGGCCAGCAACCATATGTGGGAGCTCTACTATGGAGGTTGGGCTGCACCCAACATCTACTACATGGGCGCAGCAAACGTGATTCGCCTCGGCCCACTTCGAATTGCTGGTCTTTCTGGAATTTGGAAAGGTTATGATTATCGCAAGGCTCACTATGAACGTCTACCCTACAACGACAAGGACGTCCGAAGCATATATCACGTGCGGGAGCTGGATGCTCGCAAGCTTCTCCAGATCAGGAGCCAGGTCGACATTGGCTTAAGTCATGACTGGCCTAATGGTATGGAATGGAAGGGCGATTATAAGCAACTCTTTCGATTCAAGCCTTACTTCGAAAAGGATGCAAGAGCTGGTAGTTTGGGAAACATTGCGGCAACTGAGGTCTTGGAACACCTGCGACCAGCACATTGGTTCAGTGCCCACATGCATGCTAGATACACGGCTACGTGGGAACATACAGATTGGCAACCAGATGAGGCCCCGAAGGCATCTGCGGGAGGGCCCTTCAAAATTACTAATAAAGACGAAATCGAGTTGGGTATCGAAGACGATGCACCGTCGGTAGCTCCTAAGAATGATGCAGAGATAGATATCGACATGGAAGACGACACCCCGGCGGTAGCTCCTAAGAATGACGCAGAGATGGATCTTGACATGAAGGATGATGAGCCCGCGGAACCGGTCGCTGCAGCAAACACAAGCACAAAAGTAAGTGGAAAAAAGCCGGACGTTAGCCAAAACGTACGTGCCCTGCTCCCAGAGTCATTTGCCAAGGCTCCGAAGAGAGAACCAAAAATCGTTCTTCCTTTTCCTACTGAAATCACAAACAAAACCACGCGGTTCCTAGCACTAGACAAGTGCTTACCGAATCGTCATTTTCTGCAACTCTTGGAGGTCCAGCCTCACAAGCCAGCTGAGTTTACGCGTCCACTTCGACTTGAATACGATGCGGAATGGCTTGCCATCACACGGTTGTTCGCGGATCATCTAGTACTAGGCAACCCAGGAGCTCATGTTCCTGCTGACAAGGGCGACGGTGCCTATAGGCCACTAATCGAGAAAGAGTTGGAATGGGTAGAGAAGAATATCGTGCAAGCAGGAAAGATGACCATACCCGAGGATTTTGAACGAACGGCGCCGGTACACAACCCAGCGGACGACATATACGCTCCAGGCACGCCTCAAGAATATACCAATCCGCATACGCAAGGATTCTGCAAGCTGCTACAAATTGCGAATCCGTTTCATGCGTCCGATGAGCAACGGGCCAAGCTGATGCAAAATGGACCCCGAGGAGGACCTACACGAGAGGATTGGGGCAGGGGAGGCGGGGGAGGCCGTGGAGACCGTGGAGGCCGGGGTCGGCGTCGTGCTCGACGGTAGGACCTTCAGAGTTGAGCGAAACACCATCAGGTGGCAGTTGGGAAACGGGGTTGACAGTTGACACATTGTCGAACGTCACAATACGCAATATGCACGGCGCAGTGCCTGGGCCAGCTACCAGGCTCTGGCAAAGAAGCAGCCCGAATGGGTGGTTGGGTGCAAGGTTGCAGACGGAATTATTGTCTAGGTGACGGTGCGGCACGATAATTGCCGTGCGGAACAGCTGTCGCGGAGGCATCAGCGGGATCTATGGTCGTCGTGCGTGGGATTCATGCAGGTGATGTGCGTTGAACTGTAAGGTTCTACGGTAATAATGTCCGAGAGCCCAAAGGAATAGAATCAATAATCAAAGCTTGCTGCACAATGATGTCGTTTTGGCTGTAGGCGCATACGAAGAGAATTCAAAGAGCGGCACACGTTAATTTAGGAGCCTTTCGGATGCTGAGAAGCGAATGTACGGAGGGTCAAACTACGTCATTGGTCCGTGAGGCGGATCCGAAGTACGCTCGTAGTCATGCGCAGTGCAGAAAAGCTCCGTCGACGAGCAGTCCAAGGTGGAGCGGATATGAGGGGACAGGAGGCATGTTGTCGTGTTCATATCCACACAGTATGGGAGGGCGATTATCAGATGTGAGGTGCGCGTACTGATTTGTGCGACAGCGATGGTCGCGAAGATCGCGCCGATCTCGACACACTTCTGCGACGAAGGCTTTGGCAGAGCAAAAGTGGCAACATGGATCATTGGCGTGGAAGAATTCAATAGTCTATGGGAAAGGCGAAGATCCCGTGCAACGCGCCATAGCAGAGCGACACCTGAACAGCCATCATCGATGCCCGGGCGCAGATGCTGTCGCCTGCCTCGTAATCGGGCTTCGTACTCTGTCGCCATCCATTCTGCTCACCAACAGCGACCGTCTGACCGATCCGGCGGTGGCTGTTGACAGGACACGATCTATTTTGGGCTGCAAAGATACAGGTACTGGTACACGGGGGACACAGTAATAATACCACCAAGGACGCTCTGTGTGCTACGGTTCACAGCGCAGCCAACGTTATTACCGCCGTTACTACCCGTACAACACAACTCCAAGCAAAAACAACGGTACGCCTAGGGCTTTTCGCCTGTGCGTCGAATCTAGAATCGCCTGTGACCGTCATCCCGGCCCACCAGGGTCTCCAAGGAGTTCGAGATTACTAGATCGGCACTGCAAGACCCTGTAAACGTTCAATTCTGCTAAATCACCCCCGTCACCAGTCCATTCGAGCCCGCGTGCTCTTTACACATCACCCCCCGTATAAGAATCCCATCTCTCCCTGTCTATGCAAGGCCGCCGCCATAGCCACCCTTACCCCCAATACCGTTCGACTCGTCAATGCCATACCTCCCGTCGAGACAGGCATTACAGCAGACTCCTTTTTGATTCCCCTTTCTCCTCTGAAAACACATTTACCCTCTACCTACAGTACTTCGCCAGAGTTTAGTTAGTCTAGACCCTTTGGACCGGACTGCCGCTATTCACAACCTTTGCCGATCATCCTAGTCCGTTACATTAGCCTGGATAGTCGATATCCCCTGGACTTAATTGTTTGAAAGGGTATTTCATTGCTCTGCTCTGCACTCATACCTCATCTTTGCGACACCTGCTCTTCATCTTCCACTCAACCTTTCGCTATCTATTCGGGCTGTCTCTCGGACGACCATCCCTTCGTTCACACCATGACTTCCAAGTTCCAAGAGATCCTGGAGCCTAGCCAGGCCCCAGTCTACACACATCCTCACCTCAACGTCTCTCTCGAAGATATCCTCAACGAGGGCCGAGAACGCTCTGCTTCCGCATCTTCCGGCTCTTCCCAGTCGCTGTCTAGCACTGAGACCCCTAAGTCCCCCACAGAAGACAAGACCACAGACGACAAGAAATCGAACCTTTTCAAGAACCGCCGGTTCGCCCTGGGAAGCAGAAAAGGTCGCGGTTAAATGATGAAGAGAACACATTCGACCTGGACAAACGCCAAAAGTTCACAATGATTTTCCCATTCGTTTGACTTTTGTTCACAAAATCTTCTTTTTCTTCTCTCCACACATACCGTAATTTACATGCCGTCATCATATCCAAGCGCTGGGGAATGACTGTGCATCTTGTGCATCTCCCATCCCGAGGAAACTGGATTTATTCAGTTTTTTTATGACCCCAATCACGAACGACATGACTCAACGAAGGATAATTCACGATGCTGGATCATGCCGCTCCAAGTCACCCAAACTCTCTCGCGTATGTCGAGATCGAACACGGATTCGACCTCCAGGCCCTGGCACCGAACACTTCGACAAAGGAACCACTTCGCCGTTGATGGGTGCTATTCCATATCCAGAGTAGAGTTGAAGGAGACCGAACTCGAAGTTGGGGTCCTGTCTGTAAGAGAGGTGCTATGCTACGCTCTCGAGCGAGCGAGCGAGCACGCGGTGGGAGAAGGTGAAAAATCTACATATATAACTCGTTTTAATATTCTTCGACACTTGACAAATTCTATATCCCGATTCGCCCGCAACTTCTTCCTTCTTCATGCTGTGGTGTGAGTGGTTCCTGTCTGCTGTAGTCACTAGCCGTTCCTTCCCTTTGTGCAAAGTTCCTTACAATAATTCCTATACATATGTATACATATACCCGACAAGAAACCCGGACACTTCATCATCCTGAACAATTGCATACCGACACACCCCATTCCTACCAGAGCAAACGAATATTTACCTATTGCCAGCTCTCCCCTAAGCAAAACCCTCTTCGAGTCCTGCGAGGCTTCGAGACGAAAAATTAAGCATATTACTATCACTACTACTGTACTATTGCAGCACACGTACCAAGCATGTCGACCGTCACGACCCCTCAAGCACCGCTAATCGCATGCTCCGAATTCTACCTCTCCAACATCCCGCAGCTCTCCATTGCGCCCAGCTCCCCATCCCTCAACATGATCGCCCCCCACACAGTCACCAAGCTCAAGAACACGGGACCCGCGCGCCTCCGCGATATGCGCGCCGCGGGCATCTCGATGCAAGTCATCTCGCACGTGCCGATCCTCGCGAACCCGGCGACGTGCTCGAAGCTCAACGACGCCCTCCACACGGCGGTGTGTACGGCGCCGGACCGGTTCGCGGCGCTGGCGCTACTGTCGGCGGACGATCCGCGGGAGGCGGCGAGAGAGCTGCAGCGGTGCGTGACGCGGTTTCGGTTTGTGGGCGCGGTGTTGGGGTTGTCGAGGGGGATCGATGGAGTTGTGTTTGAGGAGTTGTGGGCGCAGGCCGAGCGATATGGGGTGCCTATTGTGTTGAGAGAGGTCTGGCCTACCAAGGAACAGGTATGTCTTTTGAACTCGTTTTTCTGCTCGTTTGGAGAGGGAGAAAGAGATGCTGAGGGCTGATGGGGCGGGATGGGTAGGCGCAACAATACCGCACCGAGTCGCTGGCGGCTGCGCTCCAGGGCCCCATCTTGACGCATCTTCATGCTGCGCATAGCTCGTCGCCGCTCCCGGTTGTCCATTTGTACGCCACGGGTGTGTTCGATAGACACCCCAACTTGCGATTCGTTCTGTCCCGTACGGGAATCACAATGTGTTCGCTTCTCCCACGCATCCAAGCGCTCTTCACCTCATTCAAGGATGTCCAGAGTCTGGCTCACGTCTTCAAACCGAACCGCAGCTTCATAGATGTTTGGCGGCACAACTTCTACATTGTGGCCGAGGATGCTATGGACAATATCAGCATGAAGGCTTTGCTGACGCATATGCCTGTTGATCGGGTGTTGTATGGGACTGGGTATCCGTTTGAGGACAAGGGTAGAGCAGTCATGTCAGAAATGAAAGACAGTGGCGTACTGGACCAGGAGGAGTGGGAGAAGGTAGCTTGGGGGAATGCGGAGCGGTTGTTTGGATTGAGAGGGGCCCGCGGAGGAGACAAGAGGGGTGGGAGTAGGTCGTCGTATTGATTGAGAGCGCAAAAGGATAGCTTAGTGGACTTCTTGAGGCGTGGATCGGCTCATGTAGAATGAGTAGTTAAGAAATCGATATCCCTGCAAGTAAATACTTTCTTCATGTAAGAATGTGGTGTTTCCATTTCATGTCTCCGAGCTACAAAGGGGTATTGTATGTATGCACGCAAAGAGACAGCCGCACCAACGCCTTACTTTGCTTTCCTCCCAAACATGTGAATCTCAACGCCCTTTGGTATCTCGCTCGTATAATCCCATCTCCCTCATGCCCGCCATCACGCGTGTGTTTTTTTCTTTTCGCATCGAGCAAAGCCCTCGTTCCCCGGTGTTGCCTTGGCGCAAGCATTTATTTCTTCTTGCCGGACTTCTTGATGCCCTGGTTTCCCGTGTTCAAGGGGCCCTTGCCACCAGCCTTTGCGGCGAGCTCATCGCGAGCCTTCTTCTCTGTTAAAATCAGTCAGCATCGCTCGTTCTTGTTCCTTGGCGCTTCACGCAAATATCATCCACCGGATAGATCACCGGCCCTGTCTCACTACTTGAAGTACAAGGTAGTCGAGCATATCGGCGAAGCCGAGTTTCCTCTAGAAAAGAAGAAGAAGAAGAAGTCGCATACGCACCAGCTTGTTGCTTAGCCTTGAACGCAAGGTCGTCCTCGTCGAGCTCCTGCTTAGCCTTTTTGGCTTTCTTGTTGTGGATCGGGTTCGTGCCGGCTGAATAACACCAAGTAAGTAATGTGTCCTCGCTGAGCCCTTTGAGAAAGAAGAGAAACGTCTTCCGACAACCCTCCATCTCACACTTTTCTTTCGCCGCCTCGGCCGTTTGTCAGGGTCTTCGAGACCAAGGACGGGTGAAGAAGAGAAAAACATGGGTGGGGGTAGGATGGTGGCTACGTACCTCCTTGTCCTGAAGGCATGTTTGCGGTGTGCTGTCCTTCGCTCGTGGAGGGTGGTTTAGTTGTCTTTTTGGTGGGGAGTGAGACTGGGAGAGGGAGAGAGAGAGAGACTTTCTGAGATGGAGCGGCGGGGCGGGCGGGCAAGCGGTCTGGAACTGCGAAGGGAAGGTGGGGCGCGCGAAAGTGTGGCGCACGCGAGGAACATTCAATTGATTCAAATGTTGATCGAAGGATTACTCAGCACATGGCTTGACTCTCTCCACTTTGTTCTCCAGTTCCCACTGTTTGATTTCTCCATTGATTTGGGGAGTGTGAAGGCATGATTCATTGGACAGGGGCTATTCGTATGCGATTGACTTGTTTGTACTTGGGAATGGATCTTGTGAGAGTTTGTTACCAGAGTGGTCACTACTATCTACATACATTACGGGGCTTGCTACAACCCAGAACTGGCTATAATGAGAAATTTTGTAGTGAAAGTTTGGATGCTTCTACACACAGCGATAGGTTTGTGACAATAATGACCCATAAAAAACAGGCGATTATCAAAACAATTGTAAAAATCATGCCTTCACACAAGCTTTTGCATCAAACGCACATGCAGTGATTGGAGACACCCGTCTGGCTATCAAGAGTCTTTCAAGGTGTTAATATAGAGAGTATAGTTAGTGCACTGTCTTGAGGTGTGCTGAACCCTATAATGTACATAGGTACGTATGGATGCTCCGTGCGTTGACTGTCTGTTTCGTCCCCAAATTTCGACGCTTCATCAACTGAGTACGCCACGAACACAGAAAACCCGCTCTAAAGCGCGCCCGTGCAAAACCCTAGAAATACTTCTGCGTCTGAGCAAACCGCATACCAGCCGCGAAATGGAACAGCTTCGCCGCAACCACAAACCGCGGCTTCTCCGTATACTCAACCAGCCGGTCGTAGAACTCGCTCAACGGAACCACAACCCTCTCAATGCGTTCCCCATCGTCCAGTCGTTGCTCCGGAAGCTCATCGCTCTCCCCCAGCTCCGCCTCCACCATGACAAGCTGCATGTTCGCATTCGTCATCCCCGGATCCGCCGCTTGCACGGGGCTAACGCTCAACACGCGGCAGTCGTAGCCCGTTTCTTCTTTGAACTCGCGGACTGCGGCTTGTTCGGGCGTCTCTTCGGCATCGACAAGGCCGGCTGGCCACTCAACGGTGTAAGAGTCTAGAGGTGGCCGGTACTGGATGACGAGCATAGTGGAAGGGGGTTTGGAAGGGTGCAGGAGGATGTTTCCCATGGCGACTGCGTCGACGCCGGCTTTGCCTCGTGTCTTGCGCGTCGCGACCTCCCAGGTTCGCGCTGTGCCTGTCTGGTCCACGAACTCGATCTTTTTTAGAGTGATCCATTTTGCGTCGGCGGTGGAGAGTTCCGATGTTTTGGTGATGACTGGTTCCTGGAGATCCTGCGACATGGTGAAGGGTCGTCGTGATGTTAGAGGGGTGAAGCTGCGTGCGATGTGGTTGGTGATGGTCCTGGTGGCACGGGATTTTAAAGGCTGGATCATTCCACTTTTGCTGCGTAATTTGATTGATAGATGGTGGTTGGAGATGAGGAGGTAGACTTTATTGTAGGCTTAGGACAACCTTTGTCGCTTACGTCATGTTGTCGTGCTATATCATGGTGCTCATGGAAAGATTTCAAACTTTTAACCATTGAGTCAGTCTTGAGGAACTCCGTGGTTTGTTGACTCACTCAAGTGTATCAATACCGGGTATGTGAATTGTCGTTGTACGGGTGAACCCAATGCAAGATATTGTGTGGTACAAGACTGTGATTAAGCTCTTCATGGAAACTAGTGCCGATGAGGGGCTCGTCCACCCACCCACACGAGCATCCTTCAACTCCAGCTAAAATAATAACTCGGGAGACGAAAAGCAAGGACAGATTCTCCGAGGGAAGAAAATTGGGTTCAAAAATATCAGGTTCAGCTTTAGCTACAGCATCATCTGCTGATTCAGCAAGCAGACTTCCAATAGCCCCGATCGCAGTCAGCAGGTGATACCATAGAACACATGCTCTTGGGGCTCGGAGGCTCAATCCAGACGCGAGCTTATCAACAGCTATCCCCCATAAATCGATTTTCGAATGACAACTCCCCTCAGTCAATCAGTCCACAGCTCTTGACCAGGTAGGTATCTCGACCTCATCAGCTGTGCAACTCCACACAGAACCAGCCATATTAGCATTCAGGAACAAGATCCCCGGTCCTTCCAAGACATGAAGAAAGCTCTTGATTCATCCACCCATCACCACATCCTGGTTTTTCCCTTGCTGATCATGGTTCGGTGTCCTGGCCGATCCCAAATCCATGTCTCTCAGCGCGATCTTCATAGCTTGCTCGTCGACTATGCTCTTGATGTTGCGGTATTGCGGGCTCTCTGGCCCAAAGGTAGCGAGGGCATTGCGGAGTGATGACTGGAGCTATTCGTTTGTTGTGTCAATTTGCAGATCAAGAGGTTACGGACAACGAGAGGCAGCTAGGCACTCGACTTACACACAAGAGAAGATCGTCGTCTGGATTATCCATGCTGCGATATGTTGAAGGTATCTTGAATCGTTTGTCCGCTGGCAGTGGGCACAGAGATGTCTTTTGAGGTGGGGCAAAAACGCAGTTTAGTGGCCGCAGCGTTCTTCGCGCCCAAGTTGTAGCAGACCTCAGCCAAAAATCTAAAAGTAATAAAATGATCAAGCACGCGGTCACCCAATAAGATTCCTTTTACTCAACTTTTTATTCACATTTCGGTCTTCAAAAAGAAAGCACGTCTCCATGACCCACCATCCGCAAAAAAGTTATATGCGCTTGACAAGAGTGGGATTTGAACCCACGCTCTTTCGAACTGCGGTTTTAGCTATAATATAACAGCCTAAACACAGCGCCTTAACCGCTCGGCCATCTTGCCCAAGTTTAGATGGAATACATCTGATTGATACGATTGGCCTGCAATGATGAATTAATATACCATTGAAAATTTAGAATTCAACGGTGAAAAATGGCAAGACTTCGCTAACATTCACCACTACCACTATCACTACCAGGGAACTACCAAGGAACTACCCTATTGGAATGCTTAGGCTAAGCAGACAGGCTTGCTCGCCATTGGTGAAGGTCAACAAAACTGGATCTGCAACATTTGCATAATCAGAGCAACAACCACAACAACAAATTGAATGGGGATGAGTCTGCCAACTATCACACATCATAGACCGTGTTGAGATGGAACGAAGATGAAAAAAAAAAATGAGTCGTGGCGATACAGCATTGGCAGGATTACAAATGGACACATGATGAGTCGCGGATGAAGATATGACTCCCAGAGCTCGCACACGGCTGAACAATCACAATGTACAAAGATGAGCCAGTGCACTGGGAATGAAGAATTATGAGCCATTTGTATGTACACGTTTCACAGGTCAGAGTCACACGTAGTCATCACAGTCACACAATAGGCAGCAAAGAGTCATGCGCAAATCCGATAGTAAGATCAAGATGTATTAAAGGAGACGCAGCCCTCCGAGTTCTCTTCAGATGGAACAGAACCCAGAAATCGACCGCCAAACAGTATATTAAAAAAGAGCCGCAAAAAGCCCACAGGAAAGGACAGGAAACGCATTCCGCTATCAAGATCAGCCGTAACCAGGAGGAGTCAATCGATACCCTAAGGGAGACTTACGCTCCGGCCGGAGAAGGGAATAACACAGCGGAAACAAAAGCACATGGACCGCAAAGGAAAACCCACGCTAGACGCCCCCGAAGCTGGGAAGCGCAAAGTGGTAAAAACAATCAAACAAGAAAGAATAACAGGAAAACAGGTCAAAAAGAAACTTTTCGAGCGGTGAGGCATTCCTCACCCGCTCCCCTGAGAACCGCCGAACCAAACAAGGCCGGTGGGCTGAATACTTCAAGCGCCAGAATATCCCTGAGCAATAGCGATGCTCTTCCATTTCTCTACCTCGGCCTCTAGTTCTGCATTGCGCTTCTCAAGAGTGTTGACGTGATCAAACTTCCTCTGCCGGGAGTCACGGGCAGCAAGAGTATTGCGTGCCCGCTTCAAAGCCACCTTATCGGTGGGATCGACGGCAATAGCAGGAAGGGGTCCCTTTCGACGACGGGACTTGCTAACAGATGCATTGGTAACAGGCGATCCGTTCACCGATGACTTCCTCCGGGTCGACCTGTCCAAAATGACAGGCGAATTGGCGCTGGAGACGCTGGATTTGTCCGCTGAAGTGCTGCTGGCAGTGCGCTCAAGTTCGGGAGCAGCAGAAAGCACATTCGCGATGGGAGCAGCGTACGTGGTGGTGGGAGGCGACATGAGCTTTGCATCCTCCTCTGGGAACAAGGAGAACCAGTTGTCGGAAGCGACGAGCCCCTCGGTGCTGAACATGGGGGAGGTCTCGAAGCTGTCTGTGAAGTCGAAAGGTGAGGCGTCGATATCGGGAGAAGTGATGTTGGTAAAAGTCGTGGATGGTGGCGCAGACTGAAGCGGGTCGACGAAGAGATCCTTGGGCGACACTGTTCGCATAGACCCCGAGACCGAGGGGTTTATAGCAGTGAATGCCGAGTTGGGAGCTTCCCAAGGAGAGGCGTCGGACTGGACACCCGCAAACAGGCGGGCGCCCGAGTCGAAGGAGTTGTTGCTGTTCAAATCTGGAATACAGGTGAGTCCATGCCGCGTAGACAAAGAGCGGCTGTGCGCCTTACCTGCCATGGTCGCGACGTTGCTGTTTTGAGGGATGGAGTTGCGAGAGCTAGGAAACAAAGGGACCGGAGGACGTTGTTGTTGTTGGAGTTGGTGTTGCTGTAACTGAGGCGCTTGAAATTCTGTGGTGGATGATGGAGCAGAATTAGAATTTGCGTAGAAGCTGTGGCCTGTGTTAAACAGATGACCAGACTGAGCAACGCTCGGTGCAGGCTGCGGCTGACGAGGGGCTTGAGCCGGCTGGTCGTAGAGCACGAAGTCTGAGTGCGGACGGGCGAATTCGGTGTGGGAGGTATTCAGTTGTAGCCGTGAGGCGTGGGGAGCTGGTGAGGAAAGCCATGGTGACTGTTGAGAAGCCGTGGTGGACGACGGGAAGTCGAACGGGGAAAAGGTAGATTCCGAAGAACTAGAGCTGCGCAAGGCTGGGCTGTAGTTCAGAGGTTCCTGGAAGGAAGACTCTGAGGGGTGGTGTTGAGATGAGATGGGGGTTGTTGCGGATGGATCCAAAGTGTCGGCTTGAACAGGCGACGAGAATGTAGGGGAAGAGAGCTAAAAGACAGCCATTTTTGATCTGGATGTCTTGAGTGTGTCTATGTGAGTGTGTTGTGAGTGGTGAGGTTAAAGAGGAAAGGAAAAATGGGGGGGACGGTAAGGCCTTTTGTGGGAAATCAGGCAGCATTGATTAGCGAATTGCTGGGCCGGCCGGCCAGGTATGACTCAGAGAGGGCACGTTGGAGCGGACGGCGGCGCTAGGCCCAATCTTTCGTAGGCGCTTTCCAATCACACGCGGCCATCTCGCTTTCCTTCCAGATGTCCTTCTCTCCAGATACACTCTGCCGGTACACACACACACATCTACATATCTACCTGGCTACTCGACCATCTATTCTCTGTTACTTTACGATGCTCTCCTCATTCCTCTTCCTCTTCATCATCTCTTCATCCGGCACGAATATTCCCCTTCTCATGCTGCATGCATGTAGAGCGTAGGGCGGGCATCACAGGATGGGCTTGCCCCCGTCGAGCCTAGCGGGTGCAGTCTTACATGCTCCGCCAACGGAGTTGAACTCAGGACTGCCTTCAGCCGGAGGGCGCATCCCGCCCTTTTCCCTTCTCTTATTCCGACTCAGTATATTGCTCCCCCATCCTGCCCGGCCAGAAAACGACAAATCCGCTCTTCACCCATGCACCCGTCGTCAAAGCACCGCCTGCCTTCGTGGCGGTGAGGATCCCGTCCTCTTTCTTTTTGGGAACCATGCCCTGCATGTGTGACTCAGGCTGCCATTGATGTTTGGGGTCAGCCGAAGAAATCAATACATACCGTGGCCCGTGTCCAACTTACTCACTTCTTGGCCCACTCTTGAGACGACCAAGAGTTCAAAAGGAAACATGACGGCTTCTCTCAAGTGCAGTGGATCAAACTCTATTGCCTGGTCCACTCCAGTAGGCACCTACACCAAGACGGTGAGTTCGGCCGCGGATTCTTCGGTTTGGCCTCGTCCAAGACGGCCTGAGGAAATCGGTTCGGAGCTCGCATCAGCTTTCCCCACTACATCTGCATATCGATAACATCCACCCATCCCATCTTGGTCCCAGTTTCCTCTCCCTTGTCCATGCCATGTACACAGCCCACTCTTACTTTCAGCCCGCAATATTCCATCTGCACCACGAGTTCTCACATCTCCACCTTTGCATGCCCCCACGTCAACCACTAACCTTCTCAAGCTGGCTTATACCGCCTGCTACCTGGCTATAGGTAGACGCTGCAAACGCCTGCGCCCATTTGATTTTGCCTATGGGGGTTCGTTCTCTCGCTCGCGTCGTATCACTTGCCCCATACATTGACCGGTATGCACCCAAGCAGCTTGAGGAAACCCGAACGAGTCGGAATGAGACCGTCTGCCGGAGTACTATTCAAGTGGGGACTGTAGACTGATTCGTCGACTCTAGAACAGCAGCCTGCCGTCGTCACCTGTCAGTCTTGCTAATTCGAATGCAACATTTGAATCACTTCAGCTAACGCTGCACCCTGCCTCCAAACATACCATATTCAACGATGGAAGTATCAACTTATCTAAAGTTTGGTAAGCTTGCTGATGCTGTAGATCGACTCGCATCTCGCTCATCTTTTTGCGTTCACGCGAGACACTGCATAAGTACCCGAGTTGCCGAATTTCGATGTGATTGGGCGGCGTTCCCGGGATACTTGATTTTCTTTTCGGAATACATCTCGTCTGTCTCCCGCGCAACTCATTTGAATGGCCCGGATATAATAAACACTCATCAATGCCTATATCCGTGTCAATCTGATCAACGTTGGAGACGAGGAAAATAAAATCACTCGCCATTCTTGTATTAACTTAGACACCCAAAGCTACCAGGTGATCGCTACTTGTAGCCGAAGACCAAAATAGAAGCGTAAACACGCGTTCACATGACGATGAACCGAAAAATCTAGCAGGATGTCTCTCCCATCGCTTCATCTCAAACAATAATCCGAAATCGAAGGAGCAGAGTAGGTAAAAAAAAATTCAGAAAAGAAAGCAAAAAAAAAAAAGACTACACCCCATGCAACCACCACAGCCCATATAACCACTTGCACACTCAACCTCCCCTTCTATCTCTCCCTCCTCCACCCCCCGATCCTCAACCTCCCAAACCACCCTTTCTTAACCGCTCCTCTCCCTCTTCCTGATCCTGCCCCCCATTCTTCACCCCACCGCGCAACACACCGTCCGCTCTCCCAATCACACCCCCTCTCACCCGCCCTCAACACATTCTGCCGCAGCGCCTGCGCGACAGGCCCGGAATGCGAGCCCAGACTGCCGCGCCTGGCATGGTAGTTGTTGTACGTAGTCTGCAGCGCGGTTTTTAGGCTCGTGAGGGGAGCTAGGAGGGATGTGAGGAGGCGCGAGAGTGGGGGTAATATGTGCGAGGGGAGCAGAAGAATACGGGAGGCTCGAGATGGAGATTGGGATGGAGGGTGGGTTTGGGGGAGAACGAGGAGAGAGGCTGGGGGTGTGAGATCGTGGTCAAGGGTTTGGGCAAGGGAATGATGGCGACGATGACGGTGACGGTGACGGTGGGGGAACGCGATATCGCTGTTTATAGTAGCATCGCTGTTGTTGTTGTTGTTTCTGTTCTCAACTTGTGGTGTCGGGGTCGTTGTATAAAAGGGCTCCTCTGCTGCGTTGTTGTTGTTGTTGTTGCGAGGCCTCGGTGAGTCTTGTTGCATCCTACTTCCCTCTTCCTCATCCTCCTCGCTTTCCTCCCTTCTTCCCCTATTACCACCGCCGCCACCGCCTTCCCAAACCCCAAGCATACATGTTGTAGGCGTCCCTTGCATATCCGCTTTATCGACTCGACGAAGCATCTTGGTCGTTCCGAAATCATCCACGTACTCGAGCAGCATGTCGTTTTTCTGCCACCGCTCGGGGACGATGATGCGTGCGCCACGCACGATTCTGCGTTGGCGGGGTTTATTGCTGTTCTCTGTCGTCGTGGAAATAGAAGAGAGCCGGGGGATGATGGAGGTGGAGGCGGGCTGAGGGGTTTGGAAAGGGATGTAGTAGCGCGGAGGTTCGCACGGGCTGGGGAATGTGTAGGTGATGATGTGTTGTGGAGGGGTTTCGTGGGCGGTGTTTGTGGTGGGGAGGGTTTGCTGGGGCTTGAGTGTGGAGAAGAGGAGGTTGGAGGAGTCAGGAGTAGCTGCAGAAGGAGGAGGAGGAGGAGCAGCAGGAGTATAGAGAGTGTAAGGGATAGTAGGGGAGTCTAATCGCGGTCGATCAGGTACAGTCGTCGATGCGGGGATCTTTCCCTGGCGTTTATTCGAACATGAATCCGGCGTGTCTTCTTCTCCTCCTGGGTAGGCGGAATCTCGTCGTTGATCAGTAACCTCATCTTGTGTGTCTCCCGTTTTCGTTTCCGCGCTTGTAGTTGCGTTGTTGTCTTGATTGGAGTTCCATGCCGCGGAATTGTGCGTGTGGTCGTTTGCGAGCAGGTCCTGCGATACCTCGAGCGCATATGCTTCCAGAGACGGCTGGTCCATATTGAAATAAGTTGCTGCGGCCAACGAGCGGTCGATACTTCACATGGGCAAGTTTCGAGAACGAGGGTGGTTATATCAATGTCTGGCGGGGGATTTGTAGATCGTTATGAATGCTCTGGAAGTCTGTCGCCGACTATGTGGGACGCCATGTGTGCACGTTCAGCCGCAGATGCATTGGAAAACGTTGGGATTCAAGATCCAACGTGAAGGGAAGTGACGTCTAGATACATCGTCTTGGTCGTCGAGAATGGCCTATACCGCACAAGTGAGGTTGATCACCCGTGGGTGCAGAAACCAAACCCATGTATTAGGGGAGCAAACTGTCGACCTTCTGTTACTCCGGATTTGGCTCTAGACTCTAGACCGGCTCGTCTACCACAGGTCGTTTTTCATGCGTTTGGAAGGTGGTCTATCTGCAATGTCATACGGGGCCAGACTTTGGTTCATTTGAGGCTCTCTCGTAGTTTGCGATCCCGGTAGTGTAGATAGAAACGATCGAGTGGGACATCTGACCTCATTCTCGTCCGTTGGTCCACAATTTCCGCAAGAACACCAATCAGTACCGTTCTAAATGGCTTCTCATCATTCTCGCAGCCTACTGACCAATAAGAGGTTCCAGTTTTCGAATATCGCTCCAACGGTAATGTGCTGCTGACGGGAATAGCTTGAGCTGTCTATCCACATCTTGCAATGTCTTCAATCCCATTGCTTGCGTATGTGCACGGAAATTCCTCGAGTACCATTCATACTCTGGTCTCGGACCTACACCAGATGTGATTGTACCAAGATACAACGCCCATAAGATCGCATTTTGTCGAGCCCTCAAAGGTCGTATGGCATAAGACGCAGAGACAATGCCGGGAGTCGGTAGACTCTGCCCAACCGGGGTAGTAGTACTGTTCATCGTCGTTGCCTCCGGACTATCCGCACTTCGGAGAACTTGTACAAGTGCGTCTTTGAGGTGAAGCACAAAGCGATTGCATAGTTTCATTTCGTACGGCAGATCTCTCGGTCCGAGCCAGATGAACAATTGACAAGCTTCTGTTAGCATAACGTCGACAGGCGAGAAGGTGTGGTCGGGAGTACTCTGAGAAGACAGCATCTGAAGCAGGATGTACTCGGCGTCATAAAGCAATCGTAAAGATACAGAATCAGTCTTTGCTCGACCGAGAGCTTTCTGCTTGATGACATGGTGCTGCGCTTGCGTTATTGCCAATTGGTGTAGCATACGAACCACATTCTGCATGGGCAACGAGACGAGAGGAATATTCGCAAAAGTCATGTTTGCCAACCGGTCAGACTGAACTACCATATCGTATGGTAACGATGTATTCTCCGCGGGCGGTAGATATGGGAGTCTGGGTACAGCCCGGTTGTAAGCTGCAACTCCAAACTCGCACCTATCGTCACTGGTCAATGATCGAGAGCGGACATGAATCCAATTTGGGTCTTACCACTGCGATGCTTTGCGAGTGAATGAGTTGCATGCTAAGAATCCCTTCGCCATGTCGCCTTTGCCTCGTAAAGTGATGGTCTTGCATAATGCATCGCAATGCATCTGAGCTGCTTCGAACATTCCGCCAAAAACCTGTAAAAAGGATCGTTAGTAGCTATTTCCTCAGAATTATCTGCGAAACTACAGAATGTGGAGTGGAAAGAGTATCTTACTGCACAAGCCGTGAAGCAGCCCAGTGCGCATATGAGAGGGTCTCCGAATCCCGCATCGGTGTTATTCAGAGCTTTCTGTATAGCCTCGAGAGACAGCCTATAGTAGTACATAGTCTCCTCCGTTATGGAAGTGCCCACAGTGCCGTCTCGGATCATAGTGGTTGCGTAGAGCCAAAGCACGAATGATACGTATTCCTCGGCCATATTTCCCAGCACGGTATTCTCCCTGGATAGCTGTAGGTGCGGTGCCTGCGGCCTCCATGCATATTTATCTGATGGACATGTGAGAGAGGTTTTATTGGTTCGGTTCACGAGCTTACCATCTGAACAGGGTATCTCTTCAGGACATGATGTGAGAACTGCGGATGACATTAGCATCTATTTGACGACAATCACGAGGGTTGGGTGTCGATCAGATGCTCGCAACATCTGATTGGCAAGGACCACCATCTTTCTGAGCCATGCTTGGATGACTTGTATGGATGGACGGTCGAGGATTGTGAGATCGACTTACAATACTCGATTATGTGATCGATCTTCCTTCCTACCGCGGGGAAAACATCAAAAGGGTCTGGTTTACTAGCTGCAACATCCAACAATGGATCTGATACCGTCACGATCCGCCATAAGCCCTGGCTCTTCTTTCTTGGCTCCAAGATCTTGTCCACTTCACGTTTGCTCTGTGCGTTGTTGTCTGGCCGCTTGGTCCTGACATCCAGCACATGCACCTGTTTATTACGATGTACCCATTCCCGTGCGTTTTTCCTGACGACAATATTCTTCTTGGGGTCCGCATTATCCAAGAATCTGATTCGCTGGGTGCTGGGCTGCGAGACTGCAAAAGAAGGCTGGATGTTGTGGAAGAATTTGCGATTCGGGTTTTTCTTTGGTGCAGATGAGGTCGATGTAGATGTGGCACTAGTAGCTGCTTTGAACGTAGAGGTGGAACCCTCCGGTTGGCCCGGCATGTTTCCAGAAGCGTGATAAAGGCCCACGATGCAGATATTGCGTAGTGAAGGGACTGATTTCGTCTCACGGTGGCTGGCACAGGAGAGATATCCGGATGTGGTGAGCGAGAAAGCTAGATCGAGCCAAGTGTGTGATCAAGGATACGATGGAAACAATATGTGGTCTGCGGGTGCTGCGTCGTTTTTGGCGCCCGTTTCGCCCGTTTCCCCGTCCCGCGCTCGATGGAGGGTCCAATGAGCAACGGCCAACCGTGTAGGATCCTCCCTCGAGCTGCACGAATCCTTCAAGGAAGCAGAGCAAGCGGCAGCACCGCCAAAACGAAGTCGATATAGTTAGTACGGAGGAGCAGGAAGAATACACTTCCCGTCACTTGCACTCAGCCTGCTGCTCGTCCCCGCGCCCGTCCACGTGAACTCGTGTGCCATGTACCACATCTTCATATGCAAATTATTCCGATCGCACGGAGCGTCCCGACTTCCCCACCCGATCAGCGTTGCTTTTTGCTGGTCTTGGAAGCTATATTCTAGACCTCCATCCCGGTCCCTCATCTCGTAATGTGGCATCAAGAAACACACACGCAGGGAAATCATTGCATTGCCATGTCCGAATCAATTGTCATTACTGCATTTCCCACCCGTTCCCGAAACTCCGACCTCCGTAATTAACGAAACTCTGCTCCAGCTAGCTCCAGAGCTTGGGGAGACGCAAATCGTCTGAGTGCTGGCAGATCAGCCAACACCATCCATATGCAAAAACACCGATTGCTACAATTTCCACCAAGATTCGAAAATAAGATTTGGGCTTTCCCTCGTCATCCTACGCGACGCGATTAGCAGATTGCGCGGAAGAAACCAAACAGCCAAAAATAGTACCTGTGCACCCGCTGATCTAGCTGCAAGTTCCACGAAACCCTTTTCCAAGTCCTTTGGTTTGGAAACTGCTGTGATGGACTTGATGGTGATGGAGAAATCGCCTTCCTGGTCACCAAAGAAACTAATAGCATGCATTTAGCAAGTTTTCTGCGCCAATGGCATAGCAATACAAACCTTCTCATCATGATGCTGAAACGCTTGACATTTTCCTTTGCCAGTTTGCCCGCATCTTTCTTCTCTTTCCCCCGGTACGTGGCCTTGAATTCCGACCATGGAATATAGATAGATGAAGTCTCGCCCGAGGTTGATTCTCCTGCGCCGGCTTCAAAATCGTACTCCCAGCTCGTGGTTGATTGCTCCCGTCCGTTTTCCGGATTCTTCGGGAGAAGCTTGTCCTTGATGATAAACGTATAGCGCTTGCCATCGGATTTTCCGATCTGAAGGAGAATGCCATCGTATTTGGACAGATCCCAGGTGTTATCTTCAGTCGTTGTCCGTTGACTGGCGAAACCTGCGCCTCCTAATGTCGTGATGTCAAGATTGCCATGGAAGCGGGCGCTCGGTGAATTGGAGACATCAAGATACGACTCGAAACATGTCAAAAGAATGGCCGAAACACACCCAAGGGACATCTCACCTGTGATTTTCCCCCTCGAACGCGATCGTCGCTCGCTGTCCAATCTGAAGCGGTCCACGACCTACTAGATCAGCTCTCGCGTTCTCTGTTGCAAGGACGGACCAACCTACTTCTCACCACCAAACAGCGGAAGACCGTCCGCCCTAACCATCGTTCCTGTGGATACGAGTAGTGTGTTGTTTGTTGATCAGAGGTTTTCAGATGCTTGATGGGCGATTACGCCATCCCTGTTGTGATGATAGTGATGAGGCGTCACCCACTAACTCGTTCGAGATGTCACCCAATAAACAGGATGGTCTGTGCAGATGTTGATCGGATTCCTTCGAAGATCTGGCAGTGAAACTCACGATATCGCCGTCGACATCACAACGCGGTCGTTGCCAACATGGATTTCCGACCACTCGAGCATATGCGAGATAGCGACGAATCGATTCTGGAGGAGCCATACAAACCCTTTTACAGCTTCTGGGCCTCAAAGCCGGTACTAGTGAAGCAGTAGGGTCCACCACAAAGCGCCCACGTGTGACGTACCGTGGCTAACCAAAACAAGAGGTAACGAATACAATCGTACGGCTTTTCGAGAAAGACCGTGGTTTGGGCCACTGTTGTTTGATAACACCTCCTCGGATGCCCGAGACCATGCTGCAAACGAGAGAAGTAGATCTCCATGCGCCAGCTGGCATTGCCTGTACTGACCTCGGACCAAAGCTTTCTTGTCTTGGTTAAGATTGTCTATATATATGGCAATTGTGTCGGCGGCTATAATCATGTCATTTCACTTGAAGTCTCAACCGAGTGCAACAGGTAATTGATCCATTAAATATATTGAACTTTCCCATGGCCCATCTTGCTAACGCAATGTAGAGCGAAGTTTTTCGCTTCCTCTGGGCATAATCTTCTGGGTGCTCTCAGTCATTTGCTTGATATCTGGACTGGCCAATTACATACAAACAGTAGCAAAGTACAGCAGAAGGGAGGCGCTCGTGCAGGCTGGCTGGAAGACGCAAGCGGTCTTCACAGTTGTTGCATGCACAATTGTGGCAGCCTGTATTCTGTTCTTGACCACAAATGCCCAGACGCCTCGATAGATTATTGGGTAGTGTATGGAAATGTTCGTCACAGTCGTAACCCCTCGCTCTTTGCGCCGTCCAAGATTCCGGTCTTCGTGCGGCTTACTGCTCTTCCAAAACAGCCCATGTGTTGTCGTCGACAGTAGTATAGATGAGACCCCCTTCAAGGAGTTCATCACCAGCATCTGACACCAGACCAGTATCTATGCCTAGCCCAGCTGCAATGTCTTGCACATCCAGACCCTCGTTTGACTGTGGTGCCTTCCTCAAGTACTGATACACTTTCCTTGTAGTAGCGCTGAACTTCGCCAATTCTCCAACCGGTTGTTCCTGGGCTCTATTGGACAGACCCTGATTAGCTTCAGCTCCAGCTCCAGCTCCAGCTCCAGCCCCTGTCTTGCTGTTCAATGGACCTCTAATGTAGTATGCATGTACAGCTGTAACGTTTAGTAGGTGCCACGCAATTTCGTTATGGTCCGTTACAGGCCGGATCATGTTCGAGATGAGATTTCTCTTGTCGTTATAGTTGTTGATCTTCCCCCACACCCTGCAATATGCTCCCTCTACAAGGTTGGGATTGGGTTCCTCCGCATCTGCGTCCCTCCACATCTTGACTTCGATAGTGCTTGTACCATCGTCTATCTTGTACGTGATGTGGGTTGTTTGTACGGCGACGTTCCGTATTTGGCCGACCACAGCGGCTGTTACAACGAGATTATTGTCGATCTTGAAACCTTCAGCGTCCTGATGGCCGTCCATGATTTGCTTGATTGTGAGCGGGCGAAGGCGTTCGGGCTGTCTGGCCTGCAGAAATCATTAGCTGTAGTTTGAAGCAGATGATGTACAGCGATACTGACGCCTGATTGCTGTCCGCTGGGACTGTTCTGGCTACCCTCCGCCATGAAGCCGCCTCCGCCACCGCCGGCGCCATAGGTCGTGTTTGATTCATAGGCGTTGTAGTCTGCAATTCAAATGAGCGTTCTGAAACAGACCATCATGAAAGGTAATACATACTCATTTCGAAGGTGGCAATGTAGTGCGGGGAGTTTTTGCAGATTGACGCCTTGGATGAGGGGAGGTTGAATATATTGGAAGACGCGCCGACGCGTCTGGAAATCTGACAGCCCCACCTCCGCGCCATTGGTCAACTTAGTTCTGGCCCGTGCGTATAATTTTTCGGCCTGCGTCGCATTTCGACGCTTAATGGGAAGATTTTATTCGGTCTCCCGCCCATCACATTCAAAATGGCTCCTCGCGCGAGCTCCCCAGCGCTTTCAGAGAATGAGTTCGATATTGGGTCAGCACTTTTCGGCAACGACGACGGCTTCGATGCGCAAACGAACGACCTTTCTGCCGATTTTGGTGTGAATCTGGACATCCATAATGACGACGATGGCTCCGACGATGAAGCTTTTATTGCTGCCACCCAGGCTGCCTCAAACCGGAAGGCTTCGAACGTGAAGGGCAACTCCGTCAAAAAGGGCGGCGGGTTTCAAGCCATGGGTTTGAATGCTGCTTTGTTGAAGGCGATTACGAGCAAAGGCTTCAAAGTCCCGACTCCAATCCAACGCAAGGCTGTACCGTTGATAATGGATAGACAAGATGTAGTGGGAATGGCTCGTACAGGATCCGGGAAAACTGCCGCTTTTGTTATACCTATGATCCAATCTCTAAAGGGACACTCGGCGAAAGTTGGAGCTCGTGCTATCGTGCTCTCTCCTTCGAGAGAGCTGGCTTTGCAAACGCTGAAGGTTGTCAAAGAGCTGGGTCGAGGTACCGATTTGAGAACCGTCTTGGTCGTAGGAGGAGACAGTCTCGACGAACAATTCAACTCAATGACTAGCAACCCGGATATCATAATAGCCACTCCGGTAAGATTGTCTCTATCTTTCTTTTCATCGAAACTCTCTAATGCAACCACAGGGCCGCTTTCTACACTTGAAGGTGGAGATGGATCTGGACCTTTCATCTGTGCGATATATTGTCTTCGACGAAGCCGACCGGCTGTTTGAAATGGGTTTTGCTGCTCAGTTGGCCGAAATTCTCCATGCCCTACCGACGTCAAGGCAGACACTGTTATTTTCCGCTACACTTCCCAAGACCTTGGTGGAATTCGCTCGAGCCGGTCTACAAGATCCTAGGTTGATTCGTCTTGATGACTCTAAAGTGTCACCTGATCTCGAAAGTGCTTTCTTCATGCTTAAAAGTGCTGAGAGAGATGCCGCTTTGCTATATCTCCTCGAAAAAGTCATCAAAATCCCCACGGGTAAGACAGAAGCAGCAAAAAATGCGGAGGAGGCAGCTGCAACTGGGAATCACAAGAAGAGAAAACGGGCCCCCGAAGGTTCAAAGCCTAACGAGCTGCCTACTGCAAACTCCACGATCGTATTTGCAGCAACAAAACATAGAGTGGAATACTTGTCGACTCTTCTGAAGACGGCTGGGTATTCTGTATCCTACGTCTACGGAAACCTTGATCAAACGGCAAGAAAGGCGCAGGTTCTGGATTTCAGACAGGGCTTATCGAACATCCTTGTGGTGACAGATGTTGCTGCACGAGGTCTGGATCTACCATATCTTGCAAATGTCATCAATTATGACTTTCCCTCTCAACCAAAGATATTCGTTCACCGTGTGGGGCGGACAGCAAGAGCTGGAAGAAAGGGTTGGAGTTACAGTTTGATTCGCGAATCGGATGCTCCTTACCTAATAGATCTACAATTGTTCCTTGGGAAAAGACTCGTTTGCGATAGAAAGTCAGTAGGTGGAGAACCAAACTTCGCGCAGGACGTAATCGTTGGGACCTTCATCCAAGATGAGCTTGAGCCTATGGTGGAAAGAGTCCATGGATTGCATGATGCCGAATATGATCTCCATGATCTCGAAAAAGTTGCCGGGAAAGGTGAAGCCCAATATATTCGGACGCGCAATTCTGCCAGCACCCAATCCGTCAAGCGAGCTAAGGAGCTATTAGCCTCTCGGAGCTTGTCTAGCACTCATTTGCTGTTCGGCGACGAAGTTTATGATGCGTTAAGAGAAAAAGAGAAGATGCTGGAGAAGATCAGTGCTTTTAGGCCAACGGAATCAATTTTCGAGATTAGTCACCACGGTACTAGCAACACTGCAGCAGAGGTCATGCGTAAAAGACGAGAGCAAATCGACAAGATGAAACAGAAAAAAGCGCGACAATCTGATGATTTGGACGTTGCAGAAGATACCCCGGAGTCCAAACAAGCAAAAGCTCTCGATGGGGACTCAGACGATGCAGAAGAACTCGAAGATGTGGATATTGGGAGTGACTCAGATGAAGAGTTGGAAGTCTCCGTCTCACATCCAGAGTCTGGTAAGACAGGCAAGGATGACTTCCAAAACTCGGAATTTTTCATGTCATATCAACCCAAAGGCATCAACGTGGCAGAAGATAAGGGATACGGCGTTCACTCAGGTTCATACAACACTGCTCAACAACAGAGTTCCAATTTCGTCGAGAGCGCTCGGGCAGCACAGTTTGATCTCACCAACGACGAAACGCGAGGTTTTGCAGAGCCGAGCAAAGCTCGAGGGATGCGCTGGGACAAGAAATCCAAAAAGTATGTGGCTAGGACAAACGACATAGACGGATCCAAGGGCGCCAAGATGATTACAGGAGAGAGCGGCCTCAAGATTGCGGCCAGCTTCCGCAGTGGACGATTCAATGAATGGCGTAAGACGAACAAGGTTGGCCGGCTACCGCGTGTAGGCGAACTGGAGACGTCTGCAAATCGGGCTGCGTCGCATAACAGCGGGCAGCACTACAAGCACAAAGCACAAAAGGCACCCAAAGAAGCTGATAAGTATCGTGACGACTACCATGTCCAAAAGAAGAGGGTCGAGGAGGCGAAGCAAAACCGTATCGGCAAGTTCAAGGATGGCAGCGGCAAGAGCGAACTCAAAGGAGTCGATGATGTCCGGAAAGACCGGCAGCTCAAACAGAAACGACAGGAGAAGAACGCCAGACCTACTAAGAAAAGGAAGTTCTAAGTGCAGTCGCTACATCAATGAATACTATCACGTTGTGCGAAATTGTCTTCTAGGGCAATCGGAAGAGTGCCGGTTGGACCAATGCAACACTTGTGCTCCTCATCTTTGCCATGCTCCACACGGAGATGATATCTCCGCCAGTCCTCAGGCATGCTTAAGTATTCTGCGCTACTGTCTGCCGACGCCTCTAAGGCAAATGTTCACAGAATTATGCGAAGACGCCCTGTCCATCACTGGGCACGGTCTAGCAGCGCAGCGCAATGCACGTCAGCTACCTTCAAATATAAAGCGCTGTGCCACAAACGGGCATGCAGGTATATAATCGACCCACCCGCAGATCATAGCAATTAAACTAGGTTGACCAGTCGAAGAATGTATTTGGGGGCGTATCGTCATGAAACTCTAAACTCCAAAAAGTACGGGGCTGTGAGTGGAGCTGCGACGAGCCGTGGTGCTGACTGATTTCCGAACGTTGCGCGTGCTCTCAAAGGATGCTATGTCTTGAACCCGAAAAGCTGCCTTGTGAAGTGAATCAATGCTAACAAGCCAAGAAGCCCTCCCGTTCTGTGCATATACTGCGAGCTTACCTAATTTTCCCATGTCAGATTCGGTCGCCGAGCAGTGTGGTTCGCAACTGGGACTGAAGAAGCGCGAGAACCGATTCAAGTAATGGCCTCGTCGTGGCATGGAAGCGGCCGAGCAGAGTAGGCGTTGCAGGTGAATGTCACTGGTAACGCGAATTAGCACATGCAAACTTACGACAAGCGCCGGTTGATTCAGCAAAGACTTTGCGAGTCATCGTCGGTCGCTACATAGTTTGCACCGCGATTTAGCGATTTGGCGATTCGGTGATTTCCATTCTGGTCGCAGGAGGAGGCAGGATTGGGTGGGAAACTTCCCGTGTTGCGTTTCGAAGAGAAAGCCCCAATATGTGACAGTGGACCTCTTCACGTCGGCCGGTGCTTAGCCAAGTCAGGGCCGCGAGAGCAAGAAGGCGAATGGCTCGCATCGACTGCCTCGATGCTGCAGATTCAAACGTTGCTGATCCTGCTGCGTCCTACTCATCCCGTCGCGATTCCTACGGGAGCGCCCCAACGGCGTTTCTGCAGAGTCGTCACAAAAAGGCAAACAGTAATCACCTTCTGGGCTATGCGAAAGCGAGGTGATGGACTCAGTGGAGCCTCGCTCAAACACATTGTCGGTAACCAGGCGCTACTCCCCTCTCGGTAGCTATTGCGCTGGCGGGGCCCAGATGCTATCATATATCTATCCCACAGTATATTTTCGCTCGGGGGCTCCTCCCTGCATCTTAGTCCATTGCCACCAGCCGACGCTACTCGGCGAATTTGCTGGAGAGGACAAATCTCCGTGAAGCTACTGCTGGTGTGCAATCTGCTCATACGCACGCGAAGCATTTCGCACAATCAACGGAACAAACAAATGCGAGGGGCGTAGTCGAGACGAGCGAGCCCACCCCATCATGGACGGGCAATAACAAGGGAGGACGACGACGGAAAATAACTCGACAAATTATCCACCAACACACGTCTACGACTTCGTACGGGCCGCACCCAGTGCAAATCGAGAATGGACCCCCAGCATGAACAGTGCGGCCCCGGGTCCCGTAGTGAAGGATGGGCAGGCTCAGGGGGTCTTCCAATACTCATCCCCTGTCCCCCTGCTCTACTTTTGGCACAACGTGTTCGCAGTTTGCAGATCGTGCGCGGTTGATTCCGCCGTCCGTGGCCATTTGCATAACCTGGATGATGGATGCGCTCATTGTCGGACGGTTTGGAACAATGACCTTGATATGCTCGGGTTGCAGCCAGCAGCATACGTGCGAGCCTGTGTACAGAAAAGCAAAAGCCGAAGCCAGAACCCGTATACGGGCTTCCGCGTATCCGCTGCAGCGGCCCTCCCGAAAGGACACGGCCATGGTGGCACTGCATGACGCCGGTCCAAGAAGGATTGGAAGATGCATTTCCCGAGAACAGCAGGGCGGCGGCCGTACTAATATCTATGTAGCTATCACTCGTGAGCAAGAGAAGTCGTCGCGACAGGTTCTCTTGGGCTTATGAGCATCTTCCCTGGCCTCGCTTCACGAATACGAGGCCTGAGCCAATTTGGAGAAGCTATAGACCTTCTGTTATTGTCAATATTTCCGATGCCATTTTTGGATCACGGAGTTTACTAGGAGGGTTAAGATCCCGTATTCACCTACAGGGCTTCCACGTTGCAACATGCAGCCCTTGAAGAACAAGCAAGGCATCCTCTGTCCAAGGCTCCAAAAGTCGTTTTACTTCCTCTCTTGGTGTGTGCAGCGGTCCGCCTGGGGTCAGCTTACTGCTCACGGGATGCAGAATCGCAGTTGGGGGGGTAGTTGTTGGATCTCCACTTGGAGAAGGTGGGTTTCGGCGAAGCCTACGTTTTGGTCTGGAACCAGTCCTGGACTGCAGCAACACGCACATATATGCTACATGGTACATTCCATCGGCGGCAAGCGAACAGAGAGTACCGTGTGGTATGCCGGCACAATGAGCAGACTACCCTGTTTCCCAGATATGATCACATCGAGGGGAGGGCAGGTGATATTGCGAAATCGTCATCACGAGCAGCCTCTGACCTCGGAGGACGCCTCAATATCAATCAGTCTTGAGCTATTCTTATCCCCACCCAATCTATTCCCTAGTCGAACCTCAGCGACGGGTTGACGAGATCGGTAGGGTCCTGTTTCCGCATTTCCGAGCTCAAGCTTCTCATTGCTAAGCATGTCAACATGGTCGCTTAAGTCAGGCCCACTCCGTCGTGCAGCCAGTCCGCTCCGCCTGCTGTACCAGGCGCTAGAGCTCGTATGTGTGGATGCAGGCTACGAGGGCACATTTTGCTGCCCATTGGCTGCTCTGACGCCTGTGATGGATTCCCACACCCTCGAGAATTGGACATCGTCGTCACACGTAGACGTCAACCCCCCAATCAACGAAATGACCTGGAAAGGGTTTTTATTGACGAGTCGAATACCTTGTCGAGATATATCGGTGTCACGCGAGGATTCCCGTATAAGTCCCCGTACAGCTCAGTTGGGTAAGCTTGAGTGGGCCGCATGAATCGTGCAATCTCCGCAGCCGTTTCTCTCGGGCGATTTGAACGATCGACGACGGTAGCCAGGATGGAATACCACGACCGGAGCTTTTTTGTGGTTTTTCTTTCCTTCGAGGATATTTCCTGATCAGGCGGCCCACGGGGGTTGGGACGGCTATATTGGCTGAGATATTACAGCCGCCAAGGCCTCCACACAAGCCGCCACTGCGTGCTAAGAGCACAAACTTCTCGCATGGTTGGCCGCCACGCCTGTTCTTAGTGCATGATTATCAAATTTTGGGCCTTCGGAACAATTCGTCTCGTAGGGTCTTGTCATCCTGCAAACAAGACGGCAGACACTTCGCCTGACCTGGGACGCGGTCCCTCGATCTAAACTGGCTCGACAGGATTTGGTTTGGTGTACGCCATATGTCGTCCAAACTATCTGGGACCCTTCGTGGCAACACTCATGTCAGAAGGTATTTTTTCGCTAGGGCTCCAGACAGGGGCAGGAAAACACCCGGATGGACATCAAAAAACTCTACGTACAACGTCACTGGGTGTTGCTAGGTGAACCCCGCTGCTTGAATTTACCCAAGTGTCACTGCTCAGGGCTCTCGTATGTGATTGATCCCCGCTGGTTCGCAGAATACAGCATCAATTTCCAGTGCGGACGGGACATCAGCATGTAGATTTTCTTCTTCCTCTTTTCCGTGTGTTTTGTTTTCCTCAACCGATATTTGCAAGTGCCTGGTACCCTGTGCGACCGTTGTTCGCTACCATTGTTATCATAAAGTATAAAACTGAACAGGGCATGGCGAGGATAGAACCACCTGAGCAGCCGTGTATCAGATGGCATGACATCTAGTCTGCGACTCGGTAGCGATCTATACCGAGAGGAGACGAGGACCATTGACGGCGTGGTAGTGTCAAGCCCTATCCGCAGACGGCGTCGATCAGAGAATATTCCCATTGCTGCCCACGAGCACATCCCACCCTCCACTGTGGTGCTATACCGCCTTTAGAAGTAGATACCTAGTTGATGGGCTCTGCGCTACGCTTAAAAACACTGCTGGCTCTAAGGACGTCCAGCCCCGCGGCGTCTCCGGCCCTAGATACAACACGTGAGGCTCGAGTCGAGGACTTGCTTTGAGAGTCGACATTGGATGGAGTCCTCGGGAGCGTGAGTGATTGACAGCCGTGGCCCAGTGATGCGGGCCTGTCAATTGAAGCCACAGTCTCGACTGGCGTCGCATGCAAATGCGCGGTGGATGGAAATGTACATACGTACATACATGCATACACAGTACATGATACATACATATATACCACTAGCTATACAGGTGGAAGGGCATGGCTATGTGACCGGGGGAGAAGCAACTCGATGCTGGCCCCCTGTTGCCGTGCCATTCACCCACATCCACGGTCATGAATCCTGACTGACTCTCGTGTCCCGCTGTCACGCATTGCATTGATGGATTCCCACGCCGTCCGCTGGTTATATTTCCACCGGCTGCAACAGTGGTGCAATAGTGCGCCCGCTAACAAGAGATGGAATTCTGGCAGGGGGAGATAGCGGAAACTAGGCGAGCCATCCATCGAGCCGCTCCCCTTCCCTGTCCACAGTCTCCACGAGGACGTGCATAACCTCCGCGGCTGCGACTCATTCTTTGGGAAAGTAAAAACTGGCATGCTCTCTCTGCTTGTCCAAGAACCATCAGCCGAACAAGCTAGCATGCCGTCCCCGAAAGTGCCCTGCTCGCCTACGTCGACGCACTCTCGTCCCATGGCCCAGGGCTCTCTGTGGCCCCGTACTATGGCTGTCATCCGTCTGCAGGCGTACGCAGGGATTCTCGTAGAGATCTGAGAGACCTCGACAACGAGCCGATCGTGGTTATTACTGGAGGATCTCCCGACGCCTGATCAGACTTCTTTTTTGTTTGCCTTCCCCTAGAGTCTCTCTCTGGTTGCACCCTGCCCCTCCGCATTGGCTTCCCTCTTCTCTTGCAATCAATCCTCTTCTTTTATCCCTCCTCGTCGTCCCAAAAGATACGTCTCGTCTTGTCTTGTCTTGCAGGACCTGGACTGTCATTTGCACCCGTGTGTAAGACAAAGCAATCAAGCCCGTACGGGGGGTTTGCCTACGCCCTGACGCGAGAAGGCACGAGTGTTTCTTACGGGAACAGCGTGGTGTACGTTCGTTCGGTCAAGCAAGACGGGGACGTTTTAGATTCTGCCCTACCAGTGGGTTGCGGAAACATTTTGGAAAAAAAGGTAGCTTATTCGCGTTTCTTGTTCGCTCTGTTTGCATACCACCCCTGCCCACGGACTTCGTCTACTGGACGGACGTTTCTGATTCTCCGCGAGGAGCATGATATGTAAACTCTTGCAATTCCTGCTCACTCTTTTCTCGAGTTTGCGCCTTTTACAGTGCTTAATTTGTTTCATTGTTGTTGTTGTTGTTGAGTTTTGGTAGAGAGTGTGGACTTACTCGTGCTCGACATGCAGACCCAACAGCCACCCGTTGTCGATTCACCCTACCAGGAATCGTCTCACCTGAACGCTTCTGCGTTCTCTTCGGCCACGAGTCCGCTCGGCCTCCCCACCATATACACTGAGCATTGTGCTCCCGCTTCAGACGCGGCCTTTGAGCGCTGCACTGGCCGAGCTATGCAGAGTCTGTCCTTACCTCCTCCGACCTCACTTCCCTCCACGCCATTCGGGCGACGTCAAGAGCCAGGAAACAACCTGGTTCCACTACCCTCACAGTTCAGTCCCGGCCGGTCTGAACAATACTCTTATCCGTCCCCTCCCATGTCAGATTCCCACTCGCCTGCACGCCGCTCAGCTCAAATTGTCGATCCTGAGAGACACCCATTCCCCCCACCATTGCACGAGCCTCGCAAGATGATTGGAATCGCACCACCTCCACAGCATGCGCCTTCCCTGTTAGACCCTCGATCGTCAGGTCTTGGTCAAGGACATCCGCAACACCGGCCATTGTATCAAGCAGACTCTCAGCCAAGGACCCAACCTCCTCAGTATCAACCACCGCGACGATACGAAGCTTCTTATGGCGGATACCCAGCTGCGCAAAACTACGCTTATGGCTATCCCGCTCCAGAAGTTCCATCCTATCTTGGAGCTCAGGGTGTAGGACCGGGTCCCCAAGTACAGCCAGCTGCCATGCTCACACCGCAATCAGTGAGGCAGAGTAAGCCTGCGAGGAGAACCAAAGCCCATGTCGCATCTGCTTGTGTGAATTGCAAGAAAGCTCATCTTAGCTGTGATGTCCAGCGCCCTTGCGGGCGTTGTGTAGCCTCTGGAAAACAGGTCAGTACCCACTCCCGCCAGAGCCTTAACCACGATTTGTCTGTGTAGACTTGGAATTTGGAACCAGGCTGATCTCTCTTTAATAGGATACATGCAAGGATGTCCAGCACAAGAAGAGAGGAAGGCCAAGGTTGAGGGATGACAAGGACTTTGGAAGAAGCGACGAAGCAAGAATGCCTGCTCAGATTTCGACTCAATTGCTGGGGCCGTTGCCTTTGTCAGGCGAATTCCACGGCCAACAGTCTCCATTCTCTACCATGCACAGAGGCTCCGAATCCCACCGAGTACTTGAATCGTCACGAGATGACCGCCAGCAACCTTTGCCCACACCGACCGGTGGACACTCCTCGCGTCTTGGCAGTTACGCTGGTGAAGTGACTTCACCCTATTCAGCCGGTCCCCCAATGCCACACCATGCCCTGCCAATAGCTTTCTTGAATCTTGATCTTGTAGTCCAGAAGTCAAGTCAAAGTTTCCAGGATCTAGTGTCGTTCTTGGGTGACGTACGCGGTCAGAGTTTATCATACTTCCTGGAATCGCGACAGTCGGAGGTCTTGCATCGTCTGCGCACCGAGTTGCGTGACGAGAGAGACGAGCGAGAGCCAACATACATGGCTCCGATCACACCCGTCGGTTCCGATCCCATGCAAGCAGCAATGCAAACAGTGTCGGAGAGAGACGTTGAACATGTTAGCCAAGGATTCACCGACCGTCCCTTCCTCCTGAACTTCCGCCTACCCAACAACCAACACCAGACACTTCAAACCCAGATTCGACTCGCAAAGACATCTCTTTACTTCGTTACTCTGGTCGTGCACACTCCTCCACGGCCAGTGGGACCTCCTCTTTTGACACAGCAGCTCGCTCCGCCCACACCCACCCACGCCTCTCAGACCAGGTCTGCACCCACGAATGCACCCAGCCGAGACTTTGGCAGCTATTCGAGCCGACGGCCTTCATCGTCCGCTAGCTCTGCGCCAACTTCTCCCTACTACAACTTCACATCGGTTCGGACCTCACTTCCAGCCATCAGTTCCAGCTCTTACGGGAGCAGCCCTTCGTACGGCTACCCCCCAACAGTTGGTCCCGAGCAGGGATATTTCCCGACTTACCAGTCGCCTTCCCAGCCGGGAGCGTACCCCTCTGGCTACCCTTCGGCACACAGAACAGGGTCAGTGACGTCTGAGCCTCAGTTCCAGCCACCGCCCCCGTCTTCTGCGGATCGCCCTGCCCGGCTAGAGGGGCTACACCTTCCACCTCTTCGCACGATCCCTGCGCCACCGCCTTTGGCATCACCATTGAGCCAGGAGTTTGGCGAGGGTGCGAGAGATCGAGAGCCGCGTGTCAAAAGACGAGAGTCGCCCTTGAGCGCTGAGTCGCAGTCGGATACACCTGAAGCGGGAAAGCGCCGTCGTTTGAACATTCATGAAGTGTTGGAGTGAGGGCATCGTTTTTGTCGATGCATAACATGCATACGACAGCTTCGATGTATAGGTCATGGCGTTGCTCGCGATCTGGTGCTTCAGTGAACGACCTTAGGGCATTGGAGCCCGTATGTCTACTTCCCGATACTGTGATATGTATCGTCCTGGTCTGCCTGAAGGGTAATCGACACCTCTGAGATTAGTACATCTTTGGAGATTTTCTGCGAAGCGGCTCCTCTGCAGGACGTTCTGTTTTCCATATTCACTATTCACCAGTCCTGCATCAGTCCCTTCTCGAATTCAAAAGTTCGAGGCGCCTTTCAGAACAAGCGCGCCTGGAAGAAAAGACAATAGAAGTATGATCAAAAGTGTATTTCGCAAAACAATGGGATCGCGGAGCCTTTTTATATTCGCTATTTCTTCACATCGATTGATCGCGGAGCTCGGTCGCATGCACGTGCATCCAAAAGATTGCTCGCGTGCGCTCTGGACCTCCCTGTGGCACTTCTTGCTCTCGACTAGCCAAAGAGAAAACCGTCTCAATACCCTTCCAATCAGTCATCGCATTTATCAAAAGTGGATGAAATTTCAATGAATTCCATTAACCTTTCAAGCACTTCGGATGCGCGGGCGAATGTACTGATTGGTACGGAGAATTTGGTGACCCGAGATCGTATCGGAAATCTGGAAGATCGACCCACATTGAGCGCAATCGTGCAGACCAAACCACACCGTATACTTGCATCGTGCGCCGCCAGTTCAAGTATTGAATTGAAAAAATCGAGGAAAAAGGGGGCGAATCGTTTGCATTCGAGGTCCCCGTTGAGGGCTCGAAGCGATGAATGGTAGCACATCACCACACACGTACACAACTTCGTCGGCCCCCCACTAGCGCGCTGGGGCTCGACTTGCAATCATTTGAGTATAATTTTTATTGTTTTTTGTTTATGTTTTTTTCTCGTCTGTTTTAGCAAGTAACCCATGATGTTTAATAGCTGAATGGAAGGGGGTTTTTGTGCAGGTCCAAAGAATCGCAGTGGTGGATGGCCTACACAATTTGTATATGGAACAACAGACACAGCAACACGTACAAAACATCTTCATCGATGGATACCATTTTCATTTCCCTTCTTCTGTTTCTTTTACAGATATTTGGTCTTATACCCCCTCTTCTACGTATGAGGAAGAGCTCACTGTCTATTTTTTCCCTCTTTCTTTTTTCTATCTTGTTCCTTGATTGTTATCCGGGGTTTGGGGCTTTCTTGTGTGCTTGTAATTTTTAGTCCTTCGACGTAAATAGTTTGCCTATGAATAGGTATAAAAATATTGTTTGCTGCCTAAGATTTCACCGAGTATGATGGCCGCTGTGCATATATATGTATAAATATCCGAGATGCGATGTGTGCTTTAACATGTAGACTTTGATGCTGCTGCTAGATGCTTGAGACTCTGTGTATCAACGAGCTGTAGTACGTGGAAGTGATGTAAACATCAAGACAGACGTCGCAAGCAAAAGAAAAAGAATGTCGCTCATTCATCGATGACATTGTGAGAAATTTGATTTTATGTTACAGGACGTGACCTCCTGCAATCCTAACACGCATAATTGCGAGGAGTTCTATAGTCCGTTGAAGAAGACTGGCATGCTTCCATCTACTCAATACACACAACGCCATATCCTTCCAGAGACCATTGCCCCAGACACCATGCTTTCCCTGAACCCGATCCCACAAAACGCCATAAAGTAAACCAGGGTATGCAACCATCGACGTACAGACGTCACCCCACAATCTTCATCTTCTTTTTCTTCTTCTTACCCTCGCCCGAAGCCTTGCCCTGCTGATAATCCCTCCAATTATTGATCCTCGAGTCCCTCGTCTTCTCCCACGCCTCGTCATGCGCGCGCTTGCGCTTCCGCTCGGCAAGCTCCTCCTCCTCCTTCTTCTGCTGCCGCCCTTCCTCGCGCAGCTGCGCCTCCATCTGCCTCCGCTTCCGCTTCTCGTTATCCATAATCACCCACGTCGTCTTCTCGCGCCACGCTTTTGCGAATTCCGCGCCGCGCGTTTCCTCGTCGTCGGCAGTGAGCTTGCGCTCGCGCATCAGCAGCATGCGGGCGTCGGCGATGTGTTCGTCGAGCTCCGCACGCTCCTTATCGTCGGAGAGCGTCGTCTGCGCTTTCTTCAGGCGGTCAAAGGCGTCGGGCGCTTTTGGGTTGGTCGTTTTGTCCGGGTGGATCAGCAGCGATTTGTTGCGGTATACTTTTTTGATGTCTGAGGCTGGGACACCCGGTTGCAGGTCTAGAACCGCGTACGCGTTGAGCTTGAACACGTTCATGATCCGCTCGATCTCGGTGTCCTGGTGAGAAATAGGTTAGTTTCTTTCTTGCCTTGCCAGATGTTGTGGAGATGCTTGGGGGATGAGTGGAGTGCGCGCGCGTGTGTGTGTTCTTACTTTATCGAGCTCTCGGCCAGCTGCCTCGAGCTCGGCATCGATGTCGCCCTCGATTTCTGGTTCGTCTTTGGCCATTGTGTGGGGTTTGGTGTGTGAGTTTGGTGGGTGTTGTGGGTGGTTGAGGGAGAGGGGAGAGGCAGCGGCGGAGATCTGTAGCACCTCCGCCCCGGCTAGCTAGAACGATAACGTTTGGGCACTTCCGCCTCTCAAGTATGAGTACACAGGAACCTCAGCAGCCTTTCAGAAAGCTATGAAACTATGAAGCGATATCTGTATGTGTGACAGCGGGATGCAATGTCCTCCGAATGAAATAATCCTAAATTTGTCAAATGGACCGCCTTCCGCCGGCCAGCCAGCCATCCGCTAGCAATTAAGCTCCCCGCTGCGCACGGACTCCGATATTTTTTTACCAAGTCCAATACCGTCCCAAGTTCAATCCCTCTCTCACCTTTCGCAGATCCACACGAACTCGTTGAAATGGGCGCACCAGGTATTACAGGTCGCACAAGACCTACAAAAGTCAAGAAACAGATTTCGGCACAAAAGCGGAAACGGGAAGACGTTGATACCGAGAAATTGGAGCAGGCTGTTGCGGAGCTTGTATGCGCCTTCCGCCTTCTGATGATATGGTCTATATGCTGATGAATTCAGGACATCAAGAATGGCGCGTACAAGGATTTCACCGATCTCCCTCTTTCCGATCCTACCAAACAAGGCCTCAAAGCGTCGCATTTCGCCGTAATGACCGATATCCAATCCAAAGCCATACCGCTTGCTCTCGCTGGTCACGACATCCTTGGTGCAGCAAAGACGGGCAGTGGAAAAACCCTTTCTTTCATTATACCTGTCTTGGAGAATCTGTACCGTTTGCAACATGTTGGCACCGATGCCGGATTGGGAGCGTTGATCATCTCTCCGACTCGAGAACTCGCTATTCAGATCTTCGAGGTGCTGTGCAAGCTGGGACGGCATGGACATATGTTTGCGGCGGGCTTAGTGATAGGTGGAAAGAGTTTGGAGTCTGAACGACAAGCCCTGACGAGAATGAACATCCTGGTCGGCACACCTGGGCGCATCTTACAACATCTGTCGCAAACCTCCGGATTCATGGTCGACGATCTAAAGATGTTGGTCTTGGATGAAGCCGATAGAATTCTCGATATGGGCTTCCAAAAAGACGTGGACGCCATCATCGAGTATCTACCCAAAGAAAGACAGACCCTCCTCTTCTCCGCCACGCAGTCGAAGAAGGTTTCCGACCTCGCACGACTCAGTCTTCAGGATCCAGAATACGTCTCTGTACACGCCGAGGACAAGAGCGCGACCCCAAAAACCCTGCAACAAAACTACATCATCTGCCCCCTGGAGGAAAAGCTTGACACGCTCTGGAGTTTCATACAATCCAGCAAGAAATCCAAGATTGTCTGCTTCTTTTCCTCTGCGAAATCAGTTCGTTTTGTCTACGAGTCATTTCGTCATATGCAACCTGGTATTTCACTGTTACATATCCACGGCCGCCAGAAGCAAGGAGCTCGGTTGGATGTGACTGCGAAGTTCGCGGCCGCAAAAGCTGCGTGTCTGTTTGCTACGGATGTAGCTGCGCGGGGTCTCGATTTCCCGGCTGTGGACTTTGTGATTCAAGTTGATTGCCCAGAAGATGTGGACACGTACATTCATCGCGTTGGTCGAACGGCTCGTTATAACCGTGAGGGTCGCGGTATTCTTTTCCTCGCACCGAGTGAGGAGGAGGGCATGCTGAAGCGACTCGAAGCCAAGAAAGTGCCAGTCGAACTCATCAACGTGCGCCAAAAGAAGAAGCAATCCATCAAAAGTCAATTGGTGCACATGCTTTTCAAGGACCCTGAGCTCAAGTACCTGGCGCAAAAGGCTTTCGTCACATACACAAAGTCTATTTATCTACAGCGCGACAAGACTGTGTTCAACATCAAGAACCATGACCTGGAAGCATATGCTGCTAGCTTGGGTCTCCCTGGTGCACCAAAGATCAAATTCCTCAAAGACGACCCGAGCAAACAGAAGAAGCAACAGTCAAGACAAGAACTCGAGGTTCCTGAGTTGTCCGATGAAGACGTGGAGGAATTGGAGAAGAAGGCTGCCAAACCTGTACGCACCAAGTATGATCGTATGTTCGAGAGACAGAACCAGGATGTCCTTGCAGATCACTACAAGAAACTCGTCAAGGATGACGACGAGGATACAAGAGACTCTAACGACGAGGATGATTTCAATGGCAATACCGCGACAGCTCAAGCAGATGATGACGACTTTATGACAGTCAAGAGAAGGATACGAGCTGACGAGGACGGAGCTATCGAGCAAGGGGAAGATGAGGATGAAGATTCAACAGCGCCTCGCGCCAAGGTCGTCAATATCCAAGGCGCATCACAACCCATCATTATCGACAGCAACCGCCGCGAGAAACTGCTCAAGTCGAAGAAGAAGCTTCTCAAGCTCATGGACAAGGGCAAGAAGCTTGTCTACGACGAAGACGGCAACCCCCATGAGGTTTACGAGCTCGAGGACGAAAATGACTTCCTTGCCAAGGGCCTACCGGAAGAGCAGAGACAGAAATTCATCAACGCTGCCAAGGAAGTGGTCGCGCAGGCCGATGTGGAAGACAAAGCCACAGCGAAGGCCAAGAGAAAGGAGAAGTTGCGCAAGCGCAAGGAACGCGAGCGTGCGGGCCACGACGTCAGCGACGACGAAGACGACGAGGAGGGAGGCGTGCAGATTCCGGATACTGGCGAGGATGCATTGGCAAACTTCAGAGCCGATTTCGCGCACAGTGACGACGACGACGACGAGGATGTAAATATGGTGGATGACGAAGAGCAAGAGCCCAAGAAGAAGGCGAAGAAGTGGTTCCAGTCTGATTCTGAGGGTGAAGAGCGGAATAGTAAGAAGCGCAAGAAGGGGAAGAGGAACAATGCACCTGTGGTGCAAGAGCCGGAAACGTTGGAGGATATGGAGGCTCTTGCGGCTGGGCTGCTCGATTAAGGGGCGGAAGTTGTTTCTGGAGTTTTTGGTTCTTCAGAGGTCATTCTGTGTATTATCTTCTCAAAAAGCCCAGCGATTCATATTCAGCGGAAAATCCGATTCTTTCAATCATCACATATTACAAAGATTCATCGCCTATTCTCTTCAGAGTTCGTGAACGTGCGCCGTCTATCTATCTATCCCTTCTATCTCAGTCATCCCACGCCATAGTCCCTATCATCGACCTCACCGACTTGGCCATCCTCAAACACAAAGCCCCCCCACTCCCATCCTTGCACTGCCCATTGGGCGCCCCAAACATGTTCGCCCGCTCCTGCGACTCCATACTCTTATCAACATGCCACTTCTTCTGCCTAGCCTCCATCTCATCTAGCAATTTCACCAACGGCATCTGGAAATGCCCACCACCCAACACCTCCGTCTTGAGCGCCGTCTTACACAGCTTCTTCCAGTCCTTGGGATCGAGCTGTACCACGAAGCCCATGGGACAGTCGAGCGCGCCGGTGTGGAGATGCAGGTTCTCAGGGCTACTGTCGCCGACTCTGAAGGACTTCTTCTCGCTCGCTGCGTCTGCGCGCGCAGCTTCGGTTTCGACATGTTCGAGGACGCGGTGGTAGCGTTCTGCGAGGGCGGTTAGGAGGGACGTGAGGGACGACACGTTTTGCATTGCGGCGAAGGACTGCTGGGGGCATTTGGGGCAGTGTAGGATCGTGCTGGCGGCGTTGAGGGCTGTGCGGAGGCGGGGAATGATTAGTGGGAAGGTGAAGTCGGTGATAGCTTGGAGGTCGGTGATGGTGAGGTATGTTAGGGAGAGGCAACTGCAGGGTCCCGTGTCTGAAATTGTGCTGTTGCTTTGGGGGGACGTATTGGGGTTGGGCATGCTCCAGAGTGAGGGGTCGATGGAGTTGGCGTTGAAGCTGGGGATGTGTTAGAGTTGTTCTTTATCGGTTTATGAAGGAGATGTGGTTACTCGGGTTCTGGTGGTGTGGCATCTTGTCCGAGTTCATTGTTCACGGCTGCTGCAGAGTATGCCGGGAATTCCATAGGAAAGCCGGTGTCACTTTGAAAGCCTTCCACTCCAAACATCTCGCCGAACCCAAAAGAATTCTCCAGGTCGTTCAAGTTTGGTGAGTCGAAATTTTCCGCGCTCGGCGCTGTGGATGATGGTTGTTGTTGCTGCTGTGGTACTTGCTCCGAAGATTGTACTTCGCCGTCCTCGCGCCTCCTTTTCCTCGGCCGTCCCATGGGCTTCTGCGGGGAGTATCGACAGTTTATATTTTCTCTTTCACATCGACTACATGTTGGATGGTTTCCCGAGCATTTCAGTTTCCGCATGCCTTTTCTTTCTGTATCAGCACGTGCATCTGTGGAACATTTGTAAGTAAAACTCACGGCATTCATCGCACGCCGCGTGCAACTTCTCGGTGCTATTGGCTTCCACCATATCTGCACGCTTAAAATGATATTGTATAGTGAATCTTGTTGGCAAGCGCTCAATGCATGTTATGTAGAAGTGAAAGACAGGATAGTACTCACATCTCACAGTCAGAGAGGATGCGTATAGCTATACCTATAGTGGATCGGCCTAAACCGCGTTGAGAATCATTAGCGCCAGCATGACTTAGCTCGAAGTTGGATCACCATTGCTTCGAATATTCGCCACACACTTGATCTCGACGACCAGAGTTTAGGATTATCGAGTCGCAAGCAGATTTACCTGACAACCTCCTGGAGACATTGTACAATCATGTATGTAAAATTGGCGTAACCACGAAATCACGGAACTTTTTCCAACGTAACGAACAGTACTATTCGTTCCCAAACAATAACTTATTGGTCTGAGATTCGTTTGGAATCACATTCTTTGTAATCGGGCGAGAGTCAATCAGAACTATGATCAGGTTAAGTCTTTGGCGATATAGAAAATCGTGAATTCAATCCCTCTCCCCTTTCCCAATAATACTATATAGTGTACTGCCTCATAATAACACCCCAAGCTCATGTATCATCGCTACCGACAAGCATCCAATTTAGACATTAAACAAATAAACTATAGTTCCCAGAATCATTGATATTTGCAGAATCCGCTCCTTAGAACTGCTTAGCATGCTTACTCTTCTTTCTCAATGTTGCACCATACCGATACAGCAAGAATGGAATCGGGATGAATGCAACACCCAAGAACGCCAACAAACTGCTTGCCCACCCTACGCCAAGAGTTTTGTACATGGCAGATGCAAAGAGTGGGAACCCTGCACCGAACGCCGATCGAAACAGGTCATTTCCTGCGAAGATGCTGGCCACGTCGTTCGGGTACGCATCAGAAAGGTACGGGAGCACAGAATTGAACAGCAGGAACGCGGCAACCCCAAAGAAGCCACTGCCTACGATAGGCATAATCCAATGAATCGAGGGGCGCGCCGACCATCCGAACCAGAACAAGCAAATCGGCACGAAGAAGGAGCCCACCATGGCGGGTATCAGTCGTTTCTCTGGCTCAATCTCGCCTTTGTCGTTGAACTGTTTCTCCTGGTGGAAGTAGAGCCATGTGAAGAGGAAACACATAGTCACGATTGTACCGACAAGGAGGCCGAGGAAGGCAAGACCTTCTTCGCCGAGGTTGAAACCGTAGATTTCAATAAAGACGATGGGGAAAGACTCAAACCAGATGTATAGAAGGCCGTAGATGAGCGCAATGTAGAGATTTAGGAGGAATACCATGGGTTCGGTGAAGTTGAGCGTTATTGGACGGACGAAGGTCATTGTGACAATCTATAAATGGGCATGTCAGTCGCTATCAAGACAATTAAACATTCGGCGCTTATACGGCACAGACACTTCAAACGCCGAGAAGCTCGAGGTAGGAACATATGTCACGGCCATTCGAAGGCACCTGAAAATAAGAAACGATGGGTAGAACTTACGTCTTTTCCAGTCATTTGCTCGGCCATCATCTCGGGTTCACATGTCAGTTTGTCGTTTCCAGTAAGCTTTCGAAGTCTTCTCGTCCTGCGGTACAGGATGTTCGTACTGCTTGTCTCCGGGAAGAGAAACACCAAGAAAACCCAGCACACCCCACTCAACCACATGAGTTCCCAAATCGTCCACGTCCAGCCCTCAGCTTGTACAGCAAATCCGCCGATCAAAGGACCGAGTACTGGACCGCTTACAGCTCCTATACCCCAAATTGCCAAGCCATACGCTTGTTTTTTTGGACGGTACATATCGGCGATCGTGGCCCCGCCTGTAGCCAAAGCAGGAGAACCGAAGAGGCCTGTAAGGAAACGAAAAGCAAGAAGCATTCCAAAGTTCTTTGCCATAGCCGTTGGAATCTGAAACATGACGAAGATAACTATAACCACAGTGTTAACGATGTGCATCATGCCCATGTACGCGGCCAGACTTACATAGTGTTCCAATGTAGATGGGACTGCGGCCAATATATGGAATCTCGCTGAGAGGCGCCCAAATCATAGGCCCTAAACCGTAGCCGGCAACATACAGGGTCAGTCCTAGGGTGGCTGCCACCTGGCTCACACCGAACTGTTCTTGGACACCCATGATACCGGCAGTATAGATGGCGGAGCCAATATACACACTGAAGGTGAGGAACACTACTTCAAACGTAACGAAGAATCGCTTGCCGCGAGACCAATTTCTGGGGTTCTGTAATTGTTAGAGTCACGTACTATGATCCGAAACATTGACAACGTACCTCAGGATCGTCAGGTCCATACCAATCGATCACAGTCCTATCCTTGCCTTTTTCCGGGTCAACTTTAACACCGCTTGCTCCATTGACGCCAGTCTCGCTTGAAGTATCGTCCAGCGGCAATTGTGTACGGGACGAAGAAAGAGAACCAGCAGTGTTATCCGCTTCTCTGGCTCTTACTCCGCGTGTAGAACTCAATTCCTCTCTCTGCCCCTCCTCAGGCGGGCCCGTCGTCCCATGATGCGCCATATAACCGGATTTCTCTTCATTGACATACTTCTTCAATAGTGCGTGATCCTTCTCTTCGGGATACTGGAAGTAACGTCCACCGCTGGCAAGGCGCACGAGTTGGCCAAACGTCGAGTCTCGGAAGAGATCCCACACCATCCTGGTTCAAATTTGCTCCCGGAAATGGGTATAAATAGAGGATAAAATATCAATATCGTTGCAAAATGCATAGCGTAGCAGTCGCGGATATGTTAAATACTTGACACTCGGAAAATTTCCGAAGGGCCTGCTTGACATCATCAAACTTGTAGAATGATCACTCTAGGGGACTAAGAACTCGCTATGCGCACTCGTCGGTCCTCGCACTCTTCCGAGGGCGAACAACGTGGGAAAAATGGATCCCGTCGCAGATTTCACATGAGATCGGAAGTGCAGGGACCGATCTTGTTAAAGCGCCCGCGGCGCTCTTAAGAAATCGATGACGCGAAGCGCTAAAGCGATCGACGCTACTTTGACGTTGAGAGAAGCTTTGCACGAGGGTCACTGCAGGCTTCCAAGGATGTCAGCCATAAAAAGTTTGGGAGTCGGAACATGTCTTGATATGCTTAGTGAGAATAGGGCGGTCTCGACCCAAGACTACGTATCGCGAGTGGTGATTGAGAATGAGTAAGACAGGAGACTAGGACTCGAATGACATCTTCCATGTGCGTGCTGTGCTGTGGAATTGCGACTATTTTTTTTTGATTCGTTAATCTCATCACTGCGTGCTTTCGAGTGGCGGGCGGCTCGGATACGTTTTGTCACCGCGACTAAAGGGGTCCGTGGACTCCAGAGATATAGGGCCACGTGAAGTACCTGTCACCATAGCAGATGATTGATAATCGAAAATTCACTAGAATTGTTTTCTTGGAATCATGTCATCGCCTGCACAGCAAGGTTAGTATGATATATGACGCACTGGTGTGTGGACGTCGTGCTTAGCGTTCTGCTGCTTGCCCTTGACATGATGTAGTGAGGGTTAGGGTTTGTTTGAATATGGTCGAGTCAGTCGTAAGTGGCTGAACTACACTGATATCCCATACTGTCTCTGAATGCCGTGAATTACGATTGAACTCTCTTCCACTGTTTGCAGGTCAACGAGGTGAACACTCTGCTTGTAGAACTGACAATGTAGGATGAATCGTAAGGCATTCGCATTTCGTAAAATACTCCGATTCTTGCCATGAGCAGTAGACGAAAGAAACGAAGTATTCATAAGCCGACCCAAAGAGACTTGAAATTTTCTGCTAAGATGCAGAAGGACGCTCGACAATGTTTGTTCATTCCACTTGATATGCTTCTGTATGAGGTAGTCGAGTGAAGTGCGATCGGCTGGGGCTAGATCTTATCTTTATCCATCGCGCTAGCATCTTGGCCCTTGCAACCTCATTCACCAACTTCCGACCGCATTCCAAGCAGCAAATCACCATCTACCATTTGCACCTAAAAATCAACTAAACACCGACATCATGGCGGAAGCAAATGCTATTCAAGAGACGGACTCCAAAGTGGTCAAGGAAGACTCCCCCGAGAATCCCTCCACAGCAACAACCAAAACCACCACATCCACATCCTCCACCGATGCCAAATCCGCTCTCGCCGCCCGCATGGCCCGTTTCAAATCTCTTCAAGCTGCCAAGGAGAGTGGGCGCAAAGCGACAGAGCGCGAAGTACGCCTGGCTGAAGACTCATCCGCACGGCAAGCACAACTCTCCAAGCTTTCCGCAGCCAACGAAAAGGCCTCTTACAAGCTTCTCAAAGCCGACGACCCAGATTTCGAGCGAAAGCGCAACTGGGATTACACAGTAGAAGAGAGCGAGAATTGGGACAAGCGCATGGCCAAGAAGGCGCGAAATCGGGACGGTAACGCTTTTGCAGATTACCGCGCCGAGGCGAACAAAGTGTATAAAACGCAGATTGGGCGGTTGGGCAGTGTGGATCTTGAGGCGTACGCTGCGCAGAAGGGCGAGAGATTGCAGCGACAGGTACAATCTGGGCTGCTACAACTTGTGGAAACAGAGGATGGGGACGTTTTTACGGTTGACAAGGATGGGAGGATCAACACACCTGTGGAAGAGGGTTACAGTCATGACCATAAACCCACCAAGGAGGCGATTGACAAGATCGTAGACGATTTGGACAAGGGTGAGGCGGCAAGAAGAAAGGCGAGAGCAGCGAGAGGCATGAAGGACGAGGACGCGGGTGACGTGACATATATCAACCAGAAGAACAAGCAGTTCAACGACAAACTGTCAAGATTCTACAACAAATACACGTCGGAGATTCGGGAGAACTTTGAGCGTGGGACGGCGATCTAGGAGGGGGATAGGTCGTTATGGGACAGGGGAACGACTATGGCATTATACCCTCCGCATATTGGGCAAAACAAAAGGCGTTGTCACCACGGTCTTGGGCGTTTTGTATAAATAGCAATCACAATTTTGATTTGAATGTATCCTCATTCCGCATGGGTTCGCAAATGCTGCGGACATTACTCACGCTTCCTCCACTTTCACACTCTCTTATGCAAATCGCCTGTTAATCTTGAGTCTCACTCCTTCTTTGCCCCCTGATACTTCTTTCGGCTTCGTGTTTATGCAAGTCCCGGAATTCGATGTCAGGAAGCAATGGCATGGTGATGCGCCATCATATCCCGACTGGGCCGCTGCGCATTCAAATGTCAGCCTCTCGGATCAAAATTCCCATCGCTTACAGCGACAAGCTCTCTTTGCTCAGGGTCAAGGCGCGTAGCCAGCACGCACTCAGCCTAGCCCGCGAGAAGGCCAAATTTGGTCGTCGTAGTAAGAAGGAGACGTCCAAGTAACCCTGATTTATAAAAAAAGATCGGAATAAGATCTGCAAGATATTAAGGCCTTCTTGGAGGGTATGATAGGTCTCATGGCGCTTAACGCCAAATACTAGACGTGAAAGTTTGTGTGGGTATGTTGATATCGAGATGGGTGCAAGATATCCTGATTCCATAGAACGAATAGCGACGAAGAACTTGTATACCTTAGCTTGATACACGGGATGATCTCTACTATCAAAACTGTCTCCAACAATATTCCGCCCACTTGTCCTCAATGGAGCACGTTGGTACAAGCAGATAGAAACTTCGCGCTGGGCAAGGTCATTGCATACTGGGAACTGATATAGTGCAGCGTCTCGGCACACTGATAGTACATTGTAGCTTACTTGCATGGTTCAGCTTGACTCCGGATTTGCTGTTTAGATTTGCGTCCAGCAATTCAATGGATGTCGAATGGGACTCTTGTCAACTCTATCGAATGAGAATACATAGTACTAATTTACAAGACTGAATTATTCGGTTTTTAGATATGTGTCATTCCATTCTGCCTGGGTATCAATATTTATAACAAGAACGGAAGCAGACAACGCCGGGTCCTCAACCAAGTCCACCCCAAAAAAATTATACATTGCTTTCCTTTGTCAAAGTCTGTCGACCTCGAGCGATAGCCTCGCCCAAATCTGAGCCCACGGCTTTATTCCGCACACCAGCGATGAAACGTTGACCGCCATCCTTGTCATTCCTAAGTTTCGCTTCCTCTGCTGCAACATCCTGTTCAAGTTGACGCAAGCGTTCAAGACGCTGATCTTCCAATGAAGATGCATCTGCCTGCATGGCAGCAAGCCGTTCTGCAGCGCTGGGTCCAGTCTCCACTTTTTCTTTGCTTGAGGGTGGGGATGGGCGACGAGGTGGAGAGGGTCGGCGGTCTCGAGGACGTGGAGATCTCGAACGCTTCCGGTAGTCATTGTGGTTGCTTTTGCGGTAGGGGGAGCGTGATCGAGAACGTTGCCGGTAGTCATCACGATGGCTTTTCCGGTAAGGGGAGCGCGACCGTGATCGTTTCCGGTAGTTATCTTCGCTATCCCTCTTGGAACGGTCGTGCCTCCGCGGTGAGCGTGACCTGCGTCGGTAACGATCATCTCTATCCTCTCGTCTGTGCCTATGATGCCTCCGGTCTCGCTCATCGCGGTCTTTAGAAGCCGATCGTGACCGATCTCGCCGACTGTGATGTCCATGCCTGTGCCGTCGCTCACGGTCCTTCTCTTTGGCGCGTTTCTCTTCGTATTGCTGAGACTTCTGTGCTGCTCTCATAGCTTTGAGCTGCATCTCCATTTTCTGCTTCTGTATCATCAGGAGCGGATCCTCGAGCACCTTCTTCTGTGTGTCTCGCGCCGTGTTCGCATTTTCCTGGCCAACTGCATCGATGCCAACCACTGCACCTTTCTGTAGAGCATGGGTGTCGTCCTTTAGAAGTGTATCGACCCGTCGTTTTCCCAAAAGGTATGCCTCGCGCTCTTCCGTCACGCCTGCGCCATCACCGCTGGGACCTGCGTACATCCACTCGACTCGCTTCGTCGCAACTTTGCCACCTGCGGCTTCCTGCAGCTTCTGGAGCTCCTCAACCGCCCTCTCTTCTTCGCGCTCTTTTCTGAGTTTCTCAATAAGTTTGCGCTCTTCCAAGGCAGCGCTTTCCTCTTTCCATACCCTCTCCTGGTTCTTGCGAAGGTGGGGATGCCATGACTTCTTGGTATTCAAACTAAAAGATCTGTGTTAGCAGATGTGCATTATGATAGCAGATAAAGACACTACTTACTCGCCACCCATCTTGATGTAGTCGCGACTGGATTGTGGATTCTCGGAGGTGCAAGGTGTAGAATGTAAAGTCAGACGTGCGTATGTAGAGTGTAGACGCGCTAATGGGGAGGCTAATCCTGCCAAGTCTTTTTTCCAGCCCCGCTAAAAAGATTCACTTCCGTGAGCAACTCCGCACTGAGTGAGGTACACCTGATATTCTCGAAACTTCAAATCCCACAGGCATTTACTCGAGCTCTTCCTGAACCCAGTATCAGATAGGCTATAATACCTTCAAATTGACGCCCAAGAGAACCCTAAACTTCTCGAATTCCATCTACACATCTCAACATGGCGACACGGAAGCGCAACGAATGGCTCGATGCCGACGAGAGCGATGAAGAGGAGCAAAACTACTCCTCCGAAGACGAAGGAAGGACACAACTACTTCGATCAACCAAGCGCCAAAAGACAGCCCACACGTCCGGCTCAGAAGAAGAGGAAGACGACGACGAGCTCTCTGGTTCCGAAAATGAGCACGACGACGACGATGAACAACTAGGCGGCTACGAATCCGAAGACGCAGAACTAAAACGCCTGGAGAAACTCCGCTCTACCCTCCCCACAAACCTCAAGCTCCAAACCACCAACGGCGTGCTCTCCACTACCCCCAAAAAGGACAAATCAGGCGTCATATATCTCTCGCGAGTCCCGGCGTTCATGAAACCCGCGGTACTGCGCTCCCTCCTCACACCATACGGCGCCGTCGGTCGCATCTTCCTGACGCCCGAAACCCCCGAACAGCGCCAGCAACGCCTCAAGTCTGGCGGTACACGGCGCAAACTCTTCTTGGACGGGTGGGTTGAGTTTCTGCATAAGAAGAATGCCAAGTTCGTGGCAGAAAGCCTCAATGCACAGAGCATGGGCGGGAAGAAACGTAGTAGATGGCACGACGAGGTCTGGAATATCAAGTACCTCAGCGGTGTCAAGTGGTCGTATCTCGTGCAGGAGATCCAGAACCAGAATGCCGAGAGGGCTGATCGATTGCGCCGCGAGATTGCAAAGGATAAGTTGGAGAACCAGCGGTTTTTGGATAATTTGGAGAAGGGCAAGATGATTAGTGGGATTGAGACGAAGCGGAAGCAGAAGGGCCAGCCGGTGGAGGGTGAGGATGAAGCTGGCGACGTACCAAAGGGAGAAGCCGGCGGCAACAGCAACAACTCGGAAAAGAGGAGGCAGCGGAAGAGCAAGTTTGAGCAGCGCGAGATCAAGACCAAATTCGACAAAAAGACTCAGCAACCCGAAGAGCGTTTGCAAACTGTGCTCAGCGGAATATTCTAGGTTAAGATACTCTTTGCGAACACTGATTCTTCGGACAAAATACACTTTTATTTTCAAGCCGTGGCGTGTACAACATTATTCCTTCTCTCTGTGACAAGATACATGCAGGTGAAAACATACAAAAGCAACCTGCCATTCATACACTGTGCTGTGTAATGCCGTGAACAACGCGAGGCAAGAAGGAAAAGAGAATGTTGTACATATGCATATCAAACCAGATTTTCGTGCCCCTTCACAAAATCATAAGAGGATGAGCATACATCTAGCTATAGCAAACTCATGAAACTCCTGTCTCTATAGCTGTACCCCTATTTCACTGTCCTCCACACTTACTCCCAAACTCATCGTAACAAGCACCAAGTATCAAGCCAGAGAGCAAAGTGTCTATACAGTAGCGACATGTACCCTCATGGCAACGTCCACCACGCATATAAACAATTAATTATTGAATAGAATGAAAGGAGTAACGCATACTTGAGATTCTTCAGCGAAAGCTCGTCACTCTTCGAGAGGCACGGTGCATCATCTCAGTGCACTCATTCTCCATCTTTATTACATTCGCTTCAATGAGCTCCATCGTGTATTACCGTAACATCTAGCCCAGTATCCACCTACCTACATACGTACGTGTACGAAAGCAGGCATGAATCACTGATTTCGCACATAAGACTAAGCTTCTTTCCATTGGAATCTGAAGTCTTTTCCACACCCAACAGGCTGATAGAATAAGCCCACAGGAAGTATGCGGTGACAAACAAAGTATGCCCATAAGACTGGAGATTACCCTTACCTTCGTACATTCTGTACGCAAAAAAAAAATGAAAGACTACAGCGGCGATATTACTTACTTGCTCTGCGTACACACATAGACCAGGTATATAGATCATATTCTCCTAGGATATTTTATGTGATGGATATCCTCTTATTCTGAAGAAGTCTCCTTTTTTCACCGCTCTTCACAGATGTCTTCGTATCGTATGTGAGCGAACTAAGCTCACCTATCTATCAACTTGAAAATTCGCAGTGTATAGAAGAAAGAACGCGAGAATGGCAGTAAACACATGGAGAGGGAGAGCGTATCATGGATGTACACAATCTACTCGACTCAACTGAACTTGAACTTGACTTTATCTGATTTGACTTTCCATATGTCGCAAGAGCAATCGCTCAACAGAGCAGGAGTGAAGAAAGGGACGAACAATCTCTTTTCATCTTGAATGTACATGTGTCCTATCGCTCTCCCCCATCAATTATACCCACATGCCTTCACTTCACCACACTTCACTTCACTTACCTCTCTCTCCCTTTATTTCACTTACCTCCCTCTCCCTTCACACGTATCTCCCGCCCCTCCTCTCACACACTCCCCAACCCACCGACACCGCAATCATCACTGCCGCAACCTTCCATATCCCGTGTATATATTAGATATCCGTACAATCCATTCAATCGCACTCACAACGCCTACACACACGCCTACACATCCCAGTTCCCCGCGCGTCACACCATATATGTATGCAAGTCTCGGATATACTCCAACGTCAAAGTAAGTGGTGCAGATAAATGTAAAAGGTAAGCTAAGCTGCAGGTACATAACCATACGTACGAACATGCCCGAGCTGAGGAGAGCACGCGCATGTGCGCACACACGCACACACGCACACACGCACACATATACACACAGACTCGTTTATTTCGTTTCTGTTTCATTCCGGGTTTTTTTTTTGTTCGCCCCGATGATGATAGAGAATGGAAAGACGGATATCGGACAAGGCTGACAACGCCTGTGCTAATGCCAATGCCAATGGCAATGACGTTTAACGAATTACACTTACAAGTACAGATTGTCCCGTCTTTTTAGCTGGGATAACAATGCGGTGGTGTATAATTTTTCTGGGGGGGGGGGGGCGGTCGGTGTTCCGTTTTGGTTTACTTTCTTACATTGCTTACATTGTATGTACGGAGGAAAGGGGGGTAAGACATTCGGGATTCGATCGGGAATCATTAAACAAAGAGGTTAACACGGGGGATCAGGGATGAACCAAGGACGAGGGAACGAGATGTTGAGAGATTACGGTGACGTTGTTTTCTTTGCTTCGGATTCTTTTTTTCTGAGAGCTCGGGGAGCGAATGAGGAAGGCAAAGTAAAGACAGGCGGCCTTGTGTCAAGGTCAAGGCAAGTAAGTAAGTAAGAAAGATGTTGTGTGTGTGTATTCTAAAGATAATCCAACGTCAGCCACCGGCAGCAGCAGCAGCAGTTGTCTCACACACGTAAACTGTGCCAGCCAGTTAGGGATACCGTACTCTCTCTCTCCCACTCTCGGCATGTGTGTGTGTGTGTGGAACTTGACAAGATCTTTCCATCTCCGCTTACCTTTTTCCTTTCGGCTCGGTCCTCAAATCTCATGTCTCATCTCATCTCATCTCATCTTGTCTCGTCTCGGGTCGTCTTATTTTTTTTCCCCTTCGTTTACTTAGCTGCATTTTACTTGTTTTCTTTCCGCCGAGAAAGAGAAAAAGATGGCGCGATTGGTCCTGTCGTGCACATAGCGAGCTGCGTGTGCGGCTGACGTGGGACGCGGTTGCTACTGCTGCTGCTACTGATGAGAGAGGGAGAGAGAGAGAGAGATCTGTTGATATCGATTCCAAACTCGTAGATTGGACTGATCTGATCTGATTGATGGGCGGGCGGACGGTGAGGAATATGTCCACTGTGAAATAGTAGTGGTGGTAGTAGTAGTACAAAAAGGATAGAAGGATATAAAAAGCACATTCCCTCAGCTGCATGTGATTCGATGAAGCGTTTGTCTTTTTGTTACTGGTCTCGGACAATCGTATACACCTGGATTGAAGTGATAGGCTACCTTACCTTACCTTAGTTTAGACAGAGGTCAGGAATTCCGTTACGGACAGAACAGATGAGGTGTTTTGCGCGCAAGGCACGCGTGATGAACGCGTTCACCACGCGTATATGTGTGTTCCTTCCCTCCCTACTCTACCACCCCGGCTCCCCCCATGCAAGTATGCAAGCAAGCACACATGCAAGCAAGCACGCTCTCTTCCCGTTCCTCACTCTCACTCTATTTCAACTATCTTACCGTCTCTCTTACACAGAGTCTTGGCAAAACACGGAGCTAATGCGAGAATTTCTAAAACGAGGAAATTACCGGAAAAGGACAAAGGAAAAAGAAGAAAGAAAATCATGAAAGGGAATGGCGGGGTGAATGGGGTGGTGACACGTCGCGGTTCGGAGCTGGGTGAATGGATATGAATGGATGAGTGACAGACTGACTGACAGACTAACAGTCGGTTGGACGGTAATGATAGCGAGGCAGACTAGAACAAGGCTGGAATAAAAATAAAGCAGAAAAATAAGAAAGAATAAAAAGTAAATACATAACACAAAATAACATAGACGAGGGAGTGCTTGTCCCATGTAGGAACGGACATGGCTGCGCGTGATCAGCGAGCGACACCCCCCCCAAAGCAGCACTGCGGCCGTCCAAACAGGCAATGGGCCGCTCGCAGGCTGCGAATGAAGACGGCGCACGCCTTGTTCAGTCCTCACATACGAGCATGACGTGCAGTGCAGCAGAGCAGTGCAGTGATGGAGGCAGTGAGTTGTCTGTTGTCTGTCCAACGGCGATGGATTTGCAGAGTTGTCGCGGGTGGTTGGGCTGCTGGATTGGTGGAAGAAGAGGGGGGAATGTTTTGAAATGTGGAAAAAGGCTGGTTGCGGGGGGTGGTGATTGGGTGGAAAAGGTGTGCAGTCACGGCCACTGGTCATTACCGATGAATGGATCAAGAGACATGGGGGTGTGGGATACTGCCTGAATGAAATCAGTGTGTAGAGCGTTTCTCTTTTCTTTTTTCCCTGCCGACGGACTGGACAGGAGACGACTGCATGGCTTGCTGGCGCTCGCGTAAAAGTCAACCACAGCAGGTGGAGGAGTGGTTTGCTGCGCTGCAGGTTGCAAACGGTGGTGATACACGGTGCGAGAGTAATGGTTCGGCCCTTGCCACCCAAGCAAGCAAGGCTGACATGACTAATGCTCGTACATGGTGGTATATTCAGGCGGGAAGGCAGCATCATGTTCATCTTGGGCATTATTATGATGCGATACGAGGGAAGAGTGTGGAAGCATTCTGGAAGCCGAAATCAACGTCTCCATTGCCGTTCTCCCTTGAGCCAGCCGGGCAGGCGGTACCAGCAGGAGCCAGAGGCCATCAGATGCATTGTGCGCAAGACCCTGGCTGGGCTTTTTTTCATTGACCAGGAGTCAAGATTGCTCTCTGGAGGAAGACGTGCCCGCCCACGGACAGGCGGGCTAGGGAGGGTGGTTGGAGAGGGCAGGCGATGGCCCTGGGAACGCGCCGCTGTCTCGAAAAGAAACGTCACCGATATGATGATGGGCTGGCTCTCCATATTAATCAATCAAGCATCCAGGCCATGATGCAGATGACGATGATGATGATGCTGGAGAGGACCTGGGAGATGATGATGATGACGATGAGCGCATGGGGTGGTGCCGTACTCCGAAGACAGGAATAACAATGGGATTGCTTGGTTTGATGAGGGTGATGTTGAATGTCGTCACCCGGGGCGGGCACGGCAGAGGAGGGAGTCAACAAACAGGCCCAGGAGCCCGTATCGAGACGAAGCCATGAGTCGACGGCCATGGCAGCATCGCATCCATCTGATCCATGCCATGAGAGAGAGAAGAGAATTCTGGCCTGGCTAGTCTGGGGGCGGCGGTTCATGTCAGCATCGACGGCGCCTTGGTCCCGTGGGTTCCGCGTCACTAGAGAAACTAGACAAACCGCGCCCACGGAATCGCCCTGGCTGCCGCGGGCCAATCGTCGCGGCGGCGAGCGGGGATGGGCCTCGAGCAAGGCTGCAGGAACAGAGCCCAAGGAACGGCGCGACACCACGGCCCGCCTAATGCGGCTTAGCGCTACTCAAGTATGTAACCAAACCGCAAAAAGGGGCAGTAGTCTGCCTGGCTGGCTCGCTATACTTTGTCACTACTCGTTGTCGTCGCCGACCACCATGGTCCGTCATGCCATTTTTTATTATGATTTGGCTGCATACATACATACATATGTACTTACCCAAGACGAGGGGTTCATCCCCTCACAAAACGATCATCGCCATCAGGGTGGGAAGAAGAAGACAAACAACAATAACAACCACCCCCTCTTTGGGAATGGTGTGTTGTTCTTTTTCGCTGGATGGATACCGCAGTGCACGTCGGCCTCATTTCCTTGGGCGATTCATCGTCTGGTCTTGTTCCCCCACCAACTGCCGTCTAGCCCACTCTTTTATTCCCATCGTTGTTGATCTGCCCCTCCATACCATTGTGAATTCATTGCCAAAGACGGCCAAGGAGCAGCAGCATCCACGTAATGCATCCATCTACATATTGATACTAATACTTATGTATCTATCTATGTATGTGTGTACACGTAGTACACCGTAGACGTCCATGTGGGTGTGTAGGTACATGTCGACATGTACCCAAGCAGCTAGAGGGGCATCTGGCACTGCATCACGTGGGGAGGCTTGCATAACATTGCGACGGCGTCGTGAAAAGCATGCACGGCGATGCAGGCGCCCGCCAGCAGTGCAGACATGACACAGCACAAACATAACATGAAAAAAAAAAAACCAGAGACGAAGGAAATTCCCCTAGAAGAAAAAAAGGGGGCGTCCAACAGGGGGGCCATATGGTGTGTAGCGGATCAAGCCGAAGCGTCGAGGCGTGCTGGCTGGGGGGGAGACTACCGACCAGGGGACGATCAATAGCGAATCCCGCCTTCCCTCGTCCCAGGCGTGACTGCCCTGCCCTGCCACTGCCACTGCCACTGACACTGACCACCATTGCGCCTGCCTTGTCTCTCTCCCACTCTGTCTCTCCCTCTCTGCGCCCAAGCAAGCCTCCATCCCCCCCCCTCTCGTCTCTCGTCTCTCCCTCCCCCCCACCACCGCCGCCGCCCGCCAAACAGAGTCCCGCGCTGCTCGCTCTGCCAGACCTCACCCACTGGTTGGCCGCCCGTCGCTCTCAACATCATCTTTCGTCTCTCTTCTTCCTTCTTCCCCGGCCACCAGCCACCAGCCTTCATTCTCTCATTCTCTTTCTCTCTTTCGCTCTCCATCAAAATCAAAAGCAAAACAAAAGCAAAACAAAAAAAAAGACCACCTTCCCAAACCCAAATTGACTCCACCATGCCTATTGCGCGCCGTGCTTTGTCGTGACAACACCGCCTTTTTCTGCTGTATATACAGCACTGCACTGCACTGTACTGCACTGCGCTGCGCTCCACCGCGCTGCTTGACCTGCTAGCTGCAAACAAGTCTTCTGCTGGTCTGGCTGTTCTGTTTTCACCGCCGGCCATCACCACCACCACAGCAACCACTTGCTCCATCCACCCACCCCAGGCACTGCGCGCGCCGTGTTTCGCTCGTTTGCCATTGCGCGTCTGACGGCGACCCGCACCCTCATCAATCTATCCACCAGCCTGCCAGCCTGCCGAGCGAGCAACGTGTGCCAACACACCACCGCCAGACCTCACCGCAGCAACGGCCACCGGCTGCCCTCGCCAACCTCTATACTCCTTCCAGCCCCCGGCTCCTTTCTGACATTTGTTACATACGCCCAGCTTCGCAACCCCGTCCGCTGCTGTTCCGGTCTAATTCACTCCAACGGCCAGCCCTTATCCGAAATTGGCCGCTGCGATTCATGCTGAAGCCACTCTCTCGGTCGCACTCCTCCTCCAACTCGTTGCTTGCTTTCCCTCTCTGTTTTTTGTACCTTTTTCCCACAGTCATTGCCCTCCTTTTCTCTCTGCCTGACCGCGCGAGCCTGCGACCCCGTCTGCTTTTCGTCTGATCCGCCTTCTCCTGACTGCGATTCATCCTGACCAGGCGCATTCGTCTCTCGCGTCCCTGGCTGCATCCGAGCGCGATCGACTGGGCCCGTTCTACTCGACCTCCTTTCCCGCTCTAATACGTACTTCACTGGTCTCACCCCCGAGTGCACAGTCCTTGAATAATTATCCCGTTTTATCGAGCCACCAAGTTATGCTCATCATCCTATCCCTATCCTCCCACCAGCTACAAGGAACCTAGCCTACGGAAGTCTACCCGCCTACCGTGGTCCTGGACCACTTACTCTCCACACACGCCCTTTTCTCAAACCTTCGTTCCTCTTTTCATCCACCTTCCCGCCGCTGCATCAACCTGGACCCTTACTTCCCTCCTATCTCCCTCTGCAAATCGATACGCTTGGGACATTCCCCCTCGACCCTTAACATTGTCTTCGACCTCCCCACCGTTGATTCACTCTCGTGTAACACACACTTCGACATCATCCAACACCACCACCGCTACCTCTAATCATCCTACCATTACCTTGGCTACTCCTGGTCTACCTGACATGACCCCGAGCCAACTGTAAACCATTGAGATCAACCGATCAAGGACATCTGTTACGGTGAGCCAACTCACACGCGTGAAGTTGACCCAATCTCATCGTTGCAGTCCTCCCCCATCTGCCACTTGAAGATTTGTCTGTGCGAAGACCGGTTTCTCCCTGACACAATTCTGGCTCTATCATCGACATGTATCAAGATAGACAAGACCAGCCCCATGGCTGGGCATCTCTGGAGGAGCGGTATGAAGTCATGAAGGAGATAGGCGATGGTAGCTTCGGAAGTGTAGCTCTTGCCCGCGTCCGGACCGCAGGCCAACATATCGCGCGCAGAGGAACATTGGTAGGTCCCATGGCTCTCTAATCTTTCGTTTCCGTAGCACTCTACTGACCACATCTTACAGGTGGCTATCAAAACCATGAAGAAGACGTTTGATTCGTTTTCGGCCTGCTTGGAGCTGCGAGAAGTCATCTTCTTGCGCTCGTTGCCCCCTCATCCGCATCTGGTGCCTGCCTTGGATATTTTCCTGGATCCCTATAGCAGGCGCCTTCACATAGCAATGGAGTACATGGACGGCAATCTGTACCAGCTCATGAAGGCGCGGGACCACAAGCCCATGGACGCCAACAGCGTCAAGAGCATCCTTTTCCAAATCATGTCGGGCCTGCAACACATTCACGATCGCGAGTTCTTTCATCGCGACATCAAACCAGAGAACATCTTGGTTTCCACATCGCAGCAAAACGACTCGTCACATCCTTTCCGACGCTACTCTGCATTGATGACACCGCCATCGACTCCGCCAGTGTACACTATCAAAATAGCCGACTTTGGTCTAGCCAGAGAAACCCACTCCAAATTGCCCTACACCACCTATGTCTCCACTCGCTGGTACCGGGCCCCAGAGGTCCTTCTCCGAGCAGGCGAGTACTCTGCTCCGGTGGACATCTGGGCCGTTGGTGCCATGGCTGTTGAAATCGCTACTCTCAAGCCTCTCTTCCCCGGTGGAAACGAGGTTGACCAGGTTTGGAGAGTATGCGAGATCATGGGTAGCCCTGGAGGCTGGGTCAACAAATATGGCCAACGCGTAGGTGGCGGCGAATGGAAAGATGGTGTGCGGTTGGCACAGAAGCTAGGCTTCTCCTTCCCAAAGGTAAATTACATTCCACTAAACACGCTGTGCAATCGCTTACAAGTCCCTTCGCAGATGGCCCCGCACTCCCTTGACACGATCCTCCAAGCACCGCAATGGCCGGCCAGCCTGGCTCATTTCGTCACGTGGTGTTTGATGTGGGACCCGCGCAACAGGCCTACATCGGCGCAGGCGCTCGCCCACGAGTATTTCAATGATGCAGTGGACCCTGTTCGCCTCAAGTCGTCGTCGTCGCGGTTGCTGGGTCGCAAGCAGTCTGATCTCTCACGAAAGGATTCGCCCGATGTTTCTCCCAGCCTCAACTCGAAGACCTCCTGGCTCCGGAGATCGCTAGTGGCCCGGGAGAGCGCTCCAGCTGTCCCGCAGCACGCGCATGTTCAGCAACCATCGCCACGGCCGTCGCCTGCACCAGCCAATGCTGCAGACGCCACAGTATCAAATAAGCATCGTCCGCAAGCAGCTAAGCGCGCTACGTGGACCAACGGCGTCACCAGCAACGGAGCACCCATCCCAATTCTGCCTTCCATCAGACCCGTCTCTCCTTTGTCAGCAGAGGTGACGGCTCAAGCCAGTGTACGCGCCAATGAAGCTGAGGAGAGGGCGGCCAAGAAGATCGGCCGCCAACTGTCAGTTGCCTCGCACGGCAACCACTACGCGGACATTCACCGACAGGAAGCCGAGCGTGCCCTCAATGGTCAATCAACCGTTGCATCGCCTTCTAGTGGCAATGGACACAGGGAAGGTTTCTTCTCGCACTTGAGGAAGCGTGCTCGTCGTCTATCAGGACGTTACCAGACTCCCATGTCACCCAACTCTGATGATATCGAAGCCAATGCTGGCTGTGCTCCTTGGGCTTCCGGCAGCAACCGGCAATCCATGATCATGGATCAGTCTCCTGTTGCAGGTGCTGGTACTAACACGGACCTCAACGATCTCGACAAAGCTTTGCGCAATGTGAGGTGCAGTCTTGAGAGCCCCGCTCAACCAACCAACGCAACCAAAAACGCCCGCATTGCGACCAACCCTATGCTGAAACGTCACCACTCGCTGAATCATGGGCCGGACAACCGAAGCGCGGATTCGGGTATGATGCCTACAAATGCACCCATTTCCAGCAGGACGAGGCGCGCTCTGCAAACCAAGCCGAATCCATCCAACCAGTACGAGACGCCCAACGAGGAAGAGGAGTTGCTCAGCGAAGTCCTTGCCTCTACGCACAAGGCCGTCAAGAAGATGGATAGGCACGTCCAGAATGGCCAGCAGGCGCAGCGTAAGCCTGTCGGACCAGCGGCATCATATCTCACTCCTTCGCCTTCGGCCAACCGCGACAACGTCAACTTTGGCCAATCCGACTACTCTACTCCAAGCAAGCCGCTGGAGATTTCCAAGACTCGTCCAGCCAAGGACGAAGGGCCATCGAAGTGGCCTACACCCCCATATGACGAGGGCGATTGGGCCTCCAGCGTATCAGCCAGTCTCTTCGCCACGCAGTCCATGTACCGGTGATCACATTTCCGTCCCGGTTCATATTTCATGGTTCCCATTCTCCTCGCCTTCTTGACCCAGTATAACACTGTAATTCGAATCTCCATTTGTGACTTTTTTCCTATTCTGGTCTATCGTCCAATACAGTTCGGGCTCGCGCCACGGTTCACGACCATATCCCGTCCGGAACGGTGCACGACTCAAAGAGGCTACCGGCTACTGGAAACAAGGGAGTCGTTTCCGCAAGGACGTAAAAAAGCAGCGCATTCTAGCATCGGTGTTTGGCGCCTGTCATGTTCTTTCACTCGTTTCATCTCCGCCATCTTATCGTTGTCAGCTCTACTCTGGCAGCCTTACTACTTTCACCATACATTCGTTCGACGTTGCGTCCATCACCACTTCTTCCACGCGATATATAGGCGGCATACTTTTCTCCATTTCCATCGGCTCACTCATCGCCTGTGCGCGGAGTAATATTTCCGGGTGGCCGCTCCGCGTTATTCCCCTCCATATCCAGTGTTTCATTTTCAGGAGGGGCTGAGCCTGTGTGCTTTGTTAGAGATACCTTGTTAGACTTGTTTGTTTTTCTTTTCATGTTTTTCCTCTCTCTCCATGTCCCTTTTTTATTCAAGCATATTCGATGGCGGATACCCCTTCAAGTTTGGCATACGGTTGGCGACTACATTATTTACACATCTATCGTTCGTTTTGGATCTTGAACCCCCTTCGAGGAAGACTCTAAATTGGATTCGTTGGAGTGGATCTTCAGACCATTAAGAGCAGAAAGAGAATTGATTTTGGGAATGGAGAAAGAAGAAAGAAGGATGGAATTAGTTTAATTAGTCTCTTTTCTCTTTCTCACTCTCTCTCATTCGTCTTACCCTCCTCTCCTTACCACCCTTGCACACTATATATAATCTCTCCCCCTCTCCGTCTCTTTTGTAACAAGCCTGGAGCTTCACCGCCTTTTTCTTCTTCCGTACTAAAATTGTGCCCTCACATCCTTCCCCCAAGTGTTACTACCAATCACATTTTCCTTTGTTTGAAACACCCCCCCAATCAACAAGGACACCCCTTGTTCTATATTTCTGTGCTGGCCTGGCTTGCTGCGCTGTAGATTCTTTGTACCTACTACTACTACTTTACTTAGTTACTATACCAACCTCACCCTACCCCCTTCATACCCACACATACCCCACATACCCACACACACACACACCTCCTCATACCTACATACCCTATACCCCGTTTGAGATTGTTGTTACTTGTATTTGTATATATCCATCTACATCTAAAATCTATCTATACAAATCATTGTGGAGTTTGATATAGTTCTGACTCAGTTCTCTTGTTGACGTTTGACGTTTTTTTCTCTTCTTCTTCTTCTTCTTCTTCTTCTTATGTTTTATGCTGTTCCCGGTAGCCACTGTTGTTATTATTATTATTGTTTTCAAAAGAAAAGAGAAAGAGAAAGAGGGTAAGAAAGAAGGAATAGAAAAAAGGAAGTTGTTGTTGTTGTTGTTATTGTTGTTTGTTTTTTTGTTCGTTTGTTGTTTTGTTGTCTTAGTTCTAGGTCTAGGTCTAGGTCTAGGTCTAGTTGTAGTGTAGTGTAGTTCTTGTTTAAAGTTCTGGTTTAAGTCGTAGCTTGGTGTAGTTTTTAGTTTAGGTAAGAGCCTTTCTTTCTTTTTTTCTTTTCTTAGTAATGGCGTAGGAGAGGGGGGAGGGAGAAGGGAGAGGGAGGTTTGCTGTTTTTCCTCTGTTTTAGAAGATGTATAGATGATGAGATTTGAAGGAAGTAGGTTACATTAGGGGGGAATATTGTAGCGTGGCTGTAGGACAGCGGGAAGATGGAGAGAAACAGTAAATTTTTTGTCTTTTTTTTTTCCTTATCCTCTTCTTGCAACTTTAACTAACTCAGCTGACCCAACTACCTAACTAAGAGGATGAAAACCTTATAAAAAAAAAAGAACAACCCTGCCAACAACCTCAACACCACAAAAGAGAAGGGATAACAAAAGAACAAGAACAAGAACGGGAATAGCTATTCCTAAGAGCACTACCCCCCCTTAGCCAACGACCTGCCCACCCTCATCGGGCCACTGATCCACAAACTCCTCCCTACCACCACCTTCAACAATGCGCTCCAAATTCATGCGCACGCTCAACCTCAGATATTTCGTCTCATACTTCTTCGCATACCCGCCGCCCAAGCCACCAATATCGCTCTCGCCCTGCTGAGGGTGATGGTGCGCGAAAATAGGCGGTTGACTCGTTAAACAGACTCTCTCTCTTTCCTTATTCTTCATCTTCCCCTCCCTTTTCTTCTGATCCCCCATATCCGGATCCTCGCCCGCACACCACCTCCCCAACTCAGCATCGAAAATGCCGTTCCAGCCTTTTGTCGCAAACTGGTGTAGGAGGCGGCGCGCGCCGCGCTGAGAGACGGCGTATGCGACTGTGCAGAGTTGGCCGCCGGTTGCGCGGTGGAAAATGCGTGTGTGCGGGGGGTATGCTGAGGCGAGGGGGTCGAGGGTCCCTTGGAATGGGTGCGCTTTTAGGTGGTGGGTGGTTGGGACTGTGGAGTCGTTGGGTTGGGTTAGGATGATGTTTGAAAGGGGGGTTGAAGGGGGGTCGTTGGAAGAGGAGGAGGAAGAGGGGGAGGAGGAACGTGGGAAACCGGCGCCGCAGTGGCCGATCCATAGGATGTCCCAGTTCGCGGGGTTGCCGTAGGGTGAGTGGGGGGTGCTCTTGCTGCGGTGTTGTTGTTGGGTCGAAGAGGAAGAGGAGGAGGAGGAGGAGGATTGGGAAAAGGCGTATGCGGAGGTGAGGGGGAGGGAAGGCAGCGTTTTTTCCACCATGGTGTGCTCCGTGAGGATCTTGAACGAGTTTTCTGCCGTTTCGGTGTTTGGTCGGTGTTGGATGGCGAATTTCTGGTCGAGGTCTAGAGATGGGGTTTCTCCGTCTCCTCCCGAGAGGAAGCGCGAGGCGATGGCGAAGCGTTGGAGGTTCTGCCGGATGCGTATGTCCCAGTCCACGTCGTCTTCCATGATGAGTGCCGTGGTGAGGTTCTGTGATATGATGGTCTGGAGGGCGTTCATGTGGGTTCGCCAGCTTCCGCGGATGCCGGCTTGGAGTTTTTGGTTTTCCTGCGGCGGTGGGTACGCGCTGGGTTTGATGCTGTCTCCGGTTACGCCGTCGAGGAAGTCGAGGTGGATGTTGCTGGTTGCTGCTGAGAGGGTCATGGCGTCTCGACGGTCTGTTCGGAAAGGGAGGTTGAGAACTAGGATCTTCTCAAACTGGGAGTTGGGTTAGTCAATGATGAAGTGCGGGCGAGGCCAACTTTGTATGTTTTCAAACATGTCGGGCTCTGCATCTGTCTGTTCGGCCATGGACTAATGTATGGACGATTGAATATGGATAGACATACACCTAGTGTTGAGTTCAGGATATCCACCAAACTCGGGTCATCGACATAGGCAAAATTGTCCTCTGGTATTTCGTACTTGCTACCGGAAGTTTGCGACCAGCAGTACCACACGATGAAGCAAAGCAAAGTTGTGAATAGTTTTGGGCTTGCAGCGCACCACCCCTTTCTCCTTTTCTTAGCCGGAAAGAAGACATCGTCTCTCTTTCCATTATTCAAACCAAAGTTATCGATGGAGATGCGGCGCATATTGAGCTTCTACATTCCTCGAGGAACGAACAGAGGTACATAGGACAGATGTTAGAGAAGGTCTGACGTTGAGGACAAAGCTATGGTGTTCCCCCACCCACAGAAGGGTAGCCAGGCTAAATGGAGCCTCAATCTGGGGTGCATGGCTAGGAGATTAACCATTGATGAAGCATGATGCAGCATGGTAATTATCCGATAGAACGATCGTCGAACACGTTCACATGATGGCTTTAAGCAGGTAAGGATGGATCTCGCAGTCAAACTGCTCTAGCCTATTGCAGATTGTCAAAATTGATGTTGTATACTGTCAGGAAGTGGACATGTCAAATGGCAGGATATGCTGTGTCCTCATGCATCATATTCAAAAGACATGTAGTAGTAGATTCTTGCACATGAGGTTGTCATAAGGCTGAGGTAGCGTGGCGAATAGAAGCCGCGGAATTGCGGATTACTAAATGGGCGGACTTTGCAGTGGCACCTTATCGATAGCCCGCCCGATATCGAACGCCTCGAGGCCTGGAAAAGGAAAAGAAATGCTGAACTTCTCCGCGCTACAAGTTTTTGTAATTTGTTTCTTCTTGCCCATTTTCCTCGCCTAGTATTGTATTTGCTTTGCTTTGCTTTCCAACATCACTCCTTCTGCGTGATCGCCCTTCTTTCAAGACCCGCCTTCCCTTCCCCGCGCCGAGCGCATTCCATCATTCCACCACCGGTGAAGCACGTCAACCAGTACTGACAATGAGCGCCATTCTCTCTGCCGACGATTTGAACGACTTCATATCTCCCGGTGTCGCCTGTATCAAACCCATAGAAACTCTACCCGCTCAATCGGAAACGCCTGCCGTATGCCCCGCCTGTCTACTACCCCACGTCTGCTTCCATCCCGTCATCGGCGCATACTGACAATTGCTTAGAACCCGTACGAAGTTACCACTGAAGACCAGGTCGCTGCCTCAGCACCTCCGCCACCCGCCCAGATATCGCTGACCGACTGTTTGGCTTGTTCAGGATGTGTGACGAGTGCAGAGGCTGTTCTGGTGACACTGCAATCCCACACCGAGGTTTTGTCGACCCTTGATGCCCACGCATCGCTCCGGGCGCCCTGGCAGACACAGAATGGCACACAGAATGGGACAAATGGTACAAACGGGCATGTCGCTCCAGAAGGGAAGCTGTTCGTGGCAAGTGTATCGCCACAAGCGCGCGCAAGTTTGGCGGCCGTCTTCTCAGTCTCGGAGGCAGAGGCAGGAAACATGATCGCACAGCTCCTCAATGGCGAATCAGGACTCAAGAAGGGTGGAGCTCATGGCAGTGATTTCACCTGGGTGATTGATACAAATGTCACTCGTGAGGCCTGTCTCGTGGCAGCCGCTGACGAGGTTACAAATGCGCTTTCGCCTGAAGCTTCCAAACTCTCATCGCGACCCGGCTTTGAAGGCGCAATCGACACTACACCAAAAAAGCCCATCCTCACCTCCGCATGCCCGGGCTGGATATGCTATGCCGAGAAAACACATCCGTACATACTCCCCTACATATCGCGCCTCAAATCCCCGCAAGCCCTCACAGGCACTCTCTTGAAATCCGTCCTTAGTCGACGCTACAATATCCCCCCGTCGCAAGTATGGCATGTAGCCATTATGCCCTGCTTCGACAAGAAACTCGAAGCCAGCCGTAGCGAACTCACCTCGTCGGCCTGGTCCGGCGAAGATATTTCCTCGCCATCCTCGCAAGATCCCATCCGTGACGTCGACTGCGTAATTACAGCCCGGGAACTCCTCCATCTAGCAACCGCCCGCAACATCACATTCTCCTCCCTCCCACGGACCCCTATCCCCAGTTCCCAAAGAATACCCTTCCCGGACCCCAAGCTCGACGCCTTCCTTTTCTCTTCTTCCCGTCGCGGCAACGCACCGAACCAGTCCCCTCAAGCAGGCTCGTCAGGCGGCTACCTCTACCACATCCTGCAAACCTATCAGTCCCGCCACCCTGGCTCCACCATCACCGTGTCCCGCGGCCGCAACGCAGACGTGGTCGAATACGCGCTCGTACAAGGGGAAACCACAATCTTAAAGACGGCGCGATACTACGGATTTCGCAATATCCAGAACCTTGTCCGCGCTCTCAAACCGCCAAAAGCGAGTCGCCTCCTCGGCTCTGCAACTCGAACCGGTGCGGGCGTGAGCAGGAGACCGCCTGGCCGTGGACCTGCTGGTGGTGGTGGTATGACGGATATCAAGGAATACGCCTATGTCGAGGTCATGGCTTGTCCTGGGGGATGCACCAACGGCGGCGGCCAGGTCAAAGTCAGCGAAGTGAAGGATGTGCGCGTCGCCGAGGGCATAATCCAAAGTAATCAAGATGACGTGCAATCCGATGGAAATCTAGCGGTACTGCCACCGACGAAACCCGGGCCAAAGGAGCAGAAGGAATGGCTGAGTCGCGTCGATGAAGCGTATTTCTCTGGCTCTGACGACGAGGGCAACAGCAACAATAATAAGGTCGCAGATGCTCGTCTTGCACCCTCTACCGAACAAACCCCAGCGTCACAATCATCATCACAACCACCGGTAGCAACAACAAAAACGGATACAGATACGGATTCGCAGGATCTCGTAAACGACATCTCCCGCTCCTACATCGCCGACATGACGTCTCACTGGTCCGCCATCACGGGCATCGATACCCAGACGCTGCTGTATACCTCGTTCCGCAAGGTCGAGAGCGATGTGGGTAAAATGAAGAAGCAAAACGATGTCGAGAGGGTCGTGGCGCTGTCTAGTACCCAGGGTGGCGGGTGGTGAGAAATGCATGTTTACTTACATACTTGCATGGAAAGGAAGGAGCGTGTGGGAATTTATTTAGACGGATGGGATTGATTTGGTTTGGTTTGGTTCGTGGTTGTGATCAAATGGGTGTAGATAGACAGAGGGAAAGGAATAGACGGGAAGGATGGATTTGGTGTGTGTGTGTAGATGGAAGATATGCATACTGAGGCTTGTCATTGCATGGAAGCGGCGTTTTGTTTTTTCACAAACATAGGGGACGGGTGTGAGCCGCATCCGTAGAAGGACGTATAGGAGACAATAGATCGAATCAAGAAGTCACAGATTCAATTTTAGAGCAGAGAAAAGAAAACATTCGTGACATCTTTTTTTCTCCTCCTCTCATTTTGACCGAGTCCACGTACTCATCTAGACTTTTGCATAGTCATAGCATGTTGCAATAACTGAGTATCCCTCTCGCCAGACAGCCGAGATTTCTAGAGGCAGCGCTGGCCCAGATGACTTTTGACCGCAAACATACATATACACAGTAGGGGAAATTTTGCTCAATTCCTCTTGTAGCCACGTCCGAGTCTGATTCCTCTTTTCACCCACGAATGCCCTTTCTCGTTGAACTGGATCATTCGTTCCAAATATCTATACCCCCTTGATCAGACTCCTCACTCTGTTCATCCTCCATCTCGATAGACTCCCCCGCAGCATTGACAAAACTCGAAAGTCTCATCAAGATATCCACCAGCAAGCGAATCCCCTCGCGGGGAGGTTCGACCGGGCTCACATAGTTCAACGACGCTTCATCTTCAATGGGCGGAGCCGAAAATCCATTATCAGGAAAGAAAGTAGCCAGCGGATCACCCCACTGGGCAGCATGACCGCTCTCCAGCCGTTCCATTTGCGTCAAGTGAGTTTCCCAGTCTGAGTGGCGAACGTCAATGCCCCAGCAGCATGGCAAGAAACCTGGTTTCTGACGGTACCACCGGCCTACCATATCCACCTTGTAACCTGAACCCTTGATTCTAAAGGTGTATTTCTTTTCGATCTTAACTGCGATAGGTTTTAGAGTGCGATCCGGCTTCGTGGATTCGAGTGGAGGTAGGGAGGATGCTAGGTCGTAGCCCTGCTTCATCTGTACGCTTGCTGCGAAACTACTCAATGCCGGCGAGACCAACCTTCGGTCTAGCATAGGGATGAAGGAGATGAGGCTGAATTGCCATGCTTTGGATTCAGCGAGCTCAATGAGCTTGATGTCCATGTGCTCTCGGTGAATTGCCTCATCCTTCCGCATCTTGAAGTATCGTGGTTCCATCTTCTCGTAGGACCGGACGCCCTCATCGTCATCATCAGTCCAGTCGATTTGGACAAGTACTGTATTTTCGTTCTCCTGAAAGATGTAGGTACCTCGAATGAGAGGGCGGGCATCTGCAGGGGCCGATGATGCGAAACCAAAAAACCCAGTTGATCTAGTAAGTTCTAAGAAGTCAGTGGCGGCCATCATCCGAGTGAGAAGCTTTTTGCCCTTTTCGTCGTCAGCTAGCCATCTCTTAGTATCGCACGCTTCGGTCTCCTTGAGGAACTTGATACATTGTTCCGTCGAATACGTCTTTCCGATTTCTATTTTGGGATTCATCTTATTTGAGCTGCGAAGAACAAATAAGCCATGGCGGATACTGAAGTCGTAGTGAGCTCTGTCGTATATGATGGCGTCGAGAGAAATTCTCAAGGCCTTCTGGATCCTTGTGATATCGTCAGAGTCATCGATGGTCTCGGGTTCAGCCAACAGTGCATCCTTGATAATGCGAGGCGTAATAGTGTTGAGGCGATCTGGCGACCAGCCTGGAGCTTCATGCAGGAAAACCTGCCCACCTTCATGCGCGTCCAAGACAAGGTTGAGAGACTCTAGATTGCCATACGACTGATTTTGAATCTTCAGAATCAGCCTGGTGTAGCGTTCCATAGCAGCCACAACGTGTGCTTCGGAAAAACTCTGAAATTGGACAGCCCATAGCGGCTGTTTGCAAGGTGTAATCCAGACTTCCTCATCCAGTCTGATATCATCCAAGCCTTCCAACTTGGTACCGAAAACGTCCTTTGGCAAGATCGGTGGATCGTTTTCCCGCAGGTCGGATGGCCACTCAACAACCCTCACAAAAGGAACGTTCTTGGGGGGCTCTCCTTTGAATGCTTGCTTCCTCAGGGCATCTCTCTCTCGAAGCTGTTCGTCGTACCACTTATTCTCGTCATATGCTGGCAACTTCGCCCAAGCTGCCGAGTGAACGGATTTCGGATCGGGACGACGGATCCAGGTGTTGATCTCCTGGTGTGTTTTGTTGACGCCACTGCCGGAGCCGAAGATCTCGAATTTGGTTACTACACCTGCAGAGTTAAGGATGCGCACGTCGCAGTTGTACTCGGTCTTCCATTTGAGGATGAGCCGATCACGCTCTGCGCGGGCGGATTCACGCTGTTGACTACTCGGCACAACGATGACGCGGATAGGTTTGCGGCCACTGAAGATGCTGGGCCCGGTTGCCTGTGGCGATTCATCGCCATCCATTGTGAGATGTGAAGGTGAATGCAATGCTCAATGAATAGTATTGGTGGTGGAGCAGTTGTGTTGCAAGTCCAGAGTTGAAGGTGGTGGTGCGCTAGCAAGGTAGGTGGGAAGGAGGAGGTGAGAGGAGGCAGGCGGACGAAGACGCTGGAAAACAATAGAAGCGACACAACAGACCGCTCGTCTGCTCCTTCCCTACTCGTAGTTCCGCCTTCACCTCACCTACTTGACACGTGATGAGAATGTCTAATCCAAGATCGATGTATTTCCGCTTGTTCTAACCCACTAACAAACCAACCTATACTTTTCTTCAATTTCCTTGACCCCCGTACAGCAGAGAAACACCAGCAGACAATGCAAATGAGGTGGAAGACAAGCTCCGTATGCCCTGACCAATCTATAATGTATGTACCTACCTAGGTATGTTACAAAGGAAAAGGTGAGACTTGATTTGTGGTGGGAGGAGAAAAGGAAACAGGAGAATGCCGACGATGTATCATCGGTGGGTATCAAAGACGAGAGTTAAGAACTTGAGAAATGAAGGAAGTCCGCGTGGAAGCAAAACTAGACAAAACCCTCCCGAAGGAGATAGAGGAAAGAAAGCAAGTTCGAGCCAGATAAAAGAAAAAGAAAGTATGTTGCTCTCCAGAAATCACTTCTCTCCGTGTGGTTGCCATATTTTCTACTCGCATACGTATAAGCTACCAATTGTCATGCCAATGGCCTGTGAGATGTTCATGCGCGCCACAAAACCTCTTCCTCAATCGGCAGCGGCGTTCGCGTAGCCAAACTCTCCAAACTCTGATTCAAAGCTATAGCGTCTTCCTCCTCTTCGCTACGTCTAGACGCGCTAGAAAGTGGCGTGCGCAAGGGGCTTGTGTAGCGTGAGAGATCGGCATCAAGGCTCGCGGATATAGACGGTGGTCTTTCCGTGGAGATGTCACGGAGACGGGAGGAGGGGTGAGATGAGTCCGCCCTTTCGTCAGCATCCCCATTTTGTCCGAGATCCTGAAGATGATGAGATGGTGGAGTCTGCTCGGCAGCGTTTTTGGAAGCGCGCAGACGGGCGCGTTCTTGGCGAGCTTCATCACGCTGCTTGATGAGGTCCTGCTCGTGGGCCACGGCGCGCTGGCGGCGCTCTTCGACATCCTTGCGCTTGACGACCTTGGTGAGGGCGTCGCTAGCTTGAATGAGACCATCAATACTGATGGCGTGGTTGGTCATTTGATGATTGATGTAATGGTAGATGGCGGCTGGGGTATCGCACTGCAGGAGTTGTTTTTCGTTGAGTTTAAGTAGGGCGAGTGCGATTTGGAAGAGGAATGTGGAGCCATCTTGCATACAAAGGACCACGTCCCACACGCGGTAGAGAGCTTCAGCCGAAAGGCAATCTGTAAAGACGGACAGGAACCATTGGAAGGTGAGGGCTTCCAGCTCGATTTCCAGTGCGTCGAGGTGCGCCGAAAGTTTGGGGAGGAGCTCCATGACGTAGGAGCGGAGAACGGACTGGTCGGCGCGAGAGGTAAGGAGGTGCTGATCGTAGTAATTGTCGGGTAGAATGTTTTCGATCATGGTCGCGAGCATCCAGAAAGCATCTTCTGAGGTGGGCATAATCAGGAGAAGGCAGGCTGTGATGAGATTCATGCCTTGACAGTATCCGATCTCGGGGTTTCGTCGAGAGTAGGCGAGAAGAACCTCATTCAGCTTGTGTACACCTGGGCCTTTGCGGAAGAAGATATTGTCGGTCAGAGTGCGGGTAATATCCATCTGAATCTGGGAGACAACAGAAGGGTTGTCGACACCGTTATTGACGAGATCTTCGTAGTATCCAGGCACATGGAGTGCAGAAGCACCACTGCACTCGGTCCAGATCTTGGCTCGGTAGGCGACGGGAATACCACCCAGCACAAGCCGTCGAAACTCTTGCCATTTGGCGCGTCCGACCTTGCCCTTGTTACCAAGTCCCGCGACACCAACAATCTCGCCGTCAGTGAGTAGGGTCTCTGGCATGTCGAGTCCCTTTCCACGTTCGCTGGCAGTGGCTGCATCGCCTTGTCGCTTTCGTTCAGCGCGGACCTTGCGCAGAAATTCGTTCCACTTGATGGTCTTTTCCTTCTGGAGATTGTCGTGTAGCTCCGTCAGTTGTTCAAGGAGAGCCTTTACGGGATCTGTCAAGGCAGGAAGGTAGGGATTGAGAGGAGAAGCTGGTCCAGAGGGACTTGCGACCGAGAACTCGGCGTTTCCCGAGAAGATGCGCGAAGGTGACGGTTCGGGATTCACGCTCGTGGAAGGTAAGGAACCTCGTTTCGCGACCGTGACTTGACTGGCCGGCGCGGTGGAAATCTCGTTGTCTGGCAAATCAACTTCCGTTATGGGTGCTGCCGAGGGAGTGTGGGAGAGCAATTCGGTGGGATGGGATGTGAGCTTGAGATAGTCTGCCCATGTCTTCGTTGACACTTTTGCTTGCTGCTCCTCCGAGCCACTGCTGTCAGGTCGGGGTGCTCCTTTGGAGTGGATGAATTCGTCCAGTTGTCCCGGGCTAGCCTCGTCTTCCATGGCTTGAAACACTGACCGGCCGTCTCCAAGTGATTCGACATTGCTGCTTCTTTTTTGTTTAGTTAGTGCGGCAGCGGCTTCACTCTGCCTCTTCTTCCGTCGCTGATCATAGATGAACCCGAAGCGATCAGTCAGGTACTCATTATGGGTCGTGGCAAATCTGTTGCGTTGCTGGACTAGAGTTGGGGGCCGAGACTCCTCTGGCAAAATTCGGTCCATCTCTACCGGTCCTAAATTACTGATGCTACGGCCCGCAAGTTGAGGACTAGGATTCACGGGTGCGTTCTTTGGTGGCTCTGTCGTCAGATTCTTGAGCGTTCCGTTAGGACCCAGCGCTCGACCGCCTCGACGTTGTGCGTTCGCCAGAGCAGAGCGGGCTGAGTGTGTTGTTTTTGTGGAATCAATAGAAGGAGTCCTATCTGCTGGATCCGAACTCGCATTGTTACGGCCTCTGGAGATACTTCCCTTATCTGCATTACGGCTGGCTGAGTTGTTACCAGCGACCATTTTGAGTGTCCAACTCATAATAGACACAGAAGACCTTCGTGATGATGAGCCTGACTGATCTTGATCCTGGCTTTGTAACCGGCGCAAAGTGGGTACAGCGCCCTTGTCTGCGCCGGGCGGTACGAAAAGATCATTACTGATGGGCTTCCGTGACGGCTTGGCTCCGCTTGACGCGCGTGGTCGCGACATACTTTCTGCATCTCGATCGACCAGGCTGGCGACGGAGGGCGCTCTGCTGCTTTTCCTACTTGTGCCACCACCACCGAGGAGGTAGCTTTTCCAGTTGCTGCGTCCCGTCTCAGGAGGCGCATCAATCCTAGAGTTGATTGAAGATCCATCCGGTTCTTGTGCAGCAGCCCCCGAGTCCATCCCCAGCGCATCCGGATGTTGTGCAATTTCATCTTCCATGGCTCTTGCTAATCTTTGATCAATGGGGTCTTCGGGATGTAAACCAGGCAAATTGCTCTCGCTGCCTTTCTTCTTGGTGATTCCCAACTGTGACTCATCCCCGTTGACATCGCTCTTCCTCTCCAACTCTCGAAGGCGATTCTCAATGTCCATGTTAGACACTTCACACTCCTGCAGCATCTTCCGCAGGATTCGTTCTCGCTCCTCTGCTCTCCTCCGCAATGCCGTGATTTGAGCATCGCGCTGTGCCAGATCGCCAGCCAGTTGCTTCACCAATGCCACGGCGCCCGATTGCGCCACCATGTCTTCAATGTTCTGATCGCTGGCATAATGCAAATTGCCGGGTATCTGAGTAGACTCGGCAGGGGTGTCGTCGAAAAGCGCGGTGCGAGCTCTGAAGGAAGCCGAAGGAGCGACCAGACTCCCCACGATCTGCTGTGTTGATTTTGTGACTTTCCGCACGGTGGACATGGGAGCAGCTGGTTTGAGGGGCTCGGGAGGAGGTATGGACCTGACCGTCTCGGGCGAGCTCGTAGGAGCAGGTCGATTCTCTGTGCTATCCCCTGAGACGGACCGCTCGCCCGCTCCCACGGCAGTGCGAAACCACCCATTGACACGCGACTGGACGGGCGACGATTCTGGGGTTGGCGAGAGCGAGGGGAACGATGTCAGGCTTTTGTCGTCGGGGTGGGGCGAGGGGGTTCGACCGAGAGAGGCATTTGAACTCCTTTTGAGTGGGCGCACACGCGCAGTGTGGCTTTTCTTGCCGCTTGAGACGGTGGAGCTCTGGGACGAAGTGCGCACGAGATCAACGGCAGCAGGGGGTTCTGTAGCCGCCATCTCAGAGCAGTTGGGTTGCGGGCGCGCACATTCGCGTGGGAAGAAAATGCGGCGAGTCTGGCGCGAGAATGTTAGGGAAGGTGGTCGTGGTGGTCGCGAGCAATGTTGTGGTGGTTATGGTGCTGGGCATGTGGGACAGTGTGCGTCATTAGATATTTGCTTTCTGTTGATGGGCGATTTGGGTGGAGAGATGAATGGATTGCGTGGATGGATGGTGTAAGCGGCTTCAGCGCGTTTCCAACAGGTTCTTTGCAGGGAGCAGATTGGGGGCAACGAGGATTATAATGCTGTCTCTGACTGACTGAGTGACTGCGCAAGGGAGGGCCAAGAAGGGGGTTTGGAGTGGTCGCCCGCCAATTCATGTCAAACAACAACGTGGGAACCGTCTCGCCTCGCCTCACCTCCTGCAATCTGGCGCTAGCTGGGAACATGCAACATCCTCTCTCTGAAGCCTTGCGCTTATTGCCTGCAAACCAGCATTATTTGTACATCCTTTGACCGTTTGTCCGAGACACCACGTATGAGTAGGATGCACAAGGACAGTCGGTCGGGCATCCGTGTGGAAGACGCCTGATGCCCGTTACAGACGAGGATGCCGCCATCCAGGCCATCGCGACTCTAGAGAATCTATCTACCAAACAGACCGAAGCTCTCCAAGCCGTCAACACAATCCTCCAAAGCGACGATCCCTTTGTCGATGTTCACCAACTCTTCAAACATTACAACGTCTTGTATTTTCGGGGGATCCTCCTCCCTCGCGTCGAGCTGCTATGGTCCCCACGGTTGACCCTGTAAGCAAGCACAAGAACTCCCAATCTTATATACGGCTTTTATTTCCCTTCACCTTCGTGTCACGCTCCCCGTTACCTTCGCGCGTTGCCTAGGGTCACATAATTGTAATCGATGCAACTCGCTAATTCCGCAATATCAAAATAGTTGCGCCGGGATTTGCGAACTATCAAAAGACCCGGTAACCGGGACATTCACCCGCATCCGCCTCAAACTGAGCTCATCACTGTTACAATACCGGCCCCGCAGCGGTACGTACATGCCTAAGCAAAGTGCACAAATCAAAGAATTCGTACAATGTGGTACACATATTCGAATCATGTTTCAACTTTCTTTTGTGCTTTCTTTCTCAATCTGCCTGTTGGAACACAACCCATAAAACGAATCCAATTACCCCATATATGCATACACTACACTCCCCAAGCCAAGTACTAACAATCGACACTGTTTTAAAACCTTTAGATACAATCAACACGCTCCTCCATGAAGCCATCCACGCCTACTTCTTCATAACCACATCCTGGCACCACTCCCGCGGCGATGATGGAACCGGCCACGGCGCAGGCTTCCAATTCCTCGCCGACGCCATCAACAACCACGGCCGCTACGCCATCACAATCTTCCACACGTTCCACGACGAAGTCGACAGCTTCCGCACCCATGTCTGGAAATGCAATGGCACTTGCCAAAATCGACCGCCGTATTTCGGGGTCGTGAAGAGGAGTATGAATCGTGCGCCTGGGAAGTCGGATCCGTGGTGGGCGGACCACGAGAGGGAGTGTGGGGGTACGTATGTAAAGGTTTCGGAGCCCGAGGTGACGAAGAAGCAGAGGGATGCTATGAGTTTGAAGAAGAGGGCGGGCTTGCAGAAGAATAAGCTTGATGGTTGGGTTAAGGTGGGTGCTGGTGCGGGGAAAGGGTCAGTAGAGGAGGGTAATATTTCCTCTTCTTCCGTGGTTTCAAGTGGCAAGCGTGGAGCTGCAGTTGTGATTGCAGAAGATGACACCCCAGATCGTAAACGGCGTAGAAGAGCGCCGGGGGATGATGGAAGCCCGGGAAAGCCTGCTGAGAAGAAGATGATGGTGGATTGTCCGATATGCTACCAGCGCGTTCCAGAGTTAGATATCAATGAACATTTAGACGTGGCTCACCACGTACAGTAATATACTCTATCCTATCGACACTCGAAACCTTCCACAATGTCTCCAATCAATATAATACATTTCAGTATACAATACGTCCCAACTAACCTACCACAGCCGCATCAAAACCACTTCCCCAGCGCCGTAGGCGTTCTCTTCTCCTGCCAAACCTCCAACGGCGTCTTTTTCACAGCGCCCTCCTCCTTCTCAACCACCTTCTCAACCCCCTTCCCAGTCCGCTTCTCAATCTCCTTCCCCTCCTTCCAAGCCTTGCCCTCCAACAGCGACCTAGCCCGCGCCCTCAACTTCTCCGTGTTCTCCCTCCTGACCTCGGGATTCATGGTAGCATACATACCCAAATTCCTCTTCGCCTCCACGTTCTTCTCCTCCATACCCCAGGGCTCCCAATTTGTCGGCGGCTTCGGCCACTTAAACGGCGTCTCCATCTCCACCGTCATGTACTTCTCGTTTTCTTCGCGGAACCAGTGGCGCATCTCATGGCGCGTGTCGCGGACGGGTGACAATTTGACAAACGAGCGGATGTTGAAGGTTTTGACCGAATACGCGTGGTAGAGGTAGTCGCGGAGATCGTATTTGGAGAAGTTGAGGGGCACTTTGAAGCGTGCGTGGTAGGGGGAGAGGAGGGGGGTGCGGACTAAGGCGATTGTGAATTTCGGTCTACGTGGTGTTGATGTTGGGTTAGTTTCGGGGGTATTTTTTAAAAAAAATAAAAAGGAGAGTAGTTGGATTGAGGGATGGAATTTGGATGTGAGGGAGCGTACAGGAAGACTTGTTTGTTGCCAAAGGCGACAATCTTTTTCGCGACTTTGTTGGATGCGTCCATGATGGCCGTTGAGTGCTCTGCTGTGTGGAGCTCTAGGCCCGGTGATTCCTTGCTCCCCGCGCAATCAAAACCCAGCGAGTTTAACAGAATCTCCGAATTGGGTTATCGAGTGAAGGACAGTTGGGCTCGAAGGACTCGGCGCGTCGGGGTCGCTGGCGTTGTTTCCGATGAGGGATTGATGATGGGGTTCCAGATGTTGGTGGTCTCTGAAAATCGTCGGAGATGGCTCGTGCACCTCCGCGTGTATGGCTTGGCGTCTGTTCGACGGTATACTCGTTTCTTGTTGGGGTTTATTTATCATCTTTATCAGCTGACGGTAGTTTCAACTGAGCTTTGAGTCTCTTGGAACAAATGATATCAATTGCTGTTCCAGGATTGATGGGGGAAAATACTGTCCGAGTGATACATGATGTCTGAGCTGCAGCCTTGAAGTCCTTCCTATTCTTTGAGGCGGGAAATGTTTTGATAGAACCAGATGATCTAAAATACCAGTATATCAAGCGTGATACATATGACGCCCCATTGCAGATTCTGCTAGGTGTTGTTCAAATGTCCACAACTTTCGAACGTCAAGGACATGCGAGGCAAACCCCAAACAGTCCCAACACACAACTTCCCACGTAACCATCCACAGAAAAGCATTCATACGGTCAGGCATTAACACAAATCACCAGCCCCTCTAATTGCCCTGCCATCTCTCAGAAACGTACCCAGCGGCAACCCTTTATCTAGCAGTTACAATATCGAATCACCACCGACCACAGAAGTAGACTTGATCAAAATATAAAGACGCCACTAGTATTTCTAATCAACTCATTTACTTCTGAGCCAACCAGTATACTCGAATGTGCATTCTTTTCAGATCCATGAGTGTAAGAACACACAAGGGCAGGAAGTAGATTAAAACAGACTGAATTTTTTTTGAACATATTGCAGGCGAGCGAACAAGTAAGCGAGTAAAGAAATATTGTGTTATATCTACAGTAAGCAGTCGATCTAAGAGGTGAATAACTTCTCAGGTGGCTGAATACCTAGCTGTATATATTTTCTTGTAAGAACAGATGAATGGATATCTCAAAAACACTAACTGGGCGATGCCAGCATATAGGGAACAAAGGTTTCCCTGTCCATCCATCTATCTATGTGAGATTTCTATCCAGATTCCCAGCAAACTCTACTCACAATATGATTTTGCACTGCTTCTAGTCTAACACATAATATACTCCCTACTAAACACATCGCCATCTTCTTTTATCTAAGAACGAAAAAAAGGTACTGTCGTTTTGTCTGTTGCTTGCTTACTCATTTCACTATTGTTCCTATCAACAGCTACTTATCTTGTCTAGTAGCCTTAGCCTTTAGCTGTGGAAGTGAGTACGTCCAAGTCCCTTCCTTTCACTTGTACAAAAAAAAAACTAAAAGAAGTGGGGTAAAGGTAGATGACAATCGTCAAGTAAAGCCATATTAGGTAGAAACTAAGGAACGATAAACTACCCTAACGAGAAGAAAAAAGGTGGAAGAGGGAAGGGCAAGGGTGGAAGAAAAGCATTTACATAGTAAGTAATAGTAGAGCTTTTTATTCACCTTTACCTCACTAATTCTCTCTTTTCTGTTTCCTCCTTTTCCTACCCTTCTTAGAAACAGCAAGACAAAAAGAGTTATGCGGGATTAAAAAAAAAGAAAGAAAAAAAAAGGCATTGTCTCTCCTGCCCTCTTCCAAAGCCCTAAGAAAAACAGAAGAGGCATCCTAAGAACAGCGACAATAACAACAAATCCATAAATAGCAAAAAATTGATTCAGGAATCCTATACTTGGGAATCAAAACCTAAGCAACCCAAAGCGATCTAAGCAGGTGGAGAAAATAAAAAAGGAGAAGAAAACAAGGTAAAAGCCACAGCTGCATGTACAACGTTAATACACTAACCTACCCTTAGATTCCATAATCATTTCTTTTCCCAAAACTACCAACCCATGGGTTGGGTTGGGTTGGGTTGGGGTCAGGTCAGGTCAGTTCCGGGTTCCGGTGTTGTTCGGAAAAGCCGTCGGCTTTTCTCTTTTTTTTCTGATGGACGCAGAGGAAAACTAAATTCCGCCTTTCCCGTTTGCTGGTGACCCCTCCCAACCTTCTGACCCTGACCCTGACACCCCCTTTCTTTTTTTAAACGCGTGGATAAATCGTTAGTGTTTTTTTTTTAGTTGTAAGAAGCAAGGGGGGCTAGATTGAACCCTTTTTGAAGGATTGTCGATAGTTGCGATATCGGACATCGGTTCTATTGTTGCTGCTGCTGCTGCTGCTGCTGATGTTCAGATCTCACGCGACCACAACAGTAGCATTGAATTAATCCATGGTGCGCTTGGACAGAATCTGAACAGTCGCACGAGTCTGAAGAGCAAAAGACTCAAGGTAATTATTAAATTCTTTACTGTGTTTGCCAAATCCCATGTGTAGCGCGTGACGCCGGCAAAGAACAATCAAGTCTAAGACGAGGGAATCTGCACTCCATCCTAAGCAGCACTTTTGGGGTCCATATCACATACCCGCGCATGCCGCCGACCGTTTGTCTAACCGTGATTCATAAACTGTATTCTCCCACCGTCGCATCCAAATAAAACGAATTCTACCAATCTAATCATACAACGCCTAACCAGAGAACTCGGGAATGTCCGAAGTCTTTCCGGGGATAAGGGCCAAGGGCACGATACCCGAGACGTGCATCTCAGGACCGTACACGTGCATGTTGAGGCTAAGCTCCTGGCCAACGGCCTTGATGTTCTTGAGACCCTCCTGGTAGTTGGGACCAGCACGACGGATCCAGATCTGGACGTTGTGCTCGATGAGGAGGGGTGCAACCTCCCTCAGAGCACGGATGACACCCTTGAATGTGGAGGCGACGTTGGTGAAGTTGGCAATACCACCACCGATGAAGAGAACCTTGCCCTCGGGGTGCTGGGGAGCACGGAGCATGAGGTCGAGGACGGTGCGGGCGTAGTGGAAGGTCTGAGTCTCGGTGGGGGCACCAGAGTACTCGCCGTAGTTGGCAAGCTCGCCAGCGAAACCAGCGGAGGCGATGGCATCGGCGTAGACGACAGAGGCACCACCACCGGCGACGAGAGTCCACACACGACCGGATCCGTTGAGGATGGTGAGCTTGAGAGATGCACCAGTCTTGGCGTCCATCTCCGCAATGTAGGCCTCTTCCTTGCTCATCTCGCGACCGAAAGGAGCGGGGAACTCCATGGGAGGACCGACATCGACCGTCTGCTTGCCTTGGGCAGGCGAAGCAGCGATGCCGAGAGCATTTGCGCTGCGGGCAACAGCCCACTTGGCACCGCACTCGAACTCGGCAGTTTGGTCAATCTTGGCAGCAAGATCCAGGAAGTGCACTTCAGCAGAGGTGGCTTCCGAGTTGGGGATGACGACGAGAGGGTTGATCTCGAGGTATCTAAGCGGGTTAGCGATGAAGTAGAATAGAGGGGGATAGGATGCAGCTCACGTGAATTGGCAGTCAACGTAGACGGCGTATAATCTGGAGATGAAGTCGACGAGAACATTGTGCACACCCTTGGGGACCTTGGACAGGAGCTGGCTAGCGATCTTCTCGTTGGAGGGGTACTCGCTGAGGTCAACGGGGATGAGGAGCTTCTCGGCCTTCTCATCGACATCACCGACGTCGACACCACCCTCGTGGGTGAAGAGGATCCAGTCACCCTAAAGCGGAAAGTCAGCCATAAGCTCGAGACGTGATTGGCGGTACAGGTGCAGTAGCCGAACGGCGGGGGAAGAGCCGCAACATGAATCCGTCTGAGCGCCAAACTGCCTCAGCGATAAAAGGCACGATAGAGACATGCTACAAAGCAGCAATTTTCACATGCGAATGCCGGGTGCTGCGTGCGGCAGGAAAGGCGTGTGCTCTGCAGAAGTGGGCCTCTGCAGGGCATGCCATTCCCTTCGTCCGGCCGGCTGCTTAACAAAATGTCCGCAGCCCCCAGCCGTCGACTTCGTTTCTTGCATACACAGCGCGGCAGACCCATCATTTTCTCTGCTTTGACCGGTGCAATGTGAAAATACATTGCCAGCCCTTTTCGAACAGGGCCCGAACCCAACAAATCATGACCAAGCCAAAATTGGAAGAACAACGTACCTCTCGCACAGAGTTGATGTTGATGTAGTATTCGGTATCCTGCGGGTGAGGAACGAATGGCTCGACCAAGAACTGCCTGAGAACACCATCGACCGTCTCGACCTTCTGGGGTTTTCCGGCCCTCTCGTGGATCCAGGCACGGGCATCCGCCCACGACTTGTTCAAGGCCAAAAGACCGCTCTTGCCTCGTCGCTTGATCAATTGATCGGGCTTGGCCACGAATTTGGCACCGGGAGCCAGCAGCCACGGGTATGTGGCCTCGGCCTGGTCGAGTATGCCCTTGACATCGGCATCGGCAGGGAAGTGCAGCGACGCGAGCTTTGGGGGAGGGTTGTGTGTGGAAGAGGCGGGGAGAGGCGTGGGCTTGATGACGGGAGCACGAGTGAGGTGGTAGTTGAGGATGGCCTTGCCGTCGGCCTCGAGGATGGATTTGGCGGACATTGTGAGTTGTGGGTGAGTGGTGCTGGATTGGGTGAGCAGAGCCCTCTGAAAGATGCAAGCAGGCGAGCAGGAGGGGGGGAGGCAGGGCAGGAGGGAGTTATGGACAAGGACGGGAGAAAAGAGCAGAATGAGTTCCGACGGCGGTCCGGGATGAATTGGAGAGTGGAAGGAAAGGGGAGCGAGGGGGAGAATTGATGAGAGGAAAAAAAGAAGCGGGTTGGCTGGTTGCAGGGTTCGTCGGAAAGTAGGAGGAGGAGGGTGGAGAAGCGGGCAGGGCAGCACAACAGCAGATGGTGGTGGGATAAGACAGACGAGGACGAGCGAGCGGGCCGAGACAGACACGAGGGGAAAATTGATGACGGTGCGAGATGCACGTACCTTTTTTTTTCCTTTCTGTTGATTCTGTTGTTTTGTTGAAGAGAGGGTTGAATGGAGCAGAAGAGGAGGAACTGTTGTTGTTGGAACGGTGCGAGGGAAGATGCGGTCTGGCTGGCAGTGGCAGTATTATTTTTCTGCCGCCGCTTCGCTGTTGAGCTCGACGTCCCCCCCCTCGCAGGCCAGGCTAGGCTTAGGCCAGGGCCCGCCAACAGGAGCAGCGAGCAGCCGCGCAGGGCTAAGGAAAGTTGGGAACGCCAATGCACGACGCCGCCAGTGGGGCCCGCCAGCAAATCACGCCCGATGAGCGGCGGCGGGGGGGTGTTGACAACAACAAGCAGCCCAGCACGGCGTCCTGGGAGGGAGGACAGCGCCAGAAGCAGAAAAAGCCGGACGTCGACACAAGCAGCCATCCTCGCTCCCCGGCTTTGGTCGTCGTATCTCGCTGCTGCGACACACGTCAAGCAAGCCTCGCGCGGGGCTCCTCGCCCTTCGGCTATCGATCCGTCATCCTCGTCATCATCATCACCCGGATACGCCCCCCAAGCGTGCACGCAGGCAGAGACGTGCTGTGAGGGCATTCGCGACATCCTCCGGCTCCCCGTTCACCGCTTCCGAGCTTGGGCGGTTTAGCGCCTTGCCCGATCCCCAACGATTCAGCGGGCAGGCGCAGGGACCCTCAACACCCACCGCACTTTCTCTGTCGCTGCTTTTGTTGGTTGGCCCAGTGCGTGCTCAACTCTTGATTTGATTCCGCTCTCTCTGCTCTTCCGCTCGTCTGCCCTCGATTTGGCACCGCTCCAAAACTTCCGAACGCCTCATCCTGCTCCTCCTTCTAACCACCCACTCCCCCCCTCCACCGTCTCCGACCTGACATCCATCTGCTTTTCTTCTTTTTCCCCCCTCCCCTTCCCCTCCATCCTCTCAATTCTCCCCGGTCTCCTCTGCCGCACTCGGCATCCCATCAATCAGGTCAGTAATCTCACGATATTATCTCTCCGACCCCCCCTCCGCTACCTGCTCTCTATTCCGTCCTGCCCTGCTCGACAATTCCCTCCCTCAACTGCCTTTTCTCCATTCCGTCCCATCTCACTCGTGCCGCCTTATTATTGTTTATTACTCACAAACTAACCCTCCTCGACCGCACCCAGAACCAATTGGTTGCCCAAACCCCTCCAAAAAACATCTCCTTCGGCCACAATGCCTTCCGCCGTCACCAACGGGCAGCCTCAGCAGGCCGCCACCTCGGGCGATAGCCTCTCGGCCAACGACAACATCCGCCGCTTCGCTGCTCCCTCGCGGCCTTTGAGCCCTCCCGCTTCCCACACTCTCTTCCACCCCAAGACACGATGCTTCGTCTAGTAAGCCTTTCCGCGACCATACAATGAACACACAGTGGCAGAGCTCTAACAGGCTTCAACAGCGGTCTCCAGCCCCGTGCTGTGCAGGGAATGCTTGATTTCGACTTCATCTGCAAGCGCAAGTCTCCCTCCGTGGCCGGCATCATCTACACCTTTGGCGGTCAGTTCGTCAGCAAAATGTGCGTGCCAAGCAAGGATTTTCCCGTTCTCCCCCACTGCAAAATCTAACCTCCACCAGGTACTGGGGAACCAGCGAGACATTGCTGCCCGTCTACCAAGACGTCTCCAAGGCCGTCGCGAAGCACAATGATGTTGACACCGTCGTCAACTTCGCCTCGTCCCGTTCCGTCTACAGCTCCACCATGGAGTTGATGGAGTTCCCTCAAATCAAGTGCATTGCCATCATTGCTGAGGGTGTGCCCGAGCGTGTAAGTCTACGATTGCAGAAAACAAACCAAGAATTGGTGGTTGCAACATTTGTACTGACTTTACTAGCGTGCTCGTGAGATTCTCCACGTGGCCCAGAAGAAGGGCATCACCATCATCGGTCCTGCCACCGTCGGTGGTATCAAGCCCGGATCTTTCAAGATCGGCAACACTGGTGGTATGATGGACAACATCGTCGCCTCCAAGCTGTACCGCCCCGGTTCCGTTTCATACGTTTCCAAGTCTGGTGGTATGTCCAACGAGTTGAACAACATCATTGCAAACACCACCGATGGTGTGTTGGAAGGTGTTGCCATTGGTGGTGACCGTTACCCCGGTACCACTTTTATCGACCACGCTCTCCGTTACCAGGCCGATCCCGACTGCAAGATCATCGTCTTGCTCGGTGAAGTCGGTGGTGTCGAGGAGTACCGTGTGATCGAGGCCGTTAAGTCCGGTCAGATCAACAAGCCCATTGTAGCATGGGCTATTGGTACCGTTGCCGGTATGCTCAAGACCGAGGTTCAATTCGGTCACGCTGGTTCTTTCGCCAACTCGCAGCTCGAGACCGCTGCTACCAAGAACAAGACCATGAGGGAGTCTGGCATCTACGTCCCAGAGACCTTCGAGGAGATGCCCGCAACCCTTGCCCAGGTGTACCAGAAGCTCGTCAAGGACGGAACCATCAAGCCCAAGGCTGAGCCCGCCGTTCCCAAGATCCCCATTGACTACTCGTGGGCCCAGGAGCTCGGCCTCATCCGAAAGCCCGCTGCCTTCATCTCCACCATCTCCGATGACCGTGGTCAGGAGCTTCTGTACGCTGGTATGCCCATCTCCGACGTCTTCCGGGAGAACATTGGCATCGGTGGTGTCATGTCTCTTCTCTGGTTCCGTCGTCGTCTCCCCGATTACGCCAGCCGCTTCCTCGAGATGGTGCTCATGTTGACTGCCGACCACGGTCCCGCCGTGTCTGGTGCCATGAACACCATCATTACCACCCGTGCCGGCAAGGATCTCATCAGTGCATTGGTATCTGGTCTTCTGACCATCGGATCCCGCTTCGGTGGTGCCCTTGACGGTGCCGCTGACGAGTTCACCCGCGCCTTTGACAAGGGTCTCAGCCCCCGTGACTTCGTCGACACGATGCGCAAGGAGAACAAGCTCAGTAAGTTGCCGACTATGCAGTTTTCACGGGAATGGGTTTGCTAATATGATTGTAGTCCCCGGTATCGGCCACAGAATCAAGTCCCGCAACAACCCCGATCTCCGTGTCGAGCTCGTCAAGGAGTACGTCAAGAAGAACTTCCCCAGCACCAAGTTGCTCGACTACGCTCTTGCCGTCGAGTCGGTGACGACGTCCAAGAAGGACAACCTCATTCTCAACGTCGACGGCTGCATCGCTGTCTGCTTCGTTGACCTTATGCGCAACTGCGGAGCGTTCTCCGCCGAGGAGGCCGAGGACTACCTCAAGATGGGTGTTCTCAACGGTCTGTTTGTGCTCGGCCGAAGCATCGGTTTGATTGCCCATTTCCTCGACCAGAAGAGGCTGAGGACCGGCCTCTACAGGCACCCTTGGGACGACATCACATACCTTCTCCCCTCGCTCGCGCAAGGCGGCGCACCGGGAGCGGAGGGACGTGTCGAGGTCACTTTGTAAGTTTAGAATGCGGAAAAACCACGGACGAGCAAAAAAGGAAGGAATATATCATTCGGAGGGGCCGAAACGGGCGTTTTGGGGCTTTTAGATCTGCATCAGGCGCGCCAGAGGTTACATGGATGCGAGTGATTGTCGCCCCGGCGGTGCTGTAGAATTTTTGCGGCCAGTTTGATCTCGGGCATGACTGATAGGACTATTTAATAATATGAGTAAATGACTCTGTTTCTACAAGACTGTTTTGTTTGCGTGCCCCGGACGGAAGAAGACGAGGAAGAGAGTTGAGGAGCATGCAGTGGTGAGATGTGAATGTAGCGTGGAAGGCGGGTGCATATGGATTCCAATGTTGATTACATATGTAGACTGGTGCATGCACGCATGCATGGACGTACAAGTATAACTACGAGGTGGGGAGAGAGACATGCAGGGACGTGGGTTAGCCGGCTGTCAGAACAGAAGTCTCTGCAATCAATTCCATGCCATGCATGACTGCTAGGGAAGCAAAGGGCCAATGTCTAATGCCAGGTACCTCGGCAAGGCCCACGTTATGATATATCCGAATATCCAGGGAAGAAAGGGAGGGGGTTGGGGATATGACGTGATGAGCTTTTTCTCTTATCTCCATTCCAAGCAATCTTACTCTGTTGGTATTGCTATTTGGTGGTTTTGTTGGTGTTATTGTTGAACAGATAAGACATGTTGATACACACTGTACATGTTCTCATTTCCTGTTGTTCTCCTTCCAGTTGAGAAAGCGAAGCTTTGATAGAGGCTGCTTCGTACACAAGTACTGTAGGTATACCCCCCACTCGACGGCTGCAGGTCCCTTCATCATTATCATCATCATCATCACTATCGTGGTGTAGTGTGGTGTAGGTGGTTGGGTGCGTACCTTGCCAAGCTCCCTAACGGGGCTTAGCGTGGCCTTAGCTATCCCGCTCAACCCACGCGAGCCAAAGAAAAAAAAAGCTTCTTAACCGCTTTGGGGAGCTCGAGCTCGAGAGCTGAAGAGAGAGAGCTCTTTGAATACGATACGACATCAGCCTGCAGGAACGGCAAACCCTCGTGCATGATAACGTGCTTGTCCATCTATCTCGATGACTCTGTTTTTCTCTCCCATCGTTTTCAAACTCTCTTTGGGGTGTGTTGGATAAGAAGAAGAAGATGTAGAGGAAAGAAGCCTTAACAAGGCCGCATCAGACGGTTGGTGTGGTGTGGATACCCATTGTTGCTTTTTTTAACGACGGCATGCAAACACCATCAATACCTACACCAGTACATGGTCCATCTACTCTACACTACGCGACACTAACCACCGGCAATGCGCCCAGAGCTGCCCATCTGCTAGCTATCCATCTATCCACCCTGCAGCTTGCTTCCTTCGCCTGCATGTCCACCCATGCCACGACACGGCATCATGGCTGGACAAGGTAGGGGTGCCAGCTGCTATCTCTCTATCTATCCTCCTCTCCATCTACCCATCTCACCCAACAAAGAAGACGAGCTGCCTGCCTTGCCTGCTTGCCGAATCAGAATCTCTCTCCTCCCCCGCCCGTGCTTTTGCTGCATGCGATTGATGGATCCATTCAAGCTACCAGTCCAGCCCAGCCCACCTTAAGTACAGCTGCAATCTGGTATCCTTTGTCACCGGCTTTTTCTTTTCTTCTTGCATTTGATCCACTCCTCGATTTTTTGATCCAACGCGCTTTTTGCTTTGCTGCTTCACAGTTGCATCTATCCATCGACTCCTTTTGTCGATGCTGTGTTGCTGAGTAGAGAACAACCAAGACGGTGGTTTCCCACCACCCAACCTCACAGATACACATTTCTCAACTATCTATCCACCATGCTTCTCCTCACCACCCTCTCCCTTCTGGCTCTATCCCACATAACCACCGCCCAAGACGCAAACAGCAACAATAACGACAATGACCTCTACCACCTCTTCGGCTCCGTGGTCTTCATCCGCTCGGGCGAGCGCACCCCAACCTCCCTCTACACCCCGGGCCCCCAATCCCTCACACCACTCGGAGCCCAGCAAATGCACGCCCTCGGCGCAAACTTCCGCTCCCGCTACATTTCCCCTTCCACGGGCTCCCCACGCACCTTTGGCGTTCAGAAAATCCAGGATATCTCGCCGGACGTGCTAGTCCAGGACCAGCTCTCCATCCAGACGCTCGAGAAACCATATCTCGTCGCCTCGGCGCAAGCATTCATGCAAGGTCTCTACCCTCCCCACTCCAATCCAAACCAAGCTCCGGATTCTAGCTATACGCTGGGGAACGGGTCGACGGTTGATTTCCCGCTGGGCGGGTACCAGTACCCCAATGTGCAGGTCCTGGGTTCGCTGGACCCGCGCAGTATTTATCTCGATGGCTTGACGAATTGCTCTGTTGCCAAACGCGCCAATCTCATGTATCAGCTCGAAGAAGAGTATCTCCGCACCCGCTCGGCGGAGAAGGCGTTTTACGCCAATCTTTCGTCCATGACGTGGGCTAGTGCTGGAATGGGTGAGGATGAGGAGGATGAGCAGGTGAAGGAGGCCAGGATCGATTATCGCTACGCAACGCAGGTGTACGAGAACCTTTCGTACGCGTTAAACCACGATCAAGAAACATATGAGTCCTTGAGCAAAGCGGCGGGGACGCAGGACGACGTGGTGACGCGAGCGCGGATCCTGGCGGATAAGATGGCGTACTACACGTTCGCCAACACGACGTCGTCAACGTCCGACGACGACCACCAGGCCGTGGCCGGCAAAACACTGGCGGCGCTCATCCTGGGCCAGCTCCAGCGCATCGTGGATAAACACACGCTTTCTGCCTCCGAGGTCGCGGGCGTCAACGCGCCGGAGCTCACGCTGCTGTTTGGCGACTCGGAACCCATGACGTCGTTTTTCGATCTCGCAATGGTGCAGAATTCATCCGACAAGTTCAAGGCGGCGCCGACGTATGGTTCCGCTATGGTGTTTGAGCTCTTCACGCTCCGCCGCGATCCTGCGTTCCCAACCAAAGACAACCTTTCGGATCTGCGCGTGCGGTTCTACTTCCACAACGCCACGTCCACTTCCTCTTCCACTTCCTCTTCCTCTACAAACTCGACAGAGAGCCTAACCTCCTACTCCCTCTTCAACGACCCTTCCCCCGACACCCCCTGGCCGACCTACCAAGACATGGTCCAACGCATCATGCTCAACCACGCCTCCTCATGGTGCCAGCTCTGCGACTCCCCAGCCCTCTTCTGCGCCGGTTTCGACGGGTCCTCGTCGGCGTTCGACCAATTCCCAAAATCCACAGACACGCTGCTAAACGGGAAATGGAGCACATCGAAAGTAAGTCCCGCGGTCGCAGGCGTGATTGGCGCCGTCGTCGCGCTCGTCGTCGCGGCGCTCGTTTTCGCGGCCGGTATGGTGTTTGCTGGGGTTCGCGTTCAGCGCCACCCTTCTTCTTCTTCACATCACGCTCGCTCGTTCCACTCTCCACCTTTCTTCTTCTTCGGACGCCGAGGACAAGGTCGCTTTGATAGGAAATACGGCGGAGACACCAAGTCCCCCTTTCCCTTTGGCGGAGCAGGAGGATTCAAAGGCGCCGCGAAATTGGCATCGGATCCTGATCTCAGTTTACACGGTAACGCGGTGCCGCCGGCGGGAGCGGGCATGGGCGCCGCGGTGCTGAAAGGGCACGAGCGCGTTGGCAGTTGGGAGTTGAGGCAGAAGGAAGTGGGGAGAGAGATCAGGATGGACGACGAGAGTCCGCGGGCGAGCTTCGACGGCATCGACGAGGCTGTTGGTGGTGGTGGGAGGAGGGTTGAGCCTGTGGAGAGGATTTGATGTTTTCCATCTTCCCTCTTCATCTTTTGAGACATCTTCTTTTTTTTTTTTTGGTGTTTGGAAGGGATGGATTGTTTTTTGATTTTGGTGCTGGTTCGATGGTTTCCCGCATTTCCCTCTTTCTTTCTTTCTTCTCATTTTCCCCCCCATTCATCTAGAGAGGAAGAAGGAGAAGGAGAAATGGAGATGCAGACGAAGAAAGACGAATGGTGATGTCGGAAGGGAAAAGGAAAGGAAAGACGATGGTATGATATGATTAATGAGAGGACACGGAAGAAGATACCCCCCACCTAAGCTAGCCAACTTCACTACTATTTATATATATATATACATACATACACAAACAGTTCAAAGGTTTCACAGTTTTTCAAATTGCCACACGTTAACATCTTACACGTCATGGACATATTCCTAAGAATCTTTCCGCTATAATTTAACGGTATTCTCATCCCAAACAAACTCTATTTTTGCTGGATAAAAATAAAAGTAGGAAAAAAGAAACCTGTTTTTAGTGATGATTTTGCAAGGCAAAATTTGTTCCATTATAGTTTTTTTTAATTTTTTTTTAATTTTTTTTTAATTTTTTTTTAATTTTTTTTTAATTTTTTTTTAATTTTTTTTAATTTTTTTTTTAATTTTTTTTTTAATTTTTTTAAGTATTTTATGATTATTTGGAGTTGGAGTACAGCTAGTCCTACACAGCGATGGGTGACAACGAAGAATAAACCAATTCTTTCTTCGTTGTCACCCATCGCTGTGTAGGATTAGTTGTACTCCAACTCAAAATAAATATTTTTTTCACAGTATGTTTTGGTTTTCAGAGAAATGTTTACTGCAAGACTACACATAACGTCATATATGATGTTTAATCATATCTCTTTTTTTTTTGAAGAGACTGGGGTACACGTCTAAATTGATATAGTATAGACGGTGCTTTCTCTCTCCCCCTCTCTGTCTCTCTTGGTTTCCTCTGAGCACTGGCGTGGCCCCTTTAATATGAGCGATTGAGCGATACACGCACAATGTAGATGGATTTGGCCAACATGTATATGTCAGTGGGTCGTCAATCATCCGGCTATTCGTCTCTAAAGTAAACATGGCGACGATACTACCACGTTTACAGATTCCGGACGATGCTGCAAACTGAAGCTACACAGCGAGCAATCTATCCATTCAGACACCCCACGGTCCAAGAAAGAGAAGCTCATGTCCAAGCCATCGTCTTCGTCGAGTCGCAGATTGGGCAACTGCGGGTCTATACCGCATCGAGTCTCTGAATTTCAACTTCAGCCAACTTCAATGGCTTGCAGCGCCGCGATGACTTCCTCTGCAACTCCTCCTTTATCCACAACCATTGACGAAACACGTTTGATGAGATCGCGCTTCATTCCGCCGCGCGGCGGCGTCCATACTCCCGAGGCCGAAAGGAGCTCGCGCTGTGTCAACGCCTCAGCAGTGGAAGCCGGTGCGACACCCCCCGTCGCGGAATTCATAGCATTGGGCACGGCGGGCGGGGTGAGATGGGAAGGCGGGTCAATAGTGCGGATAGACACGATACGGGGACCGGTAGACGATGCGTTTGAAGGCGCGCAGGCGATAGCTAGGACAGCATCTGCGACTGCGAGCTCTTCTTTGCAAGGGTCGAAGATGATGTTGGGACCCACGGCCATGGCGAGGACGATGACGGGGGGTTTGTCGACGTTTGCGCCGCCTGACGAGTCGCTCTTGGGGTAGAGAGGTACGGCGGCGTCCCAGTCGTCGTCGAAGAGGGGGTCTTCGTCTTTTTCGGATTTGAGGGCTGGGAGGTGTGCAGTGAGTAGGGCGAGGTGGGTGGTCATGGAGAGGAGGGCGAGAGGGTACGAGAGAGGTGGGGATAGGAGGAGGATGTCGATGCCTAGTTTCCAGTGGAATCGGTTGTTGATATATAACCTGTCCTTGAGCTCGCCGCTGGATAGCAAGCTTTCGGTGAGCATGGAGGCGAGGAAGACGGGCAGGGCATCGTCGTCGCGATAGCCGGGAATCTCGACGCTGATTTCGATCCACGAGTTCTGGCCTTTTCCTTTGTTATCGTGGCTCTCTAGCTTATCGTCGTCGGTCATATCCACGTCGCCAGCAGCGATTGAAAGGGCGCGCCTGCCTTCGACATTGGGGCGCCAGAGGGACTTTTCGACTTCGGCCTTGACGCCGACCAGGGCTTCTGTGCCGTCGTCCAAGGCAATGCGAGCGCTTCCGTTTGTGCTCGGCAAAACGTCGTACTCGGCAACCATGGAGCGGAAATCCCTGGGGCCTTTGGTATTATCCAGGCGGATAGGCGGGGTTTGCGAGAGGGAGGATCGCAGGAAGGACAGCTCTGCGGGCGAGAGATTGACCTGGGCGGCCTGGGAGGGAGCCATTGTTGGTGGCACACAGGCGGGATGGATGAGCGGACAGGCGGACGGACGGGCTGCGTACACAACAGGGAAGAGAATATGGAGTGTTTCCCGTGTTTGTTTGTATACAGGGACCGACTGTTGGATCTGATGATGGCGACGATGATGCGGGAGGCATGTGGTTCAGTGCTTGAATAAATCTTTAGCGCAGCTCGGGCCAATCACGGCGTGCAGCGTAGCTTGCCTGCCTGCTTGACGCCATCCATAGCAACGACAGCTGTTGACCGCCAATTGCTGGACACTTATATCTCTTCCTCCTCAGTCGACGCAGGCGGCGTCTTCGTCGAGGCAAAACACCTCTCTCTCTCTCTTTACTTGTTCAATTATCTGTTCCTGCATCGGATTCCTGATCCGGCACAATGACGTTGTAACCAATCAGTCCCTCACGCGCCTCGGTCACACGTCAGGTCACGTTCCCCTGCCACTGCCGCTGCCACTGGAGCCATGTCGCCGCCTCCGCGCTCCAAACGAGACTCCAGCAATGGCATAGACAAGCTCGACTACGACGCTGCCCGCCGCCCACTCCTCCACCCCGACGCCGAATCCGACTCGAATCGCCGCTCGCAAGACACCAGCTACGCCGGTAGTTTCTTCGAGCAGGTCGCTGAAGGCATCATGGATCGCGACCGCCAGAGGCTGCAGCGTGAAGCCGTGCGATGGCTGAGCTTCGTCTGGGCCATCATCAGCTGCCTGTGTGCCGGCAGCATCACCGCATACTCGCTTTACGGCCACATCTTCCAGTCTAAACTCCATTACACCCAGTTCCAGGTCAACATTGTCAGCATCACCGCCGAGCTGGCCATGTACTTGCCCGTCCCTGCCTTTGGCTACCTCTGCGACCGACTGGGGCCTGGCGCCCCGTCCGCTCTGTCTGCTGCATTCTTCGGCACCGGCTACCTGCTGGCTGCATTTGCCTACAAGAGCGGTCCTCCCCCGTCCGCCGGTGGTCACGGATGGCCGTTTGGAGTCATGGCTCTGGCCTTTGTCGGCATAGGCATGGGCACTAGCTGCATGTATCTTTCGGCCGTCACCACGTGTGCCAAGAACTTTGGCCGCGGAAACGCAAAGGGAATTGCCCTGGCTGTTCCCATTGCCGCCTTTGGTCTCAGCGGCATGTGGCAGAGCCAGGTCGGAAGCCGGCTGCTGTACGTGAGAAATCCCGACGGCAGCAAGGGAGATGTCGATGTTTTCAGGTACTTCTTGTTCCTCGGCATACTTCTTCTCTGTGTGGGCCTGATCGGCTTCTTCGCCCTCCGCATCATGGATGAGGAGGAGATGATAGATGATGCAGTCGATGAGCTGGAACGCTCTGGTCTACTCGCCCAAGATGAATTCTTTACCCAGGCTGCCAGCGATCACGGCTACGGGACCATGGAAACTCGGGACCTGTCCGACTCCACCTTTGATTTCCTTCAATCCGAGGCCGAGCGCTTGAAAGCCCAAGCCGAAGAGGAGGCACGCAAGAAAACATGGCTCTTGAACGAAGAAACTCGCCGCTACGTCTCAGATCCCACCATGTGGTGGCTTGCAGGTGGCTTCTTTCTCGTCACTGGCCCTGGCGAAGCCTTCATCAACAATCTCGGCACCATCATCGGTACTCTGTCCCCACCCGATACCGCCGCAACCACATCTGCAGCGACACACGTGTCTATCGTGGCTATCACTTCCACCGTAGCCCGATTAGTCACCGGCACTCTTTCTGACATTCTGGCCCCTGTAGCTCCCATTCATCAACACCGCCGTGGCCCAGATTCGGTCTCCAATAGTCTTGCCTCACTTCCTCCTGCCAGCCGCAAATTCTCAGTATCTCGCATCACGTTTTTGCTAACCTTCGCCTTTATCTTGTCGCTCGGTCAACTCCTACTGGCATCGGGCTGGGTCCAAAACCACGACTCGCGCTTTGCTGTCGTGTCCGCACTCATCGGTGCAGGCTACGGAGCCGTCTTCTCGCTCACGCCCATCGTCGTCTCCGTTGTGTGGGGTGTCGAGAACTTTGGTACCAACTGGGGAATTCTGGCCACGACCCCGGCTGTTGGTGCCACGCTGTGGGGAGCCATTTACGCCACCGTGTACCAAAAGGGTGCAGCCACCGGTGAGCCGGGTATCGAGAGAGACCCGTCCGATGTCTTGTGCTATGGTAAAAGCTGCTATGCGCCGACTTTCTGGGCCATGGCTGTTTCTGTGTGGTTGGCTATGGGCCTGTGGTTGTGGGCTTGGAGAGGACCTGGTGGTTGGAAGAAGAGAGGCATTGCCGTGTAGATTTTTCTTTTGTTTGTTTTGATTATCTTTTTTTGCAAGCGAGTTCAATCATGCCTTTCAGTGTATCTTGGAAGTGAGAGATGGCATACACAACAATTGGTATAGATGTGCATAGGAATTGGTGATGGTTCTCTCTCGGTTATGATTGGCGATCTTTCATGGTGCGGTTTTCGTCAATTCATGTTGCATTTTTCATCACCTTCCTTGTCTAGTCATTTAGTTGCATATTATCTTCAACTTTGAAGCCCCCTTTATCTCTTTTTTATGCATCTATCATATATGTCTATAACTTTGTGTCTCTTACTATTTCTTCTTAGCATTGCATCCATTTGCCGCACTTTCCTGTTACAATCTAGGTATATGTACTAGATATCTAAACTCAACATATCTTAATCTAAGAAAGCTCAAGAAAACAGGGAATCGAACATCTCTACACTACTGCCAACTCTTACTGATCTTCCTTACCTTGTTTTATTACATAGGAAAAGAAGACTTCTCAACATACACCCTGCATCTTGGAGATAGTTTTAATCTACCCACTTTTGCCCTATAAATACTCTAGATATCTTTAAAGTCTGTTTGTTGTGAAGGTCGTACGGTAATTCATTGATGCCTAGGTGCCGCTAGCTGTAGAAGCAGTTGTTGCATAAGTGCAGTATCAAGTAGTATTCACTATCTTAACGATATGTGAAAGCTGATAGCAGTATGAAGTTAAGACTCTATGGGATGTCACGGTGGGCTTTAGAGATCTTGAGATGCGTGTGGATTTGGAGTTTTAGTAGCACATACCGCCTGATCAGACGTCCACCAATACTTCCTCTACACGCCTTTATAAATCAAGACTACTACTGTGCCGCTACACAACTGTTGATAAACTCTCTATTAAAACTGTGGACCGCATTTCAAGCGTACATAAGTCAATAGATTTTCAAGTAGGACAAGAGCGGCTATGTAGGTGTGGGGAGCCGCAGTAATCCACGGCTCCGCAAAGCAAAACCAAACAATTATCATCTCCACCTCCTCTGTGAAAGACAAAACAAATATAGGTTAACACGTGTCTATGCAACACCACCATGAGCTTTCGCTGTCTCGGCCTTGGGGTAACCCCGAATTCTCTTCGCGCGAACAAATTGCTAACATAGTCAAGGCGACAGCATGCCATTCGAAGGATACGTAGGATTCTAGAGTGCTTTTTTTTTACCCAAGAACAGCTAATAAAGTAGGAAACACACGAGGTTTATAAGAAATCCTCCACCGATAAGATCCGAAGAACCTATATTTCCGCACTTATTCCGACTCCGTCAAAACCCCTTCCATCGCCCGCCAAAGCATAAAAAGACCTTCAAGTTGATATCAAAGAGTGCGCTGATCCACATCATCTCACTTACAAGATCTGAAAACAATGTCTTCATTTATCCTCCGTGACATCCGCATCTTCACGGGCGAGACCGTCCTAGAAAATGCCTATGTCCACATCGTCTCTGGCAAAATCGCCTCCCTAGGCCCCATCACCACCATCCCCTCCACGACCTCTGAGAAGATCTACTCCAAACCAAACCACACCCTCCTCCCAGGCCTCATTGACTGCCATGTGCATGTGGGCTCCGGAGCATCCCACGCCCTCCCCCAATTCCTCCGCTTCGGCGTGACCACCGTCTGCGAAATGCACAGCGAACTCGAACACGTGCAAGCCCGCCACAAGCAAACCCTCCTCCCAAACACCGCCCGCTACAAAACCGCAGGACAGTCCGCAACCATCGAAAACGGCTGGCCGATCCCCGTCATCACCGCCCACGATAAATCCCCCGAGACGGCCGCCGACATCGCCACCTGGCCCAAACTCACGGACCACGACAGCGTCGTCGCATATCTTGACTGGAACATCCGCGAAATGAAGCCGAATTATATCAAGCTTATGCACGAGTCTGGCTTGAGCATGAATATGCCGCTCACGAAGCCCTCTCTCACCCTCCAGCGCACCATCGTGAATGAAGCACGGAGCCGCGGTCTCCTGACCGTTGCGCACGCCACCAGTCTGAAGGATACCCTCGAGGTCCTCGAAGCGGGTGTGAATGGGCTTGCTCATACGTTCTGTGATCAACCGCCAACAAAGGAAGTTGTGGACGCGTATCGCAAGGGAAACGCGTGGTGTAATCCCACGTTGGCGACACTAGGGAGTCTAACGGGCGAAGGGCGAGAATTGCAGGAGAAATTCGCACATGATGGACGGGTGCAGCATCTATTGGGGAAAGAGGATGTACAGCATGTGTGCGAGTGTATGGGGTTTGCTAAGGAGAAAGGAAAAGTGGATTTTGCGTATCAGAGCGTACGTATGCTTCGTGAGGCTGGGATTGATATCCTCTGGTAAGTCTCCTTCCTCCCCCTTCCCTTTCTTTTTACCTCCAACTCCCCTTCGAAACAAGAGGAGAAGAGTAAAAGAGAGATGAGAGAAAGCTCGAGTGTGCTAACAAAACTTTCTCCCCTAAAAACAGCGGCTCCGACGCAGCAGGACCCGCAATCGGCACCGCCTTCGGTCTGACCATGCACCACGAGCTCTCCCTCTTCGTCCATGAAATCGGCATGTCACCCATCGAAGCACTCACCTCCGCCACCAGCAAAGTAGCATCCCGTTTCGGCTTCAAAGATATTGGGAAGATCGAGCAGGGGTATCTTGCGGATTTGCTGCTTGTGGAAGGGAATCCCATCGATGACATCGACAAGACGTTGGAGATTCGGGGTGTGTGGAGGGAGGGGGCTTTGTGTGATAGGTATGAGGGAGTTTTTGAGGGGTGAGGCATTTTAAGGAAATTGATGTGTTGGAGACTGTAGGTTGTGGTGTTTTCTTCGTGTTGGAGAGAGAAGGAAGAGAGGACGATGAAGTGATTATAGTGATAGTGAGATAGTATGATACGGCTCTAATTTAGTAAAAGAGTATGCACTATTAAATGGTTTGTGTAGATGTGTGTGCAAATGTCGAAGGGTCAAAATTGAATCAAAGCTGTCGTAGACTGTCTCTATATGACCACGACTACTAATTATTCACGCACTTTCGCTCTCCTTGATCTGGTGGCTGACATCGGATAGCAGAATCATCAATTGATCACAGAGTTCTTTGATATGATAACTCAAATCTGAATATCGCCATTCCGTCATGTCATGATTACTTTTTGGGGTGCAGTAGGCAGTGACTTGAGTGAATGTAGCGATAACTACAAGAGATATCGACAGCTGTATCATGTTTAAGTGCTGCCTTCTTCGACTTTGCCAATGTAACTCAAACTGCTGGTCTTTCACTCCACGTAGACATCCTTGGATATATGAGCAGCATGGCATCGCATTGGTATACGGTGATTGTAAGGAGTGTAGATGTAATAAGTAATGTTAAAAGCTCGCCTGCTAGCTGCATAACTTCTATCGCGATACACATTCAATAAAGAAGCAGACATCGCCTAGATGAATTATACAGCAAATGTGATATTGTATTCTCTGCTAACCATGAGTACAAAAGAAGATGTTGTGAAGTTGACGTTGTTCTGCAGAATGGAGGCAATAGATGCGCGCATATACAGAGGTACATGCTCAAAGGTATTATTAAATACGAACGCTCCATTCTATGATAAGTTATCTATAGAGATACAAAGATACACATAGTTGTTGCTGCAGTATAACAGTGAATTAAGCAAGGAGAGGTAAAGAGGTAACTAAAGAAACGAGGTATTCTGCAGAAGCGTTGGTGCTGATTTTCTATTGCATACTTAGCTAGATGACGTATTACAGGCCTCATACAGTGAAGTTTGATTATCACAGGTGTGTGCATAATTGTCTGTAAAGTATAGCTGTCGCGCAGCTGACTTGAAAGTTTATAAGACGTCCTAATCATGTTGCATGCATTACAAGTACTCAGTTTATCAGTGTCTTCCTATACCGTAGCTTTGCGTCTGATATATGATAGTGTATTGCTGGGTATGTAGGTATTTGCAATACGTACTCATAAGCTGTTATCCCATTTACACAGTTTCGAAATAGACATTCCATATGCACAAATTTTATCCATACATTCTATCTAAACCCTGTGCTTCTATTTCAACATTCCTTAGGAGCGCACGAAAAGCGTTTATTGGGCGTTTCCACCCCCTGTGTTCCTAGTTTGATACCCTCCAGGATTGGATGTATCTGGCTAGATAAGGAGGTTAGCAGATTTAATATCTATATAGCTGGTTCCACTCACTTCTTTCGCACTGTGAGGTCGTTGCGCTGTTTCAACAGTGGTTAGTTTAGTTCCTTCATAGACAAATAAAAACCTACTTCCTTTGAGAGCATCTTGGTATGTAACAGTTCTTTCTGCTGGAATCGTGTCTTGATTGCTGTTTGTTTGGTTGTTGGAGGTGGTATTATTATTGTTTGATGCAGTATTTTGGTTGTCAGTCTTCTTGTCTTTGCCTACTCAGATATCAGATACGGATAGGGATTTATTATGCAAGAGTTTCAAATCCCGGAGAATGATGTTATCGTCTTCTCTTACCAAACAATTTCTTGATCTCTGCTTATGCGTGTTAGTCAGAACAGAAGGAGATATTCTGAGAAACACCCAAAGGACTCACTTTCAATTGCGTTCGTCATCGTGACTATCTATATCGACTTGTGAAGTGAGTTATCTGAGTAAATGAAAAATCCAGGGAGTCTCCGCATTTTTGAAGAAGCTGAGAGGAGCGTTGGGGACAGGGAGTTTGCTACAGCATCATGACTCTGATTCATGAGCTTGACAGCGTGAGCCAGGTCATTGTCAAAGTCATCAGTAGGACACGTCTGGAGTGACACGCATGAGTCAAATGAGAAAGAAAGTCATGTAAGAGTGTATCATGAGGTATGCATACCAACTTGGGGTGTAGGAAGTCATGATAGTATGTGCGTGATCTATACAGAGAGTCATAATGAGTGGCGACAATTATGTTTAGAGTCACAGCGTCACTGAATCGAGCCGATGATTGTATCACCTCCTGAGCACTTTCATCGCTGATGCGTGCTATAGTTTTCAGAAGTAAACGGCGGCTTCCAGTAAACCAAAAAGGTTTGCGACTAGTTGAGACTGTTGAGTTACGTGTTCACCTCCTATTGTGAGGTGAAAGTGAAAGATGTAGTGATATTATTGACACCGTGCAACTTGTGATTCGGTATCTTATGCTCTTATGATTCACAAACATACTGATTTACTGGCAGTTGTCTGCTTCCATGCATCTAGTAAGCTTGGGATTGCAATACACGGCACATTCACTGTATATTGACAGCTTGAAGTTCACTACAGGGATTGTTCACGTTTTAAACATAATGTTATGGCTTGTGGAACATCAAATGACATTGAAAATGACTTTCTGAACACTCCGAAAACATGATAGACGCAGCAAATTTAAGGTGTAGTTAATAGATATTCGAGAAAGGTAGTTCCTGTCTAGTATAGAAGCTTTGAGTTGGAATCGTGACTCCTGAGGAAGTAAATTCATACAGCAAATGACAATGAACTTACAGATTTCCACATTTCGTACAGCAAGTGAAAGCTGACTCACAGATTCCCACATTTGACAAGATTGCGTCATGAGGTAAGTAATACAAGCCCCTTTCTCCACGTTTTGCATCCCGACGACGTATTACAGTGAGTAGCGGATCATTCAAATGTGAATCTAAGGGATACTGCGTTGTACAATGATCTCCGTGACACATTGTTGACCACGGGAACTACTCAGCCACTGTGCAACGAGACACAGATGTGCAAACACATAAGAAGCTTCCATCTCGAGTGTGAGACATCATCGTCCGCTGAACTTCATCTATCACTTCGATTTATCGCATGCAACTTTCAAACTACGTTATACTAGATTCTATCTATCTCCAACAAAGCCATGCTGGAAACTGTGCCGAGTGAACATTCCGTAGACTGGAAAACAGTGGATGAGCTCGTTCCGGGGTATCCAAGATTGGCGGGGGAGATGCAAAATATTCCAGAATTAGCTATCTTCCGTCGATTTGGCGCTTTGAACGCACGCAATCTTCTGTACCTTCAGCATGATTTGAAGAATCTAGAAGATCGCCTGAAGCTTTTCGAATACTTCGACAGCGTCAGCGGGTCTGGTGAAAGACCGATGTACTCAAAAGACAGCCAAAAATTGAGGGAATCGGCACTCAACGGGGATTCCAAACAGTGGGAACTGGTCCTCGAAATCCGGAAGAAGCTTAAAGAGTACAGTGAGGTTGTCCTCTGACGTTGATAGCTTCACACGGCTAACCAGAGCTAAGATAAAACGCTGATCCAACAGCACATACTACACAATATCAAGGAGCCGGGGAAGTGGGATTCCGCGGATATTATGAAATTTATCTTTTCACCCGGCTGTATGAATGATCCGTTCACGGGGTCAGAGAAATACATCTGGGGCAGACCGAATGATCCTAGACATGAAGCGGGTGATCTTATAGCACTGCGATCTCGTTTGAAAGAAGACAAATTCTCGCACTTTGTCGCTACTTACGCCATTCATCCCCTCGATTGGATGGTCGGTCGCGATAAGAAAGGCACGGTGCTCTACAGCAATAAGTCAGTGCTAAAGATCACTTATTGGATGAATGGAGTCATCGCTAGCCTTGTACCCATCTTGTGTATCTGGGTCTTACAAAGTATTGACACTTTGGGCGGACGGATAGGTGCAATTGCAGCGTTCAATCTCTTGATCGCAGCTTGCATGCAGACATTCACAGATGCGAAGCGGCCGGAAGTCTTCGCAGTGGTAGCAGCGTAAGTGTATCCCTCTATTCATCTATTGTGCATTTTCTAATCTATCGCAGATTCACTGCAGTGCAAGTCGTCTTTGTGGGTCAGGCTCTGGATGATATCAAGGAGGTGCGACCAGCAGACAATGCAGTGTTCAACACTACTTGCTCCTGTTGAAAGATGTATTCTTTCCACAAGCCTAGCTCTTTCTTGTATACGAGTAGAGTTCTTGACTGATTTGAGGGGTAATTATCGCAATGGAACTGAAAGAAGGGGTAGAAATCAGTGATGGTGGTTGTATTGTAGCCGGAAGAGAATGCTGTCTATAAGACTGCCGTGCTTTTCCACGAGAAGCACTTTATGGATGACAATGACAAACGACGGATATTTCTTGCGCAGTCACTTTCTGACGAGTCGGGTAGCAAACAATATCCTTGTGCGAAAGGTCGGCGTGTTAGTGAATACGTCCCATGACAACTTGTTGCTGTGTTGCCCCGCTCTTACGTGTATCAGCTACTATGTATGTTGTCTGCTGAATTCAACACTTCTGTTCGTCATCGGTTCTTAGGGTGGTAAATGGGCGTGGGCAAGGTCAGGGTGGGGTAATATGAGGGTGAAGGTGAGAGTGTGGGTACCTACCTAGGTAGGTATGTATCCGCCAAGGCGGGTGGGGTGAGGATGGGGTCACATGACCTGGGGTGAGGGTGGGGTATAAGCGTCCTCGATGGGTGTTTTCATGAACTACTACACCCTGTCCTACATATGTATATACCTATGTATGTATAACTCACCCCACCTCCACCCTCACCTCACCTTCACCTGTATTCAGACGTCATGTGACAATGCCCTACCCTCACCTCACCCGCGGGTGTACTATAGCCATTCACCTGCCATCTTACCGACGTTAGTCGCGCACTATGAGTTGTGTGGTTCTTCAATTCACCGAAAATACATGTACTATGATACAGTAAGCAATTCCACAAGGGTGCAAACAATGACGATAACTGTCGCTTTTCGTCAAGCACAAGGGTCATACATGGAATGGACAATGAGAAAAGTGGTTTGCTACCGCGCCATTAGTGATATTGTGTGGACGTCATATTTCTGTGTATGCTTTGGTTGAGTCGTACTCTTGCTAACAGATGTTCAAGTACATTGTCTCCTCGGATCAGCCGTGCCTTATCAAAAGGAAGCAAACACCGAGGTAAATCAAAGAGGCGATCCTGGTCCCGCTGCAAGAAAAGCTTCTGAGTGTGAGCTACCTGTACATTCAAGCACCTTCAATATCCTTCCCGTCGATCCAATCGATGATACTTTGTGCACAACGCTCATGGGCAACATCCAACATGATGTGATGTGCACTATCAGCCAACGATAGGCGCATGACCTCTTGCTCGCCCTGGGAAACCAAACGATATCCATCAAAGGTTTGCCGAGTCAGGTCTTGGGAAATAAGGGCATCTTTCTCCCCCAAGATGGACAGAATTTTCCGACCAACGGGACGAGCATTGGAATGTATTGCAGCGAGCACGTCAGCGGAATCAGCAAAAGGCCACATGTGCTCTATCGAGACACGGATACTCTCCAGGCGCCCCTTGCTATCGCGAAGCCAGCCTTCCACAACGTCTTCCGGTGCCTCGGATGAGAAGAACTTGTTCCGCACCTGTGCTGGTGTTTCGAGGCCGGTGTTGGGTTGAAAGCTGAAGAACGAGCGGAGCCAGGGCACCCACGCTTGATGTGCGGCGGCAGGAACCGCTGGTGGCTGCTGTTGGGCCAGAGCCGCCTCTGCTGCTTGCCATCGTCGTGCCACATCCATGCCTCCACCGGAAAGAGGTGCCGCTGCGAGGAGTATCAGTCCGGCGGGTTGAATGTTGGGCATGCCCAGCGTGCTCCAGTTCCCTAACGCGCGTTGCAGGATCGCTCCACCCATTGAATGCCCGACGAAAATCGGCTGCGCGTCTGGATGTTCGGCCGAGATGAAGTCGAGTGCTGCCATCATGTCGCTGACATACGAATCGATGCCCGTGAGTGCATGGAAGGCAAACGTTGAGGGCTGCCAGGAGCCGCCATGGCCTCTCACAGACACGGCGTACGACGTATACCCCGCTTGAGAGAACAGCGGGAGCATCGCCTTAAAGCAAGCGGCAGCGCAATGAGCCCCATGAACACACAAAATTGGCTGTCGCTGCTGTTTTGTTGATGCGGCGTGTGGGGTGCAAGTCAGAAGTTCGAGTGGTCCGGACGGCGTTGCAATCTGCACACTTTCAACTACCGGAGGGGGACTGTCGACGGGAGTGTTCATGATCTGGAAAAAGATGAGGTCATCACCGCGCTATAGGTAACTTGAGGGATGGAAAATGGAGTAAGTGTAATGTAGGCTGCAGGAGCGTGGGGAGGTTCTGATTGAAGCGAGCGTTCTGATATGAATATGAACTACTTTGGTTATGTAGGTGAGGCGTAGTAGGTATGCACGGCCAGGGTCATTTAGTGTAAGCTAAGCTCTTTCCGCGGATGCAAGCACATCACCTACAAATATCCATCTTACCAATTTCGCAAACTCAAAAGTAGTAACAAGCCACAGCAATACACAGAAAGAGACACACGATAGAGTTTCGTGCTTACTAGCTACATGCGCTTTGCTGGGGGTGGCTAAGCACTAAGTGAGGCTGCGCCCCATCTGACTCGCCCTGCTCGCTACATATATAGTCAGGCATCCGTTTATACCAATCACTCACCTTTCTCTCAGCACTCCCAGAGATAGCACGATATAATGCCCGCCGGTCAAAAGCTCAAAGAATATGCCGGTGTTGCAGCCGTCGTGGCCATCAGTCCACTCATCCTCATCTACGTCGGCACTCACAAGATGTCCAGGTTATATGATACATACACGAGTGACGAGCCACACAACAAAGCAATCCGCCAGGAGCGCAGAAACCGACGCAGAAACTCGCTGAGTCACAGCGACGCCCAGGATTCCGAATTTCCAAAAGAGAGCAGCACGGCGCGTTTCGGGTTTTCGAGCTGGGCTCGGAAGCCCGACCTCAACAGGCAACTACAATCCAGAATCTTTTCATTACCCGCGGAAATCCGACTTCAGATCTACGAGGAAGTAATGATAGTGGAGCCTTTGGTGCATATTGATAGCGATATACGAATTGCGAAGTGCAGGGATGCGCAGTGTCTGCCTAGACTCACATATAAATCTCAAGCGGATGGGTTTACGGAAGAGCAGATAGCACTGGCGAGAAACCATTTACCGTGTCTCGAAGGGACCAATTATATTTACAGATCTCCTTACGAGAATATTTGGGACGACTCTGCCACAAAGAAAACTCGGGAGGATGGAAGGAATAAGCACGGCATTATCGCATTGCTACAAAGCTGTCGCCGCATGTACGTCCCCCACTCCCTACCACCATTCTTCCCAACTAAACCAAACTTTTACTCACTCACACACACACACACTCTCTCTCTCACTCACACATACTCTCTCTCTCACTCACACACACTCTCTCACTCACTTACACACACACACACACACTCTCTCTCTCTCTCTCTCTCTTAGAACAAAGAAAACATACACTAAACGTAAATAATAAACAGATACACCGAAACCAAACCCCTCCTCTACACCAAAAACACCTTCATAACAACCCTCGATACCCCCTTCCTAACCTTCACCAAATCCCTCCCCCAACCCCACCTCACACTCATCCGCAACCTCGTCCTCTTCCTCCCCAGCAACCCCGACTACGACCCCGGCTACAAAGTCAGCATGGGATATTCCTGGACCCCAACTATGCGCGTCCTCTCCCAAATGCCCAATCTGCACCGCTGCCTGCTGCACGTGCACACGGGCCTCGATATGCGCGATCACACGTCCGATAAATATAAAATGCAGGACCTCCTCTCGGGACTCAAGAAACTCCCCTCGAAAGATATTTTTGTGGTGGATTGGGTGTACGACAGTGATGTTGAGCGAAGGATAAATTCGTGGGGGACCACAGTCGTGAAAGAATTAGACGACAAAGACCCGTTTGCGAGCTGGATGGAGGTTTTTCGGCCTGCGGAGCGGAAGAAGGCGGTGCAGGAGGAGGAGAGGGAGAGGGCGGCGAGGAGACAGCGCAAGATTGCGAAGAGTATGCAAGCTAATTCTGTTGGTGTGGAGTTGGATGATGATGTGCTGATTTCTGCGGTTTTGTAGGGGATACGGTTGATGATCATCTTACTGTACCGAAGCATAAAGTGGGTAGGATACGGTAGAGAATTTTGTGTTGTTTATTGGGACTAGGTAGGTTATGATCAGTCTGGAAGACTCGTGTAAAGTAGCTAATAGCGCACTGAAGGTGGAAAGTAGCGGTGATCTAAGGCATGGCGACATCTTGGATATCTTGGATGGCATTGACATACTCTCGGATCGGTCGCGAACAATGTATCGAGGGTATAGGTAACTGTGTATGCACTATAAGTTCTCCTATTAGAAGATATGTCTAGCTCTGTTATAGCTCTGCATATGATAAAACAGAGTAATTGCAATTCTCAAGGCTTGAACAGAGAATGCGTAAGACGTAACAAGTAGCAGTAGACATGTAATGTTTATGAGTGTTTATTATACGTTTACCATTCCACTTCCCAGCTCGAAGGAAAGGATTTTCAAGTGCTTGTTACAAGCTCCACAAGCTCCAAAGTATACCGAACCCTGTAGCACTGTTTGCTATACAGGATAACCATTTATACAACAGTTATTGTAGAATCAGCGCCCACAGCCCCATCCAAACCACCAGTGATCACCAAACTACATAAACCACCTACGCACCAGCGCGCTCGAAAATAGGCATAGTATCAAACGGGCACTCAACCGTGATTCTCTTCCCACCATCCCACACTTCATCCCCCTGGAAAGCCTTCCACTTACCTTCGTCTAACTTTGGAAGATAAACCTCTATATCCTTCACACCCTTCTGCAAAACCGGACAGCAGAGGAATTTCGCACCATACATATACTGCGTTTCAACCCTCCAACACTCGCTATCTGATGGAAACTCATAAAACAGCGTCCTCATAACTGGAGCACCCTTCTCATGCGCTTCCTTCATCAAAGATCTGGTATATTCCCTCAAGGTTTCTCGGATATTCATGTACTTTTCACAAATAGCATATACCTCATCGCCGTACGACCAAACCTCGTTATCCGCGCCACTCGCGCATGCTGCACCGCCCTTCTCACCCATAGGACGCTGTCGAGGCTCGCGGTCGCCGTGAAGCCGCATCACGGGGCAAAAAGCACCCCACTGGAACCAGCGGACGAAGAGTTCGCGGAAAGCGGGATCATTTGGATCTCCGCCGTGAAAGCCACCAATGTCGGTCGTCCACCAGGGTATACCTGCTAAGCCCATGTTGAGACCCGCGGAGAGTTGGTTGCGGAAGGAGGACCACGAGGATGCAATGTCCCCGCTCCAAACGAGGGCGCCGTATTTCTGGGATCCGGCCCATGCGCAGCGAAGCAGGTTTACGATTTGGGATTGCCCGGCGAGGGATTGGCCTTCGAAGAAGGTTTGCGCGTAGGTTAGCGGGTAGATGTTCCCGACCGCGATGTTTGGGCCCAAGTGATACCGGTAGTTGTCGAAGTCGTAGACGCGGTATTCTGGTTCCGCTTCGTCGAGCCAGAAGGTTTTGATGCCCTTTTCGAAGTAGTTTTGCTGGGCTTTGGACCAGACGTACTTACGGGAGGCTGGGTTCGTGGGATCGAAGTGGACGGTGTTGCCCATGAAGGTCATTGCGATGCGGACGCCGCGTTCAGTGCGGATGAGGTGGCCTTGTTCGAGCATTTCTTGGTAATTTGAGGAGCGGCGGTCGACCGTCGGCCAGATGGAGACCATGAGTTCAATGTTTAGTGAGCGAAGTTCGCGGATCATGGCGTCCGGGTCCGGCCAGTAAGTGGTGTCGAATTTCCAATCGCCTTGGAGAGGCCAATGAAAGAAGTCGATGACGATGAGGTCGATGGGGAGGTTGCGGCGTTTGTATTCGCGCGCGACGGTGAGTAGCTCGTCTTGGGTTTGGTAGCGGAGTTTGCATTGCCAGAAACCGAGGCCGTATTCAGGCATCATGGGGACTTTGCCGGTGACGTTGGCGTATGCTTCGACGATTTGTGACGGGGTACTACCGGCGACGAGCCAGTAATCGAGGGCTTTTGTGGAGCGGGCTTCGAAGCTCGTGATATTTTTGCCGAGAATGGCGGTACCGACAGAGGGGTTGTTCCACAAGAGACCATAGCCGTGGGAGGAAACGGCGAAGGGAACGCTGGCTTGGGAATTGCGGTGGGCGAGTTCCAGCTGGGTTCCTTTGAGATCAAGGTATGGCTGTTGGTATTGCCCCATCCCGTATATCTTTTCGTTCGGATCAAGACTTTCAAAGCGGGCCGTCAGGTGATAGTCCCCTCCGATCAATGGCTTGAATTCGCGGGCTTCAACTTCTAGAGAGCTACATTTGGGATCTAGAAGGTCGCGGCGGTTGCGTGAGTATTCTTCCAGCAGGAGTTTCCCGGCCCCGTTGTAGACGGTTATCTTCCCGCGTTTGGTTACGTGAGCTTTTATATCACCATTGACTAGAGTGGCAGAGTCGTCTTGAATGGAGACGTCAGGTTTGGGGGTGTCAGGAGGTGAGAGAAGGGCCCAGTCTGTGGATGGCATCTCTGCCATCTTGGTGGAACGAACTCGAAGAGCATTGGGGCCCCAGGGTTCTATCCATAATTTCTCCGCATCGTAGGTAAATATGAGACGATTGTCCTGTTGCGAGAACATATTTGTGAGTGGCGGAGTGGTATCGAAGGACTGATAGTGAGTGATTCCTCTGGTAGACAATTAACCGAAACAAAACGAAGTGGAAGTGAAGTAGGACGTGAGAGAAAGATTGCCATCTATGATCGTGAGATAGGATATATAGGTAATAGAAGAACAGGCTTCTGCGAATACGACATGTAGAATCACTTTTGCCGTCTGCTATGTACTTGCATGCAGAGACGTAAGGAACGCATGATGAAGTCAACGTAGTGCCCCTCGATTGGCGACCCCACGTCCGAGAACCCCCCACCACGTGCGAGATCTACATTTCCCCGCATCGTCGGATGTATTGATGTACTGATAATTCCATCAATGGAAAGCGTTGAACATGTACCCAATGCGTGTACGGGTGAATCCATTGTGGGTGAGCGTGGGTGTGACGAGTTATTGAAGCTGTGTGACTGAACGAAGCAGTCGGACCGGTCCATATGCTTGGCATCACTGAGACATGTGGATTGCTTGATTAGACGACAACGTCTCTAAGCAAAGGAAAAGTATGAAAGGTAAAAGAGCTGCGGTACGAGTGTGTGAGGGATTCAGGGATCAACAAGCGGTTAGGGTTGAAGAGAAAGTTCTCGCTGCAAAGATGTCCTGCGCGTAAGTGATATTCTAGACTGTGCGGATGATATGCATGATCCGGTATGCAAAAGTCTAATTGAGATGTGACAAGAGAAGTGATAGGCACATAGGAGAGAGATGAGGTGGAAGGGGATGAAGTCTGCCAGTGGTAGACTACCGGGGAAGGCGAAGCTTTGGAATCGCGTCAAAAGGGGGGTTAGCGTGGTTCTAAAAATGGATTAGCGGGGATCGTGCGTGGAAAACCTCCGGGAAGGGCCGATTCGATGACGTGGAGGTGCCGAGATTTCTTGCTCAGCCGCACATTCATAGGGCATCTATCAATGAGGATGATAGGAAAGAGCTGGACAAGAACTAAGAAGGATTCAAACAATTGATAGATAAAGAACAGGAGAATTGGTAGGCTATCAGTAGTGCATGTAGGGTAGTGCATCTGGGATGCTAAGTGATGATGCCAAGAAAGTGGTCAGCCACGACGCCTCATTCATCTTTCTCCGCTTCCCTTCCTTCTCCCACCTCGTCTTCCCTGCAACAACTTCTCCCTCTGTACTACTTCTCCATAACATCTGCTTCCCTTTCTCCACCCTCTCCACACGCACGCAAATGCATGTGATTCATTCCGCCTCCAGCCTCTTTTTCTTCCTCTTCCTTCTCGTCCCGTCTCCTTGCGTCCTCCCTTCACATTGACACCACCGACTTACTGTACCCACCCCCCTGCCTGTATTGTCTAGTATCTCTTATTCCAAATCTACCACCACCTACTTGTACATTGTTTGTCTGCTTGCTTCTTTGGCCGGGCGCCTGACTGAACATTCGCATCCTTGGACTTTTTCGTAATCAAGCTCTCCAAAAAAACCTCCGCCAGACCCTTTTTCCACCAACCCCACAGGTTCGGCCCATTCCGCACATACTGCACAGCCGCATATGACCACGACCACCACCACTTCCTTCGCCGCTGCTGACGAGATCTCTCCCTCCAACGTCAACGACGACAATATGACGCTCGCAAAGCACCACTACCACACCGCCGCACCCATCCCCACCAGCCTCAGCCCAGCCGACGTAATCGAAGCCCTGCACGACCACAACAACGCCCTCAGCCTCCAAGCCCTCACCACCGGCCACTCCCCCATCGATACCCTCGATCCACAAATCCGCAAAGATACATTCTGGTACCCGCCCGACATACACCCCATTCAAGGCTACTCCGTTACTGAAGTCATCACCTACATGCCCTACTTCTCCTGGGGGCGCTACAACCTCACCTTCCCCACAAACTTCCAGAACACACCCAACGGCCTAAAAACCCGCGCAGATGCCTCGGGAGTCATCTTGCGCGCCGAGTTTCGGGTTCTGCGCGGTGATTCTGCCGAGAGTGTTGTGGACGGCGAGGGCGCGGGGCTCGGTGATGTCGAGTTCGTGCTGGTTGAGGATGTAGAAGTGCAATGCAGCTGGTACATGATGCCCTTTGTGCGCTCCAAAATGGAAGCCGCCCACGCCGACATCTGCCGCAAAGTAGTGGAAAAAGTCATCATGGAGAAGACCATGGCGAGCGTCGCCAAGCAGGCCGCCATCGAGAAGAACAAATCCAGAGCCGATACCCCTACATCTGTCGGGTCGCAACCGCATAGTATCCAGATCCACTCCCAATCCTCGACGCCAACCAGAACCCGGTACTCGATGGAGGGCGGAAAACCAGTCAGGATCACGTCACCCAATACTCCGACTACCCCCGCAAAAATGGATAGCTCGTTCCGCGTTGAGCTACCCGTGTTGCCGGATTCGCCGCTGGAAGAGGCCGAGGAGGAAAGGCTGGCGCAGAGTAGCAGCAGCAGAATCGATACCCCAGATACCACTCCAGAAGAGAAACCAGAAAAGGACGTTGTTGTGCTAGAAGCCGCCCCGCTACCGGATAAGATTACGTATAAATGAATGTTCTCCACGACTCTCCTTTATTGTTTTGTGCGTGTATATACATATGTAGTCTAGGCTCGTTACGAGTGGATGAAGAAATGGCGGATTCATAAAAGTCTGTATGTCACGGGGATGTGATTAGGAACTCAACCTGTGGCGGTGTTTGGATTACTTCTATCGATTCAAGAAGCGTTGTAGCTCACTCTTTTAGCGTTTTTATGGCGTTTTGCAGCTATCATTGATATGCAATCACCGATATGTATTCCTAATCACAATGGAAGAGACGTACATGTTTCGATGCTGTTGACAACTTATCTAGTGCGTTACGCGCTCTTATATACCCATCATACAACACCACATTAAGTTTTCATACCATATCACGTACTTCCCCTATCCCTCTTATCGCTATGCTCAGAATAACTCCTAATACGTCTGGATACATCATCACAAATCTGCATTTCCGTTGAACGCTCGAACTTCACCATCAAACACATATGCCACACCCATAATGAAATGAACATGAAAAGTCCAGCAACGCCTCTTAAAAAGATTCCTTATCGAGATGCTCCGGATCCGCAAACAGCGTTTCGCCCATCCGTTTTCTAGTTTTCATGATATCTGGCGCAGGACTCGGAGGCGAGGTACTAGACGTCGCAGCCTCGCCATCAGGGGTTTCTTGTCCTATCTGTTGCTGCTGTTGCTGTTGCTGATCATCGCTGAGTACTCCAGCCTCCCTAATAGCAGACTGCCATAGATCGTTGTAAGCAAGGTCTGGGGAACGTTCGTCTTCAGGATCAGAAGGGAGCTCGAGCTCCGACAGGTCTGCCCGAGGATCCTCTGAACCGCCTTCACCACGATCCCCAGGGTGTACCCGGACCCAGCTTTTCTGAGAGGAATTGAGGATAGGCGAGGACGGGTCGAAGTCTTCTTTAGGGTCTGCGCGTGGTGGTTTTTCCCAAATGGGTGTGCGATGGGAGCCTTCTGGGTAGAGCAATTGAATTGGATTATTTGAAAAGCTTTGGTTTCGGATATGATGGGCGTATGGGCCTGGAGGTACATTGCCAGAGACGCTGCGTGGAGAGGAAGAGATCGAGGAGGGCTTTGCGTTGAGGCCGCTGGGATCTGGAGTGGTGTCGTCGGAAGGCTGTTTTCCAGGATTTGAAGGTAGATGTTGCTCGAATGGTTTCTCAGTGGGTTTTAAACCCTGTATGCGGGGATAAACTCTGGATCTTGCGATAAACGAGGCGGGAGGGTCGAGTATCGAGGAACGTGGTCGCAGGGCATTGTTCATGTCAGTCCGCCAGCGATCGTGAGAGATTTTCTGCAGCCCCGGACTTCTTGTTGTACTTATTACTTCATGTTCAGATTTCCTTCGCTTTTCTTCACGGAGATCGCTCATCAAGAGGGATTCGACGAATTCCCTATCTCTTTTGGTTTTTTCATACTTTTTACGCCAGACCTTAAAGTATTTTTCCATGAGGAATCGTTCCCACTGCCCAATCACTTCCCTGGTTATGCCCATTTCTATTTCTGCTACAGGGATACTCTTCTCCTCTGCTTGCGCATTGGATGAACTGCTTTCATGGGGGCTTAGTGGGTACATTTCTTCTTCAACTTCTCCCGATGGGGGCTCATCTTCAACATCGCGGTGATCCACATGACTTCGCCAGCCTAGAGATTTGAGATTGTTCTCATCACTATCTTCATCTTCAGCGTCATCTGTAGAATTGAGTTCCGCATATTGTTTCTTTGATTGGTTAGAGGTTGCTTGGCTTTTTGATTTGCGTCCTGGGCTTTTGTAGCTAGCCGAATCTTCAGAGCTGGTCTCTTCCAGCGGTGCTGCAAGTCTTTTAGTTTTTGATCTCTTTTCTCTCCGCAAGATGTTTAGTGCCTGCTTTTCTGAATCAAAGTCTTCTTCACTGAGCTCTAAATGTTGTGGATATGATTGTCCTTGATCTTGAAACTGACCACCTCGATCGGGAGAGGCTGTTGTATTGAAGTATGCATCGTGGTCCCCCGGATTTCTGCTGTTATCGGATATCCGGGCGGCAAGGCGATCATAATTGATCGGAGATACTTCTGACGAAGATAGCCCCACTGATTGGCTGACCTCTTCTGGTTTTATTTGAGAATTTTGATGATCTGAATGAATAATCTCATTCATAGCGTGGGTGGCGGTGTGCATGGCGTGCATTGCGGCCACCTCGGCGGTTAAGATACTGACTTGAGTGTGAAGATATGAATTCACACGTGCTAGACGAGCCCTTTCTCGGAGCGTTAGATAACCAATTATGCCCAATAACACGGATTGGGGAAGTTCAAACAGCCTTGGCAGCTGCTTCTGTTGCGTTACCGATGATGTTGAGATACTGCTGCTTTGTGGCGAAGAACCATCTGATTCTTCACGCGCCATATTGGAATCGTCGTCTCTACCGTCCCCCTCGCCGCCCGTATAGTCTGACCTGGGTATCGCAAAAAGCGCCAACTGCTCTAAGTGGCGCGAGATATGTATTTTCAGGTTGTTCGTAGGAGCACCACACAAGTTACATGCGCCACCCGCAGCCTGCACCGGGCGCAGAAACATCTTACGCACAGCGTCTAAGTCATGGAGCTGAATCAAAACCGCGTGAGTCGACTTCATATGTTGACTAAAAGCTTGCTCAGTGTCGAATGGCGTATGATTGGATATATTGCAGTGGTATTCGAGGCGATGGTGTTGCTTCTCGTGCGCGTACCACGTATCGCGATCGGGAAAGAACTGGGAGGCAAGGTCACATTCTAAAAATGTGCAGACATATGGTTGAAGATCTGAAATTACGTGGCGTCTGTACGATAGGGGGTAAGTCAGTTGATGAGCAACGGAAGCTTTACATGCTTCCTCGTACTTAGTGGAAGAGAACAAGGAGGAACTTACTTCCACATCGCATCAGAGGTGATAGTGGGGAGAAGTTGGCAATAGTTGCATTTGAAAGCGTCCACTCGCCTCGGCTGTTCTGCTGAAGGGGCGTTTACTATGGGCTCGCTCGACTGCGACTTGAGGAGTGGGCGTGGAGGGATATGGAGGCGGACTTTGCGAGTGGTTTCACTGGCTGCAATTGAAGTTGCTGGTCGTGACTCTTCAGTATGGCTCACAGGAAAATCATTCGCAAGAGTTGTGGCTTTTGTAAGAGCCGTGATCTTTGTTCTCTGACTTTCCGCACGGATCGTGGGTTCACTGACGGTCCCCTCTTCAACGACTTCAGCCGTCTTTTGAATAGCTATATGAGTAGTTAAAGCTCTGTCAGGAAGAACCAAAGCAGGCTCAGGGACTGCAGTAGAAGTGTTTTGCAGGTTTTTCTGATGTTTCTTTCTGTAAAGCAGTAGCTGTCGACGCCGTGTAATCAATTTACCAAGGCGCGCTGTGATTTGTTCTGCAACATTCGGGAATTTATCTCTGACATAGAGAATATCAAAGGGCTCGTAGTAGCGGAGCTCGTGCTCTGATTCCTCGCGTAGGCGATTAATTGGAGCGGGACGTCGGAGGGGTAGTTGGAAGAAACAATCGATCGTGTGACGGATACCCCGAATGGCAATACCATCATCTCTATTCGTATCATTTTCAGCAGATATTGAGGAAATCACCTGGTCTCGGGACTTTTCAGTTGACAGGTTGGAGTCAGTGTCGGAAATATTCCAGGATGAGCTTGCATCTTCGTCCAACGGTCTCTCGCTCCCGAATGCTTCGTCGAACATGTAGGAGTTGGATCCCGATTCAGACTCACTCTCTTCACTGTAGGCTTGCGAGGGGGGAAGCAGTGCTGCGATGCTTTTGTCTAGGTACCGTTCCAATACATTCATCAGATCAAGGACCCGGTCGCGGTAGAAGGAAGCTTCCCTCAGTCGATAGTCCAAGGAAAGTGTACTTCTCGATCCCGAATGGTGTGCGCCGACATTCTCCGCCCACAAAATGTATCGGTCTATCTCTTCATTCACATCTGTTTGCTCGGTGGTTAACGAGGCTGCGGAAGTTGTTGGGAGGGCGGAGATGCCGGCCACGAGCTCGGATAGTTGTTCGAACTTTTGCACGCACCGGGCGTGATGCTCCGCTATAGACATTTCCGATCATGATACCCACAAAGATATGAGGTTGAGTGTGGATGAAATGTTGGAGTGTTGCCGGAGGCAACTGCCCCGCTCTCGGTTGAGGCTGAATGCTGACATGGCTGGTACGTCTATCCCCTGTCAGTGCCACCCCCCGCACCAGGCTGAGAATCACACTTTTCTTCGCTATAACTCCCTTCAGTGGGTGAAAGCCTCCCCTCTCTAGTCTGATGTACTAGAATGTATCATGTCAGGCTTCGAAGTTGCCGGCGTTGTGTTGGGCTCGATCCCTATCTTAGTGGAGGCAGTGAAGAGCTACGCGGATGGCGTGGGTGGCCCTCTACACGTACATTTCCCTCAAAGTGTTATGCTGACATATGTCCATAGGTTTCAACTGTTAAAGGCATATTTACCTACGAAGAAACATATCTAGAGATTCATTCGTCTTTAGTCGTTAGTTTGGCTAGTTTCCGACACTCATGTGAGGGGCTTTTACGTGGTCTTGTGCTCCCGCACTCGCAATTTGTAGCACTAATTGAAAGATATGAGGGTTGGGATGACGAGGATCTAGCCAAAAGACTGAAGATTAAGATGGGCGAGAGGGATTTTGATACTTACATGACGTTTGCCACGAGGCTGCGAAAACGACTTGTATTGCTTGCGGAAAAGCTGCACCTTCGAAAAGATTTCACCGTAAGCTCTTCAAGTAAAACTAAAGTCTAACTCCAAGTTTCTCTGACGCATGAAAAAAGCCTGTATTCGTGATAGACGGTAATATAGACCCCAAGAAGCGTAAACAGTTCTTCAAGAATCCAATGGCAAGGGTGCGTGGTGCCATCGAATCCTCCAGACTTAAGAAAGTAGTTGAAGAAATTGCTACCGATGTTGGAAGACTGCGAGATCTTTCCAACGATGCTCCAAAGCTGGAAGAAGAGCGACAAGAACGTGCAAGCGCATCTGTTTCCACATATTGGTTGTCGATGAGAGATCATGCTTCTCTCGTGTTCACGGCTCTGCAGTCTGCGTGGTTTCACGGTTGTCAGATTCACAAACACCTCGTCAACCTCTGTGTCACTCGACCAGAATCCAAGACTTTCTTCCAAGATCTCGCCGTCGCGCAACTTGGCTTCGAGCTGGAAGCTGCAAATAAAAACACGATCCAACGACAAGTCAAAGTCATTGCCTCTGCTCCTAGCAATATCAGTCCAGCACCAAAACCCGGGACCAAGAAGCTCAGATTTGCAGCCGAGCCAGCTAGAATGCCCAATCACGAAGTATGCAAACCAGAAAAAATATTGAGTCTATGCGCCTCACTCAGTAAAAAGTGTCCGGTCGACTGTCTTGGCTATCTTCACGTGGACACAACGAACAATGACTATCATTTTCATAGCGTTGAAGCGTGGCCACAATCAAGCGACTTAGTACCCCTTCGACGCTACTTACAACAACGCATTACTACACGATCTGGCATTCCGCTCCGCGAACGTTGTAACTACTCCATTCAACTTGCGTCTGCTGTTATGCAACTCTTCGATACACCATGGCTAGACCCTCACTGGACCCTCGACGACATCTACGTGGACAAAAACACGCAACATCCGCGCGGTCAAATCTATATAAAGTCATTGTTCCGCCAAAATACGCCATCTACGTCTCCATCTACCTCCAACACCATGGCTCTCTCAACCACGCCCCCGTTTGTGAAGAACGAAATTGTCTTTGCCCTTGGAATCGCCCTCCTCGAACTTGCTCATGCAGGCAAAGAACTGTCTTCATTTGCTACGCCCTCTGATCTGGATAAAGATGGCAATTCGCACCTTTTTACACGATACATGATCACCGACAGACTGACCAAAGAGATGCAAGTGGTTGAATCGCCACGATTCGCGTGCGCAGTTGCAAAGTGTGTATGGCCGGCGTCGGATACATTCGAATTTCGTTTGAGTAATGAGGGATATAGGAAGCGGTTCTGGGGGGATGTGCTACAGCCGCTCGAGAAAGACTGGGAGGCTTTGTTTGGGAGCCAGTGAACTCGTACGAGAAGCTCAGTGCCGCCTTTTTCTCTGTCACGTATAGGAATGGGATTGTCTCGTTTGTTATTTTGGAAAGCGCATTGAATATTGAAGGGGCAAAGCAGATAGGAATGGCATGCGTATATCTCGCGATTATTTTGAATTTTCTAAATTACAATGGAAGATAACGAGAGCTTCGTGAGTGCGGTGGCTACCAGAACAAACTACAGGGTTTAATATGATGTTTCGATTTTTCAGAAAAGGAAAATGGTACCCTCTACAGCAACTCAACAGCCTCTATCTCTACAACGTGACGGAAAAAGTGGCTGATGTCATCACATTAGTACAACATTGCGAATGTATAAGACTAATGGCCTAGGACCTTAACCTCACAATGAAAATGTATGAGGTCTTCCGCCTGCGCGATGTTCAAGGTGTTGGAAGAAAATCTTGGCCCCCACTCACCTCAACACCGATAGAACCCAAGACACCTCCTTTACTACAAACAAGGGTGTTGCTTACCTGACACCCTTCAAATATTCGCTGGCGTTGCGGCCTGTGCCGTACCGCTTATCCTCTTCGAGATTCACAGCCTCACGGCATGTCTCCCCGTCCCTCAAACTAGTGCACAGGCGAGGCGCTTGGTGACCGACTTGCTGCCTAATTATCCTCTTCGCCCGCCGTCTCTTTAAATAGTAAGGAACGTTGATGCTGCCGCCACCATTTTATCCATTCTGTCGTTTGATCATCGCATATATTATCGAATTTCCATCGTACTTCCAAATGGCGTATACCATGACTTCGGAGAAAGAGGCGATTATCCCGACGCTGGGCGTAACGGGAAAATCCTTGCAACGTGCGCCTTCAACGTTGATGGGGTTGTCTCAGGAGTTAAGGAGGGAAATATGCGAGCACGTGAGTATCCTCCTCGTAAAACCTTATTCATTATGCATGGAAATAACTTCGTAAAAATGCGTATGTGGCTCGATATACCTTTGGCTAACCAGCATTTTTGATGCGCAGCTGTCGAAACAAGACCTCGTCAATGCTAGCCTGGTGAACAAGGCGATGCAGGACGCTGCAATTCGCCCACTCTACCGAAACATTGCTCTCAGACTCGAAGACCACAATACAAAAACAATCAATCGAATTTCTGATATGTTGACACGGGAAAATCCGGGTATAGAGCATATACAGCATGTGCGCATCAAAAATTGGTGCGAGTCGCCGAGAACTAGTTGCCAGCACTGGGCAGATGTGTCCATGGCAACGACAAAATATCTGATCAATGGCTTACCGAGAGATCAACTGAAGAGTTTTAGGTGGGTCACCTCCATGAACAAATCCAAATTAATATACTAAGACAGAATATGCAGTTGGGATTCTATCCACGATTTGAAACCGGATCTGTCGATGTTATTGCTGAAACGGTACGTGAGAGACATTTACAATACTGTCGATTGGCAACCATGGCAATTTCGCATTTTGACACATACACAATTTTTCGCAAGATTGATGCAAGTGCTATGCTGACTCTGAACTCCCAACAATAGACAGCGGAAACTCGAACACGTTGAGCTAATGCCGTTGACACACTCGCAATTTACTTGCATAAAGCACAATTTTGAAACGGACGAGAACTTAACAAAAGCTGTGCAGAATGCGAAGTCATTACTATTAATGCCGAATGCAGACTGTTGTCTTGATGCTGCCGGGTTGCTGGTCCGATCCGCGAAGAAGACCAAGATATTCAAGTTCAACGGTGACGAGCTAGACGATAGTGTCAGGCGCATCAGCACGAACGAAGAAGGCGAAGTGACAGATCCTGTCTTTACCAAAGTCCTGAGCCACCTGAAACAACCCGGAGCCCAGCCGATGCAGCTGACCTGTCTTTCCTTGTATAATGTTGATCTAGAGCACTGCAAGACCAGCTACGCCACGGTCATAAACTTTTCTACCCTCAAGAAATTGCGACTACTCTACTGTTGGAGATTGGAGCTCTTTCTAGAATGCATGATGAGTCCAGATCATGATTACGCGCCTCGCCTCGAACAATTCATGATCCTCAACGTCCAAGATGACCACGAGCACCAGCTCCCCTCTATTTTGGACTCATTTCTTGGGTACTTCAGAGGTTTGAAGGATCTGCAACTCCAACTTGTCAATCCTGGCGTGCTACCGGCGGTGCGAAACATCACGCGGCATGGCGAAACTCTAGAGAGGCTTTCAGTCAACGTACGGAAAGAACCGCGATCTGTTACACCTGAGTTCACTTCATATTCGGCCCCACTAGAGCTGACTCAACTATGCACATCACTGCCAAACCTAACGCAGCTTGCTATCAGCATCGAAGAATGGCCGGAAGCCGTGGAAACATCACTCAGTCCGGAGGAAGGATCATTCGAACAAGACGTCGTGGTAAGCTCAACCCCAGCGATATTTCCACCGCTAGCAGAATCTAACATCGACCGACTTTACCTACTCAGGCTCCTTTATCCAAACTTCCTAAGCTGCGTCTACTGAACGTTCTTAACTGGCCGACACTCAACGATGAATACATCTTCCCCGTCGCAGCTTATGGCGCGCTCCTTGATTCCCAAGCAACCTCCTTCTTCCGAAAGTTCAGTGAGTCGCAAGCAAGACAGCACAAAGACAAGTTAAATACTTTGCGCGTCCTGGCTTTTGGTGAACACGAGGATAATGAAAATAACATCAGTGGAATCAAGAGTGAGGACCAGGAGCCGACGATGCCGCGGTTTGTATACTGGAGGGACCAGGGGAGGAGTGAGTGGAGTGAGAGCCAGGATACTGCGAGAGCGGTGCGTGTAAAAGAACAAAATATCTCACAGTTGGGTGTCGACACGGGATTGTTGAAGAACAATCTCAAGATCAGGAGTAGCGGGGGGCCTGCTAGCGATTTTTAAGATGCGCAGAGGGGTTGGGATGTGGGATTGAGTTCCATCTGAACATCGGTCTTTGATTTTTATAGATTTTTGAGGTATCAAGGCTATTGCATATTCTGTTCTAACGCATTTGAGAAACGACAATCTTCCCGATTTTTCAATGCTGTTACCCACTGAGATGATCACGTGACATAATCCCTATTCCAAGCTTTTGGGCTGTGCACGCCTTCAATTTTTGATAAGACCCAAATATAACTTAAGCTGATACCTGCGCATTATTTAAGGCTATGGCAGTTGATGTGATCTAACATGACACAATTCGAGCTGAGAGGCGCTTATTGGGGACATCGCGTAACATCCATGGATGCACTTAAGCGACTGGTGCTTCCCCTGTGAATATTGTAACTTCATATGGAGTAAATAATTGATGGAGAATCCAGGTCGCGCAGACCAATGTCAACTCGCAGATTTTTAAGTTCATTCTCACTATAGTATATGAGCTTGAAGCGACGGAAGACATATTTTTTCGGTCTTGGTTGTCCGTCTGCCGGTGTAGATAAAACCGGTGAATGGATGGAAAGCCCCGCTTCCCAGGCGAGTTTCGATTGGACAGTGCATGTATGGGGCTGAGAGCACGGTCACGGGTTGCGCTGATCGTGATGAGCGTGCGCAGCGCACCCAGCTGGAAACCTGAGGCTGTTATCTACGACTTCTCTTCCAGGCTGAGATATCTTGCGGGAGGCCCACTTGGTCGAGAACAACACATGTGTCTCCCAAAGCTTTTAAGTGATCATGGTCGTCGACCCATTCTCCGCTCTCAGCCTTGCCGGCAACGTCGTGCAGTTTCTAGATTTCAGTCAGAAGCTGTTATCTAAAGGCAGAGAGATATACAAATCCGCAGAGGGTGCGCCAACAACGCATGTCGAGCTGGAGGTTATATACAATGACCTGTGGGACGTATCGAACAAACTAGCGGCTCGCGCACCACCGTCTCCCTCAAGCTCAACCGATACTTTGATCAGCTTTCAACCGAGCATCGTCGATGATCAGATCTGGCAGTTGGCTACTTCGTGTCAAAGTGTCGCGCAGGAGCTTCTTTCTATTGTGCGACAAATGAAAGTTGATCCTGACAGCAAACATCGTAAATGGAAAAGCTTCCGCCAGGCCATGAAAGGCTTGGGCAAAAGTTCACGTATCGAGGAGCTTCAACAACGGTTGAAGGCCTTCCGCGAAGAGCTGACGGTAAAGCTTGTTGCTGTTCTAGGGCAAGTGGTATCATTAATCTTATGAGCTCGCGCTAATCTTTAGGTAGCGACCAGCAAAGCTTGGTTCTGCAAGAGATTCAGAGACTCGGCAACGAAAACGCTCGTCTGGATATGAACCAGAACGATCGACTGGATGACTTGGCGAAGTCCGTCGATGAGGTTCGTAAGACTGTTCGAGAGCGACTAGCTGCTGTTGCTACCAAAATCGATCTTGATCAACTCGCAAACGAAATTCACGATCTTGCTTCACGATGTACTCAGATTGCAAGAGAACAACGGTTTTTGATAAGCTTACACTATTCGTACATGTACTCCCGAGTGACGAATGTTGCCCGCGCTCATCTCAAGACCTTTGATTGGATATTTGAACCGGACTGTGACGTCGGCTTTGTCGAATGGTTGAAAAACGACGACGGAATCTATTGGATCTCGGGGAAGCCCGGCTCAGGAAAGTCCACGCTTATGAAGTATCTTTATGATCACCCGAAGATGCTGGAATCATTGAAGCACTGGGCCAAAGGAACCGAGCTTATCACTGCCAGCTTTTTCTTCTGGAGTATTGGTACACAAATGCAGAGAACCCAAGAGGGCTTGCTGCGCTCCTTGATCTTCTCGATTTTAAAGCAATGCCCGGATCTCATCTCCCATGTATGCCCTGCTTCCTGGTCTTTTGAACAAGGCGAGGTCTTCTCGGAGGAGTTCTGGACCCTCGACCAACTCCGAATCACCATGAGCGAGATTGTGCTACAGCAAGATACATCCTCGAAATTCTGTTTCTTCATAGATGGCTTGGATGAATACGGGGGCCAGCAGTCCGAACTCGTCGAAACTTTGAGCTTTTTGACAAGCTCCCAATCTATAAAGATATGTGCCTCAAGCAGGCCCTGGAACATCTTTGAGGACGCTTATGGGAATAGACCTTCGCGGAAACTATACCTGGAGCAACTTACACGTGGAGACATTGCGCTATTCGTCCGGAGCAAGCTTGAAGAGCATACTCGGTTGGCGATGCTGTCTTTGGAAGATGTTGGTGTCGACGAGCTTGTTAATGACATCGTGAAACGAGCCCAAGGGGTGTTTCTATGGGTATATCTGGTTCTTCTATCACTTTGTGAAGGGTTGACTAACGGCGATGATGTGAGCCTCCTTCAAGATCGTCTGAATTTGATCCCATCGGACCTGGAAATGTTCTTTCGCCTCATCCTCGACAGTGTAGAACCAGTCTACAAAGACAAGATGGCCCAGACCTTTCAAGTTGTGCTACACTCAAATGAGCCACTGACCCTGATCACGTTATCCTTCCTGGATCAAAGGGATTTGGGGTCGCGACTTTTAGATCCGGTAACAGCCATGGACAGCTATGAAATATTTGATCGACATAACAAAACACGGAGACGCATCAACGGTCGCTATAAAGGATTGCTGGAGGTTATGCTTGTCCCGTCGGCAACCGCTTTTACAGGGTATAGGGTCGACTTTTTTCACCGGACAGTCCATGACTTTATCCGGCTTAATGACATGCAAAAGTTTCTTAGAAGCCATCTACCGGAAGGTTTTAGTGCTCACAAAGCCATCTGCAAAGTACTTCTTATGTCAATGAGACGTATGGTTCTACGATCCTCTGACACATCTACTAAGGATAATCTTCGAGCGATGCTATCCAATTTAATGTTCCACGCAAGGATGCTAGAGATTGAAACTAGCGCATCCCCCACTGAAATCCTCGAGGAAGTCCAATCTACAATCGAGGAATTGTACGAGGTGTATAGAGTGCGCGTGTGTAAAAATTTCATGGAATTGGCGATCCAATCCGGCTTGCAGTTCTATGTGTGCAACAGATTGATCGAAGAGCCACGAGAAGTACGACACTACCTCTCTCCGTTTTTTCGGAAGCTTCTCCGGTCTCTGCACATCTCTTCTCCGCACCGCGACCAATTCTCCACTATACCCGACATGATCGAATTTCTTCTCAGCCAAGGAGTAAATCCTAATCATGCACTGGGATCGTCAACTACATTCGGCGAATACTGCCTGGAGATTATCAATCCCATGGAGATTCCAAGTGAACAACTGGTCCAGAACAGCGAACTCATCGCGCAACAGTACTACGTCCTAACAATCCTTCTCCGTTACAGTGCCGATCCAAATGCGCATTGCACACCATATGCGACCATTTGGGAAACATTCCTGCGAAATCTGCATAACAAGGGTCGGCGAAAATCAGATGCCCACCAGAAGATTTTATTCAAAATCATGCAATGCTTACTAGCTCATGGCGCGGATCTGGATGCGACTTCTCGCGCCGAGGGGACCGCAACGCGCTACACGGTCCCCCAAGTCATACGCTCGGCGTTCTTGGAATCCCGAAGCCAGACTTTACTCCGCACTTTCAAATCCAAACACCGACAGTCTAGAAGTTGCATTAGTTTTCTAGCCGCGTTCTCGGGGGGTATGACAAGATCTGCGCAGTTCGCGAGGAAGGTATTGAATATGGCGTGGCTATGGTGGAACCCACCGCCCCGAATCATTCTGGATGAAATGCCTTCCGACAACATCGTTGACGAAGTAGATGGAGCTGTTATCCGGGGTCTCTATACTGGAGAAAGGTGGCTGCAAGATTCTGGACCGGAAAGGGAACGATATCATGACTGATAGCAAGAAAGCTGAGTTATGCCAAAATCATGAACTTTATGAAGCGTATTATCTTGGGATGATTGATGTGTTCCTTTTCGATTTGGCCGCGCGTGATACGGGCAAGCTGTGGTGAATTCAAACAAAATATCACGTTATGAACTGTAGTGTGACAAGAAGGGAAGTCTATTTGCGATGATCCAAAGTAGTAATATGAAATCCGAGATACACATCGCAACACCAAACTGAGAGATCTAGAAGGTAACCAAAGAAAGTACCGAAAATAAGAGCGGAATAACTCAAAACCTACGAACCTGAACTCCACACCACCTCATTAAATGTTCCTCTACCGCTCCCATGACTTACATACATGCAATATTCTTCATATACCTCACACATAATTCCTCGCGGACCTCGCTCAACTCACCAAAACCTATATGTAGAACATAGTATCTTCCAAATTGGGATGTATTTTCAGACGATCGAAGGGTGGAGGAGTAGCATTGCCAGACCCAGTTCCATCAAAGAGATCCGACAGATAACAACGTCCGCGCTCGCAGGCAAGATCGGCGTAGTAGGCCGGGGTGCACAGGCTGACAGACCTCGTTGCCCTACCAAAGTTGTAACTCAGATTATGCGTGACGTCCTCGATGATGTCAGAGATGTTGCTAAAACCCCGAGGAATGTTGTTGTTGTACATGTGTCTAAAGATCTCGTCGTGCGCCACGAAGTAGTGGCATGGGCGCGCGGTGCCGTGGAGTGCTGTATGGGCCTGGAAGTAGAAATCCCAGGTTCGCGTTTCGGTCACTCCGCGATCGACGACAGTTCCAGGTAGGTTGTTGTGGCCTTTGTCACAGTATGCGGTATTGGTGGGGTAGAATCGCGTTTTGTGCCGCTTGCCGCAGATGATGATGGTGATGCGTGGTTCTTTGCCCTGTTGGTATTTGCGAGTGCAAGCTAGACGAAGTTGAGGAAGTTCCACAGCGATGACATGCTGATACTGTCCTTCCGATACCCCATCGCGGTACACGAGGATGTTTTCTGGTAGCATCCTGTTCTTTGTTACCCACAGGTCGAGGCGAGACATTAGCATTGCGGTGAGCTGTTCGCCCTTCACCATCTCCTCCTTGCCCTTCTGAATGTTCAAGGTGGCGGGCCATTGATTCAGATTTCCGTCTACGGAAGCCACCATCGCAGATATGGAAGGCGTCCCCTCGGTAGATCCAGGCGATGGGTGCGTAACATCCATTCCAACAACCATGGTCTTACGAAAATCGAAATTGTTCGCTGTATGGCCATTCACAATATAGTTGTTGCCACCGAGTTTGAGATTGACCTTTGTGGCTAAGTTGGCTATGTATTGAATGCGTCCACGCGAATTTTGTAGTTTCGTGGCTACTGAGCAGATTGTGTGGATCCCGTAAGTCTTATCGGCATGCGTTTTGATGCGCTTATAAAGGCCGGGGCTGGCATATGGTAAGATGATGAAAAGAAGCTTTACACCTTTAGTGTGGGCGGCTTTCAGGAATGAGTCTATATCACGATCTTCACGGCTCTCACCCTTCTCATTCTTCTCTTGTCCGAGGTATCCCCAATGATCATTCACAATGGGCGATGGAAGTTTTACTGCGAAAGGACCTTGAAGTTGAACATCCATGTCGGCTAAGCCCCTACGGACTTCTTCGATGATATTCCTCGCGGTTTCACCGTAACGAAAGTCGTTACGACTTCTATCATCCTGAAGTACGATGAACGACCAGTTGGGTGCTCTGGATCCTCTGTGGAACTGAACGTTCGCCATGTTCCATGAGCCGGACTTTGGGTAGACTGTACGCGGTTGGTCCCTCGATTTCAAGCGGTAAGATAGATTTGGAGGCTCCAATATGCGGCCAGGAACTTTGATAAGTTTCTCACCCACGCTTAGGTTGAAGTTCCCCTGAAAAGTGTCAGCAAGTGATACTGGGGGCAGAGACTCCGACATACCAGATTCGGATTGTTATTCATGAGACCGACAGTTGCGAGGCCTTGTTCGACAATGATCCCTGCATTTTGAAATGGAGGCCGAACTGCAAAATTAATCATGTTGCTGGTTTGATTAGAGTCAAGTTTCGAGTTGTATGGTTGACCCTCCATGACAGCGCAGACTTCCACTGGAAGATAAATGGGATTTTCTTTGTTGCCGCAATTCACTACTGGAAACCTGTCGCTACACCTCAAGTTGTACTCTAACAATGGGTTAGTAGTATTCTTCAAAGCCATCAGGATACATACTTTTCCAGAAGAAGTCGGACACAGTGATGTATCCCTCTCGAAGCTCTACACCCGCTCCAGGCTTGGCGTTATTCTTGGCTTTGTTCTTTGCATCTTTTTCATTTTGTGCGTCTGGCTTTTCTTCGCGCTTGGAAATGTAGAATTTGACCTGTGATGGATTTCCGTTCACCCTACTCACAATGGGTGGGTTTTCTAACTCATGTCCATCGTTCTTTTTGGCGAATCTGAAGATCGATTTAACGCGGGTGTTCTCACAATGAGTAACCTTGACGCGAACAAACTTGAAGAAAGATTCGCAGTATTCAATGTGATTATCTTCAAATTTGAGATCGTCCTGGTTCCTGTATTGGGCATTGAATCGGCACATGTACTCTATCATGGCACGCGCTAAAAGTCCCTGCTCGTAAAAGGCTCCAATGCTGACATTGACGTTGATTAACATGCGAGTGGCAAAGCGCACGCTGGAGAAAAAGCCGCGAACAGCCTGCAAAGCGTATTGAAGTGCTTGACTCTCACCCGGCGGCCTTACGCGAAATCCCTTCGCTGCACCAACTGTGACGACATCACCCGAGGCTTTGGCGAAATGGTTGATAATGATGCTCAAGGCTTGCATGATTGCCTGTTTGGATGGGAGTGAATGATCAAGATCCGACGAGCTCAAATGTCTCACCACACTGTTCACATTTCCGGCCCAAATGTGAATCAGCGCCACCGAGTACGTGGTCGCATTTGTGGCGGGTACGCTATGTCCCACGGAAAGATACTGAATCCCGAAGGCCTGGTTTTCGATCCTTGTATTCGAAATCAAAGTTTGACTAAAGTCAGACACAAATTGACCTTGCGATTGCAGATGTGGATCTTCGAGCAGCAGTTGAATGACCCGAAAACGCTTTCGTCCAGAGGGTTCAGGCGTGATTTTGATGTCGTATACATGCACATCAGTCTCTACATTTACAACGTCCAGATGAATGTAATTCGCCGTTAGTTCAAGTGGTTTGCCATTAGTACCGTAACCGGGGCGGATGGGTAGTCTATCTGTCGATCGTAGACCTCCAAGATCGAGTTTGAGCGACTTATTGCGAGGATGGCTTTGGTCCTCACTCTCTGTGACCTTAGGATCAACAGATTGCGGGTTTCTGGAAAGTTCTCAGTTTCATCGCTCATTTTAACTACACTCGCTCGACTTACTCATAAATCTTTCGGTCATCGTCGCTGTTTCTACCAACGCGATCGCCTCTTTGATTGCCCCTGTTTTGACTGCTGTAAGGGTTTCTTCTATTGCCCCTATTTCTACCACCACGGCTACCTCCTCTAAAGGCCATCGCTAAATGAGGCAAGTTGCGAGGTTAAGAGTTCCACGTACGGGAATGCGTAAAGGAGGTTGAGGTAGTAAATGAGTTTTTTTTTTGATTGAAAGTTACAGTGTTTCCTACACTTGAAAAGGCTGATAATGAAGCGAAGTGCGATGCTGAAGGAAGGTGAAAAAGCTAGATGTCTATCGATTGCGATGGAACGGTGCAGTGAGCTACTGGCTATTTGGGAGTCATTTATATAAAAGCTCTTTACCGTACTGCCTGACTATGATTGCGCGTGTGACGCAGCCGACAAGACATCAAACGAAGGCTCGTTCGGAACTCGATGTCTATCCTACGCCAGACAACAATCTTTGTTTTAAATCAAACTACGCGGTTTGAGTGATAATTGCTCAAAGAATTTTAAGACATGCTGCTTATCCCCCCGCTTAGACCACCAGATTTCACAACCACAGTGTGGTGATTGCGAGCACGTGAATTATTGACGATTTGTACAGTCGTATTCACGGCAAGAGGATGATCAAAGCGCAGAGACTGCCAGTGTGAATTTCTTTGACAAGCCCCGACCTATTGACTCACGTGATCAGGAGCAAGCACATCGCACATCGCGCTTGGGCGGAAGATTACATGTATGCGACGCGCCACACAATCATCAATCGCTGAATCAACACACAAACAACAAATAAATCCGCGCAACTCCGGGCATGCAGTGAAAAACAGACGAGGATCATGCAGGAATCCAAAGATAAAAAAAAGTTCTACTTCGGTACATAGTACCCGTTGAATGTTTTAGATACTTATGATAAAAAAAAAGTGTGTACAAGGAAGCAAGCTGCACCACTCGAATTAATTAAGCCGATGAACAGAGTTCACAGATAAGAACAGTATTCGCTAAGAGACTCCATGACAGCTTTGTAAACTAACTTAGCCACAGACACACCTTGCACTAGCTGAAACCAGGGTCTTACCAGACGTCATGACTCCATGTAGCGACTATGCGATCATGGAGATGAGTGTCTAACTGCCCCGGCAATCATCTTCTTTCCTCCTTTCATCACCAAATCTGCGATTAACCAATTCAATCCATCACAAAACCATCGACCAGATCCTCCGCAATGGCGAGCAAAAGCTTTACGCCACTCGTGCGGCGAACACTGCGTAGCAGTCCGCACCTTCAGACCTCCGCCCGCCGATTCCTCAATACCGAAACAGCACCTAGTCTATATGCAGCCCGCGCGCATGTCGTCGGAGCTCGAACAGGGTTGGCTAATATCTACCTCTTCCAATCCTTCCAGTCAAGCTAACTCAACCAGCCACGTTGACGGCGAGAACCTCAAAGTCGACTTGACCATGGCCAAAGCCCTCGGAGGCGCCGGCGACAAAGGAAAAACCAACCCCGAAGAGCTTTTTGCAGCCGGATACGGTGCATGCTTCCAATCCGCGATGAACGCTGTCGCGCCGAGTCTAGGACTCAAGATGCCGACGAAAGTCGAAGACAGCGTTGTTGAGAGCACAGTACACCTGGTTGGGAGTATGAAGGATCTGGATATGGGGCTGCGGGTGGAACTGCTTGTGAAGGTTAGAGGGTTGGACAAAGAATCGCTAGAAAAGATCGTGTATAAGGCGAGACAGGTCTGTCCGTACAGTCGGGCGACGAAGGATAATGCGTATACAGTGATAAGGTGCGAGACTATGTAAATAAGGAAAAGATGAGGTGTACTTCAGTATCATTGTGATATAGCCCTGGCAGATTCGCTGCAGGGGTAAAAAGATCTGACCAATGAAAGAGCTTGAATAAGGCTACTGTCCCAGCACGCGACGCGTCGATGCACGAAATATCAGTGAGTGTTTGATCGGTGACTTCACTACCTGACCTTTTGTAGAAAAAGCGCCAGGGTCGTATTGCTGACAATTATGCGGGGACTCCACTCTGGTAGAATCGGAGATTGCGCTCTTCTCTCTTCTAAACGACGCTGTGAATGATACAGACATTCGTAAATGGGCGGATTTTCCAGTCGACCAAGACGTCAGTCTCGCCGAATGGCTCGATGTAAAAGATCTTTGGGCACATCCGCACGTGCAGTCTTGCTAGCAGTCTCACAACTGGTCTTGTGGGCCGAGAGCCCGCAGAGATTGGCGCGCATTACATTTTCGATTACATCAATTCGGGTGGTGGGATTGCGGAGCTTATGGCTGAACACGAGCGGGGCGCTCAGCTTCTCAAAATCGTGGAAGGTGCGCCTGAATCCGCGCGCATTTATATTACTATTCAAATGCCATTTGCTGACGAGAGCTACATAGGCGGTGCGCCAACGAGCGCCATCGGTCCCGGGTATCTTCGGAAGTACGGTCAGGCCTTGAGAGAGCCGCACGCTGGGTTGTATTTTGCGGGAGGAAAGACTGTATATGAATAGAAAGGATACTTGGAGGGTGCAGTCCGAGGCGGCCGAAGGGCTGCTGAAGAAGTCATTGAGAGTTTGAGCCAGAAGGCATGAGTGTATGTTTATTTCTTTTTTTTTTTTTTTTTTTTTTTTTTTTTTTTTACCGCCCATTTGACGTAATGACGTGTGTGACGTCCCAACGATCCAGTGGAGATGTACGGATTTGTGATGTTGCGTGTATTTCTTGTCTGCCGGAGAGTTTTCGGATTAAATTGGTTTGCGACTTAGACGGCACCCTGAAAAAGCTCGTATCTTTTGTCGGAACGGCTCTGACTTCGCGTTTTATAACTAGCTGTTGAAGTAAGATGCTGAATGATATTTGACAAGAATCGTGGATGACCTTGCATTCGCACGATTGGATAGTCTGCGTGTTCAGATGTTGAACGGGGAAACTGGAATATAGAAGTGGTTCACACATGGAATAAAAGGTAACTACCTGCTCTATTTCGGCCAAATCTACAGAACAGAAAAGGGAGAGATCTAGGATAACAAAACAATCTAATACAGTACAAGCGGGCGTGCGCCTAACACATAAAAATTATCTCTCATACTCTCCAGGCTCACCCTTACCCTCAACATACTCGTAACTATAATCGAAAATCTCCTTCTTCACGTCCATGAACGTAGACACTGGTCGACTTTTATCCAAAAATCCAAAGTCCAGCATGTAATCCAAAGTAGCATTCTGACTTGGGGGTCTGTTCAACGACGTGACAGTTCCATCCAAAGCATACTGCCTGTTCGCGGGATCTTTCGCTTGCCATCTCGTCCAGAGGAGATCGATCATTCCGTGATGAAGCCAGAAAGTAGGGTCGCTTGGACTGGCAAACTGATCTTGCATATCTTCACCGACCGCGTAGTGACCTCCATTGTGCGGACCCATGATCGGCGTACCTGGCACAAAATCGGAAAGTAGCGATTGGATCGTAGCAATATCTGGACTGGCAAGAACACCGTCAACGCGAGACTGTGAACAATATTCGGAAGCGATGCCGTTGTTCAGGTCCCGTGTCAAGCAGTGAGGAGCGTATTCGAGTTTGTTTGGGTCATTGGTAGTCGGGATACCCTTTGTTCGTTTGAAATGTAAAGTGGTGTTTGCAAAAGGACCCGCCGCGACACAACCTCCTCCATTGCCTCTGGGGAACGTGTAGTTGCCATTGGCACGAGGCTCACTACTTGCGTTGTAATATCCGTCACCGCCGAGACTGGTTGGGCTACCATCGAACAAGGGGCTGCTGTGCAAGTCGGAAGCCCACCATGGCCAATTCCAGTAAGGCAAACTGCCTTGGTAACCGCATTCATCTTGGAGCGCTTTCTCGAAGAGATGGAGATAGTGACGGTGCCATGAAAGAAAGATGCCGTTGCTGTGGATGACGTGCGTGTAGTTGATGTGAGTGGCAATGAAGTCGTCATATCGGTTAAGGGCTCCGGGCGCTTCTCCTTGTGGAATCTGTGATGGCTTGTCCATCAGGCACTTGACGGCTCCGACGAATGCAAGTCGTTCGGGCTTTCCGAGAGCGCTCCTATTGACGGTTAGTACGTTTACTAGGGATTTGGGGGCCGTTTCAACTTACCATTCACGCCGGACAGAGCTGGTTCCATTTGCACATCCTTCGAGAGATGAATTGGCTGCAGGAGAAGGCAGTGCGGACGAGACTGCTATGAGAAGTGAATAAGCAATGGTAAAATGCATGTTTGTAAGTGGTGTAAAACAGAAGTGATGGTTTGGTTGGTAATGGTGGGAGGCGGTACCTTTATACTTATTGCTAGACAGACTGCATACGTGGGCATTGATTCCCTCAATTTCGTTGTCTATGAGTAGTGACGCTGAGTTCAGGAGGGCTGTGCAGCTCCGCCGGCCAGTCCAAGATTTCACTTTCGTAATTTTCTCGCTGATCTTGAAGCTGTCGTCGAAAACTATTCCTGAACTTGAAAAATTGTATCCAATGAGAAAGGACAGCCATAAATCTCGTAGGACCCCGGTCAGGAAGGATTGATAAGTCTCGTGCACTGTTCTACTACGATACCGTGCTGCATCCCATGAACTCGGTGTACAGTGTACACTAATCTACCGCGAGCTCATCCTGATTAAGACTAGCTCATGCACTTCCCCAGTAAGACTAGCTCATACCTGAGCCTCACTAAGCGCAGACGCTACGGGCGCGGACAAACTCACCGCCGAAACCTAAAGACAACCAAACCGAAAAGCAAGAAAGGAGTTGACGCAATTCAAGCAAAAATAGCGCCTGTGTGGATATCAGATGGAAAGAATGTCCACTACCAGCTGGTGATGCCGAATCTTGGCCCACGCCAACGGCGTCCTGCCCTCGTTGTCTTGCGTATGGACATCCGCCCTGTCCCTGAGCAATCTGACGGCTCCGTCCTGTTCACATCGAGCCGCCCACGACAGCGCCGTTTGGCCGTTGCTATCCTTTGAATCCGCCTTGACGTCGTCGTGTTGCACCAGAAGCCTGGCAATGCCCTCGTGGCTGCACTTGGCAGCCAAAACAGCGGCGTCATGTCATCTTTCTCCAATCGGCCAGCTTCTGCACCAATTGAATCTAGTAGGCATCGAACTGTTCGCTCTTCGCTCGCCCTGGCCGCACGTGGGAGTGGTGTCTGGCCTGTATTGTCGAGAAAGTCAACATTGACATCTACCAAGGTGAACAAGAGTCACAGTACTACCACCTACCCACGTCGCCCCGCCCACGAGAAAGGTGTCTGCCCGGTAACATCCTGTGCATTGGGGGAGATGTCAGGTCGTTCTAGAAGGATCCTGACCCCTGCTCCCATGTTATACTCTGATGCCCAAGACAAGGGCGTTCGGCCGAATTTATCTGTCATATCACCATCGACTTCTGGGCGATCGAGTAGCGCTCTTACCACACCAACGGTACCAAAACAAGACGCTAATTCCAATGGAGTGTAGCTGTTATGATCTCTAGTGTTTGGCTCAACATCCCGACAAGCCAGAAGCAGTCGAGCACAACCCTCTTTGCCCTTCTCCGCTGCCCAGCTCAGACATGATTGTCATTTGGAGTCGAGCCCATCGGCGAGGTACAGGTTGTCATTCAAGAATCGTTCGGTAATGACCTCAAGACCAAGCGCGCATGAAAGATGCAATCCAGTCTCATTCTCAGGAACATCCATCCAGTCTTCAAGTCAACGGGTCGGCCGCAAGGAAACCTGCACGCAAATGGCCATCTTTTCCGGGTCACGAACGAGCTTCAACCGTAGATCTAAGCCTAACGCAGACGTGATATGATTGGCGTACAAACCCCAAGCTGCAAGCAAAATCATTGTCGAGAATGGAAGAAATACACATCCTTGCCACGTCGGTGTCTACTGTCGGGTACCATGTCGGTAAGAGCTTCTGGAATTAGACTTGTGCGGTGAAATTGAAGAAGCGGAGAATCTGGCCCGCTGGATTTAAGACCACCAACCCAGCACAGAAAGAAAAAATGTCCTCAATTTCGATGATGTTATCGGCACCACACGGGATGTCTTGCTCCCCAGCAAGTGCATGTTGTAGCTCCGTCGACGTCAACGGCCGTTCAGCCAATGTGATCCAAGCCAGAGCCTGTTTTGCAAGCATAAACGAATCCTTGTCTGCCGTTACATCCTCTATTTGGCTTCCGTGTACGCTACATCGAGGGTGTGCGACCCGCGCTCAAGCGTGTCTAGCATAGTCTGATCGCTTTAGGCGTACGTTTCTTCTGTCAGCGAGGGGAGTTTGGTGAACTGGTATATGCACGACCGTGTAGATGGAGATACGCACGGGCAATTCAAGGATGCTGGAAATCATGGCTGCTGCCCTGAATTGAATCATCTTGACTTGAATCGCTTGGAATGTGGTGGCAGCTTTGACTTCAAGTGCATCGATGCACGCTCACCACTGCATTGTGCTCCGTGTACTTTACTTCAACGAACGGCAATGTACGTGCATCATGGGCAGCAGAGTCGTCCAATGGTATCAACTCGCGTTATCAATTCATCGGTTGATTAATGACATGCAAGCTGTCGCGATGATGATGTCGGGAGTGGACGTGACGGGGTCGGAACAAACCACGGCCGAGGAGATGCCGAGACAAGTAGTTCAACGGATCGGAGTTGATCGGACTGCTTGTTCATCGGTGTTATGCCTGCTTCCCATCGCACATACACAGACAGACATGCAAATACCAAAGCCGAGTCGACCGCCTCCACCTCGTCAACCTCCCCCTCCCAGAGGACACACCACCCTCGACTTACTTGGACCTGCATCAAAGCAAGATTCCAGTCTTTCTCTCCCTCTGTCTCCCTCCCTCTCATTATCATCACCGAGAAAGACGGTTACCTACTCAAGTACTTGTTGACCTAGTCCACCACCATCATCACCATGCCGCGCATCTTGGTGCTCGGCAGCGGCATGGTCGCCCCACCATGCATTGAATACCTTGCACGCAACCCAAATAACACAATCACGGTTGGTAAGTGGCCCCATGCCAGCCTTCAATCCATGCAGGAAGCTGACTTGGCCGAGCCTGTAGGAGCTTGCAGTCCGCCCAGAAGCTTGCAGCCGGCTTTCCCCACACCGAAGCCATCACCCTGGACGTCACCTCGCATACCGACCTGGATAAACACATCGCCGCCCACGACGTCGTCATCTCCCTAATCCCATACATTCATCACGCTGCAGTCATCAAGTCAGCCATCAAGAGCGCCACCAACGTGGTAACCACCAGCTACGTTTCGGACGCCATTCGTCAGCTAGATGAGTCTGCCAAGCAAGCTGGCATTACTGTGCTGAACGAGGTTGGTGTAGACCCTGGCGTAGATCACCTCTATGCCATCAAGAAGATCAATCAAGTCCACGCACAGGGTGGAAAAGTCCTGGAGTTTTATTCGTACTGTGGCGGCCTTCCCGCGCCCGAGTGCGCCCACAATCCTCTTGGATTCAAGTTTTCATGGTCTCCACGCGGAGCGTTGCTCTCTCAGCGAAACTCTGCACGCTTCTTGAAGGATGGAAAAGTGGAAAACATCTCATCTGACGCGCTCATGGCGACAGCCGCGCCGTATCATGTCATGGATGGTTACGACTTCGTGGCCTACCCTAATCGTGACTCGGTTCCTTTTCAACGCTTCTACGCTATTCCTGAAGCTCGTACCGTCCTTCGCGGATCTCTTCGGTACAAAGGCAATCCTGCGTTTGTGCAGGCCCTTGCGGACATCGGCTGGCTCGACCAGACTCAGAAGACGTGGCTGAAGGATGGCATGACGTGGGCCGATATCCACCAACACATACTTGGCGTCGACAGCCCGGACGAGACGTCAGTGTTGCTCCGCACATAATTTTTGGAAAGATCCCGCTAACTACGTAGCAGTGCTCTGGTGGCTTCCATTCGCGACGTCGCCAAGTTTCCCAACGAGGCCGAAGCCGAGCGAATCATTTCCGGCATGAGGTGGATGGGACTGTTTTCGTCGGAGCCTGCCATCGTTGTCGAAGGAAACCTTCTAGATACCCTGTGTGCGCAGCTAGAAAAGCTGATGAGTTTCGCTCCTGGTGAACGAGACTTGGTAATGCTTCAGCACAAGTTTGTCGTTGAATGGTCCGATGGCCAACAGGTATCCATGTCCCCAGGTCAAGTATAGCGATAGTTACACTAACATGCACGTGCAGGAAACATTCACGTCTACGCTCGAGCTGCTCGGTGACCCGGATCGCTTCTCTGGTATGGCGCTTTCCGTAGGCGTCACATGCGGGATTGCTACTCAGCTCTTGCTAGACAAGCACCCCGCTATTCGTAAGCCTGGTGTTTTGGCACCCTACACCACCGACATCTGCGACCCAATTCGGGCCTTGGTCGAGAAGGAGGGCATCCGGATGGTCGAAAAGAAAACAGCATGAAGCGCTTCAGCAAACTCCGGTGTGCATGCTTCTTGTGTGACGTGTGGCAGGGTTTCCACGGATAGCTACCGTCGTTCTACGAGAATGGCCGAAGAAAGCGAGCCATTTAGTCAATTAACTACCAATTATATATTCAATTGCTTACCCGCATGCACATTTGTGTGAAAAATTCCCCACGAGCTCCTGTAGGCGAGCGGGTGAGTCAGGATAAAGAAAAGCTTCCACTGCTTTAGAATAGGGTGATGGCAGTCGTACACGTAGCTATAGTTACCAATGAGGAAAGCCCAGCTTCGCCAGGCTACATATGCAACCTGCAGCTCCAACTGTGCCGTTGAGCTCTAAGCATATCTCAATGGTAGTCGAAAAATGGAAGATAGTCTTTCGCTGATTGCGCAATCGCTTCGACTTCCTGAGCAATCTATTGGATTGGTAACCTAGGAGGGTGACAATCAAAATGTATGTCCGTGTCGAATGTGGCCTGGGCTACACCGCTGACCAGGCTCAGGTTCACGCGCAAACCCGGGCAATCAGACATGACGAGTCAACCAGGCCGGCATGAAGAGATACCTGCAACCATCACATACCACAATGTATTCTCCTACCTGAGCGGAAGACATCCTTACTTCTCCATACTAATTGCAGGAGAACGGCATTGAAGCTAGGCAAACAGTGTGCCTCATTCAGGATGAGCTGCTTTTGGACAGCGACCCAGCGCTGAATTTGGCGGGGTTTGCAAACCCGTTCATGGGACCTGAGATAGAGGCCTTCATGGCGGCGAATCTCGTCAGTCATGCCATTTCTTTCCCAACCTCCTATTCTTTCTCGCGCCTCTCGAGACTCCCAAATTCTTAGTAGTCGGGGTGAGTACACTGGGCTCCAGCGAGGTCATCATGCTGGTTGTTGTAGCCGCCAAACGAAGGTGAGAATGTGAGTGAAATTCGAGTTATTGTTTCGATGCGAGTGCGGACCGTACCACACGTGCACGAAACTCCAAAAGCGAGCCCAAACCGAAGCCTAATATGTTCGTGAGCAGTACGGACCACATGTGTTGGAAGAAGGCCGCTCTTTATCACGACATAGAACCATGCTACACGTCTTTGCCTGCAGGGATTATATACACTCGATACGCAAAAGGCAGTTTCGCTAGTGGACGGCAACACTATAAGTTAGGTGCAAATTTCTTCTTGTTTCATGGATAGAGATTACTGTGTTGACTATCAAGCTGTTTCAGTCTGCCCGGCGGTTTCCTGGAGCTGGAGAATGCGCAAAACGACTTGTTCAAATTCACCCCGAAACTGCAATTTCTCCAACCAAGACGCAGGAATTTTTTCTATTCCCTCTCTTGCACCCAGTAATCCCCCAGCTATGGCACCATGCGTATCAGTGTCTCCTCCGAGGCGAACTAAATCCACCAAGACATCTTCAAAGGATCGCGCGTCTAGTACTGCCGCAACGGCAAGCTTCAAGCTGTTGAGCACAAAACCGGAGACGCTGACTATCCCACGTGGTCCCTCATTTGCTACTTTCTGCAGGGACAGCGTCTCGCCTTCTTTGATTGCATCTGCCACTTCCATGCACCCCAGCTCATTTGCAGTCACCTTTCCAATTTCCACGGCCTCCTGTGGCGTCTTGCCGTTGACCAGAGCATCGACTATTTCGTTATATACGGCACAAGAAATTGTGCATTTGGTGTCGTTGTGGGTGAATCCGCTGATAGCTATCGATTCACTCTTCCGACTCTCTCCGGTCGCGAAAAGCCCAGTCGGGATGCAGCGCATCAAACTTCCATTCCCTGCTTGCCCAGCTCCTGCGCCGCAGATTGCCGTGTCTTTCGTCCGCTTGTAATTTCGCAGCCCGATCTTTGTAGTATTGCCAATATCATTCGGACGTGAGCCTTTAGAGCGACCTGGCCAGTCTCCTTCATTCCATTTCACGGCATATTCGGCTGCTGCCTGGACCACATTGAAGCTCTCTGTCGACTGTGCATCCCTTGCCGCCTTGTATTCTTCGAAATCTCGATATGCGAGGAGGACTGCGCGCGTCAGATCGGTATCATCAGTTGCATTTCCAGGTGGCCACTTTAAGACTCCGCCTCCAAGTATTTGTCGCAGGCCGTTCGGATGTGTCTTTTTGATCCATGACCATGGTTTGAATTCCAGAGTAGCGCCTAGCGAATCCCCGCAGTGGACGCCCAAGATTGCGCCGAGCGTTTTTGACTGTCGCGCAGTGTATGAAGCTGACATTTTCCAGTGATCAGAAACTTTAAAGCTTTGTAATGGAGGAGGAAAATAACTTTGTAGCGTGGATATGGTGATGACTCGGCTCATCGTTGGTCCTTGTTCCTTATCGGGCCTCTTCCAGCTGCACAGCCACAATACTATGTTGAGTCCGCTGCGTACACGCTTATATGCAAAGCCTAAGTATTTCCGTGTTTTTTGCTGTTTACGTGCATATCGATGACCGAGAAGCAAATAGAAATGTTAATGGAGAACAAACGCATACCCACGGACACGGGTAGGAAGGACAAGTTGGTGCGAGAAAAGAGGGTATCACGTGACTAATCAGCCACCAAACTGGATTCCTTGAGTGCAACTGCCAGTTTTTGCCGCCGAGAACTAAATACTGCACGAAATTTCGGGTTTCGCATGAGTCGAACTTTCCTCGGTCCAGGATCGGTGGCAATGAGTTCTGTTACAAAACGATCATCGATCCCACCCGAAATGACATGATCCAGTTTCCATGTCAATGCCACAATCTTGATAATAGGTCCATGTATACTTTTAAGGCCGAGAAATGCCTCGAGAAATTCTTCTGGCTCATACATATTTGACCGCTCCAAGGTGGCTTGCAGTATGGTGAAGTCTAAAACAATCAGCAGTTGTTTCATACCCTGCATGCTTTTGCGAAGGAGCTGAAGCCATTGCTCTACGGATAGAGACGTCCGGAAATGCCGGGTTGATATGGGATTGACGCCGGTAGAAAGTAGAGTAGGATTGAGTTCCAGAATTTGAAGCACAAGTCCGGCCATGACGTCTTCAAGCTCTACGACGCTTTCGCTCTCCAACCGTTCAGGTAGCACCCAGACGACTGGAAGCGATGACGGTCTTACCAGATTCAGGAGATCTACGGCAAAGTCTCGGGAGCTGGTCTTGACCCCATGCGCCTCTCCAATCAGTATTGCGGAATTCCTGTTCTCAAACCACGTCTTGAGCTTGATCACATCAGTGTACGAGAGGGAGCACGACAAGCGCTTCCTCCGTCGACTAGTCATTGATCGGCAGTATTCTAAAGTACCTTCATGATATGGAACACGCTGAAAGATTGGCAGATCCTGGATCATTTCAATTTGCGAGCCCTCATACTGTCGGCGTTGTCGTGTAAGATCAACGGTCACCCCCAGGGTAATTTCAGTCAAATGCCTGACCTGGATGTGAAGATCTCTGAGTTCTGCCTTCATCGCCGAGTTCGCCAGCTCATATATACGACGTGAGGCATCTCGTATGTCGTCTAATACGGGATTGTACTTGATACTAAATGGTTTTGTGACTGCGGCTAGTGACTTTGCGACGCGACCACTTTTGTAGTACTTTACAGCTAGCTGTACAAAGTGAATAATATGAGCATATAGCTCCGATAGGGCAGTTTTCATTCGTTTGGTTGGGTACAAGACCGACAGCAATTCTGCTCGCGGAAGGACGTCCGCGATCTTTGTGATAGCTTTGGATATCTCGGTTAGCAGTTCTTCGTGATTGGTTATCGCCTGCGAAGCGTCAGCATTCCATCATCTACACTTCTAGGTATTGGAGCTGGCTCAACCGCTGCCCCGGAGAGATAGGGAGCTGCGAAGCTTCGGGAGTTTGACATACGATGAAGAGAAATTTTAAGGCCCCCCATGCAAATGACGCGTATTCCGGACAGCCTTGTATGATGACATCCATCACATTGCCATAATAAACGATTCTTGTAGCGCATCGACTCAGCCATTCCCTAGCTTTTGATTTTCGTGATGAGGACTCGTAGTTTGATCGTGCTTGTTGTATAGCCTGTTGAACATCCGACATGGAGTTTTTGTCGCCTAGCCATATCTTTTTGCATTCATCTTTCGTGAGCTCTCTCCTGAAGACTTCCACGGCCGCTTCGTAAGCTTCTCTAGCGGGGTCATTCTCGCTTTTTTCTTTCCAGTCAGCTTCGCGCAGTACAGCAATACCCCCATAGAAAATACCTGGCAGAGTCTTCGGCGGTATACCAGCCTTCTAGGCTATTCGCAGAAAGTTGGCGCCTGTGAGCTATTTGCGAGAGTCTGGGGTCTGGAATGAGTAGACTAGATTTTAGTGAGGGTGCTGCCCAAGTAGTAATGTCCATCGTGAATTTCTGATCATACGATTCAACAATTTTGTGGCTACCCAGGTACGATAGCCAACATAGCTTGCAAGAAAGATAACATGATTAATAAAGAAGAGCGTAGCGAAGAGCATCGGAACATAGAAATGCGCCTCGTATGATAAAGGCGCCTAGATCACGGCTCAGCCTTGTGCGTTATCTCGTATTTCGAAATGCGAACAAATGACGACTCGCCAACTGGACGCCAAGCAACATACCGACATGTACCCCGCTCAGTTCACCGGTTTAGTCTTTGCTATGATTAAGTCAGTAGAGAGCCTCATAGGTCTCAGACTCATTATAAGCACATGCAGGAAAGGTTCAAGCTTCTTTTCGTGGGCTCCACTCTCATCACGTCTGACAGCTTGAGCCGTTGATCACATCTCTACACATAAACTTCAATCACCTAGGAGACGTAGTCATCCTTTGGCGCCTATGAAAGACTGCGGAAGAGGACGTTGACGTCTTCATATAAACTGCCGTAATCGATCGCAGATTTGATGCGACACAGCCTATCTGAGCACTAGAAAGACGCAGTCAAGCGCCTAGAAGCCAAAGTTCACGCGCTTTCACATTCAATAGAGATACAGCGACAATTAAACGACTCTAGAACAGAAACTGCCAAAATGAGTCATCTCAGACCATCGCCTCCAAGACGGGGACCCCCGGATCCATCTTCGCGCTCCCAAGGAAATCTACAGAGTGCTGCAACCATATCCAAAGACGCGACTCATGGACGTGCTGGTGAAGAGAGACAGATCTTATCGAATCTTGCACAAAGAGCTCAAGCATCTAATGCATTTGGCGTCCGTTCAGATGATCCTACTCCTGCTGTTGACCCGGGTTTTCTTGCCCCTCCTCCTTCCCTGGACCTGCCACCACCAGACCTTATGAGCCGACCTCCTCCCGCTGGCTCGGGATACAATAGTGAGGAAACCGACGACGAAGATGATGACGACAAGAGCTTGTTCGATCTCGCTCGTTCCTCATCGATCGTTTCTGGAAAACGACCTATGGCCACTAGTACATCAGCAAAAGTCCCCCTCGACTGGCAACCGAGATGGTCATCATCCAGTGATACCGAATTTGTTGCAGTAACGAATGAAGACGAAAAAACGGCAATATCAATTGCCACACCGGAAATAAAACGTAGAGAAGGGAAAAAACCATCGTCCGAGGTGGACGGGGAATTATCTCCTGAACCGAGGTCTTCATCTGTCTCGGGATTGACGGAAACACTAGCCGGAGTTATTCAGAAACAACTCAAACACAATTTGCTGGGGCCGGGTCCGGACTCTACAATGTTTAAATTTCTTCTCGATAATATCGAAAGACTCGAATGGATCAACATTGCGCTGAACGATAAACTGGAAAAGCTGGGAAACCCCGAGAAACCAATAAGTCCCACCACCAAAGAACAGGCAGATGCGCCGGTAGTAGCCGAGTTGAGTGCAACAGATGGCACCTCTGCTCGAATCACCGGGGTGCAAGTCTTACACAACGTTGTATGTGGCAATTTCAGACACGATCACGACGGCGTATACTTTGCCGATCAACCTATCTATAGGGAGGGACAATCTCGAAGGAGCAAACAGCCAACGAAAAAATTGGAAGGAACTATAGTGATAAACGATGTGGAAGCATACATCAGGTGTAACCCGGAACTGTCATTCGTGGTCTTCAAATCTCATGTTTGCGAGGATCAACGATTTCGCTATGTCCGCCCTCCTTTCAATCTGATGTGTGCCTGCCGAGTTTGCGTGGAAAATGAACTTCTCCAACAGCGTAATGTTGGAGAGATGCAATCTGAGCAACTTAGGGTGGTTTCTCCGGAGCTCAAACGGGCTCTCCGGTCTCTAGGTGACTGTCGCATAGATGGGCATGTCACTGGTACAGAGGACGATCCCCAAATGTCCGCACCGTATCTGTACTTGTATCATCACCGCGCGCAGCTCAACAGGAAATTGAGAGAGGAGAAGACCAGTGAGACAGAACACTTGCAGCGATTGAAGGACTGGTTGGATGAGAATTACGGAAATCAGTACGATGAAGCTGATCAGCTTTTCGCGGACGGTCTAGTCTCCCAAAGTCATATCTCCAAGCTGTTCAAGCCGAATCAGGTCATCATAAAGCAGAAGCCGGGCAGAGATGCAAAGGCCTACGTCGTTCAGTATTGGCCATTTCTCAAGGGAGAAGAACTCTACACCCAGGTTTGGTCTTGGGAGTACGACGGGTTCGAGCTGAGAAGGAAACGCAAATTGCTCTCGCTTACCTTCCACTCGCAGGAAAACATGCGTGTTACGGACCTGAAAGTGTTTCCTCTGGAGTATGCTCCTCAAAGTCTCGTGGATTCAGTCATCAAGCGTGGCCAAAAGTACTGGAGCATGAGAAATGGAAAGTTTGTGAGCTACTCCGGTTTGGATAGTCTTCGGGAAGAATCCTATGTAAGTCGGCCTTGCTCGCGATATGAAGAATGACTTGGTATTGACCAGAATTCCAGCAAAACAATCGGTTCATGATAGATATCAAAACGCATATCCGGATACATCCTAATAAAGATGGCAAAACGTACTGGGTTCCTCCTGCAGGCTGCGTGGCCTACGATGCGAAAGAGTTTGATCCGTATCCGCGACAGATTTCTTCTTCGGGTTCGTTAAAAGACCAATTAGCGATGCTGTTACCAAGCCAGATTCCCGGCTTCGAGATGGAGTCGAAGAAATGGGGTATGACTTCCCCATCTGCATACACTTAACACCTTCTGATTGAGTCGCAGTGAATTTGAACATCATGCAGACTGAAGATGTGACATGGAACCAAAAGGCGTTTGGGAGATTGGTGTTGGATGAACCTAGTAAAGATCTGATACGGGCTCTGGTGTCAGTACATCTGGGCAATAAAATCACTGGGGATATCATTGCTGGCAAAGGGAACGGATTGATCATTCTCCTGCACGGCAGTCCGGGAGTCGGGAAAACTTTAACTGCAGAGAGGTACGTCGCACTATCATATTGTTTACTGCATATCGGAATAATAATGATCCATAGTGTTGCCGAGTTGGCGGAGAAACCTTTGTATCGCGTCACCTGCGGCGATATCGGGAATAAGCCAGATGAGGTCGAGAAATACTTGCGCACCGTGCTGTATCTCGGGAAAATCTGGGACTGCGGTATGATCCATGAGCATTGTTACAGTGTTACATGCCACTAATGATGTCTCAGTATTGCTCATGGACGAAGCCGACGTATTCCTCGAAGAGCGCACCATGGCGGATCTTCAGCGCAACAGTCTGGTATCAGGTAAGCGTATCCCCGAGCCCTGTATACCGTCAGCTACTCATAGAGCTAGTATTTCTTCGTGTTCTTGAATCCTACGACGGCATCCTCATTCTTACCTCCAATCGAGTGGGTTCCTTCGACGAAGCATTCAAAAGCCGAATCCAAGTAGCCCTTCACTACAAGCCGCTAAACCGCCAATCCAGAAAGCAGATCTGGCAGAACTTTTTCGAGATGATTGAGGAGGAAAACAGCGACGTGGATGTCGGCGAGTTTGAGAGTCGGCTCGATGAGCTCGCGAAAGAGGAAATGAACGGAAGGCAGATCCGCAACTGTCTGCAGACTGCGCAGCAGCTGTCCAAATTCAAGGAAGAACCGCTTAGTTGGAGTAGCTTGTCGCAGACGATCAAGACGGCAGCGAATTTCCAGCGATACTTGAAGGAGATACAAGGGCATAATGATGAGCAATGGGCTAGGGAGGAGCATCTTAGATGAGCGCCACCTGGGGAATGGGCTGGAACGGGCATGTTTCCACAATGCTTGAGATTGGTGCACGGGGTTTCCAGAACAGAGTCTGGGCAACGAAACCATTATTCTGTACGGAATAGTTCCAGTCTTGTGAGCATTGACCAAGTGAGCATAAGAAAAAATGACGTGCAAAGCTGATGTCCGTACACTGTTTGCACAATGAGAACACCATGATGGATATAGTGGTGAGATACAATGTCAACATGCGCGTCTGGCTGTCCAGCATCATGCGATGACCATGGCCCACCCTGTAGCCCAGAAAAAGATCAGCCGGGGAAATCCATATGTGAGCCAGTCCTGACTCACCAATGGGGTACGTAGGACGTAAATCGTTGAAGGTATAAGATGGCTTACGCCGACGCCCAGCAGCGAGCAAGCGCTGCCAATATTTATATACCCAGGCAAAGAAAATGAAGGAAATATGACCCAGAACAAGCCGCGTGATGCGGGAGAAGTGCAATGGTAAACACCAAGGTTCAGTAAGACGATAAACGGACTTCTTCCTCAAGAACAGACCACATCATTATGTGACACTGAAGCTCAATGAAAAATTCGTGCTAAAAACGTTAGTAATGGCAGTTGAATGTCTGGAGACCCTGAGGCCATGGTGCGGTGCTCGGCATGGAAGCGCGATGACCCGCCAGAAAGTAAGTAGTTGAATACAAACTTCTGAAGATGTAACACTCTGTGAATCCCAAAGTGGCCGATGGTTCCGGCAGGACATGACAATCCGAGATTCCAGAGAGGTCGATGGTTCCGACAGTACTATCAATGCCGTTGTGTCCGACAGTAAAAGACAATCTGTAATTCCAGAAAGGTCGTGAGTTCCGACGAAGTTCCGTAGAGTGCGAATTATCGCCAGACTCTGCGTTGAACCCAATAAACAACAGCGAGACTATCACGTCAAGAGCGAATGCATCGTGTCTGCGCCTGGGTTGCTGGCTTGACTTCATGGGACTACCACGCGAGGTGGACGCAATGAAGTTGTCGACATACAGAGCGGGGCATGGAGGAAACGGGAGGAAGGATGGAGGTGGAGAAGGAAGGTGGGCGGTCGAAAAGGGCGGAGGAAAATACAAGGAGACAAGTGAAGAGAGGGCAAATGAACAAGGACGGGGAAGGTGCTGGATAAGCACATGGGTGGAAGGGAACAGAGAGACAAGTAGACAGAGGCGAGTGTGGGGTTGAAGAGAGAGAAAGTGGGGGAGGGGGGGTTTATATAGACGTGAGCGGTGAGACCGTGCACGGCTTGTGTGACTTTAGTCAGGCAGCCGTCAACGCATCCAGCCAGTAATATACCTACCTACATATTGTACCTAGGTAGTGGTGAATGCCGCGCACGTGATGGAGAGCTACCTCTCAACCAACAAACGCTCAGAATTTTCCCCGCGCTAGCTTCATGGACACGTTTTGCACTTCTACGCATGAAATATACAATCGTGTGGGTTGTATGAGGTCTATCAGCTCTAACCGGCCACTGCACCTGTGTTTGCAGCTTCCGCGAATCTCTCACTTTTACCCTTACACCGTGCCAGTCCTCCGTTAGAAGATAGAGTGATTGTCTTAGTAAGCTCTAAAATAACCCAAATTTGTTTGTCCACTAAGACTCCCTCCACAAGGGCCTTCTGCACTACCTCATCCTCTCCGCGCACCCCAGCCTCGAGCACTCCGCTTCCGCCCACAGGCTATCCGACTATTCGTGCCCTCTCTCTATCTAGCAGAATATCAGGTAAGTGAAATGCTAAAATAGTGAGATGTTCTACTCTTTCAGCTCAACTTACCATTTTCCAGTCGGCCATGTCTTCGCCCACGTCTCCTCCAACCGTAGCCGCCTTGACGGCCCAGGTCGCAGCCCTTGAGATCGAAAAGCGGGCTTTGGAAGACGAGCAGACTCAGCGAGTTCAGCGCGTAAACGATGGGAAGGAGAAGACTCGTTCCGTGGCCCCTTACATCGACGGGGTTGAGCTGACGGAGATCCTTTTTCGGGAGATTGAGGCCCTCAAGGAGAAAGTCAAAAATCTCGAAGAAAGGCTGGCAGCATTGAACACCATCGCCGGCCAATCTGACCAGAGCGGTATTACTCAAGATTCCGTCAACGTCTCCGCTGCTACCTCCTCATCAACTCTCACCCCGACCACCAGCGCGTCTCAGCAAACTCATACACCAGACCGCCACTCTCCAGGACGGTAATTATCTGGTTCTTAGATATATTTCATCAATTGCAGACGTACTAACTGCTTGACTTGTAAGCCACCCCGTGCGGGCCCCCGAGTTCAACCGTTCCTGTAACCGACGATGCAACCGTCGTAACTGCAAGAGTGTCCACGATGATCAACGCCAGCTCTACTCGGACCTGATCCCAACACTGCCGAAGACCGCAGCGGAAGCCGCAGCTCGGCGTTGAACAAGCCTTGGAACATGGCAATAGGCTCACCACTGGTGAAGCTTGAAACTTTGAATTTGTTTCGGGATTGTGAGTGAGAGGAGATTGAATGGATGAAACTTTGTGTTTGTATGGGCATGCAGGAGCTCTCCGTACTCGCGGACCTAGGTAGCTAGGTATATTAGCTTAGCTAGTTAAGTAATACAATACCTGCCTGCCTATAAGAAGACTATCTATTCTATAACAAATTTAGGGTGGGGAACGATCAGAGGCAGAGTAAGTTGAGGGGTGTATTAGTATGATCCTAAGGGTCAGAGGTAAGAGAAAGGTAATAGTATCTCTCATTTTGTTTACTTTGACATACATATATTACCTTACTTTCACTTCTACTTTTACCTCTACTTCCACTTCCACTTTTACTCTTACTTATGTTATTACTTATATTATTATTATTTTTAATAATTTTTTTACTTATACTTACACTTATACTTCTACTTATACTTTTACTTAGACTCTTACTTGTACTTTTACCTATACTCTTACTTATACTCTTACCTGTACTCTTACCTGTACTCTTACCTGTACTCTTACTTATTTTGCTTGTAAAATATGCTTCTATTGTCTTTTGAATGTAGTGTATGATATTGTTAGAAGCTTCACAGTGGTGTAAAGTATAGGCTAACCTGAGTGTGAGAAACGCATGGTTTGACGAGCCGCACGAGCAGTCAATTGCTAATGCAGTAAGTCTAAAGATTGACTTAGATGAGAAGGTAAGAGATAAGAAAAAATACTCGAGAGAATATCTCTTTGATTTACACCGGAACAAACTTGACGAGCTGACCTGGAGGTGGCCCGGCTGTCAAGTGGTCCTTGACACCGTTCCAGTAGTCTTTCGCCACAAACCCGTCGGGAAGTACAATATCGAATTCATCCACAACTCTGGAGATTACGCTTCTAAGCTCCATCATAGCAAGTCCCTGTCCCACGCAGTTGTACGGCCCCGTGCTGAATGGCGTGGCCGCGTTCCTGTCAAGTACCAATTCTGGAGACGTTGTCCATCGCTCCGGCAGAAATTCATCCGGTCGAACAAAGTTCCTCGGGTCGCGGAACCTAGGAAAAGGTGGCATTTGAACAATCATGTTTCCCGGAATAAAGTGACCGTTGATGTGGATTCCTGATGGAGGAGTGACACGCTGCGCGGGAAGAAAGACTGGTGACCACAAGCGCATTGATTCATGTATCACTGCATCCACCATTGGAATTGTGCGTTGACAGTGATAGTTTTGCTTGTTGTCACGGTATTCTTTCCGGACGGCTAGCATGTATTTCGGATGTGTGGCTAGTTGCATCATTGCGAAGGTCAGAGCGCTGGAAGTGGTTTCGGTGCCCGCACTGATTATTAGGCGCGATTCGCCAAACAATAGTTCCATTCCAGCAGCGTCCGTCGGGGTGTTATCGATAAGGTGTGCGACGAAGTCGGATTTATTTCCACGCTTTCAAGATTAACGTTGTGCCACGAAGATTATTGCTGGCTGTCAACTCACAGACATACGGTCTTTCATCTGTAGGACACTCCAATCTCTCCACTCCTTCATCGGTCCGGCAAAAGAGGAAAGCGTACCGGTTGCTTTCAAAAACCTGATCATCTGAGGTTAACCGTGGACTCAACGGCAAAACAGGTGATATGCACGATTAACGTACCAAGGAATGTGATAGAAGAGCCCCATAATGTCCAAGCTATTGGTGAATGTGGACAATATGCTACTCGCTACCTCAGTTTGTTCGCCCTTCATAAACCCCATCGGCCGATCAAAAGCCAGCTTTGCCATCACATCATAGCTGTAGTAAATACAGTAGAGTAATAGTGGAACTGGCTTCCCATTATCACTTCGTAGCAGAGCGAGTAGCTGGTCTGTGAATTCTTCGACCCTAGGTGCGAAAGTAGAGAGCGCTACAAAATTAAGTTAAGTCCAGACACAAATGCAATCATACAGGAAGCTCACAATTCTTCATTCCATTGTCCCAAATCCGACGCCGCTGGCGATGGAAGGTTTTATCACGGGTCACGTGGAGGGACGTTTCCATGTTATCGTAGAATGGACCTTTGCTGGTGACTGAAGAATAGCCCAAAATTGCTTGGATAGCGGTTGGATCAAAGATTGTGAGTTCACGTGGTCCTGTACAAGGCAGATATCAACAATAAGTCAAGCATGTAGCCCCACAGACCAAACCATGCTATGAGGGTAGGGACTTGGAAAATGCTCGTACACATACCTGTTCTAACGTAATCACCATATTCATGGTGCAGCCTCTGTTGCACGATATGGTAGTGCCACTTTGAAGTCCAGACTTGCTTCACCGACCACAATTTCGACAGTTTTGCTCCGAAAGGTCCTGGGTAGTGCCTGAGGGGATGCCAGATTGCCCGGTACAAGAGGATCCATATTGACAGAGTACCCCAGAATGAAACGTAAAGCTGAACAGTAATAGATATACCGAAGGTGAGAGTCAGCACTGAGAAGAGGACTCCGGATAATAGAACCCCGGGTAAAGTCAGGTGGTCCACCTCTACACGCCTGAGGATCAGTTCGTGCAAGGTGATTGCTAATAGCGACGGGATGAAGAGAAAGCCTGTGCGATTGAAATCCATCGTTTTGCACAAATTATGGTGTAAGGGAAAAGTGTTGGGCAGATTGCAGAGTAATATATACGCGTGCTGACTGATAAATAGATTGCCTGTGAGCGGGGTTGCCACCCTGCGATGTCTTCGACACTGCCTCGCTTAAACTCAGCTCTGTACCTTTGGTGGACAAAACTCCAGCTTCAATATGCACGCGGGGACCCCTATGACTGAGCATAACGGTGTGCGGTTGACGATTTAAGTGCGCCAAGCATTTGAGCTACACTTGAACTGACGTGGTTCATACGAGTAGCATTGTTCGCGATATGTAAGTTTATCAGACCTAGCTTATACAATTAGGGGAACGATCGCACATCTAATCATCTTATAGCTGCTGCTAATTTCACATGCTCTAATACTCGAGCGATCTAGATTGCTAGATGGCGCTGCACGTGTACATTGGGCATGGTAAGGTCTAGGTACATATTATTTTGCATTATTATGTGTCCTGCTGGGTGCTCACGAATCTACACCTACAATTTCAAAAGCCCCCCCCCCCCCCCCGCTGGAGCTCACCGATCACGCTGCGATGGGCGAGGAGCAGGGTGGTGCAGCCAAGACTCGGGCTATGACAGCTGGCTCCCATCTCGTAAATCTATAGTCATACCTCTTCCTTCTTACGATTCTGATAGAATTACTCTGGAAAGCAATCCTCGAAATCAGAGACGTTTTCGCTTGACACGGATCAAAACATGATCTGTGCACTTACCATTTGACTGAAAGTTGAATTTTTGTAGCGTGAACAGTGAGTTGCAATCTCACCTACAGGAGCTAGTGTACGGGTACACACAGGCACCATCAGGGGAGCATGGAAACAAAGCTTCACGAAGACACACATACCACAACTAATAAGAAGTACGTGTTTGGGCACTGCACGACCCAGGAAAAAGTCTAGCACATCGCGCGTAATCCGTGCGTTTGTGCTAGGTAGTCGTCTAGCAATCATGTCCGAGCAATCCACTTGTCCAGCTCTGCTTGGCAAGAGATGAATCAAGCTTACTCAGCAATTTTTCAATTGTGACTTCCCCTGTGTAGATAATCATGACGAATAAGAGATCCCAGTAGCGCAATTTATATGGATGCTGTCTTTGTATTGGAAGAGATGATCAAGGATTGGAAAAGTTTTTTTGATAAACTGCGCTCGTGGAGTCGAGATGAAATGAAGAGATGAACATATGAATTCTGATGTGTAAGATCCGTGATAATTGATTTAAGATCGACTATGTGTAACCTTCGTGCCGTGGCCTCAATCCCAATCACCAGTGTGCCCTTTGCCGCTTTGCGCCCGAAAAACTCCGCACCCCCAAACAAAAGCAATGAATGGATGGACGCGAAATTGCATGCAGCACTTAAAATTCCATCATCACCACTGTTCGCTCCAAAATTGCGATACACAAATAAAGGACGAGTAGACGCGCAAATGATGTGCGCATCAAACGCGTTTTTATCGCATCTAATGAGAATGCCCCCGTAAATGACCACCCAAAAATGGATCTAGATTTGCGGCATGGCATAGTGTCATCATCGCGTGATGTTTGTGTGCACTGGAAATGTTTCCATGACATCTGCCTGATATGAATTTCTTTATCCACCCAAAGTTTGATTCTAGCTTGTGGTTCGAACAATGAAACCATTTCCCGTCAAGGAGGCACATAAAAGGTCTTCCATGGACGTAATTAAAGAACTCAGAACAATCCTCTCTCTCTACAGTTCTTCATAGGAGTATCACACAGTAACCAACTTTCAGCATGGTGCTCAAACCTTTCGATAACGATGTGCTCGATGGATTATGCTCCAAAGACCAAGTTGATCTTCTCAATGCAGTCGATCGCCTTCGTTTGCAGGGCATTGATCACTATGTTTCATTGCCACAGATCATTGTGTGTGGTGATCAGTCTTCAGGAAAAAGCTCCGTTCTGGAAACAATTTCTGGCATCTCTTTCCCGGTCAAAGGCAACTTGTGTACTTGTTTCCCCACTGAACTCATCTTACGAAAATCACCAAATGTCGGGTTGAGCGTCTCCACTGTCCCCCATCAGTCCCACACCAAATCAGAAGCTGAATCGCTCCGCAACTTCAGCGAGACCTTAAGCAGCTTTGACGCACTTCCTGAGTTGATTGAAAAGGCAAAGGGCGCGATGGCTATTGGCAGTTTTGGTCGTGCATTCTCGAAAGATCTCCTGCGGATTGAAATATCGGGTCCTGATCGCCCACATCTAACCGTTGTCGACCTCCCCGGACTCATTCATTCTGGAACCAAGCAGCAATCCGCATCTGATATTGGATTGGTGAAAGACGTTGTAAAATCATACATGGAAGAACCAAGGAGTATTGTGCTTGCCGTTGTCTCTGCCAAAAACGATTACGCCAATCATATAGTGATTAGTCTTGCTAGATCTGCCGATGGGAGTGGGACTCGTACGCTCGGTGTCATTACCAAACCGGATACACTGACCCCTGGATCGGACACCGAAGCAAAGTACGTGTCTCTGGCCCAGAATCTTGATGTCGAATTTCGTCTGGGTTGGCATGTGCTCAAGAATATGGATTCCGAAACTGGATCATGGAGTCTTCCAAAACGTGACAAAGAGGAGCAACTATTCTTCTCAAAAGGTATTTGGACTAATCTTAACGGGTCATTCTTGGGTATATCGAACTTTCGGGAGCGATTGAGCAAGCTACTTCTCGCACAAATTACCACGGAGATACCCAGTCTTCTGGTGGATATCGAATCGAAGTCTACCAAATGTCGGACCGAATTAGAAAATTTGAGGCGACCGCGAGCTAACATCGAAGAGCAACGAAGTTATCTCATTGCGCTCAGCCAAAACAGCCAAATTTTAGTCAAGGCGGCAATCGACGGATCTTACAACCATTCGTTTTTTGGCGATGCAAAAACCGACGCTGGCTACGCAAAACGAATCCGTGCTGTAGTGCAGAATTTGAACGAAGAATTTGCGGGAGTCATTGTTCATAGAGGTCATGTATACACAATCGACGTCGGTCGCGGTACAACTAAGTCGTTACCCCACGATACATCAATCCTTATGTCTCGCACGAGTTTCATGGCGAAAATTAGAAGTCTACTCAAGCGTACCCGGGGTTGCGAACTCCCCGGGACGTTCAATCCGCTGATTGTAACCGATCTTTTTGTCGAACAATCAGAGCCGTGGGAGCAGCTGGCTAGGGACCATGTCAACAAAGTAGCAGATGCACTAGACACCTTTCTCCAGCTCCTCGTTGATCATATAGCTGATGCATCTACTCGTGCCGCTCTCTTTGAATCAGTTATCAGACCGGGCTTTGACAGAGTACGCCATGACGCTGTGATTCGAACCACAGGACTGCTTAAACCACATAGACTGGGACATCCGATCACATACAACCAGGACTTTACGAAAACACTATTGAGGGTCAAAAAGGAAAGAAGAAAAATATGTCTCGAAGACACCATCAACAAACATCTACTCGATGGTCATGCGAATAACCCAAGTAGTCGGAAGCTCTTATTGAGTACATTGGTAAAAGAGGATGAGATTAACATGGAAGATGATGCATGCTCGGAGGCAAGCTTACTATACGGTAGGTTGCAACTGATTTTGTTGAATGATCTGCAGACTGACTTTTGAAACATCATCAAGGTCGCTTTGAAACGATTCATAGACGATATCAATGTTCAGGTCATCGAGACAACCATGATTGCAGGGTTGGAAAAGATCATCTCGCCAATTGGAATGCACAGTCTCTCGACTGAAAAGGTGACGGGTATCGCTGGAGAGTCAGACGAGAGCCGTACGAGACGGGAACAGTTGATGCAACAGCTGCGTGTGTTAGACAGTGGTACCGAGACGTGTAAAAACTTCATGTTGAGGCGAATACACGGTAGGTCTGAGAAATTCAATATCGATCGTCTTCGTACTAAGGCGATAGGGGCTAATTAAACACAGGGGCGGCATCGACCTTGCCAGCAAGAGCTAATGATACTGCGTTGACTTCATCACTGCTCGCCACTGACCAAAGTCTCGTGGAAGGAACCGGAAAATCAGCGCCCGAGGTTCCTGCTCTTACCATTGAACAGGAGGGAGATACACCAAAGGCCTCGATCAAGTCTGGAGATGAACTTCAATCACCATACGCAAACGTTCCAGGAACCGGGGGTATCTCAGGAAAGAAGAAGAAGACGGTCAAGAAGTAAGGAGGGTTAAGGTGCAGTGCTCGCCAAATTATAGTTGCGCGCTACAAATGCAATGAAGTTAAGATAAGCGAGGGGGCAAAGCTCTTAAAATCTCTCAAATCACGCGGAATAGAGGGGTCAACTGGTAAACCCTAGAATCATCAAGAGTCTATTGATGATGTATCGATCTTGGTTTCTCTAGCATAGAACGAGTCATACCTAGGTAGAGAAGTCTATCACAATGTTAACAACACTTGAATGGCCGTTGTACTACCAGATAATGAGTCCATCCTCTTGAAATTTGGGGCATCCGGCAATGAAGTGAATTTTGATGCGGGACAAATACGTAGACACGCCATTGACCATCTTCTGTGATAACGTTTACCTTCACAACGCGCAGTACCTTCCCAGATATACTTTTTAAACTTTCTAGCACTCAACACGTGATTGGATTGACTTACTTAGTGGACTCTTCTAGTCAATTACGGTGACAACATATCCCAAATAATCTGCGCAAATTGGGTTATACAAGCTACAAACGTTACTTACAAGCGAAAGGCGCTTGCATTCGTAAGGCCAGCATCATGATCCTGAACGGTGTGAATCAATCCTTTCGTCGCGTTCGTCCCGTATACCCCACGGCAGCAAGCAAGCGTTGCAACACCCCTAACAGAATCTACGATCTCTTCCTCCACTTGGAGCACCGGGTAGATGGTAGTGCTCACCCTTGTGGGAGTGTATGGCGAAGGCGTCCCAACTGGCAGAAAGATCAAAGGACTTCGGCAGGTCTAGAGCATAGGGGGAAAGGTCAACTGATTACCGAACGCCACATGATCTAGTCATATTATGGGTAAGCGAGTTTGACAATGGGATTTCGATTTCCCACGAAGTCTTCATGCATCGAGAAAACACCAGGACTCTGCACTGACGAACCACCTGAAGCTTTCATTTCCTCTAGATCTGATAGGGTCGATCTTCAATTCTGGAACCGAGTCTGGCCAAGCGACGCGTACAGGGCGGCTTGCATGTAGTATGTTTTTTGTGCAATTGCTTTTGACGTACGCACGTGGCACACCAATGAGGAGGGGATACGTACAGAGCCGCAGGACAGATACCCCCACATGCTGTGCTTGAACACACCACTTCCGCTGATCCTTTCGAACGAGCAACTCTTGAAAATCAGTAATTCATTTTTTTGGGTTGTGTGATAAAGATAGGTAGTCGAACAAATAATTGATCAACACAACGAGTGCGCTTCTACGAAAGGCGACCACTGCGGGTCCATGAGACACCAACCAATCAAAGGACCGTGTTCTCCGATCCCCCTTCGGGAGTCCGAAACTCGGGACAGCCCGCAAGAGGCAAATTCCAAGCTCTGCCTTCACTGTTCCAATTCTTATCGACTTCAAGTTCGACCGGTATAACGAATGAATGTGGGAGCCTACAAAAAAACTGCATCGAAGGATGATGGTAGCTGTTGAATAAAAATCCCCTCTTCATACCATGAACGTGGCCCCGGCGAGCTTCCCAGTCAACCTCCACAGCCTCTCTGCGGCAGCTTTGTCTTTAGCAAAAGGTGCGACGTCGCTGACCTGGCAATCAGCCAGGTATGCTCCGCCATTATCTACAACGTGTGTCAGTGAGAAAATTCTGTTTGCCGATTCTCATTGGACACAGGAGTCATGGAGTTTCGTACCTTTCATCTTGGGATCTAGAGCAGCCACGAGTAGGGTAGAGATGCCTTGGGACAGCGACTTCATGGGAAGTCCACTGAAAAGACCCTGGACTTCATCCGCAGGCATTTCGCGCCAGAGGTCGGTAGCGATGACTTGTAGTTGTCAGGAAGAAGCTTCGCTAAAAAAAAAAAAAAAAAAAAAAAAAAAAAAAGGAAACGGTGATTACTTACCTCCAGGCATAACAGAGATCGCTGTCGCGTTGCTATCCTTCAGCTTCTCCGCTAATTTCTGGGTGTACAGGATACCAGCGGTTTTGGACTGGCCATATGCGATGGGGGGAACGTAGCCGAAGCTGATCGGAATACCGAACATCGCGCATCCTTCCTTCGATGGCTGCTCGTCATCGGGAAGAGTCTCGACGCCATCGAAATTGTAGTCGGAGAAACGGAAGGGAGAGATTATGTGTCCAATACTGACAACATTGACGATGCGCCCTGCCTCGCTGTTCTTGATCTTAGGTAGAATGTTGTTGGTGAACAGAGCTAGACCAAGATAGTTCGTAGCGAGGTGCATTTCGAAGCGATCTACGCTCAACTTGCGCTCGGGAATGTTCATGACTCCCGCATTATTGAAGACGATGTCGATGCTTGGCCCGGAAAACTCGTTTATCTCTTCCGTGGCCTTGGAAATGGATGCGAAAGAAGACATATCGAACAGGACGACACGAATCTCAACATCAGGTGTGTTGATACCCTGTGCGACAGCCTCAACTTTCGACGCTGTGCGACCCGTCAAAATCAGAAGTTTGGGCGACTGAGTGGCTATCGACTCAGCCAACTGCGCTCCAAGACCATTAGGACTCACGCCTGTGATAAGCACTACATCTTGTGTGAGACGAATATTTATTTGCAAAATGTTCAATACTCACCTACTTTCCCCTTGACTCCATGTGGGAAAGCCTCCAAGACTTCGTTCGCATCAGTCTTAGCTCCAAACCCACTATGAGAGGTCATTATTTAAATCTTGAGGTAACGAATTGATAGTGCTTCTTCTGAGGCAGAGCCCACGATCGATTGGAGGACGTTGCGTCGTGTGGAGCGTGGAGGGAGATGAGTATTTGTGCGCCCCGTAATGAGACTCGAGTGATAGAGGTATGGAGTGTCGGTCGAGAGGCTTGAATTAAAATTTTCAAATAACACTTTGCCAGCGCTCACAGGTGGGGAGTGGAATCTTCTTTGAGATGCGACTGGTATTTAGTTCACACAGTCTGATCTGACTACAGGATGTCTTGATGTTAGTGTGAGGCGTAGTGAGGCGTGACTCGGAGATAACACACGGCAATAACAGTCTGGCAGCCATACTACTTCCTTCTCGCTTGGAGTGTTCGTTACCGCATTGCGATTGTTCGTCCGGTATAAGAATAACACTCCGTAGTCCTTCTGTTCAACAGTGACTCGGGGATAACACACGGCAATAACAGTCTGGTAGCCATACTGCTTCCTTCTTGCTTGGAGTGTTCGTTATCGCATTGCGATTGTTCGTCCGGTATAAGAATAACATTCCGTAATCCTTCTGTTCAACAGTGACTTCTCCCATTCGTAAGACACATGGGTGGTGACTTCCAAAGTATGTCGTCCTTTATTTCTGATGCTCGCCTAAACCATAACACACCCTCTTCAGTAACACATCTTGTGGATGGGGTCCAGGAAAGGCTCAGCTGTGTGGCATTTGAATTGCACAAAATCGTCACCAACTCTGTGATACATGAAGAATTGAACTTTTATCGGAGATAACGTGATCACAGTCCGAGGGATGGACGAAATTGTACGATTTCAGGGGTCTGCAGTGAAACGAAGTGAATTGGTAATTGATAATAAAAGAACAATAATCCTCAAAAGATGATGAGTGGATGACCGCCCCACAGAGTTTGAGGGAGACCAAGGCATTCTAGTTGCAGCCTCGAGCTTATTTACGTTTTCCACAAGTAGAGAATTGGATGGATCCAAATACATGACACTTGTCCGAGCTCGGAACTATCTCGACATGAGCTGCGGGAGTATGCGGGCCGTGTTAGCAGCGAGATCCGCTCCCTTGTTATCTCCCCTCTCCGCCAGAACTTTCACTCCAGTCACCATGTTTGTCTCAATGGTTGCCGTCGGCGCGTACGGAAAATCAGAGCCAAAAAGCACATGTCCTGGGGCAGCGAAGTCCAGCACCATTGGCAAAGACAGCTCACTCCCCGACAGCGCCGTATCGAAATAGAATCTCCTCGCATCTGCCAGCAAGTCCCCAGCACTCTGACCCGAAAGACCAGTATCGGCTAGTAGATGGGCCGCTCGCGTGGCCAGAAACGGCAGTGAGCCGCCGGCATGGGAGAGAATGATCTTGACGTTTGGGAAATCCCGGACCACCCCAGCGGAGATCATGTCCACCGCAGCTCGTGTGGTTTCATGCGGGTAGTCTATGATGGGCTGCGGGAGCAACGGGCTAACCAGTTCGGTGTCGGGTGAGTGCGTGGGATGCACAAAAACAACGGCCTTGCGTGCATTGAGTGCCACCCACACAGGTCGCAGTACCTCGTGGCCCAGATACCGGGCTCCTGTTCCGTATCGCGTATACAAGGTGACGCCTTCAGCACCCAGAATGTCTAGTGCGTACTCTATCTCGGCAACGGCCGCATCTGCATTCTCTTCTATAGGCGGAACAGCTGCGAAGAAGCCAAATGATTCAGGGTCACCCTTGCGGATGGCCGCACCTTCTTCGTTCATCGCACGTGCTAGCGCTGCTGCGGATGCGCCTTGGAGGATGCAGCATCCTGGGGCTGTTACGGAGAGGATGCTAGTTCGAATACCGTGTGCTTGCATGAAGCTCTTGGACGCAGTAACCGACCAAAAGGGTAATTTCCATCCGGATGGGTCACCTCCCGTTTCTTCAAGTGCTGTTAAAAGCCCATAGAGAGTCAGCAATGGTAAAATGAAGCTCATCATTTTTAGATCATACCTCTGGCGTAACATTCTGGGATGAAGTGATGGTGGACGTCAATGTCTCGCGGTGCCTTCGGATTTGATGACATGTGGTGTGGTAAGCTTTTCGAAAGTGAGGAGTATCCTGATATAACTGATTCTTTACTGCAGATTGAAGCGTATCTGGTAGTTCTCAAGCATTCGCCTCTTTTGGCTTCATTATATAGCATGGATGAAATTTCACAAATCGAAACGTGTTCACCTGATCACACGTCAACATCGGAATGCTCAGCTTTTACTTCTATGCAGGCCATTAGAAAGCGTTTACGAATCGCATATCCACATATGACGCTATTCATAATCGCATTTACACTGATTTGAGGCCAGGGCAATCGACGAGATTTGGCGCAGATTTGTAACCGTATCCTCCAATTGCGCGCACGCTGTGTTAGGTGGATGATCTTGGGATGGCCATATCTATGATGTTGTTGATGCACAACACCCCGTCCGAACCTTATATGTCAGAACTTTGTAAGATGTTGACATTGCATTACATCGATCGGCACGCAGAATTGTCAGCAGGCTGCATGCGACATACAATCCAACCAGTGAGGCGTGCGGTCGGACAGGCGACCTGTGAACATTGGAAATTCGTAGCAGAAAATGAAGGAAATAGATACATCGCAAAAACTTCATCGAGTATTCCGAAAAAATGTTAACCACGCTTAACGTTGACCACAACCTCATCTAGCTCGAAGTAGATCGAACTTCAAGTTCTCTATGGCCTTGAAGCAGGCGCAGGTATTCCCCCACCTATGCTTGTCGTTCAAACAGTCCTCACGCCAGATGTCATTCCTATGGGAGTCTCCCTTGTCAACTTGACGTAAATGCTGTGGTCTTCCATCATGGTGGCGATTGTGCATTTTTCATTAATGAGCTTGAGAAGGGTATTATTGTCGCGTTGCCTGATTTTGACACAAAAGCGCTCTTCAAGAGTATTGCATCTCAGCTGGATACGATATATGAGCCAGACGAGCTGCGCGCTGTTCTACCGGCTTATAGCGAGGCTATGAAAAAGACGTTTTTCATCACCACAGCACTGAGTTGCGCAGCGTTGGTGTTGATGTTTGGACTGCAGTGGAAGAGCATGAAGGCGGAAAAGTCTTGATGTCGTCAAAACAGTTATGCTAGATGGTCGACTTCATAATTTCTGAGTAGCGCTCGCAGCGAAAATATTACCACTTGCTCTATTAGACCGACATGTATCAATCGTATGTACAAATGATCCAACAGTTTGATTTACATGTTGTGATTAGGCAACAACCTCGTGAACAAAAGTGTCTCTCTCGTATTGGTCGTTCTTCTGAGACACCAACATATAACGACCAGGCTGTGCCCGATTGGTTGCATACAGACGGCATGCGGCGTAGCCATCTTTTTTTTACATATATAATCCGACCTCTGTGCAGTTCCCCTGCCCCGCCGCCGAACGACCCAAATGCCCCCCGTTTAACTTGCCTACCCTGCACTATCTCCGTTTATCCTGACGTGAACATACAAATAATCGTTGAGTTTCATCACGAATAGTGCTTTATTGGCAACATAACTGTACAATATTTGATCAATATGGCATCTAACGGCCACGAAATAATTGACACTCTCATCATCGGAGGCGGTCCCGCCGGCCATGCCGCTGCCGTCAGCATCGCACGCAATGTCCATACTGCTGTGCTTTTCGACTCGCACGAATATCGTAATGGTCATGCAAATCACATGCATATGATTCCGACTTGGGACGGTAGAGACCCCGAAGATTTCCGCGAAGCAGCGCGGAAGAACACAGGCGAGCGCTATCCCCTGATCTCCTTCGTGGACGCGAAAATCACCAAAGCGAAGAGGCTCGAAGATGAAACCTTTGAGATTGAAGATGGCGAGGGAAAAACGTGGCGTGGCAAGAGCTTGGTACTAGCGACTGGCGTGGAGGATGTTTTGGTAGATCCACCAGGTCTGGATGAATGCTGGGGAAAGAGCATGTATGCAGCTAAACTCATCAAACCATGAGCTAAAATACTGATTAAATCAGCTATCACTGTCTGTTCTGCTTCGGCTACGAGAACCGTGGTAGTTCCTCCTCGGGCATCCTCTGGTTCGACGACGACTTCCAGCTAGGCTTCGTTCAACACATGGCCCGCAACGGCGCTCAACTCTCCGATGCCGTCACCATCTACACAAACGGCAGCACAAAGCGTGCAGAATCCTTCGCAGCAGCAACAGTAGAAAATGAGCCGTTCAAAGTGGACTCCCGTCGCATCGCGAAATTCGAGCTCGGCCCCACCGGCTCAGGCGTGCTCATCACATTCGAAGACGGGTCTACCCGCGCAGAAGGATTCCTCGCGCACAAACCGATCATGAAACTTCGCAACACCTATCTGGCTGAGCAGCTGGGGTTGGAAACGACGCCGACGGGTGACATCAAAGTCATTCCACCGTTTGGCGAGACTAGCGTACCGGGGTGCTTTGCGGCGGGAGACAATTCTAGTACGTTCAAGATGATATCGAATGCCATTCATGCTGGTGCGCTGGCGGCTTCGGGGGTCGCGTCTCATGTTCAGAGCCGGTTGTATGGTCAGAAGGGTATGTCTGATGTGTTGAGAGCGGCGGCGGCAGCAAAGGAGCAGCAGAAGTAGTTGGCATATTCCTGTTGACGCACTACATTTTCTGCACAAGGTTCTATCCCGAATTCATCTAAATACAATCGACACAGCCAGTGTATTGATCGTCTTGAAATAATTTGCAGTCCTTACGATGATGAGGGCAAAGAGTGTCTCATTTCACATGCTAAGTGATCTGATTCACAGCTTCATACACATTTTGTTCATCGATGTCATTTCGCATATAAACTTCTAAAAGAATGTACTTTCATCTAAACACCCGTACGACCACTGACAGGAACCATAATTTGCGCCACACAACAGCATTCGTCAAGCTGCGTGCAGCATGTAGGTTCAACTCCGACATCGTTGCTGAAAGGATATTGGGAAGAAGGTTGATATCCTGCAGTCCTTCCGGATGATCCTGCGCCGTAAACGATTAACTCTCAGACTCGCAGATCAAGGATGACTTCTTACTTACAAGTTACTTGATTGCATCTAACCGCAGAAAGGACGGCCGTCAATCATTCGGCAAGGTCGATCTTTGTGGCAGACAGCAGAGGTCACCCATTGTCGGCTGGAGTTGCAGGTTTCAATATTGGGCTTGCCGCATCGGAAGCTTCCTGGGCTGCAGCTTTGTGCCATTGCCGTAGCGGCGAAGACTGAGAGGAAGAGGACGGAGAATTGCATCTTGCTCGAGGTTGTTCTGGTGGAAGAGGAGTGTAGTAGGAGTGTTCAATTGTGTTTGAGAAGTAGATTGAGTGCTGAATGATGAGAGGATATGCGAGCGTTGACTCTCACCTTTATACTTTTCCCTCTGGCAAGGTTCCTATGCCATCTTGTTGTATAAATCGTTTCTATATCCCAATATGATTGCTCTTGTCCAGGAATGCTCATGCTCACCGCCACCTACTCTGTCAGAATCTGTTGGCAGTGCTTACCCATAACTCCTCGCCCATCACTGTTATACCAGTGTTTCTCTATTTTGAGGATGATGGTTCGTATGGTTTGCTTAAAGAAGACGATGATATAGTAATAGGGCTTGTCTTCTAGCCTCTTGCGGCGTTATGATGCGCTTAGTCGAGAGGTACACCCGAAGCGCTTACCGCCGAGCCGAGGCGAAGCGTTCACGAGAGTCGGTAGCGAGCCAATCATCGCGGCAAGAAAGGCAAGATGGGCTAAAATGCTGACGCCCAGCTCTACCAAATTCTCAAACTAACTCGAAAATGCACCTACGCTGACCTCATATTTGAACACCTTTTTCTTGTTGACAACTCTAAGCTGCTACCATCTCTATATGTAGTTGCTGATGAGAATGAAAAACGTGGTGATCAATAACTTCCATGTCCTCTTTTCGCTCTTTCTGGCGAGGTGAGGGTGGAAAGTCAATGCCTCCATTCATTAATGATACATCTTACACCAAAAGCGAAAAGACGTTGCCATCATTCCACTCCAGCCACAAAGACCATAGTACTTAACTTCATTCGACAAAACTATTAGATAGGGCAGCAGAGCGCCCGCACATCGCCTGAAGGATCGCTAATAAATCTGCTTTTGACAAATTTCTCCAGTAAGCCGAAAGTGAAGGGTCGCTGCAGTCCAGTACGTTACTAGTCGTATGCTGAAGTGAAAAGACTTTACGGAAAGAGGATTGAAGATTTCTGATGGGCTCGGAAGAACCGTTGATCAATGCAGCGGGAATGGGTCCACGTTAAATTGTGTCGTTCCTCTCAGGAGGTGACGTATCAAGAAAAAAGATCATCAAGCTACATTGACGGTGGTAGAGGGTGAATGGCATGTCAAAGCAGCCAAATTGTTGAAGACATAATTAGAGCGGAAGAAGAAGCCCGTGTAGAATAATAGATTAATGGTCTATTCTTCAAACATCCCCTTGTGGCTTTTCCGTATCTGTCAAAAACAATATTAAACAAAAAATCATAGGCGATCTACAAGAGGGAGGAAGTCAGAGAGTTGATCCGTGAGTATCGAAAGCATGGCCACGAGGCTGGGTGATTGACTTTTCCTAACTGCATAGCTGATCTGGACCTCCGCGATAGAGAGTTGAAAAGAAATACGCTAGAATCCAGAGGAGACATGAGCGATTGGCGATATGCTGGAGGAGTGAGAAAGTGCTTTGGCTTTGGAACAATCAGCATTTTTCCTTAGCAAGCAAAGCCTGTACCCAGGTACATATGGGTAGCGCATCAACAGAGGGGGTGATCACGTGTGGCTTATATAATCGGGGTTGCCCGGGTGCTCACACAACACTGGAGGCTGGAGCTCTGTACGGCTACAACCTTGGTGTTTCTACCATGAATATTCGTTCATCTCTTGTCTCGAGTCCAATCTTCCGCGATAGCACATGTCGAAATCCAGTTGAAGAACTCAGGCCTTTTGCAACGATTCCCCTGCATGAGTGCCACCGGCTCTCTTTCCATTGATACGCGCATATCAGAGCACTGACGTACTAACGCGGTTTCTTCGAGTCAATGGTACAGGGCGTTCTCTGTGTCTTCATGATACACGCTAAGTACCATGGCTGCTCGTGTACTCTCTCGCCTCCGCCCGCTCCATCCAGCTTACGTTCGATTTTCATTATATGTGTGCAGCATGCGATTGCGACTGACCACGTGTACCTCGCAATGCTTCCGCGAACACATCCTGGTTATAGCGAAAATGAATCGAGGTGTTTCATAGTGTACGGTCCGATACCGGCAACTTGTCGGCTCCGAGTTTGAAGCAGCGGAGACTCGATGAGACCCTCAACGTTGCCTCTATTTTGTCGATCAGATAAGACAACAATACGAGAGTCGAGGCGATACAAGGTGGTGCTATCTTGCGAGCGCGAATCGGAAGGCATTGCGAAAGGATGGAATTGTTCTATGCAACGGCATCATGCATTGATTCTTCTAGAAGGTGAATGTCATTGACTGCCGGTGCCAAGCAGCCGGCGGACGCGAAACGAGCTAAAAGCAAAGGATCCATCGACGCCGTCGGAGACGGAGGCTGCTTGACCGATTTTTCACCGTTTCGTGGGCCGGCGCAACGTTGTTCCGGCCGAGATTCAGATTTACGCGACAACTTCGACAAAACCCAAACCAAAGCAGAGACATCCCCGACTCCTGGGCCTGTCTTGGAACTGGTGAGCCCCACCCAGTCTGTACGAGATCTTCAGGGACCCCCCCCACGTATTGAGCCTGATGCGGCTACCTTGCGGCTCATCACTGCGACCGGACCCTGATGGCTTGGGGAAGCGCGAAGATGAGATTTTTACCCTCGTGGCACGCGTTGCGACAGTTCGACCGTGATTGAAAGCGGCGCCATCATCTCGATAGCATGTGATCTGATGCTATCGCCAGGCATATCCTCATTGATGTATTCACCCGTCCATTCACCGCAAGCCTGCCCTGCACGTGTCGTGCGGCGACTTCGCTCACTCACCGCAACGTTTTGGGACCAGACCCTGAACAGGGCCAAGGAGCGATGGACTGTGCGCAGACATCAAAATCTCGGCTCGAGCCCCATTCTTTTCTGCCATCGGCTTAGCAGAAAGAAAGGGCGGTGTCTGTCTGGGACGCACGGTGGCACGGTTATCTCTGTAGCAAGGGGTAGATTTTTCGCCATCTGCCCGGGGTCGTTTGGTACAAAGGTTGAGCGCCCAGCAGCACGTTGGGACGTCCATTCCTTTTCATTCCTTTCGCTTTTTTGAAAATGATCCAAACCACGTCCCGGGTTCAGGCAGCTCCTGTCAAGACTACGCTCACAGCCGTGGACGATGTCAAGCCAACACCAGTGCCTGATGTCAAGACGCTCAAGGATGCCATTCCCGCTCATTGCTTCGAGCGATCCATGATCCGTTCCTTCTCTTACGTGGTCCGCGATCTCATCATCGTGAGCGCGCTCTTCTACTCTGCTGTCTGGCTGTCCCAGCTCGATGCGCCCTTGCACGTTACCGTCCCGCTATGGGCCCTCTACAGCTTCGTCCAAGGTTGCTTCTTTACTGGTCTTTGGATTCTCGCCCACGATTGCGGCCACGACTCTTTCTCGGCTAATCTTACCGTCAATGCTGTGACTGGCTGGTTTCTGCACAGTATGTTGATGGTTCCGTTCTTCAGCTGGAAGTTCAGCCACGCACGTCACCACCGTTACCACAACCACATGGAGAAGGATACCGTCTTCGTGCCGCACCGTAAATCTGAGGCCAGGAATGACCACACCATCATGGAAAAAATCATGGATCACGCCGCTGCCGACACCCCAATTGTCACTATTGGCGCGCTCCTTTTCCACCAGCTGCTCGGCTGGCCAGCGTATATCTTGATGAACGCCGGCGCCGGTGTGAAGAGTTTGACCAGGAGTGACCGAATCCAGTCATCTCGCTACAAGCAGAGTCACTTGGATCCTACTGCCCCCGTTTTCACGCGTTCCGAGGCACCATTGGTTGCCGTCAGTAACCTTGGTCTTCTCATCACCATGGGTGCTTTGTATTTGGCCTCAAGGAGCGTCGGAACCGGAACTGTTCTGTTGGCATATGGATTGCCCTATCTGTGGATGAACCACTGGATCGGTAAGAGCTAGCTTCTCTGATATTATGCAACGTCAGAAACTAATCATTTGCAGTTGCCATCACGTACCTTCATCACACTCACCCTAAGGCCCCTCACTACGAAGCCGAAGAGTGGACTTTCATAAAGGGCGCTGCTTCCACCGTTGATCGCGACTTCGGTTTCATCGGTCGCCACATCTTCCACGGTATCATTGAGTATCACGTGGTTCACCACATGTTCCCGTACGTCTTCCATTCCCCATATTCCGCTTCCGCGCAAAAACAAATACTAATTCGGACCAGGCGCATTCCATTCTACCATGCCGAGGAGGCGACATGGGCCATTGCACCTGTTCTCGGTGAACGCTACATCCAACAAAAGACCAACTTCTTCGGTGACCTATGGCAGAGCTTCACCAACTGCAAGTACGTTGAACCGGGCACTGGTGCTCAAGCTGGAGGTTTGGTGTGGTCGAAGAACAAGTCTTCGTAAAACGATTATATAGAGTCAATCAATGGAGGAGACTCCAATTTAGCCATCGAGCTGCTGCTCCACCGCAGTTGAACCTACGGATCATTCGCAGTCGATTGTTGACAAATTGTTGAGATTTGGTGCTCGTCGACAGCTAAATTCGTCGCATCAGTCACGTGACAATGACTTGATAAATCAGCACCTACTTGATCTTGTATTCCACAGCCCAATGATCTTACCGCAGTCTCGGAATCCTTCCCTTCATGCTTTTCGTACTCACGAGTCTGTCGATAGCACCTCCCCCGCAAGTTGATATAGTTCGTCTTCGTTCGCGATATGGTTATCCGTATCCGCCCCAACCCCAATCACTTCTTCATCGGCACTCACTCAAATCGCCTTCATCAGGCCAATCCGGTGCGCTTTTTCTCCTGGGTCGTCGTTCTGATCGACGCAGATCTGATCGATCCACAGATCTCAATCTGCGTGGCCAGGGCGAAAGTGTTTAGGCGCGGTGGAAAGGTTGGCAGTTACACTGAGGAAGTTCCCGTCTCCAGTCATATCGCTTTGATCAACTTCGTCTCCCCATCTCTAGAATAGCGCGTGATACTAATTCTTCGCTTCTTCCCAGCTGGCAATTTCCATGCTGCAGTTTATGAGGTCGGACCGGCGTCCATCATGGAATGTCAGGATGCGCATCGAGCACCGCGGGGGAGTTCCGGTGCGCTATAATCTTTAGATCATCGTCGGGGGGCCTGCGTATCAACACCGCGAAGACATTCGGACGGAATGAACCATACATAACTCTGTGTGCGCCAGATCAGTTGAGATTCAGAGGACGGGTGTCGCGAGGTGAAAAGGTTGCTCTCGGATGCTGTCGGATGTTGTCGTTATGCGAGACTGGGTGGCTTACGTTACGCATCGGAATCACTCTCTCCAATCGGTTACATGCATGTGCCCGGACAAACCTTATCTGGCAGGTGGGGAAGAAGAATGGCCCACAGATACGTGGAAGTCGTTAAACAAGCATATGCTTATCATCATTAAGCTTTGTAACTGCCTGTTTGGGTTTTGCTATTCTGTATATCCATCCTACTGGTGCCTCAAGATTGGATGAAAATCATTTCATGATGTCCAATGCTCGCCATTTCCATCCGGCCAATAGAAGGATTGGAATCTTTCCTGGCTGGAAGAATTTTCAAGTGAGTCGAGGTCCCAATGCGGAAAAGATAGAAGATCCTGCAGCGAGGGTTCGGATAGATTGAATCCTATGTGATTCAATTCTGCATCTGCCCTTGGTGCCAAATTGTCAGTGGCATTCAATCCTTGCGACGCCGCCGATGATCCGGAGAATGTCTGGTGGGGTCCTTGACTTTGAGAGGCTCTCTGGCTCTCCATAGATGATTTTATGGCGTCAACATGTCTCATGAACTCAGATGCGGCCTGACTTCCATTTTGGCTCAGTTGATCAAGAATTTGTACTGCAGCTTCGAAATCTTCGCTTTCGGTGTTGAGCCATCGAGCTTGTAACAGGCTGGATATTGCCAGTACAATACATGTCGAGAACAGGTACTGGGTGAGAGCATAGTCGAAAGTTGGGAACAGACCATTGATCCAGGCGTTGATAAGAATATGGTAGGTCTTTCTTGCACAGATAACACAAGCCTCTGCGAGTGCGAGTGTAGGCTCGCTAGGCTGAGCTGGATCCTCATGTAGATCCTCGGTTGGAGTGACGTGGCGCAAACGGAAGAGGTGCAGGAGCACAGGGCGTGTGGCTAGCATTAAACACTGTCGTGTTCAGCGGATAGCCACAGAAGCCAACGGAAAGACTCACCTGGTTGTAGTAAAGATGCAAAGTTAGATCTGCTATGTCTGTATGAGTAGACGCCTCATCGATCTTCGTACGCAGACTATCGGGTAGGCTTTTCACCCAGTCATCCAACTTTTGCAGTGCTTGCTGCACTCTATGCGAGAAAGTTTGCTGTTGCATACTGCGACCATATATTGAAGAGGAGATCTCAGCAGAAAGTCTAGATATGTGGAGGCCGGCGATAACATCATCGACAGGTTGGAAATCATCGGCAAACACCTCCGGGATCCCATGGGAGGAAGGAAGAGCTACGCCTATCTCTTCATCTCGTATCGAAACGGGTTGGCCCAGCATCGTCGCCCATGATCGATCCATCATGTAGACAGACCACCATAATCTCACTCTGTGTTCCACTTGTACACGGTCTGGTAGTTGAGTATCCGGCACGTTGTGATGGAGTCCTATTAATATGGCGAAGCGCATCGCACATCCCACCATACAGTATGCTGCATGACGTCTGTTCATAGTAGTTGAGTATAAAGACTGCAGATCCATCAATACCATGATCATGATGAACAGATGTAGAAGGATTACCAGCATCAACATGATCTCGACACACTCAATTCTTGGCTCTTCGCTCAAGACACGAAACACGTTGGTTGCATGATTGTAATAGTCAATGCCAGGAAACTTAGCTCCTGGAAAAGTAGCCCTAGCTGAGTAAACCTCTCCTAACGCAAACATAACGAACAGTTTGCACACGCTGATAGAATCACACTGGTCTGGGCTTTGGATAGACCGTTCTAGAATAGCCAGGACAGTGCTCTTTCGCACAAGATGATTGCGACGGCAAATCGTTTTCAACGCAACCTTTGTAAGTATGCGCGCCCTTGCGGGTGGCGGCCCATGCATACTGAGAAGGTTTATAGAGGTGGTAATCGGATTGAGGGAATACTGAGTACGGGGAAAGTGTCTCTGGGTTTTCCCTGACAAGGCCTGGCGGAATCTGGTCGCGAAAGCCGCATCTGTTGCTTCTCCCACCAAGACTGGCATTTCTGGCGTTACGGAGATGAACCAAGGGCGATCGTCAAGTAGTGGGTTCCTTTCAGCCCCCGACGCAGCGTTTGCTCTATTGGAGCCCACATCCGATGTTTGTGGTGCATTGGTTGTCGACACTTCCACGGAACCTGTAGTGGTTGGGCTCCCTTGGGACAATTCTGACGCCACGAGATTTTTTCTCCTATCTTCTTGGGCCTCTCTATCATTATTCTCGGTGATATCTGTTTGCCCACGTCTTAGGCGGTTGATCTCTGAAAGCAGCTCATCGACATAGCTTCTATCATCAGCTACGACAGCAAATACAGTCGAAGGCTTGATGAGCCTACCTTTCCCTCAGTTTTATATGCCGTATCCTATTGGGATATGAACAGTCAACCCCACTCCTGTCTCGACGACAATTAGAGTATGGTTGCCCGCCAGAGCACTTGACTTTGCGGGCATGACAATTTCGGCACGCAATAGTGGTATTTCTTTGCTTGCTAACCGATGCGCCGATGACGCGATCCGGTGTCGCCGACATCGATTTGATAATGTTGGAGAGGGCGTATCCTAGATCGTATATTGGGGAATACATTCAATGCTGGCCGAGCGACGTTCGGCAAAAGATTGAGTCGCCGAAGGTTGGTCACTAAATGGGATTACGTAAGCTCGGCGATAGGAAAACGCCCGAAAGGCCTTCACTTACACGTGACTATCAAATGACACGTGCGCCTGGACATCCGGGCATAGACGACTTCCAAAGTGCACATGCCACACCCACACTATCAAAGCATTATATTCACCGCAAGGTCCCGTTATCATCGGATTTCTAGGCGAAGCTCGTATATTTCATCACATCGTATTATTCACGAAGACGGCAGAAAGAGTCGGCTCGGCAGTATGAGCTATCACCGAGCATTAGAACTCGGACAACAATCGTGAATCCGAGACAGTGTGGGCTGGTTCCTCCCACTATGGCTTCTCATGCGGCTTCATTCGGCTTCATCCGGACACGTAACAATCCCTTAGATCTAGAATGCAGGCGTGAAAGCCGATATCGCTGATACGATTCCAATTTTTCTACTTGTACTTTTAGCATAAATGGATTTCCTCATTGACGAAACAGAAATCCGAAGCTCTACACCTGGGAATTCTAAACGTAATGATGGATGATCTTGAAATTCAGTCTGAAGTTCAGCCTAACACTGATGTTTCTACCGCCACCAACGGTCCTCTTCCTCCCGTGGATGGCGGTCGGGATGCATGGCTTGTGCTCAGTTCTTGTTTTCTTCTGAGAGCTCTGGTTTGGGGTAAGTTCTGTTGAATATTATGTGATCCGCGGAATATGCGCGCAGTGTCTGACACCTGGATGCAGGCTTTCCGTACGGTTTCGGCGTGTTCCAAGAGTATTATGCCCGGCAAGAACAATTTTCTGGACAGATATCAGGCCTTGCAGCTATCGGGACAACAGCTTCGGTAGGCTTATCAATCGCTGATTCGCTTACAAAAGGATTTCCGCCCTGATAATTGCGTGTACAGGGTATAATGTATCTAATGGCGCCCTTCGTTTACGCTCTCCTTCAGCGCCACCCGACACACCGCAAAACTTGCAGTGTAGTCGGCTTTGTCATCATTCTGGGAAGCTTTGTCGGAGCATCCTTTGCTAACAAGGTTTCCGACCTTTTGGCAACGCAGGGAATCCTATTTGGCTTCGGAGGCTCGTTGCTTTATTTCCCGGTATTTGTTTTTGTGGACGAATGGTTCGTCGAAAGACGCGGTCTTGCATACGGCGCACTCATCGCGGGAGATGGTGCTGGCGGTGTCATTGTACCATTGACAATGGAATGGGTCCTCAACACTTGGGGATTTCGGACCGCATTACGTATCTGGGCTATCGTCTACGTTATATTAGTCACTCCAGCCTTGTTCTTCTTGAAACCTCGCCCAGCCAACAACGAAGATCAGCAAGCCAATCGAACGTTTGACATGAGATTTCTGAAAAGTCCCGCCTTTTGGATTCTCCAGCTTGGGAACTTCATACAAGGTCTTGGATACTTCATGCCACTTTACTATATGCCTTGTGAGTAGTGACCCGTACAAGAAGACATCGGCTGATCTAACATCTTCAGCTTTTGCTGCCTCACGTGGTTGGCCTTCTATCACGGGAACCATTGCGCTATCCCTCTGTAATGCAGCCATTGTAGCTGGCGCGATTAGCGTAGGGTGGCTGACAGACCGATATCACGTCACAACCGTCATCAATATCTGTACTCTGGGTACTCTGTGTGCCGTGTTCCTGTTCTGGAGTTTTTCCGTCTACCAACCGGTACTCTACATTTTCGCCATTCTGTATGGTTTGTTTGCTGGCGGGTTCCCCGCAACCTGGGTGGGCTGTTGTAAGCCAGTGCGCCGTCGTTATCCTGTCGAGACGGGTATGATCATCGCACTCTTCACGGCCGGGAAAGGCGTGAGCTCTATCATCTCTGGCCCTTTAAGCGGGGCTTTGGTTGAGGCTGATAGCTGGAGGAGTGAAGTGGGATATGCCTATGGCAGTGGATACGGCTTTTTGATAGTTTTCTGTGGTGTTACAGCATCCTTCGCCAGCATTGGATGGATCGGGAAGAGATTGGGATTAGTTTAGGGTACGAGGAATAAGGGACTGCAATAGAATCTTATGAGTCGAATTGCTTGCCACTTTACTTTCATAAAATTACCCATTGGCTAGCAAATAATATCTATATGCAGTGTTCAACTAATGCAGAATCTGTCCTGGTTCCGCCATACACGTCTTGTATTGCCCTCGAGTGCTTGGCAGCACCCCAGGCCACCGAGATTGCGGCTTGTTTACACTGATTATAGCAAAATCTTTCTCGAATCTGCTCACGAGAAAAGAACATCTTTAAATATTCATATTGTGGGCTTCGCTGGAGCTATTACCCCGATTTTCAAAAGTCATCTTTAGACTGGTAGTATACACATGATTGACAAGTTTAGCTTGTCAGGTCGCCGCTGTACTAGAAGTTTTAACCCGATCTCTGTCTTACACAAGAGAACGATCTCGAGAGAACTTCCATAGAAGTCAACTAATTTTGTTTGATCGTTTGATATCCATCTCAGCCCTCAAAGTGATCGGTAAAGGGCAGCGACATTTCAATCGTTGCGCATATCATGTACGATGCACCGATCACTTTGACTGCGATTTTTGATAATTCATCTCCCAGGTGAAATCCTGCACATATCATAGGAGTTTTCAAGCACTGATTTTCAGCTATCGAGAGCTCCGGTTGCTTCAGCGGAGTATACGTCATTCTAGTTTAGCGAGATCAGCTACAGGACTACCAGGCGTATTTTAAGTCATCTCATCGCTTGTGGCATCGTTGCTGGTGCAGTACATACGATGGCCGAGCTGGAAGCTTGCAGATCACGTGAGGAAATCGAAGAATGAGACTTCAATTGACATAATGGGCATTGAAATTAAGGTACGGATATGTTTCGCGGCTATCCCAAACACTTTATATGGCTCATTATGGATCTTCTTTTATCATTATCAATAGTTTGGACCGTTCGTGAAGCCTTCAGTTTCAATACCTGCACTGAAATGTTTGCCATACCTTTCCGGATGGCACATGAACATAATGATTATTTTTTGTAACCTCCGAAGAATTCGAACTGCGTGGGGTCGAAAGGACCGCCTGGGATATGACCTCCGCGTTCCATCACGATGCCACGTCTGATAGCTTTTTCTGCCTCTGCGAACTCCCCACGCTTGATGGATTCGGCAGCGGAGGTGATTTGATCTGCAACAGTCGTGCGCTTGTCAACATTGGATACCTTAAATCAATCAGCATCCAAAGAGATCATCAACTTCATATATATTCCCTAGATATATTTACAGGAGCTGTAAGTGCACAACCGATTGCTGCGAGGATGACAATGGAAATCTTCATGGCGGAATATTAGGGTGAGAAAGGATGTAGAATAAGCGTATTTCAAGTAAATGATGTAGAAGATGAGACTTGCTGTAGCGGCTTCTCGTGCTCTGTTATGTGGGCAGAGGCTGACTATTTATGCCTTTATTTCACGAAGGATGATGCCTTGTGACCAGCTTCGTAATTGAAAATTTCAAGATTACAGATCCTTGTTGGATCTTCTAACAGACTTCCTACACATATAGCCCTGTTGTGACTGATAAGTTGGCAGCAGGGTTGGTTATAAGCACTAACGCTGTACAAGATTTCTTTCATGCAATGCGACATGCTTTGTTGTTCCCTTTGCCACGATTTGACTCAGTACTAAGGTCTTCCACGATACTCCCGGTTAATGACCATCTCCACTCGTGTAATGTGCAGGTGTAGTAAGCCTTGAAACGACCACAATCAGCATTTATGTTCCGTGAAACTATACTCGGAAACCAGATACATTGCTGGGCAATACTTTGAGTCTAATTCCACGTTGTTCATCAACACTTCAAAAAGAATGGAACGGACTATTAAATTGATTGTTAAAGATATTCAGAAGTTTCTCATCCAAAAAGACAGCTACATGTACGCTAAGCACGTAGGATGCGATTCGCCTGGATACGATCAGTACGGACTACGAATACGTACGAGTAGTCTCGCACGCCATTCTGCATTGTGACAGAGAGCGATTTATTGCATACTTTCGTATACTATGGCCGCATATCAACAGATATAATCATGTGCTGGATGTGTTATTGATGTAAAGGGATTAGTTCTTCACTCGTACGAGTAGGCTACCAGGATGTGGACATCTATAGCAGTGATTGTCGGTGGAAGATGATTCAATACTATGCTTATATCAACCAATCCATCCACTGTGGAAGTTGATATCGTGGAATCAAAGGCTGCGACGTTTAAAAATAGACGGATTTACCCCACAAAAGTTGGCGATACGTACGAGTAGGCCGCCAAGACAAACACCAACACGAAAACCAACACCAAGTCCAGATACCACGATACTGACTGGTCAGGTGGGAGTCCATGATGAGTGATATTATCTCAAATAAGTATCTAACTCAATATGGCTGCCAGTACAAGTAGGACGCATCATGGCTAAGGGGTCTTGTCTACTCCCACTTTGAACCGTTCGAAAATCTTCTCCTACGGATTCTGGCTCAGGTTATTCAATCAAACTGCAAGATAAAGATGTCAAGCCACTATTCATATGACAAAATTTTTGATGGGGACAATTTAAGTTTCGACACAAATGATCAGTCCGGTACAGACTACCCTCTGCTCCACGAGAATGGAACATATCGGAAAAGCAGGACCATTTCCTGTTATTGTGTCTCGTCTACCTCGATTATCGCATCCGCCACGCTCAATTTCATTCTTACTGTAATGGCTTTGATAGGTTGGATTGCGTTTTTGCGGGTTCCAGAGATTAGCGATGAGTCTTGCAAAGCAGGATTGAATGCATACTGTAAGGCAATGTCTCGATTCAACATTAATTCTTAGATATATATGATTATACAGTAATGCTAACATGTTCTCAGCACCACTGCTTGAAGGTGTAAAATACGAATGGTTGGCATTCCCAAAGCTCGGGGCAAGGTCTCCTTACCACGGGAAACCTACCGCCGAGGTCGAGAGTAAATGGGACCATTTAGCCAGACGTAAGTTCGGCGCTTAGTTTAACCCTCTATACTTTTATAAATTGTTTGTGGACTGACTCCTGTAGCCATCGTAATGAACTTCTCGCCCGACCGATTACCAGAGATCAATAAATCCATCACACATGATCTAAAGCCATGGCTGCCCGTCAGAAAAGTGGCGTATGGTGGAAAAGGCAACGGTCTATATGCTCATCCGGAGTTCTCTCATCAACTGCACTGCCTGGTAAGTGGTCCGTATTGGGAAATACAAGTGCTGTCTAACAAGGATCAGAACATCATTCGAAAGTACACATACAAAGAGGACTGGGACTATACGAGCGAGCCAGAATGGTGGCAAGGGCCTGAAAAGCTGCGCACCCACATTGATCATTGTATCGAAGTTTTGCGCGTAGCGCTCATGTGTACTGCTGATGTCACGCCAATCTTGGTGACGATGAATTCGAGTGACCCGACCGGGGGCAGCCCAGACTTCGAAACCGCACACAAATGCCGAAACATAGACAGCATTCTCGATTGGGCTGATAATGAAGGATTATTGTTCACGTTGAAGAATGTGACAGTAGATCTACCTCAACTTGAGATGGTCTCGAATTAGCTAAAACATATGGAGCAAACATAATCTAAGAATCATTTTGCACACTTTCTATCCCAACAATTGAAAATCGGATTGCGAAGAATATGATCAGGGTTGTATGAAAGGCTATATAGCAAAGATTGAATACAGCCTTCTAGACAACAAGTGGGCTTCGAAACACCTATTTAGGGATATTTATCAATACAAGTCCCTGAAGCCTAACGAGCAAAAACTCTTTTGGTTCAGACTAGGTCGTTAAAATAAATGAGTGAACAGATATATTGCCATACGTGATTGAAGCAGTACATATTCCAAGAACTAAAATTAGCTTACGAAGGAGACGATGGTGTACGCAAACGATCTTCAAACTAAGGGCGATTGTAGTAGCGTTAAGGATATATGTGTATCTAGTACCTTTAAGCGACCCTGAAGATAGTATAGTAGATATAGGTGTTGACCACGATATTGAGAAGTGAGTTTTGTGAAGAGAATACTTCGAGTAGTATATCGACCTGTTTAAACTATTTACAAACCCCAAATCATGCAGACGAAGACCCCGAGAACAATTTTCTTACTCGTATGAGGAGCATGAACGGTCTAGCCGAGCAGCTGCTCAAATCTCGACTTCTTCTCCAAACGTCGAATCTCTTGTTTCAAAGCATCAATTTGATAGCTTTTGAATGCCCTCGTTATTCGTTCTTTGACCTTGGGGTCATTGGTAATAGTGCGAGATGCTGATGCAGAACCAGTGAGAAAACCAATTTCGCCGCCTAAAAAGAGACCTCCCAGGGAGAAGAAGAAATAAGTGGCGGAATCACCCCACCTGGAAGGTGAAAGCTTCTCAGTGATGTCGGGGATTGGTTCTACGGAACATATCAGTCCAAGGTTTTCTGGTCAGTGATAATGGGCTATATCACGGGTGCGACCGTCTCCGAACTTCACTTCCACTGGTTTTTCCATGGCCCTGAAAGCATTGAAGTAGGCTACACGCATCGAGCGAAGTCGGTATGCAAAGTATACACCTAGTCCTAGACCGAGCGCTGTTCCAATTGTAGCGTGGGTGGACACTTTGCTCCCTGCTCGTTTCAAGATATCTCGCTCATCCTGGCTCAAACTGAACAAGTTAGAATTCAGTGATGACAAGAATCCAAATCTGGCGGAAATATATACTCGTGCTGAAGGTGCTCCTCTGCGAGCTTGCGGAGGTCCGCGCTCTTTCCATTGCGAAAGGCAGCAAGAGACTCAGTCATCGTTGTTCGTGTGCGGGAGAAGCGGGTATCTGACAATTACAATGATATGATCGTATATCTTCGCATGCACATGTGGATTTAAGGTTATTACAACCCAAGTCTTATAAACGATTCCTAACCAGTAATCGTCGTAACTCGAACGTCAAGCTCGAACGTCAGGCTATTGCATCAATCACTAGTATTGGGTGAGTGAGTCAGCACTGAGGAGCGTGAATGACATCCAAAATTTTCATGCTAGAAGTCAGACCCCAGCGTCATGGTCTCGTCTAAAACTTCTCATTCCACTTACCATCCAAGGATTGTTTCCTGGGATCCCCAAAGTCACATCCATGCGCCGTTTCATGATGACTACTAGAAGGCGCTAAAATCCAACGAGCCTAGCTCCGCGCGCTACTAGCTAGCGTCCATCTGATATATGTAATGATGATGTGCCACCCCATTCTGCACTTCATTGATAGGTGATTGAGTTGAGGTCGCTACGAAAGGATCTGTAAGCCTGAATGGTTTCGGTGTGTATTCCGAGCAAACCACGCTCATGCCGATTCTGGCTAAGAGGTTGAGGCGCCGGCGATCGGAGATCTACTCAGTTGATTCGACGATAATTGCCACCGGAGAACACAGAAGTAGATGGTGACAGAGAATACGAGATAGCGGCAAGCCATTTAATCTTCCCACATGCAGTATGGGCTTACAGAACTGGCCAGGCTTGGATCCTTCGCAATAGCTACTGTCATCCCTCGATCTCGAAGTGAGTGTTGACGTCTGCTTTCGCAAATGGTGCTTGGTAATCGGGAACGATTCTTGTGAAAAGGCGCGGCATTCTTCATGAGAGCGTACAGATCCGACGTTGGGCGGCTTAGTGAACGCACATGTGCGCGTCGTGATCACTCCGCAGAGGAGAATCGTTGGTGTCCCGGGCCGCATCTAACCCAATCCCCTCAAAAACCTGGGGTTGTTTTAACCACCCCCTCTCAAGACTCTGGGTTATTTGAACTTGTATAATAAACACTGGGGATTTGTTTTCCAGTTAATTGGGCGATAAGATCGTGAGGGTGGTTGCGGCAGGGAACAATGCTAACGACACTGTCAGCGAATTTTGTCAAGACGTTCTGTGGACTGTGATTATACGGACACCTATGCATATTTCGGATGCGAATTTGTTATTCCGGATATTAATTCATTTTTTTCTTGATTACCAAATTGCGATTGTTCATTTCTGCGTATGCCGAGCTTTTCTTCCGGTTCGCACTACACATTTCCACATCGAAAAGCGTACCATCAAACGGGGTTCTCATGAACTCACGGATTGAACGTTGACTCCGATAAGCTGAAACAATTCGATTCGAAAAATAGCGGATTGTCAAGGTCAGGGTCGATATCCGTCATTTAAGTAGGAACTTCGCGGCCTTTCTGCGGAGGCTTTAAAGTTGGTGCGGATCAAGAACATGCGCGCTACGGCACGAAGGCCGCGCTGCACCCAGAAAACTTGTAGATGCCAGGTTAAATTAATTGGAATATCGTCATGCCTCATTGCAAGCACTTGGTAATCAGGAACCGCAGTGTTGCATTCGACGACGTTCACTGAGCATCGTCTAGAATGTGCACATGTAGCATCGTATAGAGCCTTGCGACGATATTGTTGTTACGACTTCCTAGGTAAGCATTTTGCATACTTTGTAAGAATCTGCGAATAATTGCCCCCCTGCGCATCATTTTGAGGTACAATACCCACCTTGCCACCCCACCGGACCCTCTTGGCTTTCCAGACGACTTATGTGGTTCGACTAGCCAGATCAAGGCTGATGCTCGCCTTTGATTGTCTCCTCAGTGAAATCTCGCCAACGTTTCCTCCTAGCTGGCCAGATTTGGTTGGCGTGCGTCAACCGTGGAGAGGAGTTCTTGGGAATGTCGGATCAATGCACCCCGAACTGGCGTGAAGTACGAATCAATCTCGTCTTGAATTGTTGAATACGTAGAGGATTGTGACAGGGTCTGGGTGTGTGATGCTACGAAAGCTAAATTTACTATCAGCCCAATTCTTCTTATTGGTGATCAGTCACAGAGTAGACGTAGCCACGGCACGTACTGGTAGCAGGCGTATTTGGTGGTGCTTCAACTCCGGTGGACCGACCATGTACCGAGTATAAGGCTCTAACCCGCGATGCTGTCGACAGTGGGGTATTTGGTGGCGCCACAAGCCCGCTTACTTGATCATCACCCATCGACAGGGCTTCCATCATTTCCGATGTGGAAGCACTGATATGTGTTTTCGAGATGGTCTTGGTCGTGGTGGATCCTCGGATGCTCACTAACAGTGATTCATTGGATGCAGCGTCGCTGTTCATATCCAGGGTCTAATCTCGGTCAGGACTGTTCTGCATGCAACATCTGAAGGATATTGTATATCGCACTCACAAATTACAGATGCAGTGCTTTGATGACCCTGGTTGTAAATTCGATCTAATGATTTGCGAATCCTCAGATCTGACCGGAGTGTGATTCAGGGGATAATGGAATATCAAGATTCAAGTGTGGCCGTTCGAGAACATACGTTCAGGCGTGAACAAAATTTATATACTGTACGCTCACTTAGTCGCGGCTATATCGAATTGTGAACAATCTACGCAAATTATGGATGTCGGAGATCCCCATAACCCCGGTCTGACTGATGATGGTGATGATCAATCAATCGCATCTAGGACAATACATGATGTTCAAATCTTATGATATGATTATGAGGCTAAGTAGATTTCGCATACCGGCTTCCCCTTGTAGGTGCAACATTCGCGGACCTGAAATCGATGGCAATATTTACGTTAGCACCCAGCTTACATACTCTGTTTTTGTCCTGGATACATATATTTGGGAACTACCACACATTTTTCCTCCAGCATATCTCAACCACCACTTCCCTTTGATTCACATACCTACGCCTCCAGCAGCAAAACGTATCCCTTATTATGGAACACCAGAGTGTCAACCCCAGGGCAGGCGATGACAGCCCACTCAAGATTATCTCTACTTTGGTAACCAGCCCAACCCCCGAACATTACAAAACTGTAAGTCACACTTTTTTGCTATTGTGTCCAGCAAAATTCTATTACCTGCTGCGTACCACTTGATTTGACATGTACAGGTTTTGCCAAAGAGCACAGATATACCATCTCCCAACGAAGAAGAGCACAAGGTAGACCAGGTCTACAACATACCAACTGCTTGGTAGGTCGATGCTATGCTATTGCTCCAAAATTCACTGATTGAGTAATGTTCTAGCATGGGCGCCCCAAAGCCGTACAATCAACCACGCATGAAGATGCGCCGCCCATATTCCCCTGTCTACATTACGCGAGCTGAACGTGCTAGGATGCTTTCAAATGTCAATGGAGATGTGAGTTGTTGAATGACAGTGGAAAGCACATAGACACTATCCTGTATTGCAATTTATTCTCTCGTACGACACACCTTTGTTATGGAATGCTATCTTCAAGAATCTCATGCACAAGTAAGACAAGCCTATTGGAATATGCAGGTCGTCAAAATAGCTTGTGCACCAAAGACATGACTATGATATGTGGCTCCGATATACATAGAAAAGAAAATGTGTAGGAGAGCTGCCCCGGTGAACGCTTGGATGCCTGGGCTCACGGCAAGTAGCACCGACCGCCAGGAGTCAACCGCTGTGGGGCAACCTGCTCGCTTGACCATGGTACCTCGAATGGTGAGATCAGTACTACATACATGGACTACAGAGTAGTGCGTTGTGGAGGTGGGGAATGGTACTGATCGCGAACTATCGGCTTTATCTCCCGCATGTCCTGTATGGCTATGATAAAATCGGATACCTTGGAAAAATATGTACGTTCTCACCTTGTAGAAAGAAGTTATCCGCGACCCGCCACCTGCGCGGGTCAAGACAAGAATAGGATATAGCGGAGAAAAGCGATGGTTGGCATTGCGCAAGGTGCACTGCACGCGCGTCACCATTTGTCGCGAACTGCCGTCAACCGGGCTCTAAGATTTTGGACGGTGCAGCTCTGAGTTTGCTGTTTTGAAGCGATGCCGTTGCGCCGCCTTGCCGTGGCAGTTCCTCATGGCTTGACCCCAGATTGTCTGCGTATCTTAGTTCGGGCGGGGCTGCGAGCTGTCCATCCGGCATCTACCGTCGTAAATCAGAAGCGGTACAAAGTCTTGGAGTTCGAATATGTTGCAATCCGTCACTTAGACTAAGTGGGGTGTTATCCGAGTATGGGTCTCGTTGGTCCCTGCCAATGCACGAACTAGCACTACTACCCGTTTCTACCGAGAGAGTTTAACACTCATCAAACCCTATTCGCGATAGGGAAACCGACCCCGCCCCTTCGGCGCCGTTCGAGTTCTACTCAGGCCGACACTTCGAGTCGCCTATCATTGCCGAATTCATGGCAATACCAAGATCTCTCATCCCCGCGAGCTTCGTCATGGAATCGATTGGTCTTGCTTGTCGGTTTTTTGTATAAGACCAGACCATGCTGATGGGTGGATTGTGTTGTACGAAAGCTTACAAACACCGTGGGAAAGTCAATTTCCACAGCAGCAACTATGATTGTGCTCGATTACAAAGTCACACTCCTACGATATAGACTAGGTCTATCAGAACGAAATCTATCCTCGAACGGCTTCTCAGACTGGGAAAGTATCTTAGGAATTACGGAAGACGATATGTCGCAAATGCAATTGCGGCTAGGTGACCGTCGCAAAATTCAGCGCATGATCCGTGACTACGGATCATCATGTCCACCCAAGGTAATTTCGGAACGTCGTTTCCAACTTTGAATGACACTTGACTGACTCGAAACAGTGCAATGAAACGGGAAGCTCCTGGTATACAACAAAGCATAAGCGGCCGCATGATCATCAGCAGCAGCCTCGCTCTCATCGCTCAGTCAGACATCCAACCGCGGATGCATCACTGAGCGAAGGCTCTAGACAGGGACGGGGTCTTGGGGAGCCCACAATCGTGGCTACGGAACGCCATAGATCACCGATATGCGACACCACTGTGGGTCAGAGGAGCCCAGGTGAGCACGCGAGAACTCCCGGAATTCATATATTGGTCCAGATTAAAGACTCTGTTGGTCAACAAATCCAGGAAGTCTGTGCTGACCATCACAAAGCTACATATCAGATTATGCGCCCTCAAGACGAATCCGAACCCGTCAGACTAGGACAAGATGAGGTCTGTCACATCAGTGTGTCGCTCTGCATCAACCCAAACCTGTTGGATACAAATACACTTCCCCAGGAACCAGTAACGTTGAAAAATGTCAAGACGTTTCTTCAATGCACGGGAGCGCTGGTATATCTATGGGACCCCAGTGACGCTATGCAACAAGTTCGGTCACTCTACCATCCGGTGGGAGGCACCGTTCCTGCGAATCTAGTCGAAGTCATTGCCATGGCTACTGTGGGAAGCTACTGTGATGGGACCCTTGAAGAAAATGCATCCTCGGACCAATTTCTCCAACAGTTTGTATCTATATTGTCCTTCCCTTTATCGATTGGAACTCTTCCCCGCATGCGACTTTTCGCGTGTTTGGCTATCTGTCGGTTGACCAGCAACATTGAAAGTGCCAGGGTTCTTCTCTGTAAGTACCATGGGCGATGAATGTATCAGACATGAAGAGCTCCAGGTAACATTCGACAGTATGTGCCCTCAATATTGGACGAGAGGCATTCGCGTCTCCGTCATTCAAAGCCGAAACTCCCAAAGTGAAGTTGCGACACTGGTGGAAAGTATTCCAGAGTGTAGTTTTCCTGGAAAGGTATAAACAGAGGCAGACCTGGCCACATTCGCTTGGCACTGACTATGTTGGCACAGCTGGCTCGCAAATAACACACATCAAAACTGCCGTGTCAACCACGAGGATTTGAACGTACGTGCAAGATCCTACTTCCATGCTGCTTAATGCGTTCCTCTGCGATATACTATTCATTGACCACATGCTAATCCACCACAGCTGTACGAGGCTCCGCTTTCACAATCTCACAACGTAACTGAGATCTGCCAAGAACAAATCTTCCAGCTTGGGCGACTATCCACATACGCATCACTCTTCACGATGAGAAACATGGAGGAATCATCGGCCATGGAGGGAAAGCACTACCTGAATGTTCTCACGCAATGGCGGGAATCCCTGCCGCCTCTGATGCAACTCAGTCATATCTGTCTTGACGACCCCACGGTTTCCGACTTCCAAACCAAACACATGCTCCTACAGTTCCACATACTTTTCCTCAGTTTGGTCATTGAGCCGTACAGGAAGTGCATGCGTGTTCTGGGGAAGGTTCGCATGGGAAACATCCCGATCGGTACTGCAGACCTGGAGGCTCTCACTAGCGTTGAGGACTATTGTGTGGTTTCTGCAAGACAGTCCGCACGAGTGGCTTCCCTTGTGCAGTTCGACAACTTGGTGCACGCACACTCATGGACTTTGCTGTGAGTTGCTTGCTAATTATCACCCAACCTTGCTGTCGCTGACAACTTATCGCTGTCTAGGTATGCCTGCTACGTCGGATGCATTATTCTGCTTCATAGCGCCATGCAAATGCTTTTACAGGGCAACAGAGACGCGGTCGGTCTGGAACTGGCTCATGCTTCTTCGCACTTGGGCATACTCTCGGTTTGCAGCTACAAGAACGAGGTAGCGAGGAGAATGTACGGTAGGTTACAGGTGATATTCAACGACGCGAAGGATCTTTTGGCGTTACCTACAAACATCGACTACATGCAGGTCACCACATGGGATGAGACGATTGCTAGTCCTAATGAGATGGTGATGAAAGTTGCCGTGGAATGTCAAGAGGCTCTAACAGAACCTACACTTAGCTAGAAGAAGTATAATAGCGATGTATGTCTTCGTTATTAAGATGAACTAAAGAGTCATGCGGTGTGTACATATTTCCATTACATCTTTGCATAGAAAACTCGGCGTGAATAGATATTAGAACAGGTCTCTCTGTATCGTACCTAGACACTAATACTTATCTTATGTATCTTCATGTCAATTGCTCAGTAATAGCTTTTTCTTAGGCCAATAGGGTACTGCTGCAGCGTCCAAAGAATATATATAATCCATAGTGAGTTGTAATGAGTATGACTATTCATTTTCTTTATGTTGAAGGCAGAAATCACTGGAATGGCAAATTGTAAAATTCTGCGGCGACGTCGTCATGGCGCATCGAGCGAGATTAGTTATGAAACGAGATTTTCGATTTGGTGGTCAGATGTACGAGCCACCAACAGGACCCATTACTGCATTATCCAATGCCGGTAACTTGGTCACAGATGACCGGAACCCCGGAGCATGGGGGCGGATCGGCACTCGTTCCCTCGGCCGCACAGCCCCTGAGCAAGCGCCAAAGCGCCACCGATGCGTACTTCTGCGGCTGAGCGCCCGCTATCATCCTAAAGTCTCGCAGTTCCCACAGTTCTTTTCTTGACGGCGCTCTTTTCCCAAACGACTATCCTATTGACCGTCATGTCCGGTATAAATTTGCCATCCTCTCTCACACTCCACGACATTTCTGGCTACCGTGATGAGAGCTTTCATGCTGAGTCTCATGACACTATTGCGACGACCCTACCGGAAAACGTTGGAAGGAAAGACAATGAGCCGGCACCACCGCCAGATGGAGGCACTCAAGCGTGGCTTCAGGTACTCGGATCCTGGATGCTGTTCTTGTTAGTCGCTCGGACAAAATGAGGCTCTCGGTATGATGAAGTGCTAATTTGGGTACTTTTAGTAACACCTGGGGAATTCTGAATACGTAGGTGATTAACGACGTTCAACTTGCGTTGTCAGATGCTGATTTTCCTGCAGATTTGGGATTTTCCAGACGTATTATGAATCGGGCGCATTATTCCGAACATCCTCGTCGAACATTTCCTGGATTGGTTCTATTCAAGCTCTCGCCTTGCTCGCAACCGGCGCTTTTGTAGGGCCCATATATGACCGTGGTGGCTACCGATGGCTCCTTATCGTTGGAACTGTCGGTGTTGTACTTGGACATATGCTACTTTCTTTAGCCAAAACGTACTGGGAGGCGCTTCTAACACAAGGCTTGATGGTTGGAATTGGCGGTGGTTGTCTCTACGTCCCAGCTGTTGCTATCATGCCGACTTACTTTACGTCTAAACTTGGTCTAACCCTTGGCATTGCGGCATCTGGAAGCTCGACAGGCGGCATCATATACCCGATCATGTTCTACAAGTTGATTGACCGTGTCGGGTTCGCATGGACTGTCCGCATATTGAGCTTCACTGCGTTGATTACGCTAATCATCCCGTTTTCTGTCATGAGAATGCGCGTTAAACCAGCCAAAGTGCGGTCTCTCATTGACTGGACGGCTTTTCAAGATGGACCTTATATGACGTTTGTGGTTGGGTGTCTAATTGGCTACATGAGTAGTTACATTGCGTTCTTCTACACCTCGTTCTTTGGGCAAGCTTCCGGTATCACAGACACGAGTTTGGCGTTCTATCTTGTTCCTATATTGAATGTTGGATCCATGTTTGGTCGAACTATGCCCAATTGGTTGTCCGACAAGATTGGTCCTCTGAATGTCATCGCGCCGAGTAAGTCAATGTTTCTCCGCCCATTCAACTTCAATTATCTAATATCTTGTAGGTGCTTTAGGTGTTGGCGTAATATTGTTTTGCAATATTGCTGTGAACGACGTTGTTGGCATCGTAGTAACTACCTTGCTACTGGGCTTTTTTACTGGTGTCTTCGTCGCTCTCCCCCCAGCAATTTATGTCTCTCTTACCCAAGACAAGTCCAAGATTGGTACACGCATCGGCATGGGGCTGGCATTAGCCGGTCTAGGTGTACTCGCTGCTGGACCTGGCGGTGGTGCAATCTTGGGCGGGACACGCGGGAGCGAGAATTTCGAGGGTCTCTGGATCTTCGGAGGCACGGCAGCCATGAGCGCCGGCGCTATTCTTATTGGGCTTAGAATCTGGAAGGGAGGGCTAAGCCTTGGAGCGAAGGTCTGAGGTGAAACCTAGCGTTATGACTCGGCAGTGAATGATCCTGATATTGCATGGGCGTATCAGATCATCGCAATTATATCGGGACGGATCTTGAACAAATTCGCAATTATAGGTTACACCTAACTCAAAGTTCAAGATTGATAATACGTTATCCACCAACGTCCATAGTGCGCCGGAGCAGGGGTAGGGAAGTTACGTCTTAACACCCAACGGCTTGGTACACAAAATCATGTGAACTCAAAACATTGCAAGCTTAAAGCAGTGCTAAACACCTTTATTATGGCGGTTACGAATCTCGGGATATTTTCCAATACATGGATGGCGACGTCAACAACTAAAAGCAATCGCCGTAAAAGCGACACGACATCCGAAGATTACTTTTTGGGCCGAAGTCTCTAGAAATGATTCCGACCCACCGTATACGGGCAGAGTCATTGAAACTTCCGGGCGAGACACGACCTCAGATTTGTGCAGTCATCGTTCTAAACATGGGTGGGGTTCGGCGCCCGGAGCCCGAGCTCACGTGTGGCCATGAAGATACTGCGCGAATGCTCTTCCACAAAACAATGGACGGTTGGCCTCGATAAATTTGAATTACGCTTCAGAATATTTCCCTGATCTTTAATTCGAAGAAGAATCAGCGGACACCATCAACAATGACCAGTTGGGTACTCTTTCCTCGCCTGCACCTTGCTGAAATCGAGGACCAGTCTTGGTGTCCTTCATGGCTCCGTGAGCACACTCACAGGGCGCTGGCACGCATGTGGCAAACTTCCAACAGCAAGAATGGCTCACCAGCAGCACAAGCATGTGAGCTGCTTCTCCAGGTGCTTGGCGGAGTTGACCAGGCGGCTCAATTTACCTTCGTCGATGCCTGCGCAGGTGCTGGCGGCCCAACGCCTTTGCTGGAGGCAAAGATGAACGAAAAGTTGACTTCGAATGGCTTCAAGCCCGTTGATTTCGTTCTGACTGATCTGTGGCCGGACATCAAGGCTTGGGAAAAGATTTCGAAGTCCAGCGAGCAAATTTCCTATATACAAGAGCCGATAGATGCCACGAAACCACGGCGACTAGCAAAAAAGGGAACCAAGGAATGCCGAATCTTTAATTTGTGTTTTCATCATTTCAAAGATGACGCTGCGGAAAAAGTGCTTTCAAGTGCAGTGCAGAGCACTGATGCATTCGTGTGAGTCAGCATAGCTCCTGCCTTTCGCCGAACAGCGCTTACACCTTCCCAGGATCTTTGAGATGACTCACCGAACCATTCCCTCTCTCCTCAACACTACTATCGTCATTCTTTCCGTTTTCATTACTACGCTCTATGACTTTTACTGGTCTCCAATACACCTTCTGTTCACCTACCTCATTCCCATCGCTCCCTTGTGTAAGTTCGACCCCCTTAGATTTAGATTATGAAACACTACTAACGGTATACGTCATTTTATAGTTTATGCGGTCGATGGGTATGTATCATGCACACGAGGTAGGACCGCTGAGGAAACGTGGGCGCTTTTGCGTCGCCAGCGGGGTCTAGACCTCAGTGAATGGGAGCTCAAGAGTGGGGAACAAACGGCACTTTTGCCATTTGGAAAATTGTACTGGTATTCGGGGGTTAGGAAGACGAGCGGAAGATAGTATTCGAACAAAGATACTGATACGAGTGGACTGCTGGGCGAAGTTTAGGGAAGGTGAACCTCCATTCCGTTGCGCTTCACGAACCACTAAGATCTCAGACTCGTGCGTCCTTCGCTAGCTTCAATACGATAATTTCCGCCATTATGGCGGGGTGGCCCATCTGAAGTGTTTTATTGAACTCGAATATCTGCTTTAGTGCGATCATGTCATGCGACCTGGACAAAATCTTTCAGAAATCGCCACCTTCCTCGATCCGCCCAACCTTTTTCCTTCCAATTGTTCATATCTTTCGGGAAAAATTCCATCACATCCAGCAAAGTTACATCATGTGCGATAACAACCAGCACGTCATCCCTACTATCAAAGGCCTTCAGCTTTTCGATCGTCTCCTGCGCTTTACACAAATCCTCCTGCATAGCAGGCACAAGCCCGTAAAATGCGTGGCTCCCATCTTGCTGGATTTTCCCTAGACCAGCCCAATCCCGATTCTCAGATGCCGGTGTATTACCCATCATGCTCGCCGAGACGCTCTCTGGCAACGGTCTGAGCAGGCTAGGTCGTAGCTGCGCAATATTATGACACACGTCGCCGCCCATTAACACATAAGAGTCCTCAGTTGTTCGGCAAAGTGCGCTGAGATGATGCTTGGTGTGTCCCGGGGTTTCCAAGAGCCAGAATGAGCCATCCGAGAAGAAATCGATAGCTCGGAAACCACCAATGAATATGCTTTCGGTAAAGTCAATTTCGCGTACATGGCGCCCTTGAAATGCATTGTCCAGAACTGAAGATTGCGGGTTTGTGGGAAACCCGGGCGTGTAGGCCTTCTTGAAGCCGGGTCCGACGACGAGCTCCGTGGTCGGTGGGAACGTGGACGGATCGCCTGTATGATCGACGTGTGCGTGGGACCATACAATTGAATTGATACTCGTAAGATCAATATCGTGATTGGTGAGGACGGCATCTACTTGTTGACTTTCTTTGATGTTGATAAGCTCATTGTTGCCTAAAAATGGCTTCAATACAGGCGGCGCTTTGGTTGCAACATCTTCCATGAAACCCAGGTCGAAAATAACCTTTTGGTCGCGATTTTGAGATTCTACCAAGAAACTGTATCCGGCTAAGTCGAGATGGTCGTGATCGGATGGAGCGGGCGCTACGAGCAATGCAGCTCGCATGGATGATTTTGCAGCATTGATCACGGAGACTCTGACAGACTGGCCTTGGTATGGTGGGAATTGAATTTTAGTGGGCATCATAGTTGATCTTTAGCAGCCTCGGCGAATTCTAGCTAGTCGTTGAATGTGTCGAACAGGTCCAGCAGACAATACATGGACAAGCGTATGGGAAAATACATCGCATGCGAAATTGGTGACTCTGAGATCTATCGAGACATGCTCCACGGCTCCGAAAAGCCGAGTATATGACGGAGGCCGGGCGCCGGCCCAGAGTTCCACATCGCGATATGTTGGTGAGCCACACTGCGAGTGAAGCCCTCATTCAAATGTCGAGGTTGGCGTCGCAACAAAAATAATTGATAATCAATCAAAACATACTCCCCAATCAGCATCTACATCGATTCAAAATGTCTTCTATCCAAGCTCTCCGCGAGAACATTACCAAGAATGCGGCCTTGATCGAGCAATGGCTTGCTAAAAAAAATGCGAAAGCAGTGTCATTTGAACAAGATGCAGAAGAAGAGTTTCCCTCCACCGCCGGAGAAGCTGAGATAGAAGCTGCACGATTGGCCGTCATAGAAGACACACAAAAGCTCCATGACTTGATCCTTGGCCCTGGAGAAGTACTTCGGCGCATATGCTGGGGTGTAAGTTTGACTCATGTTTATATGCGCAACGGTACCTAAAATTACCTGTTCCAGTCAATCGACAACTCTGTGCAGCAATGCATTTATCATTTCAAGCTTCTTCAGGCTATACCGTTGGATGGGGGCGCTGCATACAAGGATATTTCAGCCAAGGTCGGCTTATCCGAGCCCCAAGTCAAAGCGATAGTGCGTCAATCCGCCACCAACCGCATTCTGCGCGAGAAGAATCCCGAACACGTTGTACACACTGCATCATCGGCTTTACTCCTACGCAACAGAGTCATGATGGATTGGTACGGACATTGCGTTGAAGAAATGTTTCCCGCTGGCGCAAAATTGGCTGAAGCACTAGAAAAGTACCAGGGAACTTCCGCCGCCGAGAATAGCGCCTTTGGGCTTGCGTTTAATACCAAAGATCCAATTTACAAGTTTCTTGAACAGCATCCGGATCGGCAAGCTCGATTTTTCGGCGCCATGGAGGGTGTGGGGAAGGACTATGGGCATAGTCTTGAGCACATTGTCAACGGGTATCCATGGCGGGAACTTAAAGAGGCCACAGTTGTGGACGTAAGTGATATTTTGGACATTGCTTTGACGAATAATCAACTGATTCTCTTGTAGGTGGGCGGCTCTTCCGGCTTCATGAGTGTAGCTCTAGCAAAAGCACATCCAAATCTGGCCAAGCTTGTAGTTCAAGACTACAAGCACACAGTCGAGCAGGGTGCAACTCAGCTACCCCCGGAACTCTCCAATCGCGTCAGCTTCATGCCGCACAACTTTTTCGAGCCGCAGCCAGTGGCAAACGCGGACGTATACATTATGCGCCACATCTGTCATAACTGGTCGATCGAGAATTGCGCTAAGATCATTCAACAGATCGTGCCAGCCTTGAAGCCTGATAGCAAAATATTGTTGGTGGAAGTCGTTGTTATGCCGTCCAACCACGAAGAGTCTATTATTGCCGAGCGTTACATGAGGTATGTGTACGAAAGCAACGCTTATCAGCCCCTTGGAAAACTATTGCATGCTGAATCATAGTCCAGAAACGTTGATGTTACCATGCTTCAAATGTTGAACACGCAGGAGCGAAGTGAGTCTGAGTGGCGTGAAGTTGTTCGTGCGGCAGATTCGCATTTGGAGCTCACGCGTTTCTTTAAACCCAAGGGCAGCTGGGACTCAATTATTGAGATATCTTTGAAAAAGGTTGCGCGGTAAGAATTTACTGTTGTGAAATAGCAGTTCATCCCGTCGTAGGTGCTCTCTCAGTCAAAGGGGCGTGAATGAGGAAGGCGCATCGGTAGGCCGACCTAGCGAGTGTGAGTCCAAGGTTGTAGAGTACTCACGCACAATGGTGGCGTCTCTTAGTCAGGGATAAATCTATAGAATTGTTGATTTCTATGAGTTCTATTCCTATTTCAAAGCTGCTAAGTGAGATATATTTAGTTTGCTCTCCAATATTCATCGCACTGCCAAAATAGGGCATAACTAGCAAACTATTACAAAAAGTTAATTTCGGTGGTACGAGCAGAGCAAGCCACATGCTAGAAGCTACTGCTTGTATGCTGAAGACTTTATATTACTACGTTATTTGGATATATTGTGATGAACGTATGAAAAGCTAGTGAGGGTGGCGGCTCGCTTGTAGTGGAGGCTCAACTGTGAACTACGTTACTCCGAAATATACTGTGATACTTGATAACCCTTATCATGATATGAGATGAAACGGAAGCTCTTGGCCAGAAACAAGGAAGTCTGATAATGGGCTCAGACCATTCTGTTCTTCTTGGTTGCGAGATTCTTCATTGGTCTTTCGTCGCTTCCGCCCATTCGATGACCCTGAAGCAGGCGTTGGTAAATATGATGGCAGTTCTGAGGGGTCAGGTATCGAATGGGATGTATTCAGCATCTGGGCTAATATATCCGGGGTGTCCGAGCTATGCCCGTCGGCTGTATTTGCCGCACTAAACGGCAAAGCGGGCACGGGCACCGATGACATGGTCATCCAGTTATCCCATGACAGTGATGCACTCGGTGACAGTATGGAAGGGAGATTGGGAAGCTGGCCATGTGTAGGTCCCACGGGAGCGTTCGATACATCCATCATGTCAGGCTGGAATGGCGACATATGAGATATATGAGATGCCATTTGTTGGGGGATCATCTCTGCTATTGGTATAGATGGAAGTCCTGGGTCAGTTTGGTGATGTTGCGCTTTCTTAAGTACGTCCATCAAAACAAGCAATTGCTCGAACAGCCAGGAAACCTTTCGATGATTACATTGCATTCGGCTAGTACGAATGCTGTAACAAGCCGAGACTCTCCGCAAAAGGTCAAGGTCGGTGTTATTCTGGGTGGCCTCCTTCTCGTCGATATTCTGGAATAGGCCTTTCAGAAGGATGAAGAACGATGGTACCGAGAAAGAGTCAAATAAGCTCCCAAAGGGAATCGTTCCAGTCTCGACGGCGGATAGACTTTTCTTCCGCGGGGAAGCGATTGGTGCGTCAGACGTCGAAGACTTGAAGGCTTCTGTAATCGCCTGATCTTGCTCACCATGTGCAATTAAGAGCAACAAGCAGCTAGCTCTTGCATCCTGTCGAACTCGAATCTCATGGTCTTGTTTCGTGCTACTCTGGAGAGCAATAATCCGGGTAGCCAGAAATTCTAGCATTAACATAGCTTGGCGGGGTGGAAATGGGGCCTCATAATCAAAAATGCCGACTGCTGTCGCGTACTCGTTTAGCTGTTGCTCGATTGACTGATCTGCAGTATGTGATTTGCTGCTCAAACTTGATTTGCGACGGCTTGTGGCGTGTGTCCAACGGTATAAATCATCTTGAATCATGGAGAGTCGGATGCGGTCGGAATAAGGAGTTTGACGCCCCACAGCCGCTCTCAGCTGTGAGGCAATGTTGGAGTCATGGGTAGGGAGCCATGAAACAGCTCCTTGTGTGATGCATAAACTCCTATCCTGAACGTATAGAGATTGGAACACTTTGGCGCGCTCCGTGTTTTCTTCTGCATTTGTGTCGGCCGGCGACATCTGGACGTGGTGGAGACCCATAGTTCTTGCAAGCATGCAAGCATGTGTAAAAGTTAAATCTGCCCATCCGGGAGAATCGAATTGTTGCATCGCAACACTCTGGAATTGAATAAGTACTACTAGCGAAGAACAAGTCTAGGAACTAACATACCAAAAGTATCAAAGTTTGAACATTGATGAGCCTAGGGGTGTTCAGGAGTGAAGGGCTCACTAGCGCCACGCGGCTCGGGAGAAAGGAACGTGCAAAGTCGAAAAACAGTGCATCCTTTGCCTGCGCCGAGAGTTCCATGCCTAAAACAAGAAGCGCGATTGCTTTGAAGCATGTCGCCCATGCGTCGTCTCCTGGCTTTGGTGGCTGTGAGTAGATGCGCTCAAGGTTAGCTAGAAGATTGCTTTTCGAGAATATGTCGGTCTTAATATCAAGATGTTGCAGAAAATGGCCAACTGCGGTAACCGCTTGTTGCTTTGGAACGAGATGAACATGAGGCTGAACAACGTGGAACGGGAAAGGTTCAGACACCCCAGCAGCTTCACATAAGCTGTGAAGCAACTCCTGCATGTGGGTACCAGATATAATCGCTTTATTTTCACTCGAGAAGTGCGTGCAGAATTGTTTGCAGAGCACAAAGAGTGACGAGGGTCCGTGGTAGCGGTCGGCCATATCGTTTTTGTTTCGGAATACGTGCAATTCGCAATCATTGTCGACTTCTGATGGACCTTCTACATCGCCCGTTTCGTCATCAGAGTGATTCTGCTGTATCGCGCTTTGGGACGGCGAGGCACTGTTCTCCCTGTCCGTCCCACGAACTGTGGCGGCGGCAAGACGGGCGATACTTGTCTCCATATTACCCAAGCGACCCTGGAGTAGGTCGAAATTATCACATCTGAATCAACTCAGCACCAACCAGTAACAAGAAAGTTTGACTACATAACTCACAGCAGCTTGAGATGGTTCACCCTCTTGGCAGGGTTTTGGTAGACACAGGTAGCGCCTCCATCTCGTTCGCAATTATTACATTCAGGACGCTCTCGACCACAACGAATTTTGCGTTCTCTGCAGCGAGTGCACGCCAAATCCGGGGCAGAATACTCGGAACGGCTCTTCGTTCCAGTCAGCTACGCCGCAATATTGCGCAACAAGGATTTGTACCTGCTGGTTAATGCCAGCCATTTTGATATTTGGTGTCGACGAATATGTTGAGATATAGGCCTGGTCATTCAACAATTCAAATGGTGTTCTCGAGAATGAATTGGGCAGTAGTCCTACTAGATCACTGGTACTACGAGCTTGTGGCTTATTTGAGGCCATGGCGATCGATGGGGCTCGGCAAACACATGTACATCCTTCGCTCGCTAATCCTCTGATTGGTGTGTGAAATGGGCAGTATTAGGCTAAATGCAACAGATAGACCGGTGTCAGTCTAGGCACTATTACATTCCGTTTATCTATCTTGCTATACTAAACGATGGCCTCAATACACAATTGCAAATAATAGTTAATATAGAAAAAAAAGGATATAAACAACCTGCTGTGTAACAAACACAATTTTACTCTGTTTTCTAATGTCTTGTAGTAAGGTCGTGTATCTTTTTTACAATTTTTGTATAATACTTTATAGACTACAGAAACTATTAATGTCTTCTAGAGAACTATAGAGACACAATATAGCGATTTTGCAAGATTTTATAGACATTCCTAATTTTATAAGTAAGAGTATAATCTCTGGGTATGAATAGAAACATATAAAGCTAACGTTTCAATTTTCAGAGACCTACGCACGTTTATAAATCAAGGAATGAGTTTCTATAGTTAATATAATCGTACATAATAGAGTCTGTATTATGAAGTTTATTTAATGCAATTTAAATGACTCTAAACTGAAGATTACGACAGTAGACATTGGGATGAGCGCACGCAAACTAGTTGGATGACACGCAGCGAACGAGCTATCGCTTCGACAACTTGCCGAAGGCAGCTAAAGCTTACGATCACGTAGACTGATTTGCTGTCAGTCGAATAAGGCAACCAGCCACAAAACGGGGATACGCTCTGATCCTCCAAGTACGTAAGATAAGCACACTAAGCTTTGGTCCTTCTATAAGCATGTCAGATAAGCAAAAGACTGCCCTCCAATAGCACGCTTCACTCCAGATACAAGGACTGTGAAAGGCATCTCTTTGCGAAGTCCGAGACATCAGCTACGCTCGGGGGCAGCTACAGAGGCCGCCCGTCAGAACCGTAGCATATTAGTTGCAGACGGTGACTAGGATCCAGCTCGTGTTCGTTACCCTGATGAACTTGCGTTTGGTAAGCCCTGTAGAGCACTAGTCCTCATGGGACTATATACTACAAGGAGGTCTTTGGCGTACATTTCATTATTGGCACCTTGATGAGACAGATCAAGAAGTAGTCAGATTATTAAGTGAACAAAAGTTATTCGCTATATATTGATCTTTTGATGAACCTAATTCTATAGTAATGAATACAACAAGTAGCCTGGTATGATACTTTCACAACATAGCTACGGAGAAAAGTCTACTACTAGAAGTAACCGAGATGAATTGGTGGCCAAGGCGATCCGAGAGATCTGTCAAGCATACACTTTCGCTTGGCATCTGCTCGTTCACAGGGGTGAATCCATGTATACACAGGCGGGGGCGCATAGGATCCGAGATCTGCGGGCTAATCAAAACAACGTGGCGAGCCGCAATTAGTGTGTAAACCTCGTTCATGCCTGTTCCTTGTCCTCTTTTCATGATTGGCAGTGTACGAAGGGCCTCGGTATCAATGGTACGTACGAAAGGCGTAGAAAACCCAGGCACGTGGGTCCGGCTCACCGGTGTTTTTGTTGGTAAATACGCATCTAGACCCTTGAGCCCCAGGCTAGGAGAAGAAGACGTCGAAGCGAGCCTGCAACCGCCGATAAGCTATCGCCCATCTTCATTCAGTACCACAATTATGAAACGAGAGATCAAGTGTAATAAACCCTGTCAAGTCGGGGTTCGGGGAGCAAGGACTGGGCGTTCGGGTTGACAATGCCGACTTCCGAGCAATCACTCCTGGCAGCGCACAGAATGTCCCTCTCGAACAGGTCGAACAAACATTCAATGCGAATTTATTATTCTCAATACAAATGCTGTACCTTTGATACGACTGGAATGACTTCAATACGATTGTAGTATCCTAGATACGAATGTAGTTAGAAAAAGTCGAGTGAGCTCGGTTATCTTGCCATTAATGATTGTGTGATATGCATTAGATCACGCAGATGCTGACTTTTGCCTTTATTTGTCTATCTCAAGGAGTAAGCATACCACCCCAAAGGCCCCAAGCCTGAGCCAAATGCTGACAAGCTTCGGCCGTTGAAAACTGACATGGGAGGTGCGCACGCCGTGCTCGGCGTTATCGATCCCTATGGCCCAACATGAACGTCAATTTCACATTGGTCTTTGGGAACTGAACAGAGCTCTTCTGGAAACTACCGACACGAAATGGGCAATCTTCGAATATGAATGTTTTTGGTCACGAAGAAGCTTGGGGTCAATACAATGGTGGGGATATTTCCTGGTGATTCACAAGCATGCAGCTAGCCAGTATTACGAGCAACAAGGAATTGCACGCCATCCGTCTTGCTCACTAAAGATCTACGAGTTACGCACGTATACCGATGATCGAACCACGATCTAATCGAGCGCGATAGGATTCCAGAATCATACGAGATCGCTATGTCTTACTACAATAGGAAAATAGGCAGACCTAAGGCATTCATTCATTATCACACGCTCGTATATCGTACTAAACGAGTGCGACACTAGTATGTGTATTGACATCTATTGCAGTGAATCGTTTATTCCTGCGGACCAAACTGTGCGGCTGAACAATCCTCACCGTTTTGATAAACTTTCCATGACGAGACGGGCCGCTTAATGCAGCCATGTCTGACACGAAGTTTCGAAACTAGTCTGACACGAGGAATGCGACCGGCCCGCGAAGCTTGTGGGTTGTCCTTCGAGAACGGGGGCCGGAACCCGAAATCAGCCCCTAATGGAAGAGCTGAGATAATCGAGATAAGGGTGACTTACCCCGAACCCAACCCCAACGCCCCCATCTTTTCCCCGTGGAGTTACGAGTATGCTTGTGTCAGCTGGATTCAACGCCTCATCGACGCCACGTGCGGTTATGCGCGTCCCTGCAGCCATCACACACGGATTTCACGAACAGTCGTTGCTCATTTCCAAAAGCAACATAAAAACCAGTATCCTGGTTACACATTGCATGATGCACTCCCCGGTTCCACTTTACATTCATTTTGACCTCTCAGGTTCAAGGCAGGATGTGGAGCTCAAAGTACACCTCTTTGGTTGCTCTTCTCAACTACGCCCCTCTCACGCTCGCTGCTCCTCGCTCTGCTCCGACAAATGCGACCGTCAGCCCCGACTATGTGATTGTCGGAGGAGGTCCCGCAGGCTTCGTCCTAGCAGAACAACTTTCTAAAGATCCGAAGGTCACCGTTGTCCTTCTCGAAGCTGGTCCCGACACTGCCGGAGTCGAGGCCATAGATGTTCCCGGCTATGCCCCGAGTCTCTTGCAGACTCCATACACATGGAACTACACGTGTGAGCCGGACCCAAATCTAGAGGGCGCTACGACAATGCTTCATCAAGGCCGAGGCTTTGGCGGTGGAGCTGCGGTCAACTATCTGGGTCATTGCCGTGGTGCACCGTCGGTCTTTGATGATTGGGCTAAGATCAGCGGCGATGATGGTCTACGGTGGGAAAACTTTCAGAACGACTTCAAGGCAACAGTGCATTACAAGGAGACGCCCCTGAACTACGATCCTCATGTCAACAAATCTGCCTACGGTGATGGACCCCTCGAACTCACTTCTCCGAACGAAGATCTTGGGTTCGTCATGAACCTCATGAAATCATGGGCCAACGTTCTCAAGTTGCCATGGGTCGATTTGAATGACGGTACTGGTCTTGGTATCTCATCTAACACGAATGTCATTCGCGCAAACAATCGCACTCGAGATTATGCGCCGCAGGCATACGGATGGCAACTCGCTGGGCGGTCCAATGCACAGCAGCTCTATAACGCCGAGGTGACGAAGATCGGATTCAAAGGCAAGCGCGCTGTGTCGGTGACTTATGTTGATCCGACCACCGACGTGGTCACCACTCTCACCCCGAAGGAGATCATCATCGCTGCCGGCGCTCTGAATAGCCCCAAGGTAGATTGAGCCAATGATATGGTGAGAAATATTGCTGATCTTCTTACCCTAGCTGCTCATGTTGTCCGGCGTAGGACCGGCCGATCATCTCAAGTCACACAATATTCCTGTTGTTGCCGACATCCCACAGATCGGAAAGAACCTGTAAGTCAATCTTACATCCGAAATCTCCGATTTGTTTTCCTCATGCCCGAACGCTCAGGCAATGCTAATGTGTGTCTAGATATGATCACCACTTCGCCTTCATGGAATTCGAAGTAACCTCGGACCTGGAAACGCTCTGGCAATATACGCAAAACGCCAGCTTCAAAGCTTCCGCCGAAGATGAGTATCGCACCAACAGCAGCGGCCCATTAGGTGTCCCCAACGGCTCTGCCTTTGCACTATCACGTATCCCCGACGAAGTCTTCGACGGCATCAATGCCACCTACCACACTTCTCTCCCTGCCGACAGGGCGCACTTGATATTTCAGTACTCCAGCTCCACTCTACAAGGCACGACACCCAACGTGAGCATTATCTCACCGTTTGTGGCTGGCGCACAGCCTGAGGCGCCTGGATACGTGGAGCTCAAGTCGAGCGATTACCGAGATCAGCCAGTGATTTACACGAATTACTACGGCTCGCCTGGTATGCCATCTCGCTCCGTGTGCCTTTCTCCTCCTATTTCTGAGAATTCGCTGACATTAAACGTTGCGCGAAAAACAAAAAGGTGACAAAGCAACAATCCTTTACGGCTACAAACAGCTCCGCAAAATCGTCTCCGACCCAGAAATCTCCCCCGTGCTGATCCGCGAGATCTACCCCGGCACCAACGTCACCTCAGATGACGACCTTTGGCACGCCATAACACAGGGATCATCGACGTTCCATCACCCTGTAAGTAGATGCAAACATTTTGTCCCTAGACCCTGGTTTTCCATATCCCTCGCTACGCATGAGGGTGGCGCACCCTGGTGACAACACACCTCGCTAATGGCATTTCTGCAGCTCGGTACCGTGGCCCTGGGTACGGTTGTAGAAGGTAAAACGTGGAGGGTGAAAGGCTTGAAGGGCATTAGGGTCGTGGACAGCTCGACGCTTCCGAACATGCCTACTTGTCATATTATGGCGACGGTGTACGCATATGCGTATCATGCGGCGCAGCTCATCAAGAAGCAAGATCGCTAGGTTGGAGATCAGTGTAGTGTTTGTAGTGTGAGGGTTGCTAAGCCCGGTAGTCAATCAACGCATTTCTGCTTGGTATTTGAACATCACACGATAATACTGCCTTTGAGCTCCAGGCGGAACAACCCATGTTCCGTGGTTATAACGAGTCTGATAGATGTGTATGTTTATGAACTGTAAGCAAATTTGTGACTATCATATCACTCGTGGAAATTGAGGGACCGCTGTCCCGTAGTTGTCGCACGTCAACTGTTCGATTTCTGGAATCCGCGTACTTGACGATGCGGGAGGATACTATTCCGTGTCCAATAATTGGCTGCGATAAATTTTGAAGCGCAATTAGACAAAGTGTATCCTGTTGAAAATTCGACAATGACGGGTACACGGTTGTTCTTAACACCAAGTAGCTAGGTAATAAGCGCATTTGAGGTAGTGACGTATACAACGTCCTAATAATCTAGTAGAGATGTACAGATTTGTAACATTAAGATTAAGAACTATAGTACAGTTATTGCTCTCTAATATATATAAAAAAAGAGCAGAGTTTTTATAAGGCTTTCTACTTCTATTAACCTTGTTCTACTTACCTAACCCTACCTGCCTTGCTATGGCACCCGTTATAGCACCCACTCTGACACCCACGCCGCGCGACGAACCCTTCAAAATCAACGCAGTAGCTAGGTAGAGTGAGGGGTGATTCTCAACGTCGACAATCTACCTATTTACTCAGTGTTCAATTACATCACAACTACTCTCTATTCTTGTAGGATGATTTTGTATATTTGTTTTCTTTATGGCTAAGCAGCTAAGAGAGGTGGCATACTCGTTATCATCCCGTTGCCATAGTAAAATCCGTGGATGGTTGACCTTGAGACGGAACACCAACTAGTCTTTTCGCTCGATTTCCTATCTCGAAACAACTTTACACTGAAACTTCGACTTCACGAAGAATACATTTTCAGTTTCCCATTCACCGCCTTGAAGCTCAAAGCTGAATTGCCGGTACAGTTGCGGAATCAATTTTGTCAATTCCAACAAACTGATGTTCTTGCCTATGCAAGTGCGCGAGCCAGCGCCAAACTACCCAACAAATAAAGGATAACGTGGTCAGCGAAAGTCACGTTGTCAGGGGGAACTATTGCAACTCACAGTGAATAAGTTTCTTTCCATGGAGGCAACGTCATCCTTGGGCCCAAGCCATCGCTCCGGACGGAAGACGTCTACATCGGAACCGAAGACGGCCTCGTTGCGATGTAGGACCCATGCGTTCATGCCTACGACCGTCTTTGTAACTCCGTTAGCAAGATCGTTCAGGCAAGTTAAGAATAGTGGTTTCATCATCGTAGTCACTTACTCCCTCAGGAAAAAAGGTGCCAGCAATCTCAGCGCCACCTGAAGGTACCACTCTAGGTAATGGAAATCCCACACCAGGATGGACTCTGAAAGTCTCCTTGATAACAGCCTGTAGATAGGGCATTTGCTGTGCCTCGGAAAACGTGACTGGGTTCGATAGCTTGCCTTGCGAAGCGAAGTCATCAATCTCGTCATACAGTTTTCGAGCACTGTTAGGGGAGCGACACAGGTAGTAGATGGCAGCACTCAACGTAAGACTCGTGGTATCGGAGCCAGCAGCTATGTTCACATTGATGGTGTTGAAGACGTCAGCATCGTCAATCTTACCTTGGGCGTGCAAATTGAGGAGTTTCTGGATGAAGTCGCTGCGGACCTCGGTCTTGTCCAGCCCCTCCAACGACGAGTTTTGGCGCTGGCGCTCCGCAAGGCGAGCCTTGACGTAATCATTGATGTCTTCAAAAGCGCTACGATGGCCTAGAGTGTGGTTGACAAGTCCCAGCCAGGCGTGTAGCTCGTTGAAGAGACACATTCGAGAGCTGTACGCCAGATTCTGATGAATGGTGTCCAGGATACCTAGGATGTCCCCGCCCGTGCGCATCATGCCAAAGGGACGACCGACCTACAGAGAGAAAAAAAGAAATACCAGTCATTATTTGTGTGACGGATAGAGGGGAATAAATGTGTATAGAGTGATGATATGAGTTTACTCACAGTGAACTCGCCCACGACATCAAAGGCGTAGTATTGCATCCAATCTGGAATGCTGATGACTTCGTTTGTTGCAGCAAACTCGACAAACTTAGCCACGAGGGTGGCATTAGAGGTATCGACGTAGGGCTCGTATGCTACCAACGAGGTCATGCTGAACAGCGAAGCCACTTTGCGCCTGTTGACTGCATGGCGGCGCTCGTCAATGACGGAGAAGATGTCTGCATGAGCATCTTCTGGATGACCGTATGCACGATACCAGCGGTCTTTGATGAACTTTGAGCCATGACCATAGAGTTGCTGTACAGCTTCAGGGCAGTTGAGGCTGTACCTGTTGGGGGCGGTGCGGACGATGGGACCTGTGTCAGACGTCGGTCAGCCAGCCTAACCGCTTCAGGAGGTATATCCGCATTCAGATGTACAGACCGTATGTGGCATGCAGATTAATATTGACATGCTCAAAGTGGTTGGCGCGGACCTGGCTGAGTTCCCAAAGCCGGGTAATGCGAGCCTGCCACGGGCCAGGCACGTTGCGGAGGGGGTGCGTTGCAAGTTTGTACAATGCAATCAGTGCATATACGATGGCGCCCCAGACGGCGAGCAAAGGCAGAGTCATGTCGTCACGGCTAACCGATGTGGTGCGTGATTGCGAGCTTGGATGAAAAGCGTTGGAATCCTTTGGTGACCCCAACACCAAGGCTGACTGACACTCAAGGGTATGTATGCATTGTGCAGTGTGCCCGGCACACGACGACCGAGCAGCCGACTTGAACCTCGAAAGTCGGTTAGACCAGATCGCACCCCGGAGCCCGAATGAATACGAGGAGGGCATACATACATATCTACTGGGGTGGTGGTGCTGGGTTCACGGTCACGTGCAACACGGGATCAACGCCTTATTTCCGATTTGGCTGTGTATCTCTTCTTTGTCGAGATGCTGACAGAATCAATACAAAGGCTGGGCACTCTTCACTGTTGCCAGCCTTGTGCCTCCAAAGTAGCAATCCAAGTCTGCACACCCCCTCGGCCATACTGCTGCTACTTTGAGATTATTTTTTGATTACCTTATACACAACCACCATGGCCTCCAAAGTTGTCCTCATCACCGGCGCTAACACTGGCATCGGTTACCAGATTGTCCGCGCCCTTTGCAGCTCCAGCCACGCTTACGACGTCATCGTTGGCGGTCGCACTCCCACAAAGGTGCAAGACGCTATCAGCGCCGCCCAGAAAGAGTTCCCTGATACCAAGAGCAAGCTCTCTCCAATCCAGATCGACATTGAGTCGGATGATTCGATCAACAATGCGTTTGAGGAAGTCAAATCTAAGTTTGGAAAGGTCGATATCCTCGTGAACAATGCTGGTGCGTGTTGATGGCCAAGACATCCAAGCAACCACCAAGAAGCTTAAATTTGCTGATCGCGATGATATCCTGCAGGCGCGCAATTCGATGCCTTGCTAAAGCAGGGCAAGCTCTCGGAGCGTGAGTTGTGGAACCAGACTTGGAACGTCAACAACGCCAGCACACAGGTCATGACCTCGACCTTCGTTCCCCTTCTCCTCGAAGGATCCGAGCAACGTCTGCTCTTCATCACCTCGGGCACATCTACCCTCGCCGGCTCCGAAAACCAATCCTTATTCGTCAACAAATACCCGCCCAAGGGTTGGCCCAAGCCTAACTATGGCGTCCCCGCATACCGTAGCGCAAAGACTGGCTTGAACATGCTGATGAGGGAGTGGCACAAGAACCTTCGCGAAGACGGCGTCAAGGTCTTTGCCATCTCCCCCGGCTTCCTGGCGACGGGTCTTGGGGGCAATCCTGAGATGAATAAGAAGATGGGCGGCGGTGATCCTGAGGTTGCAGGGCCGTTCATCAGAAGCGTTATCGAGGGTGAAAGGGATAATGATGCTGGCAAGGTCATTAATAAAGATGGAGTTCAGCCTTGGTAGATATATAAATGGCAGCATAATTTTGTACTTGGGTAATACATGCATAATAAATTCATGATATCAAGTCAAGCCCTACCAAAACAAGGGCTACAATCCATCTATTCCTCACCGTGGGCTGGAGCTATCCCACAACGGTGCTTGCAACATCTACATCTCCCATCTCCGCTATCCCCCACAGCTTCTCTGGAGCAGGCACCGGCGTCTTGACAAGTGGTTGAATCGCCCTTGCCGCCTCTACGAACCGGGACTTGACATCGTCCCAACTCCATTTCACACCTTCCCCACTCAACTTGAAATCCCGCTTCCGAAACTGCCCATCAACGAGCACATGCTGGATATCCCCTGAGTTGGCGTGCAATATCACCGCCGCCACAGGGTCACTCCAGCCTAGCATATTAGGCGCATCGCCATTGAAAACCACAATATCCGCTTTCGCGCCTACTTGCAGTACACCGATATCCGGCCGGCGCAGTGCAAGTCCGCCTTGTCGTGTCGCAAGAAGGAATGCCTGCTCCACCTTCATAGGTGTTTTATTGGGGATCAGGCCTGCGTCAAGCGTTTTACGGTAGTTTGTGTTGCGCACGGTTTGCAGCCAGAGGCGCGCTTGCGATAGCATGTCGCCCGAGAAGGTGAAAGCTGTATCGACGCCGAGAGACGCTTGCGGCGAGATCAGATGACCCGTTGCTTGCCCGTGGCCGTAGTGGCATTCGGATTCGGGCGTAATGGAGACGAAGAGGTTATGTTGGTTGAGGGCGGACATGTCGTCCGTTGTTAGGAATGATGCGTGTGAGAAGATGATGGGGATGTTGGTTGTGTGTATGTTTTGGGATGTGATGAGTGACGGGGAAGAGTTGCCTTCTAGGGGAAAAGTTAGGTGAAGAGAGACTTTACTTGGAATGGGACATACGCGGCCAGGGACCCGCCATGTGATGCATCGTTATGGCTGTGAGATTCATTTCCCTAATTAGAGGGCGAAAAAGATCACGTCAGTTTATCTGATTAAATGTGTGCAGGTACGCAATTGGAAACTTACTTAGTCGCGTTCTTGAGATTGTTGAGATGAATCTCAGTGTCTGTCGAGAATTCCCCAGCCAACCCATCCAAGGACAGTCCGAACTGAATGCGCGAAGGAGCAGGCTCTTTCGCAATACCACTGAAAGTCTTCCATTGCTCCATCTCCGGGAATTTTTCATTGTTGACGGTGACATCGTAGCACCACCACACTCGCGCCCCACTATCCACAGCCGCCTCATAGCCAGGCTTGACGATGTCGCGACCCCAATTGTTATGTGCGTGGTCGACATAAGACGTGACACCTGCATTCAAACCCTCAAGATACCCTTCAAGGCAGCTCACATAGACAGTTTCAGGTGTAAAGTGTTTTGTCGCTGTGCTAGACATTTGACTCAGCCAGTCGAAATATTGCGCAAGAACAATATCAGGTGCTAGAGTTCGAAAAACAGACTGCCACATGTGCACGTGTGTGTTCACAAATCCAGGCGATACAATTTTGCCTTCGACATTGATGATTTCTGCATCCGGTGGGATTGACAGGTCATCGGCATTATCGGTGATGGCGGCGATTCGATCATTGACTATCAGTATTGAGGCTCGCGGTAACACTCGAACTGATTTAGTCGCATCGTCGAATGTAATGACCGTGCCGTTTTCTAGGACTTTCGAAGGCATCGGGAATGCGCTATGAGTTGTGATGGGTGGGTACCCCAAAAGGAAAGAAACGGACGAGAGATGATCCAATCCACGAACAGCCTTTCGAACTTGTGATACCGACGACTGAACACACAATTACTTCAAATTTGAAATTAGACGTCATACGTCATTTTAAGAGTGCTCTACAGCTCCCCACGGTGCAGATGTGCTGGGCGTTCTGCGGCCAGTCGGCTCCCTTCGCTTGCCCGGTGTCCGGGTCCCGCTTTGACTTGTAGGATAGATGCGCACCAGTACTCAACATTCATCCACAAGATGCGGCACATTCTTCAAGCAGATTCAGCTAATAGCAGCCCTGCAGTCAAACCTTTTCTGCTTTGTTATGCAGTTGGATTTTGATAGTTCCGTTTTTTAACAATTTCTGATCACTTAGTTTGGTATCGAAATCTGGATTCAATTGACCCCGAGTCTTTTTCAAACAAAAACATTTTACTATAAATTTATCGCAGAAAATGTCCCAACAACCCGTTCTCGTACCGACAGCCTCGCTCCACGGGAAAGTAGCCATCGTCACGGGCTCCAGTCGCGGCATTGGCAAAGGCATAGCTCTCGAACTCGCCAAGCGTGGCTGCAGCGTAGTCATCAACTACGCCAACAGTAAGAGTGGCGCCGACGAGGTCGTTGAGACTATAGAGAAGCTCGGAACTGGTGTGCGGGCAGTTGCGATTCAGGCGGACATAAGCAAGGTTTGTCACACAATCATCAGGTCAAAACATCGGCCTTTCTGAAGCACCTGTTTTATTCTGATTCATCAACCAGGTCCCCGAGATTGAGCGCCTTTTCCAAGAAGCAAAACAATATTTCGGTCATATTAATGTCGTCGTGAGCAACTCCGGCACCGAGTCCTTCGATAACACGGAAGATATCACCGAAGCCGCCTTCGACAATGTCTACAACCTCAATGCACGTGCCCAATTTTTTATAGGGCAAGCAGCCTGGAAGCATATTGAGGATAAAGGCCGCGTGGTCCTCATGAGCTCGATATCAGCCGGCAAACTAGGCATCAAAAAACACGCGTTGTACAACTCGAGCAAGATGGCAGTGATTGGTATGGTGAAAGCATTCGCAACTGATTTTGGCGCAAGGGGTATCACGGTAAACGGAATAGCGCCGGGAGGTGTGCTGAGCGACATGTTTTATCAGAATTGCTGGAATTATATACCAGGTAGGAGATTCTGGCGTGATGTCCAGTTGCGAGGGTTGTCGGCTGACCGAATATGATGCAGGTGCTACACCAGACTGGCCACCGGAAAAGTTGGAGCAGTTGACGGCAAAAGCATGTCCCCTAGGGCGCTGCGCTGTACCAGAGGATATTGCACGAGTGGTCGCTTTTCTGGTTTCCGAAGACGGTGGGTGGGTGAATGGTGAGGACTACTTCCCGTTGCAGTGTCGAACACTCTATGCTGACAGACTGTTGTAGGCGAAGTCATCACCACTTCTGGTGGCTTTGTGTAATGATCGTGAACCTAGACAGAGACATGTCATGGATGATGGACTAGGGGAGTCTGTGTGGGGAGGACTATATCCTGCATATATACTACAGATGTAGAGTACACGTAGTATGGAGAATACATATGTATCATTCATCTTTACATGAGCCGCAACGTGTAGAAAAATGCGTGTTTCATCTCCATTAGTTACCTATTGAGCGTAGTGGTGATTCATCGTATTTCCATGCAGCAAAAACTCTTTCATTAGTTACTTATATAAATTACACTTGATTTTAATGCTACTAAAAGTAAATGATTCATCGCATTTCCATGCGGCACAAACACTGGGTATTGAAAAATCACACGATAAATAATTTTTTTTTTTTAATGCTACAAATGTACGCATTGCTGTTTGATGACACCTGGATCACGTGATTGATACAGAATGCTGGCTTGACCGCGTCGGACTCATTCATGGGCGTTTACATTAGTCAGACGAGCCTCACCGCATTCAATATCCACAAAAATTGCTTCCGTATATATGCGGCAAAGCTAAGAGATAATCTCCCATCTCTGGATGTATGACAGTCGATGTCGGTGCGTGTATCAGTGTGCGTCACGTGATACATAGTGACACCCGTGGACGCGCTCAGCATCACTCGGAGGCCGTGACCCCGAGACCTTCTTTCGGTTGTGGTACGCACCTCGGGTTACAGACGCCGCGTGCAAACTCTCTCACCATAGTCAACCGATAACCAAGCGAAACCCCGATGTCGAATGGTGTCAACTGGCTGAGTTGAGCGCGAAGCGTGGAGGTAAGCGTGTAGGTGTGCTAGCAGCGAGGCTTTTGTGAGAATGCCGAGTTGATCAGAAGCGTCATTTCTATATTCTGTGAGCATATGGAAGACTAGAGCTTATACTAAGATAATTGAACTTTAAACATTTCTCTGAAGCAGAAGATATTTGCATACAAACCTTTGCCATCAACATGTCTACCCAGTCCACGCCTAGCGAAACTCATGTCCTCATCATTGGTGCAGGTATGCAATACTCCTCCACATTTCCCCCAATCAAGGCTCACCAGTACAGGCATAACCGGCCTTGTCCTCGCGCAAGCCCTCAAACAAGTCTGGCATCCTATCCATGATTCTCAGAGCTTTAGTTAACCAACAACAGTCCGGCATCCGTTGCTCAATCTTTGAGAAAGACAGCTCCCTCAATGTGCGCAGCAATGAATGGACTATGGCTATTCACTGGTCGCTCGAGCGGCTTGAAACTCTCTTACCACCCGGTGTCTACGCAAATATGGAAAAGGCATCATGCAACCCCGCTGTTCCCATTGACGCGGGAGGCAACTACCCCATTATTCATGGCGAGACGGGAAATATACTTGCAGGCGTTCCTTATAAAAGGGGCTTGAGAGTGCCCCGTAGCAAGATGAGGGCACTTTGTGGTGAGGGTATCCCAGTGCAGTATGGTAAGCACCTCAATGAGGTGGAGTTCGGATCAAACGGTCAAGGCGTGACAGCCAGGTTTGCCGACGGGACCATTGTCTCTGGGACCATGATTGTGGGTGCAGATGGAACGCGCTCTCGCGCTCGCGAAGTCGCACGGGGTTCTGTCGAGAAAGCTGCCACATCTCCGTTTCCCATCTGGCACATGAACCTCACCGTCTGCTACGGAGATGCTGAAAAAGCACGATACGTGCGATCAGAGTTTCCAACTAGTTTTTTGGCTCTGAGCCAGCAATCTTTTCACGCTTTTCAGTCCATCTCCAGCATGCCTGATGGGCCTGATCATCCCGAGAGCTGGATTTTCCATCTCGCCATGGCATGGCGCGGAGACGCGAGACATGATTTGAGCTATGAAGAGCGTTTGGCCTTGATCAAGGAGAAGGCGGCTGGACTTGCCGAGCCAGCACGCTCGTCCTTTTTGTGGATTCCAGAAGGGACACAAGTCCACAAGGCTGACATTAGCTACTGGGTCACAGAGCCATGGGACAATCACCAGGGACGCCTAACGCTTGTGGGAGACGCTGCGCATCCAATGCCTCCATGTACGTATTTGCGGCATGTAGCGAAGCGCGATATTGTACTGACAGATATATAAAGACCGCGGCCAAGGTTTGAATCACTGTATCACAGACGTTTTCAATCTCACAAGCCACATCAAGAGAGTTGCATCTGGCGAAAACACCTTGGATGCTGCGATTGGAGCCTATGAAGCCGAGCTCATTCCACGTGGCTCGGAAGAGGTCAAGTGTTCCATCGAGAATGGAATCATGCTACACGACTGGGAGAAAGTGAAGCAAAGTCCCGTTTTCACCAACGGATTTCGGCCGATGAAGGGGCACGATGCATATGAGACGAACGTAGACCACGCAATGAACCAGAAGAAGGCCGAAGCGGCGCGCGGTTTGAGAACTGTGGATGTATAGATTACATAGTTTCTATCATGGAACCTTCAACTCTCGACAAGTTTCCCGTCCGCTACGTGCTTCTCAAACCACCCAAATGACATCATAGTACTTGGACCGTCAGCGAAGTTGACGTGGTCGGGATTCACGACACTCAGATAGTGCGGGTCGTTTTTAACCTTCACGTAGTCTTCAATGTTGCGAAAGACAATCGTGACAAATGCATCGTAAGGTGAGCGATTGACAGAAGGTAGATTGGGGAACAGATTCTCAATGTCTTTCATGAGTTCAGATGTGTTGTGTTGCTCGTATTCCGGTTAGAAGCTTGCGTATGCGGACAGGGCGTGGAAAGCCTCACCATAGTGTAATCCACAATCTTCTTCTCGACTAAAAGGTGCTTAAGATGCCCGGCGTGCGTTTCGCTGATATATTTATGATACGAATCTTCATCCATCCCTGGTTTTCGTTTCGCGGATATGGTCACCGAGAACAGGCCCTGCGATTTTCCCATGTTGAGACAGTATTTCACGAAAGGGGTGGAGGATTGTAACAAGACCGATCAACAACAGACTGCGGGAAGGATGTCATCGTCCGTATTACACATGAATTCTATAACTTTATAGGAGCCGCGGAAAGACCAGTGGCCGTGGCGCAGAATGATGTGCTTCCATTGCGTTGCTGAGACAAGGGATGATGGCCTTCTAGTCGGAATCCGGGCTGGACGATTTCAAATGGTAAGAACCGCGCGGCATCCGGATTCCAGAGGTTATGTGGTCTCCACAATGATGCTGAAACCACAGCAGAGGTAATGATAGCCGCGCATAAACCAGCCGGGTGACGTTTGCGCAAGCTTATGTCGATACCGCTGACATGATCGAAGCCGGACATATGGTGCTATCTAGCAAACACCTGCCTCGTAAACCTTTTGCTCCACTACTCTGCTTCTCCACACACCTAATTTTCAAATTCAACATTCATTCTCCATTTCAACAATTATGGGGCCCGTTGTGTCATCGGCACCATTCATGCCCCCTATAGACGCAGTTGAAAGGTGTAGCGTCTTTTTGTTTGGTGACCTTACTGGCCCATTCGAAGATGATCTGCGACAATTGCTTCATTGCAAGAACAATGCGGTACTTCAAGCTTTCTTCGACCAGGTGAATCTTGGTTACCGACAAGAATTTGCTGCCCTACCAGCTGAACAGCAAGAATGGCTACCAAGATTCACTGATCTTGTAGACCTCGTGTCAAATCTTGACGGTACGACTGGAGCACATGTGCTGAGATTTAGCCTTCTCTGCGTGTATCAGTTGGGTCGTTTCATATTGTAAGTATTGCCTCATGATCCATATATTGTTGAAACAACACATTCTCGATCAATGCTCATCAATTTGACATCTAGATCAAATTCGTATCCTGAAGCTACTACCTCAACGTTGATCGGCGTGTGTACTGGTTCTTTTGCATCAGCAGCGGTATCATCGTCGCAAACGATGGCAGAACTGGTTCCTGCTGGTGTGGAGGCCGCACTTGCGGCGTTCAGAACAGGACTGCATTCTTTCAAAATGCAGCGAGATATTGAGCCCATATCGACCGAGGGAGCTCGGTCATGGTCATTCATCGCCAACTTGACGGAGTCACAAGCTCTCAAAGCCTTGGAAGATTTCGGCTCTGAAGCAGTGAGTGGGCCAGTGCGCCGGGTAGATGAACTGAGCTGATAATGTTTTAACAGCATCTACCACAAAATCAACGACCTTATATTAGCGCCATCTCCCCATCTGGAGTGTCAATCAGCGGACCTCCTCGAAATCTACACCGCCTGATTGATGCCTATTCCGTTAAGGCACATTTGATCCCGATCCACTCTCCTTATCATGCGCCTCATCTGTATGGACAAGACGAGGTTGAAGAAGTTCTGGGGTGCCTTCGAAACGAGGATTTGAGAGATTATCGCCAGAAAATTCCAATCCTGTCTATGGCGACAGGCGCTGACACGCCAGCCCAGGATTTCCAAGGGCTGCTGCGTCAAGCCGTCAGAGAATGTCTTCGGGAGCAAGTACGATGGGACAAGGTTTGCAACGCGCTCAAATCTCGCCTCTCACAATATCCGTCCTTGAGATCATGTACAGTGGTCCCAGTGACATCGAATGCAGCTTCTTTGCTGTGCACCTCTCTTCAACAAGAGTCGCAGTTAAGTGTAGCCATCTCGCACACGCTGAACACCAAGGTTGAGCGTGGAACTACGGGTCCAGCACCAGGAAAATTCCAGGACTCAAAAATTGCCATTGTCGGTTTTTCTGGTCGTTTCCCTGAAGCGGCCTCGAACGATGAGCTCTGGAAGGTGCTCCAAGCGGCTCGGGACTGCCACCGCACCATTCCCGAGGATCGCTACGACTGGGAGGCACACTTCGATGCCGACGGCAAGAAAAATCATTCTCGAGTCAAATTTGGCTGTTTCATCAACGAACCAGGTGTTTTTGATGCGCGATTCTTCAACTTATCGCCTCGGGAGGCCGAGAACACAGACCCAGCGCAGCGGCTAGCGCTAATGTCAGCGTACGAAGCCATGGAAATGGCAGGACTAGTACCTGACCAGACGCCGTCCACGCAGCGTGACCGCATCGGCGTTTTCTTTGGCGTGACAAGCGATGACTGGCGAGAGGTGAATAGCGGACAGGATATCGACACATATTTCATCCCCGGAGGCAATCGGGCATTTGTGCCAGGGCGTATCAGCTACTTCTTCCGCTTGTCCGGGCCTTCCATCTCTGTAGATACAGCTTGTTCGTCAAGCTTTGCGGCCATCTCGACAGCATGCAACTACCTCTGGCAAGGCGATTGCGATTCAGCTATTGCGGGCGGCACCAATGTGCTCACAAATCCAGATAACTTTGTCGGCCTCGACCGCGGCCACTTCCTTTCCACCACAGGAAACTGCAACCCTTTTGACGACTCAGCAAGCGGATATTGTCGCGCAGATGGAGTGGGTGCAGTAGTATTGAAGAGGGTTGAGGATGCTGTCGCTGATGGTGACCCTATCTTTGGGGTCATTGCAGGGTGCAGCACTAACCACTGCGGGCAAACTGTGTCGATCACTCGGCCCCATGAGGGAGACCAACTGTCTCTGTTCAGGCGGATTTTGCGGCACACCAACACCGACCCGACAGATGTTAGCTATGTCGAGATGCATGGGACAGGCACCCAGGCGGGCGACGCTGCTGAGATGCGCTCGGTGCTATCTGCCTTTGCCTGGGACGACAGACGGAGCAGCATGCAGCCAACAAGGCCACTGCATTTGGGAGCAGTCAAGGCGAACATCGGCCATTCGGAATCGGCCTCAGGTGTGACGGCGTTGATCAAGGTGCTGATGATGATGCAGCACAGTGAAATCCCACCGCACCGCCTGGACGGCGTGTTGAACCGCAACTACCCAGATGACATGGCGGAGCGCAATGTGCATATTCCCTTCCAAGCGACGGCATGGCGGCGGGACGACTGTCCGGGGAAAAAGCGGATGGCGTTTCTCAACAACTTCAGTGCGGCGGGAGGAAACACGGCCGTGCTGTTGGAAGACGCGCCGCTCCAGCGCCAAGTCACGTGTCAGCCCGATGCACGTGACGTGCTGCCCGTCGCTGTGACTGCTAGAACTAGCGAATCGCTTATATACAATCTCCGCGCCCTGATCGACCATCTCCAACGTTATCCAGACGTCCCGCTGCCAGCACTCTCATATACCACCACTGCTCGCCGGGCGCACCACAGGTTCCGCGTGCTCGTTTCGGGTGCCAATGTCGAAGCCATCACTTCTGCGCTGCAGCGTCGTGTGGACGATGGAGAATCTATCAAGGCTGTCAAGCCCGTGCCGCCCAATATCGCTTTTGTCTTCACAGGCCAGGGCACTCTGTATGCTGGCATCGCGAAACAACTTTATCATCATGTCGCCGTGTTCCGTAGCGACCTGGAGCGCTTTGATCGCATCGCGCGCTGCCATGGCTTCCCAAGCTTCCTGTCTCTGGTCAGTGGCGCTGAAGGAGATATTGATGCGCATACCGTTGATCCTGTTGTGGCGCATCTAGCTGTTACCTCCGTGCAAATGGCCCTGTCACATCTTTGGAGGCTGTGGACAGGGGAGCCCTCGTGCGTGACCGGCCACAGCTTGGGCGAATATGCTGCACTGTACACGGCCGGCGTCTTGTCCGCAAGCGACACTATTTACCTCGTAGGAAGTCGTGCACAGTTGCTGGTCAAGCACTGCTCCAGATCCACGCATACAATGCTTGCGGTCAAGGGACCCGCGACCGTGGTCGAGGACGCTGCCGACTTGGCGGGCTTGGGTTGCGCGATTGCCTGCATCAACTCCCCAGTGAGTACGACAATTAGCGGGCCCAGGGAAGGCATTCAAAATTTGTCCAAACTATTGCAAAACAACAAAATTGATGCAGTGCCTTTGGATGTGCCTTACGCGTTTCACTCCTCACAGGTGGACCCTATATTGGACGAATATGAGCACCTAGCCAATTGTGTACACTTTCACGAGCCTACTATTCCATACATGTCTCCCTTGCTATCCGAGACGGTGACTGGAACTGGCATCCTCAACGCCTCTTACCTGGTACGGGCGACTAGGCAATGCGTCAACTTCCACGGAGCCATCGACGCCGCGCGCGAGACCAAGATGGTGAATGACAGTACCATATGGCTTGAGCTCGGAACGCACCCAGCTTGCTCTACCATGATCAAGCAAACTATTGGAGCCCAAGTAGTCACTGTATCTACTCTAAGAAGAGATGGAAACACATGGAAACTCGTTGCACAAGCTCTTGATACCCTGTACCATTCAGGGACTGAGGTACAGTGGAGCCAGTTCCACCATGGCTTTTCGGCTGCTCAACGAGTCCTTTCTCTACCCAGTTATAAATGGTCACTCAAGCGCTATTGGATACAATACCGCCATAATTTTTGCCTCACCAAGGGCGACGATCCGCTCACATTGATTCCAAAGAATTCCCCGCTTCCACTTCCGACCAGCCCTGTAGAAACTTTATCGTCATCTGTTCATCGCGTCATCGAGGAGACCACCTCTACCGAGGCTGCAACCTTGCTAGTTGAGTCTGATTTGCATGATAATCGAATGTCTCCCATCATTTCTGGACACAAGGTGAACACGGCCATGCTATGCCCATCATCTTTGTATGCCGACATGGCCTTCACCATTGCCAAACGCATGCTCAAGGCCAATGACATGCTCCACGAAATGACGGGCCTTGACTGTAGTACAATGAACATCAAGCGCCCGTTGATCATGCGTCCTGATGCTACTTCTCAACTGCTGCGGGTATCTGCAGAGGCTAAATGGCTCGAGAACGTGATACATTTGACCTTTTTCAGTGTCGATTCAAATGCGCGCATGTTGTCAGAACATGCGACTTGTAGGGTGAAGGTCGTCCAAAATCAGGCCTGGCAAAAGGAATGGAAACGCGGTGCCTATCTCATATCGAGCCGGATCTCGTCTCTACACGAAGCTGTTGACAGAGGCAGCGCACATAAACTGAAACGGGGTCTTGCTTACAAACTGTTCTCCAGTCTCGTTGATTATAGTCCAGAGTATCAAGGCATGGAACAAGTCATTCTTGATAGTGAAAGCCTCGAAGCCACAGCCCAAGTCAAGTTTCAGGTCGGCGAGCAAGGATTTGACTGGAACCCTTGCTGGATTGATAGTCTGGGACATATCGCTGGGTTCATCATGAATGGGAACGAGAATGTGTACGCCAAGGATCAGGTGTTCATCAATCATGGCTGGGATGCTATGCGATGTTCGAAGGTGGTTGAATATGGCAAGACATACACTACATATAACCGGATGCAGCTCGAGGCTGGCACCATGTACGTTGGTGACACCTACATATTTGACGGCCAAGAAGTGATTGCAGTGTTCGAAGGGGTCAGAGTAAGTGACTGCTGGGACAAGGTGAAGATTTTGTGACTAACACACATCTCTAGTTTCAGGGCGTGAATCGCTCAGTTCTAGACAGTCTTCTTCCGGGAAAAACCAGACCAGGGCTGACGAAAGCTGCTGAGGCTAGCCAGCTTAGTGGAGACACACTTCCCAAACCAGCCAAGCCGCGCATTTCTCGCGCCTCTGAACCCAAAATGTCACCCACGTCCACCAAATCTCAGCCTAGCAAAGCCGCAGGGATCAAGAAAATCATATTAGAAGAAGCTGGGATGACCGAAGATGAACTTGATCTGGACGCAGAGTTCAACGACTTGGGTGTAGATTCGCTCCTCTCCCTTACCATTGTTGGCCGCCTCCAAGACGAGTTAAGCATCGAGATGCCGACTTCCGCCTTTATGGAACATCCCACAATAAGAGCCTTTATAAGCTACGCTGGAGGTGAAGAGTCATCGGGCTCATCATCAGCCCAGAGTGCAAGCTCAACGCCAGTCTTGACTGGATTGAAAGACGATGAGCATTATTTCACGGATGCAACTTCGATTAGTGAAGATAGCGTTGATTCGAACGTTGATATTGTAGCAATCATTCGAAAAATCTTATCAGAAGAGACGGGCACCAGTATTGACGAGATATCGACCAACACCCCGCTCGCTGAGCTTGGAGTTGATTCGCTTCTGGGGCTCACAATCATGGGCAGACTCTCCGAAGAAGTCGACAAAAAACTTCCCACGAGCCTATTCGATGAAAGCGAGACAATTGGAGATGTTGAAAACGCTCTATGTGATGCTGGTCTAGTTGAGAAGACCAAAAAAAGCAAAGTCGAGGTCAAGCGTCAGCATAAGGCTCAATCGACCACCAACAAAGTCGCAGAACCAGCCGTGGTTTCGGAACCGTCTTTAGATCCAAGCGTGGAACCACATGCAACTTCAGTGTTGCTTCAAGGATCTTCCAAGCGAGCAAAGAAGATCCTATTCCTTTTCCCAGATGGAGCCGGATCCGCAACCTCTTATCATGCGCTCGCTGACATCTCTCCGGACGTGGTCGTCTATGGTTTAAATTGCCCATGGCTGAGGACGCCGCAGGATCTTAAGTGTTCACTCGAGCACTATGTTGCTAAATTTCTCATCGAAGTCCGCCGACGGCAACCTCAGGGCCCATACCACTTCGGTGGTGTGTCTGCTGGCGGCATTCTCGCATACGAGGCAGCACAACAGCTCGAAAGCGTAGGCCAGAAGGTTGATACTTTGATATTACTCGATACACCCAATCCAGTAGGATTAGAAAATCCGAATTCACGAATGTATGACTTTCTGGATAGCTTGGGTATGTTCGGCATGGGCGCAAAGCAGGCTCCCAAGTGGTTGCGTCCGCACTTCGACGCGTTTCTCACCTTACTCGACGCTTATCAAGTGAGGAGGTTCGTAGGGCCATCGCCGCCTACAACCCACATCGTTTACGCTCGCGATGGCATGTGCAAGCACGAAAGCGATCCTCGGCCGGAGATACGCCCAAATGATCCACGTGAAATGCTGTGGCTGATAAACAATCGCACCGACTTCACTGGCGCTGGGTGGAACTCTTTGGTGGGCAAGATGAATCTACGCGTCTCTGTTCTGGACGATGTCAATCACTACACGATCATGCAGCCTGGTCCACAGATGCGGGAACTTGCCAAACGCATTGCACACGCGTTGGAGGCATGAATCAGCGTGTTGTCTTGTTTTGCTAGCTACTAATTTGATTTTAGTGTTTTTAGTCTAGAATGAATGATCATTTTCTTTTGTATCTATGCCCTTCAAACCGTCTTCTGACGCTAGTCCATTGCTAAGAACTTTTTGGGTGTGAACATCGAAGTCTCGTCACGTGATACCTTCTTCTACACGTACTTGTTTGTCCACCTCTCCGTTTAGGCAAGGATGCTGATTTCGGAGTCAGGTCTTAAACCCAAAAGATCTAAAAAATCTTAACACTCAGTCTTGACGCTAGTCTATCCTTATGGGGTCCGGAATCCGAAAAAGTTCCAATTATTCATCTCGGTCATAATGAGGCCCGATAGTTCACCAGATCAAATTGGGAGTCTCATTGGCCGAGTGTCTGAGAGCTTTATTGGACCGGGCATCCCCAGCAGTTATCTAATTTCTGACTGTGTAACCTCGACTGGAGCTGCCCTGGAGAAGAAAAGATGACGCAAAGTGGCTTTAAGGTCTTGATTCTTGGAGGAGGTGGGTCGAATGACTGGTGTTCAGATTCCACTGCTGAATGTTGAGCCAGGAAATTGTGGTCTCGCTTTAGCTACTGGGCTAAAAAAGGTATGACGAATAGAGCTCCCACTGTGAAAATCTCATTGACCAATCTACAGGCTGGTTGTGATTACACGGTTTTCGAGAGAGATAGCGAGTATGATTTTTATCATCGACCTCGCGATTGGGGTACAGATATTCCTTCTTATCGACAACCGTGGACGGACCTGACTGGGAGAGATAGGCATGCTGTTACATTGGGGAGAAGAGTATCTAGCAAAACTTCTACCAGATCATCTCCAAGCACGTATGAAGGAACCGCGATGCAATCCTCACCTCGACACTAGCGCACAAATCCCGCCAGTGCCGTACGTGAATGCGCTTACTGGGAAGGTCATGGCAAAAATCCCTACCGAAGGGATCAATCGTATATCGCGAATGAAGCTGCGCCAATTTCTCACGAATGGCGAAAACTTGAATATACAGGCATGTTTGGATCATACATATTTTGAACGGTAGGTTGACGCGAACCAGTTTGGCAAAGTTGTCGAAAATGTCAGCGTGGATGGCGACACTGTGACTGCAACCTTCCGGGACGGCAGTAGCGAGACAGCCAACATGGTCATTGGATGTGATGGTTCGCATTCTAGGGTGCGTGAGTTTCTTGTTGGTCATGAAGCTGCTCAGCTGCAATTCGTCGACCTCACCATGATAAATTTTCCACGCGGGGGATACACAGCCGATGAGGCGCGACTTCTGCAGACAATGCATCCAGTGTTCAAAATAGCGGCGCATCCTCACAGGCCGGGAAATGGCATATTGGCTGGCAAGTCGTCCCTCGAAACACGCTTATCCTAGACTTTCCGCCATGCTGACTTGACTAGCCCTTGATATCCCCGACCCAAACGACCCGACAACATGGAAGTTCCAAAACTACATTGGCTGGTGGGGACCTCCATACGCCAAAGATCTCCAAAATCCAGAGACGCGTATGGAATTCTATCGCTTATGGGTATCGTCATTCTGCGAGCCTTTCCGCACCGCCGGACTCAAGCTTACGGAGGACGAAGTCCTGCCTGTGTATCCAGGCCAACAATGGGCGCCTGATATGACGTGGGATAATCATGGCGGGAAAGTAACTCTTGCCGGAGATGCGGCGCATTCGATGCTTCCTCGTAAGCCCGTGAAGATAAGGTATCATGGCACCGTTTACTAAGATCCAAACAGAACGCGGCCAGGGCCTCAACAACGCAATCAAAGACGCCTCAGATCTCGTCGACGCCATCAAAGCTGTTCTTGCGGGACAGAAAAGCCTAGGACATGCGATCGCAGAATACGAAGCTGAGATGAAGCCAAGGGGAGCCAAGGAAGTCGCTCTCAGCCTAGAACAGGCGCTTAAGGCGAAGGACATGAGTACGCTCAAGGATAGTCCAATTTTCAAGGTGGGATGGAAGAGGGGCGGGGAAAATGTGGCGTAGTCTGCTGTTGGAGATCGTTGGTACTGGAGGACGAATTGCGACGTGGATATAGCTTATGTTGGGATACATGCTTATCATTAACCAATGCTACCGAGGCCATATCATGCAGGATTCAACGAATAATATGCATTGCCACTATCACTTTCCCTGCGAATTGTGTGGTCCTCTAAAGAATTTGTCCAGTAGAGATTGGCATGTATCTACCTAAGTATGTAGATAACATTAGCGACCATATACTCGTCATCGATCGGGTATGGACCAGACGTCTCACCCAATAACCGGAGAAGGGAAGGGGAAAGATTCACACAGCCTGTTTTTCATCAATCTCTGGAATTTCATTTCCAATTGGAACGAATATTTAGAGCACAATCATCCATTATAGCTGGGTTTGAGCTCCGGGTGTACAGCGCACGTGATCTCACATGATGCTGACAAATCAACTTCTGAATTTGACATCGTGACGTCATGACCTATCAATTGATTGTTACCTAGGTACTAACTCCGCCCGCTGGTGCTACTTGAATCATCGTGTCATTCAGCAACCACAGAGCTTATTAGACAACGTGTTAATGAATGAATCCTGGTTGTGGTAGCACATTGTCTGTCCGATCGATTGAGAGCCCGCCATCCTCGGTGTGCGGGGTCCGAACAGCGAGATGGCAACATCACCAATAATGATGCAGTTGGGTATTATGGTAATCCTGCGTGACATGCGGGGTACGTTTTCATAGAGCGTTGAACAGGTCAGAGTGGGTCAATCAATCATACGGCTATGTGAGGTAGCATGAGTACGACACAACACCCTGTTGCGACTTCTGGAATTACAACTTTGCCATCTTCTAAGACCATTAAATTGAACTATATCGACTACGTAGAAAGAGTATGGACGTCCCAGCATTCAGATATCAATTGCTGAATGGCTTTGCAGCCATAGCCGGCATCGTAAGTCCCATATCATGCCACTACTAGTCGTCTACGCTTTCTCTAATTTAGTCTGCAATTAGATTACCTGCTATATCATTAGCTATGCGATTTACAATGTATACCTTCATCCTCTTCGGAAATACCCTGGACCCAAGTTTTGGGCCGCATCGCGATTACCATGGTGTTATTATCAATATAAAGGGCAACTGCATTATAGACTACTACAGCTGCACATACAGTATGGAAAGACCGTTCGCGTGGCGCCGACAGAACTATCATTTGCCGAAGATGACGCGTGGAAAACAATATACGGACACCGTAAAGAAGAGATGGAGAAAGATCCCATATTCCGTCTGCACACTCCAACTGGAGCTCAGAATATCTTAGTAGCAGACAGAGAAACGCATACGCGACAGCGCCGCTTACTCTCCCACGCTTTCTCCGAGTCGGCCTTACGCGAGCAAGAACCTATCCTACAGCTGTACGCCCGTAAACTACTCGACCAACTTTCCTTCCACTGTACCACAGGCCCACTAGACATGACCGCATGGCTTACATTTGCGTCGTTTGATCTCATCGGCCATATGTCCTTTGGGGAAAATTTTGGTTGCCTCGACAAAGGCGAACATGCGCCATTCGTGCGGGCTATCACGGCTATGGCGTCCGAACTTACATTCAATCAAATGTGGAAGTACTGGGGCATTATGAGTATTCGGCAGTACTTCACGCCTAAGGGGCTTATAGGTCAACGCGTCAAGAATATCAAGACAGCAATGCAGACGGTACAGAGACGCATAGACAACGGCTCTGAGCATCGCGATTTCCTGCATTACATTCTATCCGCAAATGACGAGAAAGGCATGAGTCCCGCGGAAATCAACGTTAACGCGTTCTCACTCAGCATTGCTGGCTCAGAGTCAACGGCGACTGCGCTCTCTGGTGCCGTGTTCCTCATGCTCACATACCCATCTGTGTACCAGCGCCTTATTCACGAAGTCCGATCCGCTCACATTGGAGAGGAGGAAATCACGCTCGCAAGTACACACAAACTCGAATATTTGGATGCTGTTATTACGGAGACACTGCGTTTGTACCCTCCAGTGGCCATTACGCTACCCCGCCGGGTGCCCCTGGGCGGACAGATATTTAATGGGCAAGTTGTGCCTGGAGACATGACTGTGGGTGTTCACCATTACTCGACATACCATCATCCCGACAATTTTTATCGGCCCAACGATTTCCTACCTGAGCGCTGGCTAGCAGGAACGCGAGATGCGCTACCATTCTCAAATGACAATAGAGATTGCATGCAGCCTTTTTCGTTTGGGCCAAGAAACTGTTTAGGTAAGAATATTGCAAGGGCTGAGATGCGCTTGCTGTTGGCAAAGCTTTTGTTCAAGTTTGATTGGCGTATCGAATCAGGCCAAGAGCAATGGATGGAGCAACAGTTGCAGGGCTTTTGGCAGAAGAAGCCATTATTCTGTACTTTGAAGCCAGTTGAAAGGTAGTGGAGTTTAAAGTGCATGAGATTTTAATTATCACACCGCCACATATTATAAAGCAGAAAATGCTTAACGGAATACAAGTGATGACACAGAGAAGTCATTGGCTCATGCTTGCCACAAATTTTGTTTGGGGTAATCTTCAGTGTCCTTTGCATATGAGGTTGCATAGCACCGTTCCTATTGTACCCCTATTCCTTCTTCTCGAATACCTCCTCGAATTGCCTCACCATATCATCCGTCAGAGGCACTGTTGCAAACCGCTTCAATGCCTCCATATTCACCTCCTTCGTCAACGTCGTACCCTCTCCAATCATTTCCTCCAGATACTCAAAGTATCGGACGAAAAATCCCGGCGTGATTGTATTAATAAATACAGCTTCCTCATCAAACGGATTGCTAAATTTGTGGGGAAGCCGAATCGGCACAGTAACGAGGTCGCCTGCGCTGGCGTCCAGAGTGCCGCGTCCAGGGGAGTGAAACCGGACTTTTCCTTTCTGTGTTGTGGGATGCAAGTTAGTATAGTCGTATTAGTTAAGACGGAGGAGACAGAGTACTAACAGTCACATAAAACCCCTCGTCGTGCATTTCATGGAAATGAAATACCGGGCCGTCGCTGCGTGGCGGGATCAAGCTTTCGATCACGCACAATCGATACTGGGTTTGCGTGCCATCTTCGAGGATCCGGTACTTATCTTTTGATCGTTTGTTAGTTCTAGCTTCCATATGAGGAATTCAGAGACGTACATTGGCCCAAGCTTCTCCACGGAATCTTCGCTGGGGAAGCATGTCCAATGGACAGCGTCTGAGAATAATTATTCGTTCCTTTGTCGACGGTACCGTTCATCTTCTGAGCAAATCCCAAGACGAAATACCAAAAACTAGTAATCAAGCTCAAAAATAAATTATTGGTTCGCCACGATGACTAAAGATGGTGTACCAAGTCAGAGTAGGTGTTAAAAGTAGTGGTACGTAGATTGCGGCTGTGCGTACAGAAAGGTACCTTTTAGGGAATTTCCAGAATTTCTTCTCGTGGGTCTGAGCTTTTTAACAATGGAATAAAATGTACGCTTGATGGATTGCTTGAGCATCGCGATACAATATTCGGCCGATTAGACAATGTGGAAATGCTGACATGATGACATAGAAGTTCTTTACACGAGTACTGGTGGGGCCGGTGTCCGGGTGCCGAGTGATCATCGCATGGTATCAATGTGCGCGACATGAATTTCAGCTTGTTCCAGCATTTTTAACATTTACTCGAAATCGATAGATACTGCAGTGTCCCGTGACTCGTGGCGCCTGGAACTTTAGTTGCCGAAGTGCATGGGAAAGTCCCGAAAATCTCCGGGCACCCTTTCGAGACATGTACCTAATCAAAAACGAGGCGCGTCTTGTGGCGATGATATAGCTTCGGACGTACAAACAACCCAGAAATTTGACATGCTACTTGAATCATTATGATATTTGCTCGTAGAGAGTTTCGTTCAACGGGCTATGTAGAAATAATTACTATGAATTGTTACCACTTTCCCTACTCTTCAAGCGGCAGCTGTGGTCGGTTCGCCTTCTTTGAGGATTTGCTGAGCTTTCTCGATGCGCTCAAGAATAGCCTCAGTGCTTTTCTCCGCTTGCTTGAATTCCCTCTGAAGGATATCTCTCACCTTGTCTTCACGGGGAATGAAAGCTGCCTTGAAGGGTAACGGAGGGGAGTTGAAGCCAGAGACGAAATCAAAGCGACCGACATTTGCCTCCACCTTTTTGCCATCCACAATCTCCCAGCCTTTCGTAATGTTATAGGCCCAGAGCATACGTGAAACATTGATCATCATGGAGTTGTTGCCAATGTATTGACCTAGAGCAGTATTATTACCCTGATTCTTGGGAACACTATCAAGAACTTACCAATACACTTCCGGCGACCAAACCCAAATTGAGAGAATGGCAAGTCAGGATTCTCGAGGAAACGCTCCGGCTCAAACTTGTCCGGATTTGGATACAATTCTTCGTCCATTGAAATGGCCCAGTGGCCGCCGACGATGGTTGAACCTTTGGGAATGTGGTATCCCATGTAATTATCATCCTCGGTTACCGCGTGTGGCACTCCGCCAGGTAGCACCGGACGCCATCTGTGAACCTCCTTGACAAATGCAAGCAGATAGGGCATTTTTTCGGTGTCTTCAAAGGTTGGAAGACGATCGCGGCCAACGACACGGTCGATTTCGTCTTGTAGGATCTTGACCTTGTCCTGATGCAACACGCATGCGAGTGTAAACACTTGTAGAGTCATAGTCGTAGTGTCCGCTCCAGCTTCATACGTGTTGCCGATAACGTAGGACAGTTGAGTATCGGTGAGTGCTTTATGCTCTTTCATAGTAAGAATGTCTTTGCACCAGTTGTAGCCTCTACGCTGGGTCGCGCCGCTGCGTATCATGGTGAAGAAGTCTCGTTCCTCGTCGCCTAGGAAGTCCGCAATTCTCTGCCAAGGCTTCATAAACTTCGGTAGGCGGTTCAGAAAGGGAAGAGAATCGACGATCCAATTCGTGATAAAAGCGTTGTTCAGGTTGTCCATGATCAGTTCTACCCCTTTGACTTCTTCTTCTTGACCAGTGGGCATTCGCTTGCCATATGCCAAAGCAAATGTCAAGCTAGACGAATATCGATGGTACCGCTTGAAGAAGTCGTCTCGGGTGAGGAACTCGGATACAAGCTGCTTACTCTCCAGATCTTGAAGCTCTCGATAGGTGTTGGACATTCGAGGGCTAAGAAAAGAACCCTGTAGGCGACGATAGCCTCGCCATTGCTCACCGTATGGCAAGATCAGAGATCGGTTACCCTGACTTATGCATTCTCCGACCATGACAGAGCGAGGACGTGAGCTGTAGATATTGCTGCGCTTCTCGAGAAGATCACGAGCAGCCCCATACGTGCCAAGGAAGATGACTGTGCTGGTGCCAAATTGCATACTAAAAATCGGTCCATGCTTCTTGTGGAGTTCGGTGTGTGTGAGCCACGGGTGACTCTTTGGCATCTCCAAGAGATTGCCCACGAGTGGCAGACCACGAGGACCAGGAGGAAGACGTCTGCGAAATGAATAGTAACGCCATGAGATGATTGCAAGCACTAGCGTTGCACTGCCTATGAGCCTGAGTGCAACGCGAGTGATTGTTTCTAGAGGCAGATTGCTCAGGAAAGAGTCCATGGCGAATGTGTAAGAGTATGATCCGAGTTTGAATGAAGTGCTCAGAAGTGCCCAGTTCGAGAAGAAGCAAGACTTCGACGAAAAGATTTGACTACACAAAACATTCCATATTTGCAGTCGACATTCAAATGTTGTTCTGAAACGTCAGCCACGTGACCTTACCAGAGTCTGGAAGCACTCGCGATCCGGCGTCCGGTTTGTGTAACATTACGGAATTAATTCGGGCCACGTTAGAAATTCCCCGGAGATGATAGAACGCGTTAAGTCCGGCCAGCGTCATCAGTCCCCGCGCCCTTGCTTTCAAGCACAAGAGTTATCAGCTTTCTTTCCCTCCACTTGGCATCAGTTCCAAACATCACATTTTTCTCTTCAATACCAACGACAAAATCTAGCTGCACTTCTTGCAAAATGTCGAAAATTCTCGTTGTGTTCGGCGCCACAGGCCAACAAGGTGGTTCCGTGGTCAATGCTGTGCTGAACGATGCGAAGTTGAGCACAGAGTATACTATTCGAGGAACGACTCGGGATCCGGGTCAAGCTAGTGCCCAGGCCCTTGCCAACAAGGGTGTTGAGGTTGTAAGAGCCGATGTGGACGACGCAGCCTCACTCAAGAAAGCCTTCGAAGGAGCACATGTCGTCTTCGCTAGCACTGTCACTGTTTATGACGGCCGTGCATACGAGCATGAGGTTCAGCACGGCCGTGCCCTCGCCGATGCCGCCGTCGCTGTCGGTGTGCCCTTCTATATCTACTCGACCTTGCCGAATGCCGGAAAGATTTCGGGCAACAAGCTCAAGAACATGGGTCACTTTGACGGCAAAGAGGAAGTAGAGCAGTACATTCGCACACTCCCTATGAAGAGTGCATTCTTTTCTCCTGGCAGCTTCATGTCCAACTTCGGCGCGACCATGGCACCACATCCGGTCGGCGACGGCACCTATGCCGTGTTCAACTTCGTCAACCCGGAGACGAAACTACCTTTGATCGACACTGCAGGAGACACAGGCAAATGGATTGCTGCAATCCTGGCTGACTTCCCCAAATATGAGGGTAAAGTGCTCAGCGCTGCAACTGCCTTCTATACATTCAACCAGATTGTGGAGTCAATGAGCAAGGCCTCGGGGAAGTCTGTCTCGTACAAGCAGCTATCAGAGAAGACCTGGCGCGGCTTCCTTCCTCCTACAATGAAGGACCATGTCGCTGAAATGCTACAATACTTTCAGGACTATGGATACTATGGCGAGGATACGGAAGAAAAGGTCATGTGGTCGGCGAAGCAAGCTCGGGGTGAATTGACCACACTGGATGAGTATTTCCAGAAGAATCCATTGAAATTGGATTGAGTTTGAGGATGAAGGCCTATTTCGGTTTATGTCAGGAGCTAGTAAAGATGAAATTGTTCTGCACTCGGAAGGACGCTCTTTGATCACCTGGTTTAGCTGCGACTGCAAGCAACCGCATGTTCAATGACTTTGAACTTGCCCACCAGTCTGTCTTTTCTTTCGCTATAACTCGCTCAAACTTTCAGCCGATGAGAGACACACAATAAGACGGCTATGAGTAAGCCGGTAGAAATTGATCTCGGTGCCTCGGGCGCCGTGGTTTCTCTTGTCTTGCACAAGCAGCTGTAGCGTAGTAATATTATCGCAAACCAAGCATAAAGACCTGTTCCACGTGATTGATCAGTGTTCTCACTTTCCCCCCTGCAGGTTGTTGGCTAATTGATCAATTCTAGGTCATATCCAAGCTTTGTGTTCACCTCCCCCTCGTCGGCCCAATCCGTACACTACCATTTGGTATCGCTCAATTCAATGGAGAACAATGTTTTTTCTGAGCGCGGTTCGCAAGCAGCATCCATCGTTGGCCTGGCAAATTTCATTTTAGATGAATGCTCGGCAATGGAGAGAGCGTGTGAGGAAGACGGAACCCCTCAACCTAGCATGCTGGCTGGCACGAGCACGGCTTTCTGGTCAGCAGATGCACCCAAACTCACCTCTTCTCGATCAAAGGCGCTTGGGCTACTGGAAAAACTCGCCACCCTCCTACAAGGACCCCATGAATTTCTTCACGAATTTGTCGCGCCCAATTGGGATCATGGGGCGCTTTACGCTTTCCTGCAATCCTCAGCCCTAGAGTATATGGCATCGTCTGATAGTCCCGTGTCCCTATCTAGTCTTTCGCACACAACCGACATTCCTGAAGACAAATTAAAGCGTATACTGGCTCTTTTACGATGCAAAAATATTGTAGATGAGCGAGAAGAAGATATGTTCACTCTTACTGCTGTGTCAGAGGAGCTGATCAGGGATCAAGACTTCAGAGCTTGGGTTGAGTTTCAGTATGCTCATACTCCGCAGGCAGAGCGATTATAGTATTTGCTAATAAATCAGACTGTTCGAGACACGCGTCGCAAGTGCTCATCTGGCTCAGGCACTTGCCAAGAAGCCCAATGATTATGAAAACGGGAGCTCGGGTTTCGCCGAAGCGTATGTACCCCTTTGCGTAGTTACTAGCACAACTGATTGCTTAAACCTTTGACAGATGGGGATCTGAAATGTACGACTGGCATTCAAAGCACCCAGACAAAGGGGACCGCTTTCGGCAGGCAATGCGAGGAGTGTCGAAGTGTAAGTGACTTTGCGCACGGCCAATATGTAGCTTTTTTGACACCGTTAGCTTTGGATCCGGCGGACTCTCTACTTCGCAAACACATTCCCTCCGGTGGAATTTCTTCGGGACGTATCAAGATTGTCGAGATTGGCGGAAGGTATGGCTTTGCGTCAATTGCCCTCGTCGAGGAGAGACCGGAACTTTCCTTTGAAGTCCGCTGTGACTCGCAAGACTTCATACGACGCGGAGCTGCTCTCGTTACAGCGTCTTCAAAGGAACGCATTACCTTCACCGACGTAGACTCTCTGACAGATTCCTTATCGAAGGGTGACTCAACTAGTGTTTTCGCGTATGTCATCCGTAATGTTTTCTGGAATTGGACGGACCACGAGGCGATAAAACTGCTTCAAGCTTTGCTACCCACTTTAAGAGCCGCACCATCTACCCGTATCTTGGTAACAGATGGTGTGTCCCCGGTATCTAAGCAATTCCTACAGCATATCGAGATTGCGTATCGGCGAAGAGACATTACGACAATGGTAATGCACAACGTAAAGCAAAGAACGCAGGCAGAATGGCTCAAACTATTTTCCCAGGTACATCCAAGCTTGAAGGTTAGTCTCGGTTTTTTGAGGAGGTAATAACGGGTTACGGGGCTAATCTCTGAACAGATCACTACGGACTTTGAGACCAGCACACATGTTTGCAAGGCGCTCTGGAACCTTAGTTTAGAGTCTTGAGTCACCACAGTGCATTATATACATAAGGGCAGTAGTATTTGCAAAGCATCTGCTTATAATACAGTAAAATCATTGATTGCATGCGTTACACACATTGCTGAAGCCCGATGCATAAGTCTAATCTGCTAGATTTCAATTTCTCCAGGCGTTGAAAACCTCAATATTCGCGAATTTCCATACATTGGAACGTATATTCTCGTATGTACTCCTAAAATAGGGCTGGAGTTCGCAGGAAGTGTGGCGAGCTTTACATAATATCATTGCAGGTAGCTAGAACAGTGTCTGCAATAATTCTAGTACTTTATCGAACGCGGGTCCTTCCTTGACCCCACCAAGGGCTCTCTGTGCGATTGTAAAAGTCTGGTCCTTGCCCACGCCCCGAGCAGACAAGTTAGGAATATTCAAACCAAGTGTTCCGACCAAAGCTATGATGCGATCGCCGACCTCAAGTGCGTCCCGTAAATCATCGCCCGTCAAGGAGCCCCCTACTCCAGGTAGCAGGCGAGCAATCTGTTTTGCTGACCAGGCCGACTCGTTGGCTTTCAACTTCACCACCTTCCCGAGAGTCATGCACGAAGTTATGCCATGTGGGATACCATAAGGACTGCCAAGCGCATGGCCCAAGCTATGTGAAAGACCCATTCCTCCCTTTAGGTTCTCTCCTTTCAACCCTGAGCTTGCATAAGCTGCAAGCATCAACCGAGTGGTCACAACATTGTCGAAAGGATGCGATTCTCGTGCTTTGGGGAGGCATTCAAAGAGCTCTCCAGCAGCCCATATCGATAGTGCTTTCCAAGGAACTTCGGACGAGCTAGGGTGATACATGCATTCAACCGCATGGTCCATTGCACGCATGCCGGTACTCAGCCATAGATCTTTGGGAGTGTAGCGAGCAAACTCTGGGTCGTAAAATATCGCGGATACGCCCATCTCAGGTGCTCGGAATCCAACCTTTACACCGTCTCCTTTGGTGTAGCCACCACCTGCCGTACACTCTGCGGCACTCAGGGTGGTAGGGATAGTCAGATGAGTAAGAAAAGTTCCTCTCGTCTCTTTTACCCGCAACGAGATGACCTTTGCGGTGTCGATAGGGGATCCTCCACCAAGCGAGAGAATAGTATCGACATCAGGGTGGCTCAAAACTACCTGGGTAGCACGCTCCACGTCCGCTATTGGGCCATGTTGTCCAATTCCTGTAATCGTTCCGGCATGATGTTTTCCAAGCTTTTCTTCTAATTGGCGAACAAGGGGAGTCTTATTGGCAAGGGATGTACCAGTTACGATGAAAACCTTGGAAGAAGGGCCAGGTAAGGTACCGAGAAGGTGCTGCTCAACACACCCGGAACCGTAGTGCAGATTTTTGAGATGGATTCGTGGCTGCCAGAGCCCTGAGAGACTCATAATTGGGTCTTGGGAGTGCATAAAGATGTGTATTTTCAGAGCCGGAGGACAACTCTATGCGCGTGGAAAGCCAATAGCTTTCATTCTTTAAGGATCGCTTAGTACAGAGAATCGGACCTCGGACTCCGCTTGGCGATAATGATCTAATGCATGACCGAAGCCGGATATATAATCACCCGAGATGTTCAAATAACGTGCACATGATATCTGCGTTTCCAAATACGGTTTGTTAGCGATTCACTATTCGAAAACATCATGGCACACCTTCAGAAGCTCGGCACATCGATTTCAGATCAAATCTTACCGACGTTTGCGTATTATGCCCCACTTCTCCGCGCGAACGCCTCGACCATTCGATCCACCCCTTGCTCGACTTTCACTTATGGTCCTTCCGACCGCCATAAACTGGACGTGTATACTCCACTCAAACATAGCATCACTGGTAGTCGCCATCCAGTCCTTATCTTCTTCTACGGCGGCGGATTCGTTCAAGGACACCGAACACTGCCCCTACCTATTCTTGATGGACTCGTGCACGCCAATGTAGCTTCCTTTTTTGTCCAAAAATATGGTTACACAGTTGTGGTACCAGATTACCGGCTCTTATCACACGGTGCTGAGTTCCCTTCCGGAGGCGAGGATGTGGCTTTGACGATGCAATGGGTTTCTGAGAATGTGGACAAACTTGGTCCTGCGGAAGAAAAGAGCAACTTTGAAGTCGACCTGTTCCTACTGGGGAACTCGGCGGGCGGTGTGCATGTCTCTACCTTCTTGCTGTCCGACACATTTAACGGCGTCAGGGCGGATCTGCTCAACGCCGAGAAGACGAAACTCAGAGGAGTGGTGTTCTTATCTGTACCTTTCTCTTATGATATGGTACATGATGAGGCGAAGAGGGAGGTTTTGGAAAAATACTTCGGAAATGCGGAGCAGAATTGTCCATCGACCCTTCTGAAGGGCGCGCGTCGATCGGATCCAGGCGCGCTCGACTTCGTTAAGGCCGGAACACGCCTTCTGGTGCTTAACGCAGAATGGGATCCCGAGGATGAGTGTCTGCGTCCGCGTGACGAATTTATCCAGGAGTGGGGGAAGTTTGAGGACAGTACGAGTGGGGACGCTTTAGTCGTTGACTCTATACTGGGTCAGAATCATATCAGCCCTTTCTTGGCTCTAGGCACAGGTGTAGAGAGTGAGGAGGCATGGGGCTATCTAGTGGCGAAATTTTGTACTGGCAGTAGGTGATATTACTATGCAGAAAAATGTATAAGTAGATTATAAGCTCTCAAGTGCTTGTATAATTCTGAATACATGGGATGAGTGATGGTTGTGGTATTTGAGAGGGCTTCCGCGGATGGGAAGAACGGGATGGAAAAGCTCAATTTCCGGCACCAACCCGATGCGGTCTAGTGCCACGGGGGACTCAATTTGGACTAGTGCCAAGGGGTGGCCCCCAATTTGTTTTTCGCAATATGCTTGTGTGAAGGCTCTATCGTTTGCATTTTTGGTTATCGCTCGTTTTATAGTCTATTTATTGTCGTAAATATTGCTGTGCGTAGAATCATCCAAACTCCAACTCAGCATTCAACTTGAGTGAGAAAGTCTATTCACATGTATTAGGTAACTTTAAACGAAGGATATTAGGCAGAGCAGATTCCTATACCGGATCACTCTCACAAAGGCCTATGTAACTGCTCTACGCCTTTACCGTCTTCTTATCTAGCTTCCCAATAGCTACAGCCGCTAACCCCTCTGTAGAATCGCCGCCCAGAATCTCGAAAACTGAGATATCTACCTCCACTGCTTTTAGAAACCACGTACGCAGCTCGCTTGCAATAAGTGAATCGATTCCGTACGAGTGCAGCGGGCGGGACGTATCGAACTGCTCGGGTGCCACAGAAAGGAATTTGCACAATTTGGAAGCGAGGATAGTGGCAAGGTCTTGCGTGGCGGACGACGATGAAGAGTGAGACCGAAGTAGGGTAGGTATATCGGTTGTTGTAGTTTTGGTAGCGTCGAGAGCGTTGGGGTCAGAAGAATTAGTGGTCGTGGATGTGGAGGACGGTGCGGTGATGGAATGTAGAGGAGAGAAGAGAGGTTGAGTCATCCATGATGGCTGTATATCGCCCTTTGCAGCGACGACGGAGGGAATTTGAAGACCGGTTACGATTTGGGTTTGTTTCTGAATATTAGAAGGATAGGAAGCTGGGGATGAAGAGTTTTGTAGACCGCCGCAAGGTTCGTCTAGCAACGCGAATAGCTCAGGCTGCGTCATAGGGAGCATTTGTTTCATGGAGATTACCCATTCGAGGGAATCGCGATTTTCAGCGAAAACGCCTTCATTGGCCATGGCGCTCAAATTGATCGTCGTAGCCTTTTTGCCGTCTGCCGCTCGCTGGAGGGCAAGCGCATCCTGGAAAGTGTTGGCTGCTGCGTAGTTAGATTGGCCTTTTGATCCGATGATGCCGCTGACAGAGGATAGAATGATGAAAAAGTCCAAATCCTCATGTAAAAGTCGGTGGAGGTTCCAGGAGCCGGTAACCTTAGGGAGGAGCGTCTCCCTCCATTGCGTTGGAGACATGTTCGCAAAGGTCACGTCCTGCATATAGTCAGTACTTTCGGCCTTCTTAACTCCATCTTAGTCCGAAAAATCAATTTACTTACTCTTATCACCATTGATGCTTGAAAACACCCTCGAATGGGGGGCATGTGCTTTCTGCAAGAATCGAGCACATTCGCCAGAGCAACCTCATCGGTAATATCGCATGGTGGAGTGCTCACTCTTACACCAGCGTCTAACATATTCTGCACAAAACCAGCAGCAGCCGCAGATGCTGCACTCCTCCTCCCAAGAAGTAGTAGATTGCGTGCGCCCTTGGATACCATCCAGGTAGCTATACTACGTCCTTGGCCTCCCAAACCTCCAGCAATCACATACGTGTAGTTTGGGTCGAAATTCGAAGACGTTCCTGGTTCGAAGACAGCCTGCTACAGCTCAGTTTCTACTCACATCAGATTCGCAGTTTGCTCTTACTGGGACCATGATCCGCGGATCAATCTCGACTACCACTTTTCCAGAACTCTTACCGCTTTGGAGATACCGAAACGATTTCTCCACTTCATTGATCGAAAAAGTTTTGATTGGCTGTACGACGCGCAGCGCACCATCCTTGAAAAGCTGTAGGACTTCGCGGAAAGCTCTTTGAACCATCTTCGGTCGTTCTGTGGCCATGGCTGCAATGTCAACAGCACTAAACGTGACGTTCTGCTCAAAATTGTTAAGAGAAAGCTGTCCTTTCGAGAGTATATCGCGCTTTCCAATCTCTATGAATCGCCCATAGGATGCTATGCAATCCCAAGAAGCCAAGAGGCTTTCCCCTGATAGTGAGTTTAGGACCACGTCAACTCCCCGTCCGTTGGTAAGGCGGTAGATACCCTGTGCAAATGACAGGTCCCTACTATATAAAATATGTTCTTCATAGAGGCCGTAGTGATCCATAAGAAGCCTTTTCTTTGATTCCGACCCGACAGTAGTGTATACCGTGGCCCCGCAATGAAGTGCTATCTGAATAGCTGCCTGCCCAGTGCCGCCCGCTCCGGCATGGATGAGCACTGACTCGCCAGGCGCAAGCCTAGCGATTTCTATCAATGCGTGATGTGCAGTGACGAAATTGGTTGGAATCGATGCTGCTTCCACAAAGGACATGTTATGTGGGGTGAGTTCTGCCAACTCCTGCTTGCATCGAATCGAACGCTGGAATCCATTCGAGGCAAGTGCAATCACGGAGTCGCCCTTCTTCAGACGACAATTAGACCCTGAATTAATTATGATACCTGAGCACTCAGTTCCGAATGTGCTGGCGTTGACATGACCCATGGCCACAAGTACATCCTTGAGATTGACACCGACGGCTTTAACCTGGATTTCCAACTCGTCTGGCGCTAGCGGTCGAGGTGCTCCTCTTATCTCCTCAAAATACAAAGACTCGAGAAGACCCGCTGAGCGAGTGCGCAGGCTGAGATTCTTGTTTCCGAATGGTATAAGCTCTTGCCTTTCGGCGGTCATGCTGTATACCTGTTGATTGAGCTTGTCATCCTCATAAACACGAGGAATATAAAGCATACCATCTGTCACAGCCAGCTCCGGTTCATACACACCGGTCTCAATACCCTGCGGAGTATTCTTCAGAGCGATCTCGAGATGAGTGGGATGAGTACTTCGAGAGTCACTGCTCAGTGTAAGCGTGGTGAACACAAGATCATCTCTCTCTAAGCGCAGAGTCCTGGCAAGACCGGTAGCCAAACCATACATGGGACATTCATCCGGTTGGTTAGAAGTCTCATTGATCCAAAGTATTGCCTTCGCATGCATGAGAACAAAGTGCAAAGACGAGAATTGTGAATCGCTTAAGCGGTCTAACGATGGCCAGGTATCGTCAAAGATAACGATCATCAGCTCTTGACTCAGTTCTTCAATTCCTGCAGCACCCTCGAAGGTTGTCGCTGATGCCTGAGTCTGTTCTTGCACGATACGATATAAAGAAGGTACTGCGAAGTCGTTGAATCCAGTGATGATTCGTATAGGTGGAGATGGGATGGCTGGTTGAATTGCGCTACCAACGGCCGTGGATATCATGAAGCTCGCATGGTGATCCAAGGTATCGTAATCGCGGGTAACTACATCCGTGCCGGAGAACCCATTTTTTAATAGTGCTTCATTCCACATTCGCTCCGTGATGATGGGCCCGCTGTTTCTATAGGAATCGTCACTCTGCCACCAGCCTGGCAAGCACCCGAATATCAGACTCTCCGTGCAAGATTTCGGCTCGGTAAGTTCAATGAGTAGTAGTTTACCACCCTCTTTTAATAGTCTTCTCAGATAACTGAGCGTTGTGTCCAATGACTTTGTTGCATGGAGAACATTATCTGCCACGATAACGTCGTAGGAACTCGCCTCGAATCCTTGGGCCACAGGGTCACTCTCCGCATCTAAAATACCAAATTTCATCTTCGGGTATGACGCGAAGTCATTTTCTGCCTTGGCGAGGAACGAATGTGAGATGTCAGTAAAATCATATCTGGAATAGCGCGTCGAGTAGCCATATGATGTGGGAGTTGTAAGAGATTCGAGCGCAGATATCGTAGTAGATCCGGTACCGGCACCGACCTCCAAGACTCTCATAGTCGGGTTCTTGTGGGAAAGAAGACTCAAATAGAATTTCATCGAGTCTGTGAACTTCCACGTCTTTCCAATAAGTTGGTAGTAGTCTTGTAGCATATTGTTCTGGCTCAGTAGCTCAAGTGCGTCGCATTCACCCCGAAGAATAGGTAGCAGATTTTGCCCAAAGCGACTGTAAATCTCGCCTATTCGCCCATGCTCTTTGATTCGGCAATGTAAATCGTTGAGTCTTACATCATTCACTACTTCCCCAGAGACCCTCTCTCGGATCCAACAGAATTGGCTGGTCAAATGGGGTGTATGTTTCGCCATGTCACTCGGTAACAGCTCTTGCGATGCTTTCGCCATCACAGCCGATACAAACAGCTCGAGATCACGCGAAAGATCCACAGGATCAGGTAATGTTGATCGTTTAGATGCCAGAAGCTGCTGTAGCTGATGTTGGTTCATCAAAGATACGTCCGGGTTGGATACGAGATTGAAGCATAATCTTCGCGCAGACTCCTCAGTTGCCCTAGTCGCGTTCAAAGGCTCAGACACGGCCTTCGCTCGTATCCCATCTACGTGAACGAGAATGCGGCTAAGATGCGCATCGAAGGCGTAAATTATAGATTCGGTAGTTCGAGTGTCTTTTGATCGGGGAGAGGCGTGTGCTCGTATCATGGACGCAGTCGGGTTCGCGATGAGCCCTGGACTAGAAATCCATATGCGGTCTACCTGCGTTGGAACTATGGTTGACAATTTGGAGTTTTCACCTTTCCACACCGCCGGTAGCATCATTTGCAGGATGCCATCAAGAGTCACAGGGTGTATTACGCTGGGTGGCGCAAGACCATCCTTGTACATGTTGATCTCCCCGACCGCTTGGCCTGTCTCATTGTAGTGAATTTTCTTGATACTGCGGAATCGTTCTCCGAAATGATAACCATGCCTGGAGATGCGGTCATACAGCTTTTGTCCTTCGGAGCTGCTTGTGCACTGCGCCAGTGCGTGTTCCGCGTCAGACACGGCCGAAGCTACCGCAGCTCGAGATTCGCGGCCGCTGTCCACTGACCGGGACTTTGTGTCTAAATAGACTGGCTTTACGGATCCTCGACAAATTTCAGAGGTAAAGGTTTCTCGATGAACACAAATGGAAAATTGGTACCCGGAGTGCATATTACCAGGTACATCCGCAAGATCCTTCAGGCGAATTTGAGTCTCGACAGCTTCTTTGTCGCTGGGAATAGTCAAACCCGTGATGAATTCGACGTCTCGTAATTCATACGCCTCGATCGATTTACCCTTGTCATCAGCTAATTGAGCAACCGCCTCCATTGCCATCACTAGCATGCCAGAGGCGGGAAACAGAATATCGCCATTGATCTGATCTTATTAGATAATATATGAGACGGTGCCTGCACATACATACCTTGTGGTCGCACACCCATGACAATGCCGACGTGGGCGATGAATCCAGGAAATGTCTCCATCGAGGCTCAAGTGGATTCCAATCCGCAACCGGTGCACCTAAAAAGTTATTCCTCCCATGCTTCCTCAGCCTGATTTTCTTACTAATACGAGACTCTTCCCAATAGGTACGGGAATGATCGAAAGGATATTCAGGCAAAAATGGAAGGGCAAACGCTTTGTTTCTGGTATTCCCAAGAGGAGCATTAACTTGCCGCACGTCTACAGGAAATCCCGAACAATGTAGTTGACCTAATGCTTGCAGCAGGGATGACACCGCTGACTGTCGGCGAATAAGCGTGGACGTGTAAGCAATCTTCGAACCATGCGCAATGGTGTTGAGAATCTCTCTTATCGGGCCCCGTAAAGTAGAATGTGGGCCCACTTCGAGCAGATGTGTGGCCTGCACATTATTGCGATGACTCAAATCGATCTTCTTTGTGATGCCTTTCCCTAAAGCCGCGCAACAAGCTTTGACAGAGTTCACAAATTGAACCGGAGATACAAGATTTTGTACCCAATAAGACGGTTGGCAGAGAGTGTCTGCATCGACTAGCTTGCCTGTCACTGACGAGATCATTGGAACAACGCCATAGTCTTGATCTTCTCGAACCAGGGACCCTATTTTTTCGGTATATGCATGGGTGATAGTTGCCATGTGGGGAGAGTGGTAAGCCACCGGCACGGACAGTAACCGGTTAAATATACCGTGCCGATCTAGCCCGGCTTTAAGGACCTGTATCAATGCTGCATCACCGGATATTGTAACGTTAGAGGGGCTATTGATGCATGCAATGCAAAGAATACCATGGCCAACCTTGTGTTTTACTGCATCAATATAGGCGTTTGCTGCATCTTCAGAAAGAGCTACAGATAGCATAGATCCTGCAGTGATGCCTTGTCGTGTTAATGTGCTCGACAGTGCTCCTCTCCAATACGCCAGTCTCAACGCTGACTTGCCTGATAATTTTCCAGAAGCATAAGCGGCTGCGATCTCGCCACTAGAATGACCAATGACAATCGAGGGGGAGACATTGCAGGAGTGCAGTAGGTCGACCAAGGCTATCTGTAGCATTGTACATATAGGCTGCGCCACCTCAGGATCATTGATCGCTGTTGTGGACTCAGGGCCGTCGATGAAGTCGGCTGGTGATCTTAGCAGTGCCTCTCCGACCAATGGACGGGATCATACCAATGAACTTTGTTTTACACCCTAGAGTCTGAAGATACGTTTCTGCTTCCAGTAGACTCCGATGAAATACAGGGTAAACAAGGAGTTCTTTGCCCATGTTCTGCCACTGTGCACCTTGTCCCGTAAAAACCAAGCCCAGCTTTGGATTACGAGTAACCTTTGTGTACGTGGGCCGGCTCTGAAGCTTATGGGCAAGGTCGGGAACGGATTGTGCAACCGCAAAAGATCTCCAGTCCAGCAAAGTCCTTCGCTCGAAGAGGGTCCGTGCCAATGCGTCGAGAAGCACGTAATCGATACTGCTAGAGCGGGGAACGGTGGCGAGATATGATTGGTATGCCGAAGAAAGTCTATCAACACCTTGTTCGTCTGCAGCAGACCAGACAAACAGAAAGGGTGGCGTGAGCTCGCATCTCCCCGATGTTGGATTCGACGCGAACCATACTTCGGTTTCCGACGGGATATGTAGATCTTGCGGCGGAGATGAGCTCGTGCAATGGCGGCCGCTAAGTCCGCGTCGTTGGAGGTAGTGATAAGCATCATCGAGGACAACATGTGCATTGGTGCCACCAAATCCGAAGGAATTGATAGATGCCCTTCGCAGGCCTGGTTTCGGCCACCTGACAGGATGTTTCGGAAACTGGTACGTGTCATTCTGCAGCTCGTCTCTCACGGCAGCGAGTAAAGGAACTTGAAATGGCGGGCACGCCCAAAATGGACCTCGCACTTGAGTGAAAACACACTACTCACCCCCAGATTCAGGAAATCAGAATCTATGGCAGGATTTAAAACCTTCAAGTCAGCGATGGGGGGTATGACTCCCTTCTCAAGGACCTGAATTGCTTTGATGACGCCCGCAATTCCACTCACCCCCTCAAGGTGACCGACATTCGCTTTTGATGCACCGCTTCATTCATCAAGCGTCAGCAACCGCCGAAATATGAGCGATCAACTCAACCCAATAAGACCGAACCTACATGTAAAGTGGTACATCGTGGGGGCGACGAGTGCGGAAGGCTTCACCAATTGCATTGGCTTCTATTGGGTCGCCAGCCGCAGTGCCCGTGCCGTGGGCCTCGACAAAACCGGTCAGTGACATATTGAGGCCAGCGCGGCTGTATGTATCCTCGATCAGCTTGACTTGAGCAGTCTTACTTGGCTGAGCCAGGTTTGTACTGCCATTCTGATTAGAGCCGGAGGCACGGATAACAGCCCTAATAGTATCCCCGTCGCGGAGGGCTGCAACAACAGGCTTGATGATGAGGACGCCCACGCCTTCCCCACGAGCGTAACCGTTCGCGCGCTCATCGAAGCTGTGGCAAACGCCATCGGGCGATAGAAAACCCATGTTGGACAAACCTATGGTCAGGTCCAGCATGAACAAAAGATTGCAGCCCGTGACTATTCCCTGGTGACTTTAGGACTTGCTTTGTCGCAGGGACGGACAAAGGCATGCGTGCATGCATACAGGACCGGGGGGGGTTAAGGGCAGGCTTACCAGCGAGGATTCGCACCTGCGTAAGGAGTGGCAGGCCATGTCCAATGCTACGAGGCTGCTCGAGCAGGCAGTGTCGATCGTCATGCTGGGACCAGTTAGATTGAAGAAGCTGCTAATGCGGTTCGACAGCATTGATCCGGCAAAACCTGTTGTAGAGTACGTCGGCATCAGCTCGGGATCTTTGCCGGCTAGCTGTTGGTAGTCTGCAGTAAAAGAGCCTGTGAAGACGGCCGCATCGGACCCGCTGATTTGGGTGATCGGAATTCCAGCTTTATGGCGTTGGTTAGATTAGAAAATGCATCGTTGCAACGCATACAGAACGGAAAATCTTTTTCGGCTATGCTCACCATTTTCGAGCGCTCTGTACGTTGTCTCTAGAAGCAAGCGCTGCTGTGGGTCCAGTGCTGCTGCTTCGGCGGCTGTGATAGCAAAGAAGGGGGCATCGAAGGCTGCAAGGTCCCGTTCCAGGAAGTGCGCCTTTTGCGGGCGTATCTATCACGTCACAAGCTCACAAATTAGATTGTCGTTGCTTAAGTGATCGATGAAAACGTTTGCCTTGTTGATGCAGATCGGCGGGGTGCGGATGATGGTTTGCCCTACCGTTCCACGCGACGACGCATCTCCACTCTGCCATGCATGCTGGTTGAGTCTCTGTGCAGGAAAAGCTTTTGCCGCAGACCGACCCGATAGTACCAGATCCCAGAAGGCCTCGGGGGAAGCTGCGTCTGGGAAGTCGAGAGAGAAGCCGATAATGGCCATGTCCTCCGCAGCATTGCACTCTGCTTCGCTGTCCCTCAAGTCCTCGGAGGGTTTACTTGCATCTGAAGAGTCGACCGCCATCTCAGCTAGGAACATGGGGGGTAAATCAGAAGGAAAGCTGAGGGTAGAAGTAGGCAGATGGAATACCAGGTCGAGGATGGGACACTGTATGATGGGGCCGAGTGCAGCCGAGGATGAACAGGGAAGCTTGTTGGTTAGAGAGTCTAGAAGGACGCGTGTGGTACATGGTAGGCGGCACAGCAGGTCATACGAGATGACTTCGGCCAATCAGAAACCACGTTTATACATATCACGCAGCCTATAGTAGTTACCCGGGGTAAACACGGGGCGATTAACCGACGTCGACCTGTCAACCACTGGATACACGACAATCATAGACAGCTACCGTTCGAAATCAGCTTTCAGAAGGTGTAAACGGCTTTCTGGAGATGCACAAGATGCACTTTCTCTGTCTGCACGGGAAGGGCACAAATAACAAGGTATATCGCCCATGTATATGCTCAAAACAATGAAAACGGACACTGCTCACATGAACGCCAATTAACCGTCCAATGGCTCAGGTCTTTGAGGCGCAAACAGCTGCCCTTCGCTACGCTATCAATTCCGATCAGCACCACACCTACGACTTCGCAGAAGGGGCACTCGAAACCACCATGGAAGAATCAATCCGCGATCTGTTCCCTGCAACATCCTCATACTACTCCTACTTTGATCTATCCACACCGAGCAGCATGGTCAAGGTTCTCCGGGACCTCGAGAGGTTCATCGTAGCCGAAGGCCCGTTCGACGGCGTGCTCGCCTTTTCACAGGGCGCGGCCGTCGCAGCGACATTGATGGCCCAGCGCATGAAACGCGACGCCGCTCAGGAAAGACTTAGACCCGTGTTCAAATGTGCCGTATTTGTCGGCGCGGCAGCACCGTGCGATCCCATAGAGCTAGAGGAACATGGCCGCGTGCGCGTGTTGGATGCGGCAGTCGATGGCGAGGTTATTGAGGTGCCGACGGCGCATATCTGGGGCGAACAGGATGCCTCACTGTATCCGCAGCTCCTGGCGGGGCTGTGCAGAGCGGAGGGGAGGAATGTCTATGTTCATGAGGGTGGGCATGCGATCCCCGGGTCGCAGACGGATGAGGCTCTCGCAGGGAGCGTGAGGGTGGTCAAGCGGTGCATTGCCATGGCGCAATATGGTCAGGTACCTAGGTAGCCATCATTTTCCGAAAGGCAGGATAGTTATCAATGGACTGAGAATCCATTGCCGCCTAGAAGTACACTAGTGCGGGTCCGGTGGACCCTGTGGACCCTTCAGTTGTTCACGGCAGTGCTTGTCCAAAACCTTAATTCAACCATCGTCAGTATTGCCGGTTTAATGGATGTCGTTTAAAGCTATTGGGTCATGCGCTACGCGTACATTCAGCTATCTACAGGGAACATTTAACGCAATGCCTCACTCGAGCATGACCTGAACGCGTCGCCACATAAGACACGTGAAGAAGAACTGCGCTACCACAAATCCAATCAAGATGCGCATCTGGAGATTAAAACTCTTAACAAACATGCCGTGCACGACGGTCTGCACATCTGTCGGGAATGAACCAATGTTAGAAGCCTGGCGAAACACAGCTGCTACATCATCGGGGCTCAGCGCTATTGGCAGAGTGTGTTTAAGCCAATTATTTCCCACTGCGGTGATGATGGCAAGGGCTGTTGCACCGCCTAAGAAACGAAATTTCACTATGGATGCTGTAGCCACAGCTGTTTCATGTCAATTAACCATGCGCAGACGAGAGACGGTGAATAGGACGACAGGATGTATGTACGTACCCAAATCGCGCTTCTCTGTAACATAGGGCGTCATGAGGGTGACGACGCCGTTGCCCATTCCCACCCCCGTGCCGGCCAGAACCTCGAGGCCATAAAGCGCTTGCCAGTCTGGATTGGTAGCCTTGCCCATCGACATGAAAATCAGACTTAGGAGCTGGAAGAGGCCGCCCGCGAACGAGAGGTAGACAGGTGGCATGCGGCGTTTCTTTGCGAGACCGGCTACCAAACCGGCACCCAATTGGAGGGTGAGAGAAAAAGGTATGAGACGGATGCCAGCCGAGAGCGGTGAAGAGCCTACGGCAGCTTGGTAGCGGATAGGGATGTTGATTATACAGCTTGTCGAGACAGCGCCGTTGAGAAATGTGTTGCTGCACTCATAGTCAGTCTTTGTGGGCATCACTTTGAAATACCAGGTTGGATTCGACGTTGAAGCGAGGAGACCACGCACCCTAGCAGTCCAATGTAGACCCTGTTTTTGAAGAAGCGCCGTGGAAACAGTGGCTCTCGCTGCTTCGTCCCCCCGTCCGAGTACCATTGCCAGATGAAGAATGATAGCCAGATGACCACCGATATGAGAATGGGCGCTAGCACCATGGCAGATGTCCACGAGTACATGTTGGCCGCTTGCTCCAAGCCCGTTATGTGCAGCGCCATGGCGGCCACTAGCAGGAAGGCGCCTAAGAAATCGACGCTGGAAGCCGACGGTGGCTTGCGCAGGCTTGGGTTCGCGTGGTTGGGAAAGTGGTTCGGCATGGCCACCCCAAGAAGGCCAAAGGTGACGACGCCTCCAGGAACGCTGTGGTAGAGAGCCGGTCAGTTACATTCCTCATTGCGTGGGGGCCAACATGGCATAGCGCGCGTACTTGAGCAGAAAAACCCATATCCACGAGCCGTGCAGATTGATCAAGCCGCCGAATATGGGACCCAACACCATAGCCAGCCCGAATAGCAGCGTGATGACAACTTGGTAAGTAGGCCATTTAGCGGGAGGTACCATCTCGAATACGACTACCATGACGAGCGAGTAGACTCCGCTCCCACCGATTCCCTGAAAAGCTCTACACACAATCCTGTGTATATTTGTTAGGAGATGGGGCCAACCGTAAATCGGATCGGGAGAGAAGCGCACAATTGTATCATGGTCTGGGCAGCAGCGCATCCGCCGGAGAAGACAGTGAAGACGGCGGTACAGAATAGTAGCATGGTCTTGCGGCCAAAGACATCGCTGAGTCTGGCCAGAATGATCATGAAGCTTGTGTAGGTCAACAGGTAGGCGGTGACAACCCAGCTGCTCTGGCTGAAGTGTTGGAGGTCATTGGTGATGGAAACGAGCGAGGTGCTAACGATGGAGATTTCAAAATTGACTAGGAAGATGCCGAGGCACAAGCTAGGAGGTTGTTCAGTCAAAACAATAGATGGATCGGTGATTTGTGGAGTCGAATACTCACCCGGTGGTGAGAAGGTGTAGGCGCCATCCTGTCAAATAGTGGGAGATGTCCTGACTGTGTGCATCACTAGGGAGAGGACGGTCGAGAGGCTCGTCTGTATATTCGATGGGCTTGAGGGGCTCGAGAGGAAATTTGGGATTGAGGTTCTCGTCGCGCATGACGGTGAATGTTGATGTCGACGACCGAACAGTAAGCTTCTGGGGTCGGGAGTTCGCTATTTCTTGGCCGGAGGAAGTGTCGCAAGGGCGGGCGACGTTTGTAAGCTGAGGGGTATGAAACGACATGCAGAACGTGATGCAGCCTCGGGAAGCGAAGCCGGGTGAATGCCGTTGTGGCACCTGCCAATTTTGTACGCAGTGCATCTTACATCATGTTGCAACGTCTTTCAGCGTTATATGACTGGTGCATAAACGGTCTGAACAGGCAACACAAGCGCTTCTCGCACCCTTGTCGGTGATGCCGGGGATATACGTTTATTGATCCTACAAGGGTGTTTACCCTGCTCCCCGTGTCTTGGCCTCAAAATTAAGCTCGGGCAAGCCATTCTGGCTGCTGCCAAAATCAGAAGCCAAGTTTTCAACGTCCCGCACCGGCGGCACGGGAGAGTCTGTTGTAGGGGGGTCGGATCCATCAGTCGTGGATGGGTTCATCGTCCCGCTCCAACCCTGGCTTCACACCGTCGGTGACTGTGCCACTCGCACGAGTCAACCTCTTTGACCATGAATCGAGCATACAATGGGGGCCTCTCCTCGACCTGATTCCCATCTCTCCCGCAGAGCCTTCTGCCTTTTCGGTGTATCGTCATGACGCCCGAAGAGCATGAGAGGCTTCTCAGTAAGCCCGCCCTCGACCCGCCGCCCGGCGTCAAATCCGACTTCAATGTTCCCGTAGGCCACAAAAACCTGAGCTACGGCTTCGGCGCCCTTTTATTATTACTCATCACCCTTGTGGTTGCTATGCGCATTCTCACGAGAGTAAAACTCTTGCGACGGTTGTCGCTCGAGGACTGTAAGTTGTATCGCTTCCGTCCCAGCACATGGCGGTTGACAGGGACGCATGGTTGAATCATGTCAGATCTTCTACTATTCTCTTGGGTAAGATAAATACGCCCTCGATACTGAACATCAAAATCTAATTTTGCCTAGCTGGCATACGCTGCGGGCTACAACACAGTCGTGTTCAAGATTGCCGCACATGGTGTTGTTGTTCATCAATGGAACTTGACCCTACGCCAATTCATCGACTATCTCTATGTACGCAGTTTAACTAGCATCAGTACGCGAAACCAAGCTTCTAGCACTGATTCATCATGACCAGTTTTTCCACGCCGGAACCATTCTTTATAATATCGTCATTCTCCCACTCAAGCTTTCCATCATTATCCAGATTCTGCGCGCATTCGTGCCTTCTGGCTCACGCACCCCGACATTCTGGATGGCCCATGCTCTAATCTGGACAAATATCCTGTTCTACGTTACCTCGACCGCCATAACAATCTTCGCGTGCAAGCCGACGTCCAAGTCCTACGATCCTACGGTGCAGGGCGGTCGTTGCCTAGACGCGGTTGCTGTTAACATCACTTCCGCCTCACTCAACAGTCTGTCGGACGCCCTCCTCCTCATCCTCCCGCAACAAGTCATCTGGCGACTCTCCCTTCCACGGAAACGGAAATGGGTGCTCTCAATCGCTTTCCTCGGCGGTATCCTGTGCGTTGGTCTTGTTCCATGTCTTTTTCACCCCTCCACACCTTCTATTCACGTACCACCTCCACCTATCCCAGATTAACACCAGGCTCCAGCTCCCTCGTCTCCGCCATCGTTCGTCTCGCCTACCTCATCATACTCGATCACTCTAAAGATGTTTCCTACTACTCAGGCCAAGTAGGCGTGTGGTCCTTCCCCGAAATCGCCTTCGGTTTTCTCGTTGCGTGCCTACCCGTGGTGCGCGGCTTCTTGAACCTCCTCCGCGATTCCCAAGCCGCATCCGTGATCCGCTCCATGTACCCGCGGCGCCGCCGCCCGCCATCAGACTCGTCTACAGACACTACTGCAAGGAGACGGGCGCAGGCGTTGGCGGGTATAGCACAGTTCCGCTATCAGAACGCCAGGCCACATGTTTCAGATATCGAGTATCATGAGCTCGTGGTGAAGAGTGGAAGCTCGTGGGTTGCGGAGGGAGAAGCGAGGGAGGAGAATTGGAGGCCATGGCTTGTAGCGAAGCCTCCACGAACGGTCATAAGACCAAAGAGTTACCCGCCAAGAAGAATATCAGAGCCAGTAGTGATGGTGAAAGAAGATGATGAGATCATTCCCCGCTATGCGCATGGGCCGGGGCCACAGACACCGCGCGGTAGCGTAGATAACAGTCGATAACAAATATTTCCTCTTCTAAGAGAATAAATGGGAATACAAGCTCGTTAGACAGACCTTCACAATTCTCTAACATATCACTAGGGTAGGTTGATTTTCTGTGTATGTGTTTGCAGGTTATACATCTTACATCGCATCATATATCCTTACAAATAGTTGTATACGCCATTTTGTAAAATCCATGATTAAAACTTAGCGAATTTCTATGTTCTAACACTCAATGTAGACTTGAAATCATAATACTAACAAGTGTTAGATTAATTTTACAACAGGACTCTACTCTTAGGAGACAGAGGGCGGATGCCGCAACGTCACGATAGGCAAATTGGTGTTTATGTGGGGCAAACAGTAGCCAAGGCGCTACTAGCTAGCGCTCAAGTACACTCGCAGAGTAGAAGGAGGCACAGCAAAAGAATTGGATAGCCCAACAGACAAATGCTAAGTTTCATACCCACGTTAAGATATAAATACAATTATTAAGCAATCTTCCACCATTTCTTCGAAGTGTGAATCAAGTACAGCTGCCTATACTTACCCCTCACAGAAGCAGAGACCGGATGCAGAGGCCGGCCGGACCGTCCCCACTCAACCCGCTTAAGCCGCCTCCGCCTGCCCAGGTACACGATCTGGGGTAACCAAGGCCGAGATCCGAAATAGGACTACTGTGATATATACGATGAACTACCTATTCTATGCAGGAATGCTCACTGCTCCGACTCATTGTTGAAGCATACATTTTTAAAAAAAAAGAAGTTTCCATTCCCCTTCATTCTCTTTCAGCTGAGCTCTTTGCGCGCCGTTTTTCACCCAGTGATTAAATCATGCGCTCCTACGCAACATGTTTCCAACGGACCAGCGTTGCTGCGCGCCCTTCATCAGCTCGACGAGGTTTCCTAGGCGCCAGCGGTCTTGCACAGCATCATATACACATCCGACGAGCACCTTTCGCGAGTACACATGCCATGGCTTTCTCGACGGACAGAGCCAACACGGTCGGCTTCATTGGCCTTGGTGCCATGGGACATCACATGGTAGAGTCGTCCGAGACCCCGGGGGTCATGTTGGAGAAACAATCTGACTGTTATCTTGAGTAGCTCAACAACCTGATCGCGAGGTATAAGCAGCCGGGAGGCGGAGAGGTTGGCTTTGCCTTGTGCGACGTGAACCAGGCCGCGGTGGAGAATATCATGGAGCGTCATGCCACGCAAAACCCTAATGTACCGCTCACGAGCTGCGCGTGTAAGCACATGCCGTGATCGAAAGTCCTAGTATGCACTGCTACACGGTGGCTGACAAATTCTCTCAGCACCTTACGATGTAGCGCAGAAAGCATCCACTATTATCAGCATGGTGCCTACTGGGAAACACGTGCAGGAGGTCTATGTTGGTGAAGGGAAGAGTGTGCTGAGCGCTCTCAAGAGCATGAGTCAGGATCAAAGGGCATCGACCCTCTGCATGGATCAGTCAACAATTGAGCAAAGTGTTAGCAAGGTGGTCGCGTTGCAATTGAGGGAAGCTGGCGCAGATTTAGTGGACGCCCCTGTCTCGGGAGGTAGGTTCAGCATGTCTTTACGCTCTCATGGCGTGATAGACTGACAAGCGCACAGGAGTCGTTGGTGCGGAGAAGGGCACCCTAGCGATCATGGTCGGCGGATCAAAGTCCTCCTTTGATCGAGCAGTCCCAGTACTGGAGTCCATGGCTCGCAAGGTAACGTACTGCGGGGATCTCGGTGCAGGGCTTGCCGCGAAGATCTCGAACAAGTACGTCGCCTCTATCTCCCATTGCAATCGATGCATTCACTGACCGTGCCTTACTACGCAGCCTCCTTCTCGGTATCACGATGCTTGGTTTAAGGTAAGCGAAACCAACGGTAGAATTCCGGAATCTCTTTCGAACAGCTGCTTACAGAATACGTCAGTGAGGCTATGTTGCTCGGTAAGAGGCTAGGCGTGGACCCTCAAGTGCTCGCCGACATTATCAACAGCTCTACGGGACGCTGTTGGTCTAGCGAGGTAGGGTCTCCAGAAAACATCCCATCCATCGAATTATTCGCTATTGTCACTACATGTAGCTTCTGGCTAACGTATCCGGCTAGATCAACCATCCCGTTCCTGACGTCAGAGTTGGTGACGCTAGCCCCCCAGCACACCGAAACTACGAAGGCGGCTTCGTTACGAAGCTTGCTCACAAGGATCTCGCTCTCGCAGTTGCTGCTGCGAACGAGGTCGATATCCCTCTTTCTGTCGGTCGATGCGTTGAGGAGACCTATCGACCATTGGCCAAGTCCAAAGAGTTTGGAGACCGGGACTTTAGTGTGATATACGAGGCCCTCGATCTCCACAAACCCTTGGCGGGGAGTTCCAAGCTCTAGAGCTATCTATTCTGCTTCCATTGCTTCTGTAATATCATATTTGAGGCGTAATATAGGAAATATTCATAACGATTGCGTCAAAAAAGGATTATTACCACTGCGACAGTCTCATAGGATTCAGCTAGTCACTCCAAGACAAGCCCAAACTTGAACTACCACACCATTTATGAGTGAGGTGCTCTCTTCTTGTGCAGAGCGATTCATTCAGCATTCGTCGCATTGACGCTGGACAGTATGGCATAGTCGATTGGGCCGAATAAGTCGACCCATGGGTTAGGTATCGTGCCATCCTCCAGCTGGTCGCTCATTATCATATCTTCGCTCATTTGATTTGACATGGTGTTGTAGTCAACGACTGTCCACAAGGCCTCTTCCTCGACGGGCGTTAAATCCAAGATTTGCGTCAGGCCACTCAGGTAACTCCCTGAAAAGTCGTCACGGACTAATCGTCGAAGCGTCGAAGCCTTTGGGACATAATGTTAGCGTGTTTAATATAGCCCAAAGATCAGAAAGAGCAATACTACCATCGTTCTAACATTTTCCCAGTGCTGACCAATCATATCAAGATTCATCAATGCCTCTTCGAGGAGTATTCGTGCTTGACCAGAGGCGATGGAATCAGGGTCATAAGTCCGAAGAGCGAGAACAGACCCCGCGACAGTCACCGCGTAACCGCTGGATGACGAATGGAATGAGCAGCCAAGTTTGCGTGCTTCCCGGATGAGGGCCAACATCTGCTGCGCATGGAGCCAGGCCAAATCAGATGATCGGTTGATGAAGCTTATGGGTGCGAGGTTGTGGCATGTGTTTATGCGTCGCCGCAAGAGGAATGGGTGATTGAGGAGACAATAGCAGAGGTGAAAGAGTGCCCGGGAGAATATGATCGGCCCTGTCGACTGGCTGTCCACTACACCATCTGCCGACATGTGCGGTGCAAGCATTTCGCTCACTGGCCTCTGGATCTCCAAGTATGATTCGAAATGCAGGAGATCAGACTCTATGCTTGCAAAGTCGGAGCCCGGATCCCACGGGGGATGAGGGCCTCTGATATTGAAATCCTGGAGCACATATTGCGCGCACCGCCCCAAGACATGTGCAATAGCGATCACTTGAGCTGATGGACATTGCCTTTGTGCCACCGGGAGAGTTCGGTTGGTGATCTCGTCCAAGGATTGCGTCTTGACCCATAAGCCCTCCCTGAATATCGACTCGTCGCAAGGCAGTTGTACTTGGCATGATGCATCAACGATAGCCGGTGGTCGACCGCGGCCACAGGAGACCAGTCTGTCCAAGAGGTAGACTGACCAAAAGACCCTTCGCCGTTCTTCCTGTTCCGCATTTGAGAGATGCATCGCGTTGTTCAGCATCAGCCCGCAATCCTGTGCCATCCGAACAGCCAGGCCGACTTTGACCCAAGCTGAGCCATGGCGTAATCCGCCAGCTATACAGAAAACGAGTTGTTAGGCATAAATAAGACATTAAATCACGGTTTACATTGCGGAGTACGCGTACCAGTAAAGTCGAACAAGCCCAACAAGGCCACTGTCTGGACTGCCGACACCTCAGCCACCCTCGCATTGGTGAAACAATTCAACACAATCAACTTCCAAGAACTGTTTGCATATTCGATAGACATTTCCAGGGCACGATTGGCAAAATATGGGTGAGAGCAGAACCGAGTAGCAGTGGCCATGACAGCTAGTACGAGATGCCTCGGGATGGCCTGTTTGGATAGACGTTGCCGGAAGTTCTGCTCGTGAAAGAACGAGTACGGCTGGTTCTGGCAGTAAGTAAAATAAGAATCAATGACTGCCATGAAGACGTCTTCGGGCAGTCCAAAGTCACTGTTCGCACTATCATCATCATTATTATTATGCGACTCTTCAAATCCGCTGTTGGGTCGCTCCGAAGTTGGAAATTCCATCCTTGGGCTACTTTCAACCTGTCTAGAGGGGGTCGGAAACTCCGCGGTCCTGAGGCCGCCACCATCCATCAAGGTGTTGAGGCATCTTTCGATCCTATTGAGACCCTAGGTTAATCCCAATGGTGCTGTGGCTATAAGGGGTCGTACTATGTACCGTTGAAGACTTGACGCCATATTCTCGATCTTGGCCTCGAGAGTCGCGAGCTTATCCGCGACATCTGCAGTCTAGCGGAGCAATGAGTCGCGATGTCAAAGCGAGGAGATGAACATCACCTTCGAGATTACGATATGGCCTCAGGGAATACATGCCTCTGGTCTATTTGATCTAGCAGCTTCCCTGGGACGGTGGGCCTCCTGTTCGCCCGCTGGACTGGCAGCCTGCTGTCTCGGAGCCTGCGGGCGAGGGGCGGCCTCGACGGGATACACGCAGTCTTGGGCATCTCAGCTCATGAGGCCCAATTTCCGGCATGGCCAATATCACTCACCGGTGTTGAGCCTTTGACATTGGGCACAAACAGGCCGGTCGCCGCTACACCGGCATTTTTTCCGCCTTGACTGGCATCAGTATCACGCACGCCGTCCACGAGGAAGGTGAAGCAAGACGCATACCGACATTGTAGGCAGGCCTGGGCAATGCGCTGCACCGGGAAGTACGCTTCGACTCTGCTCCCCATAGCGGAGGGGCAGTTGATACGGGATGCTCGAGCGTGGCGCCGTGGGATGTTGTTGGTTGAGTGGACTTGCCCGCCCCGCATCCAATGCTTAACGAGACACGCGACGCGCGCGCGCCCGAAAACGTGACCAGCCATCCAGGAAACGTTGGCCCAAAAAGTCGAAAAATTCCCATCGCCACTGTCTCTTGCCTGCAGCATCCCGATCTTCTTGTTTTACCCACGCACTGTAGACACCCGAGGGTGGTGTCTGGCCAGTAGGCGTGTACCTCCGGCCGGAACGGATCCACCCCTATCAACGCTCTAGACCTCCGTCCACAAGTCGACTCCACCTTTTGCACGTTTTCTTTCGTAACAATATTGTCACAATTTGCCGTACAATCGTCGCGCGATGAAATAAAGAAGAGGATCAAGGGCGATGAAGGGCCCCGTACCCAAACAACTCGCCTCCTCACTCGTTCGCTCGATTCCATTCAAAAGCAAGCCAGCCCGGGAATAACTGGTATACCTTTGCCCCAAGAAAGAAGAAATTCGGTCCGAATATCCAGTCTTTGACAGACCAACGCGTCGTCCTCCTTCCAAGGCCTCGTGAAGCCACAACTTACGAGGCTTTGTTAGCGCAATTATCCAAACTTGCCCTCTACCCCAAGTAAAATGACTGAGACTCTTTCAACCTCTCAGCAAACTCTGGGCGGCACGGAATATCGTGCGCCGATTATCATGCACGGCGAGAATGTCAGTCAGATCGTATCCGACTCGTTTTCCGACGCCAACAACGGCAATGTCATGTGGCAGACACTGCTTTCCAGTCCGAATGCCACCTCAGCCGCCATGTGCGCTGGTATCGCAACCTGCCCGCCAAATGGCACACTCGCGCTACACCAGCACACTCAGCCTGAGATGTATTATGTGCTTTCGGGGTCCGGCCAGGTGGAGATCGAGGGAGTTCGACATGATGTCAAGGAGGGCAGCGTGCTTTGGGTGCCCGGCAATGCCATGCATGGCGTCTTCTGCGGTCCAAACGAGACGCTCAAGTGGCTTTACGTCTTTCCGGAGGGTCGATTCGAGAATATCCAATACCGTTTCAAAGCCACATAATATGGGAAGTCGCATATGGGGGAAACAGGGGCATCAAAACGGATTAAAAACAAGCGAGGGAGCGTTGGGACTAACCCAAGTAATGTTGATAGATTTCAGTATATATCCAGGTAGCGCATCATTTAGGAATTCAACCATGACAAGCAAATTCGTTCCATTTGGTGTTTACTACATTGCCACTTTAGATGAGCTGGTAACTTTGGAATATTCTTTCTTTCTAAACCTATAAGTCGCAATTGGGTAGTTTGTAGAATAAGTCAAAAGTAGATAATACCAATTGATATCCAAAATTACTCTATATTGATTGAGATGCTACAGTGAAGACGATATGTTTAAATACACATTTAAGTTGTCCAATAGGCTTCGTATATCGCATGTTGTCCATTCATGGTACAGCACGAAACTCATCCTATTATTAGACTTCGCCAAGCCTTCTGGGACACGTGACTTATGACGCTAACAGTTGACGTCACCTGCATGCAAATGTTGATACCCCTCTCACGGTCCGGCCTCGATATCGGACCGTGCCCACTTTTTCTCCCCCGCAAATGAAACGTCCTTTCTACCGAACGCCCATGAGAACAGTGCAGTCGTTTTTGGAGAAAGCTCATGGGTGACGGCTTCGCCCAAGCTCGGCAATCAACCCAACGAGCCGAAGTTCGTGCAGTTATGCCCTTATTTAAGTGGCGGCTTGTAGATGGGGAGAGGGGGAGAGAACATATCAACGTCTCCGTCGTTGATTGTTCATTCCAAGCTACCATCACGTCTTCTGGCCTTTTCCGGCGACGTCCCTGATCACAGCCAGCCATGTCACGCATGATTTTCGGCGACGAGGTCTATGGTCCAGGGTCCTGGATCGACGGCGATGCCCTTCCTGTCCCGGACGATGCACGTCGACTCCTTAAAATCCTTGCAGATGCGACACCTGGGTTTACCAAAGACCCAGCAGTGGTAGACGCAGTGCAATTTGCAGGTTCTCCTACGCCGATAACGCCTGGCCCTTTGAAATCATCAGTGATTGCTAGCGCTTTGCATGCCATAAGCGGCATCGTCGCCAACGAATTGCTCGAATCAAGAGATGGCCCGAGCCCCAATCGAACTGTATCGGTTGACACAGACCACGCTGCATTTTGGTTGGGATGCGTGGGGATGAGCAAGCGCAACGGCAAAACGGTGCGTGAACTTGCAAAAGATGGCGAGCTGGTTTCCATTTTTCCCAAGGACCTCGAGGGTGGCATCTTTGGTACTCCGCTTAGACGACGCGCCACCGCCAATTACCAGACCAAGGATGACGGCGTCTGGTTTCAACTGCATGGATCTTTGAATTCAGATCCAGTGCTGAAGACTATCGGCCTAGACCCATCACAAGACTGCGCAGACAACGACGAAGCATACCAACTTATTTCCGAAAAGGTTCGCAATTTTGGAGCACACGAGCTGGAAATGATGCACCTGGTTCAAGGCCTCTGCGGAAGCATTTGCTACACTCCGGCTGGGTGGGAGCAGACGCGGATGGCCAAAGACTTATCCAAGCACCCTCTAATCAATTGTAAGCAGCAGACACATGCTCTCCCTACGCCGGCCATTCCCCTGCCAATCTCTGCTGATAAGCGACCCCTGGCGGGCATCAAGGTGGTGGAGCTTGTTCGTATTATTGCGGGTCCTGTGATAGGGACGACATTGGCCGCTTTTGGAGCGGACGTTATCCGAGTCAACTGTGGACGATTGCCAGACTTCAACGTAAGATCGCCGCTGCTTTTGTTCTCCCATTACTCGCTTCATTCCTTGACGTCATCTTCTCTCTCGTCGTTGTGTTTGCTTCTTTTCCATCAGTAGAAACAAACCAAAGCTGACTAATCTCGCGCGCCAGTCACTACAACCCACGCTCAACGCTGGTGTTCGAACCATAGATGTTGACCTATCCAAGGATGAAGAACTCAAGGACTTGTTCAAGCTCATTGAAGACGCCGACGTTTTCGTACAGGGTTACCGGCCCGGGGTAATTGCTCGAAAGGGCCTCGGTCTTGACAATCTCCTGGAGATGGCCGGTAAGAGAGGCAAAGGCATCGTATACGTAGAGGAAAACTGCTACGGCCCAGACGGACCAATGGCCGAGCGACCTGGATGGCAACAAATCGCCGACGCTGCATCTGGCTGTTCCTACGTTACGGGGCGAAGCTTGGGCCATTCGGATGGCACTTGTGTCCTACCCGCATTGCCTGTGCCGGACATGCTTACAGGATTGATCGGTGCCATCGGGACAATGATGGCCATCAGAGATCGCGCGCGGCTAGGTGGTTCCTATCATGTGTTCGCCTCTCTGATGACTGCTGCAGCTCTTCATCTGAAGCCCGAAGTCGGACTGTACTCCCCGAAGGTGGTAGAGGAGTGCAATCAAAAGTTCAAGTGGGACCATGCTGGTCCAGATCTATTTGTACTTGAGCTTTTGGACGTGGTGCTGAAGGGCTGGAAGGAAGCTATACCAAATTTTTCTGGTCAAGACTCGCCGTACGTGTCTACTCTGAAGGGTGACTGGGGTGAATTCGAAGTCCTTAAGCCTGTCGTGCGACTGAGCGAACCAAAGGCCTCGCCATGCTTCTTGTCAGCGCCTGAACCCAATTGCTATCGCAACAGCGATGCCATCGCGTGGAAGTGAATAGGAGACATGTACATATAATAAATGTTTAAACCTCTACCAAAGCGTACTCCTCGACAGGCAAAACTATACATATCCTCAGCTTGGCATGTCACGTACGTCAAACGCGCAGTCAATAACCGAGAGCTACGAGAATTTGAGTGCGTTGAGTGCATGTCTGGGGGCTTGTCTTCTAAAAATGGAAAGGAGTACGGGAGCAGCCCCCCACTACCAACATTTGCGCCTTCCTCTCCTGTCGTCACCCCTTCTCAACACTTCTCATCCCCTCCTGATGCTAACTTTCAACTCTATCAACTTCTGCAACTCCACATTACGTTACTTTTGTTGTATTAAGTTGTTAAACATGACCTGTGGAAACTTTATAGAGTCAGCCTAGCCTAGCAACTAACTAAGGTCTAGCAGGAGAAATAGCTACTAAAAAGACACTTAAAGATAGGCACAGCAAACAAATAAAGAGCAAAAATTAGAAGCGCGGCTGTACAAAGCCTAACAGGATTAAGCCTAGAGGGAGAGATCTTGTAGTAACAAGTCCTATAGGCGTTATAACATATACAAGCTAAACTATAACTAAAGAGATACAAGTAATATCTTAGACTATAACAACATTAATTAATTTAGGTTATGCTTACAAGTAGTAGGAGTCTCTACCTTGTTAGTCTAACCCCTAAGGACTTGCATTAAATGCTTTCCCTCTAAATAGTCTAGATACGCATGTCGCGGCATACGTGCTTCCTCCGCATCACATATCACATATGCTAAGTAATTATTACGGTAGACTAGGCCCAAAGCTATACGCACCACCACCTGTGCAGTCGGGGCCTGTTTGTCCATCATACTACTCAACTCTTGCTGCATCTTCTGCTGCCCATAGCTACTTATCTAGTTATCCATATCTGGCGTCGCTCCTGATTGTAGGAGAGACCCCCCGGGGCAATCATCCAATGCGAGCAAACGCACCCCGATGCAATCCTCCATTCCGAACCAACGCACCTCGAATGCAAGCAAACCCACTCCGGTTCAATCGAATGCAAGCAGACCCACTCTGGTGCATGCGTCGAATGTAAACAAACTTACTCCTGTTTAATCAAATGCAAGCAGACCCACACTAGTGCATGCGTTAAACTCTAGGCATTCCTCTTAACACTTATGCACAAGGGCATTTACTTAGTTAAAATTAAAAGTAGTTTAAGCTGCTGCTAATTAAAAAACACTCTTTTAACTTAAGAAAAAGACTACTGTTTTAAATATTCTAGATGTCTTAAATATCTTAAATATCTTAAGTATTTTAAATAATACTATGTTTAATAGTAGCATATATAAGCTAGTAGAAACTTAACTAGACAAGTATATTTTTACTTTACTTTAAATAAAAATACTACACTTTACTACTACTACTACTACTACTACTACTACTACTACTACTACTACTACTACTACTACTACTACTACTACTACTACTACTACTACTAATACTACTACTATATTACTAGTTGTTAGAGTTAACTTACTTGGACTCCTCTTAAGTAATTATACTATAATTATTAGTTAACTTTTAAGTAATTTTAAAATAAAAGTAAAAAATAATTATTTAAATAGAGCACGCACTATTCTTAACTATTTTTAAAACTTAACTAGCTATTACTTTTATAATACATTAAATTTCTATATAGCGCTATAAATATTATAATACTTAAAATAAGTGTAGCTAGTTTAAAGACTAAAATAGTTACTTTTTAAAGTTAAGTAATTTGTTATGCAGTTAAAAAAAAGCTCTAGTATTATAATTTTTTTTTAGTTTATTAATAAATTTATAATAAACTTTAAAGCGTTTAATTCTTTTGTAAAGTAAGCTATATTATATAAAAAATATATATAATGTGTTTTCTAACTCTTGCACACGTGCCTTTTTTTTAAAGTATTTAATATAATTAGTATTACTGTTAAAATTACAATACAGACACCTTAGGTGTTAGAAACAAGCTTCTTATAATACTAAGGTAAATTACTCTTACTTACTATAAGTGTCTTAGAAATTACAAGGCTACGCCGCATTAGCTATTACATAACAAGAGATTATATAATATAATTAGTAATTAGCTTAATTAGTAGTACTAATTAGACTAATTAAGGTAATTAACTATTTTAACTATATATATATAATTAGTAGGCAAGAAGCTCTTATAGCTTTTTATATTTACTTTAAGTTACAACCTACTTTTTAGAAATATAATCTAGTTGTTACTTTATACTTCTACCTTTATTACTTTAGTATTACTTACTAGTTATCTATAAAACTTAACTAGAAATCTCTAAAACCTTAACATTATAAATACCTTTAAGATGTCTAGCTTTAGTATTACTAGCTAGTCTACCTTTACTTCTAATATAAATAACAATACTTTTATTAGTGTTAAAGCTAGACAACTTAACCTTTACTATAAAGAACGCGTTAAGCTAGAGAAATAGATCTTACAACTTAAACTACTTTTTAAGTTTAACAAAAAAATTAAAAATACTAATAAAGCTACCTACGCAGCTACTTTTATATAAAGTAATGCTTATAAATAGATTGCGCCCTAGCTTATAAAATATTTAGACAATAATAATAGTAATAACAACAAAAATAATAAGAATAATAAAAACACTACTTTATTTAAAAACTAGAAAATTGTAAGGCGTAGTTATAGGCAATAGTACTTGCTTCACACTACTAGTAATAGTAAAAGATAGCTCTTCTTAGAAGGTATCCCCTTCTAATAATTTAGAATAACACTTGTCCCTATTCAGTGCCCTAGGTGCGCCTTTTGTGCGCTCTCGCTAAGCTGCCTACGCTAACTAGTAGCGCCTTAGCAATATCAATCCCCTTCAACACCAACTCTTATGCGGCGATGTTACAAAACCTCCCCCTCTAGCTAACGTCCCTGGCAGCCTTGCCTTATAGTCCCTTCATGTAGAACTTGTTTGTATGGTATGCGTACGTGCGCATGTGTATAGCGCCAGTTATTGTTTAGGTGTGTGGTTGGTGCGCGTAGCGTGCGACAAGTGTAGCTGCTTGTTATTGTTTGCTGCCTTGAAAAATCCGACGTAAAGTTAAATTGCGCAGTCTTGGTGCTAGCCCGCTCAGGTTGTTTATATCTCTGTTGTTAGTTGTTTTGCCTCATTGCTCGTCGTCTCCTCCACTCTCTACTTCCTCTCGCTCAGCGCACCTCTCTCGCACCATCAACGCTTGCTAATATAGTTCACTATCCGCTCCCCAAGTATATCAAGAAATCCCATCTCCGCAATGCGGCTCCCTTCGCTTAGAGCAATAAGGACAAGCGTGCTGACCATGTTGCCCAAGTGGCGACTTGCCTGCGCTGCGCTCAGAACATCGCCAGCCAGAAGAAACCCTGCCAGAAGGAGGAACATTGTTGTTATAGCCATTGCTCCAAAAACAACTAGGGCCAGTACACTTTAGTAAGATTCCTAGACGTCTGCTTTACCTGCGCTTTTGCTAATTGTTGTAGGCTCATGCGCGCTTTAACAGCCGTGTCAATCGTCTATATCAGCTTTGTCATCAATATAACAAGGCTGTCAAAGCTGCCGCTGCCCCTTGCACGGATGTTGCAGTGCGCCGTTACAGCGTGAAGCTTGCGCTCGCGCAGCGTCAATTCAATTTAGAGCTTTCAGCTTTCCGCTGTCAAGCCGCTCACTCTAGTACCCCTGTAGGTTTGCCCACTCAAGTTCCTACTTCCACCACTAATTACTTAAGTTTAGTTCTCGTTGAGCAGCGCCGCATCGCTGCCGCCTTAAAGCAGCTCGCTAGTCTTATAGGCCTTGTTGTATGTTTACCCTTAGTGCGCACTTTAAACGCATGCTAATCGCTCTATAGATGAATTGTCCTGGTGCAGGTGATGAGGATTCATCCTTAGATAAATCTTCTTCTTCTTCTTCTTCCAATAACGATAATGGCAATGCTAACTAGACTGCCGCCCCTGTTAGGGGTTCTCAGGGAAATTAGGGTGGTGCTCGTAGCAGTCATAGCAGTAGTTCGGCTTGTGGCGGTTGCGCCAATGGCGCAGCTGCAGCGCGTGTCCCTCTTCCAGCTAAGAGCGAAGATAAAGATGACAATAATAAAAATGTAGGCGAGGATAAAATTGTGGGCGAGGATGAAGAGTAGAGGATTTTTTCCCATCTATGTATAATAGCTTTTCTGGGGCTTGCTCCCCTCTTCAACAACAAAAGTGTCTCTTGTGCTCCCTACTTGCGCTTTTGCCGCGGTGCTCTTTTCTCTTTTTCAAATTCTTCAACTAACTCTTGCATGTTTCCAAAATCTGACTCTAGTACCCAGCTATCCCAAGTTTCATCATATCCTTTCCAACGGATAAGGTACTAAATTTTCCCTTTGTAAGTTCTTTTCCCCAGGATTTTTTCTGCCTCCCAAAGTTCTTCTCCCTCTAAATCAATGTCAGGTAGTTAGGTATTTAATTCTCCTTAACCAGGCCTAGGTTTCCAGCGTTCTAGAAGGGAAACGTGAAAGACGTTATAAATACAATAGTGAGGTGGAAGCATTAGGCGGTAAGCCTGCGTTCTAATTGCGCGTTCTACCCTAAAAGGCCCTATAAACTTGCTAGATAGTTTCTTGCTTAGTTAATAGGTGAAGTTAATGTTCTTTGTGCTAAGTAATACCAGGTCACCTTAGCAGAAGATTTCTAGTCTGTGCTTTTTGTTGTAGTACTTAGCTTAGTACTGTTGCGCTTTTTAGAGCTGCTCTGCTAGCTTCTTTCTTGCGTCGTGCATGCGCTTTACTCTATCCTTTGCCTCTAGTACCTCCCCCTCAGCCCTGCTGTCCCTAGGAGGGTCGTTGAGAAGTGGATGCTTTCCATATACAGCGTAAAAGGGGGTTGTTTTTGTAGAGTCGTAAATTGAGTTATTATACGCAAATTAGGCTAGCCTTAGCTAATTTACCCAGTCTGTTTAGGCGTCTGTTGCGAAGGTTCGTAGGTATTGTTCTAGGGTCT